TCCCTTCGCTTTCTCAGCACTTCCTTTGAGGGGTGCCCAAAGCGTCGATGCATGGTTTGGTAGTCGACGGAATAAACCATCGAGAGCTGTTTTGCCGCTAGACTCTTTACGGAAGTGATCCGAGTCTTAACCCAGAAAATGGTGTGACCGGGTATAGCCGGACGGCAAACTATAGCTTGAGATTGATCGGGCTTATAGATGCCGATCGATTTGTTATCACCGTGAACGTAATGTCCACGTTGTTGAAGAAACTCTCCCATAGAGAGTAATCGTCCGTGTAGGTTGGGGACATGATAGACAGGATATAGACGAGTCCTGACTTCTTGATATTTCCCATGAGAATCTTTCACCATGTGTTTGATGAAGACGGATCCAACTCCAGCCCAACGAAGAGTAGCCTTTTTATCAGCTGTGCGAATTTCGGGCGAATTTCTTAATGGAGTATAGGATGCGAAATCGGTCTCATCACTAGTGACGTGCATAGAACAACCGGAGTCCATCATCCAGACGTCATACCCGTGGAATGGAGAATGGCATTCAGAACAACTCGCGAAGAACGAGGAAATAGACATATATTGCCGAGCGAGGTAATTCAAAGCAATACATAAGTCCATATACAGATCATCACGTAATACAGCAGCATCGATTAGAATAGAGCGCTGTGTGAGATCAGCAAGTTGTTCGTTCAGCCGACGGGATGACACACACCTTTGTTCGTCGATGTGTCCGGTGTCGAGTTCCATGGCAGTGTCCTCAATCTCCGTGTCCGCTTTGAAGTCGGGTTCGTCATCGGTATCCATGCCAAGTGAGACTGTGTCGTCGTTGTCAGAGTCTGTAAAGAGAGGAGACTCGGAACGAGCACGTTTGGCAGGAGGAGGTGATTCGAGACGATCTTCGAGTGACTTCTTAACGGGGAAATCCATGAGAGGTCGGAGATTTTTGGCAGTGCGAGGAACGTGAAGCCGATCGCAGATCTCCTGAGCCTGTGCCAAGTCCGGATAAACGGGATGAGTCCTGGGATCGTTGGTCTTCTCGGCGGTAGCGGGGGTGTAAACTTGAGCCGGAAGATTGACGGGGACTTTGTTGACCTTGATGCCGGACGAGGTAAACGAGGCGACGGAGGTAGTAGTGGGAGTAGGAGTGTGATGGTAGAGCCGAGGATGATGTGGGAGCCAAGGACGACAGCGGAAGCAATTTGGGAGGAGTCATCAGAATCGGAATCAGGATCAGCGTCAACCATGTGAGTGTGATGATGGTGATGGTGTTGCTTCTTCTTTCCGGACGACTTCCCACGCTTGGACTTCTTCTTGTCGTTAGAAGACTGTCCTTGCTGTCCTTGGGTAGGCGAGTTAGAAGACGACTGCTGTTGCTTCTGCTGCTTGAAGTTGGGGTTACCCTTCTTCCGCTTTATCGCTGACATCTTGTTGGCGTGAACGGAACCCTGAGTTCGACGTTCATACTCCGCCATGATGGCTTCGTACACATCAGCCAATTTGAGTTCCTTGACCTTTTTGTTCTGCATCAACAGAACCGCAATGCTATCCCATTTCTGGGGAATTGCGTTGATCAGGATCATGGCTTGGAAGAAGTCAGGCATTCTGACACCATTGGCGTGAAGTCGATCAAAGACTGATCGGAGATCATCCATTTGTGGTACCGGATTTTCATTTTCCGAAAGCTTGAAAGCGATAGCCTTCCTGAAATCGGCAAAGACGGCAAAGACCACGGATGCCCCTGGAGTACCGTAACTTTCCTCCAACTTCGTCCAAATGGTTCGAGCCAATTGGTTTGACTGGATGGTCAAGCGAATAGCAGGTGTCATGCGTAAGGTGAGGGCACCTTTAGCAGTCATATTCTTCTCGAGCCACGCCCTTTGCTCCTTCCGGCGAGCTTCTTTGTCTTCCTCCTTGGCATCGGGGGGAAGATCAGAAGGCTCCGGATTGGTCCCATCAACAACATCCCACACGCCAGCAAATTGGAGATAAGCGATGGCGAGCGGCTTCCATTCTCGATAGTTGGTGCCATCAAGAATCGGAACGAGTTGAGTGAGGGCGGAGGACATAGTTGTTGAGATCTGTCAAAAAGACCGATCATCAGCATGGCGTTCTCGTGAGAGAATAGAAGGACAAGTGTGCAGCCAAAAATAGCGCTCCTTAGTCCCCTGATCGCAGCCAAAAAATAGCGCAGATCATGACGACCACAAGTAGTAAGCCTTAGAGCATCTAGATGCAGCCAAAAAAGCGCAAACTAGATTCTGGATGCAGCCAGAGACTAGCGCAAACCAGATTTAGCAATGCAGCCAAACAAGCGCAAAGCTAAAGCCTAGCGGGGCTCATAACCTGTCGAGTAAACACTATCTAGCTAAGGTGGTCTACTCTAAGACTTTACCAGGTAGAGTGTTATGTGAGGCTAACTAGTGGCTAACTACAAGAGTTGTGACGAACTCTGTCATCTATTCCAAGGCCAGGGAGGGCCGGTATTTATAGTTTACAGGAAGCGTGACAGATGTGACGTATACTACATAAATATGGAAGGTGTGACGGGTGAGTAAGCGAATGAGTCATCATGAGCGATAATGACGCAATATGGGTGCAAGTATTAGCATCTACTCATGTGACGTTCCAGAATGTTCTACACTAGAATGTTCTAGGAGTGTTCTGGACTGAGTCTCACTAATCTAATCTAATCTACGATATAATCTACAGATAAGATAAGATAAGTTCAACAGGTAGGTGATTGTTACGGTCAAGGGACGCGAACTCAAGTGAGCATGCACGTCGACCGTAGAGTCGTGGTTCTGAGGCGAGTTCGAGGAGATAGGCGTCTAAGAGTGCCTCACAAGAGGTATTGTCTTAAGACGACTAGAGCGAGTTCGAGGGAAGAGTAGAAGAGGGTATGATTCACGAGAACTAGCTAAGGAACAAGAGAGGTATCTACAGAGCTTATATACCTATCTAGCTACGTGAATATGAGTCAAGAGAAGTCAGAGAAGAAGGCTGCGCGAGCACAGGTTACTGCGGAGCGCAGCAGAGATAAATTAGAGAACAATAGAGAGTGGCTGCGCCGCAGCAAGAAGGAGTCATAAAGAGTCAAAGAAGGCTGCGCCGCAGCAGTAAGAAGAATTAACTGATAAAACAGTCACGAGATAAAGAAAGAGATCATGTGAACAAGAAAGTGAGTCATGTGATAGAGAAAGGACGCGAAGAGAATAAGATAGGGGCGGAATTCGTAACATTTACCCCCTTTGTATGATTGAAGTCCCATTCAATCCCAACTACTAGCGTCGGGGCCAGGGGTGGACCAATCTGGGATCAGACTGTCGTCCCAACTGTTGTTTCCAGCGGGGGTTTCGTCAAAGCGGACCTTCCACAACGGTGCATACCCAAACACCATATATACTGGTCCACAGTGGTTGATTAAGAGCACAATGTCCATGTGGTACAGGGGCGATCTGGGTTGGACAAAGAGTCATGTGTACAGGCCCAGCTTGCTTTGGGTATCCAATCACGTCCCTTCAATTGACTGTAAACCAAATGAATCTTTACTGCTAAGAAGGGCTAACGTTGCCACAGCATCTCTATACCATAACCTTCAAATGAGCCTTACATTCCGGCTACCTCGATTACGCCAACCAGATATGACTCTACTGCCCATGTGTTCCAACATCGCTACATGACCCTTTCCACATAAGCCTCGGGCGAGCTTGCCGCTTGCACCACCCAGATTGTTTGAACCAGTATAATGGGCCTTGTCAATAACGAAATCAGTTAAACTCACCGGTACAGAAACGCCATCCCAACGACCCCAGCTCTGCGACGATGTGAGTTGCATGTGGCCTTCATTCCAAAAACCCCAGCTTTTCGACGAACATCGCTACATGACCCTTTCCACATAAGCCTCGGGCGAGCTTGCCGCTTGCACCACCCAGATTGTTTGAACCAGTATAATGGGCCTTGTCAATAACGAAATCAGTTAAACTCACCGGTACAGAAACGCCATCCCAACGACCCCAGCTCTGCGACGATGTGAGTTGCATGTGGCCTTCATTCCAAAAACCCCAGCTTTTCGACGAACCGAGTCAAATCCCTTCGCTGCTTTTTGTCTCGCTAACAAGATAACCCATTCTCACCTCAGGTACCTAGATATTTCCCATTCTATTAAGAGCAATCCAATTTTGTTATCATGTGAGGTAAGTGCATGCGCAAATTTCGAGTTCATAACGACCTAGCTATTGCTTATCCTATACGTTGTTGATCCACTAGATACCAACGGTCGGACTGGGTCTTGACCAAGCGTTTCCATAAGTCAAGATGTGTCCTCCCAGCTATGACAGTGGCCGAGCTCAACCCGAATCAAACCAGCTATCAGACGTTGTAGGTGTACCGCTTCCGCTCGACCAAAGTGGGAGAGCTGGGTCTGCGACCTTTTTTCAACCCGGGCTCGATCAAAGTGACCGAGCTGGGTCTGCAAACCAGCTATCAGACGTTGTAGGTGTACCGCTTCCGCTCGACCAGAGTGACAGAGCTGGGTTCGCGACCTTTTTTAAACCCAAGCTCGATCACAGTGATCGAGCTCGGTCTGCGATTTCTTTCAACCCGAGCTCGATCACAATATGAAGCCCACCCTTACCGCATTAGCTTGACGCCACTACATGTCGCGCATCCACTTGATTACGACGGCCGAGCTGGGTCTGGTGGGTTTTCAGCCCGAGCTCTACCCTAATATGAATCGCGTCCACTCCCCACTAGTTTGTCGGGGTACCCATTCAATAATTGACCAACTTCACCCGCCATAGGCGCTTTTGGTGACCCTGTTCACAATGAATGGGCTCCGTGGGTGGAGTTTCTCAATTCCGAGCTCGATCAACCAGCTCATCCCTCTTCCCAGAGCCCCTAACCTAGCGCATGGGCGTATGATACACCCGAGCTCCCTCATCGGAGGAGTGCCGGCTCCTCGTCGCATCTTGGTTATCCAAGTGGACGTATGTCACTGTCGCCTCCATGGCCCCGCCTTCCCCACAGCTCATCCAACAGCTCGATGACTTACATCAACTCATCCTCGCTATCCCATCCTGGACCCAAGCAGAAATAAACCACAACAAAGTGCAGCTGCTCAAGCTCTCGGTGAGTGCCTTCCCAAGCTGCCAGGTCTATTCTCAATCCGTGTAGAAAGACGTCGCGACAACCGCTCTCAAAGAAGGCTACAGAGAACCGGACTGGCTTGGGGCGTCTTTAGATGTTTGGTTTCGAAACCGGGCTAGACAGTATCTCAAGAATCCACAGTCCCTTCCACTAGAACTTTTTCAGTCCAAGGGTTTCCAAGAAACCCCGCCCCTTCTCGTCAAATATCCCCCACCCAGGTCCATAGCGAAAGGGAAAGGTAGAGCGGTCGATCTCCCGCCAAAGAAGAAGCCACATAAGCCAGCGCAGAAGACGTCGCAACTCGAGGATGACGAATCTGACGATCTTCAAGACCATCGCCCGCTCAAAAGGCCACGAGCAACGGATACATCAGCGGAACCTACAAGTTCCAAGCCTTCGAAACCCTTACCTCCCAAAAATCAGCAACCTCCGCCTCAGGTGTGCACTGATCTTCACTAATTTACCCGTCCCGATACTGATACCCAGTTCCAGACTTCCAACCCCCAACGTTTTACTTTTGGTGGCAGCGTCTATCAGGATGATGAAACTCAAGGAGCGCCCCGACCGAGTGTTTTCTCTACTTCACAGTTCGGCCACCAGGTATGCATCCCTAAGTTGTCTTATCTCGCATCCCCACTGGAAGGAACCTATAGGGTACGCGTGGTGTCTTCCCGCATCGTCCCCACCCTACAGTAGTCCCTCCGACCCAGCCCAGTCCAGAGTCTATCACCAAACTCGTCGACGAACAACGACGCCATGCTTCCCAACTCAACGAGCTCTCCTCCGACACGACCAAACTCATTGACGAACAACGACGCCATGCATCCCAACTCAACGAGCTCTCCTCCGACGCGACCACTCTTATTCGATATCATAAAGAGTACGATCAAATCCGGGAACAGCAGGTCGACCTTCAAAAGCGCGTTTCAGAGCTTGAGGAGAAATGCAGCCAGCTCGAGTCGCGAATCCAACAGGGTACCACTGCGAAACCCGAGCTTGACACTCAAGGCGACACTCAAGGCGGTTTGACAAAAGCTAGTCACGAAGGTGAGCTCAAATGGGCACGAGACAACATAAACCTTCTGCTAGCCGCTGTGGTAAGTCTCGCCATCTCGTCACCAATCCGCTTACCACTGACACTCCATCATAGGCAGGACTTGCCGGAGGGCAGGTGTTACTCCAGCCAGCCCTCCAGGCCCTCATGGCGCACCAACCGCCCTCTCAGACAGCCCCAGCCGCCCAGTCTACTCCCCTCCTTAACCAAAATCTCCAAGTCTCTCTCCCAACCCGTCAAAACTGTACGGCGCAACAACCGTCGCCTCAGTCAAACCCCGGGCCCCAGCCAATCCCCCCTGCTCAGTCTGATGTCTTAACTAACCAAATCGCTCAGGCATCCACCCTAGCTCTCCGAAATCCTCACCCTCATAATGCTGGGAGCTCGACACCTCTCACCATCAACCCGGCGCAACTCGAACCTCACCTCGGGCGAGACCACTTCCCTCCAAATCAGCCCAATGTTTCCAATTTCCCCCGGCAACAGCCTCATCTCTCCGATAATTCCTTTCACCTCTCCCACTATCTCTCCCTCACCCCCGAGAATCCGACGGACTGGAACCCCCAAGACGGCTACCCCCATCAAAATTACAGACTCCCGCCACCTCCATTGGATGACAATTCTAGTACTCCTGCCAGCGACATGTAGACTCGTTGTTTATGTAATGCCTTTTTTTTTTGTAGAATCCCTCGATAAGAAAGTGTAATGAATGAACAGACAAATCGGACGCGTACACAGAACCTCGAGATAGTATAGATACAGGCGATGAAAAAATACAAGCGACGAAAAAGCGATTGGTTTACTTACGAGTCCTCCCTGAACCGCGCCTAGATACGGGCCCTCCCCGACCTTTCGCAATACGCTTGGGTGCTGCGACACCGGAGGCAGGTTTCGTGGTCTTCGTGCGCTTGGAGGACTCTGGCCCACCCGTCCGACTACCTTCCCCAAGCTCACGTTTCCTCTTCAACGACTCCAGCTTTTCCACTCTACCCGAACGTCGCACCTCTGATTGAGCACGTTCCTTTGCTGCCCTTGATCGAGTTCGAGGAGTTCGCGGGCTATTCTCGATGAGAACCACAGGAACTGCCAACCTCCTCGGAGATTTGGGAGGAGGTAGCTGTTGACGGTTAGGATCTGGTAGGGTATCATCAACCTCTTCCTCCGAACTGTTCACTGAAACCTCGTCCTGGAATCCATCGCAATCGGATAGCTCTGTGGCTGGTAGGCCAACAGTCGTTTCCTCGAGCTCAGGTCCGTCGTGAGAGAGGTCGACGTCGGCCCCGTCGTCACCAAACGCGTCGCAGTCGGATAGCTGGGCTGCTACGGATGCCCCGTCGTCACCAAACGCGTCGCAGTCGGATAGTTGGGCTGCTACGGTTGCCCCGTCGTCACCAAACGCGTCGCAGTCGGATAGTTGGGCTGCTACGGATGCCCCGTCGTCACCAAACGCGTCGCAGTCGGATAGTTCGGGTGAGGGAGGGCGGGAGTGGGATGGTTGACCCAAGGCTTCACAGTCGGACAGTTGTGGAGAAGTCTCGCCGAAAGCTTCACAGTCTGAAAGCTGAGAGGTGGTACTGGTTTGTCGCGGTCCACCGAACCCTTCGCAATCCGACAGGGAAGAATCGCTGAACCGCACTGTGCCGTTCAACGAGTCATTGTCAGAGACTTCGAGGTATGCTAAAATCTATCAGAAGCGTTGTCAATCTTTCGTACAAAACATTAGACTTACAGAGTTTCGTCTTCTTTGCCTTCTTTGAACCAGTGGAACCAGTATCGAACGTCACCCGTTTAGTGTCTCCCTTCTTCCCTGTCTTGCTCTTAAGTTTCGAAGGGGATGGCGTTGGCCTTGGACGAGGGGGGACGAATCGTGACACGTCCTTGTACCCGTAGTCTCCGTCGTCGTCGCTGTCAGGGGAAACCACTGTCTCCAGCGAGTACTTCCTGGGATGGAACGTCTTCCCGCCCCGAGAGGGAAGGTGCGAAAACTCGAACACAATGTCAACCGTCGGGTCATTCTGGCGAGCAAGGTAGAACGAGTAGAGCTTTAGGCGTTTGTCGAGGTCGAGTTGTGATGGGTCGTTCCAGATCTCCGCGAGGTCATCAGGGAGGTACTCTTGGTCAATGCATCGACGGATATTGGTGCGAATCGCTTTCCAGGGTACTCTGGAATAGGAGTGTGGTCCGACTCTACTTGGCAAAGGTTGCGAACCTCTCGCTAAAACTGAGAGATGTCAGCCACGGATATTCGTTTTGGTCCGAAGGGGCACTTACCATAATGTCTAGTGAAAAAGCTACGCAAAACGTCGCATAGCCAAACGGATGTTTGCTCGCCTTTGGGCATCTGGGACAGCGGAGGGAGCGAAGGAACCCCCCACTTGTCAACAGGGAGTGGGACCAGAGGCTTGCTGTGTGACCGTCGAGCCTTCGTGGTAGGGCCTTCTTGGTTCACAACATCGCGGTTGTACAGATTCCCGACGTAATCTCCCCAGTAGTCGAGGATGCCCGATTCCTGGAGTTCCTTCTTGTAGACCTTCTTGAACGCCTCGCCACCGCGAAGCTCCTTTGTGAAGTCGTACTGGATCCCGTATGCGTCGCCCTTTGTGTCCTCGTAACCCACGAGCATGTAGACCCTTGCGTTCATGTCGTTGAGAAGGGCCGTGGCGAAATCGAGACATCTAGACGAAATAAAACGTTCGGCGGCCCTGTAGAAGGTAAATTAGTAGCAGAATAAGCGATACAAGTAAAATCTGCTCACCGTCGCTGCTCGGCGAGAGGTGGACCTTGGCTCCTCCATTTCTCGGCCGTGGTGTGATAATAATGGCGTTCGTCGTCGGTCAGCGTTTCCCAGAGAAGCGTGGTCGCAGTCTGGTACTTGTGGAAAGCCTTGGGCATCGGCGCTTTCGATGGTTTTTTCGAGACACCCAGTTTTCCATCGCGACTAGTGCTACCTTCCCCCTCCTCCTCTTCCTCCTCCACCTCCTCCTCCTCCTCCTCCAGTACGTCCAAATTTCCCGCGCCCTCTTCATCCTCTTCTTCGTCGTCGTCTGGGATCCATTGAAACTCCTTGGTCTCTGATGGTAAAATCCGCTCTTCTTGGTCAATGAGGCCCCGCAGATCAGGGAGCGGAGCGTTGTCGACCAGCAGCCTGGCTATGTGCAGTATGGCGCGCGTGCGTTCGTATTGAAAAACCAAACGCCCGTGCCAGCGGATTCCCCACATCCTCTTCCCATTCCCACGTATTCGCTGTACGTTTTGCTTGAACCATTCTGTCACCGCCTGAAGATGGGCAGGGCAACGAGTTAGAAGCGCACGGGCATCTGCATGGGTCACAAAATCTCACCCGTTTCAACGCCTCATGCTTCGCCTGGGGCATCGCCGTGCCGGATAAGTCTTGAATCTCATTCCTAAGGATTTGTGCGAGTTTATGCGCGAAACGTTTGCGAGCCTTCCCCTTTAAATCGCGGTAGGTGTCGAGTTTGCTCTTCAATAGAGCAACTTGTGAAATTTTGAGTGCGTACGGGCTTGCCTCGTCGTCGGTTTCCTTGGCTGACGTATCATAGCGTTGGAAAGAGGTTGGCATATTGGAATAAACGTTGGTTTCAAGGCAGAGGGGGGTTTGGAGAAATAGAAAAAAAGCGAGATAAGAGAGAGAGTCAACAGGAATCAACGGACAGGAACAGGAGATTAGAATTCGATCGAAATACACAGCCACACTACCTGACCTGGACAGGAGATCGGCGATCTATGCAAAAGCTTCCGTCAACCCTTAATTGGACGTACACTAAAGCCTCCGTCAATCTTTAATTGCTTCTTTTACAACGACCACCGAGACGACGTTAAAGCCTCCGTCAATCTTTAATTGCTTCTTTTACAACGACCACCGAGACGACGTGAAGGATGGGTTTTGGGCAACGCAAGCGCGTAGTGCCGGGAGGGCAGAAAGGGAAGGTTAAACTAATGACTGCCGAAGTGACCGCTACCAAAACTCGAAAGAAGATCAAACTGGTGCCCGTAGGACCGTCGCCGAAGAAGACTTCGTTATCACCAGAGAAAATCAAGGCCTACTCGTCTCCCATGCGCTCCCCGTATCACGCTTCTGTGTCGGGTGCCTTCGATAACGATCCAGACGAAGAATGGGAGTACATCGAAACGGGGAATGATGGAGGGCGGGCGACACTGAATTCGAACACATCAAAGGTGAGCATACCCACAGACTTCAAAGAACTGGCGGGCTCAGGACTGCACTAGTCATCTAACGACTACATGCTTGAATGGAAGCTGAAGCAATACCTCTATCTCGATGAAGTTATCGGCCGAGAAGCCTCTGGAAAAGCAATGGCATGTCAAACATGTGGAGGAACCCGGTCCGGGAGTTGGTGGAGATGTCAGGACTGCGTTGGGTCACCTCTCTACTGCAGGGAGTGCTGTTACCAGGAGCATCTTAACCATCCTTTCCATCGCGTTCAGACATGGAATGGGGAGTTCTTTACACCAGATTGGCTATGGAGGTGTGGAATTGGGGTCAACCTCTGTCCTAATCGGAAGTGCGAGCCCATTGAAGACGACGACGATGAAGACGACAGGGATTTCCAGGATAAGGGCCAGACCGAATGGGACCTCGGCGACGATCTTAACTTTAACGCGAAACCAAAAGGCCGCATCCTAGGGGGGTGTAAAGTTCTGGTAGTCGTACACTCCAACGGAGTACATTACCTCCCTTTCCACTTCTGTCACTGTATGGACGCCGTCGAAAGCGATATTCAACTTCTACGACAAGGATTCTATCCTTCCACCTCACAGGATGTCCGTACGGTCTTCACATTTACCCTCCTCGATGACTATCTTCTCCAAACGCTGGAATGTGCGACCTCGTCCCACCATTACTACTCGAAGCTAAGACGACTGACCAACGAACCATTCCCTGGAACTGTCCCGGTAGGCCTTTGGTCACAGTTTTCTTGTGTAAAAAATCATATTTCTGATTATCCTTCGGCTTATAGGACCGTACACGAGAGTTGAGAAGGGTCGGCAGACAGTGGCGGCGCCTGAAGGAACTTAAGCGCCACGGGTTTGGCCATCTGGACAGAACTCCTGGTAACGGAGACCTGGCCTTATTTTGCGCGGCTTGTCCACAGCCAGGGATAAACCTGCCTCCCAATTGGCAGGACGACCCTGAGCAATGGAAGTACACCCGAAGTTTCGTAGCCGACGGAAACTTCACCTGTGTTCATCGCAAACGAGCCAATCAAGGGGAGGTGTACCTGAAGAACGGGGAGGGGTTCATGACGGAGAAGGATCGCTATCAGAAGCACCTGAAGATAGCCAAAGAGACAACAGAGGTAAGTGATAAACGCCTTCAGCAAACGTGGGCGCTTACACAATATTTTGGGAACAGACTCCTACATGCCATGAACATCGTGCGATCGCAGACAAAGGGAAAGTTCACAAAGGATGTGATGCGACTGGGATTGGAGCGATCGCATGCATGAGACATGGTGCCTTCTGTCCCGGCTCTGTCGTCGATTTTCAAAAGGGTGAACGGTAAGTGACCCTTTGGCAACTTGGCGATCGAAGTTGGGCGCTAATGCGAGTTCGCGATCGATAGTCAAATAAATATGGATTACGCTTTAGCCCAAAGCGTCACCCTTACAGTCGCCGATGAAACCAAGCGTATTATTCTGGCGTACGATATAAATTGCCAGTACAGCAAGAAGGCGCTTGACCGCCTGGGACAAGGTCGTTACACTCGAATCCGCACCGACCTGGTGTGGGTTTGGGGAATCGGCCTTTTCCATGTGCATGGGCATCAGGAGTCGTGCAATGCCCGTTACTCCCTGACATACATCAGAGGCGCTGGCTGCTCGTCAGGCGAGATTCTCGAGTCGCTTTGGGCGCAAGTGAATGAAGTGGCTCGAGCTACGTCTACGATGTCACTCCCCCACCGAGCTGAGGTTCTGGACGCCATTCTCAACGATAGTAATTGGAAAAAACTCATCAACCTCGGTGAAAACAACAGCCCCCTTCGGTTTATGAAGTTACTGACACTTACATCTATTTCGTAGTGCCGTCCATTAGCAAGAACTGGCGTAACAGTCGCCTGCAACTAATCCGAGCTGAAGAGGACTTCCAGCTCCTCAATGAGAGTGCCTCCGAATCTCAGGTTGCACTTTGGCAGGCACAATTGGACCAGGCGCATGAGAACCGAACCCGAGATGTCTCCGTAATGGATATACTCAACGCGGATGTCGTGAAGCGTGAGTCCAAGGATTCTCTATACCGTCAGCGCGATTGATTGATAAATACATACCAGCTCCAACGCTTGCAAAGGTTCGTACGACTCTCATGGAGAAAGAACGATCCACAAATCGCGGGCTTGGGGTTACCTCGTGGCTTCATAATGGAATGCGGATCCAAGAATCCCAGTGAGTAACTTCCTGCCGTAGTTCGCCATCGTCTAATGAAAATCTCCCAGAATAAATCTGAAGGCACATATGGCAAGCCTACCGAAGGAGCGGTCGGACGCACAAGAGTTAGAGGTGGCTAAAAAGAGGGAACAGCTTCAGAAGGACATCAATGACTTCTACGCTACAGCATCCACCCTGTTCCCAGATGCCGACTTCGACGCGCTGAGAGGGGCCGAGGAGTCGACGACGATTGTTCAGCTTCACGGTGAGGCAGAGGTGGAGGACATAGAGGATGACGAGGATAACCCATTCTCGATGACTCACAATGAAGTCGAAAACGTCAAGATACCCCTCCCATCGTCTTTCGATTCCACCCCCCCCTCTATGGAACGTGCCCGCGGCAAGGAGTTACGACTGCGAATAGGTCAGGCGGAAGACGCCCTCGAGAGCGTCCGAACAGAAATCGGCCATAAATCTTTTCTTTACCGATCGAATATCCGTTTGGCTGAGGGAAAGCAGCAGAAAACCAGAGGCTATGCCTCAGTCAAGGCAGTTAATAACGACCTACGGCGGTACATCAAGATCTACCACCAAGCGCGATGGGCGCTTACGAGATTAGGCGCTGATGCGGATACCCTCGCTCGTTATCGGCAGATCAAGACGGAAGATACGAAGGCAATAACAGCTATCTACAGCCCCAATGCCCGAGGACAAAGGAACGTTTCATTGTCCTGGATATGGACTTTGAACGTCCAAGGAGACTCGATGAAATCCGAGTATTTGGAGGAACGTAAGTCATTGTTCCTCGACACCTTTGGTAATCTTTACTCAATGGTTCTTTATCGATCCAGTGTATAGGGTAAACTGGCTGCGTGCGAAGTCCAGAGCTGAGCGATGGGAGGAAGAGCATACACTGTTGACCTATGAAATGGACTGGGTGGTAAGGTTCTTCGCTTATAAGCAGGACCAATGTCGTCAATGGGCCGCAATGAAGCCTGAGTCCCCTGGACATAACGCCTATGCCATGCGACAGTCGGAGATGTGGAGGCTGATGTGCATGAACGCACAGAAAGCGTTTCTGAAAACGCGCCAATCAGTGTTGAATCCCGTCCTCTGACTTTCTTCTCTTTTTCTTTTTTGTATCGTAACTCATACTTAGAAAATTCATCGATTGTCGGGTTTCAGATGTGCATGCGAAGGGGATGCAAAGAGAGTAGGATTACCGAAAGCTACGAGAATACAGGCAGAGGAAGTATCTAATCCATCTCCAACGAGTCGTCCCCATGATTCTTACCCTGGCGCGCCAAGTCCTCTGAGGTTTCACCACCAGTCGGCGAGAGTTGGCGAAGGGATTCTGGCAACGGAGGAGACCGTTTCCAGGGGGGGGTGGAATCCCAGGTACCCCAAATAACGGGTGAGCGGGGTTGGGAAGGGGATGGGTCGGAAATGTTGGATTGAGGATCGGGGGACGCAGGCTTCTCGTCGATACGCAGATCTAAGAGACCGCGGAACTTGGAGCACGTCAGCTCGAAGAGTTCGACGGCCGCTTTGGTGTCTCTGAGCTGGGCGTTGAGACCGTCGATCTTGCTGCGAAGCTCGACGAAAGTCTCCTTGATGGGCTTGAGCTTCCACTCTTCCCAAGGGTTGGCGATTTCGAAGGGGAGGGGCGGGAAGTACGGTATCGTGTTGGCCATGTGTTGGGACTTCCACGCAAGAACGAGGTCTCTGACCGAAAGGTTTCGAGGGCGTTGGAGCTCGAACTGATCGGGGGTGTAGTCCCACCAACAGTCAACATAGCGGGTCACGGCGTAGTCATGGGCTTGGCGGGGGTAATCGGTGACGACAAGGGCGACATCTTGAGGTGAATCGATGCCTCCATAAATGAGAAGTCGGTGTAGGTGCTCGAGGAAAACTGGGGTGACGATTTTCCCGGGGTGCTGGAGAGTGGCCGAGGCCAAGATAATAAGGCCATGGTTCTGAAACCAAAAGCCGTTAGAATCCGATATAACCACCTTGTCGAGCTACTCACCAAGTCTACTCGCAGCTGTCGCCACCATTCCGGTTTCAACCCCGGAGGCGTGACGTATTGCCAACGGTCCTCCAAGCTTACAAGGGCGGAGGCACACGCTCTAAGACGAGACGAAACGTAGTTGAGTAAGTGTTGCATTTCTGCAACATTGAGATTTTGCATGCAGGGCGTGGTCTCGAGAAGCATTGCGCAGGGGTGCGGTGAGGATGGTTTGGTGGGTGGTGGTTGGGAGAAGACCGAGGGACGACGAAGACGGGAGAGCCTTAGGGAGAGCGTGCGAGGGTGACAAATGGTGTTTTCTTTTTTTTGTTTTTGTTTTTTTAACTACCAAAATAAGGCAATCGAGAGAGAGGGGGCTGGGGGTTGGGGGTTTACTTATTGACATTCGTCTTACGATTAGCCTTCATTCAGCATTATAAGTGCGCGTAATGTGACAATGTTTACAACTGATGTGTCAGTAGATGGGCGCATACGTACTGATATTTGGAATAATGTTAATACCCCCTGCTCTTATTCTTATAACTGAGCGTGTATATTGGACATGGCGGCGCTAGGTAGATCTTATTGAATGAGACTGAGCCCGGTCGTGATCCTTGATAGTCACTTCGCGCGTATATAATGAGCCAGCTCGGCACTTGTAGAAGGAGGCCTCCGAGCTCGGCCATGGCTCTTGACAAAGATTGTTTAACATAAGGGATGGTCCAGCTCGGATTCTGTAGATATAGATGTAATCGAGCTTGAGCATGCCATTTGGACCAGAGGCCGGGTGTATTGAATGGCGCAGCTCACCATGGGTAGATAGATGAAAACAAGCTCGGCCATGTCATTTGTACGAGAGGGGTTACCAAGCCCATAGTAGGTGACTGGTTGGGGAGATGATAATCGAGGACGAAGAATCCCGACATATCGTATTCAACTTCGTTCATATATTCAATCCAGAATTAGAGTGTGATGTTCTCTGACATATCGGATTCTACTTGGTTGAAAGATGTAATACAAAATTAGACTGTGATATTGTCCTCAAGGTATCGAAGTAAGTCGGGCGAGGTGAAAGGCCCGGTTTGGCCGTTGAATGGGTCGTCATCCTTGGACTCGTAATATTTAATGAGTTGATGATAGTGCGAACCTACCATCACAACAGAGTCAGAGGTTGGCTCGGAGAGCCAGCGGTGCTGTAAAAGGCGAGAGAGACAGACGACGACCGAGCCGGGTTCGAAGTAGTACTCTCGACCTACGGTGGCGCATATAAAACGCGTGGTGGAAGGGGAGCTGCCGCACGAGAGGAACGTTTCGTAAAATAAATGTGGGATGAGCTCTTCGGTGTGTAGCGGTGGGTTGTGGTTGTTGTAAATAGCGATGGCGTGGTAGGTGGCCGCCCAATTTTCGAGAACCTCAGTGAATAGGTCAGCATCGTCGATTTCCAATTCGCCTTTGTGAAAGCTCTCCAGCACAGAGACGCCTGCATGGAACTGCGTCGGTTGGGTTACGGCCGAAATTGCGGAAAGGAGAGCAAGGGGGTCCATGAGTTGTCCTACGGCCGTAAATGCGTTTTCGATGCGCTTCCGAAAACATTTCGAGGGGCCGTATGTCCTCTGTGAACGTGAGTGTGGCTATTAGTGGACAGTAACCTCGGCGGAGGGGAAACTAACCTCAGAATCGGAACCACGAGCGCTTCTGGACGCCACCGGAAACAACAATGCCATCCCTTGTGGAGTGGTTTGGAAATCTCCGCCGTAAAAGTTCCCCTCGTGTCTTCGCCAGGTGCCATCATCCTTCGAGGAGAAGAAGCTCTTGCCCTCTTTGCAAGAACGAAGAGTTTGAAGAATTTGTTGCTGAAGGGATTTTAGAATGCAAGCGGGAATGGATTGGAATAGGTATCCTTACTATGTACTGGTCTCGGATGACGGATGGGAAATACCACAAGAGAATATACCCCTCCTGATCAACGACAACCTCTGGAGTCCATTCGGGACTGAAACGGCCTGGAGGCTTTCCGGTGTGAGGGCCAAGGGGCGGGAAACGTTTCCAGAGTTGGTCGGGGTCGAAGTCGGGCTCCTGGACAGCAGCAAGAAGGTCGCGCAGTTTCCAATTCACTCTGGCTGCTATGTGGTGAGGCTGGCCCAGACGTTTCCAAGATGACTGCGCTCACCTGGGTTTCGCAGCGCTGCGTGGGCAGCGTCTGCGATCTGTTGGACTTGTGCGCGTCGATAGAGCTCAAGCTTGGGCACCTTCGGCAAATCTTGGTCGGGGAAGAAAGACGCCTTGAGAAGGTGCAGAGCGTACTGCCCAAAGAGGAAGGCCTCTCGTGTAACGTCGGGAAGACCCACGTAAGTACGAAATAGAATACGGACACTCTTGGGTAGTAGAGTGGCCATGGTACGCAGAAGAGAGAAGGTTAGAATCGATCTAGGTTGCGAGAAATCAAAGGAGAGTGGTGCACCTCTGCATTATGACGTCAAGCATATGGGCGGGGATAAGCGATCGATTGTGCGAGTCCCAGAAGCAGCACAGAACCGATCAGTTGGACTTCGCAACGAGGTAGGGGGAGCTGGGTCGGCATGTAAAATGATTCCAGACGAGGTGGGCCAAGTTGCTCATGGGAGGAACACGGACAGTGTGATAATCCAAGATGGTCACCCTGGGTGCAGAACACATAACCAGCTGAGTCGAAGACAAAGTTGGGTTGGAGCGCGGCATAATTATTGTCCGAGCTGGTTCAACTCTTCCGTTCCGTCAAACAAGCTTGGTCAATCGCTTCGATCGCGGTCGCCGTCAGTGTTAATGGACCTAGCGCGGCAAATCAGAACAAGCCCCGTCGATGACACAGGTCATGGCCTGCGTCAATGGAAGAGGGCAAGCTTGTTGGTCGGGTGCGGCCGAGCGAGACAAGCGCGGTTCCGTCAAACAAGCTTGGTCAATCGCTTCGATCGCGGTCGCCGTCAGTGTTAATGGACCTAGCGCGGCAAATCAGAACAAGCCCCGTCGATGACACAGGTCATGGCCTGCGTCAATGGAAAAGGGCAAGTTTGTTGGTCGGGTGCGGCCGAGCGAGACAAGCGCGGCCATTTGGCAATGTGAAAGTCAGTCAGAGTGGGAAAGAGCAAGCCCCGCGTGTTAATACTATCAAAATGTGTAGCTACTTGCAAGTTGAGCAGCTACAATGTAAACTTTACAGGTCGCCGTTTGGGGCTTTGGTAATTACTGGAGAAGGAACACGTTACGCGGGTATCTCTTGATATAGGGATCGAGTTTGCCCATTGCAGTCGTGGTTATCATTCGGTGATGCCAAAGAGAGAGAACCCTGAAAGTCGACCAAGCGTTTACAGGACGATCGGCAATCGGACAGTGGAGATAGAAAGAAAACAGCTGCATCACATTCCCCGGAAGCAACGAGCTTGGACGTTTAGACTGAAAGATCCGACGGTCACCTAAGCTATACGGGAGGGGAGAGAATTATACCTCTAGGACGGTGATGCTGGTATGTTACAGACAGGGATTTTGGAACCTCAATCGAGCCAGTGCATGGTGATTGGTTATCGCACAGACTCAAGTGAGTATAGACAGCTGATTTGCCTTTCCCGGGAGGAACGAGCTTGGACATTTGGGATGAGTGCTGCAACGGACAGTAAACCTTTAAAGAGAGGGGAGAGGGTTGTTTCTCTACCACAGTAGATGTATGTCTAGAATCTTCAATGCAGTATAGATTAGGTCAAATCCTCTACTAGCTGTAAACCAGGTCAAATGACAATGTAACATTATAACAGGCTCAATTATTTAATGGTGATGGTAGGCAGAGCTGGGTCAATGTATGTGGGATATGGATTCCCCAAGCTGGCCTCTGTGGACCAATGAGGATGGGTCATTTGTTGACCACTGTGGCTCTGCATTGTTGAGGATTTGGTACTGACTGCCCTGGACCTTCTTTCCTCGATCGGCTTGTCGGAACTTGAGGGGGATCTTGATCCCGGCGGACCTCCTAGAGATGGCTTCTTGAGTCGTCCTTGCATAATCGTGGGCGGTTTTCGATCGTTGGTAGCGGTTGCGATGATGGGCCCTTCGTCGTTCCTTCTCAAACCCGCACTCGCGGATGACGTGCCCGTCACGCTTGCAGTTGTAACAGGTCTTGAGGCGGCTGGCAGGCGAGTGGTAGGGGGAATTCTCGTAAGGGGGAGTGTAGGTGATCCAGGCGTATTCTTCTCTGCCTGTGCGGGGGAGAAGGACTTAGACAAGAAGGCGACTGGGTGGCGGTTACCATTGGAGTCCATCTGTGTCAAGACTGCTCCGGAGGCGTATTTGGAGGCGTCGGATTCGATCTGGAATGGTCTGGACATGTCGGGCATCATGAGAACGGGTTCTTCACAGAAGCGTTTCTTCAGGGTGTCAAAGGCCTCTTGACATTCCTCGGTCCATTTGAATGCTTGGTTCTTCTTGAGGAGTTCGTTGAGGGGTCGAGCAATGTCGGAGTATTTCCGTATGAACTTCCTGTAGAAGTTTCCAAAGCCGAGGAAAGATCTGACTTGTTTGATGGTTTGTGGTGCGGGCCAGTCTTGGAGCCCTTTAACCTTTGCTGGGTCCATGGAGATTCGGTCTTGTTCAATGATGAACCCGAGGTAAGCAATCTTTTCCTTGGTGAATTCGCACTTCTCGGGTTTGACGTAGAGATCGTTATCGCGAAGGATCCGAAGGACTTCCTTGGTGTGTCGCTCGTGTTCTTCCTTAGTCTTGGAGAAGATGAGGATGTCGTCCATGTAGATGATGACAAAGTTCCCTTCGATCTGCAAGGAGAATATGTGGTCCATCATTGCTTGAAAGGTTGCTGGGGAGTTGCACATGCCGAAGAACATGACCGTAGGTTCGTGTAAGCCGAATTTTGTTTTGAATGCCGCTTTCCACTGGTCTCCATCGCGTATACGGATATTGTTGTAACCCTTCAAGACGTCGAGCTTGGTGAAAGTATTTGGCTCCTTTCAGTTTGTCCATGAGGTCCGTAACCAGGGGAAGGGGATAAGCATTCTTGACGGTCCATTCGTTCAGGTAGCGATAGTCTTGACATGGGCGTTTCTTTCCGTCTTTCTTGGGGACGAAGAAGAATCCGGATGCTTGTGGGGAGTCTGACGGTCGAATGTATCCTTTGGCCAGATTGTCATCGATGAATTCCTTGACGAGTTTCTCTTCTTCTGGTGTGAGCGGGTAAACCTTGAGACGACCTCGGTTCGAATCCTGGTTTCAGATCTATCCTGTGGTCCCAAGGTCGAGACTCGGGGAATCGGGAGGCCGCTTTCTCATCGAAGACAGAGAGGTATTCGTGATATTCCGGCGGTACATGTTGCCTGATGTCCTTGATTTCTTCTCGCTGGTTGTACTTGAGCTCGAAGGCCTGTGAGTGAGTGAGGGTGGTGTTGATCCAGATGTCCTCCGTTTCGTCGGAAAGTTCTCCATTGATGAATGAGATCACCAGGTCGTCAGTCAAGAGAGATCCCTCGTCATTATCCCAATGGAAGTTCCCTTCCATAAGCTTGTTGACGTAGGTTTCGAAAGGTGTTGAAGTGATCCTTGGGTATCATAGGAGAGGTGGTCGGGTACCAATCAGGTAGTGGGTCGAGGTTCTGAGGTTCAGTATCCGGGATTTCTTCGATGGTGGTCTTGAAGATCTGGGTGTAAGGCTTGGTGGGTCTGATCGGTGGTGTTGACGAAGGGTTCTGTCGCCACTCAAGGGTACCCTTCCTCCAGTCGATGATGGGGTCTGGCTTCCTCAAGCCAGGGAAAACCCATGATGACTTTCTGTTTTCCAAGGCCGGTGATGTAGAAGGTAATGGGTCGTGTGTGTCCGTGGATAGTGACGTTTATGGTGGTTGAGTATCGGATGGTTCCTTGTTTGTTCAGGGTTCCGTCTACGTTGTAGACTTTCAGAGGTGTTGGAAGGAGTTGGAGTGGAAGTTTCTTGTTTCGGGCAAAATTTTGGTCGATGAATTTTCCTCCAGCTCCAGAATCTATCATTCCTTCGGTGTCGACGATTATCTTTCCACTCTCCGTTTCGCCCTCAAGATGCATAGGAATAAATAAAGCATTTATTGTTCTTTCGGGCTACTAAGGCAGAATGAATTGATAAATAGGGAGATACTGACGTCGATGCAGGTCTCCATTCTAAAAACCCTGGTTGGTCTCGAGTTCCTTGTAAAATTCTTCAACGACTTCCTCTCCTGCTTCTTGGATTGCGGCCCTGATGTTGGTGTAGAGATCCTTGCCATTCTTTGGGCGGAAAGACCAGCTTTGACGATTGCTGGTGTTCTGGTTGCTGGTCCCTGCAGAGCGATTGTTGGTGGAGTTATTGGGGCATTCCCAGGAGCGATGTCTGTCTTTTCGGCAACGGAAGCATCCTCCTCTCTTGATCAGGTCAGCCCTTTCTTGGGGAGAGAGCTTCCCAAGACCGATTGCCCTGATGTGTTGCTCTAAAGCGGTCCCTGCAGACTGGTCTAAGCCCTTGACTTTGGAGATGATGGCGTCGATGTCCATGGCCATAGGATCTTTGGCAGGAGCGGGGCGACTGAAGTTCCATTGCCTGGTTGAGGTCGAGGTTTTGGCCGGGGCTTTGTTGGTGAGGGCAAAGTAGCGACGGTAGTTGTTGTCCTTTTCGATGGCTTTCTCAGTCCACTCCTTGAAGGTTCGAGGGGGTTTCTCGAGGTCGAAGAGCTTCTTTCGAAGCGGGTCGTTCAGACTGGCTTGAAGTAGTCTCTAGCTACAGTGTCTCCAGCGTCTGCAACTCTTTGATCTTCGGTCTTGTTGGCGTGGTCCTTGGAGAGGAGATTGGTTTTCGATAGGACAATCTTGAAGTCGGCTACATGTTCTTCAGCCGTCTTCTTTCCTTGGGTCATCGTCTTCAGGCGCTGTAAGGCGTCTTCTTGTTCATTGATCGGAGTGAATGCCTGTTTGAAGATGGCGACAAAGTCCTTCCAGGTGCCCAATTCGATATCGGAATCGGTCTCCTTGGATCGTAGCCATGCTTCTTTCCAAGCAGAGGCTTCGTCTCCTTTGAGGAACGAAAGGAGATAGGTGATTTTGCTGTCGTCATCGGTGTAGATGTGCTTGTTGACCTTCAAGTAAAGTTTCACGTCTTTGAGGAAGGCGTTGAGGTCTTCCTTTTTGCCGGTGAAAGGGGATGGCGGATTGATTCGCCTTTCGGGGATCTTCTGGTTGGTTTCGTCGCTCATTACGACGTCTCGGGTTCCGTTGTCTGGGTTGGCTGGGCTGACCATGGTGACTGGTTGTTCAAGGGTGATTGGCGTAAAGGGTTCTTCCTCTTCACGTTCTGGAATCAAGGGTCTTTCCTCTTGATGCTGTGGCTCGGTGCTGGGTTCTTCTTGGGCGTCTTGGAATTCTGCAGAAGGCTCTTCTTCAAAAGATAACTTCTGAGGGTTCTTGTTTGCTTGGTCGATGTCTTGGGTCTTCCGGGGTAGTTGGGGCAAGGTTGTTGGGCGCAGTTAAACCAGTCTTCTTCGTTGGTGTCGTAGTGTTCACAGTTAAACTGGTGTACGAAGTTGCTGCAGTCGGTGTTGTCGGTCTTGTCTTCCGAGTCTTCTTGTTCTTCTTCGGTTTCTTCTTCAGGGAGCGATTGGTTAACCGCTAGTAAAGATGGTGTTGATGGTCTGGTTGAGCTTGGGGTAAGCCCTCGGAGACGTCCTCTGGGTGTGGTTGACTGGGATCCGGGTGTTGAGGCAATTAGGGTGGCTACTGGGTCGACAAATGGCGGTGGTGTAGGGAGTCGTTCCGGGGGATCAGATGCCGAGTATGTGGGAATTCTGTGTGGTCGATGGGGTCGTCACCCGTAAGTACGAGTGACGATGTGTTGGAGCTAGTTCTTTCTGTTACGGTCAAGGGACGCGAAACTCAAGTGAGCATGCACGTCGACCGTAGAGTCGTGGTTCTGAGGCGAGTTCGAGGAGATAGGCGTCTAAGAGTGCCTCACAAGAGGTATTGTCTTAAGACGACTAGAGCGAGTTCGAGGGAAGAGTAGAAGAGGGTATGATTCACGAGAACTAGCTAAGGAACAAGAGAGGTATCTACAGAGCTTATATACCTATCTAGCTACGTGAATATGAGTCAAGAGAAGTCAGAGAAGAAGGCTGCGCGAGCACAGGTTACTGCGGAGCGCAGCAGAGATAAATTAGAGAACAATAGAGAGTGGCTGCGCCGCAGCAAGAAGGAGTCATAAAGAGTCAAAGAAGGCTGCGCCGCAGCAGTAAGAAGAATTAACTGATAAAACAGTCACGAGATAAAGAAAGAGATCATGTGAACAAGAAAGTGAGTCATGTGATAGAGAAAGGACGCGAAGAGAAAAGATAGGGGCGGAATTCGTAACAGTGATTTTCCCTCTGGCCATGTCATGAAAACCGCTGTAAACTTTCAAAAAGGGTCGTTGAACTTCAAAAATTGGGACCTCAAAGTACCTCACCTTGCGGCAACACTACTAATCACCTGTGTCGGGAGTTGCCAGTCCGTTGCTGATGGTATCAACCGGCAGGGAAGGGCAATCACACAATTCCCTAATGGTCAAAGCTCGGCGCAGGCTTGGCGAGGGGTCCCTACGACTCTGAAAAACCGATCTTTACTTACGTAAAGGCCCCAATTCATTGCACACGAGTGTCAAATTTCATAACTTCTCAAAGTACAGTATTCAAAGATACAAAAGTGGATTAAGATTCGATTATCTGAATCGCGGCTACAGACCTGCGATCAAGGAGGTTCATTTACTATCCAAATTGATGGTGCGACAGTTGACACCGAATACCAGAAACTTGAACCAACGGACGCGTCGAAGGATTGAGACGAGGATCCATGGATTTCATGAACCACCATCCAATGGGTTCTTTTGCACTGGGTTGGATATTTAGAGGCATAATTGGGATCAAACACAATCATTGTAGTTCGACTGTATTAACAATCAAAGGCTTCGAAGATAGCTTTCGATCTCTTTGGAACGAGGTCTCGACGCACACTCAAACGGCTCTGGATGTCTAAAGTGAAGGTAAGGTCGTTTCCGAGTGCACTGGCGCGAAAGAATATAACTTACGATAGCGCTCCGTCCGTAACACCGTACTTTATCGTAGGCTTTCCATTTTCATCTGTAGGTGCGACGATGTCAAACATGGCGAGTGTACAAGCGACAGTATAGAACAGTGTCTCGTCACTCATGAATCTGCCAGGACAAATCCTGTGGGGTTCTCTCAGGCCAAAGCTGCTACACAACTCTGACCATCCGACTCACCTTCGCCCGAATCCGAAAGCTGCTGCAGAGGCGTCAATCATCGAGTCATCCACTTTTCCATCTTTGATGTAGCGTTCTGGCTTGAAAGCAAAGGGATCTTCGAAGGTTTCTGGGTCGTGTAAGATCTGCCTGCAGAATCATCAACCGAGGGTCGAGCGAGTAAGGTGCAAGCAATGGTGTACCAGGCATTACCCATGACGGTTCCCTTTGGAATAAAGTACCCATCGTAAACATCATTAGCTGAGAGTCTATGTGGGAGGGCTGAGATAGCAGTGGGATGCTCAGTGAAGGAGAAGAGGGTTTGTGAAGAACGACCTCACCCATTGGTGTTGTCTGATGCGATCTACCCAGTTCCTTCACAATAGCATTAACATACACTAGGCTCTCCTTGTCACTGAATTCGGGCATTCGACCATAACCAACTACACGATCCAGTTCTTCCTGAGCTTTGCGTTGAACCTCAGGGTTTAGCGCCATGAATAACAAAAATGCCACAGCCGTTCCTCTCGTCTTAAAGATGGTCAGTTGGCGAGTAAAGCTTAAAGGCTAGTGTATCAAGGGAACCACGCACAGTGTCCGAGCCAGCTGCGGACGTTCCAGGTCATTTCCGCCCTCACGAAGAACGCGCCCAAAACTCACCTGCATGGATCATCGCAGCCACATTTCGAGCGATAGTCTCTTCTTCAGCCCTCGTGGGATCGTTCTCCTCCGGGAGAGCTTCAACCATACTGCTAACAACGCACGGCCGAGACGTCCCTGCTTTCTAACAGAAACGCAAATTCAATCGAGCCGCCAGCTTGTATTCTGGGAGGAACACCTACCATAGCCCTGGTGACATGGTCGAACTTAGGATCGTTCCTCGCCTTGTAATCAACGGCCTTGTAGTACGCCGCGAAACGTTTGAAATAAGCCCCAGGGAACCAAGTCGGAACGTATTTCAGGATCGGGAATGTATCAACAAGGAAGCTCCCAGGAAGGGCGGCCTGGGCGAATCCCAATGCAGCTTCCATCATGTCCTTGATGAAAGGGTCCTGAAGCGACTTGGTCTTCACGCCATAGGTAATCTCGACCATCATACTTGTGAATAGGCTGTCGAAGCCAATCAGTTTTGGAGGTACGTATCGGAGAAACGGGGCTATCTCACTGGTTGAAGTGGGTGTTCCACGAATCTGGGATGGCTGCTACAGCTTTCATACAGTCAAACACTTGTCTTCTGATAATTGGGTACCATTTCGATATGTCGTTGGATTCGATATGTTGGCGGAACATCTTCCGATGTCGGTTTAGTCGTGTTCCGTAAGGCATGACTGTCATGTAACCCCCCAAGTCCATTCTACGAGGAAGAAGTTCCAATTTTAGATTTAAAGCGCCAGGGCTGTGGAAGCAGAACTTTGCCAATTCGTTCACTCACAGGTCGACCAACATGGGCGGTTGGGGCCTATCAGAATATATATTCGACCGCTTCTCGAATAGATCGTGAATCCTCTTCAGAGTGGACAGAACGAGAATGGGCTGTCCGAAGACTTCAAGATAGACCATATCACCTGGCGAGGGGATCCAATACCGCGTTATCTCTGCATCCAGTTGCGACTAAAATCGACCTACATACCGTACTTCTCAGAGAGTTCCTTGTAACCAATCCAACTGCGTTTGCTTGGTACATCGAAGAGGTTTCCGATGATAGGGTATCCCTTTGGCCCAGGCGGTTTAGGCAATCTGGAGCGGTTTCGCACTCTCTTGTACGTCGCCAAGACGAGAGCGGTCGCCGCTATGCCATACAGGAATGTGGAGGGTGAGGTTAGTCCGTCCATGGTCGCGCCCACAAGACCGTAACAAGTTTGGCAAAGGACAAGTCAAGTCTGTCAAGGAAGCCTTTGGGGAAGGCCTGATGATCGTTTGCGTCGTGCAATGCTTCCCAATTGGTAGACAGGTCCCTGAGCTCGGCTTGGGTGGAGTTAACCAGTTACACCGGACGCGAGGGCAATCGCCAAATCAAATCTCCAGAATTGGAGCATTTACAGAAGGCTGAAACAGAGTCATGAGAACGTCGGAAATCGTGGTAAGTCAGAACAACGTACCATGGAGCGGAAGAGAACGTAATCGCGGTGGACGGGACGAACACATGACAATGAGGAAAAGATAAAGACCCCGTCTTCCGACCTCTTCGCTCTTGACGCTCAGATCGGTAGTGGCCAGAGACAGTTAGCAACCCACGAAATGGGGGTGAAAGTTGTACAAAGGTATTATTTACACCCAGTGGCACAGAACAAGAAAAGAAAAGCTAAAAAGACAGTGCAATTTACATGTGTGTTGAAATAGGTACTATAAAGATAACATGTTCCCTATACACAATCCCCAGTGATAACAGTTACAAGGTCGACAATCCACTCAGAGCGAGGAAGGAAAGAGCATCGAGCAAGTGTCAAAGCCAACATACACGGTACGACAACCTCTAGAAGGAAACGGCTCTATCGGTGGGTGGGTTGAGTGGAAGAGCCTGTCGCAATTTGGTTAGCTGTTGGGTGAAGCACAGTCAGGAGGGGAAACTCACAATCGAAACACATACTCAAGCATGAACTCGCTTGAGTTCACGACCCTCGCCCACATCGTCTTCAGGACGTCTCCTCTTGCTCGCAGTCGGACTGCTGCTCCCAGCAGGCGTCCACCCCGAGCTAGACCCACTCTCCCCACTCTCCCTAGTCCCAAAGTACACATCAATCGACGGCTTCTTCAGCTTCTTCAAGCTGCCATACTGCGCAATCGCCGCAACTCCCGAAGCCGGATTCGAACCCGTGTGCGCCAAGGTCGGGCTAGTAGGGTTCGAATGCACAAGACTATCGATCGACAGAACATCATTCGAGAACAGTTGCTGAATCGGGTCTGAGGATGCAGTGGATGATGGTGGCTTGGGTGGTGGTTTCTTTTTGTACTAGAGGGTAATAAGCAAGGTTTTACAAGGCGAGATGAGGAGGCGAGACTCACTGTCTGTAGTTCGGGTTTACCACGCCATTTGGCTACCGCCTCACAGAAGCGGACTGCAGCCCGCTCAACGGGCTCCGCGGGGTACTGCCATACCAAATCTTCCATATGGGTCGCCAGATCGGGCGTCGATGCTGGGATATCGTAGAACTGTAGGTGGTCAGGGTCAGTCGAGCATTCATGACGTCGAGCCTGGTGACGTACCCTCCTGAGTCGTTCATACATCTCGGCTTCGTACTCTGCCTCGGCACGACCCTTGCCCTTGCGACTCTTGCCAGATGTCGCACTCGAGCTCCTAAGGCTGGGGAACAGCACGCGAACAGCTTCGAAGAGGGTTGGATACTCGTCCGGGTGGAACTCGCTAAACTCGTCATCCTCGTCAAAGAATTCAAGCTTTCTCCGGCGCTTCTTCCATTTCCTCGCTCTCCGCTTCTTCTTCCTCTCTTCATCGTCTTCCTCAGGTGTGACGTCGTCGCCCTCTTCTGCTTCTTCTTCCTCGTCGTCCGCCTCTTCCTCGTCATCCTTGACTAGATCGTCGGGGTTCACGTTTAGCCCAAGGAGTAAGAGACACTCGGCTGCCTCCGTCCCTCTCCACCCAGCCGTCAGGTACCCCTCAAGCACAGCTCGCGTTAGCAGACCAGCGAGCAACATGTACCACTCCCTCGTCGGTTTCAGGGCATAGTCGTACATCCTCTGCTGCTCTTGAGCCAGGGGGGTCGCCTTCTCACTGCCCTCACCGGCCTCGCTAGCGCTGCTACTGCTCTCGTCCACCTCTTCACCCCTGACCTCACGCCCGAGCTCAGCGGCAACCAACGCAGACAACTTGATGAACCGCGGGATGAGCTTGCTGAGCTTCGTATTCCCCGCACCAGTGCAGAACTCTTGTGAGTCGGCTGAACCGGAAGAGGCCGGCGACGACCCCGTTGACGAAGGTGGTTTCTCGTTCCCGAGGTAGACCTTGCGACGCAGCACGCTCCCTCGAAGACCCGGCTTCAACAGCCCAGTACCCATTCCACTGCCGTCTTGCCAGCCGGTGATACCATTGGCAGTTCCACCGGCACCATACCCTCCGCCGATACTCGATAGACCACCAGCTGATGAAGAGGAAGGCACAATGAACGCTCGGCCGCTTGACCCACTCGAGGAACCCACACGCGACTTGGCCTCCACGCAGATCTCACACCCAGTCTGCAGATGCCGTGGGCATCGCGACGTATGAGGTGGAGTAGCGGCTTCCGCACCAGTCGCATAGAGAGACAGAGCACGCTGGGGAGGGGTGGGTCGAGTGACTGGCCCGCGAGGGTGTGGGGGAGATTGCGGTGGAGGAGGCTGGGCATTGTAGATTTGTGAGCCGGGGACGATGAATGGGGATGGCCCTGCGTGGTGGTATTGCGGTTGTGGTGGGTACTGCTGGGGTGAACTGAAGGATTGGTAAGGTGATCCAGTCGGGGTGTATGTCAGCAGCCCGGGGGATTGGGCGGATGGTGACCTATGGTGCTGGGGGTCGGACGAATTGTTGAAGACGCCAGAGACGCGGATGAGGGGAAGAAGGGCTTCGGGGAGGTTGTCAGGGGAAGGGGTGGGTGTCGGTTGGACATCGCGGGGAGGGGGAGTATCGGATACCGCCGTCTGCTCCGATGGAACCGAGGGATTGGTGTGTCGATAAGGAGGATGTGGTGCTTGTCTTGCGAAGAAATCGTTGATGATCGTTCCCAGTGCGAGTCTCAGGCGAACACCGTTTGGTAGGGTATGCGGATGCTTGCCGGTTCTTGTGTTCGGGGCCCCCTCGTACTTCTGCCAGTGACTGTGACTATGGTGGTGATGGTGGTGATAGTGATGCTGGTGGCTGTAATCGTCTGGGGAGGGCTGATGGGGCACTGGTGGAGGTTGTTCCAACATCGATGTGACCACCTTCTCGAGACCTTCAGCTCGCAGTCGTAGGGTGCGAGCAAGAGGTAGATCTTGCTTTCTGAGACGAACTTCCTCTGAGCGATCGTTCGATCCGATACCACGGGCTCTGAGAACGGATGCGTCCTCGCCTTCGCTGCCCACTTCGTCTTCCTCTTCGTAGTTCTCTGGACGAGTGCGATGGGCGTAGTTAGACGATGATGGACCGCCGGTTCGATCGGTCATGCCTAGCTCGGCACGAGCTTGAGCGAATCGGGTCCTTCCTGCACGGGGAGGTTAATCTCGCTTGCAAGGCCCCTAATGTGCTGATGGTACATACCATGAACCCATAACATATGGTCGACAATGAGAGTTCTTGTACTCTTCTCCCTCGGCGGGATCGAATGCAGATGGTGCGCATGCTTGTGTGCAGGAGCACGGAATGCAGGGGTCTTCTGGCTGGTCGAAGCGACGGTCAGAGCTGACGATCCAGTCTTGTTCGTGGTGGTAGCGGTGGTCCCCGATGTCACGGTACTCGTCGAGGTCGTCGAGATCGTTGACCCATGGACGTTGGGCCCTCCCTGATACGACTGGGTCGTCGTTGTCCGATAATAGCCGCCTCCGGAACCCGACACATTGCTCGGGTATGAGATATAGGATGCTGGGGTCGCATTCCTCTGGTCGAACCCGCTGTTCTGGTTCGTCCTGGCTTGATAGTAGCTAGTATTCACATTCGACGTCGTCCTTGTCGTTGAAGTCGCTCCTGGATTGGTATTCAGAAGCATATACGGGGCCTGCGCCGCCATACACCGGGATCACCCTCGACCTTGATGTTTTGTCGCTCCCTGCACTGGTTGTGGGCGACTTTTCACACTGTCGGGGTCGATTTTTAGCCTGTGCGGTCGTCAAACGATGGTTTACGAACCTTGAGATCCAGAAATGTGAGGTTTTAGATAGAAATTCAGGTCCAACCCTGCAGCCGCTGGAAATCAAATGCGGGGAAGGTCCCAAAAAAGGCAACCACCACCCGGCTTTCCCCTTGCCGCCAGCCAATCAGAAAGCGTGAGAACGTCCTCGAGGGCATCTCGGCAAGGCACCTGAGAACTCTTGTCGCCGAAATGCAGCGGAAGCTGAGAGGAAGCTGGATTTGTGCTTTGAAAACTTGGAAGAACAAAGTGGGTCACCTGGGTGGTGCGCTTTACCACGACTCGATACGGTCTATTAAATTTAAGATCAGTAGTGACGTCCGTTGTCCTGAATGTCAACCCTATTTTCAAGGATCGTCGCATCAAGGGACCCGCGCCAATGATCCTTCACGGAGAGCAGAGTGCACGTTCCGTTGCTTTGAGGCCCTGGAGTTGAAGTGGGTCGGTCACGGACAGAGCTTCGGTAGATTACCTTTCATGATGACATTTCTTCACGAGACACAGTATCTCGTGAGAGTCAAGCGTCATAAAGGACATCATGAGGTTGGTGGTTCGGAGAAAGTTACAAAGACGTAGGCACTGGGCTCGGTGAGATGTCGTTCTGTAATAATATCTGATTAGACAACTCATCGTGGGCAGGTTATCAAGATGACAACACTCGACCGAACAGCCCAGCACATTTTGGGCGCCTGGGCCGGATTGCCTTGCCTTGTTAAAACAACCCCGAGCCTCCGTAGCTAACAGGGATCGCCCAATGCATGCTCGCTGTGGTCGGCTACTGAATACCCCGCGGTGAGCTCAAGCACAAGCCTGCCAATACTGCCACCACGGCCGACAAATGACGGGTGAACTCGAAGGATCCGATGATCAGATTTTTCAGGTTACATACTGATAACGCTCTGAGAAATTGAATGGCTCCGTCCGAATTCCGACGAGGTGAGCTTCTTTCAGTTTTGAGGGTCTCGAGAAACTCTTAGCCAGTTCTTAGCTTCGTCTGAATTGCGTAGAAGCCAATGAAAAATGCCGTCATTGTCATTGGAAGGTCTTAGGCTCGGGCCTTTGCCTGTCCTCGGAGTCATCAATGCTGGTACTCTGCAGATTGGAAGCAGCGGTGGAGCGGCGGTAAGCGCTTGCTATTCGCGAGTCTTCGGCTCAATTTCTGAGGAAGCACTAACCACGATTGGCTTTAGTCTGGTGATTCAACAAATGGATCGTCCTCGAATGACGCCCGAGAGAGGACGATGTCCCCAGGCACGCGAAGTTCCCCTTTGCCTGGGGATACGTGTGTACCAATGGAATCTGATGCACCACAAGGGAACCTTTCGTGATTCTGGGGATATTGTGACCGTCGGAGCACGTTCATAAATCTCCGCTACGGGGAACGTCGACCTATGACTCGTCTGTTCACCTTCTCTCTTCTCCCTCAACGCGTGCAGTCGTAGAAGTAGGCGATCATGGACCATCTCTCGAAATTTGACCTATCCGACATCTCCACCCCGACGCTTGCATGTGGAGCAGCATCTCTCGCTCTCCTTCTGGCGTACGCCAAATCGCGAAGGTCGTCGAGACCACCCAAACCTCCAGGGCCCAAGGGATACCCTATCATTGGTAACCTATTCGACATCCCGCAGAGACGCGTTTGGGAGGGATACAAGGAACTATCAGAGAAATATGGTGAGTAGTTAGTCCCCCTCGCGACACACTGATACTCAATGCGCTATTCGTCGAAAGGTGACATGGTATACGTCGAGGCGTTCGGACAATCCATATTGGTCGTCTCCTCTCTGAAAAGAGTGAAGGACCTGTTCGATAAACGGCAAAACATCTACTCCGATCGACCTTGTACGCCCATGCTCGTCGATCTGTAAGTCGTGCTCGAATATCCAAGGCTTAAGGTCCTGACCATCTCATCCTCTTCTAGGATGGACTTTGGCCATTACATGAGCGTAATGCCATACGACAATTGGTACAAACGTCACAGGAAGGTCTTCCGACAACAAGCCGAACACAACGTTGCCGCCTGGCATCCCGTCATCAAGTCCCAAGCAATTGATTTCCTCAAAAGCGTGCTGGCCACACCCGAGAACTGGAGTGTCCATGTTAAGCAGTACGTCCTAACCCAAACTCGTCGACCTGATCCCTTCCTCAAACAACCTCCAACCCGATTAATCCAGGTTGTTCAGCGCTACCGTCGTTGAAATCACATATGGCGTCAAGACATCATCGCCCGAGGACCCATTCACGAAGGACATGAACCAAGTCGCCGACGGATTCGGGGAAGCTGCTCTCCCAGGGAGGTTTCTAGTCGACGTCTTCCCGTTCCTCAAATACGTCCCGAGTTGGCTGCCAGGTGCTGGATTCAAGAGGTTTGCTGAATACTATAAAGATCTGGACCATAGGGCGAGGAATAAGCCTTTTGACCACGTCCTCAAAGCCATGGTATGTGCTTGTAGGATGTATTCTTCATTGAACGCGTTATCATTTGTTCATGGGATGGCGCGTTAGAAAGCAGGAACTTCACCTCCTTGTATGGTCTCCAACATGGTCTCAGTCCTCCCAGAAGAGGGTAGCCCAGCGAGGTCAGAAGAGGAGCAGATTGCTCGCAACGTAGCTTCCATCACACATGCAGGTGAGAACGCAATGTCTCCCGAGTAGGGTCATCGCTGAAACGACCTTCCCTCTCAGCTGGAGCAGAAACTGTGCGTCAATCTCATCAGCCAATGGATCCTTGCCTAATTGCATTTCCTATTCACAGTCTATGGGAACCGCAACAGCCTTCTACGTCTTCATGGCACTAAACCCCGAGGTGCAACGGAGAGCACAGGAGGAACTCGACAGGGTCGTAGGCCCTGTGCGACTCCCAGAGATTAACGATAGGGAAGGCTTGGTGTACATAACCGCCATCCTGAAGGAAGTTCTCAGAATGCATCAAACGACTCCGATGGGTATGTTCCACTCTGCATCTACCATAGCTATTTGAATCTAACTTGACGGTGAATTAGCCCTCCCGCACTCCGCTGCGACCGACGATATCTACGATGGCTATTTCATCCCTAAGGGAACTGTGGTACTGGGCAATGCATGGTACGCTTTTGTTTTCATCACCGATCCCTACTATTCTTAAATGCTATGTATATTACAGGCAAATCCTGCATGACCCCGAAGTCTTCGACGAACCATTCGCATTTAAACCAGAAAGGTACATCAAGGATGGCAAGATTGACCACACAGTCGTCGATGCAACCGCCGCTGCGTTCGGATATGGCCGAAGGTGTGTATCTTGAATGTGCTTCCAGAAACCATCTCCCTTTCGTGAAGAATGGGGCTGACACGGTCCCGCGACTCTAGGATCTGCCCGGGTCGCCACATGGCAATGGACACCTTGTTCTATACCATTGCGTGCACACTAGCCATGTTCGACATCGCCGCGCCCAAAGACGAGAACGGCGAACCCACCATCCGATACGAGACTACCGATGGTGCATTGTCGTAAGTAGTCGAGGTTTACGTCGCCTTGAGGAGCACTGAATGACGGTTCTCTCTCTTTAGACACCCCGTACCTGTTCAATGCTTCTTGACTCCCCGATCTCCCGAGCATGCGAGATACATTCGAAGTCTATGAAGAGTTGCAAGAGTATCATACAAAGTCCATACACGCAGCTCATTCTGCTAAATGAATGGCAGTCGATCCGATCGCCGTACATTAGATGTCTCGCCCACTAAGGAACGAGAGATGAGGATGATTATCGAAAATGTCCGTGAATCCCTCGTCCCAATGTCGCGAGAAATCTATCCGCGACAGCCTCAGACTGTCCTCGCCTACAACTTCTACGTCAATTGTAACACCACGAGACTCCAAAGGTTTTATCTTCTCCAAAATTTGGCTTGGGTCGACAGCCGGAGAGTAATTTCCATCCAGCCTGATAATTAACTGCTTGAGGTAGGTAAACTCGTTTTCGTCTGCGCCGGATGGAGGTGGTAATCGGGAGGAAATCATTTCTACCAACGCGTTGAAAGGGAATTCATCGACTGAGGCATTCGGCCAACGTTCCCTGGCAATGCCCGACGTTTCAAGGTAAAGCTGTAGAGTCTGAAGGTTGCTGAGCAGTGAGTTGTCCTTGGACAAGGTGAATAACTGGAAGAGATCCCCTGGAGCCTCGTAGATACTGACGCTTAAGGAAAGCTCGGAAAGCTGAGGACACATCTCCAGACACCGCGCCACCTTGTTCAACTTGGCATATATCCCCACATCGCACAAAACCAACCTCTTCAAATGGCTGAACAATGGGGCGTTCTCCACGTCCCACACGTTTGACGGGTCCGCGTCTGTCCATAATCGTAGAGTGGTCAAGCGGGGTAGGGCCAAACGCCAGGGCACACTGAAGGGGGATTCGCTGAAGAAAGTCAATTCCTTCACAGGTGACTCCACCATGCCATCCGGTGGAACGAAAGGAGGTATTCCCGTGGCAAGGTCGGGGGCCCTTGACAGCCAGAATAGCCCCCGTTCGAGAGACTTGCATATCTTGAGCACTGTAACGCAGGTCGTCTGGGGTATCCGTGGACCGACGTATAGGTGCGTCAGGTTGGCCCAAGGGAGTTGAGCGGGGACGCACATCGACTGAAGGATCGCGTGTGTTAGGGATGGAAGATTGGGAGTATTGTATGCGGATAGTTCGCGACGAGGGGGAGGATCGTTACGAAGTTCAAAAATCGCGAAGCGGACCGAAGGAAAGGTGAAGGAATCGAGATTGGGTATGAGGGCATGTGTCGAAATTCGAAGGCGACGCAGATTCGGTGTGGTTCGATGGCCCATGATCTCGTTCTGGGAGACGTCGAGGCTGGGGTCTGGTTTGGCCTTTCCTGGAGGCGGACCGATGGAAAGATCCAAAGACCATGCATGGCCGCCCATTTTCTCCATCGCAGATAGGGCGCTGGCAAGTCTATGTGCTTCTACCTCAAAGTGGGTAGGCTGCTTTCTTGTATTCGAATTCGCATTAATCACAATCCGGGTCCAGAGTGAGGGGGTACCAATCGCAATTTGACGCCACAGCCTGCTGACCGCACACAGGAGCAGGGTCGCATTGGCAAAGGTGAACGTTTTCTTGCACCGGAACTTCAGCACCCTGCCAGTTGAGGAGAAGACGAAATGTTCGAAGACTTGCGCCCATAATTCGGCAGGCAATAGTCGTAAGTTGGATAGAATGCCCCGGCACGCTTGTATCCGCTCTTCCAGAAGGTCGAGCTCCGCTTGGGTCTCCTTGCGTATGAACCAATCCCTAGGAAGTTGGAGACAGGCTAGTTGTTCCAAAAGAGATGCGCGACGCGTTTGGTATTCCGATATCACCAAGGATACACGATCGTAGCTGGAGCCATCCACTTCCCCTCCGGTAGACGATGCAGCTTCTACCAGATCAGGAGGCAAATCGAGCTAACATGGAACGACTGGGTTAGCAGGTGGCTTAACCCCACAGTCAGAGGCGACTTCACCTCTGTTGTCCTGGACATCGATCGGGACAGGGACAACGCATGCGCAACAGCGACGCCTCTCGACTCTAGGCTAAGTAGTTCGGCACAACGGGAGGATGATATCATCTGATCCATCAGTCATTTCGGACCATTTCGGTCCGCCATCAAGTTTCAACGCGCGCTTAATAACGCTGAACGCTGGCGTCAGTGTTGAACGTTGAAGAATTCTAAAGGGTGAGTTATGTGCTCTATAAGTAAACTCTTTGAAACCGCTGTAAGGCAAAGGAGCTCATAAACTCTGGATAATTAAGAATCCCTGCCTACTTTACATCCAACTCCTAATCACTGAGAAATGACAAAAACGGATGTTCGTTTACAAAGTCCATGAATCCCTCGTCCCAATGAAGGGAGAAATCCAAACTGGGTGATCTCAGATACTCTTTACTGACAACCCTCACATCGATATTCACGTTCGGGCACCCCAAGTCTTTCAGTTTCTCCAACGTCCGATCCGGAACCACAGCTTGCTCCCCTGGATCTCCCTCCAACCTAATGGCTACTTGTTCGAGATACCGGACGATGGGCCCATCCGATTCCTCGAGTGTTCCAGAGGGCGGAGGCAGCCTGGAAGATATCATCTCCACCAAATCGTCAAAGGGAGAGGAGCGTGCCGCCGTTTGGTTGGGACTCGGAGGAGCGCCCATCGGTTGAAAGTGAATCTGCAACGCCCGAAGGTACTTCAGCAACGGCTCCTGTCCAGAGAAACTGAGCGCCCTGAAGACCTCGCCAATATCCTCTCCTTCCCTTGGAATAACATTCAGAGCTAGCTCCGAAAGGAGGGGACACATCCTCAAACAGTCAACGATTTCAAAGCAGTGCATATAACCATGCACATTGACGAGGTTCAATCGCCTCAAGGAGCTGAAAAGGCAGGTGTTGTAGGCGTGCCAAAATGGATGCACACCATGTGGCCTCGCCCACATTCGGAGAGTCGTGAGGTTGGGGAGCGCCAACACGGCAGATACACCCGAGTAATCAAACGGCGAGTCTTCGATGAAAGATAAATCCTTGACTGGCGATTCGACGACTCGGTCCTGTATTAACTTGAGAGGCTCAACTCGGGTGTACCCATCTTCATCGATGATCCAAAAAATGCCTCGTTCGAGACGCCTGCACCCCTGGAGTAGGGCAACGCAAGTGACGACATATAGTTGCTGTCCTATGTATAGGTGGGTCAGGCTATCCCATGGGAGAGAAGGGGGAAGGCTGCCCGATTGGAGGATGAGGTGCGTTAGGGCTGGAAGGCCCGGGACGATGTATGTCGCTGGATCACGATGATAGACCGGCGTACTGTCTTTCAGCTCGATGGTGACAAAGCGAACTGAAGGAAAGGTCAAGGAACCGACGTTGGATATGAGGGAGTGGGTCGACATTCGAAATCGACGCATATGCGATGTGGAGGGGTGTGACATGATCTTGTCGTACAAGGACAAGTCAAGCCGGGGAGATGTCGCGATGGCTGAAGTGGGGGAGATGGTGAGATCCAAAGACCAAGGTCGCGTTCCGATGTTCTCCAACGCGAAAAGGGCATTACAAAGTTGCCCTGCCTTGACTTCGCAATGACATGAAGTAGGATTGCTCGGGTGGGAGGCTTCCGCGTCAACTGTGATGTTGGTCCAAATTGTAGGAGTGCTTAGAGCAATTCGACGCCATAACTTGTTAACAGCGCAGAGAACTAAGGCGGGGTTGGAAACCTGCTTGTCTCTTGCCGATTCCACGCTTTCGCTCGAAGAGTTGAAGAGACGAAATGGTGGAATATGTGCGCCCAAAGCTCTGCAGGAACTCGTCGCATACTGGACAGGAGGCCTCGGCATGCTCTGATCCTCTCTTCCATAATGCGAGCCTCGATTTGAAGCTGTATTCCTGTGGATAGGTCGTCAGGAGAGGAGACCCACTCAGAAGGTCTGGCGTATTGTGATTGGTATTCCAGGATCAACGATGTTAGACGCTGGAGGGTTGCAGGATCAGGTTCCCCTCCATCAGATGATGCGAATGGGGCAACATCAGGAGGTAAACCGAGCTGGGATCATCATTTTAGTGGAGAACCAAGGCATCCATCGGAAAGATTACTCACCTCTAGCCTGAGCATGGGTGGCAAGAAAGGATGAATGAAATGCTGAAAACCTGCACGATTATCTGATGTGATTGCGCTGACCACCACATTTGGAACCACAATCGAACTCCGAGCTGGACGCCAAATTCCGTGAAGAGAGTTAAAGCGGAACGCTCCAGATGTCATTGCATTGAACGGGAGTGCATACATCTCATGGGGTTTCATTTGGATGTGCTACGAGTTTGATGCCCGATACCCCCTTCTCCAACCGCTTTAGACCGTCTGGAACACCTGCTAACCCTCCTGGTAGCACCTCTGCTTTGAGTGGCTGCGAGAACAGGGTGTCATACATCAGCGACACTCCCATCGTAGCAAGGGCAAAGGTGCCTACCTGGATAGTGCCGTCGCTGAGTAAAGCAGAAGCGTTTGCCCATAGTGTGGGTAGATAAGGGGCATTGGCAGGATACGTTCGCATACTAAACACCCTTGAGACTGTTTTGCCCGACGTGTCTGCATTCAGCCCTGCGGTGTAGACGAAATTTCCCTCAGGCGGTAGAAGCTCGAGCAGGGCTTTCTGGATCTCGTCGCCACCAACAGCATCATAGATCGCTCGAACAGGTACTTTGGAGATCTTCCTAATTTCTTCAATGATGGTTTCGGGGGAGGCGTGGCGGTCAATAACGTGCGTCGCACCAAGGCTGGTCAAGTGTTGGTTGTGCTTGGACGAGGCAATCGTGATGATGGGGTTGAATCCGGATGCCTTGGCAAACTGGATAACTACAAGTAGCTCATATAATCAGAGCATGCCGGAAGTTGGCGATGTACAACCGTACTTACCCAGTTGACCAACAGAACTTGATCCTCCGTTGATTACAAGCGGCGTGTCGACATAGGCGCCTTTGCCTCCAGGGTTGAAGAGAGGCGTCAGGCCGAGGCCTATCGGGTGGATATTGTAGAGACCGAGATACGCAGTGGTGAGAGCAGTTGGGAGAGTTGCAGCGTCATCGTATGAGAAACCGTCAGGGATCTATGTCAGAGCGCGTCAATATGCATCGAACTCCCATCATGTAGGAATATTCACCTTGGCTAGAAGGTTCGGATCAGCCTTAGCCAGCTGTTGGAACCCATTGTGATCATTCTCAAACCCGCCATGCGTGAATCTGTTAAGCGCTCAGAAAAGAGCAGCGGGAGATAGGGAAACCAGGACATACACACGATCTCCCTTCTGGAGATTCGTCACACCTTCGCCAATCTCCTCGATGTCACCGGCAATGTCCAGGCCCAGGATGGCGGGAAACTCGTTTGCGTATATTCCAAAGCGTTGTATCTTCCAGTCGACAGGATTCAGGCCAACGGATTTGACTCGAATGAGAACCTCGCCGGGTCCTGGGGTAGGGATCTTGGTATCGCCAAGTACGAATTCTCCAAACTTCTCTGGAAGTAGTACCGCTTTCTGCGTGGTCATAGTTCGTTCGATGTGGGTTGTAGGACGGGGATTGCTGGGCGTTGGGGTTACTTATACCAATCCAGATAAGAAGGTTGCTGAGCAAGTCGTCGACTAGCGGGTTGAGGTCAGAAGCGTTGGTGGCTGACCGATTCTCTTCGTAATCTCGAACTTACCTCGGCCAATCCCACATTAAATACGTATGTCAACCATGACTATCGCGAATCCATCCTCCTGTCTGTGAATAGATTTTTGAAAGTATGACGCAAGTACTGTTCAAGCGATGTGCCCGTGTTCAGCGCACGATAGGATTATTCAGACACAGTCAGGCTACGCACCATACTATACATAGCGGAGCTTGTTGCCTTTGGAGTGTGAAATGAAATAAGGTGCCACTCGAGGCCGCGTATACACGGACGGCAGTCCTTCAATGAATGCCTGAAGCTCGAGAAAGGAAGTCGCCCCCTCCTTCCTGGGATTTCTTGCGAGAAAGAAATGGGGTACTTGTGGGTGCCACCTTGAATCGGTGACAGTGGGATACCATGGCGATGAATCGGAGGGGACACCACGGCAGATTTCAGCTGCGTTCTGTGGATGAAGAAGTAAAACAAGACAACAGACTGGGGTATGTACAATGTCAAGTCGAGGAGCTGGTGCGCAAGCGAGGAATGCCAAGTCGTGACGACTCGACGCTGACGAGAAAACATTTGATCGGAGGCTCGGATGCAATACAGGCTGTCCAGCGAGTCTCGCCCTCTTGGCTGATTTATCTCTTCCCAACTTGAACTTGCCCTTACCTGCATGTCTTCCGGATTTGAAGTTACCAACAGCCTCTGCGACACAGGGCCTTCGTGACGAGAGCGCCCAACCGAGACCATCACAAAGCAACCATCCATCATGGATACTCCTTACCATCCCTTCTTCGGACAATGCCAGATCTTGGACAAAAGAGGGTGCAATTTCCGGCGTTGGAGATGTACATAAATGCTCCAACCCATGATGTGCTGTTGTTCCTTCACCCCACCTCCCTCCTTCCACGTTCCTCGAGCAGCGCTCGTTTTCTGAACTGTTTACAGTTCACTCTCCCTCCGCCCTCGTAGACCTAGCGTCTCAACTCAAATCGGCTGTCTGGACCGCACAGCAAATCTTGAAGACTTACGATCTCGACGACCATGGTCAACTTTACGATCCTTGCTGGAGGCTTCACTAGCTTCATTGCTACCTATGTTTTCGACACCGATTCCGGAGCGCTCTCTTTGACGAAACAGAACCCAACGGGTGACAGCGTATCATGGATCGCCTCTCATTCCCAAGACCCAAGCATCTTATAGTGAGTGCAAAGCGACGTGTGCTCATTTTAATCCTTTAACGGGGTATTTCAGTGCTGTCAATGAGATTGGGCCCGTCGGAAACCTTCAATCGTTCCTAGTGGATAGCCAGGGCGGATTGACTCTTGTCGACACCGTGGCCACAGGTGGCAACGGCCCTACATTCACGAACCCTCTGACCACAGGAGAAGTGTCAGCCATGAATGTACGTTTCTTTCAGCCTTCCGATTCTTTCCCATACTGACTGCATGACTTAGTTCGGCTCCCCCAACGCTGCTTTCATTGCCACAGACCCGCTAGATCCCACCCGCTTCATCCAAGACAATCTAGCGTCTACTGTCGTCGAATTCCCTGTCAACGGAGGCCCTTCCAACCCCCACCAGTCTGTTGAACACAACGGTGAAATATTCGTCCCTGACCTCGGAGCTGACAAGATCTGGCGAGTGGCGAAGGATGGCGAAACCTTCAGAGTACAAGGGCAGATTGATGTTGAACCCGGGAATGGACCAAGGCACATTGCGATCCGAGGTACGATTATCCCCGCTACCACACTGTTACTTGATTCTGATCGGTACCCAGACAATTTGTTGTTCACCCTCAACGAGAAGACATCGACACTCACCGTACAGCCTATTCCAGAGGCTCCCAACGGCACCACACTCCCACTCATCGCCAATGTCTCTATCGTCCCCACCCTCGAGCCCGGCTTCAACGGTTCCTTCTTCGCTGCTGAAATCGTCATTTCAGAACCGACAGAGGCCTTCCCCGATCCCCTCATCTATGTCAGCAACCGCAATCTCGGTCCTGATATCGACGAACGAGGCGACACCATTGCCATCTTCGAGTTCAAGTTCCCGTCCAACGGTAGCGACGAAACAGCACCCTCGCCATCCTCGAGCGGCTCTCCAACTAGCAGCGTCCTGACTGGACCTGTTGTCGCCACCCTTCGACCCGCTCCTGTCGCGAAACGAATGATCAAGCATCATGCTCGCCAACGCACCGCCCATGAACAGATTCGCAGGCAATATGGCTATGGTGGTTACGATTATGGTACCAACGCTCCTTCATCAGACTCTTCACCAAGCCCTGCTGGGGTGACCATGGCTGGAACTACGATCACTCTGGTTGCAGCCCTCCCATCCGCAACTCCCGTTGCCGAAACAACCGCTGAAGTGCCTGCCGAAGGTTCCCTTACGCTCGTTAATCAGATTTTCACAGGCCTCCAACAGATCCGTAGCTTTGCTATTGGAAAGGCTGCCGACGGTGGTGACGAGTTCTTGATTGCAGGAGCCAACACTGAAGGAGGTGTCGCTGTTTTCCGACGGACAGAGGGTGGTCGTAACCTTGAGCTTGTCGCGCGCAACACCGAACTTCAGAGCAGAACCAGCTTCGTTTTCTTGTAGTTTGGGGGCTTTGTTATCTATTGGTTAGACAACTTTGGAATTCACTTTCCTGAACAGGAGTTTCATAAATCACACCGCGTTCGGCGCATCTGGTTGGAGTTTATCGAGCAGGTTCTTTCCCCCTTTCGACTTGAAAGATTCCATACCTCCTCTAACTGGACGCTTCTTATTGGCTCGGATATGATTCTTTCTAGTCATGAGGTGCTGATCTTTAGTTAATTGTGAGAAAAGGGATGGCAAGGAAGGACCCAAACGTTTGCCTCGAGGATGTGGATTTACGTGAAGACCTCAGGCTTTTGAATGGACTCCTGAACTCTTTTATCTTTCTTCCCTCCCTTTCCCGCTCACACTTATCTACCAGTGCTTCAGTGCAGTCCAATCCTTGCTACGACCCCTAGCCCGAGAGCCACGAATTCAATAACCAAACGGAGATACGGCTCCACACTTTTCCCGTGTCGTCATTGAGACCAGCCTTTGCCGCCGGCCTGCGCTCTAAACCAAAATCTTGCGCCCCCAACCCACTCTCCTTTCCTCCGTGGCACATGGACACCTACTACTTTCCTGACGTGTCGACTCTTCAGAATCCTCCTAACAAGGCCGACCTAAAATGGCTCAACGTTGCTATCAGCCTCTCCTTCATCCTCTTCGACATTGGCATCTCGACGGTCTTCCGACTAGGACTCAGTGCTTCGCTCTTAATTGCCTCTCTACGATGTATAGGCCAACTTGCGGTCGTCGCAAAGCTTTTGCAGACAGTGTTCGAGACTGAGAACCCTTGGTTGGTTGCTCTTATCTCATGTGAGTGCTTCTTTCGTCACAATGGACCGCGACTGAACCTCGGCCTCGGTGGGCTTCCGTAACAGTCGTGCTCAACTTCCTTGGGACTTTCGAAACAGGTGGGTCAGAGAGCCTTCGGGAACGAGGAAATGGTTGAATGTATGATGAACAGTGGTCAACAAATCACCACGAAGGTTTTGCTACATGGTATGTCTCACCTCAGCATTCATTAAGTTCTGGTCTGACAATCCACGTTTTAATTACAGTTCCCGGCGGTCCTGGTTGCGATGCTAGGCTCAACGATACCCATATCCATCATTGGAACGCGATTTGCCATGTCAGTCCAGCCGTTTTGGACACCGATTCAATACAGTTCGTATATCCCGACGTCTCTTGTCGTTTTCCAGGCCTGACACCAAGCCCACAGTACCCATCGTTGGAATGCTATGCGGTTCCACGATTTCCGGAATCGTAGTGGCCACCAGCTACGTCCTCAAAGAGCTCATGTGCGTAGTTCATACTCGTCCAAACAGCAGAAACCTATCCTCTTTGCAGGGAAAACCGTGATAAAGTTGAGATCTACCTCGCCTTCGGTGCCACGAGAACAGAAGCATGTCAACCCATCGTGGTCGAAGCACTCCGACTAGCTCTCACCCATCCAATAAACAACATGAGGTACGTGCTGATGCACTCCCCTTCCCCTCGCTTCCCCGTCCAAAAGGCTGACTGGAAGCAAACCAAAAGCGTCCTCGGCATCATCGCGATCCCCGGCATGATGACAGGTGCCATCCTAGGAGGAGCCGATGTGCAGCAAGCCGCCAAACTCCAGATGATCATCGTCTTCATGATCACAGCGAGCACTTCTCTAGCCGCCATTCTAACGACCTTCGCCGCCATCCTTGTCGTCGTCGATACGGAACACCGGATACGAGGGGACAGGGTTTCCATCCGGAGCGGAATGCAGCTTTGGCCGAAGAGTTTCGGTTTGAAGACTGTGTTCTTGTGGGTTCTGGGAGGTGTTAGGTTGTTCATGAGTAGACTGAGTGGGAATGGAGGGGATGAAGGGGAACTGAGAGGTCTGCTTGATTAATCTCGATGCTATACTCTAACCAAAGGTTCTAATCGCACACTATACTTGAGACGCTATGCTATCCTATTATATCTTCACAGGGAATTAGTCGATATGGTACAACATGGAAACGTTGAACTCACAGGTTCTACCAAACGCGGCTGAAATCCACCTTCAAAGTGGTACGTCGTTTCATGATATCCTCCAGCACATCGTCCTCGACATTGCCGCGAAGCCTCAACATCTTCCACTGCGACCCCATCGCAATCCGCATTGCATGCAAGTCAGTCGTGTTCCCTTGATCATACAGCGAAAGCGAAACACTGGAAATCCCCGTGAACCGAGTGGTTGTGAACAGCGGGTCGAGGGAGACAGACGACCCAAGCGACAGCGACTTGAGCCTCGGATACGAAACCTTCGAAGAAGGGGGAGAACTTGGCGCTCCCTGCATTTGTGCATCTGGATCGACTTTAGGTTCGGTATCGCAAATCGCCGCTCTCCGAGGGTCCCGCATCGTCTCGACGACATTTCGAATCTCCAACGAGGCCAGGATATCACAATCTTCCAAGATGCCCAGGACTTCGGTTAAGGCAACGTTGCACTCGGTGATGGAGAGGCTGGTCAGGAAGTGCGGTTTGATGACCCTCATCACGCTGGGAAGGAGGACTGGGGGGCCCTCCCAAGACGTGCTGTAGATCTCTACACCGGGGTCCCTCTTCGGCTTCGGGCTCCCCTTCCATCGTTGGCTACCCTCTCCATCTTCCACCAACCTGGCTTTCGCCTTCATCTGCGCGACATACCGCGGATTTGGGCTGAGACCATACTCGATTCGGTGGAAGAGGGCATCCGACGTCGATTCTGCCTCGATCTCGTACTCAATCTCCAATTTGACGGGCTTCGGAGGAGTAGCGTCGAGGAAAGAGGCCAAGTTGACTTCCTGTCGAGCCCACACCGGTGATATGGGCGAACCGAGCGGAGAGTCGACATCCATCGAGTCGGTCATGTCAGAAAAGGTCGGCGAATCGGTCACCTCTCCGCTTCGAGTACGCTTCAGTTGGGATGGCACTCAGACACCCTTAGTACTTACCTTGGATCGTAGTAGCCATACTTTTTCCCTGACCTTTGTGATACCCTCCTAAGCTGTCTGTTACGTGCGCTTCAGCTAAACTTCACGGATAGAAAAAGCTGTCATACCTGGGATCATAGTAAACATCCCGAGGTCCACCTCTTCGCGTCTCCCCCTTCACGAAGAGGCGTCGAAGCATCATTCCCATCGACCATGCGAGCCTTAAAAGGAATTCGTCGATCTTGGCAATAATTCTGTATGTGAGAGTGAATGGGTAGCAAATGATCGCATAGACAAAGGCGAAGAGATGGTAGACGAGGGCGCCCAGCGCGCTAAGAACCCCGGAACTAAAACGCAACGGATGTTTGACCGACGCGCTGGCGGGGCTGGCATTGATTACACGGATTGTCGATGTTGAAGGAGTCCAAGGCGGTTGCTGCCAGGTGTTATATATCCGCGGCGGACGATGGCGGGGTTGCACAACTGAAGAGCTTGTGGAAGGCGAGTCCTCAGAGTCTTCTGAGTCTCCCAAGCTGATGTCGTACCGTGGTGGAGGTAGCGTTGGCTGCGGTGATCTCTCAAAGGCCGGGGTCGACTCGGGAGCAGGCGGGGTAGATTCCGTAATGTTGCTGGTACGAGAGTTGAGCGAGGCAAGGATCTGTCTGACTTCCGCTTCGTCCGCTGCAGGTGAAACGTCGCCCGTCCTCTTCTTGGAGCCGCGTCGCCTTTTGATCATCGCAAGGATGTGTATGCTACCGTACCGTTCCAGTGAGTAAAGGTGCTTCATCGAGAATGCGAGATGCCTAACCTTCAGCGGTTGATATTGAAAAGGTTGGACGAAGGGGGGAATGGAAACCAATATTCTCCAGAGTCCATTGCTATTTCAATAGCGTGCTCAAGCTTGGGCCCGTGTTCTTGTTGTGAGTTTCAGTCATAGTCGCGTGGGCGATAACAATGCGAAACGCGAAACCCCAGAATGGGGTTAGGTGCCCATGCGCCCGCGGGTTGTCACACCGACTCGGAGACCAAGCGCCTCGGTCGCTCCTCCAGGTCTCAGTACTCAGTCCTCAGAGCAATGGCAGAGAATGTGGCATATAAACAGAGGAGAGATTTATTGTGCAACCGATATATGCACTCCGATTCTCATTATATCTGTTCAGCGAAGCATATCGCAAAACCCAGTTTTGTCGTGATGCTTGTTAGTCAATGTCCATGTCATCGATCGCCTCCGTCTTGACGCGTTTATGAGTTTTCTGTGGTTCAATTTCCGTCAATCGTGTCCATCAGACACGAGGATGGATGTCATGCGACTTACCTTCAAGTTCAGATTCCTTTCCCCGTCAGTGTCCATTTCAACCTCGATGATGGCCTCGTTATACGTTCTTTTCTTCGGATTCAGAGTCCCGGATTTCAAGTTATGTTCTCCAACGGAGGAAAGGCTGATAACTCGTGTAACCTCCTCGTTGGACTCCCTTTCAGCCTCTCCACTATATCGTATCTTCTTTGGACTTGAATGCACAGCGTCGCATTTTGCAATGTCGGAGGGATCGCTGAGTGGCGCGCCTCCTTCCTTCGAGTCTCTTCCAGTTTCGACTATGTCATCAGTGTGTCTTCTCTTCCTCGGATTGGGAACCATCCTTGAGGCCGCAACTTCCTTCGGTGCGATTCCTTGAGCGACGAGTGTGTCTACGAACTTCTGTCAAAGCGATACCGAAGCGAGCTGTAACATTCGACCCACCGATATCTCTATACTTGAAGATGAAAGTCGCCATATGCTTTGTACCATCCCCCATCCACCAGGCCGTCCCTCCTGCTACAGACTCGCGCTTTTCTCCCAATCTAAAAAAGAAAAAGCGTTGGTTCTCCACACCCATCTCGAAAAGGGGCTGGAAATCGCACTGGATACAATGAGCCAACTTTGCTTGCTCTGACTTGTAATAGACTCGGCCCGGTAGATAGATTCCATCAGGATACTCCTCCTTGGATAGCTGCTCTTCGAGAGAGTTGTTCAAAGGGGTGTAGGTTTCAGCTCTGACTAACTTGATCCCAATCTCGCCTATCTTGTACGTCCCAACGCTCGCGGTTTCATCGTCTACAAGCACCAGGTGTTCATTGCAGGGTCTAGGTACTTCTGGTCAAATTCCACTTACTAGTCACTTCTAGTGGGACGAATTTGAAATGGCGCTCGCACGCCTTGGAGTCAATCTGGTCTACGGCCTCGTACTCGATCGAGGACGCCGTGACTTTCCCGTCTTTGAAAATGATGTTCGAGGTACCGCTGCTCTCGACACCGTCAAAGGAGGCCACGGTGTTCCAGTGGTGAGAAAGTGGTGGAGGTGGGGGAATGATGTCGATTTGGAAACGCTACAACCTCGCCAGTCAGTATATCTGCCTTCATCAGCAATCGCCAACCGCGTACTTTGTCCACTTCAGATGGGATCCAGCAGGTTATCACTGTCGCCTCGCCTGATGCAGAGTCAGATTCGACCTCGACATCATATTCAGGCAACCTTCGGCCTTCGATGCTAATCGAAATGTCGAAATCTAGAAACTTGGGCATTTAATGGGTAACGAGGAGCAGGAATTTAGCAGAAGGAAGGGATCCGATGGGTGGGGGCCCACAGTCTACTTCTCTGTGTGGGTGCTTCCAAGGTTTGATAAGCTGTCACTGTCACGGCTGTACACACCTTCACTGAACACTTGAACCCAAACACCCGTGTCAATCAGCAACAAGAAATACACATTCCCAGATGATACATCGGGGGAGACAAACATGGTAGTTACTGGTGAAGAAACTTGGATCCAAGTTCAAAAAGGTGAAGTCAGTCGCTGAGATGAGTGAGGTCCAGTATTTCGCGAGAGAGACTGGTCGACGGAAGAGTGGAATCATCGGGTTCCCTCTTGATTCTTTTCCTCCGTGACCTCTTCTGTGCCATAATCTCGGCAAGACGCGCCTTCAAGAAGAATATCAGTAATCATACGGAGGTTAATGAGGCGAGGTCACGTACCTTTAGTTGGATTTCCTCTTCAGTCTCGCTGAAGACAAGTTCCTCTCCTTCACTGTCGAGTTCTATTTCTACAATCTCCAATTTGCGCTTCCCTCCAGAGACTGAAGCACGATTGTAGCGAGGTGGTCTTGTTCCACAACTCATCATAGTGCGAGGAGTGTACTTGATGCCGTGTTTGGGCAAAGGCAAGACGCTCCTTGGTGCTATGTTATCCGCAACGAGGAGATCTAGGCGGGTTCACGAGTCGAGTCAGGAGATATATTGGCGGATAGCACTGGAGGAGGCTCGGCTCACCTATGGTTCGGTACTTGAAGATGACTGTAGCTTGGTGTCGCTTCCCAAAGGGGATGGCCCACAAACCCGGCCTAAAGAAGCGAGGTTCTCCAAAACTATGACTGCTCGTCAGCCCAGGCCCATTAAATAGGTAGGTTTGGCAATCACTTACTCTATGCAATGATCCATGGCCTTCTTCGCCCTCTCATGAATCCTTCCCACCGACTGCGCATTCGACCATCGATGAGCCCTAGACTCGCGACTCGAAGCCATCGCAAACCCGTCCACACTACAAATTCGAAGCTCAATTTCGCCCAGCCTATTACTGACATTGCGCGGAATCATCATCTGCAGGAGGTAGCGATCCTCAACTTGAAGGACGACGTGAGTAGGACAAATGAACTCACCTGTTCGCTGGATATTGGAAAACTGGAAAGTACGCGACGACGTTGGACCGACCAAATCTTCACTTAAAACCGCGACGTTTCCGTACGACGCAGGCATAGCGGATTGAGGAACCACTACTGAAGAGTCATCCAAGCTCAGGTCAAAAGCCCAGTGCTGATAGTGGAGAGCAGGAGCTTCGACCTTGACTTGGAAGGTCTATCGCCACATTCAAGTCAGCGTTTCTCAAGCGGCGAGGCGGTTGAAGAGCATACCTTCCCAGCTTCTGATGGAATATAACATGTCACCAATGGAATACTAGATAGTGAGTCCCACTTCATCTCCGTCTTGTACTCGGGGAGTTCACGGCCGACGTCCATGATAACTGAACATTTGATGCCGACAAGAGCCTCGGGCATCTTTCGAAGGAGATTTTGTGAGAGTAGTAGTGTGTGAGCGGAAGTGAAGATGTTATATTGAGAAGAGTACAAGGTTATCTGGTTAAATACACCCAAGCAGGAACGCGGGTAACATGCCTTGGAACTTTTGAAGGCGTCAAAGAGGAACGAGCGAGCCAAAGTTGTTAATCTCGACCATCAAATTCTGACATAATTAGCTGAGTCTGGATATAGGGGCAATGTCATCGTCTGCCAGTGGAGGAGAAAGGCTCGAATGTAAGGGTTAATCCACGTAAGAAACGCTGAGGCTATCAAGTTCAGATATTCATGTTTATGGAACAAGGTAGGCAGTATGATACATCGGATGATTTCAACAACTAAACGTTCACTTCAGCGACCTGACCTAGAAACGCGCCATCAGACCAAAGCTCACCTGTTCCCCACATCTACGCCTGTGTTGCAGATCAAGGCTTCTTCCTGACCTTCCTCCCTTGCTCATAATGCTCCGCACTCCCCGACGCACTCCCAACCTGGTCAACCATACCTATCCCCTCCGGATTCCCTTTCCCCGCATCATGCGCCTTTGTCTTCTCTTTCTGCGACGCCGCATCGAGCGTAGCTTCTGATTTATTGCGCTCTTCCCTTCCTCCACGCGCAGCCTGACTATGGACGTCTTTCTTGTGGACATTCTTCTCGTCGGCGATGTTCCCTTGAGTCTGGTCATCGATCACATAGTGGGCGTTATCTGGTTCTGGTGCCTTCGCGTAGAATCTTTGGCCGAGGGTGTTGAACTGCTTTGGGAGAATAGAGGTTGACCTCGAAGAAGCGCGAAGCACAGAGATAGATAGAGAAGACATTGCTGTTCAGACGATAATATGAGTTGGGAGAAAGAAGAGATGCAGAGATGCACTCGATGATATTGGTTGAAGCGCGGTATGACATCATACCCAATTGCAACTTAAGCGCCCCACCACCGTCATAAGGCCGAAAGTGTCTTGCGCGTCGACGTCAGCGACGACTCACTCACTTGAGGTTTTGAAGGAATTTCATTCGATTTACATAGAATCAATGAACGGAGCCGGTGAAGGTACATGCGCAGGAGGATATGTGTGAGGTTGTACATCTGCTTCCCGAGATAGCATTCGTTAGAAGGGGTGTCGAGATCAGGATGCACGCTGGTGTAAAGACCTACCGGGACAAACACATGGTTGCACAATGGAGCAAGGATGGGTACTATGAGGGCGGATCCGTCAGATACATTCAATCATAAAGATGGAAAACAGGACCAACCTCAAAGAAAACCACAGCCTACTTAGGATCCCTCATCTTCCGTTCAGGATCACTGGTGTTCTCAAAATACTCCGCGCTAGGCGTCGCACTCCCAACCTGATCAACCCACCCAACATGTTCCTTGTTCCCCCTGCCCATTTCATGCGGTACCTCCTTCTTTTGCATCGACGCTGCGTCGAATTCAGCATCGGACAGTATGCGCGCTTGCATCCCGGCTCGATAGGCTTGAGACATGGGGTCGCGTTTGTGACGATTGTTAGGGTCGGTTACGTGCCCTTGAGTGATGCAGTTGATAACGTAGTGGACGTCTTTCTCCTCTTCCTCGGGTGAGGTAACGTACGTTCGTCTAAGCAGCCCCGTTGAGAGTCGTGTGTGCGCCGCGGAGGTTGATCTGGAAGCGAGGCGAAAGGTGGTGAGAGAAGTAGCCATGGTTTTAAGAGACGATGTGGTTGTTCGTGAGTGGGCCAACGGCGAAGGAGTGGGTGGTAAAGGAGTAGAAATGAAGTCAGCGAGCTGCCGCGATAGCCTGCGTTGGTAGGTGTCAGACATTTGGCACTCTCTCGGTTAGTCATTCAAACGATCGTGGCGCGAGGGATTTGCATTGACAGGGGTCGACATTTCGAATGAGCTAAAAATACAATTGCAGTGGTAACAAGTGCATGAACAGAGGTATAACTGCACGAGAAGCCAAGGTCAGAAGACGCGCTTCGAACCACTAAGTCTACGTTATACACACTTACTGATACAATTCAGAATCAAATTACAGTTGGAACACCAAGAATGAGAGAAGCAGGGATCGAGAATCAGAAGTAGTACTGGATCAACCACGTTTTGGTGTCAGTTGGTATGCTTCCCACTCCTATCTGCAAAGAAGACTCACACCAGGGAAAACAGGGACTATGAACAGTCGGAAAACGGTACCCGTCGACCTCCGAGGAGTTGTTTGACTGGGTTGACTCTGAGGTGTGGGTAGAGGTTGGATGTCAGTGGACCAGTCCACTAGCGTCGACGTTGGTGAATACGAGAGTCCGTCAATGGATGGTTGGTGCGAGAGGGGTGCCGCATGTGGTCTATGCTCCCTATTGACGGCAGAGGTACGAAGGCGGGAATGGAAAGCAGACTTCAATCTTGTTGCGAGTGTCATGAGAAGAGTCGTGGTAGTCGTTAGAAAAGAGGTGGGGCAAGAACCTGGAGTAAGGGCAAGAGGTATATATATACATGAGTGGCACGTTTTCGGACGAGATACTAAATCGGACGGTACCGAGGAGGCGAAGAAGAGGCGGGGCTAATCAAACGTCTGACGGTGATAGCCTGCTTGGAACCAATTGACTTCCAGTGATTAGTTAGTGATTTGGCGGAGGAAAGGCGTTTGATCGACGCCTGCGACTTCAAAAGGGAGCGGATGCATGGCAGAGGAAGCGCGCCGTGTACTAAAGGTTTGGTATTTATAGCGGTTCCGAAGATAGGCCCGATGGCGGGGCTGGAAATAGTGGCGGGTCGAGGTCACGATGGACACCCTGCACGCTCTTGGGAATCCTCGCAGATCGTGACATCAGATACAGAAGCCAAGAATTCGGTGAGGCCTAGGGTATGGGTAAACAGTGGCCAGGGTATTCTGCAAGGGTGTTCTTTCGATTAGCCTTTCCTGTCAGGACATTCAGGTCCTTGGAATTTTGCGCAGGCGATAAGATCCGGGGTGGGGGCGCGGGGCATCCAGACCTGAGAGTCGGGAACCTTGGTTGGGTATAAAGCGCCCGGACTAGCCTAGGGGTCCATTTTAAGCCTCAAACAAAAAGGGCTCTAAACCTTGCGAAGCTTCCCGAGAAGAGGAAGACCTGGCAGCCAAGCATGTGGTGGAGTGGCCGGAACAGATGCACACACAGTACCAAGTCGTCAGTGGTGCTGAAGCGAACGATAACAACCTCGTTGAGGGTCCCATGTCGGGCCTTCCTTCCAGTTGATGAATCAATGAAGTCGGTTGTTTCTCGTCGAACATTATTGTCTCTGGTATGCTGTTATACTGCACGCCAGCTGGAAATGGACGAAGTATCGATCTTGATCATGAGCAGGCCAGGTGAATGTCGTAATGAAAATCAGAGCGGCCCTCTGCTTGCCCATTTACTGGGACAAGTGGTGTTTCAGCGACAGAAAAAAAATTAAGGGCCAGTATAGAGATGTCTGGAAAGCGTTGGCGAGGGAAACGGCGGTGGAAGCGGGAGATTCAAGGGCAATGCTGCAAGTAAATCGCCATCCCACGAAATTCGTCCGGTCTTCAATTCAAAGATCGCAGGATGCCGTTTGATCCGAAATAGACCGGTTTAGACGCGGAGACTGAATCGGCCATGGCAGACATCGGCTCTGCAACCATCGAGTTTCTATGCACCACCACCCGGCGGCTGTGGAACTACTGCGCTGCATGCCCTTCTTTTTTGTCTGGCGTAGGATGTACTCATCTTTAGGCGATAAAAGATGACGCTGATACCACCCCATTACCTGGTTCACTGACCTATTCTCAACGTCCAGAGTCGCGAACTGGCCCGGCTTCGAGGAGGACAGCAGTCATAAAAAGGCACTTATGCGAACCCCACGTTAAATATAGACTCTTACGGACAGTCTGTCCTCGCTCAGGAGTACAATGTGCATCTATTCTTTGACAGCCTCCCGAAGGCGGACTGTCCATGAGATCACCTTGACTTCGTCACCAGCTCCGCCCAGAGGTGGACTTGCGTTGATCTCCAATGCCGACACCGAGCTCTGCAGCCCGGCCAACGTTCGTCGTCCTTCTGTAATCTCTCTAGCTGCGCACAAAGCCACCTGGCTATCCTAAACTGTCACCGGATCCGAAGACCGAGGACAGGATAAGGGCAGAACTGGAAACCGTACACCACAATACGCCGCAGTGTTTCCAGCAATCCCATCAGCCAAGAACCGTCCGAACGCCTCTTATTTAAACGATGGTCTTGTAACGGACATATATACATCAGTATCCTATCACTGCAGCTGACCCTTCAATCCACCGCACCACCCGCCACTAATAGTCTATGGCACCACGACTACCTGGGGAACTCACCGAAACCATCATCGACCAACTGCAATACGATCCCCGAGCGCTAGGCGTTTGTAGCCTAGTCTGCTCGCAATGGATGAAACGGAGTCGCCACCACGCGTTTTCGACAGTACAACTCCGGCCGTGGCGGGCTCGAAAGTTCATTGAACTCAGTGCATCCAAAACGACTACAATCCCTCCGTACATCCATCGCGTCGAGCTTAATGATGCTCGCGTCGAATCCGACCACAACGATACTACCACTGAGGCCTACTTCATGGATACATTGGCATGCCTTGACCTTCCAACGCTAAGGTCACTCAAAATATCGAATGTCGACTGGACGACCCTTCCTCCCCCTCGGCATACGGAAATCCGACGACAGCTCTCCAAGTTCCAAAACCTACAACATCTCGAATTCGACAATGTTACATTCCATGATTTCCGGGAGATCGCCAACATCATCAAGCTGTTCCCTCATCTCAACCACCTCTCGACGAACGTTTCCTTCATGAAGTATCGCGAACACGCTATAGCTTCGGCACTACCTCACCCCCTCCCTCAAACGTTGAGGCACATCGAAGTGGGTTCCGATGACGCCATTCCAGTTGTCTTGGGCTGGCTCGCGGCGAACACGACCCCATTTCAAAAATACGAACGTGATACTAATCACATCGAATGCCTGTCCATTCGAAATGTCCGAATGGACCATCTACCCCACATTCGAAATGCCATCAGACGAGTGGGGCCCCATTTGCACCACCTCTCCCTCGGGTTGGATCATCTTCCGTGGGGAAAGGAGGATCTTTCGGAAGGTGCGATATTCTTGGTCAATCCGACGCCCTTGGAAACTTCGAGCTGACTTTTGATTCTCAGATGAACTACTGTCCAACTTGCAACTGGCTCGCCTCGGCCAACTTCGAACTCTCACCATGGAAGGACTCGCCATCGACTCGTGCACGTCCTTCGTGGAGGATACCCTACCACGTTTGCTATCACCATTGGATTCCTCTTCTCTCCACACAGTCGTTTTGGGCTTTAGGTGGCCTTCGACGCAGCGGTGGCATGAAGTCGATTGGAGTCATCTGCAACGAGTCCTCATGGAACACCACTTCTTCGGCGTTCGGAATGTCCATGTTCGGGCATACACCCAGGGCGAGCCAGGAATAGATGACGCAAAGGATATCGAGGGTTGTGTTCGCAAGGCGTTGTCGTCACTGGACGGGAGAGGTGTGCTGCGGGTGGCTGTTCTTGATGGGCGCTCACTGGGCGCTTATCAAGGAGGTAATCATTCTGGGGACACTCGAGGATAAGCTGGGTTGGAGATTCTGTATTTACTGCATGTTCTATGGAATGAGAGCGCCATGTAAAGATCTTGGGACGGGATTCGACGAATCCATCGTGTCTGTCGCTGCAAGGTTCAGTCTCAGGAGTTGCCCTGGCATTCCTCACTTGGTCTACGTCTTTCGTACCGAGGGTTACAGTATGTTCCAGTCGCACATGTGCCCTTGCACACGGATTGTATGAATGCTAACGCAAAGCGGCCTCGAGGACGTCGCCAAGATTTACTGGGCTTGCGGCCATCGACAGGATACTCGTTTCCTTCCCGACGTGACGTCAATAGGCACAGGATGCGGGAAGGGCTAGACTTGTACTGGATGTGTTCCCATTTTCTCTCTCTTTCCTTGCAACATCGTACAGCGTTTCCTTTTTAATATACCATTGAGATACAAATGCCTTTGAAGGGAGAGAGAAGGATGAAAGACGAACCGAGTCGGAGCGCTTGCCACCTAAATGCCAAGTCTCCAATCTTATCTAATCCAGATCAAGTGGCGGTGCCGCATGGTCCCGCTTGCAAGGTGACTTGAAGCAGGTCAACCGACATCGACCTCGACCGTCACCGCCCTCGAGCGCTACCCACAACTTTTACCGTCCCAGAACACCAAAGAATATATCAAGATGCCGCCAAAGGGAAAGCAAGCCTCTGGCTCCAGCAGCAAAGTCAAGGAGGACAAGGTACGCCCAAAAAACTACCCCCGACGAAAGGGAACAGAAATAGATTGACCCTTTTTCTCGGCAGACTTTTGGCATGAAAAACGTTGGTATAGCTTCCAGGTTCTATTCTCTAGTTATAGGTTATAACACGGTGTCCGTGTCTGTTTCCAGAAAAACAAATCCGCCAAAGTCAAAGCCCAAGTTGCCCAAATCCAAAAGCAACAATCCATGGCAGGCAAATCTCGGGAGACGCTTGAAAAGGAGAAGGAGAAGGCGTTGCGCGAAAAGGCCAAGGCAGAGGAGGCTAAACGGGCCAAGGAGCAGGCTGCGCTGTTGAAGCCTGTGCAGGTGCAGAAGGTGCCGTTTGGGGTGGACCCCAAGACCGTTTTGTGTGCGTTCTTCAAGGCTGGGACGTGTGAGAAGGGGAACAAGTGTAAATTCAGCCATGATATTAATGTGGGCAGGAAGGTGGAGAAGAAGAACTTGTATTCTGATACGAGAGAGGAGAAGATGGCTGGTGAGTTGGTGATTTTTGGATTTTATTGAGGTCTTTTGCAGTGCTGACGCTGGACACCCGGATTGCAGATACGATGGACAACTGGGACGAGGAGAAGCTGCGAAATGTCGTCCTCTCGAAACACGGCAATCCAAGAACAACCACCGATGTGCGTATATCTTTACCGTTAAGCCTGTAACCAGCGACTGATGTCACCATAGATCGTCTGCAAATACTTCATCGAAGCCATCGAAACCTCAAAATTCGGCTGGTTCTGGGAGTGTCCAAACGGAGGAGAGTCATGCCAGTACAGGCACGCTCTTCCACCAGGATTTGTGCTCAAATCTCAGAAGAAAGCGGCTGAGGAGGCAGCGAAGGCCAACACCATCAGTCTGGAGGACTTTTTGGAAGTCGAGGTACGTCCGCCGAGCCGTTCGTCAGGTAATTCAATGCTAATGCACGTTGCAGCGTCACAAACTCGGACCCAACCTCACTCCAGTCACCCCCGAGACCTTTGCTCATTGGAAGAAGACACGAATGGACAAGAAGTTGGCCGAGGAGGAGGCCCTTCGCAAGGCCAAGGAGACCCAGAACGCAGCTGGCAAGAGCAGCGGCATGAGCGGACGAGATCTGGTGCGTATCATCTCATTTGTATGGCCGTCCTTCGACTCACCAGAACGTTGCAGTTCCAATTCAACCCCGAGTGGTTCCAAGATTCAGACGACGAAGGAGGCGAAGACTGGGATCTTGCCAAGTACAGGAAGCAGAAAGAAGAGGAAGATCTGGCAGCGGAGGAAGCCCGGATTGCTGCCTTGTCGCTTCAGTAAATCAATGGCCTGGTGCCGCTTTCAATGCATTTTCCCATTTTGTTTCTCGCATTGGACCCTTTCTATCTTCGTCTCAGAGCCATCTTTACTGGCTCAAGCCTGTTGTATTAACTTGCATGACTATCGTGTAACATCAGATACTATTAAGAAACAGGTTATTACAACTAGTCGTCATCTTCGTCACTTCCATAATCCGCAAGCCCTAAACCGGGTTTTGTGACTGCCGGGGTAGGTCTCCCCACCTTTGCAGCCACTGGTGCTCCGTTTCGCTTGCGGATTTCAGCGAAGTACTTCAGACTTTCCAGGGTATCAGCGTTGAGTAGGCCAGTTGGTTGAGGTGGAGCTTCGATTTGCTGCTGCTGTTGTTGGGGTGGCGGTGGTGGGGAAGCGTTATCGTCCTGGCCTTCCAATAATCGTCTCCTCTTTGAATCGGGTTCCTGCTCGTCTTCCTCCATGAGGTAACCGTCCTCCAGCTCGACACCCTCCTCCAGAGCCCTCACCGCCCGCATAGCATCCACTACCCTGGGATCCATGCGCGCTTTGATGGCCTCCTGACCTATCTCCTCCAACCGCCGCTTCTCTGCAATCTTTTGCGTCGGATTGGGATCTTCCGTTGCCCAGCGCACGTTGAGAATCTCGTCGTTATCGAGAGACTGACAGGCCATGGCTTCTTTGGCGAACTGGGCGTGCAGCTCGTGTTCGTATGTCACGAATGCGACGCTTCTGTACTGAAGCACTCGAACTAGACAGCAGTCAGCCCCTGGTTCAATGTTGAACAAAGAGAAATACGCACTTCGTTCGATGGGACCCCATTCCTTGAAATGCCTCCTGACCACCTCCTCCGTCTCATCGCCCGTCCCTGTCTCCTTGATCCTGCCCACATACAACGTCCTATTCTGCCTGTTGAAACTTCCAACACCACCCATATCGTCTCGGTAATCCGCAAACTTGTCTCTCGCGAAACAGTCTTTGGAGCTATCCACTGCGTTCATCGCAGCGGCGTCTTCAGGGTCGGGTAACATGTGCCTGTACTCGCATTCCCAGCCGTAGGGACAGCATCCTCGAGCGAAGAAGAGGCAGATGTATTTGTTGCCGGTGGTGTTGGCGCGGGTGAGGCCAGAGTCTTTCTTGATGTTGCACCGCGTTTGGGACTTCGTTTTGCTATCAATTCGTTAAATGGAGAATACTCAAAACGGCGATAGTAGCACACACTTGGAATAACTGTCTTCCCGGTCACCGCCTGCCCATTTGTTGTACCAGATATCTAGAATTCAAGGACGAATGGTTAGAACAAACTTCCAGTTCATCGTAGTATGCAACGTACTGTATTCCTTTCCGGTCTGTACAGTCTCCGTCTTCACAACATCTCCAGGTTTAACCTGTTTCCTCGCTGGCTTGAGCTTTTTGGCCTTCTTCTTTACGACGGTGCCTTCAGCACGCGTAGCGACTTGATTTTCGGGTTCTGGGGACGCTGAGCTCATCGGGACGTGCGGATTTCGTTCGTCTTTGGTTTTATTCTTCTATAAGAACAGGGATCCGGACTTTACAGAGCTGTGAAGAGTTAACGAGGAGAAATGGGTGAGCTCGTCGTGGTCGTTGGCCAAAACCAGTTGACGCCGTGCAGTGACTGGTTCATTGCTGACAAAGCAGGCTCCCCGTCCGACGGTCCGCGATTGGCCGGAGTCGGCACTTGTAATGGCAAGTGTACCCCTAACGTTTCGGGCGCTCCTTGCGCATGTCGTTATCTTTGGAAGCTTGTAGGGCGGCCACGAGACGGTGAATACAGTATGCCATATAGTTCTCCGCTGTGTACTAGAATAAGTGAGTATGATTATTCTAAAGCACATTGCTCGCTCAACCAGTTGAATCACCACTCGAATCAGTGTCGACTCTCACAATCTTTCAAAGTTCTGATCCTCTGGTTGCCTTTCTGATAGATTTCCCAGTCAAAACAATAAGGCATGAGCCCTTCCATTTAGCCTGCTTACTATTGGCGTTATGGCCGCCGCAAACCTGTTCAAAGATGCCGCAGGTAATCCTACTAGCACTGAAAGAACATGGAGATTGTACTCTTCTTACGACACCCTCGAGTTCTTCAGGTCCATTCGACTTTCTCCCCCTGCTTCACCCTATGCTGTTCATGATGAATTCTGGTTATTTTCGGATGAAAGGGGCGAAGAAGATGTAATTGAGCACAGCCAAGTGCCCCTTTCCGCAGACGATTGTCACCTCCATCATCATTTTCGACGGACGATTTCGACGGACGAAACTGACCACCTGATCCGGGGATCTACATAAGTAGTCACTGGCCGCTGAGTTTGATCAAAGTGTGATTCCGAACTTCGAAGGCAGGTTTAGTCAGGACGAAGGAGGTTCGCGGAAGATAGGCGCGGGGATCGAGGCAGTGCCTCGCTCGTTCATGATCAGGGTTCAACGTCACCTGGCCAGTAACCAGGCGGTGGTCTTGACGACCGTATGTATAGCTTTGAAGATCCCGGTGATCTATCTATATTACTTGTCATCTATCTATGATTCTATTAGTGGAAGGAGAAGTAGAGTCTTGTGTTGGGAAATCAATTGGAATTGTACGTACGTTCGGAACGAACGATTTGACAGATATATAATTGAGAACAACGGAACAGGGTTAGTGGATGATCGGAGATAATTTATGAGCGTGAAGACCGAGTCGAGGAAGTGACAATACGCAGTTGAGGGAATGGTCTGTTGAGTAGGTGATGATGGAATCATCTGAGCCATCGAGCGCTGGGGTGGATGACTCGAAGTGACTAGCGCGACGGTTCTTTGTCTTGATCATGGCTGTGAAATCAATAGCACCTCAATTTTCAGTACTCTCGCTCGCAAGAATGGATTTCGAGGTAGAACTTTCCAATGGAATTTGTATCCAAGCTGGAACTCGAAGCTCTAGCCCGAGATCAGGATGAAAGGTAACGTTCTGAACCTCATCGTATAGGCCAGTAATATCCAAGTCTAATCGATCACCATCTCCTCCAGTAAGGCCATTGCTCCGAATTCCATGTCCATTGACTACAATATTAATTATTCTCTCTTCACATCAGACAGATGGAAAATCTGAGGGCATAATTTGACATACGGCGTCGTTGAAAAGACAATAAGCGAGGGTACCATTGGTCTATAGAATAGGACCGGTGACATCCTCCGCATCAAGAGGAAGATTTCACGCTTTCGTCGGTGCTCTTTTTGGTGTGTTTGTATACACGAAGGGCCATCGTAGAGCCGCAGAATGGCTAGATTAGGCTTAGATTGCTGAACGTCCCGGCAAACGGACTAAACCAAGTTCCTTTAGGCAACGGCGTGGGGCTCGAAGCACCTTGCATTGTGGGTGCCCATGACACGCGAGGGAAGGGGATATCAGACTGGATGTAGTTAGCCGTTGTAATTAGACGAGAAATGATGGTGCAGCATAGACTGGGAGGGAGGTTCGCGCGTCTTCAATGATATGTAGAATGGACCTCCACTTGTGGCTCGACGAGGTGAGCTATTCTAACTTTATCCGATGCATGCAACGCGTTAACCAAATGTCGACCCGAGCAGAAGTAGCACATCCCATCTCTCAGTACAATTGCTATGGATATGGTATATGAACGCCGTGCTTGATCAAGTGTAAGCGCTGGCACTTCGACTTGAAAAGATTGAGATAAGCCATCAACGCTGTGTGTGTGGGCATAGTTCCTATCGCGGCCCAGCGCTTGATTGCATATGGTTTATTCGTAAAAATATGCTGCATTGTCTTCAATGGTCGACTCACCGCGAGGTATAGCGCACAGGAAACCCCGCCATGTACTCTTTGAGGGATGGAGCACATTAAGCGCCCGTGATTAATCAGAGACTGAGACTCGGAGTGCGTAGACTCTGACGGGAAATAAAAGGTGCATGAAACTGATGTTCCATCCGTCCGACATAGTATACGCCTAAGCCATGTCTATATCCCTATCCACCGATAATTCCAAACATTTCAGGCCTCATTATGACACTCAACGACATCCTATCCAGGGATGTACTTAACAATGCACCGCATCGCGGATTCCAAAGTCTCTTGCGCAGCCTCAAGCCTTCCTATTATTTTAAGCACTTACATACTTACACCCTCGCTCTCGTCATCCTCACTCTTAGTAAGTTGGCAGAATCATCACAATCATTCGTTCGATCATCACTGACCCTCACCCACAGCTCCAGAAATAACAGTGCGCTCTCGAGATCAGAATTGGGCCGAACACCGCCCATACGTACGTCCCACCAGCTATGTACAGTAGCATACTACATAGATGTTCATATGGCGCTTATGTGTTGGGTATGTGCTACAGATGAGGTATTTGGGAGTCTACTCGTTGGGTTGATTGTTGATCGAGTTCCAGTTCTCTTCGACTTCAATTCATTCGGACTCGGATGTGAGCTGGACGGATTATTAGAGGTTAGACTCGTTGCGGTGTTTAGTGTAGGTGCGGTTGCTAGCTTTACGTTTTTTCTCCTCTGAGTTGTTGGAATACATACAGAAGGTACATATTTCTGGTGATCTATCACCATCTATGTACGTACAGTGCCCCTGCATGGATCTAGGTTGGGTTGATTCGATCGTTTGAAGAAGCATCGTTTGAAGAAGCACGACTCTGAGCAATGAGCGAATGATAGGTATGTATACTAGTCGAGGGTTCATTGTTGCGGCTCGAAGGGTGAGAGGGACTGTGATTTGTCGACCGCGAAGCCCTCGTCGAAACGAGCCCTATCCGAGTCTGTGACAGGCCGTACTCCCTTGTAATGCGACTCGGAGCGCCCCCCTGTTTCATGATACTTGCCGTATCTTTAGAGCAAGATTAGATAGCAGCTATTCTGAGTGAGAGTGACCGAGCGGGGAAGGGGCCTCTAAAACCTCGGGGCCGCCGATCTCGCAAGGTTGAGCTGTTCTTAGATATCCCGATGCAATTAATGAATGGTGGCGCATATCTAATCTATCAGTCTGAGCGCTGGGCGCTTCAAGGCGCATCCAGTGCGCGGATGAGAAGCTACTTATGCCTGATACGCTTTAGCGATCCTGTTAATTAATTATAAGGAGGAGGTCCATGTGGCGGACTGGAGCAAGTTAAGTAACTCACCCGAGCGCTTTGGAGTTCAAATGGAATTCTGGAAGACAGAAGTGGAATCTAGTACTAGTTCAGAGAAGGAGGAGAGATGGCAACTTGTCAAAGACGAGCGGCGCTCGGAGGAGGAACAGAATGGAAGGATGAGTACTTAGTACGGACTCGCGAAGAGATCAACGGTGGCGCTTGACGACCTTCAACGAGCGCTCTTACTTTCCGTAAGTGCATACGTGAATTCAGAATTCGAAGGGATCGATACTTGGGGAGGGCGGACAGTGTGGGGACAGTGGGTAGTGTAACAGCGGGTAGCGGTGCGACGTAAGTGCACTCGCGGAAACAGGTGGATAAGTGACTGGTGTCGAATGGTCGATAGCCTGGTGACGCGGTGACGCTGAGTGAATGGAAGCGAGTGACCTCGTGAGCCGTGATTGGTGAGTTGTGCGTTGCTGCCAAGTGTCCTTGTGGGTGTTGCAGTTAAAATTAAGCCCAACAATTGAAGAAGACGACGGTGATAACCGAAGGCAGACTGGGATTAAATTGCCGGTACGGACCAGGATGCCGTCCTCGATTTGAAAAGCCACTGACAAGCGCCCAGCGCCCGACGGGCGTAATGATGTTCTGATCATGATATCACTACGGCGGCGCATGAACGCATGAACACTTGGTTGCGCAGGGGATAGACACATATACTTTGCCAGTCCACGTAGTCCAAAGACTTAGTTCCACGTCAACCAGATTTGCATTCTTGTTTTGGAAGGACAGATTGAGCGCTTAAACAGACTCGGACGATGGAACAAGCTGCGCCGAGCCAATGATCTGATCGTGATTGGGCTCCCTTGGTTACATTGGTAGGTTTTCGTCACTATCGCTGCAACGGCCGTCCCGGTCAACGTCCAATTGGTCGGTGAATCGAGAAAAAGGTCGGGTAATGAAGGGCATCGAGGGTCGAACCTTTGGGGTCGATGTCGTGGGCAACTGAATACCAGAGAAGATAATACAAGAAATGAGGGGAGGTTGCCGTGGATGCTAGGACTCAGAGGGTAGTAAAAATAGTACTTAGAAGTAGTAAGTACGATTCGGATAGGGGCTGGGCATGGCCCGAATCGCGCGGTTGTGGACCGAATGCAAGTATAGAACACTCCCGTATGGAGTGCATTGAGGAGGTTTCGCACAGTGGGATCTGAGAAGAACGAATGGGTACATGTATGAGCGCTAATTCCACAGGCCAAGAAGGGAATAAGTATTCTTCGTAGACTATTCTTCGGAGGAGATGCGGTCGTCCGAGTCAGTCCTAGATGGGACTCGGTTGTGATGAGGTGTCGAGGAGTGGGAGTGAGCGCTGAGCTAGCGTGGATGGGCGCTAATCGTAAGGAAGTACGTCGAGCTGCCATCTGGTTATGTAGATAACAAGGTGTTTTGGATGGATGACGGTGGTGATCTTTGATCTATCATTCATCCCGAGGGAAGGACTAAGGAAGCGCCTTTGTGGGCCGAGTTATAGCGAAGGGTGAGCGTTGAAGGTCGTCGAGCAACGAGTTGCGGAGTGTCGTGTGTTGGGATTGGACGGTGCGTTGCGCCCACAGAAAGACAGGCGTATCCATTTAGTTCGGACTTTGAGGTTTGAAGTACAAGGTTCTTTGTGTGCGACGACGACGATCCACGGCCACGAGAAGAGGTGAAGCGTCGACTGAGCACCCCAGATACGAGCGTCTACTAGTCTGATTAGCCGTATCCATCCCTTCTCTTACTCGCTCGCATAGTCTGATCGGAGGATCACCCATTCGAAGTAAGTACTGTATCTCGACCGGAGGATATGTGATCTCTCTCCCTCGATTCGAAAGGTCAAGTTGATCAAAGTACTTGATATCAAAAGGCATGGAAGACATCGAGCGATTGATTCGTTGATTGAAGGGCTCCGGTTGACCTTTGAGAACAAAAAGGATTCCACGACGGCGGCGGGGGATGAAAGTCACAGAAAGGATAGAACTGGGCCGTTGAAGGAAAGGAAGGACTTCTTGAGTTTGATGCCTCATGTTGTGTTTGGTAATGTACGGAGGATTCGTTTGTTGAGCGATTCCATTGGTGTGTTGGGTTTGATGGATGGGATGACAGAAGATGGGCGTTTAATTTTGCGAGATGTGTTGTTTGGCAGATCCGGGAAAAGCAAAGAAACCACAACAAGGCGTTGCCATACCGGCAACAACGGAGGGGTAGCTGAATGTTTTCTGGATTTTTGGAGGGGAGCAAAATTATACGAGGGTTCAAAGGTAGATTAGAGTAGAGTTTGTGCTCATAAAATGTCAAAATAAATAAAATCTGAGAGAGACATTGTGTGGAGGAAAGGGTCAAACATTGAGGTGATATGTGTCGGAGCCTGAAAGGTAGTTCCCCTTTTCACAGCCTCTTGGTCGCGATCTAGAGAGGAGCAACATCTCTCTCCGCGTACTGCCTCGTTCTATCCAGGCGAACAGCCTCGCAAACGCTATTCTGAAGCCATTGCCAAACACTATTTGGGCCGGAAATTGCATCACTAATCCCGTAGGATGGATCTGCAACACCAAGGCAGCGACCACGGCTCACCCTTTATAAACGATGTTGGCATTGTCCCTCCCTCCCCCGAGATCAACCGCCCCAGCGAGTTCGACCATCCCCTCGACTTTGGCTCATCACCGCCCTTCATCGACTCTACTAGCTCATACAACAACTCACCCTTCTCAAACCCGTCCGAGCTCTCCTTTGTCACCGCCGAGAACGACCTCTCATTCGACCTCTTTGCCGACGACACTCGCGCTCCCGGCCTCTTCGACACGATAGGTTCGGCGGGCATCCAGACCGGCACCGACTTTGACTACGACCCGGCCGAGTACGACCCGCCGCACTCGGGCTCGTCCCTTTTGATGTACAGCGATAACGACTACTACCACGGCATGACCTCTCCCGATCACCACAACCAGCACCACCACAGGGCCGGTAGCGTCCCCTACGACCACAGTTCGCCCTCTTCAAACGGCGACAATGCTGATCGCCGATCCCGAGCATCCTCCGTCTCCTCAGCCTACCAGGGCCAGCAGCAACAACAATCACAGTTTGGTCATTCACCGCGGCTTGATGTAGCCCATTCATTTGAAAACATGACTGTCCGATCGCCGAACTGGGGAACAGAGCAGCTTCCGCCCCAGCAAAAGCCGCATTCTCCACCGAGGCTGCTGATGCCCGACACCTACCCTATGGAGAACCAGGATTTGCCCTCCATCAATGCCCCTGACGGCGACGGCGTCATGGGCGGTCCACAGCTTCACATCGTCCCTGCCACTCCCGTAGGCGCGGCAGCCACAAATGCACCCTTCCAAAACAATGTAGCTCAAGGTAAGCTCTCAAATCATTGGGGCTTGGCTCGTTTTGATTGACCCGACTTTACAGGAGCTGAACTAGGCCAATCCCAGCCAAATTGGGGTCTCTCTACCGGCGGCCAACAGCAATCAGGTCCTTCAGAACCCAACTCTCGTCAACCAACACCTTTCCGATTCCCTGCCCAACAGGATCCATCCTCTAGCCAATCCAATGTCTACCCCGCATCCAATGATCCCGCCAACTTCCTTTTCCCCCAGCAACAACGGACCCGGAGCAAGTCCGATAACGCGCTCGAGCCTCCATCATGGGACCAAGCCTTTGTCCAGCAGCAACAACAACAACAGCTAGCGCAAGGTGACAACAGTGCTCTTGGTCTGGATTTAGAGATTGCGTCCCGAGCGGGAGTGGATGATGGATTGGGCACAGGGTCTTCTACCACGTCTGTCAATGTTGACCCCAATACGTCACCCTCCTTCTCCATGCAGAACTTCACATTCGGAGGTTCAGCATCGGAGCGCAACAACTTTTTATCCCCCGACGCCCAATCAGCCCTGAGCATGCGCAGAACAAGGTCAGAGCAGGGTAACGGCAGACCGCTCGGACACAGGCAGAGTCGTTCTGAGGACATTCGAGGCCTTCAACAGCAGCAGTCATTACCCGGCCAGCCACACCACTCCCTCCAGCCCCAGCTACAACAGCAACACCCACATCCTTTCTTGGGCCACAGCAATCCCAACAGCAACTTCCACCACGGGCACTCTTTAAGCCTCTCTGCGAGTCAAGGGTCCAACCTATTATTCCCCCCACCTACGAACGACTTTGGCCAGATGCAGAACCCCAACTTGCTTTCCACCCACCATACGCTTCCGTCCCTGCGATCGCTATCACCGGGGCGTGGCCACATCCGACGTGCTTCTTCGGGGTCAAGATCAGAGCGGGGGATTGGCGCTGAGCCGTGGGGCTCCAGCTATAGCGGGAGCGCACGCGCGAGTCCGTACCCCTCGCCTAACGCCTCCCCACGCGTGCGCTACGACGAACTCGAGCTCGACTTGGAACGGGAAGCCAAACTCGAGATCCCACCCGCCCATTCTAGCGCGGGCTTCGAGAACGAGGTGGCGCTGAGCGGGCGGATGGGTCTGGGCGGTGCCATGGCTGCCAAGGGTCTTGTCCCTGGCGCGGACGGGATGGTGGACCAGAAGACGATGAACGTGAACGACTTTTTGGGGACTGCGGCGAGTGCTACGCTTGCGACTATGAATGTGCTGAATAGTGGTGGTGGGGAGGTGAAGCCTATACCTGTTAGCCAGGTTTCGAAGCCGAATGTGACGACGTTGAGGACTGCTACTGCGAGTCATAAACGGCGGAAACAGGAGGCTGGGTTTGTGTGTCCGTTCCCTGGGTGTGGGAGTACGTTTACGAGGAGCTTTAACCTCAAAGGTGCGTTTTTCTTTCTCAGTTCTTTATAAGATTCGTTATGCCGTTTTGAATGAAATGCTTATGACGCCTTGCTAGGTCATATCCGGTCACATAACGAGGAGAAACCCTTTGTGTGTCATTGGCCTGGATGCGGGAAAGGCTTCGCGAGGCAACATGATTGTAAACGGCACGAACAGCTACATACGAATTATCGGCCGTTTACGTGTGAGGGGTGTAATCGACAGTTTGCGAGGATGGATGCTCTGAATCGGCATTGTAAGTGCCTCTCCCTCCCTCTATTCCATTACATTCCCGCCCTTCTCCTTGAGTCTAACTGACCGCCCCCGTTCCCTCTCGTAGTACGTTCGGAAGGTGGAGCGGAATGTGCGAAGCAGCAGCAAGCTACGACCGGTGGGACGAATTCGGATGCGGCGAGTAATACGACGAGTGCGAGGACGACGCCTGCTGCTGCTAGTCCGTCTCCGAAGGTTGAAGCGCAGAGTCCGCCGCAACAGCAGAGAGCGAGGCCTACGAGGCAGAATTCGGGGCAGTATGGGGTGGGGTGGGGTGTTAGCGTTTAGTCGCGGTTGTGTGTTGTGGTGGGAGGTGGAGTTATAGAGGCTCTGGCGTTGTTCATTGCGGGTCTTTTGACGTGCTGGAGTACTCGTGTTTTTGTTTTGTTTATTGGTTATTGGTTATGACTTTTTCCCCGTTGTTGTTGATGTTGTTTATGCCTTTTTTCGTGCATTTGACTGTTGATTTGATTGACTATGTGCTGTTCAAGAAGATTACGATGATGATGATGACGGTGGTCGAATCCCCCCTCCCTCTCTCCCTATCTCTATACATGCTCTATACATGCTGGAATCCCGTAGCCCCCCGAACTTTCGATAAATTGCACCCTCTTTTATATACGACGTACTTGTATGATTGGTGGTTTGCTAGTTCTTGCTCTCGTATTTCTTTTCTTTCTTTTTTTGTTGATATAGTAGTCGTTCTTTTGTCGTACTCTTTACTACCCTCTATCTACTCTCTGCTTCTCTCTAGTCTCTCTGCTTTCTACATCTCTTCTCTTTCACGTCTACTCTCTACTCTTTGATATGTATTATAGGATTTTTTTTTTTCTCTCTCTTGATGATTGATGATTGACTCGCTCTCCTGCTCGCTTTTTATTTTTATGACGGACTTGTGAATAGTTGGGCTCCTATCTAAGTGTTCTTGTATGATTGGGACTTGTGACGTGACGTTGTCGTAGGTTTTAGGTTTCTTGCTTTCGACTGTACATGACTAAAGCTACGTGTTGAATTTGAGTCTCAGTGGGACTAAAGCAGAGTTTTTTGTACAGTAGCCGTGATGGTGTATTTATCCTTTCAATACATGTCTTCCTTTATTCTTTGCTTTCTCTCTCGAGTACTTCTAGTGAGTGAGTTTGCGGTGTAATTGACGGAGCGATGGATGGAGGGTTGAAAGCCGAGATACCCGAGATACCCGGTAGAGAGGTACGAGGAGGCGCGAGAGAGGCTGAACGTTTCAGACCTTGGCTTTTCTTAAGTTGGATTCAACATCACCTGACAATGTATACATTCGTTTTCATCTTCTCTGTGCACCATGTGGTCCTTGTTCTGTTTGTGTATCTACAATTGTCGTCGCCCATACTATCCAAGCACGCGTACGCGAAATTAGGCCCCTATCTCGTGAGTTAAATGAGTCTTATGTAATCCGCCAGACTTCCGTGAAGAGCCTCAAGCGCTCAGGCTTTCTGCTCGACCACCATTCGGTCGCCGATGCTAAGTCGCCACCAGGGTTTGTCGTCTTCAGACGCAAGATGTCATCTCAGACGGAACCGATATGTCCTGCTACTTCGACTGAGCATTTGTCACAATGACTTTGGAAACACGCCCACAGGTGCACACACACACAAGCAGGCTGCCCACCATCGCCAATCGGACGCGATAACTTTGACTCTGTCAACTCCCCGTCCTTAGCGCCAACTTGTACCTCTCCTCTGCGTTTCTCTCGCGATGCCCAAGTTGCTAGATTTGGACGTTTCGGTCAGCATCGAAGGGCGAAGGTTGCCTGAATACGATGTCGAGGTTTCGGACTCTGCATCAGCATCAGGCGACTCGGAGGTGCCAGTGATAACCTGCTGGATCCCATCTGAAGTGAATAAAGTGAGCCACGCCGCGGGGCGATTCATCGTTGATCAAGAGGAGAATAGATGTACTTACTGGAGGGGGGCGTAGCATTTCAAGATCGATATTGTTCCTCCACCACCACCGCTTGCCCACCACTTGTACACCAACCTCTTCCTTGATGGTTTCCGGACCTATGGTGTCCCGCAAATCATCCGCAAACACAACCCGTTGGCGAGGTCGATTGATAGAGATCGTGCAGTCGAGGGTGGCAGAAGGTACGAGCGCCCTTTCATGTTTGCACCGCTTCAAGTGGTTACTGGTAGGTGGTATTATGGCGCGAGCTGCTTAACTTCACGAAATGAATACTGAGACTTGTTGGAAGGTGATGAGACTGCTAGCACTGAGACGGACAGGATCGGGGAGATTGAGATCAGGGTATTCAGAATCGACTCCTACGGCCCTTCGACTTCGACGAAAAAGTGTTCCCGGCGTAGAACGCATCTGTCGGGCAGAGTCAACGACAACTCTGAAGGGAAGGGATTGACTCATTGTATCCAGTACGCGTTTTTACAGTTTCTTTTTTTCGTCATGGATGCGGATGACTAACAGTTAAACGTTAACACCTGTTGTAGGTTGGGAGAAGCTCACGAGATTGAAAGCCAGAGCAAGCCGCCGTTAATGCGCGGGAAATCTAAAGAGCATATAGCGACTTTTATATTCAGATATAGAGATATCGGTGAGTTTAATGTTGCAGAAATTTTTAGGTGTCAATTTGATTGAGATACGCATTGGCAGACACGCTCGTCGCTCGAGGGATCGCGCCGCGAGACGCTTTGGCGTCGACCACTGTTGGTCCTGAGCCCTCCTCTGAAAATGAAGCTATCCTTCCGAGCCCGAGGAAGAGAGCATACAGCGATGTCGCTCTCCAGGACGAGATGGACACAGACTGTAACAAGGAGGGCTCACAAAGGGCAGGTCGTTCACCCGCTTCACAATCCGATGTCGGTCCACCAAAACCGAAGAAGGGACGATACGATGATGACGATATCGACGTTAAAGAGGAGTACGTCGAGGATAAAGGAGCTATTGGCTCTCCTTCCGCTCAGGGATATGAGTCCGGGTCTTTGAATCCGAGGAAGAGAACATATAATGACGTCCTTGTCGAGGTTGGAAGTGACGCCTACGGGGAAGAAAGCGATTGGAGGGTAAGTCGCGTGTCATCCATCCTCCTTTGCTAGTACCCTGAACTTTGGATGTTGTACAGGAAGCACGTAAACGCGTTAAGAGGACTGTCTGGTCCGAGGGCTCTGCTACGCCTTTTCCTGGAGAACTTGAGGTGATCGACGTCATGGATATTGACTGAGATCTGAGGCTCTCTGTTCGCTGTAGGGAGGGATTAGCCCACAGGTCAAGGGATGGAGCGAAATTTTGGATGGCTCATGTAGAAACAGTACTAGGCTTTCTTTATGCATGTCACTGTAGTTATGCTACGTGTTGACGCATGCCTAACATAATCTGCTCGTCGACACGACCTCGACGCGCCTGACCCCTATCATCTTGCGCGCGGCAATACCCGCTTTGGGTCTAAATGAGAATTACGTAATCGACACGCTTCCTTTGCCCCACTCGAGCGCTCAGACTCAGACCGTCCTTTCTCTTCTACCACCTAGTCGCCACTCGAATCGCCTTTCCTTGCCCCATCTCAAACCTCAAAAAACCAGAATATACAAAGATTGGGCCAGGAATAAGATGCCAGAGGTGCTTGGGTTCAGAATTTCTGTTGAAATGGAGGGTCGCGAATTGCCAGAGTACAAGGAAGAAGTCGACTATTCGTCAGGGATACCCGTGGCCACTTGTTGGATACCCTCAGAGGCAGGAAAGGTGTGTTTCTCGCTGAGCTCTGAGAATTCTGCGTAGTGATGACGGATTCCCGCGACCTAGACATTCCAGGTGAATGTGCGCCCACCGCCAGTGCGCTCCTCGCACTGGTCGTTCGTCGTGTCCCTCGATGGGATGTGTGCCGTGATGAGGAACACTCTTCTCTTCAGAGACGCCCCAAATGACAGACTTTCGCTGGCGGAAGAAGTAATTGGCAATGGGCTGTCCCGAACTTTTAAATTTTCGAACATCCAGCTTACAGGTGCGTGCTAGGCGCCCGTGGCACGATCTTTATCTCTCACTCTGATACTGAATTTCTTCCAGATGACGATTCCATGCTGAATTCCCGTGCTGCGGATAAAATAGGGGAGATTGGACTCAGCCTCAGCAGTGTGACAGGGTGCATCCCCATCTTCAACCCCAGATACTCGAATTTGCAAGCTGCGGGTCGGATGCATGAAAAGTCGAAGAAGGGGCTTGCTCATTGCGTCCAGTATGTCACGTCTCGGTTACACGGAGAGGAGTTTCATGTCTTATAAACGTGACAGGCCAGGCGAGGTTCGTCAGACTGGACAGCTCAGTTGGTACCAGACGTTTGGCCAGCAGCATGAAGCAACGATTCTGTTCAAATACAGGAACTTGGGTGCGTGGCTACCACTGCGTTCTTCATAACGTGTCGCTCTGACCAAGAGGGTCTCATCTTCGCTTTAGATATCCTCGTTGCTCAAGGTATCGCTCCGCGACATGCCCTCCCGGAGCCAAACCGACAGCCCTCTCCCCCGCCTAGAGCGCCTGCAGCGCAAAGGAACGCGTCGGCCGGTCCGTCCAACCCCAGGAAGCGGAAGTCATCGCCTATCAGGATTGAAATAGATATTGACGAAGAGATACGGCTGATTGAAGAGGAAAAGGAGTTGGAGGTGAGTATATATTCCCTGTCCTCTCCGTTTCTCGCCATGGTGACCTGTCTTTAAGGCTCGACTTGCCGCCATACGCGCGAAGAAACGTGCAAAGACGGTGAAGGTTGCGGTCAAGTCGGAGGCGCGGTCTAATTTCGTCCCTGGCGAGGTTATTGACCTCACCTGACAGACGTCGAGAAGGCGGCATGTCGCGCTGGGAATCGGCTAAGTTATTGACTTTGGGTTCATTCCTGAATAGCCTATGTGTTATGCGATAAATACCTATATTCCACTACTGTACTGTATCAAGAATTAATCAAGTTACCTTTTTGCGTTGGGGAACCCACCAGACAGTCTGCTTTTAAAGGGAGAGTATGATGAATCTCCTTGACAGACCTCTCTTGGCTGATTGCGTAAGTCCACCGGATTTCCCCCCTTGCCCGTCCTGGAGCAGGGACATAGGTGCCAGCCTGCCATACCCCCTAACAGAGAGGTACGAGGAGGAGCAGGCCAGGCATCAAGCAATGCTGATCGCCGCGGGAGCGGAGGGCAACGCACAATAGAGCCAAATTATAACGCGACGCGGCTGAGTTAGCGTGCCACCCCTGTCGCTTCTTCGTTCACGTTTCTCTCCTTCAACCTTTTAGTTTTTTGTTTTCTTCTGTCATTCTCATTTTCCTCAAAGGGATGCCAAAACTTCTTGACTTCGATGTATTTGTCAGTGTGGATGACAGACGGTTGCCTGAATATCAAGTCGACGTTCAGGACACAGGGGAAGTGAGTATCGTTTTCGGACTCCCAAGGTGGCACCACCCAATATCCAGCTGTCAGGGCGAATTCATGAAAAGTCCAAAAAGGCGATGTCTCATTGCATACAGTACGTCGACTTCCCAAGTCCGTTGGACTTCATTGTCGGTTCAGCTAAATATTTGCACCTGTCCCTACCTCTCTAGACTTGGAGAGAAGCATGAATTAGCACGCCCGGCCCACTCGGCGTTATGGGCGAAGGTGGTTGGCCTTAAACGCTGTGCCACCTTTACATTCAAGTACAGGAATATCGGTATGTCCTGCCTTTTACTCTTTGGCATCGTTGCTGTAACCCTCGTACTTCCAGATTTCCTCGTGGCCCAGGGGATACCCCCTAGAGCAGCACTTCCGGGTTCAGATGCTCCCCCTCGCTCAAACCCATCGCGTATTTCAACGGGCTCTACTTCCCATATGTCTGTTGACGCTGGTCCTTCGAGTCTTGGAAAGAGAGCACGGAAAGATCCAGTGGTCAAAAGTGACCCTGATAATGATGAACGCTCCCAATTGGACGAGGAAGCCAGGAACTTGCGGGTATGTAAAACCTCTTCATATGAAGATTTTGCATTGTCCTTGACTCTAGTTATAACTTTTTAAAGGCTCGCCTTGCGGAGATCGAGGCAAAGAAGGCGTCGTTGGAATCCCCTTCCGCGAAACGCGTGAAAAGGGAGGTCAAAAGGGAACCATCTGGTTCGGCGTTTGTGTCTGGGGAGGTCGTTGACCTCACCAGCGAGTCTGAGGTCAAGCCAGAAACCAGACTGTGTTTTGCTCCAGGGGAGGTTATCGATCTCACACTGTAGCTGCGGAAGGCTGAAGATGGATATCAACTTGTTTCTCTCATTCCACTCTCCTGTCTGTGTGTTGAGAATCGGCTCGTTGCCGCTGCGAATGTGCTGCTTTATGGGACCTCTAAGTGTACTTCCTTCTCTCCTTGAACCACTGCTGGGCCTTCCTCTGGGGCCTTCCCGGTACTGGGTGACCTGCCGCCCACTGCGCACCGGATTTGGTATGTTTTTAGCTTGGACCATTGCGAAAGCATTTCTCTCCTGTATTTCCTTCTTCTGGCTTCCAATAACAAAGGAAGCAGATGGCCCTAGCACAGCGAATACAATTGGATACACAATAGGTAGTCGGGGCGCCTGTGGACCTTTGGGCGTTTGTTTCTGTATACTTGGGTCTAAGTCCCATGCTGGTCGACCTCCGTCCTTGACCTGCTCGTCTGTGCGTACCACCGCTACACTGGAGTCCTGGTGATTCCCCTCCGTCCCTGCGCCAGGTGGGTGCATGTTTCAGCCTACCTGACGATTAGGGCTCATGCCTTAAATAGCTCAGTACCACGATGTCTTCTCCTCCTCCTGCATCTTCGCCATGTCAGCCAAAGGGAACCAAGTTGAAGGAAGTGCGATTTGTGCTCCCTCCAACTACGCGGTTTATTACACCGTGCCTTTCATCTCCCTCTTCAGCAAACAGCGACGCCGCTGTCGTTCTCGACGTAGACGAACCCCTCAACACAGAGCTTTCACCCATCTCTGCGGCTCTTTCTACTTTTGCCCACTCGCTGATTCCAGAAACCCATCGACTCCCGTCCTTGTTCGACATGCCAGGATGGACAACGCTGCAGTTCCAGTTCTTCCCTTGGCTAAACGCGAGGCCTTCATTGTCTATTTTGGCACGGGATGGCGTCGTCTCGTGTTCCCCATCTTCAACCCGCCGCGCAAAGACTGCTTCTACAGACCCTGTCCATGATACCCCGGCACCCCTCCAACCGTGGATAGAACCTCACAACACTGCCCTCCACGGTCCTCCATGCATAATCGAGCTTTTCGCCGATAACAACAACCTTCCATCCCGTGCTTTTGGCGATATCCTCAACTTCAAGGATCTACTCACCAACTTCGAATTTGACATTGGTGCTAAAGCGCCGGACGCCCCTGAAGGGAAGACGTTTTACCGATTGCTCTGGAGGGGGAGGGAGGAGCAGATTCCGACGGTTATCGAGCCCGCCATGCCCGCCTTGATCACGCATGCGACGTTCTACAATTGTCCGCTGACAGTTGATGACGCATATACCATCCTGGAAGCCTTTGGAGCCACACTTGCGTTCCTCGCAATCGAGAGAATCGTGTACGACCGCTCCGGATCACGCTTACCGCCGGAATACAGGATGTCGCTCCCATCTACTGGACGGCGTTCGTTTCCCAAGCTTAAAAATCTTAGCTTGACGTCAGAAGTACCCCTCAGCAAGCTTTTCCTGCGGACAAAGTTCCCGAATGTTAAGAACTTGGCGTTGACCTTGAAGGGTGAGGGGACGAAGACGAATGTTGCGGAGCTTGCTCGTTCAATGGGAGAGGAGTGGCGGGCGTTTTTGGTTGGTGGGGATATTGTAGAGCGGAAGGTGGATAGGTTGAAGAAGGAGAGGTCTGAGGTCCATGTCGCCAGGATCTGAACGGGGATGCTCTCGATGTATATTACTAAAAGTAGTAGTGCTGGTTTGCGAATTGGTCCCTGGAGGGCTTTTTGCGACATACCTATCACCTGCACAGGCTCACCCGTCACGCCGGTGTCTGGTGAAAAACCAGGCTGGCTCTGGGCTCACGAGATACGATGTGGTCATGGGTTTGTACATTACGTAATTTAACTTAAGCGCCCATGAGCGCGATCACATGTACCCGGTCATTGCTCATGGATCAGAGTCAATGCCGACCATTCTCAGTCCATTGATCTCCATTACTTGCAATCAGAATTCACCCTTGCGTGGCAAAGGTAAGAGCTGCTCGTGAAGAGACAGAACAGAAGGGTCTGCCCGAGCTTTAGGGAGGGACGCCCATCCCTATTTCCATGACTTCCAGCTGGTCGTGTAGAATCAGCGATCATCGGAGTTCACCCTCAAGCCACACACTGCATGCGGGGAATAGGAAGATTCTGCGCCATCTATTCAAAGAAACAGTCAATGCATTCCGTCTACGATCTGAGTGCGAGACTACCAAGCTCGCACCCCTGTATCCTACATCAAGTGGGCATAGTAATAGATAATACATGGTATGTGAATGAATGGACGTGATTAAAGAGAGTGCAGCTAAAAAACTGATTATACGAAGCCCGTTGCTTATACACGAAAACCGAGGAGAGCGCCAGAGAGTAGATCTGGAATGTAACAGTGAGAAACGGGCATCTGTAAGGCATGAGCAACGAGACTTACTACCAAACAACACAGATTGGCCCTTAGGATGCAAGTGGAAGCAATGGTAGGAATGGATAGAGAGTACAACTTGGATGCGACAACGGGGACCATGGGGAGTAACAAAACGTTTCAGCATCTGGCGCGCTTTGATATCCGAGTTTCTTGATGGAAGTTCAAGGGTGAAACGAGTGGATTGGTGATTAAAGGAGTGGACGTGTAGGCTGATAACAGTTCTCTGGGCTGCAAGGAACAGGGTCGGCAGTAAGTATCAGAAGGCGAACCACCATCTGACGGGACGATGATCACTTACTCTGTAAGGGGTGGAATAATGGGAAGGGCGGTGGCCAGGGGAAGGCGTTGTAGGACTCGACGCAGGTGAATACCCGATACTGCCGGGATAAAAATAGCCTTGGCCAATATCGTCGTCGTCATGGTCATCACTTCCCATCACCGTCGCCGAGCGTTTGTCGCCCACTCGCGGCGATGGCTGTTGCTGTGAAGATGGCTGAAGGTCAACCGGCGCGAGACCATACGCCCGAAGGAAGTCTGTTTGTAGGAGGCCGTTGAGATAACCGTCGCAACATCTCACAATAGCAAAAAGAACTCACTCGGAGTGCGGTAGTGGAAAATGAAAGTCGCTAGTTTGCCCAAACTTGCTACTTCAGTGGAGCTTGAGGGGAGGAGGGAGGTGAGGATAGGCGCTTGAGAGCAACACAAGAGTCGTTTGGCAGCGTAGTCTGAAAGGCCCTCATAGATCTTCGTTTCGCCGGACGAGACGATGTGAACATCGAGAACGATGGTTCCACCGAGGGGCGATCGAACCTGGTGGTCTGCGAGAAGGGACAAACGTCAGGCTGCGGTAGGAATGTTTCCAAGTATTATGAAACGTACTGGGCGAGTGGAGGGGAAATGACAGTGGCCGACTGAGCGTCGGGGATGTCGGGATACGCGAGAAGACTGCGGGCGCGTAGCTCTTCGAGCGAATCAGACGACCGCCATACGGGCAGCCGTCCATGGACACGAAACCTCCAATGTCGAGGTCGAGCATGTCGTCCAGATCTCTCCACCGGATTGAGAACGTCTGCGGCGATGAACGTGTCAGCAATTAGAAGTACGAGCAAATCCCGATGGCGATGGCAAATGGGCAGGGCTTGAGCTAGGGTAGCCGGACGAAAGGATCGAAGGGGTAGGAATGCAAGGGAGAGCCACCACTTACCGCACCAGGTTCGAAAGGTATCCAGCACGAAATCACTCCACCCTCAGGATCCTTCTGCACACCGTAGACGGGGAAGGGTTTCTTGTTTTCATCGGATATCCAAGCTTCGATCCCGTTCATTCGCAACATGGTTGACGGGTTATTTTGGTCCACTGCAGGCCAAGTTCTCCTCTACTCGAAAGTCTTGAATTCCTTCAATGCTTTGCTGGCATGAGATCCTTGAGCGTCTGCAGCGTTCGAAGTGGAGACCGGGGTCGGGAGGGAGGGAAGAGGGAGAGGAAAAGCGGGTAAGAGGAGAAGGAAAGGGGAGATGGGCGTCGTATAAGGATGAGCTGTGGGCACAGACTAATACGGACGTAGTCTAGAGACGCCCATGGAAACCCATGCCCTATTGTGGGCAGGTGACAAGAAAGCTCCAGAAGGGGTGTGGCCGCGGGCGGTGCTGGCCTGTGCCACCCTGTCGGCTGACCATCAGCATCATATCGTATTCTCTCAGCACAGCGTATCGAGGTAGAATGTGCGGGCCGCCAAATTGAGCTCAGATTCCGGAATCCAGCGGGAATCCAAATGGAATGTGACCACAACGCTCGTTTTTTACATTCCACTTCATTGTCGGGAATATAGACACCATTTGAACGAAATCTGGCTCTCAGAATGCAGCATAATCCAACGCCGCTCACATTTCCCTGTTGCGCGCAATCCAGAAATTCTACTTTTCCCTTGCATTTCATTCCTGTATATTCAGCTCAAATCGATATTATTGGTCTAAATATAGCCCAAGGTACAAATGACACCGTACACGACCCCGCCAAATTGCCCCCTCCTCCTTCAGACCACGCTTTCTCGCCTCAAAACCCAGCAGAAAAGTCACGGAGACCTCTTTTGGCATCGACAGTCGACTACAGAAATGCCGACACTCCGAAAACCACACTCCGAAAACCACGCTAAGTTACCAGCCCTCTAGCTACGACTCCCATGCCGCATCCCCGCCAGCCAGGCCAACTTCTATGTCCTCCCACACTGCCCACAGTCCTCCAGCTAAGCGCCTTACTCCTGTCCCCATAACCCTGCCTGCTGCCAAAACCACGCCCAATCCAACGCAACTTCCAGGCTCCCGCCAGCGGCCGCTTCCCAACTTCTCGCAGGTACCGAAATTCGAATAGTTCCTAGGCAATTTTCGACACGCTGTACGATAGCGGAGGCCATTCCAGTGATGATATTGTGAAACTGGAACTTGGAAGAGGTGGTGGCGGGTGCAAGCTATCAAGAGTCGTGCTAGTCGTTGGAAGGGATTGGAGCCTCGCGCATGTTGCAAGCCACCTTTCGGTAGGAGTTTGAATTGACTTGTATCAAATCAACGCTTTTCGCCTCGCAGAACTTAGAAGCGTGACAACTGTGGAATCTAACAGCGGTCAGATCTCCGCCGAATTCTCGCTGAATGCCAGAATGTCTTGCCTCACATATTCTGGAGGCAGAATTTCGCTCGAATTGCAGTCGTGTGCGAGAATTTAGCATTCATTATATCTTCTTCAATTCTGGCATGCGGATTCTGGTGTGCATTGAGAGCAAATTCTGACGTGTGGCTAAATTCTCGCCAGATTCCGCGTGAATCCCACAATCCAATGCAATCCAGGCGCTCGCGGATTCTGCTCTGATACGCTGTGCAGGCTGATAAGATACGGCCAACAAGTAATAAATGCATCCTCGATATGCTTAGGTCCATGTTGTATGTTACACTGCGGCGTCGCCGCATCGTCGCCCAACGTCTGGGTTCCTGTAATCCCGACCCATACAATGCCTCGGTAGCAAGTAAATCTGCGAAGCCTGAATGTAGATGGGCAGAGCTAATTATAATTAGTGCTAAAGGAACGACGCATAGATATGTCTAATTCAAGGAACTTTGTCCATGTCCTGCAGCGACCAAAGAATGACGAGTAGTTGTGAAGCGAAACGTTCTAATGCTGGGTAAGATAATTGACGGAGGAAAGTGCTACTCATCACCGACGAGCATGATTCTTACAAAGTCAGAGCCTAGTTCTTTGGAGCGGGTTTCCGCTGTTCTTCAGCAGCAAGAGCCAGGGCCTCGTCAAATTCCCCTCTGCCCTCCGCTGCACCGGACGCTTCCAGCGACGCCTGCTGCTGCCACATGCTGTGGTAGAGGCCGCGCGCATTCATGAGCTCGTCATGAGTGCCCTGCTCGACCACTTCTCCATCCTTGAGAACGATAATCATATCTGAAGACACAAGCGTGCTGAGTTCCATATCAAAGAGATAAAAAGAGTGACGTACCGGCCTCGACGACAGTTCGCAACCTATGAGCAATGAAGATGCTCGTCCTTGACTTCTCATGCAGAATTGAGTTGATGTTTTTCATCAGTTCGTGTTCGGTATGAGCGTCCAACGCAGATGTCTGCCAGTCTAACGTCAGTATCAGCAAACACCACACGAAGAATTAAGACCTACAGCCTCATCGAAGAACAGAATCTCAGGGTCCTTCAACAGCACTCTGGCGACTGCCAACCGTTGCTTCTCCCCACCGCTAATCATCAGCCCACGTTCACCGACTTGGGTATCATACCCGGCTGGAAGCTTCGCAATCGTGTTGTGGACGTTGGCCTTCTTGGTAGCCTCGATAACCTCCTCGTCAGTCGCATCCAGCCTTCCGTACCGCACGTTATGCATGATGTTTTGATGGAACAGAGGGGTATCTTGAGGGACGACGCCGATTGCTTTGCGAAGAGATTCAAGTTGGACACTGGTGATTTCCTGGTCGTCGATGTAGATCTTGCCGGAATGAGGGTCGTAGAAGCGGAAGAGCAGGCGGAAGACGGTAGACTTTCCGCATCCAGACGGACCGACGATGGCAACCTTCTTTCCAGCAGGAACAGTGAAAGAGAGGTTTCGGAAGATGGGGCGGTCGGGGTGGTAGCTGAAGGCGACGTTTTCGAAACGGATGGAGCCCCCTTTCAGAGCGAGCGGCTTCGCGTCTGGTTTGTCCTTCACAGGGTGGTTTTCCTCGATGAGCCTGTAGAGCACTTCCATGTCCAGTAGGTTTTGTCGCATTTCTCGGTAGATGGTCCCGAGGAAATTGAGAGGGAGCGACAACTGGAAGATCAGTTGGTTGACCATAACCACATCTCCGACCGTCATTGTACCTACGAAAAGGTTGAGGTAACGCGTTTTTCAGAGCCAACATCCAGCCTACCATTGACAACACCTTGAGCGGCGAGGAACATGGCCAACGTGAGGGCACTGGAGAAAATAACGTTCTGGCCCGAGTTCAGGTATGCAAGGGAAGTGGTGATCTTCACTGAAGCCTTCTCATATTCAGCCAAATGTCGGTCATATTGCTTGATCTCAAATTTCTCGTTGTTGAAGTGCTAATACTGTATAAGCACGACAAGTGCATGAACCACAGTCAGAAAACCTTACCTTGACAGCCTCGAAATTTATGAGGGAGTCCACGGCAGTTGATGCAGCTTTGTTGTCGGCCTTGTTAGCTTGCCTTCTGAACTGCGTCCTGTTCCGCGGTGGGTAAGCCCTTGCTCCGCCGATCTGGTGAATGGCTTACCTCCAAGATGTCGTTCGAACAGTGAACCAGGTGTAGAGAATCATCGCTCCTGCAGTGACGGCAGCAAAGTCCCATCCAAACTTGTAGGTCTGACCAAGGCATTAGTGGGATTCAACTGCGCAGTTGACTGGACGTACCAGAATACCGCAGACCAAGGAAATCTCCAACGCGGTCGGGACAATGCGGAAGAGGATGGCTTGAATGAGGAAAGTGATTCCTCTGAACCCAAAGTTAGTATGCCTTCGGTCAATAAGGTAAACAGACGCACTTCGTACCACGATCGATAGCTCGTGTCAAACCGCCCGTTTGTCGTGACAGATGGAACCGAAGGTCGAGGTTAAGTAGGTGTTCAAATGTCTCGCGTGCAACCTTTCGAATGGCGCGTTGACCAATGTTGGCGAATACAGCGTTGAGAAGCTCTCCTGAGAGGGTTGCACCAATACGAGCGAAACCATCTACGCCGGGACTTGAGCTATGTGAAATGAAGTGGAACCCCAGTACGCACATCCAACGATTAGACTTCCGGCCAGGAGCCATACTGTTGTTGAGGAGGTGATGTCCACGTTCAGGGAATCGACCACAGATTTGAACAGTTGAGGCACTTGTACATTTAGCAGCTGTAGTGCAGCGTCAGCGGTGGAAATCTATAGCCTGAAACTACGCACCTTGGCTGAAATGAGGAGGATGAAGCCCAGGACGACCGTCCCACGGGTTCTCCAGTCATCCTTCGGCCAAACGTTCGTCATGAGACGTTTCACGATTATCCAATCCGTCCTTCTCTGCTCTGCCCGTGTCGGGTTCTCGTTGGAGGCGTTTTGTTCTGTGGTTTTCCCTGGCCCGGTCGACTGGGTGAACGGTGGTGGGGTGTTTGTCTTCGGAGCCGGTTCCTTGGCCATGTGTCCAAAGAATCTGCGTCGACAACGGGACCATTCGAATCCTGGAGTGCCCTTGAACGTTCTAATGGGTCCCCGGGGGATAACTGGCGTTTGCGACGCGAAATTTCGCTTCAACGAGGACGACAGCGTCCTACCCAGGGCGGGCTTGTCAAGAAGGCCATGACGACACCAGCTGGCAAGCCTGGTGCCTGCCAGCCCATTCACAGATAACATGGGCTTGCTCAGGCGGTTCAAGCGCCAGTTTTAAGGTGGTCGGTGGTCGAAGTAAGTGTTCAAGAAATGGCTCACGGCAGCCCGCATCGCCTAATGACGTGCTGCACTGCTCGGGTTAGGGTTCCATCTAATATCCCCTTATTCCGAGCCCGACTCCTCAGTACTCTTCAGCATACAGATGACATTCTAACTTCGAGATCAGATGATATAATCCAGTAACTGCGTGAAAGCATCCCTGGCTTCGGCCAAGGCCCTTCCAATCACCTCCTCATAAGGACGTCGAGCCGTTATGGCTGGATGAGCGGCCAAATTTCCTTCCATCCTATCCTCCTCCGCGAGAAGTGCCAAGGTTTCATCGGACGCCAACAGCGCGAGGACGGATTTTGGCGCGTTGGTTGATTTGAAGTAGGCCCGCAGGTGTTGGGCGCGGTTCGAACGAACACCCTGGAAAATAGCTTGCCATTGCGAGCGAAATGTTTCGGGAGAGGCGCTTTCGTGGACGAGGCCGCAGTCTACGAGAATTTTCTCCTGCGCTCGGTTGAGAAGATTCCGGAGGCGGATCTTGTCGAGGGCTTCGACGTCCTAGCAGATTTACGAATTCAGTAAGGAAGCGATTGGGGCTATGGGGGGGGGAACTTACCTTGTTGACAAGATGTTGGACAGTAGCTTGAATGGTGGCCTTCCATTTCTTTTCTTCCTCTCTCCACCGCTCATTTTCCAGCTCCTGCTCCTTCTTCGTTTCCTCAATGGTAGCCTTCCATTTCTTTTCTTGCTCCTGCTTCATTTCCTCAATGGTAGCCTTCCATTTCTTTTCTTGCTCCTGCTTCATTTCCTCAATGGTAGCCTTCCATTTCTTTTCTTGCTCCTCAAGCTTGGCTGTCCACTTCGTCTCCCATTCCTCGAGTGCAGCTTTCCGCTCCCGATTCACTTCCTCAAGCATGAGCTTCCACCGTTCTTGCTGATCCCGCTCCCGCTCCTCCTTCTGCCTTTTCTCTCGCGCCTTTAATTCCTTCTTCTCCTTCCTCTCCCTCTTTAACTCGTCCTGAAGCCTCTTCCTTTCGCAGAGTGCCATATGGACCGTCGCGGCCACTTCACTCTTTAAAGTCTGTACTTCCTCTTGGGCCTGTTCGGCCACAGTGAGCGCCTGATCCAACTCCTGGTGGTGTCTCCTGTCCAAGTCCGCGCGTCTCAAGGGGACCAGTGCCGTCGGCGGCAGGTGTTGCGCTGGTGTCTGGGAGGACGGAGGACGTAGGCACTGAGGTCGAACGGGAGGTGGTTGTGGGACGAGGTGGAAGTGGCCGGTGGTGCGTCTACCATTCCAACGGATCAACGAGCAGCAAACCACAACAAACACATCATCCACTCACAGGTAGGTCGATGAGCGACTCGTCGTCGAGCCGATCGAGTAGATGATTGCTGATCTGAGTCATGAAAACAAGAGGCATCAAGCGAATCCTTCAAATGGTACATGAGCTCTGCACATTTCCCCAGTGACAAGGTGTGAGTCAAAGGCCTCGTGTATTAAGCAGGCGGTGTGACTCTATTATGTCTGAAATGTAACAGCTCCTCATTCAAATACATGCCAACGCCATCAAGTTTTGGGGCTTCCACCGTTCAATGTTCCTCGAACCGAATCCTTCATGTGTATCAGATGGAGGCACGCTGTGACTCCTTGTCTCTGTAATTTTACAGCTCTTCTCTCAAATACATGACAACGCCTAAAGTAACAGCCTCCCGATGACTACTGTGCGGTGAATGCCGCACCAGGACAGTGGTCTACAAAGGGGCCCCTCTCTCAGAGTATAAAAGGCATGGACAACATAGATAATTCTCGACAGTATACCTTTAACAACTTTCAAGTCTCAACGGCGATTCATCCACTAAGCCGCATATTCATCGCCCACCAAACTCCTCGAAGTGATTGTCCAAAGGTACGTCTAGTCACGTTAGTAGCAGTATATATGTGTGAGAGGGATACTAACTCGATGCCATGTGCAGCAGCTTTCATGCACATTCCTGTAGACACCATGTCCTCACCTCAATGCTGCAGCTGCGGCTATAGGGGGTCGCATTCCGCCAATTGCCCGTTCAATTCCACAGGCGGCACCGGCTCCAGTGGCACTAGTTCTGGCTCATGATCTGGTCCCTCCCAAGAACCTTCTTGTTTTCTTCGATTATGCTTACACTCGCTTTCTCGACACTCCGAGTCGCCATTTCCAATACTTCGTCGCGCAGTACATCTGTTTCGTTTTAATAATTCTGACCATTTGCCTTCTTCTGTAACTACCTTATTTCACCTTTAATCACATTCTCTTTTCTCCTGAAAGTGGCCTGGTTAGTCAGAAGACAGCAGAAGTCGATACAGGGCATCCCGATTTCGCGGCTGGCAGGGTTGCAAGCAGGCGCCTAAAATTCACACTCCGCTCGCCCCTAGAAGAGACCCCTGTGTCTTTCGAAGTCAACTTGGTGTAGAGGGCCGTTGCAAGCACGGCAGGTACGAGCCTTTTATTACATGTTTGTATCAGACCAGCGTCAATACAAAACAATTAGCACAACCTCCCTGAAGACAGCTGGATGCTTCCCAAGTCTTGTCAACACAGCGCCAAGCCTTATCAGCCCCGAGTTTGCTGGCGACCTCAAGGCGACCTTACAGTGGTTTGCATTACATATGATCAATATGCGACCTGCAGCTATCGCGTTCTCAAACCGACGTCCAACAGCTGTCAGAAATTCTCAAAACTGAGGGAGCCAAGAGGGAGCAGGAAAAAACGTCAACCTCGATTTCGGCATCTAATCTAATCTGTCTATAGATAAGCCATATAGGGAACATGAGGCGCCAAGCAATCGTGTCCCACCCAAAGCTTCGTCCATCTCTCCCTCCATCTCGATCTCAATGTCATATTCTCTATCGTCGAATTCCTTCAATCGCTTAGCAGTTCCTTTCGAGGTGTTTTCTCAGCTCTCCGAAAGCAGCCCTGGCCTCGAGCCCGAGCTCTTGTATCAATTTTGAGCGCTTGTCATGGGGGACTGCTTCAGGTATGTTTTATTGAGAGGTGACTTGGGTCTCAGCCTAGGTAAACGATTTGATTACGCGACCTGGGGCAAATCTGGTACGACCGGGTTCGAACCGCGGCCACAACCTGGCGCGCATCAAAAATTAGGCTCGCCTCGCGCGCGTGTTAGTGGTTGTTACTAAACTCACACATCTGGGTAACTGGGTCGGTGATTGCCCTCTGTCCGTGTAATGTATACCGCTGTAAACCTTCAATAAGGGTCGTCGAACTTCAAAATTGGGACCTCAAGGTACCTTCACTTTGCGGCAACACTCCTCCTTCCCTGTGTCGGGAGTTGCCAGTCCTCGGCTGATGATATCAATCGGCAGGCAAGGGCAATCACACAATTCCCTAATGGTTATAATACAAAGCTCGGCGCACGCTTGGCGAGGGGTCCCTACGACTCTGAAAAACCGATCTTTACTTACGTAAAGGCTCGGAATGATACTGCGAGTGATGTAATAGGAGAAACAGCTCCCTCGAGCAAAAAACAAAATATTGCCTGGAACTACAGCCTAGCCGTAGTGTGGTGCCTGAAAGTTCAAGGTTGGAAGAGAAGGTAAGAGAAGGCGGACTCGGTGGATTGTTACTGCCACCGCCTCGTCCGGGGAAGAGAGCTGAACCTCCTGTTTTCTCATAGCCAACGTAAGATACTCAAGTATATTACACAGCACTACATCCCTTTGACGAGGGTCCAGTGACTCCGCATGCTTACTATGCATAGCTTCCACACGAGCGCCCCCAGCGCCTGTCAGCATAACAGCTAGCAATCGCCTCGTGCCCGTCGGCAAGATCCATCATCCCACAGATTCAAGACCCTCTACTCCAATCTACCTATGTCCTTGCAGCTATGACGTCGACGAAGGACGCGATACTTAAAAATTTCATACGAACAGACCAGCTCTGTAACCACGAAAGCCTCATGTTTTTAATTCTTGGCTCTCTCTCCCTTCATCTAGAACTCCCAGTTTCCGATCATTCTTAGCCAGGTCCTCCGATATCACTTAACAGCAACCTTCATGACGTTAATGCCACAGGGACAGAAGGACTTGCCATATACCCTGCGGTAAGGTCACAGCTCCCGGTCCAGGTCTTTTACATGTGTCTTTACGGTGGCATACGGTAGCGTGGCACAAGCGCTCATCGTTCGAAACAGTATAAGTCATTACAGGATTGCTCTCCCTTCCCACCAGAACTCGCACTCCAATCCACCACCGGTGTTCTTACAGCACTCTCCAAGGCACGTTCTTAAACATTCCATCTCCCTACTGCCTCCTCACTTGAAGTTAAACCGTCACAGGCGCACCAGTCACGGGTCACTACACACCATCAGCCCATATATAGCACCTATACCGCTCTTCGGTCTCCACCAATCCTCATCTCGATTCTCAACCACAGCACTCAACACAATGTCCCCAATGTACGTCTCTCGCTCCGTTTCTTGTGCTTGCGAACGCCCGTGTATTGAATTGGCTCGAACACAGGATCTCTGCTACCTTCTCCAAGGCCATCATCGCCGGGGTCCCCACCGACCGCAACCAATCCAACGACGACCGCACTCCCATCCTTCAGGTCGACCCTCAATGCTGCCATTGCGGCGAACGAGGATACCACAGCAAGGATTGCATCTTCAAGGTCTAAACTCCACCCGCCCACCTCACGACGAGTCAAGTGCCTTGGCTCTAGAGCAAAACCCTAGAGTTGACTTGCTTTAAGGCAACCTGCCTCAGCTTTCCTTCAGTTGATTTTTTCATCGATACCCCACCCCTTCGAGTCGCTTTTTGTTGGGTTGGATGCCTAGACCGGTACCACCATAATCCACCCGTCCTTCTCGATACCTGTAGCACCTCCCTTCCATGTATCTGTAGTACATTCCTGTTTTCAATTATTCCATTCTCCCGATGTTCGAGCTCGAGTCCGTCGCCTAGAAAATTTCCCGTAGTACAAGCATCATGGCAGTATATAAGCACTCCCTCCAAGAATAGTGCACTCCCGACGCCCGCGAAGCAAGCTGACTTTCAAGTAGCTCCACTGCACTCGGGATTGTCTTCGGCGTGCACAACAGAAGTGAGTTTGAGTTCCCACTCCCCAAGCTACTCCTGGGCGCCTATTTTAAGCCCCCTTCTTACTCCACGCTTCGCAGCCCCTGTGAGTGGGACGTGTGATCCCAAACCGGCACTGGCCAAACGATTGAACGGCCCGCGTTTTCTGACGCCGTTCGTGGGCCAGAGATCTGCGGCCCGAGGTTTTCTTGTTAATCGGGAATCGTCCATGGGCCATGTAGCATTGCACACCTGCAGCCCCCGAACCCTGATCTTTGTTCAAGGCCTCTAGATACGGAGACGGGCGTATCGAAATAACGTCAACAAGAATCCATTCATTTCGCAGACGATGGTACTTAATACATACAGAGCAAGAGCGAGACGATTAGTGGGTGGGTGTCCATGCAAACTATGCGAAAGCGTCAGACCATAGTAAAAGGGAAGAAAGAACCTAGAAATACAACGGATATCGCGGGCGAACGCGACGATTAGAGCATGCAAGACAATCCAAGGAAGGGAGAAAAGCAACTGAAAGGGCAAAAACCCCAATAGCCCATTATACACACAAATTCCCGACCAGCCGGCAATGAGCGATGGTCTAGGAAAGCCCACGCTGTCGTCGGTCCACCATCCCGTACTCGACAACTCCCTGTGTCGTACCCACGTACAGCGACTTCCCAGTCGGGGAGAAGCATACACCAGCAATATGTAGGTCCTCCTCGTACTCGAATTCGGGTGACGAGAATCGGTACCCGTTGAAAATGGTCGAGTTGGGTAAACGGGCAGGTATGCGTTCAGGCACCGGGGGAGTCGAGGGTGAAGCTGAAGCCTGAGGAACTTCTTGAGGAACAGGCGTTGGAGAATGGTGGTCTTGCTCATCCTGATCATTGTCATCGTTGTCGTCGTCGTCGTCACTGCTTTCGTCATCCCAGAGAGGCATCGAATACGCTCCAGGCGGTAAACCAATGGGCACTTGATCAGGTACGGGGTTGAATGAATATGTGTATGTCGAGATGGCGTTGACCACAGGGGGGAGGTCCAGGTGGATGAGGTCAAGCGGCGCGTCGAGGGGATCCGATACTGACATGATAGGCGGCGAAGGCGGAGGAGGCTCGCTCATCGTCGTCGGCACATGAATCACAGCCTCTTCCTCAAACGTCTTCCCATCGACAAGGTGAATGAGCGAGGTATGTTCTGCGAAGACGAGCGTCTCGTTCAGACCGTTCTCATCACCTCCGAACTTCACGTTTCGGACGCTCCATGATGGCGCGGTGTTGACAAACCAATGCGACGGGTCCCACGAGATCCAGCCAGCGGGCGAGGCTCCCAAGCCACCTGCCCCCATCCCTCGCATCTTGTCCACCTGGAACACCTTCAGCGGTTTCGTACTCCGGATATCCCAGACCCCTACAACTCCCTCTTGTGAGCCAACAGCGTACTTGCTCCCATCCTTGGACCAGGCAGCAGCAAACGCAGCGGTGAAAGTCGATGGACGCGTCGTCGGATAGTGTGGAGGCGTGTTGGCGGGAAGAGGTAAAGGAATAGTCGCGACGGGCCGGTATGTTACACGCGAAGAGCCGCTCACATGGTGAAGATATACATTCCCCGAATCGCCGACAGTCGCAATCATCCGACCGGAAGGTGACATCGAAGCTGTGGTGGACATGAGACTTGGTTGGATGACTCAGAGACGATGTACACACCGTAGTTGATGCAAGTATCCAGCTTCAGCGCACCGACGCATTCCAACCTTGCGTTGTTCAGCCTCTCATCCTGCCAATTCTCCCTGTCGATGTGGTCATCGGCCGTGGTGGGTCTCCAATCGAGAGGCTGTCTCCGGATCGCGCAGTCGTACAGCCTGAACGTTTGGTCATTATTCGTTACGCCGACACGTGGTTCGCAGCTGCTCGAGTTGGAGCGGGTCAAAAGCACAGAGTTGTTGAGGGTTCCGCTCAGCCTGCAGTTGTATTGCCAAAGTGGCGCAGCGCCAGATGGCTGGTGGTAGGAGAGATGGAGGTTGGCTTCCCACGAACCTCCGGCAGCTAGGAGTGTGTCTTCATTGTTGTTCCCGAGAGCCATCGCTGTGAGCGAAGACGGAGGAAACATGATAGTGCGGACAAGCGTTCGTATAGGCTACGTCGCTAGGTCAGAATTGCGCGGGCCAAGAGCAAAGGTGGAGCTTACAGCGTTCGGGAGATTAAGGTTCTGCTCGACAATCTCTCTGTCCCTCACATAGGTGACCACACCTTGTTCTTGAGGACATACTATTAGGTCACGTAGTTGCCTGAAGACGTTTTAGGACGAAACTTTGAACGGTTCAGGTAGAACTCACGGATGGTCAATGGTGATTTGTGCTTGGGCGACTGCAGTCGGCTTCGCAGTGACATACGTCGTGGCTGCCATCTCGAATAGTTTGTCAGGTACTACGACGGCGACAAGATGACCAGAAGTATATCTGGTGATTCAACAACGTTCCCCTGCGGTATGGTGTGGGCAGATCAAAGTTGTTCAGATCGTCCTAGTAAGGAGGGAAGTCAAGGCGCAAGCATGTCGATATTCGAAGAGCTTGTTCAAGCTAGGCTTTGTTCTTGAGCCACAGCGGGCGGTGTCGTGACTTGTTGGTGCCCTTGACTGTGATGGTTTCCTCCAAAATGCAATGCGGCCGGGATCCGAAGACTCAACGGGGCTGTGACCAAGTCTGATGATCGCGGCTTGGCCGCTCAGATAAGATAACACAGTTCCTTTGACAAGGTGCTGTAGTATCCCATATACAGTGGTCTGGGCGACCAGATTACCGACGGTAAATGGGTCCAGAGGCAAATTAAGGTATAAAACTCGGAGAAAGAGGCAAGTTTGAGGTGAAGATCAAAGGGGACAGAATCTTTGTTGTTTAGGGGCCTCGAAACCAAGCAAAGTGCGGCACAGAGCGGCAACTTGTGGATCGCTTTGGTCCTTGTGAAGCAAAGTTACACCTCAAAGACTTAGCCAAAGTTAAGACCGACGACTCAAGGTAAGAAGGCCGTGCTTGTATTACAAAAGTTCAGTTTCATTGAACCATGGTCTCTACTCATATATCAATGTAACCAGACAGTGAATTCACGGCTTGTTCAAGCAGCACCTCCAGCACCCGTTGTCATAAGCTGGATGAGAAATCTCGTTGCATGGGGTGAATTGAATGTAGCAGTTGCGATTGCATTGGAACTGTGGAGGCACGGTTCCCGATTGAGGGAGTGCAGAAGCACTGGCGATGATGGTGGTTAAAGTCAAGAGGACCAACTTGCTGAAGAAGACCATGCTGCTGCAGATTACAGACTGTGAGCCCTTCTGAGGCGACGGAGCTGGGGGGACTGACCTTGTGGAAAAGATTGAGAGGGTAGAGAGACAATAGGCCACTTTCTGGGCCTATAAGGAGTGGCAGGTCGCACTTGCGGATACAAGAGGCGATAGAGAAGCTTAAGACATCTTCGGTGCGCAAACTCCACCGGTATACATACGTACCTTCTGATAATACCACAGCGGCGCAGCCCCATCAACCCAGAGGTCCGAGACGCTCAGAAAGGTTAGGCTAGAAAAAGACCACCATTAAACCAAGTAAATACATAGTCCATGTGTCTAGGTAAACTCCTAGTTATGAGTACTACCGACGGCTCATCCTCAGATAAAGGAAATATGATACCCCAGCTGCCACAGCTGCGAACCCGGTCACGGAGCCCACCACAACTCCAATGATCTTCTCCAGTGACATCTCCCCTTGTTCTGGAAGTTCTCCTCTCCCGTTTCCAATATTCCAGTCGCTCGAGGCCTCTGTTGGCGAAGGAGCCGTGGTCGGCGTAGTTCCGAGTTGAGAGCCCGACGAACGAGTCGGGGATAGACTGGGCGACGGAAGGGTGGGTGAGATTGGGGAGTCGGGTGCAGACCCAGTTGAACTTGGAAGGCCTGATTCGACTTCGGTGGAGGATGTGGCCGAAGGCGCTGGAGAAGGCACCCCTGCTGCCGGAGGGAAAGCGGCGTCTATGAGCTTCTCGAGTGATGCTCGTTGGAACACGGCAGAGCAAGGATCCGTATCGAAGATGGCCTGGTCCTATTCATTGACCGCACGTCGCCAATCAGCACAAAACGCTCATCTAGTGTATCCAAAAAGAAAACGTCCTGCTCACCCGTTCAACGTCATTGGAGAACCTCGCCTCGTGACATAGGGCCAAGAGTGCGAGTTTATTCGACCACTCGCTCTGCTCAATCGCAGCTTTTGCCAGGATGTTTGCCTTCTCCGCCGCGGCGTACGACTTGATAGCCCAGGCTCCAAACACGAAGGCAGCGATGATGGTGACGAGCTGCAGGACCACGTTCATAATCACGTTCCATTTGACGAGGAACTGGAAGAGAGGGCTATCGTCGGAACACGGCGCGTATTGAAGAGGCAAACTTCGAGAACTTGAGGAAGTGTTGGGTCCTTCCCGGCACTTCAGGCTGGCATGGCAGTCGCGACAGTGATCTGGAGGCGTGTTGAAGTGGCCGCTGATATGTGCTAGGTCTTGGTTCCATTGTCCCTTTTCGTTCCCGTAGTCTGTGTGAATCGAGGACGACCTTGCAAATCTGGGAGGTGAGGCCTGAGGGTTCAGATGGTAATTGATACTTCTACGAAGGCTGCTTACACAGCTGTTGTTGTTTTCGGCGGAAGTCTGGCGTGCTCGTCAATTCAACCTGACTGTGATCTCTGCATCGCGTATACGTACGACTGGGAGTTTGACGACGTATCTGATAGTTGAGAATCTGAAGAACCGACGGGTCTGAGAGGGGAATGTTAATGAGTACTTGAGTGGTCACACCCAGCTGTCAGGACGGAACGCCCTTACATTGGCGGCGGTCGAAGTTTCTCCTGTTGCTCATGCCCAAGGTCCTTTCTTGCATCGGTAAGGGTCCAAATGTCTCCTCGAGAACTATTTGGGACACTCACTCTGACGGGGAGTGCCCATCTGCAACCAGAGGCAGCTGCCAAGAGGCTCTAATCAACGGGAACGTCAGTTGTCGAGACTTGTATATAGAATAGACATCACTTACAAAGGGGTTTTGCAGGACTGTGCCATGTCTTGGTGAGTTTCCTGAGGGCAGAAGGCAAGAGACGTTGCGGATGCTGACGACGTGAATGCATTTTAGATTCCGGTTGTCAGGGACCATATTGTTGCGGTGCCTTTTCGACCAATAGATTTTAGGCGCCGAGCGCCGACGTGATTGCCATCATAGACCTTCGCCTGCCTGATGGGTTGGGCGTGTCGATAAGTTGCAACATTATTACTGTAGCATTGGGCTCCGATAACACACTGGTAACATGGCTTGAGGACGGAAACCCACTCCATTGCATGCGCGCTAAGACAGAGGTGAGGAGTAGAAGAGACCAACTTAAAAACCGACCTCATCGAGGTTCGAACACGGCCCTGCGTCTGCCTCGGCAGTTACCGAAGTCCCCAGGGTTCAACCCGGCTAGCGCCAAGGGCGCCTTTTTCTTCAACTTCCACCACCACTTTTTGCTTGACGACGCCAGATAATTGCATGTGTGTTCAGAAGGTGATATTAAACGCTGCTGTGTGGACCCATGGTTACGTCGCTGAAGACTACTCGCACATCCAGTAGCGACACTGTAGAACGACGGCGACTGAGCGCTTTACAAGGTACGAAAACAAAGCTGTGAGCAGCATATTGTACTTGCTTGCGTGCTGACTTCAGTGCTGTAGACTCATTTGACGCCCACAACCTCGACAAGCAGCTTCGAGCCACCCGGCTTACCTCCTGCCGTTCATATTTCACGGCGCCTATTGGAGTCCCGAAACAATACCGTGCACACATGTGTTAGCCTGATGAAAAGGGTGGATGAACAAACCCCGAACCACTCGACGTACTGGAATCAACAATAGTGGTTGCTTGTGATAATTGTGGCTCTGAATAGAATGGGATTGACGGCTTGTCTACGATAGAGAAGATCCTGTTTGCAACCGCTCAGCAACGGACGAGAGCGCAGCTGGACAATGCACTACGGGTTAGCTGCCTTGCGACCACCCTTCTTGACAGTATTGCTGCTGACCGACTACTCGGCTCAAACAACGCGTCTTTCATGCCTGTATAGCCTTCATGTGCTCCCTCTAATAGTATAAAGAGGCCTGAAGCCACCACGTCGATTGCCAGCAACCAACCTCCCAAATACTCCCTGTCTCGGTCTTCGACTTTTATCTTCCCTTCAAACATGTGCAAAATCTACTACGCAACGTTCGAGGTCTCTCCCGGGGAATCCACTACCTTGACACTCCCCGATAGCGCACATGTAAGTCTCTCCGTTCCCTTTGTTCGCTTGTCGCGATTCGCGATCGGCTTCGACGTTCAACGTTCAACTTCATTCGCAGGACATTTGCCAATCCGAGTCCTGCCGTGGTAGCATGCAACATCGACAACGGGAGCCCCACAATTGCTGGAGTGTGCAGCCCCCATGCTCAAAGTGAGGCTTTAAACTCTATCCCACACTTCTGACTGCTCTTTGCTAATCTGTTGGCCAGGCCGTTGTACGTCGAGGTCAAACCTTCGGTGAACGAAGATGAACTCGTGGCTGAGTTCGAGGACTGTGTTACCAATCAACGTGTGCTCGAGGCGTAGGCGTCTCGCTTTGAGGCGTAACGACGCCAAACATGAACGACATTCTCGGAGGCCTCCCTGGACGAGACTTTCCTGCAACGATTCCAGTGAAACTATGATCTAGAACAAGGACAATTCCATTAACGCATGCCCTCACCCGGCTTCTCTCCTATGTTTGTGCACGACTAGACTTTGGCTACATATATTCCACGTATCATAACATTCTCAACATTTTAATACCGAATCCGCAGTAATTCTTTAAATAGTCTCAGACATGTCAAGTACAGCTCGAAACGTATGCATTTGTGGCGCAGTTATGAGCAATTCTTCTCCAGTCAGTCCCGCAGAATCGATAGCTGTAATTCACCTAGAGGAATCGCGGGCAGCCAGGTCTGAATTTGCTCTTCCAACATCCACAGCCAAGTATCCGTCTCTTGAAGACCTTTAACCTTCCTAAGGTCCAGCACTAGGGTGTGCCACTTGGGGAACCTCGTGGCCTTGTCCGCTTGAAGAACATCCGAAAGCCGCCACCAGTCGATAGCGAATTGCATTGCGGATATGAAATCGAGAGGATCAACGTACTTGAGAGCTTCCAACACTTCGTTGTCGGGATTTTCATCGTGGCCGTCCTGTGTAGTGGTAATGGTAGGGGCATTCAAGAAAGAGATCGTGACGGTTTCGAGATCGTTCAAGACGGCTGGCTGGCTTTGTTCGAGCGCCCAGGCAATGGTATCTGGCGTAGCCGCTCCGAGATATTGAATAAACTCGACATGCTTGAAGGGCGTCATTAACAGCGAGGTATACGCCGTTCGAATATCCTGGGCGACTGCGAGGATCTGTCAGCCATTCATTCAAACCAAGGTAATTTTGAAAGAACTGACAGGCACTAGCTGGGATCCGAATGTGTGATAAATTGGGAGCCTTAAGGGTTTGCAAGTGTGCAAGGAATTGCTGTGTCGGGTCCCGGCTGAGCGACGAGCCTTCCAAGTCTAGTGTTTCGAGCAGCGGGAATTGTGGCTTGAAAGGTCGCTGACCAGGGAGTGCCAGGAGATATTGGATGGCGTCCACGGCGGAAGTGCCTGCATCCGTTTTGAGCACTTGTACATTGAAGTCGATTGGGATGGGCTCCGTTGAAGTGCCAGGATGAGTGTCATCGTTCGAGGTAGAGGTGAGGTCCACCATGTCTTGATCTGTATCAGAGGTTGGCGGGGCTATGCCCAACTCAACCATCCATGGCGCTCGATACGAATCCCGAATGTCTCCTACCGTAGTCGACCCTTCATTTCCAGCACCGACGCTCAACTCGAGGTGTACTAAGTTCGGGGAAAGAACACGATTAAAGGAAGCAAATGGAAAGTAAACACCGCGGATGGAAAGGGATTTAAGCTGGGGGCTTGAGACCGCCAGCTCAATGGTTGTCCTGAAGACTGGTGAGCATTCCGACCACGCACGCCCTTCTGATGCGGAAAGTGTGATTTCATCGAGGGAGGACACCAACTCTCGAATAAAGGCCGTGGGTACCTCGATGGCTAGCTCAGCTCCGTGCGAGCCAACAGCGTTGTCGATGAATGATAAGGACTTTATCATATCGAGGCGGGGAGATGGGATGGACTTGGACAGGCCATCCCCATTGGCCATCGAGGGTCCTGTGAGCGCTTGTAATTCTTCAATCTGGTGCGGCTTTGTGACCACGATACGATGGAGGATTTGGGCCAGCGTGTAGCCACGAAATATGCGGTTAACGAGGGAGCAGTTGACCACATCCTGTGTTCTGAACGGGGGGAAGTCGTAATCGAATGATGAGAGAAGGATCCGAGGAGGATCAGTGCGGAGCCGCAAGCCGAATTCACAGCAGCGCTGTGTATGGATGGAAGGGACGCCCCTGAAGACGTAGTCCAGGATGCGATAGACTATTTCGGGAGGGAAAGATGGGTGGTTACTTGATCCCATGGCCGGTACTGAGCCTCCTATTTGTTGTGATCACTGAGCTTCATGGGATGGGCGCTCGCCTTACCTTGCTCGCGAGCCGTGAAGTTGAAGCTGATAAAGGCTTGAAATGCTGGATGAGGGAGAAATCTGGCTAAACGTTGTGCAAAAAGGGATAGTAAGGAATAAAAGTGGGGCTGTAAGAGTGCATCACAAACGGTGTCGCCCACCGCTTGAATGTGATGGTTGACAGCTTTTAGCTTTGGTTGTGCATATTTGTTTCACAAGGTGGCTGGGTTAAGCGCCCGTGGGTTCGCAAATCTCAGGGTCGTTAACGACCTGGAGCAGCAACAAAGTGTGTCTTTCTGCCGCTTTCGGCGTTACTGTCACACGCGATACAACGATAGTATTCACAGGCTTTACAGCAAAAGCTGCTGCAGTGGCGCTCATCCACCTCAGGGAGGCTGTGGTCGGCAGTGCCAACTTGGTTCCTGTCCAATAAATCAGATTCTTTGATAAGGAGACCTATCAACCTTCAAAAGGCCGGCTTTACCATGGCCTCTTCCAAGATAGAATTCCTTGAAACGAGCCCTCCCCTTCCTCGTACCGCCAACCAATTTGCACCCTGACATGGCGGCTCCTAGCAGTATCTTTCACCAGGCCAGCCAATTCCAAGTGCACCATTCACAGTTCAACAACGCACGCACCATCTACAATATTTCACGGAACGACAATGGTAGCTACCTACCTTCTAGGCTCAGTCGCCGTCAATCGTGGCTGACACTGCTAACTTGACAGAACCTTTGCCCATTCTGAGGCTACTCCGGCACTGCACGATAGAGGCGACGCACGAATCATCAACTGCAACATATGCGCCCAAGTGCAAGCCGGGGACACGGCTCCAGGTTATCGGCGACATTCAAAGCACAATATCTGACGTCAAGCCTCTAGTATGGGTCTCAGGGCCTGCTGGAGGTGGCAAGACGTGTATTCAGAGAGAGGTCGCTCGAAGAGCTCAAGAATATGGCGACTTGGCAGCATCCTTCTTCTTCTCTACCAGGGTTCCGAAGCTGGACAACGAAACGTCATTTGTTGCAACCATCGCATACCAGCTTACGAAGACACTGCCTGGCTACAAGGAGGTACTGGTGCAGGCACTATCGGACCACCCAGGCGTATTTGAAGAATCGTTGGATGTCCAACTTGACGTCCTCATTCTCCGGCCGCTTTCACAGCTGGAGATTGATTTACGAAGATCTCCACGACTCATCACAATTGACGGCCTGGACGAATGTCGTGATGCCAAAGAGCAGAGACATCTCCTACATGTTCTCCATACCCTTGCAACCAACCCATATTATCAATTTCGTATCGCTGTGTCAAGTCGCCCAGAGTACGACATCCGGACGGTCTTCTCAGGGGAGCTATTGGGACCTATAACAGCAGTCATTCGCTTGGAGAAATACGACGGAAGCAACGATATACGAATCTATCTGATCGACGAGTTTGCGAGGATAAGGGAGGAGCATCCATGCAGAGCCTCAATCCCCGAATCCTGGCTAACAGAAGAAGTCCTGGAGATTCTCGTCAAGAAAGCCTCATCGCAATTCATATTCGCATCGACTGTCGTTAAATACATCGGCAACCCGCGACGGAACCCCATCAAGTCCTTGAAACTCGTATTGGAGTGCACAAAGGACACGGGCGATAGTCACCCTTTTGCAGACCTCGACACACTTTACCGACTCATACTCCACCCCCAGTCTGTGTCCGTTGACCTTTTGCGGCGGTTGCTCCACTTTATACTCGAGCTCTCAGGCATGCAAGAAGGTGCCCTCGTCGATGGCCACGCACCTGGATACCCAAGCCTAATTGATGAATTCCTCGGACTCGATCCAGGCACCACAGAACTCACTTTCTGCGACCTCCACTCTGTGATCTCAATACCAATCAGCTATAGCGGTCGGTATATCAGTTTCCATCACAAGAGCATGGAAGATTTCCTTCGTTCCCAAGAGCGCGCGGGAGACTTGTACCAGCCGGACGAAACCACCCATCTTGACATCGCCGAAAGATGCGTTCACCACTTGCAAGAGTGGTACTCCAGTCTCGGGAAGGGCCCTTTCCGTCATACAGTTAACCTGTCGTTCTCAGCCAGGTATTGGGCGACTTACATGATGAAGATTACGAATGGTAGACCCCTCGTTGGATCGGTGCCTTTGCTCCATTTCAACCCAACCATCCCCATCGTCGTCCAAGCATCGTTTCTAGCGACCCCGTCTGACAGAATGTCAAGAGCCGAGAGGTTGTTTGCATCGTTCAAGGTCCTACGGGAGGGAATCCATAGAACTACGGTAAGTAGTTCGTTTGGAACTGGTCTGATTTTTTTTTTTGAGAACTTAGCTTTTTGGCTTCAGTGTAAAGGCCGCCACCGGTGCATACCGTTATGCAAGAGCCTCCAAAACGTCTGCCACCGGAAGGACAGGATGGTTTGCATGGTTTCGACGGAGAACTTTCGGGGCATCATGTCTGACAAAGAGGCCATCGGGCTCTGGGAGGAGTTACAAGACGAATGTACTCGTCACCGTGGCTGGCTCAGAAGGATATTCTTGGGAACGTAGCTCTCTTGACGCTATCCTGTTTTCGTCTCTTGCCAAGTCCCAAATTTGAATCCTATCATCTCTTACAACCAATATTCAGCGGCGGAAGCAAGACTCCGTCAAAGATACACACTCAGATTCTTGGAGCACTGAATCCCGAGTGATATATCAAAGTCGTGGCCCGACATCCAGGCCTCAGGTGTAATTCACCGCGACTCACAGGTCGCTGATGGTCAAAATGCCAAATATGGATGCTAATTACCCCTTTCGGGCGACAATCGCGTCGCGCCAAGCCGCGGGGATTGGACAATCGAGGTGACATTCAGAGGTGATTTGTGAGAGGATAGGCAGTCGAAGACCTCGTAGATCATACCGGACAAGGGATAAAGGTCCATAGAATGACGCAACACCGTACAACTAAGGAGGGACTCCCCTTTGACGAACACGAGGCAGGAGCGGGGAACCCGATACGCTCGTCATAAGCACCGGTAAGTCCGCCAGGATTCCGACATACCGCGGTCATATCCCATTGTAACCTTCTATACCAAGCAAGGGAGAGATGAACTTGACAAAGGCCACACCCCTCATTCAACGACCAGAAAGACTAAAAGCCCCGGTCTTGTGCGTCCGAATGTAACGTCGTAAAGATCAGCTTCGCCATCACTCAGGGTCCACGCCTAATTATCCATTGTTCGTCGCGCTCGTCCGGGAATATCACGGTTCCAAGGCGAGTGGCCTTTGTTAAACGTTCAGCAGTTACTGGCTTCTGAGCGGGTTCTTCCTGGTATAAAGAAGCGCGTAACTGAGTTCTGAGTCTTCCCAACACCGTCACTCCCGACTTTGCTCTCCAATACCCAACGTTCGACACTACAAACCACCTTCATTTCAATCTCTCATCAACATGTGCTGGTGGTGGTGCCATAAATACGAACACACCCGATGCTACCACATCATCATGGGGCCTGGTCAGCTGGTACGTCCTTCACTCGGTATCACCTTGAAGTGAACATTGCACTCACTATCTTTCTCCTACCAGAGGATCTGCGAGGACGACTACCGCTGCCGTGCCCATGCCAACCACGTCCCCTACCTCGGTGAACACAACTGCGACAGCCGCGGATGCCCCAAGCCTGGGTAAGCACCCCTTCCTCCATCTCATCTTCTCGCAGTTTCAACTTACATTCTCTTGCAGAGGCACTCGTGAGGACCCCGTCCTGAAAGAGATTGTCATCGTCAAAGATCTCTGCGCACGTTGCAAAGAGAAACTCAGCAAGTCGGGCCTAGGACCGGCGCAACACTAGTGTCATCATCTCGGCAACTGTGACGACCATTATCTAACTGCTATTTATCCTCATTGCATCACTTTACACTATCTATACCCTTCGAGCATTCCCCATCCTCCTCATTTCACACAACAGCATTTTCTTGTATGTAGCAATAGCATTTCCCTGCCTCACCCTCATCGATACTGTATTTTATAATAGTCCTCCCTCGAATCAACGAACCGACGTCTTGACTCTTGGCTTCGTCGGGATTGGTATCCATCAACCCAGGAAATGAAAGAGTTAATTGTCATAGCGATCTATGAAGGTCTAGGTTAAATGCGCATAGATAGTCGAGAAACTATTGTACACCGCCCGGCACCGACAAACGGGCGAACCAAAAGGGAGGTAAATAAAGTACACAACTAGATGGAGTAGTTGATAGCGTAATGGCTAGGGTTACATACAAATGTAGATGAAAACGAAAGCAATGCAAAAGATGAAAATCAAGTCATAAAATCGTCAAATGTCATGTCCAAAGTGGAGCTCTCCATAGCTCTTTTCCACCCCTCTCACAACAAATCAACCACACTCTCCAACACAACCTTGGGCATAAGCAACAACCTCTCCTCATACACCGCTTCCGGTTTCTGCTGCTGTCCACTCCCACTCCCACTCCCACCCGCCTGCCCCTGCCCACCCGCAGCAGTCGCAGAACCCACACTCAACAACCCCCCATTCCCAGACGGCGTCCTTACAACAGGCGAAGGCGGCGGACCACGCATCCCAACTCTCGTCCGACACGCCAACCCAATCTCAACACACCCAAGCACCTTCCCTCCCTGCGCCTTCCCACCACCACCAACTTGAACATGTCCAACGTTGGTAACGCCAGGAACACCACTCCCAAACCCACCCATACTCGAAAACGCATCACTCATCCCTCCCCGGATGAACGACCTCCCGAATTCGGGGATGACAAGGTCGAAACTCGTACTGAGAATATCCTGCCGAAGCACATTCTCAAGCGTCGTCAGCGCCTTGGTGATATGCGTCAACTGTTGCAGAAGCGTCGACCGCGAATGGAGAGTCTGGGGCGTAAGCGGGAGCGAGACGACGGGCGTTGAGGCGCCCGAGCCCGAGATCGGCGGCGTGGCGGAGCCTGCGTTGGGTGCTTGCGCCGGCGAGAGATGCGAGAGCTGGTGGCTGGAGTTGGGTGTGACGGGTGTTGAAGGGCTGCCTCCGCATTCGAAACTCCCGCATCCGGCGAGGACAAGGACGTCGTATGTCCATCTCAAAATCGTCTCCGCCAGCTCACTTGCCGAGTAGGCGGAGAGCGTTGGATAGATCTGGTGGATATGCGTGTGCGTCAGGGACCTCCACTTGGCCGAAGTCGGTTGAGGCTCTACAAATCATCACCAGGTTAGCTCTAACCCAACCTCAGAAACGGAAAGCCGAATGAACACTCACCAAACTCCCTCAAACTCCTATAAATCACAGCCAAAACACCATCACTCTTCCCCGGCAACCCCAAGCAAAAGCTCTCCCAAGCCTTCTTCGCAGCAACACACACAAGCGTCTGCAACGCCAACTGCACAAGAATCGGATCATTCGAATGATCATAACTCGCCAACAGGTTGGTCAACGCCGCTCCAAGACGCGGTAGAGTATCATTATACGACCTCGAACCCTTGAGAGAGGGGTCCAACTTGGCAGCTAGACGCGCCGCTACGCTGTCATTCGCCCCGCCCATAGTAGTCGTCGTTCCAGAGCTCGAACTGGTGGAGGACGAACCGCTGGAGGAAGCAGGAGGGGGAGGTACAACCCCCGCATCAACAGGGCTCACACCAACACTCGCGCACACCTCCCGACTCACGAACCGACACATCTCAGTCGCACTCGCCGCAAACTGCAAAATCTGCGAATTGATATCATGCACAGCTTGGATGACCTGTGCCCCGCTCCACGTATCCGTACGCGTCAGGAAGGTCTCGGAACTGCGGTGTTGGGCGAGGTGCTCGGTTAGGGTCGAGGTCATAGGGTTCACTGAGACCGAAGGCGTGCGGATAGGGTTGGTCGTTGTTCGCGTCATTTGGTTAGGAGTGGGTGAGGTGGCCTTGAGGTGGGTGGTGGATGTTGTAACCGAGAGAGTGGGCACGCCGGGACGGATGGGGATGGCAGATGTAGATTTGGAAGGGGCGATAGGAGGGGGCGACGCAACAGCAGGAACAGGCAGCACAATGCCATTCCCAACTCGCGGTGTAGGCAGCTCTGCGTGATTGGAAGGCGTAGGAGTGGTATCCGCCGTCGGGGCAGACAAGACACCGGTCGCCAGCGTCATCCCGTTCACAGCAGTCGAAATCGAGGAATCATCATCCACCACCTTCCGTTCAGACCTGGAAGATCTCGACGAACCATCCGATGACGCGACAGACGACGGCCCTGACCCAGAGGAACTCGACGAAGGCGCAGCATGTCGATGTCGCCCATTAGGATTCGCACCATTGATGAACGACGAAGTAGGCGCCGAAGTGGACAACGACGGCGAACCCCGTCCACTCCCGCTCCCATTCGACTGCAAATCCAACGAACTATGTCTCGAATGCACTCGGCGACCAGGCGACGATGTCCCGGACCCTCCCGACGATCCATGCGTTCCCCGGTGCGACCGCTGCACCCCAGGCGAAATACTCGCTCGCCTCCTCAACTCCGTCAAATGGGGCGACTCGCCCTCCTGCGCGTCGTGGTCAGATTGCTGGTCATGTCGCTTTTGGTGGTGATGAGACTGATGCGGGTGGTTCTGCACCATCGTCGCACTCCTCTTCCTCGAACTCCCGCTCCGACTACTACTCGTACTCCCGTTCAACTGCTCCTCACGGCCGAGATCTTCACTGCCCTGCCAACTCCTACTCACACCACCTGTTTCCCCTCCCTCGTTTCTCTCCTTCTGCCTTTCCCTTTCACGCTCCTTCTCTCTCTCCCTCTCCCTCTCCTTCTTCTCCCTTTCCCTCTCCCTCTCCCTCCTAGCCCTCAACTCACTCTCCAACCTCCTAACCTCTCCATCCTTCTCCTTCATCTCAATCTCCCGCGTCCTCAACTGCGCCTCCAACACCCTAATCGTCGACTCCAACTTCATAACCGCCGCACTCGACGACGACGAGCCTTCACCCACACGTACCGTGCCCGACCTACTCAACCCAGCCCCCGTGCCTTTCGAAAGTAGGGAACTAAACGTCGACGTGTTGGGGTTATTGTTCAATGCAGAGTGGTGCGGGAGCGCCGCGGCACGGTGCGACGCACTCGAAGCTGCGTTGGAGAACGTCGATGACCTCGCTCGTCCGCCAAAATTATGGCTTGTCGTTCCATTCGCCACGCTCTTGGGTAGGCTCGTGCCGCTCCAATAGCCTCCCCCGCCCACACCGGGACTTGGACTACCATACTCACTTCCCGCTCTGGAGCTACTCCTACTCCTACTCCCCGTCCCGCCCCCACTAACCACACTCCCACCGGCACTCGCAGCCCTCGAACTCGAGGCACAAATACAACTCAAACTCTCCTCCCTCAAACTCCTCACTTCCTCTTCCAACCCGCGCATCTCATCGTTCCGTTTCTGGATATGCAGTTCCCTCCTCCTGATATCCTCCTCCCGTGCTCTCAACAGCTCCTCCCTCTTCCTAACCCCCTCTTCAAACGCCCTAACCTCCTCCTCACGCACTCTAAACTCCTCCTCCCTGGCCCTAATCTCCTCATCCCTCATCCTAATCTCCTCATCCCTCGCACGCAGCTCATTATCCCTCCGTCCCAACACCCCCTCCACACTCCTCAACTCATTCTCCTTGGTTCGCAACTCGGCTTTGAGCTCACCCTCCCTCGTCTTCAGCTCGTTCTCTTTCGAACGTAGTTCGCTTTTGAGCTCGCTTTCCCGAGATTTGAACCTCGCCTGTGTCTCTTTGAGCATCTTTTCGAGTTGGCGGGAGCGGTCTTCGAGGTACTTGGCGCGTTCCTCAAAGTATTTCGTGCGTTCGTCGATGGGTGGTGGGGAGGTGGGGTATCTCGTCGTCGTAGCAGCGGAAGTGGAGGTGGGAACGGTGGTAGAAGGCCGATCATCCGGTATCGACACAAAAGCAGAGTAGGGATTCGCCTGCTGTCGAGCCCTCTCTTCCATCATCCTGGCCCTCTCCACTCGTTCTTCCAACGTCGTACTCCGACTATGCGTAGCACGTTCTGCAGTACCCCTCTCCCCCGACCCTGACCCTGACCCCGCCGTCGGTCCCCCAGCCCAAGGCTGCGTCGTCGACGGCCGGACAACTCCCATCCCGCCTAGATGATCCTCGATTAACCGTGATGGACCGTACGTGTATGCGTCGAGTGTTATAGCGCCTTAATCAATCCCCCCGAAAACAGGGTTAGTAAAGAGCGTGTAGCCGTGAAGTTGAAGATGGGACGTACCGTTACCGCCAGAAGAAGCGGGTAGAGGAACGGTATTGTGCCGCATATTCGGTAAACTGGGTAACCTCTTCCCGCTCCGCCCGCCATTATCGATGCTCTCCCTCCTCCTCTCGCTTCTCTCAGCCCTCTCATGCTCTCTTTCTCGTTCCCTATCCCTGTCTCTATCTCTGTCTCTGTCTCTCTCCCGATCCCTATCCCTGTCACGTTCCCGCTCTCGCGTCTTTGTAGGACTACTAGTATGCGTCGCCTTGGCCGGACTCGTCATATACCCACTCAACGTCCCCTGATTCGTATAACTAGCCGATACACCACCCATCCCCATCCCCATCCCCATATTCCCCGAACCCGACGCATGAGCAGCGTCACCATAACTATTCGTCGCCGCCGTATTATTAGTCGAAATCGGAGCTGTCGCCGTAGAAGTGTAAACGGTGTTCATGTACCCGTTCGTTGTGGCATACAGATCCCTCTCCCTCTCGCGTTCTCGTTCCCGGTACTCCCTCTCAATCTCCCTTTCCCTTTCACGCTCCTTCTCCTTCTCCCTCTCACGCTCCCTCTCCTTCTCGCGTCGCCCACTACTCCTCAGACTCATGATCTCCGTCAAGATAGACGACGAAAGCGAGATGGAAGGCAGTTGTGGCAGTGGTAAAAACGGAGGCCCGCTTGTCGTTGTCTTAGTCGTAGTTGTGGTTGATGTACTCGTAGTTGTACTCGCAGTCGCCTCGTTGGTCCCTTCCAAAGACGAAGCCGGTGGCGAAATAGAAATGATAGGTTCCGCAACAACCGGTGACGTAGAAACTGAAGGTTCTGCTGTAGTCGAAACTGATGTGGATATAACTGGCGTCGCAACCGACGTAGAAATCCCCAAAGGCAAATTCAAGCCTTCACTAAACGCAGAATGCAACCGCCCAATAAACTCCTTTGTCGAAGCCGAAGTCGAACTCGCGATGGAGGAAGGTGTGACGGCAGTGGTGATGGTCGATCGTAACTCGTCGATCGATGTCGTGGTAGCTGAAGTAACTGTGGGTGCAGATGTAGTTGGTGTAGGCGAGCGTGTTGGGATTTGTCGTGGTTCTGATTTAGTGGGTGTTGTGGTAGTATTATGTGTAGTCGTAGATGTCGTTGAAGTGGATGTAGGTAGAGTCGAAGTAGATGCAGAAGATGATTCCGATGTCGAGGTCGAATGGGCGGCAGTAGACGCAACAGGCGTAGCAGTCGAAACAGACCTAGAAGGCACAACCCAATCCAAAGCACTACTCAGCACCGAAGTAAACCCTCCCCCAATACTAACGCGCTTCTTCCAACTAGAGGGTGCTTTCGGAGGTGTACTGGTCGTCCCACTATTCGCAGGTGCAGGAACACTCGAAGCAAGCGTCGCACTCCTCCTCCTACTCTTACTCGAAGTCGGCGTCGAAGTCCTAGTCGAACTCGGCGAACGCGAACGTGAACCTAAACCGTGACTGACGTTCGAATTCGAATCGCGATTATCGAAAGCTCCGGTGGTGGCGCAATGGCTGTCCTCGCTCCAACTTTCCCGAGACCCTCTCCCTCCTTCAGGATCAACCGTCCAACTAGCAGTAGCACTCGCAGGCGACGACTCGACCGGATCTTGATCAGCCAACATCGACATCAACGCCAAACCAGCAAGAAATCAAAACGTGTAAGCATATCGTTCGAGGGTACAGCGAAGGGACTTACTTGGAGATGGAGATGTTGAATGGGAATTATCTGAACTCCCCGAAGTAGAGACAAGACGAGTGATGCGGTGAACCCAGGAAGATGGACCGCTGTTTGAGGTAGCCGAGCTTGAGCGTCGGTGGAGACCGTGACGGATCCGTAGAGTATTCGATGGCGAACTCCGGGTGTTAAACGAAAATGCACTGGGACTTGCAGATAACTGAGGTGGCGAAAGTGATGGGTTAGGGGTAGTTGAAGGTAAAGAATGTGCTGGTGGTGTGGTAGTCTGAGCCTGAGCCTGAAGAAGGCCGATAGCTATCGGAGGCGTGGGTGTACGTGTCGGGGTCGGAGTCGAAGTCGAGCCGAACGAGCTAGACGATGACGAGGAAGGTCCAGACGACGACGACGACGAAGACTCGGAAAGAGTATAGTCAAACTGGACACCGTCTACCTCGAAGATATCACGTTCCCTGTCTCCTTCCGTGCCCTCAATCCCAATCCCAAGATGACTGTGGTCGACCTCCTCCTCCTCCCTGTGCTTCTCGTTGTCCTCTGGTTTGTCGGTTAACGAAGCGAGCGGTGCTGGTGACGTCGAGGGTGGTGCCGGTACCTGGCGGTGTCGTGGCTGGTGGTGGAGGTGCTGGACACCTATCGACCCAGAAAACATATAAGCCCCTCGCGTTCACAGAACGCCGATGATATATGTACGCAAACGAAATTAAACGGAGTAACAAGCGAGGGAAAGGTGAAGAACGCGTGGAGGCCTAGAGGCAGACGCTGGAGGTGGTGTGTGACGAAGGGATAACAAAGTTTATGAACCGATGAAGGACGTAAAGGGTCTTTTCTTCGTTTGGCGACGACCCTGGATCAGGATCCGCGACGACCAAACTTCAAAAGCGAATGAAAGTGAAGTGAAGGAAGAATGAAGTAAAGTGAACTAAGCAGAGAAATAACCAACGCACCTAAATCCGTCTGTCCAAATCCAAACAAAGAACCTCTCTCTCCTTTTCCTTCAACGACTCCTCTTGGCGGGGTTAACGAGCGCCGAGCAAAACCTTCAAGTCCTTCTTCTTCTTCCTCTACAACTTCAAGACTCGAGAAACTCGCGTTTACAACGTTCCCTAAACTCTCCTCGACAGGTACAGATGTAGTAGGTCTACAAGCAACCCTGGATGAACACTCCTCCTCCTTGGGTATCACACAACCTTCCAAAAGCGATTCCTCGTTATTTGTGCTCGGCCTCGTGCTGATGTCTTCACTTTCGCCTTCTAAATCCCTCGTGGTAGGGGTATATCCTAGACTCGCAGATCGGGTATATGACCCAGGCGTGGCCGTAGGGGTCTGGGAATCGGACTCGTTATCGGTCCTTACCTCGCTAGCGCACACAAGCGTCCCAAGTTGATGATCGCAGTTCCCTCGTTCAACTTCCCTCGTATCGTCGTAATCGTCGTCTCCGGCGGATTCGGTAGGGGGAGAATGGGATGGAGGAGAGGCGGAAAGGCGGAGAGGAGAACCTGGGCCTGAGGCCGCAGATGATGATGACGGTACGGAAGAAAAATCGAAATGTTTTGATGTCGACCTTGATGGTGTTGATTGCTCCGCCGTCAGCGCCCTCCTCTCTTCACCACCAACTCCCTCTCCCTGCTCTTGAATCCTTGTCTTTCCTACTACTACTACTCCTTCCTCCAAACCTCCAGCCATAGTGTTGGAAGTGTCGGCAACTGGAACCGTTGAAGTTGGGCTCGCCGGTACACCTGGAATTGCAGTTACGCGCTGGCCTCCTGTCCTGGTGTCTTCCGACTTCACGAGGCGGTCATACAACACCATACCACCGAACCAAGTCGAATTCAGGGGACAGCGGGCGTTAGTCGGAAGTATGTAGATTTCGGATTCCGGGCCTGCTGGGTATGTATGTTGTCGGTTATGGATGGACCGATAGCAGTGTCGTGGGTTAAGGGTACAGTGTGGTCGGCGAGTGACGAATGTGACGAACGAGAGGAGAGTCCTTGGTGGACGATGCGAAGCGAAGGGTGGGATAGGGCCTATTCTATAAAAACATCGAGGGTGCTGCGAAGCTGTAAAGATAGAAATTGAGCCACTCGTTCGTCATCCGTCAGTGCGTTCCCGATCGCACCATGGACTACTATCTATACCGGTACCCACAACGACACTAGTCACTTGGAATCAGCGAATAACAGCACCCAGCCTGCCACCGCGTTTTCGAAGTATCTGGATCCTTCAAGTTCTTGGGTACTTTGGGTCTCCGCAGTCCAGTCCGCGAATTCGAAGCTGATTGATAGAACCCCTGGCCCTGGGACCCTGACGTCGACTGTTGAGAAGGGTGTTTTAAGGACTTAGTTAGATGATGGAGGACTTGGACTCTAGAGGGCAGAGGGTGAAGGGCGGAGGCTGGAGGCTGGGAGAATTCCTGATCAAGCAAGTAGGAACCACTAAACTTCTAGAGCCGTACGTACTGTAATTGTTCGGCGACGGACGACGAATTGACAATGGTGGTTTCCAATTCGAGATCTAGTTGTGTACATCGCTTTGCGAGACTAGCGGGACCCATCAGACCTCAGACCTCCCGCCCTTCCATAGCGGTACGGTGTCCATAGCCTTCGCATCGCAATCACAGAGTAACAATCATAAAACACCGAAGCCTCCCTCAGACTCCATGGACTCGACCTCTCGAGTCTCGAAAAAAATTCAAAACACGTTCCTCCTTACCCAAATGAGAAATACTTACCTCCTACAGATTTAATTTGATCCCGCTATTGTTCCCTCGAAGATATCATCATCGCGTGAATCCCGGAGCTCGATTCCCTCAGGTATTTGGTAGGTTGTCCAGGTCGTCCTTCGCAACATAAGTACCAGGTATGTGTACAAGGCCTGTCAAGGATATGTGAAGCTTCTGTGTGTTGTGTTCCGTGCGGTTCCCCTGGGCCCGGGTAACGAAACACGTTGTCTCCGCGCGACGTCGACGTCATCGGTGTGCACGGGCGCTTAACATCTGGCAAAACTTGATGACTCGGACAGGACATATAATTAGCCTTCGTTCGTGGTGTACGAAGGCTATGTACGTTGTGGAAGGTTAATCTTACCTTTGTGGCTTTCTGTATAGCTATTCTGATATGATATGCTCTTAAAGTTGAGTACTTATCCTATGGTATTCTGATGCAAGGAGTTCATGAAGTGGATGATGGACGAGATGAGGGCTTCTGTGATGGCAAGATAAGATAACATCATTGTGATCAAGCCTTCATCCTTTCATGAGGACAAGAAGATCAGAGTCCGAGTGGCAGCATGTGTCGAAGAATTACGACAGACTTCACAGAATGTTCTCGCAACCGGCGGTAGGCCTCCATGGGGTTCGAACTTTGGGCGCTTAGTCATGGATGTAGAACCGCCGAACTGCCGCCCAAAGTTGATGACAAGCAAAGCCAAAGCGAAGACAGTCATAGGATCGAGTTAGAAACCTCTTGTTGCGAACGGGTTGACTCGCATTGTTCAGGCAGATCTCTCGCCGTATACACCGCCCTAAATGAGGTATTTCGAATCTCTAGACTGAAATTTACCGGTAATTGACTGGGCGTTCTGTCCTATGTAGGATGAAACAATCCTCAGACCACCCAACTACCCCTGCCCCAAGTGCGCCGTTGGCGGTGACTCCACGTCTCCCACTGGAACTGGTATATGAGATTCAGGATCGCCTTTTCGAATATGTGACAGCCCTACATGGGCAGTACTGCTGCCCCTTCGGATCAGCGGTAAACTCGAGCACCATTCAACCCTTTTCTTCTCCGCTGCACGACCACGAGGGCACAGGGAATCGGCCTCTGACGAAACAAGACGTCTACAATTTCTCCTTGGTGGCGCGCACATTCCGAAGTCGTTCCATCTCCCACATCTTCCATAAGCTCATAATAAGAGATCCATCCGATCTCGTGGAGGTGCACCAATTCATGGGTTCATTGGTTTGCACTCCTATCCCTCCAGTGAATTTTCCGGTTTCGGTCATCAAGTCAATCACCATCGACTTCGATATTGTTATCGACGGAAACCCGTACCAGGAGGAATCACCCGTATCCTCGACCCTGATCCAGATTTACGCATCCTCCATCACTGAATGTTTTGTAAAATGGACATCGACCGATGCCTCGCAACAAGACATCGACTCGGACGATCGCTCCTACTGCGTCGACTGGTCCACTATCCCATTCACCTTCCAAAGTCTCGTCGAATCCGCCGTAGCAAAAAAAGGATCTTTGGTTTCCCTCTCCCTACACCGCATCAACTTTCCCCATGGTACACTGAACCGGGTGTGGTCTCCCCGACTCAAGTATCTGGACCTCAGACCAGAATGGCCCGATGATAGTGTATGGTCGGCGGTCTGGGCCGCTGTCCCGGACAGGTGGAACGACGCGCTTTGGGCTCGTGAGCTTGGGTTGAGCGCCGCAGGCCCAGTGCCACTGCCAGCGACCCGCCGGGATCCTGTGGACGTACTGTCACGTACCATTCGCTTCGACACCAGGGTGCTCAAGTGCGATGTCAGCTCTTGGGTGCTCGGTCACCTCGAAGGCTGGAGCGCGCTCCAGTTCCCCAACGCCCTCCGGCGCTCGTTCCAGCATCTGCACACCTTTGACCTCGTTGAACTTGATCATGATGCGAGGACTCGGATGCCGAGTTTAGACGGCGAGCTGGCAGACCGATTTCGCCGGTGGTTGGTCCAACTGGATGCGCCTCAATTGACCACCATCCGCCTCTGTAAGTGCTCGAAGCTCGGCTTTGACCAATGTCGCTGCTGAAATGAAGTTCTGGTGTTTCGAAGTGTGCCATGGGCGATGTGTATGGCTCTGGGTTGTCGCTTCTTGCTTCAGGCATATCGAACTTGTGCAGCGACTTGCGATGGACGAGGCGGATCCGTTCACGTTGGGTCAGTTTATGAGGGAGGGACCTGTCAAGGCAAGCGTGTATGGGTTGAATATGGGAAACGTCGAATGGGTTACTGTCACCTTTGTTAATGAAGGACGCCGTGAAGATGGGTTCGTTGGTGCCACCGCGGTCACGGTGGATAACTTTCTTTCAGCCGCTGAAATGGTTGTCGACTGGGAGGCTCTTTCGAGTGTCTTGCATGACCGCGTAGCGTTCCCGAATTGGCGCAGCCTGACCTTCGATCTTAGCCAAGTAGAAGGACCAAGAGGAGGCGAGATATTGGAGCTGGAACGCGGAATAGTTGGTCGGCTACATCCAGAGCGCGACTTTTCTATTCGAGTAAAGGGGAGATGAGATCTCTGTGTGTTGTCAATGGAATGCGAAGAGAAATCTGTTATGTACATACGGGGCCACGTGCTTTACACTTGCCACAGAACTACGGTTGCTGGTGAGAAGATGACGCTGCTTTATGTCTTTTGGTGCGGCGTCATGTACTTAACAGCTAAGTCTAACCAGGAGTCTGAGAGGAGCCCGAGATGGACGGCGAAGCTTAAAGCCGTTGGACAACAAGTGCAAACTAAACAGCGCTCAGCTGTCAGCATGTTCGTAACAGGCGCCCACACAGGTTCGCCGTCGTCCAACCCGATGTCAGTAGCATAAAGCCCAATGTAAGCTGCTCCAGATATCGTACTGTGCTACGAACTCTCTGAGACACTGCTGATATTTTAGCTGCAAGTGGCAGACCAGCAAGTTGCCGAGTTTGGCGTTTGACCGACAATGGGGCGGTTGCCTTCAGAGCTCTACTATCACATCCTGGACGTCGTCTTTGCATCGTGTCCTTCGGTCCATCTGAAGCATTGCTGCGAGCTAGGAACGTTCCTCTCTGAGAATCCGCCTCGAGGCTCAGTCTTCAGCTGGGCTGACATCACCAATTGCTCCCTCGTCAACCGACAATTTCGACGCTACACCATCCCACAGATCTTTCATACCGTCTTCCTTGCAACCCCCCACGACCTTATAGAGCTCGACGAAATTTTGCAGAGATTGGAAGCAACGCAGTCGTACGGGCCTGGTAGTGCGACTTCCCTTATCAAAGCCCTCTCGATCACCTACAACGATGATATCCCTGGCCCATCGTGCATGGTACCAAAAGCGATCATCGAGGGACTCTCTTGGTCGGTAAAGGACGCGTATCTTCACTACACGAATGTACCAGTCCCACCAGAGGTGTACTTCTACAATCACTGGTTGGGGTTCCCTGCGCCGTTCCGACAGATCGTGGAGCTGGGGTCGTCCGGTCCTTCTCGTCCCCTTCGCTCGCTTTCTTTCATCAATATCTCGTTTCCAGCTCGTACTCTCAATCGTGTTCTCTCGCCTTATCTTCATCGCTTGGAGCTTCGAATAGGCGGCCACCATGGGTGGATTGTCAATGACGATCCTGGTGCGTGGCTTGCAGCATTTTGGATGGAAGGACCCCGGCAATATGCTTCTTTCGGAACGGCGGCGGAATCGCCTGGAGAGAAGAAGCCTCCCATCGACTTCAATCTGAAGACGCTCACCATTGATACATGCCACTCCTTGGACGATGCCATCGCGTATCTCATTCCAGGAAAGGCTGACGCTGCGGAGGTTCCTTTCACACCACGGTTTCCTCACCTGAAGGAAGTAATCTGGCCAGACATGAGATTGGGTGCGCCAGCTAGGCTCGTCCTTGACTTGAAGAAACTCGAGGGGCTTGACTTGAGCTGCCACCAGATGGCAGTCTCGACTATTTGTGAGTCGGAATCTCGGGTCTATCTTTGCGTCCTTCTGACGATAAGATCTTTCTAGCTCCAGTCGGCAGGAGACTGGGAGTGTACCAGTCGTTTCGCCACGTGAGCCACATGAATTTCATTCAACCTTTGGAACCTGGCTCTTCCAGCCTAGTCATTCCCAGTATACTTGAAGCGGTTCTCGTCGCCTCCACCGTCCCACTCGATAAGTTCGAGATCCTCACAGTTTCTTTCACTTTGGCGGCGCTTCCTGCTCGAACTCCACCAGGAAGACGACACCTCCGCTCGGAGGCCCCTATCGACTTGAGCAGCATCCGAGAAGCATTGGATTGGAACACTATGGCATGGGTCATCCGAGACCATTTCGGTCAATTTCCCAATTGGCGAATGCTTGTGTTCGATTTTCGACAGTTGAATTGCATTCGAAGTCTGTCATCACAGAGTCTGAGTTCTGCAATACGGGGCTGGCTAAGGCTGGATGGAGATGATCAGGACCGCATTTCACCTGTTGTAAAGATAGCTGGTGTTTGATTCTGACTCCGAGTCAAATAGGAAATGGCATTTATATTCCACGTTTAGCCAGGTCGCTACCCGTAGAGGAATCGTATCTCTCCAACTTGAAGTGTGAACTTCGAGTGACCCAGGGCCCACCGACCAACTTGCGGTGCAAACTGAGTGCAAACAACAAAGATACCGCAATCGAACACTGACAGCGGAAGTCTTTAATACTACTTTACATGCGCCGTCATCATTCTCAGAAAATTAGAACACCTAAGGGGAGATGCATTAACGACGAAGGCACTCCGACCCAGCACCACATGTACAAAGTTGAAGTTTTAAACGGCCAAGCTAAGGCTAATGGCAAACAAAGCCAAACTCAGGTTCAAGTCGAATTGATGAGCCCACAGACCCTGCACAGATCCTGCTCATATTCCAGCCATCTCCGTGGCCATCTCTCCCGTCGCTGAGACCATCAAGAAGTAATTGCACGGTAATCCCAAGGTCTAGATCGGAATGCGCTCACGAACTCACCGAATGTTTGTTTGGTAGGCTGAACGACGGACCAATACTACCGTAATGGTCGCTCCTTCTCTACCATTGGAATTGGTCTTTAAAGTTCAGGACCACGTCTTCGAGTCCGTGAAGGCGCTACATGGACGGTACTGCTGCCCCCTAGGATCGGCGTTAAACTCGAGCACCAGTCACACCTCTTCCCACTGCCGCTCTTTGACAGAGGATGTCTACAATTTCTCCCTGGTGTCGCGCTCATTCAGAAGCCGCTCCATCTCGCACATTTTCCACAAAATCACTCTTAGAAAGCCGCACGACCTTGTGGAGGTGCACCGGTTCTTGGATTCGCTGGTTTGTGCTCCGAGCCCTCCAGTGGATTCCCCCGTATCGGTCGTCAAGGCTATCACTATCGACTTCGATATCGACAAAGATTCAGAACAAGAGGAATTGCTCGCACCCCCGTCCCTAATCCAGCTTTATGCCTCGTCCATCACTGAATACTTGGTGAAATGGACGACGGAGAAGTCGCTACAAGAGATTAACCAAGACGCCATTATTCAAGAGTGGTTGATCGTCCCTTTCACTTTTCGAAATCTCATCGAGTCCGCCGTAGCAAAACAAGGGTCCCTTGTCTCCCTCTCCTTACATCGCATATGCTTTCCACGCCGTACCCTGAACCGCATTTGGTCCCCGCAGCTCAGATATTTGGAACTCAAGCCCCAATGGTATGGCAAGGTCCTACCAATGCAGTGGCTCTCCGAGGACCAATGGAACGATGTAGTTTGGGCTCGTGAGCTGGATCTGGGCGCTATAGGTCAGCGGACGAGAGCTCAGATTAGTAACGAGTCCACGTCTGTGGACGTATCGTCATCTACCATTCGGTTCGACACCAGGGTACTGAAATGTGATGCCAGTTATTGGGTTCTTGAATACCTCGAAGGTTCAAACACGCTCTCGTTTCCCAACGGCCTCCGACTCTCATTCAAGTTCCCGCATCTACATACGCTGGATCTCGTAGATGCATGGGTGCCTAGCCTTGGCCACGAAATAGCCGACCAATTCCACCAATGGTTGGTCAAGCTGGACGCCCCTAATCTGACAACAATCCGCCTCTGTAAGTTCTCGAACCTTGACTGGTCATGATCTTTACTGACGGTTACCTCAGCGTCCCATTGGCGATGGGTCTGGTTCTGGGCTGTAGCTTCTTGCTTCAGGCATGTCGAGCTTGTCCAACGGCCTACACTGAACGAAAAGGATAGATTCCCACTTGGCTACTTCGTGAGGAACGGGCCTCAAAACGCAAGTCGCTCTGGGCTAAACACGGAGAAAATACAATCGATGACTGTCATCTTCTCAAATGACTGGAACCGTGGAGCGCGAGGTGGAATCATTGGTGCTGGTGCGATGGATGCTTTCCTTTCACCGTCAGAAAAGGAGATCGGCTGGGAAATTCTTTCCGGCGTTGTGCGCAATCGTACAGGGTTCCCAAGCTGGCGCTGCCTCACTTTTGATCTTAGGCAACTGGAGGGTCTGAGAGGGGAGGAGATAGTGGAGTTGGAACGCGAAATAATCGGTCGATTACGTCCAGGGAACGACTTCGCTGTTCGAGTAGTAGCAGCCTACGGGGACAACTGAGCTCAAGGTTATGTATATGTATTGTATTTATCAAATGGAACACCAGTAACGTTTAGTAGTAAAGGGTTAATACACATGATATCGAGAAGAGACAAGTGACCGCGGACTCCGGAATGACATTGTAAATGGGGTACATCTACAGATCATCACGACCGGTAGTCACATTCAATTGGGATTAAGAAGAGAAGAACAAGAAACAAAACCAATGCTCTGAGCTTGTAATAGTCGGTGGATGGGGAAGGTTGGAGCCTAGGGGCTACGTGTTGCGGTTGCGGCGTCTGCAACCGGGGCAGATATTATCTTGTAGGGTGCCCTGTTCAAAGGTCGGGGTGCTGGTATAATTAGTAAAAGTAGTAACAAAAGCACAAATGAATATCCTACTTTCCGACGGGGTAGCATCCCCATTCCTCACAGCTGTGTATGCCAACCATTTGGTGCTGGATGCTTTCTCGACAAAAGCTGTCATTACAAGGGTTCTATGCGATGGGAGGATATCGTGCCTGGTGAGCTGTATGTTTGAAATTATGACAAGGGATAGCATACCTTCTGGGTGCTCAAGCCCGTCTTGTGATTGCAACCAAGCCACTTGTCATATGAGAGGGCTTGAGTGCACATAGTTGGAAAAGGCGACGTTGGATGGGGGAGAAAGTGAAGAGGGTTGATTTGAGAACAAGGGCAAAAATACTCGTAGCTTATATAGCTTTCGAATTGCAGATGGTCCCCGTCAGGATACCTGGCCTCCGTCAGGAATGAATAGGGGTATACCTTGGTAGGCGCCTAAGACCTGTCAAAGTGATACGAGAAGCGGAGAATAATTTTTGTCATTGGGAGAACGAAGGAGTGCCCCAGGAATGCGATCCCCGAGTACCTTGCTCACCATATTGACTACGAACAACGGATTCAGTGCGGCCCCACATTAGTTTGTCTGTTTCAGCTCTCTTGAGACTCCCTCTTCAAGATCTCCATGGTCCAATCCCAACACAGAGAGAAAATATTTTTTGAGATGTGGTCGCGATCGGGCCACTTGCCTAAAACGGTTGACAGCCTTCCTAAAAGAGCGACGGTATTTGGGACCTAAATAGGTAAAGGCCATATACAGGCATTCTCGAGTCACAGTTTTTGGCTTCGTGAGAAGTCAGGGTCACAGCATTCAGATAGTCATTGCGGAGTGATACCCTCTGTGGGCGTCCAATTACAGTTCAATCAAGTGGTTTAGTTACGACATGGTACCTCGGTGAGTCCGCTTCTTTGATGTGCTGCATCAGGAACCAAGCGAAGCTTTACAGCACTTCAACATGTCCCCCACATTTACGAACACTGCATACGCGATACTTGGGCGCTTAATGAATGGGGAATCCCCGGAGAAGTGGAGTTGTGTTTTTGGGAAAGTGGCGAGTGCTCAGCCTCCACTCCTCTCAAACCCCTAGCCTGAGTGTCTTCGAGTGCGATGGATCGTCTTCAATCACCTCAGAGTGTGATGTAGAATGAAGAGCCTTTTACACTTTAAATGGTTTTGTCTGACTGGAAGTTCAAGATTGAGCCTTAGTCGGCAATTTACAGAGGCGTGTATTTTTGGTCGGTAAGAAGATTTTGGAAACACCACCGCGCGGGTTTCCAGAACGTTCAAAGAAAAGGTAGCCCAAGGAGAGTTCTGAGCCATCCAGAATATCTTTCGACCGTTGTTTAGCATACTAGTAAGGCGTTCGCCTCGTAGCCAAAGAACTCCACCTCGGTGGCGATTGCATCGATGCATCGCCGATAGAGAACGTAGTGCGGAAGGTTCCGTGACTTTCTTCTGCGTATACATGTGACGTTACTGCGAGATGCTTGAGTGTCATATCTTTGTTGGGAGTAAGGTCAATGACTTGAGTAGAGTGGCAATTTGTGAAAATAAGCGCCCGTGTTCACCATATAAGGCGTAAACTTCAACGCCGGCATCGGCGGTTCTGATGTAGAGTTCTTCAACTTTTGTAGGCTCCAAAAGATATGGGAGGCTACCAGAGACTGCGATATCTGGATAGGGCCTTTACGCCATCTGGGTTGTGTCGCACAAGAGTGAACTTCCATTCCGAACTGTCGCCAGGACGAGGAGCATTCCACCATGTATAGGCATTTACCAGTCATTTTTTGATAACACACCGCGAAGTAACGGAAGCATCGTGTCCACAATAACAAATGACTGTGCTTAATCACAGCCGTTGGTTTGCTCAGGGATGTGCGCGGACGCTGGGTCCTGTGCATGCAACTTGATCGCCATCGGTAGGAAAATCAACGAGGTCTGAATGAGTTATTACGGCCCTGTTGAAACGGCCAGATTATTCTGAGTACGTGTTACCGTGCCACCACGGTGTCCAGAACGAAAACAACAGCAGAGTTCCAGTTGGGTGGGGTCATTGACGTCCAGAGTATTGTCGCTGTGACAGTGCTGTTTCTGCATTCCACCACTGGCAGAGTATGACGGCCAAACGTGACATTTATTATTCCACACCGACATATCACATTTTTGACTGAAATTGGCTTTCAATTCGGTGTGGTCTATAGTTTCGTGTAGTGATCTAAAGTATAGGTGCTTGTTCAACACCGGTGTTGTAAATTGGGGATAAGGGGAATGTACCCGACACCCGACTTTTACCAACACCGACATTCACTACACCGACACTCTGGACGAGGGCAGAAAACTTGACGGTCAGATGCCGGCTTGGCACTTCCGAGTTGGTGCTGTGCAGCTGTAACATATGGAAATGCTGGTTCCTCAAGCCGCCAGCCGTGCTGGTACAACCTGGAACCCTTTCCAATGCACGGTCAAATAACCATTGAACACTGGACGGTCAGCTGCCTTTGTCCACCATGATGACGTCCGTAAAACTCGAAAACTAACGATTGCATACAGGAGATACTACTTGCTAGTAGTTCAATCACAAAAGAGAAGAACTAGATCAAGTTCAGACTGCAGTCCGACATCCGTACGTGTACTATTGTGGCTCTAGTACGTCGTAGTAGTATCTATCGCATTGACTAATTCCTGCTTCCTGTAAGGTTCCATAGCCATTCGGCTGGAATTGACTGTTCACAATAGATAGAGTCATGACCTGTTAATTAATAAATCCAGCCTGACCGTGATAAGATTTTAGTGTCCCGCGATTTCGGTGTCGTGAAATGTCGGTGTCCTTAAAAATTGTGGCGTCCTTTAGAAAGTGTCGGTGTTGAGCGTGAACAAGAATTGGTGTTAAAAAGATTTCGGTGTTCAAGAAAATGCGCTACACTTTACTTTGCCCGCTACTTATCAGGACCGCACCAAATAGAAGGCCAAAATGCATCACTAAAGGTGGAAAAAACGAAATATTGGTGTGGAATAATAAATGTCACGTTTGGCCGTCATAGCAGAGAACCGAGAATAGGAAAGTTATAGTCGGCGCGCTGCAGTTGACGATCTCCCTGGTCCTGGTCGTCGCCATATAGTACCTAACCAAGGTGAGTGCGATGTAAGTAGTAGAAAAAACCGCGACACCGCGGTCGACGTCGCTGCCAGTGAGCGGTGCTCAAGACCATCAATTTTCAAATCACGGCTTGATCCCGGCATCATCGCTCCGAACAACGTAGACCGCGACGTCCACGAGGTCCATGGACTCGAGCTCAACGTTCTGGACATTGAGCTCGCCTCGTGTTCGGCGTCTTCCCCTTACGGCTATCGAGGCTGCAGGCCCTTTACCTCTCTCTACAATAAAAGACGCGTCAGTAGCCTTCTTCTAGGCCTCATTGCCGCCATTGTGGTTGAAGTTCAGGCCAGATCTTCGACCCAGAAGGCCCGCTAGGTTGCTCAAGGCCTGCTAGTCGTTGTAAGTGCTGTTGTGGACGTTTCTAGCTCGGCGAGGTCACAACGAGCTCAACAGATCCTCCATACCTTGCTTATCGACTATCGGTACTGACGACCTTTTCTACCATTTAGGCTCTTCTTCTGGTTCCTATCTGCGTCGTGCAACGCGAACGCGAAGCATATGCTATCTGCATCTCTATAACAGCGTTTACGACATCAAGATCCAACGAGGCTCACAGCATCTACATCGACCCTCGATATCAGCATTTCTCGTTCGATTCTATCGCCCAACTCTATCAATAACCGTCCAACGAATCGCCCTGTATCTATATCTACACTACCCCACCACCATCACGTTAATACCACTACGAACAACCTAAGACAGCCTACAAACCGGGTGCTGCGACGATGAAGTCCGTAGCGAGCACCCGAAAGCCTTATGGAGGGCTCACACGATCTCTAGTCATCGCAATCGATGTCGGAACGACGTTCAGTGGAGTAGGTCTATTGTTTTCCAAGTCCCGAATATGTGCTGATAACTTACGCCACTCAGGTTTCCTATGCAATTCTCGAACCGGGAGAGATTCCGAAGATCCATGGAGTGACAAGGTGCGTGTTTGCTCTTTCCAAGCAGCTAGTCTAGTCGCTGACATTTGCTTTAGGTTTCCCGGGCAAGAACATGTTGCTGGAAACTCTAAAATACCGTCGATTCTCTATTACGACAGGCGAGGTGAATTGAAGGCGGCTGGTGCCGAAGCGGAAGATGCCAGGATGACTGCCATGGCAGAAGACGAAGACTGGATCAAAGTCGAGCTGTACGTGCTCATCGGTACCATTGTCAACGTCCCTAACACCTCGCCCTAGGTTCAAACTTCGTCTCCGACCCCGTACGATGCACCTGTCCATGAACGGCCTCCGCCTAGCCCCTCTCCCCCCGCGGAAATCGCCAGTCCACATCTTCGGAGACTTCCTCGCCTACCTCTACAACTGCACCACTTCATTCATTCGCGACACACACGCAAACGGGAACGCCCTGCTCGAAGCTATCATCCCTGACCACCTCGAGCTTGTCCTTTCGCACCCTAACGGCTGGGAGGGTGCCCAGCAAGCTAAGATGAGGAGGGCCGCGGTCTATGGAGGCCTCGTTAGCGATACTCCTGAAGGCAGGGCAAAGATCCGATTCGTAACGGAGGGAGAAGCGAGTTTGCACGCGTGTGTGTTGAGCGGGTTGGCCGCGGATGTGCTTTCGAACCCTTCGAAACATGGGTTCCTCATTGCGGACGCTGGAGGAGGAACCCTGGATATCAGCTCCTATGCCATCAAGGGTACGCACCCGCTTGTGATGGAAGAAATTGCCCCGCCAGACTGTAAGCTCATTCGTCTGTTTGTTCTACACTAAACTCAACCCTTGACAGGTATCTTCGCCGGATCCGTGTTCGTTTCTAGAAGGGCCCGTGAATTCTTCGAGCGTGAGTTTGAACCGACTGTCTTCTGCTTACTTGACCCATTAAATTGTTCTTCAGATAAACTCAAGGGGTCGCAGTATAGCTCCCCTGAGTCGCTAGACCACATCGCGAAACGATTCGACGAGACTACGAAGCGTCTGTTTAGAGACAAGCGAGATGCCCAATTCGTGCCCTTTGGGTCTCCGTTCGATAAGGACCCGCAGTATGGTATTCGGGCGGGGCAGTTGAAACTTACCGGGTGAGTGGACAGTGGTCCTCTGAAAGTGGGTAAAACTGACGAGGGCTTTTTTAGTGCCGAGGTCGCTAATCTGTTCGAACCCTCTATCGACGGTACGTTTCATGGTGTATGAATTCTGCTATTGGCCGACCAATGTCTTCTAGCCGCATTCCATGCCATCAAGAAGCAGATTGAGGCCTGCAATGGCATGATCAAGTCTGTGTTCCTCGTCGGAGGATATGCTGCGTCTCCCTGGCTCTTCTCGTATGCCTGTCCCTGATGTTCACGACCTGCTTCATACTGACGGAGCGACCAGGCAACTTCAAGAACGGCTAGGCGCCATTGGTGTCGTTGTTTCTCGACCAGATACGCAAACGTCGAAAGCGGTAGCGGACGGCGCTATTGGCTTCTACTGCGACCACCATGTCTCTGCCCGAATGTCCCGGTTTATGTACGGGGTGGAGTACCTCCGTCAATTGGACCCTAACGACCCTGAGCATATCGCTCGGAAGGAGAAGCTGTGCGAGCTGCCCTCTGGACCGAAGCTTCTGCCAGACGCGTTCGACTGTATCTTGGCCAGGGTAAGTGTATGCGCTAGGATTTGCGATTGGATGACTGACCTACTGTGAGCAGGGTGTCAAAGTGAAGGAATCTACCGTGTTCTCGAGGAAGTACTGCACGGAGTTGACCAGTCTGTCGATGTTGAGAGTGTTTGAGGTGGAGATTTGGTGTTACCGTGGTGGAAATACGATACCGAAATGGATCGAACGACAGGCCGGTGGGTTCGTTTTACTATGATCTAGGAGTGCCATTTTCCTCATGCGCCTGGCAGAGGACTTCTCGACGCTGTGTATCGTACGGGCCGATTTGTCAATGCTCAGCGGCAGTGCTGAACCCAAGACCGGGAAGAGTGGCAAGACCTACTGGACAATCGTTTTCTCCGTCGAGATCCACTTCGGTCTCACCGAGTTCAAGGCGAGGATCAAGTGGGTTCAGGATGGCGAAACCAAATAGTGCGTATCTATTTTCGAGACTGTTTTACGGTCGTAGCTGACCTCTACTCTAGTGGTCCTGCGACTATTGTATACAATGAACGAGGGCATCGCTCAGACGAAGACGAGCCCGATTTCTTCCCTGAAGACGACGCGATCACTGGATCCAACTCCAGTCGAGACAGAGACCGCAACCGTTCTCAACCCAGCTCCCGACCTCGAACGCCTATCGACGTGGATAGCAGCCGTCGTAGGGACTCCCGCGCACCTTCTATTCGGACGAACGGATCACACCCATCTACACCCAGCCGCAGCCACGCCTCGCTCGAAAAGGACAGGAGTAGCACCTATGACAGAAGGAGCAGTCATCGCGATAGTGTCCCGCCCACGCCCAGTTCGAGAAGCAACCGAAACAGCGTCGTGCACCCACCAGCAAGTCCCGCTGCTGGTCCGGCACCTTCCATCCATTCCTCCCGTAGCCGACCTCGTACACCTGGTACACCAGGTCTGGAATACACTGATCCCCCTTCACATCGCGCATCGCCTGCCAAGGCATCTCCTACGGCCCTCTGGGACTCGAAACCGCCCACAGCCGCTCCCTCTATCTTCGGTGAAGACCGACCTCGATCAGTGTTTGACGACGTCGCTGCTCCTGCGAAGGACCCCATCTTTGGCGACTCTGCTGATCTGCTGGGCGGGGACAGACCCAAGTCCATCTTCGATAACGACACCGCGAACCCCGCTGCATCCACGGGTTCGATGTCGGTGTTTGGCGAGCCGGCGTCTGCGATTGCGGATGACAAGGGTGCTGGGGCTGGCGCGTTGTGGGGTACACCGACGGATGGAGCGCCGGCTCCTGCGCCTGGATGGGACACCTGGGGTAACGGTTCGCAGCAGCCTACCGCGCCTGCCACGCCTAAACCGCTCAGCCCGTTGAATCCAGCTGCTCAGGATGAGGCTGCTGCTGCTCCCGCTGCCACCCCTGACCCCGCACCCGCTGCTGCATCTGAAGCTCCAGCTGAGAAACCGAGCCCGCCACCGATCGATACCAACGTTGCACCTCCAGCTCCTCCCGCGCCTGCTGAAGAATCTCAAGCAGAGGCACCGCCCAAGACACCCAAGACTCCGAAGACGCCCAAGACGCCTGCGAATGAGAGTGCGGCTGGGACGCCTACGACGCCGAGTGGGAAGAAGAAGAAGAGGAAGGCTAGTGCTGCTGCTGCGGCCGCTGCTAAGGAGGAGGAGGAGAGGAAGAAGAAGGAAGAGGAGGAGGCGAAGGCGAAGGAGGAAGAAGAACAGAAGGCGAAAGAGGAAGAGGAGAAGAAGGCAAAGGAGGAGGAGGAAAGGAAAGCCAAGGAGGAGGAGGAGCGAAGGGCTAAAGAGGAGGAGGAGCGAAAGGCGAAGGAAGAGCAGGAGAGATTGGCGAAGGAGGAGGAAGAGAAGAAGGCCAAAGAGGAGGAGGAGAGAAAAGCGAAGGAGGAGGAAGAGAAGAAGGCCAAAGAGGAGGAGGAGAGAAAAGCGAAGGAGGAGGAGGAACGTAAGGCTAAGGAGGAAGAGGAGCGAAAGGCTAAGGAGGAAGCTGAGCAGAAGGCAAAGGAAGAAGCTGAACAAAAGGCGAAGGAGGAGGCCGAGCAGAAGGCAAAGGAGGAGGCTGAACAAAAGGCGAAGGAGGAGGCCGAGCAGAAGGCAAAGGAGGAGGCTGAACAAAAGGCAAAGGAGGAAGAGGAGGCGCGTAAGAAGGAGGAAGAGGAAAAGGCGAAGGCTGAGGAGGAACAGAAGAAGGAAGAGGAAGAGCGACTGAAGAAGGAAGAAGAGGAACGCAAGCAGAAGGAAGAGGAGGAAAAGGCGAAGGCTGAGGAGGAGGCACGGAAGAAGAAGGAAGAAGAGGAACAGGCTGAGGCGGAGTGTAAGAGGAAGGAGGAGGAGGCGCGTCTCCAGCAACTGAAGGAAGAAGAGGAGCGCGTTAAGAAAGAGCTGGAGGAGCTTGAGAGGCAAGAGCGAGAGGAGAAAGAGAGAGAAGAGAGAGAGAGGAAAGCCGAAGAAGAAAAGAAGAAGAGTGGATCAGGATTTGGATTCGGTGCGTCTTCTATATGGGGTGCAGCCTCGAGCTTTTTGGGAGGGAGCTCCAGCGAGGAATCGAAGCCAACGGACATCGGTTGGGGCAGTTTCGGCGGGGGTTTGAAGAAGACAAAGTCGATTCTTTCCACTTCCGAGGCTTCACAGTCCAAGCGTAACTCTGGTTTCGGTTGGGGTGGCAGCGCCTCGGACGACAAGCCCTTACCTATCCCTTCTGGAGCCACCCTCTTTGGCGGTGTCAACACCGAACCACCTTCTGCTTTCGACAATATAGGGTTACAATTGCAGGATCTGAACCAATCCACAGATGCTCCTCCGGACGTGCCAGACAAGGCACCGACCCCCAAGCCTGAAGAACAGGCTCCCGCACCTCCCGCTGAACCCGCGGCACCTGCTGCGAAGACGGAAGAATCGGGTAACGCCGAGCTCATCGATTTCCTTTCATCCACGAACGCTGAACCCGCCCAAGGTAACAAAGAACAAGACGACGAGGGGGCACTCCCGGTCAAAGTCAAGAAGGCCAAGAAGAAGAAGGGTGCTGGAGGTGACACCGATACTGAGGGGCGTCCCGGCACGCCAGTGGATGGTGGTGCCAGTGGAAAGAAGAAGAAAAAGAAGAAGTAGCGGTGGATGCGCCTCTGGTTGAGCCAGCGTTCCGACCGAGATCCCAGAAACCAGGTGCCTGCCTCCGACTCTCCCCGAATACGTTATAATCTCGAGTATCCTCCACTTGCTTCGGCCCCATCTATGAACGCTTCCTCTCACCATTACACCATATTTCGCACACATTTTACGATATCTTGACGACCTTTTCATGATCCTTGTAGAGGATGCTGTGCTATCTTCCATGATTTTTGTCTTTCACGCTATGCATATGCTTTTCTTGTTGAACATTTTGTCGTTGTATGTATGTTTGTAGCATCATTTCCCTTCCCCCAGTTTGTAAAACTACGCAGTCTGTTGTTCATCCCCATGTTGTTCATTGTTGTACTATCTCATCTTGCGAATGTATATGCTATGCTGCTCACGCTTGGCCTTCGCCGAACGGCTAGGGTGAAGGCTTCCCTTGGTCGCAACGATATGATTGCTGCACCTCAACCGTCGATGAAATAGCGATAAGTAGTATTGAACATGATGAGCTACACACAGAAACAATTCGTAAGTGATACAGGCACGAAGTGAGACGATTGCAACTAGCGATGGTAGTACAGTGAGAAATGATACAACATGGTGAGCGACAGCATGAATAAACCAAATCTTGGAAAGTAATCAACAGAAACGTAGTTGGACAGAAGAATAAACTAAGCCGTGTTGTACAGTGGATAGGCGGTAGCAATCCAATTATCCGTGTCAAGAAAACAAGTCCGTAAGCAAGAGAAAATGAAAGAGGATAGCGTGAACTTCGTGAATAAGGGGGTGAGAAAAAGGGGAGAGGCGAAGGACAGATCAAGCTGTGACAGCAGAAAACAAGAGTGAAACGAAACGAAAACGCGGAGCAAGATTTTGACCGACGCAAGTGGCGGTCTGACAGACATCTCGCTCTTTCGCCTGGGCTAAGCCCAAGACCCACCAGCCCACCAGCCCTTCTCCGCACCTCTCACCTTCCACTCTGCGACAGACTTGGTACTCGCGACATACATCCTCCCACCAGTCGAATCGAAGCAAATACCAGCGAGATCAAGGTCATCTTCGTAGATGATCTCGATATCATCTTTGCAATTCCTCCCCCCCTCGTCTTCGATCTCTTCGTTCTCCCTCATCTCTTCCTCAACCTCGTCGACTTCGTTCATCTCGAGATCGCTGTCTTCGTCCCCGTCAACGTCCATCCTGGAAGAAACGTGACCTGTTGTGGCAGCCACAGAAGATCGAAGGGAAGTGGTGGAACGAGGCGTACCCGCTCTCGAAGGTGATTCGCGAGGAGTCAGAGGCCAACCGATCTGGTAAGCCGAGAAGGGCACGGACGAGGGACCTGGGGACGGTGCGCGAGAAGGGCCTCGCGATGAAAGACAATCTGACTCGTCACCATGTGGGGTAATCCTCCTGGAATACCTAGGCCTGCGGTGACGCCTTGGTCGAACTCGATACTCGAAATCGGCGTGTGCTGATCCTGTATTCCGGTCATCGTCATCATCATCATCGTCGTCCTCATACCGACTGCGGCGATCCTCGTCGTCGCCGTCATCTTCTCTCATCGCATCTGCTCTCAGCGAAGAGGACGACTGCCTCGACGCGATCCCATGCATGCGCAACAACGCATGTACTTCGCTCTCCACATCCCGATCTCCAAGCGGCGGAATGACAACAATATCATCCTCATCATACCCATCCGCCTCCATCTCCTCTTCCCGTTCACGATCACGATCATCCCGGTCCCTCCCCCTTACTCTCAATCTCTCACGTTCTCGCTCCGCTTCCTGGCTTCTATCGCCCGAGACACCAGACGTGGCAGTCTGGGTGGGATCAGATGGCCGTCTTGCACCCACCCCATGCAACGTCCTCCACGTTGAATCGCCGATGGATGCGGGTGGTGAATATGATGATTGGATGCGGAAAGTGTCGCCAAGTGCTTGGACTAGGGCTGGAGTGCGGGGAGGAGTATTAGAGGATGATCCCTGACTTTGGGGGAGAGGAGGTGAGGAGACGACAAGCCGTGGAGATCCGGGGACCGGTGAGTGTGCAGATGGCGATGCATCGGAGGATGAGGGAGAGAGGAAGGAGAGCAGTGCGTTGGAGAATCGGGGATTTGTTGGGAGTCTTCGAAGTGGATAGGGAACAGAGCTGGGCGGGTGTAGGAATCGCGAGGCTCTGTGTGGGGGTGTGCCATTGGGAACAGAAGTAGATGCAGTTAGGCGGGATTTGTGGCAAGCGGCTGGAATCTGGATGATGTCGTGTGTCTCGAATGTCCGTGCATCCACGAGATGGACTTGCGAAGTGTGCTCTGTGAAGGCCATTATTTCCGACCCGTACGCCCCTCCAAACTTTACATTCCTCACGCTCCAGCCAGGAGCACGAGATCTCCCTCTAGTCCAGGCCCAAGGGTCATCCGATAACCACCCGGATGCATTGCCGTTACCAGCCATGCCGGTCGATAGTCCTCGCGATCTGTCCGTCTGAAAGACCTTCATCGGCTTTGAGCTTCGAACGTCCCATATCGCCACTATTCCTTCTTGAGATGCCACCACGAATTTCATTCCGTCGGCTGAGAAGGCGGTAGAGAAGGAGGCTGCGAGTGAGGGCGGTGGCAGAGCATACGGTGGATAGTCTGGAGGGGGGAGAGAGAGGGTGTTGATATGTGAGAAGGATATGCGAGCGCCGCCCGTAATGGAGTGCAGGTAAACTTGGTTGGAGTCGCCTACAGACAGCAAGGTTCTTCCATCAGGGGATATGGATGCTAAAGGGGCGTCAGAATGGACACAGTACGAGAGCAAAAGGACACACAATGGTTAATGGGGACATCGAGCTTCAGGGATCCGACCTCTTTCAGAACCTGACCAGTCTTCCGCGCCCTCTTCAAACTTTGGGATCGAATGGGAACATCGTAGAAGCGAATTGTAAAGTCGTTGTTGCTGACTCCGACTCGAGGCTCCACGCTGCTTTCATTTGAGCTGGTCAAACTTAGCGAGGTCAACAAAACAGAGTTGTTTATTGAGCCTGCTAGTCTCTCGTTGATGCTCCAAAGTGTCTTTCGTTTAGTCGGTGAGGGCGTGTGGTAGGAAATGTGGATGTCCGCTTCTTGTCCGCCTGCCGCTATCAGCACATCGTCGGTTCCAACGGGTAGAGAAGTGAGCGAATTCGGGATGAAGTCGAGTTCAGCGACTGTTCGAGGAACCTATAGCGAGCGCACATCGTTAAAGCCTCGAGAGCGCTGTGAAGTGAAACCCGAGACGTACGGAATGCGGTGCATTGATGTTCTGCTCGACGATTGCCTCCCTTTGCACGTAATTGACTACACCTGGTTCCTTCGGACATATAAGCAAATCTCGAAGCTGCCTGTTTCCCGAAAAGGAGGGGATAATACATAATGAGGGGCGATCCAGAGTACCAGGGTCAGGGACTTACACATGACCAATCATGACCTCGGCTGGGGCGATTGCGGTCGGTGACGTCGATGCCAACAAAGAAAGGTCTCTCGCCATCGTTGCAGACGACGAGCAAGGAGGTTTTGACGATGGAGGAAGAGGAGATGGTGGTTCGGGGTCAAGATGTAAATGTCTCTCACCCAAATGCTGGGCAAGCTTGAGCAATGGCGTCGGCTCATGTGACACAAAGTCCGTCCGGCATGTCCGAAAACGTTTTCGACCTCTATCATCGGATAATCTCCAGCTTCTCCAATTCTTTGACTTCTGCTGTCTTCTTTATAAAGACATCGAAGACAACGTTTTCCGGTGCTACAACACTTCAGTCGGTGAAATAGAAACCAGGACAGGGAGGTTATCAACTGGAGGAGGGGAGGCCAATGTGACAGCAATCGTCACTAAAGTCAACAGAGAAACGCGCACCAATCCATCCATTATGCCCCAAGTCAATTTCAGAGCACGCTCTGAAGCGAGGCGAAGCAGGAACAGGTAATAAATCAGGAAGGAAAGTCAAAAATTGAGAAATCGAGCAGGTGTGCGACCTGGCCCATTCAGTCGGAGACTGGATTGAGTGATGAATCAAAGCGTGCCGAACTCCCTGCCGACGATGGATTTAGCCGCCCGAGGGCGCTCATTGAGGCCTCGGCGACTTCGATTCGAAATCAACCGAAATTTGCAGACTTCAACTGAAGAGAACGTGCGCGAGGTAGTGAGATGGGATCGTTCAAATGTATGTACAGTTATGGATTAAAAGTTATAAAGACGGAAGACATGATATGTGAGTTATAATGATAGTAGTTATGCGGTGGGAGGTGGTTGGAGATTATATGATGAAGCAAAGGAAAACGTGAAAATCGTAAATGATACATGGCAGGGATGACAACAATTCGTAACATTGAAAGATACAAGAAATAATTGCGAAGAAAAGCATTCTTCGGGCAGTGGCAACGTCAAGCGCATAACGCCATTAGTAGTGGCACTGGGGCTTCTTGAAGTGGTCCTCGTCGTCGAACTGGAACATGCCATCCTCGACGGTCTGTCCTCCCTCCATCTTGGCTTTAAAGTCGCCCTTCTTGATGCAGCTGGCGCACTTGGTGTCGACCTTGGTGACCTTCCTCGGGACGATATCGGGCTTCTTTCTGCAAACACGAAGAGTGGTAAGCAATTGAGATCAAGACAGAAAAGGTGAAGTCAGACGTACCCATTGCACCTTCGCTGCTCACACCAGTGGTCAGCCCGATGAAGGCGGCTGCGCTGGCAGGCGGAAGATTCACAATCGATCTGTACAAGGAGTTAGTCGAGGTTGCTCTGAAGAGCAGAGAGGGATGAACAATTTACACGTTCGTCGTCCAACGGCGTCGTTGTGGTAAAACGATGGCCGCACTTGTGCTGGACCATGTTGACCTCGAAATGGCACATAGATAAAGAGGATGTTAGGTTGGTAGTTGGATGTGGGTTGAGGGCGATGGAGGACGGTTGGGAGTTGGGTAGCTGGATCTGGACGGATCTTGCACTGGCGAGGATGGATGCTGGACGAAGGCAAGCTGGGAGGGACTTGCTCGTCAGACGACAGACCTTTATGTAAAAGAAATCAAGTTTTTCATCTTTACAATGGGCTCAACTGTGTGTCGCAGACGCGACTGACGCCAAGGCTATCTGCGCCCACCCTCCATTATCCAAACTTGTCCTTCAATGGGACGCTAAGCGAGGGACCGAATGGGCCACGCGGGCGCGGTCCGAGAACATAGGGAAAGTTTTGCGGATGTGACCAACGTGACCTTCTGGAAGGTCGATCCAACCTGGACCCACAACGAAAAACTCGGAGATTGCCTTAAACACGTTTCGCTCTGCATTCCTCTGCGCTCATGATCGGATGCATCGATGGCAATAGAAAATAATCTATTTTTATCTCCTGGAATTCCTTCTGCTCAGACGCCCGGATATCATCCCAGAATAGATGGTCAAATTTTCCAGAGACTGTACTATGTAGCCAGTGCGCCTCGTGGCTTTGGCGACGTTCGAAGGCCATGATTGGTTATTTTTGCTCCGCCCGAATTTTAGACTTGGCAGAGTCCCTTTTTCCGCACCTATCCCTGTGTCCAAAAAGTCGAAGGCATTGTCAAACGGGGAAGTACTCGTCCAACGGACCAATGGCACCAATTTCGTTGGCCTGATCGCGTTTGGAAATTGGATCAGTGGATCCTCGATCGCGATGTCGGTCACGCTTGGCACCATCTGCGACAAGGAGAGTCCATTAAATTCATTCACTTTAGTATCGAGTATAGACGAAAGTTGGCCAGCGGGTACGTCCTTCAAGCAGCTACCCCTAGCCCAGATGCTGCGCTCGTAGAGTCAGAATGGGCCAAGTTATTCGGGCTTCACCCTGTCTACAGGGCCCGCCGCCCCTATTGCACGCTCCAGTTCCATCCAATTCACACAAGCGAACACTTGCATAAACTCTTCATCAGAAAATACAGATTGAATCGGTGCTGAAGGGGAGCGTGTGTGCCGTGAACGAGCTCGTGACATTGGCCAATCATGTCACTGGATTTCGGTCTAGACTGGTTTCCCATGCCACTCATTGTCCAGTCGCAGTTCCGTCCGAATGTCAACACCGAGGGTCAACTATCCCCCTAACAGCCCTTTCTTCTCGGAGTGAACAGTCCGCCGTTGTCACTGTGTCGTATAGCTGGAGTAAATAGGCCCGACCCTGCCCACATGGCGGGATTTCCAAAAAGATTTTGGATCAGAGGATGTGAGGTCGATCTCACACTTTGTCTCCCTGCGTACGACGAGAGTCCTTGAAATCTGCTGTGTATTATGACATTCCAGTTAGAAAGGTGGTTGAAAGATACATCAAGTATGAGGCTTCTCATATGCAAAAATGCAGAGTTGGAAAAACACAGGGGATGCAGTCATTGCGGTTTGTTGCCGTGATCGCGGTGCAAGGACAATGGGCCTCACCCAACTGCGCACTTGTCCCTTCACATGGGTTGCGGGTTTGAAAACAATCTAACTGGGGCGCCCACAAACCAGATAAAATGGAAAGTGACTATGGAATGTCCGTCGGAGAAACGACTCGCTTAGACTTTGCCCGAAAGTCCTTCCAACCACAGTGTGACCCACAGAAAGGTGTGTTCATTATCCATTTTGGGAGTTTGCTCCGGGCGCGAGCTGGTTCGCGGTCACGGACTCCGGTACACGGAAAACGCGACTCTCTTTCTGTCCATTGTCCAACTAGTTAGGATAGTCGCTTTAGCTGAGTCATAGGCCTTCTCCCAAAACCTATATATTAGTGGCCTCCAGCGAAGGCTTTCTTTCCCATCTTTGCGACTTTCACAACCCATCCAATACCTCTGAACCCCAAGCCTCATCCAAGTCCTATAACTCTCCCTATTACTCTTCATCGCCGTCGTCTATAATGTGCCAATACAGTGAAGACTTCTTCAAGTATTCTGCCTGTGGCCACATCGTTACTACTGGCCGCCAAGTTGCCCTGGACGAGCGAGTAAGTCCTATTTCCTTCCTAGCTTTTTTCGACTTGGTCTCATAATCCGACTTTAGTACGATTGCGGCTCGAGCATGTGCTACTACAGTATTCGCCACAAAGAGTTGGCCCCTCACTCCTGCGTTGCCAGGAACTGCAATCGGTACGTGCTTTCGCCCTCGTCGTTGCTTGAGTTGTTGGCTAAAATTCTTCTCTGGATTATAGAAAGAGTGTCGCCAATGTTCCAAACAACCTCAAGGCCCGCGAAGGGTTCTGCCCTGCGTGCATCAAGAAGAATACCCAGAAGGGCGCTGACACCGTCCCCGCCGACGGAATGTTCTCCATGGACTGTTAGTCCATCGCATTTCTTGTGCCTCAAAGAGTCACCATTTGTTGAATGTTCTTGTCTACTGTCTTTCTATCTTGTAATACCCCGCATTGTGATCTTGTCGCCACCATCATACTCATGCTCGTATCCACATCTGTAAAATTACTCTATAATCCATCTTGTATCTGTCTGCACAAGCAATGCTACCGCTTTTCCAATGACTGGGTGTTTCCTACTTCAATTTGAATACGAGTGAGTATGCTCCATAAATTACCATTCCCACCTCGGACTCTGCGACTTTGAAGGTTAGCGGACTTCATCTGAGTGCTTCATGATTGGTACTTTTGCAGTCGATCAGTTTGTAACACCATGATACTTGGGCAACTGACTGGAATTTATTTCACTCGATCGACGTCGAGTACTGTGCTATTCACCTTCGTCAGAATTAGCCTGAGTCGACTACTCTGCCGATCCAACGACAACGCCTTGGGTTCCAAACAATGTCAAATAAGCGCAACAGTTCGGACTCCAGTTTGCTCCCGTCAGTAAAAATCGTCTTTGTACGCTTTGTCCTGGGGCCCCTTTCATTCCACATCCAACCACCACGAGGTGATAGAAGATCTTCGAAAATCTTGAAATGGCAATTCGACAACGCCGTGCACAAAGAAAGGCCACAGTGTCACTGAAAGAGACCCAGCGCTTTGACTATAGGCGCGCGCCGGCGCGCGAGGCTTGGACAGCGCTGAGAACCATGGGTATTGTCCAAGCCGATTCAACTGTGTCAACACTTTGACCTCAAAAGCTATAAATTGGGGGGATGGGGCATTCGAAACTTCAGAACAGCATTGCCCTCGATAACTCCCCAGCTACCTACTACCCTCTTCTCGAGCAACTTTCCAACCCATTTTTTCTGCAACGATGCCCAAGATCTCCCAGCAACAGCAGCAACAGAATGAAGAGCGCATTCCCCGCCCTGCTAACGCGTTCATGATCTTCCGTCGACACCTCTGGTACGCGGTCACGATGGACCGGTCCTCTATGCCCGAAGCTAGCCTCTGCCCCGATGACATGGCCACCTGGAACCAATCCAGGGTCTGCAGGCTCTCCGGCGAACTGTGGAGATCGCTCACACCTGCACGCCGAGACTTCTTCTACCGTCTCGCGAACAAAATCGAAGCGGAACACAAGTTGAAGTATCCCAACTACAAGTACACCCCTCGCCGCAAGCAGCCCAAGGCACATCAGTCTCGCAATGTGCCCCGTCCTGCTACCATGGAGTTCGAGCCTACTGGTCAATTCCCCTCTGTTGATAACACTGTCGCTGCGAGCTCGCAGCAAACTTTCAAGAGGTCCCCTGCTTCGGATGAGGCCTTCGTCTTGAACGGTTTCCACTCCGACTCTGGGTACTCCGCGACGAACGCTGCTGGCAGCCTCTCTGCGCACTCTTTCGCCCCAACCCCCGCTGATATGTCTCGTGGTTACACGTCCAACATGGGTTTTGTTATCCCTAGCGAGCCTTGGTGTTTCGCGCCTCAACCCTCCTATCCCCCGTCCTCATTCATTATTCCCAACCTCGAGGGTGGAAGCACCGAAGCCGCGCTGGAAGCAGGAACGCCCCCTGTCTTGAAAGCCAGCCCTGACTCTTCAAACCTTGATTATCTAAATTACACCTTCGACAACAACATCGATGATACTTGGGCGTTCCAACAAAACACCACTGTATACCCTTACGATCCCGACGTTGACGCGCTATTTGGAGATCTATCCCAGTGTGAGCCGAACCCTGACATGTTCTACCCACCTCAGGCTCAGGCTGTCAATGAGCCGAACTTGTTCTATCCACCTGTCAATGGTTCCTAGATTTGAACTACCCTTGTCGCCTACTTATGCTTCCTATTACCCTTAGCTCCCTTAATATACCTCCTCTCTATACGTGCCGCAGCTGCGCTTGCTCTTAACTTATGTTTATGAATAAAACTTCGTTCCAACGAAAAAATCTCAGTCATTCCCCATCTTAAGATACAACAGTAACAATCTAACCGCTCTGATACAAAGCGGGACCGGCAACAATATGTGGGTTCAGTTTCGACAAGTTGAACGGTGTGACATAAAGGTCGGTATCGACGATGGCGACGAACATGGTTCCATTAACAATCGGGGCAGTGTTATCACCAAAGACGCGTCCACCAGGTTGAATCGTACTGCCAGAGTTGCCTTGAATATTTTCGAGCGGTGTGTAAGTCGTGTTGAGTTGTGATATCCAGGCTACGAACTGTAAAGGAAAAAAACTCAGCATAAGGTAGGGAAAACTTTTTCATGAGGACGACGTACCTGAGGAGCACCGGCAGACGATGATGTAGTGTAGCTGTTGTTGTAGCTGACAGTCTTGCCTGGGCTCTCCCAGGTGAACTCGACAGTGCGACCGGGGAAGGAAAGAGGTTCGGAGCGGTTGTGTGTGATGGCAGGAGTTGTGTCTTCGCCAGGGACATTGTTGTCGACGTAAGGAGTGGCGTCGGGATTGTTCTGTGTAAACCGCAGCATGAGACAGGGATAAATAACACGGAAAGAGGAGACATCACATACCGTAATGGTCAAGGCAGGGAAGTTCTGCCATTCGATCCTAGGATTCTCGGCAGGACATTCAACGAGGTAAGGAGCAAGAAGGGTCCACGCCATACTCTGGGAGATCCCAGTCTCAAACCACACAGGCATCGGGAACAGCCCCTCAAACTGTCTGAATATCATCTGCTGCCTAGCCTCCGTCGTAATACTATCCAAAAGCAGCGTAGCAGCCGCCCGGGAATCCAGATGCTCCAAGAACCCATACACACCGCTCTCACCAAAGCGAGTCAGCTTTTGGCAAAAATCGACAAACTCGCGCACGGTTTGGAAGGGGTACTGGTAGCGGCACTGCTTGGCGCCCCGGCCTTGGAGCATGTTGGAGATGAGGGTGGCGTGTCCGACTTCTTGGTCGGCCATGAATTGGATGAGGAAGCGGTCTTCGGCGTTGAGACCTGCGGCTTCGAAATCCTCGACGGAGAATCGGGCAAGGCCGTAGTGGAAGAGGTCGAGCTCGATCCATTCTTGGTTGAGCGCGAGGTTCTGGACGTGTGTTCTGCAGTGAGTGTTTGGGGGTATGTTCGAAACAGTCAAGACATACGAGAGACTGGAAGTCAAAGTCACTGAAGGGGATGTATTGAGGTGTCTCGTTAAGCCCTATCCCACCTGGAGGAGTGAAGGGAGGGGGTGGCGGGGGCTTGTTCCCATCGAATTTCTTTCCGTCCCCGTCGTGCTTATTCCTGGGGTAGAGAACGGAAGGAGCAGCGGCGACGTAGGTCAGACCCAGTGCCAGAACGAGGAGCGAAGCCTTGAGCATCAGGAAGGAGGGTGGCGACGAGGGGGTGGGGTGGGCGAGGTGAGAGGAAGAAGAGGAGGGGAAGGAAGGAAGGAAAAAGTTGTAAACCGCGAAAGAAGCGTTTCAACTTGAGGGGACTAGAGACCCAGAGAACCTCGCCTTTTATACCTTTCGCCCCAACCCCTCTCTACTTAACATGAGTCGGTTCCAGGTCACAGTTCCACTTTGGAAGTCTGAGAACATGGATGGAGCGAACTGAGAACACTAACACTAAGATTGGCAACCCACAAATGACGCAGTGAGTACAAGACGTTTCGAGGGTCGAACCAAAGATAACAGGTCGTCTGCAGAGATAACAAGCCGCCAGACAATCGAGTGAACACGAGCGGTCAGAAAACACGTCACGATGGCGCTTCGCGCGCTAATTTCAGCGCGCGTCTGAGCATGAAACCGGGGACCTGAGATGAATCTACAACTATAGGGCTGACAGAAGGCGAGCGAGGGAGTTCAACAAGGGGGGAGCGCTACCAACATGGAGATTCATGGGAGAAAACCACCCGCTCAAAGTTCAAACGCACAATTGCCGCCGATGGCAAATAAAGCCAAAGCCAAGTTGAGATTGAACCTTGCCCACAAACTCCCCAATCGTCCTCCTCCTCCATTCAGATGCTAAAACAGTGTGTACTTATACTTAACCATGTGCTTCTTTACATACAGTAGAATGACGATCGGTAGCTGAGAGCGTCGACGCCCAGATCACACGCTGGTCTTCCTTTCTCCCTCTCAACGCGATACGTCCCCCTCTGTAGTACTTACTAGTGACTTCTATCGAATACTACACTGTCTCCCAGAAAATGCAAATTTCTATGTTATTAGCTCGAAAGAAAAAGCAACGAAAGTGCTCTACTACAAGTTCTTTTTACTGCTTCTCGCCTTCCTCCCTCCTTCACCCGACTCTATCCCCTCCCTACTCACCATCATGATTCAGATTATGACTGAAGGCATCCTGGTATGTATGCACTCCCCTCGCCAAGACTCCAGGTACTTATCATCTACTCATCAGCCTCCCCAGCCTTAATCACATCATCAATCTTCAACACAGCCCTAACCAGCTGAGTCGCCAACAGGTATTGCTGTCGTTTGGAAATGAGAGGGTCGTAGACGAATTGTTCTTTCATGTCTGGTTATCGGGAGTAGATGTAGGGTAAGCGACGTGTCCCATGACGCGATGGAAATGTAAGGATTGTGTAGAAGGGTTATCGGACAAGAAAATGAATATGTCGCGGTGAAATAGGAGGCGCGGTGCAGCAAGGAGCATACACAGAACGGAGCACGATGTGCCAGAGTCAAAAAGAAATGGCAGTAGAGCCCGGAACACAGAAAAAGAAACTCCAACGCACCATTATGTCCCCTCCCATTACAATCAATTCCCAACCTCGAGTTATTCTCCGTAACCTGTCGAGCCCGGACTTCAGTCAGCGTCTCAATCGGGGAAAGACCGCTGTTTTCGGCGAGGGCGAGCGGGATGGCGTCGAGGGCTTGCGAGAAGGAGCGCATGGCGTATTGTTCGATTGTGGGGATCTGTGCGAGGGGTGGGGTGTGTTAGTTAGTTTGCGGCGTTGATGGGAGGAGGTAGGAGAGGAATGGAAGCGGGGGGATGGAGGGACAGCCGATGGAAGGACAGCGGATGGCGGAAAGTGGAGGAACAGGGAGAGGAGGACAGGGAGGAATGGAACGGAACGTACCTCATCAGCAGCCTTTGCAACAGCAACTGAACAACTGATATCCGCTGATCCTCCACCATAGACAATGCGGTTATCCACGACGATGTTACGAACGGCGCAAAGTGCATCGTGCAATGCTCGCTTGGCCTCGTCGACAATCTACGAAAATACCAATTAGTCACCAAGATCCCCACTAACCAAAAGACCTACTCACCATCTTGTTGCTACCACGGACAAAGATGGTGACAGCGCGGGTGTTGGGGCACTCCTCGATGACGAGCATCTTGTCGCGGGTGGTACCAAAGGAGAGTTCCCTAACGATACCAGCCGAACCGAGCTTTTTAGCGCTGAGGTCCTCGAATCGGGGTACGATCCTTCCTTCAGTCGCAAGCGCGATCAACTACATCCTCCAGTTCAATATTCGATCTACAAATGAAATCAGAAAATACAAAAAACGCACCTCAATCTCAGGCCCACCAACCCATCTCACAGCCGGCAACTCATTCTGCATAAGCAAATGATTGGCTTCATCATCAAAGCCCCATTGGCAAATGACCAAATTCGCTCCAGTATCTTTCACCTTCTGGATCATATCCTGGAACTTTTCCTTCTCATACGTCTGCAGCCTCTTGAACTCCTCCACGCTCGTGATGTCCAACTTGTGCTTGGTCTTGGGGCGGGGAGGTTCGAAGGGGCAGGTGAGGATAGCGAGTTTGGCGTTGTGCACGACGCGGGGCATTTGCGGGTGGGACATGTCCTTGTCGATGAGGACGCCGCGGATGAGGACGGTGTCGGCCAGCGAGCCGCCGACCTTTCCGTCCACCTTGATGAGATCGAAGGGGACGTCGCGGCGTTCCATGTCTGCCACAGTGAGGACGGCGTCGACCGCGATTTGGGCGAATTGGTGGTGCTCCTTTGAGACGCTGCAATCGCAGTATGAGTGGGGATAATATCTTAAGAAAAAAGGGGAGGTAGACGAACATCTTGCTACCGAGAGAGGTCATGGCTGTTTTGATGAGGTTATCGGTGTTGTCTTTTGAGTATTCGATTTGATCAGAGATGGTGTCGAGGTGCTTGACTGCGACTGCGCAGGCTTGCTCGAAGCCATCTGCGATTCTTATTGGGTGAATACCGCGATCGAGGAGGGCTTCTGCTTGTTCCAGCAGGGCACCAGCGAGGACTGTGTACCAATTCCATTTCAGCTCACCGAGAAATCTATGACAAGTGAGAGGAGAAAAAAACATACCGACTACACCGGTTGTACCATCTCCAATCTCATCGTCCTGGCTTTTCGATAACTGGACCAAAAGCTTCGCGATCTGGTGCTCGACCTCCATCTGACCCAGAATCGTCGCACCATCGTTGGTCACAGTGATATCGCCATCCGGTGAGATTAGGATTTTGTCCAGTCCTAAAGGGTTGATTAGATTGCGTCGCCTCTCTCTTTCCTTTTGGTGTGTAGGTCGGTCGTACCTCGGGGGCCTAGCGATGTCCGGACAATGTTGGCCACGGTTTTTGCAGCAAGAATGTGTGACTAGGGACGCTTTTTGAGTCATATTTGGGGAGATTGAGCGAGTCGACGGACCTTGATTGCCTCGAGACCATGGGTTCGTGTTTTCTTGCCCTGCTCGCGCAAGATAATGAACGGACGGCCATACTATAAAAAAGGATTAGATCTATCGATTAAAAATGTATATAAAAGCATACCTCGTCTGTAGTGTAGACGGCGGAATTTGGATCGATGACTGGAGCGGACATGATAATTGCGAAGAAGAAAGAGAGGCGCGTACGCGAGATATCAAAGTGTGTGAGTTCCCGTGACGAGGCGTGATCTGGCGGCGGCGGTTAATCCCAAATCTGACGCTTCACAGCCATTTCATTTCAATCTTTCATCAGCCACACCACACCATCCTCTCTTCTTTTTTCTTCTTTTCCTCCTCTCTCTCAACTAAAAATCTGGTTAGACAATGGAAGGCGAAGTCGACGCTTGGATCGAACAGCTCAGCCAGTGCAAGCAGCTCTCAGAGGCAGATGTCAAACGACTATGTGACAAGGTGCGCACGGTCCACGAGGCAGGCGGCAGCTGGCAGGTTTCCCTGAATGTGTCGGCTACGACGAGACGAGCTCTGGGGGGATCTGGTCGCTGCCGACTGCTGTGCACATTCTAGCGACGGGGTTTGCTGACGACGATGTGGCCAGGCACGAGAAATCTTGATGGAGGAATCCAACGTTCAACCAGTGCGATGTCCGGTGACTGTCTGTGGTGATATCCACGGCCAATTCGTGCGTCTTTCTTCTACACCGTTCATCTAGTCCAGCATCGCTCATCCAGTACCGCTATCATCGACCAACGACGACGCCCAACGATGCCATGCCCACAACCCCGCTCGCTCCACCCGGTTGAACCAAAAATCAGCACGATCTCTCAGAGCTCTTCCGCATCGGCGGCAACTCGCCAGACACCAACTACCTGTTCATGGGCGACTACGTCGACCGTGGCTACTACTCTGTCGAGACGGTGACCCTCTTGGTCGCCCTCAAACTCCGGTATCGCGATCGTGTCACCATCCTGCGCGGGAACCACGAGTCCAGGCAGATCACCCAAGTCTACGGCTTCTACGATGAATGCTTGCGAAAATACGGCAATGCCAATGTTTGGAGGTTCTTCACAGACCTGTTCGATTTCCTCCCTTTGACCGCTCTCATCGACAACCAAGTCAGTTTCTCTCCTTTCGGTCCATGCATCATCAGGGTACTCCTGAATGATTGATCTATTTATTCATCACTCCCCTATCCATTCAACTCTTCTGACATCTCTGTTTTCTCCAGATATTCTGTTTGCATGGTGGCTTGTCACCGTCCATCGACACCTTGGACCACGTCCGATCCATCGACCGAGTGCAAGAAGTGCCCCACGAAGGCCCCATGTGCGACCTCCTCTGGTCCGACCCCGACGATCGCTGCGGATGGGGCATCTCACCCCGTGGCGCAGGCTACACCTTTGGCCAGGACATCTCAGAAGCCTTCAACCACAACAACGGCCTCACATTAGTCGCACGGGCCCATCAGCTCGTTATGGAAGGTCAGCGCCGATCCACTCTCCATTCCTCTGACAAGCACGATCTGACCACTCCATCACATCACACTCCTCACCTCCCCTTCTCCTCCCCCCTCGCGCTCTGACAGGTTACAGCTGGGGTCAAGATAGAAACGTAGTGACGATCTTTAGCGCGCCCAACTACTGTTATCGATGCGGTAATCAAGCTGCTATAATGGAGATAGATGAAAAGTTATCTTACAGCTTGTGCGTATTTTGTTCTCCATCTTGCGTGGTGCGCTCCATACTTAAACGTCACCTCTTTTTTTTCTTTCTCCAGCCTACAATTCGATCCTGCCCCGCGGGCCGGGGAGCCTCTCGTGTCACGCCGTGTCCCCGATTACTTCCTGGTAAGCTTTAGGATTTTCCGCTTTTATCTCTGATATGGCGAACTGATTGCTGTTAACCTTCGCAGTGATGTGTATAATATAACCTACAAGCCACTTATACCGTGTACAATCAATGATCCTCGTCCCTCCTCCGTCTCTTCTTTCGCAATGACAGTTCTCTTTTCCAACACCTCCTGGGCATACAAGTCAAGGATAGGTCTGGCTGCATCAAAATCCATCGGACAATTCCATGTTTGCGGCAATACAGTAATATATACCCCCCAACGTTACAAGTCTGTTGTCGTCTTCGTTTCGTAGAATGAACTTTGAATGCTCCTACCCGTGTCTGGTTCTTTAGCTTCCATTTCATTCGGAATCCCCAATCTTTTATCTTCTTTCTCCTATCTTCTTTCTTTCTCCTGACGGACATCCGCTTTCCCCTCTCCCGTAAAACCTAACAATTTTATCATTACCCTCACAGTCACACAAAAAGTAATGGCGCAGACTATGATGCAAAGCGTTGGAGAAGGGAAGAACTCTGAAGACTCGGCTGGCTGGGGAAATACGTACGAAGTACGAACTTGCGCGTCGGCCATTGGCCAATATCCATATGTATCACGTGTGGAGGAAGATATGTCGTCAGATGTAAGTGGTGGAGTGACGTCAAAAGTGAGGAGCGCTGAGGGGATACGGAATGGGTGGGGGACGTGCGTTCAAATAGGGCGTGCGTGGTTCTAATGTGGGTGGCTGTTGTCCGAACTATTATATAGCGAGCGTTTTTGAAACTCCTTCCCTTCTCGTCTCACACGACGACATCTTTTCATCTTCCAATCTCTTTCTTGTCCTACACATCCTTTCTTAAACTCTCTCATCCAACCTCGAACTCGAGTTCTCAGATACATAACAACTTCCTCATCGCACCAACCGCAACAGACCTCACTTCAAGAGGTTAACCTTTTCCGCCGGTACTACGACGAAGATGACCCCTATCAGTGCCTTCTCTCGAGTTGCGCTGCGCAGCGGTGGGATGATGCACCACCGCTTGACGGTGGCGCAGAGCGCGGTGTCGAGGAGCGGGGTGGTGGAGATTTCCAGGGCGACTAGTACGAGGTGAGACATTGTTCAATAACGTTGTCGTTTCTAGACTCGTAGTAGTTTCTCCTGGTTTTACTCCTCCACGTCCCACTCTCTTTTTCTTATTCTTTGATAGTCGGTTACCGTGTCGTTGTGTCGTTTTTGTGTTGAAGGGAGTGCTTACTTATTTCTCCTACCCTTGCTGCTGTTGCGGGATGGTGGTGATGGTTGCAGCAGGGTCCATGCGTATTCTACTTCTTCAAGGTACTGTCCGCGTTCCCGCGTGGAGGGGAGATTATGGTCTTCAGTGTCTCGAAGGACCCTTTTTACTTACACACGTTCCTCCCCTATCTGTGCAGCACGATGCACGATAATGATCCAGAGGTGCGTTCTCTTTCTCCCACTCCCCACCTCTCAGTGTACGCTGACTCTTGAATTTACTTTCCTTACATGAAACTTGAATAGGTCCTGGAACGCGAGAAACAACGCAACCTCTCTGGTGCGATGGGCAAGACCGCCGAGATGTTCGACTTTGCGCCTGGCTGGAACGAGACGCTCGCCAGCGCCTCCGAAGCACACATCAAGGTTCGTATCTCACTATCTAATCACAAGTAGTGTCACCTCTGACATCACCCCCCACACCCTCCTACCTTCTCACTGCTGTACCCCCTACCGCCAAACATACCCAACAGGCCGACAAATCATCCGGCAACCCCATCGATCTCCAACGCCGCACGGTCGAATTCCTCCGCGTAAACAACGACCCAGAAAACCGTGAGGCGACCACCGCATTCTATCTCAAGGATGAAGTAACAGGGCCTTTGCAAACAGCTCAAGGCCACGACGACGGTTTAAATTCTAACCAGAATGAATATAATGTTGATGGGAAGCGAGTTAGTGGTAGGAGGACGGAAAAGATTGAGAAGGAGATTGAGAGGGAGATTAGGGATGCGAGTCATATGACGGCTAGTGAACAAGATGTGCGTGGTTATTGTAGGTTTTGGGTTTCGTTGCAGAGCTGAAGCTGACTTTGTTTTGTTTTACACTTTTGCGTTGGGTGGGCGTGTTTAGGTTAAGGCTGATCGAGGAGAATTCAAGTAAGGGTGTTCTTTGGTGGGCAAGTTCGGTTGGGAGATGAGGATGGATAGTGTGCTGGAGAAAGGGTGGCGGTTCGGCTTCAAGTTGGTTAAGAAAGAGAGCTTGTTGGTCGTGCGGTCGTGCGGTGTGCGGTGGAGCAGTCAAGTATCACTTGCACGTTTGATTTTGAACCATCATGTATTTTATTCGTTCATTCAATTCGTTTCTTCATCAAAGCCAATTCAATCAATCCTATATATATTTGTATATTCGTATCCTTTCGTTTCAATCGCATATCTCAATCTACCCAACGCTTTTTTTCCCTGTGTATCCCAGTCACTACTTCGTATCCGCGACCCGTGAGCGTGAGGGGGATGCAGAGAGAAGGAGAGAGACGCATACGGAGGAGTGATGATGATGTCATCGCACCATCATCGATATCGTTGCCAAACACCCGGATTTAGTTGGCCACTTGCCTTTTTAATGTGCGAGTGGGGCATCCCGCGTTGGGGGGATCAAAGGTTCCGAGGCACTGGCTAGATCTAGAGGGGGTGGTGATGTAGGAATTGCAATTGCACTGGGTCTTTGGCGCTCTCGAGTCGGCTTGGATAATTAAGCACTCAGATTTGGACTCGTCAAGTCGCTGAAGACGGGCCAGAGCATTCGGCTAAAGTTCGATCGCTGGCCGTGAACGAATCGTAGCTCTCAGGCTCAAGTACCCCGTACTACGGTTTGGTAGAATACATAATATATTTGTATAATGTGCAGGTAGGTTACAATGAGATGGCATGAGATCGATACAAGGGATTATGTGGTAGATGGTGTATGCAGGTACAGTGGTGAATGGATACAACAGAGACCCCGTATGCAGTAGGTAGGCACTAGGTAGTGTAGATTGGGTAAGTAGATTATGGACAGAGATAACGAGAGAGAAGATGAGAGCAGGACAGAGGACGTGTAATACAGCACAACAGGGAGGAAAGCAGGTAGGTAGGTACGTAGGTGGATAGGTATCGCAACAGAACAAAACAAGGAAGAAAGGTATCGCAGAAAGCAAGGATATAAGCAGTTACATGTATATGTACACTCAAAGTCCGACTGAACAGCCTCGAAAAACGAGAAACGAAACCATTGAACTTGAACAACAAAGTTCAACAGATCAACAATTCTTCCATAGGAAGTCGTCAAGTCGATCCTCGTTAAGCTCCTCTCCGAGGTTCGAGTAGTACTCGGTGGCGGTCTGGAACAGCGAGAAATCTTCGTGCGTGAATCCGTGCATCGGATTCTGGGTATTAGTAGTACTAGTAGTAGTACCGCCGCTAGCAGTGAAGGTATTGTAGTTCCCGGGCTGCGCCGCGGGAACTTGGAAGCCGTTGCTGTCCTCGGCGTACTGAGAGAGAGGCTGGTAAGCACAATGGTTGTATCCGAGCCCCATAGGGTGCATGGAGTAGTGGTTGATGTAAGGTTGTTCGTCCGTGGAGAAGCCGGCGTAATTCAAGTTGAATGAGCTACCAATAGGCTGAAGGGGAGCTACAAGTTCCGGATTTTTGATCCGCTGTTGGGAATGGATTTGAGGAGTAGAATTCGAATAAGAGGTGTCTGTGACGCTGTCTTGTGGTTGGACGAACCCAATTGAGTTTGGGTAAGCAGGATCGAGGATGGGAGTTTGAATCTGTGAATTGAGAGTCACTCCGGAAGTCGACGCCTCGTCGTGAATAGGCTGGATAGGCTGAGGGGCGGACTGGATGCGATATTGCTCCCCATAATCGTTCGTGCCGTAGTACTGGTCAACGTTGAGTTGTTGCTGTGGAACGGCTTGAGTAAGATTGAAGTTGTCGGTGTACGCGACACCAGGTTGCGACTGTTGGACCCCCGTCGAAACAGAAGCAGAGTTTGAGTCGAACGCAGCAGAGTAAGCGCCGGTGCCACCGACAGCGCCTTGTGCCTCGAGGTAGCCGGCCGAAGGGGCGCCCTGTCCAATGGAAGCTTGCTCCGCAAGAAGAGGACTAGTATCATGGCCATACTGCTGGAGAGCTTGAAGCCGAGTGTTGTCACCATAACTCGTGAGCGTGGCAGGGTTCTGTGGCTGTACGCCTGTGCCGACAGCGGAGAAAGTTGACGCGTTGTCCACTGTAACGCGAGAGGGAGCACTCGCAGCTCGTGCAAAGGGAAGCGGCGCCTTAGGCCGAGAAGGAATGGTAGTGGAAACGGTAGGCTGACTGACGGATCGTTGTTGTTGAACGTATGCAGTCGCAGTGGGGGTGAGCTGGTAATAGGTGAATTCGTGTTGGAGTTGAGAAGAGGTCTCGTCAATGCGTTGTCCGCCACTAATAAGTGGTATCTCCTGGGTGGTGTCAAAAGCGTTGAGAGAGGCCGTCTGTGGAGTCGATGATTGCTTGGAATAATTGGTGGGATAACGTGGGGTGGGCCGGGCGACAATAGCCTTTGGCTGGTTAGAGCGCTGATGGACACCTGTGTCCACACTACAGTGCTCGAAAACAAAAGAGAATTCGATTGGATGCTGGGTCGATTCTGTAGAAGGACGTTCGGAGGAGGTGGTCTCCCCTGAGAGTTGTGGTTCGAATCTCGTTGATGTAGTCAAAGGCTTCTTGCCGCGCGAAACAACTCTCTGCTCGGTGCCACTCTGAGGTTTGTCGGTGATTGGCGAAGTCCTTTGCGTGATTGGCGCGTCACCACCATCGCTTGCGCTAGCCGTCGCACGCGGTTGATTACCGATGGGAGTACGAGCCTGTAAGGACGTCAAGACTTTATACACAACGCGAATCAAAGGCTGATAACCTACCTCGCTGCTCGGACCGGCCTGAGCTACTGACTCGTCCACCTCACGCACTCTCGTCTCAATAGCCTTCTGGAAGACAGAAGTGGATGCGACGATCTTCTCGAGCATCGCAGCCTTCTGCTTCTTCCCATTAGACTTGGCCTTGGACTTTCCAACTTTTCCATCCGGGGCAACATTCTCCTCGTCAACTGTGGCCTTTCGTTTCTTCGCGTTCGCATCGCGTCTCGGTTTGTAGGAATACCCAGGGTGGTTAAGCTGGTGCTCAGCGGCCAGCTTGTCCGCCTCCCTCTTATAATGCAGCTTCTCATCATCCGACATCGATTGCCACTCGAGACTGATGATTTTGCTGACGATGGGCTGAGGCAGCACGGGCTTCAAGTTTGCTTTCTTCCATACATTCCATCGGGCAACGCGGAAGACCAACCATGAGTTGCGTGGTCGCTTGATGCGAGTTTTTGGTGCTTGTGGGCTGCTCGAGCTACTTGAACTAGACATGAGAGACGTGGCTTAGAGGCAAGATGTGGTGAAAGGACTTGGACGCAACTTCGACACAGTTGCCAAACATCTCCGAGTTCTCGGAAAAGATATCGGTTCTCACGCTCCTGCCACACTACATCCCAGCTGTCGACGATGGCAATCCCGTATTGTCCGCTCTATGGCTGCTGTATTGAACGCGTCTTAAAGATTTGTAACGTCAAAAAAGTTGTATGTCAATTTGGAAATCTGTATCCCAGTGTATGGTCAATTTCAAGGGAAAATCCAAACAACGAGGTCTATGGGTCCGACTGATCCGGACTCTGCGACGCGTGTGCCAAGCTCGACTGGCCAACACCTCCAGCTCGACGAAGTACGAGTGAAATCCACTCGTAAGTTGTTCGTCAGGGAGTCGCTGCACATTATCATAAGCTCTCTTCTCCTCCCTGTCGGAGGATCGAATTTTACTTTTCCAACCTGACCTCCCCAGCGCGAGTGAGTCACAATAGTGTTTGTAATGGGTGCCACTGGCGCGTTTTCCTTCACCTTGTTCGACTAGTGTGGCCACATTAATTCGCAGACTCGAAGAAGGGAGATGTTATGGAAAATATTTGTTATTGATAGGCGAATATATGATTAGCATGTGCATAGAATCATCGAAAAAATAGCAACATCGCTGAGGGCATACTAGGCTACATTCAATAGGGCATATTGTACGAAAAATGGGGTATGGCGATGTACATAAAGCAATTCGCAGTGAGATATATCCAGGAGAGGATAATTGATTCCATAAAGTCCTAAAATTACCGTACTCAGAGAGCCCGAGTCGTCAAACCAACGACCTTGTAAGGATGATTGTCGATCTCGTGGATCGGAATGATTTGGTAGGGTCCAGGATGGGTCAGAGTGGCGACGCCAGGAATAGGCGGGATATAAATAGTACCCTTGGCGGCCTTCTCCTGAAGCTCATCGACCGTGTTTTCGTCGAGGTCGAGGGACTTGTCAACGCTTGGAACAGCCGGTGGCATTTCGGCAAGGAATGCGCTGTAGTTGGGTTCATCATGGACGGGTGGCACTTCGGAGCTGGTGCCACTGGCGATAGATACCTCAGTAGCAGAGGGAGCCTCCTGAGCCAATGTTAGCCACCCTGTCATAATACGTGTCTGCGAAACTGAGCATACCGTAGGGCTTGGTCCAGCAGCGTCAATTGTTTGCTCTTTGGAAGCGGTCCTCGCTCCCTGCTTCGTCGTCTTCTCTGTGCTCCTGCCCTGCTCCTGACAGGCATTTACAGGTCTTAGTGGCTTCTTTCCCTTGTCAGCAAGGGCACTGGGCTTCTGGAGCTCCTCTGGCTGTGGGACTGAAGTCCCGGGAGCACACTTTCCAGAGGAGTCGTCGACCACAGAAGTAGTAGCAGTGGCGTCGTTGGGGCGTTTATTTTCGCGTTCAGCATCTCCGGAGTCATCGTCGTCATTAGGTGGCTCTCCTCCATTGCGAGCATAATTCCTCCAGCGGTTCTTCGCCGCTTCTGGGAGTCTGTTCCACCGGTCACCGATGAGCTTGCTCAACCGCGCTTGGCGCACCCCTGGATACTGCTTGCTTTTCTCCGTTCGGAAGAGGATGAACGCATTGAGACGCTTAGTTTTCCCAGGATCGTCTGACATGGCTGTAAATGAACAAGATTCTTGCGAAGACAATGGTTTGGTTGAAAGCAAGCCGTGAACTTGGTAAACGCGCTGCACGAGGCGATCGCCCAAAACGGTAATTAACCAGCACACGTGACAGGGGACTTGGAACCCCCACGTGCACCCTCGCCCCTGGTCCGTGCGTCACTGGCACCTGCGACGAGCGAAACCTGGCGAAGGTTTGGAGAGGAGACCTCGACAGCCCTCGGCACAGAAGCCGTCCTGGTAAGCTGAGAACTGCTTCTGGAGCCCTTCTGCGCAGGCGACGGCTTTATCCCAGAATCCCAAGCCCAGTTGCCTTGGCAGTTCCGAAAGCCAGTTTAATGACTTGAGCGTACAGTTCCAAAGGACATGGGTATGCAGGCCAGGGAGTCAGGTCGCTCAACCAGCTGGGAAAGGTGTGCGGGACTGACGAGGATGTCGACGATGAGTGGACAAAGTCAACCCTGAGGCTGAGCCATCTGATTGACACATCGACCTCAGGTTTGGGTGCCAAACAAACGAGGCGAGAGAGAAAATTCATAGGACTGGGACACGATGAGTCTTTAGAACAAGTAGAGACTGCAGCAATCGCCAAGGATCGCCAGGCCCCAGAAGGCATGGTAGAAGAATATGATAGGATTCAGTCTCTAGAATACAAATGCGAGGATGAACTACGTCAAGGTACAGAACGGCGATGGTAAGAGTTACAACTTGATCAACAGCAGTCCAAGAAGTGGCAAGTGTAGACAGCGTGTGCATGATATCAGTACAAATGAAATAGAGCGAAAATCGACAGCTGAATGGACACGGTCCCCAAGAGTCAAAAAATGTACAAAAACGTTGAAAGCATGAACAGGTTTAATGGAGGTATTTCTCGTTCAGAGCGTGAACTTCTTTCGAAAGGTAGGGCCACGTGAGCGTCCGTGCCAGTTCTTTTCGAAGTCGTTTCTCCCCTAGTCTCCTCTCCTTGTCGTACTCTGCCTGGTTCCCATCGCCGATGCTTAGGCGCTTGATCTGCTCTTCCTTAAGCCCAGCTCGCTCCTTCGCAAGCTTGACTTCCCATCCGCAGAGGTTGTACAGCAGTCTCATGTTCGGTTGGATGAGTACGGAGAGACGGCGCGAGCGAACAATGAGGTAGGCGTCGACCAGAGGTAGGGAGAGATGTTTCATCACATACGCGATCTGGAAAAGGTAAGGTTAGCACCAAGTTCGCCGAAGTACGAAACTACAAAGAAGTGGTCCGCGATAAATCCGAACGATGTCATTGGCCAGGGACACGGAAGCAAACGAGCAGGTGATGCGGGGTCGCGACTTGGGTTCTTCGCAAGAAATCACAGTCCACCGCGTCGGGATTTCGGCATTTCCCCTATTTTTCCATCCGCTGAAATTCTCGCTCCCTGGTTGCTTTCTCCGCTCTCTCCCTGTCGACATCATCCTCCCATCGATAACAAATTTCGCCTCCCAAGACGAGAACGAAACCGGTAAAGATGAAGGAAAAACGAGGCTCACCGTAACGGTCGCACTACGGCTTACACCCACTCGACAATGCACCAGCACTTGTCCTCCCTCGGCCCTCGCCTTATCGATCCAATCGCAAATGGGCTCCAACTGAGGTTCAAGAGTGTCGATTCCATCGTCGCACACACCCTTGATATCAAGGACCTTGATTCGACCTTCTCGTTCCTCGATGAAGAGCGATCCATGACCACTGGTGTTGGGATAAGATTGCTTGTACGCTCCTATTCGATCCAAGTTCAGAATCTCAATTCGAGAAAAAAAATCGGACGTCACTTACGAGTCGAGCAGCTTGCATTTGCTGCATTTCCGGCACTCCCTTGGCCAATCATGTGGAAGGGTGGTGGAAGAAGGGCACATTCTCCAACGCTGACGACGTGGGTGATGCCCAGTGCGTGGAGCATGTACACATTGGACGCATGATTCCTGTGAAAAAGGTTAGTTCGCCACATATCACCGCCGTGCAAGACCTCGACTCACAGATTACCCAGGTACAAGAATGGCAATACACGGCTAGGGAAGCTTCCGTCGAATCGAGGATCATTGAACCAACTCTGGTGATCACCGGCAACGCTAGGCAGCCAAGGACTAGTGTTCGCTCGAGGCCTCCCAACAGTGGTTGTATGGGTCCTACCAGTAGTGGCAAGTTGAAGCCTCCCACCGCCGGCGACTGGAGGAGATTGAGAGGACAAGGTCGAGGAAGCCGGCAGGGTCGACGCATGCCCCATCTTGGCGTACTCTGAGGCATGACCCGGGGTATGAGCACCCATCCCCAACCCTGGTATAGAGGAAGGGGTAGGACCAGGTGCCTTGGCAGTGACGGTGTTGGACGGGTTGGCGAGGTGAAGACCTGGAACTTGCGCAAACGAAACACTCTTCGCTGCAGGACGGCCCATCTTGGTACGGCGCTCTCCAGTAGCAGGAGCGTCGGGGATGGCTGGAGCTGACGGCGGCGGCGACGATGACGACGATGGACCCATACCCAACCCCCTGAAGAACGAGCTGCCTAGACTGCGCTTACCATTCCCGTTACCAGGAACAGCATTACTATCCCGATCCCGCTCGTTTCTCTCCCTCTCAGCCCTCTCCCTCTCGCGCTGAGCAGCAATCTGAATCTCCCTCAACTCCCGCTGCCTCTCCGCCTCCCTCAACCTCTCACGTTCGCGCTCTCTTTCCTCACGCAACCGCCCCTCAACCTTGCGAAGAATGCCGAGATCATGTTGGTACACGAAGAACGAGCGGCGCTTGGCGACCTGGAGCTCCAGATAGGCTTCTGGTAACGTCAGCCCCTTGACGCTCATCAACAGGCAGAGCGAGGGCAGCGACGACTCGGTATACCCATCCGCACTGTAGATCAAGATCTTCAGCGGTCTGGTGGGGGTCATCCTGTGCGATTGGACGGGTGTTTGATGGCGGGGATATTGCTGATAAGAAGTCGTATGCTGTTGATGGGCAGGTTGAGCATAGCCAAACGACGATCCTTGTGGAGTCTGATGGAAGGGATTGACGTGGCTCGTTGGTGCAGGGCTAGTATTGGAGCGCAGTCGGGAAGACGAAGGGGGTGGGGAAGGCGAAGCCTGTACAGTGGCTGATGGAGGAGGGGTAGGCGCGGGGTTGCTGCCACCGAAAACTGCAGGCAAGATGGAAGACACGACCGAGCTCGACCAGCGTCTGACTCCACTGACTGGACTAGAAGTCTCATTGCTTCGTCCTTCTGGGTCTTGATCTCCGGGAGGAGGCGTGGGCTGAGCTGGTGGCGGAGCCGGTGTGACTTCCACCTGCACATCTACTGTGACTTCGTTCACCGGGCGAATCCACCGTTCCAAGAAGCGCAATACGGGTATAAGTTGAGCAAGCGTGCTCTGGTTATTAGGCGGCGAGCTGGGGAAGGGCAGGTGAATGATAGCGTTCGCGTGTGGGGCAGGTCGTGGAGGAATGCGCAGTGTCTTGGTCTCCGTTCGCGGACCTCTATCCTCAGCTCCATCCTCGGGATTGGCCTCGACATTCTCGACTTCAGCCTGCAACTTCGCCACCTCCCTCCTTACCATTCTCTCCCTCCAAACTCGTTCCAATGTTACAAGATGATCTTCAGCAGCTCGAAGGTGGGCGGCGGTGGGGAAGGGCGCGAGCTCGTGGCACTCGATGCAGATGTCGTAACCAAATCCTTTGGCGGGGTTGTTGGTGACGGAAGGGTTGAACGGGTCGTCGGCTGCCAACTCGTCCGCATTGACATCCTCCAATCTGTTTCGAGCGCTCTGCTGCGCCTCCTCGGAAGGTGGTTCAGGGACGAGAGGAACATCGGAGGAGTTGCCGAGGAAGACTTGGCCAACACGAGGGTCATAGAATTTGGATAGCGAGGAGATGTCGACGGAAGGGTTTGGATGGTTGTAGGTGAACTCGGGCGACGTCGGGGAACCGCCGAGGTGAGGTGAGGACAACGGCGGCGGCACAAGGTTGGACAGGTGCTGCAAGTGAGGAGGCTGGCTGCCGGAGACGGGGGTACCACTGGGCGTCGAGGACAATGGCGAGTCGTACAGCAGACCCTTGCCGAATGTCGCCTTGGTCGGGGTATTATTCTCCGATGGGGAGACAGGGAACAGGCTGATGATCTCGGACGCTTTGGTCAAATCTCTCATCTCTTCCCTCTCACGCAGGGCAAAGTCGACGGTATTGGGGATGGGCTCGTCAAAGTCGCTGATATCAAGGTCGGTATCCGCCCCAGCCGTGTCGGTGGTAGCATCGGCCGGGATTTCAATGGAATCCGACATGGCAACATCCCCATCGTCATCGATTTCAATTTCGCCAACGACGAGATCAGTGTCCATCCTGCTCTCCGCGGCCAGACGACCATCGTTCCCGACAGTATGAGCTCCAGTTGTCACCTCTGTCGGTCCCGCTTCAGTATCACTCTTACTGCTCTGGGGCTTCTCGACCCCGGGTACGCCACTCCCGCAACTATGCATCATCAAATGCCCCATCCTCTTCCTCATCTGCTCTTCGTCCGCATCCAACACGAACACGTTATAGTCCAACAGCTCCTCGTCTACCTTGTTCAATAGGTACCTCTCAGCAGCATCTAGCAGTCTCGTCTCGACATCATCTTCCTCGTCGTCACTGTGGACACCATGCGGCCTCGAAGACTCTTTGGCGCTCTCGAGGTTCTCCGCGGTGATGTGGTGGTGCTGGATTTTGATCGACTGTGTATGGCCCTCACGTGCGGTCTTATAGGACTGGGTATGGGCGTGGACTTGCGAGTAGACGATGCCCTTGAGGGCTGTGATCCGCTCCTCACGTTTGCGCTGGATGGCTTCACGGAAGCGGTGAGCAAGGGCGATGGCGTTGGGGGAGGCACCCTTGGGGGAGTAGACGACGATATCGGAGAGGGTGGCATAGATAGGCTGGACAACGATAACGATGTATCAGACATACAAGCAAAGAGAGCTGATAATGTCACTCACCACTTGAATACCAAAGTTCCGTAGAGAGATGCCATCAGGCACGCGGGTCGGTACAAACTCCCAAGCATGCTTCTTCTTAACCTCCTGTCGCCCGTCCTTTGAACGAACAGTCGTCAACTTCCTCTTCCGCAACAACTCCTTCGGCCTGAATGTGCAGGTCAACAACGGGGGAGCCGCAGGATCCGTGGTCGTCTTGCTCTTCCGCTTGGACTTGATCTTGGGAAGCCTCGCTTTGGCTTTCACGTGGCGATCTTTGAGTTCTTCCTGGCGGTCGAGACTGGCGATGGGGTCCGCCTGCGTCGCTTCTGGTAGTTCGACGACCTGGGGAGGAAGGTACGGAGAACACACAGGGGAAGGACTCGTGGGTGAGCCAGAGATGCTGGTGGTGGCTGTACCGGTCGTTGGCGTCTTGGTCGTGGACGTAAAGACCGAATCGACTTCTGAGCCAGACGAAGACGACACCGATGTCGAAGTGGACACCGTGATGTTGGAAGTATCAATGGCAGGAAGGGACGCAAACTGAGGTGAGTGCTGATGGTGATGAGGCATGACGACGGGGTGCATATACGGCATGCTATCCATCTGTTCCTTGGTTAACGGTTTACCCAATGAAGCTGCATCCTCGTTATGGGAAGAAAGTATACCTCGCTCTTCATCCTGTTGAGCGATGGAAGGCGACGCGATACTGCAATCGTCGTTGTGGATAAGGTTGGAAGTGGCCTCCCTCAGAGCATCATCGCTGTCGAAGTTCTCGTCGTCCCCAAAAAACTCTGAATCTGAGCTTGTTGTGGACTCGTCATCGAGATCGTCATCGTCGCTGCTGGTAAGCATAGCGTCGTCATCACTATCGTCGAGGATCATATCTTCCGGATTGGAGGAGTATCCATCGCACGTTGCGGTAGGAAGAGGTTTGCGCCGAAGGATGCTCAAGGTAACCTTATCGTCTTTCAAGTCGTCTTCGCAGACAACCCAGACGAGACCACGGTACTGAGGCACCTTCGGCCGTAGCAGCTGGTGTGTAGTTGTGCCCTGTGCATTCGAAGGCCCAACGGTATATGGGGAGGGTGCAAGATCCTGAAATCAGGTGTTCGTCAACCATCCGCCCGGACGATACGGAACACAGGGGTAAATCAAATCAGAGACCGACCAGGTCCTACTCACCACTTTCTTCGAACCATCCGGGTGGTGCTGGCCATGTACAACGTTCGGGACCGTAACGTTCACGACATGGTGGCTTCCACTGAGCGTGCTCTTGCTCGCATCACCTGCTTCGTTGCCCGGGGCAGAATTGACGACCACGTTCGCATTTGCAAAGAACGTGTTTTGAGCATCATTCTCTCCTTCTAGACCGTGCAAGAATGGGAACAACACGTGGTCAGGTGGATGCGAAACGAGGTGGTTGAGGTGGAAAGAAGCAAATAGGGGAGGAGAGAGGAGGCGGACAGGATTCTTCTCTTCGCCATTGGTTAGCCCTCCCTTGTTGGAAGTTATGGAGTCGAGAGCGTCAGGGTCGCTGTGAGGAGGGCTGGGCATGGTCCCAGGGACTTTGGACGATTCTAAGACGGGTGCAACAACTGGGAGGGTGTCAAGAAGGGTTTGTGAGTAGTCCAAACCGTGGGTCATGTTTCTGGAGACAGGTCAAGATTATACAGAGCCCAGCAGTCGTGTTCGCCAAGATATGGTCTGGGATGGGTAGGTCTGATAGAGACAAGGCAAGTCGAATAGCGACTTTGTTGAGGCGGGGTGAAAGGGATCTGGTGGCTGATATGAGCCGATGTATTAGCTGAATGATAAAATGGTACGGCGTTCTGTTGGCAACGTACAGTGTATAATGATGAAGAGACTATGGCCGCGGTGACGGCTGGGGTCGAGGTCACAAAGCTGGTTTCTGGTCAAACAACTGGCTGTCGTTGTCGGTGGAGGAGGATGCGAGCCCCCCGGGTTTTCCAAATAGACTGCCGTTGGGGTGTTCCAGGGTCTGAAATGTGCTTCTTCGTCCCCTGGTCGTTCGATGTCGCTCGTGTGTTTCTTCGACGGATCCCACAATGATGACCCACTAGTTCCTCCGCGTATTGGTTGGTCGAGGTATATCTCGATCTCGAGTTCTGGAAAGCGGTAGTTCTAGTCCTTCAGGTCGCTATCGCTGGAACGAAGACTGGGATCGAGGCAGGCGGTCGTCGTCGTCGTTCGTATCGTCGCTTGTCGTCGTTTGTGGATGCGTAAAGGGCTGTGGTCGTGGTCTGAGCGCTCAATGATGATGAACAAAAATAGGACTATGTTGGCTGGAGCTGGGTGAGATGGTGGAGAAGAAGGAAGAAGCGACGGGCAGATATTGAATTGGCGGTGTAATTGAGTTCGAATTCATCGCACGCGTCTTCTCTTTCAACAACAGGACCCTGACTTTGTTGGTAAGCCATTTCAATACTCCATCACTCTCAATTTCTATACACTTTATCCGCTCCCCTTTATTTTCTCTGCCTCATGTATAACCAATCCTGCCTACATCCAATATCTGTCTGAATGACGCCCGCAAGCTGCACGAACAGTGTGCAATGGCCCAAGCATCATCGCGACAAGCACGACACAAGACTTCTCGGCGTTCCTTGGGGGCTTCAGTGCCCCTTTTTTTCGAGATCGTGATCGGGCCTAAATGGAGTTTCCATCAAAACAAACACATCACAACATGGCCTCGTGTCCTCTCGCTCTTCAACTTTGAACCTCGAAAAAATCTGTACCTTGTCTTCGGGCTCAACTCTTCGAGGCAACACTCTGGCCGACAACAACGCTTGACTAACTTACGACTTGCTGTCTGGTCGCTACATCTCCTTTTGACGCCGCCTTCCAGCCCTCTTCTTCAGGACGCAGAAAGAAGGAGCGTTGATTGACTTTTGTTAACGAATGTCATCCAAGCTTTTCTTCTGTGCTCTGGCGCTGTTAATTCATGATCATGAGGCAACGCTACTCTTCCGCTACCAGCTGATTAGGGCACGGGACACTCCTCTCTACTCTTCTTTTGCTAGTCGCCGCTTCCTCGCGCTAAACTAGTCTCTGATTCTCGGACTCGAAGCTCATGCCCCCGAGCTTCCAACGGTTCTACGAAGAGCGTCCTCAACCTGAGACTGGGACAGCCTGCACCACACCAGCGTCGACGCCCCCTCACATTTCCGCCGCGGCTGGAAGATGGGGTGATAAATTGGTTCGCCAGCTGACCCCCTCGACCTTCCATAAACACTCCAAATCGCGTAACTTTACCTCCTCGTGGACAATTGCTGTATGAATAGGGTGACGTGAACCCCTGCCTAACCTGTCTAAATGGTACTTGGGTAAACGAATTTGGAAAACCGCAGCAGTCATGAAACAACCTCGTCCTCTCCACTCTACACCGCGGGGAGAAACGCCTCCCAAAGTAGAGGGTTCAAAGACTAACGAACACCATTGCCTGCCTCTTTCTGTGTCTGGTGGCTCCTCACCTTCAATTGCTCCCCGAAATCCATGGAACAGATGAAAATAACCGAATCAGATAAAGGCAGCTGATGGCTTATCGGGGTAAGCGTAACCAGCCGTAGGCGATCTAGAGGTTCAGAAAGACGTCAGAAGATACTTTATACCCGCTGGAGCTGGAAGAACATCGGTACCTGACAGCCCACATGCCCGTGGAAGAGATAAGAGTTGCACCCCAGTGCGCGGCTCCTTTCTCTCAAGTCGATTTGCCTATTCCGCGTCCGCCCACTCATCGTCGTTGCAGAGCGTCAGTAATCCGCTCTGTTCGTGATTGAAGTCGGTTTGTCTGTTTTCGTCCTGTGTCTTCGATTCAGAACATGTCGTTCAGCGCTTCGGATGGTGTCGAGGACCACTTCACACCCTTCACATCGAAGCTCCATCCGAATGATTGACTGGCGATTACCGACTCCAACGAATCCAGCGGCTGACGCTCGACCCCACCGCCCCTGCATTTTCCTTGCCTGCGATGTCAAGCAGTGGCCCACTAGCGTCGACGAACCTTGATCGTTGCTTCCGACCATTGGAGTACTTCCAATATCGGTATTTAAACTAGCACCTTCGCACCACCCTTCGGCATTGGATTGCTCCCCGCTTGCAGCCACCATCCGTGACTGTTAACCATCGTAGACACTGAGGCTAGGTCAAACTGGACATTCGTTCAGTGCACTAGGCGTAACCCAGCCCTATCGTCACCCATACCCCATCCTAGGATCCTATAATTAGACTCGATATTCTGACCCTTCATTCTTTCGATGGAGAACAACATCTTCGTGTAAATGGAGCTCAAGAACCTCTGCGGGATGTGTAAACGGGGACTGGGAACCCTCCTACTAAACCAATGGAGTGGGAGAAGCCAGGTTGCAATCAAGGGTAAAGACTTCGTCATTGTGCCACCATATGTTTGGATCGCCCTTCTTGAACTTCTGAACCGTTTATCTTCGTTCTGTACTTGCTTCTTGGACTCCGTGTTTTCTGATGTTGTGAGCTGCGGTGTAATCTCTAAGCGTAAGGAGAGGTTACCTATGTGTCCGACAATAATCGGAACGAGGAACAGGTTTGGGTAAAAGGGAGATGCACGGCACTCCTCGTGATTCAGTCGCTTCACCTTGTCGTCAAGTATAGCCTATTCATCTGGTAATCACCTGTCGTAAAAGGCCCATCTCATTTCTAATGTTAACATGAATCACTTCGACCTCCTGAGCATTGTCGTGCTCAGCGCTGAATCATACACCCCACTTCATCCGCTCAAACGTCGATCACATACCAATAGGGACTTCTAAGGCCTTTCAATCCTCAAATGATAGAAGCCCCCTTCCCACTCCCGTCGCCGTTCAGCGATTCCTGGTCTGAAATACGGTTATGTCACCTGGAAGAATTATCGCTGCCAAAACCGTGATTGCTGTAGTACCCCCTCACATGAGTACCCCAAACTGGGGCTGGTGGGTACTAGAGAACCTATGACCACCTCACTGTGTGTACCAATTGCATACACCAGATGCCCCCGTGAACCAATACGCCCATGTCCGCGGTATCATACCCCATGCACACACGGCAAAGCATATTAGACATATTGATTCTGCGAATCACAGAATTCAACTTTGGCACTACCCTCCTCGATTCTCCAATTCTTTCCCGCTCCGCAGACTCCATGATGTGATTAGAAGGCACGCAATAATGAGCGAAGCTCCCCTCGTTGATAAGGTTCTGAACACAAGTTACCCTCGTTCTTTAATTTACAGGTGACGCTTTGATACTGAACGATAAGACATTGCCTACAGTGGGCATGCCAGCTCAGGCTACAGGCTACCGTCTATTTTTGGTCAATGTCGCATACTCTTGCGTAGGACTTTGGTTTACCTTCTTCAGAAGGGATTACTTGAGCCAAGTGTCAGAATTTCCTGATTTTGGGAGCCCAGAATCGAGAGCAGAGAGGCCACGCTGGAATGAATCGCCGAGGCAGCAACGGGCGCTTAATCGGAGTTAAAAGTCCCTTCTCTCCTTCCACAATGTCGCCTTTCAGTCTCATCCGCAAGTCACTACCTCTCCAAAGGGACGATTTATCAATTCTTAGTACATTGAACTCGTTGGTATACGCAGAAATGGGCCGTCCAGTGTCAGCGCTGTGCAGCAGTCGAACGCGTGTCCAACCTTCCACTTCTATACCCGATAAAGTTCAAAACGTGTCCTCAAGAAGCCAGGTGATCGCTTCATTTCCTGTTATCAGGCTTACTACAGCCGCTCTCAGAGGCTATGAGGTGTGTGCTGAAGAATTCACTCATAAAAACCCTGCCCTAAACCCCGTCGTGCTTGTTCTAGACTCAGGCGCTCGATTCCATCGCAACCACCCTCCACCATCGATCCCGCGTTTCTCAGCCAAAGACCGAGCTCAACATGCAGCCTGGCTCTAGTTCCAACGACGGTCTCACTGCCGAAGAACTCGGGCGTCTCTTGGAGTGGGTTGTCCAGAAGAGTCCGTCCCCTGCGTTCAAAGGTTTATCCAAAGACCTCCCTCCATGGTTCCTCGTCGTTGAGGAGGCCGCACAGAGTGCAAAAATTCCACTTCAAAAAAGGGCGGACATTGCCATTTACCTGCTCAAGTCCCAAGAGTTGAAAGATTTCATGCAAGGGCGCAAGGCACTATACCGTGAAATTTCTGGACGAAAACACTGGAACTGGGATGACTTCAAACAGGACATCAAGGGTATCATGGGTATGTGTAGTTTTGCTTCATTAAGTCTCAGCAGACTGACGTTGCTTTACAGAATCAATTGAACGTGCCGGTACCATGGGTTCTCTCTCTCTTTTTTCGATTTCTCACAAATTACTCCGCCTAGCCGCTGCCCACGCCCATGCCCAAGGCGGCCAGGGATCAGGCTCAACTTTCCTCAGAGCAGCTGGGACAGTCCTCGCTATCGGTGGTGCAACAGTACTGTTCCCCGCCGTTGGTATCCTGGGCTTGAATGCCCTCGGATTTGGAGCGGGAGGTGTGGTTGGAGGTGCGTTTTGAACTTTGTCAGTACGCGACTGTTAAAACATACCTTGCCGCCCAATACATAGGAAGTATTGCAGCGACCATACAGTCCATCTTCTATGGTGGCGCCACAACGGGGCTCTTCTCGATCCTGCAATCCATTGGTGCGACCGCCGCTGCTCCCACTGTGGGGTCTATGATTGCCTCAGCCTCTGCAGTTGGAGCTGGTGCGGTCATGGTTTCTGGGTCGTCTGAAGAGCCCGATGGTGATGAGGAAGAGGAGTCTAGTGGTGATGACAGTGCAGATGTCCAGGGTCCGCCTCCTTACGCCTAAGATGCTTGCACATACGCATACTTACCTTTCTTGACTCCTCGAAATTCACCTTACAAGAGATCCGGGTTCAGGTTACGCGCATCCTTTTAAATTTCCTCTCGTTGTTTGTTCAGCTCGAGGTCGATTTACATAAATGTTCTGGGGATCCGTTTCGTTACTAGCCAAAGGTTCACGCTTGTTTTTATTCGTTTGTAGCGTTGTTTAGCTGTAATCTTAGCAGCCTTCCACCTCCCTCGCTCTGAAAAATTGAATGCGGGCTTCGAACAAGTTCGTAACTTGGTTCCAAATGCTTGCCCTAAAGAAATGCAACACTTGAGTGATCATATCCATTGTCCACGGCCCTTGCCGACGTCAGGTCACTCCAAAGATTCAATACCATCTCCCTGGACGAAGAGTTGCTCAAGGATCTCGAGGAGACTAAGAGACACTCGCACTGCCTCAATGCTTTATCGAATTGAAATGCCATTCCTCTAACGTATCGACAAACGGGATACCGTGATTTTTTTCTCTGGCGCGGCGAGACTACAACACAAGTTTTCAACGCTTCTCTGGCATTTACCGCGGGTTTTCGTATCCACCTTCGCCGGCTTCGGACTTCCGGTGCTCCTTGCGTCAAGAACCTCATCCATCTGTGCTCGAACTTCTGGTGGCTCTCCTTCAGCGCGTCGGTCGCTTGATTTCTCCCCGCGTCTGGCATCACCATCTTGTAGCCGGAGGAGAGAAAGGAAAGCTAAAATCTCCTTGGCTGTTAAACGTTGACCTCAAATCGACATCTTGGAGAACAAATAATCTCCCATTTGGACCGGGAAATCGTCTGTAAAGCGGTACCATATACGAGGCCTTGGATGCATTCTCCTCGTCACGGTGATACGAGATCTCCGCTGACCTATCTTTGTGAACCTGTGACGCTGACGGACATCTGATTCGAATAAACTTAGACATCCCACTGCATGGCTCGCTCTATAAAAACTCTGAGCTCTCTGCCCAGTGTGCTCCACCGACAGGAGGTCCACCTTTGCGACCTATCTTTGACCTCTCTTTCACTCACCTCTCTGACTATGTACGACATTATCGTCGTTGGCGGTACGTTCCGCCCATTTTCGCCCCAAGTGTGACGCTGACACACCTCACGCTCACCAGGTGGTGCCGCTGGATGTGTGATTGCTGGAAAGCTCTCGGCCGCCGACCCATCGCTGAAGATTCTGGTAGCATCGAACGCACGCGCTACTTCAGAGTAGCTTACTAACTCAGCGGCTGCACCATAGATACTCGAAGCCGGACCTCACTCGCACAATGTTCCACAACACGTCCAGCCCGCTCGCTTCATTCGTAACGTCCAGCAACCCCAGCTCATGGACCCCAAGTCTATCTGCCTTCACGTCGCGCAACCCAGCGAGGCTCTACTGGGCCGCAAAATCGTGATGCGGCAGGGAAGCGTCCTCGGAGGTGGCTCGAGTGTCAATTGTGAGTCTCCACCCTCCACCAAGGTTTGTTCCGACGCTGATAGCCTTCACAGTCATGGTTTATGTCCGACCATCAGCTTCGGACTATGACGCATGGGAAGTTCAGTTCGGGAACAAAGGATGGGGCTCGAAAGATCTCATTCCGCTTCTGAAGGAAGTGGAGGCTTACCATCCTTTCGAGGAGGGTGCTCCGGTTGGGCCAGTCCATGGGGACAAGGGCCCCGTCAAGATCTCCTTTGCAAAGAAGGGGAATAACGTGGGCGAACAGTTCTTGGACGTCGTCAGGCAGTACGACAAGGCACGTCCGATTGGCGACTGGAACGACTTTGGCTCTGGTAACAAGTACGGGGTGAGTGCTTGATATCCTTTCGGCCTCGATGCTTTCTCAGCTGCGTTGGTTACGAACAGAGATGGGCAAAGTAAGCATACTGGCTGTATCCTCGGAATTCAAGGTTAACTCGTTGAGTAGATACATTGATCCAAGGACAGGAAGGCGTTCGGATACTGCTCACGCCTTCATCTACAACCAACCGCCCAACCCCAACCTCGTCGTCGAAACAGAGAAACGCGTCGTACGAGTCTTATTCGAGTATGTTTCCCTACTGGGTTTGCATCCCCTAACACATAATGAACTATTTTCGCCTCGCACTTTAGAGGTACCAAAGCCGTAGGCGTGGAATACGTTGGGGAAGAGAAGAACGAGGATGGATCACGAGTCGTCCAACAAGCTTACGCTTCCAAGCTCGTCGTCATTTCCGCTGGATCCATTGCGTCACCAGCTATTCTCGAGCGCTCCGGCATTGGCGGAGCAGCCGTCTTGAAAGCTAATGACATTGCTCAGCTCGTGGACCTCCCTGGAGTTGGCGAGAACTATATGGGTAACAACGTCGCTTGGAGGATACAACTGTCATAACTGACACGCATTTTCAGACCATTCCGCTGTATTCTCCGTTTATCGTTCTGCCGAAGAAGCTGATACCATGGACGCTGTCTATTACGGTGGCCCGAACGAATTGTCTTGTGAGTGAACTGTCCATTAACCTCAGGATAACCGGGTTCATCTTTCGTCTTGCCAGCCTATGAATCCGAATGGAAATCGTCAGGCACAGGCCCACTCTCCCGAAAGTAAGGCCCACTTTATCCTCTCTTCACGTATCTGCTCAGCGACTATATATAAAGTGGCTTGGACGCAGGCTGCAAGTTGCGTCCGACACCAGATGAACTGAAGGAGCTCGGGCCAGCGTTCCAACAAAGATGGGATACCTTCTACAAGGACTACCCCGACAAACCGGTCATGCTTGGTGCGAGTATGGCCGCTTGTGGTTCGCCCGCGGGTGTCAAGGAGAAGATGTGGACAGCTGCGTATTACTCCGTGAGCTTTTCTCGTCTACCATGCCCATTTAAGACCGGAACTAAGTGTACCTGTCGTTACCTACTAGGCATACCCATCCTCGACTGGGTGTGTCCATATCGCCGGAGGACGCGACCCATTCGCTCCCTTGGACTACCATCCGGGGTATCTCGACAAGTGAGTTCCAATACCTCGGTCATGCTTTCTGTCTCGTCTGACCATATTCCACGATGACCTCAAAGAGAGGAAGACGTAGCCATGTTCCGATGGGCGTACAAACACTTGAGGGAGATAGCTCGACGCATGCCGTTCTACCGTGGCGAATACGAGGAGCGTCACCCCAAGTTTCCCGAAGGAAGTGCTGCCGCGTGTAACCTGTCTAGGGAACCCGTCGCAATCGACGCTCCCAAGTTGGTTTACACGAAGGAAGATGATGAGGCGATCGATAGGTACCATCGGACCACCAGTGCGTTTTGCCACCTACTCCGAGTCTCTCTTGTGACATCGACTAAATCCGAACAATTCGTGCAGTGGGACCAGCTTGGCATCCGGTAAGTTCCAAGACTTTGAATGTCCTATTAATGTATCCAATTGACCATAAAATGTAGGCCGGTACTTGTGCGATGAAGCCTCGAGAGCAAGGCGGCGTCCTCGATTCCAGACTCAACGTCTATGGAACCACCAATCTGAAGGTTGCCGGTAAGACGGCTCGCCATGTCTTGATTTCAATCTCCAACTGACGTTCGCCCTTTCTTTTGCATTAGATGTCAGTGTCTGTCCCGAGAACGTCGGAGCCAACACGTACAGTACGGCTTTGGCGGTTGGTCTCAAGGCCACTGTGATCATCGCGGAGGAGCTGGGGATCAAGCTGAGGAACTGAGTGCAGGACATTGGCTGGTAGTCATCCTCTTTTTTTTCAAGTGTGATAAACAATTATGTATACCTCAGCTACTATGTACTGGTACTCGTTGATGTAAATTAGCCTTAGTCTGAGTGAGCGGACTCACCTCGGATATTTAAGCGCCCATGACTCAACCAACGCTATCAAATCACTTCAGGCTCTCATTCTGCCACGAGAACTTTTATAACCAAACACACCCTTAAATCCTATTAAATACCCCATTATACCCCAATATTCACGCAGAAACCCACTAATTCCTCCAAATACCGAATTCCTTCGCCTCAAACCGTTGAACGAAGTCTCCTTTGTGCCTCTGACACATCAGCGACCGCGACCGCAGGTCTGATATCCTCCAATATCTCTCCCGAAGTACCGATAGCCCATAACCTACGACTATCCGGGTCGCGCATCAGTAAGGCGGGGATGGGCCCGCCTAGTCCCGGCCAGGGTGCGTGGATCGGGTTGAACGTCGAGCTGTAGCTCTACAGAATAAGATTCAATAAGAGTGTTATAGGGAGGGCTGAGAGAAAGAACTTGGAGAAAAGGATACGCACAGAGTTGTCTTTAGGGTTAGCAATAGGCGCAATTTCGTGCACGACAGCGTTAGTCTTTGGCGATACTGCGTAGAAGCGCCGGCGGACTTGAATGGCCTTTCTTCCTCTTTCCTTTCCTCCCCCTGGTGCTCGTGCTCGAACGAGTCCTGCTTCCGAGTCCGCTGTCTGCGCAGGAGAAGTACTAGGCTCTCGAGAACCAGCCCGGACATCCAAATTTCTAAGCTCCCTCTTCGTCTTTGCTCCCGCTGCCGTCGTCCGACTGGGCACTACTACAACAGCTCCTTTCTGACGTATCGCCAGTCCACCGACGCTTGCCCGCTGCTGAATACCCAGACTCCCAGCTCGATGTCGGGTACCACCCCAATTGGCACTGGCAGCAGCTACCGTCGTCGAACTCGACAATGCGCGAGGCGCCGGGCCTCCGCATGCTACTGCTTTTGATCCTGTTGCTGTAGCTCGGATCGGGGTGCTTCTTCTCCTTCGTATAAGTTCTTCGGTTCTGATTGGGGTATTATTCTCGTTTGAGATATCTGATTCCTCGTTTCTGGCATTCTCGTCAGTCACTGTAAAGCTCTCAATTGTTGTATCGCCATCCTAGATGATAAGAAATCCCGCATCGTCAGCCAATTTGTTGCTGCTTGATCAAGGTATCATAAATAGGGGTGGGCGCTTACCCGGTGGCTGTGCATTTCCTTGAACTCGTTCGCCATGTCGAAGTCCTCCAACGCCTAAAGATCGCTGCGCCGTCAACAGGCAGGAAGAAGAAGAAAAAAAAACCCTACGTCCCATTACGCATCCCGCTCCTTTTTAAACCCCCTCTCTCATCCATCCATCCATCCATCCATCCATTTCGTGCTTACGCCACCCCCGATATCGAATATTGCCAGTATGTCCCACTGGTACAATTGCAATTGCAACCCCACCAAAGGCATTATGCGTGTACTAGTAACGAAACCCGCTCTCGGGGCAACCATTGAAACCAATCTCTCGTGCTCGTGGCGACCAGCCCAGCCACTCCTTAAACCCTTACCTGTGGCATCAATTTGAAAGTGGCACAATGACGCAGTCGACTTGGCTTTTACCATGACATACATACATGCACGATTCAGCTAAAGAATTCAAGTTTGTGAACTGTGGCTTTGAATAATGTTGCACCCATGACAACAAAGGGCCTGGTACGTTGGCGTGTTTTGAGTGGCATGCGCAGCTAGGGTTTGGATGGTATCGTGCTCACGCGTCTGCTTCGTTTCAAGTCAGCGTTTTGGTAATGAAAGACTGTGCATGGATTACCTCACTGTGTGGCCATGTATCGGGGGATCATGTACCTTGACCAACGGACATAAGTAACTGGCGAGAGATTTGAATGACGCACAATTTTGCTTGCTATCCGTTATTGTGACGTCCGACTAACCTTCAAGGGGGAAAAAACTGTGTCCTTCGGACTGACAGTTTGCGCACCAAAAGCGCGCGAGGGTAGCGCGAGAATTTGATGCGCCTCCCAAACGGCGCCTTAAAAGATAGGGGCTCGACGGTCTCAGAGCGGACGCGGAACACTTCCCCTCCAACTTCGGAGACGGAACAGGGGGGCCTGGGTCTATGCCGAGTGCGCAATTTAACCCCCAGAAAAGAAGAGAAGGACGATCGAAGAAGCTCTTCGTCGGTGGAGTCTTCGTCAGCTTATCCAATCCGACAGATAGGTCACAAGTGCACAAGCACCTGACGCCTGAGGAAAGGAAAGAACCCACTTCCTTCTTGCTCCCGCACGCCCAACTCGGAACGTACCACTCAAACAAACACATCGCCCCTATTCGTATTATAGTCTCACCAAAACTAGCAATGGTCAAAGTAACTCTCAACGGGCAAACCCTCGCCGAATCCAACGAGACGATCCAGTAGAGGGGAACCACTACTTCCCTCCATCCTCAATCAACAAATCCTTGTTCACCAAATCTGATACTTCGTACGTCTCCCTCCCTCTCTTTCCTTCCAAGATACCCAACTGACGACTCCCCACTCCCCTACTTTTGGTCTTTGGCGACTCCACAACTCAATCTGAAGAACCTACTGTGGTTGGAAAGGGTAAGTGATTGCCTCGGGTTCTTGGAACATGGAAGACTGATGAGACGCCCCACATGCACAGAGACGCCTCGTACTACAACGCCAACATCGACGGCAAGACGCACACTGACGTAGCATGGTACTACCCCAAGACCATCACCGACCGCGCGAAGCAGATCGAGAATTACGTCGCATTTTACAAGGTCAGTTGGTCGTTTGATCCCTTTTCCTCCCCGTGGAAAGTTTATCATGGATTCCCGGTGCAGAATAAAGTGACCATCGAGGATTGATGAGGAGCGAGCGAGGGTCTTGAACTGGATTTAAAGAAGAGATGGTCTTGGACGGAATGGACGAGACGACGAACAAAGTATTCCCTTGAAGTTGAACCTGCGCTAGTGTACATTGCTGTTATACACAAACAGAAACACAGAGGGCAATCGAGATAAAGTCTAGGTGACTTCTTATCTCTTATCCGTCCAAACGTAGCGGTACCATGGGTGCGTCGGCAGCGAAAAGTCGTCGAAAGGCGTGGCGTAGCTTAGAAGGGAGCTTGTCCGGCAAACGACTGTTGCGTGATCGAGATGTTGCGAGCGGGAGCGAGGAAAGCGAGAAGGTCCGACCCAGGGAACGGTACTTCCTTTCGTTGCCTTTATTGCAAGGTCATAAGTCCATCCCCTCCAGCCAAAAAAGACGTAAAAAGACACTTACAATTCACGTACTATATTGTATCCGCCAAAGAGTAACGGCACAAAACACGAACGTTCGTCGAAAGCATCAGTGACTGTGATGTGATCGGCGGAAAAGGAAAAACATACCTCGAATGATGAAATTGGACAGGACGGCGAAAAAGAGGGCGACGCTGAGCAAGACGGGGCCAAGGAGTGCGTCTGGGTTTTTTGGTAAACGTTTGAAACGGTGAGATGGGAATGCGGGTGAATCAGGACGCACCGAAATGCCCTGGGTCTCGTCGACGAATCATGGTTATACGGTGTTGGTAGATAGCGTAGCCGTAGATCTGTTCAAGGGTTAGAGAGAATGCAAGAGGGGACGTTGACAACGTACAATCGTGCAAACGCTGATACCAGCGTAAACCAAAGCAAAGTTTCTGGCAATGTCGTCGTTGGAGGCGTTAAACAACGCAACCGACAGGGCAGCAAGCAGCATCGCCTGGTTCAACCACGATATCCACGCTACAAAACCAGGAATCAGAAAATACCCTCAACCAAACGGTCGCACACGACACCTACTCCGCTCATTCGCAAACCAAACCTTGCCCTCCACTTTGACCGAAGTGGGCACCTTTTTCGGTACTCGAACCTGGGGCGGGACAGAGTTGATAGCATGGTAGTCGCGGATAGCCGGTCGTTGGCCTTCCTCGGTTTCGTCTGTCGTTGGGATGTTGTCTGCTCTGAGGTAGCGGGCGGGCCGTTTGAGGCGGGGGAGGCTGGCGAGGGCGCTAGGGGAGAACGGCAACAAAGCAGCTTGCCACGACCTGCGGATTAGCGAGCGCGACCTAGAACGCAGACCTTGCGGCGAGGGACTTGTCTCGACGTCGGATGCGTCATTTCCAATCGATGACGAAGCCATATTGAAAGGGTCGGGCAAGAACGATGAACAGGAGCGGCTTGAAGCTCGCAATGGTGAGAGAAGCCAGAGCAGCCCGGAGTCTTTCCATTTCCAGAACTCGCTCCGGAGTACGGGAAAGCTCCGGAGTTGTCCGGACCGAAGGGTCTGGAACCGAGTGATGTCATTTGGCATTTACTAGAAGGCTCGAGTAACTCCCGGGCGCGGTGCTAGCAAGACAGTTAAAACAAACAAGAGCGACACCACACCTTGACTGTACTTTCTTTCTCTCCCCAACGATTATACGAGTAACAAACGAAAATGGGTGTAGACTATTACAAACTACTAGGTGTTGGCAGGGATGCTTCGGAGGAGGAGATCAAGAAGGCGTATAAGAAGATGGTGAGTCTGCTTCGATTCCTTTCGTGGTTTCATATCGATATCGTGCTCACGAGACTGCTCGTATAGGCCTTGAAATGGCATCCCGACAGGAATAAAAATTCTGAAGAGGCAACCAAGAAATTCAAAGAGGTGAGTGGTACCCCTTCATAACCACACGGACATCCCGGGATGCTCATGCTAGATGTTCATAGATCTCAGAAGCCTTCGAAGTCCTCAGCGATAAGCAAAAACGGACAATATACGACCAGTTTGGCGAGGAGGGCTTGAAGGGCGGACGGGGGCCGTCGCCTGGCGCAGGTGGGCCGGGAAGCGGAGGTTTCTCTGGGTTCAGCGGGTTCCCCGGAGGTGGAGGCACGACGTTCACATTCACCTCTAGCGGACCAGGGGGCGGATTCAGCAGCTTCAACCCCTCAGATCCCAACAAAATCTTCGCGTAAGTATTACACTTTATCTCCCTCCGACATACAATACTCACTCTTCTCCAGCGACATCTTCGGAAGCACAGGTCTCTTCGGTATGGGTGGTATGGGCGGAATGGGTGGAATGGGCGGAATGGGCGGGAGCAGACCAGGCAGCGGACGCCGCAGCACCAACGTCTACGACTCGGACGACGACATGGACGGGCCCACCTTCTCCTTCGGCGGCATGCCCGGCGGGATCCCCCGCCGCCCAGGCCCAACCCGCACCTCCTCAGACTTTGGCCGCACCCACCAACAACAACCCGACAAACCCCCCGAAATCACCAAACCACTCAAAGTCTCATTAAAAGACCTCTACAACGGGACGACGAAGCATTTGAAAGTCGGCCGTAAACTGTTGAACGGCACGACGGAGGAAAAGGTGTTGGCGATTGAGATCCATCCTGGGTGGAAGAGTGGGACCAAGATCAGGTTCCCCAAGGCGGGGAATGAGGTGCCACCGACGGGTGAGGCGCAGGATTTGGTGTTTGTGGTGGAGGAGAAACCCGATGATGTGTTTACGAGGGAAGGCGACGACCTCGTTGCCAAGGTCAAACTACCGCTCGTGGAGGCGCTCACTGGACCTCCGAGCACCGTGACGAAACACACCAAGACGCTCGATATGCTGGACGGGAGGAAGCTGCAGGTGGCGGTTCCGATGGGCGTTGTGAAGCCCAACCAGAGAAGTGTGGTGACGGGTGAGGGTATGCCTGTGCGCAAAGACGGCCAGGTGCGGAGAAAGGGCGATTTGATCGTGCAGTGGGACGTAGAGTTCCCTGATCGGTTAACGCCGTCGCAGAAGGAGGGCATACGCAGGATTCTGACTGGCTCGTCGTAAACTCTAAAGCTCATAGACGCTAGACTCCGCCACCCGTTCCATTCATTTCGCTTTCCGTTGCATTTGTAATATAGTTTTCTGCTGCACCGAAAGGACGTTTGGATAGTTTTCCTCTGTTGTATTATTATACTGCCATGGTAGATTTTTTTTTCTCGTGAACGATGTACATTCGGATGAGAGTGCGAATGGAATCTGCACCTCCAATTAGGCGCGCGTCTATTTCAAGAGAAGGTGGAGCCCCGCGCCGTCATATCGCCTTCCAAACCGCGCTGATGAACCGTCAAGCGTTTGAGTGATTCTTTAACTGAAGCCTTGAAGCAAAAGGGATCACAGCTGTATATAGGACAGGGGTAGAAATCGGGATGAATTGAATCCCGCAACAAGCGCCAGAGTCGGTCCTCGCGCCCCGTGGCTTCGTCAATTCAGTGAGTCAAAAGCCAAGTCTTCTAATCAGGGGTTCTAAACACGTAAACGCGTCGACGCGTATAAATCGCGCTCGCCTTCGTAACCGTTCGGCGCACACACCTTTCACTTTCACACCCACGGTTCTGAACCCGTGCACTCTAGTCTCTGGCTGCCTCTACCAGTGCACGCTGATCGTAGACCCCGCGCTGACCATCTAACCACCGACCAGGCTCCTCTCGACGTACCCGCCGTAAACACAAACTTAAATGACGCGCACCTCAGCCATCCCGCTCACCTACATGCTCTTTTTCGGGGTATATGAGCCACTCATGGGGATCCTGTGTTTTGCTGGTAGCCTCATGTACGTCTCCTACCATTCCACATACCTTCTCAAACTGCCATCTTACTCCGTCCGACAATGCATAACTGATACTCTACTATGCGATTAGAGACCCAGTCCAATTCCACAACTCTCAAGCACCCTGCCAGTGGCCGTCCACCACCACCACCACCGCCAGTACCGCCGCCGCTAGTAGTATAACTAATCCTCCCCCACCCACCACACTCCCACTCGCTACTAGAATCACAGTAACCCTCCTCGGGCATACCTCCTCCCTCCTGGGCCTCGTCAGCTTCTTCGTGCTGTGGACAGCGCGTACGCAGTTGTCCAGAAGGCCGTTGTTGTTGAAGTATCAGGAGAAAGTGGTGAAATCGGTTCTGTGGCCGTTGTTGTTTGGGGATTTCTTTCGTTTGGGGTGTTGGGTTGTTGTGTTGAGGGAGTTTGGTGCTTTACGGGAGTTTGGTGGGTGGGATGGGGTCGTTCAGGGTGTTGCGACCGGGAAGGGGATGGAGGGTGTAGTGCGGGCGTTTGAGGAGCTGAACACGAAAGTGAACTTGGTAGGGATGATGATGAGTGTTGTGACGCTCGTACCGAGGGTGTTGTGGTTCTTGGGTGTGGGGCGGTATGTGCATCGGAGGGATGGGAAGGGTGTGGTTGACAAGGAGGAGTGAATTGTCACGCGCACTGAGGAGTAAGTCGGAGGGTTGGAATCGTGGCTGGGAGAGGTGGGGTTGGGAGGGGTCGGGATTGGAGTCGTCGGTGATGATGGGATTAGAGTTCACTCAACCACTGGCAGCCAGTTATCGCATTGCTTTTCAAGTTGTACTGTGATGGCGCGTTACGACCTGTTTGTTGTCCTTCTTTGCGTGTACGTTCCCATCTCCACTATGCGGACTCTAGAATCTCGAATCAACTCTAAAAATCGAGTCCGAGTCGATACTCGACTGAGGCTACAGCTTTCCGTCAATTCCATTCACGGCTTTTCACAGCATTTTGCGGACGACTGCCTCATGGTCTGCCTCCGCTCCGATTCCAAGTTTCAAAGCCATGGCACTAAGTACAAGTAGCCTACTTGAGGCTATTCACGCCACTGTAAATGAAGGAGGCTGCTACGCAGCCTACGCCGCAGCTCCATTGTCCGACTCCCTCTTAGTACACCAGAAGAAAGCAGTTTCTAGTGGAGGCCATGTCGTTCAGCGAGTACATACATACCTTTCTTCCCGAGCAATCCCCCTGGGTGTTTGGCTTGCTCCCGTCTTAAGTTGGTCCTGTGTGTAAAACTGAGCTAATAACGGTTTGCTTTGAACTTTTAGGCTTGGGGAAAGGGGCAGAGGTGTACGCGGATACGGGATATTGCTACGTTTGGTGTTTAGGTACAGGCCTTTAGGTGCGTCTATTCTCTCATTCCCTGCACCCTTTCCAGAGATGTATTTACTGTCGACTAACCGCGATGTGCACGATGTGATTTCAAAGAGGTCTTGAAGATGATGGCGATGATTCAGAACCCGAGCTCAGAGCTCTCGTTGAAGGTTCCTTCTTCGCCTTCCTATTGTGCAAGCGAGGGAAAGAGAAGGGAAGTTTTGAAGGGAGGCCACTGCTCGCTGAAGGACTTGGCTGAGGAAGAGAGGAAGAGGAAGGGGGAGGTGGTCAGGTTCGGTTCTCGTTGCCTACATCGATACAACACGTGCACTAGGCTGTTTCTCTAAAAATACATACACGATTCTATATATGTATTATCGTGCCCAATGTTCAAAAAGAGATACCATGCTAAGGCGCTAAACGCGTCCTTCGAGTTCACGACGCGTTTAAGAGCGTGACAACCTAAATCACCGCGTCGCAGCGCTCACGTGGCGTGACCACTTCGCAGATCGTGACATCAGCAATCTGGATCGCAACAGGGGCCAGCCGTATTCGTACTCATCATCATCACTCGCTGCGCACTGTCATCACCTTCCGTCTTTCTGTCTTAAGTACTATCCACCGCCAATCCCACCCCAGCTAACCCACAAGTGACTCTCGTCACCGTATCCTCATCCTTCTCCAAAGCCACCCAATAGAAGAAGAAGAAGGAGCACCACCACAAACGACGAAAGATGGCCGACCTAGTCGACTCGATGCTCGACCTAATGCGTCGTCTCCCGCCGACGCGCACCGAGGAGAACGTCGCCACGCTCGTCGACCTCTGCCCTGAATACGCTGACGACCTCCTGGGCAGCGTCGACCAGCCGCTGTTGGTCAAGATGGATAAAGCGACGGGGAGGGAGTATTTGGCTTGTGATTATAATCGGGATGGGGAGAGTTATAGGTGAGGATTCGTTCGTTCATTTGGTGGTTCGATGTTTGGGGGGTTGGAGGAGGGGAGAGATGGGGTTGGGTGTTTTGAGTGCAGAGCTATAATGCCATATACTATTCGTTGCCTTACTTACCTTCTCTTCGATGGAGATAATCCTAATCTTCCAACCCAATCTAACCTACCTACCAACTCACCCACCCACCCACACCTTCTACCACAGATCACCCTGGTCAAACGACTACGACCCCCCAATCGAAGACGGCACCGTCCCCTCCGTCAAACTGCGCAAACTCGAGATCGCGGCCAACGAAGCCTTTGATACGTATCGGGAGCTCTACTTTGAGGGAGGTGTGTCAAGTGTGTATTTGTGGGATTTGGAGGATGGAGGGTTTGCGGGTGTTGTGCTTATGAAGAAGAGTGAGTGGTTATTTGATTTTTGGTTTTAGTTTTGGGTTTTGGGTTTCGGGATTGGAGTCTGGCGTTTGCGGTTGGGTGGATAGGATTTATGGGCGCTGGGTGATAGTCCAATGTGTTTGGTGGATTAGACGGTCGTTGATTTAGACATTTGCGTGTGGATTTTGGGGTGATGGATTGGCTGGCTGGTTTTGGCAATGTTGAAATGGGTTTGAGCGCTGAGGATGGGTAAGGATCGGCATGGAGTTGGGAGATACTGATGGACGTCGACGTCAATCCATCCTTCCCTTCTACCCGCAATGCTGATCCCCTCATCTCCTCATTCCTGCCTCTTCGGATAACATACCACACTGCACGACGCAGCCATGGATACTGGATGCTAACTAACATCATTCATTCTATTCCTATTCACATAGCTCTCACTCCGTCAACGGCGAACGAACCCGCAGGCAGCTGGGACTCGATACACGTCTTCGAGACGGCTGAACGAGGCCGCCAAGCGCATTACAAGCTTACATCCACCATCATGCTCCAGCTCACCACACAGAGCGGGACTGAGAAGGAAAAAGTGAAAGAGAAGGAGTTGAAGGAAGGCGGTGGAGGTGTTAGTGAGAAAGTGAAGGGACCAGACGGCCTGAAGAGCGATGGCGAGGTGACACTGAGCGGTAGTATGACACGACAGGTGTGTGTTCTTTGTTCCCCTTCCTTGTGTTTAGATGGAAGACGAGAATTCATGCGTGTGTGTTTGTGCAGACGGAACAAGACTGGCCTATCCACGATGCTTCTTCGCACATAACGAACACGGGCAAGATGATCGAGGAGATGGAGATCAAGATGAGAGGTTTGCTGCAAGAGGTATGTCTGGTCTTAATCATCTCGATTGCCGGCTTCGCGCTGATCGCTATCCCGCAGGTGTACTTTGGGAAGACGAGGGATATCGTGTATGATCTTCGAAGCGTGGATGATTTGGAGAAGGCGAGGCGTCAAAAGGAGCTGCAGAAGGAGCTTGTTGGGTTTATTAAACGGTGAAATATATTTCGCGTATGTAGTTTGTGTATTAGCGAATATGAGAAACGTGTGTGTCCCGGAAATAGCGGTTGTATCGACCTCCCGGGAATGGTGGTGGTGGTGGTGGTACTGCATTTCATCAAGTGATCTTCAATCGAACTGCGATCTTCATGCCAAGAAGTGTTGGTGCTTGACGACGGACGAGGCGATGGGAATTATCTTCTTCCTGCGAGAACGGCATCGGCGATGGGGTTGGAGTGAATGGTAACCTTGGCCGATGTCAATGATAGCGTATGGATGGGGCGGACATATGGCGACTTACCCCTGTCAGCTTAATCTCCTGCAGCGGTCTGTTCTTGTTGTTGACTGGGACGCGTTCGATAGCGTCGAGTGTGTCGTGTCCGTCGATGACCTTGCCAAAGATAGTGTTGCTACCATCAAGGTGGGGTTGCTTGGCGTATGTGATGAAGAATTGCGACTTGTTCGTGTCACGCCCCGAATTAGCCATTGCGACTACCCCTCGGGCATTAAACTGGTCAATTGAGGCGGATCATCAGCGCTAGTATCGAAGAGAAGAAGGGTAACAGCGACAACAACGCACTTTGAGCGTTGACCTGATCTCGTCCTCGAACGGCGCGCCCCAGATGCTCTGCCCATTCTTGCCTGTACCTGTTGGATCCCCGGTCTGGACGATGAACCCCTTGATGTTTCGATGGAATATGCAGTTGTTGTAGTACCCGCTCGCACAGAGTGCCAGGAAGTTCTGGGCTTGGGGCGGTTAGAAAAACAAATGGCTTCGCGTATGGTGATTAGCCGTTCAATTCGTACCTCTGCGGTTTTGGGCACTGCCTCGCAGAAAACTTCAATCTATTAGGGGGTGGACGTTAGTGTGACTTTAAGTGGGACTAAGGTGAGTGACAGTAGAGATAGCTTAGTTACCTTGATATCACCGAGGGAAGTGTGCAGCGTTACCGACTGTCATTGAACGGTGTGGTTAGTCCATTGGCGGGTGGAAGAAGGTGGGGAAAGGACAGTACCATTTTGGGGGCTCGGCTGGATTTGGCAATGGGAGGAATTGGAAGAGATGTGATCGTGACTTGTGTGATGTCACGCGTTGATGGGATTGATGCACGGGAAACGGGCGAGTGAAACGGGGCTGAACTGGGATATTTGTGGATTGCGCAGAATAAATCAAATCAAAAAACTACCCCGAGGGTTACTCGCTCTTCCCATCGCTTGTCTGTGAACTCCCATCTTCTTCTTCCCGCTTGCGAGCTGTGCACCGCCCCTGTCCCCCCGCACCCCTTGAACGTTACAGGCAAGCCATGCGCACACCGTCGCTGTACAGCCAGGACGACCCCATCTCCGCCGCCCTCAAGCCCTCGCCGACAGAGACCGAGCTTGAGCGTCAGGCGCGCCTCGAGGCTGAGGCTGAGGCGAAGAGGATTTCGGAGCAGATTGACGATGACCTGAGGGAGGAGAGGGAGCGTCTCAAGCGTCGCAAGGGCGATGTCAAGGTGCGCACAGCGTTTCCAGGGCTCCGGGTAGCCGTCGGTGGTACAATACTGACGCTCGTGTGTGTGTGTGCGGTTTAGTTGCTGTTACTCGGTCAGGCGGAGAGTGGGAAATCGACGCTGCAGAAGCAGTTCCAGCTGATGTATAAACCGAATTCACTTGACCAGGAGCGCGCATCCTGGACGACGGTCATCTATTTCAACGTTGTTCATTCGCTGAAGCATATCTTATCGACGCTGGACGTTTGGGAGGACTCGTTGGACGGTGCGGATGTAAACTATGACGACTCGGCACGCCGGACGAATGGTCAGTTGCAACCCACCTTTCGTTCTTTCTAACGCTCATGAGACTGGGCTGCAGGTTCGACAACGCCGAGAGACGAGTCGGCCGACGGGCCCAAGAACAATGCTGTTCAGATCGCCAATTTGCGGAGAAGATTATCACCTCTGATCGCCACGGACGAGCAGCTGGCGAACCGGCTAACAGGCGGTATCACGGTCTCGGGGTCTGGCAAGGGTTCGGTCTATGTGCGATCAGGGTGGCAGGCGCGGACGATTGAGAATGCTTTGGGCAAGGTGCGGAGGCGCCCGTCGGGGGAGGAGAAGAAGAGTCAGGAGGGGCTTGTGCATGAGCACCAAGACCCGCTGGTGCAGGAAGTCGGGAGGATGCTCCAGCTTTGCGAATCTGATATCCAGGAATTGTGGAATCACCCCACCGTCAAGGGTCTCATGGCCAAACGCAAACTCAAGCTCGACGAGTGGTCGGAATTGTGAGCTCGGACCTCTATCCCCCCTCACCGGACTAGGCTGACTCGGCTCGCATCTTAGCTTCCTCCGAGATATACATCGTGTTGCTGCACCGGATTACATCCCAACGACCGGTGCGCCCGAACGACCTGTCTGCTAAGCGCATATACTTACTCGGTAGTAATGCATGTTCTCACCAGATGACATTCTCCATGCGCGAGTGCAGACGATGGGAGTAGCTGAGCACACCTTCGATGTCAATCTCCATGGCAAAACCGTCACATGGCATCTCTACGACGTCGGCGGTGCGCGGGGCCAGAGGCATACATGGGTACCCTACTTCGATGATGCGAATGCTATCATCTTCGTCGCACCTGTTAGTGCGTTTGATCAGGTATGTGTTGTTTGGGATCCTGTTTATCAGCGCTCATTTTTGCTGTTTCTGTATAGTACCTGGAAGAAGATCCTCGGACAAATAGGATTGACGATTCGCTGCAACTTTTTACCCAAATTTGTTCGAATGCGTTGTTGAAGAACGTTCACTTGGTGTTGTTCCTTAGTGCGTACATATCCCTTACGCTTTCTCCGGGGCGCCTGTGCTAATCTTGTCCGTTCTGTAGATAAGACGGATCTCCTTAAGGCCAAGCTCGAAAAAGGTCTCAAAGTGAAGAAATAGTACGTCTCTTTCATCCGCACTATTTTCTCTTATCACCATTCCGAAGAACAACATCTTCATCATCTTACGAACACCCCGCTCTCTGACTGACGTGACTGACGTTTCCGTCGCTGCTTTTTTGATTGATAGTATCACTTCCTTCGGTGACCGCTCCAACGATTATGACACGGTGGTCCAGTATTTCCGGGCGCACTTCCTGCAAGTGCATAGAAAGAATAATGAGAATAGGAGGGTCTTGTATACGCATTTTACGAGTGTTGTTGTGAGTATCCTTTTCTCTTTGTCTCCTCGCTCTTCCTTTACTGTTCTTTTACACTTTTCTTCTGCGACTGGACGCATGTAACTGACGCCGTCTGATTATATAGGACACGAAAACGACACAACGCATAATTGGCAATGGTATGTCGAGATCTGGATATTTTGTTTTGATGATCGAGGGTGAAGTGAGATGCTGACTCGCCTTCTTTTTTACTCGTTTTCAGTCCGAGATTCTATCTTTAGGGGGTACCTCCAGTCGGCTGCACTTGTGTAGACGGACGACAAACCTGTTTTCGTTCGTTCGTCTTTTTGGCTGTTTGGTCGGTTTTCTTATCAATTTTTTGTCTGGCTCTTTCTGGCTGGTTTTTGCTGGCTGGGGCGGGCCTGGTTATTATTGCCTGGCTGGTCGTGTGTTCTCTTTCGTTGTCATCCGTCGTATGTTGTGTTGTGTTGTCTTTTTTATTCGCCCCGCTTGTCCTCGATCCCAACCTCGCTTTCGCGCACCACTTTTATTTTATTATTCTTTTCTGTTGTCGATTGTCAAACCTTTTTTATTAATCGTTTCTTGATGTTGTTGTAAATATGCATTGGTCCGCGACTTCCCCCTCCTACCACCCTTCGACCTACTACCCTCCATCCTCCGTCCTCTGCTTTTCGTCTGCACGCTCATACGTCTGTTTTTAACCGTCCCATGTCCACACCCACGCCCTTCCTCATCCATACCCCTCATCCATCCCTTTAACTAACCCCATCCGACTCCACAAACACGCAAAAATGATCCTCGGCCGATTGGCCTCACTCCTCCCTATCATCCCTCCCACCCCATCCCCTCCCTCCCAACCTCTTGTTACTTATGTTAATGTCCTTTTTTGTTATGCCCAGTTGGTGTCGAAGCTTGAACTTGAAATCCTGTAACTTATTATTATTACTTGTACAATTTTTGGTTGCTTTAGTGGCGATTAATTAATGGATTGCTGTTATTTTTGGTGTGGTTTGGACGGTATTGAGTGTAAGATGGGTTGGAACTTGGGGAGTGGGGTAGGAGATGAGGCGCAAGGACCACCAACCGATCGCGACGAGCCACGACTTGGTATTGATATTGATATCTCTTGCATCGGATTTCAGGCCTCGGGCCTCAGGTACAAGCTACCGATTAACCACGGTTTAGATGGCATGAAAAAGTACTATAACGTATGGGCGCTAGCGCCCAAACTCCCGGGCCTTGTATAGTCGCGAATCATGATCAGAAAAGGGATTGATTGCAATGGGCACTGAGGGTGATGGATGGGTAAGGGCGTGTTATGGGTATCTCAGTGTTTTGAGACAACAGTTGGCTGGTTGGAGGGCTAAGGGCTTCATACCAAGGGTATACATGATATGTTTCCCTGCATTGGATAAGCGCTCGTTGGGGGGATTTTCCAGCGCCCGTGTGTTGTGTGGGCTTGCAGGATCGTGTTACAAAGATAATGGTGTGTATTCGGTACTGCCACCACTGGTAGTGTGAGGTGTTTACTGTGTGCGCACTTCAAGTTGGTTCTGAGAGAATTCAAGTTCGACATGCGATACAATTGCGATCTGGTATCAGAAGGGAGGAGATCTAATCTGATACGTACACCGACTGTTTCAAGAATATTACAAGAATGACTCCAGGGTACCCGAAGTACCCTGCCGAAGCCTAAGACTGTTCGTGAGTCATATAGTATACTATGCATGCTTAGAGACGACTTTGAATTCGAAGTTCGCGGAGCGTATGGTATACTCCGACTCGGCTGGAAGTCGTAGCCTGTCGAAAGATCGAAAGAAATGAGTCGTGTGGTTGACCAGAGGGTTCGTGATATCCATCCATAAGTGCCATACTACGCAATAGAGTTCTTTTACTTCTCTTCGGACTGAATGGTTGTCTTTTGCTTCTCTTCGGGATGAATGGTTGTTCTGTGTTGAATCTTTTCGGCTAGATGCATGTTTTAAGTTCGGCCTGGTGAGAGAGAGAGCCGGGAGAAGAGGGGGAAGGTATGGGCAGTGATAACCGTTGGCCGAACTGTTAACTATTGGCCGAACGGCGATGGTAGATTTGTGGGGGCTCAGGTGTGGTAGGTGATCAACCCTTACTACGTATACTGCGGCTGTTTGCATGGTTGCATTGGCATTCGTGGAAGCACTGGGGGAGCTCCCACTCTAACATTTCGAAATGTATGCAAGTGGAGGCTGGCACACGACGAGAACGATAGGTCATCCGAGATACATACGAGATCAGTGAACTGTCGAGGGTTTGACAGTTCTTCTCCCTTCACATTCTAACCTTACCATAGTTCCCACTTCGACAACTCAATCCTGCTAGTAATACTATCACCTCTGAAAAGGCTAACTTCGAATTCTGCAGATCCTGATGTGTGGATGTACACGGTGCATATGTGTGCGTGGAGTAGCCTTAAGATTGGATGGGTGTGTATCCGATATTTGTCCGTTGCGAGTGTCGTTAGGGAGTTGGGAGTGGTAGCCATCAAGTAAGTGGCTATGGGAGGTGTGTAGGGATTTGCATACCGGGGTAAGTGTAATAGGGACTGGGTGTGGAGAGCTCTGGCCCCTGGACCATTCGACGACTTCCGATGAAGGTTTGTTGTGGTCGATTCAGAAAGAATGAATCCCACAAAGGTATCGGTACTCAGATCCTTCTGGCGAGTAAACTCTTGCATGGGAAGCTTTCGAAGAATGGACACCCCAATAAGCGTTAATGAAAGCCTAAGTCGAGGATGGTTGCTAGGTCGGGCGCGGTACCGGCTCTGAGTCAATCTTTAGAGCTGAGTCTAAGTCCGCTCTGGGGGAGCTTAGAGAGCGATGGTGGCAGGGTGTGAACGTAGGCAATCGCCGCCGCCAATCCTTCAAACCAAAGTACTGTTCACATATTGAACTTTGAAGGGTGCTGCTTCCTAATCTTGACCTCGTGATTTCGTAGATAAGCGCCGAACTGATGTCAGCGCGTAAATCCTTGTTAATCCCCAAATTGCCTTGTCTCTGGGGTAGCTTGGGCCTTTTAGGCTTGGGTAGGGACCCAGAGCAGTCCTGATGGGGAATAGGCCGTGGTATGGAATGACGAACGTCCATTCAATTTCGAAAACTCGTGCGTGGACCGTCGGGATGGTGTAAGCTTTGTTTTTGTCCCATGATGCCAGTCATTCGACCACAATCATTGTCCTTTGCCTCAGAGGTTCCCTGTCTCCTCACCTTCAGTGCGCTTAAACGCGCCTTGGACAGGGGGGCATGAATGGATATTGGCGCGTCGCCTGGGGAGGCCAATTTTCTCCGAAGCCGAGCGACGGATCAAGGAACGGGTCACACGAAAACGCGTTCACGTGGGAGAATGCCCTCGTGGACAAACAAGAAGCCAAACAAAGAATTCGAACAGTGTGATGGGCCACTTGGGCATTGTCCAGCGAATCCAATTGCAACCAAACTTAACTGTGGCATTGCGCTCGATGGTCCATTTTCTTTCCTTTCTCCAGACCAATACCATCTAAATCAACATGGTGAGCTTCTACGCCTCTGTAAATCGATTTTCCGATGGTAATTTCGACGATTTCTAGGAGAGTAACGAGCGCAACACAGGAATTACTTCAGAGACCAAAAAGAGAGTTTTAGAGTTATGGAGCAACCATCCAGATGTTATCTGGACGCCCGAGGGCGAGCCGACAATCCCAGCCGACGCGCTTAAGGGCGTTATCCACGGATTCAACCCAGACGGCTCGTCGCTGATGACCCCAGTCGAAGAGGCCATGCTCGACGCACTTCTCCGAGATAACCCTGGCATGAACTGCACACCCACTATGATTCTCGAATTCATTGCCCAACGCGCGAAAGCCAGTCCAAAAGAGTCACCAGAAAACAACGACAGCGACAAACCACTACCGCCACCCCCAGAAGACGCTATGCAGCAGCATTTGCTACGGGATTCGCCAGACCAGCTCGATGAGCTCGATTTGACAATGACAATGACGCCCAGTGACCACGGAGGATTCAGCCGACCTCCGTCAAGAGGCCCGCCACCCACGCCATCCTCTGCCAAAACCATGTTTGATACCGACCGGAGGCAACGGTCGACACCGCTAACTGCACCATCGAGTTGGACCGTCAAACGGCCAACACCTGCTGCCCGCCGCAAGAGCGACGCTGGCCACCGAAGTGACAGTGACGTGCGTCTCTTTGAGTTCAATCTACCGAATGTTCTGTTCTGACAGTTGAGTATAGTCTGGACTCCCTCCGTCGGCATTCCGACGCAGCACAAGCCGAACAGGCGGGAGTCGAAGTCGCGCCCCGTCCAACCCTACGTCGCCCATGTCCTCTTCCAACCTCGATTTGAATACCTTCTCGCCAATATCATCGTCCAGCAGCTTCTCGCGGCCTCCCTCCCGCCAACACTCTGCATCCAACTCTGGCGCCTTTGCATCGCTGCACTTTGGTGCCCCAGATGATCACGGCTATTCTTCGTCGGAGGACGCGATTGACTATAGCAGTCATCATAGGGCTCCAAATCCTTCTCCGGAGCGATACCCGGGAGATATGAATACCGTGCCAATCCCTCGTGAAGAGGGCGATTCGGACGACGAGGAGTCTGTTCTTGGGCTTGTACATGACCGCGATTATCGACCTTCGGACGCGTCAATGGCCGACTATGAGCGATTAGAAGCGCTGCAGAAAGTCAACAGTGACCTTCAGAAGAAGTGCATGGAGGCGGAGGAGATGCTGCATCGAAAGGTAGCGGAGCACGAGCAGGATTATATCGATTGGGAAAGCCAGTTGGAGCAGCTACGAGCTGAGCTGAGCGCGGCTAAGAGGGAAGAGAAGGAGTTGAGGGCGAAAGATGTTTGTCATGTTTTCTTTGTCAAGTATCCCGATGCTAACGTACTTTTCCAGAGGCAAAACAATACGCAAATTGCAGCACTTGAACAGGAAGTTGTCCGGGTCACCAAGTTGTTGGAGCAATCCAAGGCGACATACACGAGCCTTCAGAGGCAATACCAGGAGCAGTGCGGTAAGAAGCCTGGATTTTGTCGTCCCACTCGACCACTTTTCTGACGGGAAACTCAGCGAGCTCTGAACGATACCGCAATGACTTGCGCGAGCGCGAAGAATATATCCGCAATTTGAAGGAAACGGTCGCGCTGAACGACCTGGACAAGGAGCGGTCCGAGAAGGAGCGAGGCCTTCTTGAAGAGCGGATAACAGCCCTCGAGTTGGACCTCCAAAACGCACAGACCGTCTATACTGAGTTGGAGGACCAGAAGCAGGAGAACTTGATGCTCAAGGAGACCATCGATCGCATGCGATTCGATATGGATGAATTGAGGCACACATTAACGACTACCAGCAACTCCAATAGTTCTGCTTCGAGTACAGCTGGTTCTATCAGCAAGAGTCTCGGTGCTGAGCTGGCGGGCAAGCTCAAGGAGCATAGCTGGGAGGAAGAAGAGGAAGACGACACGGGCGCCGAGTCTACTGCCAGTACTGATACGCTTGTCATCGAGGAGGAAGAATTGACGGAGGGAGAGGAGGAGGATGTGATTCGGACGATCATCACTCGTAAAAAGAGGGTGCGTATCGACTTTTCGTTCAGTGAGAAGTTTAGCTCATCGACCGATTTTACAGAAAGTGCCGAGTAAGGCCATCGAGAGATACCAACACCGGGAATTCGAAGAGGCCAAGGAATACTCTGATATGGGTATCCAGTACGACCCTACCTTGTTCTCCATCAGCCGGACAGCCCAGACCATGCCTGAGCCCAAGATCATCCGAGCCTCCTTCAGCACTCAAACTGAACTTCCACCCGTCGTCGAGTTTAGTGTACAGACTGACGTGGAGGAGCAACCTCAGAAGGTGACCATGGAGATGGAGATTCAGACTGATATCCCTGAAGAGGAGGAGGTTTCGCGGTCGCCCTCACCTACCAACGCCCAGCTCGACAGCATGGCATCGAGCGAATCAACCATCATCCCGCCCACTCCTCGCCAGGTGCCAAACAGGACTCTCGGTTTGGACGACGAGCCGTCTGCCTCCTCATCCTCCGACCAGCCTCCTGCCTATCACGACCACAACTGGACTGTTGTTTCCGATGTCCTCAAGAAGTGGCACGCTGGCGCCAAGATCCCTATCCCTGCTGATGGAGGTGTGGAGGGCGGAGCTGTCAGCGAAGACCTCGTCGAGGAATGGAAGGCCCTGAAGGATGAGCTCGGGGTGGAGTGCATGGTCATCGACAAGATGATCGAGAACTCAAAGGTCGTACCCAGTACGAACGGCGATGGTGAAGGCGGACGCAAAGGTAAAAACAAGCGCCGCAGTCGGTTCTACAACATCTACAATACGTATGTCTTCGGGAACGACTCGTCAGAAGGATCGTCGAAACCACCCACCACGATCTCGCTTGTCACGTCGCTGGCCACCCAGGCGGCTCTCATCGCCGGTGCTGGTGCGCTGGTGGTTCTTGCGCTCACCCCCTACATCGCACCGCACTACTCAATTCCCGGTGGACCTGTTTACTATGATCGTGCGGCGTGGACGAGTTTCAATACCCTATCCGCTGCGGGGGAGGGGTTTGGCTTTGGTCTACGAGGAGGGTATGGAGGCGGTGATGGGACCGAGGCCGTTTGGAAGGTGTTGGGTAGGGTTGGAGGTGGCGCTGCGAGGATGGCTAGGGGTTGGCCTACATAGGCTGTGATGAACGACTGACTTCCCTCTCCTTTTTAGAGGTTTCGGTTTTTGAGACTACATCTCGACTGTTCGCAAGACATTGCATCACAACAACCCTCACTCAGCCATTTTTTCGTCCTCGCTATGCCCCATATGCCACTGCGACCCTCCTATGCCGACGACAACAAACATTCTATGCTTCATTCATCATGCCAACCTTTTCTCCTTCTTTTCTTTCGTCTATATGCACGCATGCTCTTGCCGCAACGCAACATCTTTGGACACTCTCGCATCGCCCTCGGACATTGTTTTTGCAACGCACCACTCACTCATCGTATACCCCTCACTGCAATCATCCCCTGCTTCATCGACTTTACTACTCTACCGTCAGCTCGACCGATTTTCCCTACACTGTACCCGCGGCACGCGTACCCTCGTCGCTCGAAGGACAGGATTGGTTTCGACCCCGCTGGAATATCGAATGGAATTCGGGTAATTCATCGACTCGTTCGATGCTCGTTATGACAACGAGTGTTATCTTTATAGTATACCAGTATATTTATCCCTTCTCTTCCTTTCCTCTTCTTTCTCTTCTTTTAATTATACGCCCGCTCATGGGAGCAGCTTCTATCTATCGATCTAACGTTTATTTCTTCCTTTATGTTTGAGTATTTTATTCTCCACGTTTCCTTTCCGCTTCTCTTTTTCTTCATATGCTTTAAGTCTTCTCGCTTACCTTCCAATCAAAGAATTCCCTTCAATCATGTTTTTGGCGCATTCAAGTTGCACTAGGATACGCTTTCATCCTTTGACCCACTTTTCTTGGCCCTTCTATCTCGGTAATCGTTCGCCGCGTTCTCCTTTGCTTGTCCTTGTCTTACCTTAAGCGCGCGATTAGGTTCTCTTGGTTTGGGGTTGCATTTTGAATCCTTGTTATGTTGTGCTATATGTGTATTCTAATGTACAAGATGGATTGGTTCACCGAGAGGTGTGCTCGTTTTGCGAGTGCGGTTAGTTGAGGATGTGAGGGATGTCAGGTACCTACATAGGGTGAGGCTGGTAGGCTGTTTCGTATCCCATCCGCCTTTCCGGCGTTGCATTGCCCGGGTCTCCGTCATGACAGGAACTGAGACTCGGCGCGATGATCACTTAGCGCCCGTTGGCGCCCAGACTGCGACGGATCAAGCCAGATTGACATGGTTCGCCTTTCGAATAGATTAATTCCCAAGGTAGTAGTACTTGCAACTCGGCAAGTGGTATTTCCGCCGGCTAGCCCCTGAGTAGGGCTAAGGACGTGGCGCGTCAGGACCAGGGTTCAATTACTTACCCCGAAACTCCAAACTGTTACCTCTCTTCCAGCTCTCTGGACTGCAGTACAGTACTGCTCGGAAGTTCGGCCGATCGCACTGCCGTCCGCCTTTCTCATTTCTCCTATTTGACGGAATCTGCTTGGTACTAGTAGCCTCTTCCCAACGTTCTCGCCAACACCCTAATAGAGAGGGACCTTCTGGGCCATGTGGGACGATGGTCATCTCATTCATATCGCAATTCTTCTTTCTACGAAGTTGCCAATCATGGACCTCCACTTATCAACACAAACCGGGACATACAGAGAAAGAGAAGTCGTGGGGGTTGCAAAAGTCGGAGTTGACGTTGCACTTCCAGCTAAGGACTTTGTAGGCAAGCGGGTGCATCCATTGTGTCGGTGCCTTACCTTCGAATTCGACCGTCACTGAGTTCCAAACAGGTGAAGAGAATGGAACCTATTGGTGTGGCTTTTTTTGATGGGGTCCTAGTTGGAATCTGTTGGAACCTGTTGGAATTCGGAGGCGCCCATGAAGTTACTGGTTCCCCACAATGCGAGTGTTCTGGAAAAGTCTTGTTTTTCTGTTTGGCGGTTTTGTGATGTGCGCGGGATCTGGAGCATTCGAACGTGTGACACCATTGGAGATTGGGCTCCTGGAGGTGCGGAGAAGCTCCCTGAACTTTCTTTACTGGTAATAGAATTGTGCGAGCCTCGTGGATGCGATTAGCGTTCTATAGGCTGGCTAGCCCGCTAGAATGTATTGCCTTTGGCCCGTGACTGGTCAGCAGCTCGCGGGCGCCTCCTGCTCGGTAAGTACTTAAGACTGTTATCAAGGTTCTCGGCCTGTCATCAGTTACTGAAAGGTACATACGCCATCCCGCGCTGCTGCGCCACTCGTTGGCCCACATACCCACAACCGATGGTGGGCTTGCGTTGTTCCGTCAATTCACTCCGTTGTAAGCCGCCATCCCGGAAATTAAAAGAAAGTATAATAGATCTGACCCCACTACCACACTGCTCGGCGGACTTACTGTTTCTTCTAGAGGGAAGTATTCAATTCGTCACAGGAGGTCACCTGGGGCATTGGTGTACTCTGGAATGCAGAATTTATTGTAGTGGAAGAGTTCCCATTCGTCATTTCAGCGTCGCGCGGCCTGCAGGAGACTCGATGGAGACTGAGCCAGGCTCTAGGATGTTGATATCCATCGGAAGACCGGACTTTAGTGTGTTTAAACTGAAATCTGCGCTTCTGCCGTTTAGATCTTCGGCAGAGGGGACCCGACCCTGAGTACTGAGTACTGAGTGGCGAGGTCCTCTCCCGCCGGAAGTGACCAAATCCATTCCCGCGAAAATGATCACTACCGCGTTTTTGTCTTCGACGAATGAAATTAAGCACTCGCCACCGTCAACGTTAGGGATAACGTGGAGGTATCATGGGTCCTAGCAATAAGTTTAACCTTCGTCAACCCAATCATATTCCGCTCTGCGTTCGACCGTTTCGAGCGGCGCATCGAGCGCGCTCGTGTGGTTTCGTCTCGGTAACGTGTTTCGTAAAGTTTAGAAGCATCTGGTGAGTACACGAGTACAGGACACGACAGCATGGTCTTATTAGAGAGCTTCTGACTCTAGATCTCTAACGGTCGTATTAGCGTTCATGAATGTTCTATCCCAAATGTTTTTTATCAAGAATTTTACTTCCGCGCTTATTGATGAATAGCCGGATCACGGCTTTGCTAATGGCGTCAAAATTTGAACGATGGCCAACCTTTGACTAAGATCCACCGAGTCGTTCGACTTATCGGATAGTTGTCGTAGGACTCTCTTGAACGCCCTGCTCGACGAACAGGTATTATTCTAATTTATGTCGTTGTGTGGTGTGCAGCTCTGAAAATCTGTCAGTTGACATCCTAAATCTCGGGCCATCATAACCCCAACCACGACCTCAGGCGAGTTCTATCTGCGCAACCCACCACCATCAGCGCCTCTGATATCGACCATCTCTAGGAAACAAGTCATGAATCGTCTCCCTGAGTCGTACTACACGGACTTTCTATCAGATAATGCCAAACAGCGCAAACCGAGCCCAAGTCAGTACCCATTCAATTTCCATCAAGACCCCTGTTGTCCTTGTTCCTATTTCCTCCATCTCGATTCTGGGTGGAACCCCCATCTGAACTCTGGCGGCTTTTTTTGACAGTTCGTGGACTCTTTCCCCTCGAGAAAACACCGGGCTTGATCTCGCTGTTGGCTGGAAAGCCTAATGCGGAGACCTTCCCGTTCTCGTCCCTGAGCTTCACAGCACGATCCCCGACGAACCCTACCGAGGAAGTCGCGCTGAAGGTCGAAGATGAGGACTTGAAGCAAGGTTTACAGTACGGTGATACTGCCGGGATGAAGAAGCTGCTAGACTGGCTGTTTGGCTTGCAGGAGATCCACCATGGCAGGAAGCGGGATGAGGGTTGGAGGATATCGGTTGGATCTGGTTCACAGGACCTTATCTACAAGGTGGGAACGAGTCCTAGGCCGACTCGAAATCGACTGACATCAATCTGACGCCGTCTAGGCTGTACAAGCCATGGTGAACCCAGGGGACCCCATCCTCGTCGAATCACCTGTCTACGCGTGAGTGGAGACCAGACTAAAGCGAGGTGTTTGGCAGTGCTGAGATGACTCGCTGAACACGATAGGGGGGTGATTCCGATGTTCCATGGCCTCCACTGCGAACAAGTCGGTGAGCTTCTTTCAATTCATTGCACCAGTGATCCAATCATTAACCGGGACATTAACGTCCTGTCATGTCATATCTGTGGGTGACAAGAGGTGGAGACTGACGCTCAAGGGATTAGTTCAAGTTCGCTCCGGTCAATTCTCGACAACTGGCCTTCTGACAAGCCCAAGCCTAAGGTTCTATACACAGTGCCAGTGAGTACAACCGGACCCCCTCTTTCCTTTGATCCTTGTTCTGGCCTGGGCTGCCTACAGCCGTCCTTTCGCCCTTAGTATCGGACAACGTGATATCTGGTTTCAGAATTCCTTTTCCCTCCCCTCTTCCACCTATTCGGAAATTCACAGAAAATCTGATTTTCTTTCTACTTTCCTTCTACAGTACGGATGCAATCCCACAGGCATGACCGCTACTTTGGAACGGCGAAAAGAAGTTCTTCGCCTTGCCCGAGAGCACAACTTCATCATATTGGAAGGTACGCTTTCACTAGTCGCAGAGGCCCTCGTTTTGAAGTCAGCGAGGGTCGGGCCCCCCACAAGAGATTGCTCGTCTTCATTTCGAAGAATGCGCCATCTCAACACTGCGCCGAATGCTGTCACTTTCTGATCGACAACGCTGCGCTGCCCTACGCCTCTTTGGGTCTTTCGTTATTAGCGCTTCTTTCTTCATATCATTTCGTGTCGCTGACGTTATTTCCATGGCCCTGGTAGACGACCCCTACTTCTACTTGTACTACGGCAAGGCCCCAAGATACCCCTCGTACTTCTCCCTCGAACGAGAAGAACCCGAGGTCGGACGAGTTCTGCGCTTTGATAGTTTATCAAAGATTCTATCCGCTGGTGTTCGAATCGGTTTCGCGTCTGGACCAGAGAAGCTCCTCCAAGCCATTGACGCTCATGTAAGTCGTCTCCTTCCAAACCCCTTTTTACTTTCGCAGATTCTGTATCTCCGGACACTGTTGCTGTTGTCTTTCTCACCTGACTGTCTCATGGTATTCTTCTTCGAGGCCTTGGAAGTCACCTAAGGCCGCAAGAGTACGAGAGCGGAAGGAAAGACTAATATCTGTCGTAATTTTTCTTTTCTTCCGCGTGTTCGATCATCGCTTGTTATCTCTCCTCCATGCTCATTGCTGTTCACGCCCATTCCCCGAGTTCTTTGTGTCTTCTTTTTTTCTTCCGTGATTCGGGAGCTCCAATTAAGTGCTACCCCTCGGGACGTTTTACTCACTAATTCTTTCGGATTTATTCCTTCAATTATGATTCTGTTGTTACGAGACTGACTCCTCGCTTTTGATTATACTGACCGAAATATGACGTTGTAGACCGCGACCTCGAACCTCCAAACCTCCTCGCTCACACAAACCATCATCTATACCCTTTTGAATTCGTGGGGTTACGATGGATTCAAAACGCATACTGAGCGCGTCGCGGACTTTTATCGCCAGAAACGCGATGTCTTCGAAAACGCGATGAAGAAGCATCTCGCTGGCCTCGCGGATTGGTCGACGCCTGAAGCGGGAATGTTCTTCTGGTAAGTACTTTTTGGGCCAAGTTTTTCTTTAGTCCGCCGATGCATTTCTTAAACCTCCGAGTCGCGGTTCTTCCTCGACTTGGAGTAAATGCCTCGTCGCTCCCCACTGTGTCTATCTTTAGGGTTAGCTTCAACATCTTCCATTCCACCCATCGAACGACGGTGGCATTTTGTGCTTCGTCATCTCCCTTGCCCTATCTATACCGGGACACCTATTTTCAGATCCTTTGGTGGAACGAACAGACTAACAGACCAACCCGCCTGGTTGTTTAGGTTCAAACTGATCCTTAACGAAGCAGGAAACGGTCAAGAAGACGATTCAGCCGCAGTGATTAGAACCACTGCGTTCAACCGGGGTGTATTAGCGCTCCCTGGCGAGTCTTTCCTTCCTAATGGGCAGAAGACCGCATATGTGAGGGCCTCATTTAGTCTTACTCCACCTGAGGATGTAGAGAAGGCTGTTCAGAGGCTGAGGGATGCGATTTTGGATGCGAGGAGGGAGTTGAAAGAGAAAGGAGCGTCCTCTACGGCCTAGGCGTTTGGGTTGGTTGGGCCGCGGGGAACCGGGCTGGGAGGGAGGAACTGTTTTGTTTTCTTTCCGGAATGATGGTTCCCCGAGTCGTGGTATCTATGCTACTTATCTACTAGGTGAGTCGAAGTTACTCAGCAAGGCTCTGGGTGTTGTAGCCCCTCGCCGGTGGTTCTGGGGTCCCAGCTGACCATCTCTTTATTGGGCGCTCCCGCCGTTTCAGATCTAAGCCTCTGCTTTTTCTTTGACTTACAACGGCAACTTATCAATGGCAAACTTGAAACTTACAATCGTAAATGGAAATTGAATAAAAGGGGATTTGGCTACTATGTCGTAGTTGAAGTAGACGGGCGTTGACAGGGTTACACACGTGTTTAGAATTCGTTCAGGGAACCGGGGGAATAAGACTTATTTCCTTGTAGGTTTGGGCCCTTGATTTCAGGTGTCAAGTCAGATCAGCGGTGGGAGGGGGGATAAGGTATAAATAGGTACGGTCCCATCAACCGTTCCTCGCGAATTCTCTCTCTAATGCTCAGCGTATATCTACGTATAGCTTGTTTGTTCTGAGCATTCGAGGAAGGTGCAACCCTGTATTGTGGAAGCGAGGCTGGGATTGCAGAGGGAGGTGTTGTTCTGGATATGTTTAAACTGTGGGTGTGGGTGTTTAGTTGAGCTGGAAACGGGGGTCCCTTCTAGGTTCTCTTGCTTGAAGTGTACTGAGGTATGGAAGTTTTCAACCTCGCGAGTTGGAATCTCGAACTGAACACTTTTCATTTACGTGGTAGACTCATACTTGGAAGTTGGATGAGGAAGGAAGGTTCTGCGTGCCACACTGGGTTAACGTTGTGTGGGCCGTGCGTAATGAAACGAGGGTCCAAGATGAACGGTACCTATTCTTGGAGGGTCCCTACTCTCGATGCCTACACTGTTTTTGAGGAGCATTTCTGCTTGTGTATTAGCGGCCTTATGGCATGGACGCCCATCGACACGCTCTGTTCGCCCGGATCTACATGCGCCCACTGTATCAAAACTGGTAAACTGGGATCTCACTCGTGCGCCCTCCCCAGAAAACGCGCTCGAGTCGTACTTACCATTTACACACTGACGAGCACAAGTATTTGCTTACACGCGCTCAGGGTCCATTCAATTCAATACCCTTTCCCTCGAGGTCCCTCGAGTTAGAGTTGCGAGTTTATCAATTCGTGATGCCGGTGGAAGTTGGGGAGCGCTACGGTAAGATGGAAGCCAAGGCGTACCAAGGAAAGATCGCCTCGAGGACGCTCGAATTTGTGTAGATTGTACGTTTGGACGAATTTCACTGGACCCTGAATTGAGACCTTCGGTTTGGGTGACCCGGGTTCGACACGTTTTGGGGGCCTTGGTTGGTTTAATTAGTGGCGTTTTCTTGACCTGGATGGGTGGAAAAGCTGGAGTTCTTGAGCGTGATTTTCGACGCAGAGCCCACACAGAGGTGTGTTACTCAGTCAACTGTCAGCTACGTGTTCATCTAGTAAAGGCACGCGTATGGATCAGTCAGTGAAGTGCAGGGAGTGGAGAGATTCTGCCTCAGCGGCACGTTGGGTGGTTGATGCTTTTGATCTAGAACCGAAACGCCGAAATGACTTGGAATCCCCTTTTAGAGCGCGTGGTGCTTTACAGGGTTAGCCAAGAGATTGTTGAGTAATGGCTTCTCGTCGATTTGCGGCCTGGGCTGACCCGCTCGCGCCTTTCAGCGTCTATTCGACGGTTTTCTTATTGGAGGAGATCACAAACTGAGGTCAGGAGGGCAACCCAATGAGCGTTGAATACGGCAGCAGCATTGACTTTTATTGGTCAGAAAAGAGGTTGGGTCATGTGAGCGCGAAGTGCGGAGAGCTTATATATACCTGAGTCAGCGCTCTGTTGCCTTATCTCGCCCTTTGAACAGCATCTTTCACAGAGTCAACGTCAAAGTACTTGTACAACTCGGCGTAGGTATGTTTTGTTGGTAGATCTGACCTTCCTGAAGTTGACTGACGCCATTTCGGATATAGCGCCCATCTGAGAACCAACCAAGTAAGTAGCGGGTTGTGCGTGCTTCTTTATGTCGCCACCCTCCCAGTTACTGGCTGTCGAATTCCAGGAACATCCGCTAATCTTCCTTCGCCATTATCAGATACGCACTAAACAAGCGCTTATACATACACCCACATCCTCATCGCAATGGCTTGCACCACCGAATTTGCTCCCGTCAACTACTGCCGCTTGATTGCCTGCCAGAAATGTGGGAAGACGACCTGGATGGTGTGTGTTCCTTCTATCTTAACTTTCCTTGAACCCTGAAGACGGGATCGTGGCACCGGCGGTGTGGTGGCGTTTCGTACAAAGGACCCTCTCCGAGTATCGTCTTCCGCTTGAAAGGTGATTGGAGGCGGGAGTCGATTTGGGCATATGCCATGCTTCACCGTGTCCCCCAGGGGTTCATCTTCTCTAGAGCGGTCAAACTGATGGGGCTTTTCTTTTGCTTTATTGTAGGGATGTGGCCAGCATGTCGAACAGGTAAGCCTTAGCACAAGACTCTCGATGATGCTGGAATGAGGTCGAGGGGGTCGACTGACAGCCAGCATCGAAATGATTGGGTGAATGGACGGCTCATAGACTCTATGATTTGTAGGTGATGAAAGACGTAAAAGAGGAAGACAAATGCGTTTGCGGCAAGAAAGAAAGCGCAGAGGGGACGTCTTCAGACAAGAAGTAGATAATAACTCCTTGTAGTATACTTGGGAACTAGCTACCTAATTTGAATTGACTGGGTGGAATCGAGATTTGGCGGTGATTGGGGTCCCAGTGGCTGAATTTGGAAGGCGCCTCATGATCTTCAAAAGAGTTCTTTGGTCGTCGCCAACCGTGAACGAATCCATAATCCCTGTTATCCCGTCCCCTACTTTCCCCTTTTTTCCTCTTTTCTTTTTCGACAAAGTCCCATGAAGTAGACGCTGAATGGACGACCAAGGAGCGTCAAGTTCTGGAGGTCTCCAAAATGGCGACTCTTCACAGATATTCGACCCGCCATTCACATATACAAAACAGCTCACAACCACCCAGTACATCGACGATGCTGTCACGAAGCCTATGCTCAACAACTACGTTCGCGTTGCCAGGGTTGGCGGTGGCCAGCATGGCGAGGTCTATCTGTGCTACAGACTCGACACGCGATTCCCTGAAGACGATCCAAATCGCCGGCTACCTGTAGTATGTGGCGTCACCCACAGCTGTACCCAGAGCATCGCGCTCAGAGCTGACCAATGCGAATCTAGGCGATGAAGTCGGTCAAGAGGAACAATCCCAAGGCTGAGCGCTACAAGCGGCTCATGGAGCAGTCAAAACGCCTCCCCCAACGTTCGCAAGATCGCGTCCCACTCGTAGACAAACTCGGGACGACAGAGCAGAAGATCAGGAAGGAGATTGCTATCATGAAGAAGCTGAGGCATCCCCATGTTGTTCGCCTTTACGAGGTCATAGACGACAGGTTGAAGGATAAAATCTACATGGGTGCGTCCCCCTTCTCTATTTCTGCCAATCCTCCTCACTATCACCCCTCGGTCCCAATCATATACCTCGCGTTATCTCGGCTATTGACAAACGTGCTCTGATTATAGCTATGGAATACCTGGGAGGTGGAGAAGTCAAGTGGAGGAACGACAGGAGCGAGCCGGTGCTAACCGTCGCTCAGACACGGAGGATTATTAGAGATGCAGTATTGGGCCTCGAATATCGTACGTATTCCTTCCACGTCTCTGTTCAATTCATTTCTTTATCTCTGCCAGTGCATTATCAGGGAATAATTCACCGGGACATCAAGCCCGCCAACCTCCTCTGGACAGAAGACAGAAGCCAGGTCAAGATTGGAGACTTTGGCGTGTCCCACTTTTCCTACGCACAACGCCTGGCCGGCGCTGGGAAAGACTCATCAGAAGCAGACGATGACGATGTCTTGCTGATTGACGACTCGGATCTGTCAAAGCGGGCTGGAACGCCCTCCTTCCTCGCCCCTGAGGTCATTTGGGAATTCAGTACTCTCACCACCTCCCCTGTCAGCTCGTCCACATCACTTCCAAGAGCGAATAGCTCCACGACGGTCCAAAGCCTCTATTCGCAACCTCGGCCTCCCATAACCAAGTCGATCGACATCTGGGCACTCGGCGTCACCCTCTACTGCCTCCTCTTTGGGAAGGTACCATTCACTACCCATGGAACTGAATTCGAATTGTATCGGATAATCCTCAATTGTGACTGGGATGTTGATGCGACTATGGGTGCCGATAGAATCCCCACTGGAGGACGCCAACCCGACTTGAGCGCGCCTGGGGGAGCAGCCATCCACCTTCTCGATCGTTTTCTCCAAAAGGACTACAAGGAGCGCATAACCCTCGACGAGGTTAAGGTTCGTCTTCACGTCGTTCGTTTATGTATATTAGTGATGAATCTCAACTCCTAGCCCCTGATTGGCGATACGCAGTCGCATTCGTGGATTCTAGAGGACCTCCCAGACCCGGAACGGTGGCTGCGTGCCACGTCGACTACCCCGAAGATTAAGGTCACCAAAGAGGAGACTTCCGGTGCTATGTCCCTCGTCCATTTCAAATGGAATTGGGGCGCCCGTGTTACTCAACGAATCTCGAGCATGTTCTCGAAACCCCGACAGCGCAACTCTCGTAATCCTGAAACCCGTCGTGAACCCCGAGACCCACCAGGTGCCATCGTCTCCGATCCACGTATGCGGTTGCCGCGGCCCAGTAACCGTCGGCCAACAGTGTCTTCCAGCCACAGTGTGTACCATGTCGCCTCGAGCCCCGGTTTGTTCCCGCCTAATGGGAAGAAGGATAAGGGGAAGAAGAAGGAAGAGACTCGGAGCCTACATTCCCTCCAGGACCCTGCGATCGGAAAGCGACAACGATCAGCCAACTTTTCATCGACTACCGACCATAGCAGCGGGCCTTCGTCATCAGTGTCGACTCCCTCGGCCGAGCGACCGGTGGTACAGAGTCTCCGGACATGGTTCAATAAAATCACTCCTCGAGGCTCTGGAAAGTCTTCTACGCCTCAAGTCGGTTTCGCTCCTGGTCAAGCCCATCACCATCATCATCATCATCGACATAACCATCACCGCCCACCTCGAGATGCAAGCAAGACGTCTCGCGCGGACCCGGCGAGGGGGGGGAGCGAAATAGCATTAGGAGATATCCCCAATGTTCATACAGACGTTAATGGGTGCAGCAAGCAAGACGTCTCGCGCGGACCCGGCGACACGGTGGAGCGAAGAAGCGTTGCGAAACTACCGCTCACGGCAGTATAGCGATAGTGGCCTACTCACCGCTGCACGACGAGCATCAAGTTGGGGCCAAGGCGACGAGCCGCTGGAGTTTACTGAGGTCATGAGTGTCACCTCGACAGAAGTGCAGCTCAATGACCAGGACTTCGTGGTCGGCGCGGGCGGTGTGGAGCCTCGGGTGGGGTACACGCCTCGACCTCGACCCGCGACGAGCTATATCCCTTCTCGACCCTCGGATGACGAAGAAGCCGGTCCGTCGAACTATCAAGAGCTGAACGTTCGAAACATAGAGGACATGGGCGATTTCGATGATTCATCTTCGATCGCGAGTGGGTATGGTGAAGGGCCAGAGGCGCGGTGGGTCAGTACAATTGGAGACGACGGCGGGGAAAGCGGGTCCTGCAACAGTCACCGCAGCTCGCAGGAGCAGGAGCGGTCACCCCACCGAAGAAGCTCGGGGTCCACACGACGCTCGGATCCGTTGGACGACGAGGATGGCGACCTGGACAGTTCAGATGAGGAGCAGGAGATAGGAGTGACATTTTCCCCTCGGAAGCGGCCATATCCCAACGAGGCCGATGCCCCACCATGAGTCCAGCGGTTTGTCTAGTGTCTGGAGTCTGTACGTGCGTGACTCCGGTCTGCCCGTTATCTCGGGGATTGGACGATGCGAAAAGAGGGTGTCGTAGAGACCTGCGATTCAATTCCGAGTTTCCGCCGGCTGTGGTTCTTGGGATATCTTTTCTACTATCTACGGACGGTTCTTTTCGGGCTTGTTCAACATCATCGCCTCCTTGTTTCACGCGTACTTGACATCCGGGCATGCAACCCTTTCTTCTGGTGTTCTGTTCCCTCCCCGTTTGTCCTTCGACCTATGTATGCACGGCCATGAGATCCAGATTAGCTAGGAAATCAGGACGGCTTTTTTCTCTGTCTCTCGAGACGTGACCTCGTCCCCCGAGTTGTGACATACGTTTGGCTGTTCAATGACTTCTGGTTCTTTTGATCTCTGCTCCCGCTCGCCTTCCTTTTTCTTTCTGTCGGCTGGACACGTTCGATCGACGCCTTTCAATTCACCTTCTGTCTTCATGCTCTTTTCCTCGGATCGGGCTTGTTTCATCTTTTCGCTTCGTGTTCAGCATCGTCATGCCATATCACCTCTATGCCCTTTCTCTACGCGATCTTATGTTTCGTGGTTTGCGTGACATAGGCTAGCTAACCCCTTGTGACTTTCCTCTTCATTCACCAGTTACTTTTAGCATGAGTTACATTATTATTTCTCAAGACATCGCAAACTCAAACTACCACATTGCACTGCACCACACCTCAGCATTCAGTCATTCTATCCAGATTCCATTGTATCATTTTATTATTTTTTCTCTTCATCGGTCTTCGCTTCATCGGTGTTGGCTTGTTAATCAATACATCTATCTACACTTGCATTCCTATACATATAGACACGTATTTTTACGTTTCTCTCCTTCTCTCTCGAGCTATATATTAGCCCCTCAAGTTCTTCGTAGGGGTGAGATTTTTGGTACGGTATGGATACGGACACTCTTCCTCTCACTTCTCACTCGCGGACAGTCTATTCTATTCAGTCTAGTAGCGCAAACTTACTATCATTCGGACAGATATTTATGTAGGGCTAGGTTATTTGAGCCGTTTAGTCCACCTCTACCTCCTTGATGCATCCTCACCACTCCCCACTCGTATTTATTTATGCCTTGGAAGTTTGGCCGTTAGGCCTTACGCGTTTTGCCAGTTGTGCTGGGACACCACCGCTCAGTTGGGATTTTAATTGGGATTTGCGTTGCCGTTGAATTGTAAAATCGGTGTTTGTGTGCCATTGAAACTTGAAAAGCTTGACGTGAAAGGGGTGCATGATTTATGGGCACTGAACGGGATCGAACTTGGAACTACATACACTTCGAAGGAGAATAAGGTCACGGTGATGGCGCCAGTTACGCTCATGTTTGAATTTGCCACCACTCTGCGAGTTCAAACTTCGACAAGGGTCATCGGTGTCGATTCTCTTTTTTGTTCTGCCGTCTATCGTCGTCCTCTTCTCTTTCCTCCGCACTGCCTGGTTTCGGCGACTTGAAGCCCGTGGATCGCGTTGGAATGGGGTCGTTCTTGTATGGGCCATCGCTCGCACTGGAGGCTTTCTTGTTGGATCTTGGTACACCTGTGGATGTCAGGCGACGCGTCGACTGATCTTTGGATTGTCCACTAGCTCTAATCAGGTCCAGGAATATCAGGGAGGGGACCTTTGGGAAGGGCTTTGGGGTTTGGCGGCAAAATGGGTCGATGCTGGAACGGTTTGAACTTGGGAGACCATATCGCACACAACCACAGGGACTTCACTTCATTCCACTGCATAAAGGGACTGTTATGTCGCCCTGTCTCGTCCACCCTCTCCTCAAAGACCCAATATGTGCTGGAACACGCTCTAAACGGTGGTGCTGAACTCGTTTTTCCGTTGTCGACTCCTTTCTCCAGGTTCTTGGGTTCATCGTCTCACTAGCGACCACATTCACATACTGCCTGGGACCGATATATAGAAACTGTGGTCTGCTGAGGTCTCGAGGTTGGCGTTATATTCTGTGCATTTGGGGGATCCTTTCAACGCTGCCTCGACGCTTCCCTGCGCCGTCTGTCTTTGCCGCGCCACTCCGTGCACGGACCAGTCACGTGACATATGCCACCGCGTGAATAACGCGTCTGGCTTTTGATGGCGCACTTGGTCGGTCCGCGCAGCCTCGTGGTTGCTCCTTCGCTAAGTTGACCGCATCCTTTCACCACAACATTATCTTTCGCAAGGACCGCTTTCGTACAACCACCAATTATGGCTCCTGGGGCTGGTAAACCTGCACCTAGTAAACCCAAACGGGTCAACGCCTTCATCCTCTTCCGAACGGAGAAAAGCAAACAATTTAAAGGGACGCCTCAGACTCAGGTTAGCAAGATTATTGGGGAGATGTGGACGAAGCTCTCGGATGCGGAGAAGAATCGCTGGAGGATTCGTGCGCGTAATGGAGAGGAGCTATCCAGCGACGATAATGACGACAACGACCTTGCTGAACGCGAGAACAAACGACCCAAGAACGATAGGACTATCGCCGCCTTGAAGAAGCCCGGGACTTCAAAGGTCGTTCCTGCTCCCCCAGTGACGAGGTCCAAGGCCGCTCAGAAGCCTAAGGCAGTTGTCGACAAGGGAAAGAAAACGGTTACGGCTGCGCAGAAGTCGGAAATCGCTAAGAAGGTCGCGGAGAAGGTTGTCGAGAAGAATGCGAAGGCCGTTTCCGAAGAGTCCATTGTTGGCCCAAGCGCTATGGTATGTTTGACTCCCCCCATCTGTCCTCGATGTCGCGTTGCTGACAATCCCAAGCAGCCAGCTCCCGTCGTAGAGACACCGAAGGATGTTGAGAAGAGCGCTGAACAGGCTGCGGAGACGGATGCAAAGACCTCCGAAGTGCCAGCCATCGTCGTTGTCGGGCCAAGCGACACTATGGTACGTTCGATTCGCTCAAAGGTCTCTGTTTCAGTGTCGCTGACTCGTTTTCAGCAGGACGCTTCTGTTATTCAAGCCTCGATCACCGAGGAGGCCAGTGTTGCGGTGCCACCCGTCGAGGACGAGCCCAACTACAGCGCCTTTGTTGCTGGAATCCCACCGGTGTCCCCGCCTGCGAACAAGTCCTTCGACCTTACCGAGAAGACTCTCGACGAGCCTCAGGACGATCCCACCGGGAAGGCTGCCGATGAACCCGAGGATAATCTCAAGACCACCATTGAGATCCCGCCTATCCCTGGCATTGTTGGTCTCACCATTCCCGGACCTTACCAAATCATTGCGATCCACAAGATCGATAACCCGCCTTACAGAGTTGCGGGCTTGACGACTCGCACCCTCTGAACGTGCACCATGATGTACGATGACTGATAACTTCGACGATACGACTCTTGGATGGATTTTTCTTTTACTCATTGCTCTATGTACAACACTATTTCACCAATATCTTTCATCATACTATATCACTACCACTGGAATTGTAGCCATGCCCTTGCGTACTTAGCATTTGTTTCCATCTGAATCCTGAATCCCCTGCATTTGTACTACTCAGAGTTACATTGTACATATCATCGCTACCAAATGCAACTTCATCTTCTATTACTTCCTCGTGCGCGGTGCACGGGCGCCGCTCAACGTGAGCCACTCTCCCAATTTCAACATAGGATGCGGAGTGGCATCCATCAAAATGCGCACGGCCCCCCTTCGCGACCCATCCCAGTGACTCACAATGGTGAGTAAAATCAGGACGTGGCGTCCAAAGAGAGACGACAATTAAGTTTATGATAATGCTTCTCTTTCCACTGACATCGTTTCCAAATTCGAATTCCAGCCTCATTTCTGACTAGTCGATGAGATAAACCTGGCGTACTGGACTTTGACTGGACTGCTCGCGGATCAGTCGGACTTTCAGAACGGGTGTCACTGTCAGAACTCAACGTGCAACACTGATTCGTGTCATTCGACAGCCAGCGGGAGGAAAAATGGATTTCAATTCCTATTGTACAAGAACGGTTGTCTGATGGCCCTTTGAAAAAATCAGTACTGACTTCGGCGCTGCGGAGACGGTGTGGCATTTCTGTGGCCATTTATGAGTGCGGAATGTTATTCTCCTTCAAATAAAGATGGAGTTCATCAGCGACGCTCTTCAACAATGCTTCTTTGTCGTGGAGTGGTGCCCATCCCAATGCCCTGGAGCGCTCTCCTTTCGCCTTGCAGTTTCCTGCAATCACAGAACCCAGGAATGACTAGAGGAACGTTCAGTTGCAAGAGACCGGAAGAAAGGTTCGTTGGCCACGTACCCCGATGTGCTCTTCAACCTCAGATTCGGTGAATGAGTTTGGCTCGGCGTCTTCAACGAGTCCTAACTTTGCAAGTACCTCCCCAACTGTCCTCATAATCTCCTTGGGTCTGTAGTCGCAGGTCTCTGCAATGTAGAATCCGTCTCGGCCATGTCCAATTTTGTCCGGGCTCGTTCGCGCAGCGTTGAAAATGAGCATATATAAATCAGCGACTGGAAGGAAATGCGATTAGACTCCGTTGCGCTGAGTCAAACTCCCAATACTTACGATCATCCACACTGACCGCAGACCATACATTCTCCCCTCCCCCAACATAGCCAGGCCGCTTTCGAGCGATGGACGCCTTGAACAGGGACGGGTTGGCACCCGACTTGAGATACTGTACGCCGAGTTGGGCAAGCTTCCCAGATGGCACTCCGAAAACGAGGGACGGAGCGACCAGGTACGCCCGGACGTAGCCTTCTTCATCAGCCTTTACAATGGGGATGTCGACGTTCCTGTGCCAGACATCCTCTGGGATGGCTTCGATGGTGTCCGAGTCGAGATCGCTGACGACTTTATCCAGATTGCTGTGCATTCCATTTACCATTTGGAGGGTGAATCCTACATAGCCAGGCTAGTTGGATATCGCAGTAACGGAGAGTTGAAACATACGTACCTGTTCCGCTCTGGGTAAACAGAGTCTGTAAGCCTAACTATTTCAGGTTTACATGTGGACTCACAGTATGGATCAAGATGGGTGCTGTATTCGTGCTCTCGAAGCGCTGCTTCATCCCATCCAGGATCGCTTTAGCCGCCGGGTAATTATCTGCGCTTGTCTGTGCCTAGATTGCATTTCAGTTAGGCCACAAGTTACTAGTTACAGGGTAACCCGATTGAAGGCCTACCATTGCATGGACATATCCGTCTCTGACGTCGCCTTGGTGAGCAGGTCCAACTTCGAATAATCGCCGATGATGGTCTTCAATCCGAGCTTGTGGAGGGCCTCTGCTGCATCCATGCTTTGAGTGAGGACGGTGATTTCGAAGGACTTGAAGTCAGGATGCTCCAGTAGGCGATCGACGACAGTTCCGCCAATGTAACCTCAGGGATGCTATTAGACCACATCGGGCTTGGGAGGGGTACAATCGTCTTTACCTCTGCCGCCAGTTACGAAGATCTTTGTCACGGTCATGGTGGTGGCTTGAATCCTGTAACTATCAGAAAACCCTCTATATATACTCAACAATGATCTGTCGCTTTCTTTTGGACAATAGGGTGTGATGAGCGCAACTGGTTTTGTTCACACAGTATCATATCTCGCCACTGCGGTGAGTTGTTCGTTAATGCTTGAGCAGAGTTTGTTTGGATCGAAAGGTTTTGACAATCATGTCGGCTGGCATCAGTACACACTTGAACAGCGCTTCTGCCTCAACAGGTTGCTTGCCTTGTGGCCTCTGTTCATCGTCCACTTGGCGTTTTTTCAGGTGTGCGGTGAGTCGTGACGGTCACCTACGATTCAGAGGTACGTTGGGCTTCGGCGGGATACTTTACATGCCGATACGAGGTCGCTTAGTGTCTTTTCTATGTCATCTGAGCACGCTTCCTTCTTCCATTAAAGCGTTCTCATGGATAATTAAGGAGGACAGGTGGTATTGTAACCGTCTCAGACAGATCAATGCTGCGTTTGCGAGCGTCTCGTCCCAATAAGCGCAGGGTGCCAGGACCGGCAGAGAAAGACCACCGTTCAGTATGGGTCATGAAGGGGGCGAATCTCGAGAGGGAGAGAGGGTTCTTGTCCGATCTCCGAGCCTTTTTCCTACTCACTGCATGTAATGACGCCTTCTTACCGAGCAGAACCATTCTTGGTGCCACGCTGGGGGACTTTGTGAGGTCTCCGCTCCGTGCCGCAATACTTATTCACCAGGTAACTCCAGCTTGGCGCGCAAGAAGAGCGGAATACTTACACCCATAAGGCATCCTCGTTCATTAAAGCAGATAGCTAAGCCCAAGAACAGGTGGTGTTGGAACCATTGCAGACAGATGCCGCTTTTTCGAACGTCTTATCCAAATATTAAGCGCAGAGCAGGACTATTGTGCCACGATCGCTAGAGGACTGTGCGTGAGGTGTGGGCTATCCCAGATATCTTGGGACGAGGAAAGCCTCCAAAGCTAATGTGAAGGGCATCTAGAGTGTAATCATGATGTTACCTCTACACATGACGCAGTCGTGTGCTTCTGATTTTAATACCTTCAAGTTCAGCTCACGGGACGAAAGCATAGCCGACTTGGAGTCTTTGAAGAAGGTTACATGGAAACCTCTCCGTGCCGTACAGGACGTATAAAAGGGTGGTCAGCTCCCTGCTGAAGAATCGTCAAACCGCCTCAGCTCGACCTCGTTTTGTATTTGACTCTCCAAACACTCGTCTCTCTACTAGCAGAAATGACCACCGAAGCCAAAATCAAATTGAAGGCCGTCGTCTATTGGGAACTCGTCTTCGACTATGACAACTCCAGCAACACAGGTACGTTGTCCGCTATATGGCTTCTCGAGGCCACGTCTCATCACCGAGTCTCAGGCGAAATCACCCAGTCCTACACCGTGAAGATATCCCAGACGTCCACTCGCAGCACGTTTGCCTCGGAAGTGTCGACCACGACAATCGACACCCTGACGAAGAACAACCAAGAAGTTGACGTCGGAGCATCCTATGGCGCCATTTCAGCCAACGTGTCGGCGTCTTGGGAGCATTCCGAAGAGGTTAACAATATGCTTGAGAAAACAACGCAGACATCGACCGAGGATACCTACACTGTCGAAACTGAGGAGACCCGCTCTTGTACGTTTTGCGCTGACAAGGACTTCACTAATCCATTGACTCAATTGTTTTCCGTTAGACACCATTGGTCCTGGAGGGATGCTTAGCCTTTTCCAGAAGCACTTCTCTGGGCCTGGAATGCACGTCGCTTTTGATGTCTTTACCACTGACTTGGAGCTGGCGAAAGAGCGCACCGAAATCGACATCGATGTCGATGTCGAGGCCATCCGCTTTGTCAGGGAGATCAGGGTAAGTCAATTTCATCGCATAAAACCAGGCTCACGATACTACTCAACTTGCTCGTTCATAGGTCGTTTACACGGATATCATGTCCGAGGCCCCGGGCGACCACGTCCGCGAGATCAATGGGAAGAATCCCGACATCAACTATGGCTTCAACGGCAAGTAAGTGTACAATCAGATATACGAAATATCTGAAATGGATATACTGAACTATCGATACAGATTTGTCTGGCTTGTCCCGGAACAGACCCGAAAGACTGCGCAGGCGTTAACCAACGTTGAATTTGTCAGTCAGGCCGAGTCGGATGACAGGTACTGGGACCTTGCTGCAGGCGCGGGTGGCAGTAACCGATACCTCATCCCCGTGTACGACACGAACAACAAGGACAAGATCTACGAATTGGCCCTCTGGCGCTCAGACTCATACATTACTCATGACAAAGTCAAAGCCGCGGGCTGGTCGGGTACCACTGGCGATATCAACAGTGGCCGCGGTGGCACCTACCTCAACTTGGTCTGGAAGACGCGCCACGCCTACTAGGTGGCACACCTCAAGTCACCTCGCTGTCGCCTACGCCTATCTACAGTTGTTTGCAAATGCAGTAACTCCATACATATCCTTTGTACGGCTTGAGAACGTTGCACGGACCTGTGTCTCTTTGAATCTATGGCATACCTTGTCCTCGATCAACAGCATTGATTTCCGAAAGTGGTTAACCAGATGGAACTACATGATATCTTGAGCAAAAATAATGATTCGAGAGAGTAAAGGCTGAGAGCGAGAACTACAGATGATAGTTGCTTCAACATCATGGAACCGACTTCGAAATGAGCGTTCCACCAGAGAAAAAATGTGGACGTCCTGTTTGGTCAGAGTGACCGATGACACGCCTATGCGCAGATCCCGAGGCGCAATAATACCGGCCACGCAAAGATGTCACATGCGGTCCTTTGTCTCAAATACGAGCTCCAGTGGGAGACTCCGAGCCATCACTGACGAGTCTGCTGAGGGAGAAGTGGCAGCCGATAGGGCTTGCAATTTCCGGCTCACCCAAGCTGTACGGCTTCACTGTGCGTGCGACTGTTCATCTATCGACATCGCTTCTCCGAGATGGTGGCTGAAAGAACAAGCGGTCCAACGGAAGAAGAGCAGACCGGGCAGGAGAGGGCAGGAGAGGGAAGCCCTGGTGGCCGATACAAAAAGGCCCAGACGCTCCTTGAGTTATCGGGAAGATTACTTGTAAAATCATGAAAGGACTGTTGACAGACAAGGGTTGTCGGGGATATCATCATATCAAAAGAGTAGAGAATGGATGAAATGTGTATACATGCAGAAGATGATGCAGCTGAAGTTTGGAAGACATGGTCGAGACATCTGGTACGAAACGAATGGCAACCAAAGAGGGAAACGCCAGAGATGCGGAACAAAAAATGTACAAGCAAGGAAAATAGAGACTTGTCGTTCGAAACGAATGGAAACCAAACAGACGGAGAACGCCAGAGACGTGCAACAGAAATACAAGCAAGGAACGTGTGGGCCATCGATAGGCGGATAGTATGGACGGGAAGGCCGAATTGATAGAAAGCAGTAGATTGATGATGGAACGAAGCGAAAGCAGCGAGAACCAGAGCAAAAGGGAAACAGAGGCAGATCGAAGCACGGAAAAGATCACAAGAACATAGCAGGGGAAAATGACAAGAACATAGCAGCGAAAATAACGACAGAGAAAAGCAAAGGAACCCGACAGATCACATCACAAGTCACAAAAAGCAAGAACAAGATGCGAGAACCAATCAACCAGGCGCACCCAGTCACAAAACCCAAACACCACAACCTCAAACTACCCAGAAACAGCCCCAGCCCTAAACACAACCTTCCTGAAAATCTGTTTGAAGACTCCGTAAACTGAATGAACAGCCGTCTTGATCCACTGCGTTGTTGAATGTTGGTGTGGGCGGACGAGTCCCACTCCCACTTCTACTCCAACTTTCGCTGCAGCTGCTCCAAGTCGACGGGACTTAGGAGGGGAGGGGTCGGCGAGGATGATGGTAGTACCGCGTTTATCTCCGTCGTTGGCAGCTGTTGGAATGGGGTTGAGAGGAGTCGCCGAGTCTCTCTCGACAAGGCCTCCGGTGGTAGCGTTGGCTGAGGAGGAAGCTGGGTGGAGGTAAGGGAATGGCATGCTCAGGAGAGGACCGAACGCCGTTAAGCACTTCGGTTCCATCCCCGCCCCAGTTCCTACATCCGCACTCCCACTCCCACCACCTCCACCAGCAGGGCCACCACTCAAACTACTCACAGACCCCACCTTACCCAGCCCCACCAGCGCATCCGACATATTCAAAGAAGGAAGCGTCATCTCCGTCGTATACCCTTCCGAGAACCCATTGTTCATTTCCGACATCGAGAAGAGCGAGTTCCCGGCGGTGCTGGCGAAGAGGTTGGACGAGGTCGCGGTGCTGTGGGTGTTGTTGGTGTGGCTGGTGGTGTTGCTGCTGCTGTTGGCGCCGTTGATGTGGCTGTTGTTACCGTTGCGACTGCTGTTCGCGGTAGCACCACCACCACTCATCCTCCCCATCGACCGCGAAGCGGTAAAAAACGACGGGAGAGGCGGCGTCAAACTTGATGGCGTAACAGGTAGGAACTGCGGTTGTGGTGGTAGAGGACTTCGTTGGAAAGTATCGTGTTTGTGAAACTCCGAGAGGGTGAACGGGCGTGGTTTCGTCGGTGTCGGACTACGAGGCGATCCCCCCAGCTGGAACTTGCCCTGCCCTCCAAGCAAGAGATTACCACGCCGGGTGAAGCGACCGGCTTTCTTCTGCAGAGGCGAGGGAGAAGGCTCCTCGGGGAGAACGTAGATCTTGGGTTGGACGATTCGTGGAATCGAATCTTCTTCTTCATCTAGGGTCCGCTCGAAGTTCGCGCCCCGAGAGAAATTGGAGGATGATCCCTCTTCGAGACGGCTCAAGCGCAGATCGCTATCCAAAGAGGGGTCGTAGACGCTGCTGTACTGCGTCGGATACATATGTCTGAACCGCGATCGGACGTTGGAGACGGGCGCATGGCGCAGCAAGTTTGGTACGAGCGGCGACCGCCGGGGCGTGTAGAATACGTCCTTGGGGGAGGAGATGACGGACAACAACGTGGTGCTGGTTAGATCGTAGTTCTTCATGAGCGCAGGGGAGACAGTCTGGTCCAGCCTCAAGGACGAGATGTTAAACGAGCCTGCGATACCCCTGGTCGTCGTCTTTGGAGTGGTGGGCGGTTCGACGTACCCCAGCGGGTCGGCGCTGATTTCCACCTGGTCTTTGGCCTGCCCGCGCTCGCCCGGAGGGTCAAACAGGGGTATACCGGCCTCAGCAAGGTCCTCGAGGTTCATTGAGTGCGCTGGGGTTTGGTAGTCGTAGTTGTACTCGGGGAAGGGGTCGACATCTTGTTGGTATCGTCGACCTACGTAGATCTTCTCTTTGTCTCTGAGGACCCGAGAGGAGAGCATCGCGTCGTTGATGTGTGGGATGTATGGCGCTGCGGGAGCGTCAGGAAACATTATGCGAGAGAGCATAGAAGGAGGCGTACGGGTTAGAAGTCCTCCTTCGACATCATCAAAGTCACTGCAAACAATGTCGGGTAAGAAAAACGGAGAGGAGTGGAAGAGAGTGAACGTACATCGAGCGAAAGAATTCGTGGGCGGCGAATTCAGAGACATGGATCCTGTCTTCGACGCGTTTCTCCAGTAGCTATAGCGCGCACGGTCAGGCATGCCCCTACCTGGACTAGAGACAAGACCCACTTTATACAAAAAATCCGAAGCAGGTTCGTCCACCGCTGCACGAAAGAGCAAAGGCTCCTTCTTGATCTTCCTCATCATGCAAGTAACATCAGAGCCCGTCCACGGCGTCTACACAACCCAGTCAACACCGTCTTCAAATAAGCAAAGTCGTGAAAGACAAAGCACTCACATCTCCCTGCAACAATTCATAAAGGATAATCCCCATGGACCACCAATCCGTCTCATACGAATAGATTTCCTGCGAGATGACCTGTGGGGACATGTACACCAGCGTGCCCGCAAACCCGTCCGTCACCGGTCCCACGACAGCTCTCCGATGTCGAGCATGAACGCGAGCTTGGGCTTGGGCATGAGTACGGGCAGCATGGGTGCGGGTATGAGTGTTGGGAGGGTTACTGTCAAGGTCGCCCCGAGAGGGCGCTCGAGCATTTTTAGCCCGAAAGTCCTTGCAGAGTCCGAAATCGATTATGCAGATGTGCCCGTCGGCTTTGATGAGGATGTTGCTAGGTTTGAGGTCGCGGTGGATGATGTCGTTGGCGTGGAGGAAGCGGATGGCGACGATCTATGGATGAGATGGTTAGTCCTTTGTGAGGGCGGATGAAGGAAAGGGGCGAAAGATCTGCACTCACTAGTTCGGAGATGTAGAACCGCGCGGTGTCGGTGTCGAACCTTTTTAGCTTGTACAGTCTGTGAGCGAGATCGCCGGCTGGGTAATAGTCCTGATGACTTCAATTAAGCCAACAGCCTTCATCGAGGAAACGAGGAAAAAGCTTACGCTAATCAAGTAGAAGTTCTCCGTGTCATGGAAACTATCGATCAAGTTCAGTATGAAAGGGTGCCCCTTCAACCTCTTCAATAGGTTCTGCTCCTGGAGAAGGGTATGGTAGTTCTCCAGCGTAAGTTTCGAAATGACCTTGACCGCGGCCATCTTGCCCGATTGATTAGATTTGGCGAGGTAGACTTTTCCTTGTGCGCCTTGGCTGAGGAATCGCGTCAAGGAGTATTCGCCTATATCGTTGGTCCGGTCGAATGTGGAGGGCTTTGAGGGAACTCGCTCCTGCGGTTTGACATTGGGATCTCGAGCGCGCAGGGCGGGGAACGAGTTCATGCTGGAGATCTTCATGAACGAGGAAGTGCGTATCTTATCGTCCATGAGGACCTTTGGAACGGGCTTGCGACGAATAGCGGGACGTGCTCGATGCGCATTTTCTTTCCCGCCATGTCGGGAGCGTTTAGGATGATGATGATGACCAGAGTGGAAAGCACTGGTGGACGTCTCGCCTTCGTAGACGAGGTCAGGGACGGGCGAGATGAATGACGCGGGTGTGCGTGGAATCTCATCGACGTGGACGAGGAAAGGAGGGTGGAGCTTTGGTGGGGGTACGAACGAGGGGTAGTTGGGATTGTAGATCTTGAGAGAGGATTGCTCTGGTGCGCCAGTGTTGTTTCGAATGTCGCTCTCGATGTGGTGGAAGGGTAGAAACGAGGACGGGTTTGAGTGGAGAGTCATAGGGGGTTGGTCCTTCAAATAATTGGCCGGGACTCGGTCGAAACAAGAGCCCTTCCGAGAAGGTGAGTGGTCCAGGGTGGGTGGAGAAGAAGACAATGTATGCACCTGGCGTAGGTTGGATCTTTTTCCTGCTTCCAAGTCCATATCGTCCGAGAACCCTTTCGAAAAGATAGAGAGCCCAAAGCGATTGGCAACTGGACCGCTGTCCCCGTCAGAGCCATCGGTCACTTCAGACACCCTAACCGAGCTTCTAGCACCAAGAGGTCGAAAGAACGAGACTTCCGAGGACAACTTCTCCTGTGCCCATCGCATAAACCAAAACTCGATCCAAAACAGGAGAACGAGAGACCCACCATTTCTTCCGCAGCTTGACGTACTTCTTCTTCTTGCAGCGGGCCTGGAGTCCGGGAGAATTGTGGGATGGAGATCTTGCACGAGGAGATCCCCAACATTCAGGGTTTCACGGTTTTGCCATGCAACGGTGGGATGGAGGCGTAGCTGGGAATGAGCGTTCGCGGGGGGTAGTAAAGCAGACAACTGGCAATGGCATGTGCTGTAGGAGTAACTATGAGAGGGGGTTTTAGAACGAGACTGTCACCCGCCCTCATTTTAATATCGTCGCTGCCTAGGTCTTCATCAGATACGTCTGAAACGAAATCTTGAGAGACTTACCGGTCGAATGAAGAGCTAGATTTTTTCGAATTGAAACAACTGTTTGATCAAGACGCGACGCGACTATGCGATCGTCAAATCTGGTTCAACAAAATCCATTCATTCGGTGGTATACGACAGTTGACACAAGAAATAGACGATAAGAAATGTAGGTTCGTCACCCATACAGCACATCTCTAGCCATTACTTTCCCTGATCATGGGCACATCAGCCGAAGCGACGCCTCGAAGAAAAAGACCTGGATCGAGCGAGATACGCTGCACAGACGACCAAACCAACGTCCGAAAACGCTCTTGGTCGTTCTAGAGGACGGGAACGCGGACAAGGAGGCGGCAGAGCTTAACCAAGTCCGAACTTTTGTGTCCTCAGAGGTTTGTTCTAAGGAGAACCTTTTTTTTTCGCGTGGGGACTTTAAAGAGTGGATTATGTCAGTTTATCCCACGGACTCGGCAACGTCCAGCCGGTCTTTCACGGGTTCTGTGATAACCGCGAGTTATAACATGGCAGCGACACTTGTCTTGCTGCCAGTTGCTGGCCACTTTCCTTCTTCTTTCTCTGCTTTATCTATTCAAAAATGTCTCGTGCATCCAAGCCCCTGACAATTTCTCGCCTCAATGACGTGATTTTGGGCTGTTTTTGCCATGTCAAGCCCTCTGAGACGGTCGACCACCTCGTTCGGTACCTTGGAACATGGAGCGGTAGCGAGTGAGTAAACCAAACCTGGTTTTACAGAACTAGTGTTGACGGATGGATACAGCAAGCTGTTCATGGTCAGTGAGCAATCGCGATGGTCAAGGAACACACGCTGACCGGCCGACAGCTTATCCAATACACCCTCAAACTAGTCGCGCCGTTCTTGCGTCTGCGAGCGAGACTGCAGCACCAGGCAGGGCTCAGGCAGAACCCAACCAGTACCACAGCTGCTGGCTACGACAAGCTTGCTGGAATCATCGGAGATTCTCGAACCCTGTGGAGGATGTGGGGTGCGTAACCAGGCGTCTCGGCCGATCGAACACTTCTTCTTAACTTTCCGAAACTCTAGGCTTGCTTCCCATCTTCCAATGGCTGATCTCGCTCGAACGAAGCCCTCCCGCTACCCGTACACTCCTGACTATTGAAAGACTGCAAGGCTGGTCCATGCTCGCGTACTACCCCCTCGAGCACCTCTACTACCTCGTCTCGCACGGCATTATCCCCTCCACCATCACATCCCCCCTCTCCCTCTTCTCCTCCAAGCCCAAAAAGATCAAGCTCGATGCGGGCAAACTGTCCCTCTGGTCCACCCGCTTCTGGGCCGTCTATGTGTTCTTGCATTTTGCTCATTTGATTGAGGACCGCAAGTTGTTGATTCAGCGCCAGCGTGCGCTGAGGAAGTCGAAGGCGAACGGTCTGTCTGCGGAGGAGAAGAAGGATATCAGGAATCGGTGGGACGCGTTTTGGTCCGAGGTTGTTATTAACCTTGGGTATCTCCCGCTTACTATCCACTGGTCGTTGGAGAAGGGGCTTTTCAAGAACGATGTGCGTGTCTACTTTTCTTCTTTTGCTAGCTGTCGTGCTTACGAGGTTTATTGGGATTTTAGCTTTGGGTTACCACTTTCGGTCTGATTGCGGCTGTTGCCTCGTTCAGGTCGGGCTGGAGAGCTACTGCACTCCCGCCTCCTCCACCTCCACCGGCCAACGAGGAAAAGGACCAGGATGCTGCCAACTGAGCGACGTATGTATCTACTTCTACTTTGCTTATTTACCAACAGTTGGGCCTTGGAGCTCGAAGCCCGACGGTTCGAGCCGTTAGGAATCAAGCGATCAAGCTCCTCGTCAGGTATGCTTCGGACCATTGACACTGGTGAAGTGTTCCCGAAATTAGGCCGGCAAGGAAAGACTTGCGGCCAACCAGGTTCGAACCCGCTAACCCTCGTGCGGCTCTTAAATCGATTGCAAAGCGGTGTTCTCGAACCATGTGGACCTGTTAGTGTCCATCCGGTTGGCCGATCCTTCGATTTAGGAAATTTGAAAATCCCTTGGGGTTGGGATGGTGGAGAGATCGGCGTGATAACTCCGTTGAGAAAATCCGAAGGCTGGATATAGGCCCGTCTTCTTACCCCTCCCAGCTTTGGAGGAGACAGGCCTGAATTAAACCATGGTGGGCGGAGCGGGGGCATCTCTTCGATCCATTCCATTCGTTCGTGTTCTCCCGGGGTTTTCTTATGGCGAGTGGTACGGGCTCTTGATCACCGTGATTGGAGGTATCTGAAGTCTTGGAATGGCTAGGCTGACACAGTGAAACTTGAGGCTGCGCGGTAAAAAAACACTGAGGTATGGGTTCAAGTGCCCATTGCCCTAGACGCTGAATTCTTCGCCGAGCGTGATCCAACTCACAACATCATTCATTTACCTTCCCTTCCAAACCTCTTCAATCGGCTATTAAGTACTATCTCATGTCACACTAAGTGATCTTGAATAAATATAATACAGTGATTTTTGGGAGATGTACAGGCAGGCAGATTGATACAGTTTTTGGAATGCGGGAGGTATGGTAGTAGGATGGTGATAGGGTGATGATGCAAACGGAGAGTAAGTAGAGGAAATCCAAGAAAAACGTGACGCAAGGAGTAGGTAGTAGTAGTGTAAGGTATCGCTCGAAAGGTAGAGTAGGTATGTAGGTGTCGCTAGTATCATGATAGTCATATGCACACTGGGAAAAAATCTAGAAACCAATGTCAGCAAAAGAGGTCACATAACAACATTAGTGAAGACCAGTACTCACCATCACACAGAACTTCTCAGACGAAGCTCGAAAGCCAACTCCACGCGAGTTGCTTAATTACTCCCTTCAACTCCCCAACCACTCAAATAGTAGTAGGTTGCCTGCTGATCCGTGCAGCCATTGGTGTCCGCCTGGGACGTGGACTGCGCGAAGTTGGAATCGGGGTACTCAGCGGGATGGTTGGAATAGACCGCGATGTACTCCTGCTCGTCGGCGGTGAAACCGAAATCGTATGAGTACTCTGTGGTGGGCGGGCTGGGGTGCTGAAGGGACTCAGGGGTAGGAGCGGCAACGCTGGATACGCTCGACTCGGAGGTAAGCTCCTGAGGGAGCTGAACTTGGTAAGTGGAGGAGGCGTCGTCGTCGGTGAAGCCGGAATCGTAATCTGTGGCTGGGCTTGGTTGGTAGAAGGAAGGTGTGGTAGCGACGCTGGCTACATCTGACGCCCAAGTGGTGAAATCTTGGTAAGTGGTGGAAGTATCGGTGAAATTGATATTGAAAGCGTTCTCGACGAATTCGCCGAAATCATTGGTGTTTGTGGCGGGCTGCTGAACCCTGGTGGAAGGGGTAGTAAAGGCCAGACCCGAGTCGTAATTTTGGGTGAATTCATCCTGGTAAGTGGTGTAGGCGTTGACGCCATCGACGCCGTTTCCTTCGAGTTCTGAGGAAGTGTATTGGGCGTTTTGCTGAGGGTAAAGGGGGTAGTCAAGCGTGGAATTGTAGTCGTTAGATGCGTCAATGCTCTGAGATTCGGCGCCACCAATGGTAGCCGCTTGAGTGGGAATGGAAACAGGACCCGTGGCTGTCGAAGAAGTCGAAGGTTCCATGGACTGGGAATGGGCAGGCTGAGCGACCTGCGCATGCGCAACCTGAGGGACGGAGCTCTGTGGAATGGCATAGGTAGCCATATCGTATTGAGCTCCGAACAGTGGGTTGAATTGCTGCGTGGCGTAGGAATTCCTGCCGTCGTTGTCCAAAAGGCTGTCGGAAACTCGAGTCTCGATTGATTTCGAAGTCGAAGGCAAGGGCTCTTTAGGTCGCTCAGGGACAAACGGAGGGACAGACTCAGTTTGACGGATTCCATCAGTCCCGCGGGTTGTCGCGGTGTAGAGAGGGAGCTGTGCGAATCGCTGGTTGGCGATAAATCGAGCAAGAAGTTGGTTGCTAGACGCAACGCGGGCTTGGGGCTGAGCGAACTTCGAAACTGAGGTATAAGTGGGGTCGTTGGTGGGAACAAAAGGCACGACCGAAGTTGAGGTGGAAGGCAGAGGCTCGTCCGAGGGGCGGAAGGGGGCAGCAGGACGAGCAGGAACCGTCTCGATTGCCCTCTCCTCAGCGCCGGTGACCGCGTTACATTGCGCGAGCTGGGTGCTGAATTGAGGGTATGGCCCGAGGCCGACAAGGGGACGGCTGTTTGACGGGACGCGTGCTTGAGGTGGTGCGACCGCCGGGATAAGATAATTGTAACGGTCGTACGCGAGATTGTTGACGAGAGCAAGAGACTGAACCAACTTCGGAGTGGATGCGATGGGCTCTTCGCGTCGTGACGGGCCCGGAGCAGGGGCAACAGCGCCATAACCGTTGTACAGCTGTCCAGAGTAGCCGTCCACGCTATTATGGAACTGGTGCGTGAGCTTCTGGCGTCTATGAGAGCGAGTTAACTCGTCACTTGAAGCGAAGCTGTGGGTGACGATGGGCTTAGGCTGAAGAGCGAAATGGTCACTGGAATAGTGAGGGCCGTCGGACGTTGCTCCACAATTCGTCCACTGTTGAGTAGAGGCGGGAGCGGTGGTGGAGGCAGTGAGGCCATTTGTTTCCGATGCTTCCCTAGATGACCCATAGACGTCGAGTGCTGAGCCATTACCCGAGGACTTCTGTGACGAGGTAGAAGCGGCCTGTGGGGAAGGCGCGGTTTGTTATTCAGTGTCAGATAAAGCCCAAGCCTCAGAGAAACCCACCAGTTGGCTCGAAGTCGCCTCAGTCTGCGGAATGCCGCTGCTACCCGTCGATGGAATGGTGCGCGGGACATTCGACTGGGTAACGGGTTTCGCGGCCGGGACCATCGGCTCGTTTGAGCCTCGAGTCTGTGCATCACCTGTGTTCAGAGTGTAAGTATCCTCGAGCTCACCAACGGACTCAACATGCGGTTCGGGAGCGGTGACAGAATCGCCCTCATTGACCTGGGGCTCATCTCTAGTCAAAGCGCCAATGGGATCCTTCCCGCGCGTAGTAAGCGAGTCATCTGTGGCATGAGGATTAGCAGCAATGTTTTTATCGTCGGTATCCGGCGAGTCATCGAGCACAAACGTCGGCATCCAGATGAGGAAGTTGGGTTCGTTTGGTTGAGACTCAGTAGAGCTTATAACCTTGAAAGACGTCAGATGCGGTCCGGAACGCGCGTCAAGGGAATGTAATCATACTTCACTGCTAGGACCCGCAGCTGCGTCTTGAGCTCTTCCCTTCCCTTTCAAATCTCTATCCTTCGCGATGGAGAGCTTCTGGGTGATAGCCTTTGCAACTCCCTTTAAAGTCTGCTTTCCCTTACGAAGCACGTTGCTCGACTTTCCCGTTTCCACCTCTGAGCCACTGACGTTCCCCTCATCCGTGCTGTTCTTGCGTTTCTTTGACTGTGAAGGCTGGGATGCATTCTGCAGGCGCTCCTGATCGTACTGAGCTTTCAGTATGTGTGCCAATTTCCTCCATTGGTCCTTATCCTTCTCCGGCAAGCTCGCCCAAGCCTGACTGGCTTGCCTACTAATCACGACTGCGTCTTTCACCCCGTTAGCGCGACATTGTTGAGAGAAATGAGTGCGGAAGAGGATCCACGCGTTAGGAGGACGAGAGATTGTTGTATCAGACTGCTTAGAGCCTTTAGATCCACTGGGATTAGCCATGGTGGTTGTGGTTTGAGAAAGAAACGTTGGGAGCCGTTGGAAGGACTCAAACGAATTCAAAGTGCGTGAGAAATATCATTATGGAAAATAGTTCCCACACGCGGGCCGCGCGGCAACAGCTTCGCGACCTCGCGTCGACGAGCTTGAACACCACCCTTGGAGTGAATATGGTCTGAGGGGGTGAGCATGACCATAAGATGGTCATACCCCAACTTTCAAGGTCAGTTTTCTCGCTTTTGTTGCCGAAGCCGACAGGGAGTGGCAGCACATCCAATCCATTGAAATATTTCAGCGGCAAGGAATCAATGGCGAGTCGAAGGCGCTGTTGAATGACATTCGCTCTTTAAGACGTTTCAGCCCACTCTCCGGAAGAAAGAGTCGGAATGCACCAAAAGGTTCGCCTCACCCGCAAACTTTCTTTACCGCCATGCCTTGCATTACATTGGCCGCCACTTCCGAAAGAGACTGTCATGTACACTCTCCCCGAGGCGTTGTTGTTTGGAGAACTACGACTCTATTCAAAACAGATTGTATACTGGTCCCTACGGTCACAGGAACGCGGCTATGCGTCAGGTGTACCTTCGAGATCCTCACTGCTTCTTCTCCTGGGGAAGGTGCAAGAGCAGCCCTTCACGAACGCTCTGGAGCAACTCTTCCTTTCCATCGACAGGGGTCCATCCCAGGGTCCTAGAGCGATCGCCTCTGGCTCCACAGTTCGAGGCGAGGAGGGGCGCGAATGTCTGTGGGCAACTGGTTCAGTAGGACGCGCTCAGAAAATGGGTGGTAGGTACGTACCCCGAAATACTTGATTTCTTCTTCCTTTGAAAAAGGTGTAGGCTCCGCGCCGTCTGCAATCCCATATTCGACTAGGATCTTGCCAGCGGCTGTCATCATCTCCAAGGGCCTCCACTCGCAATTCTCTGCGATGTAGAATCCGTCGCGGCCGTGTCCAAGTGCCTCTGGGTTCTCTCGAGCCGTGTCAAAGGCGAGGAGATACAATGCTGCGACTGCATCGACGTACGTCCGGGGAAGTTAATCCAACGTCTTCTGCATCTCGAATTCTTCTACTCACCATCTCGGAGGCTGACAGCGGGCCATACATTCTTTCCTCCACCAATGTAACCAGCTCGCTTTCTGTCGACAGATGCCTCGAACAAGGCGGAGATGGCGATACTTTTCTTCTGCTGGATTCCGAGATCGACCAGTGCTCCCTTTGGGACTCCAAAGATGACACCAGGCGCCATGAGGTAGACCCTGACATAGCCTTCCTTGTCTGCCTGTACCAGTGGGATATCGACGTTTCTGTGGATACCGTCCGCTGGAATTGCCTCGATACTGGCCGAGTCGAGGTCATTGTACACCTTGTTGACCTTGTCGTGCATCCCATTGACGAGCTCCACGGCAAAGGCTCAATACTAGGTGAGCATAAAATTGAGAACATACACTCATGGTTGCATACCTGTCCCAGTCTGACGGAAAGGTTAGGTATTAGCTAAATCATCTCGCGGGACAATGCCTGTAGAACCTACCGTATGGATCAGAACCGGTGGGGTGCCTGTCTTCTCGAAACGCTTCTTCAACCCGTCCAGGATCGCTTTGGCGGCAGGATAGTCGTCGGAACTTGGCCTTGCCTGTTCGGTAGTCAAACACAGTGTCTCTCCGTTCAAATGCTCTGACGCACCATGGCAAAGACGACATCGGCATCCGACGATGCCTCAGTGAGGACGTCGAGACTCGAGTAGTCGCCTGTGACAGTCTTCAGGCCTAGAGTCTGAAGTTTCTCCGCCTGGTCGGGTTTTCTGACGAGGCAAGTGATCTCAAACGATTTGAATTCGGGATGCTTGATCAGTCGATCGACGATTGTGCCGCCGATGTAGCCTTGAAGCGAGTAGTGAGCAGCAATTCGAAGGGACCCTGAAGACGAGCACGTACCTGTAGCACCGGTCACGAAGATCTTGGTTAGAGTCATTTCTTGAGTGGGTTCGAGCCGTCTGTTGTCTTCGAGTACAGTATTTCTTGGGCCTATTTATAGTGTCACATCAGGCGGCACTCCCGTTACGTTGTCCTCAGGGGAGCTTAGAAATCCCGAAGAAATTGACCAGAATTCGGTACAAAACACTTGGGTGCTATTGTTCTTAGATCGTAGGAAACGCTCGCATCGTTGTCGTATTATGAATCCGATTTGTACTAGCATAGAGCTGTGACATTGATATTTTCTTTAGTTGGTTGATTTCTGCTGCAAAAGTGCTAGGGTATCTGAATAATCCTTCGAATTCGGCGCCATTCGCAATGGCGTGTCATCCAAGCATAACATGAGCCCGTCTTCGATAGTCTTCATGAATTCGTCCTTTCCATCAGCAGGTTTCCATCCCAAAGCCCTGGATCGTACACCCTTGGCAGCGCAGTTGGTCCCCAGGATAGGCGCAATGAACTAAGCAAGGCCGGAAGAACGGTTGATTAGCTGGGATATTCGTAGATGTGTTTAGTCAGTCGCCTACCCCGAAATATTTCGCCAGTTCTTCCTCAGAAAAGGGAAGGGGTTCGGCCTCTTCGGCTATCCCCAGCTCGACGAGCACTCTCCCTGCCTCTTTCATCACCTCGTAAACGGCGTACTGGCAGGTTTCTGCAATGTAGAACCCGTCACGGCCATGCCCAAGTGCGTCGGGGCTCGTCCTCGCAATGTTGAAAACTAACATGAACAGATCCGCCGCTGCATGGGATGAGCGTTAACATTCAGCGTAGAGTCTAGTTTCCAAAAGCGCTCACTGTCTCTGACGCTAACAGCAGGCCACACGTTCTTGCCCAGCCCAAGCATACCCGCTCTTTTCCTGTCGATAGAAGCCTTGAACAGCAGTGACAACTGGATGGACCTCTTGTTCTGCACACCCAGGTCGGCCAGTCGACCTGTCGGAACGCCGAAGACTGTTCCAGGCGCGATGAGGTATGCTCGAACGTAGCCTTCTTTGTCTGCTTTCACGATGGGAATGTCGACGTTTCGGTGGAGTGAAGTCTCTGGGATGGCTTCGAGTGCGTCGGAGTCGAAGTCGTTGCTGATGTTTTGGATGTTGCCGTGCATTCCATTAGCGAAGTAGATGTTGAAGCCTGGGTTTTCGGGTCAGAGCAAGAGTAGGAAAGGTATCGGAACGGTCTAACCTGTCCCAGTCGTTACGATATGGCCGCGAGGGTTAGCGCAAAGTGATGCGTGTAGTTTCTGACAGTCGAACTTACTGTGTGGATCAAGATGGGAGGGACGCCAGTCGCCTCAAAGCGCTGCTTGATTCCGTCGAGGATTGCACGGGCTGCGGGGTAGTTGTCCGAATCAGCCTAGGCCGAAGCCAGTCAGCTACCATTGTGTCCAGACAATATGCGCCTGCATGAGATGGATGTACCATAGAAATAACGACATCCGCGCTCGCTGCAGAGCTGGTCAGAAGTTCCAAGTTGGAGTTGTCGCCAACAACAGTTTTGAGGCCCAGAGTTTGTAGCTTCTCCGCCTTCTCTAAGGTCCTGACGAGCAGGGTGATCTCGAAGGTGGAGACGTCGGGGTGATCGAGGAGCCGGTCGACGACAGTGCCGCCGATGTAGCCTTTGTAAAAGGGTAGTTAGTTAACGAGGGGCTTTCACGCGTGCGGCAGGGTGGAAAGAGCACCTGTCCCTCCTGTGATAAATAGGGTGGTGTTGCTCATCTCTGCTACTGTTCGATGGAACTCGTTTTGCTTCGGAGTGTTACTGACGAGATTCTACATCTCACCCTTTATACAGTCTGTGCTGATTCGATGTTCCTCGGGAGCGAGTGCTCGGGAAGGACATAGATCAGAACGACTCTACCTTCTGACTGCATGAGAGTGAGTGTGGGCTATGTCAGCCAATTCATCAGTAGCCTGGGTTAAAGTCACAGCGATGTATTGAATTCAGGGTAAAGGGTCTGCTGCTTCAGCAATACAACGATCATTCCGACGACCGTAATAGAGTTCAAAGCTGTAGAGGCTTGCGTTGAACGTATTGAAACTCGATAGCAGGTCTGCTTGTTAAGCAGCTTCCCTTAATTCTGGTGTGAGAGAAGCACGGCTGTCCGGATAAATTTCCAGAGTAAGTCGGCGACGTTGTTATCCTACCACAAGGTCCGGGGACGAGTGATATGAGAGCACGAGTAGCTTGGATCAAGGATCTCATCATCACCATGGCTGGTTTGCTTGAAGGGCCCGACGAGAAGATGCAAGATAATCACTGGCCGACCGTGTATATCACAGAGGATCGCTTAAGAATTCGTCGGATAAGGAGACATGATGAGCTTAGGTGAAGCAACGTAATATCGCTGCAGGGTTGAAACTTGGGTGCACGACTCCTCGGAATGGGTTGCAAGTCATAGAATAGTCACGTGACCTAAATGAAGACTGATTCTGTGGACCGTTGACGTCTGAATTGGGCGTCGAGCGGAGGGGTGTTGGGCTGAGGGGACGACAGAGAGACCAAGCAAAGAAAATGGTTGACTCTCGTACGGCTGAGAACTTTGGCCGGAGGATAGCCCGCAAGATCTCAGAGAAACAGCGTTGCAAGGAGGCAGGCCGTTCGTCGGCGGTCGTGAGCGCTTTGGCCAGGCAGTCGTAACCGAAGTCAGAAAAATCGTCGGAAAACTGCGAAGAAAAGCCCTGAGATGTTCAGCAGACAACGACCAAGAGGCCGCTTGAACGCCACGCATGAATGGCAAGAGGTTCAAGTGTGGGAGACTCGGCAGAGACGGCATCAGTTATGCCGAGATCAGTGGCTGGGGAGCTATACAGCTGATTTCGGCAAAAGCCTAATTCTGTCATCGCACTTTGGCGATAGTTGCGCGGCGAGAAAACATCACGACCTCAAGACTGCCGACGACAATGGCCTCAAGACCCACCGTCAACGTCCGCTCCGTTTCTGGGGGTATGTTGGTCGTCGTCGCCGTCGCCGACAGCGAACTTTGACACTGATTCCGATTTCCAGAGGCCTCCTCCTCCCTCCCCCTCCCTGCGGTCTTGACCGCACCCATCAGGCTCGATGTTGTCCAACAGGTCCACAGTGCGTCGCGTCAAACGATATAGTTGAAAAAGTTCTGAATTTGGTACAGAGAGCATCGCTAAGAACAAGAGACAAGCCTACGCTGTCAGCGAGAAGGCCGGCCACCAAACTAGCGCGGAGTCTTGGGGTACCGGTCGTGCTGTTGCCCGTATTCCCCGTGTTGGAGGCGGAGGAACCCACCGATCTGGCCAGGTCCGTCGCAAAATACGTTTTAAAATGCTCAAAAACTGACCGATCTGTGAATTGATCAGGCTGCCTTCGGTAACATGTGCCGTGGTGGACGAATGTTCGCCCCTACCAAGACCTGGCGCAAATGGCACGTCAAGGTGAACCAGAACCAACGCCGATTCGCTGTTGTTTCCGCCCTCGCCGCCTCTGCTCTCCCTTCGCTCGTTCTCGCCCGTGGACACCGAATTGAGCAAATCGAGGAAGTTCCCCTTGTTGTTTCCTCCGAGGTTGAGGCCTTCACCAAGACCAAGCAGGCTGTTGCCCTCCTCCAGGCCCTCAAGGCTCATGCCGATGTTGTCAAGGTCTCCAACTCTCGCAAGATCCGTGCTGGCAAGGGCAAGCTCAGGAACCGCCGCCACCGTCAACGCCGTGGTCCTCTCGTTGTCTACAACGAGGACAACGGTATTGTCAAGGCCTTCCGCAACCTCCCCGGTGTTGAGCTCGTCAACGTCAGGAGACTGAACCTCCTCCAGCTCGCCCCTGGTGGTCACCTCGGCCGATTCGTTATCTGGACCCAGGGTGCCTTCGCCCTCCTCGATGATGTCTACGGAACCTTCGACAAGGCTTCCGTCCACAAAAAGGACTACTTGCTCCCCACCGCCAAGATCAGCAACCCCGACGTCACTCGCCTCATCAACAGCGACGAGATCCAATCCGTTGTCCGCCCCGCCGGCCAAAAGATCCAGAAGCGACCCTGGGCACAGAGGAAGAACCCCCTCGTCAACAAGGCTGTCTTGTTCCGTCTCAACCCCTACGCCAAGACCCTCCGCCGACAGGAACTCCGTATGTTGTTTTTACCTTTTCTCGTCCCTTTCTTACTGACCGCTTTTCAGTCAAGCAGGAGCGAATCAAGGCAAAGAAGGCCAAGAAGCCCAAGGCTCCCAAGTCTGCTGGCAAGGTGTTCTTGGAGAACCTCCTCGCTCCTTAAGAACCTCGACTCTGCCCTGTATGACTGTGCTCTTCGATACTTCCATGTCCTATGTTCTATGCAGTGTATGTCCACCGTCGGAAATTATCAAAAAACGTAACACTGTCGAATGTGGCCACTCCCATGATCCAACGAGTGTGATATGATCCTCCGATGTGTGGCACAAAGGTATCGCCGATAACCAACGCTCCTCGCAGGATGTGTGACTGCACGTTGCGACAATGTGGCGAGTCAAAAGGCCGTGCCCACCACTGATGCATGTTTAAATCTCCCCTTTCTTCGTTTCTGCTGGACCAGACATTGGTGAGCTCCATATTTTCTCTGTGGCTATTCTTGGGTCTCATGGGCGTCAATTGAACAAGACAGAGCTGATGGCTCCCATTCTCGACCTTTCCCTGCTCCGACGCGCGAACCAGACCCCTTCTACCCTGACTCCTGGAGATGAAGGCCTCTCGACCAAGTATCTCTCGTCGACGATAACGAGCCTGACGGCGTGCATTACACTGATGGTTGGCCTATTGTACCTGGTCATTCTTTCTTGCGTATACAAGTACGCCTACGCGCACCCGAAGGCGTTGAACAAAGTGTCCGGCGTGTGGTTGCAACGCTATGGCCCATGTAAGTGGGCTTAGAATTCGGGTTTGCTCGCTGAATATCCACCCAACGTCTCCCAGTTGCCTATGTCTTTTTGGTCGTTGCGAGCCTCTGCGAGGTGGGTAGTCCATTCGTATCCCCACACGCGCACCTCCTCGCAGTTCTAACGCCGTCACTCCCTCGTGTAGGTCGCGATGACAAGCTGGCTTCTCTTTCAATATCGCTTCCACCACAATTATCCTAACACCGAGGTCTTGATTGGCATTCGATTCCTCCTGTACGTCCTTCTTATCCAGGCCCGATGCTAATACTATAGCTAAACGTTCCCCACCTTTTCTTCACGTCACCTAACCTCTAGGTTCTCATCGTGCTGGACATCACTCACCGCGGCAGCCTACAGTATCCTCTTCGTCCACCCCACATGGTCGAAACACCCCGGAGTTTCAGTGGGAGCGCAGAGTATCTGGTTGCTGGTCACTTGGATTTTGTGGATCGTTGGTGCTGGCCTCACCAATGCCGCTGTACCAAAGTTGCTGATGGATTTGACAACGTGTGGAGAGGTGGTCTACTGTGGCCAGATTCGAGCCGTGTTTGGTGCGTTCGTTCCTGCTATCTTGTGTTGTTCGCGAGTTGATTCGGTGTGGACGTGGACGTCGCCGTCGTTAGCCATGGCGGTTATACAGAGGTACGCACGCTCTTCCTACTCCCCTGCATATGTTTATTGAAAGCGCGTTTCCTTCCCTTTTGCATCCTCGAACAGCTTGGCTTTGACAGCGGGCATGTCGGCTATTCTATGGCTCGCCTGGCAATCCGCACGGGACGCATGGGATGCCACCAAACGTCCCTTCTCTGTGATGTCTCGAGCTTCCCAGTTGTTTTCCACCCCATATTAAATCCTAAATTCGGGAGCCTCCCGCCGTTGTTCTGGATAACACTTGCTAATTTATTCGAATCCATTCAATCGATAAGGACCCTTTCAAGTTTTATCGTGTCTTGTGACTACTTTGAATTTCATCTTGCTCTAAGTAACCAGCTGTTGTTACATGGTGGCGGACATTTGTGGCGCTCGACTAACGCAATGGGCATACGAAATACAAACGAGGGTGTGAAACGGTGAAAGAGGAAGGTGGGATAAATAATAATGCAGATATAGAGATAATGTCAGTGAGGTGGAAGTGGTCATAGTGAGTAAAAAGGCGTGTCATGGCTCGTCGTACATGACGAGGTAGGAAGGTCGAATCGCGTCGTTGGTGTATACCACCAACTCGTCATAGTTCAGACTCCCGCCCTTCTCTGCCAAGACCGAGTCGAAACCAGTGGGAGGAGCGGTCAAGCTCGTGCTGTCCTGCAGCATCTTGCATCCCTTACCGACCACGACCTTGTTCAAGAGGATAGCTTTCAGCGATGACTTGCAGTCGTTATGCGAGTAGTCATTGGACCTAGTACAACCGACTGGTCAGCCACAAAACCCGACATACGAAAAACGGAAGGAAAGAACGCACTTGGAAGACGTGGAGGAAGTATAGATTCCTTTCCCGAACCTTCCCCATCCGGTCTTCTTCCCCCACAACGAGATGTCATAAGAATTCTTGATGATCGAGCAGAGTGAGCATGTCGTCGAGGCACAGAACTGCGTGTGGCCTTTATCGCCGAGATTACACGTCCTCCGCGTGCCATGCCACCGCCTGTTCTCGTTTCCCTTTGAGCGACCCTGCGCGACGAACTGGCCTTTCGCTTCTACCGCATCCCTATCAAGCCGGCCAACCAGTCAGCGATAGATAGAGGTGATACGGATGGGTCGATACTTACCTGTATTTCTCGTAGTTGGCAAGGGTAGTCGGCGGGAGTATAATCTTGTAGATCCGACGAACGGTAGGGCAGGTCGACCCAACGTGCCGCCACGACGCCTTGAATTGGTCCGCGACTAGATTGTATGAAATGAAACCAACGAGGGGTGCGGGTTGTCAGCATTCTGGCCTTGGGCACGGTTTATCGGAAGGACCTTCCGAGAAATCACACATGGAAGGAGGAGAACTTACCACTCTTGAAGGTGACATGCCCGTTGGGAACTTCGAGGATAGCAGGCCCTTTCTTCTCTGCGTCGTCGATGCAAGTTTGGGAACAGAAGTGGGAGTTGGCCATCTTGGTTTGCTTGAGGCACAGGAGGCAGAGGTTCTCGGCCAATCTATTAACGATGACGACATGGAAACGATGAGTATGATTTAGCAGATTAAGAGCATGAAGCTACGTACGTCTTGTGAGACACAGAACAGTAATCTCCCGTTGGATGGGCTGGGATCGTGCATCCAGGTGCTTGACATGCTGGAACACAGCCACACGTTAAAACGCGTTCTTCATTTTGAGGTGCAAGTAGGGTGAAGCGACAACTCACTATTCTGATTACCACCATGGCTAGCCGCAAGACCAGACTGCTTTCGCTGCGGATTCGCCCTGTTGGCACATGCTTTACTGCAATAATCGTGGGTCCGATTGTTGTCCGTGTATTTCGGGCGGACTTTACAGAACTAGAAACAATGTATTAGGATCACAGACAGGAAAGAAGTCAAAGATGAAACGAGACGTACGACGCATGTGTTGGCACTGGCCTGTCCAGAGCCTGTCTTTGGCGCAGAGGATGACTTGGGCTTGCTAGCAGCACAAGTCTTGCTGCAGAAGGGATGGGTCTTGCTCCCGTCAAAGTACTTGGGCTTCACCTGGCAACTCTAGATATGCGAAGAGTGGCATCTCAGCACCCTCAGTACACGCACGATATGGACAAAGGGCCTACGATACACAACGCGACAACGCTAATGCCGGCGAGACTGGCGCTCCCAGAGGCGGCGGTAGTGCCATTGGTCGACGCAGCCGCAGACGCGGAACTGCTAGTTGTGGACGTTCCAGGGAGGTTGGACACGTTCTGAAGAGGTGCAGCGAGAGGGTTCTGGGGAGGGGGTGGAGGTGGTGGCTGGGAGCTATTGCTCGCTTTCTGTAGGCCACTCGCGACAGAGGCTACAGAGCTGAGGAACGACAGCGCCATCGGAATATGGGAAGCCATCGATGACATCGTAATGGTGGCAGAATCGAGACGATACGATTCGACACGATGTCAAGTCGAAGAGGATATGAGCGAGTAGTGCTAGTGCAATTGGAGAAGGGGAAGGAAAGAAAGCGGCGGAACCAAAAATCCAATCCTTCGTTCCTACCCTCGAACAAAAGATGCGATGCAAAGATTGCAGATCGTGTGGCGGGGGAGGCGTGAAATCACCAGAGGGTTTTAACAGAAATAGAAACCAAATCCAGCGTCCGCGTTCACTCAATGCGTATTCGAAACTCGGCGGTATATTCGCCCGGTAATAATCGATTAGGGACCATAGGTGTGGCAGGCGGCAATAGCAGACTCGGACGCATGGCGCGTGTTTTGATGGATTGGAACGATGGAATCCAATCTGAAACACGAGGATGGCTTGAGGGCTTGATACACGGTACATACTGCAAAGACACAATCAATTTGGTGAAACCAAAGGCGAGGCTGCAATGGAACGTAACGTACCCGAGTATTGGGAACATTGAGCTTGCCGCGTGTACTGCGCGAGGTGATCCTGGTGGACAGATTGTCACAATCAGCGAGAGCAACTCGGAGCCAGAAGGGCTAGATATCTAACCTGCCTTCTGGTCACGGACACCAGTCTCCCCTTTGTCTCTTCAGAGCATCACACCTCGAGTCGTCGATCGATTCACTGCTGCCTTCATTCGCTCGCGTCCCCCTCCTCTTACTGCAAACCTGTCTACCTTCATTTCCAAATCGCTAGCCATGCCCTCCCTCGTGAAGAATGTCGTTAATTGGGGCGCACATCTTCGCTCCTCATCCACCGCAAGTCCGAGCAACAAGAACCCAAACGTCAACAACGCCCCTCCACCAGTCGATCTCTGCGAGGTAGGAGAACTCATCTTCATTGCAACTTGGACCTTCCTGTGATCATCGATAACATATCCTCGACTTCCTCGTCTAGATATGCGGCAAGAAGCCCAAATTCGTCGATAAAGGTTTCAAGCACCCCTATTGCAGCAGAAGCTGCGCCCGAAACGTCCAAGGTCCAAACGGGCCCACCGCCTGCACACTCCGCGGGTGCCGAGCAACAGGAAAACCAGCGTTTGCCGGGTTCTGTTCTGACCTTCACGCAAAGTACGTCATCCAGGTGGTGGGTGTCTGAGTGGATGGATGGCTGACGGGTTGCAACTTGCGCTTCTCCATTTTCGATTAGGGAAGGCGTAAGAGTGGGTTTGGTGCCTGCCTGTGATCAATGCAAGACCCAGCCGCGGAGTGTCGGTTCCTTCTGTATTCCTTGCGAACGGCAGACGAGGGGTGGTCCGCGATTGAGAGAGCTAAATCCTGATGGAGCTGCGTTCAAGAACTGTGAGTGCCTCGTAAGTCCCATAGCGAGCCTTGAGCTTACAGTTATTTCGATCAGTGAGGGCCCAGTTCTTTAGCGAGTGGGAGGCACCAGGATCGACGTCAAGTCCCACATTCGAGAAGGCGTACGAGGTGATTTTGCCTAGAGAATTCCGCACACGCCATGATCAATACAGGTTCGTTTGGTGATGAATCCACCTCACCTGTCCACTGCGTCCTAACCGCTCTTTCTCGCTGCCAGATCGATGAACCCACAGCTCACCGAAATCCGAAGCTTCCACTCCTCCCAATGTATCTGTGATTTGGGCTACAAAGACTCCGTTCTCTGCAACTTCAAGTCTTGCGGCATCTGCTGCACCGTCAAGTCCGGCTTCAAGGCCTTTGCCTTCGGGGCGCCGTTCAACAAGGGTCGGTGAGTACACCCCCGCCCACTGCCAACGAAATCAACCTGGTACTAAATCAGTACACATGCGCTAGATTCGGAGATGGGATTTACTCGTACCGCAATCCAGCGTTGGCGGATCGATTTGCAACGTCCTGTACATCATCCCCGTTCCGAGTGATGATTGCCTGTGATGTCTCCGTTGAACCTGGACAATGTTCGGTGAGTGTATGCGCTGTTGAGGGATAATCGTCGCGGTGTTAACGGAGGGATCTACCATCAGGATGACGACCAAGAGTCGCTGTTTGTGCCAGTCGCTGATGGGATCCTCCCTGCGTATGTCATCATGTACACCAAGTGAGAGAAGTGTAGGGGACAGGTGGAGAAGGTGATGAAAAGTGTAATATATGCGATAGTTAAGTTATTGTGATAAGAATAGTGTCGTAAATATACAATGGGAAGAGGGTTTAAGTAGCCAAGGGTGTCTTGAAAAGGGTCGTAATGATAGTTTGAAGCTTGGATTCCGTTTCAGGAGGGGGATCACCATATACGATCAGGTACGCGGGGCGAATGGCGTCGTTGTCGTATACCACGGTTTCTTCATAGTTGAGGTCTATTCCCGGCTCACCAATGACCTTGAAATGTGGTATGAGTGTATGAAGGATGTGGGATAAGGCAACTCCTTACCGAGTGATGACCACACGGAGGTTCGGTTAGACTGGTTGCATTCTTCTGTCGTCGATGTGGCTTGCCGACGACGACTCGATTCACAAGCATGACGCGGAGATTGGACAGTTGTTCGATGTTGGCAGTATAGTCGTCTGCTTTAGATGAGCATGTCGTGGTATATATGCCTCTCCCAAACCTGTCATACCTACGCGTTAGACGGGGTATACCATGGATGCGACTGAGAAGACGTACCGCTTGAACCGGTGCTTGGATCCACACTTCTTGACATTGAAAGACATCCGAATAATGCAGCAAAGATTGCACTCTGGGAGGCTGCAGAGCCTTGTGCTTCGAGAGTCTTCGCCAAGGAGACAGCAACGCGTCGTTCCATGGAACAGTAGCTGTTCGTTCGCGGGGTTCTTCACCCTCCCTGCAAGCCCTGGAGCAGCTGCAACTCTCGCTCTATGAGAGTCCAGTGAGCAGAAAGCTATAAGATGGTCAGGAGCTCACATACCGATAGTGATGGAATGGGCGTAGAATGTGGTCTGGAATTGTGATTCGGAATATTGAATAAATATGAGGTCGTTTCTTCTTAGGATGTTTCCATCCTTTCTTGAAAGTCCTGGAGACTAGAAAGATACTGTAAGGAATGTAATTTCTACTACAGGAGGTAGGCGCTTACTCTCTGTATACTTGGAGTCCGCTTTGGCCAATGGAACCAATCGTTTCGAAGGCCCACAGCTTTGGTTCTGCGGGTGCTTGAAGCTGAACTCGTCGATAATTCCTGACATCGCGTGATTACAAGACAAGGCTTACATCGAAACGCCCAACGTGTTTTTATAGAACGTTCCGCTATCCAACCAACGGCCTTGTTTTCCTGGGCATCCTGCTAGTTGACAGTGTATCCAACGCGTTTCAGGTGGTCAGCGAGGCAAACGCGTGTTTGATGCGAGTTTTGGTGTGGCTGATATCGACATTCTGTAGTCGCCGGCTTGAACGCGCTTTCCTTCGAGAGAATAGCAAGAAAACAAGGGTCCATTGTTGGGATTATACTCGAGAACGTCGTAGACAATGACCAAGACGATAAAGGCTGGCGCCGGGAGAACATGGCGTTGAAACCCCGATTGATGTTAGTGGCGAAGGTGTGAAACAAACAAACACGTTCCCATCTGCGAGCGCTTGCTTGTGCCCGTGATCATCGATAGCGAAATGCAGCTGCAGCAAGGCAGAACCGCCTCAATGATGCTTCTATTCAATTCTGACCTGATAATAGTCCGGTCAACACTTACTTGAACGGTTTTGTTATCTCAATCTCTACATTTCTCCCACTATGGCATCCAGTCATCGCAAGACGATCACCATTCTCACCTCGCCGACGACGTCCACAAACTCTCTGCCAGGCTACATTCCCAAGGGCTCGCCAACGACAGCGAAACAGTACCGCATCGAGGAGCGCAAGCGAACAGTCTATGTGACTTCGGATTTACCTCCATCAGAATGGGACGAGCAGAGTCTTAATACAATCTTCAGCATGGCTCAGGCCCAAGCTGATCATGGTGAGCAGCAGGACGAGACCGACGACGATGGACGGCCTATACGTCGGACACAGTCTCTTGTCGAGACTCAATTCATCATTTCAGAAGAGAGCCCAAGTCCCGCTGCTTCCATGAGCAACGTCGTGGTTGGACAGACACCGAGACTCAGCACATACCAGCAGTTACCACGGCGAGGGCCGACGAAGAGCGGGGTTTTCAAGGGCATTCCAGGGACACCAACGCCACCCGACTCGCCAAAGCGCAGTCCTGTCCAGAAGACCTCTCCCCAACGACCGAAAATTCTCTTCTACCACAAACACGATCCACACTATGGCTTCACCAACTTCTCTGCGCACCCTGTGATGTACAAGGGGAAACGGTATCCGACAAGTGAACATCTGTTCCAGTCATTCAAAGTACGTTCAATGCCACTATCAACCTCGCTTAATTTGGCTGATCAGATTCCCCAGTTCCAAGGCCACCGCCCCAACCTTGCAGAGCACATCCGAACCTGTTCCGAAAGGCCTAGCGTTGCATTCTCTGAAGCACGCCGCTTCCAGCCGGAGGTTCGACATGACTGGAAACGCGTGAACATCGAAAAGGTCTTGTCCATTCACCTTCCTTTCTCATCCTCTGTCCCTAACCCCGTATCTTTGTCCAGATGGAAGAAACTTTGTGGCACAAATTCACCCAACATGAAGATCTCAAAGCCGAGCTTCTGGCTACAGGCGACGCGGAGCTTATTGAGGTACTTTACATTCACTTTCTTCTCGTCTTCTCACTTAGCATTAATCACGGTTCTTTCATATCAGGACTCTGACAAGGACGCGTTCTGGGGTGTTGGCGCGGATCGACGCGGAAGAAACGAACTGGGAAAAGCACTCGAGAGATTGAGGGCCAAGTTGCGCGATATGCAATGACTCTCATCTCTATCACCACCAAGCCCCGTTCCGCGTTTCATCGATACGCGATATGCCACGATACAGCACGACGACTTCTGGAAACGTCGAGGCCTCGTTTTTCTGTCCTTGTCCTTCTTGTTGATAATACTACCACTGCTACTTGCCACTCTGTGAGTCAAGGCAGCAGGCAGGCTGTACATCTTAGCATAGCGCGTTTTCTACACGTGCCAATCACCATGCATCATAATCTTTTGTTTCGATTTCTCGCGTTCGGTTTTGGTGCCTCTCGCCTCGTTCGCTCGAGTCACTTGTACTTTGTTGTTTTGATTTGCTGTTCGGACGTTTGAGCTTGGTGGCCTCGAGGCTCTCCATCGAAACGTGCCTCGTGTTACTGCTTTGTCGGCGGCATATTAAAGTCGACAATCAGGGCGTCCCTTACTTCTTCACTCACCTCATACTCGATCCTTCTCTATCTGATCTATCAACGTGTCAACCATGGCTACGCGAATGCAACCCGTCTCAGTCCCTCCCCCGGCCGCCAACTTGTGCGACGTGCGTACCTCCGCCTCCCTCCTAACTGATGTCACTGATATTGACGATCGATTCCGCCCTCTAGTATTGCCACCAGAAACCCAAGTTCTCCAACCACGCCTTCTGCTCGAAGACCTGCGCTACGCAAGCTGCTGCCCTGTGCAACGTATGCCCCGTCTTCTCAGTCGTTGTCTCTTGGGTTTTGACTGATCGTGATCCCGGCCATAGCATTGTCACAAGAAGCCCAAGTTCCAGAACTTTGATTACTGTGGCAAGAACTGTGCCAGCCTCGCTAATCCCGGTGGTGGCAAACCCACCGCTGCTCCTGCTCCTGGTGTTCGAGGAAATGGACCCGCTGGGAAGAACAATGCTGGTGCACGGGGCCAGCCGCAACAGCAGCAGCAGGCTGCCTTTGATCCACTTCAGATCGCCAGTACGTCTTTATCTAATGATTCTCCTGGGTGGTGATTAGTTGTTGATCGTGTATCGGGATGCTTTGCAGAGCTCGTCGTGCAACAGATGCCTCAAGTTCAAGCTTTGCTAAACGGTGCCGCTGGCGGTACCAACGGCGTTACCACCAACAACGCCGCCTACGCCCAGGCTAACGGCGGCTACGCTCAACCACAAGGCATGCCCCAAGCAGCCCAATACGCACCACAACCCGCGCCGATGAACAACCCCTTCCTAAACCCCGCCAATGGTGCGTACACTTTTCTGAACTTGTGCAAGTCTTATGATGATGTAACACTGGCTCAACCAGTTTATCACAGTAGCCAACAACAGCGGAATGGGGTTCAGCAGCAGCAACAACAGAAACAACACCATGGGTACCAGCAGCAGCACCATGGCCAGCAGTATCAGCAACAACCTCCCGACGATCTTGAGTGCCTTATCCCTGGCTGCGGGAAGCCTGTCCACGTTGACGCGAAAGGCTTGAAGACGAGCGATTACTGCTCACAGAGGCATCGCGAGTGCGTATACATATTTATCTCTCCCTTCGACGAACAAGTTGGACGACGGCTAATCCTCGCTACCGTGAACAGGGAAGCCGTCGCTTCGGGCCTCGTCGCGCCCTGCATCATGTGTCTCACCCGCCCACAAAGCCGTACCGATTACTTTTGTTCGAGGACGTGTAGGGAGGAGTCGTTGAATAAGCATTATGAAGCTACGATGGATGAGGATAATGCTGATGGGGATGAAGGTGATGCGTTGGATGATGGGGATGCCGGTCAGGATGCGCTGGGACTAGTAGGACAGGGTGGTGCTGTCAGTTCGAGTGGCGGGTACACTGTGACGGCGAATGTTCAGAATGGAAACATGAATGGACTCGCAGGGGGGTTGTTAATGAATCCTAGTGCGGGTGTGGGCGTGAATGGAGTTGGTGGTAGCGGTGCTGGGATGGGTGCGAATGGGAAAATTGTGGGTGTCAATTGAGCGAGGCGGTTGCTGTTGATGGAAGGACGGGGAACTCTCAAAGCTTCAATTGAATCGTCGAATGGAGTTGTGAGATATGTGGTATAGAGTTGGTTAGATTGGAGTGGGGCGCGGGACGGAAGTGAAGGTGGGGATGGGGATGGTGCGGGGCGGACTGGGGCGTATAATGAAGAATTGAGTTGAATGGATGGGCCAAACTCAATCGGTGGTCGAGTTTTGGGAACCGTTGTGTATACATACATACGTAGTCTACTTCCTTCCTTCTATCCCCATCTTGCGAACCGCCGTCTTAATTTATAGTCATTGATTTTTGTGTGTATAGCTGCCGTTACTTACGGTGGCCTTGTATGTAGAATAGTACCAGGAAGCTATTTATGTATTGCTTATCCTATATGGGCGCATCCCTGACTCTCGAGCGAGTGCGGCTAAGTACTTATTCAAGTTGTATGGACGAATCGCACGGAGTTGTTGAGGCCCTGACATCGGATCTTCCTATAGAAATTTCAAACTTTGATCCATGATGAGTGGACACAGACATGCCGCGGTAAGGAGTCGCAATAAATAGAGCGGAGTGCCCATAGGAGTAAGACTTGAAGCTTGACTTTCGGAGTCAGGCTTTTGCCTTTGATTATCGAGGAAATTGGCGGCTAGTCCCCTTCAAGTCGGGAGAATTTGGCTTCCCGGGCGTTTCAATAACAAGTTTTGGGGTGCGGAAAGGGGTGCGGAAAGGCATTTTTGTTTGAGGCTATGATTCAGGAATCGTTCATTCAGTCTAAGCTTTCCAGGTGGACGACCACGAATAAATCCAACAATACAATTACAAGTGCACTAGGATTGGAGGGCACGGGTATAATATTGACAGTTAGTTGAAAATGATGGAGATAAATGAGCGAGAAGTCTCCAAAGAAGCGTGGGTTTGGAGGTCAGAATATCAGGGCAGATTAGGCACGGAAAGGCTGAACTTTGTTGATGACGCGAGCCAGCGTGTCTGAGGGTAGAAAGGAGTAGAAAGCAGACGTATCACATCAGGCGCGTCTCGAGGATGCGGCGAAAGGATATGTAAAGAGGCGGTATGCACCTTTAATAGGACTTCCGAGGGCAGAGGTGCCGAAAGAGCTGACGCGGCTTCGAGCACGGCAAGTGTGGATAGCGTAGTCTTGGTCGTCAGCGCAGCGCTTACCACAGCGGGAGCAGGTCACTTCGCTATGAATCGTAGTGTGTCAGGCAAAACGCGGTTTCACGCTGTGCATAAAATCGACTCACCCGCTATCAATGTTGTGGATGTGGATGTGGTGGACGAGCGCGTCGACGTCGCGTAAGACATCGCGACATCCAGGACGAAGGCACCCAATCGGCTCGTGCGCACTGACGCCTCGGGCGAGCATGACCTGGTAGGCTTCGGCACTCTGTAAAATCCCATGCCACAGTCAGTAATGTCGAAACCGTGTATTAGCTCGGTGACGCGCACCGCTTCGAACAAGGCATCCGTCCTCGATTGCCTGCTGTGGGGGGTCAGACAGTCCTTCTCGGGCACCGGCGGAGGAACTTCGCGATCGACGTCGGTATCGATAACAATGCAAGGCCGACTTTGCTTTGTCAAAGCGACGGTAGCCCCTTCAACTTCGTGAGCGGCAGTCGAATGAGACCTGGTCACTCGACTCGATGCTTTATCCAGTGCATTAGAAACTAGAGTCACAGAAGGGGAGACGGGAACGCTTGAACTGGATGGGAAGAGAGTAGAAGATTCCGAGGCCGAGAGAACCTGCGAGATTGAGTCCTTTGCGCGGTAGCCGTGAGCCAAAGTAGAAGCCGGAGAGTCAGTAGAAAGCACGTGGGACAGAGGCATCCCTGCACGATAGCGCTTGACCAACTCCTTTGCCGGGGTGTATTGACAGCTCCGGATAGTGTCGATGGAATTGCGTCGAAGGAGAGGTCGACCGGGATGGAAAGTCCAGCTGCTACTTCTGTCGTCCTCGCCTCCGACATGAGCGTCGTCCGCCGGGCTCACTTCGTCATCCAAGTCATCGAGAAGGTACTGTGGGATTGGGTCACCTGGAGCTTTGGTAGCATCAGGGTCGAAGATGCAGACGGGCGATGAGAAGTAAACGCCATGTCGTTTGGAAATATCCTGGGGAGTCCGAGGCAGCTGAGGACGCCGGAAGGGTTGCTCGAGAGTCAGACTGCAGCGAATCGCGTCCTCAAGAAGGCTTTGGAGAGTCGGGGAGCCCATGTGCTCGGTGCAGAAGAGGAGTCAGACGGAGTACCGGGTCTGGAAAACACTTGAGTAGAAAGAAATATGCGAGGTCGATTCGTTCCAGTAGACCAGCTTTTATACCAGAGATTGGCAAAGTGGCATTGCATAGGTCAAAGAGCCAAGGGATTTACCCAGATTAGCTCCATAGAAGCCGCATTGGTCATTGTATGGCCACAGTGACCACCCAGTTCCCACATGTTTCAAGCAGAAAATGGAAGGTCGGGACGCAGTACACAGGTCGAACAATGGAGTTTTCTATCGACGACAATGATCACTGCAGCGTGGCAACCGACAGTTGCTGAAGAAAGGCAATTAACTGCAGCTCGACTTCGTGGGCAGAAGAAAGGACAATGATTGCACGTGTCGTGATGCCCCCTAATTAAGCTTCCGGACCGAGCGGCGGTGCCTGCTGATCCGTGGGCTGCCGCGTTCGGAGACGCCCGAAGTCTGGTTGGGTCTCGACGTCGACGTCGACAGCGACGAGCAACGCCCGTAACGATCCGCCTTGGTCTCTTTCCACGTTCTGAACCGCCCGGAACAACCACAACGACCACCACATCAGGATGTTAGGTCGCCGCTCGGTATCCCTTCTGCGTGGACTCACAGAATTGCCTGTAAGCAGTCGTGCGCATACCGCTCTGCGGGCTCTCTCAGTCCCACAAACGCGTCGAAATGTGGCGACGAAACCAAATTACGAGGGTCATATACCCTTAAACTGGTTTGAAAATGCTCTTCTGACTGCGGGAGCGGCGTACATGTCGATCACAGACCCTAGACGGGGAGGTGCGTGACCGTCCCCATTTATGAACCCTAGATGCTGTTCAGGCTAAAGACCGCCGTCCCACAGATATGGTCGCCGCTCTTGGTGAGACGACGGCAGGTCCAACTGTATCCTGGCTCAGGGACCAAATGCTTGCAAGTCCTGAAGGACGACAAATCCTCAAAGACCGTCCCCGGATAACCTCTTCGACCGTGGACATGGATAAACTGGCCCAAATGCCGGAAGGAACCTTTGGAAGGGCCTACATTAATTGGCTTGAGAGATGCGGCGTCACCCCCGATACTCGCGAACCAGTAAGCTTTAAGGTTTCTCCAGATGTATATCATTGCCCGCTGACCATGCAAACACGCTTTCAGGTGCACTACATCGATGATCCTGAACTGGCCTATGTGATGCAAAGATACCGAGAATGCCATGACTTCTATCATTGCATTTGCAACATGCCCGTAAATGTGGAATCAGAACTCGCCGTCAAGTACTTTGAATTCGCGAACCTAGGCCTTCCAATGGCTGGACTGGCAGCCCTTTTTGGTCCTCTCAGGCTCAACGCTCAGAAACGCAACTGGTTGTTTACGGAAGCTGTTCCTTGGGCATTGAAGTGCGGTAGCAGCGCACGAAGTCTTATCACGGTGTACTGGGAAAAGCGGTGGGAAGAACAGGTGGAGGATATGAAGAAGGAATTTGGGATTTGGGATGGCCCGGAAGCGAGATGGAGTAAACCCTTGAATGAGGCGAAGGAAGCCGCCGAACGTCGCTCAAAAACAACCCAAAACCAAATATACTAAGTCGTTTTCATCAAACCGCGCATTTGAGGTAACGTAAATCAAAAGGCATCCTGTTCAAGATATTATAACTTATATATATATAACTTCTAGAATCAGCAACATGTTTTGGTGGCTTTCCATCACGCGGCGACATCTGGACGTCGTTTAAGCACTAATTTTGGCGTTCTGCTGTAAAGCAGCAGGAGCCATGGAAGTGGCTAGTTTTTCCGACACGGCGTTACAGTTCTCTTAGAATCGCTCCCGTTTCCGTTCTGGATATTCCGTCTTTCTTCGGATAAGTACATACAGCCTATCCTGTCAACAGTCCTTTCAAGAAGTCGAATTTTTGAACTCAGCCTAACCTTGGACTTCTAATCGAATAGGAAAGATGAAGGCGATTCCCTCTTGGTCTGATCCGGTCGTATTCAATGATTAGTCTCGGAAATTCAAACTAGATGAGGACGCTGTCCAAATCCCCATTTTGTGGATCCTTGCAGCGCCCAGAGCTGTGCACTGATGACCACCCTCGTTCAGGGTAACACATCTCACACACACTGACATAACGACATCTTTCTAGAACTCAGGAACCTCGGGCACGGTAAGCTCCAGTTTACGTCGCTTCTCAAGGTCGCCACTAAACCTATCTCTGCTTAGCTTGCTGTGGAGTTGCGTTGCTATGTTTTTGGAAGTGACTCTGTAAATGACGCGCATTGGGCTGCTCAGGCGAACAAGAGGTTCCGATGGCACATTGTGAACTCGCGCGGAAAGCCTGGTGACAGTCCTCGAGTCTTCGAGCGCCTCTTATTTTTACCCTCAACCCCCGCCGTCTTCAGTCTTCGAAGCCCTAGATTCCACGGGCAGGGTCGGCAAGTCTAAACGTTCTTTTGGTCGATCGCAAATAGGTGGTTTCCGATCACACGCACTTGTAGAACGCCATTTTCTTGTTCAGGGCACTCTCAGGGTCTCCCCCGAATCAGGCAAGTATTAGTTTCGCTCGTTCGACCAGCATTTCGGCCATTCCGGAAAACCATTTTCACCATCCCGAATCGAAGTGTCAGAAGCAGCAGTCCCATGTTGTTGAGCCGACGGAGTGTTGCAGATCATGTCCCCAACATTCCCTCTGTCTCTTCGCAAGTCTTGACGTTTCGTTTCTGCTCCTGGAAAGCACCCCGTTTCACTTTCGACTCGCAATTTGCTGATGCATGGGAACAAAGCAAATGTAGCTTCTCCATGGAGAGTCCATGGAGAGTGGGCGGCACCACGCGAATATCCAAATAAATTCAACTAGGAAAATGAGTGGGGTCAGCGCACCGCGCCACGTCCCTTTTCAGCTCTTGTGCAAACGGCGCCAATACCACGAGGCGTATAGACATGCATGGGGATCAGATCTAATCGGACAGGGAAATGATCTCTTGTCACATCATTCCGGTTTGTCTGTGTGTGTGCCAGTTGAGGCACTTCCAAGGTGACTTCTTAATCCTACTGGACATAAACACCCTCGGATTTTCTGAGGAGATCAATAGAATCCACCTGTCCTCACCCCCTGAGGTAAGCGCCTTCCTCCCTTAGATCTCACAAGCGTCCAAAATAACGGACAATCTGAAGGATTTGTGCGCTCTCCTCATCTCATAAGTTTGCCTTATTAACGTCAGTGCTCATGTGTCCATTTTGATCAATTAGCGCGATCCCCCTTCGCAAAATCCAGATCCTGGTTTATGTGCCTGATCTGAGTATTTAAGAAGACGGCCATTCCAGTGACCCTTCTAAATTGTTTTTCGACCCCATTCGCACCTACCGGCCCACTTCACCTCATCATGGACAACGTCAAGACACCCATCGTCTCATTCCTCAACAAAGACAGTTGTACTAGAGCAAGCACAAAAGCGGCGGGCAATCACGTAAGTTGACAGCACCCCCGAAATCCTCTTCCAACGTCACGATGGCTGACGATGTTCTCATTGCCTTATCGTAGTCTACGTTGCAAAACTATCGTGCGCGTCTCGCCAGTGCTCATTACTCTCAGGTCCTCGAAGCTGCATTCTCCCCCGCGAAGTACGCCGTTTTCTCGACACTGGGATCATGTTTTCTATCCTGGAATGGCACGCCAATAATGTCGCAGTCGGTTTCGCCGAAGGCCATATCGGCAAAGGTCGGCTGCCTCGGTGGAACGGTGCTGACGATCCTATACCTTGTTCTTCTCCTCGCTCGCACCGCACACCATACCTCGAAAGAAGACGATACGCCGGACATGACGAACTGGAGGCGCTCGGTGACGGTGGTGCTGGATGAGATGTTCTACAGCACCGTTGCTTCGGGTCTGGGGGCCGTTGTCTACTTGATGACTTCTTCGCCACCCCCGGTAGACCCTTTGGCACAAATGGTTGCTGGTGCCTTGGGACCCTTACTCCTGGTCCTGGTCTTCCTTTCCTTGATGTTGGCCGCTTGGGTCTTGGTGCGGTTGTACAACTTATTCATGGACTGGTATACTGGGTACCTGTAATGACCCGGATCCTGGTCAGGCAGCCCTTTCGTTCTTCTTGCTTTCGCCATTCTTCGCATTGCACACATGAACGGTTTACAATATGGTACTTAGTTAATTTCCTCTAATATGTTTTGTGCTCTTTCATCGTTTTGCTTTTCATCTTGACTTTCCTGCGTCGCTTTCCATTTTGCTTTCTCGGTAGAATAACGTGTTCGAACAACTAACCTATGTGTACATAAACTTGATAGATGTAGACTCCTGGCTCATAACATAGTCCTGCTAATACTTCTTAATTCACCATCCATTGCTTTCCTTACCTTCACCCAGTTGATGCCGCATGCGCATTTGGACGTTAATACCAGTGCGACCGTCGCTCCCGAGTGGCAAGTGAAGGAGTGGTGCCGTTGAGGTTGCGCTTACATCTTCGGTACCAATGAGCCGGAGCTGTGGGGTAAATGCCATCAACCCCTCGCTGGTACATTTACCAGAGTTGTTGTGACCAGCGAATGAAGTCCTGTAAACGACGATCATTAAATAACAGCTACCTGACCTCGTGGTCGTCGTTAGAGGCCTTCTATTAGAACGTTGCTGTCAGGTATGTCAGGATACGTCAAATAGTCTCCTTAGCGCACAGTACGCCAGGTCCAGGTCAGTGCCTGCGGGGTTTGGCGAAGCCGGTTCTCTGGCATTGACGAGGTTCTAAGATGACACAAGGCTCGTGGAGGTGGTGTGAAAGATCGAGTGTGAGCGAGTTAGGAACAAATTTAACCACTTCCGTTTGCTTGAGTTTTGGGGAGGAAGCGAAGTAGATGCAGTTGGGAGACTCAACTCTTTCGCAATTTCAAATGAGCGCGCCAGTATCGTGCATGAGGCCGGCTGCCGAACGTAGAATTCATGGTAGGTCATAATGAACCAACAGTTGGTCGCCAAGCCTTGAGAATGAGGATTACGAACCTGGTGTTGAGAGATAAGAGTTTTGAAGATCCGAAGGGGCCAGTAAAAGTGTCATTTGTGAAAGCACTTGATGATGACGGTTTGAGAGGGCTGGACGAGACCAAAGGGGAATAGCTCATGCCAAAGTAATAAAAATAGGAACACGGGCGGTAATTTCAAATGGAACATGGAAAGGTGAAACAGAAGGAGTCTGGTTCTCCCGGACTAGCCTTCGAGCTGCGGACAGCATTCGAACCATTCAACTTACTCTTCAAGGCTCATCAAAGAAGCCATCGTGCACTAAGGCGCGCTCTTACTGTTGCCTAGGAGCCCCGAGAAGACCTCTCCGCAGAAAGTAATGCTTCGAGTTCAATCAAAAAGGCACGGCCCCCACTTTGTCTTCTTCAGTTTTCGGAAGTGGAATGATTTTCCCTTAGTATGTTAGCGACCGTCCTTATCTTTGGCTCCCGCCGGCTCCTCTGCACTTTTAGGCGCAATAGACCTTACAATGGATGACTTCCCGTAGCGAAATTTAGTCCAAGTCTACTTTTTCTAAATCCAAAAGACCCCGAGGGGTTTGTTCGAGATAAATTTAGTCCCCCGTAACTACGTTTTCTGTCTGAGAATAATACAGAATATTCCTCTTCAAGTCCTGGCTTGGCATGATTGCCTCTTGTCGCGTCGTGGATACGTTGCTCAATGTCTCCTGAGCTATTCTTCGTCTTAGACAAGGTATTCGACAACGAAGAGGAAGAAGTGGCCGCGGGGGCACTATTGGCCATCTTGCTGGTGGTGCTGGGTGCTCCTTGAACGCAATGAGCGACACCGCGAACATACTTGACGCGCTTCGACCTGCTGGGCTAAGAGCGAGCCAAGACAGGGACGATGCCCCAGAAGGAAGGCCAAGGTGATGGCCGGGTCCTTAAGCAGGTTTATTCGAGCGTTTAGAACTATTTAGAATCTGGAAAGGGGGGTAGGGGGCCTTTCCAGATTCTAAAATCTGGAAAGACCTAAAACTTTCCCATGAGCGTCATACCTACCATTTGGAGACTCGGCATGGCGGCATCTGGCCTCAAAGCTCCCGATCAACGTTTAGAAATAGTCTGGCTGGACTAAATTTCTCTACGGGAAGTCATCCAATGACGCTAGAAAGCATCCACCGTAATTGGGTCCGCAGAACACAGTTTACAGCACTTCAATGACTCTATTACTCAAGTGCCGCCCCAATATACTACGTGCACGCAGTGCCTATACAAACACCCCAAGCGTTACCTACTAACTGCTAGGGTGAGGTAGACGTTTCATTTTCATCCGTAACGTCGCGAAGGTGAACGGGCATGTCGCTCCTATCACCTCTATTTGTCAGTGACCTTCGCACTCCTCGCCGATTTATCGCTGTCATAAAGAAAGTCCTCAGCGCTATTATCGAATCTTCGATCCCTTTATGTAGGCTCACCTTGGGAACTCAGCGCGTCTTCGGCGCTACTTTCGAGTTCGGGATTGAATTTTCCCACTGGTCCAGGGGGTTGAGGCTGAGTTTTCACCTTTTCAAGCGCGAAGATCAGTTGGTTTACGGAGCTCTGATTATCCAGGATAGAGCATGGTGGTACGAATCCGTGAAAACCGCCCTCGTTGCTGTCGCTGGGGTGTTCAGAGCCATGCGATGAGTATGGAATGACATCGGAATCCCTGGAATGGGGAGCTTGCGGAGACTTGGAAGGCAATGGGGATGGGTTTCTAGACAAAAAACGGCTGTAGGTGTAAAAATCGTATATCTCCAAGGATTCCCCATCTTGATCACTAGAAGGGGTGATAGTTGGTTAGTCGCCATTGGAAATTCTATGATAGGATTCAGAGAATCGAGACAACTGACAAAGCATCGAGAATTTCACCTTCGAATGCATCAGAGGAGGCGTAGTAGGTGCTGACTATCTCGATGCTGGTATCAGGAGTGGAAGCGCCCGTCGACTCGATTGGCGGCGCTAGACCTGTTTCGCTTTGATCTTCGTCGTGATCATAATAACTGTCAGGTCGCGGAGACATCAATCCTGTGCTTTGAGCCACGAGCTGCGCTAAGCTCGGTTGGGGAGGTGGCTCTTGAGGGAATGTTAAGTACAAGGCTATGCGAGCTTATATACTTATCTGAAAGACTATAGGTAAATCTATTACTTTACCACCTTCATTACGGATAAATCCCTGGCTGCATCGGGCTGGGTGAGAGAAACCGGAGCGCCTCGCCCAGGTCATGAAGAGTTCCATCAACATTCCTCGCGGATGGTACTTGCAGTATTAAGCTGCCAAGGGCAGACCTCGGTTTTGAGTCCAAGAGCACAGAACTGTAACGGCGGCTTTTTGAGTTTGTTTTTTGTCTTCTAGGGGGCACTGGGTGAAGAAGCGACTTGGCCGACACGGGATTCTTGGCCAAGCCGACATTCTATTTTTATCTCGGAACAAACAGAGCAAAATAACAGGTGTCGCGTTCTCTTCCTCGACCCGTGATGCTGGCTGCCCGCGGTTGTCGGTTTTCACAGCAGTTCCTCTCCAAAACGACCAGGAATACCTGTGTTTTACGATGTATACAAGGCTATTACTCAAGGAGCTTGTCGACGACCAGCTATGATCCCGTTATTCGCGAATTTGCAAGGGAATTATGCAAGAAACAGCCTAGTTTCGTAGTCAACCCTCGGAATATCGCGGTGCTCGGTGAGCCGAAGCAGTTCTTGGACAAATTACTGGTAAAGTGGCTTTGAATCTTGGTTCTGGGACTATATTTCTCTAACCGCTATGTATAGGGCATGATTGGCCGTGCAAAGGAGAGAATTTTTATATCTTCACTTTATATTGGTTCCAAGGAGACGAAGCTGGTACGCTCTGGTCCCTGATAACCCAAAGGAGCTGAATAACACCTGTTTGCTTAGATGTCCGCATTACAAGATGCGCTGCGTCGAGAACCACAACTTCAAGTCTTCCTCCAATTGGATCTCAACCGTTCTACTCGGCCAGGAGAGTCCTCGACGGCCAGGATCCTTCTCCCTCTCATCCGTGAATTCCCAGAGCGGATTCACGTGTCTCTATTCCGAAGCCCGCATCTGAAAGGGATTATGGCGAAACTGGTACCTCCAAGGTTCAATGAAGGATGGGGAACATGGCATGCGAAGGTTTATGGAGTGGACAATGAGGTCATGATTAGTGGGTACGCGATTCTTCACAGTATAGTCATCTCCGTGAATACTGACTATCGCCTCAAGAGCCAACCTAAACAATTCCTACTTTACCAACCGCCAGGACCGCTACCTACACTTCCAGGACCAACCGACTTTCGCTCAGTACTGTTTCGACTTCCTCAAGCTCGCGTCAACCTTTTCTTTCCGCCTTCTCCCTTCACAGGAAGGCAGCCAGACCCAATCCTCAAAACACACGTATCACAAAGAAGGGTATACTGTCTCGTGGCCAGATCCCGTCTCCCATCCTCACCAAATACAAGCCCAAGTTCGGAATGCCCTATCTGCTTTCCAAGAAACCCACCTTGCTCGGACGAACACTCAGGTCCTGCAAACTTCCGAAGAGAATCAGAGCGTCGTCATCTATCCCATTATTCAAGCTGGCCAATTCGGAATTCATGAGGAAGAGACGGTCTTCGAGTTGCTCTTTAAGCACCTCCGTTCCATGGCGCCTAAGCGACCACTTCTTGACTTGACAAGCGGCTATTTCAGCTTGTACAAACCGTATCAAACCTTGATTCTCTCGACGTCCAACGTGGACTGTAGGATCATTGCTGCAAGTCCCCAAGTAAGTCGGTTATTTCCACGTTCCATATGGGATGATTATCTTACTCATGTCCTATTCAGGCGAATGGGTTCTACGGGTCGGCAGGAATATCAGGCCTCATTCCCGAAGGTTACACCCTCTATGAACAACGGTTCATGAAAGCTGTACAAAGCGCGAAACGGCTTTGGACTGAGAGTCCTGCTGATGGACAGGGACACGGGGTCTCGCTCGTTGAATGGGCCAAGCCTGGATGGACGTATCACGCCAAAGGTGACCAACCTTCGCCTCAAATGTCTCTCATATGATTGGCTGACTCGTTGACTCACCTGTTCCCCCGTTGTCAGGGATCTGGCTCTCTCCGGACGCCTCTTCGCATCCGATCCTGACATTATTTGGATCTACGAATCTCAACGCCCGCTCGGCTCACCTCGACACGGAACTGTCCTTCCTCATGATCATACCATCGGGGTCGACCCCACCACCACCATCAACTTCTGGCCCTGACATGGGAGAATCGCCAGATTCGCCTGTCTCGGAGCTGAGAGCCCGTCTGGCACAGGAAATATCTCATATCAGGGAAAGTGCTGTTCCATGGCAGGGAGCGCAGCGAAAGGTTCGAAGCATCACTCGACTTCTCGTGCGCATCCTCAAGGGCATGCTATAATACTGGAACTTCGATTCATACCTGGGCTAGCTGGGGTTTCGACACAGCCGGTATGATAGCCTCTAGAAATCCTGCTCGCTGTAACTAGCGTTTTCGTTGCTGTCCACTGGCACGTCCTTGGCGATGACAGTCAACTCGACGATTCTTCGAGCATCTAAAGGCACGTCAAGATTAGATGTCGTTCGCTCAGACACGATCCTGTGGACATGTATATCAGCCACTGTAGTAATGGAAAGTATACGGCGCAACACCACCGTCCGCCTAACGTACTTGGCTGACACCGCCTTGTGTCGAACGAAATCTCCATACACGAGTGAACCCCCCTGGGACGACTCCTTGTATATCGGCTTTCTGATTCCTTGAATGTGGTAGAATCCCCCTACTTGTCCTTCCTTAATGCTTATAACGTTATTACATGTGAGTGGGTGGGCAGAGGGAGATGGGCACCTGTGACTGCGGGTGTGCATTCTCGCTTTCTATAATCTCCTTCCAGTGAACCTTCAATCCTCCCTCGGCCGTCCTCCTAAGATCGAGCACCTGTTGCTCGATTTGAGCGTAACCCACGAGGAGACCATTCACTCTGGCTTTGACGCCCCTGGAGAAAGTTTCGTTGATCGCCTTCAAGGCTTCTTCCTCCGTCGCGGCCTCGAAAACACTGCGGATCCGTTCTTGGGACCATTGAGCGAGAGAGGTGATTTCTGTCGAAATTGGCATGGCTCAATACTGCGGTCATCCCTTTCGCCGCGTTACTTTATAGCGGTTGCTCTTCTTGACGTCTCCTGCAACTCCCGGCAAGCAATTGAACTGGGGCCCCGCATTGAGAAAGTTCCTCGTTTGCATCGCGAGCCGAAGCCACTCCTGCCATCGATTGCATAAAAGAATGACGCTACGCAATCCGATGAAGCCGCCCTTTCTTAACGAGTTTGAGTCAGTGGGATGAATAAGTAAGGGCGGGTTCCGAATTGGCACGCTGCGAAGCACAGAAGTCTCTCGATGGATCTGGGGCGGATACGCGGCTACTGCATAACTCTGCATGGAGACCTGAGCTTCTAGCCATCATGGCGGTTGCAAAACATTCTTTTTTGGCTTTTAATCAGTGTCTCATTTTAGCTCGGTTGTAAGGCCACCTTCGACAGAGCCGGACGAAGCTTCGCCGTTCGGCAGCCAGCCATGGACCCGCTCCAGAGTTGGCCCTTAAGCGGGAGTAATCATTTATTGTTTGAGCGCTTGTGACGAGAGATTCGGCAGTTTGGGGTAAGTACCCAAGGTCTCCTAGGCGCAGGATCTGGACGTGCAATCAGTTCAACGTAAACACCCCCGTCAAGGATTTCGTCCCGTGTGTCACAATTGCGCTTCGTGATCCAATGAATGGAATGGATTGGATGTGCGGCGAAAACTAGGGCCATCGCTGTCTCGGGGATATAGTCGAGAACTGAAATCGGCGAGCGTGTCCTGAAGCTCATGTTGCGTTTCAACCCCTCACTGAAGGAAGAAGTTAGGTGTTCAAATCAATGAGACAAAGATCTAGGCCGTCTTTTCGTGATGTGGTGTAAGCCATTACCTCCTCATCCTTTCAGAAACTTTTCAACTAGTTACTTCCATTGGATTTTTGGCGCTTCACGTTTCATTAGTGTTAGCCCCTAAGCGCCCAAATACATTCGGCAAGTCCCGAGAACAATCAAGCCTGAGTTTGAACTTCCTTCTGTGCCGAGGTTTCTTGATGATCGAGCAGGCCCTCGGTTCAACTTGAAAAGAAACCACCATTATCTCGAGTTCCAGCCAGCATGAACGCCAACATCGACTTCGATATCACCGACATCCTGACAGACGCTCAAGGCCAGATACCCCAGGACCATCTTGACAATCTCCTGGCGAGACAGGCAGAAGCGCGACATGCCCTTGAAGACCAAATGCGCAAAGCCCAGGCGATGCTCGCAACTTTGCGCAAAAGGCGGGACGAACACGTCAAAACCTATAAGGAAGTTTCTGGACAAGCGAAAAGACTCAAAGAGGAGGCTTTCAAGTTGCTTTTAGAGGAGAAAGAGGACCTGGACCGCAAAATCGAGGCTAGACAAAATGCACGAAAGGTCGACGCAGGCCAGAGCATACCTGACGCCGACGGGTCCGGTGGAAAGTCCGGTTCTGATAAAGTACTAAAATTCTTGATTGCCCGCCGACACGACGTCCAAGCTCACATCGACAGTCTCACCAATCCCGGATTCCACCGCCTCCCTCCAGAGATCCTCCAGCAGATTTTCCTGCACGTTACCTTTTCACCCATACGCAGGACGAAGAGTCCGGAGACCTTCAGTGTTGGCGAGAGCTACTCGCCTACACCCATCTCTGCCTCTTACCACGGGGCACCGTTGGTGCTAACTCGGGTCTCCAGGACGTGGAGATCGTTGGCAATTGGCATGCCTGAGCTATGGTCCTCTATCTCTGTACGTGTTACAGAGGAGATCGGCTCGGAGGGCAAGTGTCGACCACCCCTTCCTGTCTTGGAAGAATGGATCAAGAGGTCGGGCACGCGACCTCTTGTCTTCGAGATCCTCCAATCGGCCGCAGACAGGGTGGACTCGCTAACGGCATCTCCGAGCATCGAGCCCGTCCCGGACTTTGAAGGACTGGCAGAGAGCAGTATGTTTGAAAAGGCTCTGAAGTTATTCCTTCCACACTACGCTCGATGGCAGGCTGCTCGCTTTAGGACGATGGTCGAGAGCGATGAAGGCCTATTCCGGGACCTACCTTCAGACGCGTCATATCCCTTGCTACAGGATTTGCACATAGATAGGGACATGTGGGACCCGTTGAGTTCTCCCACTGATGTCGAGCGAATCGTCGCTATGTTGTGCAACTCCCCTCGCCTTGTATCCATCCGATGGGGCTCCCGGTGGATCGGGCCATTTGCACAGGAACTTCCCTTCGGACAGCTGCACTCATTCAGATTGCAACCGATCATCTCCTCTCAACGATTCCGCGATATTCTGACCGAATCCCCGCAACTGCGTTCTCTTGTAGTCCGTGTTTACTTGGGTGTCACGTCCGACAATGATCCCGAGAACCCAGACGCGGCCCCTGCACAACCACTTCACCTCCCCAATCTTGTCGAATTGAAGCTTGCCTACGAAGGCTTGGAGATCAACCTGAAAACCTTCCTGGCGACCACCACCATGCCCAATCTTACATCGCTTACTCTCAATGCGGAAACGATTGGAATCGGCACTCATCTTTGGCCAGAACAAGAATTCCTCTCGTTTGTCCACCGTTCTGGATGCCAACTCGAGTACCTGGTCCTCCACAACTTCGACTTTAATGAGGACCAGGTCCTTGAAGTGCTGAAGGTCGTTTCCAAAACACTGTGTTACCTCTCCATCCAGAATGATCGCCAGGTCAGTGGGTTCATGAAGGACAAGGTGCTCAAGGCCCTCGAAGTTCCATACGACGATCACACGAATGCGCTCCTTCCCGCGGACATCGATCCATCCCCTTCCACCACCATCACTCTTCCCGAAATCTTGTGCCCGAAACTCGAATACCTCAATCTCTGGAACACCATCGGCTCCACGGATGGTGCGGTTTCGGATATGGTGGCCAGTCGACGACACTTTGCTCATCCACTTGGGGTGGCGAGATTGTCGATAGTCATCGTCACGTTTAGCGATTTGAACGAACATCGGCGGGATATTGAAATGTTCGACACGCTGAATGAAGAAGGACAGTGGGGTATTACTTATATTGCGACCTAATCTCTATTTACTGGGTTCCCTGCCACCTACACGGGCGACAGTGCAATGTCTCGACGAAGTCAACAGCTTCTGTACAAAGTGCGACAATCCAAGCGCGAACCTTAACACCTTTGATGTAGCGCGCTCCATAACATGCTCGCCCTTTGCTTTCACACGTCTGAAAAACAACGCTCGTGACTGCGTTGCAGTAACAGTGCATTAACGACGTGCATGGCGGTTATATTGACTTTGTCCAGGTCGTAACACGCGTGGTATACCTCGGCGTTCTTCGATGGCCCAGTAGATGCGACTTCCAGTCCCTTCCAAAGCACTTGTATATTCAAGTGTCCGCTTGGATATGCATCTGGCCACCGCGGGTGAAGTGCACAGAGAGGAGCTTTTCGCTGGTAACTCTCCTGCGATACCGAACCAAGAACGTTCACTTGTTGTTCGACAACGATTACTGGAAATCAAGGACAACCAAATATTTCATTGATGACAAGGAGATCACAATCGACGAGTCCGCAGCAAACGTTCTGGAGCCGGGCAAGGAACTTGAAGATACGTATGTAGGTATACATCTGGATCAAGGTCTAAATGTCTAGTAGGCATAGCGCGTCTTCCAGAGCACATAGAGAAAATCGCCTCCGCGACCAGCGTTGATATCCAGGGTCATACCTGACCAACCCCAATTTTTGACTTGACTGAGAGAGATGCCGTGATTGGAGCGGAGGAGGGTGCATTCGGTGAACTTGTTCTTCTCGCGTGTGTTGTACGCGGGGACGAGGTAACGGTAACTACCGCCCGCCCCTTTGGCAAGGTCCATGTACCTGTCGTCCTTGTGGTCCTGTTGGACGAAGTCCAAGCCAGTCAACGCATCTTTGTACTTCCTGGTATACTCGGGCACGAGCCAGACGTAGCTATGTGGATAGGTCAGTAGAGCTCCTTAAGATTGCTTGGAGAATATCCATGTACTTACTTTCCCTTTTTGTCAGCGTTGACGTCGGCGTTTCCGCCATTAAGCTCACGGATACGGTCGGTCGGGGCCTCAGTAGGGGAATCCGTGTAGACGACCTGTGAATGAAGAAGTATCGTTAACGTCAATATAGTGGCTCTGTTGCATTCGATGAAGCCAACTTACCCTGATATTCCTGATAAACTCGACAGCTTCAACAACAACATCGATGATGACTTCTGTACGCTCATTCTCTCGCTTCGGCTCAGTGCTAAAGACATTGTATGCGGCATTCAAGCCCGGCCCAGAGAGGTATTGCTGATAGAGATTGAGCTTTCCTCCAGGGCCAATCGTGTCTGAACGGAAAGAGGTAAGTAGGTTGAGGGTGGGGACCTCCGCAGGGCATAAAACTTACAAGAGCGCGTCTCCTCTGTCTCCTTTTTGTACACATCTTCACCCGTCAACTTGGTCGTTTGCTCAAGCATATAGTTGACTTCCTCGGAATGCTCGTAAGAGGCGGACACGTTGGCCGACACAGGGCCCCACGATGCGTCAGCTGCAGACGTTATGCCTTCCTTCTCCATGATATCGGTAGTGGTGCGAGACACCGTCTCGGAAAATGTGCTGCGAGTGGACTCGCTGTACACCTTCGCGGTGTAGGACTGGACGATCTGGCCTGCACTACCATGTTAACGAGACCTGGACGCGTTGGATACTATGGAGGGCCCAACGTACCCGAGTTATCGGAGTTGTTATACTCGAAGACAAGCTTCCAGTAGAGCGTAGCTTTGAGCTGGATTGTGGTGGTCATTGTGCAGGTGAGTGTGAGTAACTGAGTCGACCGTGGAAATCGGAGGATGGACTGCTGTGTAGAGGCGGTTTGAGGATTCTACTCCAGATAACTGGTCACCCTTTTATACGTCCTGAGGGACAAGTAGATGCCTTCATGTGACCTTGTGACCTCACCGCTGAAGGTGGGGTGATAGTTAATGAAATGGCACTTTTCCTTGTTTGTCGAGATTCTTAGTAGTCTATCACCTCTGGGCATAATCATATCCGAGGCCAATCCAGATGGCAAAGAGCCTTCCTCTACTCTGCCCACTCAAGCCGCGCATACGTTGATATATCTATCTTATGGACTCCATGTTCGAATGACCTCTGCTACGACCTCTTGGACGGTGACCGGTGACCGATGAACTTTCGAGCGCGATAGGGGTTGCTTTCCATGTTGGGTCATCTATCGACCTTGCTTTAGCAAGGGTCCGTGGAGAGTGTAAATTACATAAGCTCGATACAGATTTTGATTGCGAAAAACAAATAGCTCACAACAAACTTGCCCCTAAGGTGTCGCCGTCGCACCCATGGAGTGGGCCTTATTCTCGTTTAGCAGAGGGGACGGAAGTCATTTATACGCGCCCTGCCTCCTTCCGAGGCACTGGTACCGTCTGGAGAATATTTCAATAACTCTCCCTCTAGTTCCAGTTTCCACAAAAACCCTGATGCACGCCCCGTCCGGACATTTCAAACTCATTAGAGGCTCTACATCGAAAATCACATTAGAATGTTAGCGTAGTGTAGACAAATGAAGGAGTAGTGCACATCAAGTTTAGCAAACGACTAGAACCTGTCCTTCCCATTCCCCAAGTCTGCAGGACCAGAAACAACATGGAGGTCCCACAAGGTATCCGAAGTTCGAACCTGTCAGGGTCGGATACAGAGAGAGAGAGAGAGAGAAGGACGTAGGAGGGCGGAGGGTAGCCTTGGTCTCACGTTATAAGAACGTGTACCCTTCGTCACGGCTCCAAAGGCTGGCTAGGCCGAAGGACCAGACGGAAAGCCTTCCGGCGGAGAGACGAGAGTGAAGGACGACTGGAGCTAAGGCTCGACGGTCGAAGACGATGAGGAAGAGAGTTTACGGAGGACCTTAGACTGAGAGATTCGATGCGTATGAACCTAGTCGAGATTCCGGATGAGGTACCTACTACAAATTGAGATGGTACTTATAGTAAATACCGGCGGGGAATCTACGGGCGAATCGAGACGAAATGACAAAGTCCAAGAGGGAAAGAATAAATCGAGAACCAGAACAAGAAAGACGAAATCGTACACAAGAAAATCTAGAGTACTTGAGAACGACTACAACGACCAATCGTGAACCGGCGGATAAAATCCAAACAAGAACGTTCGTACGAAAAGGTCATCTGAGCAAACTGGAAATCAAGTGTAAAGAAATAGAAGCAAGAAGAATAACGACACGGCGGAATAAGAAATAGAAGAATAACAGAATACAGACGTACTTCGAATACACAATACGAAACCCATTTGACAGCTTGCCAAGCGCGCGTCTAGAGTCCACAGGATTACTAGTGGGTTGCAGGCCAGTAAATGGCAAATATCCGGGCCTGTTGGGCAAGAGGCCTGGGCTTAGGCAGTGGCCATGGCCCCTATCGCTGTCGCTTATATAAGTGTGTGCCTAACCTGTGCCGCGCCATGTGTAACTCATGGGATCACATGATGGTAAAGTCACATGGCGAAAAGTATGTGGAAACCTTGGCGCGCAAAACCATCTCCCAACAGAACCCGAGCCCAACAGGCCCGGAATCCGGCGGATCCGAGAGTTCCGGCACAGCCGCGAGGCCGCGCGCGCGCGCCAGTCGTGACCTTTCCCACGCTCCGCGAACGTCGCGCGTCAAAGTCGAGAGAGGAACCGGCGGGCTGGAATGAAGTGGGTATAACGGATAGAATGTATAAGAGAAAATACGAATAATAATATCGAATGGTGTTGAGGGTGAAGGAAGGGTGTAGTTGTACGTATCGAGACCCGGCGGTTGCACGAGCCCTGACAGAACCGAACTTTACCATCAGCTTGCTCAAGAAATGCGGGAAACACAAACCGTGTTTCTCCGAAATCTCATCGTCGTCTACATGGAAGGGACACCGCTGGGTACACAGGAAGGCAGGGGAACCGAGGCGCTGGGGAAAGTCTTTGACGAGGAGAGAGATAGACGTGAATGTGGCAACTAATCGTCACTTTGTCCGGCGTTTGTAACTCCAGGACCAAACAACGAAGGTTCGCGAATATCTTTCAAGATCGGCTTTAGATTCGTTTCTCGAGATGGATGGAGATGCATACTGACCTCTTGGTCGGGGAATAGTAAATACTAGACTGTGAAGGGTACACAATGAACCGCTGACTGTGTACAATAAGCTACTCGAGTATATTCATTGCCGCAGTGCAGATCCATTGGAAAAGTCCGGTAGAGCACAGGATGGTTTTGCTAAAGCAAGGTCCGTACATAGTCGCGGCACGCGGCCCTTTCATTTACCAAATAAATTCAGAAATTCGATAGCTCTGCGGAGCGCTTCCGCCAAGCCCTTGACGGCGTTTTCAAAGGGCCGAGCTGGAAGGTTGTTCATTCAGACATGGTCGATGGATTCCCTTGAAGCAATCCTTTGTAGGGAAACACTCGCCCACACTATGAGTCCGGCCCCCAGGAGAACCTCCCGCGTATGCGGGAGGGTCTATTCTCCTGGGGAAATCTGCCGTTTTACTGCGAAGATTCCCGCCACTCCGGGAGGTAGTTCGTCCTGCGAGTGCAGGGATCGACACTCAAAAAGATGCCGTGCGAGGTGGGATCGAACTGAGAGATTGCGAGAGGGAGAATGACTGAGCAGCTGCCTCTCTTTCCACTACACCAACACCCGTTCAAATTTTCGCCATAGTCGACATATGATATCTCGAAATCATCGCCTTTGACTTAGGATAAAAAATACGACTTGCTAATGTACAGTATCTGGTATCAGTTCCTTAGAAACCGCTCTTCATGAAAATAAGAAACATTTGATTCCACCCTCCACTGCCAATACTGTTTGCAAAGTGTCCCCTCGAAATTCTGATGTCTTGAGACAATTAATTCATTTTTTTTCGTCAACGAAGTTTGATACTAAAGTATTCAATATTACGCCATATATCAAGTAGTGTTGGCGCAGTGTGTAAGGCAGTGTGTACTTGGCCCTTCTGCCTCTTGCTGCCCCTCAGTTCGATCCCTGCTTGTACAGCAGGTTATCGCCTCTTTTTGAGTGTTGATCCCTGCACTCGCAGGACGAACTTCGTCCTGGAGTGGCGGGAATCTTCGCAGTAAAACGGCAGATTTCCCCAGGAGAATAGACCCTCCCGCATACGCGGGAGGTTCTCCTGGGGGCCGGACTCATAGTGCCAGAAGCCTCGAAATGAACCAATATCACCCTTGACAGCGTCATAGTAGACGAACTTCCTGTATGGAAGGCCTACTGTGTGATGCGTGACGTCTCCCTGCAGCTTAGAAGTCGGAGATCTCACAATGGACTGCCAATGTAGCTGTGCTTCTTGCATCGAAGATGAAAGGTGAAGCTGAGAGCCGAGGAGGTGGGAGCCTGGAGCTGGAGGCGGTACGACAGCTCCGGAGTTTGGTGGAGAGTTCTACTACTACAGCGGGCTCTCGAGGACATTACTGGGGGCCTGGTTCACGACTTGTGGAACGAATTTCCGGGGTACATACATCCACAAACGAAGGCCAAGGATGCAATTAGCTATTCATTAATGAAGTCAAGACCCCACGCTTCCGAAGACTTTGAGTGCAGCCCCCGCGAATTCGAAGCAGCGCAGACGAGGCCCGCTGACCCCCAGGATTTGTGTAGCATCTTGTCGGCACTCTGCGTCGAATCAGCCCGTACGTTAACTTACCTGCACCCTTCTCCGATCGCGTTGATCAAATTCGAAGGTAGTTGCACGATGCCGTCTGATTGAATGACATATATGGCTGATTCCAGCATTCTCTGCCACAGCGCTGGAGGAGTATCACGGAGTACGACCAACCCGACCCAGGTAGTTGTTGGGCGTAAGCCCACCTGTCCGGTCCATCCTAAGCCTGTTTTCTTGGCGTGAGTCGCTCCTGGACAAGGCGTTCGCTCCAGGTGATACGCAAGAGGATTCGGCGATACTCGCTCTCTTGGAAGCCATCACCCAGTCCCTCTGCTCAAGATCAGTCCAAACGACATGTATACCAAAATCTCTGCCTGCCTTACCCCTCTTCCCTTTCCCAAAGCCAGACAGCTGCATCGCCCGCCGGTCGAGGCCAATGACAGTCTTCAAATCTTTTCGAATGTCGTTAAGCTCCTCTGGCCTTGTAACCTTGACGGAAGCATCTCGCCGGTCAGTATACTCTACAGGGATTCGACCATGTTTCATACTACTAGCCACACAAATATCCACTCTGTCGAATTGACACCTGCATGCACAGGTGCACCCAAGGATCATGTTATTCGTTCTGCAATCAACCTGAGAACACGAAGGCAGAGAGTTTCAAGTCACTCCGACCAGTCGGTAGACTCGACAGACATTCACGCAGGTGCCGGCACTGCCCAGATTTGCGGAGGGGCCCAGTCTTGGTGGTCTACCATTTCAATGTGTGAGGTCCTTCATCCCTAATTGCATATGCATATCCACCTCATAAAAGCCCACTGCTCTGCGTTCGACGATTCTTTCGTGCGGAATGTCGAGAACGGCGATATGCGTCTCCTGAAATTTGGTCGGTCAGGTGGTTACTACTGGTTGACTCCTTGTTTAGGTCATGCCTTTACCATTTATAGAGATCTTTCCAAACCTTGGACTCACGCATGTATACCACGCCTCTAACGCCCACATGAAGGCCAAACAGGGCGCATACCATTTCAAAGGAGCAGGATCCTTCAAGTTCCTCTCCACGGGACTCTCGATAACAAACGTTACAAGTCTGAATCGGTCATTCTTCGTCCAGGAAATCGAGCACCACAGACAGACAAGGTTCACAATTCACATCCATACCCAATCCTGGTCTTGATCTGGGTGCCGAGCACCGAGGGGCGTCCACAGCATGTTGGTTGGCGAGCATGTCATCCGCTTTGAATGTTCGAATCACAAAAAAAAAAAAAGAGAAATAAAACTAGAAATACAAGAAATTATTGTTCGTTAGGGTACATTGTTCAACTTTCGACGAGTATCCACCCCTGTACTAAAGAGGAAGACTGCGTCAGAAATGCTTTTTTCATTTGAATGCGAGAGATCAACCTCAGAAGATGAGGGACCAGAAGACAAAGAGACTCACTTTGGTCTAATGTACAAATCGCCGGTGGGGTGGTACTATATAGTCGGCGTCGTCGCATATGGGTTTGGGCGATTCTAGATCGAGTTTAGATTGGGCATAGGGTCGTTATGTGTATGTGTATGTCGTGCATGAATGAGGTCGTGGATTAGAGGTATTGCGGTGGCTGGGGTATGGTGGTGGTGGATGGTGGATGACACCAGGGACATCGTCGCGCAGGCGTGTGGGCAGTCTAATTCGACTTTGGAGCTTCAACAACTGGGCAGGCTGTCGGAAGGGTGGTGCTGCTCGACAGCGAATCACTTGTCATCTTGGATTCAGGCGACGAAGCTGAAGGTTTCGCCTCTTTTGGCGGCGGATCCGATGTTGCAGCATCACCATGATTCCCGTTCGCGATTGGATGCCCGTTTGTCGAGGGCTGTTGATTTACGCTGCCGTTCGCCGATTCCTGATTCGCAGAGCCATTCCCCGATATTTGATTCGCAGCGCCATTCTCCGATACCTTCCCAGAGGCCGTAGTACTTGCACCAGCACCGAGCTCCCCAGCTTCGTGCTTGTAATCCCATTCGCTTATCCCAACCGTCCCACCGAGTTCTCTCCACCTCCTCATCCACTTCTGAACGTTCTTCTCGCACATCTCTAGTAGAGCCGGCCAGTACTTCTCGTGGACGTACTCGAACACCCGGTCACCCTCCCACTCTTTCATCAACATATCTCGTTTGAACAGACCTCCTCCTCCCGACCCTTCCTTCGTCTTATCTTTCTCGCTGACCTTGTCTTTATCCTTCCCCTTCTTCTCCTTCCCCACTCCCTCCTCTTGCTCCTCCTCCCCAACCACCCTCTGATTAAACCTCAACTTCCCTCTCGTCCTCGGATCCAAAAAGGGTAACACCAACTTCAGAAAAGCGTTGATAAAAAAGGGGATGTTGATGATGGAGCATAAGCCGAGTCGTTCGGGGTAGTGTTCTTGCATTATGTGGATTAGGGAGGTGGCTTCGCTGATGCTCGGTTTGGAGGCGCGTTCGGCAAAGTTGAGGAGGATGTGGAGGGTTCTTTTTTTTTGGTGGTGCGGGATGCGGTGGGTTAGTGTCCTGAATCGAGACAACGGGAATAATTAATGACATGGGTACGCACTCGACTCCAGGCCCCATCAGCTCTATCCCCCTCTCAACCATCCAAAACGCGAATTTGAGGTGCCCGTCTATGCTATCCGTGTTCTGCCTGCTAGGGAACGCGTAGAACGCCGGTCGCCCCTCGACGTCGTAGCCAAAGTAGACGTGCTTGCCCGTGACAGCCTGTACACCACACCGCACACCGATATTAGAATACACGGAAGGGGAACTAGAGTCAGTGGACGAGAGCCAGTGGCAGGGGAAAGGGAAGGATAGAGGGGGACGCACCTCGTGTTCGATAGCACTCGCCGTTAGGGTATCATATAGCCCATATTCGCGTCTCCACTTTAGCGTCGACTCGAGCTTCTGCGCTGCGACGTGCGTATTCCACTTGGAGGCGCGTAGATATCTGTTGTATACACCGCCGTAGTCGACGATACGCGGTTCATCGGAAATCGGGCAGATAAAGAAGACAATGCATTAGGGGACAGCGGGCACCCATCGTCGTCCTCTGAACGTCAGCACAACGTACACAACATCGACAAGGACGAGGACAACGAAAAGCGATTGGGACAGAGAACGCGAAGCACCAAAGAAGTTTTGACGCACCGAAGCAGACAATCCCTCGACAGCCAAAACTTTTCCTTCTCGCTCAACTGGCCTTCCCCCGCACCATCCTTGGCCTTACCACCACCACCACCACCCGCACCCTCCTCCAACGAATCCTCCCATTCCGGTAGACAGTACCCTGGACGCGTAAAGTGCGCTACAACCTGGTCGTAGAGCTCCTGCTCAGTCGGTGTGAGGTCCCGCCGTGGATCGTCGTCGTACGGCGAGGACAGGGGTATCGGGAGGGGAGTGTAACACTTGTCATTCGATAAACTGGATACATTGGATCTGGATTTGGATTTGGATTTCGGCACGGTTGATGATGCAGATGATGAGCCCGACGATGAAGACGATGAGCCTCTTGAGGACCTGAACGACATGGTGCTCCTATCCTGTCAAGCACTCTCTGTTCTAGAAGGAAAGAGTGAGGGGAGGAGGGAGAGAGTGGGAAGGAAGTAGAAGAGAGGCGTAAGTTGGACTCATGACTCTTGACAGGCTTTACTTTGAGAGACAACAGACCCCGCTCGGTGCCAGGGAGATGCACCCCAGGATCATCATGCGATTCCATTGCATGATCCCATCAATCCCTCCAAAGTCTACACGTCCACAAAGTTCCATCGAACAGGCAAGGCAACATCCGATTCAATTGCGGGGTAACGAAGGCAGGTGGTAACCTCAATCGAATGGAGAGGAAATCTCGAATCGATGGGCTTCAAGGACGAGATGGGCATTCTTGGATATGTTGGTCACATTCTTCACCGTCACATGGATTTCATATCGCGTTTTATGAAACTACTATGTACTTGGGAGGCAGTCATCGTAACACATACTAATACACACCTCGATTGAACGAGGGATTCAATACATTCCGAACTAGTCTGAGATGTTTCGTTCCATTCGAATGAGTCTCGACCGTGAGCGTCAGCTAGACCTAGCCATATCCATCCGGCAGACCTAGAGGTCGGCAAACTTGTTGGTAGCCTAAGAAATGGAGCCAGCAATGAGTTTCAGTGTGACCCAGCTGATATGAACGAATCGAATCACCCACCTCGACGAGAAGCTTCGCAATTCCCTCCTCCCGCGAAGAGTGACCCGCATCGGGAACGATATGAAGCGTGAGTTCGGGGAAGACCTAATCAAATGAAGAGGGGAAGGGTGATAAAGCAATGGAGAGGAGACATGCATCGTCACGATGCAAATTGGAGGAGAGGTATCAGCGCGATGGTGGGTCGACGGGAATCATCATCACAATGAAAGGTCGAAGGGGAAGTAGCATCACAATGGAAAGTCAGGGGGGAAGCACCATCACAATGCAAAAGCGGGGTCAGCCACGCATCCTATCTCATCGAAGCACCCTAGATTGAAAGGACTAACTAACCTTCTTCAACTCCCATGCAGTTGTAGCCTAAAGGAAGACGGTTAGTTGCGTGTCAATGAGAGTTAAAGTCCAAGTTCAGCCCGAAACAAGGTTTGGGGTACGGGAATGGGGGGAGCGGGAAACAGGCCCGGGGAAAGACAAAGAGAATATACGCACAGGACAAACAACATCATATCGCCCTTGGACGACGACAGTAGGAATGTGGCGGCTGCGACAAAGGAAAACGGGACGGCAATCAGTCCCTTAACTGGGAGGGAGGATAGAGAATTTTGAGGGACCAGCATACATCTTGTCAATAGCCTGTTTCTCGAGGAGTTGGCCGTCGCGCATGAAGCCCTAGACAGGTATGGGTAGTCAGAATTCCATCCTACATAGTTGCGACTCGCAGATCGCCCGAAAGTGGGATATACCTCATTGATGAAGTAGTGGTTCTCGATACGGGCAAAGGCTCTGGGAGGAGGGGCATCATGGATCAGTTCGTACGCCGGAGAATTGAGGTAGAAAAGTACGCACAGTGCGAATTTATCGTCCCCAGCTCTCGCAATATTCTCCGGATCCACAAACAACTTCGAGGTAGACATCCTAAAGAATCGGAGGCCGTCAGCAACCTGCATCCCACAAAACCCCTCGCGCACACGCAAGCGCCCGGGAAGGAAATTAAAAATTATAACCAAAAATCAGAAGGCGACTTACTCCCACTTGGACCACGCCTTCGCAGCCCTCATCCTCACCGCCTCATCAGGCGAGTTCAACTGCTTATGGTACGCCAACATCATATCCCCCCTCTCGCTCTCGGGGATGGGCTCGAGGTACTCGTCCCACGCCTCCGGGAAGAGGTGGGACGCGCCGTTTTGGTAGAAGAAAGTGAGCTCGGATTTGCGGAGGGTGAAGATTCCTCTGGTTGGTGGGGATAAAATAGTGGGTGTTAGGATGTGTGTGTGGTAGAGAGGTAGCGGGAAGGGGATGGCGTACCGCAGGACGAGACTCTTGACCCTCTCCGGGTACGATTGGGCGTATGCCAGAGACAGCGTCGATCCCTATCCGTTTCCGATCCGACAATGCATCCCGTCAGCCCATCCCATCCCTCTACGCTTGAGCACTAATCATATAAGATAGGACGCACCCAAGACCCTCCAAAGACATGCCACTTCTCAATCCCCAATTTCTCCCTCAACTTCTCGATGTCCTTGACGAGATCCCACGTCGTGTTCTCTTCTACGCACGCGGTTGGCGTCGACTTGCCAGATCCTCGTTGGTCGAAGAGGATGATCTGCACTCGGTTTGGATGAATTCGAATGGGCGTGGTGTGGGCGGTGAGTCGGGTCATTCCAGTGCGCATTGTCGTATTTGATTGGATCGGAAGGGTAGTTGAGAATGCGCGGCGTCAGGCGTCTGCGTCAGAGAGAGGCCACCAAAGAGACGCACCTTGTACTTGTCCGGATTGAAGAACCCTCGATCGGCAGGATCGGTTCCACCACCTGGTCCACCTACAACCACCCAGTCCACCAACACTCACACTCAGTTAACTTCCTTCACCACTGTGAATCTGGTAGACTTTACCGTGGAGGAAAACAACTACAGTGATATCGTCGAGTGAGCTCTTCGTCGTATGTCCAGGATAAGAAGCATGTATGCATGTAGTACGCACCAGGATTCCCATCTTTGTTCCCTGATACTTCGTAGCTAATCGATTCCATACCGTCAGTTGGATTTCTATTCGTTCACTTCTAGATCTGAAGGATAGGTTGCGTTACGCACTAAAGCTCGTGGATATCAGAAACCTTCAGTTTCCCAGTCTCGAATGGCTGATTAGGCGGGTACATCTTCGTCGTTGTCGTCGTCGTTGGCGTTGATGCTATTGCAGCAGTCGATCGAGTCGTATTGGTATTAGTGTTGGTACTCTCCTCGCCGGTCCTAGATGTAGTAGTCGAGAAACAACGAGTACTATAGCTAGTCGCACTTCTCAGTCCAGGTCTAGTTCTCCTCCCTTGTCTAATCCAACCCGTCGAGTTCGAAGTAAACCCAACGCCAGAGTAGAAGTCCCGACGAGAAGAGAGCCCCGAGTTCTTGACGTTGCTCTGCGCAGACAATAATATCGAAATCGAACGCGACTTCGAATTGGAGTTGGAACTCAGAAATCGCGATGGAGCCCCGAGTCGAAGGTGTGGTAGAGAAGAAGCCAAGGTAGCCGTTCTGGGACAGAACAGTGCGCTTCTGAGAGTCCCAGCCTTGCGCTGTAGGGATGACATATGTGGATGGATGGCGGATGGCTGCGGACCGTGACGCTGGTGTGTGTGTGTGATCGGAAGCCCCTATCTTCGCGGTATCGTCGCATAGGGGAATTCTCAGGGAGCAGCAGTGCGGTCTGGAAGAGGACATACATCTAACCCACTCACATATTGCATACCTCGGTCTACACGCAGTTGAGAGCACTCGGGGGATTCAGAGAAAGGAAGAGAAATTCTTATTACTTTCTACGATAAGTAAACCATTACCAACAGGAATACGCATTTAAATCAAGACGCAAGCCCATCTTCAAAAAAGCAAAGAAACGACAACAAAAACGAACGGAGCAAAAGACCATCGAGAAAAAAGACAGAGCAAGAACAAGCATTCTTTTGATACAGACCAATGAAAGTTGTAGCGACAGAGAGCGATACGATTGAAGAGGACCTAAGGTAACCGTAACCGTGACCATGGCGGCTTGAAACATCGGACGGGCATCGGGAAGGTGGGGACGACCTGGGGATGACGCGGGAATCTGAAGGTCGCACCAGCTGCAAAGAAGAGAGAGAGGGAAAAGATGATGATACATTAAAGGTACTTGTTTCATTGTTCACTAAAAAAGAGGAAAAGAAAAAAGAAAGAGAGGAAAAGAGATCTTGAGAGACAGAGAAAAACTAAAAGAAGATTAACCGCAGAAAAAACCCCGACATAGTGCTAATAACACACATAAGGGAACCACTAAAAAGGGCCATGAATGCAACTAAATAAGGGGAATAAATCACGGAGAGAAAGGAGGTAGGCGGACGGGAGAGGTGGGTGGAGGGAGGGTTGTCGGAGAGAAGGGAAGGGAAGAGGAGAGGAGGAAGAGACATGTAAGAGGCATCGCTTATCCAAAACAGGATATTCATATCTTCATAATTTCATATCGCGTCGTGCTGTCGTCGTCGAGAGAAGCAGGAAAAAAGAGAGCCACATAGGTTCAACTTCACATCAAGATCACCACGATCACGACGACTCCTGCTCAACCTGTCCCTCCCCCTCACTCTCCGGCGCCCAAACTGGCGGGACCTCCCCGAACTTCCTCCCATGCACCCTAAACCTATACAAACACGTATATTCATCCCTCCCCCAATTATTCAAAATCCTCAACGACACAACCCCAAAGTCAACACCAAGCTCCTTGATCTTCGGATCCACACCAAACGTCTGCACATTCCTCGGCGCATGAATGTCATACGTGAAATTTGCCAGACGGATGTACGTCCCGCCCGATTTGGGTAGTCCGGGTGGGAGGAGCGCAGCTTGCGCTTCCCGATCCCTCTTCTCCCATGCATCATCGACGACCTCACCCGCAGCCTCAGCCGCCACTTTCCTCGAAAGCAACTCGCTGTCCTGCCATTCCTTGACTTTGGCGAGGTTGTCGGCGCCTTCGACGAGGCCCCAGACTTCCATCTGCCGAGGTGCGCTGCGCATGTCGAAGGCGGCTTCCTTGGCGACGTGGTCGATCGTGATTTCGTCGATGTAGACAGGTGCGGCGAGTGCGACGCCCAATCGGCCACTCGAGCCAAACATGGGCCAGCAATCGCCACTGTAGGTGTCAGGATGGAGAGCAGTAACAGGTGGTCGACCAATCGCTTTGCCGTTGTTCGTGATGAGACCAGCGACTTGCGCTCGGATAGAGTTGGGCTTGATCTCAAAGGTGGGAGAGGTAAGAGAGGGAATAACGCGTGCGCCAGCGGAATGGAGCGCGAAATCGACCTTGAGCTCCTTGTTGTTCATCGCGTTGGCCACAGAGTGGTCGACGAGTTGGGAGATGAGACCGGTGACATCTTGGCCATCTGGAGTGGTGATCTGCAAGCGACCCTTGGAACCAGCGATAACCTTGTTCCACCAGGCTGTACCGGCGGGAGGGGCAGGCGCAGCGGGTGTCGATGCTAGCTTCTTACCAAGCTCCAAAGCCTCCTTCAAGGGACCCTCGAAACCAAGCAACTTGTCCTCCAAAGCCTTGAGCTTCGCCCGAGCCTCTTCATCACTGCCAGCAGGAACCCGAGCCTTCTCCTTCTCGTACGCCTTTTTCTGAGCCTCGATTTGAGCCTGAAGCGCTGCGATCTCTTCTTTGACGCTACTGACAGTCGAGCCGAGGGCACCACGAGCGCGAGATTCGGTGTCCAGGATCCGCTTGGTCTCTGCTGACCACTTGCCCTCGATTTCTCCGAGTTTGTGGTGGATGTCCGTGAAACCTTTGGCAGATTCCTCAACCTTGGCCTTGTTCTTCTCGCTCTCGACTGTAAGTCCGGAAAGAGCCTTCTCGATCAGTGCCAAACGGGCCGTGACTTCGGAGATATCTTGTGGTGGGACGGGAGGTGGGACGTAGATGGGCGAGGTCGACCGGTCGAAGCTGGGGATAAGTGAATGGAGGGCGGGATGCTGGAGCATGTACCATGCCGAGAGGATGGTGGCCGCGAAGAAGATGTACTTGCCCACCATCCGGAAAAAGCCAGGTCGTGCACTCGAGATCCATTGCGATGGTCGGCTGAAGACAGTGTGGAACACCGTGCCAAAGCCACGACCAATAATCAGGGTTATGGACGATAATAAGACGAAGAATACGTTGAACATCCTGCCGAGAATGGCACCGATGGAGAATCGTTGTTGGGAGCGGACGGGAGTGGAGGACCGGGAGTTCTTCCGTGGCCTTCCTGTGGAGGGTGGTTTGCTCTGCGCTCGCGACTGTTTCGCAGTGGCTTCAGGTTCAGGGGGTTCGGATTGTGGACGAATGTCATCTTCGGGAACTTCAGGTATTGAATGCAGTCCACTTTCAGCCATTGAAAGGGATTGGTCGTCGGGAGGGGGCACAGGTTCCACAGATATCCGAGGGACGGATGCTCGCTGAGAGGCGGCGGCTGACTGAGATCGCTGGGGCAACGAGAGGCTCAGCCCGGTGCAAAAAGGCGGAAGTCGAGCAAAACTCACTATGTCTGACTGCGAGATGTCTTCACTGACATCCTCGTCGGCTGCTAGGATGTTGCTCTTGCTCTTCGTCCGTCGTTTTCTCGTCGTCTTGCCACCGGCGACAGTGGGTAGGTTGTTTAAACGGATTGCTGGTTTTGCTCTTCTTCTCCGTTTGCGATCGTCGTCGTCATCTTCCGAAGAGTACTCGTCGTCCGACGTGGGTTTGTAGGCTTGGTTATCTTTAGATATCCGGCCTCGCCTTCCACTAATTCGCTGTTCAGACTTTGCAGCCTGGAGGTCTTGGACAAACCGTTCCTCCTCCTCGTAGCTGTAAGTAGTATCGTTGCCCGGAGCGCTTCCACTCGGGTGCTCGACAGAGTTCCCCTCTCCCTCGGGAGTCCGTTCTCGTACATAGTAGGTTGCCGGGTCGAGTGCGGGCGCCAGCGCTCGCTTGGCGGCAGCGATGACAGCCTGGTAAGGGCTGGTTGCGCGGCCATTGGGACCAATGGAATCTTCGCCTTCGGAATCCGGCACGTGTTGTAGAGAACGGTTTCGCGAGGGTGGTTTCAAAGTGTTGGAAGAGCTCGCGCGACCAGCGATGCGGCTGTTGGGACCAGGTAACCGTCGAGCAGCGGCGGTTCGGGCCTGTTCCTCATATTCAACAGAGGTGCTCCGGGGGATGTGTTGCTGGCTCCGGGAAGAGGAGGCCCAAGAGTGGTTCGGGTTGTGTTGTGCAGCGATAGGCATATTGTCGCCACTGGCCTTGGCTGCTTCGATTGTAAAAGCGTTAGCGATGTTCACAGTTGTATCCTTGACGTTCCACTTGGACGGTGTTGGGTTTACTGTTGCGATTTTAGGTGCGCCTGGACGAGAGGCGAGTTCCGCTTCGCGTTGTTTCTGCTTCGCAAAACGTGCGAGGGCAGGTTCGTTTTCTTCCTGGTAGAGTTCGCGCGTCGGGGACGAGGGCTTTGGAGGGGATCTTGTTCCAAGCGTTCCCGGACTGTTGTGGCAGGTCGTCAGAGCGGGAGAAAATACCAGTGTAGGGAACGACACTGACCCAAAATTGTATGAAGTTGGGATGACCCTTCTAGGGCTTGTTCTATTGTCTTTTGGTAGTTGTTTTCCGAGGAATGTATCGCGATCTAGCCTTCTGCCTTGACCTAGCGGTGTCCCAGAAAATGACATGTAACTGTGCCAAACACAGACAACGTAAACCACGAGGATGTCGCCGTCTAGATTAACGGCAAACGCGTGTTATCCAGTTAATTTCAGTAGAGTAGTGGAGCCTAGAGGTCGTCGTGCGGCGGCGCTGCAGAACAGCAAAAACGGTGTTGTCGTCGTCGATGTGGTCGGTCGTTGGGAGAATGCAACAAGTTCACGGTCCAACCAAATTCAGATCAAGCGCGTCCACACGTTTACCCTTGTTTGTACATCGAAACACGTGGCCACCCACCGATGACAATGGCCTCCGTTCCAATCTGCGACACACAGCGCTTATTGTGCACTGCTAAAAGAAGCCAAATAGAAAAGAGCATTCGATGTTCTGTGAAAGGGAGCAGTTGGAGTAAGAAACAAAAGATAAGCAAAAAAAAAAAAAAAAGGAAAATAAATATTGAGACCCGTAGGTCTACCACTCCGGGAAAGCGTGTCATCCTTGTGCAGGGGCCATGCTAATCTTCTCTGTATCGTTCCAATTTTTTCGTATGTCACCCCGAAGGGGACAATCACCATTGAATTTGTGCTGCGGCATCAGTACGTTTTCTGTATTTTGTTCAGTTTGCGGGGTCCTGATGCACAGCCACCAAGCCTTTGACCCTGTCTCTATGGCGCGTCTCCCTTTACCGACAACCATAATGTACCAACCTCTTGTGTCCAGAGCGCGTTCATTTTTCACAAAAGGCTTTATATCCTCGATATACTATGTAACGAAACAAAGGTTTTGGCCTGAATCCAGCACAAACCTTACGGCAATAGCATCGGCATGGGGTTGTGCTTCATCCAGGCCTTCGGATCGTCATTTTCATCGATATCGCTATTCGCTTTGATCACGGCACCATGACCGAACTCATTTCGAGCTTGAATACCGTCTACATCCAACGAGGCTATCCCTTTGCTGTTTTAGTGGCGGATAATCCCCAACCAAGAACACGAGGACCGCGGGAGAGATCAGAGAAGCACCGTTCGACCTGGATGTGCGGTGTGCCTATAACGTTCCACCCTGGAACGAGACGGATTCGCACTTTCTCCCTTTGACGACCATGGATGCTGCTGTTGGCGACCCGCCGCAGACGTTCTCCAGTCGAGGATTTCGATCGCTGAGTTTTCTGACCCATGTGTTAGGCGTGTTCGCGTTTGTCCATTGTCCTGAACGCTCGCGCTGACGTTCTTTTACTCACAGGTTTGGCCGCAATAACACACTGTCTGTCTCGTCGTCTCCTCCATGAACGCTTCTCGAGAGAGGGATTCAAGCGAACGACATGGGCCCGTATCTGCATCATCGTGATGTCGACTTTTGCTTGGCTATTCACCCTTTGCAGTGCGTATCCATCCGTACCTGACTCGGCGTGCTTCCCTATGAGGAGAAACTGATTTGAGGATCCAGGTGGGACCATCATCCACGCAGCGGGCTTTGAGGGCTCTGAGCTCGTCTGCACCGCAGCCAGCTACCTCAGCCTCGTCTTCTACTCGCTCTGCAAGTTCTTCGTTTATGCTTATATTAGTGAGTTTAGTTGACCACTTCCGCTGACTTAGTTCTGACTGATTCGGTGTAGCTGATAGAGTCCAGGTTCTTTGGGCCCCAGATGCGAACAACGGTCGGCCACGGACGTACATCTACTTTACGGGTATAATCTCGGCTGTGGTATACTGTGTCATCGTAACACTGATGATTAGTAGTAAGTCTGCTTCGCAACCTTCCTGCCCCACAGATGCTAATATTTGGTTAGGTCCCATCTCTGAAATCAGAAGAGGCGAATGCGAGATTGGCCTCAAACCTCTCGGGTCAATACCCCTGCTGGTTTTCCATGTGTGAGCCGTTTTGACCCTCTACATCCGATGAAACTCATGGAGGGCCACTCAGCTACGTTAATATATTCGTCACTTTTATGTTTCTTTTCCCCTTGGTCAACTGGACGCTTATCACCGACAACCTCAAGCAGCTGGCTTACCGGCTTGCTCTGTGAGTTTATTTGACGACTTGGCCGCGATGACCCGATCTAAAACATACTCAGAGCGGCGTTCATTGCATTCTCAACTTCAACAGTACGCCGGCCGTCGTCAGTTTGTATTTTATAACCTAAAGTCGTCCCAGGTCAACACCCTCGTCCTCATCCTCTCCGACGGCCGCGAACTAGCATGGGTCAACCTGACAGCCTGTGTAGCAGACGTACGTCGTCGCCCTACCTCCTTGACGTCTCTATTACACAATTGACTCACGACCCCCACCAGATCCTCATAAACATCGTCGCAATGTTCTGGGCCTCGTCCTACGAAAAGCCTAAACCACCACTACCAGACCAAACTCCAAAACGCACTTCACGATGGGAAGGACGCCGTTCGCCCTCCGTAGCGAGTCTAACGTCGAACCGTACGAGGGCTTCTACCATCCGCGATTCTACCTTCCGGGAATACTCTATTCGCGACCGGGACCGTGATTCAGAATCCCTCGCCCTGAGTGCGCATAGTGCAGCTGCCGCCGCTCAACGTTCGAGCCGCCGGATGTCCCAGCCGCGTCCGGATTCGCTTCATCGGCTGTCGTTGCAGCCTCGGCCATTGGCGGATGCTGAGTTGGGAATTGGGATTGGGGCCATGGGTGGTATTGGGGTCAATGGTGGTTCTGGTGCGGGTACGGGTATGGGTGTTGCGGTTCCGCAGAGGGCGGGGAGGAGGTTGAGTCGGCCGATTCAGGGTCCTGCGCCGCCGGGTATGACGAGGAACTATAGTCCGCCACCGGGTGGTATGATTGGTGGGAATGGCGGGACTGTGAGCCATGGTAATCTGAACTCCAAACCAAAATCGAGGGCGGCGGGGCAGAGGCATAGTCGGTCAGTGAGTCAGCCTGTCAATGTTAATGGGAGTGCGAGTGGGAATGGGCATGCGCAGGTGCTGGGACAAGGACAGGGGCCGGTCCTCCCGACGACGAAGGAGAAGAAGCATTCATCGTTGGCGATGAGTTTTGTCAGTGCTGGTGGATGAGCGCTAGCCCCGACGTGTTCGACGTTGTGAAGACCGGTGTACTAGATGCGATGTATTTTATGAATGCTTGTGCAACATGATATTCAAGTTTGCTACCCCGTCTCTGGGCTCAGGATCGACGGATGCTTTGGTCATGGCCGAAGACAGGCGGCAGGAAGGTTGGCAGAAAGCTTAATGCTTTACAAGTTCCAGCCAGACCCTCTCAGTCCCCTTGTCAGGGTCAAAAGCACAGAAACTGCATGAAGAGGATGGGTGGGCAGGTATTAGGGTATGTTCGCCGTGCTTGCCAGCTCTCATACTGAATATTATCGTCCACATTTGTCACTTGGGAGGATGCGAAGCAGACTTTGAACTTGGAGTCGACAGATCGGACCTGAAGGGAATCGGGGACTGACTCCAGTCTTCGCTTTAGTCCAAGGGCTGTTGAAGCTGATGTCCAAAGTCTGAAGTGAATATACGATACCTGTGTCTCGGTGTAAGCATTTTTCGCCGAGTGGTTAGGCTGCGGGTACGAACATTTCCAAGTACCATGTACTACTTTGAGAATCGCGATTAAGCCGTAGTAACCCGGGGTACTATCACAGATAGCTGTATACATGCTCCTTGGAATTCTTGCCGGGAATCGAGGGCGCAGAGAAGGAGTCGGGGACTATTATCAATCACGATGGGTAGGGGTGCGACTTAGCAAAGGAGAAAGACAGACACCCGCCCTGAGAAGTAAATGCGATGGGCGAGTTCTTTATTCCCCGGGCAGACGGTAAATTGGACAACATCCCTGCACGAAATCCGCGGTCAAGGAAAATGTGGTATGTTCAGCTTCCTCGCCCATACGTACTTGGCCTGCATAGCACGAAGATCATCATGCCGGGATTTCAAGTTCGAGTCGAGCTGGTTCGCATGTTCATTGTGTGGTAGGCCGGGATCGTGCCTTCAATTCATCGAACAATCGAAAGATGAGATCGTCCCGCCCATCTCGAGTGGTAGCAGTGTATTGAACCTGCGGCATCTAGGATGTCCGAACAAAACCGAAGCCAAAGAGTTAATTTTGTGAAATAAGCGCCCAAAAAGCTGTTGATCGACAAGGATCGCGAAGTAAACGTTGACGGAGCGCCCATAGCTCACCGACGGAGGAAGCCGCAAGTCATCCCTATTGTCGCGGAAGTCAAAGGGCTGTGGCTGTACATGCATGGTTAGACCCGGAAGGCGATATGGGCGGTGAGCCTGATCCTGCAGTGCTGTTGAAAGACGTTAGCGCTCGTAGGACGCCATGTAGACGCCCGTTTAAGTTACACCGCTAACAAAAACTAAGCGGATTCGAGTTCGACGAGGGTAGCGGAAATTAAAAGTGATAGTTGAGTTGAGAAAATGGAAGGAAGGCAGTGAAGGTGGGCTTTTGACTATAGAGACTTGCTGTGCATACCATCGGAGGTTTGCCGTTTGTCCTTCAACGAAGGTTAATGATGCTGATATCTTGGGGTACTGTCAAAGAGAATTTGGTGGGGAGTCTGAAAATGGGGTTGCAGAGCTGTAGAGGACGGGGGACGTGGAGGTTTAGCATTGGAGGAAACTAACGAAGGAAGAACAGGGAGTGATAGTGGGTCATAACTTTAATGCGAGTAGGACTGCTACACTCTTCGCGTATGGACGCCTCCTCGCGATCGTGTACTCGTCGGATCAAGGGTGTGTATCTCAAGGCCGAGGAAGCTATACCATTGTCGAAGATATTGAGCGCCCGTCCCAACCTTGCGTGGTATAGTTCGAGGTCTTCCAGTTGAGCTGCACGCCCTTGCCAAGGATCCCCCTTTCCGATTAGTAACTGTAACTTAGCCATAGGCAAGCGTTTCATTTCTGTCAACACCATTGAAAGCCAGTCAGTTAGGTGGGTGGGAAGACAGGAACGGGCGACCGGGGATTTGAAGGTGACTTCAGTGACTAGTGACCGTTTGCAGAGAGGTGACATCCCCACTTCGAGTCTAAAGAGGCTCAACGAACCTACCTGGGGTCGCAATGGATACACACCACTTGTAAGCACCTCAAAAGTATTTTTTGTCTAAGACGCAACGCGTCGCGGATGCTCGGGCTGAATCGAACTTGGCCGAACTTGGTCGCTATTTGATTGATTTCCAGAAAGTAAAGCATCGCCACCAACACCCGCAGGGGAACATTGGTTTCCCCCCTTCCACGATGTTTAAACCCTTAACACTCAAGAAAGCAGGTCGCTTCTGCACCATCGTTACCAGCAAACCTTCGGCTACCTTCGGCTGCGACAAGCATCAGTGTGGAAACGGGAACAGCGCCCAGATGTCACCGTCTGCCGTTCACAATAAGCACGGCCAGCTATAAAACTCCGATGAAGAAGACATGGTCTGCGGACTGACCCTACCCAACGCCCTTCGCTAAACTTCCTTCGACGACGACACTGTGTTTCCAGCGAGATGGAAGAACTCCCACTTGAAATTTGGTTCTTGATCACCGAGTTCTTCACGGACGAGGACCTGTACAATGTCATCGGCGTGAATCGCTTCTTCTTCAACCTGGGTATGAATAAGAAGTACCGAGAAGTAACGCTAGATACAGGGGATAGAAAGATACGTAGATGGCTCGTTCGTGTCAGGTAAAGTCGCTCTACTCTTCGTTCAAACCTTGGTTCTTACACTAGGTGGACAGTGACCAAGGCATAGCTAGCAGAATCAGACGCTTAATACTGCATATCCATCCGGTCAATGAGCCTGCTCCGCAGGAGCAAAGTCAACGGAGCCTGCTTGACTTCCTTTTCCTCGCACTTGACCGCGTTCGACACGGCACTGCGAGCAACCCCAGCCCTAAACTCGAGCCTCTTGACGTCAACGGGATGATCGACAAATTCGTCACCGTCCTTCCCTTGATGACAGGGATCGAAGATTTTCGAATCGTGACCTGGGCCTTGCCACCACACTACAACCTAGACCAACTCTACCTCACCGCGTGGAGTATCTTTGGCAAGAACCTTCGCCGAATCTCCATTTGCGCCAACCTCGGTGGATACAAGTCCCTGCTCAAATCCATCCTTCATTCCCGTCCCTCAAGATTCTGGAGCTCGAATTCTCGGACAGCATCTTCCCTGATGACCCAGCCGAGTACGATATCCTGACGGTGGACCTGGTGCCATTCGTCAACGCACTCTCCCCACAGATCGAAGGCTTCAAGGTGCGGTCCTTCGCGAAACTAGACCTGTCAAGTCTATTCCTCAACATGCCGCCTTTCACTTCGTTGGAATCTACCTTAATCCGGATCCCCTTCGATTCGGCAGTCCGTCGTGATCCCAGTGGCCTCCGTCACTTCCTCCTCCGCTCGTCCGAAACGTTGAAGGATGTGGTGATTCGGTTAACGCCCATGGGACTGGCATTGCAGCCAGCGGCAGAAGAACCCGTGTGCGAATGGCTTGCGGAGTGCGTCGCTGACCCTGGTTGTTTTTCCAACGTCAAACGCCTCGATATCTGCCCTACCAACCTCCCTGCCGGAATCGACATCCTCAATCGTTGCATATCCAATTCGCACAGGCAAATGACGGAGTTTAGAGTTCGGGATCGCTATCTCAAGACTGAAGAAGCTGTCGCACTTTCGAAGACTCTAAGCGCCTGTCCCAACCTCACTACGTTGCATTTGAACATCTTCCAGCTGAGCCATAATGTCTTTGACGCCTTTGCGAGGGATCTGCCTGCTCTTCGCATCTTACAACTATGGATCGGCGAGCCAAGTTCGATGGTGTCGACGAATACTTCTACGACTTTGGTATGTGGTTTTCCGACTTGGGGATGGGGCGACTTCTGATGGTTCCTATGCAGGAAACATTCCGAAAGGATATGGAGACGAGGAGGTACATGGATTGGAAGCTGTGGGATTTAACCATCTGGGAAAGTGGGCATGACTTGGACAGCGAGACGATGCTCACCTTGATGCGAAGCATCCCGTCTCTCAAGAGTTTTGGGGCCAAATTCGAGGATTAATTCCTTGAAGAATGGTCCGATCAATTATTCCCCTGCTCTTTGGACTAGGCCTGTATTATAAACCCGAGGTTGCAGCTCGCTAATCCAATGACTCGAATTGATTTCAACCAGCTTCGCTGGCCCGTGCCTGCGGCACGGGTACGGTGGTTAGGGTCGGGCTTCGCCCTCCTGGCGCGGTGTACTCGCTGGCGCCCGCCTAGCGGCGGGCTCGCGCTCGTACACGGGTGTGGGGGTTCTGGCTTACATAAACATATTACATAACATTCTTGGGTAAGCATTTCCGGTGTGCTTTCATGTAGAGGATTCATGTAGAGGAAGTAGTCGAGGCTATACACCGTACGGACCGGAGCTGGTTGAAGCTCCGCCTCAAAAAGTTTTGACCCGCACAGCGTGGCAGAGACCAGGTTGCTCTATAACCACCATCTTCCAGCAACTTCGCTGACAGTTGCCTTCCCGTTGACCACAGCTTTCTTGGAGGTTTCTCTTCTTGAGTCCTTCACAATTTCGTCCAACTACTCCCCCAAACCCAGGAAACTCTGTTTAGGCAGAGAATTCATGCTTCGTCTTCCAATTGCTATACCGCAGCATAAACGTTGTTTGCACAGATCTTGTTTGCTTGTGAGACCTCGTTTTTCAAAATCTGTCCTCACATGTTTTACTGACCAATTCCTGGCTCATGCAGCGCTGAATTAACTCAACCTGCCCAACATGGCCGCCGGAATCGTCAACATTCGCCGCGACGTCGATGACAAGTTTTATCGATACCGGTGAGTCCCGCTTACGGTACGGAGAGACAGCCCGAGACTAATAAAATTCTGCAGCATGCCGCTCTTGACCACCAAGATCGAGGGAAAGGGCAATGGTATCAAGACTGTCTGTCCCAATATGTCCGACGTGGCCCGAGCTTTGAGTCGCCCGCCCACCTACCCGACCAAGTTCTTCGGGTGCGAGCTCGGAGCTCAGACCTCGTTCGACGAAAAGAATGATCGCTACATCGTCAACGGAGCTCACGACGCCAATCGCCTCCGCGAGCTTCTCGACGTCTTCATCGAGAAATACGTCCTCTGCAAGTCTTGCAAGAACCCCGAGACTGATCTCGTCATCCTCAAGCAGGGTCGCAACGAGGAGATCATCCGGGACTGCAAGGCGTGTGGCGAGCGTACCGAAGTCGACATGCGCCACAGGTTGACAACTTTCATCCTCAAGAATCCACCTGTCAAGGTCAGGAAGGGGAAGAAGAAGGACGTCGCTGGCGCTGCTGACGGTGTAGGCGGCGGAAGTCCCGATGCGACCGAGGGCAACGGCGAGGGCGACGCTGGCTACGAAAGCGACGATTTTCTCACCAAGAAGATCAAAGCGGAAGCCGCTGAACTCAATGCTGAAGCTTCCATCGCAGACGAGGGTTGGTCTGCCGATACCTCCCCTGAAGCCGTCAGGAGTCGCATCCAAGCTCTCGAAGCGGGCATGGCTGCCACTGTTCTCGGTGGTGACGACGAGAGCGACGAGGACGCAAACAGCCCCTACTCTCTGCTGGGCAAGTGGATCGAGGGGGAGAAGGACAGTGGAGCTGAGGACCCAAAGGCACTGTGCATCGCCATCTACAAAAAGGCTTCCGAGCTCGGTATCGAGAAGAAGCACAAGGCTATGACTATCATTGCCCAGGCTCTCTTTACCGACAAGATTGTGTCCGAGATTGAAAGCTATGCCCCTCTATTCCAGAAGGTACGTGTTTTGTCGAGGAGGACTCCTAAGTACGGTGCGCTGATGCTATGCCTTCTAGATGGTGACCAGCGAGAAGCACCAAAAGTCTCTTCTTGGAGGCATTGAACGCTTCATCGGCCTCATGCACCCTGACCTCGTGCCCGCCGTTCCCAAGATTCTTATGGCGTTCTATCAAGCCGATATTCTTGAGGAGGAGGTCATCACCCAGTGGGGCACCCATGTCAGCAAGAAGTATGTTGACAGAGATACGAGCAAGAAGGTCCGCAAGGCGGGCGAGCCTTTCTTGAAGGTACGAAACGTGTTTCCCTGCTTACCTGCTCCAACTAACATCCTCGTTTGTAGTGGCTCGAAGAGGCTGACGATGATGATGATGATGACGACGAGTGATTTCGTTTACAGTATTCTTGATTTTGTATCGTCAATGACTGTACTTTACGATGACAGTCACTATATGTCCCTTTTCTTGTTTTCATAATGTGATTTGCCTCGACGCCTCTTCATTAGTCGTCAGGCCTCAGGTTAATCCCATTTCTGTGATGCAAATTCGCCGACGCAAGAAAAATGGATTCTGTTGTGCATCATGAGACTAGTTATTGTCGAAGAGTTGACTCTCAGAACCAGGCGTTTTGCATGTAGTCTCGCCATGACCCAAGTCCAATCTCATGTTCCTAGTCCAATAAGCACGCTCAGACTGCTTTATGGGTGGTGCGATCAGCTGAACAAGGGCGTTAATTATTTTGTTTCCTGGTTGCAGCGACGACCAATGGCACTACTACCAACCTGGTGCAAAAAGAGCAAAACGAAAAAAGTAATGCCACGTACCCGGATTGAACGAGTGACCTTCCCATGAACTTGCTTGCTATCACAAGCTGTTACAAGTGGGACGCGCTACCACTACGCCAACGCGGCTTGTATTACAGAAGTCTAGTCTGCAACAACACCGCACATCTCGCTATTCGTATGGGTTGTCGCTTCTGTGAAGATTGAATGGTATCAAACACCAAGAAGCCTTCAGAGAAACTTGGCGACAACGAAGTTGATTGAAAGCCGGTAATCATGAAAGAAGAAAGGTCACACCCGCACCTGCGATAAATCACCACCCTGAATGCGAGGGTTATAGAAGAAATGTATCCCACCCTTCTCAGGCGTTCGCACCCTTCAATAAGTCAAAGAACAGACTACTTCGAACGTTTTACAAGCAAACGGGGTACAAACGCTTTCCTGGGATCAAGTTTCTACCCATGGCAAAGGTCGTGGATAACCTAACATACGAGATCGTACTTATGGTCATGGCCAATAGAAAGGTTCTAATGCGGCTTTCAAATCTTTTAGAACTGTTCCTGTGGCTTTCGATACTACCCCAATTTTTCTAAACCTTGCGTTTGATGGATCCATTCCGAAGAGGAAGCGTTGATGACCTCGCGGATTTGAGTTCCACTCGACCGGCAATTGCTTCGAGGAATCGTGCCCGCCTGTTCCATGTCGGAAGTCCAAGACATTGGAAAAATACAATGGAGTCGTTTGGGCATAATTGAAGACAACGGCTTCGAGGGTCTAGGTCAAAGAACCAGGAGAAGATCTTTTAAAGTTCCTCTTGGCCATCGGGGTCCGCAACGGCTTTGAACCACTATTTTCAGAGCGCTTGGCCCTTCCTCACTTTCCTCGTGTCATTAGGACATCCACTGCACTGCAATTCAGTTGGAAGATGCTGTAAGGGTGGGTATGTCAGGGATCAGATCGTGATGTCGCAGTGCGGCCCAGCCCCCCGGTGTTCACCTCGTGGTGCAAGTCGTATTCGGTGAGGTCTAGACAAGGTGAATGGACCGAAAGAGTAGTATTCGGATTGACTCTTACTTGTTGACTGCATCGTCGTATGTTAGTTGCAGTTAACGGATTCTGCACTAACAAGCCAGTGGCCATAGATTTTCGAGCGGTGTTCGTGTGAGTTAATGGGTCAACAACGGTCATCGACTGTCAGACCGCTTTAATATCTTAGAAATCCAGTGTAATAAAATGAGAATGACGGCTAATATTTCAAAGCATGTAATTGATATGGCGTAGGAATGAGATAACATTGGTGGTGTGTTGGTATAGTACAGTGACGACAGAGCACGTATGAATCCAGAGAACCCATTGACAAAGAAACTGCTGTAGACTAGTGTGAGATGACCCATTGTAACGAAAGCACGAAAGCAAGACCGAAAGCAATGCATGAAAACAAAAGATTAGAATGAGAAAGTCGAGCATGGAGTACAAAATGTCCCAAGGAAATGAATGGCAAAAAATTAACGGGAGAGGAGGAGCTTCATTAATCAATAGCATGAAGACCCGCTCAACGAATATGCCATCATTGTCTCGCGACGGGCAAAATCGTTCGAGTGGCCCAAGTTGAGGCCCCATGCCGCAGTTCTTGGTTCTGCATATAATGAAGCAGCATGGCCACCATCCCCGTTCATCTCATACCTCGGTCCTGCGTACCCCGGAACACCAGCAAAGTCGTCTTGCATCCGAGACCTATGAGCGGAGTATCCGCTCACCGACGGAGATTGACTGAACCCGGTCTGCCAATGCAAGCCTGATGTCGAGGCTGCATATTCCAACGACCGATTACTCTGGAGAGTATACGAGCCGGAGTGTGGAGGCCAGTAGCCCGAGTGTTGGTTCCCCATGCTCGATTCGGGGTAGGGAGACGATGAATGAGGGGAATCATGGGATCTGGGAAGGTGTGAGGAAGAGGGATGAATGGGAACGGGTCGGTGGAGCTCGGTGGCGGTCGTAGGTCTAAACTTCGACCCATGGTCGGTCGGCACGTTGAAGTGGTAGACGATGGAAACTTCTTTGGCAGTGGAGCTAGGAGCCATCGTAATCGCACTGGCAAGCGAGTTTGAATCGCGCGACGTAATGTACGACCGAAGGACTTGGACAACGGTGATGTGATTGGGATCTAATGGCAATGAATCCAGGTCAGAAGAGAATGTATATCGTAAAGGTTGGAAACTTACCTTCCCGTTCACAGAGTGATTGCCAAAAGTCAGGAACGAGGTGGCAAGAATAAACCTGACCGCCGGACGTGGTAATGTGTGACGATGGCGACTCGATACGGAGAACGCTGGTGTGCCTATGGATCAGGTTCGACTCCTTGTACACTGACCACGACGTCTCCTGAACCAGTGGCCAAGGCGAGAAGAGCTCGATCGCATTCGAAAAGAACGCGAGAGCTGGGGAATGTCTGCCGGACGAGGAGATGCTCGAGTGCTGGTGGATGGGGCTAAGATAGAGAGAGATCGGGGTGTTCATGTCGTTTGGAGTGAACTGGAGGCGTGGCACAGGGTAGCCGCTCCCAAAGTGCCTTTCACCGGGCAATTCGATTTGCACATAGACGACAACCTTGTCATCGGAAAGCGAGGGACTGGAACTCAGCTCGCGAGCCGACAGGGAGGGCGTGGGTGAGGCCTCCGTCTTACACTCTGGAGCGGGTACCTTGCCCAGGAGCTGATAGACTAAGGGTCTCGATGAGAACCAGTCCTTGGCACAAAAAGAAGGGAAAACGTACGCTTCGGATCCTTGCAGGTATCGCGCAACTGCTGGAGTCGGCTACCAACCTGTTTTGCAGTGCGAAGTTTGCCAGTCTTCTCGAATATATAATCCGAGATGAATCGATTGCGCATGGGATAACGAACGCCATGCTTGCTCGTGGTTGGTCGAGTTTCTATTTTGCGATACTCTTCCAACGCTGTGTCGGAAAACACCGAATCAGCTAAATGCGGTACTCCAATCACAAAGGGTTTGTCTTACCTTCGATTAAAGCACCCTCCCTGATGAGGAAGCAAGGCGAATGTTAAATGGGGACAGTTCGACAAACGACGAGAATAGATACTCACAACGCTGGTGGCCAGACTGCTTCTGGCTTGCCTTTCAAAGTCTTCCAGCTGCGACGACCAGTGGCTGCAATTTGGGCAGCGTCACGGTTCTTTTGACCCTCCGATGGGGAGTAAGAGAGGTCGTCGACAGTGGACATGGCAATAAAAGTGATTTGTTGGCCCTTTGCAGAGCCTGGTGCAGCTGGGAACCATTCTCCGGACTCCATTGCAATGAAGATAGACGCGTTAAGTGAGCAGAAAGTCTGGAAAGGAGCGAAGGGTAGCTCGAGGACGAAGAGCTTTGGTTTTTTTGGCACTCATCAAGTCACTTCCTTTATATGCATACCAAGTATCTAGGAACAACCGGGAAGATCTCTGGATGCTGACTACTGTGGGCTCCGGGAATCGGGGCTAGTGAAAGTGGTTTGCTCAAAGCACCGCTTCCATTTTGGCGACCCGATCTGAATTGAAGCCGAGAGTCGAACCGAGCCAGGTCTCTCGAAGCCCGCTTAGAGAGATACACGGTGCGTCTTTATTACCCCGATGGAGGGGAGCCGTGAGCTGCTCTATGTCGGTGAAAGCGTGTCAATTTCACTACACCTAGTCACAGCGTATCAAAGTGTCCACACTTCAGCGGCCAAGGAAAAGACCCAGGGGCCTGCGAATTCTGGCAGAAAAGAAACTGTGCGTTCTAATGTGCTGTGCTGGGTTCTGTGTTCTGGGGGGTGGTCGACTGGTCATTCAAGTTGCGTGAGAATCAGGGTGAGTTCAAAGCAAAAAGGGGTGACAATGTTGAACAACAATGTCTCGAGGTGCTGCGGGAATCGCTCATTGTCAGAAGAATCCAAGACACTTCGAGTTCGAGGAGAACACTGTAGCATCAGGTGATAAAGCACAGCTTGTCGTCTATCGACCCGAGGATTCCGGGTTCGTTTCGGAAATCTTCCTGGTTTGACCCTGCACTTACGGCCTTTGAACACATGTAGAGAGGGGTAAAGTTGTTTCTCTTAGTGAACGACGGATGGCCATCGCTACGATCTAACCCCAAATACGTGGCTACTACCCACCAAATGTTAGGAATCACTATCCAAAAAACCCAAACCCTCCTTCCAAATCGCGCTCATTGAGATTCGACCCGAGACCACGTTCCCCTTTAGACTGCTCTGTACCTTTCTGAGGGGTCAGTCAAACAAGCACTATCATCAGTCTGCGCCTCGTTCGTCTCCGTGCCCAGGTCAGATTTCTTCCGATTGGGCACAGCGGACTCATCAAGTCAAAATCCCAAACAAGGATAAGTCCGAGCCGTAGGATACCTTCAGCTCACCTTAATCCTTCCTATCCCTGGCCATGGGCTACGTGAGCTTTTCGAGCTTTACATGGTGCAAGACGCTCTCGTAACTCCCGGTGTGACATCTACAGGAGCTGTCGATAGTATCAGGTATGTTCCGAAGCATCTGCCTTCGAATTCGACCCATGACAGGACAACCAGTACATAGCGTCCCCGGCTGATTTCCTTCTTAGCGGGGAACTTGCAGCGGTGTCTGTGCACATATAAAAAAGAACACGAGGCATTCGGCACTCGGTTTTCTCTTGTTTACCGTACTATCATCACATGTTGCTTGAAATGTCCGTTTAGAAAGCCTATTCTAACTAACGCTCGACCAGGTCGACGGCGAAGTCTCCTTTGCTGAATCCACAAAGTCATAATATTCCAAAGCCAGCGAAAGCGATCAACGACATAGAAATATGTACCGGTCTGATGCCCTACTTAATATTCGTCCATCGCTTATCTACCTATAGACACGGTCCGAATCCGAGCAAAACCTCCACCCACAGGCGGCAGAGCTTGTCCAGGGGAAACTTGTCTCCTTGCGAGAAGGACATCTTCACCTGGTCGAGGCTTTACGTTGTCTCGGTGGCGAAGATCCGGAATTAAGCCCTACGGTGACTTCGGTAATCTTGGGAGTTTGGTAGCCAGCCAGAGGCGCGAGCAATGTGGTAAAGCTGATTTGCCCAGCTGATGTTACACCTTCCTATCGAGGTACTACCTTGATTTAATCCGGATAGACTAGATTCGCTTTGGTCTCCTCCACGATATCCTAACTGAGACTGAGTGACCTTTTGAGAAGAACTTCTGCGGATCAAGCAAGCCTGTTGAATCACTAAGCTCCCACTTTCGCCATCCAACACCAAAAGGTCGAGGCTTTGAAGTCACCCAACTTTGCAGGCCAATGACGCACTACCAACCGATTCGACTCGTCAAGAATAACCCGCCCTTGTCCTTCCATTCACCAACTGAATCAGCAAATAGGCACAGGTCTGTGAATTCCTTGTGCCAAGAAAGTTCAAAGCGAGCGGAGTTGCATTGGAGGGAAAACCGAAGAAGTTGGCGCTGGCTCGACGGTCACGAAGGAAGCGCCCAAGAGTGGAGCCCACCTCGAGATGGGGTATCAGCCGGGGGCGCCTTGATCGCCTTGAAAACTTCATGCCTTCTCATTCAGTGTTACGGCACCGAGCCATCGATAGCCCTGCGCAAACCCAGGACTTGTCCTCGATGGGGTATGATCTGTGGGGGGCCATTCAACCTATCCGCATCACAGCTCCGTGAACCCGTACGTCCATCGACCCACTAGAATGCAGAGAATGAGGAGAGAATGACGGAGGGGTACGGGGTCTTCTTATTTCCCCGCGTTGCGCACGAGGAGGCTAATGTCGTCAAAAAAAAAACATATGACCTCTCACCTACGTGAAGTAGAATCATCGATATAGTACATGCGACGATTGGCTGCCGAGACACCCTTGACAGGGAGCTCCAAAGCCCCTTTGAATCCACCTTCACCAAGAGTCCAGACTTCTGCCATATTCGAATATTCGAAGCAATCTTGTACTATGCTGTTACAATAGTGGTATCTTTCTCCCTTGTTTTCAAAGTCAGCTTAGGCTCCCTTGTTTCTTTCAATTGAGGATTACGAGCTGTCTTGGCAATGCTAATAGAATCACCTTTGGAGTCAAGAGTGAATGTCGCGTTCTGGAGCCTAGACTCAGAAGCCAACCCCGAGGGAACCGCGATGGGCGGAGGGAGAAGGAAAAAAAAAGCAGTAGTGATTCATGCCAAGACACCGAGGTAGGAGGAAGCCATCGACATCATGATAGGCGCCGTTTGAGAGCTAGATATTGATCTTTCGTTGCTGATTGGAGGGAAGGCTCCGCCTACGTCATCATCACTTTTTCCACTTGTTGGACCGAAGGCCTCGCCCACTATACAGGTTTACAGCATAAAACATCAGCTGTATAACTAATAACGTATTGGAATTGAATAGACACGTGAACCAATCGCGCCCAGGAAGAATCCGTATAGCTGGATGAAAACTTCTCTGAAAATTTAGAGGCAGGCCCAAGTACAGGGAAGGTATTGATTAGACGCTCTACAAAACTGATGTATGACGTCCTGCGGAAAGTTACATTCACTTGAGGCATTTGTATTGGACTGCTGTGAGTTCATGAATTAACGACGGAAGAGAGCAAGCTCGCTTATCGTGTGTGGCGGGCGATAGATAGGAAGGAATTAATGAAATGCGCATCGGAGCAGAAACGAAAAGGTCTCCCGTGTTGCAGTCAGCCGGGGTGTCTACCACCTACGTTATTGCCTCTACAGACCTAGACATAACATAAAGGCCGTAACGCGGAAAAGTCGAGGCCTAACAATTAAAACATATGGAAGTGAAGTGTTTTTCAAGTGTCCCAAACTAGAAGCGAAGACGATCCTTCACAAGGTCCTTGACCTCGTCAGTGGCGTCCACAACACGCCCCCCCTTGCATCCTCGTGTCAGAATCGAACGGGATGTTTCCGGAATATGGACTTCAGAAGGCATGGATGTAGTAACTTATTGTAATCCATGGATGGATCATGGGGAACTTCGGCGTAGGGATGAGGGTATGAGTTCACGAGCACACTGGACACTCACGTTCACCATATTCCACTTCCCGGACCACCCGAGATATGCGGTGGTTTTGAGGTCTCTCTTGGTAAGTTTTAGACTATCGTTAGATTCAGTGTGATATGGCATGGTTAAGGTAGAACATACGAAACGAACCAAGCTCGTACCATAGGTGATTCCGAATCTCCATCATCCCCGCTAAAGGCAGCGTGTCCGAACACCTACCACAGATCGCGGATCGCAGTTTTCGGCAACACCGGGGAGGGATGTGCTCCGGGACGACGAGTCTGCTGTGCGACAGAACTTGAGGTGGAAAGTCGTCGGTCACATATGACCAGTAGGATTTGAGTAAGGACGAGAGAAACCAGTGCAGACACAAGAGAAACGCCGTCCTCGAGACTCTTGGTGCTCCTCGAGTCGCCCCGTCGGTCAGATGCAAGGGATTACCATCTTACTCCATTTCTGCAGTGTGGGCATTGAAGGCCATGAGAAGCCTAATCGGAGGCTTCGACAGGCTAAACATAGGCTTGCTTCTGTGTGATCAAGTTTCCGACGGCCGAAAGGGAGAAAAACACGAGACATGAGGCGCCAGAATTAGGCTACAGCCGCGAGTCGAACAGCCAGTACAAGGTTCGGGTATGGAGACCGTCGGTCGCACGCAAATGTCGGAGCCAAGTGTGGGTAAAAACTCAGCTGCTTCTGTTGACGATGGGAGCGGGAACATCGTGCACCGTGGACGACTTGAGACTGCGGAGTGCCACAAAAACTTTGGGCTTGAATCTGTTGGTTTGAAATTTTTCGAGTCAGAAGAAGCTGGACGCCTAAGCGCCACGGAGAAAGAATGTCATCGGGTGCTCGTCAAATGGAGCCCCTGAGTGGGGAGAGGGTGCTCAGATGCACCGACGTGTAAGTGCAAATAATTGGCGAGTCGCAAACGAACGAGTACGAACCGATTCGCCAACGAGAGCCAACAGCAGAGCGACGACAGGCACAACGCCTCCGGCGTCAGAACCCGTCATCTCGTTTATCGCGGAGGACTGTCGATACGAAGTGCCGTTGTGTGCCCGAGGGACCCCTTGGCCATGAGCTTGCTTTCATTACGCCAGAGGTGGTAGGTTGAAGCCCAGGAATAGCGATGGGTGGAAATGAAAACAGGGGATGATTGAGTATAACGGGACGGAGGTGCAATGGCCGATGTTTCATTTGTCACGAAATGTCAGGAAAGTGATATCGTTGACGGGAGAAAGAAAGAGTTGTCGTGGAGGCGCAGGTCCAGGGGCACTGCATTCGCGACATGCGGCCCCTCGACATCATCTCACGTGACCTCTGCCGGGGAACAACAGGGAACAACCGACGGGGGTCGGACTCGGACTCGGAGGTTGGGCGACAGCCGCAGGGAACGCTTGCTCAGGTCGATGACCTGGCCCACCCTGCCACTGGTTACGTCGACCAAGCAAATCTAGAACCTTCGGGGTTTGGAATTGAACAACGCAAACGATGACGATGGGACGGAAGACCTGCAGAAATGCCAGCTAGGCGGAAGAGGGGGGGAATTATCAGCACAACGTCTCGGAGCAGCCGATAGAACAGGAGGAATAAAACTGGCCAAACCACCTGTCCAAGCACATACGCAACAGCATGTAAAAGAAATGGAAAAGATGAAGTGCAGCATAAGCAAGGGGGTGCTTATTATTATACAACTACAACTAGAAGCGCGTTGTGATAGTGTATCGACGGCTGGAAAAAAAAAATCTAAATGATGCAGGGACAGCACACGCAAAAAAGCAGTTCAAAAGCCGAGCATGAGGTTGATCACTCGCATGTGGGATGAAGGGACTGTGTGTGCGACGTGCGACGATGAGGCGATTACTCGGTGATTGGGAAAGTTGGAAAGGAGAAAATGCCACAATCGGGATTGGGGAAAAGAAGTGGGGTATGCGAAATAAACTCAAATCGTAATATACCGAATGCGTGGAGAGGTTGGGGCAAAGCTTCGAACCAAAATGTCTAGATGAGCAAAGGGGATGGATGGTCCAAGTGTGTGATCGTGGCCTCGCGCTGGGTTCATTTGAGTTTGATGATTTTCATTGCTGGCGTGAATGGGAAATTGCCGGTAAAGAAATTGACGCAAATGAGGTGGTGGGGACGTGGCGGGTGATGTAGGAGGACGTCGCCCTTTGGCCGAGGTGATCAACGTGCCAGGGAGGATGACCGTAACCCCTGTGCCAACTCGGATTTCCACTCGAGTCTTTTGACGGCTTCGTTGTAATCGACCCATTCTCTTCTCCGCTCGTGCCTCTCTAGCCAATCTTGGTCGAGAGTCGAGACGTCCAGTTCATAAAAATGGTACGTTGTGGAGGGTGATGGTATTGTCGTTACGTATCTGGTGATGGTGCCACGTACGCCAGCTGCAGAGCGTTGAAGGATGAAGATGCATGCATGCAAGCAAAAAGAAGGAAGAGAGAGGATATCAGGAGGTGAGGAGACGGTGAGAGGAACAAAGGGTAGGACCTTCTTCCAACGCCTCTCTCGAGGCTGCAGCCTCCAGCTGCACATCAGACGGTTCCCATCCTCCTTTGGGCACTGTTTCAGATTCATACAAAACGTCAGCCAATCCGCTCGTAAGACCAGTGGAGAAAAACCGAGCAATGACAAACGGCAAGCCATGGGGCTCGTTCGAACAGCAAAACGAATGAAGAAAAGGAGATAATGGTACTTACAAACCCAGTGATTCGGTCTTTTACGGCTTGTGACGACGAGCACCTTTCCAGCAGCTCGTGAAATAGGGATTGCACAGCACACGACACGGGGAACGAGACGACCTTTGGTGCCCATGATGAAATGAAGTGGTGCTGATGATGATTGGTTTACGGTGGTTGGTTGAGAACTGGGTTTGAAGGCGGGTCAACTATAGCTTCATGAGCTAGTGGACCAGTGACGATGGATTCCGTCAATCTCTGGACGGGCGAACTGTGTTCCTTGTGAAACGGGGGACGAGAGCGCGCACGGGGGGAGATAAGTGGTGGAAGGTTGTTGGTAGATTAAAGGAAACTGAACAAGGTGTTGATAACTGGTGTCTGTGGAGAGAGTGGGGGAATCCGGTTAGGCTTTAGTGGACGTTGGGTTTAAGAAGAAAAAGCAATCGTCGGACCTAGAGTTGGTTGTTTGGTTGAAGGTCTAAATAAGTCGCCGGAATTAATAGACAAGTAGGCAGAGACGACAATTAGATATTGAATAAAGCAGGGAATCAACGCTGGAACGAGTGGAACAGAACGAGTGCTCGCTCTGTATTCCTCTAATTTTACGTTGCCTAATCCACACACGCACGTTGGTCCCAACTCCGGCCGGCACCGGAACATCCCGTCACAAACTCCGACTCGGCGCCCCGGCATCCCCACCTCCTCCGTCACCTCGACCCTTCAAGCGTCCCACTCTCCGCTCTCAGCACACATCCACAGTCCAAAAGCGCGTTCCATTCCTCGAGATCCGAAGACAGAGATAAGGAATCAAAAATAAATAGCGGTGTGTACGGGTATATCTATCGCGTTCACTCGTTCCAGCTGAAACGGGTACTCTTGTCAACACACCGTCTAGAATTCAAATCGAGAAGCACTCACGCGACAAGGAACATGCATAAAACTCCGAAGGCCATTGCACCAAACTGTACGTCGAAGCCCAAGTCAGCAAATGCGACCGAAGCCATCACAGATCACGAGTCAAAAAGTACCTCTCGAAGAGCCTGTTTTGCCCCTTTACTTTCCGTAAGAAGCCTAGAAGATTCGCGTCAGAAGAGTCATGATCGAGGTGGAGTCAGAGATGAAATGGAATTTGCGACTTGGAGCAGACATGGAGAAACATGAAGCTCGAAATTTCGAGAATGGACAGGTCAAAACTTGAGCAAGTCATCACTTACGTCGGGAGAACGGCCACAGCTCCGATGTAAAGGAAACCTCCGGCGACAAACGGTATCACCTGAGAAAGCGCGTTGACAGTCCGTGGTCAGTAAAGCGAACGAGAACAGAGAAAAAACTTGCTCACCAGGTCAGAGAGTTGCACTGTAGTCCCCAATAGTCCAGTGGCGTTCTGCCTCACCCCAGAGGCGAGGTCGACGAGAGGTGGTTCTTCACCGGATGCGGTTGCATTGTGGACTGCTATGCCGATAAATGTTCTTTTTTAAGGTCAAGATCAGCATGATGTGATGGACGATTGTTAAACGTTCGTACCCAAGCTGTGAAGAGACGTCATGATGTTACCAACGTTGTTCCCCGAGTACACTCTCTCGATACATAGAGGGAATAGGCATAATTGACACTCACAAAAGCACCGATGGCAGTCAGAAATTGTGATTGCATCGCCTGGCGTTTGGTGAAGCCGCTCCGGATGAGGATGGAATAATCGGCAATTTCATGGGGAATTTCATGCGCGAAACATGCCAGAGTGGTGGTCGCACCAATCAATGGGGATGCGTAGAAGGAGGCTGCCATTCTGGAATAGAAGGAAGGGGATGAGGAAGTGGGTTTGTTGGTCACGCTATCTGGAGCGCTGTGAAAACCACTTACGCGAGGCCATCGGTTCTGCGGGTTGGCGATGAACGTTGTTCAGCGCCACTAGGAAATGCGGGATAGGTCAAAGGGTTCTTACATGTTATGGACAAAGTCTCCGAATAGATTGAGGTACGCGGACAGCTTGGAAGGCCCGGAAGACGCGGTATGCGGGGCTTCTTGATCTTGACTATTCGACTTTTCTGCATTCTTCTCACTGCGGTTCTTCAGTCCATTCTGGGAAACAGATTTGCTTGCTCCAGACGCGTCTACTGCAACTGGTTCTACGTGTGGTTGGTGACTGTGTGAGTGCGAATGCGAATGACCGCCCTCCTCGTCTCCGCTCAACACTCTAAGAGTCTTTTCCATGAAAAAGAAGGTTGCAAACCCAACGAAAATCCCGAGTCTACGAGGGAGGGAACGATTTGCATCCGAGGTACAGAGGTATACTAAAAAGGTAACTCACCCAATTAAAATATTGCGCTTCTCTTCGACCACCACCACATGTACGCCTTCCCCTTGGTGTTCGCCCATGAACGAGTGAGGGATTAGGTGAAGGAAGACATCAGACAGAAGTCCGCCGGTCTGCAGGCAGATAAGAAATGTCAGAAGACCGGATGAACGTGTCTGGAGGACGTGATAGTTAAAAACTGTGACCCACAGCGAAAGCCGTCATGGTATTCAACGTGTTGGCATTGATTTCAGCGGGTATAAACGCGAGGATGAAGTTGGGTATCCTGTATCGAATGTTTGAGACCTTGATTGAACAACACTGGGAGGCCGCAGACAGAGATCTTGCTTACGAGCTGATGTAGAAGGTGCCCAATATTGCGTTCCAAGCTGGGCCGAAAGGGAAGAGGACAGCAAAGATCTGGCGGAGAAGCGGCGATTGCTCATCCTCCAACGCCTGCTTGAGCGCACCGAGTTTCTTCAACGATTCACATTCATACAGTTCCTTCTCCTGGATAGACACGAGTTTGAGGTTGAGTAACGCGGTGAAGAGAAATGGGATGTGATTTTGTTGTCGTCACCCACATCAACCGAGAGAACCGCTTCTGTTCCGCTCTTCACGTCGGCGGTGTGCCCTCTGACTTTGACGACGGCCAGAAGTGCTGCAGCGAGCGTTAGAAGCAGTAAGGAGCGACTTCTGTAGGCCATTTTGTCGGCCTTGAGGGTCGAAATGAGTGACGGGGAAAGGGAGGGGACTGCCTTGGACACCGTGTACGCCGGCGCCTTGACGCTCTCAAGGCATGGGAACAATGTTCCACTTATGGAAGTCCCATCAATCAATTAACCCCTATCGCTATCTATTCCTTCTCATGGCTGTTCCTTCGCAATTATCTCGTCTTCCGACTGCCATCCTGCAAGAGAGGTAAAAAATTGTACGATAGATAGGTGCACAGTATCTAAGCCTTTGTGACCGAGGTATCCACAAGTGCCCCAATCAACTCTCTCACAATCTGCGCCCCAGCGCTTATTTCCGCCTCGCTCTCCAACGGTGGAACGTGAACGAACACAACATCCCTCTTCTCCTTCCTCTTCTGCATCTCCAACATACTGCAGTAATAAATGAAGCCGCACAAATAAGTCCCCACGTCGTCGCTCAGCTTTACCTCCAGCCTCCTCTTCGCCTGCTTGCCGTTCGCATTATCGGCGTCCTTGACAGGTATGGTAACGGACGCACAAGCGCTCTGGCAGGCCGAAACTGCTGACTCAAGATCGAGCGAGCTCTTCAACGAGGACGGGTGTTTGGCGAAGGCGGTCTTGTTGTCAGAGCGCGTGAAGACTTTGCGATCGTAGTCAGGGATCTCGTGGTACCCCTCTTTCAGGGCACTCTGTTCGACGGCTATGTAGTCTATTCCGGCGTCCAAGCCGATGTGCACGACCAGGTGGGGGTTGTGCTTCTCGATGAGCTCGGGGGATTGGGCGAACACTTTGTGGTAGACTACGGGTATGGGTCCGGATACGATGAGTTTGATTGGTGTGCCATTTGGGCTCGTGAGTTCAGTTGGGAGGTTGCGCGCGATCTCCCAGGACGGGTTTGTGGTTACGTCGCGGAATGGCTACAAGTCGAATTTAGTCTGTTTTTGGGCTGAGGAAGGCGAAGAATTGGACGAACTCCGAAGCCGGTGACGAGGACTTTGATTTCTTCAGTGGACGAGGTTGGTGCCATGATAGAGAAGATGACGATGCGGAAGGAAGTCTAATGATGTCGTCCATTTTAGTGTATATCACTGTCGTGCTTGTGTGGGTATGCCTTTGATTCCTTGCGCTGTGTAGACAAGGGCTGACTCACGATCATGTCGCATCCACCTGTCTCCCCGAGTTTTTAGGTACCGGCACGCTGATGATCATCGTTCGGCGCTCAAAACCACGCGTGGATCCAACATATGGTGCTCAACGTGCAGCATGGCCGGCTCTAAGTTTTCTTTCCGCTTAGCGTTCGACTATCTACGAGGAGATCAACCTGGTTCTCGACAAAGATGTACCCGACCCCTCAGGAGAAAGCAGTCATCGAAGAGGCAGAGCAGATGATGGTGGACACGATGGCGAGATATGACCCATCGCACGACAGATATCACGGTAACTATCCCTTTCAGACGAGGCCAGGGTTCGTCCTTATCCCTGGTCATTGGAGGAGTCTGGACGAGGAATGGTGAAAAAACATGTCTGATCACCACCCTTTTTTCTAGTGTATCGCGTACGGAAGACAGCCATGAAGCTGGCTCGCGCTCTGCCTGCAGGAAAGGTAGATCTCTTGGTCGTGGAATTAGGTGCGCTTCATTCGGCGTCCTTCCCCAGCCCACGGGCGCTAATTGACACGTTCGAACTGTCACGTTCCTTCCCTGATGATCTCAGCGGCCCTGCTACACGACGTGCTAGATAAGAAATACGTATCCGCAGAACAAGCTGCGGACCCTTATCAATTCTTCCTTCCATTTTTCGAAAGGATGTCTACGAAGCACGGCGTGGATCTCATTTCGGACAACAGGGGAAAGTTGGTCGCGAAGGTCATTGACAACGTTTCGTGGAGTACGGAAAAACGATTGAGGGAGAAAGGATTGTGGACTGAATGGCATGAGGGGTGCTTGGAACTGCATTGTGTACAGGATGCGGATAGGCTGGATGCGATTGGGGCGTTTGGTATGTCGTCTTCCATCTTCTGTCATTTGCTGTTTTGGACACTGAAGGGCTGAATGTGACTTCGTTTTTGGCAGGCGTGCTGAGATGTGCTGCGTATTCGAGTGTCACGAATAGGTACGTACGGAGAAACCTGGTGCCTCGATGCAGACGAAGTGGAGACTGTCGTTTGCTATTCGCGACTTTGGCTTTAGCGTTCACAATCGAAGCTTACATATTCTGTCGTCTTATCTCCTCCTTTCAGGCCTTTACACACGGGTGCCGACGATCCCAATGTATCGGATACCGCCATCCAGCATTTCCATGACAAGCTTGTACATATTCGAGGGCTGTTGAAGACGGAGTTGGCGAAAGAAATGGGGGATAAACGACATAAAGTGGTGAGTGGTCCATGTCAGCCGCTGTCCGCCCAAAGAGGATGAGCGAGTAGATAGACATCATCGCGACGCCATTCCGGGGACTTCGAGCCTCTTGGTGGAGCGTGATCTTCTTCTCTCTCACTGTCCCACCGGCCAAAATCGACTAATTGCCATCCCCGTTCACCCCAGTTGACCGATTTCCTCGCTGCAATCGAAGACGAATACGCTGAGGATTGATAAAAGCGGATGAATAGTTCGCGCTCTCACTATCTCTTCGACTCACACGGATTCCGACTAGTCAACGCTCTTGCTTTTGCACCCTCGACATCACAGGCTCCAAGGATAGCACACCCTGTAGGCTTTAGGCAATAAAGTAGAGCGTTTGGGCGGCACTGAGATAGCGTAGGAATGCACCCTCTTTGATGTCCATTCGCAGCGGGGAGGACCTGAGAGGCAAGAATAGTCCGTCAGAATCAGAACGACCAGAAGGTCGAAGGTTGTGACAGGCCTTTCTAACCTAATATGTTCGACAGTTGGGCGCGAGAGATAGGGTCGAAGCTTCAGCTTGCAATTGAAGGAAGAAAGGGAACTTGAACGAACGTGAACGGATTCGAAGAGTACAAACAGTTGATATGAGATCTTTGACTAGCGGACAACGTGGTCACCCCAAATTGCATTTTCGGCACTTGTTGCTTTGGTGGCTTGAGTTTGCGCCTACAAAAGTATTCTCGAGCGGAGAGTGGCGGCCTGGATAGACCCTATCAGAAGTGCTTGCTGAGCTGAATGGCGAATTAGTGGCGTTAGTTGGTCGGCCTTGTCTAAGCGCGCTTCGATATCAGAACCTGTAGTCCTGCAAGCAATAGATCGGTTAGAATTCAATTGAAGGGGTATTGAATGTGTTACTATAGAATTCGATGTATTAGGACTATCTACTCTTTAGGCTCTGATTGTGTGTGCGCTGTACGGAACCGCCGTTTTCGCAACGAGGCCTGTTTAAGCTTCGGAGTTCGCAAAGATAGAGTTATAATTAGCGAGAGAGTCAAGAGATGCGTATGTGGGGAGCCCCAGCGCTAATGAGGCCAACAGGTCGGGAGCAGACTTCTAAATGGGAAAGAGACCGGCAACTCGTTGCACCCTCACTAACCTGGAGAGCCTGAGCGCCCAGGGGACCTTGTTCCATGGTACTGTACATAGGTGCGCAGCACCGTGTGCCGCCGGTATTCAAGTCTACTAACTGGTTTAGTTTCTCGCCCCGGAATTGTAGTAGGGTGCACCCTCGGACTTGACGCTTTTCTTCTCCGGCCACTAAATGCGCGACCTGTGGCTTGTGGGCAATTGATAGATAGACAGACAGGCAGGTGTGAGCCTGGCATAACAGCCGATGAGCGGTAAGCAGAGGCAGGAAAATAGGGTGCCCTGTCATGTCCCTGGAGGCAACATCAGACCGATGTGAAACGAATCCAAGAGTATCACCTTTCCGAGACGCAGACACCATACTTGGTAAACCTGCCAGTTTCCAGGGTGTTACCCAAGACTCGAGGATGTGTCCCCGGAGTCGACTTGCCATTCTGGGTTATATCATGAAGTCTATGTTTATCACACCCTGATCACAGGATATGTTGAAGTTTCGAGTTTGGATTGAGGGTGAGTACCCGTGGCGGGGCTCAGGATTCAGGATGTTCTCGAACTTCTGTGAATGGAACTCGGGAAGAAGAAAAAGGTCATTGTGTGGTTGTCAGGCGGTGGTTGATCGTGTCGAAAGGTGTCGAAACATGATACCCTGCGGCAGCTCTTCTTGTCAATTGACAGGTGTTCGACTTCTTCACCTGTCAAAGGCGTATCAATTGGGGCGGGCGAAGAGGCCTGGAAGTATCATCAAATGAGGAAGATTTTCACCTTTCAATTTCTCTTAGTCCTTGTTCTCTTCTTTCCTTCTTCCGAAAGGATCTTCACACAAGAAAGAATAGGGGCGTTGATATTCGGGTAGGGAGTGAAGCGGTCTTTTCACTGTATCAAAGCTTGAAAGTTTTCTGTTTGCTTCCATTTATTGAAAGATCGAACCCTGCATGTATATGTAGCGGAGCTATAGATCATTACGAGTCGGACCCTCTTTGAAAATTCGAAATTCGAACCGTGCTGGAATTCAGGAGCATTGATGCAATCCTAGTTGCACTGATTCATAGAAGTCCAGGAAGAACACACGGAAGCGGAGCACGAGAATACGAGTTTACGTCTCAAAAGTATCCAACGAGGACGACAGAGCCCAATGTGACCAAGCTTCTTGTCTCGGCAACCTTGTGAACTCACGCACTTGCCTGGTGGAAATTAAAGGGATATGAGAGGCTGTTGACAACCAGCGATTAGGAACATGTGTGGAATCACGTACGACCGAAGCAAAATAAGACCAGAATGCAATGCTCTCCCGGCAAGTCGGTTTTTCGACCGCGTGCCTTGGAACGACGGCCCCTCGATTTTTGTCATTGAGTCCGAAGCTGACATTTCTGGATAGATACCTCGCTTCCGTCGAGCTGCGCAGTGCGCGAAGATCTTTGGCGCCAAGTTGTAGGCGCTTACTTTGATGCAAGTCGTCGTAAAGGGATGCATTAGACCCGAGTGACAGGCCGCATGTCAGAATGAGGACAGGAAACATAATGTAGAGATCCGATGGGGTTCGTCTTTGTAGCACCGTGCATATGGGATGCTGGTTCAGGTCTGCGGCTTCTTCATGGGGACCCGGAGAAGATGTGGGGATATCTGGTGTACATCGCAAAGAAACCGAGTTGGTTCAGATTCGAAACGAGCTGGCGATACAGTGCATGCGACGGAGCAAGGATCCAAAAAGACTAGTCAAAGGCGGACATATCAATATCGTAGAAAAAGTGCTGGATCAAGGGTCAGAGGAATTGGATACAGGCAGAGACGGCGATCACGTACTTTGTACAGGCTCATGACCTTGATAACCCAGGCCTCGAGGTGGAAGATCTTCTTGTTGCCTAATCGCATTCTTACCTCCTGCAGGGGTGATGGTAGTTTGAGTGAAAATCACGAATAAACTCGAGGGCCGGGTAAACGTACGTAGAACGCTGCCCAGTGCATTACATCCGCTTTCAAGCTCTCGTCCACTTTCTCCACAACCCGCTCCGCGATAGTCTGGAAGCAGCAAATTAGAAGGAAGGCGAGTGGCTCGGAGAATCGGATCCACCTTTAGTATCACCGTTGGAGGTATACAGTGACTGAGGAGCTCATATAATTTAGCCCGTACCGCCATGACCTGTGCTGGTGATTGCTCCATAACGATGAGATCTGCAACCTTGTGGCAATACGTCTCCCAATCTGGTTTGGCTATCGTCAAAGGACCAGTGAGGTCAGGGCTGCGTTCAAATTTCAAATCAGCGGGTACTCTTCCATTGTGACCAGCCTATATGAACGACTCACGATTGCATTTTCAATGCTTCGAGGACAAGAATAGCCTTGCGAAGATTTCCACCGGAGTCATCGATGATCTCTTTTGCAGCTTCAGGCGGTAGATCGAACCCTGCTCTCCTGGCGACGTAATTAAGCACGGTGGCCATCTAGATTGAAATGACACAATAGGTGAGATAGGCGCTCGGAGTCATTATCCAGGGATAACGTACCTCCTCCTCATTGGGTGCTGCGACTCGAATGAGGAGACATCGACTCTTGATGGGTGCAATGAGTTTGCTGGTGCTGTTGGCGCAGAGAATAATTCGCATATTCGACATGTATTTCTCCATTGTTCTTCGAAGAGCGGCCTGCGCGTCCCGGGATAAGGAGTCTGCTTCATTGATGACGACAACTGATTCAACAGAGTCAGGGTCATTATATGAAATCGAGGGTCGGGAAATTAACCTTTGAACCGCTGCTTTGCATTCAGATCGACCTGCTGCGTTTGCGCGATCTCTTTAAGGATCTCTTGCACAATCAACCGGTCATAGTTTCCCGCTTCACTAAAACCCAAAACGTAATAAGAGACCGAGTCAACATAGAGTCAAGGCTGAGCGCGGGCCAAATAGGCAACTCTGACGGACCTCGGTGTGATTTCAATATGGTAGTTGCTTTGGACGATGTTGATCTCCATCTTCCTTTTGGAAGGTGTGAGGAAAACACGCTGGTCGATTTTTAGCTGAGCGATAGACGTAAAGATTAGCGAGTTGCATATGGAGGTGTCGTGGTGAGTTCGCCGCTCACCTTCTCCACCCCTGCACCAAATAACTGTTTCAGTGTGCAGCTTATACGTGTCTTCTTCCCTGCCCCTGACGGTCCGTAGAACAGCATGTGAGGAAAGTCTCCTGACGCCGCCTGCATCGAGATTCCAGATTCGTTAGCCGTATTCAAATTCGGCGGTGGTCCATGTCACTTGCCAGCGAGCGTAGTCGTTCTGAAAGACCGCAGTGATACTGCAGTTGGTCGAGGCTTCGTGGCCTAAACTATTCCCAGATTTGAGTCGTCTCGTGCAATTCCCAGTCATTGCGACTCACTTGGTCGACCCAGAGAGACATTTTCTTAAGAACTGGCGCAAGGGCTGAAGATGGCGGCGGAGGATGTGGTGGTCGTTGGCAAACCTATTTCGGCGCGTGGAAGACGCGTCCAAATCGCGTACCGCGTTGTTCTCACGCGTCACGTCCTCGCCAAGCAATTTTTCGTTCTTTCATGCATCTGTAAAACGTTGCATTCCACTCCATAAAAAAACTAGCGGAGGCCTGAAAACTGAGGTAAACAGAGAGAGGAGATGGTATTTTACAGTCTATTACAGTACAATAGGTATAATTTGTATATCCGCCGTAAATATGAAGGCATTGAAGCAACAGGGATTCATTCCTTAGTCCTACCCAATCCAAGCGCGTCAGCGATCTTGAAGAAGATATCAATGCTGTTGTCTGTAGGTACAGAGTGAGCAAGGCACGTCATGCAATAGGTGGGAGAGACCACGTACAGACACCACGGAAGGAAGCAGCTCCAGGACCGGTGGCATAAACAGGAACGTCTATCACGATCGTTAGCGACGGAGAGGGTTTGGGAAGGAAGATGCAGCTACCTTGGAGGGAGTGCACACCCTGGGATTGGTGGTGAGGAAGATTACCATCTGCAGATGTGTGTATTCAGGATATATGGATCAGAGAACCTGGAAGGTCGACGTACGGATTTCGAAGCCTCCTTGACGATCTTCGGGGTTAGGACCATATACACCCTGGCTCTTCCGGACGGTAGGATTACGAGGACCATTCAAGTTCAAACTGTAGTTCTCGCGGCTGCGGAGGCGGGTTGGTCAGGTTAAGTCCCTTCGTAACGACAGATACGACTTACTGATCGGGAAGAGCGGCAGCACCAGCCTGGCAGACAAAGCATCAGCAACCTGTGCATGTACAAATGGGGAGGAACTTACAGCAAAGGTGTACCGGGGAGTCCATTGAACAGGGAAGTTAGGCCCCTGAGCGCCAAAGAGGATAGTGTGGTTGTCGGGAGTGGAACCTGGGGCAACGGTGTATTCGGGCAAACCGGACTGCTCGTAGACGCCAACTGTGTCAAGCAAGGTTAGCGAATTCGTCAATGGTGAGAAACGATATGGTTCTTACCAGCAGCACGCCTCTTGCTGTCGTCAGTCTGAGCTCTCAAGTATTCGGTATCGGTGCTTCCGAAGACATCCTGTCGATGGGCTTGTCAGCGAGGACACTGGAAGGAGATGGAATGTAGACGCACGAATCCGTGGCCGTGATCGGCAGTAACGACAATCAAGGTATCCTTGAGTTGACCGATCTTCTTCAAATCTATAATCGAAAGTCAGCGTCCTCATAGTTCAAGGGAAGCGGGAATCGACACTTACGAGCAATCGAAGCACGAATGGTGTCGTCCAATTCCAACAGCTCGCCCAAAGCACGGTCATAATCCAAGGCGTGCATCATCTTGTCGATGCTGGCAGCTTCGGACCTGGAATTGGGACTCATGTCAGGACACACAAGGTGGGGCCAGCAGAGGAAAGGAGAACTGACATCATGAACCAGCCCTGGTCGCGCTTGGTTCGAGCCTGCAGGATGTCGATGGCCTTGAGGGTCATGTCCTTAAGGCCAGGCTGGTCGAGGGCATCGGATTCGTCGCCGGTAGGGCTGTTCTTCTGACCCCTGAGGTTGTCGGGGAGGACCTAGTAAGAAAAAAGATGCTCAGAACACGTCCAAAGAGGGCAAAACGGTATGCACAGACATTACGGTCAATCCATTTAGCACTGAGAACAGAGAGAATATATTAGTAACTGTATGTGGCGAACGAATCCGAGACCACCCACAGGTTACCAGTGGAGAAGATACCCAAAGTCTTCTTCTTGTTGTCCGCATCCTTCAACGCAGTGTTGTTGAGGACAACCTGGTATCCCTGATCTGCGAAAGCCTGATAGTAATCGGTGCCATTGGGCGAGCCGGGGCCAGCAATGAACTGTTCAGCTCCTCCACCAAATACGACGTCAGCTCCGTGACAGCCAGTGGGCCAGTCGAGGAGGGGAGTGATGAGCGAGGAGTTGTGTAGGAATTCGGCAACGACTGCTTGATATTCGTTCCCTGTTGTACGAGGTAATGTTAGCAAGCATTTGGTATCGATAGCAGACGGGACTTACGGCTCCGGGTGTGGGCACAGAGAGCAGCTGAGGCAGGTACGTCAGGGTCGGTACTGAAACATGCACTCTAAAATTGGACGAACCGGGGGTGGCATCAGCGATGTACGCGGTCGAAACGATACCAATCGGTCCACCGATCCTACGCTTAAACAGTTCCGCGATAGTCTCGACCTTGGGATCGTCGAAGGGATCTTCGGACTATTGAGAGGCAAATCAGGTTACATCCCCCCGAAAGCAAGACCTAACATACACTGTCGCCGTAGACATTCAGAGCGTTGACGCTGGACTTCTTTCCGGTATAGAGGGCACTTGCAGAGTTGGCAGAGTCCGTGATGAAAGAGTCGATGGAGTGGGTCATTTGCCTACCGGGGTCATGCTGATGAGCATGTCTCTATCAGATGGGAGAGAGATCGACGTACAATCCAAGTGCTTCCATCTGATCCATCTGCATGAGGGACTGATACTTTCCGTTGATGGTCTTGTGAGCAATCATACGAGCAGCGGTGATCATGGCTTGTGTCATGCCTGAGCAAGAATAGGTGAACATCATGTAGACGATGGCGGGCATCGCAGGAGACCAACTCACCATCTCCAACGAAGAGAAGGACGTTCTTGGCCACACGCTTCTTGGAAGGCTCACGGACGATCCAGTTGGCGACAGTCTGGACTCCGCCGTTGTAGGTTAGGATAGCGCGGTATTCGCCAGGCTAAGAATGGTGCTGAGTATTACATCACACTGATCGACAGGAGGTCCATTACCTCGTTGAGCTTAACCTATCGAAGGGGTTAGTATCGAGAGGTTTCGAAAGTGAAATGAACAGCTTACAGCTCGATAAGCCTTCGCAGCAACGTTGACTGGAGTCTCCTCACCAGCATCTTGTGCGAAGAGGTCTTCAAAGTACCTTAGAATCGCACTAGGTTCAGCAAACTTATCGTGGAGCGACGAGAAGAGACTAATACTAACGAGAAGGACCACTTCTCGACTGCTGAATCCTTGATCTTGAAGAACTTGGTGACATCCTCGCATCGTCCTTTGCCCTTCTGGATGCATAACTTGAAGTTCTCGTCAGGAACACCGTTGGTCGCCTCTCGGCCGCGAGTAGGGGCGTGTGTCTCGAGCCGAATATCGAAGAGTTGACCAGCCAGAAACTCGGTCTGGTCGGGAGGGAACACGCAGCCTAGAGTCGGGCATGCGCCAAGACGTCGGAAGGTCTGGCCAACCGTGACATCGACGAATGGGGCGAGGGCGACAAAGGCCACGAGAAGCGAACTGCGTCGGAGGGGCATGTTGTCGGTCTCCGCGTAGCGAATAGCGAGGGGCGCTAGAGCTGGGTGGGACTGGGACTGAGGTAAAAATCATGCAGGGGCTTTATAGCTTTGCGGGTCCATCTGGTACCAGACTTGCTTCCTGACATTGGCATCCGACTCCTTGATGATTACGAGAAGAAGAGTATGGCAGATCGAAAACATGGCGCACGTACGCGAAGCTTGTCGGAGGTCACCAAACCACGTTTGTCGACGTCGAGAAGGGACATCTAACTGAGTTAATTCCAAGAGGGTATCGCGCGGTGAAGTGTGCCTATAATAGTCATGCGACTTTTGGATGTCAAAAGCGTGCGTATTGAAAACAAAAGTGTATGATATTGGAGTGTAAAGTGGAGAACGCGACAGATGGTGTAGCCTCGTGTAGGGTGGTTGGAGACGAACGTGCGCTGTAGGAAAGGAGACTTCTGCAGCATCCGATCATCTTTTATCAAATCAGATGGAGACAGAGAGGAAATACCACCGGAGAAGCGCCAGGCTCCGCGAAGAGCTTCTTCATAGCTTGCAAACCACCTGTGTCAGAAGTTCCAAGCATTGAAGGTCGTGTGAGGTCGCGTTGCGCGCGAAGGGGCCGAGCCTTGTGGTCGAGTCAAATCCGTCAAAGCCCGGAAGAGTACGAAGCAGAACGGTGCCAGGATCACCTGTCACACCGCTCGCCGCTGCCACTTCATGAAGGTACTTAACTCCCGCCCTATAGGGGTCCATCCAGGTTCAACATTCGTCGCAGTCGGGGCCGCGGGACAACCACGGGCGCCCTGAAGATGATAGGAACTGCAGCCGATATATTAACAAGAGACACAGCCCATGACGAACACACGTCGAAAACTCACAAGGGAGAGGACGCGAATCCTCCTCTACATGTCCTCCGTACCCCATGCATGAGCTTCTGCACCACGTCGTTTCCGAGCGTTCTGTGCCTGGAAGAATTTCTTCTCGAACCCATTACTTCGATCTGCAGCCCTTGTCAGAGGCGGACAAGAATAGCAAAGCCGAACCACGCACCGACACCATCCCATCTATACCCAGGCTTGATACCGAACCGATTAGGGGGAGGAGTTGGACCAGTGTATTCAGGCCGTCGGGGTCCTTCTGATTTCTTCTTCTAAAGAAGGGGTCAAAATTGGGATGCAAGCAACCCAAGTTATTACTGACCGTCAAGAACGCCGCCGCAGGATCATTCCAAAGTTCCTTCTGCTTCATTTCTTCGTTGAGATCCTTGTCGTCGATTGTCCGAGCGAAGGGTCTTGACTTGTTCTTCTCCAGCTCCTCCCGTCGCTTCTCAGCCTCGTCTCGTTGAACCAGACCCCTGCCCCATTCCATCTTCTTCGCTTCTTGTTCCTCCCTTTCCCTCTTTAGCCGTGCTGCCTCTGCCTTTGCAGCTTTGGTGTCAATTTTCTTTCCTGACGAGTCACGATATACTGTTTCTTGCGCCCGCGCAATCTCTTCGGCGGTGTATTCCTCCTTCTGCGAAACGGCATTCTGTGGGAGATGTTTCTTGAGGTCCTTCGCGCTGACAAGACCTCCTGTGAACGGTGTGTCGACAACCATAGGTTGCTCGTCTGGTGGCGTCACCTCCTCTTCGTGCTGCCTTGCTGAACTGGGTCCGCCTTCACCCTCCTGTACCGTCACCCAACTGGATTCCCCGTCCTTCACCTTCCGCTTCTTGAACCCTCTGTCACTAGCAACGACTGCTTCAGCCAAATCATCTTCGTCTTTGTTGCTGTCATCCGGCCATCCACCGTCCTCGTCCACGATTTTGGCACCGCCGCTGCCCGTTACATTCGAACTGTCCTTCTTTCGTTTCTTCTTCTTCTGAGGTGCTGTTTTGGCGAGAATGACGTCGGCCTTGGGACCTGACATGTATTTGGCGGCTAGATATGCTTTGAGGTCGGACATTGTCAATATAGAAGGATGTAGAGTTCAGAGTCTATGTGGTGGTCGAAGGTGAATTGGCTGGCCAAGCTCTTAGCCCGCCAACCAATCGCGTTGGAGAAAGGTCACGTGTTACTGAGGTCACCTGCATCACTGAGAACTCCGGAGCCGTCCAAATGGGAGATCTGACCCCTTTCTTTATCTTTCTCCCCACAACCACCATGATGAAAACCGCTGATTTACTTATGCACGGCAAGTCAATTCGACAGAATTTCAAAAAAAGCGAAACAGTCTTGACATGTCAGCACCGTCTGTCATGACCTCGTGTCAATGAGCGTCTCCTGGGTATTAGCACGGATATTTTACCATGTTGGCGGTTAACGTGATGAACTCTGCTTCCTGACAACGACGGCGACGATATCAGGCACGCCTCCCGCCGGCTCTGCGATGGACTGGAACCTCCCGTACCCCGAGATAGACACACGCCCTTTCTTCGGCGACGAGTTCAGGTTGAAGTGGGGCCACAAACTCCTCGATACCATCCTCGACGTGCTAGATGTTTATCAGACTCCAGAGGCTGAGCTGGGTGCTGCTTTCGAACAAGGATTGGGACACGATGACTTCGTGCGACACGTAGAGGTGAGGTCCAACCTGTTCTTCTTGGGATGATAGCTTGTTTACGAGGCGATCTAACAGGCCAACAAGAAACCAGCTCTACGAGTCATGTACACAAACGTCCCCCTCCCTCCTGCGCGAAGGTGATTGACCGCTTTTATACAGCTTTATCCCCTGTCACCCCCTCTACGCTGACTCAGAAGAGGTGGATCCGCCCATCGCACTTCACCCATCGACCGCTGAATACCTCATCAACAAGTTCAACGTTTCCCCGACCTTTATCGCGACAATAACCACAGATGTCTGGGTGCTTAAGAGCGGGAATGGGCGCTTCCACCGCAAAGATAGTGGGGGTAATCTCGCTATCAGTGAGTTGTCATCATCTTCGTTTTCCTAGACGTACCTTCAATGCCGCTTACTATGACCATGTACATAGCTGGATTCTATCGTTTCGAGACGGGCGGGTTGAACAGAGGCACGCATATCTCCTCCAATACTTGGTTCTCTCATGAGCTCAAAGGCGGCAACCGAACATCACTGTACATCATTCGCAACTGCTCTCAAGAAATCAAAGACAACCTGCTGCGCATAGCGAGATGCCCCGCCTTGATATCTAGCCTCTTGCGTCCTCTGGCGGTGGATGCGCTCATCGCAGATGCCTCCGCTTCAGCCTGGGGCAGAGAATTTATCGAACTCCGAGCTAAGCTAGTAGATAATGTGAGTCCAACACATCGTCATTGTTTTCACTGGAATTGGTGCTTATACATAGCATTAACTGGGTGTAGGAACGCAGGAGCCCCTCGGAACTTAAACCGAGGCTCAACCAGGCTATTCAAGATTTACACACCCTCTCACAAGAATTCCACATCCTCCAAGTCAACCTCGACGAGCTCATGGAACGCATCCAGTACTTGATCGGGGTGCACAAAGCAGTTTCGTCTCGCTCTCGCAAATCACGCAGCCCAAACCCAACTCCATCTGAATCCCCTACGTCCGTAGCCGACTCCCTTTCCTACTTGAAATCCAAAGTAACAATATGGCACCGCTGGTCGCACAACTACACCAACCGCGTATCGATCAAGATCAACCTCCTCTTCAACCTCGCATCCCAGTGGGACAACCAGACTAACCTCCGAATAGCCGGGTTTACGAGCAAGATTGCGACTATCACGCAGAGGGATAGTTCGTCGATGATAGTGTGCGTTTTGGGCCCTTTTTTCTTTCCGTTAATGCTGCTACTGACATTCTGAACTCGGAGAATAGGATGGCTGCTGTAACTATGCTCTTCCTGCCTGGCGCATTTGTTTCGGTAGGTTTTTCTCCTAGCAGCCCTCGGGCCTCTGCCCCGGCACTCCCGGGCCAACTGGAACTTACCCCTCACATCTAGGCAATATTCAGCATGGTATTCTTCAACACCACAACCGATTCCAACGGCACCCTCAAACTCTCAGTCACCCCCCACATCTGGATGTTCCCAGCCGTAACCGTACCTCTCACCCTGCTAGTGTTCTTACTATGGAACCGGCTGAGGAAGAGGCATAGTCAGTTGGCTTTGGGTGGTGTCGCAGCAGGGTCGTCTCCAGGAGGTGTAGATGTTCCTTGGCACCAACCTGGTCAAATTCCAGTTGACCAAGACTTTGGGGACGAGGAGTATAAAAAGGGTTTAGTGAGATCGGTGAGGGGAATAGATGTTGGAAGCATTGGTGGAGATAGTCGTAACAACGGCCTTCCGTACCTTCGTCGTTCTACATCCAGGCCAGCGTCCATGTCCAGGATTCGGAATTCTTATGGAGCTTCAAGTTGTTGACGTTCACGCATCCAAGGACATTGTCTTTCAGTAGGCCTCGTACAGGGAAAACACGCATTATTTTGCACTGTGTAATCTACTTGTACAATCGAGTCGAGTCATAATAATGCAAGAGTTTGGTGAGAGTACGTGTGCAAAAAAAGGTTTTGACAAAGGCAAGACCCAGAAACTAGGTCGAACTGGGGAGAGCGAGAGAGCTATGTACAATAAAACAGAGCTATGGGGAGTGGTATCTCTACTAATGCATAAAGGAGAAACGTAACAAGTTTACAATTTACAAAGGAAAAAGGTCGAGGAGTCATGATAAAGCGGAGAGGGGTAGTATAGTACAAGAGGGTTAAACCAAAAGGGTAGGGGAAAGAGGAGGCATCAAATCGTAACCAACTGTTCACTTCAATCAAACAAACCGATAGCAGCGATCTCTAATGGTCGGGTCGTGGGTCGTAGCAGGGGTAGAGTGGGAGAAGATCCGAGGAGGCTTGGGTCGTAAATAATGTGGGTGGTTGGGTGCGTAGATTCAATGGAAAGTGGGACGAGCTTCAACTGAAGATGGTTTACAACGGTGCAGGCTGCGTTCCATCAGGGTCCGCTCTTCACCTCGGATATCGACGATGTGCTGTGATGGCGTCACGGATGGTGTGGTACAGATACGTTCGAGATCGTCGACATTGTTCGTTCGTGTCTTCGTCCGATTTCATCAACATTATTGTCCACTTCCGTGGTCGAGACGGCTTCATAGTCGTAGTTCGATGCCGACGACGGCTCCGTTGCGTGGTTCTGAGCAACCTCGCTCTCCGTGAAGGAAACGCCGTTCAACAGGAGAACAGTGGAGAAGAGTAGGCAGGCGGCAAGGGCGAAGATACCCTCTGGGTATGTGGCTACTGTGTGACGGTAGGTGAACGCGTAGATGGTTGGCTAGTGCGGGAAATATTAGGCAAAGCTCTCTCTTGTCTGCCAAGGTACTCACCGAGATAGTATGTGCGATAGCAGAGAGAACCGCCATGGCCCCGAACAAAGCACCCACTTCCGAGCTGAATCCACAAGCATGGAACGCGATTGCTCCGAGGGAATGGAGGGTCGGATTGCCTCCAGAGGTGAAAGAAGAGAGGCACGACAGGGCGATGAAGACGGGGGAGGATCTGCTAGCTGTGATTGCCACCAACGTGTCGGCCAAACCGTCTAAGCCAACAGATGCTTGGGCAAGGTAGCGGTCGAAGTTGACCTCGGCGACGATATCCCGGGCATTGGGAGTGTTGCTCGTGGGATCCGTGGGTTTGGGTTTGAAATAGGAGATGATAACTGGATTACGCGTTAACCTGTGTCGCGAGGACGAGAAGCACCGTTCTTACTTGGAAGGAGGACGAGGAGGTTGAAGGCTCGCACTGTCCAGAGCAAGGACATGTAATATCCGAGCTAGGTAGATGTCAGTCAGCCTTGTCTTCTTTGCTTCGGCAAAATCAGTTACCTCTGCAGTATTCCATTTGAATTCATGTGTTGCGTAAACATATTTGGCGGAAAAGACTCCCTGAAGAACAGTCAGCACAGGCCAAGGAGAGAGGCGAATTTGTCGTGTTTGTACTCACAGTGGATGTAAGATAGATGAGCAAGGCGAGACCCATGAAGACCATGGTGTAACTTCGCTTGCCAGTCCCTCGTGATCTTCTTGGAGCGAACATGAATAACGGAAGCAAGAGCGCTTCGATGAAGGAGGTCAATAGGCGCCGGATGGTCGGAAGTGCTCCCGCTTTAGCTTCGGTGCGGGTCCCTCCAGTGGTTCTCGTTGTGGCAGGTTGTCGTTGCAGTGACTCCGGGCAAAGGATCAAAACATAAAAGAAGTTGAAGCTGATAAGGCTAATACTGCAGAAAAAGAAGGAATCGCTGTAGCCAGCCTTCGGAAGGAAATATCCGGAGAACTGAACAAGAGTCAGAGGACGATGCAATTGAGGCGATGAAAACCCTTACCCAAGGACCCATTGCGAGGCCTACGAAGATCATCCCGGACAAAGTTGAGAAAATCTTGGACCTAATTCATCCAGCCACCGTCAGATAAGTTGCTTGAGAAGCCATGGTTGTACCAGAAGCTTACCTTGATCCGTGCCTCGTGCAGTCAGAAACGTAACTGTGGTATGTTCGGATTTCAATCGGTCATACGAGAGAAAACAAGTCTTACGCGTGAGTGACACCGTTAAAAACGGAGAGTCCACCGACTAAGCCCTCTATGATCGGGCCAGCCAAGATCCAGCGCTCAGGTGACTGCCCAAAGATCGTGTCTTCCTTCATAACGAGAACATAAACAGCTTCCCTATTGACTTTTTAGAACCTCCACGGAACCAGATGAGATAAGGCAACAAACATACATCAGAAGCGCGCCTATGAAGAAAGCCGCCAAAATGGGTGTCCGCCCATATTTGTCTCCGAGCCGGCTCCAAAACCCGGTGGTAATGGTGCTCAAAACACTCATTGTGGTAATGACGGCTTTGGAGCTGTGAGCATAACTATAAAAGACAAGAAAAGAATGTACGCACAAGCTTGTATCTCCACTGCACGCGCCTTGACTTCGGGCCTATCGCATGCGGGCGAATTTAACAGCTCTGCCAACCCTATGCCCGACTCGTTTGATATCGATCGGCAAGCAATTGCGTTGTAGACTTGGACACGAGGCGACATGGTTATACCGCGCTGAAAGACATGAGGACCACCACTACGATGCTGGGCGACTGCTCCTTACCGACATCGACATTATAATGACGACCGGGATCAGCCTAGTTAAATAAACATTGGAGTCAATGTCCGACACAGGGCGCATGACCACATGGGGACACACCAGTAGGGGTGGGCCTTCCAGCCCATTAGCCCAGCGAGAGAGTAATCCATCTTGCGCTGTCCACGCTGTGGTCGCCGACTGGGTCCAGGAAGCAGCGAGTCTTCCTCAGAGCTGTCCTCGCGGTGGTGGTTCGAGGTCACGGGTTGCATCTCCCTGGGAATCTGGTGGCGACGAGCTGGCCGCGGTGGTCTATGGCGTCCAGGTTGTGTATAATTAAGGATTAAGGGAAGGAGAGACGATAGTGGGAAAGACTATAAGAGTCGTTACGGGCTGGTCGTTAAATGGGTGTCGGCTGCGACCTGAATCGTGCCAGCTTATCAGATAACTTTTGCTGGCATGTGAATGACTAAGACGCTCTCACGCTCTTCACCCTTCCCGGTCTCGACCCGCGCCACCGTCTCTGCTTGTCTCCCGCGTTGAAAAGGTTTCCAGGTTCTGAACTGTGGTTTTGCTACTTGTTTCTGTCCTTACCATCGGATATTCTGTATGACGCCCTGCAAGCTCCAAGGAATCCTTATTCAAGTGCTTCCTGATGGTCCAAAGTCTTTTTAGCTTTTTTGATTTGGCACGAGAACAGGGGAAGGCACCAGCTGATGGGAGATAGAACCTGCCTAACCAAGAACCCTCGACAGAATCACTGTGCAGAACAGGCCCAGGTGAGCAGTCGAGCCCAGGTTCCTGGAAACGTTGCTCAACTGACCCTTTGAGCGCTTCCACCTTGATCTGGGACTTGCAGGCATCCCACTTGACAAGAAATCCCAATGAAATCCCGCCAATTGATTGATCAACCTCAAGCGCTCAGAGCTGCTGCTGGACTCTAAAACAGTCCGGACTTGCGCCGATCCCGGGACGAACTCACTTCGTCGTGCAGATCTTCAAGCAGGGCGCTCGAATCACGTCGGCTGGCCCTGATGGGAGCCTCGCGCCATAACGTAGACTGCTGCGCATTTCCCTAGCACCGTCTTTCTCAAGCGCGGCGTTTCAGCGAGCCCATTGCACGACGGCGCCCAGGCGAGACGCCAGCGGTGCACGATTCACGTTGCGTCAGTATGCGCAGCAGCCTGCTTGGGATTCTTGATACCAATTTGATTTGGACGCCCTCTGAACCAGCAACAATCGCACAAATCGTGCTTGATCTCGACAACGGCCCTGCATTGCCTCCGCCATGGTACTGACGTTTATGGCCTTACTGACGGGAAACCATCGAACTATGTCAGAGCGTGGGCGCGTATTCTGGCAATGATTAACCGATATCTCGCGTAACGAATCCTGTGGTGCTTCCCACCTGTCGCAAATCCAGCTGGATTTGTGGCTCTGTTCCTTTGGCGGACCCTGAATGCACCTTTCCTTGGATCGCCTTGACGGAAGAATCGTGCGCCCGAAATTCGCTAAACAAATCCAACAATTAGTTTGCATCCAACGCCGGTTGCAACTCAGTTCTGGATCCATATATGAACCCCTGGCTTGGTCTAACGTGGTCTCCTCAACACTCTCAGCTTTACTATGGAACCTCACTACTCTTCAGACTCTGAATCTCCCGCCGAGGAACGCTCCAAGGCTCCGCGAAAGCGAAGACTTCAAGGAGCCTGCGATACCTGCCGCAAACGAAAAGGTAAATGATCCGCTGCATTGACCGCAGCCAGCGCTAATGAATTCCCTGCAGTGAAATGTCAGTAGACTGCGGCGGGGGTCATAATAGGAATGCTCATCGTCTTTACTAGGTGACCGGGCCATTATGCCCAATAATATCTGCTCCAATTGCCTTGATACAGGCCTGGAGTGCATACATACCTCGATGAGGCGAAAGGTCCGTTGCCCGATCATAATCCCGTAAGAAGGTTTTCTGACATGAATTCGTCTAGAACAAAGAAGCTCAGCGAGAGTAAGTTCACTCTGTTGCCAGAGCAATTCGATCAGCTACATGTCCGGTGTTTAGACATATCAAGCAATTAGAAGATCGAATACAGATGCTCGAAGAACAATTACAGAAGGTATTGATCCCAGCGCTCTTGTTGCTGCCCCGTCTAACTGATCCTCCACCAGGCCGGCGTCCCTGAACCCTCGGGCTCAGCAGCTACTACGAGTCGTCTAACCCGAGAGGACGAGCCTGTAGTCGACCCAGAAGACCCGGAATATCAAGCGCTCTCTGCCAAACTACAACGCCTGTCTGTTGACCATATCCAGAACAAGTACTTCGGAAAATCAAGGTTGGTTCTCTCGACGTTCAGGATTATATCCAGCGCTAAACGTATGCAGTCTATTCGCACTCATATCGCAGATAACAAAGATGGGCGATGAGCTATCTCACGAGCCTGGCCCATTCTTTACGAAGGCCAACAGACCAGAGATGTGGAATCTGCGATCTGTAAGTTGTTCCTTCGCGTTCAATGTCACAATCACTCATTCTCTCAACACGTCCTTCTCGCGAAGTGGGAACGAGAATACGCCAATGCTCAGGTCTCCACCTACATTTTTCCTGAAGGAGATCTCTTCGAAATTCTCATGAACGCATACTGGGCCCGCGTGCACATCCTGCACCCAGTGCTCCATCGCCCTTCGTTCGAGCGTGACCTCGGGGACTGGAGGCACCTGACTGATCCCTCCTTCGGGAGGGTCGTTCTCGCGGCGTGCGCCTGTGCTTCGAGGTTCGTAGAGGATGAGAGGGTTCTCATGGTCGACGATCAAGATCCCTCACGTTTGTCGGGTCCTTCAGCGGGCTGGAGGTATATGGCGCAGCTGCCACTCACCCTGCAGACGACGATCGAGCAAGTACAAACGACGGACCTGCAGTACTATGCGGTAAGTTCTATCCGAGACTCCTGCCTCTTTTCAGGGTTGGCTTTCCACTATGATTCAAAGTTACTTATTTTCTGCAATGTGCTTTGGTGCAGTTGGCGGCATGGTACTTTCTTGGAAGTGGGACGCCCCAGACGGCGTGGAACTTGGCTGGTACCGCACTTCGGTTAGCGGTTGAAATTGGTTGGCATAGACGGTCTACAACGCCGAACAGCCAAGAGGAATTGGAGAAGAGGATCTTTTGGTATGTCCTCTTGGAGGTGATTGATCACATCCTCGTGGATCTGATGGGCATGGGCCTTTTTGTTTTTTCATGTAGGTCTCTGGTCATAATTGACCGTTTCCAGAGCGCGTGGCTTGGTCGGCCGTTGAGTTTGCATGGTGAAGAGTGAGTTGAGATTATACTGTTCGAAAGGATGTGTTCATGATACTTTTGTTCTAGCATTGATGTGGACCTTCCCGTCGAGTGTGACGACGAGTTTTGGGACACAGAGGTTGACGATCCTGAGAATGCGTTCAAGCAGCCTGCTGGTCGGCCCTCCTTGATCGCGGGCTTCCGGTGCCAGATCCAACTTACAGAAATTGCGGAGAAGATGCTCAAGTCCTTGTATCCCTTGAAGCCTACTCACCATGATGGTGGGGACGGGAAGTCGAGAACAGAAGAATTAACCGACATGATGGAGAAATGGAAGGAATCGCTCCCTCAGCATCGTGAGTGATTTACGGGCCCCACACGCCCTTGTCATTTGACGTGACTGACGTTCTTCTCCAAGTGCGCTGGGATCCGTATTGTCCTAATATCCATCACCTTACTCAAGCGACCACACTCCATTCTATTTTCTATTATCTCCAGATCCAGATTCACCGTCCATCACTCCACAAGAAAACATCCTCGTCGGTCTCAGCTTTGGCTGCTTGCGTCCATGCAGCTCGAGCCTGTAGCAACGTTGTTGACGAGTCTTTGAAACGCCAACGATACACCTCATCCATGGTCATTGTGAGTTGACTTCGATCCACTTGACCTGTCTCACATAGGAACTAACAAAATTGCTGGATCTGTCTGGTTTAGAATGCGACTTTCGCATCAGCCGTGGTTTTTCTGTTCAACGTATGGGGAAGACAGGGAACAAGCCAGTCCTCCGATACTGAGACAGAATTCGTCTATGTCCAGAAGTGTCTAAATCTTTTACGCGAAGGTGAACGGAGGTACGAACGGTTCTGTTTACTCTGCCCCATCCAGCGATTTCTTACCGGAGTCAATTGGCTTCCAGATGGCATACAGCTGGTCGATCTGTGTGAGTATATCCCGGACTCTCTGAAACACCGCGGTTTTTCTCAATGAACGCCTGATAGGGACATGATCAACGGATTTTACGATGTGACTCGTGGTTCTCTGTCTTCTACTGCAACTCTTCCCTCTCTGAGCCCGAGGAGCTCTGGGAAGCGACCTCGTGGAGACTGGGACGTTGCCGAAGCGCTCGCGGGCGTCAAACGAAAATCGCCTGGCCCTTCTGCAGTCGCGTCGTCTTCATCATTAACACTCGACATCCCTCCTTCGAATCTGCCCCGCGGGCATTCCTTCGACCAGTGGACGAGCCAGGGTCGAATAAACCAGCCTCATCTCACCACGTCCGCCCCAGCCGCAGCGGGATACCATCCCGGACATCATTCCGGCAGCAGAGGTACGGTGGTGTCTCAAATGGTGATGGGCGACGGGTCGTCGTCAATTATGCCCGGGCTTCCTCCATCATCTCAGTTTGCCTTCCCGATCGTTCCTGTCCATCGCGAGGTCCCGATCTCCAATCCGCGTCGACATTCGGCGGCGGTGACTTCGACGGAACTGCTTCAAGCTCAGCAGAATTATGGGTTGGGTCAGTTCCAGGGTGGGGTATCGACGTCTTCGGGGTCGATGCAGCGTCATGGACATCATGGACACGGCGGTGATCTGGGAATGGGCGGTGGACAGAGCGGCGTGCTGGAAGGTTATCATGGTCCGCAGCAGTCGTCGTCTACTCAAGCTGGAACCTCGGAGGATCCTGCTGTCCAGGGTTTGTGGATGGACGCGCCCACAAATTTCAAGTGAGTTATCGGGTTCTTTGTCCTTGTCCTTCTCCTTCGATCCCATCTTTTCCCTGTTTTCCCGCTGGTCGGTGGTTACCTTTTGGTGACGAGGGCATTCGCGCGAGTTTGAGACTGGGCGCGTCGCATTCCGCAGTCCGCAGCAGCAGTTGTAACCGCTCGTTTGTCTTTTTTGATTGATTTTTTGTTTTTGGGATCTTGTTGGATGAATGGGGCTAGTTGATCTAACGCGTTTTTGGTTTTGATAGTCTTGAGCAGTGGGATGGGTTCCTTGCTCAACTCAATCGACCAGGATCTATATGATCTCATGTAAAGGATTAACAGGATCCTGGATGGGATTTTGGAGGATACTTTGAATCTCTGGCGAGGTTTTGTGGGGGTCTGTGTTTCTGTTAGAAACGGGTAATCCGCCCCGCGTGCATGGAAACTTGGGTCTTTGTTTTAAAGTTGGAAAATACACTTATCTAGATGTTCACTTAACGTTTGCCATCGATTGTATGCTGTATGTATAACGCATGTAAAAGGATAATTATGACCGCTATGAAATTGGAACAAGCTAAAATAGACTTGTTATGACGCACCTTGCTCCGAAATCTTGAGTTAGAGGATCTTATTTGGCGTTGGTAGACTCGGTGAAAGGCGTAGCAAGCTCGGAGGTTCTGTCACGCCGACTGGGTAACCCTGTCCATGAACGTGGCGGAAAAGGACACCCTGATCTTGGGCGCATCGTTACGTTCCCTCGTTCTGAGTGTACACGCTATTTGGCAATGCTAGTCGCAAAGATCACAACGACAAAGTAAGGCGAATCGACCATTTCCACCGTTTACTCCACCTTCTGCGACCGTTCTCCCACCACTGACCAGCCCTCGGTTGTCTTTTACCGAATTCTCAGGTTTCAGCAGACGCGAAAAGGGAATGTGTCAACCATCGTGTGCACGGCCAAGGTTGATCATACTAGATCATCATTGAAAGAGTGTACGGTAGCTTTCCATGTGTTCGCTGGATAATAGCAAGGGAGAGAGACGGTAGAGACGCGGTGATCAGAGCTCGAAAAGTGTAAAGATGACATTGGACGAGAGAACACACGTACAAATGCGCTTTCTGACCCATAGACTGGCTGATGTATTTGAGATAGAATGGTGCTCCACCTATGACTTCTTCTGAGAGTTTGGTCTTTGGTGTCCCACCATCTTTGTCCACCACTTGCTCGAATTTACGAATCTTCCACGTCCGGATTCCCGTTTCGGAGTTCTTGGTTTCGTACAAGGCGTACACAGGGCCGGCGTCTTCCTCGCCCGTCTCCTTCAAATCAAACCACGTCAAAGTCCCCTCCAATTTGACTACACTTTTGACGAGCCCAAAGAGGACAGGCACGGTTTCCTCCAACCTGAAATGCCGACGATGGGCGAGGAGGACGTCCTGTTCCGTGCCTGATGCCTTCGGGAGGTTCATTGCGCTTATTTCGGACAGTGCCTTTCCTGTCGGAATTGCTACCGTGTCTTTCTCGTCCAGCTCGGCGAGGCTGGCGAGTGATGAGAGTTTGCAGACTTGGACGTGCGCGGCGTCTGTTCCAAGGAAGGTGAAGGTGTCTTTGAGAGATGCTGGGAGGATGACAGAGTGTTTGAATCCAAAGTTGGGAGTGAAGGGGAGGTCTGCGGGTGGGGTCGTCATGGTTGAGAAGCAAGGGCCAAGGTTTGAGCGCCGTATCATTTGCGTTACCATTTCTAAGGGAACGGGTATCCCACGCATAGTAAAGATTGGATATTTATACCTTTGCAGACTATAGATGATCAGACTTGAAATGGAGGAGGTGCGCGATGGTAGACCGTCCACTTGAAGGGAACGCGATTGATTTTGTGAATCGGTAGTTAGAACACACCGGAACTCTTGATAATACCCTTCCAACTTCTGAAAACGTATGAAGAGAACAACGAGGTTTCGTCCAGTGCGTTGGAGACTTTGGAGGATTTGTGCAGGAGATCGTCGAGGAATGAGTAGGCGGTGTTCGGGGATACGAGTTGGTGCAGTTCTGTGGAATTTGGTCAAGTTACAACCATTGTGAGATTGGGTTTGCTTACCTGCTGCTGTGTAGACTGCTGCTATTGACGCACGTTTGGAGTACCATGAGAGCTACGGAAAGGTACATCAGAGATTGTGAGGCAATGCCATATGGCCACATACGTGTAATGACTTGTCTCCAATAGCATAGCAGGCTTCGTCGGCAATCCTTGACGCGTGTTGCAGAGCCGGTTTAGGGTCAATGAAATGGATTCCAGTGGAAGGTGTTGCGAGAACGGCAAAGGCCTAAGACCGGGGTTCAGGTTAGGCGTACTCTTGGACCAGTATATGAGATGGGCACCTCTGGTAACCGATCCAGTACAGGTTCGTTGTATTCCAATCGCTTGCGCAGGACCGCGTTCAGCGTTGGTGACTCTGCTGTCTGCATATGTCGAATTCCCTCCGTCAACCAAGAGTTTATGAGTGTCCTCCTAGCATCGTCTCCCTCTCCAAATAGTGCCGATACTGCCGTTTCTGAAAGCGGTTCTGAATGAGCCTCAGCGGCTGGAAGCTCGAGAACTGAACGCGCCAATGCTTCGCGTGTAAAGCCATGGGTTCGCACAAGCGGCAGCGCTAGTTTCAAGAGTCTGTGGCGCATCAGCGTGGACGTCGATGTCGTTTGTGGTCGCTGCTCACCTAGCTGAGCTGACCGACATGGCGGCAATCGTGGTGGACGTTGGACACGACGAGCTCGACCCATTCTGTCATCGCGGCGGCAATTGCCGGAGGCGGAACGAAGCCCGGAGCCGCCGGCATCTCCGTGGAATACCCTGAACCCGATCAACTTGATAATTGATAGTGCCCCCTCAATTTGTTTCAAACCTTTACGACTCTTCTTGTCTTCTTGTTCTCGTTTTTCTTTATATCACTACCAAGTCGTCTACCGCAATTTAGGTATTTCGGCCAAATATTAATCATATACCATGGCTGACTGGGGTACGCGGTCGTTTCTTTTTGCTTTGTGGCGCCTAGATGATGGTGTTATGGAACGAGATCTAATCTATTTCTTTGGGCTTTTGCAGATGCTTCTTCTGACGAGGAGGTCAAGGCCAAGTCTGTGCCCGCTCCTAAACCGATTGTTCCTGTGCGAGTGGCGAAGAAGTGGGAGGGTGAAGACGAGGATGATAAGCCTGCTGTGAGTGCATGCGTTTGATGTTCGTGCGGTCGTACCTATTCATCATACCGTATAACCCTAGAGCGACTGGGAGGATTCATCATCGGAAGAGGAGGAAGTGAAACCTGCTGTTGTTGCGCCGCCAAAGAAGAAGGGTACTTTGAAGGCCAAACTCGCGGAGAAGGAGGCCATGAAAGCACAGAAAGCTGCGAACGGCGAGTTCGACTACGATTCTGATGATGTGCTTGATCCAAGAGAGAAGGCTCGACGTGATAAAGAGAAGGAATTGAAAGCTGATCTTAACAATGCTGCTGATTTGCTGGGTGCTGCTGCTCTCGGAGGTGCGTCGTTATGAACACTCTGCTCGCGAGGACCCGGATCTAAACGTTTGGGACCCACTCCCAGGCACCTCATCATCCGAGCTCGATTCTATCATCTCTGCTCAGCCTCGAACAAAGGAGGATTTCCAGAAACTCTCAACGCAGATCTACGAATATATCATCAAGCGACACTCAACGAAGCCTTTATATGCCTCATTCGTCGAGCATCTCGCACGAGAGATGGCGCAACCCTTGAAGGATGTCGAAGTGCGAAAGGTGGCGAGCGGTTTGACCACTTTGGCCAATGAGAAGCAGAAGGAGCAGAGGGACAGGGCGAGCGGAAAGAAGAAGAAAGCTTCTGCAAAGCCTGCGTTGGGCGGTGCCAAGTCTGCCAAGTGCGTATCTCTTGCTTTGGACCTTGAGAATGCAGGACTGACCGACGAACGTATAGGTCAGTGGATACCACGGTATACGACGAGGCACTCGACGATTTCGGCAACGATCCCAACGACTTCATGTAAAACCATCTTCGTGCATGTCGATTAGGTTCTTGCATCAATGCTTTAGTTGTTTTCATTTCTTTCTTGACAGCTTGAGTGATCATTGAGACAGCTATGACTTCATGAGTGAGGACGAGACACTTCTCGGTCCTGAGATGAGGGCGCTCAATACAGGACTGGACCTGTGACTGCGCGGAGTGGCCTTCGCATATGTGGAGTGAAAGGGAAATAACAATTGATATCCAAATAAATGGTCAGAGGCGCCCGCCTCTCTAAGCCAGCGCAAGGGCGGATGTAGAAAGACAGGCGCCTAAAGTGCGATCATCGCCTTCTCACCGCACGACTTCAAAATCCGAATGCACGTGTCTGTTAATAAGGGCTGTAGACTGCGAGCACGATTTTGTGAACGTTGAGAAAATACTGCAAAAAGAAGGCAAAAATAAATATTGAGACCCGTAGGTCTACCACTCCGGGAAAGCGTGTCATCCTTGTGCAGGGGCCATGCTAATCTTCTCTGTATCGTTCCAATTTTTTCGTATGTCACCCCGAAGGGGACACTCACCATTGAGAATCGAGGCGCCGCATCATCAAATTTATGCATTTCGCCCAGGCGGCGGGGTGTAAGGGTCCTTGAGGGTCGTGGGCAGCGAGCTCCAAGCGAGTGATCGCGGCGGTGTCAGGGTGGAGTCACCGCCGATTCCGAGTCGGTGTGATGTTGGGACTGGGTCGGCGCGTCGCGAACGCCGTAACGAGGCGGGGAGATTGGGATGGAGGGCGCGATCATCGCGTTAGGTGTGAGGAGGGAGTGTCGTTGCAAGATACCAAGTTTCTATTGTCCTCCTATGAGGGGTGGTCAAGCTGGCTGAGCCCAAGAGATGGTAGCATGCGTCTCTTTGTCGGGCTGTGAAACCCCGGTGTGCCACTTGAGATAACTTACGTTCATAACAGTACGAACGTTGCGGCGAGCATTCCGAGAATGAAGGAGATATGTCAGGGAGCTTATGGCGAGGTCGTTAAAATAGCAGATGGAAGGTCATGTTTACAGGGGGTTGGAAGCCTTATTATAAGTTGGTTCCCATAGCTAACCCCGAATGAATACAAGTATCATATGAATATCAGTCCCGCCTACTAAAACTAGTCGCTGTACTACGCAAGGTGGTCCAGGACCACGGCTATCGACGTCGTCGATGGTGACGTGAAAGTAAACTCGATGATATCGACGTCGAGCTGGCCACTCCGGAAGCAGCGGAAGTGCAGGTAGATGGGTGCCGACGGCGATCACTTTGATCGAAGGTGGTGAAGGGGCGCGAGGTCACCAGGTCGCTGTTGTGAGTGCACCCACCGAGGTCAGCCCGACGTGTACCGTGTGGTGAGCTGGTCTTGTGTGTGCTGGAAAAGGATAGAGCATATCCCAACGGGATTTGCGGTAATTTAACTGCATCGTGAGGGTTGTACCGACACCGGCGTTCAAACGATGTAGCGAGGGATAAGGTGGGGTGTGGGGTCGGTAATTCGGCAGGAGAGGGTCGATGGTCATGGGATGTCGCTACCCTGCATCGATTCATATTTTTACTAATTAACGGATGGAGAGTGGTTGCACGACATCGTAAAAGTGTCGGATAAATGTCTTGATGGTTCGTGGTGTCCTTCGGGCTTCTGGTGGCTATCTATGTACTAATGGATTAGCTGCAGTTTTCTCTTTCGAAGGTTGGAGTCCCCGCGAAGACGTTTGGTGAGAGAAAAGATAGGAACAAATGGAGAGAATACGCTTGGAGGAGGAGGGTTTCCGATGGACACGACTTTGCGGCGCATGCCAACCCTTTGTACTCCCATTTTTGGGTCTCTTTATTGCTTCTTCTGGTTCTTTAAAACTTTCGCGTTATGGCCGACCAGTAAGATTGTTCGCGGCTACCAATCGATGTGTCCTCGCTTGCCTCTTAAGCCCCACAGACTCTCGAAACCTCCCAAGGCAAGCCCTTTTGGCTCTTTGCGTTGGACCGATACCTCCGACGAATGATGGAATGTGCTGGGTTTCAAAGAACATTCCACTCTGGGTCACCAGATGCACCCGTGAGAGGAGCTTACGCCCTCTCGGTCGGTACCGTAGCGCCCAATAAAGAGTCCAGACGGATAGGAAGGTCGGGTTGACTAATCTGTAATATATGAGAGCAGTCCAGCTACCTGGAGTGGTCTACATCTATGACGAATGTCCTGGGACATGGGACTCTTCCCCACGTCCATAACGTCTCAAATGGTCGCCCCACACCAGTTTTCGAGCATCTCTCAACGCATTAGGCTAACTCCGCAATCCAGCGCAGAGTAGAATCCCATCCAAACCTTCTGTTGGCAAATGTAACGGTAAATTCTGCTATAACCACCTATCTGATGTGAGGTCTGTCGATCTCGGTGAGAAAAGTCAAAAAAACCTTTGGCGTTTTCTAAATCTAGAATGGAGGTGGTGGTCTGTTGCGGCTCTTGGCTGACAATTGCAACGCCGAACCATGCGCTTCGCTGATGACGGACCTTGTGGAAGGTGTGCCTCATTACGACAGGGCGGTCTGACGAGACTGCTTTGAGTAGCTTCTGAGAACATGCTGAACGCCCACCGTGGGTGGATAGATAAGTGTATGGGTTGTGGTCAGGCGACTTTGAGAGGGCTCTTTCTCTTATACTGTTCTGGAGACCCAAGCATAAGTGTCGATGTGAGGGAATTTCGAGGGGAAGAGCCTGGAAACAGGTTGTTGGGCTTGGCACGTAGGTATGCGGGGTAAGGCTTACCAAGTTCCAAATCGGGATGGGGCAGAAAAAGGCAAGCGGGACACAGCCACTCTGTCGCCCTTCTTTCCTCTCGCGATATCACATGCCTGGCTGAGTGACGCTCTGGTTTCGCAACAACGGACATTTGAGTCTACACCGTAAATACACCCATTAACCTGTCGATTCTAAATGTATACTCACGCTTCTTTGAATCTTCTAGGGAACAATCCTTCTCTTTCTTTCGTCTACTTTTTCCACTGTAGACCTTTCTCCACCGACATCTTCAACCGGCTATGATGGAGTCCCTTTTGACCCCAGCCGAATCTATGGCCTTCCAATCTTTTTTGTCGTCCGTCGACAACTCGCAACCACCTGGGGATTGGGCGACTTATGCCTCGCAGTTCAGTGGCGAGGTCCGGAAGAACAACCATGATCTCCTTAACCTCGATTCTCTACCCTCGCCGCAGGGGAACGATACTTTGACTCAGGCCACAAAGGATCTCATGTCGCTGGACGATGGCATGTGGGGTGACAACCGGATGGTCCTCGACCATTCTCAGTCTCAGCCCCAGCAGCAACATTCCTTCTACGACCATCTAGGGCAGCTCCAGCATCCCCATCCCCACCAGCAGCACCAGCACCAGCAGCAACAACAACACCAGCATCAGCAGCCCTTACAAATCCAGTCGCCTCAGCCGATGGCCTTCCCAACGGCACACGACGCCTTCCCCTTCCTCAACAACTCCAAATCCCAGCTCCAGCAACAGGACTTCTTCCAACAACAGCAGCAGCTTCAGCAGCCCTACCCTCACGACCCGATCCAACATTTCAATTACCCGAGTCAAAGTTTTCATCATGGAAACCAACTCAATGGGTCTTCAATAAACGGTGTAGGGATTTCCTTTGGCACACAGCAGCAGCATCAACCGCCACAACCAACGCAACCTCAACAAGCGCATATCCCTCCGGCAATCAGCCATACGCATTCACAGTCGTCTGTGACGTCGTCGTCCACGGCTGGTGCTCCCTCGAAACGCCCGATTCGCGCGGCGTCGCTGTCGTCTGCGTCGTCACCTGCAGCTGGGCCTTCTTCAACGGCGAAACGGGGGAGCCGTTCCTCGTCTTCGCAGTCTCCAAATCGGTCTGGTCCTCCGTCTAAACCGGCTTTGCTCTCTCCATCGCAGAAAAAGGCCAACCATATCCAGTCAGAGCAGAAGAGGAGAGCGAATATTCGGCGCGGGTATGAAGCGCTTTGTGAGACTGTTCCGGCGTTGAGGGAGGCGATCCGGGAGGAAGAGGAGGAAGCCAAGGCTGCCGCGTTGGCTGCTGCTGCTGGGCTACCGCCTAAAAGTAAATCGGCGAAGAAGAGGAGCGGGAAGAAGAAGGAAGGGGAGGAGGGCTCGAAGGATAAGATTGATGGACGTGCGGGTCCTAGAAGTGAGAATGTGGTTTTATCGAAGAGTACGTCTCCTTGTGATTTTTTTTGTGTGTCGTGTTCGTTGTGTTAATGGGCTGTTGATTTTTTTTTTCTGTTCTTGCTGCTTCCTTTCTTCTTTAGCGATTGATTATATCAACGATCTATTAGCGGATAGGGCTTCGCTGCTCGCGAGGCTTCAGCGTGCTAGGGCGATGCTTCCACCTGGTCATCCTGCGCTGGTGCCGCTGGTGCCGAATCCGCTTTGGGAAAGAGAGTGGAAGGGCGGGGAAGGGAAAGAGGGGAATACGCGAGAAGAGGGCGAAGAGAGTGAAGCGGAGGAGGATACTGGCAGTCCCAATCCCAACGCACCCAAGTCAGGGAAGGGAGCGCGGAAGAAAGGGACTGAATAGGAGTAAGTCCCTTTGCCGCAGTTTAGGCGGCGGTTATGCTGTCCTATTTTTTATGCGATCTCTGTTGTTGTTGTAATTCTCGGTTCTGCACCGTTCCACCCAGTTCAGTTTTTTTGCTGTTCAATTAATGACGGTTGTTTGCTATCTTTATACCACCTTTTCGGCTGGGACTTTCTTTTCTTCCTTATAATTAATGTGTATCTTTTGTAGCCATTATCTAAAAGACCTCTCTGATGTAGATGTTTTGGATAGCCCGCTTTGTCGCACTCACCCTCACCAGCCTTTTTACTATACCACTGGCATGTTCCAGGAATACCGGGGCAGCGTAATGAATTGGTAGTCACGACTAGTTCTATATTCTTTACGTAGCTTAATAGAGAAGCCCGTCTGCTCCTTTCCTGAACGTCTCACTTGACAATAAGTATAGCGCGAGCAAAGTCGGTGAAAATGTCCCGAAGCGCCAGAAGATCGGCGGCGTCGGGATTTGGACCAGAGTTGATCGCGGCTTGGCGCCTGGAGTGGGTTCTGATGGCGCCAAGTCATTGCTCAGCGCTGTCTGGCGGGCCAACTCACCTTGCTTCATCCACCACCGACTTTTCTTACTTTCTCGAAAAATGGTCAATGTTATTGGCTTTGTCGCTCTTTACGCAACTTTCTTGTGCTCTTTGATTCTCCCTGGTGAGTGAAACGCGTGAATAATTCAAGGGAAAGGCTGTTGACGAAAGTGAATCTTGAATCGCGCAGTTTTGGCCCAGCAGTACACAGACCAGCCAGCGACGCCTGATCATGTCGCAGTTATTAACGCTGAAGATATGCCTGCGAAGTGTAATGAGGAATGCACGTTGGCGAGTGAGAAGCTTGTGGTGAGTAGCGGTGGTACCTGGTGTGAGGACGGATACTCATGGAATGTGGTCTTTCCCTGGTAGAACTGCAACCGAAACGGAACGTGCTACTGCGACGACATCACAACCGTACCTATCCAGGATTGCTTCAGATGTGCAGTCGATGAGGGATATTCCAGGTCCAAAGTCAATGGTGTCTTCGATGGTACGAGTGCACTTGCTCATTCGGGGCCAACTTGACTTAACTCGCTTCAGATATTGCTGAGAACTGCAGGAAATACAAGACACCAGTCAACAATCTCTCACTCAGCGGAGCTGCGAAGCTTTCTTTGGGATTCGCGTCTGTTAGTGTCGTTGCGGGGCTGATGTTGTTGAATGTGGCGTAGGCTGTCTTTTGGCCTCGAGGTCGGTTCTAAATATCTGACATTTGCATTTGGATACCGTTTGCTGGATGGGGCTTCTTGAAACTGGACCATGCGGATGCTCCCATTTATTTCTCATAATGTGTACAGTGGACACTTATATATAGATCGCACCTAATACGCTCATTTATGTCCTCTTGGCCTGGATGTCGGCACCTGGACACCTGGGTTCGACCACAACCACGACTAGCGCAATTCTTTCCCTGGCTATTCATGAAGGAAACCCCTACGCTAGAGCTTCCGGTCGAGATCATCTGCTTCCTCTGTAGAGTTCGGCAAGAGAAAGTTGGCGGGATTGTTATAATCTGTTGTGCGTAAACAGCCACACTTCGCTTTACCTTTACTTACAATACTCTGACAGGACTAAGCAATCCTTGTCTCGAGAATCTAACCACCATGTCGGTTGCCTCGTTTCCCCAGGTTGCCGACTAACGACCGACATACTTTGATCAAGATGTCTGTATCGAGTCAATTTCTCTGGCGGAGGAGGTTGAACACCAGGATGTGGCACTCGTACTTCATCAGTGTTCTACCCGACTTGTCTCCTTCGCTGCGCGCATGGCCGAAAAGGATTCTCATCGAGAGGGCTATCTTTCTTGGCCACCCGTGTCCCTCAGTAAGGGAAGGGCAAGGTTCGAGCTAGAAATGCCTTCAACAACCTCACCCATCTTGCGATGTTCGACCTGCACAATATAGAGTTGGCAGTTGATGTCGTGGGTGTGGCGCCAAACCTGCGATTTCTGGCCTTAATTGGGCGTGAAGAGGAGGAATTGGAGGTGTTGTTTGGACAAAATTCAGTATGTCATCCATTGCCTATGCTTTTAGGGGCGTTGGGGAGGGGTATAGGGTGGTAGGTTTGAGTTGTTGGATTCGAGGAAGCAAGAGAGGTTCTGATGGGTCGAAGAGTTAATCGAGGGGGCTTTTGTTTGGACTGGGGTGAACGATGGAAGGCGGGTGACCATGAGTAGGGCCCAATGGTGCGCCTTCCGCCCAGGGACCCGAGCTCGGCAACTAGACTTTGGCTAGTCCTGTCCTGGGCCAGCATCACGATCGTGGCGGCCTGTATGGCCCGTCATCTGATCCATGGACATCGTGTTGAGCGGACTGTGTACTTATTTTTGGTTTCTGCAGCGCCCGTTTTGAATAAAGCAGATGGTCCCACTTCCAGGTCGGTTGTATCGGTCCAGGGTCCTTGCTCGTCCTTCCCACTATGCCGCCATACCTGCTCGACCTCCCGCTGGAATTGGGAGTCAAAATCGCATTCCATGTTCAAGACGAAGGGGCCGACGGGGCCGCTGTTAGGAGGGAGGACCTCCAATCTTGCATGCTCGTGTGCAAAGCCTTTTCGACACTATTCAGGCCTTATATCTATCGAGTCTTACGACTCCTGGACCTGGCGGCAGTCGAATACTACTTTGAACATCTTTCAGCCAGGCCTGGTTATGCTCGGTTTGTCAAGACGCTGCACGTGTTCAAGGGGTGGGACGTCGTGCAGAGCGACGCGTTCCCGGAATTGTTGAATCTCCTGCCGTCGGTTTCTGAGGTGGTGTTTGGGGGAGGGGCTGTGGGGAGCAGAGCTACCAAGCTCGACTTTTTGCAGCTACCACCAAGGACTGTGGGCTCGATCGTTCGAATCTGCACACTTCACTCGGTGACCCGACTTTACGTGGCTCGGTGCATTAATTGCCCTGGGGCTATCCTTGATGTCCCGGGATGTACGTTGGTGGATGTTACTTTTGACCCAGGATCGGTGGTGCCGTCGACGGTGGGGGAATCGGGGGATGGCGAAGAAAGGAGGCCGGGATTGGGCATCCTGAGGGACCTGGATGTAACTTGGTCCCCCGAATCTGCGGAGACGTTTGGAGAGGTTGTACAGGGTTATGGACGGCGTTTTGAGAATGTCACCTCGCTCTGTGTGGGACTTCAAGTCGATTATGGGACCGCTTGGGAGACTATGGAAAAGCTCATAGACCGATCTCGCAGCTTAGAGGAACTGGAGATTCGGATTGGTACTGGTATTTTGCTACTCATGCCAGCGCATGGCTTGTACGTTGTGCTGACTCTGGGTTTATTACAGATGTGTTTACTCGAGCGTTCAATACGGAGTATTCTGTTCTCGAGAATGCCCAACTCAACCTCGGAAATGTCTCCCAACTGCGCCGACTTGCGTTTACCGTCTTCTACCCGACGGCATCGCATATCCGGATGTTTCTGCGAATTCTTAGGGACATCGTTTCGTCGTTAGTGGGTAGGACGCTAGAGAAAGTGGATATCTGTATGGAGATTGTGATGGTAAACTTCATTGAGGAGTTGATGGATCCAGAGGTGGGATGGGCGGGGTTGGAGGGCTTGCTCGCGGATAAGGAGGTGTTTCCGAAGCTTGTATGTGTGAGGGTTGATTTGAAGGTTCCGCTTGGGATTATTCGAGGAAATGGGTGGAAGGAACTTTCGGAGGGAGTGGATGGTATGATGCCGGCTATTCCTAGGGTCGTTTTTGAGGGAAGGTGGCGGTCACCTTTCTTTCATTCATAGATTGATGTACATCAATGGGCGCTAATCAAAGTCTGGTCGTCTATTTGTATCTAACTCGGAATACATCTGATCTTGATGCTATGGACCTCGGGTCCCAGTTGGCTCCGATATAACAGTCGTTGACTCGATGATTGAGCGCTCACCATAAAACGTCGATGTTCCAGGCAACTGGTATATCCGCTCATACCTGCCCTATATTTCCTTCATGGACGTGAACGATACTGCCCCAACGGATCTCCCGGTTGAGATCCTATGTGCTATCGTCCAAATGGCCGCCAGAAACAGTGTTAAGAATCACTACAACCTTGCCCTTGTCTCGCGTGATTTTAATTCCTGGTATGTTGCACCGGGTAGAAATTGTGGTATTGATCCAAGGTTGAATCTGTAAAGGGCCTCACCATTCGCGTTCGACCGCGTCGATAACCTGACAACTAGGAAGTCATTCGTATTCCGAAACGTGATCCTCCGAAAGCCAGCCCAGTACTTCGCACGAGACGTTCATATCAAGTCGATTTCGCTGGTCGAAGCAATCCCACTTCCGCTAGCTCGATCCATACTCACCTAATGCTCCAACCGCCTCATCTCATTCTTTGCACGAACGAATGCCGCGGACGATCATCACCCGGCGAAGTGCCTACCTTATATCACGTCGAGGTTCCTCCGCAGGTTATGCTTGGTTTGGGGGCCACCTGTAGCTTCAGGGAGGGGACTGAAAGTGAAGCCATACGGAATCCCTTCACCGTATCCCGAGATTCCGCTGGATTTGCTGCGTTCTGTCACCCATTTCATCTGCTATACCCCGCAGGTCGCGGCCATGAACCTGGAGGGCATGGGCTACTATCTAGCTTGGGACGCATTATGGAATGCGGCGGCATCCACCACCGCCCGCCTCACACACCTGGCGATGTCAGTCCAGAACCTGAGTTTGGTTGTGGGCGTGTTGCGAAGGGCGCCAAATCTGCGGTATCTTGCTTTGTTTGGGGGTGATGAGGAGGACCTGAGGGAGTGGTTGGAACAGGTTGACACCATCAAGTTTTCGCGGCTTGTCAAGAGGCTCAGTTACGAGAGGCTTGGGGAAGGATTCAGGCGGTTCGTGGTGTTGGATAAGGGGAGGATTGCGGATGAGGATTTGGTGGATTCGGGAGAGCAGGCGCAGTTTTGGTGGAGGGTTGAGGAGTTGATTGATGCAGGGTTTTGTTCGGACGTAGGTGATCGGTGGGAGGAGAATGAGTTGGGCAATTTTAGGGTTGTGGGCGGAGAGTTGTCGGCTTTGTAGGAGGACCATGTTGGCATAGGGTGGGAACCGGAACGTCGGATGTAGGGGAGTGCGAGCTTTACCGCAGCCCTCAGTTGCAGTATACCGATGGACGGGGCTTTGTTGAACTCACCGTCGATCCCAGCCGATCGGTAACTGTAATCCCTGGTTGATGGGCGCTTACAACGACCCAGTGACCATGAGAGCGCTTGGACTTGGTCCGCTGGATATTGATGGTCTCCACAGAGTACTGGCAGCACTGAAGGTCAAACCATCCTTCCGGAATGATATAAAAGTCAGGAGTGATGCCACGTTCTGTCCTCGAGCTCGAAACCTATACCATCGACTTCGAGTCTTCGACTAACCCCCTACACGGCGACATGATGTCCACGTCTAGGAAGGGACCATTCAACTGCGATAAATGCAAGAAAGAGTTCAAGAAATGGTCTAAGCTAATGGCTCACGAACGACGCGAGCACGACCCAGACACCGTCATCGAACGATTCCCCTGTCAGCTCCCTGGCTGTGAATTCGTAACAAAGTACAAAGGGGGCCTGAAACAGCATGTCATCATACACGATCCCAACGCTAAGCAACCCGTATGCCAGTTTCCCGGCTGTGGATTCGTAACCATACACAAAAGGGGCCCGAAACTGCACTCCGCTCGTTGTGCACAATACCAAGGCCGAGTATCATCATCCAGCAATTCAAGAGGGGCGCTTCAAGAAGTATGTCGCTAGTCATGACCACGATGGCAGCTGCCGCCATACTTTAGACAACTATGGCGTACTAGTCTTGAACCGGGACTTGACGGAGGAGACGCTTTACATTTGGTCTGGTGCTTTAATTAAACCGAAATCTCTGTGTTAGCTTCTCGCACTTACTATTTCCATGCTCCCTTGAGCTTTTGGCAACTGGGCGCTTAGCGAGATGCGATCCTGGGAAAATACAAACAAGTCACAACACAAGGCTTGAACAGTTCAACGACGCTCTTTGCTTTCACTCTTCTCGCAAAACTCGCCGCGCCAGTGTTTTTAATGTTTTGTTACATTTATATATCTACACGGGACCTGGTCACTACATGAAGGACAGAGAGGCGCTTTTTTCAACCCGCGATATGACGAACAAACGTTTTAATGGGACCAAGATTGTAGGGATATCGAGAATCGTCTCCTATGCTTTTCTGTGCTGACTTCCTGCAGAGGCTTTATAGGAGTAACATTGGCTTCACTGCCTTCCGTCATGGGACTGTGCTTGCCCGAAGGGGTGAAAGGTTCTCCGAGGGAAATGCGATAAAATGTTTCTGTTATCGACCAATCAGGGACGAGACAACACCTCTCCTTGGGATCGGACGATGGCGGAAGGAGCGCGACTTTCCCGCCCCTTGCCTTATCAAGACCTGCCTCCTCGAAATTGGGAGATTCTCCGAAACGGATTTGCTTTCGAGATAGGGCAAATCGTTATCTTTTGAGGGGCCCTTGGCTTTTTCGAGATAGAGTGCTTCTTATCGTGTTCCTTGGCCTTGGCCTACGTCTCCTACCTTTTGGTCCGAAGGCTGCAAGGTACGAACCCGGAAGGTTGGTACCTCGTTTTCAAATGTAAATCTTTGGAATGCTGATATGGTGTACTCGCTAGGTGCACATAGTGAAGGTCATTGTACAGACCATCTCAGTGTAGAGCGCTATGAAAGACACCCTACTGCTCTGTCGACGCTGGTGACACGATCCCAGCCGCTTTCATTTCGCTGGTAACTTTCCCAAACGTCCAAGCTCACTTCATTCACATTCTCCCCTCAACGACGCGTCTACCTCTCGATAAGCACTGATAACTGTTGTTCGGCCTTTGGCGCTATCGACAGTTGAACGCCGAATCATAGGTGTCGAACATATCACGGGCGGGCGCGCCCTGAGGAAGATTGCGTCAAGGACATGACAATCTTTTACTGCCATCCGATTTGGGGAAAACTCCTCCTATGTTCGCTGTGCATATAAACTCTGCGTCTTCCCCCTCACCTCCTCAGCAGGAACTCCCGGCATCCCCTGCTTCCTCTGGCTCCTTCGTCACGGTTCTCCCTCGTTCACGGCGCCATGACTTGGTTATCCCACCTTCTCGTTTCAGCGTTAGCTGGCTCGTCGATTGTCGCAGCCCTTCCCAGCTATTCCCCGTACACAAGGCGTACTGGCGAAGAGCTTGATGCCTACTCGATGCACTCCCGTCGCGACGTCGTCGACACCCTCCTCACTCGCGAGAACTGGGACAAATGCCCCGCTCCCACCAAGCTCGTCGGCAAGGCTCCCAAGGAGAACATCTGGAGTGGTTTGACCAACGAAGAAGTAACCGCCGTTCTCGGTTACGTTCACGACCCCGCCTCCGGATTGAACCTCACCTCGTACGACAAGAAGGGCCTTTGGGACAACTACGTTTATCTTGTCGAGCAAGTCATGCCCAACAAGACCGAAGCTGTTGCCTACATCGACGGCGACGGGCCTCTCCCCGAGCGGTACGCTCGTGTGGCCATCTCCTTCGGTGCGACCGAAACTCCTTACTACGAGGATTGGATCGTAAGTTTTCCAGGTACCATTTCCAAGATCCTTTTCCTAACGTTCTATCCTTCAGGTTGGACCTCTTCCCATTTCCGACAAGACCAAGGTCGAGCCCTTGACGTACTATTACAACAAGGGTACCTCAAAGCAGTTCAACTACCGCCACGACAACTCTGTTCGCAGCAAGTGGAAGGCTCAGCTTTGCGAGGAAATCCAGGACATCACTCTCGACTTGTTGGGAACGGTGAGCATTTTCTGACTTTTGCTCTGTTCTTTCTAACGGCTTCGTAGTATATTAACACCACCAGTGCTACCTCTGGCTTGCAATCCATTGATCCCCTTTGGGAAGAGGATGGCAGGATCATCGAGTGGGCTCAATTCCGTCTTGCTCCCAAGGACGTCGGTGTCCACTCTGTTGAAACCCTCGTTCCTCAAGGTCTTTATCTCAAGCTTGGTACGTCAATGGCTTTGCTCGCACATCACAGATGTACTCACATATTCCCTCAGACATTACAGGTCGTGACCCTGCTGGCTGGAAGCTCCTCGGCATCTACTATGGCGGTATCTTCTACGAGAGCGCTGCCGCCTTCCGCGCTGCTTGGGAAAAGTCCGACTTTGTCAGAACCGAGAAGACCTTCGTTACCCAGTCGATGATGACCAACCGCACCGGCGAGATCCTCCCCTACGACTACGAAGCTCCCCCCGCTCAGTTCCAGACCCAGAAGCGATGGACTGTCGACAAGGAGAATAAGTACGTCAAGTGGATGGACTTCGAATTCTACATCGGCTTCAACAAAGACGTTGCTGTCACCCTCTACGATATCAAGTACAAGGGCGAGCGCATCTTCTACGAACTTGGTCTTGAGGAAGCTCTTGCTCACTATGCTGGTTCTGACCCCAAGTCTTCTCACACTGCCTTCCTGGATTCCTACTATGGTTTCGGCCCCTACGTCTATGAACTTGTCAAAGGGTGAGTGGATTCAGTCATCGTGCTTGGCAGCCTCCTAACCGTCTGCCTTCAGATACGACTGTCCTTGGAACGCCGATTATCTCGACACTAGCCTTCACATGAACGGAAACACCACCACCAACTTTGACAGCATCTGTCTCTTCGAGTCCGACGCCGGCTTCCCTATCCAGAGGCACACCACTGGCAAGATGGCTACCGTCACCAAGAACATCGTCTTCAACCTCCGCTTCGTTTCTACTATCGGCAGTAAGTGATATCGAATCCCTTCCGTTTCCGCTGTTACTCACGCAACCCCAGACTACGACTATGCCTTTACCTATAGCTTCCTCCTTGATGGCAGCATTGAGGTCACCGTCCGTGCTTCCGGTTACATCCAGTCCACCTACTACTACGGCAACGAAGATTATGGCTACAAGATTCAGAAGCACCTTTCAGGTTCCATGCACGACCACGTACTCACCTTCAAGGCTGATCTCGACATCAAGGGCACCAAGAATTCCTTCGAGACTACTTCCTTCGTCCCCACGGTCGAGAGCTACCCTTGGTCTAACGGTGAACGCAGCACAATGAAGGTTGAACGCTCCATCCTGAAGACCGAAGACGATGCGAAGATTAACTGGGCCCCCAACGGTGCCAACATGTACGCTATCATCAACAAGGATGCTCCCAACGTCTGGGGTGAATATCCTGGCTACCGCATCATGCCTGGACACGGTACTCCCATCCACTCCACCGTCCAGAAGTCTTCCATCGTGAAGGATTCGATGCACTTCGCCACCCACCATATGTATGTCACCAAGCAGAAGGACACTGAGAGGTATGTTTCGTTTCACTCGCCTTAGTTGGTAACCCGGTATTGACACTGCTACTTCCCCCAGGCACTTGACGCACAGCACCAACAACATGGACAGCGGCAAGCCTCTCGTCGACTTTAGCAAGTTCTTTGACGGCGAGAACCTCGAGCAAGAGGATATCGTCCTTTGGTTCAGTACGTGCCTTCGGCATCTGCACCGCAGTGTCTTCATCTCTAACCTTCTCTTGCGCAGACCTTGGCATGCACCACTTGCCCCATACCGGCGATCTTCCCATCACACTCATGTCCACCGCCCAATCTTCCGTCGTCTTCAGCCCCCACAACTACCTCCTCAGCGATCCTACCCGCCAGACCGTCCAGCAAATCGAGATCGACCTCACTGGCGAGAAGCCCGTCGTTGACAACTATGGCAAGAAGACAGATGTTTGCTACACCCCTCGTATCGTTGAAGATGATTACACTCAGTATGAAGGTGGTTCCACTGTCAGCAAGATGCCTCACCATGTTCCTTGCACCAACTGCTAGAATATTTTAGACGATTAGAATTTTATACGATTGTTATGAAGTAGAAGTTATGAAACGACGATAGATTAGACGTTTTTCATGTTTTACCGTGTTCTGGAGGGTAGTTAGGATGTTGTCTACAGCCTACTAATTGCAATCTGGATCTGTTGGATATTCACCTTGTATTATTTCCCCTGTGAATAATTCTCCGGTGACCTGGAGTGGCTTGACTTCCCTCTCTCCCAATGGGTCCCTCTGCACGGTGAATCTGACTCCTTGACTTGAAACCCGACATTGTTCTCCACGATTACGTCCAGGTCAAAAAGCCCATCACATTCACGTTTCAAGTCAAATTACAAGAGTAACAATTAGTACAATAATACACCTCTCCGAGACTTAGATTGCAGCTGAGCGGAGATGACGGTAGGGGCAGGGATGAGTGGAGATGATCGTAAGAGTAGGGATGCGTGGTAGTACCAGAATAGTCCATGTATATGATAGCGATAGCGTGTCTATGAGAGTCCCAAGGGTGCGAAAGCTCCGAGGAGGGGATGCAGCGATGGATGAAAGAGGGATTCATGTCAAGGGAGGAAAGAGTGGGTCGTTGGATAGAGGTTGGTGAGTGAGACTGGCTAGGTAGTGGTTCCATTCGCTGATGCTGTAGTCACACAAATATTAGCCTCAAGACGGAGACACCGTACGTAGTGGTAGAAGAGAACTTACCTCCACGCTGTAGGTGCTGTCATCCACATCGACATGGCGCTCGTATCTCGCGAAGAAGGTAGCACATTGTTGTCCACCAAGGTAAACGGGTTTGTCCCGGGGATTGGATTGTTGTCGAGGTTAAAGGGCGGTTGAAGAGCGGAATTGGTTGTTGCCGGTGTCGGCGTTGTCGAAGGGAAGTTGAAAGCTGGATTTGCATGCTCGGCGTAACCCAGTTGTGTCAGTAAGAGCGTGCTTAAATCCCAGTCTGGATTTGAGGGCGGTAAATGGCCGGAAAACTGGGATTGGGAGGGGCCACCTTGGTCGGAGAATTGCACTGGTGTGCCAGAGCTCGAGGAGCCTGCACCTGTGTCGCTCGGATTAGGATTCGGGGCGGAAGTGAACTTGTCGAATATCTGCGGGTCGGACGGGAAGGTGCTTACGAGCGCAGCGAAGATGTCGGATTGCCTGGGCGCGTTGCTCTCGTCTCTTGTTCGTTTTCGGGATTGGTCCTGGCTTTCAGGCAGCGGAACAGGAAGGCCGCCGAGGGAGCAAAATTCAGTCAGGATGTCTCTGTAGGGATTGAGTTATCCACGAGCTGGGAGAACGGCGGATGAGGACCACGCACCCGAACCTGCCTGCGATGTGCCACCTAGATACCGTGAAACTGATCAGATACATAGTAGTTTACCCTGGCAAATCAACCCACCGTTCGCCTCCCGACTTCAAGAAACGAAGCAGACACTGGATATCTTCGACCTCTTTCTGCAGCAGGTAAGATAACTTGGGACCACGACGTCCCCAGAGGTTGATCACCAGCACCGTACTCGCAGCGAATGCTGCAGCCTGTCCACGCAGTGGTAAGTTATGATTGCACAACGACCCGAGAACACGAAATACTAACGAATGTGTTGACTGAAGAGAAACTCTGTCTCTTCATGGTAGCATCCACCAATCGACTAGTAGCTCTGGCTGCATTCGTGCACATGGCGAGGGCAGGTAGTGCCAGTGTGGTTTGTCCCTGGAGGAAGGGCCGGTGGATTTGGATTTGGAGGTAGTAGAACGCGGAGTGGAGGAGGACTTGTTGGTTGAAGACTTGGATGTCTGGATGGCTTGGGTCCCACCGGACTGTTAAAATGTTGATCAAGTTGAGTCAGTGAGAGACCTCACATATGAAGGTAGGAGGACTTACGATGCTGTGGTAACCCGTCCTTCCACCTATTCATGGCGGAGTCGAGCTCGGATACAATCCGCCTCTCCCACTGCTCGCCAATGGACCCAGTCAAAACTTTGGACTTTTTTGACGAGTACAGAGTTCGAAGCATGAAGGCTGCGATTTCGCAAAGCTTGAGGTGGAAGTTCATCGCGGTGATGAGACTTGGTTTGTTTGGAGGCTGCTTCCACGCCTTTTCGGGGTCGTCGACTTCTGAATCCCAGTACTCGTCGTCGCATTCGATGGGGTAGTCGATGTCGATGCTACATGTTTCGTTAGTGGTGCGATTGCTCCATGGATGGAAGGGCAACGCTCACTCTTCATCGTGGAGACATGGAGGACGTCCAAGTGATGTGCTAGTAAGCCATTCCAAAGTGAGCAAGGACCTATGCGACGGATCAGTGAATGGCTTTAGATGGTAGGGTGCAGAATGCGAGATCGTACCAGAATATACGTTTCTCCAATTCTGACTGTGCCTTGGTTTTCGGGGAAGCTGCGCCCTTGCGCCGATGCAGCCCCATTTCGATGGCAAAACGCATGGCAATACCTAGGAGGTTCCATGCAGTATGTGGGGACGATGTGCCGAGGAAGTAGAAAACAATGAGCTAGACCGGATTCAGCAATTCGCCAAAGTCAATCGGAGGTTAACTGACAGCATAGTACTGCAGGTCAAGAATGGTGGCCTGCGCAATGATCGATTTGCGGACCAACGGTGTTTGAGCGATAAACCTCCAACCTGCAGATGGTCCTGACAGATCAGGGTTCTCATGGTCCACAATGATGACTCGTTCATCGGCGGTGTACCGTGATGCTGTTGCACAAGCTGCGAGGAGGATCATACCGAAACCAGGATCCTTGAAGTGGCGCCCACTCCGAACATCTCGCAGGAAAGATGGCCAGTGCAGGACGGGTAATTGCGGGTGCACCCGTTCGCCATAAATAACTAGCAATGACTCGAGGAGGTCTGTTTCGGGGAATTCATAGATGGGTTCGGGAGAGTCCGCGTATTCGCGTTCCCACTGACATTTGTTAGTAACGAGAGCTGGAGTTTGGGTAGGAGAGTGTGCTTACTGGTCGTAGATCCCATATTGCGGGGCGGCGGACGAAGGAGATGCCTTCCTCGTTTGGCTCCCGAGAGAGCTCAGCGATTTGAGAAACGAAGCTGATGAGGCTGGGGGGAAGGTTACAATTTTTCTCAAAGGTTGGAAATGAGCACGAACCTCGCCTTTCCAAAGAATCTATTGTCGTGACAATCCACGGCCAGGAGGCCCATTCTCTCGGCCAAGCATCGTCCTGCACCGTCGTCAGAATCCCAGTCTTCCATCTTGACTTCCTCGGTTGACGATGGTGACCCAGCGCCACTCATTGTTTGAGGAATGGGTGGTCGAATATCAGAGAGTCCACCCCCGCCACTGGAAGGAGAAGTGTGCCGCGAACTCTCAGTTTGATGAGTTGCAGAAGGACTGGAGTGGGTGTCTGCGGAGGACTGCGGTGGGGTGAGCATTGACTGCGGCACCAGCGGGGAGAGAACTAACAGCTCCAAGGACTTCCTCCAACTTGCGAATCTTTTCTTCAAGTTGGAGGATGTACCTGAAAGTTCAACGGTTTAGCGAAGACTTGGTTCCATCATGAAGATTTCTTACTCTTGTTGCCTGTCGCGTTTCTGTTGGTTGTATACTTTCAGCCTTTACAATATTGGTTGGAAGAAATAGAGCACACCTTTTGTCTTGGGATTGTATGTGCACATTCGATCTTTGAGTTGATGCAGTTGGAACAAACCCTGTCAGGCATTAGAGCACTGTCGCCTAATCGACTCGCCTAACGTTCAGGTTTCGCTATCTTAACAGAAAGTCGTAATTGGCTTACATTTGGCTTCAGGAATTGTAAGTATCCTTCATGATTAGAATATGATAGCACACATACTTTTCTTCTTTTTACAAGCATCACAAGCGCCATGAAGTCTCCTCCGCCGTTTGAATTGCTGACCCTCTTCTTCACTGGCCTCCGAGTCCGAGGCGTATCGCGACTGGCGCGGTGGGTCCTTCGCCGACATAATTACTGTTTCCTAGAGGATTAGCTTGCTTTTCAGAGGTCGATATTGAAGGTTGGAAACTGGAGGATGATGGTGGCTGGAAAGGCCTGAAGACGGAAGACAAACCTGCCGTCGATGACGAACAGACGGCACGGTGATCTCGGGTTCCTCGGACTGGAAGGACAGGCACCTGATTTCCCCACGGCCGGCTGGTCCTTTGCCAGAGCGCGAACTTTGTTCCTGACCAGTGACCACCAACTTCCTGTCTCAAGCAATCTCAATCTCAGGGCTTGGATCGACGCGCTGACTGTTACCTGGAAGCCGTACAACAACTGCAAAGTGAGGAATCTGGCGGCATATCGACAAGAACGCGACCTTGAGCCTCAGTCAAAACGTCACCGACGATGTCAGCGCACAAACGCAAACTTTCCGACCTATCTGAAGGAGGAAATGGCGCTCAAGGCGATAATACAGACAGACCCTCACAGAAGGCGCGACTAGAATCTAAAAACGACGCGTCTTCTTCGCCCCAGCATCCGGATCCACCCAAACACCTGCCCTATCCACCCACGGGTACCAACCAACGCGTCAAACCGACCCCCTTCCAGCTTCCAACCCAGATAACGACCTTTTCGTACGACGGGAACCACGTTCAAGAATTCAACGATTCTGCTCTACGGTACTATGTTGACCCGCCGCCTTCTGCGAGACTGGACTATGGATATGACCGTTGGATAAAGAAGCCGGACGATAGAGGCCGGTTGGATCCACTTTTGAAGGCTCTTAACCGGCTCAAGAAAGACCAGGCGAAGGCTGGGCTGGTTCCTGATAACGGTGTTGTCTGTTGGAGGGGTATTATGACCAAGTATGTCCCTTCTTTCCTTTCGAAGGCTGGCTAACGTCGAACGAGGATATTGACGGCGCCATATGAAGACCGGGATGGGTGGGACTTGAATGTCATGTTTGTCAATGGGGTTCTTTACTTCGAAGAGCATCTTACTGAGAAGAAACTACAAGAAAAGTATGTGTTCTCTTCCTTTGCTTAGGAAGGATGGTTTGCTGTTTGACGTGACCATTTATTTGTATTGACTTCTCCATCATAGAAACAACATGCAACCGAGGCAGCGTCTTCAGACCTACTATGGGTATGCCTTCGAATCATACTGCACTTCTGAGACCCCCACTCGCCATTCCGCGCGTTCAAACCCCGGCGAGCCACCTGGCTGGGGAGGCGATGTGAATACAAATGTCCAATGGTGCAGCGTCGTTCGGACGAAGCTCGGCGACTCACGGATTGTCATCGGTGGCGAAGTGGATTGTGTACGAGGTAGCTAGTTTACTCTTCCTCGTTTTCGATAAAGCTAACCGAGTCTAGGTAAATACACGGGACGAACGGACACATTTGTAGAGCTGAAAACCTCTATGACCATTCGGGGTGCCCAAGACGAGGCGCGATTCGAAAAGTATGGTGTCATACCCCCGAAACTCTGCCCAACATACTGACCATTGCCCTTTAGGAAACTTCTAAAGTTCTACTTTCAGTCTTTTCTTCTTGGCGTACCTGTGGGTTTCCATCCTTATCGCGGATCGCGTTCCCGCTAAGTTTCCGGTATTCCGTCCCTATAGGAAATTGTGGTCGGATTTCGGACCCCATCCGGGGTCGTGACCACGACCCAAAGCTTCAAAACCATTGAAATTCCTCGTCTTGTACGGGGGAAGCCTGGGGCCTGGGATCCACTTGTGTGCCTGGACTGGGGAAACACTTTCCTTAAATTCCTTAAGGGCATCGTTAGCGACTCAGCCACTGCTCAGGCTGGTAAAGACGCAAAGAGCCGGGTGTGGCGAGTGACATTCGTTCCTGGGACCGGTGTTAATCTACGCGTATTGGGCGAGTCAGAGGTCGAGGAGGTTGTCAATGGGGAAGACCGTATTGGGTTTCTGCCGGGATGGTACTGGAAGGAATTGTGTGCGACCCAGGCATCGGCGGCGTCTCCGATGTCAAGGGCAGACCACCAGACCAATACGTCACCGGCCGTTCCCAATACGATTTCGGGATGGCAAGTCTAGTTCTGATAACACCGGCTCATGCGACTCTATCAAGAAGAAAGAAGATTCGAGAGCATGTGGCGAGCGGGACCAGAGCGAAGGCTTTCGAATCCTATGGGCATCCGGCAAGCCCCATCACACTCGCCGTGCCGGGACCTCATCCACACCACACCTGGCATCGTATCCTCACCCGTTGCCCAACGCTGGCTCTTTCTTTCGGGCTTCTCGAACCAATGAAACCGGGGTTACATTTGCCTACAATACAGCACGTCTGGACGCGACGGGCGCGGTTTTGATACTATTATCAATCAACACCGAATCACAGCAGTGACTTGATGGTAGTATGAGCGTCTAATGATACCCAAGGTGTTGCGCCGGTTCCCCTTCAATAGTCATATGGTACGCCTTCATTGATCAAGTAATGGATACTACTTTACGTCTGCTTGACCCGACGCAAATAGCTTGCATATTTCCTGTCCATTCCCAACGAGTCATCCGCGGTTCTTGGACCCGCAGCGATCAGGCGCGTCCTGGAGCGTGTCTTCATTTCATCGGCTCGTGTATAGCAATTACCCACACAACCGCATCATGGGTGCACGCTGCTGTATGACTACGGTCGTGACCGCGTTGCAGGACACGCAGAGCCACGCAAGAGGCGTCCGGACGGGCCAATCTCCACTCAAACCCGAGAATAGACCATTTCCGCCGAGAAATCGCGAAGGTCATGCCCAGGAAATGCCCAGATGGGCGGATTACTCGGAATTGTATGACAAGAACGAGTTGTCTGAAATGTCAGTGTGTTATTGTGATTTACATCTTGGTTGGGCAGTCTGACTGAGGCTGACTGAGGTCATCATACTCGGTCATCTGATACACAGCTTCTTCCTGATTGGGAACAGGGCTGGGTGGGTACAAAATCGGCGAAATCTGAATCCATGGCCATAGAAACTGGGAGGGCGTGTATTATAATGAAAAGAGAGTGTATTAGAGGGCTGTAGAGACAATATGAGAGGAACAAGGGAAAGAAAGACAAGTGTTTGAGAGATAAAAATTGAGCCTCCGCAGTGGCAGATGGCCGGCAAGGAGTTTTAAAGCCGAAACCCCGGCGGAAAATGCCGTAGTCGCGTCGCGCTCCCAGAGCAACCCTCAGCTGAATTCTCTCTCACACTGACAGTCCTATTTGCTCTCTTCCTCAACACGCTCCACGACGTTCTCCTCGTCCCTCACGCTCCCGCCTTCGTCGGGCAATTCACCGTCCTCATCGTTGCCAGTAGGCACCAGCCACGCGTAAATGGCGACTCCAACTTCTTCCGCAACGTCGCCCTCACCGCCAATGGCTTATCTCTCGCACACACCACCGACCCCTCAACCCATGATCATGTCGACCACCTCAGACATTCTCGACAGAGAGCAGAGGCAAAAGGCAATCCAGAAGTTCCTTGCCAGGGCTGAACTATCAGGGGTACGTTGTTGGTTCCACCTCCCAGACGCGTCGTCGTCGTCGGCGACAGTCCAAGACATGATGGCCTCGTTCCCGCAACACCGCGGTTGCCTCGCGTGAAGGCTACGTACTACCTCTAGTCTTCCAAGTTCCGCCAAGGGCCTCATTACTCTCCTTAATATCTTCTGAAACTATGGATCCAGTCGCTAATAAAATTTCACAGGTGACTCGCGCACTCCGGGCGCGTCTATCGTATGCATCGTACAAGGCTACCCACAATATTCCCCACGTACCCCTTCGTGATCTCGAAGCACAATCCAGTCAAAACCAGGCTGCCTCCTTCAACCGCACCATCGCCGCGAAGCGGAAGGCGTCAGGCCCTCCCCAGTACTATTATGCTCCCAGTACACCAGGTCCAAGCTCTGGTTCACCAGCGACGGGCAATGCGCGGAAGGGTGCACCGGGAGCCATGCTCCCCCCGTCGTCTGTCAACTCTCCTCGGTCCCACTACCCCTCAATCAATGGTCAGCCTGCCTCCGCGGCTCACGGCGAAATGGCTTCTAGTTCGAGACACCCCTCTAGCACTGCACCAAACCTGTACACTTCCATATTGGCACCTCCGCCCGCCAAGCAAGCGCGAACCATTCACAATGCTAACGATCCTCCTGTACCAGCGCCAACGCGTCCGGCCCCATCGCCACGACCACGACTTCATAAATCTCCGAGAACCGAAGTGGGCCGTTCGCATGTCAAGTCTCGGCACTCGGACAAGTCCTCCAAATCGACCTCTTCGCCAGACCACCGTAGAGCCAAACGGGCTTCTGCCGATAAAGGCAAACGAAAGCAAGCAAGCGTTCGCGTTGACGCTGACGGGGATGTCGATATGAAGGCTGCAGCCACATTGACCTCCTTGCTGCTCCATAGCAGACCATCAATTGGGAGTGCATCATCACCGCGCTCGAGCATTGATGGTTCCGAAACAGGCTCGACGTTGTCCTATTCCCACTTTGCTCAGAGTTCGGCGAGAACGACGACGGGTTCCATTGGCGCGCCTTCCTCAATCCCTGGGCCTTCCACTCCTTCCACCGATGCTCCCTTACGTCACCGTACCCCTCCCCCATCCTCTGCCCCTGTCCAAGACCAAATCACCCCTCACGCAGCCCATTCAGACAAGGAAGCCGCCGACTTGATGCTATTCTTGGCCACCTCCCCTTCGCCGGCGCGTCCGTCCAAGGGCAAAGACCACGCTGCGTTCCAAATACTCAGCGGTGAACCAACACGACCGAAGGGACGTGTACTATTCCAGTCAGGCTCCGCGTCGGAGCAGCCTTCCGGAGAATCTTCAGGTGCTCCCGCAGCAAGCTCGCTGCAGTTGCCATCAACTCTTGCTCGAAGTGGCGAAGGAAGCTTCGTGTCGAGCATATCAAGCATTGGCAGCGAGCTTGGTGGCAACCGAGACGCGCCTTCTCCACCCACGCGTGCAATCTCCACCACTCCAGGACCCCAACAACTTCTCCCACCGCCTCCCCTTTCGTCTCGAGCACCGTCGGCGCCATCCAGCCCCGGTATGGCTAAACAGTCTGTCCCCGGTGCGGGAAGCCCTAGGCCCAGCAGTCAAGCTCCATCGATCGACTTTAACATTCACGAGTTCATTAATGCCTCACCTTCTCCACGGAACGTAGTTGCGCAGGGGCACAAACCCAATCACAGCCTACGGGCCGATGTTGGGAGGAAGCTCTTCGAAGAAGAGCAAATGCGCTATGCTGCTCAAGGCATGACGGGTATGGGCAATCCTCACACAGTTGGTGGGTTTGCACCGCAGAATGTGGAAGCGAGGGGAGAGAGTCAACCGATCCCGCCACAGACGTGGAACGCTGGGATTAATATAGCGCAGACTTGAAATCGAAGTCCATGAATGGTTGAGACATGCATGCATTTATGGCCCCCTTTTTCTTCTCGCGTCGCTTCCTCTCTCAACGAGCCCAATGACGATTTCCATTCATGATCAAGCCTGACAGAACACGAAAACGACGAATCCACGCGACGACGATCATCAACTTCCAATCTTCATAGAGGCGGAAGCTGCAAGCACAGGAGTCCTGGACATTCGCATCATCATAATCTTAGCGATCCGGTTTCCGAACGTCTTGTTTATTGGCAACTTGCAGCGCGGGAAGGCCATTCGTCCATTCTTTTTTTTTGTTCAATCTCAATCTCCGGCATTCGCAAGACTTAACATTATTCGGCTGGCAGCTTTTCCCCTCAAGTTCGGCTCTCAAATCTCTTTCCATGCTAATTCTTTCCCTCGAATCAATCTCTCCGCCTTCTCTTCCTCTCGAAATCTCCCTTTCCTCTTCGTTTACCAGGTGTTTTATTAGTCCCCAACCGGATCGCAATCACATACCGCACGTTGTAACACCAGACAAAGTTCCTCTCTCTTCTCATAGCAGCAAATCAGTCTCCCTCTTTCCGTTCATCGTATTCAAGCTCTCGAACCCGAACCTGGCCGTATCACAAGCACCCGTCGGACTGCCTCCAACTGGACTGGATCGTGGATGGCTTCCGGCTGATATGATACTCTCCGTTGGTTGGTCCAACCGTATCTGGCGTCGGCATTGTCGTTTCACCGTGGCGCGCGAGATGGGGATCTAGGATCCTTGCCAGTCGGATTCATTCAATCGACGCCTGGGGCTCCGCTTCCTACGGATGGCTCGACTCTTTCCCTTTTCAATCGCAACAGTCTCAAGACACGAAGTTTTGTTTATTTATGCATCCCAAGGCAAACCGACAACGTTGGACGGTCGAGGACACTGGTGTATGAGTTACTTAGCTATCTCCCTCTCCCTCTCCTTTTCGTCTTTTTTTTTGTTTTTCTCCATCAAGGACATGGCAACATACTTTGTAACGTTTGGGTTATGTATTCATTCCCCTTTTTTCATGTGTTCATGCCTTACAAGTGTATTACCAAGTGTTTGTGTCTTGATAGTTTCCTTCCCTCTCTCTCTCTTCCACTCGGTCGATCTTTTCGTTCTACCCTTTTCATGCTTATCTTTTCACACAAAGTTATGTCGGGGTCCTGGCTCTCGTCCGATGTTGCGGGTGCTTCTTGCCTCCTGGCTTCCCCCTTCCATCTCTTGTTTCCTGTCGCTGTTCTATCACTGTGTAGTCTAGCTATCTTATTCTTTCCGTTATGTGTTTTGAATAGCATCGTGTAACTATCTCTTTCCAATCGAAGTTGGATTCAACTCCCTGATTACCCCTTGGTGGTCTAGATTGAGTTCAGTGAACTAGAAGGCATTTTTGAATTTGAATAATATTCTTCTCATTTCGTAACGCAATTCTGACGTGACTACGATGGGGCTTAGTGTATTCAATTCATCTTCTCCCCTCAGTACTAGAATCCTTCTCCTACATGTTCCTCAAGGTTCTCCTCCGGGATCTAGAGCTTCTGCTTGATGGCCTCATAAATCTTCGTCATCTCATCCTTTTCGAAAGTCTTGGCGGGCCAACCGATGACCAAACCTTCAGTGTCGGTCGCGGAAGGTTTGGGAATGACGTGGAAATGGACGTGAGGAACTTCCTGTTGGTGGAGAGAGTTTAGTGAGCATTAACGTTCATTCGGTGTGAGGAGTGGATATATGGGAAGGTGCTCCATGTCGGTGTTAACCGCAATTCAATAGACTCATGGTGCAAGATGTGGGGTAGAGGGGGTTCTGGGAAGGGAACGGAAGGGAGTGGGACTGTGCGAACCTGGTGCGCGATCTTGCCGTTGTTCTGGAGGATGTTGTAGTTCTCTACTCCCTGTGCGGTGGCGATCTTCTTTGCGATGGGGAGGATATCTGAGAGGTGCTCGTCTGGGAGCTCGTGGAGCTTCTCAGCGTGATCTAAGAGAAGGGTAAATACCATGAGTATATTGAATTACAGGTGTATTGTATCACGGGTGAGAGGGAAGTGTGTTCTCAACGCGTGGTGCACGATCACAAGTATGATTGGGGAGGGGTAAAGGTCTGGGTAAGGTTTGGTGTGAAGTTTGAACGTACATTTGGGAATCACGAGTGCGTGGCCTTTGGATAGAGGCCCGATGTCGAGGAATGAAAACCTTGTGGGTTGGTGCGTGCGTCAGTTGTTTGTGTCTTTGGATTGGACGTGGGATTGGCATTGAGACATACGAGAGCTCGGTTTCAATGAGCTTGTAGCTCGGGATTTCTCCTGTGTAGGATATAGGTGGTTAGGCTTTGGGTTATCATGTGGAGACGAAAGCATCTTTGTACGTACCCTTGATGATCTTGCAGAAGATGCAGCTAGCGAGGGACCTAGGAGATGTACAGGCCAGGTCAACTCCAGCGCTTGCATGACTGCGAAGGTTGGGGGGATTACCTGGCGGGAGCAGACATTTCGGTTCACGAGGCTACGTTTAGAGTTAGATAAGATTTCTTGGGTGATCGCTATCGTTGTGGTACTCACAAAGTCTAAACAACTGGCAATCGACGAGACCTGGTGGTTGGTGGTCAGAGCGGAAGCAACTGGAACGCACACGCGAAACGGGTATAGCAGCTCCTAACTCCGGGCCGGCATCTCGCCGGGGACAAAGGTGAGAAATAGCTTCCGCGTTTGGGGCGCTCTTGTCCTTTGAACCTGAACCGCGACGAGCGCGACTCCCTCGAAGGTGGTTGTGCCAGCTTGTGTCTCATGAACAACGACGGGTAACGCGTGTCTCGGTCTGATAGCTGTGTATCCTTGGGTGCTGGGCTCTAGAAAAGCGTGAGGCTTCTTTGTATGGCTTGTAAAGGGACTCTACTGCGATTGCGCGAGGCGGCATCCCAATGATCGTCACGGCGGAACTGGCGTCTGGACGAGGCTGAAAGGATTTGAAATGAGACTGTGATCGTGGATTCTCTCGTGCTTGCGTCTCTAACTCTCTCTCTCTCTCTTCCTGTCTCTGTGGTTCTCTCTCTTATACCGACCCACGGCCTGCGATACCTCCTCGTCTCCTTTTGCCTTTCTCTCGTCTCTTTCGCCTTGGTTACGACTGCTACGACCGTCCACAGAACGCTATTACCAGAAAATCGACAATTTGCTATTATGGACTCTAAGAACCCCGGAAAACTCTCTTCACTCGCTACTTCTCAGATACTTGTAGCTCTTTCTTCGTTTATCTCTTTTATGCTTTTGTAAGTGTCTGCCCTCTTCCGTGTTCAAAGCACTGGGATGTCCTGACAAGCTTGTTGTACCTAGGACTGTTACGACATTCTCTACACCATTTACGCCTTCGTTGTACTTCTTGCGCTCCTCTCAAGGAAAGGGTGTTAGATTTGGACTGTGGGGATGGTGTCTTGAAGGCGAGGATTTTTGTACGGATCCGCAGTACGTGTTTATCGTTCCCGCCTGCCAGTTTCAGGACTCACGGAGACGGCCCTGATAAATAGACTCGGGTACACTTGGGAGCCTGAAATTCCTAGCTCTGCCACCAAAGCACTCGTTCTCTTTCCGGCATGTGAGTTCATCGCTTCAGTTCTCCTTTCTTCGATCGACTGTTGACGTTGAAATTGAATGGCGATTTATAGCTTCAGCAATGCTATTTCTATTCATGATCTCCAACGTCTTCGTTCTCCGCGCTGGTCCTACGAGGGTGCATTCATACATCAACCGCGCACTCGCCGTTCTCTCTCTCGCCTCTTCGGCGTTTGCCTTCGTGTTTATGGTTGCTATTTTCGATATTGCCAAGCATCGATTTGAGAAGAAGGGGCTGGAAGCTACTCTGGGTCCTTTGGTGGGTTCATTCATCTCTAAAGAAGGGTGCAACGACTGACTGTACTTCCTTTTGGCATTTATTTGTGGGATGGAATGGTGTTACTTATGAATAGCCCGCACTTTCGCTGGTTGCATCGCTCCTTCTTGTTCTGACGGTCTTCCTCACCTTCCGACTCAGACCACAGGAGGGCGGGTTTGGGTTTGGGTCGTCGAAGGCGGTTTCGTTCCCTGGCGGGGATTCGTCAGACCCGGAAGCGCGGTTGACCCCGACTAAACCTCGTCGACAGTCGAGGCGGTTTAGTAGGAAGTTTTGATGAAGTTTCGGGGAAGTTGTGAAGAACTGGAAGGGGGTGTCGGAGGAGACGTTCCATTGCGACTACCTGTCGCTTTGATTATACCCCTTTTTATTAGGTCTCCTAGTATATCGATGCCTTGCCTCCAAGTAGATCTACCAATGTATTCGCCGTTCAGAATTCGTTCAGATTGGGTGTAGAGTAAACTTGGCCGTACGTCGAATATTTAATCAGTCACCAGCGCAACCAGAAGCAAGGCTCATCTATTCCTCGAAAGACGCTAGGCGGTGCCGGTGATTTGTAGCGGCGGTATGTGGATGTAGAGCGTCATGTTGCTTCCAAGTTGACAGTCGCTTGACAGACGCAAGCGTGACGTGCAAGTACCAAGTGGTACTTGAGGACTTGGACGTGATATTGTTCAGTAGAAGTACGTACGGATGGTCTATATCCCACAGAGGCTGTGGGGATGTGTGAATGCTACAGAGTCGAACATGAGAAACGAATCAGAGGTGAGAGGTGTATGTATTGTACAGTGCCGACGTGTTTTGGCGCTTCTTGTGTCTGTCATTTGTCCCTAATCAAGGTGTCTCTGGAAAGCGAGAGAAAGATAGAAAGTCGGAGGGAGAGACGACGTCATGACCGCCAAGGTCTCTTCCTCTCATCCTCAAAGTTGAACCATGCACTTGTCGGTGTCGTGGGTGACTTGACAAAGCTACTCGAGAATGAGAGCGGGGATTTGAGTATGCTGCTCGTTGGTGTTCCTGGCCTTTGAGCATTGAGGATGCTACTTGTGGGCGTCCCTGGGGACTGCAGCTGCGCCAGAGCTCTGCCAGTGGATGGTGATGGTCCGGGAGAGCTGCAGTTAGGTCTGCTCATGGACGGTGAGAGCGGGGACCTGGGCGAGCTCCCTGGCGGCGTGCTGGTACCGGAGGAAAGTTTTAACACGCTTCTTGGAGGTGTTCCGGGCAATTTGACCGCGGTACTGGTCGGCGTGTCGGGTGACTTGATCACTGCAGTCGCTGGAGACGAAGGAGACTTGCACCCCGTGCTGGACGGTGAGAAGGGTGTCTTGTACACGCTGCTCGTCGGTGTTTCCGGGGATTTGAACACGATGGTGGAGGAGGTTGATAGAGGCGATCTGAGCACGTCGCTGGTCGGTGTATCAGGGGAGTGAGGCGTTGCTCTTGGGAGATCGGGAGTAGAATACCCTGGACTTCCAAGTCGCTCCAAGTCTTCAGCAACCTGAGGACGATCGTATAGCCCGTGAGTAGGAGTAATCCCCGCCCTGGTATTAACCTCCATCCTCGGTCGATTTCCTAAGGATTTCAGGCTCTCTCTATCACATCCACCTTCCTTCTCCTTGAGCGAGGTCCTCCCATCGTAGATATCAACCGAGCCAAACGACGAACTCTGGCTTCCGCTCATGTCCACTCTGAACGTTGGCAACCCGCCCAGGATCGCGATACCGCCAATTCCATATCCAGCGTCCGCTCCTCCAAATGCGTATCCAGAGCCTCGATTAATATTGCCAGAGATGTGCTCGTTGTGTTCGATGGGGATGCTGTCGGGTGCGGTGTCCCATCCGAGTCCGACGCGGACGTTGATGAGCATGAAGGAGATTCCGGCCATGGCGGGGCAGCAGCTGAAGGTGAGGAGGCTGAGGAAGTTTTGGTGGTAGTAGTTGATGAGGACGAAGATGCTCCATGCGCTGGGGAGGGGGGTGAGAAGGTGGGAAGGCTGTGGGTCAGAGGATGCATAGTGAGTGCTTACCTCCACATTGCGGCGCTTTCGACGATAATGACGAGGACCGCCTGCAGGCCATAAGATTTGCGAAAAGTGGAAAGTGAGTACAGTGTGTATGTACCTTGAACTTCCGTTTATCGCCGAAGATCGTCCTCGACTGGATTTTGTGGATGAAGATCATCAGACCGGCTATGAAGTATACCTTGCATGAGCATCAGGTCTGCCTTTCTGCTGGACGAGCGAGTCTACCTGAACAGTACGCGTTCGTACTAGACACGGGGAGCCGAACAACGTCAACATGGAAAAATGGGCGGTAGGAGGAACGACAGGTCCATACCATATCGTTGCGACGCTGGCTACCTGGACCCAGGTAGATATGGCACTTGAGTGGATAGACACTTGCTCTTCCATGTTGTATTTGGCGAACCAGGCGCTTACTCGGAGGCCCAGGGCTGGACAGTCGGTGATCGGTAAGAGGTCGGCAGAATTGTCAATATAATGGTGAAAAGCGGTGGATTCGTTAGGAATTCAAGGTTGTAGGGTTTGGGATAGACTTACTGAGGAACATTATGCACGAGCAGAGAGGGAAGATGACGACCCATCGGTTCCGTGCTGAGACGATCCAGAGGCGCCATATCTAGGAGCAAGACTGGTAGTTAGGTATTCGATTCGAACGGCAGAGTGGGTACGACGGAGGGATGGAGGATGAGACGCACGAGCAGAGAATCCGTTAGAGCGACCGAGATGACCAGAAGAAAGGACTTGGCGGTGATCAAAGGGTGTGATCCATCGTTCAGAAAGTCCACTGGGGACGTCTTGGAGCTAATGAGAGAAATGGCGACGAGCATCCTGGCTGATGTGCACAACCAGTGCTAAAAAAACACGTTGCTCAATCTATAACCTTCACAGATACGATTAAGGGTTGGGTTATATTCACGTACTGCACCGATTAACAAGAGGAGTAACACGCTCCCTGAGACCATTGGCATCGCCAACGTTTCCAGCATCCACCTTGCCCGGTTGTGTTTCCGTGAGGAGAGGGGACGGTTGGGGGAGCGGTGAATTAAGAGGTATAGTGCAGTCAAGCACAGTACGAGGAAGATTCCGTCGAGGAAGCCTTCGATGACCCCTGTTAAAAAGGTGGTGGAGAGGGTGCGGTAGTCCCCTAGGTCTAGCCCGGGATAGGGGTCGTTGATGTCCATGTTCAACGCAGACATTGTCGTGAAAAAGGAATGGAATGGGACTGAAAAGGGTTTGAAAAGGAGAAAAAGAGGGGTAAGAGAAAGGGGAGGGAGAAGAAAGGAGGAAGGGACTGGTCTCCCAGGAGCTGGGAAGAGGGGGCTTGACAGTTCGTCGAGTGGGGTATACATATAGATATGCATGTGAGCTTCGGGTGGACCTTCAGTGCTTCCCCTGGGAGTCTAGGTGTGATCGTCAGGTCCAGTCAGAATATAGAACCAGCGAGATAGTGCTGTCAAAGGTATTGAGCTGGGATAGAGCTGGTTGCTGGGTGATAACGAGGAGCTTCTGTGTTCCTGCCAGGGGAGTTTGAGGACGTGCCGAGGGAGATTAGAATCAGTTGGGGAATTAATCAAAGATGTTGCGTCGGTGGGACGATGGAGTTGTGGTTGAAGGGGTCTGTGCCGATCATTGACGGTACTTACTCGGACAGCAACGTAGAATACAGACAAGCCGGCGGAGCGGCTGGTCGGTAAGACTCGACGGCGTAGTGCAAGGGGAAGGGAAAAACTGGTGGCCGTGCAAGCAAGCCGAAATATACTCAAGCAAGAGCCTGGAGATAAATCACCTGGTGGGTGGGAGCGGTCTACGGCAGAAGCAACTGAGGCATAAATATCCACAGCAAAGAAAAGACAAGCAGTGCATGGCTCACCCTCGAAGCACCCTCCCTATCAAGTTCACTCCCCACTCCAAAAAGCACGGTTGTCGTACTCTGACAATCTGTCAGGTCACCATGCGACCAAGGAGTCCCCATCACAGACTATTGGCAGGTCCCCTCCGTCGATTCTCCTCTGTGCCGTTCTATTTATGCTGCTGAAGTCGTGTTTTATATCACCTTGGATCGCCAGAGAGATTGAATATCATTGAATGCCAGTGTAGATCATAGCTTCGTGCGTGGAAGTGGGGTGGTCAAACTGGGTTGGTTGGCGCAGCGGGAGCGAGGTGAGGGAACGCGAAAGCCCTGGGTAGTCTGTTTATCTCTTCTTTTCATAACCTGTATCGTCCTAGAGATTCAGGGATTCTGGAGAACAGGATAATCGCCTGAGTCTGCTTTCATCCAAGCAGCGGAAGAAAACCAAGCGAGTTTGGTGGTGGTGGTCACGGTCGGACTCGAACCGCCACCCTCGCGTTCGTCGGTACCGCGCCAAGACTTTCAATCGCGGAGGCTTTAAACTTGGCGACACAGTTGATGCGGTATCAGTGGCGGTGTCCATCAATCAACTGACAATTACGCCGAGAAGGCCAGCGACAGGTGGGACTGACGTTGCTCGTTAGGCTTCTTCTTCTCATTCCACTAAGTAGATTGGTTACACATATTATAGGTCTTTTCATATCCCAGGGTGAGTCAGTCTACCGTCTATACACCCAATGCGAAAAGCAAAGGAGAATTAGCCATATACTTAACTGACTGGGTAGGCTTTCACAGACCGCCCAACCCCCATTCTCATTCAGGAATCATCAGGCCTCTGGAAGGGCGCTCTAGCCTCTGGCACCATGCCAATCCGCACGAAACCTCTCATATTCGGGCTGGCGACCGTCCTCATCTTCGCGTTCTTGGTTCATACACTCAAAGCGCACTTTTTGGTCTTCCTGTCCTCGACTGGGCAGCTTGGTTTTGTGCAGGAGCTTTTGCGTGCTAAATCCTCCTCTTGGTTTGTCGGTGTCGGGTCCGCCAGTGGTCCTTCTGGTACTTCAACTACTAGCTCACGCGCCCACGAGAACGCCGGTAGTACGCTTGAAGACCTGATACGGCAGTACAAAGGTGATAGGACACCTTTTACACGACGGATTGTTGCTGTTGGGGATTTGCATGGTGATTTACCGAATGCGAGGAAGGTGTTGAAGTTTTCGGGTGTGGTTGATGAGGAGTATAATTGGTCGGGGGAGGTGGATTATTTTGTGCAGACTGGGGATATAATTGATCGGTGCGTTCTCTCTCCTTCTTTTTCTATTGTGTCGTAAATTGGGTATTGGGTACTGGGTACTGACGTTGGGTCTGGTGTAGAGGCGACGATACGATTCCGCTGTTCTTTTGGATGGACCGTTTGAGGGAACAGGCGAACCAGGTTGGTGGGACCGTACTCTCGCACCTTGGGAACCATGAATGGATGAATATGATTGGTGCGTATACTTCTCCATCCGCGCTACTTACTTCACGATACTAATTTCTGGGATAGGTGACTGGAGGTATGTTTAGCCCCGCCCACTGCTCCCTACTCGCCCTGAGAACTTTGGTGGTTAACTTGCTTCAGATACGTATACCCAACGGAAATCAAGACATTCGGTTCCGTCGCCGCTCGTCAGCGCATGCTGAGTACAGGCAGGATCGGCCGGTCCTGGGCTGCCAACTACACCACCGCCTCCCGACTCCCCCTGCACCCCTCCCTGGGTCCTCCCAACACCCCCTACCCTCCACCCAACTCCCCACACGAAGTGCATTTCGAGAAGGAAGGCGCCTTAGACGAAGTCCTCGACGACCTGCACGAACAGGAACACCACCTCGAATTGTTCTACGATGATAAACGTGACCCGTTATCGCATGCTGCGATCTCGTTTGTGCATGGTGGGCTTTCGCCGACGTATGAGGAGCTTACGCCGTTCCCGAGTAAGATCAACGAGCTTTCGACGAGTTTGATGAGGAAGTTGCAGAGGAGGGCGCAGCCGCCGCCGCACCCCCCGAATCCGTATCCTGGATTGCCTGCTTGTGAGTTCTTTCGTTTTGATTTAGTGTGCAGTTGATGGTGATGTTCATGGTGATGATGGGATGTTAACGTTTTAACGTTGGCAGCGACGACGAAAGAAGAGGCTCGGTTGTACGACTCGAATGGTCCGCTGTGGTATCGCGGGTGGGCGATGGGTGATGATGAGACTGTGTGTTCCCAGGTGGATGGTGTTTTGGCGAGGACTGGGACGAGGAGGATGATTATGGGGCATACGCCTGACTTCCATGTGCGTGTACATCCGTTGATGTCTTGACCCTTCTTCCCTGTTCCTGTTATTGTATTGTTCATTTCGCTTGGTTGGCGACCCTTCTCATATACACACCCCGACCCATTCTTCGTACCAACACGACTTAAACACGAACTAACCACCACCCCTCCCAAAATCCTCTAGAACATCGTCTCAAGATGCAACGGCAAAATCATCATCATCGATACAGGCATCTCGCACGCCTACGGCGGCGTCCTCTCTGCCCTCTCGATCCACTACGAGCTGCACCCGGTGGGCGACGATGGGGATGAGAGGTGGGTGGAGAAGGAGGTGGTGGAGGCGTTGTATGCGGATAAGAGGGAGGTGTTGGATAGTGCGGTTAGGGAGGTTGTGGGGGATTTTGGGGTTGGGGAGTGGAAATAGAAGTGGGAGAGGAGGGAGGGTAGTGTAGAAGGATGTGTGGTATTTGACTAATTTATTGGTTCTGAATGGATGATACTTGGAAGTTGAAAGGAAACCAAAATGTTCTTTTCACAGTTTCGACCTGAGCAACTTGAACTGGAACATGATATCTTGAACCTTCCGAATGACAGGATCAAATGAGACTCGATGAGTTGATATGTACTGTGTTACACTGACAATTACATGTGGTAGTATACAGCGATGGAAGATCCAAAATAACTTCGAAAGCAGCAGACAGGATGGATAGATAAAGCGGGGAATTAGTGGGTAGGTATCTCTGGGTTGTTTGGTCTAGCTAGAAGTACAATGAGGTTGCGCAAAGGCTGAAAGGAAAAGGATTGAAGAGATAAAAGGAACGAGGTGGATGAGAAAAGGTTCGACGAGAGGCAAGGAGCGGATGGTTGGCTGGCAGGTGGTGGGCAGGCGAGGAGCTCAGCCTCGAGCTCGTCCTTAGACGACACACACAGACGCCCAAACCCATCAAGCCGTCAACTTGGGAATGACCTTAACCATCTGATCAATATTAATAAACTGCACCCAACTCTCCAACTCCCTAGCGGTCTGATGCCAAATAAACTTGATCTCGTTCGTATTCCTAAAGAACGCGCATACGCATTCGTATTGTTCGTGTACGAGTTGGGTGCCGCGGGCGACACCGAGGTTGGCGGTGAAGATGCGGAATTCCCAGCCGGTGAGGGGTTTGCCGTCGCCGGTGGCGGATTGGTTGGCGACGTCGAATTCGAGGCGGGCGTAGTCGAAGCCGACGGGCTGCCCGAGAGCGCGGATGTAGGAGTCTTTGAGGGCGAGGAGGATGCAGAGGCGGCGGAGCATGACCTGTTCGGGTTGGTTTTCGAGGGATTTGAGTTCGAGTGCTGTGAGCTTTTTGTTGGGGGTTGGGTTAGCGAAAGATGGATAGATGGGGAAGGAATGGCACGAACTTTGTGAGACATGGATTCGATGTAGGCTGGTAAGGACGTCCCGCGTGGTTCGACGGCGTATTGGATGATTCCGAGGCCGATGTTGACGACTTTGGAACGCTCGCCTTGGGTCATGGCCATGCCACATAACGAATTCGAGATGGCGAGGTGGTACCCGATCATTGAATGTTGGTATTTTTCTGGAGGGATGTCTTCGGGTGACTGTATCGCGATTGTTAAGCGACGATGTAGGGATTATAGTTAGGCGGAGGAGGAATAAGCTACCTGCTCGATCCAGTGCTTCCCCTGGAAGTTTGCGTTGTCTTTCCACTTTGCGCGTGGTATTCTGCGGTGGCGCATCATGAGCAAGGGGAGCATGGCGGTTATGATTTTACCTGTGTCACAAAGGAAGGAAGTGGTGCATCGGTTAGCGGTCGACAACAAAGCACAGGGTTGGCGAGGGAGAGGACGTACGAAAGTTGTCGGTGTTGCGTGGTTGGTAGGGGAATGAAGTGTGTTTGATGCATTCTTCGACGAGTTTGTAGCATTGGTCGTATTCCTGTGGTGGTTCGAGTTTAAGATTGAATGAATGAAAGGCGCCCGGGGAGAGAAGATTTCGTGTCAGGTGGTGAGTTGTGAGTTGTGATAAGAAAATAGGGACTTACAGAAAGAGTGTACTCTCTGTTCAAGGAGAGCATCCATACTAGGATTGGGCATTCGGCCATAGCATCTGGGTGTAGTTAACTGGAATGCGGGTGCTAGTGGGTCCGGAGCAATGGTCTGGTGTCTTTGAATGTGAGTTGACGACAGGCGCCAACGATTAGCAAGCGATAAGCAGGAAGGAGAGCAATGGAGACGACCACCACAGGACGACGAGCAGGGAGGACTAGTGTTGGTTCAACTTGCAAGTTCGAATTCAGATCTTTGGTGTGTGCGGCGCGGTCACAGCCTCACGGGATTGATGGCGATCAACTAACGGCGCTCATCCGAGCACCAATCCTTGTATTCGCTCTTGTTTTCCTATCCACAGTGCCCCTACAGAGCAACGTTCCGGGCTCGTCGGGAACGTGCATGGCGTCTATCCTTGTGGGGGCACACTTAATATTGGTTGGATCGTTATCCTCCTTGTCCTCGACTGGCCAAGCTGCTCGAGCCTTACAATGTACATAGCGCGTCCAACGGGTGCTCACCGCAATGGGCGATAGAACAACTTTCCGATAAGATTCGACGCACAGCGGAATTGATTTTGCAACTCTCTCCATCTTTGGCGCTGGCCGAGTTCCATCCATGCCATTCATGCGTGAGCACAGCTTCGAGCATCCTTGAAGTTGGGCCTGTTGGGCCCTTGGATGCGAATTTCTCTCCATACATCGACGGCGATAGTGGGACCTCAGAGCGTGAGCATGAAGGGTGGGTCGGAGTATCTGAGCAGTTGTGCTTGGTTGAATTTGCAAGATAGATGTACACAATACCATTTAATTTACACCATGAGAAATAACGAGGAAACCTTGATTCTGGACATTCAGAGCTTGCTCTTGACGTGCTTGATGTCCACCCTCCTCCACTATGAGCTCGGGTCAGAATACAAGTTCGAGATCAGAAACAAGGACGAGGGCACTCACCCATGGATACCAAGGTCCAAGGTTCTTCGAAAGTGTATCGGTAAACTTTGGCTTCCTCCTCTCAAAGAACGCCTGTACACCCTCCTTTGCGTCGTTCGACTTGCCCAAGATCCGGATGGCACGGGAGTCCAAGAGGTGGTTCTCCTCGGGTGAGTCGCCAGGGTGGTGCAACAGTGCCTTTGCATACGCGACCGACGTCTGGGACGTATTCTCCGCCAGATCCTTCGCCAACTTGAACGCCTCGGGGTACACGTCCTCCCTCTTCTCCACAATCTGGTGGTACAACAACGACACATGCGGGGACGTCGGGGAGATCGTCCCACCCGTCAACAGCACACTCGTCGCCCTCGACAACCCAATCAACTTCGGGAGCAAGTAACTTGAGACGGCCTCGGGGACGATTCCGCGGCGGATGAAGGGGAAGGTGAGTTTTGCGCCGGCCCAGATGAAGCGGAAGTCGAAGGGGAGCTGGAGGGCGGTTGTGCCGACGCCGGCGGTGTGGCCGTTTATGGCGACGATGGTGATTTTGCGGCAGGCGAGGATGGCGAGGGTGAGTTGGCCGCCGCCGTCGCGGTGGGCGTGCTCGCCTTCGGCTTCGGTCTCGGGGGTCCAGAGGATGTCCCAGCCTTTGGAGATGTCGGCCTAGTATGGGGGTGGGGTGTTAGGGGGTATGGATGAGGGTAAGGAGAGACGTACACCTGAGCAGAAAGCGGGAGCGGTGTGTTCTGCTGTGAGGATTACGACGCGGACTCGGTCGTCCTTGTCTGCGAGACCGAAGAGCTCGATGAGCTCGAGTTGGAGCGGCCCGACATAGGTGTTGCGTCTGCGGATCTCCTCTTAGTATCATCTCCAAGCACGGATGTGGGCGACGTACTCTTTGGAACGGTTGATGAGGATGGTGAGGACACCGCTAGGGTCGAGAGTGACGAGGGTAGCAGTGAGCCGCTTTGTGAGTGCGTCATAGTCCGGTAGAAGCGCCATCGTCGACTACAAGCTTGTCTGCCTGAATACCGATACTATGGTCGAGCTGAGGGTTTATATAGAGCAGACCGGTGGTTCCGTGTAACCGATGAGAAGGTGAAGGTTAGAGGACAAGGTGCGACAAGGTGTCATCGTCCATTATTAGGTAGAGATTCGCTTCCCACACGAGGCCAGGCTCGTGATTCAGGCTTCCTGGGCGCTTCGAACAGCACGGTGCGCCCACAAATCACGTATTCGACGTCAGAATGTCAGATTAGGGTTAAGCGCTATGTGTTGGGTCGTCGTTGGCCCTTTTTTGGGCTTGAAATTCATTGCTGTTTCGCGTTACGGGCTGGTGGAATGGAGGAATTGGGTGGTGAGGGAGCCGTTGGAGGTGGAGGATTCGGCAATCAGAAGCCTGGGTATTTCTCTCTTCGGCAAGGTCGAGCCGTGGACTAACACCGAGGTGGCAATTGGTCCATCGGCCATCGGTGCCTTGCCTCTTGCACTTGCACGCACTCCTTGACACCAACGAAACGAACACATCCAGAGTCCGCGATTGATTCACGGTTTTTCCTCACTTTTGGACCCTGTTACATGTTGGATCCCCGCGACGACGACGGCTAGCCTTTTGGAGTATAGTTCTGTGATTGAACTATACACTTTTTTCCCGCTCTCTCCAAGCAGAAGGAAAACGCACAGACGCGAGGGAACAAGAGAAGAGATATCAAACGAAGAGACGGTCAGACGAAGAGAAGAAGAACAGAACGGAGGGTGACTATCATGGCCGAAGTCACCTCCCTCAAATCCAGAATCGGTCGTTTCGCAAACAAGTCGTGGATAAATCCCGACTTGCAGTCCAAATCCAAGGCTTTGGCCACCGACGACGACGACGAGGATGGTGTGGGACATCACCATCGATATCATGCCACGGCCACAACAAAGGCCAATTGGAACTCCCACCGCCAACACCATCGTACCTTGGGATACGATAGCGAAGCTTCGAGCAGTAATAGCGATTCCCTCCCTCCACTCGCATTGGGAGTAGGAGTTGGGATAGGAGAAGATGAAGGGGAGGTCATCCGGGACCTCGTTGATAATGGCGATGAAGATGAGGATGGGGATGTGGATACCCCTCCTCCACCACCGAGTTCCGGAAATTCCGCAACGACGCCGATGAAAAGACCGTTACTCGAGCGACTGGCTTCGTCATCCAATACGCTTTCGCTTTTGGATAGAGTGGGCGTGCGGTCGGTTGAGGATGGGTTGGACGAGGATGTGGCTTCGTCCTCGGTTGCGTCGTCCAGGGCGAGCACGCCTGTCGGAATTGGAGGGACGCTTCGTCATGCCACCGCTTCTCCACATGCGACGAGTCTTGGTGGACACAGTATCAATTTGGGAAGTACGCCAAAGGCGGGAATAGCAATGCGAATAGGAGGGAGATTGGGATCTGGGAGTGTATCCTCGGTATGTTGTTTTTGTGGGATTCTTCCGAGTAAGTTTTGTCCTTATGGTTCTTTTCTGCTTTTGTAGACCATCATTGGGCGAGGGAAAGGTATCTCCCAGGAAGTGTCCCATTTGGATTCGAAGAAAGGTTCCCTAATGCGGGAACTGGCCTATGAGAAGAAATTCGACAAATGCTCTGTCATTGGTGATTCCGCGTCTATGAATGTGGATGAAGAAGGCATTCCTGGCCTTTCATCATCATCCACTGGTCCCAAGAATTCAAACTCGAACTCAAAATCATTCGAAACTGGACCTATTAAGGCCAAGTCAATGACAACGTCGGCAACAAAGGAGGCCGTTTTGTCTATTTCTACACCTGGCGGTGGTGGCGGGGATGAAGGGATCCCAGGCCTTTCAAGTACGATGTTGTATTCACTGCAAGGGACAGCACCAATGGCAACTTCGGCCTGCCGTGGTTCACCTACTGTGGAAGCCACCCCGAGTCCTGCTGCCACATCCGCGATATCCATTCAGAACCATACTCCCAAACCCGAGTTCAAAGCTCCAGTTTCCGGGTTATTGTCGAAGACAATCACGCGGACGCAGGTGGCTGGCGGTGTAACGATGTTGCCCGCTGAGAAAATTTCGTCGGACGAGTCAGCAATGTCAGTGGAGGCGACCTCTTTGGAATCTACCACGTCCCTCGCTCAGTCTGCAACCGCTTTGGCGGGATCGGGATTGGTCCCTGCTACCACGCGCGCATCTGCATCCACTTCTCCGTCAACGTCTACGTCGTCTGCTGCGACGACTTCATCTGTCTCTACGCCTACCAGCACGTCTACGACTGTGGACAGCGTTGAAAATACGAAATCGAATAACGTCGATATCGTGGCACCGTCCCAGGACTCATTCGCGGCTGCGGACGCGTTTATAAACAGTGTAAGAGAGCTGATGATTCCTATCATTGCAGGGAATATGGAAAGGCGATTAGGAAACACCGCAGAGGAAGAAAGTGGCATCGCTGCAGAAACAGACAAGCAAAAGGGGAACGCGACTCGAATGGTAACAAGGACGCCACTGAAGGGCACGATGCAAGATTCGAAAGGGGGAATTGAAGATATTCGAGAAAGGGCGAGGAAGGTTCTGCTTAGCGATGATGTGTGCCGGACATTTGTTAGGCATGCGCTTGAAGTTCAGAGGGGTGTTGCTGGGATTGGGAGGCGGGAGGGCCAGGCTGAGGTGGGCGATGAAAACAATGATGAAGGCATGGAGAAAGAAGACCGTGATTCGAATTCGATTGGACGACCCGGCTATGCGATGGGAGAAGATAAAGACAAAGAGGAAGATAAAGAAGTGCGGCAACGAGGCGATCGTGAGGATGTGATGATGGTGGGAGGAGAGGCACGAGGAGTGATCGATGGAGATAGGACAGCGAAGAGTTTGGACCTTGCTAGTCGACCTTGTTCTGCACTTTCAGCAGCTGCGACGACTGTGCCTGTGGTGTCGTCGACTGCAAAGGGTGCGATATCAACCTTGACTGCGGGGACGAGTGCGACCACAACTTCGATCCCGTCTTTGACTGCGATCACCACTTCGGCTGCGGGCAGGAATACCAGTGCAAGCGCAAGTACGAGTACGATTGCAGTAGCGCCAGAATCGGGATCGACATCGACGATGGTGGTATCGATGGGATCAAGACGACCGCCGCCGAATTTGAAGATATCTGAACATCGTCCTCTCCCTACTGGAACGCGAGCTGGGAGGGAGGGAGTGGCTCTGGAACATGAGAGTCGAAATTATCCTGGATGCCACCGATTATCGAATCCGCCGTGTTCTGCTTCGTCGGGTTCTTCGAGTGCGTGGTATAAAGGGAAGGGGAAGATGGGTGAGAGGGAGGGTAGGGAGAGAGAAAGGGAGTATTCTCCCGCTGAGAGTTATCGGAGGAGAAGGGATTCGAGGGATTGGTCTCCTGGGGAAAGGGAGAGGGAGAGGGAGAGGAGGTCTAAATCCAGATCGCCTTCGAGGCGGGATTACTATGGGTCGGAGAAGTATGGGTATGGGAAGTCGCCGCCTCCTGGGGGTCGGTTACGGGATAATGACAGGGAGAAGGAAGAGGAGAGAGGTTGGGAGAGCTATAGAGAAAGAAAGTCTAGGGGCCGGGATTGGTCTCCTTTGCGCAGGGAGAGGAGGGGTTCTGGTCGGTTCAATTCACCACCGTTGTCTGCTTCTTCTTCAAGGAGGCGTTCGTGGTCTCCGTATAAACCTGGATCGAGGTATCGGTCCCGGGAGAGGAGTAGGAGCAGGAGCAGGGGTCGTAGTAGGAGTCGTAGTAGGAGTCGGAGTAGGGGCAGGAGCAGAGGTCGGAGTAGGAGTAGGAGAGGATGCAGGAGTAGGAGCAGGAGTAGAAGCAGGAGCAGGAGTAGGAGTAGACCGAGAGACAAGGACGACAGATACAGAGCGGGAGAACGCGACGGAGATCAGCCAACGCGACCACCGAAACGAAGGCATTATTCCCCTGTTAAGAGGGAGGGCGAGCCGAGGGGGTGGACAAAATCCCCGCCTCCGCGTCGTGCACGCCGTCCCCCGCCACCAAATGCGACGGTTATTGATGTTGATGCGTTTGATGCTGGAGAGGGGAGTGGGAGGTGGAGTGAGGGTAGTAGGTTTGGGGCGAAGAGGACTAGGAGGGGGTGGTCGCCTGGGTATGGAAGGGAGAGGGAGTATGGTGGTAGTGGTGGTGGGAGGATGAAGCAGGAGGAGGGGGAGGTGAATTTTTGGGGCACGGGAGGTGGATATCGAGGGTATAGAGGACGAGGGCGGGGAAGGGGAAGGGGAAGAGGATGGGGTGGCTATAGGAGGGGCTCGTATCGAAGATCCTCGCCTGTATATGTCAGCAGTCGGTCGCCGTCGCCTTCGTCGAATTCGAGGTATCAGCGACCACGCTGGGAAGATCGACGGGAGAGTTATGGACATGGCGGTGGATATCGCCCGCAGCATAGTCCGCCTTCGAGTCCAAGGATCAAGCGAGAGGAGGTGGAGGATGAGGGGTTGTTGCAACATGGGTTCTATTCCAACGACGCCGAGGCCAACGCTCACACCTATGTCAATGGAAATGCTCACGTTGATGGGAACGCGAATGGGAATGGGAAGTCGAGTTTCGAAATGATGTTGGAGAGGGAGATGGAGGAGGAGGATCGGAAGCCTGATATTAGAGCTTTGGAGCGGTTGGTTGGTGAGATGAGGGAGAGTGGGAGTGGTGGTGGGTCTGGTGGTGAAGTGGGTGTGGGCGCTGATGAGGGGAGAGCACAGTCCGAGTCGGCAATGTCCATGGCGATGTCGATTTCGACGGCAGAGGAAGGAGAGGTGCGCGAGCCTGCAAGTCGCCGGGTTCAACGGGATCACGGCGGGCTTCATCCTGCAACGGGGCGACAAAGGCAAAGTGCTTCAAACGCGGAAAGTCAAGGGCCACTGGGTGGATCTCAAATTCAAGACCATGCCCCAGGACGAAAAGAAATTTCGGAGCGGGATGTCCCTGCAAGGTTCAAGTCGCCCCTCTGCGATTCACCGGAGCCATTCTCTGCTGAAGACGGGCAGCCAACGACTGGTAATGTGCCGAATGAACAAAACATGTCCATGGATGTGGATGGACATCATCAAGATAGTGCAGGACGCTACGAAGATGACCAAGAATATGTTCAGCAGCCAAACGAGCATAACCCAGTAATGCCAGAACCGCAACCGATTGTGCCCTGTCATTTTGTCCCTGGTGTCTGGTACATCCAGACCGGCTCCCCAATGCTCATCAACACGATGCATTGTCCTTTCGTGATTGATGATGTTACGGCGACGAAATGGGGCATTGGGCCTTCATCGTAAGTCCTGTATTTCCTGGTGTTGCAATTGCGGGGTTGATGGCGTTGGTTTTTCGTTTCACAGGAGTTCCGAAAGTAGGGCCGCAAAAGCATCGGTGTCTTCAAGCCTTGAGGAGACAAAGCTTGTTCTGCGGTTACTCAGCTTCGACACCAATCGGTTGAACGAAAGGCTCGGTTCGCTCAATCACGACGCGAGTCTTACCGACATTGCACTTGCGATGAACGAAGTCGAGCAATCCTGGCCTCAAGCCCAAGATTACATGGTCGTGATCAATCAGGATACGCCGCAAGAGAGGATATGGGCGCCTAAACATTTGGTATGCATGTTTTCTTTTTGTGGCAGTTTTGGTCTTTTTAGCCCTGCGAGGCTGGAACCTTGTTGGACTCGATCTGCTTGTGCTTTCTGACACTCAATTGGATTGCTACAGCCGACGGGAAGAGGACTTGACAAGACGATTCGGTTGGAAGGATACGTCAACCCGGGTGAAAATGTGTTGAGGATCATTCAGTTGAATGATCTCTCGAGGTTTACATTTGTTATACTTGCGGATGAACAGCCTATCGTGAAGAGGGAGGATACGGAGATGGATGTGGATTTGAAAGTCGAGGGAATGTGAGATGGACATTATTGTGTATTCAGTTTCTTGTAGAGTTGTTTCTTCTTCTTGGTATCATAAAAATACAAAAAGATTTGTAAATTCCATCTGTCCAGATATATGGGATGTATATGTGAGCATGGGGGAACGGGGTCTAAGTAGCCCACCTTAGGGTGTCTACATGTAGGGGACATTAAGGGGAGTCCGGGGTATATTGTCATCTAAGACGGTTCAGGAACGAGGAACCCGACGAGGCAAGCATCTAGCATCATGTCTGCGTTGACCCAGCCATGGGTTTCAGCTGTTACATAGGGTCAACGTATTGTTCTCCGTGGCCGGAATGTTGAACGTACCGAATAGCTTCGTCCCATCTCTCCCAGCCACACGCATGAGATCTCTTTCCCCACCAGGGTGGAACGGCAAGTAAGGCGTGATGTTATAGACTTTGCCGTAGAATGCGGACCATGCGTCGTCTTTCTTGTTGTGCTTTTTGAGGACGGAGGGTGGGATGCGCATTAGGGTGTCCACTCCCTATTAAGGATTCACAAATGTTAGTGGCTTTGAATGAGCGTCAAGGGTCAGGGACGTACTCTAAGATCCGCTCCGGAGTTCTTGAGGTTGGCCCAGTCGAGAGGACTATGTCCCGGTGCTAGTGCAACCTTTTCCCTCTTCTTGCTGGGCTTTGGAGGCGGTTTGGTTGTGCTCGGCGGTAGAGCCAGGGAGGAGCTCGAGCCTTGGGGGGGAGGTGCCAGGGCAGACGAAGGAACGGATAGACTTGAGCTGGTGTTGGACGATTTGACCCCGGGTGTGCGAGATGCGAGGCCTGGAAGCGGTGGAGGGGGCATGAGCTCCGAGTCGCTGAGAATCTTCAGGTTTCCGGTATCTTTGCTTCCAGATGCAGCATTCGACGTCGTAGAGGACGATTTAACACGTTGAGCACTATTTAGAGCCGGAAAAGCAGGGGCTACATCGTCATCTTCGTCTCCATCTCTCTCTGTTTCCGTTGCAGATCCGTCTGAATCTTCGTCGTCTGAAGCTTGTGGGGAGATGGTTTCGATTGTGGGAGGTGGCGGTTGTGCTTGGACTGTGCCTGTGAATAGCCAGCTTCTGAGGTAGGAGGTCATCGTTCGGGGAGATGGTGGTGGTTAAGGATCAAGAAGGGTTTGGACGGTTGAGTCATGGTTGTTGGCTCTGTCAGCGACGACACAAACGAGCGTGAGCAGTTGTGCTCGCTTGCCCCGGGTCAGCCTCTGAGGACTATGCCGTTGGAAGATAATAGAGACAAACAAGGAGTTCGCCCGGGACAGGGACTGGCTCTTTCTTTCTGTTAATCACAACCACCCAGGTACTTACCATCGTTCGCTTCTGATGCAACAGCCTCTTTGGATTTTGACTTTGTCGCCGATAGCCTAACTCTTGCCTAACTCCGCAAAAACGGTGAACTGACTACCTTAGTGGTTCCATAATTATCCCAATCGAAGACTGGGATACACGATGCCCGACCGAGACGAGTGCAGAGTCGAGATGACCTGACTATCGATCTTTCATATGGCTTTATGCGATTACCTACCCCTCAACCATTTGCAGAGCCTTGCTTCTTGATATCCTTGATATCAGCGACGGGACCTTGGCCTTGGGTCTTTGTCGATGGGAAGCACTAATACCGCTAACCTCAGTGTGCTAACCTTGGATGGGAATGTCGGTCTCTGCCCGCGGCATGTGATACTCACGTGTAGACCCTCTACGCCGGCAACAAAGAAGCTCTAGCGACAGCTTACATGGCACACGGACAGGAAGGAAATTAACTATTATTACACCTAATAGTGTGAAGTGATTTGCCCGCCTATCCACCGCAGAGGCAACAGCCGCTGCCCAGTGCTTCTGCGCATCGAGTTCAGGTTTCCAATCAGGGGTGATTTCAATCTTCCAGTTATCCATATCAATCAGCTTGTCAATTCGTCTTCTCTTAAAGGCCTCACACGCTGTTCACCGACCTGGGTTCTTCTTTTCCTCCGGCACTCTCTTGCTGTACCGCGACCTAAACCTGACCATGGACCGGAATCCTGCCGCTGCATCATTCCTTAAATCTACGTTCGCTACCGCTGGTGTTGAAGGGCTTCTCAATGGGACATTCCTGGTGCTGGGCACCATTGCTGTGTATCTTTTGGCGACTCGCTCTCCTAGTTTGAGAGCGTCCTGCAATCTATCTACGCTTGGGCGCTTATTTCGAACACCTCTCATCGCTGGGAGTGTATTGCTTATTATCTTGATAACCGCGGTGAGCTCTTCTCGTGTGACCATGTATGTTCGGTATCTAAGTTAATTATTAGCATTTTGTCTGCACGATGTATAGGACGCTACATGGAGTCACGTTGATCCTGAGCGGGCGGTCTCCAGTAGCGTTCTACGACGACCTGTCTCATCCGGTGTTTGTCTTGATGTGTCTGCTTCTCACCATGTCTATCTCTTTAACCGACTGCCTCCTGGTAAGCTCCAATCGTCTTCCGGCGCCAGCAAAATCACCGATGGGCTGTGGTCCACCATGGATAGGTTTGGCGCTTATGGATTGTCTCGAACCGCTGCATTGTCACGATTGCCCTCCCAACGTGCACTGCCCTGGCCTTCTTCGGTGAGTGTCGCGAAGATTTCCCGTTAGCGACCTCCGCGAATGAGCTTTTCTCCACTCAGTCTGTGGCATTCGGGTGACTGTATTCTTTGCAACGACATCCCCTCGCGTGATGGATATCTCGGCTTCAACCATCCATGCACCTGAAATCAGTAAATGGGTCGAAGCGAATATTCTCATTACGTTCATGTGAGTATAACTTTTGGCTCCTTTAATTGCAAGTCTGACTTGGAAGCGTCCACAGAACGAACCTTTATTGCTCGTGTAGGTCTTGTTTATCCCGTGTGATGGGCACTTCCTCAACGATTGCCCTTGATTCAGCCTTCATCTCGTTCTTTATTTATCGAATTATCTCCCGGACTGGCATGAACGAAAAGAAGTATCGGGTATGTCCAGTTATAACGATGTGCGGACGATGGCGAAGAGGGTTAGAAGTTGACTTCTCTTCTGTTTCTCATCCAGTCAGTGCTTAGCATCATCATCGAAAGCGCTGCTTTGTGGAGGTACCGTACCTTTCCTCTAAGCCCTCCCTCGGCTTATCCTGGCTGACTTCATCACATTGCCCACGTAGTGCATACACCATCTTCTGTTTCACGATCTACTACATGCGGTCCCCCCTTACGCTGCTTTCTCTTGATTTGAGCCCTGCCATGGCGGGTATCTCATTCATGTTGATCAACGTACGCATTGGGCTGGGATGGGACACCACACCGACTGTCGTTCAATCGACCGACTTTAGTGCCGGTGCCTTGCCGAGGTTTAAATCGAGTTGGAAAGGAACGTCGGGGATGACCACCTCCGTTGGGAGTGCTTGCTGCACGTGTGTGCTACGGTACAACGCAGACGCAGCGAAGAAGGTCGGGTTGCAGAGTGGAAGTAGAATCGAGGAGGCAGAAAGTCCGACGAGTACGATGGTTGGAACTGGTAGTCCGCCGTCTTGTCCAAGGACGACGTTGCGTGTTGATACGGATAGGCAACAATGAATGACCCTTTTCCTGCAGTCTCCTTCTAACGTGTCCTCAGGCACTCCTTGTGAAGTGACGTCGATTCTGCTACTATTCTCACGACTGCCAGCACTTGATTTGCTCGTATCTCTTGGAGACTTTCGAAGACTTCGAATGTCCATTCCCTGATATCGAGGCTTCCAATCAAGCAGGCCCTCGATGTTCTGCTCTCTGGTATCCATCTCCGACTCACCGAGGCCCTTCATAAAGGAAGACTTTCCTTTGTGTTCACTACTTCACCGCTTGCATGGCCTCCCACAGTTCCCCTGGTATCGAATACATCACAACGGCACTGGCTGCTACTGGGATCGAAGGGGTACTCAATGGACTTTGTCTGGTGCTGGGCGCCATTTCGATCTGGCTCTTGACGACCCGTTCTCCGGCATTTAAGACGTCACCCAGGAAGCTGTCGGTGCTTGGGTGCCTGTTCAGGTCACCTCTCATTTTGGGAAGCATCCTGCTTGTTGTGGTCATAACCACGGTAGGCCTACACTTTTCATTCAATATACCCGTGCTAACAGAGACGACTAGCATTGGGGATGCTCGATGTATCGTATGCTACATGGGATGACCTTGTTCGCGAATCAACACTACCCCAAGGAGTTCTTCGACGAGATAACACATCCGCTCTATGTGCTTATGTGTGGTCTTGTCGTCACCGCTATACTCTTGACCGATGGCTTGCTGGTATGTCTTCCAATCAGCATCCGGCTCTCAGAGGTATCCCGCTGAATACTTGTCCCATCTGGTAGGTATGGCGCCTGTGGATTGTCTCCGACCACTGCATCTATACCATGACTGTGCCCTGCTTGGCTGCATTGGCTTTTCTAGGTGAGTAGTCATCGGTCCAACACTGGTGGAGGGTTGGCTAAGTGGCTTGGCGTAGCCTGTGCGATAAGGATATTCGTCTTCTTTGCGATGGCATCTGCTGCAGTGAAGAGCAATAGTGACATCCCTGGAGCGAATATTTATTCGTCCGATCTCGCCAAGTTTATTGGAGCGTGTATACTCATCACGTTCATGTGAGTGTCTTCCAATTCGGATACGGTCTGTGGTGTATTGACCCGCGGCCCTTGACTTGGACATCCCAGAACGAACCTCTATTGCACCTGTACGTCTTTTCAGATGTTTTCCTCCAGGCAACTTAGCATGGGAACATTGCCTCAATGGATAAAGTGGCGATCTCTTTCCTTATCTATAGGATCCTGGTTCGTAATGGTACGGGAGATAAGAAGCTCAAGGTAGGATTTTCCTACTGCATGTTGACGCTATGGGGACTAACTCTGCTCACAGGCGCTGATGTGCATAGTTATTGAAAGTGCAGCCATCTACAGGTCAGCCAGCTGTAAACAATCAGAAGCGTAAACTCATTCAGTGCTACCCTGCTCTCTCTCCGAAGCGCTTTCACCATCGTGTGCTTTAGCATATATTGCGCGCAATCCTCTTTGACCGTGCTCTTCCTTGATCTGAGCCCAGGCATGGCTGGAATTTCGTTCATGCTGATCAATGTCCGTGTCGGACTCGGATGGGATGCTACCCCAACTGCCACCCATTGTGTGTCGGATGCGCTGCCCAGGTTTAGAGTTAGTAGGGGATTGTCGGATGATGGGAGTGCTGTTGCGCATGGGGACTGTTGTGTGTGCTGCTTTGACACGGAGAAGGAGGCGACGTTGTTGACACCAGCTGAAGGGGGGAGTCGCCAGCGTCATCTTTCGTGATCGTGACTTAAGTACGCTATCACGGGGACTATGCATAGAGAAGGACATTGCACGATAAGACCACTGGAACGGCTTGTACGTAGGGTATCGAGTTGGCTCGCGTAGGAATTCATCTCGGACTGTGGACGGTTCCCATTCTGCCGATCTCGAGACTCGCATGCGTTACATCCGCGCGGTAGTGGGCTGTTCTCGCCGAGTTGCGTGCCTTGGTGACATGACAAGTAGGAATGTTACTCGGCCGGTAACTGAGGTGATAAGATCCACTCTCGATCACCGGCCTTAAACTTCTGATCCTCACAATGGCCTTCAGATGTGTACCATCCGAACCAGGACTATTGTTACCCACGCATTGTACATCTGGCCCAGACACTGTCTCGCTAGCATCTTATATTAGTCCGTGGCCTGATCTCATTTCGACTGTCTGAATCCCACAGCTGGTCGGTTATCTCATTCACAATTCCTGCCCTGATACCGGGAAACCTGCACTCTCCAAGGACTGCCTATCAGTATTGTTGCAGGCTTGGCACTGGCTGCTGCTTCTCGCGTTCCTCAGCCCGTCGGCCATCGGTTCATACAACTGGAAATCAAAGACCTGACTCTCATCTGCTGTTGGCTGTTGAACAACTATGCCTTGCCAAAAACTTACATGGCGCGCTGAAATCAGATCGTTTGCTGCTAGAGCGGGGAGAGGAGCATTTTAAAGTCGTACTCTGGACTCCCTTTCCTTGTCTTTCGGCGCTTCGCCCCTCTCGCGACTCAGAGTCTGGGATGTTTGACTCAACTGAGGCGGCCCATGTCGATCGTCGCGGCGGAAGTCCGGATTTAGCTCTGCCCGGCTCTGGGTTCAACCCAAGCCCATACTATGTTTTGGTCACCACCGCGGGAGTTGAAGGTTTCCTTGTTGGCATCTTTGTCGTACTTTGCACCACGGCGTTGTATTTGCTCATTCACCGGCCCCCCAATCGCCCTCATTTCGGAAATGGCGACACACGGTCGAAGTTGGGGCGGATTACCCGAGGTCCGAAAGTAGTTTTGAGGAGCTTCGCGAGGCCGATGGTTTTTGGAAGTGTGTTATTGCTCTTGATGGCCGTGGGGGTAAGTTTGCTTGGGAATGAAGTGCCCTACCCTTGCTCTCGATGAATGAAATGGGTGACCTGACTTTGGTTTTTCAACAGCACTGGATATGCACGATGGTTCGCGTGCTTACAACCGTCTCGCTCATAACAAGGAAGATATCCCCAGTCCATTTCCTACAGGATGCATCGCATCCTCTGCTCGCGACGATGAGCTTCTTTTTGACAGGAGCTGTGTTCATGGCGGACTCATTACTGGTGCGTAGGCTTCCTGAATACGGCAATTAGCTGTTGGGATGCATCTCATTGAGATTCTAGATACGGCGCCTCTGGATCGTCTCGCATAAGAAGAGATGGATCGTGGCGCCGCCGATGCTTGCCTGCTTGACCTTAGGTATGTCAATTGTTCTTCCATTTCCTGAAATCGAAGCGCGGTCGAAGCTTTGCTCGTTGTGGACTACGTATTCTGACTCTCGCACTTCCAAGTCTGTGGGCTTCGAGCTGGTACCTATTTTGCGCGAGCCCATGGCGGTGACACAATCCATTCGGACGCGGTGCAAAATTGGATCCAAGTCGGAGCAATAGTGACCATCTTGTGAGTTCTGTACCCGCGGTGTACATTGTGATTGGGCTCTGACCGGATACTCTGGTTCTGAGCTGCACGAATTTGTACTGTTCGAGTAAGTCATTCTCGTCATAGGAGTGACAGTCCCTAACTACGAAACCAACTAAGTCAGCCTTTCGATTTGTATCTATAAAATTCAGGCTAGGACAATATCTCAGGATCAGAAGAAGATAAGGGTGAGATGAATCTTGTATTTTCTGTTTTTGGCGTCCCCGCAAGCTGACTGCGCATTACATATAGTCTATTCCCGTCATTATCATCGAGAGTGCGGCCATCTGGAGGTATGTAAATCAACGTCCACTCGACTTCCTGATCGTGCGTGCTGACAGAGAACCTAACCCAGCCTTCGGAGTTTGTTTGTCTTCATCAACTACTATCTCAATCCTTCCTCAGTCTTCTGACGTTTGATGGATATCGATGGCTATGGCAGGGATAGTTTTCATGCTCATCAATGTCCGGGTTGGGTTGGGATGGGATACGACTTCTGATGACATTCCTTCTGACCACGGAGTTGCTGTGGTTGGCGGTCTCCCAACCTTCCGAGTTCGTAGCATCAGTACCGCGGGACAAGCCTCGGCGACATCGTTTGGCTCTGTTTATGGACGCGGGCACAGGAGGAGCGAGAGTCGAAGTTTGGTTGTGACCCATCCTTCTCAGTCTTTGAAGGGCTGTCCAGGACGGGTGGTTTCGTCTCCTATTATTGAGTCGCCTTTGTCTCCTCTCAAGAGTGCTCGTTTCAATTTCCACTTCAATATAGGTGGGAAGTTCTAAGACTCGGAAGCGGACAGTGCTGCTGGCTTACTTCCGTTGCCTGTGCCTTGGTAGTTTTTCATTCGTGTGCTCTTCGGGAAAAAGTATACTCGATAGTTGACGCATTTTTAACCCGTCTTTACGCGTTTTTGGGCCATCCAAGGCTGGGATTGGCGACTCGGACAGAATGACAGGGGTTGATGAGTATCAAATAACGGATCACTGCGGACCGTCCCTTTCAGAACCAAGAGTATGCCGACGATGATGGAACTGTCGAACTGAGTCCACACCATTTCGGTTCATTGCTTGTACAGGGCTGCAACGTGCTGCCAGCTCATCGCTCGTCAGCAGAAGAGCTCCCTGTAATTCTCGATACTCTCCCTCAGAATCACGACAATGTCCGGGAAGGTCTATGTCCCGATCCCCCCGCGTCCCGCTGGGTACTTCCAGACGAACCCACGTGCCGACCTGACGGAGGACGAGCGGTCCATGTATGAGGAGGTTCTAGCCCACTTCACCAAGGACAGTTACGTTTTACCCAACGAGGAGAAGGGAGAATTGACGGAGAAGGAGAAGTTTTGGCTCTCTAGGGAATGTCTGTTGCGGTATGTGAAGCCTAATTTCAAGATATGATACGAGTTTTGAGCCAAGTCGCGATTATATCCAGGTATCTACGCGCGTCCAAGTGGAAGGTCGCCACTGCGATCCAGAGGCTGGAAAGTACGCTTAAATGGAGGCGTGAGTTTGGTATCTACGATCTTACTGCAGAGTACGTCGAACCAGAGGTAAGCTGTCCATCGCCGCGTGCACGCTTACACACGAAACGCGACTAAAGTGCCACTTGCTAGGCTGTTACTGGCAAAGAGATTATCTTCGGATACGATGTCAAGGGCAGACCCGCCTTCTACATGATTCCTAGTCGACAGAACACCGATGGTGTAGAGCGCCAAAACCAGTTTGCGGTTTGGATGCTGGAGAGGGGCATTGATTGCATGCCTCCGGGTGTCGAGTAAGCACTTCTCCCCTTCGATTCAACATCCTCGATCTCATCCAATCATATCTCGTAGGACCCTGGACCTTCTTATCAACTTTGCTCAGCGAGCAAAACATCCCAACTTCTCCCAAGCTCGTACAATCCTCAGTATCATCCAGGACCACTACCCCGAACGTCTCGGCATGGCGCTTCTCCTCAACATGCCTTTCCTCGTCACTGCTTTCCTCAAACTCATCTTCCCATTCGTCGACCCAGTCACTCGCGAGAAGGTTAAACTCAACCCTTCGCCAATCGAAGACGGTCTCTTCGAGCAGGATATGATCATGTCAGAGTATTGGGGCGGCAGCCAAGACTTTGAGTATGTCCACGAGAAGTACTGGCCTGAGTTTGTCAAGACGAGCACGGAGAATGCGGCCAGGTGGACCGCGAAATGGAAGGAGTTGGGTGGAAAGATTGGGATCAGCGAATGGGATTACAAGGGCGGCCCATCCTCCGAGAAGGAGGAAGTCGACGGCGCCGTGTCTACTTCCGTGGCTGTCGAAACTGGTGAAAAGGACGAGCAAAAGCCCAGCACGGAACCAGCACAGAAGGACAGCAAGAAGGACGAGGAGCAGGCTCCACCACAGGCAACTCCTGCAGCCGGTGGTGCAGTTACTACGGCAGGTGGAGGAGCCATAGCTGCCGGTGCCGTTGCAGGATCTGGAGGCGATGCCTCCGCTGCTGGAGGTGATGCGGGGGGAGAGTAAATTGTGTGGTAATGGAGTCTCATATAATATTCGGTTTGCTTTCGTGATACCTGCTTTGTCGGCTGGAATTCGGAATCTATCTTTGGGAACTTATACTTTGTCCTTTTGTCAGTTGGATGGAAATAGACCGTACATTTCGCCACAGCAGGATCTGTTCTGCAGTCCAACCTTGACGGAAATACGACCCGGGCGGTGTTCGAACCCGCAGAAGCTCGTTTTGATCGGAGGCTTATTGCAGATCCGGGTGACAGATAACCGGTTTCGTCATCGAATGAGCGGATGTTCCTTTGGCCCACTTCAACGACTTTCCTCGACCACGAGCATTGGCATCCTTCAAGACCCTTTTGTCGCTGCCTTCGACCTCCAAACTGTCACACCGAAGACCACATAGACAGTGAAATGTCCGACAACGATCAACATTGGTCGATAGACCCCTCAGACTCGGAAGTAAATGAGTCTGGTGACGGGCAGCCGGCCAAACGACAGAGACTTCATGGTGCTTGCGATATGTGTAAAAAGAAGAGAAGTTCGTATTATTTCTCCAAACGCCTTCAGACTACTGATTGTATACTACAGCGAGATGTAGGCCCGTTTTACGTTCGGGACCCAGGGAATAGCTGAAACGGGGGGTCCGTTAGGTGACAGTGCTGTCATGCCTGACAAAATATGTTCCAATTGCATCGCGGCGAAGATTGAATGCGAACATACAATTCCTCGGAAAAAGGTTAGTTGCCTGCTATTGTCTTCTTCAGGTTGAGTGATGCAAGCGTCCTTGCAGAACCGCGACAGGCGACAAGAGTGAGATTGTTAGTCCTATCTACCGCTGGAGGATAGTCCTGACGGAACACCTTCGATGACAGGTACATCCTCCACCTTGAAGAGAAACTGCACAAACTGGAGGAAATTCTAGGAGTTGCCAGCTCCTCCACACCGGGTGCACAGGCTGACGGCAACGGGGGCCTCACCAGTACCATCCCGCCACCCATCCCCCGAACGATGAGTCGGGCTGGATCTCCGCTTCCAGCGAACGGTATCCAAGAGGAAGGCTGGGAATCGGACGATAGTTCAGACCTGTCCTTGGGTGACAAGATGCATCTGCTGTCCATGGAAACACGGGAACATAAATTCTTCGGAAAGGCAAGGTCGGTTTGTTCATTTATCTATGGCTTTATGTTCACACACGTCCCCATAGTTTAGCCAATTTCGTTTCACAGATTGTACAGCTCTCTAGAGTGCCCGATGAACGAAGATTCACCTTCGTGCGAAGTCCTGCAATGTGGGGACTGCGACCGGTAAGCATACTTCCAAGCCGACGTTTAGGTGCAGTGTTAACCAAGTATTAGTGGGAGCGGGAATATGCAGAGTCTCCGGAACCGGATTATAAATTTCCAGAAGCCGACCTCCTGGAATCGCTGTTGGCCGTATATCGTGAACAAGTACATCCTCAGCTGCCAGTCCTGCATTGGCCTTCATTCCTGCGGGATGTTCGAAGTGGGCGCCACCTCAGGGAACCTGGATTCGGCATGGTTTTACTGGCGGTTTGTGCGAACGCATCGCGACTCACTTGGGATGAACGTGTTATGATGGTGGACCATGACAATCCTGACCTGTCGGGGCCGTCGGCGGGTTGGATGTTTATCGCACAGACCCCGCTTATCCGGAAGTCCATTGTTGATCAAGCGACGATCATCGACCTGCAGTATTACGCCGTGCGTACTTCACATTGTCCCGCTTGTTCCGATATTGATAATGAACATCTCCCAGTTGGCTGTGTTCTACTTCCTTGGAACGTCGTCACCTCAAACTGGGTGGAATCTTCTCGAAATCGCGATGCGTTTTGCAATAGAAATGGGGCTGCATCGGCGAACGGGGGTGTCTCCTTTTCAAAAGTCGAAGTGGCAGTCGGAACTCGAGAAACGCATTTTCTGGCACGTTCCTTGTTGCAAAGATCTGTCATACAGGCTCGCTGACCTCGTAGACAGGTCACTGCTTATGCTGGAATGGCACACCAGCACCTCCACAGGTCGGCCACCCTGTCTCCATGACGAAGAGTTAGTCAATTCATTTCTGGCGACTGAAGGCAGCAGCTGATAATGAAGTACAGCATCGACATTGAGTATCCCATCGAGTGCGATGATGAGTATTGGGATTCGGAAGTAGACGATCCAGACAAGGCTTGGAAACAGCCTCCTGGCAAGCCCAGTCTGATCACCGCAATCAACTTCAGTCTCAAGCTCTGTGAAATCGCAGCTTTCATGCACAGAACCTTGTATTCATCAAGAAAGTCGAAGCTCCTCACTGGGTCCATCGGCGAAGCTTGGCAGAGGAAGATCGTAGCGCAACTTGATTCCGCCATGAATCGATGGAAAGATGGTCTACCGCAGCATCGTGAGCGAAGCATTCCGGAATTTGTGCTCCATTTCGACTGAATGTACCACAAGTGCAATGGGATCCTACTTGTCCAGATGATATGATCTTCAGTCAACAGCTGATGCTCTATTCGGCATTCCACTAGATCCACCGCCCATTTTTGAAGTCTCAGTCGGCTATGGCAATCCCAGCCATGGCGATTTGCATGACTGCTGCTCGGGCCTGCACTCGAATGGTCGACGCTGTCATGAGAAGGCAGATGGTACCACCGGGAAACATAATGGTTCAGTCCTTGCGAACTTCTTTGGGGACGAGTGATTGACCACGGGCATAGATTGCAGCATTCGCAGCCGCCGCTGTTCTTTTGACCAATGGCTGGGGTCGACGGGGGCCCAGGTTGACTGCTCTCCTCCCAAAGGAAGTAGAGAATATCCATATCCTCATCCGTTTCCTAAATTATTTGGGGGAAAGGTGAGCAGCTGAGCTTCTTATCGGGGTTGCCAATACCTGGCTAATTGGCTTTCCTGTAGGTATCATATTGCTGGTCGGTTCTCGTGAGCCACGTTCATCGCGTATACCTTCAGAATACTTACAGGCTCCTGCAGAGATATCCTGACCTCAGTCGCCTTGTGGGGAGGTCTAGCGGGCCTTCCTGTCGAATCCGCATCTTCCGGTGCAGGGAACCGTTCTGGAGACGCGAGAAATATGACGGCACCATCCGACCCAGTCTCGACTCTAGGAACGTTCACGTTACCGTCCGAATCTAGAAACTTCTCTCCACCCTCCACCTCTTCAGCCACTAGCGGTCCCTCCCAGTTTTCGGGACATCTCCCTCCCTCGAACCCCGACTGGGACCTTAGCACGCTTTTGCTGACCCAGCTCGAGTATGCCGAAAACGGCTCTACCGCAAGGCCTTCGATGCCTTGGGGCCCGAATATGTTTAATGCACAGTCTGCTTGCAACCATTCGGTACCGGGTGCCAGCTCCTTTGGTTCTATGAACCATTCCATGTCGCCAGCTGATACTCCTGGGAACCCGATGTCGACGTGGATGGCGGCACCTACGGCATTCAGGTATGTGTATCACCCTCCTGCTATTGCCACTGGTTTCGAATCTTATCGATGCGTTGAATTGGCAGTTTGAGCGAATGGGACCGCCACTTGGCAGGTCTTGCTCAACAACCACCGTTGCCTAACGACTTCGGTTTCTCCTCGTAAGGAATTTCCGCCCTTTATCTCGCCTCGCTGCAGACCTGGACTACTACTACGGGCATCACCATCGGCTTTCTTCATCCAATGTACCCCGAAGATAGAGCAGACAGGCTCGTATAACTCATTCTCATGATCAGGGCCAGTTCATGGTTCAGTCCTATCATGCACAGGAGCCACTTTGCTCTGCCAAACAAGACGAAACCGTATTCACCAGTTATCCGTGACGTTGTGGCTCGTCCCTCCCTGGCACGGCTATTACTACTCGTCCTCGTGTATTTTCTTCGAATGATAAGTACACGGATGATTTAACGTTGCCGCGAAGCTGTCATACAAACTGATTTGCCTTTCTTTCTTTCATGACCACGAGAGAACGGCGAGGTCACCCCTATGACAATGTCTCATTTTCTAATTTCCTAGGGCCAGTTGCAGATACAAAGAACACTTCTTGACTCAAATGCGCTACATTCAAAGGATATTCCTTTGAAGATGTGATCTATCATCTAATTACTCGTGTCGATCGCCATCCAGTGTCGATATCATCTACTTCAAAGCTGAAATTCGACGCAGAGTACCCTCCATAAGAAGTGGCTTTCGACCTTGGAAGTCGCCTCGTGGACTCGGTCAATTGATCCATCTTTTGAGAGCAAGTGGCGAGGCTTCCACGCTTAATTTTCCCTGGATGCCACACAAAGGGGAGATGCATATAAAGGCCATGGGCTGGCCTCCTTCAGCAATTTCCCTTTCCATCGACTACATTAAACCCTCACTGTACCACCTGTTCTACCCAACGTCGCTGTTCGCGTGAAGCGCGGCGTTCTGCCATGCTGTTCTGTAAGCATCCGGGAACTCTTCCTGTTGGCGGCTTCGGACTGAATTAACGTAGTCGGGACTCTAGTCAAGCTCTTCTTTGTCAAGAGGAAGTGGACCAACCAATCTCGTCTCAACCCGAACTGGCCTTCATACCTCCATAACAAGTGCAACAACCCTCTCTGCCGTTTTGCCAACCCACCTCAGGCGGCAAAAGGAAAGTACGTTTGCTGTGGCTTGTTCAGAGGACGGCCCTGCGAAGGAACGTACTACGTATCCGATGATGCTGTCGCTTTGGTGATGAAGCAACACAAGACTGCGTTGAGGAAGGAGGAGAAAGCTAGACAGAGAGCGGCGGAGCGGCCGAGGAATTTCAAGGCGCTGGACGACCCACCTGCACCCCCACCCCCGCCGAGACCGTCGCCAGCGTCATCACCGTCACCTTCAATCAGCGGCAAGAATAAGCCACTTCCCAGCCACCCCAAGCCACGGGTCAACGCTCGGGAGAAACGCACTGGCGACCCAGCTTCAAAGCCTCATCGATGCTACGAGATTCAGCCACGACCTATATATATACACCCCAAGCAGCCAAGGACTCTTGATCCAGCTATCGGAAGACGGCCGGAGAGAAAGGAACGCGAGAGGGCCCACTGCGCTGCGCGCAGCCATTGCAGCCCTCGTTTATCCCCCCCTGACGATGCGAACTGGTCGCGAGCTCCCACCCCCATCCCACCTCTATCCCGCCCCTCTTCTCGGACGACGCGCCGACAACGGGAACCCGTTGGCCATATTCAAGATCCCTATCTTGTGAGTGTGAGGGAGAAGCTTTATTACCCAGTCGCGGCCCCCCCCCCCCCCCCCCCCCTATTGAATGATGCCGCGTCGCGACGCGACACGTTGATGCCACTTTATGTACCCCTGTCTCTCGTTTTAACCAATCAGGACCAGGATCCTGTGGCACCATAACTATCCCACCGTATTTACTGTATAGAACCATGCGGCGCCGGTCGTTGCTTCATGAATGTATCTCATGACTGTATAGCCAATCTTCTTTGTGATAAGAATGTCGCTTTCCCGGGTGTCGTGGGACCAAGAAAACGCGATGGTCACGATTAGCGCCCGTGATGAGAGACGATATGGAGCTTCCAACACGTGTGCCCTGCATGTAGCCAGGTATAAGAGTTGACCAGCACACCCCTCAAGCTCAAGCCGTGCTTGACTTCCTTCCACCAACAGGTCATGGCTATGTACGCATCTGCTCCTCCACCATTCCCCCAGCCTAGCTACCCAGATGCCAATGTCTGGGAGCCCGAGCGTGAGGTCGAGTCTGGGTAGGCTTTTACGCGACGAGGGGCATCTTTATCGTACTGACATATTGATGGTGCAGATATGTCAATGTGGATCCTCAGTACGTTCCAAGGAACGGCTATCGCACTGGTACTGGTGCAGCGTTTGGGTCGGACCCCGCCGACCATGGCACTGAGGCATCTGCTCCATCCACAACCTCAAAAGCGAAAACTTCTGCACAATCGCCCATGCCAGAGGAAAGCGAAGTTGTAATCGCGTAAGTCTTTGAACTCGTGGTACAATTGTGTCCGGTCCCTCATAGTGAATTGTAGCGTCATGGGTGCGACAGGAAGCGGAAAGACGACTGTGAGTCACTGCCTTGAGTCGAATGGGGAGAGTAACTATTAACCGTCTTATCATCTCTTCTCCAGTTCATCAACACAGCAAGCGGGTCGACTCTCAGGATTGGAAAAGGATTGCGCTCCTGCACCAACGTCGTTCAGATCGCCGAGTCGTTCTACTTGGATGGACGAAAGGTGGTCTTGATCGACACTCCTGGGTTCGACGACACGACCAAGAGCGACACCGATATCCTTCGAATGATAGCGGCGTTCCTTACAACTACGTGAGTCTACACCAACGCGTTATCTACAGAGTGACCTTATTGACATGTCGGATAGATACGAGCAAGGCATCAAACTCGCTGGTGTCCTCTACATTCACCGCATCTCCGACTTTCGTATGGGTGGTATTTCGACGCGCAACTTCAAGATGTTCAGACAATTGTGCGGAGAGAGTACCCTCAAGAACGTCGTGATCTTGACCAACATGTGGGGTCAGGTCAACCCAGAAGTTGGAGAAGCGCGCGAGAGGGAGCTAGCTACCGACCCGCTGTTCTTCAAGCCTGTTCTTGACAAGGGAGCGCAGATGCTCAGGCACGACAATACCCCCGAATCTGCGCAGAGGGTGCTGAGGTATATCATCGGCAACCATCCCTTGACGTTGCAGATCCAGAGAGAGCTCGTGGATGAAGGGAAGGACATCCTGCAAACTGCTGCAGGAGAGGAACTGAACAGGGAGTTGTTGGCCCAGTTGAAGAAGCATGAAGCAGATATGGCCGACCTTCAGCGTGAGATGCAAGGTCTGTCACTTCAGTTATTTTCCATCGAGAGCGACATCCAGGCTAACCGTAACACAGAGGCGATGAGGGAGAAGGACGAGGAAACACGCAGAGAGATTGAAGCTGAGCAAATGAAGCTCAGAGCCGAGATGAATCGCGTCCGGAACGATGCCGAGAAGCTCGCCTCGAACTATCAAGAAGAAAAGGAGAGGTTGGAAGAACAGATGAGAGAGATGATGAGAGAATCCCAGCGAGCTCAGGAAGAGACAGCCGCCAGGTACCAGGAGCAGATCGACGCACTGGAGGCCAGGTTGCGAGACAGTGCAGCTGCTTCATTGGCAGAGAGACAGGCTATCCAAAAGGAGCTTGACGAGCTTCGAAGGAGGCCACCTCCGTCTCGTGGCGGCTTCTTTGGCATGATTGGGGCCGCCCTTGACCGAATTTTTGGCATACATCGTTGACTGTCTGGACTGTGACACTGTTTATCAGGAACGACGCTACTGATATCCATTACTATGATGAATAGGCTACATGATTACAATGTCAGGAGAAAGTGGAGAAGGGATCGAAATATGATACAGTAATTTATGTGACGATGGGGCAAGCAGGATAGAGCTCTGGTATAACATGAGCAGTGATCTCACCCGTCAATCTCCCATCTGAAAGGCAATATAAGCTTCGCCATGAGAGGTATATTAACAGAGAACTCACTCGATAATAAGATTCCCTCGACCCGGGCGATTGAGTCGAGGCATTCCATGCCCTCGCAGGATCACTATCCCGCGTGTCATCTTGGTGAGCTGGTAATCAACCTCGATGGTATGCACATCCCCATCCACACCTGGGAGTTTGAATTGACACGCCTCCTCGTAAAGACGATCCGTCCAGGGCAAATAAACCTCTGTGGAGAGATCCCCATCGCCGCAGCGTTCATACAGGGGATGAGATTGCACCCTAATGATGAAGTTGATATCTTGGTATTCGCCGCCAGGGAGTTGGTGCCCTGCCCCTTGGAAGGAGAAGAGCGTTTCCGAAAGGCATCCGGGCGGGATGTTCATTTCCAGCGTCTCGCGGGTCGTTGCACCATTGAGGTACTTTCGAGTGAAGTGATGTGCAAGGACTTTGCCATAGAAAACGTCCTTGAGGGTGACGTCAATAGTTTCGGTGTAACGGGTAGAGGGTTCGGCTAGGACGGGATAGTCGTTATAGTGGGCGAGTTCGATGTGTGTGACGCGGAGGTGAGGGGAAGGACCAGTGATTGAGGCTGAGGTTGAAAAGGAATCAGGGGCCTTAGAGGTGGAGTGATTCACGGAGAAGGGCGGCTTGGTGTATGGGAGATGGGGCCAGGGCTCGTCCGTTCCCACTCTAGTCGCCCATTGATCAAGACTTGGCGCGGGTGCGTATTTGGGAGGAGGAGGTGTGAGCTCTATGTGGCCCTGGGGTGGAACAGTGCTCGTGGCCTTGCCAAATTTTACTTTGGAAACAAAGCGGCGAGATTTGGCTTGGACATTCTTCAAGGTGGTATTGACTGTGTGGACAGGATTAGGAATTTCTCGCTGTGTCGAGCGCAGGAGCACGTTAGTTGAACTTCCATGCAGCAGGGGGTATGTGTAAAGCGCAACTCACTAAACTCAGACATTGGCTAGATCCATATCCAGATGGAAGGCCCGGGGGTTGGGTGGGAAGTAACTGCGGGGGTCATTAAGAACGTCTAACGCCACACTGATAAGGTTACATACCAATTCGCTGGTAGCAGCATTTAGGTCCGCCAGGGACCTGAAGGGAGAGAAGTCACTAGAACTTTGCCACAGTTGACGGGAGGCAGACGTAGAGGGGTACGGGTTTGGATACATGGCTAAGGGTCGATGGAGACTGAGACGCTAACAGTTGGGTGTTAATCAGTCACAGACCCACAGAACTTTATACATACCAGGTGTGGCTCGAATAAACCACATTCTACAGCTTATCCCCTTGTGCAGATGATCAGTGCCACTCATGATCTTTGTGTGCAAATTGTGGGATTGCTATGCCTTTGAAAGGGGGCTCGTGCAGAGCGCAGAACTCGTGTTCCCATTTCGTTTTTTGTGCTACTTCATTGAGCGAGATTTGAGCGTGAATATAATGATCAGGAACGTGGACAATAGCCTTTGTTGATTGACAGGCCGACAGGCCTTTATGCGATGACGTCGATCCGACTCGGAATGCTACATAGGGAGGTCAAAAACTTGTGCGTAGGCCGAAGGTACCATGCCTGAAGGAGGTCAAGTCAGTGCACTGATTGGGAACGGCAGAAGACACAGAGCCAAGTGAGCCTTCAAGGTTGAATGCTAATAGCAGGGTGGTTGCATCTTTGGAGTCATTTGGCCCAATCTTCAAGTTCAAGTTCCCTCCGCGTCAATTCGATACAATTCGAACTCAGAGCGAGCTACAGTCCAGAATGAAGACGAGGGGAAGTACAGTACATCTGTATCCAATGGAGAGAACGAATGGGGAGTTGAAGGGGCAGCATTGCTGCCAACTTAAGAGAAGGCAAACGAAAAAACAAAAGAAGTTCCGAAGGAAACGAAAGTCAAGCAAATTGAATGCACAGTTCGGTAGGAGTCCAGATAAAGAGCGAAGCTATTCAGGGGGGGAAACGGTTTAGTCAGTATTCGACGTGAACGTTGAGCGACAAAACGTTAAGTCCCACCTGGAACCCGGAGTATAACAGTACTCTAAGAGCCGTCACGCGATACATCACCAGCAAACACGCAGTTCTTGACCACATAACCCTCTTCGTCGAGAGGGTTAAAGGTTCCCGACTCGTCCGCCTTACTGGGACACCGGGTGGGTCCTTCCTTGTAGTCGTTCGCCAGGGACCAATCACCGAAGTAATAATGAGGATCCCATCGCTTATCCACTCCAATATCCGGAACTATATTCTTCAACTTCTTGACGAATTTGTCTCCGCGCTCAGCTCCGGGGCAGGTGGAAAAATGAAGGGATTCAATAGGTTTTCCCAGTGCCTGCTTGTGGACCAAGAAATCCTTGAACAACGTCCGCCGGCGACGCGGGAAGAACACACCACGGAACTCCAAGCGTGTGAGCTTCGGATACGTGAGCAAGAGGGACGGGTCCTCCTTGTTGTCCAGGAGTAGCTTGAAGAAGTGGCGGGCAGCGTGTTCGGTGGTGAGGGAGAGGGTCTCGACAGATGGGAGTTCATCGACGCAACCGAAAAATGCAGCCGATTGGGCGTCAGCGGCGACAACCTTTGTCGTGTCGAGGTTCTTCAGGACACGAGCGATGCTGGTGTTAATCCGACTCAGTTCGAAATCTTCGATACCCGCCTGTATCAGTTGCGATTCATCGTCGTGCGGAGCATAGGACGGAGTGAATTGGATGAGCAAGGATGGCATCGCCCCGGCGTTGTCGTACGCATAGTGTTCGATCGGGGGTCCCCCGAGGGATCCAGCCGGGTACCCGGAGGGGGCACTATTGACAACCGTCTTCCAGTAGGTGAGAGGACGCGTCGAACGCCCCATTGTGAGATCGCAACGCTGGTTCCATCCATAAAGGATGGCTTCCGTGGATCTACTGACATCCCTACAGTCCGCGACTCTAAACCCTCGAAGAAGATTGGGCGTCTCCGAAAGTGGTGTGCGCAACCAAGCCGATTCGAGGGCGGAGACAAACCGAGCAATAGGGTCCCGTCGAATGGATATTGTTTCGAAGCTGAATTTGAGACGCACGGAAGGAGGGAGTGCCAGATGTTCAAGCAATATGGCTGCTTCATGCCACGTGCAGTGGCCCGGATCGGTCGGTCTCGTAAAGGGATTCTTGGCAAGTTGACGCGGATGTGCAGGGTTTCAAGATTGGGCATCCTTTCCAAAGCACCGAAGAACTCTTCGGGACAGGGGGGAGGACGTCCGTCGCCCCAGGTAGATAGTTCAAGAGTGGTGATGTTCTCTGACAGGAGGGGAGACGTCCAAGAGACCTCGAATTCATAGAGGGCGAGCGTTGTCAGCCGGGGAGTGCCCATCCCTAAGATGTCATCCTCGAACTGGATAGTGGTGGGGTTATCATAAAACCTGGAATATCGATGGATATAGAGCGTATGAAGGAGGGGTGCCTCCGCCGAACGTAGCTCTTCCAGGCGTTCCCTGGCAAACTTGTCGCTGCCGCCACAGACAATGGCGAGGTATTCCAGGCGAGCGGGTTCGGTCAGAAGTGAGAGGACGCGGTCCTTGATTGGGTCTTTGAGGTAGGGATGGACCAGAAGCTCGAGAGGGGACACCTTCGCCCTGTCCAGCATTTCCATTCCCCAGCGAGGGTTATCGGCGAAGATGGTAGACCATAGGCGGGGATAATGGATTGCCGTCGCCCTCCAATAGCGACATACATGGGTGAGGTTCATCCAGGCCGGGCTGTTGGTCTTTTTGGGCTCTGGCATTTGATAGATCTCGTCGCTTTCGTCGCTGCTGCCGCCACCGTCGCCTGAGTCGTTGCTTTCTACGCTACTGTCATCATCGTCGTTATCATCACTGGCGTACCGGGGAAGGCTGTGGACCCAGTTTTCATGGTAGTCACCGCCGTCGTAAACGCCGTGTTCACAGTAACCGGACTCTGCACAACCATGGCTACAGGGGCCCGGGTAGCCAAAGCTGCCCTGGCCGCCGTCGATAGAAGACTGGTCAAGGACAGCATGATGGGCAAAAGGGAGCAGCGTCTTGAACGCCATCGTCGTGACCGTCGGTGTCTTGGTCGCCGTCATCTTGACCGTCAACGTCTTGGTCGTCGTCGCTGTCGCCCCCATCGTGTCCATCACTGACGGAATGGACGCGGAGGAGTGAGGTGTCAAATTTCATCATCGGGCAGCTGTACTTGTACTCCAAGAACACCTTGCGGAGGATTTCTGGAGGCAGCATCGCGAGAGGGGAGGGTTTTTCTTCTCTTTCTTCCATCTCCGCACGGAGGAAAGAGAGGAGAGCGTCCACGTCGGGTGCATGCGCTCCCTCGTGGGGTTCTACGTGCACAGAGAGCTTTGGTTAGTGTCTGGCGAAGGTGGGGGTAGATGAAGTGCTTACCTGACTCGTTGTGAGTGTTGGATTGTGCAGAAGACATGGATGTTGTCGAAAGAGGGCGGCGGGGCCCGAGCATTTGGATTTGGCCTCTTTATAGTGTTGCAGTTACCGATGCTGGGTCCGTTTCTTTTGTTCTCGTGTAGCGATCACCATCCGCAGGTCCTGCATCCAATTAAGGCCGGAACTCCTTCGTTGACCTTAATAAATGAGCTTCTGGACAATAGTGGCGAAACAGAGGGAGAGGAACAAGGATGCTTGGTTTCGCAACTTTTCAACCTTTTAGACGGCAGGAGTTGGAAGGTCCTACGTAAGTAGGGCAGAGAAAGCAGAGGGCATTGTTTGTACGGGACCACATAACCATTGCGATCGCAGATCTCTATATTGACCGGTCGACTGCGTTGTTCAAAATTATACATCAGCATAGGATGAGAGGAGATTATAGCGGAATAGTACTAGGTTGTTACGTGGATTCTTTGTCCGTGACTGAAAGCACCTTCTCCTTCTCTTCCTGCGCCCCACTAACGATTCCCAGCCATTGCAACCAATCCATGCCCTGCTTGTGCACCATCATCAGCCCCATCACCACGGGCAAATACCACAAGCTATGTTGGAAGACGCTCCTTGCGTGCTTCTCGCCACCGTACTTCCAGAACCTCCAAGCAGCCCGCAGGCAGATCAAGTTAGGGACCAAGCTTGTAGCGGCGAAGGCCCAAGTGGTGAGTCCGGAGAGGGGGAAGAGAATGGAGCAGATAGGGATGAGGAGGGCGGCGTGTCGGAGGGAGACGAGGGCGTTTTTGGCGGGGTTAAGGACGGAAAGCATGGTATACCCTGCCTGGGCGTAGCAATCCCTAACGAGGTACGAGAGGGCGTTGAAGTGGGGGAACTGCCAGCTGTAGAGTAGCATAAACAGTGCGAATGGAGAGAGTGGGTTGTCGATGAGGCTCAAATCCAGTGGTACCGTTGAATCTGAGAGGAAGGAGGGGACGAACATTTGGATTGGATAGTCCGCGCTGGGCAATAATTTTCCTCCGCATGCCGTCCACCCCATAAGTGGAGGGAGTGCGCCAACCACTGAACCCACCCATGTATTCCAGATGCTCTTCCTCTTCATCCAGGTGTAGACGCCTGCGTAGAGGAGGATGTTGGAAGCGCCCAGGATGGCGGTTGCGGGGTTGACCATGTACCATAGCAGTGCAGGTCCTGCTATACCTGTTGCAAGCGCAAACCCGCTTGCGTGAAGTGGGGTAATAGCGCGTCGGACCAACGGCCTCGTCCGCGTCCTTGCCATCTGCGCGTCAAATGGGACCTCTTGGAGCTGGTTCAGCGTATTGGCCGAGGCTGAGCATAGTGCTGTGCCGACGGCTGTCGAGAGTAATACCGGTACAGTTGCAGGTAGAGGCGAAAGTGCAACGGCGGACATGGAGGTGAGCATGACGAGGACTGTCAGTCGTGACTTTGCCAGCTGTGAATACACTTTCAACAGCCTCTTCGGAGTCAAAGCTTCCAACTCTTTAAAGGATGAAAGAGGTGGTGACGATGGTGTTATTGCTGGGTGTACATTGCGTTGCAGGGACGGTGGACGAAACTTTGTGTTTTCGTAACCCGGAGGCAGCCATTGGGTATTGTGGAGGAAGAACGAGTTTGAGAACGCTACCGGCGACGAGGAAAGGGCTCGTGCGCCACCGCAAGCAAACCGGCGCGCTGAGAGCCCTCGTAAAAGCAGCGCCCTCTGCATCTGCCTTGTCGTTGGTCAATATGGGCTGTCCTTTTTCCAGAGACCCGGGCTTACCTTGGTGGTTATGAGGAAAATGCGGGACCGTCGGAGTTTGAAAAGCACCTTTTCCCTCAACGACCACGACGACGACGACCGCGCATTCGATTGCGCTGCCAGCTCCAACGACACCAACATGCCCGGCACTCACCTTCTCCCACCCAATCTTTTAAAGCTTTTTGCCCCTCGACCGCCGCTCCCCTATGCTAGACCAGTCGATAAAGACATTGACCGCATCCGCAAGAAAAACGTCAGCGGTGTCGCCGAAATTCTCCAGCGCTTGAAAGAGGAGAATACGGACAGTCTGTTCAATGCTGCCAACAACGACGAGCAGATGGAAGAGGGGGAGGAGCCGGTCTTCACGCATGCTGAGGAGGTGAAGAGGCAAATACGAAGGGAAGAACGAAAAGCGAGGAAGGCAGAGGAGTTTAGGAAGGCCAAAGAGTCTTGTTAGTGACTACATTTCTTACTTCTGAACGAGTCGAAATTAACACGCTTTCTACAGACAAACCAGCAGACGACCCTGAAGCTATTGGTGACCCCTACAAAACCCTTTTCATCGCTCGATTAGTACGTCCCTTACCCCCTTTTCTCTGACTAGATCTGACCTGACTCCATTTGCACAGCATAAAAGCGCGACTGAGACTGACCTCCGCCGAGAATTCGAAGGGTACGGTACAATCGAACGAGTACGAATTGTACGGGACAAAAATGGTCGAAGTCGTGGATACGCGTTTATCGTCTACGAACGCGAACGCGACATGAAGGGTAAACCGCCCATCTCTTCTTTAAACAAAAGGCTGCCAATCCAACTAATCAAACCTTTCTAGCTGCTTACAAGGAATCCGATGGTTTGCATATCATGGGTAAGAGGATCCTCGTGGACGTGGAACGCGGTCGGACTGTGCGAGGCTGGAAACCGCGTCGACTGGGCGGAGGATTGGGTGGCCGACCCAAGAAGGTCGAACCTCTCCCACCACCCTCAGGCCGTGGTGGGTTCCGAGGCGGGTTCGGCGGACGAGGAGGGTTCAGAGGACGAGGCGGCGGATTCGGCGGACGACCCAACTTCAACGACCGTGGACCCGGCGGATACGACAGAGGACCAGGTGGATACGGTGATAGAGGGGGGCCAGGCGGATACGACAGGGGAGGCGACCGAGGTGGATTCCGTGGTGGATATGGTGGGCCACCAGGAGGAGGATACCGAGGTCGAGGCGATGATCATGGAGGCTTCCGGTTCGTTTTATTCCCCCTTGTTGTAAATATTGAACTGACTTTTGTTGCAGTGGTCCTCCTCGTGGTCAAGGTATTGGTTACCATGGTGGGTTCAACGACCAGCCCAACGGTTACGGTGGTCCCCCTCATGGTGGTCCCCCACCCGGCGGACACGGCCCACCCGGAGGAATGGGAGGCGGGTATGGTGGAGGCGGATACAGACATGACCTCAAACGTGAAGGACCCGGTGGCTACGACGACAGGGACCACAAGCGTCCTCGATACTAGGTCTCCTTTTTCGTCTCGAGAGAGGGGGTCCAAGGTATCCACCTTCCTTTTACCAGTTCACCTTCTGTCTTTTATTCTGTCTGCTCCCCTTCACGCTTGGGAGCGACAATGGTTTTAGTATTGCAAGATGGGTAGGTCTTGCTGGGTACCGCATTTCATTCGGGCATCGACGACCCCCTTTCTCCTCTCCTGCTGCCTGGCGTAAGTATAACACACCGCTCACGAGGTTGTTGTTACAAGTTACAGTAAGGCAGGTATGTTTTCAATGTATTTTATTTCCCATGTTCCGTTTACCCCTGGCAGTCGGACGATGGTTTGTTGTGTTTTCTAATGTGGTTTTTGTGGCTCTCTTTTCCTTATGTTCTGCCTAATATATACCTGCTTTTCCTCTATCATGTTCCTGGGGTGGTCCGTTGTATCACAAGCAAGCGCTCGCGATGTCCTGACGCGTCAAGCTTCCTCACGGCGAAGCCATTACCTTTTGGTGACTTGCAACTGTTCCCGAGCCGCTGTGAACTGAGGTGTCTTTTCGCTTCAGCGTCAAATTCTTTTCCCTGGACCCCCACCGCCGTCTTCCCTCTCGACGCCACTTGACGGGGCGATTGTGGAGCCTCTGGGAATACGCCTCTTCTGGCTCTTCAGCGGTGGACACTCCCTGCTCCATGCACTTATGAATGCATAGCATTCCCCTCGCTTCCGACGAACATTGCTTTGGAGTCCGATGGCTTGGTCGACGCCCTCACTTTACGACCGGCGTCGCAAACAACGCTGACGCTGTGCGGTCAGAGTGATGGCATGTCCAACCCGCACGGCAGCAATCCTCGATGCGGTACTTCCCGGCCACCTCCAGAGCCTCGACAAACAGCGCTAGCCGAAGCAAAGCCGACGGTCGCAAAATAACAAGACATGTAGACCGCCAAATTCGAATCCAATTCTTATGAGCAGCCAGCGAAGGACAAACGACAACTCGAGATATGGCCAACGTAATCCGACGGCACCCCAGATCGAAGATGTACCAGAAAGGGTTTAGTTCGGGCGCCTAAAATTTCTTTTGAAGAATCCTTACGTTGATGGTCAACATGGTGAGGTGCCACTTTGTGTGTACAAGCTGCGCTGTAGCCCTGACAGGAGCCGTAAGGGCGTAACCACTCACTTGCTTTTTGTGCGTCATCTGGCCACCTATGGAACATTCCAAAGGGAAAAAAAGGCGAGGCGCAATGTACCTTGCGCATTCCAAGGGCCAAAACATGTTCGCGGAACATTGCCACCTCGACGCTCACCGTGGCTCAACTTGCAACAAGCGCCCAACGGAGGCTTGGGTGCTTCTCGAAAACTGTTTTCGGGACGTGTGGCCGGGCGTTGGGATGCACAACCTGGCGACAAGGGTCCAGTGTCCAATCCATCTCCTTCAAGGAGTTCCTGAATCTTGTCTGCATCAAATTATCCCACATACGGTAGTCCTTTTTCTGGGGCTGGAGCCAAGTTGCCAACTAGCGAACAGTCCCACAATGTTCGTTCCCTTTCCGAGTTAAGGCCCGACTTACTCCTAATTCTGCGCCGCCCTCGGATTCCATGTCAATTTGAACTTGATTTGCACCTGGATTACCCTTTCTCTCTCTCTCTCCTTTCGCCCGTCTACACCCCAACTGTGTTAATACTATCGTTACTGTACTAACTAACTGCCTAACGTTTCAACTCTTTCGAGAAACCGTTCGCTGGCCGAAACCGTGTACCAAACGAACTCGTCCGGTTCGGTGAGTCCATTCCGCTCTGCTGCTACGTCACCCGAACCTCAATAATCGTCGAAACTAATGTCCTTTCTTCACGTTGTAGAGTCTAGTGAATTACTATCTTACGCTACCCACCTTTAATGTTCGCCAACGCGTCATAACGCCCTCACTTCACCACCCTACGGCTCAGCGTGACGGAAGGAAATGGACCCGTCCCAGCCTCGCATGCTTACACCGCTGCAATCAGCATCGTCGCCCTATTACGAGTCGATCGATGGTTCCAGTGCCGCGCCTTCACCAGCCACGTCCGAGTATACCGAACCGTCTTCCAGCCAAGGAGCTGCTTCAACGAGCAATGCCAGTATGACCGATGCCCCTGCCCCGAAGCCGAAACAGAAACGGTCGAGAGTCAACCATGTCCAATTGAAGCGCCTTGAAGAATTATTTGCGATGGATCCGGCGCCTCCGCCTATGGTGCGGAAAGAGATTGCGGAGGAGTTGCAGATGTCGGAGAGGCAGACGCAGATTTGGTTTCAGAATCGGTGCGTTTATTCGATATTCCCGACGTGAATACACGGTTTTATTAACGGGCTCGTGTGCCAGTCGGGCAAAGGAGAAGAATATAACGGGAGCAGCAAAGCGTCAAAGGCGCTCGAAACACGCGCCTAAACCGGTGTCAGCTCCAACGACGCGTCGATCGACGCCTGAAGCGCGCGTCATTTCGCGGCCTCCGCTGCTTCCTGCTCCTAGCCCGCCTCTTCCTCAGCCCTCCGCCTCCCAGCCGTTGACGCGTTCCATTACACCTCCTCCGCCTCTCACCACGGGGTTTGACTTTGAACTGCAACACCTTCTCAATGAGACTTCACGTGCGTACCTGTTTGTTCACATATTCTCCTCTCGACTAACACTCCGCACTCTCCATTTTGACGATGTACAGCCGTGACAATAATTCCAGCCACCCACCTGCGCATCGGCACCTGGAAACGCGTCGCAGATACCAAGTACAGTTTGGTGACTTACACTTGCCCAGCGCGTCGCTGCCTCACATGGTACATCAACTCGAACAACCGCGGATTCAAGATGGACGTTCCATATTCAATCATCCTCGAGGCAAGCTTTGATCATGTCTCGCCCGGGGTCGGGAGGGCGTCTTTCATCCTCTCCCGTCCACCTTATTTCTACATCGAACCGCAGCGGAGCTCAGAACCTAGTCCGGATGGGACTGCGACGCCTACGGCAGGTGGTGATGGGAGTGCAGGTGGAGTTGGTAGTGGGACTCGGAGTGGGCGACGGCCTTTCGAATGGGCCTCATGTGGGGACTGGACGGAAGATCAACAAGGCACCCAGAATCTGCTGCAGCAGCTGACTGGTCAAGCGGCTCAACTTGCGCACTTGGTTCGCACGATCCATAATTCGATCTCTTCCGCTTCCTCGCGCAATGTCCAATCCTCGAGTCCGACCCACTATGCGTGCGCCGCGGGAACGCCTTCGAGCCAGAGTTTTGTGTCGACTACGCCGCCCACTCTCGCTGATGCTACCGCGTTGCCTGCGACGCCAGTTGGGTATGCGCACAGTCCTGCGGAATATGGGCATAGTCCTATCACGCCCATAGAGCCAGGCCAGGTGGTGACTTCCCGGGCGCCACTGTACCATGCTCCTGTGCCGTTCAAACCTGGGGCGATGGAGCCTGTCATCTATTACGAAGGATCTGAAGCGGGTACGCCGATGAATCCTGGCCTTGAACAGGACCCTGCTGCTACGGCTTCGATGACGGGCCAGGCTGTTGTTGGAGGCCATGCTTACCAGCAGCAGGTGCAGGGTGGATACGACCAAGCATATCACGTCGGTATGGGTGCGTCGGAAGGCCATTCTGCGGCCGTTGCTCCCCCTGCTGTGGCACCTCCGTCCATTGCAAGCCAGGCCCACTCCGGCGCTGAGCAGCCTTCCTACGGGTATTACTCCGATCGCACCAACCAACCGCCAGCCGTCGATACTGGGATGCAGGGATATGCTTCTGGTCATGGACATGGTAGCCACCTGTCCCCGGTCGAACATAACCCTTTGGGCCAAGGTTATCCTGTTGGCACGTCCGGTCAATACGAGCTTGTTTCTTACCCCACCGCCGCGGGGAACGCAAGCGGTGTTGCGGGGTACCACCATGCCCAGCCTACTGCGCTCGATTCCTCGCACGTCGTTCCTTCGTATTCTGCAGGAGGATACATACCCGATGGTCAGCAGCAGCAGCAACAGCTTCAGCAAATGCAGGCGGTGGACCAATACTCGACTTCCACTGCAACCACGCTTTACAATTCCAATCACTCGCTTTCACAGCCTAATCTGCATTCACATTCTACCTCACAAGCACATTCTAATTTGCATTCTTACTCTACTACTGATTCGGCTTTGCATCCTTCTTCAGGTGTTCCTGATCCTAATTCTAATTCACGTTTTCATGTACAACAACAGCAGCAACAACAGCAACAGCAATACCGGCCACGACAGCATTCACATTCCCGTTCGCATTCCCATTCGCATTTGCAGCCTCTTCACCAGGTTCATCAGCAGCTTGGGGAGATGGGCCAGCAGCAGGTGCCAGACCAAACTTTGCATCATTCGCATTCGCATTTACGTTCTCATTCTTATTCGCATTCCCTTTCGCATTCTCAGAGTGTAAATTTCGGATCTTCGGCTTTGGAGGCTAGTGGAGAGTATGGTTCGTCGCATTCGCATAGCCAGTGGCTTTAGCTTTTTTTTTGGATGGGCGTCTTTTTTGGAGGTGGACGTTGCATGTTACCGTGTTATTCTTTTAGCTTATCCTGGGTCTTTCCTCTTGAAGCTTGGTGGCCCTTTAATTTGTCTAGCGTGTTCTTAATGTTTTGTTCTTGATACTTTCCGCGTAGTACATACATACTTACTTGCACAGTTATAATCTGTCTCACTTTAGTGTACTGACATGCAGCTCTAGATTAGATACCTTAATACTTTAATATTCCCCCTCCCAGCCTCTCGTTTTGTGATACCAGGTGGTTTTTTTGACTAGGATAGTTTTTTGATCCCGTTCTCGAGGATGCATATGGTGGCGAGGACGGTTAATGGATTTTTTGGGGTGTAATTGTAGTTTGCAGGTGGCAGTGGCAGGTACCTTGGATGGGGGAGTGGTGGGAGTAGAACTGGAAGGAGTAGCAGCAGTGGTTAGTACATATAACACATACCGTATCTTCGTTTTGGAAGGACTATTTCTTGTGACTTGGTTTCCAGTTTGACGAATCGTATATTTTTGTGGCTCCGGACACACCATCCGGGTGTCTTTCGGGTGTTCTGCATTCTCTCACACAGCTCCTGGGGCGGAAGGGCAGGATTACACCAGTTTCTGGTAATTCCATCCCAAGTTGGTCGCGAAAGCAAGCCAGGACGACAATCTTCTTCACATTCACACAGAGCGGAGACCAGCGACAAGTAGTTCCAGCGAGTCCGGCCTATGGCCCAGAAATACTTTTGCATTAGGTGGTAGGTGGGGGATGGGGGTCCAATAAGCCAATAAGTAGTGTAGGACGTCTACAAAGTCGTCAACCGCCGTTTTTGTTTTATCATTGGAAAATGGTCTCGGTGTGTTGGTGTTGTTGTTGGAGGCGTTCGCGTTGGACGCGGGCGGTGTATGTCCTGCTTACGGTGTTGACTGGAATTCGGGTAGGCGCGGGGTAAGTAAGCATGGGTTTTGGATGGGATGAGGGAGGGGACGTACAGGCTTGGAGATACTTGTCGAAACAAGAGGCCAGACATGTCTGCGTTGGGAGGGTTAGTATGTATTCGTGAAGTGTAGTAGAAGGAGAGTGTACCTTGTCCTTGTTTGACAAGTCGTTACCGGGTGTGACGATACACCGTGCGTAGCACTTCTCAGTCGAGTTCTGCAGCCGTTCACCAAGTGTAAGTTTGAAATACGTTGTTCCTCCAAGTAGAGCATGACCCACGTTCATGAGTTCCTGAGCCTGAGCGAGTCCAGTCTCTGCCTGAATCTGGCGCTTCACAGCTTCCTTCTTCGCGACCATGTCTATTTGGCCAAATATCCTATTTAGAATCTGGGTATGTGGAGAAGGTAAAGGCGTACCAGCGGAGCTGAGAGTAGCGTTCGAGGAACCAAAGAAGTCGACCATTGTTTTTGAGAATTGAATTGAATTCGGAGGAAGGAGGAGGGGACACGGTCGTCTACGTCAGAAGAGGAAATTGAGCGCGTCGCGCCGCCCAGGGCGCTTAGTCATATTTTGATCGATTGATGAGTGGGCTGTTACCGCCTCCGAGATGGGCGAGCGAGTCAATTTAGGTCCTTCATCTTCCTACATACTTTGTTTCTCTTTTTTCTGTTCTTGCTTTTTTCTTGGTTTGTTTGAGATATGGGTGCTAGCGAGTCTGCGCAACGTGGTGGAGATGAACAGCAGAGTGAGGCTGTTGTTGATTATTATAAGATTTTAGAGGTTGCAGAGGACGCTACGCCGGATGAGATCAAGGTGTGTTGCTTGTGGGGTTCTATCTAATCTATGGATGTGGATTGGCTTATTGGATGGGTGTATGTAGAAATCGTTTCGTCGGTTGGCGCTCATAAACCATCCGGACAAGAACCATGATAATATAGAAGAAGCAACTAAAAAGTTTGCGGTCATTCAGCAGGCGTACGAGGTTCGTCTTCTCCACCTCTCTTCCCTTCCACCCATTTCTCATTCTCATTACACCACCACCCCAACTTAGGTCCTCAGTGACGAACAAGTAATCTAAACCTATTCACCAGTTGGAAAAGCTTATATCTCAACGAATGCCTTCGTCAGGAACGCGCCTGGTACGACTCACATAAAGCGAATTTGGTACCGGAGGCCGATGGGGATGTGGTGTTTGAGGATATTAGGACGGGGAATAAGGCGCCTAGGACCAAGGATCGGGGGTTGACGACTAGGCATCTTGCGAGGTTCTTTGATGCTACTATTTGGGATGGGTTTCATGATGAGGAGAATGTATGTGTCGCTTGTTCTCTTTTCGTATGCTTTTTTGCTGAATGCGCAATCGTCTGGCTTTTCTACATATAATAAAACAGGGCTTCTTCTCGATCTACCGTAATCTTTTCAGCCGTATTCAATCGGAAGAAGCGATGCTCGACCCGGACGCCTCTGGGTACCCTTCGTTTGGGTATTCAAGTTGGCCTTGGACGACAGAGATGAAGAAACGAACGAATGCGGACGGGGCTGCTAGGGAGTTTTATAGCGTTTGGTCGAATTTTGCGACGGAGAAGGAGTTTGGGTGGGTGGAGCAGTGGAGGTTGTCGGAGGCGCCGGATAGGCGTGTGCGAAGGTTCGTTGCATTTGCTAATGTGATTTGTGCTGTTTCTTGTGATATTCTAATGGTTAATTGGTGCTGGGTGTTTGGGATTTGTAGGTTGATGGAGAAGGATAATAAGAAGGCGAGGGATGATGCGAGGAGGGAGTATAATGAGACTGTCCGTGCGCTGGTCAAGTTCCTCAGGAAACGCGATCCGCGGTTTAAGAAGTACGAGAAGGAGCAGCAGACACTTGCTGCCTCCCAATCCGCCTCCACTCCCACTTCGAAACAAACGGCTCAACTTGATCTCGAGAACTATGTCGAACAAGATTGGCAGAAGGTTGACCCCGCGTTTCACAAGAGCCACGCGGATCTGGAGTGGGGGTTGGTTGAAGGCGAGAATGATGAGGAGGAGTGGGAGTGCGTGGGGTGTGGGTAGTCGTTTAGGAGTGAGGCGGCGTGTAATATTCTTGATAGGAGTAAGAAGCATTTGAGGGAGATTGAGAGGTTAAGAGGNAGATGGAGGAGGATGAGGANGAGTTGGAGTTGCAGGANGCGATGGAGGCGGAGGCGGAGATGGAGATGGAGAGGAGGGCTAGGGAGGAAGAGGCGAACAAGGAGGAGGAAGAAGAAGGGGAGGAGCAGGGAATAAGGCCGAGTTCCCCACCTTTGTCAGAAACATCTGAGCCTTCCGACCATCCACCATCTTCGAAACCCAAGCCGAAATCGACACCTAAATCCACGCCCACGCCGCAGCTTGAAGACGACGATGTAGAGATGATGCCGCTTAGCAAAACTGAGAGGAGAGCGTTGAGGAGGGCTAAATTGGATGCTTTAGCGAGCGAAAGTCAGCAGGCTTCCGGGACGCAGACGCCTGTGGGGGATGAGAACTCTGAAGGTGGAGGTGCGGGGGCAACTCCGCCTCCGCAGATGAAAGCGGCTGCTTTGAAGAGGGCGAAGAGGAAACAGAAGCAGACGGCTGCTGGGGAGGCTGAGAGTAGTGCGACGCAGGTAAATATTGGCTCTATATATCTATTGTTGTCGCTTGCGGCGGAGACTTACTGGTGGGGTTGTAGTTTCGAGTGTAATGTCTGTCAGGAAGAGTTTGAAGCAAGACGAAGTTGTTTGCGCATATCAAGGCCGAGGGGCATGCGGCTGCTACTGCAGAGCACCCTCCACCGCAGAATGGGAAGAAGGGGAGGGGGAAGAAGCGGTGAAGGTGCTTTTAGAGGACATGTACCATCCCACATACCTACATAGCATATCTTTCAGTGGACAATGGCATACTAGACTGTACAATCAAATGGATTCTCAACCAGAGGATATTAGTGATATACTAACTGGAATAATGTACATACAACCAAGAGCGAGGAAAACGATAATCTCACAAAAAAATCCCCAACATGCGGTGAAGCAGTGCCCATCTCGACCTGTCCTTCAACCCATAAGCTGCGAAATGTCGTCTGGTGGGTATCTGGTTTGTGAGAAAGTGATAAGCCTGAAAGGGGAATGAATGAGTATGGGCGAGGGTTGTGTGAGGACGAAAGGTGGCGCACCGTTTCAGACTCTGGATGTATTTCCGACTGACTTCGTCGTTGAGGACGTGAGCGACTTGGTCTGCTGAAATCTTTTCTCGTGCTGAGCGTTCGTGGATACTGTATGACGATATGAGTATGCTGACAAGGGAGGAGGGGAAATGCGACGTACCCAACCATGGTTACACCAATAGGCCAGGGTGCGTTTCCGATTGAGAGACGAAGGTATGCGTCGTTGGCGCGTTGGTACTGTCGTTTTTGGGTAAAGTGGACGATTTCTGCAATTCGGGCGAGCATGTCGCTGGGTAGGGACTGTGGATATGGTTAGTGGGGTGTGCTAGGCTGAGGTTGAGAGGACGTACTCTTGACCGGAGTTGTTTGAATAGTGGTTTGAGGTACTCTGCAGACTGGACTTGAGTCGCTGCTGCGAGTTTGCCTTGTCTTGTTCGTTTCACTTCCTCTGTACTGGGGATAAATAATAGTTCAACGGTCAGCGAGAAAGGATACTCACCCGGCCTCTCATCCATAGACTCTTCCCATTCCTTCAATATCCGCTTGAGGGCGTAGTAAATGATAGGATACAGTCTATCCGGGTCGGTCTTGATCAAATCCAAGTCCAAAATGGTATTCCCACTTCCATCTCTCTCGCCAGTCGTATCCTTCTTCTTCCCCTTCTCCGCCTGAGCCTCCGCTTTAGCCTTCATCTCCTGTTCCGTCTTCTCCACATCCTCCAGGGCCTTCTTAAAGTCGTTCTGCCCTCCATGTCTCGCATGGTCCTTCTCCTCGATGAGTTCGAGAGCGCGGAGACGGAGTCGTCTGTCTTTGTCTGATTCGCCGAAGAGGCGGATGGGCTGGCCTTTAGCGCGTAGACGGCGGATTGTTTCTTCGTTTGAGATTGTGTTGAAGGTGGATTCTTTTGGTTGTTCGGAACCTTCACGTTCGGAGCTCAGCAGACCTGGTGATTTAGAGGGTGATTTGGACTTGGAAGCTGCCTATTCTCCAGCCATGCTTTAGTTTATACTGTTCTATTGAGGGATTGGGAGGAGGAGGAGAGGTGGGGGAGGGTGGGTGGACTCACTCTCTTGGCTGAAGCACGAGCTTCGGCTTCACGCCGTTCTTCTTCTTGTTTTCGACGTTTTTCTTCTTCTGCTTTGCGTTCTTGTTCTTCTTTGATACGTTCGATGTCGCCTCTGCGCATGTACTTTGTGGGGCGTTGAGCCAAGATTGGGTCTTCCTCTAGGACTTTGCGTTTTGCTGCAATCTCTGCTTTGAGAGCGTCCATGTTGAGGGTATTCAATAAGGCTCGGCGCTAGAGCTGGTCGTTGATGATATGTCGTCGCTGGATTGAGTTCCGGGACGGGGCGCACAGTCCAGAGCCCAGTTCTCGCCAGCTCCGCTTACATAATAGAGCACCGCTTTTAGGCATCAGGCGTTCCGCCAAAACCCGACGACAGAACTGGCTTGACCAACCGCTCCTTCCGCCCTTCACCGTCACTCGCTCTTCGACAACTTTTTAACTCGCCCAAGATGTCCGACGCTGCTGAGCTCTCAAGGTGGGTTTTAGACTTGTCGTTTTGGTTGGCGGGAGGGAGGCTGATACGTTGGGTGGTTACAGCAAATACGTTCTCCAGACTGTTGGATTTGACGGTACGTTGTTGCCTGTGGTGGTGGTGTAGGAGAGTTGGGAAGAGGAGGCTTATTGGGATTTTGGGTTGTTCTAGCTCGTTTTCCTAACACCAACCAGACCCGCAACTGGTGCGTACACTTTGCCCGTCGCGTTCAAAATTGTCACTGACGGCGTTTTCTTTCTGGTTGGGGCATTTTTTGTTGGATGGTCGTTGGGCATTGTTGCGTTTTGGCTTTTGGATTTTGGGATGGGGACGTGTAGCTGGCAAAACTACTGCGATTACTTCAAGTGTGTCGCTGCTAAGGGAGAGGACTATGCTCCTTGCAAGCAGTTCAAGAAGGCTTACAACTCGCTTTGCCCTAGTGCGTAGCTCCTGTCTCTCTTTGTCATGGTGCATTGACTTACATGTTGTCCTTCCTCCCTCCGCGTGTAGATGAATGGGTATGTTTTCAAATATTGTTTGCCTCGTTTATGACTGGACCCTGACACGTTTTGTAGATCTCCAAGTGGGATGAGCAGCGCGAGAGCGGCACCTTCCCTGCGTCCCTAGAGCCTTAGAGTGTTTTTGGAGTCTCTTTTTGAGTTTCTGCACCCTTCCGCCTAGAAAGCAAGCAAGCCTTTTTTGTTGTATTGATGCACTCGGCGTGTACCACTCAAGGAGCGCGTCGTGTTGTTATATATACATGCCAGTAATTCCAATTCAGTTGGGTGGAATTCGAGAGTGAAGCGTTTTATATGAGTTGGGGTTGGAGAGCGCGTCTATTGCGTAGGAAGTTACATTCATTTCTTGGGAAGACGCCTGGAGAAGACTATGGACGTCCTGTGCCTGGCTGTCACGTGAAAAATTGCACTCGATGGCGACATCGAGAGCGTTGTGCCAGGCAGCGGCGAGCGTCTGTTGAGCGTTTTGAAGTCTTTTTGAATGTGAACCACCATGTTCTGTCTTTACCTGTTCTTGGTTCCCCAAATGACGAGCAGGGTGCACGCGCACGAAAAGGCTGGGGATAGATGCGTGACCACTGGCTGGCTCTAGATCCGGGCTGTGTGGATTATAAACATGGCTGCTGTCGGCTGTTACTCTGTGCTCATTCCACAACCTACCTTGCGCTTCCAAGTGATACCCCGCCGCTTGGAATCTGTATCTTGCTATGGCTACTACGACTACTATGACTGCTACTACACCGCCGACTCCTATGGGCATGGACTATACCAACGAACCTCCACACTCCTCGCTCCTGACGATTCAAGCCAAGGAGCCGTTCAATGCGGAGCCTAGTGCTGCAGCTCTCGTCGAGTTCCCGATTACGCCTGAGGATTTGGTGTATTGTAGGAACCATGGTCCTGTTAGGGTGTTTGATGAGGAGACGTATAGGGTGCAGGTTGGTGGGTGTGTGAAGAGTGGGAGGAGTTGGACGGTGCGTGAGTTGAAGGGTGCGTTTGGGAAAAGGGAGGTTGTTGCTGTTCTTCAGGTGTGTACTCTTTCCTTGTTATATGCTATGAGGAAAGGAGCTGACGGTACTTGGGTAGTGCGCTGGGATAAGGAGGAAGGAGATGGGTGTTATTAAGAAGGTGAATGGTGTACCCTGGAGCGATGGTGTTATTGCCAATTGTAGATGGGGAGGTGTTTTGTTGAGGGATGTTATCCTTGCGGCTGGGGTTGACACTGCGGAGGCGAGGGAGGAGGATATGCATGTGTGCTTCGCCTCGTATGCGACGTTGTGTGAGGATGATAAGTACTATGGGGCGTCCATCCCGCTTGGGAAGGCGTTGGATGAGATGGGGGATGTGTTGCTTGCTTATGAGGTGGGTTATTCGTTTTTCTATTAACTCAATGCTGGAACTGAGGGTGCTTTTGTTTGGGTAGATGAATGGTGAACCGCTTACCCCGGACCATGGTGGCCCTCTTCGTGTGGTCGTACCTGGATACCTAGGCGCACGCTGGGTCAAATGGGTGGATACGATTACTATTTCGACATCAGAATCGCCGAATTATTATCAGCAGAGGGATTATAAGATCCTACCCCCTTCGATCGACTCTAAAGCGCTGGCTACGCCTGACGTGTGGGCTAAATACCCCTCCATGACCACTTTACCGCTAAACTCGGTTGTGGGGTCGGTCACGCCTCTTTCGTCGTCCTCGCCGAGCGGGACAGCGATTTTGGTCAAGGGGTATGCGGTTCCTGGTGGGGAGGGTAGTAATGTGAAGGGGGTGGAGGTTACTGTTGATGATGGGGAGACGTGGTATCCTGCTACTATAACGTATCAGGAGGGGAGGTGGAGTTGGACGCTTTGGGAGGTTGAGGTTGATGGTGTTGAGGTGAGTGGGAGGGTTAGGAGTTGTGCGGTTGATAGTGAGGGGAGGAGGCAGCCGAAGGAGGGGGTGTGGAATTTGAGGGGCGTGGCGTATAATGCTTGGGGTGTTGGGGAGTGGTGATTTTTTTCTTATAGGACTGTATTGGAATGGATATGTGTGCAGTTTATTTTATTTTATTTTGAGACCCTGTACGCATGAAGCCGAGAGGACGCGTTCTGGCCCTGCCGGTGCGACGCGGTAGACATCACACGCGCAGTCCGTGAATTCGGGTTATAAGCACTTGATTCCGATCCACTTAGACCACCCGTCTCCTTTGCTTTTGGAGAGCCTAAACGAGCTTCAAGCTTTCAGAGAACCTCTAGAGGAACCCCCAATAACGAAAACAACAAACGACGAGGATGGCATTCGGACGATTGTTCCACTATGCGTTTGATGCAGCGCTGCTTTCGACGGTGCTTGCTGGTGTGAGGAGGTCGAGTGGGTTCAGGTGTGTGTTTTTGGGTTATGTTGGGAGGGTGTTCGCTGACGCTGCACGTTTACCAATGCACACTTTGTGGATGAAAACCCACGACGACCCGCCGACTTGCCACATTCCATACGACGACGACTACTTCCAAACGATCCGACTACAATGTCGCCTACGATACCTCCACTCGTCTACTCCCCGTACAGCCCCGACACAACGCTCATCTCCGACCCTACTGCTCGCGGAATAGCCGACAAGTTTTTGGGAGTTGGGGAGACGGTGTTTGACATGCTGCAGGGAACGGCTGTGAATAGCTCCTATTTCAAGAGGGACCAGCCTCAGCCTCCTGCAGGTTCTTCGTGAAGAGGGTTCCCCTCGTAGCGTGGCTTTGGGGAGCTTTTCATGGGCCTTTATGACCTCGACGACAATAGTTTTCGACCTTACGCCCTTTGGATTCATGGGTTGGGATTAGGGAGGGATGGCGCTTTAGATGTTGGAGGAACCGACCAGCTATATTGTATTGCGCTCAATATTCTATTTATCTCTTGTCGTTGAGTTTAGTTGCCGAATCTAAGAAGACCGAGATCAGAGCAATCGCGTCTTTCTTCTTACCACGACCATGCCCTCATAACAATCTCTGCTCACGAACAATATGGCCGAAACACTAGCGGCCATAATCCTCATAACAACCTCTGCCAAAGGCGCCAACCTTGTATTCCGCTGGCCGCCCAATCCAGTCGCGTCTCCCCGCCTGTGTAGACCAAAACCAGACTCGGACGTCTTCATCGCTCAGATCGATAATCCATGGCGTGCTTCTGGGTTTACCGTCCCCACCAAAGGCAACAATCCTAATCCTACGGCCACGGGTGCTTCGTCCCCCAAACGAGACGACAAAGACTATGCGAACGACCCTGAATACGCCTGGGAGCGCCCGAGCACGCAACGGGTCTCGTTCGGAAAGGACGACGATAACAGCATCTATGTGCGCGAATACGACAATCTTTTTGGATACTCTGGCGAGTTCCTTGCGTCTTTACTGTGTCCGCAGAGCAACAAGTGCCACCAGAAGTTTGAGCTTATTGTGGATGATTTGGCGTTCCTTGGGCATCCGGTTGCTGCGAATGAGAGGGGGGAGTGGGAGTTTAGGCCGGAGCCTACCAAGGGGAGTGTGAGAGGCCGGGAGGGGAAGGAGAAGAAGGCGAAGGAGGGGGAGGGGAGTGGCAAATCCAAGAGTCCGAATCCTGCTAGTGCGTTGGCGCCGGAGAATGGGAAGGAGGGCGTGGCGAGTTCGACGACGACGACGACGGCGGCGGTTAAACCCAAGAAACCGTCGTGGATGCAAAAGTTTCAGTTGGCGTTTGTGTTGGATCTCCCTGACCCGTCGTCTTCTGCTTCAGGCAATGTCTTGAAGTATTTTGATATCATCTATGAGCAGGTGGTGTTCACATTCACTGCTGTCTTGTTCCAAGAGCAAGTCCTCTCCAACTTTGTCGAGGCTGAATGTGATGTCCTCATACCCATGAAGGAATCGTTTGCTGAACAAGGTGTGTTTATTCTGTCGATCTATGGATTGTACGCTGACGATTTGCAGGCCAACCATACAAGGAGTTCGTGAACCAGGCACTCCAGGCTTCCTCCATCGCCTCCGCGATGAAATGTGTCTACGAAGCAATCAAGACTCGTTCCATAGCCTACGTCACCCTCAACAACATCCCCATTGAACTCCAACTCCCTCCTTACCTCGACACACTGCTGCACAACGACAGCGAACTTGATCCGGACTCGATTGAACGCCCAGATGATGAGGAACAGCAGAATTGGGGCCCAGAGCTGAGTTTTGGTTGGAGGTTGCCTGCGTTGGCGCCGTGGAAGAGTTTGTTGTTGTTGGATGGGTCGGATGAGTTGGAGGATCCTATTGCGAGTTTGAGAGGCCCGCATGTTAGTGTGGAGGATCGGGCGCTTGCGGAGGGGTTGATTCGGTTTTTGGAGACTGCTTCTATTACTTTGTCGTATGTTCCTTTTCCTCTTTGCTTCGCTTGCAGCTGACTGATTGAACTGTCCTGCAGGCTTGCCGATATGGCCAGCCTTCTGGACTGGGATCTTGAATCCCAGGTTTATCCGGTGGTAAGGTGGTTAGTCCAACACCGACGTGCTAAAATCGTGGATATCGTCAATCCGGGACTCAAGACTATCTTTGCGCTCCCCTCTAAATTCCCCGCTTCGCTTTCCACCCTCTCGCACCAGTTCAACCAACAGTTCAATCACCCTGCTATTCCGTCTCTCCCGCGCATCCTAGCTGCGATAAGCTATTCTCTAGCTCAACAATCGAATAACCACTTCTTCGCAGCGGTGGTGCAGAGGAAGGAGTTGATACCGATGTATCATGATGTGGTGTTGTGGATGTTGAAGAGGGAGCTGTTGATTACGCTGCATTTGAGGATTCGGATTGTTGTTACGCCTGAGATTAAGCAGAGGGTGTGGAGGAGGAGGCAGAGGGAGCTTGTGAGGAAGAGGGACAGGGAGAGGAGGAGGGAGAGAGGGAAGGGAGTGTTTGGGAGGGGAGGGGGAGGTGGGGGTGGGACGGGTCGAGGGAGGGGGAGGAGTCAGTGGAGAGGTGGGATTAGTTTGAGTCGGTCCCATGGACATGGACATTGGCATCATCTGGATCTGGATCTGGATGATTTTGATGTTAGTCATACTGCGGAGGGACCGTCGACTTCGGGGGGTAGTACGACGACTAATGCGACTAGTCGGACGCCGTCGGAGGTTTCGTGGCTCTCGCTCCTTCCTACTCAGCGTCGTACGAAACCGACGAGGCGCTTGAGTTCTTCGGATTCGAGGGCGAGTAAGGGGAGTTCGATTAGTGAGTTGGTTATTCGGGAGGATGAGGATGATGAGGGTGGGTTGGAGGGGGAGGAACATCGGGTTGCTCGGAGCAACAGCAGTAGTGCGTATAATTCGTACGACGAATATGACTACGACCACGAGTACGACGATTATGATGAAGGGGAGGAGGATGGGGATGGTGAAGGGGACGAAGAGGAGGACGTGTTTTCGGGGGATGGGGAGCGTGTGAGGGACGAGTATGACGATGATGAGACTGAGGTGACGACTGGATCTGAGAAGGAGGATGATTTTACTGCGAGTATGATTAATGATCCTGGACGGGCGACTCCGATTCAGAGGAGGTGGCTGGCTGCTATGTCGGAGGGGAAGGCTCCGCAGATTAAGAGACGGTTTGAGTTGTGAGTTCAAGGCTTTTTCTTTCTCATCGCTGTGACTCTTGCTGACCTTTTCGCGATATAGGATTAACCAGTATTTTGATGGGAAGAGGTCGGATGATGAGATTCTTTATCGAGCGGAGATTTCGAGGAGGGAGTTAAGAGAGGTGTTGCATGCTTATGATCCTTATGTACGTGCCTTTTACCATTCCCGTCTATCTGGAGTATGATGTTTTGGTGCTAACCCTCCTCCTTTTTCTACAGCTACAGACTTTCTTACATCCGTCATGAATGAGGAATTCGGTTTCGAGGCGTTTGGTTATGCGAGTGTGTTTGGTGGTGAATGATCTTCAGGTTTGGTTCGGATGCCGCCTCCGAAAAAACTCGGGGCGTACTCTCGAGGCTTAAGGGTCACAGAGTGCTGGAATATTGACCTTCCCGATGAGGTCTTGTTCTACGGATTCAGACCCATCCATACAATTTACCGTACGGGGGCTCGGAGCGTCCTCTCGTTTATTTGAACTGGTGTAAAGATGAGCTTGGTCACTACGCGCGTTGTGTGGGTTGGGGAAACGGTAGGGGCTCCGATGAATCCATTCTGGATGACGGGAAGTGAAAGTGAATTTGATTTGTCCTGTTAGGGCTGTTCTCCTACCTAGTATACCCTGAATGAACAGAACTTACCTTGCAACTCGATAGAAAGTCTGGATTCCCGAGTCGGATATATTGGACAGAACAATGTCGTCCTCTGCTTCGGCTTCAGAGGACGAGTCCACTTCTAAGGTGCTATTGGAAAGTTGAAACTGTCAAATCTGTGTAGTTAAATTATTGCTTCGCTCCAGACAATGAGCAGGCTTTAGAATAAGAATCGCGAAGTTTTCATACTGTCTATATAGAGATCTGCGGTAGTCGTGCACCACGACCCCAGCACGATGTAAGTTGCTCTCCGTTTCATTTGCTGGTAGGTAGATACCTGGGATGTGAATTTCGGGAACCCGAGAAGCCTTGACTTGGCTATCGGAAACCAGTATATTTGAAGCAACATATTCACGTCTGCATCTTATCATCGTCCTCCTTCTGTTTGGCCTTGCCTTCCTTCCCCTTCCCTTTCTCAGCCTTCCTCGCTTCCCTCTTCTTCTTCAGCGCCTCAATCCTACTCTTCATGGCAGCAACCCGCATATCCGCTTCCTCCTGCAGCCGTTCCTCTTCCAATAACCTGTCCATGATCAACTCGCGTTCCTCGAGCTCCTTTGCTTTGCGTTTTGCTTCTGCAAGCTCTTCTTCTGTCATTGGAGGTTCTGGTTCTGCAGCACCTACGGCGTCCGCACTACCATCCGCACCAGAACGAGCACCGGGGAAGCCGCTGATTTGTTCCTCTGTGTAGATTTCGGCTTCGGCTGCGATTGTAGCTTGCGCGAATGTTTCTGCTGCGTCTTTTTGTTGTTCTGCGAGCATGGCGCGTTGGAATGCTTCGTATTCTTCGTCTATTGCTGTTTTTGGGCCTGGTTGGGATGGGGTTGAGTCGACTGCCATTGCATTGGCGTCGTTCGTGGTTTGGGCGTTGTCATTGTCGTCATCGTCCTCGGAGTCGGAAGATGGGTCGAGAGAGGGTAGTTGGCGGTTTGGATCTGAGAAAAAGTCGGCGGGGAAGGAGGTTGGTGCGGATTTTAGTTTTGGTTTCTTCTGGGCGTCGGGTGGTGCGTCTGAGGCTTTGCGTTTCGTTGGGACATGTTCCCTCTCCTGTTCCTCCCTCTCCGCTTGCTCCCTCTCCATCTGCTCTCTCTGCGCCCTAACCAATTCCTCATGCTCCCTCCTCGCCCGCTCCTCCTCCTCCTGCCGGATACGCGCCACGTTTAGTCGGTGCGCTTTGCTCCCTAGGTGTCCCTCCCATGCGGAGGCGTGTTTGATTATGGATTGGCAGATTGTGCATTTGAGTTGGGGGGTTGGCCCGGATGTGTAGGATGCGTAGGGGTGGGAGATGCGGGCTTCGGCGCGTTTAGCTTTGAGGAGGGAGCGGACGTCTGCCATTGGTGGGAAACTGGTTGGTTGGGTAGATTATGGGCTTGCTGTGAGCGAGGTGCGATGCCTGGTCGATAGGTTGAGAGTACGAGTAAAGCCCCGAGTGTGGTGTCGTGCACCGTGGTGGTGGTCAAGTTGAGAAATCGAGCGACGCGCGCGAATCGCTCGAGTGCCATCACGCGGGGCCACAAGTGTTCGAATAGTTTTCAAGTCTCACTAGGAAGCAAAATATGGACAGCATAGCAAATCTTTATCTTATTTCATGAAAGGTCGTAAGATAAAGCATATTGCCGTAGCCTGGGGCATATGAGAGATTATAACGTGTGGAAATTAAATGTCTACGGAGGGTCTAAGTAGATGTGTGATAGATGTGGTCGGTCACCCCTTCTCCAACGAGTCTCGGTTAGCAAAGACTAGGGAACTTAATCCTTGTTGGCGAACATCTTTTGGATGGCGGCGGTGGAGTAGGACTTGGGTCGCTCGAGAGCTGTAAAGCGTTCGTGAGATTGTGGCTGGAAGAGGGAATAGATGAGGGCACTTACGAGCACCGAGAGCACGGTCCCAGATGAGCTGAGCGGCAACACCGAAGGCACGGGAGACACCAAAGAGGACAGTGTAGAACTGCATCTGGTCCATGCCGTAGTGAGTAAGGAGGACACCAGAGTGAGCATCGACGTTAGGCCAGGGGTTCTTAGCCTTGCCAGCCTCAAGGAGGATATCAGGAACAAGGTTGTAGATCTGGCCAACAAGCTTGAACATCTTGTCGTCGGGGAGGTGCTTGAGAGCAAACTCGCGTTGAGCGGTGTAGCGGGGGTCGGTCTTGCGGAGGACGGCGTGGCCGTAGCCGGGGACGACCTGGCCGGCCTTGAGGGTGGACCAGATGTACTCCTTGACGGCTTCGTCGGTGGGAGAGTCGCCGATCTTGGCCTGCATCTTGCGGAGCCAGACGAGAACTTCCTGGTTGGCAAGGCCGTGGAGGGGGCCGGCGAGACCGTTGAGAGCGGCGGCATAGGCGAGGAAGGGGTCGGAGAGGGCAGAGCCGACGAGCTTGCCGGTGTGGGCGGAGACGTTGCCACCTTCGTGATCACTGTGGGAGTGGGCGGGTAAAGTTAGCGCCGGGTGTTCGGACAAATGACGTAACGACGGAAAGGGTGGGGAAGGATATGGACGAATGGATTTACCTGTGGATGGTGATGTAGAGGCGGAGGAGCTCGACGAAGGCGGGGTTTTCCCCAAAGCCGAGGAGGGTGGCGAGGTTGTGGGAGTAGTCCTTGGTGGGGTCGATGGCGGGGAGCTTGCCAGTGCCGAAGACGTTCGTCAGAGCTGCCCCTAAAGTTGGGTTTGAATCTTATATATTTGATCGGAAGGCGCTACTGTCATTATTTTTGCAAACAGCTGTAAACATTTGAATAGGAGATTTATATTCAGTTAAGTAATATGAATAATTAGCTAATTCTAATCTAAATGCTATTAAATATGGTATTAAGGTATTATTAGTATCACCACTATTATAAGTTTCTATATCACCTGTTGCAAAATTATCTAATTCATTATCTTCTTTCTGACCATCTATAGTTTTAAAGTTCATTTTAGATTGTGTCATTGCTAGAGAGGAGAGAGGGAGAGCGTTAGCAGATAGGGGGCAATAATTTAACTCTTACTATCACAATAAAACTTCTTTTACATGCTCGCTAAATCTCTCCCTCTCCTTACCTTATCTTCAGTTACTAGCAATAGTAAGTAACAGTAGCATTCACTTATTATTTTTTTTTATAAAACTAGCGTTCGCAGGCCATTAGTATGGATTGGATAATTTTATAAGTATATGTCATATAATATATCTCCCGTAATTTTTATCCTATTAAAATAAAAAAAACTTATTACTTATAACTAATTAAATTAAAAAACTAGCTTACCGCAAGTAGTTGTTATTGCATTAGCAACTATTGCAAGTAACTAGGGGATTGGACTCAAATTGGAGAGGTATTAGTTGCTACGCTAGATAAAATAACTATTATCTTTGGCAATATGGATTTCAAGATAGTGTCGCACCAGGATTTACAGGAATAGTAACTTTACATAATACACTTGGATTTTATCAGTCTGTTTTATTTCATATACTGAATCCATGATACTTATTTTACCATCTAAATAACTTTTAAACCATTTTTCCTGATTTAGTATCATTCTTCCATCCTTATTCAATAATTCACTAAAACTTTCAAAGTTCAATATTCCTAGTTCTTTAGCTTTTAAAATTGCATCTTTTTTAACTCCTTTAATTTTTATTATTTCTTCTCCAACACTGAAATGCCCCATACAATGCAGTCCCGATATCCATCCAATAGGTCCCACTTGATACAACTCCTCTCCAGCTGGCACCCAATGTCGTAAAGCAAACCAACGGTCATAGACGGGGGAAGATGACTGAAGAGTTTCAGGAGAAGCACAATAGCGTAGAACTGGCGTTCACCTGTGGATGTCATGTTGGCCAGCCAGAGGACACGGTTGTGGAGACAAAGCAATCCCATCAGGCCTGTGTCTGCAAAAAGTGTGGTGCTTGCCTTCGATCTCTGCTCGTCCGCAGCAGTGAATGAATCAAGGCAGTCATTCAATGCGGAAACTGGAACCTTCATGCCCGGCTCTTTGAAGTCAGTCTGAGGATTAGACTTGGAGGTAGCTGTGCCAGGTCGCTTCGCATGGACATATGCTTCAGCATCCACAACCTCTTCCTCCGAAAGGAAGACAGAGTTCGGATGGTAGAACGGAGGCTCTCAATCTATTCCTTTGGACGGTTTGCGATGCTTCTGGGTGAAGTTTGCGTCTAGACAAACAATGACATCACAAAGAAGATCTGGACTAGTGCACTCCTTTCCACCAAAGCACAACAGGCAGCGATCCTGCAGATATCCACTAGGGTGGTCACCATCGGTGTAGTCATCAACCCATTCTCCCTCGGAGGTAGGGTCATCAGGGCTTGACGGTGGTGGGGGGTATGGTCCTCGGTGGTCGTGGTGGAAATGGGAGGAGTATGTGAAAAGTTACTTTTTTCTCTCACTTGCCTTCACTTGCCTCTGCTAAATCAACGCGCTCACTTGCTTTCACTTTTTCCCACGCATGCTCACTTTCACTTGCGCTCGCTTGGGCGTAGGCAGGCTACAAACTTAGCCTTTGATTCTGGGGCGAGTGTCTTGTATCTGAGCTAGCCATAATCTGGGTAGGTGCCTCAGCACAGATTAGGCGTGTACACGGGTTTGAGAACAACACTGATAAAAGAAAATATTGGCTGCAGAGGTGAAGTCTAAGGTATGGATTATTAGTACACTCCGGCATGATTACGAGGAAATACGAACAGGGAGAGTACTTGTCTTGTGAAGTTAAGGTTTAGCAAAGTAGCGAGTATATCACTAGTTTTTATTAATACCAGCACGTTCTGTTTTGTTATGGTATAGCCCCTGTCCATCTGGACAATCAATTTCCGTGGTCAGACTCGGAGACACGATCCCATACGCGGGATTTAAATTCCTTCCCAGTACCAAGCCAGTACCAGAGAAGGCCCTCTGAAATACAACCAGGATTTAGAGAATTCAAACGAGATTTAGTCGATCCCACCACCTCACATTAATTTGCCTCAAACGAACAAAGAATCCAAAGTGTATAGCTAATCCCGAGACCAGAAAGATCAAGAAGCCTGTCATCAAAAGAGCTTCACTTACAGCCTGATATAGTCAGGACTGTAGGCGGTTTAACGTAGACGAATTTAAAGCACTTTCTTGGGCGCAGAGTGTGAAGATGATATGGACGTTGAGGTAGAACATCATCCTTGGCGAAAGTGGACCATGGTGATAAGCCCTATGCCCCAATGCACTTCCTTATCATAGGAATAACTCGCGTACAAGCGATAGCACAGAGGCCAATATAGTGACTGCCTATATGGACGATGAAGCTGCCCAAAATCCGTCCCTTGTGGCATCATCGTTCCCAAAAGTGTCCATCGTCCACTTATCGCGCAAGCGGCCCCCTCCCGTTCACTTGCGCTCGCCATAAAATACTTCCGTACCCCACCAAAAAAGTCGCTTAGTTTCACTTAGCTTTGATAAGCTTTCACTTCACTTGCGAAATCTCACTTGCCCTGCGAAAAGTGAATCCAAGTGAACACTTGCAGGGGCAAGTGAAAAATCCAAGTAACTTTAAATGAGAGGAGTGGTACTGCATGAGTCGGCGAGGGTGTCAAGTAATACATCCTTGGTCGCGATGTGTCAGCAACTAACTACTTGATCTGTCGTTCAAGCAATCAATAGCTGCACTAGAAAAGACTTGACGAAAAGTGATGTGATTTGGTGGAGACTAGAGTGTTGTAGCTAGGAATAGACCAGCTAAAGACTGAGGAAACTACGCTCACAAGTCTACTCTATATATACTACTTGAGTTTGTATGTACTTGTTTGGTCTGTGGTCTGTGCGCGCGCAGTGTTTTGTTCAGCTGGCAGGGTACGGTCCCATGACTCATCACGTGTCTGAGTCACGTGACATCCTATGTTACTAACTACTAAAGTCTCGGCGCGAAAAGGAAAAGAAAGGTCTAATTCATGACATCACCCCCCCCCCCCCCTTAAGGTTCACGTCCTCGTGAACGTCGTTGCATCTAGGGCACCACCCTTTTCGGCACTTTGGGAGGTTTTCCGGCATTGGTTCGGCAGTCCCTTTGGGTCGACAGTTTGGGGAATAGGAGGCCTTAAACTTCCCAGCGGTCCAGTCGAAGATTCTTCCGGAAGGTTCGGTGAAGTTCTCGTAGGGTATGAATCGGAGTTTCTTGGTGATCCACCGAGGTGCGGAGGGATTCTCTCGATGAAACTTTTCTACGAGTTCGGGAGAATTCTTCAGGTTGGAGGCATCTTCCCACGTCCTCTCCTCCTTGGGGTATCCCTTCCAGTTCACCAGGTATTGCAGTTTTTCCCCTGTAGAGTCTAGAGTTGTCGATGGATTCAACTTCATATTCTACTTCTCCGTCCACCAGCTCGGGAGGAGGAGGTGGAGGTTTCTTCTGAGAGGGAAAATGGGGTTCGTGGTATGGAGTGAGGAGTGACTCGCTTGAACACTGGGGTGTATGTCCTTCCAAGTCTTGGGGATGGCGAGTTCGTAGGCAGAAGCTCCGACCTTCTTGGTGATCTTAAAGGGTCCGTATCTCCAATCATCGAGCTTCTTGGCTGGCCGCTGTGTATTGATGTTGGTTGCCTCGAGGTACACCGTGTCGCCCACTCGGTAGGGCCTGGAGGGTCTTCGTTTCCAATCATAGTAATGTTTCATAGTCTCGGCTGCTTGTTTTAAGGCTGCTTCGGCCTCCTTGCGGATGTCCTTAATCTCGGTAACAGCCTGATTCCGTATTGGGCCTCTTGGTTTGCCTCCCTTGTATGGGTGTTGACCGTAATTCAGGTTGAACGGACTGTACCTGGTTGACTGGTGGATCTTGTCATTGTAGGAGAATTGGGCCAAAGGGAGCCAGTCAGCCCAATCGTCCTGTCTTTGGTTGATAAAGATCCGCAAGTACTGTTCTATCTCCTGATTGATCCGTTCCGTCTGTCCGTCGGTCTGGGGGTGGAATGCCGTAGAGGGGTTTCCTTCGATGCCAAGGAGTTTCATCAGATCCTTCATGAATTTTGAGACAAATTGTGGGCCTCGGTCGCTGATCACTTTTCGGGGGAGTCCGTGGTGTTTGAACACATAGTCCCGGAAGTGTTTCGCTGCACCTAGCGACGAGAGCTCCATGTTGGTGGGAATTGCCTCTATCTTCTTTGAGAATCTGTCGACCACTACCATGATGGCATCGAATCCTTTGGACTCTGGGAGGGGCCCGATTAGATCTACCGACACTATCTCCCATGGGAGAGAGGGGACCTCGTTTGGCTGTAGTGGCGCAGCCGGGACGGTTCGACGAGGTTTAGTCCGTTGACACATGCCGCATCCATCAATATAGGTTCGGATGTCTGCTTGGATTCGGGGCCACCAGTAGTTCCGAGTGATCAGTTCCTGGGTACGATATCGACCAGGGTGTCCCGATACCAGGGAGTCGTGGTGGAATCTAATGATGCCCTCTCAGAGTCCCTTATCCTTTGGCACGTACACTCTTCCCTTGAACGTCACGAGGTGTTTGTCAGATTCGATCCAGTCTGGGTCCTTCTGCAGTAGAGCCTTGGCCACCGCTTTGTCCCTTCTTCTCCAAGAGTGCTTGACCTCGTTCCAAGAAGTTGGCATCTGGTCCTGAGATGCCCACTTCGACCCTTCTGAAGAGTTCTTCCTTCAAGAGGATCACATCTTCGTTATCGTTGGCTCCTCGATCATGATCGGCCTGTCGTGAGAGGAGGTCAGCCTTGGTCATCTGTTTTCCAGGCTTGTGGTGAAGGGTGAAGTGGTACTGTTGCATCTTGGTGAGCCAGCGAGCTTGGCGGTGATTCAACTTCTGGGGTTTTCGGAAATATCCAAGATTCTTGTGATCGGAGTGGATCTCAAAGATGTGTTTAGCTCCAAGAAGGTACTGTCTCCAATCTGAGAGTGCACGCATGATGGCGAGCTTCTCCTTGTCGTAAATCTCGTAATTCCGTTCTGTCGGGTTCAGGGCATGGGAGATGAAAGCTACCGGTTTCCACTTCCCATCAGGCTGTTGTTGGGAGATGAAAGCTACCGGTTTCCACTTCATCAGGCTGTTGTTGGGAGAGGACTGCCCCAGTTGCGAACTCAGATGCATCAGCCTCAACGCAGAATTTCCCAGTGTCATTGGGGATAGCAAGGACGGGTGCAGAGCAGATTCGATCCTTAACTGCTTGGAAGGCTGCTTCTTGTGCTTGTCCCCAATTCCATTCCTTGTTTCCGGTTAGTTCCGTGAGCGGCCTAGCAATCTCTCCATATCCTTTGATGAACCGTTGATAGAAGTTGGCAAACCCAAGGAACTGTTGAACCTCGCATTTCGATCGTGGAGTGGGCCAGTCTCTAACAGCATCGACTTTGGCTGGGTCCATGCGTACTTGGTTGTGGGAGACAATGACACCAAGGTACTCCACTTCGTTAGCTTCGAAAACACATTTCTCCGGTTTGAGGTAAAGTTTGTGCTCGGCAAACTTCCTCAGGACTCTTCGGACCATCTCCCGATGTTCTTCCAGGGTTTCCGTGAAGATAAGGACGTCATCCATATATATGATGACTTTTCCAGTGTTGATTTCTTCTCGGAATATGGCGTTCAAAGCAATCAATAGCTGCACTAGAAAAGACTTGACGAAAAGTGATGTGATTTGGTGGAGACTAGAGTGTTGTAGCTAGGAATAGACCAGCTAAAGACTGAGGAAACTACGCTCACAAGTCTACTCTATATATACTACTTTGAGTTGTATGTACTTGTTTGGTCCGTGGTTTGTGCGCGCGCAGTGTTTTGTTCAGCTGGCGGGGTACGGTCCTATGACTCATCACGTGTCTGAGTCACGTGACATCCTATGTTACTAACTACAAGTCTCGGCGAGAAAAGGAAAAGAAATGTCTAATTCATGACACGATGAGGAAATTAAACCACCGGACGCAGGCACTGATCTTGCAACGTAAAGTGTCAAGAAAACTTCCAAGGCAGTCAACCACGCCGTGATATTGGGTGATGAGCGCGCATAAAGTTCTTGCATGAATACGAGCATCTTGATGTCGAGAGCGATGGATGGGCAAATGGGAGATGAAGGAAAGTAGCCGCATCGAACCAAATTGGTGACCACAGAGCAAACACATACATTGCGCACAGATATGTCTAATGACGTGTCAACGAGAGCCGACAAATACATGGTCATGTACATACCTTCCAAAGACACACACAAAATAGAGTCGAAGTGGTTGTTCATACAACCACAAATGTTGACGTTACGGTCAATGTTGTGAAGGTTTCTCGAGTCGGCAAGGAGTTTCATAAATGGATTGACCGACCATTGCGGGGACGGTGTTCTCAATCCAATGGCGGAATTGCGTAAAGCGTTTATTATCGGCTGACTTCATGGCGAACCTTGGCTGGGAGACGATAGCTTGACTGGAGAAGGTGTGCGGGGAAGAAACATCGGGAGGAGCCGTAGCCGTCTGCACATATGTCCCAATAGGGGTGATCAGATCTGCTTGGGCTCGAACACTGAGCTTCGCAGACCCATACACCCGACATCCTTTCCCTCTTTGTGCTTGGAGATCGTGACTCAAATGAGAAAATATTATGTGTTAGAATGAGGCAATGGGGGCGAAAGGAAGAAACAAAGAAGTGTGGCTTACCAGTGTATATGTGATAGAACCACGGGAACTTAGTGAGGGCCTTCAGATCTTAAGAAGATAATGTCAATCAAATTGAAGCCGCGAGGCCGCAACCTATCTCGCACAGCTCCCACACCACCTCTGCTGACACTTCATCTGTAATCCCTTCCTCCATCTCTGAAACTGGTATGGTTTTATCAAACCAAACAACTCAGTCAATGGTTTGGCACATGGAAAGCAGTTCCTCCAGGTAAGCACTTTGAGTTCTGTTTCTGCTACCTCTGGAGCTTCCCGTTGAGGAGGTCACTGACAAAGGAATGGGTGCCGCTGGCATACAGTAAGTGGCAGTCCCCAGTGCGGGTGTTCTGGTCGAAGTCAAAATTGATCGAATTTTGTTCAGGCCTAACTTCCACTGCTGACAGATGCAGGGAGGAACATTCAGTCTGTTGGAATACAATGCACATGTCACATCTATTCCATTTACGGGTACAAGGATGCTCAATTATGTACAAACGTTTCATGTATAAGGACCTTATACGGACATTCTATTGTTCTCTGATCTCGGATATATTAAGTAGTTCCATTGTTCTCTTATATCCCTTGTTCCCAATTCGGACATCTTATTGTTCTACCGTATATAGACATCTCTTTGTCTCCAGACGTATATAGGTAGTGACTGCAAGTGGGAGTTCCCCCATCGAACTCTTCCCCACTTGCAGGTATGTCCTCATTGTATTTATCTATGCCTATAACTAATATCATCGAACTCTTCCCGCAGTGGTACAACGTCTTACATGTTTAATACAGTCCGGGTGGGCCAGTAGCAGCGTCATGAACCGATGGTTCTAGACCCAACGGTGCCTGCATGCGCGTTGGTCTCAGGAGGTTGAACGTACGGCAGCCAACACGCTGGGTTACTTGGTGCATTTTGAGGGAAGGGATGCCACGGTAAATCGGTTCAAATGGAGTCGGGTGGAACTGGCGAAGTTCAACTGTTGGTTCCCGAAGGAAGACCTTGTTGGCAAATATCGTATCACTGGGTATACGGCTACTTGGACGAATATACCAGGCAGGAATGCCAGCACGATGAAGATCGTCCATGACTGAAAGGTGTTTGGTGAACGCTCCCAGTATGGAATGGTCAACAGGGTACTTCTTCCCTGATGGATCAAGGACTCGAGGCCAGAACACAGTGACGAAGGTGATAATGGCGTGGATATTGAGGCAGGTGTGTTGGAATTTGGCGACCGTGAAGATGATTTCAGCGTAAGTCATACATATCAATTGTAAACGGCGGATGCATTGGTTCAAGAGGTTTTGAAGAGAGATGTAACTCGTAAACTCGAAACTCGACTCGACTCGCTAAACTCGAAACTCTGAGAATTCCTCTTTTCTTACTGAGTGACCACGTCGATCAGGACAAGATATAAAATCGAGTCAAAGGGGTATCTGTTGATTCTTTTGCCCGGCGGGCCTATTTATATGGTACACGTTGTTTGACTACAAGTTTTAAAACAAAGACTGGGCAAAGACTATAAAATAAATGACGAATATGTGCGTGATACAAAACGAGAGAAATACAGAGACTAAGTGGAGGTATCAGAGAGACGGAGAGACGAAAAAGGAAGGAAACGCGACAAAAGAAGCACTCCGGGTGTTGTTTCAGAGGCATACCGCCTACCCACATTCTGAGATGTGCAGATAATTTATACCAGGATGCTCACAAAGTGTGCGCTGCCAAGGTAAGTAAATCTGTGTTGTCGAAGAATCCTTTCCTGACCATAGAGACAATCAATAGAATGAGGAAGAGGAGGCAGTCACAAATCAGTGAACTCAAGCGCCGTGGATTTGGTTCTGCTTTACCACTATTACACGTCCCATCCATGAGGCACCCAATCTTGGCCTGTTAGAAAAAAGGGTGTGAGCCCATGCAGAGTGCAGACAAGTGGTGGAAGTCGGAATTGAGTGGCTTCAAGGAGCAGGACATGTTGGATTTAGCTGAGATCTTGATTGAGGGCCACTCGGGCGATATACTTTCCCCGAACGCACTCGATGGGTTTCCTACTTTGGAGCGGTGGACGGAAGGTACAGCAACATAGCCTTATGTTTAAGTTCAATGTCTGATGCTCCACGCAGATGAGTGTAAACTTGATGTCAACTCCAGGGAATTTTTAAAAGTCTATGAATGCCCCAAGTTTATGCAACGATGGGGAGCAGATCCGTCCCTCATTCCACGGTCCACCCCTTCGCACAATACGCCCACCCCGACTGCAGCAGCAGCAGCTGTTACTCAGCTGGTAGCTCAGGCTCCTCAACCTGAGGAACTGCCCACATCCGATGCCGAGGCTGTCAATGCCCAAGTCTCATTGGCGCACTCGAAAAGCTTCGCGCTACTTTCGAGAGCCGCCCCACCCTCTCTGGAACATCCCTTCTCCCACCCCTGCCCCGAGGAGTGGCCCTCCTATCAACTTCAAACGAGAGAAGAGATTGGTGAACAAGTGGCAGAAGACACAGGCAAACGCTGGAGGCAGTTCCCGCCCTGCCACGTCCAAGCAGCGTCCCGTGCCCAGCACTCCAACTCTTTGGCAGACCGGAACGCAGATGTTGAAATGCACAACGATTCATCCCAGTCAACCACCACTACCATTCCTCAACCTCCTTTGCCTGCTGCCCAAAACCCCGCACGTCACAACTCCGGCAGATTCAACCATTCGGCAATGGGTCTCGCGCACAGCAATCCCAGCCTTCCAAGGACCGGGGTGACGGGTGCCGGGTTTGGATACAATATGAGTCCCCCTAGTTTCTACCCCCCATGGTTGGATGATGGAATATGCCTCCGCACCAACCATTCTATAACCACGTGTATGGGCAATATGCCATGAACCCTCCGATTCACGGTTATAAGGTGATTATGAAATGGAAGATGATGATGGCCAGTAGTTTTCGTGGTTGCTCTGTGCACTTATGATGGTATCCACTAGCACTATTGTTTCTGCTTTACATTAATCAACCTTTAAAACTTTCCTGCACATTATTTATGAATGGCTGGTAGTGATATTGTCCTTAGCTTTAGTTGACCTTCACCTCCACATTACTTTGACCTTTGCTGCACATTGCTGTAGACCCGATATGATGATCCATGTTTCTTCGCACAGGGACGATCCCTGCAAGATGTGGACGCTGCTGCGTGACGCCCACATGCAGCAGAAGCCTGGCACCCGCTTCAACGCCTACGACGACCTCTTCTCCATCCGGAAACGCGAAGACGAGTCCCTCCAGGCCCTCATGAACCGTGTGGACGACGTCATGAAGCTCATCAAGGACCTCCGGCCTGCCGACTTCACCCTGGACAAGCTGGACAACGAGCTGACCGCGATGGCACTCATTCGAGCCCTTCCGGATGAGTTCAGCGCCTTCACCTCGTCTCTTCTGCTCCTGGACAAGCTCGACAGCGAAACCCATCCGTCAGGCCTTCATTGCTGAAGAAGCCCAGCGCCGTCGTCGTGCAAATGCCTCCACCGCCGCTCTAGCTTCCGCTTCGACACCCCCCTCCTGCGACTTCTGTGGCATGAACAACCACGTCGTCGCCACCTGCCATTACAGCCGTGCCCAGGCCAACGCCAGGGACAACGTCGTCAAGCGTCGCAAGAAGCGCCGTCAGGAAGCCAAGCAAGCGCAAGACTCCGCTCCCACTGACGCATCGGCCTCCCAGGCCTCTGCAGACGTGGTTGAGTACGCTGGAAATAGTACTCGTCTCCCGGATCCCAGGGATCCCTCCTTTCGGCTTCAGCTCGATGCTGACTTCGATTGGATTGCATGCGGAACTATGTCCCCTGTCGCATTCCAGTCAAGTTGGCAGACCACAGCATTGTCTATGCTGTTGGTATGGGCACAACAGTCTTCCAGCCTGTTGTAGATGGGAGGGCCTCTAGGCCGGCTGAGTTATCACGAGTTTTGCATGTACCAGAGCTCCGGAGCAATCTGCTGTCTTGTCTGTACCTTACCCGGGTCAAGGGTTTCAATATACTCATTTCCTCTTCGCAACTTCGCTTCATTTGTGCTGGTTCATGTCTATTCACCGCCTCCATCCATCCCAACAACTCTGCAACGCTCGATGGCACCACTGCAGCCTCTGTAGAGGCAGCCTCACCCGCGTCCACTGTTCCTGTCACCCTTGAACTGCTCCATCGTCGTCTCATTCACCACAACCACGCTGATATCAAGCGTTTGCTGGACAACAAGATGGCGACTGGCATCCGACAGTTTGGATTTCGTGGCCTGGGTTCCTGGGTTATATATACGGTGCTCAATGAACACAATGTTACATCAAGCAAAGGTTTGGAATGTAAGCTACATTTAGAGTATACTTGGGTGCAGGTAACAATTAGCGTACCTAGTGTTCCATCGTCGACGAACCAGTCCCTCGTCCGGATGGAGGAACGGAAGAAGAGTTTGCGAACAATCCTGGAAGGGCGACCTTTCCTCTTTGGCTTCATTCAGTCCCTATCCTTGCGCTCGGACTACCCTAATATATCGTGGATGACGGACCATTCAATGGTTGCTCTGTTAGTTTTCATATCCCAGTATTGCCGTCTCGTGTCTTTTACCATCATTGGCCAATGTCGTCCGGGTGTGGATGGTAAAATCCACAGCACCCTATTCCCCCATATCCCCGATACCGTCACCCGTGTCAGTCTCAACAACATTCGTCGCTTGTCGCCCACTGCCTACGCGGCCTTGTCTCGTGTCAGTACCCTCCATTGTATACACCCAAGCGCGAGGCCGTCTCACAGTCAGTCAAACTTTGCAGAACCTTCCTCCTCCACCTCCCCATCGACGACCGCGACCTCGATTTCTAGAATACTCGATGCAGTCCGAGTGGGGCGATGAGTGGCTGGGTCGGGCGGTCGAAGTTTTCATGCACTACATCCGCTTGGATGGTCTCAAGGATGTCCGCTGATACTGACGACGATCGTTCTGTTGTCGTTGCGGCCTTAAGTCAAGCGCATCCATCCCTGGAATCCCTCACGGTGGACGTCTTCGGACTAGCCTGAAACGGTGTGTCTCGGACCTCCATACTTCCCATAGAACCGCACTCGGCCTTTATCCCGTAATGCAGTCCCTCACGGCTGTACGCCTCGAGACGATTTATTGCGAAGTCCACCCTATACGACATCGACCTTGGCAGGCTATCACCTACATGGTCAACGTGCTCGTTGGGCTCTATGGAACGGGTCAACGACGACTTTGAGCATTCTGTTGTTCAAATGTACAACAAGAAGTCGCCCCTTGCGCGATCGCAACATCCGCTGCTCTTACGACGTGGACTTGAAACTTGTTAAAACAGCGAACTGGAGTCCAGCAGTGAGAGGAAAGCACTGATATATTCAAAGGGAGCACGTACCTGGAGTCCAGCAGTGAGAGGAAAGCACTGAGGGACTCCAGATAACAGAATTGCGGAGTATGAAATGTCGGGAGACGGAGGTCCGCATAGGCGAGAACACAAGCAAGGTCAAAGGCAAGGAATCCGGCGCTTGGCTCCGGAGTTATTAGCAAAACGAAGTAAAACGTAAATATCTCAGTAACCAGTGGACGGATTACCGTCCCCCGGGTACCGTTAGAAAGAGCGTAAAAGGTCGGTTGGAATGATACTAAAGACCAAGGGAAAGTGCTAAAGCAAATTCTAACACTCCCCCATGACTGAGGCAGTTCAGACATCCACTAGACCCAGGAGAGCGCAGCAGTCCTTGACCTTGGGCACAGGCAGGGCTTTGGTCAGGATGTCCGCAGCCTGTTCTGTGCCAGGAATGCGGACTGGAGCAATGACACCAGACTCCACAGTGCGGAGCCAGAAGAACTTCAAGTCGAGGTGCTTCATGCGTCCGGAACCGACGGCAGCGAGGTAGGGAACCTTGCGCATCTCTTCGACTTCAGCAGGGGTCTGGGGACCCATGGCCTTCGTCAGAGTCTGTCCAACGGGTAGAGGAGTGTCCACCTTGTTGCAGGCGTCCATATTGAAGCGCTTGAGCATGTCGACGATGTACTGGCGCTGGGAGAGGCTGATCGAGCGGGTGGCGCGGTCCCTGGAGATCTCAATACCAAGCAGGAAGCGAGTCTCACCAAGATCTCGCAGCTTGAAGTGCTTGCTGAGCTCTGCAATGACCTTGTCAACAGATGCAGTGGACTTAGAGGCAAAGGTCATGTCGTCGATGTACACTGGAACGATGATCTTGACGTCGTCTCGGGCGTAGAGGTAGAGGGAGCGGTCGGATTCGAGGCGCTTGAAGCCCATGGAGCCCAGGACGGTGTGGAGCTTCTTGTTCCATTGCCTTGCAGCTTGCTTGAGGCCATACAGCGACTTGTTGAGCTTGAGTACCTTGCCAGGACCGAAGTTGAAGCCCTCTGGCTGAGCCATGTAGATGTCCTCATCCAGATCGCCATAGGTGAACGCAGAAGAGATGTCGACAGAGCGCAGATGCATAGCCGCAGCGCAGCAGGGCGGTAGGTAAGTGGAGATGAAAACCTCAGTGTCGGTAAAGTCGTTGCCAGGACACTGGGAGTAGCCTTTGGCGACGAGACGAGCCTTGTAACGATCGATGGTGCCATCTGGATTGAACTTGATCTTGAAGACCCAACCACAGGGCAAGACCTTGACTCAGTACTGTTGGCTAGCAGCGTCTGTATCTCCTCGATGGCTGCCTTCCGCCACTTGTCTGCGTTGGGACCGCTCATAGCATGCACCCAATTGCGCGGATCGCCTGAGACAAGACCTGCAAACTCGATTGTGACCCATCCAGCAGCCTCGTCTTCATCATCCTCTTCGTCGTCGCTCGGAATGGCCGGTGTGGGCTCTCTGATCCACCACTCGCCTGGGGGACGTCGGATGCGTGGTGCACGATGCTGAGTGAGGGGAGGCGTAGGAGGCGGAGTTGGTTCAGGGAGTGGCGCCTTAGGTGGAGGAGGCGGCGTTTGAGGAGGGGTCTCTGGTTCAGGAGAAGCAGGCACAGCTGCAGGGACAGCAGGGGCCACTGGTGGAGCGTCACACTCCCCCAGCTCATCACCGAGGGGGAGAGGAACTCGCACCACAGGCGGAGGTGAGGGAGGAACAGCAGGCGGTACAGTGGACATCAATGGGGAGGCTCTGGAGAGGCAGGGAAGTAGCGCTCGTCGAAGATGGCTCGTTCTGAGATGACGAACTTGTTGGTGGTGGGGTTGTAGAAGCGCCAGCTCTTGTAGCCAGGCGGATAACCCACAAAGATGCACTTTTGCGCGTGCGGCTGAAGCGATTTGGCACAAACACATAGGCCGTGCACCCAAACACCCTGATCATGCTGAGATCTGGCTTGCGCTTGTACCACGCCTCGTAAGGCGTCATGCCAGGAAGTGAAGCAGTGGGCAGGCAGTTCCAGACCTTGACCTGAGTCGCCAGGGCGTCACCCCAGAACGAAGGAGGCAGCTTTGACTCGGAAAGCATGGCCTTGATGTCTTCGTTCATCGTCCTGTTCGCTCGCTCTGCATCTCCGTTCTGCTGGGGTCTGTTGCGCGTCGTATGGCGTCGCTCGATGCCGCAGTCGTCCGTAAACTTGCGAAACGTGTTGGACATGTACTCCCCACCCTTGTCGTCATGCAGGAAGCGAAGTTGCGAAGAGGAAATGAGTATATTGAAACCCTTGACCCGGGTAAGGTACAAACAAGACAGCAGATTGCTCCGGAGCTCTGGTACATGCAAAACTCGTGATAACTCAACCGGCCTAGGCCCTCCCATCTACAACAGGCTGGAAGACTGTTGTGCCCATACCAACAGCATAGACAATGCTGTGGTCTGCCAACTTGACTGGAATGCGACAGGGGACATAGTTCCGCATGCAATCCAATCGAAGTCGTGGCTAGAGGGAGCCGGGGCTCATAACCTGTTAAAAGAGCGAACTGGAGTCCAGCAGTGAGAGGAAAGCACTGATATATTCAAAGGGAGCACATACCTGGAGTCCAGCAGTGAGAGGAAAGCACTGAGGGACTCCAGAATGATGCTGCGACTATATAACACAATTGCGGAGTATGAAATGTCGGGAGACGGAGGCCCGCATAGGCGAGAACACACAGCAAGATCAAAAGCAAGGAATCCGGGGCTTGGCTCCGGAGTTATTAGCAAAACGAAGTAAAACGTAAATATCTCAGCAACCAGTGGACGGATTACCGTCCCCCGGGTACCGTTAGAAAGAGCGTAAAAGGTCGGTTCGAATGATACTAAACATGAAGGGAATCGACCAAGGGAAAGTGCCAAAGTCACAAATTCTAACAAAACTCGCATTTTGTTTTTACCTGTCTTGTTTTCTTCGTAAATTGGTATATCATACATTGCATCGTATGTTTTGGTAGCACATTTCACCCGTCGTCCGATGTCACATCTCGTCTATAGGTACAAATGGACAAGTCTGTACGGAAAGGTGTACGTACTGTGAAAGGTGACACGGGTCACACACCTCTTACAACAGTACAAGGCAGGGTCGTGTATCCACGCTGCCAGTGGCGTAGAGCAGATAGAAGTCAATGTCTCCCAAAAGGATAAAACATAGTATTCCATTCTTCTATCTATGATTTAAAACTAACAGTCACAATGCTCAATAGTAGTTATCCAGTTCCCACTCATCGCTGCAGTCACCACCTCTCGTACAGGGCCCCGAGAAGCCAAAATCGATGAGAGTAAGTTTGCCGTCCCCGTTTCGAACGACATTCTGTGGGTGAAGGTCGTGATGGTGAACCTTCAATTGGTGCATGTGATCGATAACTGGTTGGAGAGCGGCTCTAGCAGACGACACTCGTCGATTAGCATCTATGGGTGTCAAAAGGTGACATCGGTCACACACCTCTCTTCTTCGGTAGGATCTTCTCGAAGTTTCTGGCCTTCGTACGACAGCACAAGGCAGGGTCGTGTACCCACACTGCCAGTGGCGTAGAGCACTGGAATTCCTGCACCTTGCAGTTTCTCCAGACGACGGTAACATAAGAGTTCGTTGGCATACGTCGTCGGATTTCCGAATACTTTTACGACAATTGTGATGCCCCAACGAGAATATACAAAGACAATGTTCTCGATAGATTCGTGAATGCTCGAAGCGGGAGGCAATTTTAATCCGAGAGAGAACCAGCTGGCGGAAGAAGGAATCGTATGAGCCATATTGGAAACAGTGCAAAGCAAGAGGAAGCGCATACCTCACGCCTCGTAAGCGTCGATCTGTCCCTTTTGGTCCGGGAAGCGGCTGTTCACAGCGTCTGCGATATCTGTGTCATACGAATAGACCACGGCCAGAGTGAAAGCGGCGAGTTTGTCGATATACTCGAGCCAGTTTCTTTTGTTCTCCGCGACAACAGGGACTTGCGGAGACGTCAGCTTGTTTGTGCAAGAAGAACGGGGTGTAACTCACAGCGGTCGGTGATGTCCAAGACATCGGAACCGATGGCGATGTACTCGCTGCCGTTGGAAGTGATGGGGGCGAGGTGGGCGGGAGCAACCGAAAACCCGTGGATGACGAATGGCTTGTCGGGATGGAGCCATTTGAGGAGCCACGTTGCCCCGCCCGTACTCACCTGGTCGCGAATTTCCATCGCTACCTTCGTCATCGTTCCGCCGTTGATCAACGACCTGTTGTTGGGGTCGTTGCTGGAACGAGTTGTCTTCATTTCCACGGCAGTTACTACATTGTTCAACTCGTCCGGCATACCCTCCACGAGCGGGAAACCTTGTTGTGTAAAGTGGACGTCTAGCTCGACTTCCGGCTCGACATCCGTGTATTTTTTCATTCCTTTCCCGACCCAGACGCCGTCACCATGGTGTCTGTTAGCCAAGGCCATGAAAATACCAAAACTTCGTTTGTGACGTCATTTTCTTTATATGATGTCGCTTTATGCGTCCAGAAATTTACCATAAATGCTCGTAGATGCGAGTCGAAGGGCAATGTAACGGTCGCATACATGATAGCCGGGTCCAGTGTTCGGCCTGTGTCCCGCTAGAAGGGACGGTAGGAGCGGACCGATGAGCAGCGATGCTCGGTAGCCGTGTACAGACCTCCCGGTGCATCCAGTACAGGATGTCGCCGACTCTGACGGTCACTGGTCCTTCAAGAAACAAGATTTCCGTCGGAGTAAATCCGTGGATCGGAGACGATTGAGACGGTAGAGAAGGAGACAAGGGCAGCGCCTCGTTTTCTGGGACTGTCGATGGGACCGGCATTGTAGTCGACGATGCGATGAGATGACCACGTAGGATTCCTAACTCGTGTCAATGTAGACCCTTTATAATACTGAGCAGTCCGTTCATCAATCGCTCGCGAAAACCCCTGAGGTCCGTATTTTATGCGCCTAAAACCTCCCAGACGGAGGAGGTTTGTTCTAATAATCGGGCGTTTTTCCTCCGGCGGTGCCCAGGGATGTTCCTTATGCGGCGCATGAACTCCCACGATCGCCCGCGCCCGCCGGCGTCGGCTGCCAATCATCTTTTTCAGCGCCAAGATCGAGAGAAGGGCCGTTCCAGCATGTGGATTTTGCGGGCCAAAAGTCTGAGTTCCGTTATTTACACGGCCAAAAATGGCCCGAAAACGGACGGCCAAAAAGGTCCTAAAAGGAGATTTTGGAACGAACTTCACCGGACATATTGGCACCGTTCTCTGTTGATGTTTGAACTGAATGTTATTACGTGTACAGAGGCTGTCCTCTTCTGTTCCAAGGCATGTCGGGACTTGGTCTCTTTTGCATAGGATTCGGACGTTATGACGTGGAGCTCAGAAGCTATGTGACGTTTCGCCACGTCCGGTGTTTGACTCCTGGGGTGTCGCTGTCAGTTTGTTACGTGATTATTTTCGCGAGTTATTTATTGTTTTATTTTTGTAACTTGCCAAGAACGGTCCGACAGGCCTCGGTAAATTGTTTAACGGGAACAAGCATACATCTTCGATGGAACGGAAGTCCAAAGCCACCGCGTGTATTCTTAAATGGTAATTGGTACTTGTGGTGCGAGTCCTGGAGCATAATGTGCATAGTGTTAAGGCTGTCTACGAGTCAACTCGCGAAGTTGACTCGGCACTGCTTACATACAGCTGTTTGCATAATTCTTTGCGCGATCAGGTTTGTAGAATCGCTTTGATGGCGTTGATGGCACCTCGGAGAACTCCGTTTTACCTCATCGCTGGTCGAATACACGGCTGTTTCTGCGGTTTTGGCGGGTGAAAGAGACGATTAGTTGGTGCAGATGATCGGAAACATAACCAGAAGTGGTAAGGGTACATTGACGAGGCGATGAGTTCGCGATAATGCCTGGGTGATGGGTGATGCTCAGAACTCAGCCTCGATCGGGACTTTTGCTGTCATGCAGATCTTTCCGACCCTCCATCAATTCGACCCTCCATCAATTGGTTTCTGAAAAATCGCTCGCACAAAGAATTACAGGACTCGGGTTCTTTTGCGCGGGGTTTCACGCGTCCAAGATTCTCGACGCCTTAAGGCCACCTGATGTCCGGTGAGTTCGACTCTTGGTGTTGCGGATTTTTCTTTTGTTGGTTTTGGGGCATTTTGTCCCAACAGGCCTTGGTTGTTTGCCGTTTAACGGCCCGCATCCCACTAGTCAAATACTTGCGAGGGTTTGTATGATTTTAATCTGTGATATCTCTATCAATGATCCTTTGTTTAGTGTTTCTTTCATGGATAGACCCTAATTTAAGCATTATATAAGTAGCACTAGAGGGCCGTAAAGCCTTGTTTAAGGCCTTTTTACAAGTACTCCTGGCCACAATCCCAAACTCGGACTCACACGAGTATTTTGGCATGGTGACTCAGATCCACGAGTCAGGATACTCACAAGTATTCCCATGGGCCTGCTTGCAAGTACTTGCGAGTAGGGCTGACTCGTGGACAGCCTTACATTGCGTGTCATGGGATATGGTATATAAGAGATCAAATTAAGAAGTTAGAACCCTAAAGCCCGCGGAAACCGTGTAGAATATTTGTCCAGTCTGTACTAGACAGTACATGTGTTGTATCCTCACATCGGGGCAATTTCTACTCCGATGGAGCATGTTGAATCAGGGATAGTGGTGGGTGTCAAGTACGGATAACATTTCTTCCATGTGGCAGGTGGTAAGCGTCTGGATCACGAAAACCTCGCTGGTGCGGAAAACTGATACAGCAAGAAGACTCGGGGGTGATATCCAGATTTATGTCCTATTTGGAGGTCATCGAGATTTGCAATATACACTCGGGATTCTTTAATAGGAAGTTTGTTAGGACGGCTACTTACGTATGCGGCGTACGACCAGGTAACTGAGAGAGCATCGGTGCAGTTGCCGCGCGTTGAGACTTGTCCTCTGCTGCGCTACCATTTATACCAAGGCCAGTCCCGCCGATGATCGTTCATCAAGGTGTTATATCGTCACAGTTTGTGGTACTACGACATGGAAAAGCACCGGACCGTGTGGCGCTAAATCCAGGTCAGATACGTCCCAGGCATCCTAGTCAAAATCATTGAGCTGTTGACTCGGAATCCATATACTTATTTGAGAATGATCGGAAATGTTCACGCATCCCAGTACTTCGGATTGGCGTTTGTGGAGATATCTTCCAAGGCCTGTCCCCCAGTGAGATTTCCCTCGTCCCAGATCGTGCCGCGTAATCCTCCAGCGGTCAATATACAAAAATCGGCGGAAGCACGCTGGAGCACTTTCAGGCAGGGAAATGGCCCACTATTGATTGCTCAGATCGGTCTCTGTCGTCTCGTAGAAACGATAAAACCATTTGTCCATTTTATAGTACACTATTAATACACTTTCTACACTACATAGCGAATACACAAAAGCCCAAAAAGCCCAATAGAAAAAGAATAAAGGAAAACAATTAGAAGTACAATACAATACATACACTGGATGTCTTCGTTGGAGTTACAAGTCGTTCTGTCCTGGTTCCTGTGAAAGGCACGGGTTTCAAGTCAGTGGGAGTAATGTGAGAGATGTTGGGGACCTACTAGGAAGTGTTGGAGCAGAAAAGAGCAGGGGCTAATGACAGAAGGTCAGTACGGTGCGAGTCACCTGTAAGGAAGGTACTTACCGTACGAATTCAACGCTGGGATGATGCCTAACGATGCGAAACAGTCAGATGCTGCTGAAGGGAGGTAGGAAGGGAAGCCGTACCAGGTGAATGCGAGACGATGCGAAAGCGAAGACGATGCGATGCGAAGACGAAAGCGAGACGATGCGAGAACCTGCGGAGGTAGGTAGACGTAGACACAGTCAGGACACGAAATGAAAGTCAAGAAAGGACATTACTGACCGATGTACTTACTACATGAGGCATGGAGTTGGAATTTAAGCATTGATAGGTACAAGTCGAGGCAGCAAGGTGTTGGGGTGTGGCAAAACGTGAGGCGAGGCGATTCAGGCGAAAGTGAGAACCTGCACCAAAGATAATCGATAGATGTTAACAGTTAGCCAGGTGCAAAGGGCGGGCAACTCTTACCACACGGAGGATACCCTGCAGGAGGCGGAGGTTGGTGAACGTCGCCAGCGGGAGGAAACCGGCACGACTCCGGGTATGGCTTAGAGGTGGCATTTACAGCGCGGGAGACAACGATGTCGGACGGTGATGCATGAGAAACGACGGGCGGGTTGGATCAAAGGCCTGGTGCTACGGAGTCTGGGAGGGTAAAGTCATGGGGAGTGGTGGTGGTAGAGGGAAGAAAGCTAGGACTTAGAAAAAAAAAACGAGCAGACCAAAGGTGTGTGCAACGTATTTATTCATGAACATGTGGATATACGACCAACGACGCTGGTACAGGCATTTCTGGGACGAGTGGAAGAAACGTATGCGGCGAATACTGAAAATGAGGGCATAGATAGTGTGTCGACATGGTGGTTAGAAATGAAAAACTTGCCCGCGGCCGATGTGGCGTTATCTGAGCCGAGGGCAATCCCCTTCACGCGCTGGGAGCACGCGTGGCACGATCTGAGCCGACGCGGTTCTCACTGGGCCTGTCCAAACAGCGCAAAGCGCGTTTTCGATCAGCTGATTTGTAACTCGTGGGGAAATGATATGGCTCTGGAGAATATCGAATACGAGAGTCTGTTCTCAGTGGATGCTGTTTTGAAGGAGAAAGAGCAATGTGTCCCGTTTATCTCTGCTCCTCGTTGTACCATCATGTAATGTGTTTCATCTTCATCCGATTTCGACTCCTCTGGTTGCAGCCAATTGGGACGGCAATTCATTCAAGATTCTTCCATGAAAGGAATACGGGAGCTTGAGGGTAAATATTGTGCGTAAGCCCGCTTCTTTTCGAGCCTCAGCGATGCAATTTGACAGACGGGATTGGATTGTCGTTTAACAACCTTTTAGTTTTTGTGGCAAGTAGTTACGATGTACACGCGATCGCGAAGAGGTATTTCAGAGTAATAAATCCATTATCGTAAGTCCCCAATGTCCTGTAGACATCCATAAGGCCTTGGTGTCCGAAGATCGCCTATGTTGAACTTTGAATTCTACAGGGCCTATCCAGACAGTGGTCATGGTTTCCCTTGTTTGGGCGAAGACGTCAAGAAAAAGCTTCGTTCTCGTTTTGATCCATTTTGAGTCCGCAATTTCGTCTTCACCAAAACCGAAGCCTTGATCTGGGTTGATTACGAGTGTTTCTAGCAGAGGGAATACGAAAGTTTGTTTGAGAAGAGTGTCAGAACATTCTGAATGTGATTCGTTAGCGGATGTAGTGTGAGGAGTACGTGCTAACTCACAGTGAGGGGTATGTCTTCGTGGATGATCTCGAGATGGCGAAGTTTGGGTAAAGCGGGAGCAACTGTCTCCCATTGGTAAATTTCAAGCCCTGATACGTCGAGTCCCATTTTGATATGCAAGTATTCTAAATTGGTATTGCCGGTATAGGTCGATAAAAAGGAAGTGGTAGCTTTGGCAAAGGCACGGTTGATTGGGTCGCGGAATTGGATGGATTTTACTTGTCGACAGCAGCATAGCCGACTCCACTCCCATGATCCCCATACCTCAACCTCTTCTAAAGCGCTCAAACAGAGTTCGCGGGGCTCGTCGTGTTTGCAGAAGATAGAATTCTGGCGGCTTCGTATCGTGTCGACGATATTGGCGTCGTCTTCGCGGACCCAACTATTGATGATGATTTGGGTGACGCGGGCCATAAATGGTAGTAGCTTCGCGATGGTGTCGACGACTTCCTCTTTGTCGGCGTAGATTTCTTGCGCGCGTTGCCATACGCTACTTCTTTTATTAGAGGGGATTTCGAGTAGAAGCTCCCGTACTCGTCCGGCGTATAACGGAGCGTTTCCTTGTCCGGAAGCTAGCATCTTGAGACGCTTCCAGTTAGCACCAGGCCCTGCAAACGCGTGACGAGAGTCTCCGCGATACAGACTCTCGACTGAGAAGTGGAAAAATGTAGTGTTGACTCTCAGGCAAGTCACTACATCCACTCTTCTGGTTAGATCGCTGTGAATCCGTTTCCAGATTTCGACAGGGAGTGATTGAGGAGTACGACTCATTTTTCCAAGCAATGCTCTTCCATTAGGGGCGTAGGTTTATATATAGGGACGTGTCCGATTTCTCAGACGTTACGTGAAGAGAAGTGTTCTTATAAACCGTGTCTGACGTCTTCGATTTCAAATTTGGATGGTTACAAGTATTAAAACTCTAGATTGAAAGTTGTTTGGTTCGATATGTCTGGTTGCGACGTTCCCGACCTCCATTTTCACACTGGCTTCAGTTAGGAAAGACTAATTTTAAAAGGCTGGTTGCTTAATTGTTGATGGCGCATTTGGTCCAATAAAGGACGCTTGTAATATCTGACGAATTAACTCCCGGGTAGTAGATGTGGTCGGAGGTCGGGTTGATGGGTCCGCTCCTGAGGTTTTGCTATTTCCGGTACTGACAATGTGGTATACTTCCCTTCAAAAGCGTATTTTCTCTCCGCAGACAAGTTTCTCGTCGTCGATCCAAGCTCTTATTCAAGGCTGTGTACGACCCTTCTCGAATCCCACCCCGCAAAATTGAAACCCTTGGTCGTAGATCAATTGATTCGAGTATAGATTATTCCACGAGAACGTATGAGAGATTGTAACGAATGTGAACGGCAAAAAATCAAGTGAACTACAGGTCAGCTTGGAGCTATGAGACGATAGATCGAGTACAGAAAGAGAATCGGCGAAGAGGAGATTGAACATTTATTGGAGAGTGGAAGAAAAAGACGAGGAATACCAAGTGGAAGAAGAGAAATAATGAATAGTTCGAGTCTCCCGCGAGGGATGTTGCTAAACACTCCCTGATATAACTGTACCCGTCAATTGACGCTTTTCTGACAATGTGTTTCAATGAACGCTGACGAGTCGGCTTTGATTGTTTGATGGAACCCGCGAATAAGCTTCAATCCATGTTGTTTAGACTTCCATTCAGTGTATGTCAGCGGCTGACACTTGTCCCATTCCCTGGATTCGATGTCGGCCAGACGACCTAAATACCAATATTCCCTCCATTGACACCAGTGACCGTAGTTCTCCCCGCATTCATCCTTTTTGTAATAGTGTGCCAGTGGCCACCATGATTTGAGGGACGTTTGGCCTTTATCTGCACAGATTCTAAATTGGACTGTGAATCAGAATTAGTAGGGATTCACTTACCGTTTACGCACACGTATGCCCCGCAGATCAAGTCCAGTTCGTCTGTTGTCAGTTCGTCGTAGCCGAGGCCAGTGTCGCCAAGTTCTATTCGATTACCTCCCTCTTCTCTGCCAGCGACTGTATATGAGGATAGACTGAGTGTCCCTATAGCCAGCCTCCAAACCAACCCTCCTCGCGTAAGTGAAGCTTTTAAATGTGGCTGTGAAAGTAGCTGGGTACGAAGATGAACATAGCTGTCATAGTCGCTTTTGGTGAAGATATGGTCGAGGGGTCGTGTGGGGATCGGGTGTGTCGTTAAGGTCCGAGAAAGGGAGCCGGTGTCTGATTTTAAAGGGTATAGTATCCGGAAAGAGATTCCCCGCTGAAGCATCGTGTAAGCCAAGTCCGTTTCTTTCATCTCGTCTGGCAGCCTGCACAGGAAAAGTGTGTCCTTCGCTGACTGCACCCCGAGCTTCCATGGCACTGTTGGATCAGAGAATTCGAAGTAGTAGAACGGGTTCTCTGTTGCGGCGTTTGTTACGAATTCCGCCCCTATCTTTTCTCTTCGCGTCCTTTCTCTATCACATGACTCACTTCTCTTGTTCACATGATCTCTTTCTTTATCTCGTGACTGTTTTATCAGTTAATTCTTCTTACTGCTGCGGCGCAGCCTTCTTTGACTCTTTATGACTCCTTCTTGCTGCGGCGCAGCCACTCTCTATTGTTCTCTAATTTATCTCTGCTGCGCTCCGCAGTAACCTGTGCTCGCGCAGCCTTCTTCTCTGACTTCTCTTGACTCATATTCACGTAGCTAGATAGGTATATAAGCTCTGTAGATACCTCTCTTGTTCCTTAGCTAGTTCTCGTGAATCATACCCTCTTCTACTCTTCCCTCAAACTCGCTCTAGTCGTCTTAAGACAATACCTCTTGTGAGGCACTCTTAGACGCCTATCTCCTCGAACTCGCCTCGGAACCACAACTCTACGGTCGACGTGCATGCTCACTTGAGTTCGCGTCTCTTGACCGTAACAGAAGAACTAGCTCCAACACATCGTCACTCGTACTTACGGGTGACGACCCCATCGACCACACAGAATTCCCACATACTCGGCATCTGATCCCCCGGAACGACTCCCTACACCACTGCCGTTTGTCGACCCAGTAGCCACCTTAATTGCCTCAACACCCGGATCCCAGTCAACCACACCCAGAGGACGTCTCCGAGGGCTTACCCCAAGCTCAACCAGACCATCAACACCATCTTTACTAGCGGTTAACCAATCGCTCCCTGAAGAAGAAGAAAACAACAAAGCACAAGAAACCCAAGAAGACTCGGAAGACAAGACAGACAACACCGACTGCAGCGACTTTGAACATCGACTCACCAGTGAACACTACGACACTAAACTTAACGACTGGTTCAACTGCGAAAACCAACCTTGCCCCAACTACCCAGAAGACCCAAGACATCAACCAAGCAAACAAGAACTGTCAGAAGTTTCTTTTGAAGAAGAGCCTTCTGCAGAATTCCAGGACGCCCAAGAAGAACCCAACACTGAGCCACAGCATCAAGAGGAAGGACCCTTGATTCCAGAACGTGAAGAGGAAGAACCCTTTACGCCAATCACCCTTGAACAATCAGTCACCATGGTCAGCCCAGCCAACCCAGACAACGGAACCCGAGACGTTGTAATGAGCGACAAAACCAACCAGAAGATCCCCAAAAGGCGAATCAATCCCCCCATCCCCCTTCACCGGCAAAAAGGAAGACCTCAACACCTTCCTCAAGGATGTGAAACTTTACTTGAAGGTCAACAAGCACATCTACAGCGATGACGACAGCAAAATCACCTATCTCCTTTCGTTCCTCATAAGGAGACGAAGCCTCTGCTTGGAAAGAAGCATGGCTACGATCCAAGGAGACCGATTCCGATATCGAATTGGGCACCTGGAAGGACTTTGTCGCCATCTTCAAACAGGCATTCACTCCGATCAATGAACAAGAAGACGCCTTACAGCGCCTGAAGACGATGACCCAAGGAAAGAAGACGGCTGAAGAACATGTAGCCGACTTCAAGATTGTCCTATCGAAAACCAATCTCCTCTCCAAGGACCACGCCAACAAGAACGAAGATCAAAGAGTTGCAGACGCTGGAGACACTGTAGCTAGAGACTACTTCCAAGCCAGTCTGAACGACCCGCTTCGAAAGAAGCTCTTCGACCTTGAGAAACCCCCTCGAACCTTCAAGGAGTGGACTGAGAAAGCCATCGAAAAGGACAACAACTACCGTCGCTACTTTGCCCTCACCAACAAAGCCCCGGCCAAAACCTCGACCTCAACCAGGCAATGGAACTTCAGTCGCCCCGCTCCTGCCAAAGATCCTATGGCCATGGACATCGACACCATCATCTCCAAAGTCAAGGGCTTAGACCAGTCTGCAGGGACCGCTTTAGAGCAACACATCAGGGCAATCGGCCTCGGAAAGCTTTCTCCCCAAGAAAGAGCCGACCTGATCAAGAGAGGAGGATGCTTCCGTTGCCGAAAAGACGGACATCGCTCCTGGGAATGCCCCAATAACACGGCACCAACAATCGCTCTGAAGGGACCAGCAACCAGAACACCAGTAACCGTCAAAACTGGTCTTTCCGCCCAAAGAATGGCAAGGATCTCTACACCAACATCCGGGCCGCGATCCAAGAAGCAGGAGAGGAAGTTGTTGAAGAATTTTACAAGGAACTTGAAACCAACCAGGGTTTTTAGAATGGAGACCTGCATCGACGTCAGTGTCTCCCTATTTATCGATTCATTCTGCCTTAGTAGCCCGAAAGAACAATAAATGCTTATTTATTCCAATGCATCTTGAGGGGCGAAACGGAGAATGGAAAGATAATCGTCGACACCAAAGGAATGATAGATTCTGGAGCTGGAGGGAAATTCATCGACCAAAACTTTGCCCGAAACAAGAAACTTCCACTCCAACTCCTTCCAACACCTCTGAAGGTCTACAACGTAGACGGAACCCTGAACAAACAAGGAACCATCCAATACTCAACCACCATGAACATCACTATCCACGGACACACACGACCCATTACCTTCTACATCACCGGCCTCGGAAAACAGAAAGTCATCATGGGTTTTCCCTGGCTTGAGGAAGCCAACCCCATCATCGACTGGAGGAAGGGTACTCTCGAGTGGCGACAGAGCCCTTTGTCAACACCACCGATCAGACCCACCAAGCCATACACCCAGATCTTCAAGACCACCGTCGAAGAAATCCCGGACACTGAACCGCAGAACCTCGACCCACTACCTGATTGGTACCCGACCACCTCTCCTATGATACCCAAGGATCACTTCAACACCTTCGAAACCTATGTCAACAAGCTTATGGAAGGGAACTTCCACTGGGATAATGACGAGGGATCTCTCTTGACCGACGACCTGGTGATCTCATTCATCAATGGAGAACTTTCCGACGAAACAGAGGACATCTGGATCAACACCACCCTCACCCACTCACAGGCCTTCGAGCTCAAGTACAACCAGCGAGAAGAAATCAAGGACATCAGGCAACATGTACCTCCCGGAATATCACGAATACCTCTCTGTCTTCGACGAGAAAGCGGCCTCCTGATTCCCCGAGTCTCGACCTTGGGACCACAGGATAGATCTGAAACCATCCAAGGTTTACCCGCTCACACCAGAAGAAGAGAAACTCGTCAAGGAATTCATCGATGACAATCTGGCCAAAGGATACATTCGACCGTCGGACTCCCCACAAGCATCTGGATTCTTCTTCGTCCCCAAGAAAGACGGAAAGAAACGCCCGTGTCAAGACTATCGCTACCTGAACGAATGGACCGTCAAGAACGCTTATCCCCTTCCCCTGGTTACGGACCTCATGGACAAACTGAAAGGAGCCAAATACTTCACCAAGCTCGACGTCTTGAAGGGTTACAACCAATATCCGTATACGCGATGGAGACCAGTGGAAAGCAGCATTCAAAACAAAATTTGGCTTACACGAACCTACGGTCATGTTCTTCGGCATGTGCAACTCCCCAGCAACCTTTCAGGCAATGATGGACCACATATTCTCCTTGCAGATCGAAGGGAATTTTGTCATCATCTACATGGACGACATCCTCATCTTCTCCAAGACTAAAGAAGAACATGAGCGACACACCAAGGAAGTCCTTCGGATCCTCCGTGATAACGATCTCTACGTCAAACCCGAGAAGTGCGAATTCACCAAGGAAAAGATTGCTTACCTCGGGTTCATCATTGAACAAGACCGAATCTCCATGGACCCAGCAAAGGTTAAAGGGCTCCAAGACTGGCCTGCACCACAAACCATCAAGCAAGTCAGATCTTTCCTCGGCTTTGGAAACTTCTACAGGAAGTTCATACGGAAATACTCCGACATTGCTCGACCCCTCAACGAACTCCTCAAGAAGAACCAAGCATTCAAGTGGACCGATGAATGTCAAGAGGCCTTTGACATCCCTGAAGAAACGCTTCTGTGAAGAACCTATTCTCATGATGCCCGACATGTCCAGACCATTCCAGATCGAATCCGACGCCTCCAAATACGCCTCCGGAGCAGTCTTGACACAGATGGACTCCAATGGTAACTGCCACCCAGTTGCCTTCTTGTCTAAGTCCTTCTCCCCCGCCGAACGGAATTACGAGATCTACGATAGAGAACTCCTTGGAATCATTCGAGCACTCGACAAGTGGCGCCACTACATCCAAGGAAGCCCCCATGAAACTCTGGTCTATTCCGATCACCTCAACCTCACGTACTTCCGATCTCCGCAGAAGCTCAAACCCTGACAAGCACGTTGGCAATTGAAACTGACAGAGAGCGCCATCAAGTTGTCGCATTTACCTGGACACAAGATGATCCTATCGGATGCCCTGTCCCGACGCCCCGACCTGTGCCCCGAAGAAGACCACGATAACGAAAACATCACTCTACTACCAGAAGAACTGTTTGTCAACCTCGTCGACTTGAAAACCCTCACCGTAGGACTCGTTGACATTGCTCTACAAGAGGAGATTGCCAAATGCCAGGATTTCGACACGGAAGCCACTGACGCCCTGAAGATCATCCTAGCCGATGGACCAAAGGCCATGAAGGACGATTTACAAGATTGGACAGTAGAAGAACGCGACGGATTCCGACTCCTATGAATGGGATTCTACCATTTTGGTACTAATCATTACTTACAGTTGTCTATATGGATATTTTTATGTGTTTTATTGCATATACAGCAGTTATTTAGTAGAAGCTATACATAGATATTGAAATAAATGGCTTTTGATTGATTTTTATCAAAACCCTTACCCCCGACTGGGGGTGGGGGTTTGGCCAAGGGTAGCCGGACACCTACCCTTACCCCTACCCCCGCTCTACCCCTGGCCTCTACCCCGGGGGTTTTAAAACCCCTTGGCCATCCCTAAGCCCTGGACATGAAGCTCCACTTCACATCCGGCTACCACCCAGAAGGAGACGGACAGACAGAGCGGGTCAATCAGACGCTTGAGCAGTATTTGCGGACCTACTGTAACTACCAGCAGGACAACTGGCATGAACTCCTCCCACTTGCGGAGTTTGCGTACAACAATGCGCCTAGTGCCACAACTGGTGTTTCACCATTCTTCGCCAATAAGGGTTATCATCCGAACATCTCTGTTCACCCTGAACGCGATCTTGCGAGTTCCACAGCCCCCGACTTTGCGGTCGACCTGCAGGAGCTCCACAAACACCTCCGCACCAGTATCGCCAGCGCGCAGGAGTCCGCACGCCGCTATGCGGACCAGAAGCGCTTACCTCCGCCAGACTTCAAGGTGGGCGACCGAGTTTTCATTAAGGCCCAGTTCTTCCGCACAACCAGACCTACCAAGAAGCTTTCGGAACGATACTTTGGCCCTTACGAGATCATTGCCCAAGTTGGAACGGTTTCCTACACTCTCCACCTCCCCGACTCTCTCCGCGCTGTTCACCCCCGTCTTCCACGTCTCTATGCTCGAACCGCATTACACCTCTCAGATTCCGCATCGCCACGAAACCGCCTCCGCCTCTCAATCGAGGTGGATGGGGAACTTGAATACGAGATTGCGGAGATCCTCGACTCCAAATTGGATCGTCGCCTGCAAACATTGCAAGCTCCTCTACGAAGTGCGGTGGCGCGGATACGAGAATACGGACGAGGAACGCAGCTGGCTCCCTGCCACAGAGCTTGAACACGCCCAAGAGATCATTGGAGAGTTCCACAAGAGGTACCCAGACAAGCCTGGTCCTCATTGGTGATTCCCCGCATTCCGCAGTTGACTCCACATTTCTTCTTCTCTTCTGTTCCCTTCTATTTTCCTAAGTTCTACCTTCGTCTCTCCGCTTTCCGCAATTTTCCGCATCCTGTTCCTTCCGCTTCTTTCTCTACAATTTGTGGTTCCGCATTACTCCTTTCCCCTCTATGCTTCCTCCGCTCCTCTATGCCTTACCTGTTTGACCTTTTTCTCCTGTTCCGCATTCCTCTCTTCTTGATATTCTCGCTTACTCCACTTATTCCACTTGCCTTTCATTTTCCTCCGCTTCACTATGCCTTCCCTTACTCCGCACATTACACTTCAATTTCTCCCTTGCCTCCGCTTGTCTTTCCTCATTTTCATTTCCTGTCCGCACTTTCTATTTCTACTTCAAGAGGACAAGAAATTATTTTTTCACTTCTCCGCAAACGCACCGCAGAGTCACAAGCATGCTGATGATGCCGAGTTGCAAAATGCAGACATCAGATTCTGTGCATGGACCGAGTCCTAACACAAGCCTCGAGGGCTCGGCCTTAACAGGGAGGTACTGTTAGGGTCTCGAACATCCACCCACATCTACGCACAACCCACCAGCCTTGATCCACACTCCCCGCACAGTCTCACATGATCCCGCATGACTCCGCACATCCCCGCACTCGCCATCATCTCTCCGCATCCCGCATCTCCCACATCTCCGCCACATCCATCCCACTCCTGCACATGCGGACTCCCCGCATGTGTCCGCTCTATGGATGTCCGCATCCGCAAGTCCGCAGCCCGCAAGTACCAGCGGACCGACACGGCCCGCAACTGAGGGCCGGTGCGGACCGCGCGGAGAAACCTCGTAACCGCCCTCTAGGCGCCCAGACTCTGCATGTGATCCCTTATACTCTCTTTATGACTTCATTCTCTGCTTTACTATTGTTCTTTAGAATTGACTTACTCATCCCTTTCGCATTCCGCGGTATTCCGCATTTCTGCTATGACTCAGTTTTATCTCTTGTCCCAGACTTGTCCCAGAGTATATCCAGAGTATCTACAGATATATAAGCTAGCTAGATTTCTGTAGTAGATACTCATCCGGAATCTCGAATCAGACTTATACAGAACTTCTCCTCTGTCCAGTCTTGAGCCTTTCAGGCTTGCTAGAGCTTTCCGCATACTCCGCATATCCGCACAGTGCTCCTGATTCCGCTCCCGCAAGGCTCTCTCCTCTCCCTACTCGTCTTCCGCCGCAAGGCGCGTCTCTCTCTCCCTCTCCTCCCTCTCTCCTTTCGGGTTGGACCATATACCACCAGCGTGGGCACAACGCAATACGTTGAGGCCAAGGTCCCTTCGACTCCGCAGACTCCGCAGTTCCGTAGAGTCTAACAGATGGGAATTTCATCGAGAGAGAGCAGACCACTCAGTAGGATACCCCATGTCCCTTGAGCGGGCTGACGGGCAGATATGGCATCAGACATGTAGCTAGCTGACGAGCCGAGATCAGATCAAACCATCAGTAGCCTTGGGTCAGCCAATGCAGTGGTACTACCATCACCTTTGTAGCAGCCCTTTAGTGACTTGACCCATCTAAGTTATTCCAACCAACAGAGAAGAACCTGCAGTTCCTTTGTATCAGCCTGTTGCACTGGAAGGCCCCTAAACACTTCTTAATTTGGCTGTGGGAACCTGTAGTCAAATTCATGTGACATCACTGCTATAGAATTTCCTTTTTGCGGGGATTGATTGGATTTCTATGTGGCCGGGATTTTCTGGGGGAATCCCGGAGAAAGGCAATGAGGGGATTGGTTAAAGGTGCTGGTGTATATTAGCAAATGGTGCAGATCAGATTTAGTCTGTGCTGGTGTACTCAAATTGACATTCTGGAACTGCCAAAATCTGTTGGAGATTGCAAAAATGTGCCAGGAATTACAGAAAAAAATTGTCAATCAAAAATTGCAGAAAAATGTGTTGGGAATTGCTGGGAAATGTGTCGGAAATTGCGGGGAAATGTGTCAGAGATTGTGGAAGTCCGAAAAATGTGTCGAAAATTGTGGGAAATTGTGTTGGGAATTGCGTGGAGATAGATTGGGAATTGCGCAAAAATGCGTCGGAAATTGCAGGAACTTGTGTTGGAGATTGCGGGAAAATGTCCGAAAAATGCGCCGGAAATTGCGGAAAAAATGTGTCGGAGATTGCGGGAAAATTGTGTCGGAGATGGCGGAAATCCGAGAAATGTGCCGGGAATTGCGGAAAAATGTGTCAGGGATTGCAGAAATATGTCGAGAATTGTGGAAAAATGTGTTGGAGATTGCAGAATGTGTCCGGATGTATCAGTTGTACCTTCTTGTGAACAAAAAGTGTCTATCGTATTTATTAGGTCTTAGGAATATACTAAAAAGTGGTATAGATTGGCAAAAAGACAATAGGAACTTACTACATGCATTTCAAATTTGCTAAAAGAATCCAAAGTTAAAATCATTGGGAACTTATTAACAATGTACCATGTTGGGATAATTGATAGCATTGGGAATTTGTTGAATGCACCAGCAATTTATTCAAGGTGGTGAAACCCAACACAGATGTTGGGAACTTGTTCAAGGTGTCTCAGATTTGCTAAAGATGCTGGGAATTCATTGAAGGCATTGGGAACTTCCACAGGGTGTTGGAAAACCACTACAGGAATTGGAGTTTGCTGAAGACGTCCGGAATCCAGGTGTCAGGAACTTGCTCAAGGTGTTAGTAATGTACTCCAAGCGTTGGAAACGCACAAAAGAAATCAGAGATTTGCTCAAGGCATTGGAAACCCCCAAAAGACGTCAGGAACTCATTCAGGGAGTCGGAGACATCGGGAATTCGTTGAAGGCATTGGGTACTCGCTCAAGGAGTCAGGAATTCATTGAAGACATTGGGCATTTGCTCAGGGAGCCGGAAACTGTCAGGGGCCTGTCATTCCGTCCGTCCCATATCCGTTTATCCGTCTATCCGTCTTCCGTTCAACAGTAGGCGACCAATACCTGACATGATCAGCTCTATATATAGTGCCAGCAACCTATCACCTTAACCGGTGATAGCGGCCTTTTTGGCTCAGTTGGTTTATCGCGAGTTGCTGGCGCGGTTTCTAACAGAAACCCGAAACAGACGTTGACAGATGTCAGGGATTCGATCAAGGCGTCCAAAACCAACAAAAGATGTTGGGAATTCATTGAAGGTATTGGGAATTCATTCAGGGAGTCAAAAGCTCCCAACAGACGTCGGGAATTCATGCAGGGCATTGCAAACACCAAGACAGACTTTGGCAATCTGCTCAGGGCGTCGGAAACCCGCAATAGATGGTGGGACTTTGATTAAGACATCGGAAATTTGTTAAGGGCGTCGGGAATTCCCACAGGGTGTCGCGAAGAGCGAGCACTAAACCAAACTAGAAACCAGATAAGGCGAGCGGTTAACGAGATAAGAGGAGTGAGAGCGATGAGAGACGTTGAGCACTGGGTTGAGAGCAATGAATAGAGTGATGAATTGACAAAGAGGGTCAAGCTGAGGAACATGCAGAGCGAACTACCTAAGTTATATACTGTAACTACAACCTACATATCCGCAATGAGTCAGGATGACGAGCGATGAGGCAATACAACAAGAACAATAAGAAAAGGTCACAAGGCTGGGCGAAGGCTGCACCAAAACAAGGGTGAAACAATAAAGAAGTAATGACGAGTCATAACGAGTCATAAGGCTGTGCAAGAATGAAAGAACAATAGAGAACAGGGTAGAGGGCAAGACGAGGCAGTGTTCCATGAGAGAAAGTGTCCATGACGAGAATAAAGGGGAAAAGACAGGGGCAACGATAAGATAAAAGATGAACGAAGCGATAAGATAAGATGGGAAAAATAGGGGTCGTACCAGCAGTTCACGACATTACCCCCCTTCTAAGACTCATCGTCCTCGATGATCCTAGGCAAGCGGCGCCCCTCCTCCCAATCCAGGTCCATATGCCAGAACGGTTGAGTTGTCGGCTGTTTCTGCCAGGGAATAGATGCAAAGGCGGTGGCAGAGATACGATGTGGTGCGTTCGGATGTCGACGGTGGTATTCGGCGATGAGCTCCTGCGCGTTCTTCAGGTTCTCCTCCAGTTCCCAGGAGTCGTGTCCAGCGCTATATCCCTTCCAACTGACCAGGTACATGAGCTTCTGGCCCCTCCCCCTCTTGACGAACTTGCTATCCAGGATGCTGTCGACTTCGTACTCAAGCTCCCCCTCCAGTTCAACAGGTTCAGGCGGGGGTGGCAAGGTGCCGTTGACATCATTACCCTTCCAGGGAGAGAGCTTGTCGACGTGGAAGACAGGGTGGATGCGAGAGAGGTTCTTGGGGAGATCGAGCTTGTAGTCGAGGTCGCCGACGCGTTTGAGAACCTTGTAAGGGCCGAGTCGAAGATCGCCAAGTTTGCGAGTGGGTACCTTGAGCTGAATGTCCTTTGCGTCGAGCCAGACATAGTCGCCTTCCTTGAACTGGTGGGCAGATCGCTTGCCGGCCTCATAGATGTCCTTCTGATGAGCCTTTTCGAGTCGAAGAGCAGCTTCGGCGTCCTTCCGGACATCCTGCAAGTGCTGGAGGCGGTCATCGACGGGTCGGAGTCCAGTTCTCTTGCCAATCGGGATGTTGAAGTGAGGGATGTAGCCATAAAGGACTTCGAATGGTGAGCGGTTGTGGGCGGAGTGGATACGGGAGTTGATAACAAATTCGGCCATTGGAAGGTGTTCGTCCCAATCGTCCTGACGGCGGTTGACGTAAAGACGTAGGTACTTCTCGACTTCTTGGTTGGCTCGTTCGGTCTGCCCATTGGCTTGAGGGTGATAGGCCGTGGTAAGGTTGGACTGGATGCCGAGTCGACGGAGAAGGGTGCGCATGACCTTGGATGCAAACTGGGGGACCGCGATCGACCTGATGAACTGCAGGGGAAGGCCGTGAAGGCGGAAGATTTCTCGGTAGTAGATGTCTGCGACCCCTTCGGTGGTGATGTCAGACGAGCAGGGGAGGGCGTGGAGAACCTTGCTGTAGTGGTCGGTGAAGACAATGATGGCGTCGTGTCCGTGTGCTTCGGGAAGCTGAGTGATGAGGTCGACGCCAACAGATTCCCAAGGGCCTTGGGGTACGTCCAGGGGTTGGGTGGAGGCCCTTGGGGTGCTGCATGTACTTCTTCCGCGCGCAGGTGTCGCAACCATCCACGTACTTCTTGACAAATGCTCGGATACCGGGCCACCAATACTGTCGTTCAACTCGTTCAAGTGTTCCATGGACGCCGGGGTGACCAGAGGTGGGATCGTCGTGGCATTGCTTGAGGACGTCGCGGCGAAGTTCGTCGTCCGGGGGAACATAGACACGTCCCTTGTAGTACACCAGACCGTTTTCCTCTTCCCATTCGGCAAGACCGTTAACCAGACGGCGGGGACCGGAAGTGCGGAGTTGGGCAAGCCCTTCCAAGACGTGCGTCTCGCGAGTGCTGGTGTCGCGGATACGCTGCTCCAGGGGGTTGACGAGCATATGAGTGGCGGCGAGCTTGGCGAAGTACTCTGGTTTGAGAACAACTTGCTGCCTTATTGTCTTCGGCGTCCGTGACCTGATGGGTGTCTAGGCGAGAGAGGGCGTCGGCTTGGGTGTTGCCCTTGCCAGGGCGGTGGGTGAGCAAGAACTTGAAGCGAGAGAGATAGAGAGCCCATCGTGCTTGTCGGCGGCTAAGGTCTTGAGCGGAGCGCCAGTACTGGAGATTGGAGTGGTCGGTGACGATCTCGAACGGGTCGGGGAGTCCTTCTAAGAAGTGTCGCCAGTCCTTGAGGGCTTCGATCATGGCCAACATTTCGCGGTCGTAGATCTCATAGTTGCGTTCAGCCGGCTGCATGGAAGCGGAGCGGAATGCGACGGGGTGCCAGAGTCCATCATCGTGCTTCTGAAGGAGGGCCCCTCCTGTGGCAAAGCCTGAGGCATCGACTTCAATGCGAGTGGGCCGGCTAGGGTCCCAGAGGGTGAGGATAGGAGCGGAGGTGAACGTGTTCCGGAGGGTATCGAAGGCCTGTTGCTGGGGTTCGTTCCATTGCCAAGGGGTGTCCTTCTTGGTGAGGTCGTTGAGCGGGCGAGCAATAGTGGCGAAATCCTTGATGAAGCGGCGATAGAAGTTGGCAAAACCGAGGAAGCCTCGTAGGGCACGGAGGTTGCGGGGAACGGGCCAGTTGCGGACTGCTTCAACCTTGGTGGGGTCCATGCGCACTTCGCCTTCTCGGATAACCAATCCCAAATACTCAATCTCCTCTCGTTCGAACTCGCACTTTTCAGGCCGGAGGTACAAGTCGTGCTTCTTGAGGCGTTGAAGGACTTCGTGAACGATCTGGCGGTGCTCTTCCAGAGTGGCGGTGAAGATAAGAATGTCGTCAAGATATACTGCGACCTTGCCGGCAGCGATAAGATCGGAGAAGATGGAGTTCATGAGCGCTTGGAAGGTGGCGGGGGAGTTGGTGAGACCGAAGAACATGACCAGGGGTTCGAACAGGCCTTGGTTAGTCGCAAACGCTGCCTTCCACTCGTCTCCTTCCTTGATGCGGATGTTGTTGTAAGCCCCAACGAACATCAAACTTGGTGAAGTACTTGGCACCACGGAGACGGTTGATGATATCGGAGACAAGGGGAAGTGGGTAGCGGTTTTTGACAGTGATCTCATTGAGCCGACGGTAATCCTGGACGAAGCGAAGTTTACCATCCTTCTTCTTGACGAAAAAGACCGGAGACGAAAGAGGGGACTTAGAGGGACGGATGTAGCCTTTCTTCAAGTTCTCGTCGAGGAAACGGTTGAGTTCCTCCTGCTCATTCTGGGACATGGGATAGACCTTGGTACGCATGGTAGTCGGAGCTCCGGGGATGAGATCGATAGCGTGATCCCAAGGCTTGTGCTCAGGGAGGCGGTGAGACTCGGATTCGGAGAAGACGGAGGCATGTTGGCGATACTGCGGAGGAACCATCTCTTCGAACGTTTTCTGGGGTTTGGTCTTCTGCGCTTCTTCGGCAATCTTCTGGGAGTAAGTGAACCCGGCTGCACACCAGAGTTCGTCACCAGTGGCTTCAATCAATCCCGCTCGGACCCATTTCCTACGGGTGACGCGGTTGGCACGGATGCGGAGCAATGGCGGTTCCTCTTCGGGTTCCGGAGCAGGATCTGGAGTCGGATCTGGAGCGGGATCGGGAAAAACAGGCTGTGGGATCAAGGGCAGCAGTCACATCAGAGCTGCGTGATCTGCTCCAGGATGGCGTTACCGGAAGGGGCTCCTCGGTAAGGGATCTGAGCGTCTTCGTCTGGGATTTCCTCGATAGTGACACTGGCGACCTTGGGGGCAGGGATGTGGAGTGTGCCTTTCCGCCAATCGATCTGGGGGTTGATCTTGCGAAGCCAAGGGAGTCCCAAAATGACGTCCTCACCTCCAAGATCGGAGATGAGAAAGTCCGTCCACTCGGTATGTCCATCCACCGTGAGTTCGAGTCGAGAGAAGTGGGTGATATGGCCAGCCTGGTTTGGGGTACCGTCGATGTTAAGGAGTTGGATAGGGTGCCGGAGGGGATAGGTGGTGATGCGGTGTTTGGCCACAAAGGGTTTGTCCAGGAACTTGCCAGTGGCGCCACAATCAATCATTGCTGCAGGATTTGCCGTTCGGTTCCTGCCTCTGAGTCTGATCCGGATGCGAAAGTGGGATGAACCAGGGTGTATTTCGCGAACTGAGCTAATAGTACATGAACGAATGGAATCATACTCGGAGACGGCATACGGCGGAGAGAGGGGTGCAAGCGTTGCGGCTTTAGCAAGCACCCTTTTCAAAAATCCTGTTGGAGCTGCTCGAGCTTGGCCAGGATTTCGAGTTGACGTTGCTGGGCGGCATTGATGGCGTTAATATCGACAGAAGGGGACGGGGTGGCAGCGACAGTGGCAGTAGCGGTGGGAGCGGACGAGCCTTCGTTGAAGAGGGAGAACGGAGCTTCCTGAGTGGCAGCAATGCGGCGGCGTGGGGCAAGACCTCGACCTGGCGTGATACCCATATATTTGTCCTGGCAGACGTTGGACGAGTGACCCATGCGTTGGCAGTAGTTGCATCGGAGACTGCCGTGGTTTCCGTCCTTCTTGACATGGGCGGTCGAACCACAACCAAAGCACCGTCCGCGCATGGCTTGGAGGAAGTCATCGCGAGACTTGCCGTTGGGTCCTACACGGGTTGCATCGATGTCCATGGCAAAGGGATCACGAGCCGGGGCAGAGCGAGCCGAATATATTACTTGAAATGCGAGATTTCCTTTTGGTCGCACTCAGCATGATACTCCCAAGAAGAACCGGTTTATTGGATGAGTCCTAGCCAAGCAAACCACGGCAGAAGCAGCAGCAGCTGAGAATATCCCCTATCACACTGCTGCCAAAATCCGACAGAAATTCTACGCAACTGGCTCAACAAGCAACCACCCTCGATCCGGTCGGCCAAAAATAAATACAGATCGTGACGAGCGACACATCATCAGAACAGCCACGAAATCACGTCAAATGACCTTGAAGGACATCAGCAACCAGTCAACAAAGAAATGCTCAGTTGACACTGTCCGGAGGATCCTTGACCGTCATGGTTACCACAGACGCATCGCTAGGAAGAAACCATTCCTCAAACCACATCACAAGCAGGCTAGGCTTGAATGGGCCAAGTATCGGAAGGATTTTGGGGATGTCGACTTCGCTTTTACCATCTTTTCGGACAAAACCTATATCTGCCTTGAAGATAAAAGCCGCCGGGTGTTTGTTACACGTCGCCCTGACGAAGAATTCCAAGAAGATTGTCTATTACCAACATTTAAACAGTCTTCGGTGCGCGTCATGGTGTGGGGGTGCATAATTGCTGATAGGAAGGGCCCTTTGGTGGTGTTAGAATACCCGGGAGGAAAGGGAGGAGGAATGACAGCAGAGAGATACAAGGACCAGGTTTTGGATGGGGTATTGAAGCGATTCTATCAGGAGGTGGTAGAGGAGAGAGGATGTGTTGATTTCCAGCAAGACGGAGCGCCGAGCCATCGCGCAAAGCTTATCTCGAAGTGGTTCCATGATTCCGGCATCCCATTGGTTGACCACCCAGCCCAATCACCAGATCTCAACCCCATCGAGCCCCTCTGGCATGATCTCAAGGACATTATACGTTCGGAATACACTATCAACACTGTCGATGACCTCAAATGTGCTGTACGCTCGGCATGGGAGAAGCTACCCATGGAAAACATCAACCGTCACATTTCCTCCATGCCCGCCCGTGTTCAGGCTGTTCTTGACTCAAAGGGTGGCCATACCCCATTTTAATTTGTAATATATACTGTATGGACACTAGAAATTACATCTATACAAATACTCCTGCATTCCCTTTGCCGAAGTTCAATAAAAATGCTTTGAAACTCATTGAGGATGAGATGATGATGTGTGGGAAAGAAATGGCTAGCCATCACTTTTGCGACCCACGAGTACACCCTTCCGAGACGTCTGCAGCCAGGGCCCCACGAGCAAAGGAACCTGATGTGACTGGTTCTCATGTCAAAACCAAAAGGATCCGGAATACAGATCCATATGGGGGTGGTGAGCGCTCGGGAAAAAAGGCTCGCACTGATGCTCTGTCTAAACCTACCCCTCCCGCCACTCCATCTACATCAAATACCACCAGCGCCTCATCTGGCAACAATGTCTATGCTACTTCAGCCCCACCAAATTCGCCCTTCCCATCCGACACTCCACAAATACCTCACTTTACGTGGTTACTAAACGATCATTATCTGAACTCATTACCGCGCTCGTATCTTGATTACATTTGCTGTTATTATGGCATAGAACCTGTAGGTACCGATAGTGATGTTAGGCGCCTAGTGGAAGGTGTGGCCGTGCGTTTAGGGCAGGCCAGTTTGGTGCATACTGTACTCTAGTCGAATCTCCGCTAGTATTTTATGTTTATTCGAGGAATTTCGAGCTTTATTTCATGAATGCCAGTGAAATATGTCCACCGTATTGATGTGAATGTCTTAATTTAGGTTCCTTCCTTTTTCGCATATCACGTGCATGGGGCGGAATTTGCCCAACTGCTGTCAACGATGTTGTTATCGGCATCACGGAGCAAACTGTCAACATCAACTTCGATGTCTTCTCCTGACAGCGAGCACTGTTGGGCGGCTGTGGCATAACGGGCTTGGTGACGACAATGACGAGAAAGCCTTTGACGAAATTTTCGAAAGGCGAGATACTGCCTAACAAGTTCATTATGGTGTTTCTGACAGAGGGTATGTCGAGGCATGATGGTTTAAGTCAAATTTGGACGGGTGCATTCCTTTTTCAGCGCGATCAAAACACCTTAAATACATGGTGTACATGAATAAGCAGTTTGGGATGGATATTCCCGAGCAGCGATCCTGCGGCAAAACTGGCCCATAACCAGAAATTGAACGGGGTGGTCAGAGTAGAACCAGGTTATGGGTCGGTTTTGATGACGGAAAACCAAAGTGAGAACCGCATCATAACCGATGCCATAACCGGCCCATAACCGCTACTCTGACCCCCCCTAATTAAGAACGAAGTGAGGAAACTAACTAAGAAAACTGGAGTCCTTATATACTAGAAGACGTGTTGTTAAACATGTAGGGAAGGACAGGGGTAACCCCTGGGTAGCCGGACACCTACCCTTACCCCCCAACTCTGGGGGTTTTAACCAAGGGTATTTAGCATTTTGACACTAACCATTAGTCACAGCATAATATAGATATATTGATGTGTTTTATCGCTCATACAGCAGTTATTTAGTAGAAATTATACATAGATATTGAAATAAATAGGTTTTGGTTGATTTTTATCAAAACCCTTACCCCCGACTGGGGGTAGGGGTTTGGTCAAGGGTAGCCCGAGACCTACCCTTACCCCTACCCCTGCTCTACCCCTGGCCCCTACCCTGGGAGTTTTAAAACCTCTTGACCATCCCTATAACTATGAGGCGTAGTCCTCATGGATAACATGTGTATTCCACAGAAAGTATGTAGGTTTCGGTGTGTTTTTAATAAGTATCAGTCAGCAATGAATATGCAGTAAATATGAGTAAGACGATGAGTTGGAATGAAAAACATAAGGTAACAATGAGGTGAGTATAGTAATATGGTGTAGTAATATAGTAAGCATATATGTTGGTAACAGCATGAGTATCTTGGCATGGGTGACTCAGATCCGTGAGTCAGGATACTCACAAGTATTCCCATGGATCTACTTGCAAGTACTTGTGAGTAGCCTAGTAGGCTAGTGATCACCAGAGGTTAACCCCGGGTTTCGGAAGGCCGACCCGGACCCGACCCCTGGCATAACCCTACCCGTAACCCGACGGGTTTTCCGCACGGGTTGGGCCTTAGATCATCGAAAACGGATAAGAAATGACTGAGATATGGTTAAAATACTAATTTGACTGTATCTCAACCATTTCCCATCCGTTTCGGATGATCTATGGCTCGTTTTAAAGATCTCGGGTTTGAAAATGGCGACCCGTACCCGACCCGTCGCAGGGTTGACCCGAAAACCCGCAGGGGTCAGCCGACCCTTGCTTTTCACTATCTCAGAGTAGGGCTGACTTGTGGACAGCCTTAGTACAAGTTGATTCATCTTTGCGAAGGCATGAGGCCTTGAGGCTGGATGTCCATAGTTGTGACATAGTGATCTGGTGTCCGTAGTGAGCCCTAACTACAGACACACCTGCAGGTAAGTAAAGGCATGTAATTTGTCCTTTGACTACACTGTACAGACTTTCTAAGGATGTCTGTAGTCATGTTTCTCATAGTGTACAAAGATACTTTGTAACTTTGAATACACATCTTGTGTCAGTGGACACGGGGTACACACACTGACAACTGTGGGCCATAGGTGGAGTGAATGTGGTGGAAGAGATTGTTCTTAGAGACTGGAGTTAATAAGTTATGGTTGTCCTGGCTCATTGAGGGCATTACATATGTGAACAATGAATGGGTGTCTAACAGACTCCTTGACCTCAGGGTGCAGAAGTCCACAGATATAGACATGACTTTCGGGAAGCCCTTGAATTTGAGAGTTCCTGCTATTCTCACTTTCGCCATTTGATCGCGTGATGCATTATTTAAGCAACCGCAGCACTGCCACTGTACCTACAGATATTCCGTCGTGCTTATTTCGGCGATGCTGCGCCCGGGCCTATGGCTGAACGGGTGGCTACACCCTTGGGCCACGGTTTCAAAATCGTTCCCCACCCGTCACAATATTAATCCCCCTCCTCTCTTCTCCTTTTTTCCTCCTTCCTTCGATAATTTTATTTTATTTTTTTAGTACGCTGAGCCTTCCGCAACAGAAACGGCCGATTCGGCCCGAAACGGACAAGGCAAGCATGAGCAAACAAAGTGGGGGCCAAATTTCGTAGGAGGGATGATGAGTGTGAAACTAGGATTGCATTGTCTCGCTAGTTCACAATACGATGCGTATGTGCGTTCTTATTCTGTCGTTTGGATCACCTTAACCCGATCCTTTAATTTTCAGCACCCAAAAAAGCGAAGAAGATCGCTCTCAGCGAGTTCTTAGGCGATACTGGTGTGTTTCCATCATACACCAATCCGTATGCGTTCCTTATCGCATCTTCCTAGCTCTTGGATCATGGGCCGACGAAATGGAAGACCTGCCCAGTGCCCGTAAGTCTGTCCTAGTTTGTGCGATCGTATCTGTCTAATTTTTGCCCAGCGGCACCCAAGATTGACGAGGACGCCGGCCGTGATAGTCGGTTCGGCCGTAGGGATGACTTTTCCCGTCGTATGTATCTCGTCGATTTCCACCATTTCTGAGAAACTCATCCGAATTACCCAGCTGAGAGACCCGGTTTCGCTAGGGAAGATGTCCCGCTCCCAACTAACCCTCCGTACACTGCGTTCGTTGGCAATCTTGCTTTCGACTTAGTTGAGGACGACATCGCAAACCACTTCGCCGATCTGAAGGTTTTTGAATTTATCATTCGTATTTCCATATGCTCAACGACAGTTCTCAGATTAATAATGTCAAGATCATCAAAGATAGGGACGACAGGCCCAAGGGATTCGGTTATGTTGAATTCCAAACCGTGGATGATCTAAAGGAAGCGCTCGGCAGGACGGGCTCGGTGAGTTTGACTATCTTGCTAAATCCCTTCATTCTCTCATCGAGACCAGAGCCTTGCCGGAAGAGCTGTCCGTGTCAGTGTTGCAGAGCCTCGTGAGTTGCCATTGTCCCAGCATGCACCGTCACTGACAAGGGGACGTGTACGTAGCCAAGGAACGATCTGGGTTTGGAGGACATGGACACGAGGACGATTCAAAGTTCGACAGCCCCTGGCGTCGAGATGGACCTTTACCTGATCTGCCCGGTCAAGGACGCCGACGATTCGACCCGCAGTCCGCTGAGCGCGCCCCCAGCATAACCGATACTGTTAGCGATTGGCGATCAAGCCGCCCCCGAGCTACTGAGCCTGATACTGGGGGATTCCGACGGAAAGGGTCTGGAAATTTCGGTAGTGAAAGCGCAGCCGATAAAGAGGAAACCTGGTCGATTGGGAGCCGCTTCAAACCATCCACCGGACCGTCGGAGGACGGTGGAAGCAGGTTCGGTAGCATGCGCTCCAGAGGCGACTTCCAACCGAGGGAAAGCCCTGCAGATGAAGGAGACTGGAGGAGCGCAGCCCGTCCCCCACGAGCCTTTGGAAGGAGCGGAGGATCGCGTATGTGCTGTTTGTTGATTCGGCGCCTCCTATCTTATCTTCTTCCATTCAGCTACCGACTCGACCCCACCAACCCCGCAAATGGGTCGCAAGAAACTCGAGTTGCTTCCTCGTTCTGGGCCAGTCTCAGCGTCCCCCAGCCCGTTGTCGTCACCCAAATTGGCTTCCCAGCCCGCTGCCACCTCCCGCCCGAATCCATTCGGCGGCGCCAAGTAGGTTTCAGCGATTTGGCTCCTTGCCAACTGTGCTAACCCGCGACAACCAGGCCTGTTGATGTCACCCAGCGCGAAAGAGAGGTTGAACAAAAGCTGGAAGCCCAAAAGGAGCGAATTCCCATCTCAAGGACAAGTTCGAGGACCGCATCTGAGCGTACTGCCGGAAACCGTGTTGCGACCCCTCCACCCTCTCAAGCTCGGGCTCCCGCTTCCCCAAAACCGATTCCAGCTGCTCTGAACTCAACCGTGCGACCAACCTTCAGCTTCGCGAACGCGGCCGCGGCGAAAAAGGCCAAAGAAGGGGGCGAAACTGTTGACCAGTCGAAGGCACCGGAAGCGAGTTCTTAGTCTAGTTTAATCTGACATATGGCCTGGCCAATATATCTTTTCCCAGTACATAAAGATGTAAAATATAAACCCCTATTGACGAGGAAGGGCGTGAGTGACACGCGATCAAGGATCACAGCCACTGGAGACGGGAAACAGGGTGGGTGGATATTCTGTTGCACCATCACCCTTACCCTGGCCAGCTCAGGTTTTTCACGAAACTTGGTGAATGAATGAAGCCGCAACCTGGACGACGGGCATAGACTAATGCGGCAGTTCAGTGTGGTTGTTCTTGGAGGTGAGCCATGATCTGGCGCTTTCGGGCCTACCGAGCTAAACCTTGTCCTCCGAATCCAGCTGGGGGTGTGGGCAAGTCGGCCTTGACAGGTTATTTCTTCCTTTTCCCTGTGGGTTGCAGCCAACTCACGACGGCAATAGTTCGATTCATACGCGATGTTTTCGTTGAGAATTACGACCCCACAATCGAGGGTACGTCCCACTTACCACTCGCCATCTGCCGCGAGTTGTTGATCAGTCCCAGAGGAATACCGTCGGACTGTGACGGTGGATGGGCAGCTATCAGCTGTATGTCGCCTCTTCCCTTCACCTACCACTCCTAGCGATTGACTATCTCTCTCAGTTGGAAGTCCTCGACACTGCTGGCGCAGAGCAGTTCACCTCGTTGAACGAAGTTTATATCAAGGTGGCTGGTCCCCTATTTCTCCACCGAACCAGCTGTCTGCTTACACCACCCTTCAGTCTGGACAAGGTTTTGTGCTCGTGTTTAGGTACGAGTCCCCTGCCGCGACTTGGCGTGTGCTGAATGTCTGTTTAGTTTGACGCAGGAAGCCACCCTTAAAGAGGTCGATAACCTTCGCAAGCAAATCTATCGAATAAAGGGAGGCGATACTGTACGTGGCATCTATCTGAACACCAATAACCCCTATTTAACGGTTGCATTTCAGACGATTCCTATTGTGGTTGTCGGAACCAAGCTCGACCTGGTAAACGAGAGAGAAGTGCCTCGAGCGACCATCCAATCACTGTCCAACCGCTGGGATCTCCCATTCTTTGAGACGTCGTCCAAGAAGAACTGGCATGTCAACGAAGTGTTTGAAGACCTCTTACGACAAATGCGGACTCGGTATCCTGTGGAAACGCATCATGTTAAGAAGAAATCCAAGACCTGTACGATTATGTGACGACCCCGTGGATTGGGACACACATCTGCTATCTAGTTTGCTATTTATTTGCAACAACAACATTTGTTATGGACACTCACGACTGCTTGTAACGCTGACTCTGTCGAATTCCATTGTGTCAATAAGTATGACTGCAACCCCGCATTGTTTGTGTTTGTTGTGCTCCTTAGTCAGGAACTTGTGCCAGCCTTGCAAATTGCCTTTTCTTTGCCTCTCTTACTCTCTTCCTCCACAGAACAACACAATAATGGTGCGTTTTGAGGCAACCTCGCCCGTTGAGACGCTAAAATTCGCTTTTCAGAGTTACGGTAACTACAACGGCTATGGAGGCGGTCATGGAGGCTACGGCGGCGGCGGTGGTGGTGGTTGGGGAGGACATGATGATAGAATGTCCAACCTCGGCGGCGGACTGCGTTCTGTCGACTGGGCCAACACCCGCCTGGAGCGCTTCGAAAAGAACTTCTACGTTGAAGACAAAAGAATCACCGCCATGAGCGAGCGGGAGGTCGAGGAGTTCAGGAGGTCAAAGGATATTCGAGTGAGTTTTCTTCTGTTTGCTGCTCTGCACCGCATTTTTGCTGACCGTCCGCCTCAAGGTCCAAGGCCGAAATGTTCCCCGCCCAATCCGATCTTTCGACGAATGTGGTTTCCCTGAATATCTCATGTCGACCATTCGTGCTCAAGGCTTCGACGCGCCAACGCCTATTCAATGCCAGGCTTGGCCCATGGCACTGAGTGGTCGCGATGTTGTCGCTATCGCTCAGACCGGTAGTGGAAAAACCATCTCCTTCGCCCTCCCGGCGATGCTCCATATCAATGCGTGAGTTGCACCCTTTTTTTTTTTTTTGTCTGAAATAGCTGACCAACAAGGATACAGGCAACCACTACTTGCTCCTGGCGATGGCCCCATTGCTCTCGTTTTGGCCCCAACCCGTGAGCTTGCCGTTCAAATTCAGCAAGAATGCTCCAAATTCGGGTAGATCATCCTCTTCGAAACCAAAATTGCCATGCTCATAATCCGTCCACAGTGGTAATTCTCGCATTCGCAATACTGCTATCTATGGTGGTGCTCCCAAAGGCCCCCAGATTCGTGACCTGCAACGAGGCGTCGAGATCGTGATTGCTACCCCTGGAAGGCTGATCGACATGTTGGAGACGCATAAGACCAACTTGCGTCGTGTCACTTACCTTGTCCTTGACGAAGCTGATCGCATGCTTGACATGGGTTTCGAGCCTCAAATCCGCAAAATTGTCAGCCAAATCCGCCCTGACCGACAGACCCTCATGTTCAGCGCCACTTGGCCCAAGGATGTTCAAAAATTGGCGAATGTAAGCCAGTCTGCCTATGTTTGTGTTGAATGTTCTCACGTCGTCCTAGGATTTCCTTCGAGATACCATTCAAGTCAACATCGGTTCTATGGAACTGACCGCTAACCCCAATATCCAGCAGATCATTGAGGTCTGCAGCGATTTCGAGAAGCGCAACAAATTGATCAAGCATCTCGATGAAATCAGCGCTCAAAATGCAAAGGTTCTTATCTTCGTTGCAACAAAACGAGTGGCGGACGACATCACCAAATACCTGCGTCAAGATGGCTGGCCCGCCTTGGCTATTCACGGTGACAAGGAACAGTAAGTGGCTCGTCTTTTCTGTCTGCGTCCCATCTCTGACCAAGGCTGTAGGCGAGAACGTGATTGGGTGTTGGGAGAATTCAAGGCTGGTCGATCTCCAATTTTGATTGCCACGGACGTTGCCTCTCGTGGACTTGGTACGTTTTTAATCTGCCTTTGAGGTGTTCGAAATCACTATGCCAGCTGCGTACACGTGGTCCCGGCGTAGTGACTTGGTTGCCATTCGACCGCATAACAGAGGGAAACCGCCTCGGGCTGGCGGTAAACCGATGTAGCTCAGCAACACTGTCAAGGGTGCGTTTCCGGATTTCGATGAGGTGGTGGGCTTAGCTCCGTGTGGTCGTAAAGGGTCCAATGGCTTCGTTTGTCTTAACGTGGATCAGCTGCACCTCCCTCCGCATCAGGCCTTGGAATACGTTGTATGTTCTTGGTTTGGTTTGGCGACAAAGAAGGTGCAAGATCCGAACACATTAAGCAACTTTGGTCTTCTCTGGACTCTGTTTTGCGTCTCGCCTATCCTCGATCTGGTCGCACCCGGCTTCACCGCCGGTGGTGATGATTGTCTGCTGCTAACATTCTCTCTTGGTCGGGTGTTGAAGCCGAGAATTCTTTCATCCGTCCTCTGTGGTTTCGGCTTTGCTGATGTTCTCCGTCGTACGTGTTCGCTGCGATTAGACGTCAAGGACGTAGGCTATGTTATCGTGCGTGCATTCCGTGCTTGTGGTTGGCGAATGTTTACTGATGGTAATTTGACAGAACTATGACTTCCCGAACAACTGCGAGGACTACGTCCACCGAATTGGACGAACAGGAGTGAGTGGTATCCTTGCATGCCGATGCGATCACCCCTGGCTGACTGGATGTTTGACAGCGTGCTGGCATGAAGGGTGTCTCTTATACCTATTTCACCACTGACAATGCCAAGCTTGCCCGCGAGCTCGTTGGGATCCTGCGTGAGGCCAAGGCACCTGTTCCTCCTCAATTGGAAGAGATGGCTGCCTACAGCGGCGGTGGTGGCCGAAGTGAGTAAATCCTCCAGTCGCTCAATTGCCCGTTTCTGACGTTTGGGCTTAGGTCGATATGGTGGCGGACGTGGACGAGGCGGGGGTGGTGGTTATCGTGGCGGAGGTGGTGGCTACGGTGGCTACGGTGGTGGAGGATCTCGTGGCTACGGTGGTGGTGGAGGTGGCTATGGCGGGGGTGGCGATAGATGGTAATAACTTTACGACTCTGCCCTTTCGGCCTATAAACTGTTCAGCACGCGTTTATTAGAGTTATTCATTATATGACCCTTATATAATCACACTAGTTGTTAGAATGGCATGCTCATTCGGGTTTTGTGCATTGACGACCATGAGTGATTCTGTGGAAAGAGAGAGCTACTTGATCGGGGGTATCGAGGTGGAGGTTTTTCGGGCGGGAACGGCTCGGTCGGGGGCGATATCGGTACTGTTCCTGTTGCACGGGAGGGGAGGATTCAAGGGGGTGCTGGACACACTCGCTCGGGATCTGGTACTCAAAGGGTCTGATGATGGCAGGCTCTTCGTGGTTACTCTGGTAAGAAAGCAGTTAACGGCATCTGTGATTTGGGGTTAATGGTACTTTACAGGATCATCGGAACCACGGTAAACGACTGTTGGATGAAAAGGTCAACAACGACTGGAGCGAAATTCCAAGCAACCCTCGACATGCGTAAGTTTTCCAAGATGTCTGTGGAGTCGGGGTTGAACTAATTTGGTGCTAAAAAAAGGATCGACATGTTTACGATCCAAGGTGGGTTTCTACGAAAGAACATCGAGGGGTGCTCTGGCTGAAATAGAGAAAAAGTGGGAACGGCAAAGGACGTGTCTTTCTTGATAGACTTTTTGCCGTCGTACCTGTCCCCGGATGGAGCGCTCACGGTTGAGAAATGGGGTGTAGCTGGTATCAGCCTGGGTGGACATTCGACATGGATTTCCCTGGCTCGCGGTACGTCTTCCGAGAACATTATTGATGCTTTGAACTCATGAAACACTTAGAGAAAAGAGTGCAAGTTGGAATCCCAATAATCGGATGTCCGGACTACCTTGCCTTGATGCGACACCGCACGGCGAACAACGGGATCCCATTCGCACCACCCTACTTTCCCCCGTCGCTTCTCAAAGCTATTGAAGAGTACGACCCGGCCACCAGTTCAAAAGCCAAAGAAGGAAATCCTTTCATTGGGAAGAAGATACTTGTTATCTCGGGTGGGGATGACAAGCTCGTTCCGTGGGCTGCCAGCCAGGAATTTGTGGATAGTGTTGAAGTTGGAGAAAGCGGGATTAAAAAGGTTGTAGTGTATGAAGGAGTTGGGCACCAGTGCACGGAGGAGATGGAGGGGGAGCTATGCGCGTTTGTAAAATCAGTATTAGCGTGAGAAAATGATTCCCAACAAAGCAAGTTCTTTGGTCATGTTGTGTTTGAAGAGGCAAAAGGTGTTTCGGGAGCGTTGATACTTTGCTCAAATTCTGCTGCCAGCCCTTTCCAACTCGCTTTCTCTCCCTCATTCACACTTTATTCCTTTACGCGTGTTTTCTAATTACTGACCGTCGTCAATACCGTTGCTCTCGTTCTCGGCACCATATTTTCGACAAATTGATGCGCAGGGCCTGATTCTCTTTGAAGAACAGTCGCCATGCCCCGACGATCCACCAGACAAATAGCGTCCGCCCAACAGGAACAAGTCCCAGAACAACCGCTCCAGCAACAGCTACAAGGACCAGACGCAAACCTTTTCAACCTGAGGCGTCACTGGAAATGGGCCGCCGTCACCCAGTTCTACTACATCTTCGCCGACCTCTTCGCCACAAATGATGTCTCCATCACGGTACGCCCAGTATTCGCTATGTTTCTCTTCAAATATACCTAATCCACCCTACAGGATATCGAAAACGACTTTATCCACGGCACAGATGTATTCTTACCGCGCATCATGCAACGCCTCTTGGTTACCCTCTCCTACGACAGAAAAATAACGTATGTATTCCCGGTACAAGTCACGCGAACCCTTCTAACTTTCAATTAGGCTCGACAATTGGCAGAACGCCCTCAGGAAACAGTACGATAGGCGAGACCCAGACGCTAATCCCCTTGGTCCTCCCACCGCCACTGCGGCCACCAATTCAAGGCTTTCTTCCGTCTTGAAGGAAGAAGAGCCCGAGAAACCCTCCTCAGAAACGGGAGACGCAAAGGACGAAGACGATAAACAACCCAATGGGACCGACCCATCCGGTGCGTCATCTCCCACCTGGCAACCGCCCTGCATCCTAATCCTCATTCCATGCATCCAGAAGGGCCCTCCTCCCGTCAACAGACCGAAGACCCTCCTACTCGTCCAATCGCCGAAGAAGAAGACACAGAAAAGAACATAAAGCCGACCGTCGACTGGTCAGAGCTCGACATGTTGCAGAAGCTCGAAACACTCCACACTCTCATTGAATGGCAATTCCAGAACCCACTGCGACTCCGAAGTATCATGAAATCCGACGACGAGTTCGCTTCATGGGTGCGCACATAGCTTTCTCGGCACATCTCCAACATCTGACATGGCACAGAGAACCGAACCTATTGGTTACGACAGGACTCAGAATGCCTACTGGTTGATCGGAGGTCAGATTTCTCCACCAGAGCTCGAACTCTGCTCAATACATTAAACAGGAAACCGTCTTTGGATCCAACGCGTTCCTCCTAAACCACCCGCCAAGAAGAAAAAACGGAAAGAAGCTCCAGCAGTTGGTCAGAAGCGCAAGGCTGCAACTAAAGAAGCTGCAGCAAAACAGAAGACAGCCAAACGGCGGAAAACTCGAGCTGAACCTGCGCCTTCGACACCAACGGCTACACCCAGAGGGAGTAGAGCAGCAAAGGAACAGGCCAAGGCCAAGCTAGATGCTCAAGCCAAAGCACTTGCCGAATACCAGCGCCAGACCGCTTCACAAACTAGGTCTACTCGTAGTACCCGCAACAGCAAACCTGCGCCTCCACCTCCACCTCCCACAAGGGGGACACGCACAAGTTCACGGTTACGAAACTTGCAAGATGACGGTTGGCAACAGGTTCCCGATGAATGGCTAGAACCGCAGAGCTCTCCTAGCAAAGGGAAGAAGACGGGTCTTGAAGGCGATGACGACAGCATAAGCGACCTTACCGAGCTCAGCGACGACGAAGAGGAAGAGGAGGAAGAGGAGCAGGAAGAATCAGAGGAAGAACCAGAGGAACCAAAAGAGAGAACACCAACTCCCGAACCTGAACCTGAACCACAACAAGATTTTGTAGAATGGGAAACGGTGAGCCTTTATATAATCTCGCCCGGATGCCCTGCTAACCATGTTCCCAGCTGTGCGTTACCCTCGCAGAATGGGAAGCCTTTCCAGAGCAATTCGCCAAGTCCACACACTATCTCGAGCGATCATTCTACAAATACCTTACAACCGTCGTTGTTCCTGAAGTGACCGCGGAGCTAAAGGTACACACAAACACTCGATACTGTATTACCTTCTATTAACGCGTTCCTGCAGGCTATAGAACAGAAACGACGACTGGAGGAGGCCCTCAGTCATCGCAAACGCTCCTCTCGCTTGGCTCAGAGGGAAAGCGAAAAGGAGGCTGCACGGATCGCTGCTCAAAAGAAGGCTGAAGAAGATGCGCAAATGGCTCGCACCCGACGGCTCGAGGCGCGTCTTAAACGCGAACAGGAGGAGAGAGAAAAGAAGGAGCGAGCGAGGGAAGAACGTCGGGCCAACCGCGAGGCGCGTGTTCTGAGGCGTGGTGAAAGTGCTGCCAAGTGCGTCATGGTGACCGCCGAGACGATACTGAAACTAACACGGAGTATAGGTCGGAGAAGGATGAAGAGGAACACCACTCGACCGAGGATGAGAAGCTGCCTACCAAGTCCAAACCCAAAGCGAACGGCAAGGCCAAGTCGCCCGCACGCAACAGCAAGGCCAGTGGTGCCCGCACCCCTGGAAGCGAATCGGATTGGGAGCTAGATTGTGAGATTTGTGGAAGGAGAGGCAAGAACATCGTGCGTATCCCGGCCTTTCCACCTTACCTTTTCGCCCTCACACGGTGTCTCAGGACGATGGCAAACCTATGATGTGCTGCGGTCACTGCTCCAAATGGCAGCACATCTCCTGCCATGACAAGATGGACGCATCTCAAGGCCGTCCAAAACGGGACTGGGACAAGATCGAGTTCCTCTGCCGACGTTGTCTCGCTCAGCGACACCCTCCGCGCGCCACCGCTGCTCTCGGTCAAATTCACCAACCGGCGACAGGAGTCTACGCTTATCCTTCCCAAGGCAGGTGGCAGAACGGTACCTCGACCGCCTACATCGACTCTCGCAACCACATCTCATATGGTGCCCATCCTGACTCCTATGCTCGTTCAGCCATTGGGCAGACGTCTAGCGTGCGTAGTTCTGCCGCAGGAGGATACACGACGCAGTCCGTGTATGGTGCACATCCTAATCAACCGTCGAACATGATTTCGTTCAGTCATTACCAACCGCAGGAACGGGCGTTTACTTCAGATCCTAACAGGAGCCAAGTCCCTCCTCAGCATAGTAACCCTTACATGCGCACAAATGGTACAAACGGATCGTGGCCGGTTGATCCAATGAAGTATCCTGTGAGTTCTGCCTTCTCTCTTGACTTGTTCTTTTCTCATCTTCGCAGCATTACGCCGGCCAGTCTTCCTGGGGTCCCAACTATGCGAATCCCTCGGTGCCCAGCCACCATGTTGCGGGGCACTCTGCACATGGCAGTAGCCTCCCGTCTTCATCCCATTCACACCAAGTTGACATGAGCTACTACCGAAGCACAGCTTACGACCAACGTCCTCCACCCCATGCATCTTCGGCGGCTCCGCCTCCTCACGCAGCTTCTCATTCCCATCGAGAAGCCTATCAACAATACCCTACATCTTCCAGCTACCCTCCAGCGCCCCCTTCTCACTCGCCATCGCATCCATCGTCGTTACCTCCAGTTCAACAACCACAGTATTCACATACTCGTACACCGTACCCACCGCAATCTTAAAATCTAGATGCAATTCAAACCATTATCTCTTTTCTTTCTTTTTGATCATATTCCTTTCTTCTACAGAGGCGGATAGGTAGACTTTCAGTCAGCCCCTTTCTTATTTATTTAAAACAGGGGAGCTGCAATCACCGCCCGCCCGTTGTTGCAATTTAGAGACACCATTGCGTACTCTTTCCTTTTACTTTTACCAATCTCATTAGTAATATCCCTGTAGAATCGATACCTATTTTGCCATGGGCCACGTCCTCCGACTCAAGTGTCATGGTTCCTCTTCTCAGAATTCTTCTGTCGCCTCTGCGTTTTATAAACAATATATCATATCGTTTCATCTCGTACTGTATACAATAGGACTGCGCCTGCGTGTGTTTTTATCGTAATAGTTGATAGGCCTTGTACTGTGGACTTTGAAATGCGAATGAATCGTTATCACTACGAGAGCGGAGGTTAGTATTCGAAAGCAAGGGCCGTGGATGTAAGGGAAGCGTACTCGATAGGTCCAAGAACTCGCAAACCACGAACATGAGTATCCTTCCCGCTCATATGGTTCGCAGCAATGATGATCTGCAGCACATATGCATACACCGGTGCCCTGTTGGCATGTTAACACCTATTTCAGGGACAAGCTATCCTACACTTACAAGCCATCCCCGTCTTCGTTGGGCTCACTCGAGACATCAAACGTAATCCAACCATCCGGTTTATCAAATGTCACCATCCGCACGTCTTGCAAGTCACTCGGACCTGTTCCAGCACGTATGGCGAGTGTAGAGGGCGTGTAAGAGTCGTCAAGAGGGAACCTAAGGAGGATGCTAATTTTCTGATACGAGGTGAGTGATTCATTCCCCCTGAGACAAAGGAGGTTGGGGCGGCGAACCTGTATAGCGACTTTACACGGGAACTCGAGCGTAATGAAGTGTGGCTGAGGACCGTCGGAACTGTGCGAGGGCGCCCACCATTAAAACCCGCCAGCACACTGTGAGGAAGACAACCACGCACTGCCAGAAGGTATCAGGGTCCCCATCCCTCAAGCACTCGACTCCAAAGCCAAACTTGTAGGACGAGACGGACCATTTGGCTCGATCCGAGATGTCAGGCCAGGGGAGAGTGGGTGGCTTGAGCGAGTTGACTGGTACACGGATGATAGCAGGTGGGTTGGGAATTGAAGTGGGCACAACAGCAGGGGTTTGGGTGTCCATGTGTGTTAAGGGAGTCGATTATCAGTAGGCGAGGGTGAATAGAACGCTGTAGTTATAGTCAACAAACGACTAGAGGAAAAGAATCGACGACTCACCTGAATGAATGAACAAAGCCTCAGTTGGGCGGTCTGATCCTGTATGGCTAGGCATGATCCACTCTTTTATACGAGAGTAACAAAGAACCAGTGACGATCCTTTCTCTTTTGACTCGATTACGCGAGATCAAAGCTCTGCCTTTCCTTTGTTCCCGTTCTCTACACCACACACACCGTAAAAAATGGAACCAAGTCTTCCGATAGAAGATTACAAGCGATACGGGCGCCAGATGATTCTTGACGGATTTGGATTACCAGGTGAGTATCAACAGCGACGCCAGAGAAGATCAAGTACTGACGGCAGGATTTTGATCTTTCTCAGGTCAGCTCAAGTTATCCAAAGCGTCAATAGCCGTCGTAGGAGCAGGAGGACTGGGTTGTGCTGCTTTGCCATACCTCGCCTCCGCTGGTGTTGGTAAGTCTATCCCAGAGTAAAGAAAAAGCATCTAACCACCGTCCAGGAAGAATCGGCATTTTCGATCACGACATAGTTGAGAAATCTAATCTCCAACGACAAATCCTGCACAACGAAGACACACTAGGAGCGTTCAAAGTAGACTCTGCTAAACAGTATTTACAGAGGTATTCTATCTTCAAGACACACCCTCCTTCCCGACATTAACAAGACCTCTAGACTAAATTCCGCCATCCAAATCGACACCACAACAGAATCCATAACATCCCAGAACGCTCCCTCCCTCCTCGCACCTTACGACATAATTCTAGATTGCACAGACAACGTACCCACACGATACCTCCTCTCCGACACAGCAGTAGCCCTCAACAAACCCCTCGTCAGTGGAGCTGCGCAGAAATTCGATGGTCAACTCTCCGTGTTCAATCTAGGACCAAATAGTCCATGTTATAGATGCGTCTTCCCCGTTCCTCCAAAACCTGCCAACGCAGGGAGCTGTGAGGAGTTGGGAATATTGGGCCCGGTGGTGGGTACGATTGGGAACTTGCAGGCGGTGGAGACAATCAAGGTTTTGACAGGGCTCGCTGGTGAGTATCACACGCACTTGTCAAGAAGGACGAAAGAATAGATGACCCCTTGCAGACCCATCGGCTCCTCCGACAATGCTTCTCTACAATGCACTCTCCAGTCCCCCATTCCGCACAATCAAACTTCGATCTCGTCGAGAGTCATGTCCGGCTTGTGGAAGCAAAGGAGACAAAACCAAGATTGCTGAAACGGACTATGTCCAGTTCTGCGGAGGATCCAAGCCAGACTGGGAGACACTGGGTCTGAAAGCAGGCAGCCCCGAGGAAAGATTATCCGTCAGTGTAAGTGTCAATCAAGCTCCGAAGTGAAGGGAAACTCAGCGTCGGGAAATGCAGGACTTGCAAGAGATCATACAATCCAACAAGCCGTTTGACCTCATCGACGTCCGCCCACCAACTGAATTTGGAATCTGCAGCCTTCCCAACTCCCAAAGTAAGCCGAAACCCCATCCGTTCACCATCCATTCCACCATTAACCATGAGCACAGACGTCTCCCTCAAACAGATCCTGGCCAAACCTCAAGACTACCTTTCACCATCAAAAGAAACCATCGTCGTGTGCAGACTGGGGAACGACTCGCAACTCGCAGCAGACGCACTGCGACAAGCCGGTGGAGAGGGCAAGGTTCGAGATGTCATCGGAGGACTCAGAGCCTGGTCAAAGATCAACAAAAACTTTCCCGATTACTGAGTCCAAAACGCGAGAGGAACCTAGGTACATGGGCGCGGTGATCATCTGTATCTATTTCTCTGTGCATCGAGTCAGTCACCATGTATGTAGACTTTAGAGATTAAAAGACGCACTCCCAAGCTTCAGCCACTTTGGCACCTTCAATTCACCAGGCTTGTTACTATCCGAAGTCAACTGGGATTTCTTTGGTGTCTTCTCTTCTGCTGCAGGTGGCGTTGGGCTCTTGTCTTCCGTCTTAGGAGCCGGCAACTCTTCCATCTTGGACAACACCGAAGGTAGTAACGGGGCGGGATAGTCGGTTTCTGTCAGAGCAACCCGAGTGAGCGCGTAGTTCTCGCAGAAAGCAGAAACAACGCACTGTTCAGACTCTCATCCTCGAATCGCAACAACAGCACGGAAGCAGGGGCGAGTTGCAGTTCCGCCAGTGTCAAATCTCTCACTTTAGGGTCTGATACTTTCAGATCTCGTCTCGGCGGGGACTGGTCTGCGCATGACACAGCCTATTCAGAACCCTCCACGTCCCAATATGATGATGTAGGACTCACATAGAATAAACTTGATAGGCTTGATATCATCCCTCAGACACGCCCTCACAAACGCATAAACAGAACGGATCTTGTTCGTCGACGGGAACACCTTCTCAAGTTGCGTACGATCCGTGAACCTAATCCTAACAGTAGTCTATTCAAGTCATCGGTCGGTATCCAGACATCAAGATAAACTCGAAACCCACCTGCGGCCAGCGCTCCCTCTTCGCCCTCTCCGCCTCCTCCCTCTTCGATCTCAACTGTAACGGCGCATTCACAAGATTATTCGTCCGCGCAGCAAGCGTCGCCTGCGCAGCTTTGAGTTCAAGGGCAGTAGGGGTAAAATAATCGTCTGAAAGAGGAGGGAGTGGTCGACCAGGGTTATTGGATGGCGCAAAGACTTTGTAGTCAGTTGGCTCTTCTTGCTGCGCCGTCGACGTCGAGGCAGACGTTGAAGCCGATGCAGGCGATGCAATCCCTGACGACGCAGATGCAGAAACAGAAGGGGTTTGAGAGGGCGATTCCACAGGCTGAACAGGCGAAGACGAGGCCATGATGAACGTTAGAAGAAAGAAAGCCGATTTGTATTGAAACTACAAGCAAACGCGTACAACAGAGGGTATTAAGTAGTACACCAGTTACATAATCTCCTCCAAGGATCACAGCCTTGCTTCAACCTATAAAAGACAACGTGAGCATGAGCCATTTGTAAAGGAAAGATCGCGAAGGGTCAGGAAGTAAATAGTTGTCTCAAGGCAAGGGTCCCAGGAGCATTGGCGTATGCCCCCTTAAATTGGAGTCCAAGCCATTCGAACGCAAATTACAGTACAACATCATAAAAAGTTTTCAAAAGGTCAAAGAGACTCACCAGAATCGAGAAAGGAACGACCAAGTGAACGACAACGAAAAAAGTTTCAAAATGTTCTTTAAACCTCCATGGACGCTGTTTGTCTCTATTTGTCCGACGGAATCTTCGCACATAAATTAGGGGCTTTTGGAGTCGCGTTCCATCATCTACCAGAAAGATGTCACATTGCAACCACCACGAAGGCTGTGGCCATGACCACCTAGGGAACGACCTCGGTCCTCAAGACAACCTCTTCTCCCAGATAGACCAGTCGAACGTCGTAGCTCTAAACGGAGTTCAAGAGGGCTCGGTGGTGATCAAACCATGGCACGAGAGGACAGACGAAACCAAGGTATGTGCTCGCGCATGCCCGTCTCAGGAGCCCACAAGATACTTATGGCGTGCTGAGCTCAGTACCTCGAATCAGACGCGGACGACCAACTGTGCGTCTTTCAATCCTCTTCTTCCTGAATTTGGACTGACATCACATACAGGATCATCCGGATCCCATTTACGGGTAACGTTAAACTGCGCTCTCTCCTTCTCAAAGCAGGTCCAGGCGAAAAGACGCCGGAAAAGATCATCCTTGTACGTGCAATCTAATCGCCATGCTCCGATACGCTTTCTAATTGTCCTTTCGCAATCCAGTTCGCAAGCGAGCCCAACCTTGACTTTGACAGCGTAAACGAGAAAAAGCCATCGCAAGAACTTGAAGTTGCTCAAGGAAGCGAAGTAGGCGAATACCCTCTACGGTAGGCAATCACTATTCCTTTCACCGCGTCGTCTTTCGATACAACCATGAACTACCTTTCTAGGACCGTCAAGTTCAACAACATCTCAAGTATAACCCTCTTCATCCCTGCAGCTCAAGGGGACGATGTCACTCGCATCTATTACGTTGGCTTCCTCGGACATTGGCAGAAGGTCCGTCCATCCTCTTGTTACCTTCAGGGCTCCAAGCCTACTCCAACGTTATCTTCCTCGGTTCCCTATACCAAAGAACATTATACTGACGAAGCCACGCAGCGTAACGACAGCCCACCGATAACAGTCTATGAAGCCCAGGCCAACATCGCAGATCACGAGAAGATCCAGGGCACGGACGCTGCACACAGCTCATTAGGTCATTAAGCTGGACCTCTTGCAAAGACTTCCCCTTCCCTTCATCATTGCTCATCGAAACCCAGATGGACTTCCTCGTTTCCCGCACTGTACTATTACAATCTGTACCATATATCATCGTCAGAAATAAAGAAAGAATTCTAACATATGTAGTAAAAGATCCAAATCGAACATCGAAGGGCCGGTAAATAAGATAAATCATACAAAAAAGCCAAACCCAGGAAATGAGAAAGAAGAAAGGTTCGTCGAAACGAACAACCGACCAATCTATGCCCTCTACCAAACCTCCTCACAAGCCTAATATCCGCTCATCCGACCACGCTCTTTACTGTCCCATCCCGCCCCTTCCAAATCCCATCGTTGCTCCCGGCGGCATGTTGAAATTGAAAGCGTTCGCTCCAGGAGGCATCGGCATCCCACCACCCGCTACTCCTGGTGCGACCCCCTGCATCCCACCACCAGGCATCATCCCACCAGGTCCTCCTCCCTGAACCTGCATTCCCTGCATCCCTGGCCCGCCGCCACCTCCCCCTCCAGAAGCAGTAGCAGCAGCAGTCTGATTAACCTGTTGCATGTAAAGACTTTTTAATGCCTGCAAAAATCCACCATGTCAGATTATTACCCGTCACCAAAATAGCTAAACCCTCCAAACGGGCCACTCACCTGGTTCTTGAAGTTGTTTATAGCATTCTGCTTTTTGTCATGCGGGAGGAGAGAAATCTGTTGCACAAGTTGCGGGTTCTTCTGGAAATATAATCTCAGCTGTTCTTCAACGCGGGCCATATTCGCCGGATTCCCAAAGTTTGGCGGTAACCCTCCCCCAGGCGGTCCTCCCATTCCTGCAGGTGGGCCTCCCATCTGTCCAGGCATTCCTCCCATTCCCATCCCCATCTGCGGCCCAGGCATCCCCTGCTGGCGCATAGGCGGCTGCCCCGGTTGTCCCTGCGGTGGCCCGATCGGTTGCGGTATATTGAGTCCAGCAGTCAGCGCTGCCATCCGAGGCATCTCCGGAATCCCATGCAATGGGAAGAACGCGGCCATCAACTTATTCGCCCCAGGAATAGCAATGAACAACACATTGTTCGTCTGGCTTCCCGTCGGTGTCGTCCATGCAGAAGTTGCGTACTATATGAACTCGCAAGATTAGACAAATACTCTCGAAGAATGCGGGGAGATATACGTACCACTTGCTTGGAAAGCAGCACCTGGATAAACAGTTGGAAATTACTGATATTCACCTGGGCGTTTTCACCCCTCGTATCAGGTAAAATCTGGGCTACAATTGGTTTATACTTCGCCATCCAAAGCTGCAGCTCCGGATGGGAGTACCGCTCCTGTGTCGGAACCATCAAAAACCCTCGACTGGGCCACGTCTTAACATGACTAAAAAGAACATTAGTAAAGACGTGGAGAAATAACGAATGAAGACTCACCAGGCCTCGGCATTCAGCTGCGAAGCAGCAATAACGTTGAAAATGGTCTCCTTCTTGACCCCATCAGAGCCCGTCCCAGCAAACCTCATAGGCCCGCTCCAAACAGGGCGGGCGGGGGACTTCTGCGGTATCATTACACCACCCTGGATCATCATACCTGGTGGCAGTCCAGAATTCATACCTCCGGGAGGCCCGCCGGGATTCATACCGCCAACACTCATACCTTGATTCGTCGCATTCGGATTCATCCCTCCCATGGTCCTCATCGCAGAATTCTGCACTCCACCCGGCACTTGCATCAACCCACTAACACCTGGCCCACCAGGTCCCTGCCTCCCCCTCTGTTGCTCCAACATTTTCGCCAATTGTAATTGCATCGCTGGATCCGTCGACCCAGAAGGCGCAAGACCAGGTGGGAGATTGCCAACGCCTAGACCCATAAAGTTGGGCGGTGGAGCTGGTGTCAGTGCTGGGCCCGGCTGTGGAGGACCCGGTGGTATCTGGGGCGCACCTGCTGCCATATTTGGATTTGGATTGGGGGGATTGGCGTTCGAGTTCACTGCAGGAGTGGGCGCTTGTGGTTTGTTCGAAGGTTGTGGTGGCTGAGGAGGGTTGATAGGTGCATTGAAAGCTGCAGTCGCAGGAGCAGGAGCCGATGTCGGTGCTGAAGGACCACTCGGGTTAGCAGCGACTTTTGGTGAAGGTCGTTGGGTGGGTGCAGGAGGTGGAGGTGGAATCATGGGGCACAGGTTTAGGAGAGGAAGTCGCGGCAGAAGCTGCAGGTGCATCAGTCGTATTCGAAGGCGTAGGGTCACTCTCCGGCGGCTTCGGTGGTTGAGGTTGGGGTCGAGATTGCTGGCCTGCCGCGGCGCTCGTGGGTGCAGTTGCAGTCGACGACCCTGACCCCTCTCCCGCCTTTTGAGTGCTTTCGCCCGAACTCCCAGCCGTGGGCTGACTTGGCCCAGCACCCGCACCACCAGCATTCATAGCACCAGCCTTAATCAATACAGCTGTCTGGGCCATCCTCCAGGTCTTCCCTAGCTGGTCATATAACACCCTCAGCTTCTCGTACTCTGCCAACTTCATCTTCGCCTCCTCAACCTTGCCATTCTTGTGAAGCTCCTCAGCCTCCTTTTTCAGCTGCGGCAATCGTGGCCCTAAATCGTTGAACCTCTTAATGATATGTTCTATTTGTGCAGGGGTCTTGCCGGCGAACATGGTGGCCATGGCAGGTGGCAGTTGTTTGCTCATGGCTGCCAAAGCGGCCGCCACAACTTGAGGATTGGCAGGGTTGAGATGAGGCGGAAGAGGAGTGGATTGCAGAGGCGGCTGGGGTTGTTGCTGAGGGTCCATGCGCGCGCGCTTGGGATCCAATGGGCGGTCTGCTGCCTCGTTAGGTCGTTTGGCTGGAGCTAGATATTTATCAATACAAGTGACATTCAAGGAGCCGCGGCTACGCACCCCTTTGCGGTGGGCTGTTCGGGAATCCAGATAAGAGCACGGTATGATTCGGTCGGACCGCAAACCAAGGTTGTGACCTATTGCCCACCTATAATATCTCATTCATCAGTGGCCTAGAGGACACAGCAGGGAATATAACATACAGCTTGATGAAGTTGCGAATATTTCACAGTCGCCTGCCGCGCAATCACGGCGCTGTAGAATATGTTCCTCTATGCGTCGTCAATTAACACCCATCCAGCTTCGGATAGATAAGCACGCACCTTGTTCATTTCCTCCGGCAACGTATCCCAGGAGACAAAGTCCAATTTCGGAGAAAGGTTCCACATTGGCCTAGGAGCCTGGTCGGGCGCGCCCGCAACAATATGAACGATATGCCTGAGGACGTGTTTCGCCGAGTTTGAAGGGTCGTTATCGTCCGTTAGCGACGCGTCGAGGTCGTCGAACAACTGCCATCGGTAATCTGAGTCAATAAAGCGTCCACAGTCGAGAAACGCGTAACAGACCTCGACAGCAGCAACCAATGCCTCAAGGGCGGCCATGCCCTTCTTCGGAGACGCATCGACCTCTCCCAGTTTCAGTGACTTGCCCGACTTGAGCATCTGAAAGGCATTCGCATAACCCATAAAGAACATCTTTGCGAGAATTGGGTTGTCGAGTGTATCCGAGTTTGAATAGGTGATAATTCCTATTCGCAACTGGAGCGCCCGTATTAGTTTCTTATTTGGGGGAAGGAAAGAGATAAAACATACAGCTCTCTTAGGATACGCCTCGTACAACCTCTTCATCAATACCCCGACATAATCGCTAAGGATTATTTTCCATTCCATCCAAAGGGTTTGGGAGCTCTCGATGACGAAGACGACAGCAGAGACCTCTGAGGGGATCGCCGTCGGGTCCATCACCATGGTTCCACTGTCCTATCCACTGCAGTCGCGGTAGCAGCCCAGTTCGGTTGTGTCGTATTCGTCGTAATAATAATCGTACTCGTCGTTGTTGCTGTCGTCGCCGTCGGTAGTGGTGGTGAGGGAAAGAGAATAAGCTCTCACTGAGTAACGCCGACGACGGACAGCCAACACGCCCCTTTCATCGACTACAAACTCCGCGGCCGGTCTTGGCTTGCTCAATCAATCCATTGTCTTCGAAGGAGATAAGTAGTAGTGTCCATGGAATGTACTCTATACAAAGGGAAAAACAACATAAAGCGCAACGCCAAACGCAAGTAATGTAAGGCCCCTCGAATAACCCAAACTCCCAGCTCCTCCAACAGGCAGGCCAAACCGACTAGTATATTCGTCATAGTTCAAGATGGTGCCCGTTGTCGGGTAGGTCATGCTCACGGTTGAATGCCTGGTGGGCGTAAAGGTCTCAGTGACTGGTACTGATTGGCCATTGATGACTGTGGTATAGACGTAGGGTGTTGGAAGGTAGGGTGTACCACGAGTTGTTGAAGGTGGGGCGCCAACTGGACCTCGCTGCTCTGTGGTGGGCATTGGCGCTACTGCCCCATCCCCGTCCCCAGCACCGACAGTAGATCTGTATGTATCGTTTAGCAGTCGTATGGCGGCAAAGTTGGAGGGCGTACATGATAGATGTGGTTGGGCCTAGTACAGGGTCAGTGGAGACCACCTGGATTATTGTTTCTCCATCCCTATTCCGCGTCAGTTCCCTTTCTTCCCAGCGGCGATTGTTGGAGGACTCACTCATTAGTAGTCGTAACGGTCGTTTGGGCATTAACAATGGTAAGAAACCACAGAAAAACGAATACGAAAAAGTTGTTCATGTCCAGTTGAAGGGTGGCGCGGCAGCTGTACCGCCTCTCACATAAAAGGGTGCTCACGCGCTTAGCACGTGGTTTCTTCCTGTCACGATGGCGAGTCTTTGTTATCGATGTTCATGCATCCAAAATCTTCCAAAACGACTCGGTCTTTCTCTCTTTTCATCCTCGCCCATCACACAGGCGAAGAAGAATAAGAAAATGCCTCCAAAAAAGGCTGCTCAGCCAGAGAAAAAGGCTCTCTTAGGCAGACCTTCAAACAACCTCAAGATCGGTATCGTAGGTTTGTTTCCCTCCTCAACTCTTTTTTTCTTCTTGTTTCCCTGATCTTATCTGAACAGGCCTGCCCAATGTCGGAAAGTCCTCTTTCTTCAACGTACTCTCCGAGACAGGTAAAACCTTTGCTCATCCACGTCACGAAACAATCCCACTAAAAAAAATCGTTTCAAGACCTCGGAAAAGCCGCCAACTTTCCCTACGCAACTATAAACCCAGAAGAAGCCCGTATCCCAGTCCCAGATGCCCGCTTTGACTGGCTCTGCGAACTCTACAAGCCTGCGTCCAAAGTCCCCGCCCACCTTACATGCATTGACATTGCTGGTCTCACGGCGGTGAGTTCCCTTCCCTATCTACTCTCAAAATACTCGATCGACCCCGACTTACCCAGTGAAGGGCGCTTCTACAGGAGCTGGTCTAGGAAACTCTTTCCTCTCACACGTTCGTGCAGTAGACGGTATCTTCCAAGTCGTCCGAGCCTTCGATGACGCCGAAGTCATCCACGTCGAAGGAGACGTCAACCCCCTCCGTGACATGGAAATTATCCAAACCGAACTTCGTCTCAAGGATATCGAGTGGGTTGAGAAGACCCTCGAGAACTTGAAGAAGGGCGCTCGCGGTCTCGGAAACTCCAGTTTGGCTGATAAGGCAAAGAAGGAGGAACTCGTACGTGTCATCCGCCCTCGAAAATTTTCGCTTTAATTTATCTTTCGTTGGTTAGGCCACGGTTGAGAAGATCTACAAGACTTTGTCGGTCGACAACAAGGACGTTCGTAAAGCTGAATGGAATAACAAGGAGGTGAGCGTCCATCCCATGCAACTTTTTCCAGCGGTTGGCCCGTGACCGGATGAAAAAGAGTATCACTCGAAACCCAGCTCGTCGACAGGAGGGAGTAACGCCCCAATATTCCTATGAGAGAACATTTTTTTCTGATCTTTTCTTTTCTCCTTTCCCCTCTTTAAACCCTCGCTAACAACCCCTTCCAGATCGACGTTATCAACGGTCTCCAACTCCTCACCGCCAAACCCGTTACCTATCTCGTCAACCTTTCTGAACGAGACTACGTCCGCAAGAAGAATAAATGGCTTCCCAAGATCAAGGCTTGGATCGATGAACACAACCCCGGTGACCTCCTCATCCCCTTCTCTGTCTCGCTCGAGGAACGCCTTGGTCGTATGACGCCGGAAGAAAAGGCCGAGGAAGAGAAGAACTTGGGCGTTAACAGCGCGTTGCCCAAGATCACGCATGCAGGTTACAACAGTTTGGATTTGATTCGGTACTTTACCTGTGGACCTGATGAAGTCCGAGCTTGGACTATCAGGAAGGGTACCAAGGCACCCCAGGCTGCTGGTGTTATCCAGTGCGTATCGCTGCGTTTTTCCAACCATCGCCTTACCAATACCCTCATAGCTCCGACTTTGAGAACAAGTTTGTCTGTGGTGAAATCATGTCCTATGACGATCTCCGCGAGCACGGTAGCGAAGCAGCCGTCAAAGCTGCTGGTAAGCTGCGACAACAGGGCAAGCCTTACGAAAGTATGTCCATCTTGGAATCTATGCTCAACTCTTGCTTAACGTACCTGCTCAGTGGCGGACGGCGACATCGCCTACTGGAAGGCTGGTGGTTAAAGTGCTAGAAGATGATCCTCCTTGTAACAACAGTATCAGTGTAATTAGTAGCAGTCCAATACTCATCTATCATATACCACACACAATCGATTAGTGCCTGCGGTCGTATCGAGTAGGACTTCGACTTCTATACCGGTCTCGTTCCCTGGCTTCATAGTCCCTGTCGTCCCTATCGCGGTGTCGATGAGGCGACTCTGTCCTCCTCCTTCCCGAATCCGAGCCTCTTCGAGGTGAAGCAGACCGCCGTCTCGGCGACCTGGAACGTGAATGCCGTCTCCTACTCCGCCTGTCCTCCTCATCGTCATAGTCCCTACCCCTGCCTTCCCTTTCCCGCCTCCTCGCCCTTTTCTCCTCTTTTCTCCTGGCTTTCTCTTCTTTCCTCTCCGCTTTCCTTCTCTTCTTTTCCTCCTTCTCTTTCAACCTCTCCTCTTCCGTCTTCTCGTCTTTTGCAGGCGCAGCCGTCGGTCCTGCAGTCGCGTTCGCACCAGTTGCCGCCGAAGCACCCTCGCCAGGTTTTGTAGTCGGTTGGAATCCCAACGCAGCAGCAATCGCCTCCGCCTCCAACTGCTTCACCTTCTGAATCTCCGCCTGCCTCTCGTCTTCCGTCTGCTGTTTCTCCCGATTATACCAATGGATATCTTTGTTCTTCTGCCAACGGCCAGTTGGTGCATTGATACTGTGGCCTAGATAATTCTAATACCAACACCAGTCAGTACCGAGGATCATTCTAAGCTAGTTGAAAAGATGAATGTGGACTCACTTCACGGTCCTTGTCAGCTGAGACATCTGACCATTTGAATTCAGCTTGTCCTCCTCTCGTTCCTCCTCGAACAGGTTCAAACATTTTCCTTGCTAAGACTTTTCGCCGTCGTCGTCGTCGTCGTCGCGCTCAAGACGCACTAGTCAGCTCAGCACGCCAAGCAGGGGGGATTGTTTGGTCTGATTCCCACGGTGCATTCTCGTGTCCGGGCTCAGCGAGTGTGGATCCATCTCATCCCGCAATGGCGCCCTCCCGCTCGTCCAAGTCCCGCCCAAGATCCAGATCAAGAGAATACAGGGACGCACCAGACCCACCTCGCAAACGCCTCAAAAAACAGAAATCAAATGGCCTCCTAACGGGTGTATTTAGCTTCGTATCGCAAGAAATACACAATTTCGTGGCAAACGCGACTGGGAATGTCACGTCTGACCAGGAGGTCCGTTCGTGTTTTTTTTACTATGTGCAGGGCGCTAAAATGAGGCTGTGGTATAGGAAGAAGATGACTACTCGAGTTCCGAACATTCGTCAGAGGGAGTGGAAGAGGAAGACGATGAAGACTATCCACCGATAGAAACACCAACGAAGAAGAAAAAGTCTCGTTCGAATAATAAACGCTCGCCATCGCCTTCTCCTCTCGTTCACCGCAAGCGAACACGCTCCTCTTCGCGCGAACCGAAACGTCCTCGAAAACGTGCGTTCACTTTCCCTATTCTTCCCAACTGAAATAACATTTATCCAGTGTCAAAAGAACGGGAAGAAAAGCCTGAAGCAGCCCCTCCAGTACCACCGCGCCCAATCCTCTCGCGCCGCAAATCTGAAGGGACATTAATGCCAGGCTCGCTGTACCCTCTCTCTCCAGGACGCGAAGACGAGGACGAGGACGACCGTCCTCCCCGACACGTCCATTTCGAACTTGGTTCCTCGTCTTCACACCCTGTCGACCTGACAGACGACAACCACGACGAAGAAGACGAGCATGCAGATGCATCATCTCCCGTGCAAAGGGCGCCGACGAAGAAAAAGGGCGAAAAGGTCCAAGCATCCCCTTCGACACCATCTTCAGCCGTTCGAGCCGCCGTAGCACGCTTCAGAGACGACCCATCCACCGACACCTCGATTTTGCTCCCCAATAAATCAACCTCCCCAATGCGCCTGACCACTACCCCCTCCCGATCCACGCCCTCGTCGTCCATGGCGTTCTCCCCTTCCTCTGGTGATAGACTAAGCGCCAAAGCTAAAGGCAAACAGCCCGTCCGCAACGTACCTCTGGATCCATTCGCATTCGCCGATATCGAGCACGTTGAATCTGCCACTAACCAACAGATCCAAGAGCAAATCACCCAAACCTCTGCCGCGATCCGTCAGAACGAGGGGTCTTCAGAGGAGGATAAACGTCGAATCCGGGCCTTAGAAGAGGAAGTTAGACGACTAAGAGAAGAGGTTCGTCTTCCACCCACTTGGCATGTAAAAATTCTGACCCAATTTTCATCCAGCTCGCTCGCCGACCTGCCCCTCCTACCGACCCAACAACGCCCTTCACGTTTGCTCCTCCACCGCCCCCTCCACCACCACCTCCGCCCCCAACAAACCACATCATCCGCGCCCCAAGCACTCTCACTCCTTCCTCCGCCTCAACCCTCTTTTCAGCCGTCCGCGCCTCTCTCAAACATGCACCCACGCCCAAAGAAAAACCAATAAACTCTCGTCTGGCCCAACCAGCTGTCGGCCTCCCACTTGATAAAATGGCAGCCTTCCTAAACGAAATGAAGACCGTACGGTTGAGAAAGGTGGCAGACCGGTCGTTCTCGAGTGATGGGGATTTGACTGTGTTGGGTGGGAAGGGGAAGGATGTGTCGTCGTCTTCGTTCACATTTGGAAGTACCCGTGGTGGTGCGGGCAGTCAGAGTTGGTCTGCAGGGAACCAGACTGTCGGCGATATCAGTCTCAACTTGAGCCAGTTTAGGAGGAAAGACGTTACTGGTGGTGAAAGCAGTCGGGCGTCGGGGTCAGGTTTGAGTTCGAGTTCCACCTCGCGTGCTACTGTAGCGAAGAAAAGCGCTCCAGCGCCCCCTGCCGCAGCCCAAGAACAGAGAAAGGAACCGCCACCACCGACTTCCCAACCTATTGCTGGCGAGAAACGCAAGAGGCGAATCGACGACACAGATGGCGACTTTATCGACAGCGGTAACACAAGCACCAGCATCGGTAACACCAGTGTCAGTGGTAACAACTCTATCCTCAGCCGCGTCCTCAAACGTCGCTCGCTGGCTAATCCAGACGGGAGCTTCTCCTCGAACGTTCGGTTGCCTCAGCGGGACGGGTACACGTCCACTTCTATCGCATCAACAGTCTCTGTCTCCTCTCAGACACCGCAGTCGGAAACCCGCGTGCCTGCGAAAGCGCAACCACGACCTTCCGTTGGATCCTCGAGTGTCATACTGCGGGAGAATGGGATCATACGCGATTGGCGAGCTGGTACCAGTACTCCCCGGGTTGAGCAGGCTCAGCGACAAGAAGGCCCCTCGTCTTCTTCGCAGGCACATACTCGGCCGCAAACGTCTCCGGGCTCAACCTCGAGCATTACACTCCGCGAAAATGGTATCATCCGCGACTGGCGTTCCTCGACTGCAGCGGCGATGCCTCCCCCGAGGACGGGTTCAACAACAGCAAGAGGACCACTGGGAGTCGTGGACCCGAGGACGGAAGCACCCACCCCGTCCTTATGTTCGGACCAAGATGGCGAGAGTCACGAAGATTTTGTACCTCGTACGCCTCCCAACGCATTCTCGGTTTCTCTTTCTTTACCTTCTCATTCTGGAGGTCGCGACGAACATGGGAGTGAACATCCAGAGCACGAGGCTGAGCATCGACATGAAGGTGAACATATGGACCAAGGGGAATTCCGGTACGAAGGAGTGGAACACGGGCACAATGTGGAGGAACACGAATCTGGGTTTGAGCACCAGTACGAAGAGGGACATGGACAAGAACTCGACCTAGGCGAGGAAGAGGTCTACGTCATGAACCTGTCCCACCGCAAACAAACCCCAGAACCCGAATTCGAGCATCACAAATCCGGGGAAACGTCCATCACATACCAAGTCAAGCTTCGCATTCCTCCTGAAGACGAGGACGAGGAGCATGGCGAGGTCGTAGAAGTACATCCTGACACAAACCCATTTGCCGAGGAGCACCAGCACAGCATGGCAGCTACCTCCACTCCCCATCCTTCCAGTGGTCGTACGGCGAGACTGAGCGCTGCTGGTAATACCAACGACACACCTTTTCTCTCCCCAGAGACTCGGCCTAACCCATTCCACAAACGGCCAAGAACATCGCCTCTCCCCAGTCACTCTCCCCGTCGACCCCGTCCTCCAGCTGCCAACCGCCATAGCACAGGTTCTCGCGTACACAGTTCACCAGGTCTAGGAACAAGTTCCCGAGTCCAAGGGTCTCCCCCAAGTTTAGCTTCTCGCGACATCCAAACCTCTCCAAGCCTGGGTTCCCGAGCCCAATTGCAATTGACACCGCCTCCAGGTATCGGTTCTCCAGTTCGCAGGTCTCCCACGAAATCCCGAGTCCTACGTTCTCCCCCACCGCCGCCTCGACAGGAGTCTGATGACGAGGATGAAGAGGATGACGACAGGGAAGCAGTCGGAAAGGGGGAACCGGAGCAACAGAGACAGGGTGACCAACAGCTGGAACACGAGAATCGCGGACAAACCCAATCCGACAACCACCAGATGGAGATGGAAGACGAGGAAGAAGACCCTCTTTCCTTGTCCTTCCCGAACGGCAACATCTCTTCGATATCCACTGCGGGGGCTTCCACTTCCAAATACAAATCGACTCCCAGATTCACTCCGAAGACCAGTCAATCCGACCTTGCGACACCTATGACAAACGGAGTGAATGGAAGTGAAAGTGGAGGAAGCATCAGCATCGCCATGGCTCGGGCAAAAACCGGAACACCGCATCCAGCTGCAAAGAGGCGTAGTCTCGCTACGTCTGCTTCTTTGGGGTCTTTGAGAGCACATGCACAGGCGCAGGCGGCACAAAGTCAATCCCAAGCTGCTTCTTCGGCCAACACAAGTGTAGGCGGTGGTAGAGATGCGGGAAGTACCACCACAGCCCTTCCGTCTAGGATCCCAAAACCTTCCAGGTTGCCCAAATCCTCGGCGTCTAACCCAAATCTCCGAGCTGCAAACGCCAAAGCGTCTAGCTCCACCTCGATATCGGCAGCCCCGTCCTCCCGGCTACCTAAACCTTCCAACAAAGCCTCCACCTCTGCTTCCTCAATGTCCGCGTCCGCATTCCGACCTACCAAATCTTCTGCGTCCGCCTCGACCTCGTCGAAACTCCCTACCTCAACCTCCTCAAAACCCCCTGCGTTCAAACCCCAGAAACGCCGCCAAACGCTCGATGAAGAACTCCGCGCCGCGCTACCACTCTTGACAGACGAACAACTCGACTTTTTGGACTCGAGCGATGATGTTTATATGGGTGTGGGGAGTATGGAACCTCATGGGTTCATGGCCCATGGTGGGGCAGGAGGGCCACCTGTATTCATGGATCCAGGGCCCGAGACGCCTGAACGGTTTCGGTGAGGCTGAGTGCGCTTCAGGTGTAACGGACAGTACTTAGCCTTGTTTATCCTATGTATGTACAACCATCTCGCTTTCGTAGTTAGTTCTTGTTAGCTTTCTTTGAATGACTGTTGACCTTTCTCGCATCTCGCCGTTTTCCATTTGGACCCTCATGCACATACCTGTCTTCTTGGACTACAGTCTGGCATTGGGAACTTGTTCGTTCCAACTGTAAATCACATATACGTTCTGCGTTAGTCGCATAGCCCGCATGAAAGCAAAGAAAGCACTCTACTATTACAGAGCAACAAGTGTTCCAGGCTACTGCTGGGTAAATACAATAGTCGTATAAATAGGTAATCGTAGTATATCAAGGGGCGGGGGTAGTCGCATCGTGATATAACAGACACAGGCAAGAGATGCAAATGTGTGAGAGATGAGCAAAAGTCCGTTGAAAACGTCATACAAGAGACGGGTAGTGATAGGGTAAGGCAAAGCGAAAAAACACATCGTTTAGATCGTCATCATCTTCGTGATCTCCATCCCCCTCTCCTTAAGCATCACACCCCTCCACTTCATCTATATCCGCCATAGTTCTCGTAGCTGGGTGGGGCAGTAGGAGGCGCAGCCGCTCCTCCCTGGGCACCAGCAATCGAAGCTCTCACGGCAGCGTAGGGATCCGCATACTGCATGGTCCGGCTAACCCGCGGCCCCATATCAGGCTCGGGTAGCACGGGAGGGGCAGCGCTCGTCGACACCCGAGGGGGAGAAACATACCCAGGGCCTCCTCCATAACCTGTGTCAGACGCATAGCTTCCTGGAACTGCGGCCCCGCCTCCACCATACGACGTGTTCCCAAACCCAGTAGGAGCAGGATCAGAGAATGCGCCATAGGCATCCATACTTGGTCGGCCGGCAGCAGGGATGCTACTCTGATGCGATGGGCTGGCATAGCGATGGGGATCGTTGAAGGGGTTAGGGGAAGCGCCTGTAGTAGGGGAAGAGTGGTCCTCATTATATCGCGAGCCGTCGTTCCGAACGGGTGCTTGAATGTGCGTGAAGCCTGCTTCGTCTTCTTCGTCAAGATCTTCTGAGGCTTGTTGCATTGTCGGTCGGGTGAAGGGCGGGTCGCGGTGAGGAGTTAGTTTGCCGGAACGCCATTCCATAATCAGGAGTACGAGGGAAGCGGTCCATGCAACTTTGAGACACCATCAGGCCAAAAGAGACTAACAAATGATGAATAGAGGATGTACTCACAGAAAGCAAACAGGAAGAAGAAAGAACCCGCTTTCTTGGTATTACACCATCCAGGCAATCCGTCCTTGAAATCGTCGCCCTTCTCCTCTGCATTGGGGTCTTTTTCAGGATCTTTGCATCCTGCTTGCGTGAAGGCCGAAATAATCGTGATAAAACTGCGGATCAGCCCTCGTCAGCACGTTTGGTCAGAAGAAGGGGATCAAAGACCGCCGCTACGCACGCAATCAAGAGGTTAAGCGCAGTACCCGTCCCGGTCAGAATGAAGCTCACTCGCACTTCCTTCAACAACCTGGCAAGTTGAACAAACTTGTCGTACTTTTCGTATGCAACGGGTACGAAGAGCATGAACGCGGATAGGAGCATCCCAGCGATGGAAACGAATATAGCGAACCCAGACAGACCAGCTTACAGACCAAACGACGTCAACTATAGGACCACAACGCGACATGGATGCAGGGAACTCACAAGGACCGACTTCCCATTTAGCCTGGAAAGCAGCCACGCTCGCGAAGCATGCCATGGCCAAGAAATTGAAGAATATCTGTGTCGAGTGGGCGACGATGACAGGTTTCGATACGATCATCTGTTAAAGAGCAGGGCGCGTTTGGTCAGTTACAGCTATGAATGAGGACGCTCGCAATGGATGGAGCAAAGATATGAACCCATATCCAAGGAATCCATACAGCCGGGACGATGAGAACGAGCGCGATGCTCGTCTTGTCGTCTGCAAGAGCGCTCATCGTCGTGAACAGGAGAGATTATGTACGTAAATTGGATTGCGGACTGTAGCCCCTTGTCTCACTACACGAGGCGATATAAAGTTGACTTGGATCGAGCGCGACTCACATTGTCGTCAAAGGGAACCATTCCATGGCCGTTCCCTATCCCTGCTAATGTAGTCGATCCCTTGTTCGATTTTGGAGGCGCGATCTTGTGGACTAGGTCTGATATGCGGGCTAGTAAAGACATACTGGGCGTCGTCGAGGTCGTCGAGGTCGTCGAGGAAAAAGGATGTTGTGGTCGTCGTGAAACCAAGGGCGGTAATGACAAGAACTTGGTGTAACCAAGTTCATTTTGGAAATGCTCCCGCTCGCGCAGCCTCACGTGATCCCACCTCACCGCCTCCAGCGCAGTGTCCCCGCAGTAGGCCAAGCGCACCGCAAAGCTTGGATTGTCCTCAGTGGTCAACAAGTATTATGTAGAATTAAAAAGCAATGTGTCAAATACGCAAGCAACAAAAGATCAGTCGCAGTAAGTATCCAGAATATAGTCCTTTGCGCAAGCATCATCGATCTACAAGATCACATCCTCCACTCCATCATCGAGGTCCATAGCTTGGCGGAGCCTGCCCGTATCCGGCTGCACCAAATGCGGCGTTCGGTCCTGGTGACATACGTCCAGCATAGGCAGCGTTCGGTCCAGGGCTCTGTCGTCCAACTGCAGGATCTCCTCCATATTGATCGTAGCTTTGGTATCCCATGTTAGGAGGGGCCGGGCTTGCGCGACCAGCGTCGTAAGCCTGAAGTGGTCCTGGGCTCTGTCGTCCAACATTGTAAGGTGCCTGTGCGTCATAGCCTCCGTGAGCAGGAGGAGGAGGCGCGGCGTGAACCTGTCCTTGTTGCATCTGCGTCATAGGGATCGCCTCGCCTGCCCAGTCCTGTCCATGCTCGACTGTTGGTGGGACCGGGCCGCGATACGGATCGTAGTAACCAGCTGCAGCATTGGGATCATCTCTGTATGGTTGATTGGGGTTGAGATGTGGGAGCGGTGGTACGGCATACGGGTCCTGGTGACCGCCGAAATCTGTCGTGGAATAATTGCTCGAGTTGACCCTGGAAAGGGAATTGTCCGAGCCAGTGTCAAAGCCTGCTCGACCGGTGTCGCGCACAGGTAAGGGATGAGAGTCGGCACCATGACTGTTCAGCTCGGGCCATTTGATGGGTTCATCTAGGGTGTTAATCAATCGTATCAGCACCGCATCGTACTCGATGAGCTATTGAAACCCTTACTGTCATCAAAGGTGGAGAACTTCTTGCGGGTAAGTTTCCAGACGAAGAACGCGATGATCCCAATCACTGCGAGCCCCCCAGCAACCGACATTCCAATAATCGATCCCGTTCCGATTCCTTCACCTTCATCATTATCCTCCTTGGGTTTTGATGTGGCCGTTTCACTAGGCGCGCTGCGTGAACCTGAACCAGATATAGTGTTGGTTCTTGTGATAGTGGTGAAATCGTCTTCCTCGGTTGTTGTGATAACCTCGTCGTCGTCGTCCTCGGCAGGGGTGGATGGAGTCGGTTCCCGTGTCGTTTCAGGCGGGGGTGTATTGGTAGAAGAGGTTTCTGGCTCCGAAGATGCGGTCTCGCTTGCGGAGGAACTGGTCGGGGTCGAAGTGGGGGCTGAGGTTGGAGTCGATGATGATGTTGGGTCGGGGACTCCAGGTACAGAGGGCACACTTGGTCTGGGAGGGAGGTCGTCGTCGTCGTCGTTTGTTCCGCCCCCTTGGCGACGATAGTTGTAGCTGGCTGCCACCACCTGGGTCAAAAGCAAGGCCAGCAAACAAGAACGCAATGTGCGCCGCAGCAACATGGCGGCTAGAGTGAGCGGCGGATGTTCAGAGTGATATTAAAAAGAAAAGTTAGGGAGAGAAAGGGACATGCAGACCGTCGTCAACGATGAAGACGACGCAAAATTCGGTTGGCGATGAGGTGGTAGGCTAAGAACACACAAAGACGTGGCTGTGTCCTCCTTCTGCTTCTGCACAGCCATCAGCTCACCCACGCACCGCTCGATCCGCCGCTCCTCCAGCCGCTCAACCGTGTCCTGTGCTCACCAGCACAGCTCCTCATTCTAGAATAAATATTAAACGCCTCTCGTGTTGTCCAACCCTACTTGCTTGCCCTCTTCCTCATTTTCTCGTATCGCCTCCCTGCCTTCCTGCTGTCCCTCCCACGCTTTCACAGTTTGATAGGCGCCAGAACAGCCTCCTGTGGACCCTTTTCTCCCAATGCGTCCCTTCGGAAACACATATCACTCACCTCGGACTATCCGCATCACATTAGCTCCCTGAAAAGCATAGAAGAAATTCCGAGAGCGCTCATGCCTCGTGTTCCTTTTACAGCTACTATGCCGCCTCGCGCAAATGTGACGTCTTCTTCTAAGCGCTCTCCCACCTCTTGTCCCGTTAAGGGCGGATTGGCATAGCCTCGAGTCTACAGCACGAAGGCTGTACCGAGTCATGCGTGTCTTCCTCCCTCATGCCTTTTTGCGAATACAAAAAGGGCTTAACACTTGACGCGCCTCCATTCCCCCACAAATCCTTCCAGCCTTGCACTATCCCTTCAACCTACGCTCACAACAATGGCTCCCGAGGAGAATCTCCACATCACCGTTCTTGGCCCCGATGACCAGTCCAGCGCTCCTGTTGAGTACAAACTGTAAGTATCTCCCAGCACCGATTGCAGTTAAGCTGGGCCAGTGCTCATACATATCGATCGCACTGGCAGGAATACGGCCACCACCAGCTTTCCAAGTCCAATCGGTAGCCCCGACCCCAGTAGCCAGGACAGTTCATCGGGAGGTACGTACCCGTCCAACCAGCCTCTACCTTCGTTTAATCATGTCCTAGGTTATCCATCGCCAGACACTCCTCTAGACCGACTTGATGTATCCTTTTTCGATACTTCATACTCCCAAGTCGATGAATACCACGATGGTCTCTCCGTCATGACAGGCCCTGTCCTCACAAGTCCCTACTCTCCGACCTCGCTGTCTCCGTGTCTCGGCGGTTTGTCTTTGGGTGACAGCTCCAACGACACGTCCGGGCCATACGGGGGATACGACGATAGGAATCTCGGTCTTGGCACCAACAACGACTTTCCGGTTCCCGACTTCCACTCCCTTGTGACCCCAGAATTGAGGTCATCCTCGCCCTCCCGTGCCTCTCTCTCCCCTCTTATTATCCCCCAGACCTATCCCTCCCACTCTCCTTCTACCGCAGACTGGTCTCAACAGCAACAGCAACAGCAACAGCAACAGCAGTCCACATACGACAACGATGACTTCCTCAGTCAAATACTTCTGGGACAATCCCCATTCCCAGAATCCCTGAACGTCCCAGCAACTGAGTACCAGCTCCCAGTCGACTCACTGGCGGATGAAACTGCCCTCCAGCGCCTCCCTCGCTCACCCAGCATGCAGCACGCGCGTTCCACATCTGAAGTAAACACTCCTTGGACCGGCTCCAGTGGTTATTCAACCTCTCCCTCCCTCATGCTCACTCCCTCAGAGCCATCCAGCAGTGCAGCTTCCCTCACTGTTCCCGACCCATACAACAACTTCGGTGGGCCCGGTGATGACCTCGTCCTCGCCCAATCCACAAACCTTTACCGAAGCCACAGTGATTCTGCCACACGAGGACGGCGATTCAGTCATGTGGGCCCAGACCGCGGACGCACCCAATACCGCTCCCCACCCTCCAGCACCAATTCCTCCCGTCGTTCCAGCCCATATCCTCTCCCAGCCGCGTCGCCTGTCTCTCCCAACCAGGTGTACGAAGCTGACAACCATCTCGCACCGCCGCCGATACACGTGCAGGGGATGGAAGGGCTTCGTAGGCGCCATAGCTTCAATGGGTATGGAAGGCCTCCGCCGATGGTCGCGACTGCCAACCCCAATGAGATTATTGTTCCTGTGGGGTATTTACCTGAACCTATCACCCCCACTTCCCGTAAGGTTGCTTCGCAGGCTGGGATCAAGGCCAGCGCAAGGAGGCGCACCAAGGAAGCAAAGTTTTCGTGTACCCTCTGCTCGCAAACCTTTACGACCAATCATAATCTGAAGAGTATGTACCTCTTTATCCACTTTGAGTCACCCGAAGCTGACATTTCCCCCTCTTTTTAGACCATATGAACGTTCACTTGGGAGTGAAAGAGCACGAATGCCCTGACTGCAACCGGGCATTCACGACGCAGAGTGTGCTCGCTCGGCACACCAAGACTTGCAAACTCAACCCGGACAACGTGAACCATAGACGCCAGCAGTCTCAATCATAGGGTTCTGTTCCTCCCTTCCATTCTATCATCTTTACCATTTTCCCCCACTCCTAGTCCATCATTTCTGTCGCGTTTGCAGCGCGACCTATACCATCCATTGTACTTTATACCCCATTTCCTTTCTCTTTTTTCCCCAACTGCATTAATCCACAACGATTGCTATGACCATGACCATGCCATCTCCATGTTATTTGTCTAACCTCAACTACATTATTCTGTAGCATCATTACACGTCTCTCCCAGTCCTACTTCCTGTCGTCTGCATTCCGTCTGAACACTGTATCTTTTGCTACTAGTACTTCGTGTATATCAGGTTCTGCCCGGAACGGGTTGTTGCTCGCCTTTTTTGTTTTGTAGAGCCCTTGTTTACCGTTTCCATGTTCTCTTCGCATAGCGCTATACTTACAACGTGTCTTTCGCGAACTTCGAATACACTTGCATTTCCTAAAACGTCGATCTGTCTTTCTGCTGTTTCTGCTGTGCACAAGATGTAAATGAGAAATGAAGAAGGCTGTGGCAAAGGCCAGGCGCAAATCCCTATATTTGGACATTCAAGCCACCTTTCCGAAGGCAGCTATCACAGCCCTCAGCCCTTCGAAAGCGGTGCGCTATACATGTACAGCAAATCCCCGTCCACTCTTTCCCACAATATAAGCGCCGGTCACACCCTTCTCCCCGACCGCCATCCTCCTCACCCCCCGTAACAGAATGGAGGAACCTAAGCCCCCCACTCCCACCTTTCCTCCTGCTGGCGTGGACGAGAGGAAAAGTACAAGAAATCCCTTCAGGGAACAAATCCACAGTCGGTCCAACTCGCTGGCTCGACTTGCAAGGCGAGATCCAAGGTTGTCCGACGACGACAGTCACAACCCTCCTCATTCACCCTCCCAGCGCACGGCTTCGCCTTGTAGTGATGGCAGGGATGCCTATGAAGATATGGGGGACCGATATCCTTCTATCCAAGTTCAGCCAGCGTCAGGGTTAGTGAAACTTCGCTGGCTTAATCGTAAGCGCCCACTACAGTCAACCTAATTTCCCTCCCTTCTGCAGTGCACACATTCTCCCTTCGACTTCTAAAGTCCGCATAGATGACGGCACCTTCATTGCATCTGGGCTTGATCATAACAGCATAACTCTGAATCTCAACGTCCGTAAGTGGACTCTTGCTGTATGGGACACACCACTCCTGCGGTTGAGTACTAATTGTCCTGCTAATCTTAGACCAAGCCTCCAGAAATCCCCTTTCCGATATTCATCAAGTTCCCGCCCATGCTTCCACAGCTCCTTTTACTGCAGGCAGCGCTCGTATGTCGCTTTATCTCATTGCGTCTCGTGGTTTCGGGCTGGCGCTAACATAGCACATACAGCCCTGACCCATCCACCCACAGCAAGTCCCCGTGTTCGACCTCAGGCGGGGATTCACGAAGCCAGAGATGCCCCCTATTCCACCAACTCTACGCCTCAACCGCCCATACCTTCAACACTCCCCCCAACTGGGATGTCTTCTGCATCCTTTGTCAGTGCATTTACTGCCTCCTTGCCAAATTGCAGCGCTCATAGATACGTCGTTCTTCACAGTCACCTGAACCAATCTGCCTTCCAGCGCAGGGCAAAGACATCTACGAACGCCACCTTCTACTCCTGCGACACGGATGGCCGTTGTGGATTCCCCACCCGAGCATCAGGCTACCGATATCCTACGTCGAGAAAGGCGTCAGTGTTGGAGATGTCGGAATCATCACTCAATACGGGGCCTTTGATTATCTCTTCAACATCCTTCTCCCCGCTGACCATCCGGACAATGCTGGTCCATTACCTGCGGGATTCGTCCCTCTAAATATCCAATCGAAGGATATCCACGAATATCCAGAGCATATGCCTGGAAGCTACTTTGCGAGTAGCTCGGTGAGGAAAACCAGGCAAGTTAACGTTCCGCCCGCTTCTCTGAGCCATACAGACAATGCTGACAGCGGGCTATAGCGGCCTTACGTTCACGAGTATGGGCTCAGAAGGTGCAATACTTACCCTCCCCGACGGCGCACACCACCAGGATATCCACAACCTTAAGAGATTCAGAGACTATGCCGCAGCCCATGTCGTCTCCTGGTACAAATTCGTCAACGGAACCTGCGGACGCGAGATCGAAAACGGGAGGCTGCACCTCGTGACGGGATGCGATAAAACCTCATCGTGGGGTATGGCCGCTTTTTTGGGGAGCCAGGTGTCTTCTGAGCCTCTGTCGCTGACGTTCACTACCCAAGTGGGCGCCACTGGACCGACGTACGGGTGGGAACACACGGGACATGCAGAGGTGAAAGCCTGTCCAGCGGTCTCTACACCTGGTCAGAATACCCTGAGAAACCAGTGCACATTCATTCGGTCAATCACACTCTCACTGAGTGACGATGAATGGGAGGATGCAATGGCCGCTATTGATGTTCCAAGCGACAGCGCGCCAGATACGTCAACTGCGAGTGAATCCGATACTGGAGGTTCACATTCAAGTTCCGGAAGTAGAAATCCCTTGCGGCAGCTACTCTCCAAATTCGGATTCTGTCAGTAGTTTCCATCCCTGAAAATAGAATTCATAGTCTTGAGCTCACCTTCACCATTCAGCCAACTCGGGGAAGTCTTCATCCACCAGGACACAAGGCGCCCTTACCATGAAGCCCTTTTCTGACCTTCCATTGCAGGTGCGTCAACGCCGTCTAGCCTTTATCGCCAGTCTCTGTTAACAGGCTATGCAGAGCATCCACCCATCTGCAATCATAAATAAGTTACTACTGAGCAAGGCATGCCACGCTTTAGAACGTTTCCGATGCTTTGCTGACCGCCCAACAGTGTCCAGAAGCTCGAGTAGCGATGACGCACGACAGTGACTGGGCTTTCCTTTCCGATCAGGTAAAGTCGTTACCATATGCGGCAGTACGGCAGTACAGGCTCCCTCACACTCCACATCCAAAGGCTTTGGAAAGTTTCGACATTACTCAGATTCTCGGCGAGATTATGACGTTCGATGCTACCCTTGACTCTGGTGATGCTTGCTTGCTTCCAGAAATCGAGGTTAAGACTGACCCAACTACCTGATTGTCTAGGTGCAATCTATCTCTGCGCATCAAAGCAGCAGGGCGAGAGTAGCCACACTCAGGGGTCTTGCGAAATGGCTACAGTACCAAATAGCACAGACACTCCCGATGAGATAGAGAAACTATTCCAAATGCTGGGGCTGGGCAGGGACGAGGGTTGGCAGACAAGTCCATTATCTCTGCCCCTGCCAATTCCTGCTCCTCTATCACCACACTCACATCTTCGCCGTGACCAAGAACTGTCCCCAAAGGTAGACTCCGTCATATATGCAAGCCCTCCAAACTTTGGGACGGATCTTGACGTCCTACAAACTCCGCCCTTCTTCGACTCGCCGCAACTCTCGACTTCGAGTTCACCATCCACGATTGCGTCTCCACTCTTTGTTTCTCAGGAGTCATTCTCTAACCTTCACTGGGAAGAATCTCACTACATGGGCTTCCCCCGTCAGAAAGGCACTGTAGGCGACTCACCTAAACCGGTGCGGCGGTGGGATGCAGGTATATTCTATGACAGCCCGTCGTCTTCCCCTCCCCTGCCACGGTCTTTCGATAGCCATTCAGGCCTACGGCCAACCTCAGGATCATCGCGCTTCCCCTCTCGTGCCGGGTCCCTCTCTTCAGAGAGAAACTACCCCTGGTCAATCTCAAGTGGCCGGTCATCCCCATCCCTCTTCTTCACTCCTTCAGAGTCTGGGAGTAGTGCGATGTCTCAGCTACTGGAACTCAGTCCTCCCAGTAGCTTTGGCTCTCCAGACATGCATCTACGTGACCGATATGTCTCCAGGTCTACATCTCTCGACAAGGTCGAAGAACGTCCGCGTCGACACAGTTTTGACGGATTGTCTGAGGCGGGATTTTCCCCGACTTCCGGTTCTCAGCTTCCAAAAGCCATAAACGCTACATTTGAAGGCACCTCGAGGACGAGGCAAGACACACGCCTCACCACGGTTACAGGATTGCAAGGGGTGGGGGTCAAGCGCCGACATAGCTTCTCCACTCTTCAACGTTCTCCTTCTGCAACTATAGACATATCGGCCTCGCATGGACTAAGTCACCGCCGCGTCATGTCTCAATCCGGAATGAAGGCAAACCCAGGAAGACGAAGCAAGGAGGCTCGATTCTCTTGTACACTCTGTGGACTGACTTTCACCACGAACCATAATCTAAAGAGTAGGTCACATTGTACTGCGCTTTGCGTTAGTGTACTAACGACGAGAGATACTCAGTTCATATGAATGTGCACCTTGGCGTCAAAGCTCACTCTTGCGTCCATTGTGGCCGGGCATTCACCACTCAGAGCGTGTTGGCTAGGCACATGAAAACCTGCAAGAGCAACCCAGAGAAGCCTCAGAGAAGCCAGCTATCCCAGACACTCAAGACTGACGAGTAGTCTACTCCCCGCCCGATACACCTGAAGCTGTAATATCGACCCTTAACTGCCCTTTACTGCCTTATAGGGGCATGCATCCCTGTTGGTCCATTACGTAACGATATTTTTTCCCTCTGGCTCTGCTATTCTTTTCTTCCCTATACTATGTACACGATACCCTTTCCTGCTCTTGTTGACCTGTAAATATCGCTGAAACTGGCCCGATATCGACGACTACTGCTCTATCTATGACAGCGCCGAAACTACAAGTTGACTGAACTCCCACATCTGCCGCCTCCAATGACAGTCAGCAAGCGAATGCGTCTCGATTCTCCTTCATTCGACGTTCACGATGCTGTTCCTGAAATACTGGCCGACATTGACACGGAGATTGCCCTGAGAGGTCGGCTAGAGGAGACACTACAAGGCAGAATTCAATGGGCGCTTTCGATGCAGAGTGCACTTCGGGCTGGGAGAACACGTATGTTTCATGCAAAGTGTCAGTCATGGACTCTTTTGACCTTTATTTTCAGAGAAGTCTGCTTCTGATGCTCAGGGTGGGTCTCAGAACCTCCAGAAACTTGCGACAGACACATTGGTCAACGTCGAATTACCATCCAGTATCCTTTTCGCCACAGCACCCAAGCCCGCTCCGGCAGCCCAACCCACAGCACCAGCGCCCTATCGTCGACCAGCACCCAGACCCAAACCGTTCGGACATCGTAGCAAAGGCAGTTTCCTCTTTGTTAACGCCCAAACAATAGGCGCAGGTTACGGAGCAAATGGGCCCCAATACCTTCTTCTCAAATGTCCCATCTGCTCCCGAACCGCCTTCTCGTCCCTCCAGGGATTGCTCAACCACGCCCGAATCACACATAGCATCGAGTACGGTACCCACGACGCGTGCATAAAAGCCTGTGCAGTCGAAGATCCCAGCATCAATCTGGACGATGGGATAGAAGTTGGGCTCGGCCCCTCTGGAGTGTTGCCTGGTCTGCAGACACTATTTCAGCGAGCAGTTGGCGTGGAACTGCCTGTCCTCCTTCCCGACGCCACCACGAAGCAGGAATCGGACCAGGCCACGGCCGATTCTGCTGAAAATGTCCATCCCGAGCCTTCTACCCTGGCTCAAACTCTTGGTATCCATGATGAAACGGCGGCATTAGCACCCTTCTTGGGAAAGGAAGCTCGCAGAAGGGAAATACGGGTTTATGACGAAGACACGCATGTTGACATTGGAAGCTACGGGAACACGTCGAAGGAAAGGCCTGCAAAGGCTGGCGCATGGAGAATGACTTTCGCCCAACGAAATGTTGCTGTCCTGGACGGCATAAACCCGGACATGGAAGTCGACCACGAACAAGAAAAGGAACCGGAGGCGACGCCGTTTAAGGACTCGACGAATATGGAGACTCATTCTCCAAGAGGCCAAGCGGAACTTGTTAACCTCCCTTCATCGTCGGGGAGCAGGTTTCATTTTACTGCTCGCATCTCGATTAGTGATCGCAATCTTTTTGTGGCTCCAGGTTTGCCTTCTAGCTTCACTCCTATCACCAGTGCATCCCTGTTTCTTACCTGCTCCTGTGCAGAAAAGCGCGCATGTCCTTCCCATACCCATAAATGGATGATCGGCGTGGAAAATCCGTCTTATGTATGTTTGAGTCTCTATCTTGGACCCCGGAATGCTCAGTCACGATTTAGGCGATCCCCCTGAGCAGTGTGCTGAAGTATATCAAAGTAACGCCTCTCTGCGAACCTGAAGACTTCGAACTTTCCGTGGACACCGCCGACAAGCCACCTTATGCCATAGTCGGTACCGCGAGGAAACCTTTCTTGGCCCGGGTGGAACTTGTCTTCAACGATGTGCTGAACACCGTAGACAGCGGAAAAGAACCGGAAAGTCAACCCAATCTCGAGCAAAGAATGGTGTTGGAGCACTGGGTAGACGTGCGTCACATTGACAATCTCCCATGAACGTTAATGACGGTGGATGCTGTAGCTCGACCAGTTCAGAACCTCTGGAGTAGTTCTTGGCGAGGAACAACTTGTGGACGCGGAGCTGGATCGGCGAACTGAAGTCAAACCAGCAGTTGTGCATTCTGCTTCTCTATCCTCGAAGGACCTTTGGAAGAATACACATCTCGACTCGGGGTCAACACCTTCAAGTGCAAAAGACACTGACGTCTCCCCAGGTGAGTCTGGCATTGTTATTCTTAAATAATCTGAAATAACTGGGTGGGATAGCATACTCCATCCTTCTAGAGCTTGTGCGGCAATACCCTTTAACATCGCACAACAAGGATCAGGCGGAATGCGTTCCCTATAGGCTGGTCTCATCTCGAGCTCGGTTTAAGAACCTTGTCGCTGGACGACAGCAAGCCATCAAGGTAAGTCATGCAAGTTTCTTCAGCCTCTTTTCCGCTCTGATAATGGCAATACCCTAACAGTGGGCAAGAGCTAGAGCCATAAAGGAAGCGTTCGAGTGTGCCTTGGAGGAAGCTCAGATGACGTGCCCCTCTATCTCCACTGCCGAATTGTTTCTATGGCTGCAAGAGAAGGAACAGGCACCCGGAGTGGAAAACGCTCATACAGTAGAGTCCGAGGATCCCATCAGGAAAGGACGTAAGGCAACAGACCAAGCTCATGAGGGTTGGTGTGGATTCTGCGGACTAGAACTCGTCTTGCATCAGCCATTGGAAAGACCTATCAAGCAAGAAGAGAACGAAGGCAGGCTTGGAGAGTGCCTTCTCAGAGCAAATGACACCCGTTCCCCGTGCGACATGTATCGAAACGTTCTGCTGCCAGGAATTAACGACATGGTGCTCTTCCGCCGCAGAAAAGAGATTGAACAACTTTCTGGAAAAGGGCAACCACTCCTCCAACTCTCTTCGGCGCAAAACATCCACCGACAATTAGTCCAATCAGTGGATCCGGGCTTGATTTCCCTTGTCAAGGATGTCCTCAGCGACATGGGTTTATCCACCTTCCAGACGACCGATCCTCATTCTACGCAATACCCCATCGATGGATACGGTTCACGAAGATCTGATGTCGAAGCCAGCATTGCACCGCATGCGCTTATCGCCTTAGCATTAAAGTGTTTCCTTCAAGATACCGTTCGCCAAGGGGTATCACAAGCCCTCAAAGAAAAAACTGTTGCGCTGCAACAACTCGCTTCTGGCTCCAGGAGAGGTTCCAAAAAGGGAGAGCTGCCTCCCAGTTTGCTCACCCCGCACCATATCTTGGCAGGAAACGGCTTGGCAGAAGGACGACTTTAGCTGTCCAGTTTGCGGCGGATTCTGTCTTCTCGGCACATAGCCGCAGGCTGTTGGAGGGCTTCTATGGCGCTCTTCGACGCTCAAGACCATAGTGTATTATCGTTACAGCAATATCGCCCTTCCTGCATGCTTCGAGCCACCCATACGAAGCACCAAAGGCGGAAGCTTCGTGACTCCATCCGATAGGGAAGGGAAGCCTACCATACAACAAACTCGTGCCCCGTGGTTCCTTTAGACTACTCGATCCAGGTCAATCTAATCAGCTTCAAGGTTGCAACGCGTTGGAGATTCCATATATAAACGCTTCATTCATCGACTGCATTCTCCAGTCACTCAGCAGGCCTGCGACGCTTCCACAATTCGTCTACTACACCTTCACAATGATGCTATCGCGACCTTTCCTTTATCTCCTCACTCTTGCCTTGGCATCTAACGCTTTCAAGTCCCATATTCTGCAAGCCAGGCATCAACACAACGTCGTCGCTCTTCAAGCTAGGTGTGCTCCAGGGCCTCACCGTTCCCCTGCTGAATCACTGGAGGTCCCGCCGTCTATCCCTGATGACCCCACGGAATCCAGCCCGAGCTCCGACCGCACTGTTACGATCGCATCTGACAACGCTCCTCTCAGCGACGGTGGAGTTGGGGACGATGACGGCGGAGATGGGGACGGAGAGCCTAGTTCAGGCGAAGGCCCCTCCGATCCTTCAGGTAGCTTGGTCGAAGATCGTGACTCGGACCCTTTGATCTCTGCCAAATCCGTAGCATCACTTACTCCCAATGGCATCAAAGCCGGTATCGCTGGTGGAGATGCCTATCCTTATCTCAAGGACCACATCGGCTGGTGGTATGACTGGTGCGTTCGCCTTCTAACTTTGCTCCACCGCAATCCATCCTTCATGGGCACAGTCGTACTGATTTTATAAACAGGTCCCCTAACCCTTCCAAGCCAGGCAGGCCAATTGCGGTTCCGATGCTCTGGGGAGGTGGTACCGCAGATGCCCAAGACGCCGCCCGTCTCGCCGCTTTCAAGAAGATCAAGAACGTTCCTCGATATGTCCTTGGCTTCGAAGAGCCGGACTGCCCACCAGGCTCAGGCTCAGCGGGGATGTCAGTAGACGCAGCAGTGTCAAAATGGGAGGCATACATCGCTCCAATGAAGCAGAAGGGTGCTTTATTGGTGAGCCCATCGATGTGCAGTAAGTTGTGATCGGTTTGTCAAGATTATGGTCTGATTGTTTGGCCACAGAGCAAGCGGACGAAACCTGGCTCGCGGAATTTCAGAAAAAGATTAGAACGCCGTGGGATATCACTGCCATCCACGTCAACAAGAATAACCTAGCAGGCGTGAAGAAGGACATTGTAAGCATAGTACCCACCGGCATGACATCCCTGAGCTCACTTCCTATCAGGACCATTACCTTCGTTACGGCAAACCTATATGGGTAACTGAGTTTGCTTGCGTGAATGGTACGCCCTCGCCTGGTGGCCTCGTTTGCCTGTCGTGTTGATTTCATGATGGCAGATAACCCCAATTTCGTTCCGTGCACCAACCAAGCCGAAATTGACCGTTTCATCAATGAGATCGTTCCTTATCTCGAGCGCCACCCAAAGGTATACGCCTACGCGTACAGCAACGGACTGGGATTAGGAAACAAGTGGCCCTTAACTACTCCCGGAGACAATAAATTAACGTATGTGTTACCTCTCTACATCCCTTGCCTTGATCAATCGAAACTGACTCTCATCGTCAGCCCATCCGGGAGGACATACCTTGCTGCCATCAGCAAGTTCCACTGATTGCGTGAAATTGAAACGACGATGTCTCTCCTCTTCGCATCCCCGTTTGACACGGACACGGCGGCCGTAATTTAACGGATTTACTTCTTAGGACTCATTATCCTTCTAATGACTCTCAACTTTGTCTTTGGTTGCAACCTCTACAAATACTACGAACGTCGAACAGCGATCTTAGCGTACGACGCGGTTATAGAACTCGCTTCTCCTGCCTTTGGTGTATTCGGTGTACTAGTGTTCCGGAAAGCTTTAGTTCAAACTACATGAGCTCTCGGTGCGGTGATCAACGGTGGGTCCCATTTCTCCTCGATGTGACTGAGGTTCGACTCTGCAGTAGTTGCAGAAGAGGACACACCGAAGGCCCCTGAGATACGCCGAGGTCGTGATAGGTGCAGACGGTGTCCTTGAAAGAGCCATCGACTTGGCTTGTGATTATCACCCTGGAAACACTATTCGACGGGGCTGACTCCTTTATCCGTGGTGATGACAGGTCTTTCCTCTGTGAAGACATGCTCAATGTCACGCAGCGCAACTTGTCTTTTTGTTGTGTGTGGTCTTAAGGCACAGTACATTATCATATCGGCTTCATGCACATGTACATTGACGTCCACGCGGCGTCTTCCTACACTGTACACAGTCGTCTTTTCAGCCACGCGACGCGTTTAGGCCTCCCACCACTCATTTAACTTCCTTTTAAGGCAACCGAGTATCCTTCTGCAGCCGAGTGCCGTCCAGATTGTGCTTTTTCCCCAGCTCCCCAAGTGCTACCACGACGAAATAGAGGTTGCATCTCTACAACCACCATCTCTTGAGTCGGTCATGCCTGTAATTTTTGGCTCGTGCGATTGGCTTCTATTGGCTTGTCTCAAAAATGGAATTGATCGGAGATCACCGCCCTGGTTCTTTGAAGCTATATAATTGTTCCTGACCTGTTCCTTCCTTTCGTTCTCTCCACCACCACTCCAACTCCCCAAGACTTTACCATGGGTGACTACATACAGCGCCTCACGCGACTCAAAACAGAGCTGGAATCCTTTCAGCGCGGGGTCGAGGATCGTCTCAATGCAGAAGAGGAGCTGGACCAAATCCAGAAAGAATACACTCAAATCCTTTGTCGCATCGTTGCTGTCGTCGACGAAGCTGAAGCTTCCAACGCTGACAATCTCGAACAGGTGGTAATGACCACCGATGACATCTTGGAGTTTGCAGTCGGCTTCGCGTACGAAGACTTTGAAGCCTTGGCGGGCGATATGCTTTTTGAGGAAATGGCCTCGTTTGCTCACAGCGAACAAAGACCTGTTTTGGGAGAAGAGGGCTTCAATGCACGAAACGGTAGCCTCTTTCAAGTTTATTACTTGCCACCGCTGAAGCTCAGCTCGCTTCCTTCTTATAGTGCTCGGTCAAGGCAAACTCGACCTAATGCTTCAATTCATGGGTAAGTCTATGGTCTTCTCGCACTCCATAGTAACCCTGCTAAAGTGAACCTGTTATTCAGTACAGATGGGTTTGGTACCATCTCAACGAGAAATAAAGCTACCACCCGGTTTCGAACCTCCCAAATCATGGAAAGCCACCCCACGGCCGCATACGCTCTCTACTCCCTGCGCTAGGTTCTCTGACAACCTGGGACCAATCGATTTCCCGCTTGACAAGACACGCGCTCTTTGCGTCCTGCAAGCTCGCTGCGAAGTTACAAACGACGAAACACCCGAGTCAGGGTCTTCCACCATGGCCTCCGACGGAAAGGGCTTCGTCGTTCGCATGGCGGGAGGATGGAAGAACCGCGATCCATTGGTCTACTTCCGGTCCTTCGACGACGCGTTCCAGCAGGCCGATGGAATGATCGAACCCGGTCTATGCAGCCTCGTTGATGACGTCGCTTTCAATCACGAAAGATTCATTGTAGCAGCCGCAGACGACGATAGAATCAAGACCTACACTCGCTCCCAAACAGGGACGTCGGGAAACGTCAAGATGCTCCCTCTCCACACAATCAACACGCGAGAATTTACTGGCCCTCTCGCCTTTTTCTCCAACAACCGACTCGTTCGTTGCGGTAAAGGGAAACTAGGTGTCTGGAATCTCGATGAACTCGCCACGCACGGCCCTTCCGGGAAGAAAATCATTGGTAAACAGATGGATCCTGAGGACATCGATACATGGCGAGACTTTTACGACGACGAAATAGAGCTCTCCACCGGAACGTCCAAACCATCCACGACTCTACCACTCTCAGTTGACTACTCAATCAGCGAATGGCACCCATATCCCTCCAGGGACGGCGTCATGCTCTGCGCGTCCGACTCTCGCGCTAGTGACGAACGAAAATTCCGCTGTCATGCTCTGGACATTGAGCACGGCGGACAAATCGTCACTCGATACCTCGGAATCGGAGGAGAAGCACATTCATTCTCGACGAGCAAGGGCGATCCTGACCTTTTCTCCGTTTGCGCTTCGGACGGGTACACGCGCCTCTTTGATCCCAGGCACCCGCTACCCGTTATGACCATCAAATCATCCGTCGAATCCAGTTCTTGCGCTGCCCTGTGTCATCCTGACGGAGTTCCCCGTGCGTACCCACTTCTCTCGTTGAACATGATATCCCATCCAATATTCGTTTTTAGTTCTGTTCGTTGGTGGAGGTAAAGAAGAATGCATCAAACTCTGGGATCTACGCTCCAGAACCCCAGTCTACGAACTCGCAACAGGGAACAATGCAGTTATGGGTCTCGCTTGGGACGACCAGCACGACCAACTTTTCGCCATCACTTCCTGCTCTTACATGGACAGGATGGGCGAGCGATATGGCTACCGACGAGCGAAAATTCCCAAAGGGTTCCGCGAGACTGGGAATACCACTCTTGCTTCGGTTGAAGACGAAGACATGGAGGACGATGACGATGACCTAGAGGACGACAATTCGGATGACGACTTTTACGACTATGATGAGTATCGATGGCCAAAGGATGCTCACCACTCAGAGGATTACTTTGGACACATCTTCGATTTGGGAAGTCATAACATCCGTGAGTGTACACCCCACCTTTACCCCACCTTTTTCAAGCAGTTTCCCGACCCTTGTCAAACCAGTCCGCTATCAGTTCAAGCACGATGCCGACAAGAGCATTGTTCCTCAATGGAACATCTAGTCCCCTTGTGCATTTCCTCACCCTTACCCTGTACATATGTAACACAACGTACATCCACCTCAAGTCCAAAGCAAGCAAAGGGTCCCCTCATTGCGAAAGTCGAATCATTAACATCCAGCACGCAGTAAGGCGGCAAGCAATTAGTAAATGTAAGGGAAGATCTTGTAAGGGACCTTTTTCTTGTACTCGAGCCAGTCATCGCCGTATCTTTACACGTCTCGTCAGTACCAAATTGACAACGAAATGAGGAGTGACTCACTTGGCATGGCAAGCCTCATCGTCCCGATTTTGTCGGTGGAGGAGGAGAATGGTGAAGTAGATGGGGTAGAAGTAGGTGACGGGAGTGTTGAAGCCTGTGGGCAGACTCCATGCGAGGGCCATGATGAGGTCACCGCTATAGATCAAAACGCGTTTGGGTTGAATTGTATTGAAGCAATGAGGGAACGCGCAACACGTGGTTAGCAACTGATAAGACACGTAAAGGTGAAAGTTGCAACGCACAGGTAGTTGGGATGCTGGCAGAGTCCCCACCATCCAGAAATCAACAACTTGGTTCCGCGCTTCGTAGGCATCCATTTCAAGTCTATCCAAGCATCGTCATTTCGAGCTACGCGACTAATGAGTGAAGACAACGTACTCTTGGGGTTCTTTCCGTTCCTGAAATCGTTCTTCTCGCCGTTGGAGTCTCTAAAGATGTAGTAACCAAGGAGGTTGGTAAGGATGATGGCGATGGTTGCGGGGATACCGAGTTCAATAGGGTGGAAGGCGAGGTATCGGGCTTGAATGGTATAGACGAACGGAACCCAGGCCAAGTCACCAACGGACAACATGAATCCGAAGCCGTCGCTGACGATGTCCATGGTTGTGAAGACCGCCGGCTACACCGCGTTTCAGACAGCGCCCGGGAAAGGAGATAGAGAGAAACGCACCTCGTTGTAGAGCGCATCGGCAACATACCAGGTCTCAAAGGCGAGAACCAACCACATGGAATCGGTGACATTATGGAAGCCTCCCCTCCTGACCGCCTGCTCGCAGACCATGCTGATGTTGATGAGAACCCATAGGATAAGGCCAGGTCGGAGCTCATTGAAGGACTTGATGTCGAAAGAGCCGATGGAGGGGTTGAGTTCGCGTCCAATGAACCACTGGGAAATAACAAATATGACACGATATAAGCGAGCGCCGAGAGAAAAAGACAGAAAACTCACGTCATAGATAAAGTTGCCCGAGTTTCCACCAAGGGCGAGGAGCCGTCCCGGGCGGAAAGACATGACATAGACAAAGACGGCCTGGATGAAGGAGTTGATCAAGGCGGCGGTGACAAACCCAACCCATTTGGTGTAGATGAAGGTGAAGGATTCGGGGCCGTTGCGCAAGATCCAGCCAGTGGTGATACCCATTGCCAACAAGAAGGTTGAAAAGGCTACATGCGAATGAGCAAGGGACGTGTTTAAAGACAATGCCACCAGACACACCATTGATTTTATACTTTTTCTTTTCACCAGTTCTGAGGGTGGTTCCTTCTATCCAGTCGCCAGGGAGAATGGCCCAGGATCCGACGCAGAACGCGTACCAAGCGGCGTAGATGAGCGCTGCTTCCTGGTCATAGAGACTCTTCCAGAACTCGATGTCGGAAACGGCGGCGACGACGCGTTCAGGGACGGTGGCAAGGGGCGGTGGGCAACCTCCTGAAGTTTCGTTGCAGCCAAAGTAGAGGGCGTAGAGCATAAATGGGACGCCGATACTGACCAGGGTTGCCCCCGGTGGTCCCAAGAACTCATAAGAGGTTGTTTTTGGGTTGAGGACTGCGTTGTCCTTTGAGGCCATGGCGGTCGCGTTGCAAAGAGCCGTCTCTCGTTCAACTGGCACGACATTCATTCCATGTTTGATCCGCGTCGGATACAGCAGGTTGTTCCCACGATGGCTTGACATACACCGACAGAGTCTCCCCCTAAAAGGGACTACAAGGGCTTTAACGAATCTAAACGAAACCCATGAATGAACTCGTCATCTTATAAACTACAAACCTTGGCCCTCTTTCTTCTCTATGAACGATCATCATGAACCTCGCTCAGCGACTCAATGAACTCGCCCAAGCAAACTCTGATGGTCTTCTCAGGTAATTTACTATCCACATTGCCCCTACAATCACATACTAAACCGTAGTAATCTTCAGCGACGACGAATACCGCCTGCTCCGCCAAAGCGCGTTTGAACAGTACTCGGAACCCCTCGTCATCCCAGTCGAGAAACCAGTAGGACCGGCCGTGCCTGTCGTCCTCGTCCGCAGTGGTACGTGCAGCATGCCGTGTTCATTGAATAACCCTTACGTTACCCCCTCCCCCTTGGCAGGCTCCCAACACAAATCATCGTCTCCCGCCAAACCACAGCCCATCGAAACCACCCCCTCCAAGCTAACCACCTTCATACGACGCGCAGCGGGTCGCAATGCATCTCGTGAACGCCCTTCGACAGCTGGAGCACGCTTCCACGACCCCACACCAAGTCCGACACCACAAGACCCATTCACACCAGCCAAACGCGGTCTGATTCCCCGCATCTTCCACAAGAAACCACACGATCTATCCCCCCTCCAGACAAACTTTACTCCAAAATTTATCACTACACTCGCGGTTCAGTCACCTCTCTCCACTGCCAGCACGTCACCTCCTACTCCAAACCGATTAAAATCCAAACTCTCCGCGTTCACGGCAGCGCGTAAACTCGCTCAGGCCCCCGTCCCCAACTCTCCTGTAGCATCAACAGGTAGCAATGGATCCTCCAACGACAACCCAGCAACAAGCAAAGAAATCCGGGATATGGTTCTCTCAACCGAGGCCGAACTCGAGAGACTCGTCGACGCCTTCGACGCGCTCGAGCAAGGCGTAATACGGCGAATCAAGAAACGTAACGCGAGGAGACTTCCAGCAGTCACTCCTCCAAACGTAAATGTCCTACTCGAAGGTCGCGATTGGCGGGGCGAATTAAAGCACCACCGAATGTCGCCATCCGTGTCTACCCCTCTCTTTGATCCCAGAACGCGTTCGTCTTCCTTCAACTCGCCCGCTGCCATCGCCCCCTCTTTATCGATGCCCCGGTATATCACACTCGAACAGCCACCCCTCACAAGCGACAGACTCTCGGTTCACTCGGGGCACTCCGATCGCACTTCTTTCTCCTTCTCTCACTCCAGATCTATACCCTCCCTCCCGAAACAAACGACCTCACCAAGTAGCCCTCTTTCCCCGCACTTCCGAAGTCCACCTCCTAGCTCTCTCAAGCGCAAGGCATCACTCTCGTCCGTCTCCTCCCGGGGAACAAGTGCATTCTCAGCACTCGGTGGCCGATTCGGTGCTGCATCAGCAACTCAGCTACCCCTGTCTCCCTCATCCCAATCCCACGTACGCGGAGGTTCCACAGACGACGACTCGCTCATCCTGCTAGACGGACTTAATCTGACGGACGACGATCCTGACCAGGACCATCTTACCGAACTGAACGAAATACGCCAACGCAAGAAGGAAGTCATCGCTCGGTATGCACAACGCATCGAATACCTCAAGGCTAAACAGAAAGGCGCCGAACTGCACGAGAAGTTACTTCGCAAGTGAATACATCTTGGACCTTTTTCTCGGTTTCCGTCCGGAATTTGATTTTCTCTGGTTTCTTGTTTCTTAACCGGCCCCCGGATTTCACAGTTTACCCTGGTCCTTGGTCATCCTATCCTTTCGGTATCCCCTAATGTCGACCACACTGACATGAAACATCATCCATCGTATCGGCAGCGACCATTCCTCTTTTCCTCCTCGGGTTTCCTATTCCATTCCATTCTTTTTCGCTTTTGGGTTCTCGGGTCGATTCTACACTACTTCTCCCCTCCGCGTTCTTAACCCCGACATCATGTCTACGTTCGCCAGACACGCTTCTATTACTATTATTATGTGTACGCTGTATAATTGTTCGTCCCGTACTGTCCATATGGTCCTTACCGTCCTTATTGTCTCCCCCTGATCGAGAGCACTCCAGTGTATGTGCATCCTGTATGTACTAGTACTTGTCGAATGGTGCATTTTTACATGTTGTTGTAGTAGCCTTTCATCCCGTCGAAGAATGCTGCTTCTCCCAACGCGAGGTATCAGATGCACAATCGTTCGCCATTTCAAACTGCCAAAATTGCGTTAATTCAGTTCATCCCTTGAACAATTCAAGGCCAAACCATACCTGTTCATCCGTATGACACACCAAAATCCTCTTCTTCCTCTGCTCGCCCTCGACACCAAGCGAGATTTCACTCCCCTCCTCCGAAACCTGCACGACTTCCACACTCCCATCCGCACTCCCATTCCTCTCCCCATCCAACCGTTGATACCCCAAACACCTCACCCTCCTCCCAACCACCTCCCGCAACTCCACACTCCTCTCACCAATCCCACCAGCAAACACCAACGCGTCCACTTGTCCTTCCAACTTCAAATGATACGAACCGATGCAATTGAGTATGGCGTCTACGAACAGATCGAATGCCAGTCTGTTCGGGTTCCTCGAGGAAATCGTCGGATCGGGATTGGACAACTCCGCTTTGGAGGAAATGGTGGCAAAATCGGTGGTACCTGTCATGGCTTTCCACCCAGAGTCTTTGTTGAGGATTTCCTCCGCCTACACCCCCACCGACGCCTGGTAAGCTTCAACAGGGCGAATAGACAGACTCGACGTACCAACGACACCCCGACATGCGCAGCAGATTTAGGATCATGCGTGATCCTCCCTGCGCGATTGGTATAATGGAAGATCAAGCTTGGGTCGATGGCGCCTGAACGCGTTGCACCGGGCAGACCGCTCAAAGGTGTTAGACCCATCGACGTGTCCAGAGATTCACCGTTCTTTATAGCACAAGCTGAGGCTCCAGAGCCCAAGTGCAGAGCGATGAGGTTGAGCTCTTCGGGAGGCTATTAGAGAAAAAGATGTGAGAAGAGGGACGTGATGCGAGCATCGAAAGCTTACCTTGCCTAGATGCTTCGCCACAGCTCGAAGGATATACGAGTCTGCAGATTCCAAAGGTTAATAGGACCCTTTTACACCGTAAATCTGTACTCACAGCTCAGCCCGTGGAATCCATATTTCTTCAATCCTCTCTTCTCCGCCACCTCCTGTTTGATCGCGTAACTCGCGATATGTGGTGGGATGGGTCGATGGAACGTGGTGTCAAAGTACGCAATAGACTTTGCATTGGGCAAAGCCTTGATACAGGCTTGGATCACAGAGAGAGCAGCCCCGTTATGCCTAAGCCAAGGCAGTCAGCATCCCAACCTTTCGTGCCACGGGGTAAGGGAGACATACAAAGGCGCCAAATCCGACAGATGTTCGATATCATGATACGACTCCTCCGTGATGACGACCGGGTCGTGATAATCCCCACCATGCACAACCCGATGGCACACCCATCCAATCCTCTCCTTATCAATCGACGCCACCTCCTTCAAGCACCCCAAGAACCATTGGAAAGCCGTTTCATGGTCTTTCACTTTGTCTCTCCCATCCCCCTCTTGTCCCAGCCCTGGATCCTGCTCCTTCTTATTCGCCTTGTCATCAAACGAGCTCCTACTCTTGAATACCGCCTTAACAGGCGGAGACATAATCGAGCTGATAGAGCAGTTCAGAACAAATTCGACAGAGCGGCCGCGTTCCTTCGCGACCTCGGGGTCGAGCGTCGTGAAGAGTGTGATTTTGAGCGACGAAGAGCCTGCATTAGCCGCCAAAATCAAGTCTCGTCGTGGTTGGTCAGAGGACATGGTTCGCTGGAAAGTCTACTGAGAAGCGGTAATGCTTCCAACTTGTTGATATACCATCCCATTTCTCGGTTTCTTGGATGTTGGTTCATGATCAACGTCATGTTCAGACCAAGTTTCGATTTCGACCTGACGTCATGTCGCGTGGATTTCAATTTCCGATGAGATGCCGTCGCAGCCGTGGGCGCTTCTTCCCTTCGGAGCTCAAACTTGACTTTTATCCTCTCCCCTTTTCGCAGCGCTCCACGATTCGCGCCAATCTGTTACCTGTTTATGACGTCGAAAATGGGACTCGTAACAGGGTTACACCCTGCTTGGAATATAACAAGCTCTATCTTCTCTTGCCACTGAGCGATTCGTGAACCACGATGCCAGGACAACAACTGTCAGAACCAAATCCTCCTCCAGGACCTTCGCACCTCCCTGACTCGACGTTGGACTATGTTGTCAGGCTGGATACGAAAAATTATCTTCCAGAGGATGAGCTGAAAGGACTTCAACTGTTTCGGAGGGCAGCGGACTACATAGCTGCAGGTGCGATTGTCCTGCAGCCAACACCCGAGAAGTAAGAGACTGACCTACCTTCGCAGCTATGATTTTCCTCAAGAACAACGTCCTCCTAGAAGAGAAGCTGTCCCAAGAGAACATTAAGCCGCGTCTACTTGGGCACTGGGGAACATGTCCAGGCCTCACACTAATCTACGCACACCTCAACCGCATCATCCGCAACACAGGACAAGATACCCTCTTCGTCGTCGGTCCAGGTATGTTCCTTGCCTGACGACTCACCTGGCCCTATTCACGCTTACTCCATCCGCACAGGCCACGGTGCACCCGGTATCCTATCCAGCCTCTGGCTCGAGGACTCCCTCAGCGTCTTCGAACCTTCCATGACCCGTGACCGCCCCGGCCTCACAAAGCTCATCTCGCGCTTCAGCGCCCCCGGTGGGTTCCCCAGCCACATCAACGCCGAAACACCTGGCGCAATCCACGAAGGTGGGGAGCTGGGCTATGCACTGAGCGTCTCCTTCGGCGCTGCAATGGACAACCCGGACCTAGTGGTTGCGTGTGTTGTAGGGGATGGAGAAGCAGAGACGGGTCCGACGGCTGCTGCGTGGCATGGGACCAAGTTCTTGGACCCGGCAGAGTCTGGAGCTGTTCTTCCTATCCTGCATCTCAACGGGTTCAAGATCTCGGAGAGGACAATTTTTGGCGTTATGGATGATAAAGAGATCAATTCTCTCTTCAGGTTAGTGTTCCTCACTTATCCAAAGTTCTGCAGCGGTTCACCTGAATACAGTGGATACGGATACCAAGTCCGCATCGTTTCTGAATTGGACAACCTCGATAATGACCTTGCGGCCTCGATGGACTGGGCTATCTCCGAGATCCACAAGATCCAAAAAGCAGCGCGCTCAGGCAAGCCTATCCCCAAACCTCGCTGGCCATTGCTCGTGGTCCGTACTCCCAAGGGCCTCGGAGCACCCCATTCGATTCACGGCTCCTTTATCGAAGGGTCGTTCCACTCGCACCAGGTTCCGTTGCCGAATGCTGCGAAAGATAAGGAGGAACTCAAGGCGCTTGAGGCTTGGCTGGAGTCGTACAAACCCGGAGAATTGTTCGACGAGAACGGTGCCCCTCGACCTGAAGTTCTAACCATCATTCCGCAAGCCAACGCAAAGAAGCTTGGACAGCGCAAGGAAAGCTACGGCGCGTACATCCCACTTAAGATCCCCGACTGGAGGCAGTTCACCGTCGACAAAGGAAGTGAAGAGAGCTGCATGAAATCAGTTGGGAGGTTCCTCAAGCAAGTCATTGTCGAGTAGGTCCCCCCTGCCCACAGCACCGCATTCCAGAATACTAATTCATCCACCAGCAACCCCAAAACATTCCGAATTTTCTCCCCCGATGAACTATCCTCCAACAAACTCGACGTCGTCCTCGACGAAACGCGACGCAACTTCCAATGGGATATCGGCGGCAAAGGCGGGCGCGTAATCGAGATTCTCTCCGAGCACACTTGCCAGGGTATGCTTCAAGGCTACACCCTCACAGGCCGCACAGGGCTTTTCCCCTCATACGAAGCATTCCTTGGAATCATCCAAACCATGATGGTCCAATATTCCAAGTTCATCAAAATGGGCTCAGAAACGAAATGGCGCCAGCCTCACGGATCGCTCAACTACATCGAGACATCCACATGGGCAAGACAAGAACATAACGGCTTCTCGCACCAGAACCCGGCGTTTATCGGCGCAGTGTTGAATTTGAAACCAAAGTTTGCGAGGGTGTATTTGCCGCCGGATGCGAATTGCTTTTTGTCGACGGTAGCGCATTGTTTGAGGGCGAAGAATTATGTGAATTTGATGGTTGGGAGTAAGCAGCCTACGCCGGTTTGGCTGAGCCGCGAGGAGGCAGATAGGGTGAGTATGTCGATGGCTAGAACTGGTCTTTTGTGATTTACCTCCCTGTTAGCACTGCATCGCCGGTGCCTCCATATGGAAGTTCGCCAGCGTCGACGAAGGACTTGACCCGGACGTGTAAGCACTATTTCTCTTCTACTCGACCAACCTTAACGATACACTCAGCGTGCTCGTTGGCATCGGCGTCGAAGTGACGTTCGAAGTTATCGCTGCAGCTGCGCTACTCCGGAAGCACGTCCCTGAGCTTCGGGTACGCGTCGTAAACGTGACAGACCTGATGATTCTCGGGGCCACTGGCACGCACCCTCATTCTCTCAACGACGAGGCTTTCGACACGCTCTTCACAAAGGACAGACCTGTGCACTTCAATTACCACGGATACCCCATCGAATTACGTGGATTGCTGTGGGGTCGACCGAACATGGAGCGGATTACCATCGAGGGTTATCGGGAGGAGGGAACCACAACTTCTCCATTCGACGTGAGTAGAATTTACGTCTCCAAGCACCGACTGCTTACCATTGACCTTTGCAGATGATGCTCTGCAACCACACGTCTCGTTACGACGTCGCTGTGGCGGCACTCCGTGGTGGAGCCAAGAATAACCCCAAAGTAGCTCTCGTCGCCCATGAAATGTCCAGCTACTTTGAACACATGGCAAGAAAGGAGAAGGACTATATCTTGGCCGAGGGCAAAGGTGCGTTTTGCTTACTCTCCATGGCCTGCACAGTCCTGATCAGAGGCCTGCCCGTAGATCGCGATGATATGTTTGAAGTTCCCAAGTTTGATTAGCTGAAGGATAACGCTGTACAATGGCAGTTAGAAACATAGACATTGCGTGTATTCGTACCAAAGCCTGTAGTATACATACTGTCGCGGTCGGGAGGCGCATCAGCACCATCAGATGCGCCTACGATTTAATCATACACGTGATCGCGCGCTTGCCGCGAGTCGCGTTTGTCTGGTTCTGAATTCTTGTCTTTCACTTTCACCCAAGGCGCTTGACCACCCACACTTTCTGAAAGGCCGGGACATAATATCAACCTCCGGAACCAATGGCTTTCTCAGGGTATGTTTTCTTTCTCTGAATGCCCGGAATCTAAACTCACGATGAATGCACAGATTTGGCGCTAAGCCTGCTGGTTCAGGTCTCTTTGGTTCTTTCGGCCAACAGCAGAGCACCCAACCGACTGGAGGCCTCTTCGGTCAGCCCCAACAGCAACAGCAGCAGCCACAGCAGTCCACAGGCCTCTTCGGCCAACAACAAAACACAACGAGTGGTGGCGGTCTCTTTGGTCAACAGCAGCAACAACCTCAGCAGCAACAGTCGGGCGGATTGTTTGGGCAATCGACAACGCAGCAGAACCAGCCATCGACGGGGTTATTTGGACAGACGCAGCAGCAACAACCATCGACGACGGGAGGTGGATTGTTTGGGAACACAGGGACGCAGCAGACGGGAGGGGGGTTGTTTGGAAATACGGGTACTTCTGGGCAGCAGCAGCAAAGTGGAGGACTCTTTGGGAACACTAGCACCACCAGTGGTCAGACAGGCGGAGGATTGTTCGGAAATACTTCCAATACCACGACCGGCCAAACAGGCGGAGGACTCTTTGGAAACACCTCCAACACGACCACTGGTCAAACCGGTGGAGGACTATTCGGCAACACCAGCAACACTACAACTGGGGGTGGACTGTTCGGTAACACCGGAACAACAACTGGTCAGACTGGTGGTGGGCTGTTCGGTAACACCAGTAACACGACTGGACAGACTGGAGGTTTGTTTGGGAACACGAGTACCACCGGACAAACGGGTGGGGGCCTATTTGGCAACACGAATACTCAGCAACAGCAGTCTGGAGGTGGTCTCTTCGGAAGTACAGCGCCTTTACAAGGCCAGGCTACCCAGCCTGCCGGAGGCTTCGGTGGATTCGGGTTGAGCAAGCTGCCTTCGCAGACACAACAGTGAGTCCCACTCCTCAGTCAAAACATTCGATCAATCTAATTTAATTCAATCAGATTTGGGTACGTTCCTTATCTATGGTCACTGGAGCTCACCAGAGTAACGAAGCTTGTGATCTAGAGCATCTACCGCAGCACAACAAGGAAATGCACCCCTCATGACGAAATCCACTAAATTTAATGATCTCCCTGAAAACGTGCGCCAAACACTGGAAGCTCTCGAGTACGCATTTCCAGTACACTATCCTTTCCGTCCATCCGAATCTTTAACATACGGTGCTGCCACTTCTTAGCAATCATATCCAGGGCAGAGTGCAGATTAGTAAAGACCTACATCAACGCAAGCTCGGTGAAGAGCCTACCAAGGGTCAAGCCTCGATAAAGCAGTTGCACAAGGTAACGTCCCTTGTTCTCTTTTCTGCAATTACACCTTCCTCTTCCGCTCGTCCACTTTCCCGGTCCCGACGTGGGATGTACGTACAGGCTAACTGAGGCGCCGCCGGTAAATTAGGAACTGATAGATATCGCGACGACGATTCGAAATGATTCCCATACGACTCAGGATCTGAAGGGCAAGGTCGACCAGACGATCCAGGATGCACGCGTCATGGCTTCAATCATCGATGCGTTCCGTAACCCGCAGAGTGGGAACACTGCGCTCAAAGATCACGCCAATTTCCCCCTAGAGTGAGAGATCCCAGTACTTTTGTTCTCACTGATTATTGCTGAAACGCGAAATGCCTCGCTCTACTACTAGGTACTTTACCCGAATCGCCGATCAAATGCGCGAGAGGTTGGTGTGGTACAAGACGACAATCGAGGTCTGTTCCCCTTTCTGATTTCCCCAGAGACGCATCTATGATCCTTACACTTGACGATTCCACAGCAAATCGAGCGCAAGTTGTTGTCTTCGTCTGGGCAATCTCAGACTCCACAGGGTTGGTTATAATCATTTGTTTTTTGCAAATCTTTTCTCACTGTTGTCTACCCAGGTATTGTTGCGACCCTCCAAGCCCAACACGCGACCTTCCTCGCATTGGCCAGTAAAACAGCCGCCTTGGACGCGGAAGTGCAGAAGATCAAAGTGTTGTATACGCAGCTATGGCGGGCCAAGACAGGGAGTGTCAGGGATCCTTTTAACGATACTCCGAAGACATCAGAAAAGGCAGATTTCGGAATGAGTACTCTCTCTGTTCGATAAAGATACTCTGCTTTTTTGTTTTTCGAATTCTGTTCCTCCGATTCGTCCAGTCCTGTTGCACCTGCTTAGTCCTTCTGTGAAATGATATCCTGATATCCATCGTCCAATTGTTCCGGTCGGTATCCTCAGTGGTAGTGATCGTATAGCGCCGATATTTTTTCAAACATCCACGTCGCGTGTGGAAAGGGGGATATCATCATATCTTTGCCTTTCTTCCCTGTTGAGCCAGTAATCCGGATAGTGATCACGACCACATCTCTTCCTCCTAGTTTCCTCTTTGCATAGTCACGTTCTAAGTTCTAGAACAGGGTACGTTATGTCCTCGAGGCACCAGGACATCTCATGTCGCCGGAAAGGCCACATTACGATCCGTCACGCACCGATTCAGGAAACACCCCTGTGCCCCCGTTGTTCCCGGGCGTCTACTATTCTTCCTACAAATAAATGGGCGGCGTCCGAATATGATTGCCCTTCATTCCACACGAAAAACATTCCCTCTCACTTCCTTCCCTTTCCTCTACCCTTCACTAACAGAGGCGAATGATGAACAACATGTCGATGGGAGCTCGACCATACCAGCAACAGCCTGGTGTGGGTGTGCACACACCCTCTCCAATGTACCAGCAACAACCACAGCAGCCGCAGCAACAGGCTGATGTCGTCTCTGGCGAACAATACCGCTATGCACTCACTAACTTTGTATGTCCCCCACAGTTCACGAATTAGCTTCCCGGCTGACCACACACCTTTGATCTCTCTAGCGAATTGCTCACGAGAAAGTTGAGCAACAAAGACACCAATTAGAGGAACAGGAGCGTGTCGTCGCTCAGCTTAAATCTCGGATCGCTTTGCTGGAGGGTACGACAGGAGCCACCGTTCGAGGTCCGAACGGGAACACGATCGATGATTTCTCAATTCGAGTACGTTCGTCCACCTCAACCGCCTCGTCTTCACAGCACTTTGACCAACCTGTTACTGACCTATTCACGTCACAGAACACTGCCTCTCAACTCGACAAACTCATCAACCGCTGGGCAGCAGACATCGTCCGCACACCGCCTGCACCCTTGAACCGAATTTGCGCCGCCATCCTCAACGATGTCGTCAACGGCCTCGAAGGCATTGAAGAAGTTGAGGCTACGCCTATGCAACTCCAATCTTACCTCCGGCACGCGCTGTCAGAAACCATCTCTGAAGGTGTCATCAACTGCCTCATCGTCACCAATTCTATGGAGGCGAACGTCCAGCTGACAAGGGTCCACGAACATTTATTTGCTCGTACGTCCTGATCATCATTCTCGCCTTCCTCCGTATGCTAACAATTCATTCATAGGCGATCCAACAGTGGCCTGTGTATGGCGTCGTCAAACTTTCACGGCGGCCGTCGAATCCTGCACACCCGACATGTCAATGTCAATCCTCTACGAGCAAATTCCTTCTGTGATGAAAATCCTGAACGGCAAACTGCCAATATCAGGAGGCGTGTCCATCCTTGATTCGGCCTATGCTTTCTCCCGTATGCTCCACGGCGCAGGGAGCACTGCCAACGACGCCTTCTATCGCGCCTTCGTACCCGAACTGGGCAGCGCACTCTATCCCCGACAAATCGAATTGGTGAAAAGGTGCCTGAAGAGCGAGAGGGGCGAACTGGATCGAGTGGGAGCGACGATCTTCCCAGGTTTGGTCAAGATTTCGAGATCGCCCACCGGTGAGCAAGGAGAAAACAATCATGTATGTCTTTTTCCTTCTATCTCGTCGAACCTCAGCTGATCGACATCCCACCTGTGCTTCTCGCAGACGGTGGTCAGAAGAGCGCAAGTCATCTGCGAATGTGCGATGGGCGGGTCGTCTGTTCCATCACAAACCCCTGCCATTCCACCTCCATCTTTCGAAGGAGGGATGATGGATCCAATGGCCATGATGGGTGGCCCAATGTAATCTTCTCTCTTCTCTCTCTTCCTCCAGGTTCATTCACACCCACCTACGTGCACATCTAATCCTGTTTTTCGTCTTTTTTTGTCGCTCTGTTTTACTTGGGCTCTTGGTTGCCTTGATTTATTTCCTTCGCTCTTCAAACACGACTGTACATCTACTTTTTCCAATCGCAATCCTAATAGAACACGAGCAGCAGCAGCATGGTAGCGTCTACATGAAATGGGGATGTGTAATCGCACAAAAAAGGAGGAGGGCAATAATAACTGGTCCTGATATATAGAGTATATGATTGGAACTAGGAGAATGTAAGATCCCATGAGTGTACCATTAGACCTAAACGACATTGCGTCACTCCGAGCGCAGCATACTCGTAACCGTCGAGACCGTACCGCCTGGAACTCAAAGCCAGCGTAATCTTAACTACGGCAGTCAGAGGTTCCGTTGCCACCATGGGTTGCATTGGAGCCCAGTAAAAATAGAGGTGAGATCGGACTTCGGACAAAGAGTGGGGGGTCCTAAAAGGAGCAGCACGCTGGACATTACCACGGACGTTACTACGACTGAGCGTGAATACAGTTAACGAGGTCCCAGCGACCCATGGGACACGATACGGCTGCAGTAGTGGAGGGGAAGCTGGCACGGAGATAACTTCTAGTGCCAGTGTGCCGTCGACGTCAGTATGAGGTGCTTGACCATTAGCGTGTGAGTTTTAACACTTGGTGAAGCCATTGTGTGAAGCGCCTAGATCTGAAAGAAATGGCCGGGGTCAGGAGAGGATACCCTTGGATCAAACTTCCCTGGGTTCAAATCAAGCCACGGCCCCGTTCCCCAAGGGCGACGCTGGACTCTCGATATAGAACGCACGCGTTGCAGATGGAGCCGGGCGCTTAAGTGGGCGCTTACCAATTAGCGAAAGCTCCGGATTCTCTTCAGTCATCGCAACTGCATCCTTCACGCTCTATATTATTCTCGGTCTATAGCAAAAATCAGGAAAAATCGACAGTAAAGAGTGTAAGAAGCGTCACAGTCAAGTGTCCACCTATGCCACAAGCAACGACGAAAGCGTAGCCTCAGTCTGGATAACACCAAGTGCCTGCTTCACTTCTAACCTCCTCCTTGCAGCATCCAGCCAGTCCTTAACCAGCGCCTTCGCAGGACCTCTAAGCTGGTTGAGCTCTCGAGCAGCACTATCCAAGTCCTTCTCAACGAGGTAGTACTCGGCCCGCGACAGCACGCTCAAAACATCGTCACCAGGAACCAATCCCTGCTTCCTGAACCTGATCCCTGACAGAACCTTGCTAGCAAGGTACGACAATACACCAGCGTTCTCGTCAGGAACCAACGCAACCTCGGCCACCTTGGGTGCCACAGAAGTGGTGAACCAAGATGACAGATCGGCGAAGGGTTCAACACCAATATCCGGGACGTCGGAGGATTCAAGGGTCGAGAGGGCAGCTTGGATAACAGGGTCTTCACGCGCGGCAGTAACGTGTCGAAGGACCCTCAGTTGTTCACGGAAGGGTTGGCGTTTGGGGCTCTCGAGGGCGGCGCTGCTCAGGGAACGTACGGCGGACCAGAGGGCGTGCACACGGATGTTTTCGTCGAGGTAGGCGGTGTTGTCGAGGGCGATGCGTTCGAGGCGCTTGAGGTCGGCAGCGAGGTCGTCGAGTTTGGCGAGGCGGCCTCCACGTTCTTGCTCTACGCGAACCTTGATCTCGCGGATCCAGCGGCGTTGGAGTTCGATACCCTGAGCAATGACTTCCTCCTTTAGCCTACAACCAAATCGTTAATCCAGGGAATTTGCGACTTTCAATTTTAGGCTCACCGTTCATTGATGAGCTCAGTTTGAGTCTTAAGCTCATGGTCAAGCTTGGCCCGATAAGCAGCAATGAACTTGGCCCGCTCCTCTTCGAAGAACTTGCGGAAGCCCTCCTCCTGGCTGTCGAGTTTATCCTGCGCCTCCATCTCCAACTCCAACAACTTCAAGGTATGCTCCCGAGTCTGCTCATCCAACTTGGCCTCCAACGCCGTTCGCTCCTCCTCCTTGGCCTTTTCAATTCGCTCAACGAGGGCGGAGAGGTCCTGTTTGGCGTTCTCGAGGACACCAGTAGCTTGCTCAGCAGCTGCGGGGTTGGCCTTGAGGAAAGAAGCGAGGTTGTCGATGGTGCCAGCAAGGTGGGTGATGATGGGCTCCTGGACGTTGAGGGATTCGACGACAGGGGCGACGAGAGGGAGCTCAACCTCAGGCAGAGGCTTCTCCTCCTCCTTGGTTGCCTGTGGAGCAGGTTCCTTGGGAGCCTCAGCCTCAACCTTTTTGGGTGGTGAAGGCTTGACGTATCCCGGGGGTGGTTCGAAACCAATAGGCAAGGGCGCAACATAGACGTTCTTGTCGGAAAGACCGGGTTGAGCTTCAGGAGAGGATTCCGAGGGGACGGGGGTATCGGAGAAAGGCTCGGTAGCCTTTTCGACGACAGCAGGCTTGCCGGAGAGGGCGTCTTCAGCTTTGCGAACGAGTTCAGAAACGTCATCAGAGATTTTCTCCGGGACGGATTTGGCCTCTTCCTCCTTCTTCTCCTCAACCTTGGGCTCAACGACTACAGGCTTGGGCTGCTCTTTGGACCTGAGTTCGGTGTGAGTAACAGCCTCAACCTTGCTGACAACCTTGTCGACTTCGGACTTGGCCTGGTCGACAACAGGATCGACTTTAGCCCTGGTAGACTGGATAGCCTTCAACGTTGACAATTTAGCCTCCTCGATCTTCTTTTCAGTTGCAGCCTTGGCGGATTCAACTGCCTCGCGAGCACCAGGAGTACTGTTAATGAGGTCGGTGGTGAGTCGCTGGATGGTGACAACGCCATTCTTCGCCGCGTCAATGACATCCTCGACGGTCAAGGTGTCCCAGTTGTGTGCCTCGGCATACTCGAGCATGGGCTGTCCGAGGGGGACATTGTCGGAGAAGAAGTCGTAGTATTGCTGGTTGTTGAAGGCGGCAAAGGTGCTCCCGATGTAGAAAGTTCCCGTTGCTGCGGTTGTTACCCAGAACAACCGTTTGACGACGCTCTTCTTTTTGGGTGCTTGGACGGCGTCGGTAGCGAGTCGCTGGTGAATGAATGAAGTTGGGTCAGCAACTGTGTGTTCACTGTGTCGGACGATGGGGACGTACTCTGGACACGACCTTGAGGGCCGGCCGCGACGACGAGGAGGCTACACGACCTGTGACGGGAAGTGCCCGGTACATGCGTCCAGTGTGGTTTGTCGGTGAGTGCGTTGGCGTTGACGCTGCCTGTTTTTTGGCACCCCGAAATTGTCCGCGAGCGCGTCTGCGTTCGTGGGAATATTCCAATAATCACCTTGATCTCCTGCTCTCCTCTCTTTTCCTACCAAGGTTTATTCCAAGTTTATTCTGCACGACGCGACCTGCCAACAATTTTGTTCGGTCAACCTGTCTCCCTTTTGCATCAGCTCGAGACCCCTTTGCTTGGGCTGTGAGCCTTGTCAAAACATGCCTGGGCCTGAAGGAACCATCGAATTGCAATACGTTCATGGCAGCTGCCTTGATGACTTTTCAGGACGTCACCAATGACCCGGCCTTCCTCCATAATCCCCGCACCCAAACCTATATCTTCTCAAAACACCTCATGTTCACCACTTCTTTCTCTTTCCAGCCCAAAGCCCTGCACAGCCTTAGCCATTCGCGTCTCGAGTGCATTCAACCAACTACCAACTAAGGATTCGCTCATTGACTCCGGATCTGATTTCCTGCGTACCCCCATCCGACGTCTGTTCCTGGCATTACTTCTTGATTATACTTACCCTATAGGCACTCCTTGGACGTTTCGCTGCGGCATCCATTGCTCGTGGGCCCGTGGTATACAGTCCATCCATCTGCATATCACTCCACGGGTCTGGTCTAGTCCTCCGCTTTGCCTTCATGCACATTGCATGCATGCCCCGGTCTCCGTTGTAGACGCTTCTCTCCCTCATCCAATACACCTGTCAGCTTTGATCATTCAAGCTTCGGCATCGCGCCTTGACTGTCTGGGGACTACTTAATTCGATGGTTGTCGGTATAAGCACATCATAAATACCCCGTTTACGACCTTTTGAATCCACAGCCTATCCTTCCCCTGCGTCCACAATGCTCGCGCAAAACCATCCAACGCTACCTCCGTCGCTTGTTCCTCGCCCTCCATCATATTCAGACCTCGTTAGCAGATTCAAAGACATCGTCATATACTTACCCGGACACGAACACTCTGCACTACCCTCCTCTTCCTCCACACCTGCATCCTCACCGCCCCAATCCACACAATTCGAAGAGTTTACCTCGGCCCTCACGAAGAAAAAGAATACAATCCCAAGCACCATTTCGGAACTCACCCTCATCGCCGACCAATCACTTAACAGCACAACCCCGACTTATCTCGAGGGCACTCCTCTCACAGGACGAGTCTCTCTCTCCTTGTCCCCTTCCAAGCGCAGGTCCATCCGCGACGTCACTTTAACCGTGAGTCACCTGTTCTCCCGCGATCAATTCCCTTCACTGGGCCCTTATCTTCATCATCCTCTATCCGGAGCACTGCGGACTCCCTTTGTATTACATGGAACCCGCACTGATATCTATATCTTTTATCTATAGGTCAGAGGGTCCATTCTATCACTCGAGCACCCGGGTGACCCTCTGCACTTCCTTACCATCCAAAGAAAGTTATGGACAGCCGGCAATGGCACCCCGAATAGCACTCCGGACACCTCTCTCTCCGCCGACAACGCACCCGCCGCCACCCCTTCCGCACACAGCCCAACCGTTTGGCCTTTCAGCATCGATCTACCGCGGGAAGTTGTATTCCCCTCCGGCCGACACGTCGACATTTTCAAACTCCCCCATTCCTTCGTGGAAAGACAAGCCAAGGTCAACATTTGCTATGAGGTGTCCCTGCGTGTACGACGGGGGAGATTCAAGACGGATTACAGGTGAGTACGAGCGCCCGGATGACATCGTCGTCTGCATTCTTTGACCCGAGGAAAGCACCGATCTGACACGCCCTAGGTTGAAACTACCCTTCAACTACATCCCTTCCCGTCGTCCACCGCCTCCTTCCCTCCCTCGTCAACTCGCCTACCTCCACAGAACTCCGATTCCCACTCCTGAGGAGGATATCGATGGATGGCATACAGCCCCCACGTTCAACGTCAGAGGACAGCTAGCGATTGGCCGCCAAAGAAGCAACGTTGCTGTTTCGTGTCAAGTGAGCATCCATCATTCTTTTGAAGGCTTTCGACTCACCAACGGATTTTCTCCATTCCGTAGCTCTCATTACCCAAACCAGTAAGTTACCACTGGCTCTCTCCTTGCGCACCGTCATCGTTCACGCATCCCTCGGCTATACAGCTAGTCTACACCCGTGGAACACCGCTGCACCTCAGCCTCCTCCTCGAATCACCCTGCGCCCATGCTCTCGACGTCCTCTCAGACCCACGATCCATCGTCTGCCGTCTCCGACGTACCATCCGATACCGGCCGTCGCAGCGCCACCAAAGCCCGATTCGAGGTACGAACTTTGTCGACAGCCACGCCTCTCTCTGTCTGCGAGACTTGAATTGGAATTCATGGAAACAGAAAGGAAAGGACCAGATTGAGGATTCAGAATCGGCGGTTTGGTGGCCATGTCACTCCCAGTCGGATTGCGACTACGAGCCCGAACCCGATGATCATCACCAACAGCCGCGGCAAGGAACGGTGCAAAAGAGGAGGATAGCAGGCGAGCTTCACCTTCGGAAAGACCTCAAACCAACAACCGCGATCGGGGATTTCAGCATCGAGTATTCACTAGTCCTCTTCCCGTTCGACAACACGTCCTTCATTCCCAACCCCACAGTTTCCACTGGCACCCTCCTGCACAAGGAAGCTCTAATATCCATCCCTATCGAGATCGCCACCCTGGACGCTCCAGGTCCACAGCCGAGGATGTACGCCCCTCCATGTTACGATTCGACAGATACGCATTATGTTAGTTGGGATTATAATTATTCTTCTGTAGCCTAGCTAGCTTCACTGCATGATGCTGCCGCTGTGATTAGATCTTAGGGGTTTATCTCACTCAACACACTTCCTGTACCTCTATCGAAGCCCCTATTATTCCGTGGCACGATCGCCACACTTCATCTCGTACTCGTATCAACGACATGACATTCGGTGTCGAGTACTCCAAGCGACCAGAGGTTGAAAGACAAATAAGAGGCAAATCACAACCAGTCGCGATTCCGAGTCTTTTGTAATCCATCCTTGACACTTGACTAGATGTGACGATATCGCAGCACCTCAAGTCCATTCCATCTGTATCTTGGAATATCAACCTACATTCCGTCTAGTAGCCTCGTGCGCGAAGCACCGAGGAGAATAATACGATTTCCCTGGCAACGCATACTCGATGTTCACAAAAGAGTCCACCTCGAGGCAAAGATGGACCAAGATTCCATGGGCTGACGTCGACTGACGAGGTCCTTACTCGGTCCACTCCAACCCTCCATGCCCCTGCTCCCTCTTCTCTGACGGCAAAATCCTCGACCTCCTGCCAATTGTACACCTCCACCCAAACGGGTTTCGGCGGGTGAAGATCGCTCCCAAAGAACTCGACATGCGTGGCGTGGAAGCAAAAAATGTCCATCCTCGTGAGGCCTCGCGCACTTTGACTATTGTTAACTCCGTGAGACCGAGCCACCCATACAATAAATACTTACGCAACATTTTGCTGTTAACGCCAAAGGACACTGGAGAGAAGCTGTATGCATCCGAAGCAATTGCGTATTTTTGGATTTGAACATTGGAACATTCGAGGAGAGGTGTACTACTTATTGTGAAGAGGAGCTGCGAGGAGCGATAATGTGCGTGACCAGGATTCTCCGACGCACATGTCATCGACATCCACTGGCTCAACCCAAGTAAAGCATTTTCAAACACCCTCCCAAACTCTACCCGCTTCACATCGCAGTTCCCTGAACCTTCTGATCTCACCCCATCCCAAATCTAAGCACTCCCTTGTCCCTCCAAACGAATGCAGCTTCGCCAAATTGCCAAATATATCGATGCGTTTGTGGACGGGCGCTTCCGAGAAGAAAGGCGGCGGTTTAAAAGGGCCGAAGAGGGGGACAATAACCATATTTGATCTAGTTCCGCTGATCCAAAAATCAGTTCTCGTCACAGAGATTCCACAATAGGCCTTTCACTTGTTGTTGTTCTATCCTTGGCAACAGCATGTAACTGGTATATAGTATCCAAAATGGCGCCGTCACCATTCACTATTCCCTCTCCCTCATCATTATCGCTATTCCCCACCTCCACTAATGGACGTGTTGGCCCCTCCCCCCTGCTACCGCCGCTACTCTAGAGGTCAGGCACCTCACACCACCGACCTCCTCCCCGCCTACTCCCGCCGCCACCGTGACAACCGCGAAGCCTCTTCAAGCCGCCGCGAACCCACAGAGCACACCTTTGAGCTCACAGACAGCAAATCCAAACCCTGGTGCACACTCAAACTATACAGCAGCGCTAAATCCTCCAAATCTCTACCGACCTTCTTTGAGAAGGAGAAGATCACCGGAAAGTTGGACTTGGTCGCGGAGAGAGGGGATAGTATACAGGCTGTGACCGCTACTGTGCGTTCGATTTTGTTTTTCCTTGGAAATTTGATACTCATTTATGTTCGCTTATAGGTCACCGGGAGCATCATCTCGGGCGCAAGCTCCTCAGAATCTTTCGTCTTCCTCAACCAGACTCTCCCGATTTGGTCCAAGTGTCTCGACATACCACGCGTACCGTCTCCCTCTGAAGGAGCCTCAAGTTCCAAACTCATCGGACGCTGCGAATGGCCCCTCTCCATTCCCCTTCCACGCACCGTTGACATCCCGACCGCAAGCGGCGATGTACGCACCTACCGACTCCCTGAAACCTTCCTCGAGCGGTACACGTCCGTGAGCATCCAATACAACCTCACGATCGTCATCTCGAGGGGCAAGCTTCGCTCTGATAACGTGTACGTCCTTTTCATCATTCGCAGCTGGATTCAAGGTAACTAATCTCACCGCTTCAGAATCAAAACTGCCTTTGGCTACGTTCCGAGCACACGACCGGAGCCTCCATCTCTGCTCCGCCAACTCGCCTATCAAGAGAACCTGCCCCTCCCAGACCCAGCTACCGACCCGGAAGGCTGGAAGACACTCCGACCAGTCTCTGTGCGAGGGTTCATGTTCAAGACACGTCCAGTGGAAGCTCGGTGTACAGTATGTTTCCTCTCCTCCCGCGCCCCGTCTATAGCCTTACTCACCTTCTCCCTCCCCAGCTCTCGATATCCCGCCCACTCTGCTACACCCGCGGCTCCGTCCTCCCCTGCTTCCTCACCCTCGAAGGCCGCGAACCCTCCATCCTCGACGTCCTCGCCTTCCCCAACGCCCCCACCCTCAAACTCCGCCGCCGCGTCCGCTTCTTCAACCGCAACGCTAGCAGCGCCGCCTCCTCCGGCAAACTCAAAGAAGTAGCCTGGAACGAGAGCGTCGACGACGTCGGGACTGCAGTGTGGTGGCAGCCACCTAATGCACGCGGGGACGAGTCGGAGTATGTCAGGCATTTGGAGGGTGAGATCAAGTTGACGAAGGACTTGAGGCCTTCTTCGGAGATTGCACACTTCAGTGTCTCTGTACGTTTCTCTGCTCTCTTCCTTTCTTAGTTCTTTGGTGAACTAACCAACCATTCTAAAATAGTACTCTGTCGTCCTTCTCCCATTCAAAGCCGCAAACTACACCTCCGACTCGACACCTCTTCTCTCCGAGCCAGTGGAGATAGCGACAATGCATGCAAAGGGACCCCGGCCCAATGCTTACGCCCCGCCAGCGTATGACGGCTCAACATCACGACCACCAGCTACTGGCCAGGTCGACGAGCCCCATGGATTTTTCTGCCCCATGATCTAGAGCTAAGCGCTCGTCACGAAGCCTATCCGTTACGACTCCTCATGACCGTCAACGCCACTACTCCTACCATGGTACCTACGATGCACTTCCGCAACAACTTCTCGCTTTGTTCCATCGCTGCATCTTCAACCTTTGTTCACTTCTCGCTTTCACGCTATCGTTTTTGTTATCGGCCACCATATACCCCACCTCTTTCACCAGATTTCTTCAATTCCTGTCTGGACACAGGAATTATACATGACCACATATACCCCCTCACTCAAATACAAAAACCATCCAACAGGAACATGATCATCATTGTGTAGCATTAGAACTTACCCACATCCACTCATTTCGTTTACATTCCTTTATATAGGGTTACACTAGTTTATCATCTCAACTACTACTGTACATACCGTGCCGTTCTTTCACAGCTACTGCACTCCTTTGTTGCAAATTAATTATATCGGCTCTGTGCTACGCGCTCTATGGTGGTGTGCCTGGTGAGATAACCGTGACGTTACACGGGATGAAGACCTGGACCCAGAGAAGGGGAAGCGATGATCGTTCCAGCAGAACGCTTGAGGCGAATATTATACACATGACATTTGGCTTTACTTAATGCTTGACTAATGATACAAATTCAAAGGTCACTTGAGGTGCTCAGAAGGGAACGATGATAAAGACACGCGACGAACAAAAGGCCTGACCCACCACGATGTCCGAAAAAGACGTCAGTACTCATTCTCACCATGAAACCCAAATAAATCCAACCTACCTCCATTGCCATCGATGACCTGGGATAAAAAATCGCCACATTACTTGCCGGTCGACTTGTAAGTCTGACCGCTGGGCGAGGTATACTGGGAGTATCCAGTTCCGCTGTTGTAGTAGGTGGAACCGTTGGTGTTCTGGTAGTAGTAGCTTCCATCGCTACGAACAAAGGCAGTCAGACCTCCCGGTCGAGGTGGAAGATGGCGATAACTCACGTATTGGAGTAGTGGTATCCTCGACCACCGTCATCGCCTTGACGAGAGCAGTAGTGGTTGCCCTACATACATGGGTAAAACAAAACGCGTCAATCGACGAGGTCCAAGAAGAGCCTCAAAACGCACCTGGGAGTTGGTACCGCTACCAGTGTAGCTGTATCCCTTGCCAGAGGAAGAAGAACCTTTGTTCGTCATCTTGATTCGCTAACTGGGAGAGAAAGGGGTTTGAAAATGCGGGGATCGTCTCGCTGGGGTGGATCGAGGGGAAAGAAGCGATGGCAGCCTCAAAGGAGAGACATCTGCCTTATATCCGACCTGGAAGGTGTTGGGGGTTATTTGTCCATTGGGCGACTGAACACATGAAGCTGGCTGGTTCCAGCCTGAGCCCAAGAGCACGGTGTGTCCGACGCGGCGCGTCACGTCGTTCACGCTATTGGCTCGCGCCCGGGAGGACGCGAATTATCTCCGTGTCAGGGTCGTCGAGTCATTTAGAACCTCAAAGGTTTCTTTCTTTGTCCTTCCATATCGTGCAAAGAATACAATTCTTCCGATAAACTGCTGCGAATGAATCTCTCTCACACTCTCTCGAGACCACAAAGTGACAGAAATAAAGTGAAACCACGAGTCCCACAAGCCCCTATCCGTTCTAAATTAAGAGCCTTACGTAAGGGATCCGCGCTAATTTACATCCACGGTCACGCAAACCCGAGCTTCAGTTCCAATTCAAGCAATTTCAATTGAAAGGCTTTTCCAAGTCAACAGAAACCACATCCTTAGCTTACCTTTTCACCTTATTTTTCTTTCCTAACGACTTCAGCACTTACGACACCTCAAACATGGCCGACGACATGCCGGATAGTTTGCTACAAATGATCCAGTCAATGGGGGGTATGGACGTGAGGAACACTGTAGTTCCCTACGGAGGACGCCCAAAGTACGTTAAATTGGCACCTGGAGATACCGGGAAGTATCTCCCTCCAATCTTCTTTGAAGGTGCGTTTTTCTTCTTCTTCTTCTACTTCAAACAACCTAACACCCACGATCACTTCTATGGCTTTGGACAGACCCCCGAAAGCACAAGCCTGAACCAGGCCCATTGGGCGAGATACATACTTGGGGGCTGTATCCTGTAAGCTACTAGTTTTGGCTTTCAAGGTTCGAGGGAACTCATTCTGGAGTAGTACGAGTACGAGGGAATAGACGATGACGGTGATGACCGTCCAGAAGACAACTTTCCATGCTGTACGTTCCCAACGCTCAACCCTTCAGTTCCATTCAAAATTTGACCCCACCCACGCAGTTGACGGAACCGCGGCCATGATGCGTACAGTGAACACCCAACTTCTTGTCGCAAGGATACTTTTCAACTAACGCTTATCCAATTTTAAATTTTACGTAGATGTCAACCCAGCACCTCTACTTTGGCAAACCAGGCCCTGAACAACAATGGGTTAAAGTCCTCGTTGAAAGGAAAAAGGAACAACTCAAAGATCTCGATTTGAGCGGGTTGGACAAACAGGACGTGGTTATTAAAATTGAAATGAGGTTCGTTCGCGGGCTTTCGATTCCATATGCAGTGGTTCTTACGCGCCTCACAGAGGCATTGCAGACAAGAACGGCGAAACTCGAATCTGGAGACGTTTTCGAGTTTCAGCCGGAATCAAATTGAGTAACCTCCAGGACAAGGCGATTGCGCCTATCATGGGATGGTGAGTTCCCTTTGTATTCTACGCGTACTCGACGTCTAAACGTCATTGGCCTCACATAGGGTACGAAACCTCCATTGCTATCATTTCACCGACTACAGAGACGGGTCACTCTTTGGACCTGAGGTATCTACGTCTTTTCTATCTTTAACCCATTCGAACTAAACCGGATTGCAGAAATCAGATTCCATTGACATGGTGCACATCGCGCAGGTACGCAGCATGACCTTCTTCGCGTTTCCTGTGGCTATGGTTTACAAGCCAACTAATTCGTCCATAGGTGGGGTACAAGTACCTCCCTGACTCCAAATATATGCTGGCCCACCTGTTCGCGAAAGAAGGTGATAAGATTGGTTACCTCTACGACTTTGGCGACAAGTGGTTCCACGTGTTAACGGTGCGTTCTTCGAGATCCTACGTCCAGACACCATTAAGGGACGTCATCCTTGAATACAGATCGAAAGAATCTTGCCACTCACAGACTCGCACGGGTCAATTGAAATTCTGGACGGAAAGGGTGCTTGTCCAGGAGGTAAGCGCCCAAGGCCCCTCGTTCCCATCTCATTCTCAATGTCGCTTCAGAGAACATGCAAGGAACCTACCGCTACGACGATTTCCTAAAGGACTATTACTATAAGGACAACGCTACGGAAAAGTAGGTCTCTTCACCCCTTTAGTACCCACGCAATTTAGCACCCCCTTCCAGGTTGAAGAAGAAACGCGAAATCCTCAAATCTCCCAACTACACCGGGTTCGCGGGTAAAGCCAGCACCCCTCCCTCCCTCTTCGACCCCGCCCACTTCGACATTGAAGCTGCCCGAGCCCGGCTCGCCGAAGCGCTCTCCTCAACCAATTCTGTCCGTAGCGGCTCGAAGAAATTCAACATGCCATTCCCGTTTGGGGTGCCGCTTTCTGCGGACAAGCCTCTCGATCCCTCGAGGCCTGGCCCTTCTTCGGGTTTATACAGGAATCTAGGGAAGAATGCCCACAAGACGCAAGTGGTGAAAACATTTGAGCCGGGGTATGCTGGGTACTGGGAGGAACTAGAATCTAATGTAAAGGATAAGAGGAGGGAGACGCTTTGTGCGCACTGCGGGAAGCCTGGGGATGAGGCGCTGAAGCAGTGCGGAGGGTGCAGGCAGGTCCTGTATTGTTCGCCTGAGCATCAGAAGGTGAGCTGTTTATCATCATTGGAACTGAACAATTCCCTAAGCTTGCAACAGTTTCATTGGAGAGCCATGCACAAGAACCAGTGCAGCCGACGGTATTTGAAGAAAGACGACTGAAACCTAAGGGCTCTTAATTTTTGGAATTCTTACAGATGTACATAGAGACTGGATGTACATAACGCAGCACCCATCTACCTACCGTATTGGCCTTTTGCCACCTTGAGCGGGTACCCAGAGATTAGATTCGTGACCAATCTTATCTTATCAGTCTCAACCCAACAAGTCAACAACCATTCATCTCTGCCTTTGACCACAACCACCACCAGCACCATCTTCATCCTTTCCAGTCCTCTCCCTCCCACATCATCGTCCACATAAACGTATAGAATGTCTCGACTAGACAACCTCACAAAAACCGAAACCGACGTATCCCGTCCCTCTGCACTCCCAACCGCCAACCTCCGCGTCAACCGCACCATCTCCCAACAACCTCTCATCGACCAAAGCTCAGCTGAATACCTAGAAAATGTTGAAGAAGAATGGAACAAAAAGGTCGACGTAGAAGTGGAGACGTTGGTCAATGGGATGGTGGATTTGGTTAATCTGGCTTCGGTGAGTAGACTCGCGTGTCTTGGTGAAACTGATCGTTTGAATGACACGTCGTGTAGATTGGGGAGAAAGACAAATTTACGGTTGCTCAGGAAGCATTTGCAGCGCAATCTAGAGCAGAATCTATGGTAGGATGAACCTGGTCCACCTTTCCCACCTTCAGAACCTCATATAGACGCACAGGTCCGAGCAGCCAACTCCCTTCTCTCAATCGTACATTCTATGAAGCTCTTACTTCTGCTCTCCGACGAATCTCAGACCGCTCATCGGAGGGACGCGGAAGAGAAGGAAATTCGAGAAGCCAACGAAGAAACCAAACGGAAGGTCGCCGCCCTGCTCGACGAGCTGCTACGAAAGCCTTCAGGGTCGTCTGCAAGCGGCGGAAGCTCTTCTTAAACGACTCGGAGACATTCCCGCCACAGATCTTGTCTTCCCCAGCTGCCGAACCACTTGGCTACGATTGTCCGACTACAGACGTATACATGGTCGTCGAATCTCGCAATACACACAAGCGCCCCAAGGCAATATCCAACGTACACACAGAATGGGCCAACGCCTCATCGCTTCGTCACGTACATCCTCCCAACCCGGTCTGTATCTCATTGCCGAAGCATATCCCTAATCGCCGCCTCCTCCAGCTTCCTTGCCCTCAGCCGATTCGCCTTCAACCTCACCAAGCCCGACTGAAGACTTTTCATGTGGACAGCAGGTTCAATCATGGACCCCATCAAATCAGGGGCAGAAACCCTCGTCCTGATATCATCCGCCTCATGGCGCAGCGACTCTAGATGGTGCAATGCAGCGATAATACGAACATACGCCCCCTTCCGATACGCCTTCAGCTGTTCCAGCAACTTCAAATTTCGCGAGAAGCTTCGCAATTGTGCACCGTTGCCACCGAGTTTGGTCCACAAGAGTTCGAGGGTCTCTTCTTTATCCATGTCGATGGAGCTGTATTCTCGTTGGACGTGTTCGTGTACGGCCTGCAGCGTTTCTTCGAGTCGTCTCAACTCGTTTTCACGAGCTGTGGCCTCTACAAGAAGCCCCGCCAATTGGACAGAGAAGGCGTCCATAGCCGCACTAAAGGTCTCCTTTATAATCGCGTCGACGTCCTTTCTTGGGGGAGACCAAGGCATCATCGCGTTGATCCTTTCAAGGAGCGGCGCCTGCTCTAGCGCTTGCGCCTTTGCGACAGAATGCAGAGCGTGCTCGTTGACAGACACAATGCTATGGTTCCGTCAGTTAAATAATTTGTGCACCACAGTAGGACTCGACGTACACGTCCAATGCACCGTTGAATTTGGTCGACAGTCGGTTTAACCCTCTCCCCGAAGTGGCAGCATCATCGATCAAGTCTCTCAAAAGCTCCGCCAAGCTGTCTTTGGCCTTCAATTCGCTCGCCTTGACGAGGGCGATCAGATCCCTGACCGCATATTCTGTCTTCTTCACGTCGAGCGAAAGCGATCCGCCCGTCCCTCTCACGGGTTCGTTCAACATCTCCTCGAACGTTCTAGTCTCCAGGCCCACCAGTGAGTGATAGTCGGCCCATTGGACTTTGGGTGGCTGCTCAGCTTGAGCAGCTGTAATCCATGCGCAAGCGATGGACGTGCTTAACCCGGGAATGTTGCAGAGTGGTTCAAGTGCAGATCCAGAGCCTCCATGGAGCCTAGTCAGGGTGAGGGCGACTATTGAGAGAAGGACAACGAGGATGGTGGGATGTCGCATCAACTTTAGGATGGCCATGGTTAGGTCCCCGATAAAGTGGTGTAAAGGGGGATTGGCCAGGCATTTAAAGCCTGAGGCCACGTGTGACTGCGGTCCAACGAACTCACAGCCTCGGCATCGGCGATGTATAGAATTTGAATGGAGAATGTCAATGGAGAAAGATGCAAGGGTTTTGACCTCCCCCGCAAGTGAGTTCTTTGATGAGCACTTGAAATCGTCCAATCTTTTGCAATACAGGGAAAAGGTTCCAAAACGCTATCATACATACATACAGGGCAGGTCAGCACCTCATCGCTTTGCTGAATCGATCTTCTCAACGCGGTCATTGTTCCAATCCAATCCGAACACCCTCCTAGCCGCCTCTTCTTCCAACTTCTTCGCCCTCACTCGACTCTCCTTCAACCTCTCCAAACCCATCTGGATACTCTTCATATGAACCTCAGGCTCAACCATCGTCCCCATCAGATCAGGTGCAGCAACCCTTTCCCTAATGTCATCCGCCTCCTGGTTCATGGCCTGCAAATGGTGCAATGCAGCTGAAATATGCGCGTACGCCTGCTTCCTGTACGTCGTCAACTCTTTCAGCAACTTCAAGTGCCGTTCAAAACTTCGCATCTGTTTGCGATGGCCACCGAGTTTGGTCCAGAGAAGCGCGAGTAGTTCTTCCTTGTCGGTGGCGATGGTGGTGTTTTCGCGTTGGACGAGCTCATGTAGTGCGTCAAGCTTTTCTTCGAGTTTCTTCAACTCGTTATAGCGGGCTTCGGTCTCTAGGAGAAGGCGCTCCATATGGGTAGAGAGGACATCCATAGCCTGGCTAAATGTCTCTTTCACCACTAGATTGACGTCCTTTTTTGGAGGGGACCATGGCATCAACGCGTTCAGCTTTTCAGGGAGGGATCTTGGCTCTAACTCTCGGGCCCTTTCCACCGAGCGCAATGCGTAATCGTTAACGGCCATGATGCTAACGCTCTGTTAGTTGGATTCTACACAACACAGACAAACGTGACGTACTTGTCTAATGCGCCGTTGAATTTGGCCGACAACCGACTCAGCCCCTTTACCGCAACGGCCGCGTCGTCAACAAACTCCCCTAAGATCTCAGCCAAACTATCTTTGGCCTTCAAGTCGCTCGCCTTGACGAGGGTGATGAGGTCCTTGACCGCGACTTCTGTCTTCTTCAGGTTGAGCGAAAGCGAGCCACCCAACCCGCCGATGGATTCATCGAGGAGCTGGTCGAAGGTTTTCGCTTCCAGGCTCACGAGCGAGGGATAATCAGCCCATTGCACATTTGGTGGTTGCAGTTTCCCCGTTGGCACCTGGTTTCCTACATTTTTTGGAGGCGTGTAGGTAATCCATTTGCAAGCAGTCATCATGTTCACCCCAGGGATATAGCAGAAGGGCTCAAACGCAGACCTGAAGACTCCATACACGCTGGTCAGCGTGAAGGCGAGTATCCAGAGAAAGAGGATGGCGATAAGAGGGTACCGCATCATCTTAAGCGCTGGTTTGAGGATGCTCAGGGCGTAGAAGAATGTCGCTTGGAGCGTGGAGAGCGCATGCCCCGGAAGGGCACCCCATGGGATAGGCGGCTCGCGCCTCTCAAGGATAGCACGAGCGGGGTACGACGGCTGCTGGAGCTCGTGATGGTCGACCTTCGACTCCCGAGAGATAGAGGAGAAGCGCGATGAATGTGCGACAGGCGCTGGCGGAGTACGGTACCCCGCTGGAGTGGCCCTGCTTGACCTGATACCGCCATATCCACGCGGACTGCGGGGCACAGCGCGAGTTTTCGATGCGGAAGACGAATTCTGCGGCTTCCTATGCCTGATCTTGCCACTGCTTGCCACCGCCCCGCTCGAGGTCGTGGTCGGTTTCACAATGTCGTCTTCCCACTCCCACTCTTCTTCTCCTTCTTCTCTCCTTTCATCGTATTCATCGTGGTCGTTGAAGTCGTCGTGGTCATATTCCTGTGTTTCAGAAGCCGAACCGGCTGTAAATGCATCACCATAGCCATAGTCAACGAATGAGCCGTAGTCGGTGGAAGATTGCCAATTACTGTCTGATGCTCGGGACGTGACCAACCGGTCCCGTTGTGAAGAGTAAGGCTTTTCCCTACCACTTCCTCCGCCAAGGCCATTCAACGTCGCCGCAGCACTGGGGTACCCTGCCCTAGGGGTTGCAGACCTGGTGTTTCGAGCTTGCCTTGAAGGCGTACCCCGACTTGGATCGTAGTGGCGGCTGTCCGCCTCAGTCATGATAGTCGACAAGTGGTGAGGTCAAGGTGTAGAGAAGGGCCGGTCACGACAGCGATAGTTCAAGTTCAAGAAACGCGGATGACTTTGCCAACGAACCAGCCTGAGGGCACGCCTTCTCCACGCCCCCATCTATTTTTAGCTCTTGATGATGTAATCAGGTCACACAATGGCTTAGGCGCCCAAAAGCTCAAGACCATCTGGAGACTGAAGGCCGCGTGCTTTCAACGTGGTGATCTAATGACTCGGATCCCAGGAGTCAGAGTAGTACCTTCTTCTCAGAAGGTGGACCCTGCATACTTTCTGATAGAGCCTGTCTTCGCTCTGTCACTTTCAAGATCACCCGCCCCCACAGTTCATTTCATCCCGTATTGATCGTCACAACGGTTTGCAGTTAAACCAAGGTGAGCCGCCCGCTTTCTGTGTCGGGCACTGTTCGTTAGGAAGTGTGCAATGAATGGAATAGAAGATTAGGAGGAGCCCAGGTAATTATAGTGGAGACGTAAAGCTGTCCGCACCCCCTCTCAGCCTCGAGCATTGAGCTTCCATTCCACAATGGACCTGCGGAAAGTTCATTTATATCCGACTTCTTCCATCTTCCGCCCTTAAGACGTTGCCCATCGCCCAATATAATTCATTCCGCGCGTCTATTTCAGGCAACTTGAAGGCGACCGTGACCGCAAGCGCGTGTCGACACGGAGCCTTGGTTCATGCAACAATTGCAACAAAAGTACATGAACGCGTTGTGAACGAGGGCAAACATTCATATTTCAAAAGAATTATCGTCGTCATCAGCAGGAACATCGAGGCGAGGACTACCCTGTCGGGACGGCACACAATTGTCTCTGCAATATCGCGAGAAACCGAACGCGAGGCGTTTGCTATCGATTGTCTTTGTGCACAGGAGCGGGAGGGACACGTTATCCCCAAGTGCAGATCGACAAAACCAGTGTCCCTGTTGTCATACCTTGTCATAGGTCTAATCCATATCTTTCAACAGAATTACAGGTCGCAACACACAAAAGACAAAAGAGGTCGTTCGACTGCGTGGTCGTTACGTTTTATCACTAGCTGACGGTCTTCGGTATTACTAGCAATCCTATTCCCTGATCTTCAAGCCAAGTAAGCACCTGTTCGATAGAGAATCAAAGTAGAACTTGTAAAACATATGGTCGAGGTACCCTCAGTCATCATTAGAACCTCGGGCTGACAGTTATCTCCCCAGTTCCTCCGGGCTTTGCGTGGGGAGCAGCCGACTCATAGAGAAGAGCGGAAGTTGTGGCGCTGGTGCGACCGTGCGATATGAGAGAGGATGAAAAGACAATAGAACAATGAGTCGGCCAAAGTGCGTAAGTTTGAGGAGAGAGATGAACGGTGGTAGATCCGAAAATCCGCTCCTTTGACGACGCACAGCTGCTCATCACAAAGACCATTAGGCAGTGTCCCTCTTCGTCACAAGTCGTCAAGCCCAGGGCGGAGAAGATGACGTCCCAAGCGCTGCTGGGCGCTCTCACCCAGAGCGGACGGCTTTCAAACCGGTTCGACAGAAAACAATAAGAGATGATCACATGAATCCCGAAATAGGTGATTGATCCGGGCGGGCCAGTTCGGCGGTGGCTGTAGCGATTGACGGAATGGGATGAGAGTCGGTTACAGGGACAAAAGAACAATAAGACCTGTCTTCCAAAATGGCTGCACCAATTTCCCCTGCCCAAACTTACGACTCCCCACTATTTTCCGCACCCCTCGTCCACGTCGTCGCAGAGAACGTTCTGTAAGTCCCTTTTTCCAACTTTTTCTGACCCTCTCGAACGATTCTGACGGTGTATACGGTTAGGGGGACCAGGTGCTTCTCTTCAGAAGACCCTTTTGCTTGGGAAAACATACCCCAAGTACGGAACAACCAGTCGTCCACACAGGACCCACAGAGGATTGACGATATATCCCTCTAGAAGTCTCTTCCTGCATAGCTATCAAGACTCTCTAGCTAGCCATGGCCACCCATGATCTTGTGAGCAGTTTCGTCCTGTATTCGCAGCGTAGCGTCGTCCTGATAAGCCTTTTACTAGACCGCGGCTCCAAAGCCGATGACCAGCGATGTAAGCGTCGCCTTCCTATATGCGCTTCAGGATCGTCTGTGTACACCCACTAACCGCCTCGTTGCAATAGCATTTTGAAAGGACAATCTTCCGCCGTGCACCCAAGCGGTTTGAGATCGAGTTCTTACCGCCTAGCAAGACCTGTGAGTTGATCCGTCCTCTGAACACCCTCGCCCAAAATCCTCATGGTCTCGCTACCTTTGCTTGCAGCGACCTCTTATCAACACGGGATGCGCATTACCCCCATCTTCAGATCCGACCGCTCCTCAGCTTCCTCCTCCCGGGGATCCGAATCCTGCATAGACCGCCAGTACGAGATCTGGCGGCGCTGGGAGGACTGTCTATGGCTTCAAGATACCTTGGAGGTGGAATACACTCGCGCAGCTCGAGAGAAGAAGATGCGACTCGCCCAGGGCAAGGGCGTGAAGATGTTCAACGGGATGTACAAGCAAGACATGGCTTCATCTTGGGAGTCTCTTCCCCCTGGTCCAGCGCCCGAAACAGTCCAGCTTGACGTCCACAAGTACCTCCCTTATCTCACTAAGAAGGGTACCTTCTTCCGACCCAAACCGGCGTTGGTGGAGAAGCGACAGATGGAGCTTCAGACGCTCATCGAGACGCTGATGGGCGAGGGTATGCCGGCGCTCATTAAGGAGATCAGAGCCAGCCGCATTGTCACGGACTTCTTCGCATTCTGGAGGCGCGACCTCGAACAAGAAGAAAAGCGTGCCAAGAAAAATCCCGCCTACCGAAGCTCCATCACTAGCAGTGTCTTCTCAGTTTACTTCGCATCCTCCTCGCCCACTTCTATCTCCCCATCCTCAGCCTCGACTCGCACTGGCACATCACCTAGCAGGCGCTCTCCTTCCAGACGATCCGATGCAATGTCAGATGCCTCTTCTACCCTTTTCAGTTTCAGAACCCGTCGATCCAGCACCGACACATTGGAAGCGCCACCGTCACCTGTCTCTCAAATGCCCCGCGCCCGCACCGACTCCTCCGGCTCTTCATCTTCAGAAGAAGTGCCCTCGGATAGTTCGTACACCGCTAATTCATCCGCTCCCCGAATCATGGCTGAAGAGCGCACAGTCAACTTTAACCATAATCCAGCCCAGGGTGCCTCAGACTATTCCCCCATCGAACCGATCCCGGAGGAACAGGAGATCTACCTTAAGGCGCCAGTCCTGGATGGTCATAGACCCGTTCAGCTTCGCAGAAGACACCGGTCCACCGAAGACCGCAAGTCGAATCGCAACTGGTCTGTATATGCGTCCCCTGTCGCAAACAACTTTGGGGACGAGCCAGACAGCCCTTGTACTCGTGGTGAGTTATCCGCGTTTGTATTTCCATGGTTCGTCGCTGAGCTCTTTCCAGACGACAGCACCATTGGCAGGAATTCATGGCAAAGTTCTTCTTCGGCCGCCTCTGCCGATACTTATCTGGAAGGCCTCCCCTTCACCTTGCCTCAACTTTCGTTGGAAGACCGCCAATCCTTGGCCAGCGTTTCAACCTGGATGACAACTGATTCAGCGAACGCGGTCATCCCAAGGGAGCCGGCTTCTCCTGCTGACAGCTCCTTTAATCAGAACAGGACGTCAATCCCGATCTCACTCTCCGACTTTGAGATCGTGGCAGACTCGCCTGATGAGAGATTTTCCACCTTGGGTGCGTTCATATAGTCTTCCTCTACGTCAACCTAACTAACCTGCCCCACAGACGCGTTCCCTCGCCCTCTCTCATACGACCCTGAGATGGATACTATTCCCGAGCGCCCTGATACTCCAAAGGCTCATGACAGCATGATCGAGTCAGTTCGGTCGAACAACCATTCTCCAAGGCCCACGACTGCTCGCAAGGACGGTCGCCAACTCCCACCCATCATCACCAACCGAATGGGTCCCCAACCTTCCACCGACCTGGAGGTGTTCCCCACCATGCCCCCCTCTCCCACGCTCTCAGCCTACTCCAGCACATACACGATCTCCACGATCTCCTCTGACACCTCTTCGACGCCCACTGTCTCCTCTGCCTCAACGATTACTACCTTGTCCACACCTGCTACCACCCCCTCCACCGGTCTCGCCGACTCTCCCTCCCAACAAACCCAAAAAGACAGCAAAGTCGGAAACATCTCCATCAAAGCCTTGCATAACGGCTCTATCATCATGCTCAGAGTCCAGCGCGACATGTCTTTCTCAGACGTTCGACAAAGACTCTACAACAAGTTTGTCGGCCAGGAGGGTGTGCCGCTCGCCCAGGACTTTTTGGTCAACTACAAACCGGATGGGTCGAGCCAGGATTATCCCATTTCGTCAGAGGACGATTGGAGGGATATCGCTGAGGTTTTCGATGGCGGAAAGCTTAGCCTCCGGATCGTCAACCCGTCGTAGTGGTTGACTTACTGCCGTTATCGGTTCTGTGAACCACCCATCAACCCGTTCCTTACTACGCTCCTTGTCCCGTTTTCCTTCTTCCTCTCCACCTCCCTATCCTCAATCGACCTATCCACTCTTTTGCGATATCTCATTTTTCACTTCCCCTCCTCTGGCATCATGCACATCTCTTCCTCTCAATCATCCTTCAAACACTCACCCCCCACCCTGTCTTATTCTGATTTATTGACTGACCTTTTCGACATTCGAATGTGCCCCTTTGCGACCCAAGAACCCCCCAACTCTTCGCTTTTAAACCGCGATCGTAGTTATGGCTCATTGCGCAATTTTGAACTGCACTTTACTGCTTCGTTTTCTCCCCCAAGATAATTGACTGCGATAGCGTCCCAATTTACCCCAATTTTGCTCAATTTATTCCTCTGATTTATTCTCGGTATCTAGTACGGATTTTTCTGTTTCATCTTTCTCCTTTCTCTCCCTCTCTCCTCTCTTTCGGTTATGCTTACGGTTACGAACTCTCTAGACGACTTTGAACGAAGATGAGAATACGCTCCCATTACACAGAATCTCCTCCTTGTTGTATGTATGTATAAAAGATGTTGTTGTACGAATGTTGCTGTAGCTTTAGTCGCGGAAGACTGTAATGGGTCTTGCATCCCTCCTTCAATTGAATGTGCCTTCCCCTTTCCTTAAAACGTCGAACTGGTCTGAACGTTCTCCGAATAGGATTACATGGGTGGTGCAAATATGTTCTACTTGACTGTTGCTGCTGCTCTGGCAGGAGGTGCGCCAGGACGTAAAGGCGACCGCGTCCAGTCTGGCAGCAAAGTCTTCGACCTCGGAGATGTAGTAGACTGAGTATGCGGAGTCATCGAAATATGTCTGTCGCCCATTCCATCCCCATCGTCGTCATCGTCCTCCCCGGCATCCACGCCCTCATCCCACTTTTCCCTAGGTACCTCCGCACCACCCGTTTTCAACGACCTTGTAACGACATTGGTGTCAGTACCTCAGTGTAGAAGGAAAGGAGAAGAAACTTACCCGGCTAGCGAACCCCCAACCCACGATAGCATCGCCGGGGCAAACGCAGGCGCCTTCCCCGCATTTGCTTTCGCTCTTTCAGATTTAGCCGTAGGTGGATTTGGGTTGTTAAGGATCGCAAAGAATGGGGTTAGAGGTCGAAGTGGCGCGTATTTATCATACGGTGGTAACGGAACCCGTCCTTCCTCGCGTCGGTGCGTTGGAGGTGGAGGCGCAAGAGCGCGTAGAATTTCTGCGTGCAGTCGGGGAATGAAGCCGGGTACCATAGCTGTTCCACCCGTGACTAGGATAGAAGCAGCCATTGTTTTACGTAGATCCACGGGAACCTATGAATCAAAAGCATGAGTTTCCAAGCAGAGGATATGAGGTTGAAATCCAGCTCACCTTGAGCAAAACATCCAAGATAACCTCCGCAAGATTACTCTCATCAATATCATCTCCCTCAAACAATACCTCCGCCGCCCGCTCTCGTATCCACCCAGGAATAAGCAACGTCCCAAGCCCCGTTCCAGTCTGCTGCGACACAGGCGGCGTAACCCTCATCTGCAAGTCCGTAGCAGTCGAGTTCTTCTTAAATATCCTCTCCATCGTTTTCAAAGTTCCCTCCGAACGAGCGAGGGACGTAGAAATATCGGAACCGCCCGTGACAACCGAAAACTCTGAATCCACCCCTCCACCTTGCGAAGACGACACGCTCTCCATCCTGGAAAATTCAGATTCAGATCGTGCGCCTTCAGAGGGGTCTTCCATGTCGATGTCAGAGGAAGAGACGTCCACCATCATCGAGTCGTCGTGCATCTGCTCGTCGGTCAGTGGGTCGCCCACGAAACAGCACCGCGTTTTGATTTCTTCGACGACAGCGTCTGAGAGGACTTCTGGTGGGACACGGGTTGCACGGTTGGCTATGGGTACATTGATGGCCGCGCTGAGGGAGGTCGGAGGGGGCAGGTAGGTCGCGAACATGAGGAGCAGGGCTCGGAGGTGGGAGGTGAGGCGAGAACCAGCCAGAGGAGTGGTTTGTATTTGAGGGTATAGAGGTCGAGCGGCAAATATCTGAGAGGAAGGCGGTTATAATCAGGCGAGCATTGGAACGACAGGTTCTGCTTACTGGAAGCGCGACCGATTCGAGGTGACCACAGTCGATGACAAGGCCAGTTATTCTGCCCACCGCCATGAGAGAAAGCAGATGGCTTGGAGCAAAAGAGACAGATGGAACCTGAATAAACCGTTAAGTCCTTCCTCACTCCTCCAAACAACACACCCGTACTTGATTCTCGAACAGAATTTGAGCCATCATGTCCTTGATATACAAAGGCAGCAAGGGCGACTCGATAAGAATGACCTTTCTAGCCTTGGGATCTGTCAAAAGAGAACTTATAAATTCAAATCAACGAAACAGAAACAAGAAAAACATCGCAAGGACATACGACATACTCATGGAAGACCGAACGAATCGTACGCTGCAGCCGAATCTCCAACATCTTGTCTTCTTCCGCTCGTTTCTGCTGGTCGGACGCCCTTTCAAGCTTCCACAGGCTTTCTCCAGACGGTCCAGTCGCGTAAAACACATCCCGAGGCTTTCCTTCACCGCTGAAGCCTACTTTCCAGATACGAGAGCCAGGGTCGATGACGACGCGGTCTTCGACACCGTACAGCGAATGGCGACGCGTTGTGGCATAGTGAGGTGACGACTGTGTTAATGGTGGTGCTGCAAGTCTAGAGGTTGCTGGTGTTATGGGGTTGTAGGCTGATTTGCCGCGGGGTGTTGTCGGATATGCCGACATCGTGGTCGTGGTCGAAGCTCGTCGACGCGAGAATTGACAGGGGTCTACGGTACGCCGGAGTTCCATGGATGGATTTTCCCATCACGCTAGAACTTCCACGCGCGGCGCGCCTACCCTAAAGTATTTTATTCCGAGACAGTATAGTCTCGGGTTCTTTAATGGCAGTCTCCAGAGCCCCGAAATTTCGACGTTGATTTCAATCATGATGTATTGATCTCGGCCGGCACGGTATTCCGGACATTTGATGGGCTTTCATGAGTACACTGCTGGTTCAATCCTCAGTCAATGCAATTCTTTTTACATCAATGAAAAAAAAAAAAAAAATTAAGTACTGTTGAAGTATTGTTATATAATAGGAATATGATTACATGTAAGTGTGAAGGTATTAATATGTATGAGGGGATATTGAGAGGCAAGAGGCATAAAACTATACGAAACTATTACTGCTAATGTGGTCTAGTTATTCTTCCTTTGTACTGTCTCGGACATTCGGTGCGCAAGCAGCCGCTTCCCACAAGTGTAATTGGGCGCGCGTGGCTCATTGTCCTCCCATGACGAGATAAATAACACTGTAACTCGAGTTACAGCCACAATTTTATGATACTTTGAAGGACAAATGTAGGTATACTATAGACTACGTATATATAAGAAATTCGAATTGGAAATGCTTTGTTCATGCAGGAGATGGTAAACAATCAAGTGACAAGTCTAGCTCTACACTCCGTATCCAGGCAACATTCTCAGCTAGCTATCTGTGTGCGTGCATTGGGGTTACAGTAGAACAAAGATTCGATCATTTGGAGAGTGCTAAGAACATCTTGTATGAGTTTTTGCTATCTAATGAGTTGGGGTAGAGATAAGGTAGTGTTTAATTGCAGTGCAAAGTGTTTTGAGTGATTCTAGATGAAGTCAGACGCTAATTTCGAAGTTCTGTTCGTCGGATCGCTACCCTCCTCTTCGGACTTGGAGTACTTCTCGTACAATGTGACAGGGGCGAGGGGGAACTGTTTATCAAAGCCCAGCAAGAGACAGACCTCCTGGCAGACATGTTCCTCAACAAACTTGTTGATACCCTCCTCTCCGAAATCACCGATTCCCGAGGCCCTAAGGAAAATGTAAATGAGAAGTATTCACTTGACAGCCGTCGCTTATCTTACTTGTGCTCTGTGTGGGTCATGACGTCGAATAAAAGGTAAACATCCTTGTCCTGATTACCTTGGGTGAAAGTCGCAGGTCATGTACCTGTAGAGTTAGCGTCAAAACGTGTTATTCATACATGCATAGAAAAGGAAAGCTTATCCTGGATATCGGCAAATACAAGAGTACCCTTTGAGACGCCATAGACATAATGGCAGAACGCGTAAATAGTGAGATGTTTCATATCAGTCCGGGTAGACGGGTGGCTGAGTGTGACGCGAGATAAGTCGCGGCACACCAGAGCCTCAGACAAACACGTTGTTACGACTTCGGGCAACGAGGACTTATCGTTGCCAACAGTCGTTCTGGGATTCTGGAGTTCTAGAGTTCTGGATCGAAGTTCTGGTTCTGGAGTCGAGTTCAAGTGGCCTGTCGCTATCGCAGGCAGAGAGGATCAAGCTGAGAGCGATAGAAGTTCTAGAGGAAAGATTCTCGATAACAGGCTGAGGAATATCTACTACAGAGAGACAGTATTTATAGTAGAGTTGGCGAGCTATCAAGAGGTTTGGAAGAGAGCGAAAGAAGGTGTGAAAGCGACAAGTAAGGAGTATCGATGAGTACGGAATACGAGAGAAACGGAAGTACGAAAGGTTCGGAGATGCGGGAGAATCGAAGAAGCGAAGGTAACGGAACTACGGAGAGAACGGAAGTCCGGAAGGTTCGGAAAGGTAGAGTGCGTAGAGGGAAACAAAGGAAGAAATAGGGGAGTTCGTAACAGTACCCCCTTCGTATGCCTGATGCTCCGCATCAGGTGTTCAGATTGTGTTCTCCTTCGTCTCCCCATAAGTAGTCGTCATAGTCTCCGTCGTCCAAGAGTGCGTCATACTGATCGGGTGAAGTGTTGCGGGGCGTTGGTCGGTAATCGGGACACCACCTGGAACCAGAGTTGTGTCCGGGAGCGTTCTTGCCGCATAGGGTGCATTTGTAGGAGTAATGGTCGCATTGCCAGTGTCCGGTTTCGCCACATTTGTTGCACCTATGACCATCCCTCTTGCGTAGTTCTTTCTTCGACAAAGGTCGAACCAAGCCGTCGGGCTCAGAAGGAACGTTGCTTCTGGCGACCGGTCCGGGATAAGGCTGTACGCGGGTGCGGGTTGCACCCGGGTACCTGGACCTGGAGCCGCCAAGAAACCTGCAGGTAAACGGACCCGCAGGTGCGGGTGATCCTCACCAAAAAACCCGCGCAGGTGCAGGTGTGGCTTTCATGTATGCAGGTCATACCTGCAGGTACCCGCGCAGAAAAAATGTTAATTTTAACCGTGCATACACTCTAACTACTAAGATTTATTCTCGGGCTCCGAAACATCATCATGGAACGACAAAATGAACGCTTTCTACATTCGGAGATAAGTCAATGCTCAGGCTGTGATGGCATTTAGACACTCACTAATTGCAAAAGCTCTTGGTGGCTTTGACATCGCGAGCGCGTGGCGGGGACACTGTTTGAGAACATGCGCTCACTACATTTCGGAATGACATGAGTGTACTAAGCACACATCTGGAAAACAGAAAGGATGGTCGACTTACACAGGCTCGGCAGCATTGTCGATGACAACCGAAGGAATTCTCGTCGATAAATCCGAATTAGGCCGGTTGGCAGCCGTGGGATTGCCCGAATCGGATGGTGCCGTCAATGGCAGGTTGTCTTGCATTTGGGCGCTTGTGCACATTGACGGACTGCCTCACTGGGTGCTGGCTCTTATCATTCCCCCCAAACGCGCATCCCAAACCCCCTTATCGCGCCTTGCAGCCATACCCGGCTCATTGAACATCCAGGTGCCGGCAAAAGTCAGTGGCCGACGATACCCGTTGGTGACGTGAATTAGATGCCAAGCATTCACGTCAGACGTCATTCCGCTCGCAGAATGCCGCTGTGGGCACTGTCTATGGGCGTCGTTTACACAAAACAGCGCCCACAACGAGTCTCCTTCATTCTGGCGACGTGGCAGCCCTTTATCAACAAGTCATGCTTGCTCAACGATTCCACAGTTCCCCTCTCCCCAGCTCCCTGCTCTTTGCATTGCGCCTCCTGTCATCGATCGATGAGAGTCGAGACCACCACCAATGCTGCGACCGGTTCAACTGCGTGACGGTTTCCGTCTTTTGGTCGGCTACGGCTATCTCTTTATCGTCGAATTCGTCGACGATTGGCTGAGGGTGAGTGCCTCCTATTTTGTTCCTTTATCACGTTGCTCAGAGGTGTCTTCGACGACAGCAGGACTCGAAAATTCTGGAGATTCTTTAACCCACCATTCACGGCTCCAAAGCCCGACGCCTAGCGCCCAACTATTCGCCCTCCTCTCTCCCATGACCAACACTCGCCCCAAACGACGACGACGGCTTACCAAGCGAGCGCGAGACGCTGTGGATGCTGGCATTATGCCTGACCTTGGCGCTGTTGGTGACAGCGACGAGTCTGTCTCCGATGCCAGCCAGTCTGGCTCTGACTCTGAACCCCCGCCCACCCAGGATATGGCATCTGCATCATCAACACCCACGACCGCGCCGGTAAACCCTTCCACAGCTTCGAAGGATGCGGCACGCTTGTCTCGGTTCGCAGCCAGGTACAAGACTGAGACTCGCACTGACGAAGAGGTCCTTGGTATGTTTCTCACCATTGTCTGAGGGGGCACCGCGTGTTGACCATTGATTTTAGCGGCGCAGCGAAACGCTTGGACTTCAAGATGCTACGACCATTTCGACTCGCCGACCATCAAACGTGAGGGTGACAAGGTCTGGTACATTTTTACCTGCAAGGCGTGAGTCTGTTTTTTGACACTGAGCACCTGTCATTGACTAACTCATGGCTACCTATCAGTCATCCCAGTGTCTCCATCACTCGTGCTCGCCACGACGAGAGCACGGGTAACCTCAAGCGCCACGTCGACAAATGTGTCCCAGCAGACTCCTCTGAGGTGCAGGCAATGGCCACCTTCACAGCGGGCCACAAGTTCAACAAGCTCCGGCATCGGGTCCTCCTCGCCATTTGGGTTGCAAAGCAACGTCGGCCGTTCTCCATTGTTGAAGATCCTGAACTTTTGCAGATCTTCAAGGAGCTCAACACCCTCGTCGAAACGCCTTCACGTAACATGGTATCCCGAGACGTCCGGGAGATCTTTACCATTACACGCGAGGCACTCAAGAAGAGTCTTCAGGTGCGCTGGCAACGATTCTCCCCCATCTATGAATGCTGACACTCACCGTAGGATTACCCGGGCAGGCTTAATCTTGCCGCTGATGGATGGACCAGTCCGAATGTCATCTCGTTCCTTGGTGTCACGGTCCATCGCTTGAAGGATGCCTCGATTAACGCGACCCTTCTCGACTTCATCAAGCTGAAGAAGGCTCACACTGGACAATATCTTGCGTCCAAGTTGATGGAATGTCTGCATGAGTTTGGGATTGCCGATAAGGTATGTACTGTCATATCTCATTGATATGATCCACCACAACTCACGTCCGCAGATCCTCGCGTTCACCGGTGACAACGCTTCGAACAACGATACAATGCTTGAAGAACTGAAGGAGCTCATGCCGAGCTTCCGTGGTCCTGAGGTCCAGGTGCGGTGCTTTGCCCACATCCTTAACCTGGTTGTCAAGGTCTGTTAGAACTCTTCACTTTTACGCTATGCTAACTTTGTCAACTCAGTCTGTCATGTCACCCTTTGCGAAGGCGAAGCGTGGCCCCAACGACGATGTTGATCCTGAGGTTGACAACCCAGCTGAAGAAGACAGTCAGTCCACCGCACACCCTGATGTCGAGGTACCCCCAAGTGAGGACCAAGATGGTGATGACGACGACGATGTCAGTGACGATGATGACGACGATGACGGCGAGTTCGAAGTACCCGAGGGCCTCATTGAGAGTGACCAGAGGGAGGTTTCGGACCTTGTGAGGGAGATTGAGGCAGATTTTGTCTCGCGCCTTGATCCTCTCTCTGCTGCCGACGCAAAGGTTGCGCAGAGTAGTATCACAAAGGTATGCTCTTGTTGATGCATGGCCGGAACAGTGTACTGACACAAGTCATCAGCTCCGGAAGCTCGCCATCAAGATTGTTCATAGCCCCACTATCTCTGAAGACCTCAAGGCCTGCTGTGAGCGCGTCGGTGTCTTTGCAAAGAAGATGGTCCGTGATGTTCCAACCCGATGGAACAGTACTGCGGAGTTACTCGACCGTGCCTTGGAGCTCCGTGCTGCTCTGGACCGCCTCTGTCTCATGCCAGAGCACAACCGTTCTCGAGGGGCTCGCCTCAAGCAGTACCGACTGTCTCCCGATGAGTGGAAAGTCTTGGAGCAGCTTGCTCCCCTTCTCGATGTATGTATTTGTTTTGATTCCCATCCTCAACTGATGCGAATTAATTCTTGACTGTAGGGCATTCTCTACGCGACAAAGGAGGTCTCCAAGTCGAGCATCCCGCTGATCCACGAAGTCATCCCCTTTATCGACTCGCTCACCTCAATGTTTGACGAATTCATCGATAACACTGAGCGCCATCCCGCTGTCCGCCATGCCGCATTACGTGGTCTCAAAATGCTGAACAAGTATTATTCGAAGACTGACAAGAGCATCGTGTATCGTATTGCTATGAGTAAGTGTTTGCTCAGTCTGTAGTTACCTCTTGGCTGACATCTTCACAGTTCTCCATCCGGGTTACAAAACGAACTATTTCATGACAGCAAAATGGGAACCGGAGTGGATTGTGGCGGCCAAGGCCATTGCACGAGATGAGTGGGTAACATACTACAAGTCTGCTATCACCCCCGCATCTTCGACCTCCACACCCGTGTCATCGTCGTCGGCTACTGCGGGCAATGATAAGGATGGTGTAAGTTTGCGATCATTGTCGTTAGTGGAGTATCACTAATGACAATCTTGTTGTAGCGCTTTGCGGTAACGCGCAAGCATTTCACTTTGGTCCACTCGCGTTCGGTGACCTCTGCATCTCTTGACCCTCTCGAGGAATGGATGGCTTCCCCTCCGATTCCTGGGGTCATTGATCCTCTCAAGTACTGGTCTCAGATGCAGGCGGCTGGTCATCCACTTGCACGTATGGCTTTGGACTTTCTCACTATACCGGGTATGTTGTCTCTCCCATCTGTGGTCAATAAGTATTGACCTTGATTCCAGCTGCGTCTACTGATATCGAGCGTGCGTTCTCCCGAGGTGGGCTTACAGTGTCGAAGCTCCGCCATTCTCTTTTAGACAGCTCTACCCGTGCTGCTACTGTATTGGGGTCTTGGGCCTCACAGTCGTTGGTCCCTCTTGACACTGTCCTCGAGATCTTTAAGGAGAAGGTCCGCCGTCGTCCCCAGCGGAAGAAGGTTCGCATGGATGCAGGTGACACTTCTACTGTCATCGAGCTGGTTGATTGATTTGTACTGTGTCTATACCATAAATCTGTATTTCTTTGGTTGTGAAATTAATTTTCGTTGGTCATTGTTGATCTATGCCTGCAGGTACCTCCGGGTATACCTGGAGGTACCCTTGTATACCTGTGACAGGAAGGTACCCACCGTACCCGAGGGTACCTGACCTGTGGGTCCAGGTGATCCGCGAAGCTTTACCTTCAAGGGTGTAGGTGTCGCTTTTGGGGCTGCGGGTACCTGCTTGGCGGCTCCGGGTACCCGTGCGGGTGCACCCGTGTACAGCCTTAGTCCGGGAGCCATGGTGGAAACTGATCCGTGATTGCCAGAGGAAGAAGGTACGGGGGAAGCGAGATGGACTCGTCGACGATCGAAAGCAGAAATGAGTTGGGCTTGTCCAATGGCATTCTTGAGTTCGTCGAGGTCACGAAGGAGCTCTGCTTCAACCCGTTGGCGAGATTGTTCGAGGATCTGGTCTTGAGCGTTGAGTCCGTCTAGGACCTTCTGGGTGGCTTCGAAGAATTTGGTGACTGATGCGTCGAGGGCTTGGTAATGTCCGATAAGGTGAAACTTCTCTTTGATGATGCGTTCGTGTTCCTGGACAAGGGTGGCGTATAGGCGACAGATGGCAGGGGTACGTTCTCCAACAAGGAGGAGGGCGGCGTCGGCACCGACGACTTCCTTGATATCGTTGACGGTCTTGATGGCTTGGATTTGTTCTTCTGATTCTTCAAGGTATTTGCGGATAGATGGAGGGAGGAGCGAATTGTTAGAGGGACGTTCCGTCATGGAAGGGATGAAGAGGGGATTAATAGCGAAAGTGGTAGATGCAGAAGGACGCGCGACAGAAGTAATAGTGTTCGCGGGAGTGTTTGAGTTCTTTATCGTAGCGGTCGGAAGCTTCTTGGACAGTTTCTGGTCGGCCGATGTAGACTTGGAAGCGTTTGTAGTAGTTGGTGTGGTTGTACATGCTGTCGGATGGGGAGTCTGGGTAAAGGTTTTATAGGTCGTGTCGTTGTTTGTAGGCGTTGAGTATTTCCTGTGCGTTTTCGAAGTTTCGCTCTGGTAACCAGCAATCTTCGCTTGATGGGTAGCCTTTGAAGTGGGTGAGATATTGGTAACCCCGTCCTCGTCGGCGATGCGCGATGATCGCTTCTACTTCCCATTCTTCTTCGTCATTGATAATGTCCGGTGGGGGTTCGGAGAAGGCAGTTCCGTGTTCGTCGGTTTCTTTGAAGGGTGAGAGAAGACTGGCATGGAAAACGTTGTGGATGCGCCATTGGGTTGGTAGGGCAAGGCGATACGCTCGGGAGCCGACTTCATCGGTGATTTCGAACGGGCCCAGTCGTTTGGGAGCGATCTTCTTTGATTGGTAAGGGAGTTTGAGGTTTTTCGCTTCGAGCCAGACCTTTTGTCCCTTTCTGAACGGTTTCCATTGTCGTCGGGATCGTTCAATCATACGAGACCGGGCGAGTTCATGGGCGGCAAGGGCTTCTGTTCGAGACTTGTCGAGGGATTTAATGCGCTCTTCGTTCGAAGGATAGTCTGTTCTATCGAACGCTTCGGGAAGAGCTTGTGGTTTGATTCCCATGATAAGTTCGAATGGTGACAAGGCTCGGTCAGCGTGGGGTCGAGAATTGTGGGTGAATTCGAGGATGGGGAGGTGATCGGCCCAAGTTTCGGGGTTCATGGTGCAGTAAATGGATAGGTATGCTTCGATTTCTTGGTTGACTCGTTCGGTTCCCCCGTCAGTTTGCGGGTGAAAGGTGGTGGAGAGAGCTGAGTCGATCTTGAGAAGCTTGCAAAGGTCGCGGAAGACTCGAGCTGCGAATTGCGGTCCGCGATCGGAGATGAATTTGTCTGGTAATCCGAATCGGGAAAAGACTCGATTAAGGAAGAGTTGGGCAGTTTCTTCGGCGGTAATAGTCTTATGGCAAGGTTCAAGGACTACCCCCTTCGTAAGGCCGTGGTCCACCACGACCAGGATGGAGTCATATCCTTTTGATGGTGGGAGATCGGTGATAAAGTCCATCGATATTTGGGAAAATGGTCGGGAAGAAGTTGGGGCGGCGATAGGTTCCAAGGTGGGTTTAGTAGGATGACGATTGATCTTGTACTGTTGGCATTCGGTGCATCCTTCGACATAAGATTTGATGAATCGTCGCATTCCGGGCCACCAGTAGTGTTCTTTGACTGCGTTGAAAGTGCCGAGTTCACCAGGGTGTCCAATCGTGGGGGAATCATGGTGTTTTCTGACGATTTCTCGTCGAAGGTCGGAGTCGTTGGGAACGTAAGCTTTCCCTTGATAGAAGAGCATTCGTCGGCCATCTTTCGTCTCCAAAGTCCAATCGGAGAGATCTTGTCGGAGATCCGAGGGGGCTTCTTCGAGGAGGGTTTGTAAAGCTTGATTTGCACTGTCGTCGTTTTGATCGGAGGATAGGATTCTTTCCTGGATGTCGAGGTCGATGAGGTTGATGAGATTGACGAAGACTTCTTTAGGTAACATGGTGACGAGTTCGGGTTCTTCATCTTCTTGGCAGAGGTCGGGTCGTCGAGAGAGGTTATCAGATTGGATCATTTGTTTTCCAGGGGTGTTCCGTATTTCGTAAGGGGAGAATTCTTCGAGGAATACGCGCCAGCGAGCTTGTCGGGGGGTAATCTTCCGCGGGTCTTGCCAATAGATAAGGTTTTTGTGATCGGAGAAGATGGTTAATGGGAAGGGAGACCCTTGGAGGTAGTGTCTCCACTCGGTAAGGGCTCGAATGATGGCCAGTAATTCGCGATCGAAGATGGTGTAGTTCCGTTCGGCGTCGTTGAAGGTCTTGGACATGAAACAGACCGGGTGTCGGATTCCGTCGTCATCCATTTGTGTGAGGACAGCACCGGAAGCGTATTTCGAGGCGTCGGCTTCAACTTGGAAGGGTTTGGTAAAGTCGGGCATGCGGAGAACGGGGTAAGATGTGAATCGCTTCTTGAGTTCCTGGAAGGCTTCTTCGGTAGCACTTGTCCATTCGAATTTGTTGTTCTTTCGTGTAAGGTCGTTGAGTGGTTTAGCGATCTTGGAGTAGTCTCGGATGAATCGTCAATAGAAGTTCCCGAAACCAAGGAATTGTCGGACTTGTTTGACGTTTTTAGGTGTTGGCCAGTTGGCTAGGCCTTCCACCTTCGTGGGATCCATACTGAGTTCGTTATGTCGGACAATCAGACCCAGGTATTCGACTTCGGTGGCTTCAAATATGCATTTTTCGAGGTTGAGGGGGAGGTCGTATTTGTCGAGTTTGGCGAGGGTTCTTAATGTGTTTTCTCGGCATTCTTCTCTGGTTCTTCCGTGGGGCATGAGGTCGTCCATATATCCTTCTGTCTTGAGAGGTTTGGGGTTTCCGTCGTCTTCGTCGAGGATATCGTTCATCATGTTCTGGAAGGTTGCTGGTGAGTTGCGTTTTCCGAAAAGCATGACAGTCGGTTCGTAGAGTCCTCGATTTGTCTTGAAGGCGGCTTTCCACTCGTCTCCTTCTCGGATCCGGATGTTATGATACCCCCATTTGATGTCCAGTTTGGTAAAGTATCGGGATCCTTGGAGTCGATCCATGAGTTCATCAGTTCGAGGTAGTGGATAGGCGTTAGGGATGGTCCAGTCGTTGAGGTAGCGGTAGTCTTGGCAGGGGCGTAGTTTTCCGTTCTTCTTGGCAACGAAGAAAAGAGGTGATCCCATCGGAGATTGTGATGGGCGGATCCGTCCGAGTCGGAGGTTTTCTTCGAGGAATTTCTGTAGTTCTTGGTCTTCGGCTGGGGTGAGCTGATAAGTCTTGAATACTTTGGGAACAAATCCGGGTTTGAGGTCGATCTTGTGATCCCATTTTCTGTGAGGAGGAAGGGCTGTTTCTGGGCGATCTTCGAATAGGTGTCGATACTTCTTGTATGGTTCTGGAAGGATGTCGTCGATAGTCTTCTTTTCTTTCTTTTCTTGTTCTTGTGCGGCCAGGAGTTGAGCAGTAGTGGTTTTAGCGTTGATCCAAACAACAGGAGTTTCGCCTTCTTCGTCGGTTTCATCTTCGAGGAGGCACATTACGGCGACAGTGGTTGTGTTTGGGGTGGAAAAGTTTGTTTGAGGAAGGTGATTTTCGATTTTATCGGGGTCAATCTTGTCTTGCCAGTCGAGTGTTCCCTTCTTCCAGTCGATGATGGGGTTTGCACGACGGAGCCATGGGAGGCCTAGGATTAGATCTTGGTGGGCGATCTCTGTTGCATACCATCGAATCCGGAATGTTTGACCGTGTAATCGAGCCAATGAGTCGACAAAATGAGTGATTGCTCCTTCCTTGTTTGGAGTCCCGTCAACGTTGTTGACTTTGAGTGGTCGAGGAAGTGGACGGAGGGGAATATTTCGTCGTTTCGCGAATCTTGTGCTAATAAAGGTTCCTCCTGCTGCGCTGTCAATAAGAACTTTAGTGTCAACGGTTTTTCCTGTCTTTTCACCAATGAGAGTAATAGGGGCGCGCATAGTGTGGTCATTGATCTCGGTGACTAGTACAGAGTAGATATCAAGCTGAGGGGAGGCGTACGTTGACTGAACCGCTCCCCGATTCAAAAATCCTCCTGGTCGTCGTCTTCGTCTTCATCGAGGGTGTCTCCAGCGGCTTCGAGGATTTCGGCTTCTTCTTCTGGGGAGTATTGAGCGAGGAGTCTTCGGATGTATTTGGCGGCTTCTCGGGGGGTCTTCTTCTTGGTGTCGTTCGAGGTGGATGAGTTTCGATCTTTGCGTTTCTTGGGGCATTCCTTGGCGATGTGGCCTTGTTCACGGCAGTAGAAACAGCTGCCGGTCTTCATCATTCGAGTTCGTTCATCGGTGGAAATGGCATCAATGTCCATGGCATCGGGGTCGCGTTCGGAGTTGTTTCTGGTGGATCTGGCGAAGGCGCTGAGGGTCTTGCGGAAGTTGGGTGTATTTCCTCGTTTGCCAAGCGACTTGAGAAGTTTGTTGCGTCGATAGACCCGGTCATATTTGATGGCGAGTTTAACCCATTCTTCGAATGTATCGGGTTCTCTAACGTCGAGGGAGACTTTGTCGACGAGACCAGGGTCCAGGACGTCTTTGAGGTAGTCGATAGCGATGCGATCGTTCTTGGTGAGATCGAGACCAGCGAGGGAGGCTTGTTCTCTGAATCGAGTGATCGTCTGTTCAGCGCGTTCATTGGGTCGTTGCTTCATGTTGTTAAGAGCAAAGAGGGCTTCATCTTCTTCTTCAAGTTGTTTGAAAGTATCATCGAGTTTCTTGAGTAGTTCGTCGAAATTTCCGAGGTCAAGTTTTCCGTTCTTGCGGCATTGTCTGAGGTAGTTGGTTCGCCAAATGCGAGCTTCTCCTTCGTCGAGTAGGGCAAGGACGAAGGCGATCTTCTTCTGGTCGGTGTCGTGTTTGTCGTCAGTGATGAAGAAGAGATCGACGGCATCGCGGAATGCCTGGTAGTGGTAGCGGTTTCCGTTGAACCTCTTGGGGATGACTTTGCCATTGTCGCTCTTCGAGTCGTTCTTGGTGGTGTTGCTGTTATTGTTTCCGGCCATGTCGGTATTAGAGTCGGTTTCAGGGTCTTCTTGGTTCTTCGATGGAGTCGGTTGGTCGATGTTCAGATTCTTCAGTTGGTCCGATAGGGTTCGTTCGATTTCAGTAGGGCCCCTCGACCTTGGTGACTTCGTAGCTTTCTGATGCTTCTTTTGAAGTCTTCTTTCTTCTTTCTGTTTGTTCCTTCGTTCGGTTCGAGATTCGAGGGCTTTCTGGAGGGATTCCTCTACGATGTCGGGATCGAATTCAGTTTGTTCCACGGTGTCACAGGGGACTCCCCAACTGGGGAACTCTTCGGGTTGTTTGGATAGACGATGTGGGCAGGGTTGTCGGGTGCAGTGAATCCACTTGCCGACTGGGTTTAGGTGGACGTCGAACTTCTTGTCGGAGTAGAATGTGTGTGGCTGGTTGTAGCAGCCGTAGGGAGGGGTCGAAGGAGTTCGGAGATCGTCGTCTGAATCCGTGGTTGAAGAGAGGGGGCCGCGCTTTCGAGGAAGGCGGCGATGGAGGAGCCTGTTATTCTGTTACGACTTCGGGCAACGAGGACTTATCGTTGCCAACAGTCGTTCTGGGATTCTGGAGTTCTAGAGTTCTGGATCGAAGTTCTGGTTCTGGAGTCGAGTTCAAGTGGCCTGTCGCTATCGCAGGCAGAGAGGATCAAGCTGAGAGCGATAGAAGTTCTAGAGGAAAGATTCTCGATAACAGGCTGAGGAATATCTACTACAGAGAGACAGTATTTATAGTAGAGTTGGCGAGCTATCAAGAGGTTTGGAAGAGAGCGAAAGAAGGTGTGAAAGCGACGAGTAAGGAGTATCGGTGAGTACGGAATACGAGAGAAACGGAAGTACAAAAGGTTCGGAGATGCGGGAGAATCGAAGAAGCGAAGGTAACGGAACTACGGAGAGAACGGAAGTCCGGAAGGTTCGGAAAGGTAGAGTGCGTAGAGGGAAACAAAGGAAGAAATAGGGGAGTTCGTAACACACGTTGGCTTGAGTGGGTTAAAGCGTCGTGTTGAAAGAGACTAGCTACGTACAACGGGGGTTGAACCCTTTATATACTAGACTACCTACTTATGTAATCTAGAACTACCTAGGTACGATGAGGAGAAAGAAATAGGAATTCGGCATAGGAGAAGGCATAGACAAATAGAAGGAAGGAAAGGATAAACAAACCGAAGGTAAAGACAAATAAAGGCATACGTGAGACTTGGGAAGGCGCCAAGTCGAGCGGCGCCTTACACTGAGCATGCCATTGAAGCGAATCACCACTTCAGAAGGGTGCTTCCGCTCCCCACACCAAAGGATAAGGTTTTTCTTCGATCTCAGACTCACTAGGGACACTAAAGAGCTCGTCAGATGCGACGCCCGAAGCTGGTGAAGGCTTCGAAACCTCTTGATAGAAGGTAGGGACCTCGAAGAAGTCTGAGCAGTGCAGCATTTAAGTAACTGGTACGGATCGGATCCGGAAAACAGTCACTTACATTGGTAGACATTCACGTCGGCTTGTTCCCCATCTCGATAGAATGAGTTTAGAAGCCTCTGTCGCAGCCCAGCACGCACGCCCTCAGCACGAATAAGCAAGTTGTGTGTCAAAATGTCGAATTCAGCGCTGAATTCTAGTCTCTAATATACTTTTGCCATTTTTTCCATTTTTATTTCATTCTATATGCTATCTATCTCATGTATATACATTTATCTGGTGATATGATTCGCTGAATGGGTTGTGGTTATTGCAAGAAGAGCGAGCTTATAGATATTATAGGTGCGCGCCTAACGTACTTTAGGGCAGGCTCGCCGCGCGTGATGGGAGAATCCATCCATGGAACTCCGGCGTACCGTAGGGGTCGACAGCGTCGGAGCCATATCCCCACGGACCGCACTTTCCGCACACTCTGTAGAACGGTTCATCCAACTCACAGTCGCAAAGCGCACTTGGTCGAAGAGTCCAGATGGATATGATTGCAGGTCGTGGTACAAAATGCAAGGATGCGGGGTAATACATTAAATGCTACATACAAAGGGATTCTATTGCCGCTTCGCCTGGAATCGGGCGAAAGAAATCATAATAGCAAGCGCCCATTGCTCGAACTGCTCTTTCGACATGAAGAGAAGGGCCTGGGAAATGACAGCCTTGGTGATTTGTGCTTGCATTCCCTGATGAAGATATTTCGGATAAGCGAGAGGAGCGGATGGGAAATGACGAATGATGCTGACCTGGTACCAGCCCACGAACCCTTCCTTCTTCCACACACGGGCGAGGATATCAAGGGCACCGACGTGGCGGCTGTCCTTGTGGTGGTATTGGTGAGGTTTGGGAAGTTCGGTCTTCTCCTCGACGGCAGCCTCTGCATCAGCGCTTCGGGCTTGTATTCTCACTTTAGCCATGATATAAGGGTATGTTACCTAGAAGGCGTTATAGTCCGAGAACGCAACGGAGAGTCAGGGCGGGGACGTACGACAGTGGCCAGCGTTTTGCTAATAGCGCCAATGATGAAAGATAGCAATGGTGAGAGCTTGGTGCCATGGTTGCCCGCGAGCAGAACGATGCTTTTAACTCGTTCAAAAACGCCATATGTAATGGCGGGGTTGACAGTCAAGACAAGACCTGGTTTAATACCGAGCCAGAGACCGGTAACACCCTCCTCCTCTACAATCTCCTTCGCGACTCCAAAGAAGGAGTCGTCGGTCTTGCTATCCACAACAGCTTCGATTGGGATGTCAGGGCGGATCTTCGCAGGTCGTCCCACTTGCTGTCGGGTAGCAATGACGGAGACGGGAATGGTGAAGATTTGTGCCAGTGCACCCGCCAACGCGCCGAGCATGAGCTCGGCCACTGTTGAGAGGGGAGGGATCTTGGACCCGGGAGGCAGTTTGCTCATCAAGCGTTTGGTGTACGAGGACCGCACGAACGAGTAGAAGAAGAAATACGCATACTCTGCAATCCCTGGTCAACAGGTCTGGATTCGGAACATAGAAATGGGGACGCACGTTGAGAGAAGGTATTGATCATCGTCGCTGCAAAGCCTCTGTAAAGACCGGCTACACCCTCGGCCTTGTAGACCTTGAGCAATACGGAGAGCATTGAGGTATCGACCTTGACGCCATTTGTCTTGGGCAAAGCTTGAATCCGTGTCTTCGCACTAAGCCCAGTCAGAGAAGCGTCCTACGCAACTGGCAGGAAAACATACACATCCAAGGGATAAACGACCCTATAAACACGGAAAGATCAGCTGGAGACCGGGGACGAGTGTTTGTGGACAACATACGCAGTGCTGAAGCAGCCTCCAAGGGCGCCTGCAAGTGCAGCACCAAAGGGCGTTAGCTGCTGTTGCGGGACTGGCTTCGACTGGGTGGACATTGGAGAACGGTTGAGATGTGGTCGACCCGGATATCTCCAAATTATAGGCGACTGTCCCCGGGCCAGCGGGGAAAGGAAGGACCGGTCAACTGGAATTAGCCGCCGCGAGCAATGTGATTCTCAACTCCCCATCAATTTCCAAATTCAGCCTTTCTCCCTTCTCCCCCATGAATCCAAACTTTCCTCAGAATCTCGACATAAAACCCTCAACATCCTCAGAAAATGTTGCAGGGGACCGCTTTGGAATAGACGCACAGCAAGACGCGATACAGACTTATGGTATCGCTGGTAGAGTCTGGTAACGAGAATCGTGCGCCTGTCTCGGGTTTCTGTCCTTAGAGTTTCCAGGGAGGCCGCCTATGCGATGAATACCTATTTGAATCCCACTTCTTCTTGGGTATTTGATCCCCCTCCCCTGACCAAGAACAAATCAACACCCCTCGCGATTGTTGAACTGGGCTCAGGAACCGGAATTGTCGCGTCTGTTATCGCCACTGCCCTTCAGCCCGGTGACCTGCTAATCGCGACCGATCTTCCGGATGTACGTGCCACTCTCGTCCTTCCAGACTTTTCGATAACTTATCTCTTCCAGGTCTGTCCTCTCCTCGAGCACAACTTGCGCGATCCCATAGATCAAGGCAATGTCGTAGTCGAACCCCTCGCATGGGGCAATTCACACCATGCTGAATCCCTACGAAAGCTGATTCTTAACAAACGGCCATCTCCAGGTCTGAACCACATAATATGTAGTGACCTGGTCTGGCCCAATCCCATCCTCTACCAGCCAGCGAGCTAACACGCGAAATCTAGGTTTACTTTCCAGAGCTCCTGGCCCCTCTCCTGCGATCCCTCATCCACCTCACTTCACCCGAGTTTCATTCCCATGCTCAAAGCCCTACAGTTACCATCTCCTACATGTTACGAAGCCTTACGAAAGAGACCCCTTTCTGGTCAGCCTTTGGTCTCTGGTTCACCTTTGTTCCCGTATTCGTCAAGGAAAGGGATGATAGCGAATGGCAACCCATTGGATCTATTCTCGGCGAAGACCCAACCTATATCTTCCACGCCAAAAGGCGACCTGAATCCTACACATGGGTCATACCCGACTCTGACCAGGATCTACTTGCTGGAGTGGGGGCCGGCGGCTCACCATCCAGGAAGTGGGACACCACCTTCGAATCCCTCCTCTTCCTCTCCATGAATACTAGTTGACGGTGGTGGACATCTATCTTTGCGCGTCGAGCTCGAAGATGGTCGAGAGCGCCGATCATCTTTATAGGATCTATAAGAGTACATGGTATACATCCTGCTAAATCTCGCATACAATTTGGACTCTTCACTCTTCCCTGAGGAACACGGCAGCAGCACCCATACCAGTGCCAATGCACATCGACGTCACAAGAACCTGGATGGACAATGAGATCCAGTTGGTTGCATAGAGTCTGGGACGTACCTTTCCCTTTCTGCGGTGCAATTCGTTCAATCCAGTCGCTACCTGGCGAGCACCTGTGCAGCGTAATCATGGAAAGAGGGGTAAGCCTTGGTGCTAATGCGATCGGTAAGAACAGTACTCATCTAGTGGATGGCCCAGGGCGATAGCGCCACCGTTGGGGTTAACCTTTTCACTGTTGGCCAATTCAGCGCTCAGTCTTTCCTTGTGCAACCTCAGACCACTCACAGAGGAATTCCCAATTCCTTCACACAATACACGGCTTGCGAAGCGAACGCCTCGTTGATCTGCAACCAAAATTTAACCCCAACACAAGCACACCAAAAACAACCAACGCGTACCTCGAAAAGATCAACATCTCCAGTGCTCAACCCGCTATTCTTGAGAGCAGCACGAATGGCAGAGACCGGACCGATGCCCATAATACGAGGTGCAAGGCCTATTAATCAACACAGAAAGAAGCAGAAGCACAATCACAAGTCAGTCAATTCAAACCCACATGGCAATCCAGGGAGCTTCTCAAGAAGAAGTAGACGAAGGATGAATGCACTCACCGGTAACAGACGTGGTAATGTATTTAGCCAAAACCCTCAGGCCCAACTCCTCTGCCTTCTTCCTAGTCATGAGTAGGACAGCAGCAGCACCGTCAGTGAGCTGACTGGCGTTTCCACCCGTCGTCGTGCCCTTGCCCCACTGAGGGAACGCAGCTCGAATCTTGGAGAGGCCCTCCTTGGTCGTGCCTTTCCTGATACCATCGTCTTCGATGATCGTGACGAACCTCTTCTCGCCAGTCTTGGGATCCTTCTGGTAAACAGTGAAGGGCACAATTTCGTTTCGGAAATACCCAAGTTCTTGAGCGCGTTCGGCTTTTTGGAATGACAGAGCCGCAAACTCGTCCTGCTCCTCTCGCGAAACGTTGAATTCAACAGCAACATTCTCGCTCGTCCAGCCCATCTTCTCGTTACAGTCCTTTGCCGCTTGGTTGCACGAGACCAAAGGACTTTGTTCAGGGCATCCGTCATCAGGACTGCATGTCCGTCATCAGGATTCAGCTTTCCGTTATAAATCGTAGTGTTCACGTACTTTTGCGACATACTCTCAACACCCACAGCTAGCCCAATCTCAATTTGCCCACTCCTCACTTTATTCGCAATATCCGCAACAGCCATAAGCCCGCTCGAGCAGAACCGATTCACAGTCTGCACCGGAACTGTTTCGGGGAATCCAGCAGCCATAGCAGCGGTCCGGGCTGGGTACATCGAGCTGGGGGTCAAAACCGTTCCGACAACGATGTCTTCCACGATGGCTGGGTCGACGTGTGAGTGGGCGATGGATTGCTGGCAGGCAAAGCATGGTTAGGACGGATGCATTGAGGACTCGGAAGGACCATGGAGCTCACTTTGAACATCTCGAGGAGCAACTCGTCCGTCCTAGACCACGTAAGACGTGTGTGTTGAGCATTCAAACTCGACCAATTAGAGAGTACAGCACATACCTTGCGTCCTTGAATCCACCCTTCTTCGCCTTACACAGAGGCGAACGAATGGCCATGGTAATGACGACATCGTCTGGTCTCTTCTGCTCAAGCGCAGCCAGGCCTTTGCCTGGGTGCGAGCCAACGAGGTGTCCAGCAACTTGCTTGATTCGCTGCATCTTAAAAGTCGTTCAACAGTCGGGAAGGGAGTTGGAAAGGTAAGCAAGTGGTCCAGGATCAAGAAGCCTTAAACGACGTTAACGGGTCGGCAATCCGCCTTACTGAGTTACCCGGATGCTGTCTTCTTTCTCGGACCTTATGCAGTGCACGACTTACTATAACCGGAAATGTAACCCCTAAGGCGAGTGTTCAAGCGCCCGTTTCTGTCGGCCCCCACGCTCAGTGATACAGTACCAGACAGCGCAAAGGCCTAAGCAGCGTTACTCAGAGACAGGGGGACATACATAGGGTAAGGAATAGTAGAAAAAGTGACAGTACCCGGAAGATCAAGGAATGCGGGGCCACGAGGGTTAAATATCGGATATGTAGAAGACCTGAAGCTGGCCAACGGTCAAAGGATTATCGTAGAAAAGAAGCCATCACAACTTCTGTCGCATGAATATCAAACCCTGCAGAGACATCCACGGTTTCGACAGTAAGGTTTCCTCTGGGTCGGCCATTGCTAGTCTCGTAGGTTATCCCACCCCAACTAAGCCCAGACGTATCGTCGGAGAACCTGTCAAGGGCGTTTACAAAGGGATTCCCATTGGTTTGGAAGGCTAACTTACGGGATGTGAAGCCGTTTAATGACCATCCGAGTAGGCGCATTGGAGCCAGTGTGGAAGAACGGGTGAATACGTGTCCGCCTTCGCGTGCCAGGAGCGCTGGCATGTTTATAGTAACCCGTAGAATCGATGAAGATAGCCTTGGTGACGGCATTACCCTCATAGAATGCATATGCTGAGATTCGCGGATCGTTCACAGGCAAATCAAAGAGTCGAGTGTTGCCACTACGGCCTGTAGCTTCAGCCGCAATGATAGTTGCGTAGTATTGTGGTTGAACGTGGGGCGATCTCGGTGTCGCTAGAGGCTGAGAGTCGACGGGATCCCGATAGAGAGTTACAGGTTGTACCTGTAGATCGAGAATGAGGATATGCAGCTGGCGATGTTGGGCCTTTCGCTTACAAAGTTGTACTTGAAGCCTATTCCCTGATGGAAGAATATACGCGATATTCCAGCTTGGGCCCTAGAGATACAAGATTATTGAGCGCCATAATTGTGGCCCTTTAAAACTCACGCGTATAGCAGATAGTCAAGCGACCATAGAGCAGCACCTGCGACGTTACTGACTCCTGGAGCACCCTATCGCATCGTGACGAGTCAGGTACGGCTGCACGGATAAGAAACGATAGCGACTCACATGGCAAGCAAAGCTGTTTGTCTCTCCTAGCACGTAATCCAGACCCAGCGCTCGAGTGGCGGCAATATCGGCCGCGTAAACAGATATGTTTCCTCGGATCGTCGTCTTCGTCATCAGATCTTGAAGCAAAACGGGACTCCCTGTGCAAAATGAACCGCTATATCTGTGCTGAGAGATCCTGTCCATATAAACGTCATTACTAGCCTGAAAGGGAAGTCCGTCAAGACCATCGCACTCACGTGGAGATTAAGGATCCAGCATGGGATCTCAGTAGCCCTTGCGCAAACAGCGCCTGTGGGCCCCATCCGCTCGTCGTTCCCGACGACACCACCATAGACCCTCCTAGGAATTTGGTATACGAGGTCGGTGATATTCCCAAAACATCCGTGACCTTACTGGCGAAAGTCGTCCACCTATGTATGTACAGAGTAAACCCAATCAATAGGGTCCCAGCAAGATCGCTCCCAGCTTCGAGATTTAAGTGATCCACTCACTCTTGGATATACTGCGAAGTGCTATATCCAGGTGCTCTATGCCCGTTATTTCCGTAAAGATCGGGTTCGTTCCCAATTTCAATTGCCTCCAGCTTGATGTTGGCATCTGAGATCACTGGAGATTTAAAAGCTTTCGAGATGGACTGCGCCATCAGAAACGCGGCTGTGAGATTATTGCTGCCCAAGTTGAGACCCCAAGTGACCTGCGTATCTGGAAGTTGAGCGCTTATCAGACAGAAGTTTGGGTGCGCAAGTCTAGCCTCAACCCCACCTCTTGGAAGGAACCGAGTAGCAGCATAATACCCATCGCCCACAACGATAGTGGTAGCTTCTGGATATGGAATAACGTAGGTCGGAGCCGGAAATACAAGCTGGGCAAACTGTTGCATATTAGCTGCGAGCGACATATGAAAGGGGGAAAGTTGCTCCAAACCTCGATGTTAGGGTTGAAATGTGTACGGTCTTCAGAGTTGGCCCCTATGCGGATCCGAGGCGGCAATCCCGTGAGGTCCCTGATATTTTCCATTGTGTTGTGGAAAAAATCATTCTTGGAGGTGGTCCCCGACCAGTCCAACCAGCGATCTTGCTCCAAGGAGTACGAGACGTGATCCCTCAAGATGGGTGCCGCTTTAGAGGGGGCTGTAATGGGGATGCCGATATCCAAGCTCGAGACATGGTGTAGTTGCAGAAGAACGCAACCTAAAAGTTGATACCAGACGGATCGATGGACAGCCATAGTCTGTCAGAGTGGAAGAGGTGCAAAGGGCAGGATCTGTGGGCTGGATGAAGGGGACCTCGAGGATACGGTAAGCTGTTAAAGAATTTCCCCTTGTCAGCCCACTTCTAAATTTGCGAGAAAGGCTTCTTACAGAGGGTGGTTCTGCTCCGAAAAAGAACAGCAGGAAGCAGGACGTGGGTACGAAAGCTTGAGTACTAGTCAATGAGAGTTGGCCAAATCCATCGACTTCGAGAGACGAAGCTGACGGTGCTTCGAGAAGTCCCAGATGACCTGTCCGAGTTGCATGGGCTAGCTGTGCATATATACGGCTCTAATACCCCTACTGGGCGTCTTCGCACGTCACTGTCGCCATATTTCAGATGATGCTAGTCGGCGGGACCTTGCCCATGGAAGAAGGGCCCAGTGGACTGTCGCGTTCTCGAAGATTGCTGGTTGTCAACTGTGGAAAGGAGTTCAACGGTTAAAAACAGGATATGTATGTCCAGAGGGCTTCAAATTGCAATGGAGGTGGTCGCAGTCCAAGCCGGTGGGTGAACATAGTGACGCTGTCCGGGACAAACAAACAAACCACGGCCAAGCGCGTCGACGTCTCGCCATGCACAAGACGCGTTTGATCCCGTTCAATCATCATCCTACCCACCACCATCCCATCTACTGCGTGTCGTTCGACTAGGGCATACAATGCGACTTTCAGCCCTGGTTCCCAGCATATCTGCTGACTCGGTCAAAGTTTTAGAAGGAGCTGGCATCCGGACGGACACAGACCTTCTCTTCACTCCTACATCTGAGATCTACAAACGACTTCCTCGGGGTTCCATAAGCCTCCAAGAGCTTGCTCGCCTCTGTACAGCAGTGACAGAACTCACCTCTGCCAACCCAGTAATTGGAATCGACGCTCTACAACGAGAAGAAGCGCGTCTTGCACGCGATACCAACCTTGAGCTTGCTGTTGGAAATGAAGCAATCGATAACTTTCTGCGCGGTCTGGGGGGACGGAAAGTCATAGAAATATCAGGCAACCGCGCTTCAGGGAAAACAGTGCGCCACTCTGTGCATTCGTACCGCTCAATCTGAATTTGGAGCTCTGTTCTTGCCGCACAATCAACCAGGCCCTTGCCCTGAACCTCGTTCTCAACCATCTTTCGCACCACCCGAACGACAAGGCAGCCTGGATAGACGTTTTGGGCGACTTCTCTCCGGCCAATGCGTCCGCTATCCTCCAAGGCAGCGGGAGTACCGTAAGTTTAAGCATGTTAGTCCTTGTTTTTTATATATTCACCCCAATGTTGTAGAGCCCACAATCGGTGCTAGAGCGTCTCCTCGTATCTTTGGCGTTCGATCTAGAAACGCTTCATGCTATACTCGACGAGCTGTTTGTTCCCGGCGTAATGTTTACACCAAGTTCCACAATTCACTGAACTGACCTGGCTTTCAGTCCACAGGCCAACTCAAGTACCTCGTCATCGATTCAATCACTCCCCTGCTCGGGCCTTTCCTGACTGGGATTACTGCTCACGGACACGCCATGATGACCGACTTCATGAGACGACTACGGTGTATCTCGTCATCTGACGGGGTGACAGTACTTGTAAGCATGTCCTCCACGTTCATTTCCGTGTCTGACCAGAGCATAGGTGGTCAACAGCGCGACCTTGAAACAGGGTGTAGATGGCACCATTCCCTCAGGCCAAATTGAACGAAAACCCGCTCTGGGACCTAGTTTCACGTTCATGACCGATACTACGCTTTGGCTCTCAGAAATGAAAGTGCAGGCCACCGACGAGCCCGTCGATGCATCCATAGAATCCGTCTCGTCGCTCAAGATACTTAACTCTCGAAATACAGTGAGTGCATGTCGAGTCAAACTCCATCATTGGTTACTCCAACATCATCCAGGTTTCAGGTGTCGCTCTTCCCTTTCGCATCTCGGGCGGAACCATTCTTCCAGTGATGCAGTAGGCATGGCGTTCATCAGCGCTCATCTGAAATTGCAGGAAATTGCCTCGATAACATATCGCAAATTTGCTTCCATTTTACTTCCGCTGCTTAACGCGTAGTCTTGGCGTGCTTGGCAGAGGACTTTGTGCTCGTCGACGACAACACGAATTTGGGGCTTCTCCGTGGGCCATATACAAGGTTGCGCCAGCGTTTTAAATAATGACAACACCCTCTGTGAATTGGTCTCGACACTGGCCTGTCCAAGTAACCGAAGGACGCTGCTCTTGCCAAATTAAGCGCGGTTAGCTTTCCGAAACACGCTCACGTGCGGCGCCTATGTCGCCATCCGCCTTCGTTCTTGTGCAAAGTTCGCAAGTTCACTCCAGTGTTCCTGTATATTCCTGATGCACTTCCAGTGCAAATTAAGACGATATCGATGGCACATTTACTCCAGGGCGGAATATAAACTCTAGCAACAGGGAGACGAATTATCACCAGCCACAGCAACTACAATGGCCCCCGTCGCAACTGCCTCCAACTCCCAGCCTGACAAAATCGCAGCCCTCAAGGCAGCGGCTGCAGAGAAGACTTTCAACCCCTTTTACTCCCCTCCCCCCATCGATGACACGAACGATTTCAACTACAAATATGCGGAATTCAAGGTACGGGCGTTTCTTACTTTTCCCGCTGGGATATCTCGTTCTCACTGCCGCTATTCACTTAGCCCGCTTTCCCAGACGTCGCTTGGGAGCCTCTCGGAGAATTCGAAGTCATCGACCGTGGCTTATCTGCCGATCCATCCAAAAAGAACCTTTTCAGCGCTGCCTCGAAGGTCAAGCACCTCACCCCGGCGATTGGCACTGAGATCGAGGGCATCGACTTGAGGCAACTTACTGACGAGCAGAAGGATGAACTGTGAGCTTCAGACTGGACTTTCTATCTCGGAAGCCTCTAACCCCTTTCCCCCTTCCATTCAGTGCCCTTCTCGTCGCAGAGCGAGGTGTAGTCTGTAAGTTGCTTTCCCTCTTATCCCGCAAGATCAAGGCCTAAATCCACTCTTCAGTCTTCCGCGATCAAGAAATCGATATCTACGGGCAACTCGAGCTCGCCAAGCACTGGGGTCCTCTCCATCGGCACGCAACCACTCCCATCACCAAAAACGGGCTTGAACACGTCCATGTTGTGTACAACGACGCTAGTCGCCGACCGGACCCCTCAGCCTTCTCCAAGTTGGAGCTCTGGCATTCCGATGTTACCTACGAACTCCAACCACCCGGCCCAACATCTTTGAAGGTCATTACCAACCCTGAAGTTGGAGGTGACACCATCTGGAGTTCCGGGTGGGTATTTATCGCCACTACCGATGAGTATCCCCTGACTGATTGTATCCTCTCCTTTCACAGATACGCGCTGTACTCTTCGCTCAGCCCTGGTCTACAGAAGTACCTCGAGGGACTCTCAGCAGTGCACAGCGCCGTTGCCCAGGCCGACGGCAATCGTGCTGCAGGTCTCCCTGTGCGTCGAGAACCCATCGAAACCGTCCACCCACTCGTCCGAGTGCACCCAGCAACTGGCTGGAAATCCGTCTTTGTCAACCCTGGTAGGTTTTTATTACCTCCAGAAGGGCACCCAATGTCCTGACACGTATCGTAGGCTTCACCCGTCGCATCATTGGCATCCCCAAGGCCGAGTCCGATGCCATCCTCACCTTCCTCTTCCGCCAAATCAGCGAAAACCCCGACTTCCAAGTTCGATTCCGGTGGGAGACCAACTCCATCGCTATCTGGGACAACCGGGTATGATTGTCTTTTACTCCCCATGACTCTCGCCCCACTGACACTCCAACCTCTCAGGTCGTCACCCACTCCGCCACCTTCGACTTCTGGCCAGCCACCAGACACGCATTGCGAGCTACTCCTCACGGAGAGCGCCCCCTCTCTGTTGAGGCTTACGAGAAGCAGTATGGCAAGGAGGCCAAGGATAGGCAGCTCGAGATCTGGAAGCAGCAGGGCATTGAGAAACCCCAGGCTACTGGGACTCAAAATGGCACAGCACCTGTAAAGGCTCGGTACAACGACTAGAGTAAGATTGAAAGGGAGACTTGAACATGGAGTAGCAAAATCGTGTATTTATAGAGAACGGACAAAATGTACCATGCTGGATCTACAGCTATCCGCGTGCTTGCAATGGCTATCTCCTGCGGGTCCAAGGACTACAGTCCGTGTCGCAGGGACGTCTTTGCCAGGCCGGGCACGAAACCGGCGTCTTTTCTTACCAGTCGGATTCGGCCATCTTGTCGCAGGATTCATTGACATTGGCCAATGGCAATGGCCTGATTGTCAACATTTAGCCTTGAAGTTGATCAGCGTTGGATAGCAACATTCTAGCTGGTGTCAGTCAACAGTAGACACATGCGTTTTTAAGAGTCTCAAAGCGTGCTCGAGAACAAGCATCGAAGGGCAGTGATTTCAATCTGGAACAACCGTGAAAAATGCTGGCCACTGAGCACGGTCACATTCGTTGAGTTACCCACGCGTAATTCACCCCATATAAGCATAAAGTCAGAAGACAGTGAAACGGCGCGCTTATGCCTCATCTCTAGTCTCAACTTAGGGGTCTCCCGCTTAGCGCCAGTGGCAAAAGGAATGACGTCACTGCCAGAGCATCCGATAGCCTCCGATAAGAAATCGATCGAGATCGGGAGATATCTCCGATCGTTCCATGTGTATGTACCACCAGCCGAGACGAGGACCTCGCACAGCCTCAAGTTTGCCCTTGAAAGGATGCCCGATGCCTCTTATTAGGTTCCAACTGGGGTACCTATTTGAGTCACCACGAGATATTGACTTGGTGGGACAGGAGTTACACCCAGTGAAGCTGGGGATACAACTGGCGGAAACATTGGTGAGAAAACCGAAACGGAGAAAAGGTGGTTTTTGTCTGATTTATGCAACATCCCTGTACGATCGATGGTAAAATCGTAGATTTCCCCCGTGCATAATTAAAAAAGCCCTGTGGCTGTCTATTCTCCTCGGGGATGGGGAACATGGAAGGAGAACCTTAGGAAGACGCGCGTCAATTGCAAGCCCAGGCTTCCGGCGCCTATCCCTTGTACATTTGTGCAGCTTGCTGAGATATATACAAGTTCCACTGAAACGGCATTGGAGCAGCAGTCCACTCGGAAGGAATGAGGAACATCTCCTTCCTGCCATCGTTCCTACCTTCTCGATAAAGTCTAATTGGTGCTGATTCTCGTCACAAAATAGGTAAATTTCCACACTTCAAATAAGCAAAGCGGGAGACATATGTGGATAAGAGGCCCCACTTGCCAACAATTTCCAATCTACAGCGTGTTTCGGTTCCTCTTCTGCCCACGACTAGACCTCGCTCATGTCGGCCATTATGGGCGTTTAGCTCTGAGGCCATTCAAAGTGAGTACAGCCTTGTGGGACTGCGGACAGTTGAAATGACACGACATTGAATCATTACGCCGATACGCGCGAGGAAGATGGCAGATCGAGTCGCCCGGAGCTACCAAGACGCGCGAGTCATACTTCGATCGGTATTATACGATGAGGCACTAGCTTGGCAAACGTCGGGCATCACCAATCAATTCGGGCTGGGCGAGGAGAGGCGGCGGGGTGGCCTCCGTGCACTGAGAGAATATCTGAGAATATGAGGGGATATGCGACCCCGTACCGGCATTTCCAGATGGTAAACCCAAGGTAAGTCTGGGGAGGGTCCTGGGGACGTCGTTCTCGTTAGAAAGTCCCGGACACTAGCTGGTGGGATACCGCTGTTGCACTGTTTGGTGGCTCAGTACCATTGCTCAGACATGTTGCGATTGACCTCAGCAACACGTATGGGAGTGCATTGGGAGCTGGAATCTCGGGGTACAAGATGATGGATGTCAATGATGGGGAACACACCGCCGACGCGCGAGTTGCTCCCGTTGCACTCCACTTTCCTGAATCTTCGCAAGTAGCATTGAAGTAAAGCACTAACCGAAACTGCAGAGAGAAGTAAGTCCAATTAGGACGCCGCTTCCCTAAGAAGCTTGGAACATTGTGTGTTCAAGTTGGCACAGCACACCGCCGCTCAAGTCACCAGAGTCAGCAAGAGCAGCGCGTACAATGTCAATTGGGGGGTCTGGTATACCACTGATTCTCTAATTACCTAGTGATTGCAAGCCTCAAGGGGGACTCGAAGACCCTAGGCGAGCCGACCGCATCAGCGTCGCCGCCGTACAGGCTCCTTTCGGAGGCTGTTCCCAGGATCGTAGAATACCGATCGAACGATACCACAAGACGCGCTTCCGAAAGTCCGCCATTACCGAAGATAGGCGCTCATCACAATATCCGCACACCAAGTAACTTCCGGACAGCCGGGAGTTTATGCACTTCTTTCGTACGTCAAATCGTAACGTCCTTCCCCCCTGCCATTACCTGGCCTATGGCCTACGTCGACCACCGTCTCACACACAAACCCACCCCACACTCAAATCCTTCAATTCGCCGTCCACATTTTTAACACATTCAACACGTGTTGTGCGAGGTTTTTCCATGTCCTTCGATGAAAGAAAGCAAATGATGACTATGTGGCAAAAGCATGTCGCATGTATACGTACATTCCACCCTTCCTAGGACAGCCTTCCAACTCTAAAGCGCCCCACCACACGATACGATCACGATACGGACACCCTTCCCATGGTTCCATATCCGCCATTTAACCTTCTAGTCCCCAAGAAGCAGGACTTCCAGACTTTCCCCGGAAACTGCCCAGTTCCCAGCACCCATAAACTACTCTTCACTGGCTATCCAATTCCGATCTGGACTTCTAGCTCATTACAAAAAAACGTACAACACGCAAAACTCGCTTCTATCTCTGCCTTCCTCGTACTAAACCTTGATTTCCGAGCGCCTCTGGTAGCAAAAGGAGGGTCATTTTTTGCATCACGAGGTGGGAAGGTCGCTCGAGAAAGGAATCTATGTACTTATCTTGAGTCTTGACTATGATTTCTCGTTTCAAGTTCAAGGACACGAGTTCCTTTGGCATTGCCTACTGGAGGACGGGGATCACAACGTGCCTGATCTCATGACATGGTGTACCCTGCACATACCCTATTTTGCATCCGAACATACACCCTGCGAGAGGCAACTCTGACTATCGATGGCGTCGGCGGTACATCTCGGTACCACGAAAGACATCCAGAACCAACACAGAGGTACTCTAGCCAATCCCATCTTTTCTTCCTCTCTTCTCGAAGCACACATCTTCGCCCTTCACCAATTCACATACCCTGCCACCAGATCACCCTCCACAAACCTAAAAATCTACCATCCACCAGAACCAACCCGCACCGAAATAGATTTAATGACAACGCTAATCCGCAGAGGCTAGTCATCCGCGAGATTTCGACGACATTTGTCCTCTCGAGTCTCGAACCTCGTACCTGCAATCACAATCCACACCGCACCGAGTCTTCATTGAATGTCCAACAAGCTCGAGACATCATTCAGAGGGTATTTCAACACATTCCATATAGAAACTACATACCCAGCCCTCAACCGCACTTAGAAGGCAATGCTTCACACCATCACCCTGAATAAAAGAAACGTGTAGATGGGGACGGAAACACGTTGGAGCACAGTGAAGGTCACCGTACTCCCGGAACTCGAATTCCCAATTGAAACATGAACATTGCGGAATAGAGTGGACGACTGTATCTGAACAGCATGCTGCGATCAAGTGATAGGCAAAGAGGGCCGACGGAGACGCGCCTCAGAAGACCTGCGTCGGAGATGAGAAAACCAAGAGGAAAGGGGATGCAGGGAAGCCCAAGGCCAGTGAGATAGCCGCATTGCTTTTATACCTATACAAATGTCAGGTCGTACATAGGATATGTGTTGGTAGTTGGGTCATTTTATTTGCGAGAGAAGAAACAAGTGCCGAGAGAAATAAGATGAAAGTTGAACATGAGGCAAGAAACCAGATCGACACGAAGCAACGTCAAAAAGGTGGGAACAGAAAATCCAAACATCGGCTCGTGGACCAAGTGAGTACGAGGTAATTAGCAGTGGTAAGGTAAAGCTGTCCTTAGTAACACCATGGAAGGAGGATGAAATAAATGAAATGTCGAATCAACCGAGATTAATAGTGATGGTACATCGTAAGTAGAACATCGTGAACGAGAAATAAGAGGGGAATCAATGCGCAGGGGAGATGGTACACAATGCTGGAGACGACGGAAATGTAGAGAAGACGAACAAGAGAAAAGGAGAAAATAGAGGCAAGAAAGGGAAAATGGGCAGCATACCTGCCCATCAGCGTCACCGATGACGGGCCAAGAAGCTAGAATGATGTCCGTGAGTGGACGCAGTAGTCGGTGGAGGATGCAACTGTATTGGTTGCTGCATCTGCTGAACGGTGCTCGTAGATCCACTACCACCATTTCTATGATGAAGATATGAAGCATGTTGGACATGATCCGGAGTAGGGGCATAGGCTCTCGTAGGTGGCGGATGAAGTGAAGATGGTCGTGGAGTATTTGTTTGCTGTTGCTGCTGCTGCTGCTGTAATCGATGATTATTGTTGTTATTGGAACTCGTCCGGTGTTGCTGTTGACTTGACGAACTCGAAGTGCTAGTCGGCGGAGGCGGGATCTGCACGCTCGACATCCACGGCGATTGCTGAGGACCCCCGTGGCCCTGATTTCCACTCCCGGAATTTCTCGAATTAACACTCGAAGCAGTCGTCGGAGGTGGGATGTGTTGCTGTTGCTGCTGGTGATGATGATGTCCGTTCATTATCGAGTGATAACTCGTGGCCGTAACCTGCTGGCCTGCTCTTCCTCCTAGATTCACACTTCCAACGGCTGTTGTAGGAGGGGGTATATTCGAATTTTGTGACGGCGGTGGGGGTGGTGCAGAAGTATGAGACTGGTTTTGTTGGTGATTTTCGCTGTTCGACGAGGACGAGGCGGGCTGCGACGGCGCGTCAATATTCATCGGCCCCGGTCCACTGTTATTGTTGTCGCCAGAAGACGATGAAGATTGTGGTGGCAGCGGAGGCGGCGGGGCTGAAATCATCTGCACCAAAAATGCCCCTGTATGATGCGTCTGCACAGGTGCAACTCCTCCTCCAACACCAGGACCAGAAATATCGACGACCATTGAATCCACCGCTCCTTTACCCAACTTGCTCCTCGGCTTCCCATCAATCCCAATCCCATTCATAACGGGAGTCGAATGCACTGATGCGCTTGTTCCATTAGTATAATTAGTCGTCTGGTTGTTGTTGTTCGCATTTCCTGAGCTCGAAGAGCCAGGCTGGTTGTCGTTCGAACTCGTGTTAGCGCTGGCAGAGGCATTCGCCGCATTCTCGGCAGCTCGTGCGCTTGCTCGCAGCGTATCCATATCGATGTCGGCACCACTCTCCCCATTCTTGTTCTTCCTCCGCATCATCTTGGCATAATCTTCCGAAATAAAAGAGTCAGTTATTCCCTTCTTAGGAAAGAATAAGAATAGAGACACTTACGAAGGCCACAAGCATTGCATAGCGTCCTCGCTCCATCAGGACCTCTTCTCCACTCGGGAGTCTCCCGAATATTACACGAGTGACACTTGCCAGGAGGGGTAGCGCGCTAGTCGTAGTATGTTATCGGCGTTTAGAAAAAAAGACGATACCGTAATTCCGCGTTGCGTCCACAAAAGACCCAAAGCCACGGAATGGAAGCGAAAAGAGCGCAAACGGAAAATCAGCTTTGACGTCCACAACAACGAATCACCAAGTGTTAACGAAACAAGACTCACGCTCCTCTTCCGATATTTACTCTTCGTCCCAGCACCTCCCGCACCGCCAGCTCCAGAAGCAGCCGAGGCAGCTGCAGCCGCAGTGCTGGTCGCCCTCTTGGTCCTAATCATCTCCATGTCTTGTTCAGCCGTCGTTGTGCCTGTAGGCGCGGGCGTAGGCGGCTGCAAAACTCCACCTGCAGCACCGTTGATCGCACCGCCCCCATTGACGTTGTTAGCACCTTTATCATTCGAAGTCGAAGTTCCTCCATAGTCATCAACGGAGCCTTCGCCAGGCCCGTTATCCTGCGACATATCTTCCCAAGGGCGTTTGGGTGGCCGAACATCATCCGGAGAAGTCTGACCTCCAGTCTGCCCTGGTCCCTGAGTGCTGAGTTGATTTAGAGTGTGGTGTGGGGATAACTGGGCATGAGGGGGAGGTGGTATCATTGAAGGAATCGGTGTTGGTATCTGGCCCGGAGTAGGACCACCCAGACCGTTCAGCCTCTTGAAGTCTTCTAGCAACTTTACCACTGTCCTCGCTCTCTGTGACATCTCTGAGAGTTCGCTAGGATTAGGTTCGGCATGCTGTGTGTGGGGCACCGTTTGCTGCAGATGCGCTACAATGATCGCCTTTAGTTCAGTTGACACAAACTAAATAAGTGGATAAACGCGCACCGTATCGATTCGCAAACGCATATAAAGCCGTACATTGTTTATAGATCTTTTACAAAAAATGAGTAAAACGTCATTTCGCTGAGAAAATTCCAAATACTGACCTCTGAGAGAGTCGCGCCGCGTTCCGGTTCTGCAAGATTCACGGTCGCGCTTGCAGGTGTCGGCGGAGGATGATACAAATGCGCATGTTGCGTTGCACTCGGCGGAGGAGGGATATTTGATGGAGGAGGCGGGGGTATACTCTGTTGGGCCGCAGGGTGCGGAGTATGTGATGGATGTGAATGAGAAGACGAGGAAGGATGATGATGGCTCGATGAAGGTAAAGGTGGAGGGGGCGGGAGAGAGGACGAAGCAGGCGGCGGCGGTGGAGGTGGATGGGAAGCTGGTGGAGGATGGGAGGTCGGTGGGGGTAATGATTGGTGCAGAGGCTGATGGTGATGAGGGGGATGCCTATTCGCGTCAACGCTTGTCGGGATCAAAGGCGTCGTGCGACTAGCAAAGGTCGGCGGGGGCGGCTGGGCCTGGCCCTGGCCCTGGTGTTGGTGGTTGTGGTGTTGTTGCTGGTGGTGATGGTGTTGCTGATGATGGACAGGTGGTTGGTGAAGCGGGTGATGAGTCGGGTGTGGGTGATGCTGGGGCGGCGGGGGCGGGTGTTGGGGAGGCTGTCCTTGATGCGGATGATGATGGTTCATATGCTGCTGATGCTGGTGAAGCGCGCTACTCCCAGGCTGTGGTGGAGGTGGTGGCCCTGGAGGAGGCAAATTTTGTGAAGGCCCTCCCATTTGTTGGCCTTGTTGCCCATGCTGCTGAGGATTCCAGTGTCCCTGTGGTGGAGGAGGTGCAGAAGGAGGCCCAGGAGAAGGATACGGGTTCGACGCAGCATTGTTTGCAGACGGCCTCAGTGGTTGCAAATACTGCTGGTACGCGGCTGCATAACTCGATACGGGGACAGGCTGGTGAGCTACCTGCGGGGCAGAGCTCGGCGGCGGTGGAGGCGGAGGCTGCTGTTGCTGTTGCGGCTGCGGTTGTTGCTGCTGGTGTTGTTGGACTGTCTGTTGCTGCTGGTGTTGCTGGTGCTGTTGGTGATGTTGTTGTTGCTGCTGTTGCTGCTGGTTTTGTTGAGGATAGGAAGCGTACTGTGGTGGATAGTTCTGCTTCCAATTAAAACAAAGTATTCTGTTGAGATACGTCAATCATACCCTAGCTATTCTTGGTCTTTTCGTTTGAGCAGGTGAACGAGGCGTTTCGTTTTGTTGAATCTGGGCCGACAAAGGTATCCCTGGGTGCACATAGCCTGCATTGTCGCGTTTTGGTGGGAGAGCATCCTGCGGTGGCGTGTGCTGTTGGTGCTGGTGACTATGCGTCCGTGTCGCTGGAGCTCCCCAGGACTGTTGTTGCTGTTGCTGCTGCTGCTGCTGTTGGTGCGGGTGTTGGTGCCCTACGACTCCTGGCTGTGCCTGAAGTTGTTGCTGGGCTAGCTGCTGGGCCTGTAGCTGCCGTTGCTGCTGTTCCTGCGGGTATGCAAAGTTGAGCTCGCGGATTGACGGTAGTCGTGGAGGGTCATTTGTTGAATATCTCTGAGCCGTTGGATAATGCGTCGAAGCCATGCTCGTCACAGAAACGAAATCGTTTTGAGATCTATCGGTGAGCGACCCACCGAGATCGGAGTTTAAAATGCATTTGGCCTTGAGTTCGGCGAATCGGCGATTTCGTCTGAGATTCCACACGTGTTCAACGAACCACTCTTCTGGGTCAGAAATCCAGATCCAATTAGCCTCTATTTACTCCAATTGGGAGCCAAGGCGATAACAGTGAACGATCCACTCAGATAGTAAGGAAAACATTAGCGTCTAATTAGCCCTGCCTCCTCCTCACTTTCCTCCTCACTTTCCTCCTCTTCGCTTTCCTCTTCATCCTCGCTTTCCTCTGCTTCTTCACCCTCTTCATCCTCTTCACCCGGTTCTTCGCTCTCCTCCCCTTCGTCCTCCTCCTCTTCGTCCTCCTCCTCTTCGTCCTCCTCACTGCTACTACTCTCAGCATAAAATGCATCCAAATCCTTCCACTTCTTCTTTTCTTCACTCTGTCCGAACCCAGGGGTCCCAGGCGCTGAACCCGAGGCAACAGACACACTTGCAGATCCAGACGGCGAAGGATTCGTGCCGGAGAAATTCGTCGGTACGAGGACAACCTTTCCTTGTCCTCCATGCCCACCTGCTCTCGCACCCATCCCACCACTCCCAATCCCTCCGGAACCCAGAGCAGTGACTTCAGGTCTTCCAGAAACATACTGATCGTCTTCCGAATCCCTCAAACTACTCTCCACACCCTTCTCCATCCACTCCGGCACGTCTTCGTCGACAAAATACCTTGTACCAGTCCCAGAACCATACTCTTCCTCCTTCTCTTCTTCCTCCTCCAGCTCGAACGACCGAGAGTAGCCAGGACCAGGAGAGAACATCCTCACACTACCCACCAATCCCTCCTCTTTACCCCATTTCTCATCCACCGAGACATCCTTCCCTTCAAACAACACGACCTTCACTTGTTCTCTCCTCAACACCACGCCACCCTCCCGTTCCCTCCGTTCCCAAGCATCCCCATCTTCATCCTCATCATCCGGAGCGTAATAGTCACTTCCCAGGAGCGTCTTGACAACACCCCTCACCAATCCCCATACTATCCTCGTTCGATCCCTGACATCATAGTTCAAATCATACCTCGCCAACCCATGTATGACATACTTGACCAACAGCCCCAACTTTCTCTGCTTCTCCTTCTGCTGCTGCATCTCTGGCGTTAACGTTTCCTGGCCGTCAACCAACACTGGTGAGACAGGTTTCGGCAGGACAGCCAACTTGCCCGCTAGAGTTACAAGCTGCAGCTTGACAATCGGTTCCTCCGACGCGAACGACTTGGCTCCCTTCCTCAACACATCCGGTGCCCAATCAACAATCCCATCGATCCCATTCGTGCCTCCTTCTCCTGCAGCAGCATACTGTCCGACCAACCACACGATACAAGCCCGAGCTTCTGCGTGCTTGATATCGTCAAACTTCCTCGCCAGATGATTGACAATCGAAAGTGCTCCCATCTGCCCGCCTGCACTCCAACCATGTCCCGTCCTAAGTTGATCCACGAGTTGGATATGAACGAGCTCCTTGAGGACCTGAACCGCATTGTTGACAACCACGTCTACACGTAGGACACAATGTAAGGTATCTCAGAAGGCAAAGAAATAGAAATCCACATACCATACGGACTCGCAATCATCCCTACAAGTTTCTCCAAGCACGTCTTTGCTACCTCTCCTCCATCCAGTCTCCCCACAACCCTGGCAAGAACCCCAATACCCTTGATCGCATCTCCCACAACCTCGTCATTCGTATCATCCGCATACGACTCGAGCTCGCGCAGTATCACGGGCCAGAGATCGTGAATGTGATCATTACTTGTCGTCTCTGATGTTGACATTGATGGGGTAACGAGATTGAGTAGCACACGGATCTTGTCTTTCTTGAGTGGTAAAGAATCACTAGACATGCGGATGAAGAATCGAGCATGGAACGGGGCGAAAAGTGGCTAGCCAGAAACATTCGTTAGCGCCGACCATATACCAACAATTAAGATCCTACTCACAGCAACAGCCCCGTCACTCGTAAGACCTCTCACATAGCGCACAGTCGTCCTCTCCATCCCACCTCCAACACCATTCACAAACCTCAACAGGGGGTTCACAAATTTAACCCACTTCCTCCTCGGGGCAAGATAGTAGAACACCCTCGTGGCAGCAACCACCACCGCGGGGTTCCTCGACTGGAACGTAGGCTCCACCGAATCGAAAAGCAATTGAAGGTCCTTGTCAATCTCTTCTTCATCTTCTTCATTCCCTTTGGTACCCTTCCCTTCTGGTGTTTGCTCCCTTGAACCCGTCTTTCTCGATACCCGAGGCTTTGCCAACATCGCCCTCGCATAGCGCACCAACAACCGCATCACTTCCACTTGGCCCCACTCATCCACATCTATCAACACCTTGCACAGTTTTCTGTAGTGTTTATGGATCAAACTGAGGCGCTCGATGTCGGGTCCTGGACATAGCGTATTAAACGCGTATACAGTTGCACCGATACAGAGCGGGGAGAAGGCAGAAGGCGAAAGGAGGGTCTGCGTCAAGATCGGGAGAAGGGTAGGCAGATGACTTGGATCCAACCTATGTTTCTAGATCAGCTTTCTGCACCATGCGCAGCATAATACCACTCACTGGAAACATTTAACAACCCCGAGCGCTGCTACCTTCCTCACATACGCGCTCCTGTCTGCAGCACACTTTCCAATCCCAAGCACCACCACCCCTCCCACCATTGGGACTCTCATCCCGCTCAGCACCCTCAACGCCATCGCCCTAATCACCGGGTTCGGATCTGAGCTCAAGTCCTTCTGGAACGTATTAATCGACAACAGGGCAAGATCAGGGTCGTAAGGCGAGTGGTGGAGCAGGTAGATGTACGTCAGCTTGCGTATTTCGAGCGAGGGAGAGGCGACGAGCTTGACGACTTGCGGGAAAAAGGTGAGGGTCAGGGACGATGGTGGATGGGATTTGCTCGTGAGCTGCGTGTATTGGACTGACATTAGACTAGTCCCTAAGGCGAGGCTGAAAGGTACTCACAGCCAACAACCGTCTCAACGCATCCAATTTCTCCCTCTCACTCCCGCTCTCCAACTGTCGTTTGATACTCGCCGTCAACTTGGCCCTCTCCTCCGCCGTACCCACTCCCATCCCCACATTGTCCAAATAACTCGCACTCGAACTCCCCCCAACGACACCTCGCACAGCAGCAAGCTCCCGCGCCTGCTCAGAAAGCGATTCCTGTATCCGTGTACCGAGTCGCGTGGCGTTGGTGGTTAAAGTTTGCAGATACTGATTCGTGGACATCCCGTCTGAGTATGACTGATACAGTCTGTGCCTTCACTGTCGTCGTTCTGGAAACCTGTCGTCGTCGGTGGTCGTAGCAACGCAAAACACCTGGGTACTATTGACTCGCCCGCAGCCGTCGAGTTTGTACCACGAGTTTGAGATACAAAGATCGATTTCGATAGTACACGTCAAGACGTCGTCCGAGAACTGGGGAATCACACAACTGTATCGTGTCGTCGTCCCTCGTCCCAGATCCCCTATGCCTGTTCGTTCCTCTCCGGGGCTGTTCCCTCTTGCCTGATGCAATCGACCGTTGCCGACTCCAACACAAGAAGTTGTGAAAATTGAGCAGACCGAAGGTCGTCGCAGTCGTCGTAGTCGTAAAGCTGCAGCGCAGTCAATAATCTAAGATGGTGTTGGCACCAGAAGAAGATCCTGTCCCACCTCCGCGCGCTTCGTGCAGCGATGACGGATTCCCAAACCCACCGTGGAATTTGTCCGATGCAGCACAAGTGATGGATTCGAACGAAATGGAGGAGGCAGAAGAAAGAACGATCGCTGCAACAAGATCTAACCACGACTCGGAGATTGGCCCCGATGATCTCAGGTCCCGCTACCGTCTCTGGAAGCTGCAACTCAAAATCCGAGATATGATCATCGCCAAGACTCTGAATGGGACTGGAACGGAATGGACCTACGAACACCAACACAAAAGTATCCGAAATTTCGCTTATTCTCAAGACGTCGTAACTATTAAGTAGCACCTGCTAAATGGAAACATATTGGAATCCGTGTGGTGTAAACGAATCTTCGGCGGTTATCGAGACAAACAGGGGATGTGATAGTAGTGGATCAGGGAGCTCGGGAGAAACGCCTTAGGACAGTTCACAACAGTATATCTGAGTACGACTCGTCTCATCCCTCCTCTCTCTCTGCTTCTTTCCTTCCTCTTTACCACCACCCAGTAGACAACACATACAACATGCATTCCACCGAGTCATCGCAGGACATCTCCCACCAAGTCCACCACCGCGAGACAACCCCAGTTAACCCTCAAAACCCAACTTTCGATTCTCCTCCGATGACGACTCCCCCAAAGATGGAGGGTCTCCTCTCCCAAAGTCGACCTGAATCCCCTCGTATCAAATCTTTGAAGGAGGTGACGACAAACATGCCCAAGATGACACAGGCTACCTCGACGGGTGCAGTCTCCCAACGAGGATCTATCGTCATATCCTCCAACGATCCTCCCACTGCCGACAGTCCAGATTTAGCACGGTCCAAGTCCCATCACAAATCGCGCTTCCACGTACATGTACCCCATGTACATATGCCCCACTTCTTCAAGCACCACAGTCACAAATCCGACACCAACAAATCCGAATACTGGCCCAGAACGCTGAGCGTGGCTGTTGGCGCACCCAAAGCTCAGCCCACTGGCATCTCCCCTTCAGTTTCAAGCAAGCTCCGGCAAGGTGAACCTTCTAATACTGACCCGCTCTCCATGTTCTTAACCCCTTCACTACAGAAATCAAAGCACCTGACCACGATACCTTGCAACCACCCATTGTCGCCGAAGCCTCTTCCTCCTACTTTCCACCCGCAGCCTCAAGCACCGGTGTGGCCACAACGTCATCTACCTCGTCCATCCACAGCTCCCCTGTTTCAATTCCCATCCCAAAACCGGTTCCTGACCTCGACGGGGTGGGCGAAATTCTGCCTCGTGACACTAGCCTCGTTCCTTCCGCTAAAGAGAGCATCCGGACGGCCGCGTCTTCCGGATCCTCCAATGCCTCGACCGTCGACACCGATGGGACAGGAATTGGATCCACCTCCACGTCTGTAACTTCATATGATTCCGCCTCTTCTTCGCCCATGAACCAAAAACCTCATCATGACCACGCGGGTCCACCCAGCACATTCCAAGCTGCAATGGGACGCGGCCTAAACGCAAACGAGGTCGTACCTTCCTCCTCCCTGAACCCTCTCCCCAGTGACACCACCGACCCACTCGTCGAAGTCTCCCTCCCCGAAGCTTCCTCCCTTCCTGACATCAATGAAACAGAGGTTGCTCTACCTGAGCCCCAAAGCTTCTTCCCAGGCTCAGCCTCCAAAGAGATCCCTCCAGGCGAGGACCCCCTCAAGAAATGGAGTTTCAGCTTCATCTCGAGCAACAAATCCAAGCTCGATCTGAAGACAAAGCGAAGCCCAAAGTCAGGCACTGCTAACACCTCCCATACTTCCACCCCCAGTCCTCGGTCACTTATAATTCCGTTGACTGCCGTCGCCAAGACGGCTAAGTCTACCGACGAAAAATCCAGTCCAACTCTCGAGACCACTCCAACCGCGAAGCTCAAGGGACATGACGCCACGAAACCTTCTAGTATGCGAGGCCGCGTGCGGGACATGAATGTCCACGGACCAACTCTCTGGTATCGAATGAGTCAACCACACACCGACCAGGACGTTGCCGAATTCCTCCTCGGTGTCGACCTGAAGGAAGAAAATGCGCGCAGAAAGCAGGAAAACGCGGAAAAACATAAATCATGGGCCCAGAAGAACCGGATTGAGAAGGAGGAAGGTGAATCGCAATTATTTTGGCTAGAGGCGCGCATATTGACACATCGACTGAATAGCGAAAAACGCAAAGTTGATGGAGAGAATCCGGAAGAGAGAGGAGAAGGAAGCGAGAGAAGAGATGCTTCGTATTCAAGATGAAGCACGCGTTGGCTCTTCGGCGGCTTCCTCGAGGGACACTAACCCTGAAAACCCCGAATTAGAAAGAGTCGAGACGGTCACCCAAAAGTTCGTCGTCGTAGAGGAGGAGCAGGGTGTGAAGATCACGAGAGAGGACAAGGTCGAAGTCACCTCAGGGCCTGTCTCCACCACCATCATCCATGAAGGCGGAACGGAAAGAGAGTCCAAGTTGGTCATCGTGGAGGAGCTCCAAGGTGTGTCAGACGAGGTTCGGGACGACGAACGGAAGGTCACCGTTACCGACCTCACCGACCATATGAAGCTGGTTGGGGTTTTCCCCGTTTCTGCTTCCAAGGCCTCCCCCGACGCTCCGCCTCTCCCAACCGCCAACGCCAACCTTCCACCCGAGACCAGGGCCCTCGTAACAGCCCTTAAGTCTGAGCTCTTCGGCCTCCAACGCGCCCACAAGTCCCAGGTCCTCTCTCACGCACACGCTCTCACCGCACACAAGAAGGTCGAATCTGAGCACTCCAAGCTGCAGACCACGTTCAACCAAAAACAGGCCGTGTGCGCGGATCTTCAGAGGCAATTAAATGAGCTCGAGGGTGAGTTGAAGGCGGCGCAAGAGAATTTGCTCGGAAAGCAAAAGACTACGCAAGAGACTTGGGGCCTGATGGAAGAGAAGAAGGTAGAACTGGAGAAGGTTGTGAGCGAGTCAGGCCTGAGGGATGTTTCTGAGCCCGTTGGTTTGGGACTGGTCGATGAAGTTGAGAAAGACTTGGCTTAGATAGATAGCCTTCTAGAAACCCTGCATTAAGTTGGGAAGCCGGGGAATTGTCGTCGTCGCGAAATATAAGATATTGCATTAAGTCAGGTCGAGGAGGCATTGTGCGGGCAGTTGTATAGGGTCGAAGCTGGTGATACCAGGAATGTGTATCACGCAACAGTGCTGACGCTTGAATCTTTACCGGTCCTGATCGAGTCGAAGCTGTGATGTAAATCGTATAAGTCAAAGGCGAAATTGAAAACTCGCGTCGACAAATCGTGTGCGAAGGCTTCCGAGTCTAACACATACAAACAGGTGTAGTTGACCTCACGTCCCCCCAACGGAGAACCTCTTTTAAGCCTCGGATTGCGAATTACCTTTAAATTATAATACATTGCCTGTTCCAACGCATCTCCTCTGCAGTCCTTCCTCTGGGTGTGTCCAGGCTCCTTGCGAGCCTGCTTACGCGTCGATAATTCGAAACATTGGCGTGTTTGATGGCAATAATAATCAGGGGCAGAAGTTCCCTAACCTAGACTTATCCCCGAACGCCATCATTGACCCAGCACGATTTTCGGTTGACCAAGTGTTGCTCCTGACCCCGAAGAGCATTCCCTCCAGCCCACTTCGCACCCCGACCTAACCAAAATGGGGAAATCAGAAGCTATGGAACGTCTCGAATGCCTTCATGAAGATTTCAAGAGCCTCCAGGAAGAGCTTCCAGACCGCATGGAGGATGTAGAGACTCAATCCCAGGAAGGCGAAGTCAAGGATGAATACATCGAGATCCTGTCCGAATTTACTGCTATCATTGAAGTCGCAGAAGAGGAGAAAGCTGAAGACCTCGAAGCCATCATACAAAAGGCGGACGATATCTTCAGCGAGGCGATTGCATTCGCCGACGCGAATGATAACGACCATTCCGCAATCCAGCTGTTCTACGCGATGCATTCCTTCGCTCATAACGACGAAACCCGACCATTGCTCTGTCACGAGCGTAAAGAAAATACAGTCTGTACGTCCAAAACCAAAGTCTGCAATTGCCGTGACCAACAGGAATCTCCCATTCAGCCCATTACTTCAGCAACTCGGTCATGAAGGATTTCTTCTCGTTCTTCCGTGAGTGCAGCAGTATAAACTGAATCGTCCTCACTCAGAGAGGGGCCAAATTTTTAGAAATAGATCCCGAGCGCATTGCTGAAGCAAAGAAAAAGTTCAGACTTCCGCCGTCGTGGAAAACCACGCTTCGGCCTCATCCGCGCTCAAACCCTTGTGCCAGGTTTACCGACAAAGTGGTGGAAACATCACTCCCTGGTAACGTTCCGCGCGCCAACTTTGTCTTCCAGGCTCGGTGCGAAGTACAGCCTACCGACATAAACCAACCCTCCGGAGTCTGCATCTCAAATGACGGAAAGGGTTTTGTAACCTCGACTTTTGGAGGATGGAAGCGAAGAGACCCGTATATCAGGTATCACTCCTTCGTTGGCGGACGCGGAACGTTCTCCGTTGGGCTAGGAAACCTCACGGAAACATGCTTCGATCACGACAAGTTCCTCATCGCTGCTGGGGATTGGGACAGAATCAAAACCTACATTCGCCGTGGAGAAGAAGACAAGGCCAAGATGCGTCCTCTTCACACCATGGCCTCCAAAGACTACACGGGTGCCATGTCCTTCCTCCCCAACAACCGACTGGCAAGGTGCGGAAAGGGCCAACTGGCAATCTGGAATCTCGACGACCTGCCGACGCATGGCCCCTCTGGCAAGGATATCATTGGTTCAGGAATCGACGAGGACGACCTGAACACATGGAGAATGACTGAAGACGTCGAGCGTTCTTCGGGGTCTCAACACCACACAACGCAACCCCTCGCCTGGACAGACCACATCATCAAGAAATGGCATCCTCACCCTTCACAGACTAATGTGATGCTTTGCGCCAGTGACCCCAAAGACTCAAAGCAGTATCGCTGCCATGCGATCGACATCGAGAACGAGGGAAAGATCGTTGCTCGCTATCTCGGTATTGGAGGGGCGGTAGATTCGTTTGCGACCAGCAGGGGCGATCCCAACGTCTTTGCAGTCTCTTCAGACGATGGGTACACCAGACTTTATGATACTCGGCGACCATTGCCCGTAGTGACTATCAAGGCACCTGAAGTAGATTCAATGCGCACCGCCGCGCTATGTCACCCTGACGGACACCCTTGTAAGTTCTTCATCCAATTTTAATCACAGCACCGCGCACTGCGGCTGACGGACGACTCGTGTAGTCCTTTTCATCGGCAGTGATAAAGAGGAATGCATCAGGCTCTGGGATCTTCGCGCGAGGATCCCGGTTTACGAATTAGCCACTGGCAATAACTCCGTGGTGGCAATGACCTGGAACGACGAAGCGAACGAACTCTACGCTATCACCGAATGGGTATACAGTGATCGACACGAAGGTCCTGACGGATACCGAGTTGGAAAGGTACCCCCTCCCCAGTCGAACACGGAGGGCGATAACGAAGATGATGATATGGAGGATGAAGAAGAGGACGAAGAGGAAGATCCAGATCCTTACAATAAATGGGTAAAAGACGAATGGGAAAGGATGTGGCCAGCGAGGGCATTCCACGCCGAGAATTATTTTGGCCACACCTTCGACATGGGATGCCATGCAGTCCGTCAGTTATTTCAACTTCCTATCATTCGCATCCTAGTATTCTCACGTATGCCTTCAGTTCGCTACCGATTCACTGAGAATCCTGATCCTCAAGCTCTTCCTGCCTGGTGAAGAACCCAACAAATTTAGGCCAAGCCGAGGCCGGTACGTTGAATCATGGTACACGAGTAGAAAAGCAATAAGAGAAAATTACATAGTCCTTGAATATAGCGATACTAATAGTCCCCGAAGCTGTGAAAATACATATGTCAGCCAACAAAGACCGACCTCCAAACAGATATCCGACACTCACCGATCAGGGAGGAGAACGGGAGCCATAAGACTCCAGATATAGAGGAGCATACAGACCCAGCTCGAGACGATCCTCATCCACATGGCCGATTCGGAGCGCCCGATATACACGCTGTTATCTGACTTGGATACAACATTCCTGAAAGGAAATCATTTGATGAGTACAGGCTTAGAGGAAGGAAGATGACAGAAGACACGCACCAATCAGTCAACAGCATCGCGACATACATCGATGCGATGCAGAATATGATATGGAACCACGAATACTAAGCTAGCGCGTCAGTTGATGCTCAATGAGGGGGTGGGGGTGGTGTCGCACGTTATAACGAGTTCCAGTCTTCTCATCATCTCGCTCTTCGCCAACAACATCTTCTTCGTCATCGTCGTCAAATTCGTTCAATGCAGAAGCGGGGATGGCACTAAAATGAATCGTTCAAAACATGTTAGGACTGTCAAATCAAGGAACAGATGTTCACTCACCCAGCTTCTACTGCAGCCAAAAGCGCTTGGTATCGAGGGGAATCTGTCCGTCCAGGCTGTGTGGTAACATAGTTCATCTCAGAATGTCCCTCGTCATCGCTGGCCAACTGAATCTTCCCGTCCTTCTTGCCCTTGCCGACAAGCGCGCGACTCTGGGTGGCAGCCCGGGTTGTGGAATAAGCGATGGCAAGGAAGGTGAAGATACCTCCGAGAATCAACACCGCATTCCGCGTTCCCTTGCCGTCTCTGAGGGGATTACACTTCGCAGTCTCGTGGGTGTGGTTCGTGACAGCCGAAACGACGAGGTATGTGCAGTACGCAGCAACCATCGATGATTGAGCAAGGCCAGAACGGGGATTGTATTCTTGGACGGTGGGATGGACACACATGATGGTGATGATGATGCACAGGGCGAGGTTGAAGGAGATGAAGAAGCGATTGAGGGTGCATCCAGAACCCGCGAAGAATCCGTACAGTAGGCCGGTCAATGTGATGGTGAAGGCATACATGGCAGCTGTTGACCCAATCAAAATCCACTGCCAGAGGTTGGACGAGGAGTATTCCCAGTTCTCTAAGCATGTTTCCGACCATGAGTGGGCGAAATCAACGAGTAGGACCAAGCCGAGGAGGATGAATATTGTGGCGCCAATCAGGGAGACGTAGTTGCCCCAGAACATGAAGAATCCGTTGGGAATGAAGAACGAGACGACGATGAGGATGATCCATAGGAGGACTTTGGGACCCCACCAACTGCGGGAGACTTTAGGGCCTGTCATACAGTTGAGCTTAATGACACGCACCCGTTCTGTATTTCCGAGCGCTTCTCCTTTGTGCTCTTGATCCCTACCAACAAGGCGCTGAGAATAAGATGGAAGAGACTGAGTGCGAAGCAGATGCGATGGACCTGACAGAAGTGATGGATGTGTGGGAGATTTATATACCCAAAGGAGGACCACATACTGCAAGGACCCCGAAGCATTTCCCCTCTTCCTCACAATCCATCTTGATGTAGTCCATACTCCACTTCTTGATGAGTTTGACAACTGCGTCTGTCTTCATTATCCAAGCTAGGATAGAATTTAAGGAGAATATAATCTATGAACGTTCTGTGTGAGCTCTGCGACCATGCTGCCCATTGTCATGGCACATACAGCAAATCCAACTCGAGTCGCGATCGAAGAGTTACAGTTGCAGGACTTGAAGAACATGGAAGCTGAGTGAATCGACGTTTAGGTCATTCCGACCACGAGAGAGACTTCAGTTTACTTACCTGCAGTAGACGTGCAACAAAATGCAACTCCCGCCAGACAAGAGCTTGCTATGGTCGTCAGACCGCCCGCAATGGGCAGGGACATTAACAGCCCCATTGCTTCCGTTTAAAGCTGGCACTATTCAGGCGCTTGTCTCTCTCAGAGCATGAGGGGATATACACACCTATTAGTGTCTGTAAGATAAATGCAATGCGATACTGTGGTAGTTGCGTAGATAATAGGAGTCTGCAAAGGTGGTTGTGGTTGGAGGACAACGACGACACCGACGGCGCAGTAGCTTGATGTAACCCTAACCCCTTTCCCATTCCTTTCAGTCCGCCATTTGACGCCGAGGCAACGCCGAGGACCAGCTTTGTCAGTGACGTCTACCTTCGCAAGGCAACGACATTCCCGCAAATCTTCTCTTCTGTGACTTTCTACGCAGTCAACACTTCTATATCCAGAGAATGGTCACCTGGACTCCCTTTTTGATGGTGATTCTAGCCTGACCAGATTTTAATCGCCTTCGACGACATTCACAGGCCACAGCATTCAGCAAAAGCACCTCCCGTTATCACTTCAACTGGCGCTCATAACTAGAGGGCCTTGGCGACCTACATCTAGCCGTGGCGATTGCCCAGTGTACCCTTCTGTCCAGTCTGTTGCGGGTGTTATTATTGTATAATCTGTTGCCACCGTGATGATCATGGCATGTAGATGGAATCGAACATGGAAGCCTAGGGAATCATCCTCCCTGCTCGTGGGCCTACCCTGCCAACCTCGCCCGTACTATGTGCAGATAAAAATGCCGGCCGTTCGATCGAACGACGCCCACCACTACCCCAGGTGGCATTCCGCCAAACTCTGAAGGCAGGACTCGAAGTGTTTTCTCTCCTTGTTCTTGATTCTCATTGACCTCGGATTCGTCGGGATGGAGCAGGGCTCCATTCCACCGGAAATTGACTATCGAGCCCTGTATGTCTCACCGCCATGATGACAATGCAAAGATGGCTAACTTCGAATAACCCCCGCAGATTCGTGAAGCGTTGTGTTTTGATGGCGTCAGCCGGTTTGCTCTACTACGATTATTGCTTGACATTCGCTCGAGAAGTCAATTGGATTTTGCCTTCTGTGCGGCGTCGGTGGACAGTCATACACTTCATCTTCTACCTCAATCGCTACATTCCCTTGGTAGGACAAATTCCTATCCTAGCGCGCTATTACCTCCCGGCTGCAAATCCTCCTTCTACTGTGAGTGACCATTTTGGGACCAATGCCAGTGTAATACTGTAAGCTGATAGTAGAGCAGATGTACGTTCCCTCTGCGCCTTTTCATCGCTTTTGTTCTGTCCAACTGAGTCCATTGCAGCTGCGGTCAACTGCAGCATGCGAAAAACGTGGTCTCGTTTTCGATCCATGTGATGGCTGCAGGTCAGTCGACTTCCCATTTGCAGCCAGCGCAGCTTACAAGGGCCGTTTTAGTCTTCTCTGTTTTGCGCGTCTACGGTCTTTACGACCGCAATCGGCGAGTTCTCTTTGGCCTGTCTGCAGTGCTGATACTAGCCATGGCAGCGGCATTGGTAATTTTTGTCCCTTATTCACGATCTTTGTTGCAGCTTCGAACCTCGATTCACAGGCTTTGCTTTTTGTCAATTACGAGGACGCGGTTGACCCAGACGCATTGGTCGATAATTGCCTTCGAAACGTCAGTAAAGCTTGGTATGTGCCTTTCCCCCTCAACCGAGTGGCGTCATCGTCTACAACATTCGACAGGGGTGTCCGTCAGTATATCCTTGGTCCTTTTCACTAATGATAGTAGACTCAAGTGAACTATGCTTTCCAGGCCTAGCACTCATGTATACATTTCTTCTCGGATTCGACGTCCTCGTCTTCTCCATGACCCTCCGCAGGTCCCTGCAGCACGCACAGTGGGGGTCGACACCACTCATCAGAGTTGTCATCCGAGACGGTAGGTATCTTCGTCCTCCTGTTGCCTCTCTCGCTGACCTCTCCAAAGGGACGATGTCTTTCGGGTAAGAAATTTACCATGGCTTTCCCCCTTCACATTCCAACGCAATTTTCCATCGGACTATGTCAGTGTGATTTCGGTAATTTGTCTAGCGGTCATCCTCTCTTTCGCAGTATGTGTTGATTCTCTACTTCATTCACGGAATAACTGACCAGCTCTAGATTTCATCGGTAAGCCCGCCTTCCCCAGGCTGGATCGGACTCGGTCGGGCTGACCTGTTTAGCCTGTTAGCCGTGGGCGCGAAATCGTCCTTGCAAGCAAGTGGGTACTATTTTTCTACATCCTAACTTGACGCACTAACTCTGCCTTTTATCCTTATCATACCAGCTTGTCATCTATCTTGGTCAACCGCATGATCCTAAACCTTCGTGATCCATCCCTTCTTTCCACTCGCGAAGTCCAAAGTTCTGGGATCTGGGCCCAGCGCGACGGCATACCGACATACCGTACCGGCGGAGACATCATCACCACCATGCACACTGACCACTCAGACGAAGAGGAGGACATGGCCATTTCATCACAGGGTTGCTACACTCCCGAAAGTCAGTATGAACACCGTGCCATATGTGCCAAGTTACACCAAGGCGACATGAGAGGAAGCGTTTAGTCGCGAGATTTATGGGCTGAAAGGAGAGAGGTCCTGTTCGACGTGTGTTGTAAATTGGTCTACTGGCGAATGTCGAACGTCTTGTTCCGTCCCATGCTGCAAGTAGCGTCGCCGAATGCAGTTCCGAGAGCTCATGGTTCGCGCGTTCTTGGCGGCCATTTCCCGAGTCGGACGCCAAAGGTCAGAGTCCTGGCCGCGCTCCTGCCGCAGGAGCCACGAGTCGACTTGCAGGTGGCCTAGGATGACGATTAATACCAATAGTGAAGTCCAGGGGGGCGATTGTCAAGTTACAACCTCCGGGTTTCTGAAAGGCCAAGCCCCGTGCAGTACGGGCATCGTCTATTTTCGCCATCCCCGCCCATTGCTTCGCCTGATATTACATGACAGATGGAAATATATGTATACAGGATCGTCACGACGAACTATGAAGCGAAAGTGTACGATCAGGAGCATCAGTCTCAGAGTAACTTGGCACGCCACACACTCAAGTGTCATGTCCGTGGTTTGATTGACCGTCATACTGTGCTTAGCTGAGGCATGGATTACATCTTCCTAAAAGTACGGAATGGAGGTGCTGATCTCATTCCTCAGTCTGGCTTCCGAGGACAAGAACCCAACCTCGTGCACAGGTCAGAATTTCAATCTCTCAGCTACTGATCAGGTTGTAACGATAGGAGAGCTAGTCTGTTATCAATCGTGGCAGCCCAAATGACATTGAACCTCCGCGACCCCACATTCTGTGAGGCCATGAAGAATGGCCTGTAGGTGCCCACGCTTCCGATTGCCGGGCCCACATCTCGACTGACGGAACAACCTTCTACAGTTAGACTGTTACTCTCTGTTACTTGGGGGGCTTCGAGGCGCCGCTCTGGTGCGCCCTCTGCGTATGCTAAGGGTTTCCGAAAAGGCGAGAGGCGGGAACAAGCTATGGTAACCCATTGTATGGCGGGCGTTATTGGACAAAAATGTGGGCCATTTCTCAATCTCGCGATGTGCAAAGGTAGGGGTATGAATCCTTCAAATGGTAAGCCGGGGGTGTGAATGAAGCAGCGAGAGATTGCGAGGGTGTGAGCCAAGCGACTCGGCTCACACACCCCTATCATATCTGGATACGCCAAGGTTCGAACTCCTCGCCTCGAAGTACTTGACAGTGGTCCCTAACGTCCTCTAAGGATGCCCGTTATGTTGTATAATTTGGTGAAGGGCCTATTAGATTCGATACAATCTTGCACAAGCTGAAGAGCCACACAAATAAGTGAGGGTGAAAATGCCAAGAATATGAGATTGCTTGGCCTTCTCCACCATGGGCGCCTAAATCCAAGGATGGAGGACAGGGATACAGTGCCACGTAATCTAAACACGGTCATACTGAAAGCTTAGCGTTTTAGCGCCCAGTCACACCCCCGCCAGAGATATTTCCAAGGGCGGCGGTAAGTCAAAAGCGCGATTCATACCCCTCACATCACTTTGATTTTGATGGCGGAAAGACAAAACGGCCATTCACACCCCCCAGGGTATTTTTGTCCAATAACTCCACCCATACATTGCGATTATGATGGCTAATGCTATCCTGTCATACAAACCCTTAACACCCCGTTGCAGTCCCACGTTGAAGTTTTCCCCGCTTCTTTGATACAATAACATTTCTATCGAGGGACACCCTCATTTTAAGTACGTTTCAGGGCGGTGCGGAGTGGGCGCTTAATGACCAACGCTGTACGCCAAGTCAAACTCCGACTCAGCCTCCGCGGGACGCGAGATCTGATCAGCCTAATCTGATGACAGTCACCCGGGTGTCGCGTCGCCCTCAATCAAAGACATGGCTGATGAGCAGGGACACTAGCACGGCCTCTCCGAGCACACATTCCCCATTGCGACAAGTCAGGAGGACCAATTCAGGGGATCATTTCCACGGTGAGCCACTTAACATGGACCAGCGCGTGTAGCCATCCCCCTCCTGTGCCTTGACCTAGTCGCTTCAACGCCCTTCAGTGACCCTGGCACGCCGGGCGCGTGCGCTGGAAATCCGTTCAAAAATTGCAGGATGCAAGTCGATGCGCATGCATGGTAAGAGTATCGTCGCTCTGATTTTTCACCTCGTTCTCATGATTACAACTTGAAGGTTCTCCAAGGGCTGCGTCAGTGTCGCAGCACTCGGTAAGTGGATTCCACTTCAAGCCAGCCATACTCTACCCTAAGCAACATGTATTAGCGTTGCTTTACTATGATTATTGCATCACATTCGCGAGAGAAACGGCCTGGATCTGGCCATCTACTCGTCGGAAACCATCCTGGATCCATGTCATCTTCTATCTCAACCGCTACCTTCCTCTCGTCTTCCAAGCGGCCATTGCACATCGCTCATTCATCAGCCCTACGTCACCATCCAGAGATAAGGTAAGACCTCTCGTCGTGCGTATTACTTTGGTCGTTCCTCACTGACAGGTTACTACTCCCCTGGCGGTTTAGCTGTGAGAGGTTCCCGTCCCACCATTTCCTCTACATTCGAACTCATCCAAGAGAGTAGCTGTGATCGACTGTTGTCACTCCAGTGGTTCCTTACTTACACAATACATGGACTCGCAGCAGGTATGCCTGCTCTTCTTATCCTGGGTCGACGTCCATGTCACAGACATCACATCCAGTGTTTTCTGTGCTTCGCATGTACGGGCTGTACAACCGAAATCGCCGGGTGTTGGTTGCATTGTGTACCATAACAGCGTTGCTGGTGACAGGAGCAGCAGTACGTTTTTAATCATCCCCTTGTCCCTACTTGCTCCTTGGGCTCACCGGAGGCCAAAGATTATACTCTTCTTGGACCAAGAGGGACTCCGATATACTCCCCCTACGAGAAGTGAGAAAGTTGACAACTGCCATGCAAGGATGAAGACCAAACGGTAAGTCCAATGTCCATGAACGATTACTCCATCCCAAACATGCTAACCACTCCGATGCAAAGTGCTCTGCGTAAAGTTCCACTGTTCTTTCAACTATCCAGGGACGCTGACAGTCGCCTGTGAGCAGGTTACGTATCGCAATACGTCTGCGTCTTTTGTTTAGACTTGATCGTCTTTATCATGACTCTACGCAAGTCGTTACAGAATGCCAGAATTTGGCGGTCGACACCTCTCTTCAAAATCGTGATTCGTGATGGTAAGTCGACCTCCAGGTCCGTGCTTCCATTTTGTTTGAACCGTTCTGATCCATCCACTTCGTTTCAGGTACCTTGTCATTCGGGTATGTTGCGTAGCAGTGTCACGACATTGGACAAGCGCCAATCTTGTACCAGGGTGATGTCCATGAGTTGCCTCGCGGTCATATTCTGTTTCGTGGTAAGGACCTCACCTTTTCTTCCCAAAAATCATTCTGATTGTAACTTTACCTCAGTTCAACGCTGTGAGCCTCTCCCGCAACTCTGATCCTCGATTCCTGATCGCCACGCTTGCCCACACAGCCTGAAACTCGGGGACGGGAAGTCATTCTAATAACTAGGTAAGGCCAGTTTCATCGCGACAGGCTTGCCACTACTTACCGCGGCACCTTGTCACAGCATCTCATCCATTCTGGTGTCTCGGATAATCCTCAACCTTCGGGATCCAATGCTATGTCGCCCCTCCGGGGAATTCACAAACTACGGGGAAATAAACATGACTTCAAATATCTACACGAATTACACTGACGAACAGGACACAATATACCTGGAGTCGACATCTCTCCCTTATCATCGACATTGTCCATGATGCATGAACTTTGACGAGTGGCAGTGGAGGGCACTGGAAGTAACTTACGCTCAGCTATTTATGTACCACCACCAACGTATCATCTTTGTAAATGACTATGTTAATCAAACTAAAACCAGTAGCTCAAGCACCGTGTACCACCGACTCCAAAGCACGGTTCACTGTATCGTAAGGGTCCTCGGTGGGTGGCAAGAAGGTTCGATAAGTTCATTTCCATGCTTGATGTTCTACTTCTGAGATACTTTCATCAGCGGAAAGATCAGAAATCTGTCGTAGGGTACTGCTTTTAGTAGAGCAGGATATCCACTGAGTGTGCCCATATAGCGGCCGAGAGATCGGTAGGAGTACTTGGGGGGTTCATCGATGGTAGCCACGCCGAAGGAAGGTGGAACTCGTGGGTGTGGGCGCAGTCGGTCCACGAGGAAAGACAGATGATTGCGGAAGCCTGATGAAAGATGACGACTAAATCAGGGCGCGAAGGCCAGCTGCGGGTCGTGGAAGGCAACGGTGGCGAGAGAGATGGTGGAACGGGAAAGATCACGACTAGAGGACCACAGACTTTATCCCGACTTCAGTTTGGCCTTCTTCATGGTATCGCGCCTGTACAATATACCGCGCTGATTCCACCTCTCCACATTGGAAAAACTGCTGGGATAGCCGTACGCGTATCCAACACATTTCCCCGTCACGTTTGGCGGAGGTGTCCAGAACGCGGGAGGGGGGCGTTGGCGGCGCTGTTGTTTGCGTTTGCGGCGACTAAGATGAGGCTGAGCAAGTTCGACAGTTGGACACGCTTTGAGATTTGCCACCGGTTTAAGTGTTTCCGTGTACGGGTAGCCGAGCTGGTTCGCCGGTACCGGCGGACGTGAAGTTCGAGGAGCTTGCAGCTTGGACAGAACCACCATGTTTGCAGTCGGTATCGAACGTTTCGAGGACTTGTATTCCTCAACCTTAGATTTGCGATGCCCCTGAATAACGCCAATCAGAACATCCACATTGCAGGTGGACCGGGGTGTGAGACGCACCGGAATGGACGACTCTTTCATTATCCAAGACGCGTCAATAGCTGTCGCCTGGGCAATTTCATGCCTTCTTTTCGCAGTATCATCGTCATCTTCAGGTTCGATGATCTTCAATCTAAGACGGCAACCTATGAGACGACATTTCGAGACCGGGATTTAGGGAACAACATACACTGCAGGCGGTAGTGGAGGCGGTTCGAGTGATACAGGTATTGGGCCTTTGCCCGAAACTAGCCTAAATACTAGCCGTGGATTAAGGATAGCATCTTCTAGGAAAAGGGGTAAACTTACACAAAGGTCCTTCTTCCTTTCTTTCCACCTCCACTTTTCGCCTCTTCTTCGCTCGTCCTGAATCCGGATCCACCTGTATCCTGGAGTCCACCAGTTGATACAACCGCTTCACCCCATCCAGATCTTCTTCAGCCTTCTCTATGTAGTCGTCATCATCCTTCTTGAAGAAATCTTTCCTGGAAAGCGGTTTCGTTTCGAAATACGGTGGTATCTGCAAGTTCGACATCGGGGTATGAGGACAAGGGTGATCAGAAAAGTGCTTGGCATTTTGATGGGACTTTCCACAAAATTATTGATCGCACATTTCGCTTCTGTTCAACCAACCTCGACGGTCGCACACGATGGCTAAAGACTCGGCCTCCAAAAAGCTAACGACGAAAAAGTCGACAGAAGGACTCAAGGCGAAACTTGCCGCGAAAAAAGCTGGAGAAAAGGCTGCTACCCCCACACCAACCACGACGAAATCGCTGAAGCGAAAACAGGATGTCGAGACTACCAAAGAGGACTCGAAGGCGCCTTCGCCGAAGAAGGGAAAGGTTACCGTTGAATCTGTGAAGTCGCAGAAGGAAGAGAAATCCAGTAAATCTGCACTTGCACCGTCGACGACTACCAAAGGCAAAGCTGCCGCAAAACCGGCCGACTCGAAACCTGCTGCTACGAAGGATAAAGCTCCTGCCAAATCTGCTCCTAGGCCAGCCCCCGCAAAGTCAAAAGCCAAGGCTTCCGCACCGGCAAAGCCTTCCAACTCTAAAAGGAAGCAGCCCTCACCCAAACCAATGGCTCCCTCGTCTGACGAAGAGGAGGAAGAAGAAGAAGAAGAAGAAGCTAGTTCCGCATCTGAAGAAGAGAGAGAGGCAGAGGCGGGTGAGGGTCCTTCCGATTCTGAGCAGGACGATGGAAGTGAAGAGGAAGGCGAGGAAAATGTACACCTACACGGCTTCTCAACGGACGATGAAGACTCTTCAGACGACGAGATGGAAGATGGCGACGCCCGACCTTTCGATGTTGCAAAGCTTCCTACTGTCGCAAAGGATGACGCGATTGTCAAAGCCAAACTCGAGAAGGCCAAGAAGAAGCCCGTATGTTACCTCTTCAATTCCTGAACGTTGCCTTGTGCTAATTCATGACCTTTTAGACTGAAGATCGCGGTGTTCTGTACCTTGGACGTATTCCTCACGGTTTCTACGAAGACCAGATGAAGGCGTACTTTTCTCAATTTGGCGATGTCACTCGCCTCAGGATCTCAAGAAACAAAAAGGTTCGATCGCCTTGCTTTAATCCAAGCTGACCTCGACTAAACCACCCATCTTTCCATTAGACGGGCAAGTCGAAACACTATGGTTTCATTGAATTCGACTCGTCTTCCGTCGCAAAAATTGTGGCTGAGACGATGGACAACTACCTTCTCAACGGCCACATCCTCCAGTGCAAGCTCATCCCCAAGGAAGAAGTGCATCCCGAGCTATGGATTGGGGCCAATAGGAAGTGGAGGACCGTCCCTCCCGACCAACTTACCAGGGCCAGGCATAACAAGGTACGAATATGGCTGTTACCTTTGAATGACACTCAAGTCTGACGTCTTGCTGTAGAAACGAGACGAGGAGACGCGGGAGGCCATCGCAAAGAGGTTGGTTAAGAGGCAAAACCGGAGGAAGAGAAAGTTGCAAGAGTTGGGCATAAGTTACGATTTTGACGCAGTTAGCTATGTGAGTCCATAACCCCGCGGTTGGGCGTACACATGTGACTAATCCAGTCAACTTTCCAGAAAAAATCCAAGGCTACAGAAGCCTAGTGTCTTCCTTTACCCTTGGCTTTGAATGGAGCGCCTTTCGATTCTCATTAGTGTCCTAGGCAGACCTTTTACCACCAAGCAATTGGACGTTTGCGACTTTTGACGTCAGGTAAATTGCCCTCTCGAGTTGACAAGATCTTGTCATGCCAGCTTCGTGTCCGTTATTTGCGGTGGCCAGGGAACCCGAATGTCTGACTCGAAGACGCTTGTCCAAGAGCTGTAGATACGAACAAAAAGGTTGGTAAATGGGTTTGTGAAAAGTCACGGTGAATTGGCTGGCGTTACAGATCTGTAGAGGGGCTGTTGATGTGTTCTCGAGTGCAGCCTATTCGTGATCCCTTCTTCCGGTTTGAACTGAGAGAACTGTCAAAGTCCTTCGTTGAGTACCCTTCAAGCGCCCAACGGGAGGGTGCGGACCGATATTCGCACGCTGCACCCTCCCGGACAGCGGTTTTTGGTTTTAAACACCACTCAGAAGGTTTTAAAACCTTTTCGGTGCATCCCTACCCTCTGAAGCCCCCCTAGTACGACATGAAGTTATCACTGCTACAAGACCTTATCCGACGGGCTCACCTGCGCGATACAACTTGAACGAGCGAACAGTGACACAGAAATCGGGATCGCGTCCGGATCGCTCAAGCCTTTGCTCAGACGGAAATCGACAGTCGACTACGGCAGAAGACCCTGGCCGAATGGTGTATAATTACTGTGGGACATCCGACGAGACTCGACCGCAGTGCTACCAGAGGCGCCAAGGCCGGTGGAACAAGCTGGGTTGTTCATAGCGTGCAGTGGTACCACCACTGCCCAGTCCAGAGGGAAAGTCCCCAACAATGCGGCTTAGATCCTTGCCGATAAATCCCTACTAGTGGGGACGTGACTTCTACTGTTACCAAATCTTCCCCCGCTTTGCGTCCTGGAAAGGTTCTAAAGAGGTCGCGTGGGCAGTTGGCCAGACGCTTTGGGTAAGTCGAGGCCACAACATCACACTCATTGATTCCACCTGAGGTCGAGTTCCAACTGACATTTGTGCCCATAGCAGGTCGTGTTCCACCAGGACTATGTCCCGCCTTCGCGCCAACTCCCTCTTGCAATGCACTATATGATGTTTCGGTCACGAACAACCCCCTTGGGCTAGGAGGGCGCGTCCAGCTGCGCCCGCCGTCCTACCCGCTGTGACAGTCACATACGACTAGACTGCTAGCGTGACCGATAGAAGGAATGATGGACGTCAGGACCCAGGCGAAGTTGTGGGGTTCAGTGCGGGGTCAAATGGATGGCGTGGTCACTTGGTCATTTCTTTGTCACGTCTACGATCACTTTTGGCTACGGCCTATTCTTATTTGAATAGGGGTGGTCAGTAATTCAGTCTCCCAGATCCTTCCTTCCATTCCCAGGCTTGCTTCCTACTTCTTACCACCAACTACCCCACTGTAACGACTCGAGGTCGTTGCCCATCGCGTTTACCAGCCCAACCTCCTACTCTGTCCACCATGGCCACCACTGTCGAAATTAACGACGCTATGTTCTGCGAACCGCACCTCAGAGAAGTGGTGCGTTCTGATTCCCTGGTCCATTGTCTTCAATCTTCGATGGCTGACGACCTTCCAGTGCAGCGACTGCTCGTACGACGGGCGGGAGGAGAATGATAGCTTCTTCGGGGTAAGTCGTCATTTCCATCTCTCTCTTCAAGTCAGCTATCTGTCCATCGGGTCCCCCCATGATCCTTGTTACTTCTGAGAGTTATGCTGACCCATCCCTTCAGCTCGACCCTATGGATCGCGATGAGATTGATTCTCCCGCTGTAACGAAGAACAAGGACGGAATTTACCAGTGCAAGAAGCACGGATCGGCCGGTAAGCACAACATTACCTTCATCGCCCACTCTGCCATCTATAACACGCGTCATAAACCAGAATGCAAGCAGTGCTTCAACTGGAAGAAGCAGATTACTCGCGCACGCACCGAGGCGAAGAAGGCTGGGAGGAACTAGAGCACTGCAGCCTTTGAACCACCCATTGATAGAACAAGGAATTTGAAACCGGATAATGTAATGTTTACTAGTGGGAGGGAAGGGTGAAATGGTCACCGAATTCTGGAGCCCAGTGCAGACAGTGACACTGCTCATCTTATCTTTTGAACGCTTCGTTTTGAGGTCACGGGGGCATTCCATCGGATACACCTCGTTAGAATCCGTGTGCTGAGTCTTGATAACCGTTCTGCCAGCCTTACGTGCCCCCTTACCTCCCCTTGCAGTGCGTCACCCGATCCCCTACGTTCACGTCTTTCCGGTTTCGCAGATCCCAACCAGTGGCTTCGTGATGGAGCGACTGAATGCCTTCCGTTCGATTTAAAGCTCCAGTCATTTTGAATTTGACCTCAGAGCCTGAGAGCAAAGCCAACTTACCGCCATGCAAGCCTTCGCAGCTCTCCTCTTCGCACTCTCGTGGTTGGCCGCATTCGCTGATTTCCTGAGCGTAGCAGGCCACCCCAATGCAGCCCCTTCCACCGAGTTGGGTGCTACGTTACCCACCCCAATCACCACGACCCTGCCCCCAGCCTCTTGCCCGACCAAGGCCATCTGCCTCCACGTTCTCTGCCCTTCTGGGTTCATCCAAGATTGCAACTGCAACTGCGTATCACAAGGCAAACCACCCCATTCAACCTTGTGTCCCGTCAGCTGCACGACGGGGTCGGTACCCGTAACAACTAAGGCAGAACCAAGGCATTTGTGTTCTTGCCATCCAATGACCCCCACGCCAACCGTTGGTCCATCGCCAACCACGACCACGGCCACAGATCGGCCGTGTCCCACCTTTCCCTGTCCGCCCTTCGTCTGTCCAATTGGACAATGCATGGACTGTTGGTGTCGGTGCCATCCTTACTCCACCACGATCCCACCGGTGTGTAGGTCGCCCTAGCACTTGTATAGTCATTCGTGTGTTTCAGGTCGAAGATTTGTTGTTTCCAATAGGACAGTGTATCTGGGCACTGCCGTACTCTATAAGTAAATGTCGAGCGGGTAAGTAATATGACAAGATAATACATCTAAGCAGACCCTTGAATCGCGTGCAACCCCAGACCGACCACCTTGCGCATAATCGTAACAGGCCTAAACTCCTCAGCCCCAAAGAATGCACTGCCTCCCAAACCCTTCCTGAACCACGCATCAACCAAAAGGTTGCCCCATCCAACAACCCATGCCAGAGTCCATATCCACCCAACTAGACCCTGCACTCTCTTCCCAGTGATATTCTTGTAGATATGTTCCAAGACGATCCCAAGACCCATCAACAAGAAGTATCCTGCCACAGTCCAAAACTCTGTTCCCCTCCCCATTCCCCACAAACCGAACACGTGTAGAACCCCGGACACCAAAAACGCACCAAGTACGATTCCGGGTTTGCCGAGGAAGTAATGCAATGGTTTGGACCCGACGCCAACGAAGATGTCGCGGAAGGACTGGTGCCACCGTTTAGCCCAGAATTCGTTAAGCGAGGTTGCAACCCATGGTTTGTCAAACGCGGGTGGCCAGGACTCGGGATCATTTTGAAGGATCCCGACGCCTACGAGGGTAATTGCAAGGTAGCCGTATTGTATTCCTGCAACGACTGCGAAACCGGCGAGGAAGGTGACCAATGTGGAGAGGAGGTAGCGGTGAACGAGGGGCAATGAGGGGTCATAGATGGAACCGCCTTCAGCCGTAGCGAATGTATCAGGACCGAGCTGTTGCACTGCGTAGTGCATAGCGTCGAATACGACCATGGTGGTAACCATGCTCTTGAACGTGGCCCAGCAGAATTGGAGTCGTGAATGGGTGGGCCGGGTTTCCTTTGGGATGAAGAGTCCTTCAGACCAATTCCAACGAAGACCTCGCAAGTTGAACATAAGGTCAAAGGCGTCACTGAGGATCTCAGGGAATGGGAGAGGCTGCTTCTTGGGCTTTCCCGACTTTGTGAGTCTGTAATATGGCTTGAATTCAAATGACCAGACGACGGCTCGCAAAGCCAAGGTGGTCATCATCAACTGCAAAGAGAGGCATGATAATTGGCAACTCGCCCATTGAGAAAGACGGAACAAACAAGACATACCAGAAGCCCGTGGTTCAAATAGATAAACCTTTCATCCTCGAACTGCTTCGCAAAGTCGAGCTTGGTAGACGCTCTGAATGCGCTCCACAAAGTTAACGGCAACAACGCTAAGCGAGCGTAGAGAGTCCCTGGAATTAACACCAGCACCGCTGTGACATAGTAGAACAAGAAAGGTGGCAAGAACAGCTGCGCAATACTCTGGAGGGTGATGGGCAGACGGGTATGAGGAGCTGGTACCAGCTCAAGTAACCTGTTCGTCGTTGAATTAGTAGTTTTCTTCGGAGCATTACTGCATTGAACTCACCTATCCATCTACACTGTCAAAACGAAAGAAAGAAACAACAATAATGAAGGAAAGGGCGCGCAGCCACAGGCTAAGTATTAAGTCGTGGTCTCCGAATAACCTGGATGCGTCGGCGTCGGATTGTTGCCGTCATCGCAGACCGAGGCGCCCTGAGTCACACCGTCACGCATCCACTGTTTCTCCACCAACAATAACCACCCTCGAACTGGTAAAACCTTTTTGCTCATTTTCACCTGCTTGAAGGATGTGTCGTGCCCCTATATCTCGACGGAAAGGAGAGAAACCTCGGATATCGTCGCGATCGAGGATTAAGTTCAAGAAGAAACATGATTCAGATGCTCTGTCCATGTTTCCACCCTTCGGACAATTTAGACGAGCCTTCGACCCCAATAGTTCACCCCCACAACTCGTCTTCATATAGAAAATATGCCTGGATCTAATGGTGTTATAATTATAGACCGCAAGGAACGACCACCCCTCGACGAATCCTTGTACGATCTCGAAAACGACCCCGAGGCCTTGGACTTCTTTAAATCCCAAACTGGGATCCAGGATAATGGAGAACTGAGGAAACACATTCTGAACGTTCAAGGGAGGGCTTACGACGTGCACGGGTATCCTTGCATCCGCAATTTCTCGTTCTTGAAGTAGGTCCTTTCATCGTCCTTCTGAAATAACACAGCGACTGACTCAAGACTGACTGTCGACAAAATTACGCTAGACTAAAGATATCGAGATTACCCGCATATCCGGCGGTATTGGATTTATTGAAACAGAGACAAGATCCTATCTTATTGGATCTTGGGTGTTGCTGTGCGTGATTGAGCTAGTGCTGACTGTCTGATGTTTACATCCTATCCCTCAGTCGGAAACGACCTTCGTAAAGCCGTGGCAGACGGATGGCCGGTTCAGGGTGCCATTGGTAGTGACCTCCGACAAGGTTTGAATCCTACTCTCTTCAATCAGTAATCGGAACGATTAATGACTACCTCTAGATTTCTGGGAGTCTGGTCATGAACTCTTCCGAACTACACCCAACACCTTCCCAGCAAGGTTTCTAGATGGAGACATATTCGATCCTGGTTTCATAAATCCTCCTCCTCCCATCCCCCTTACCTGCTCTCCCCCAGGCCCTCTCCCACGTCTCACAGACGTTGAATCTCTAACACCTCTCCAAGGCCACATATCTGCCATTCACACCTCTTCCTTCTTCCATCTCTTCTCCGAGGAGTTGCAATCTCAAGCCGCCCGTCTCGTTGGCTCCCTCCTCTCCCCTTTACAAAACTCCATCATCTTTGGATGCCACGTTGGAAGAACCGACAAAGGGTTCAGAGAGGAAAGCATGGATGGGAGGCTTCAGAAAATGTTCTGTCATTCTCCGGAATCATGGAAAGAGGTATGGGATGGCGGAGTCTTCAAGAAGGGCACTGTGCAGGTTGAGGCCAGGTTGAGGCCGACAGAGGTACCCATGCCTCAAGGATTGGAGGTGTTGATGATGATGGATTGGTCTGTTGTACGTCTGTAAGACTTGGGTGGACCCCCCGTTCCACCAAAGCCCACTTCGAGAGACGACAGGCTAGGGGGAGGGAGAGCATCCGAGTTTTCGGCCCCCTTGTCCTGTACCGTATGCACACGAAGCTCAACCTGCGCGATCCAATTGGTTACACTGGCGAAGTGCTCGTGGGCCACCTAACCTGAGTATACGTGTAATGGAAGTCTCTAAATCAAAGGTTTGGTACCCATGTACTCTGGAACTGGAGACGAACGTGCCCAAGGGCTTGTTCGTACTGTTTTACTAACCCCCGGGCGGATAAGTAACGTTCAAAGGTGTTGCACGTTGGACGCGATTATACTACTATGAAGACTGTATCATTCCGACAATTCTGCAAACTACACTGCCGGCGGTCTAGCCTATTTCGAGACCGAGAGTTAGGAGTTGGGAAGGTTTTAAAACGGTGACGTCGAAGAAGCAACGTTTGGTAAAAAGGTTCCAGGTATCAAACCCATTCTCGAAACCCATCGAACATGTACGTCCAGAAATAGCATGTTTATAAAGGAGTTACAGCGGTTTGAGAGGGATTCTATTCGCTGGATTTCACAAAGTACCCCACAAACGTTGGGCGGATGAGACACATCCCGAAAAGGAAATAGTCGTGACCCAAACCAGGCACACCGTGACCCTCTCTCCATTTCTTCCCACCAGGCCATCTCCAGAACCACCAGCATCGTTGCAAACGCATTTCCGCCTCGTTCCAGCTAGGACCCCACCAATTACCCTTCACGCTTTCCGACGCCCATAGCACTGGCCAATGAAGTACATAGAGCTGCCAGCTTTGTCTCGCTTAGCCCAGTCGCTAACACACGAAGGTCCGGAATGCGATGTCCACACCCGTATCGAGGCGTACAGCTGCAAACAGATTAAACGCGACAAGAAACTCTTTAAGTCGCTCGAAACTGCCTATCAAGAAGACGTTTCCAACTCACCCCCGCTTCCCTCGTGGATGGCGCTCGACAAAGAAGCGGAAATGACGCCTTTTGGGCCCATTGACAGACAAGCGTCGCGCAAGACGCTGTACTTCCTCATCGCGACGCTCAACGTCGCCTTTCCGGACCACGACTTCTCGGACGTGCGGCCTAGCCACTTTGTGCGAGAGGAGAGTGGAGCGAGCGTCCTGAACGCTCTAAGCAACACGCTCGTATCCCCTCACAGGGCAGGAAGTAACGCCCCCCGCTCTTACTCATCCTACCCACCCGCTTCTTCAGACATCTTCCCATCGTCAATATCAAGCTCCACCTCACCTTACGACAAGCCCATCCCAAGTCCGCTCGCTCCACCCCCAATAGTCTCCGGAACCCATCCGACGCTCTTCCGCATCATCAACGAAGTGATAGGCTTGCCCGACTGTGAAGTCTACTCGTACAACCCGGAAATCGATGCCGACCCACATGCAAACGACTTCGATGACGACGATGACGATGTTGCGTCGGTGGCGGATGAGAATTCTTCAGGGGACGATGATCCGACTTTCGAATTTGACAACTACGATGTCGACGAACTTCGCCCCACCTACCGTAGGACTGCTATCCCACCCCCTACTCCAAGAGCTGCTTCCCAATACACAATCCCTGATGACTTTTCGCCAATTTCGTATGAGAGAGTCCAGTTCAAGCGGAGAGGAGCCCTGCTGTGGTCGTCGCATTGGTTCTTCCTGAACAGAAAGCTGAAGAGAATCCTTTTCGTGACCGTTTGGGCGAGAAGCAAAGGGATAGGGAGATTTTATGTCGATGACGAGGATGAGTATTACGGGGTCGACGCCAGAGATGACACGCACGAGAGATTCTTGGGTTGGGAAGGATCAATAGGAGCGGGTGCGCGGGCGCTCGGGTTGAAAGGATACTAGCTCTGCGGTATCTTGTAAGAGCATTCTTCTCTTCGTTCAACAGACTTGTTTCTGATTTGATACCCTAGACCGCGGATATACCATTTTCTCTTCGATTCTATTTTTGTTTTCCTCTTTTTTCCATTGCTGCTTGCTGCTTGAAGCCAAGGACAAACGAATTGCCTTTCTCTCTTGCAGGACCGTGTTGTACCATATCACGCCTGTTATGCCGGATCTCTTTTTTCGACTCCATGCTCGTACTGTATTTATGACTTGGTCACTTACCTTTTCGCTATGCCCCTTCTTCCCGGAGTAATTCGTACAACTCTTCGTCTTGCTTAATTCGTAGTGACCGCATCTTGATGGCTGTAACCCCTACTTGAAACAAATTGAAGCGCACCTTCTCTGCAGATACAGTTCTGGAACCAACGGCAACGCGATACGGAACTAACCATTGGGTAGTCAGGGGTCGAGTGAGAACTCGCGAGAGACAGAAGGCAACTCAAAGGACGAGAACGCGAAACATGCAGGTGTTGCCTCCAACAGGGCGACAGCACAGTGAGTCATGTCGACTCTGTCTGTGGGTCGGACAGGACAGGGCAATTCTCAACAAGTACAACAACCGCAACGGTTGACCTTGAACGACGAGATCCAAATTAAACATGACGGCGGGCACCCTTGGCACCGTCCGCAGGTATGGTGAGCGATGAGAAACAGGGATTGTCATTGCTAGCTGTGTTTATGGGACGAAAAGAGAGGACAATGGTGGTGGTCGAGAGCAAGGAGAATGAATGGAATTTTTGAGCCGAATTCGGCTGTCGGCAGCGCGTATCGATAACAGTCACGTGTCATGATTAGTGATCCGAATTCGGTCAACCCCTCGAGACCGACTTTCTCTTCCTGGGACCTGCGCCCCTGCTTTCTGGCCTTGAAGGATGAAACCTGCGGTAAAAGCTCTCCTCTTCAGGCTATGTGTAAGCGACTCCCCCATTCTGTTGGATCCCTGAACCTGTCATAGTTCATAGTGACTACATTAACTGCCAGACTCTTTTTCTTTCTGCGTCTCACCGACACAACGTCCTTCGGCCATGCAGCTCGTTGTTTGTCAATCGACCGACTATATCCTTTGTCAGTTGCTCCGGCTTCATGTCCGCTCCAGCGACGCATTGAGTGCGATATGCTCGGTCCCTCCACTCGATTTGGCAACAAGGATGCTTTATTTAGCCACTCGGCCGGTAGAAGTGGTGACCGTTTGGAGCCAGCAGCGATGGAAGAGACAAGTCCTCCCATCACCTGTTGGTCTGGCTGTATGCTTGGATGACAATGCGTTGTAAGTAGGAGGCAGGCAGGACGTGCTGTCCTCGCCACCAGCACCTTGCCTGATGACGTCTTGGCTCTGGAGTCCAAAACGTGTACTAGAGGTCAGTCGGCGAAGGGAAGGAATCATGTTGAAACATGACTTGCGGTGTGTCTGGGGTACGCTAACATTCGATCGGGCTCCTACCGTGCCGGGTCGCGAAGTCTACACCAAGGCTATCAAATCGGCTTGGACTCGGAGGCCTTCTGTACTGTAAAGCAGGCTGGCTTCTGACGGGCACCGCTTACCAGGATTTCTGAAATCTCAATCTAAGTTCCATTCTCGTCTCGTATGGTATATTTTGCCCAACGGGTTTAACCTAAGGCAAGTTCTGAGAACAAAAACCTTCTTACAGGGAACTTACCCCGGATGCTGATCATCTTCCTTTCCCTCCGTTCAGATTTCCACCATCGGTCTCAATTGCCTATCGCTTCTGAGCATCCTTACAACGCCTTCTCTGGTCACGACGTGTTCTTCTTTGTAAAGGGTACGAACGCTGACACCTTTCCAAGACTTGTCTATCCAGTTCGGCAGAGCAGGATCTTCAGAGAACAGCGGACTCTTCAGTATGGTGAAGAGCAGAGGGTCACCGCCAAACCCCCACGACACCACAGTTCGAAGAACTTGATTGTGCTCAGGCATACGGCCGTTGTCATCTAATCATTGCAACCAGAAGGGTGTTGGCAGTGCTACGTGTTCTGGGAGCTACTATATGGATCACTCAAGGATATCCCTTGGTGTACCACGTCATGACCCCACTCGATTAGGTGTTCCCATCTCTTCCTTGTTCCGGCACCTGACAACCTTCGTTGCAGCCCATGTGCCACACTGTACAGACCTGCTGCCTGAATGCGTGACTTCAAACAGGCCGCCGTTTATCCCGAGTTCTTGCAGGCATTTCTCGAAGGCCTTCCTGAGGACATTGGCGTCGACGAAACGCATGGGATCTATGAAAGGTGAACCAAAGAGGGGTTAATGAATGATATTTTAATGGCAGGAAATTCTCCGATGTTCAAGCTAGATTTCGTGTAACGTTCTTTGCCCAATACATATAAACACTAGTACTCGGGGCCCTTGCTGTCTCAGTTGAATTGGGTACGGGTACAATGTTCACTGTACTTGCGTTGACAACCTACTTCCTGGGCGCCCTGGCCAATCCGTAAGCTCGATTTCCTTACAACATTGCGAACGGAATCTTCCCTGACTTCTCACGTCTAGAATTGAGAAGCGCGCCGCTACGAATGTCTTCCCCAACCCTCCAAGCACATCGTCCTTGAGTGCGCCAATCAGGATTCGCGCAGGGACTACCTTCACTCCTCCGGTGGCCTATACAAGGTACGACCGGGGATGGGGTGCGTGTCAAGAGCAGAAAGAAGGCGGGCAAGCCGACGCTGTTTTCCTTCTCGAAGAAGGGGCGACTCTTCGTAATGTAGTCATCGGGCCGCACCAAATGGAAGGTGTGCATTGCTTGGGTGGGTGCAGGGAAGTATGTTGCTGTTCGTGGCTCTGTACTCATGTGGGCCAATATAGGATCATGTCGACTCGAGAACGTATTCTTTGAGGATGTTTGTGAAGACGCCGTTACTATCAAGCAAAATGGTGGAACATCATACATTGTTGGCGGAGGGGTAAGTCCTTCGTGACCGCTCTCGGCCGCCCAGAGACGTGCTGCTTACCGCTCTTTTCCACCAGGCGAAGGTGCGTAACAGCTGCGCCATTTTATGCCTTGAATTACTGAACGTAGGGTCAGCACGCCACGGATAAAAGTACGTGTTTCTCAAGGATATTCATCGGAGGCAAACTTACCGGTGCCGTGCATCCTCAGTCATTCAACACAACGGAGGCGGAAGGGTAGGCTCTTTCGTACCATGTGCTGGATCCTATAACGCTGAAGAACGTGATGTCATGCCACCAACACCATAGGTTATCATCGACTCGGTAAGTATTTGGATTCGGAGAACTCCAGCTCTGACCAATTATTGACGAGTTCTTGAAGTTCTTTGCAGATGGGTTTGGTACATTCTATAGAAGCGTGCGTCTCTGAACCCACCCAAAGGAGATATCCTGAATTCACGGGCGCCTCGTACAGTGTGGAAACTGCAGGACGCAGCATGCTCGGCACGTTGAGGTGAGGCTATGGTACACTTACAACAATTGATTTCATGGTTAATTCGTTCGACTGCTAGGTCCTGAACTCCTGGGCCATCAACGGAAACAACCTAATTGGTGTAAACTCGTGAGTGTCCTTGCGGCAGCCAAGTACCTTTCAGCGAAGCCTAACTCTTCTTTCTTAGGAATTACGGAGAGTATGTCCACACTTTAACCGGGCCCTCCCTGAACGGCCAAAGCTAAACTGTATCTAGCACCGCGACGATCCGCCAAACCCGTGTGTCGAATGTCAGGAATGTGTGCCAACGGTATATCGTTTTCCACCCATTCTCCGGTGATGAGGCCTGCTGACCTCGATCTTCGACTGCAATGTCCTGTTTACAAACTGACAGATACAACGGAAACAATTATGGCGCAGAACCGACTGGGGCAGGCAGTGGACCCGATGGAAGGGTAAGTGGGGTTTCCCCGCACCTGTCACTTGGATGCGATAGTATAGTCGAATGTCTGCACCCGTCCCACAGACCTGCTTGTACAACAATTGGGATATTCTCGCCTGAACCTGGTCGTAGGAGAAGAACCCAACTGTCGCTCACTGAGCCTAACTCGCGAATTTCCGATGCCCAACGTTCATTAGCATTTGATTCTCTTCTGCTTCTCTGAACTGAACTGAGGACCTCGTCTGTCTGCCTTTACACGTAAATGATTCAATAAGACATTCAACGACTGCTTCGATCCATGTTCAGAAAGGCTCATCAACGAACTCTGCGAAATCAAGTCGAGACGGTCTACTACATACACTTCTGGCTCTCCGACCTTGTGCCGCGTAGTCCTTTTGCGCGCGGAGTCCTGTCTCTCCCCGTCCTTTGTACATATGACGGGCTCTGCGCGACGTCCTACAAGCGATCACCACTACTGTACCTACTGTTTTCTTCGAGTTAGTTCCATGACGCAAGGCTGATGAAGCCAAGGAGAGGGAACCTCGAACGTATAGCCCCACGATGCATTCGGAGATCGGAAGCAATGGGATTCGAATCTTCGCGTCGCGATCATACATAGTTGTCGTCCGGTGAAACGGCTACGAACGGCACGGCAGATGTTCACCACCCAACAGCAACTGCCTTCAATGACCCTTCGTATGGGTCCATTAGTCGCGAGCAACCACTGATATCTTTCGGCCCCGACGGGCTGCCCAGGGTCGAGCAACGCGACTCAATGCCAGCCCCCTGGTAGCGGATCTGCATTAGATCCCTGGTTGTGCAAGTCCCGCGAAATCCCAAGTTTATTCCGCTGGCAGGTGCGCAAGCTATTCAAGCATTCAGAGAACCAACCAGTCCATACGAGCCCAGCGATTCTAGAAAATTTCCCCCAGATTTCCAAACCACTAAACGGAAAATCTCCAATCGCAGCCGAAACTAAACACTCCTTTGGCTCTGAGAAGCCTCGAAAAAGGGTGTGGTCTTGGTTTGATTTCCGAGTGGAGAACATCTGTAGCCTAGGCGAAGGGTCGGAGGATTTACCAACGATCGGTTTCCAAGCCGGATTTTTGTTCAGCACCAGTCTTCTTCATGTGTGCAGATCTGTAGTTAGTCAGAAAACCAGGTAATGAGCAAAGACGTTGCGGTATGTTTTGGGCTGGACAGGACCCTGAAGGCAAGCTATGCGCGTGAATACCACTGACGGGGGTTTGGTATAAAATGCCCTTGAACTAGTTTCACAAGTCTCTAAATCATACCCACGTCTTCATATCCGATACGTGTTTTTCAAGATGCTGTTCAACCTCCTCTCGCTCACCATCCTCGCTGTAACCACAGCCATTTCTGCTGAGCCGTGAGTCTTTCACCCACGCCCTTCTTCTCTACTCGCCGATCATGACTGAGAACCTATCCATACTGGACACAGTATCCAACGTCGAGCAGCAACCAACGTCTTCCCAAACCCACCAACGACCAGCGTCCTTAGCGCACCCATCAGGGTAAAGGCAGGTCAGACCTTCACCCCTCCCCGGCCCTACACCCGCTATGAACGCGGCTCTGGGTCTTGCACGAACGGTGAAGGAGGTGAAGCTGACGCTGTCTTCCTTTTGGAGGAGGGCGCGACGCTTAGCCGGGTCGTGATTGGCAAGAACCAGATGGAGGGCGTGCATTGCTTGGGTAAGTGGCACTGAGATATGGCTTTCGAGTGTTGCTGATAACGCCGACCAGGTTCATGCACGGTTGAATACGTCTTCTTCGAGGTAGGTCCACATCGATGTACATCACCGAAGGAAGTGACCGAGTATGGGGCGTAGGATGTGTGCGAGGATGCCGTGACCATCAAGCAGAAGTCTGGCACAAGTAGGATCAACTATGGTGGTGTAAGTGCTTGTGCTCGGTCTAGCAAACGAGATTGACTGACCTGGGACGATGACAGGCCAAGGTTAGTTCACTGACATCCAGCTTTGGAGGATGCGCGAGCCCTGACCGTGACGAAAATCCAGGGAGCGTCTGATAAGGTCATCCAGCACAATGGTGGTGGAACGGTATGTTCTGTATTTTGGGGCCCACCTGGCCAATGTTACTAAGAAATGCACCGCAGGTTATCATCAATAACGTATGTCGACCTTCGTAGTCACTGTTCCAATTGACGTGGGCTCACAACGTGACAGTTCTATGTCGAGAACTTTGGGAAGCTCTACCGCAGCGTAAGTCTTCCGCATTTGACCTTCTAAAAAGGATGAACACTCACCGGGGACACAAGTGCGGTAACTGCAAGACCCAAGTCAAGCGTACTGTCCAGGTGAGACCCAAGTGCTAGAAGTTATTACAAACGCCCACCCAACACGGCATTCTTCCAAGATTAATGACGTCTGGGCCGTATCTGGAAAGGAACTTGTCGGCATCAATGCGTGAGTCTGAAGGTCTTTCGTCGCCAAAGCACTACACTAAGGGGACCTGTAGGAATTACGGAGAGTGAGTATATCGGCCCTGAAATGCGGCCAATTGGTACTCACAGAAACCTACAGCACTGCGACAATCCGACGAACCAAGGCCACCAATGTCAACACCATCTGCCAGACGTACGAATTTCAACCGTACACCCTGTTTGCATTGGCTGACAATTGACACAGATACAATGGCAACAACTCTGGCAAAGAGCCCAGCAAGGGAAGCAGCGGACCAGACGGCAAGGTATGGAAGTTGTCTGCAGCCGTAAGGCCCATTCAAGGATACTGATGCGGTTGTTGCAGCACTGCTTGTACTCGAACAGCGACATCTCCTCTTGAAAGTGTAGACGTTGTGGAGAAGGCAAAGTGCGGAGCGTGGATGCTTCTTTGTCGATAAATGACCATGGCCCTGTTGATAGTTAAATAATCCAAGCAATACAACCTGAGTATAGTCACCCCTCGAACGTGTAAGCATGAGTGACTCGTTTCCGCAGGAACTCGGGAGGGAAAGGAGGGACACCTGAGTCCTCATGAGAGAGTTTCAAGAGAGCCAACAGCCCGCCTTTGCCATTGCGTGCAGGATGATTGACTGAGCGACAGAGGCATTAGGTGGAGCAGAATACAAGTGCTGGGACTGGGCAGATAATCATGGATCTGACATTGAGCTGTTTGGGTACATCCGCTTCAAGTGCCTGTACTTCCGCAACGAGTAAAGAGCCAGCGTCTCTGTCACGCGAGTCAGTCATTCATGAGGGGTCTTTAGATAGGCATTCGACAGGGCGCACCTTTCTTGATATATTCCCCCAGCCGCAAGGCGTTCTCAATCTCTTCTTTATCCGTTAGGTTTCTATTCTCTATAGAGCGTTGTTAGACCAGCTATACGGCCAAGTCGACGAATGTCCTTTACTTTCGTACAACCGTCGAATCTTTCCATGGAAATCGTATCTGGTGGATGGTCAGGGTACGGTATCTCCCGCAAGATAAGGAACTTACGAGGGGTCTGGATATTCGCGTCCTAGACGATGAAGCTCCTTGTACAAAGCAAGGGCTCTTAACCGAGTCTCCCTCGACGCCATGAACGCCAGGGTCAACGTCGCATTGGCCTGTCGTCATTGCCCTCCGCGGTGACCGAACTCTTTGGTGGGAAAAATGAGAACTCCGACATCACGGCATGATGACGGCACGACAGCTAGATCTGACGAAGGAGACCTTTGGACTCGACGTTTGCGGCGCGATATTTTACGGGCGAGCGATGGAAAGCCTCTGCGCCGGGCATGTATATACAGAAAGGGCCCATGAATTTCCCTGAAAGTGTGATTAGATTAGACTAGATTCGGTGACCTTGATGCCATCCTCGGAAGCAATAGTCAGCGCGTGTTTCACGTTGGACTCGACTTTGACCACGAACGACTGGAGGTCCGCTTGAAAAGCGCGTTTGCGATGCCCACCATGACCTCGACGCCTCCGCCGTCGAATCAATATACAATTCCGGGGATACCGTCACTGCCTTCACCGTCGAGCTCGCGTCCCCGAGGCTCAATCGGCAGCTCATTCTCTTTCAACCCATCCCACCTAATGGACTCCTTCGCGTACGATTCAAATGCGAGCATGTTGTCCACTCGTTTCGGGACGACGGCAGCCCTGGATCCCAACCGCTCAATCCTAGCTTCTTCTCCAGCCCGTGCATCTCCCTGGCCCAAACCCAAACGCAAAGGAAAAGACAGGAATACCGGGGCTGCAAACCTGTTGTCTTCGTTTGGGGGTCCCAAAGGTCGACAACAACACCCACTGGCCAATGATACGACCGACGTATTCAATGACTCTGACGACGATGCGGATGTCGAGGATGATGGAGAAGAGAGTTATGAGTGGGGAATGGTGGATCGGATGCGGTTGTGGAGGCACGATGCACTCATGCAGCATCTCTACGAAACGGCCGCGTTCTGGGGTGATAAAATCCTTAGTTGGACAAGTACGTTACCCTTGTCACAACGGAATGAAATATCGAATTGACATGGAATAGACGATCCAAATGACGCGTTCTGGCTTGCCCAAACCTACTTCATGACCCACCAATACTCGCGCGCCTACCGTCTCCTGACACGTCCATTTCCATCCGCACCAAATGCAAGCGCCCAACGCGGCCCTGTCGATTCTGATAGCAACAATATCCTCCCCGCCAACTTAACCAGCACCGGCAGCAGTGGCTCCAACTCGAACCCAAATCTCACAGCCCAACCATCGCCAACCAAAGGCAAAGCCAAAGAAATACAGCTCTCGGCCGAGCGGGCTGTAGTTGCAATGCCCCGGTTACCGATGGGTACTGGTGGACTGGTGGAGGTACCAGAAAGCTTACAAGAGTCCACAAGTAGGCTCGTTGATTTGAGTTTGGCTTGTCGATATCTTGCCGCACAGTGCATGGTCAGGTCAGGCAAATGGACAGAGGCAATGGAATTGATTGGAGACTCGAATCCATTCAGAGGGTCTAGTGAGTGGTATCCTGCCGTCAAAGAATGAGATGTTGATTTGGTCTGGTAGCTAAGAGTGGACCCGCGATTGCGAACACGGACGGTGGAATCAAGGTATGTTGTTTCAGCAATCGAGTATTCAGTTTTTAACAACCTATCTCAGATTGAAGCCTCGATGTGTTACCTGCGAGGGCTCCTGATGCTCAAACTCAACCGGGCAGATCAAGCAAAGACGTGTTTCATGGAAGCTTTAGCTCTGGACGTCAAATGCGCCGATGCATTTTCGATGCTGATGAACGCCGAAATGCTCACCCCCGATGAAGGTGCTCTTCTCCTTCTTGTGCATTGCTTTTCCCGAATGACCAATAGTATATCTCCGTAGAATGGGAATTCATCCAAGGCCTTTCCTATTCCACCCAGACACCGGAAGACGCGGAATTCGTCCAGCTCATCTATACGTCTCGCCTTCGCAAGGACAAGCACCACCGCGAACATGAGTTGACGCGTATGCGCCTCGTAGACGACTATGGCCTGGGCGACAATCCCGACGTTCTCTTCAGCTTTGCCGACGCTCTATATGCAAGCTTCAGATGGGCAGAGTGCTTCGCCATTACCTCCAGGTTCGTCGGAAGACTATTATCACCATGGTCATTGACTTACAGGTGACAACCTCCCGTAGGATTATGTCCCTAACATCAATCCACGTCCCAACCCTCCCCTTGCACATCGCTTGCATGTATCACCTCAACCACCTCCACTCCAAACTCTTCCTGCTAGCCCATGAGATGGTCGATCGCGAACCCGAAAACCCCCTCAGTTGGTACGCTGTTGGTGTTTGGTACTTGACGAATGGCAAGTGGAGCCAAGCCAGGGCATACCTCAGGTCCGTCTCTTGCCTTGGCAATGTCCTTTCTTTCACTGAACTTGCGTTCACTGGCGCGCATTTAGTAAAACAACTTTGATGGACCCCAGATTCGCCCCTGCCTGGGCGGCTTTCGGGCACACCTTTGCGCTCGAGGCCGAACACGAGCACGCTGTGACGGCGTACTCGACTTGTGCTAGGATATTCGCTGGGTGGGTGCCTATCCATGTATACCCTTTTCACAGTTGGTCTAACACGGCGAAAGTTCACATTTGCCGTTGCTCTTCATCGGCATGGAACAAATCAAACTATCCAACTATCGTTTAGCAGATGAAGCACTCGCAGCTTCGCATGCCCTTTGCGCAGACGACCCTTTGTTGTGCAACGAGAGGGGTGTGATGGCGTTCAACCACGGAGAGTGCGTGCATTCCCTTCCATGAACACAGAGTCGGTATTAATGTACATGACTTCTACTAGCTACGAAAAGGCTGCAGCCCTGTTCGAGGAAGCCATCGCCAAGGCAGAAATCACCCAAAGCTCTCAAAAGACATGGGCAGTGACGTATATCAACCTCGGAACCAGTCTGCGCAAGCTCAGGTGAGCAATCCATCTCCAAAACCAACCCTATCAACTCTGACCATTGCTCGACCAGGCGGTACAAGGAAGCGCTTGACGTTTACAAAAAAGTGCTCGAATACGACCCTCGCAATGCCACTGCCTTGGGTCTCTTAGGCATGGTGCACCACCTCCTCAACGAGCTCGACCAGGCCATTCTCCGATATCATGAAGCACTCAGCATTGAACCTATCAATGCCAACATTCTGGAGCTCTTGAATATGGCGCTTGAATCGACGGCTACGACGAGAAAGAACATGACATTCTCAGAAGCGCAGGAACAAGAGTTTATGGCGGGACTGGCCGAGATCAAGCAGAAATGGGCAAGGTTAGGCCATGGGAAGACGGGTACATCGAGCGGGGCAGGGACTAGTAGGGCGGAGGAAGATGCGATGCAGATCTGAGGGTGGAACGACGACTACTGTCCACTGAGCTATTTACATTCCAGGATGTTCAAATAGACATGTAAGCATACACCGGACTAATCTCATCTCGCTCTCATTGAGAACATCCTTCTAAGGATCTAAGGCTTGGGCCACCTAGACATAGCTTTCGGTAAGAAAAAGAGGGGAATAATGATATAAAGCTACAACATATGCAAGTGGCAAACGGGTTGAAACTTGAAACAGTATGAAGGAAAGGGAAAAGTGGTTCTGGGGCACAGGGTGGAATGTGAATGGAAGAAGGAAGGCAGGTTCGCGAAAACCGTGACCACATGAGCATGAGTTTATCAATGAAGGGAACTAGAAGATAGATGACGATTCGTGCAACCAAACTTCTACCTCGTCCTTCCTGTGTACGGTGTGTCCATCGTGACAAGCCATAAACCAAAAACCGTCGTGAGCAACGCGATGTGGAAATAGAGCCGGAATCAAAAACGAATGACGGTGATAGTCCCAGGATGGTGGTGGTGGTGAATTAGATGTCATCGATATCGACCTCCTCATCCTCTCCGAACTCGAATGTGCACTCTCCGTCTTCCTCGCCAAAGTTGTCGGTCTCGTTGATTTTGGCGTTTTCGGGAAGTTCACCATAGGCTTTCACTGATGGTCCAGAATCCGAGTGGCGCGGGGTACGATGATGTCAAGGATCATTCGAGGCGGACATGATGAGTCAAGGAAGTGCATTGTGTGTTCGAGAGGTTGGAAATGAAGGTAAATTTGCGTTAGGATGACTCAGAATCAGCAAGGCCAGATTGAGAAAGACGTACGGTTTCGGGCCTCGTCGGCGGTGTACTTCACAATGACGTCTGCTTTATCGTCCTGGAAGTCTCGCAGCGACAATAGGATGATATCGCCTTGGTTTATCCAGACCTGAGAATGGAATAGAATGTGGTCAGCTTGAGCTACATCGGTTGCGGCCGTGCGCGCCCAAAGGAAAAGAGCCTTCGCATCGACCGAAAATGCACGACGAAAACGCACCTTCTTCCTCATCTTTCCTCGAATGTGTGCCAATCGCTTCTCGCCGTCGAAGCACATGGCCTCGAGGCGACCGTTTCCGAGCATCTTGGTGACCTGAGCGTATTCCTGACCGTCCTCACGGAAGACCAACTCGCGCTTGTCGTCATCGTTCTCGTTCTTTCCTCTTCTCCTGTTTTTTCCACCCTGTTCGCCGTCAGAATATTTCGTCCCCAGTGTATCGAACGACAAAGACTCACCTTTCCCTTGTTCTAATTACCCCACGCGATGCACTGTCGTTAGCTAGGGTGTAGGGTCGCCTGTGCTCGACTTCACGTACCTTCGGCATCTTGACTGGTTGGCTCTGCTAGTGGTTTGTTTCGGGCGTCGGGTACTCCTGTGGATGTACGAGCGTGAGCGTTCAGGCGGAAGGATGATAGTCGTAGGTGTAGTGTGCACCTAAGAATGAAGTGAATCGATGAAAGCGTTTGCTTCTCTTTTTATCTAAATTGCAAAACAGGTCCAATCATCCCGGATCTTTTGTTTGTATTTGCTTGATTTGAAAGGCGATAAGATTAGATCAGAGGTTCGGTCCGGAGGCTTTCTCTTTCATCTTTTCTCGCTGTGATGTTCAACTCGCGGTATAGTACTGGCCTTGAAGCCATACCAGTCGAGGTGAGCACTTTGTTTATTTTAGAATATCTAAACCTAATATATGACTCGAGCTTTTGCTTGAAATCCAATTATTCGCGCTTTCAGACACACTTCCACTGGTTTCGCGACACCTCTACTACGTGTTTTCCTCCGCGCCTCAGATATATCGCGCCCAATACATCCTCGCGAGGCTAGAGAATGTACGGGATGAAGGAAAGCTATACACCCGGGCGTTGAGGTATCCAATGTGCAATCGCGAGGTCTTCCAGGCCTTCCATGGTTTAGTGGTACGAAGGAGAAGGAACAGGACTGCTCCAGGGCTTCCCTCAAAGACCGAAGAAATACGCAAACCAATAAAGGACCCGCCGATGAAAGAAGAAAGGGAAACGAAGTCACCTATGAAGAGAATCGCGAGAGTCTACTACGACTTGCCCCGTCGACTGTTCTCCAACCTTGTGCTGCCGTCCTCGATTCGAACGTGGAGGAACACCGACCCTCCTCTTCCATTTTTGCGGTACCTCTTCTCATTCTCTAATCCAGCCGAAACGAATTCCGACAATAACTGCATTGAACATGACGAAGCAAATCCGTTGCTGGTTCCAAATGTCAACGCGAATCAAGGCTACGCTCTCACCAAGGCCGTACACGCCCAATTCATCCCACTCGTGCGCTTCCTTCTCGAACACGGGGCAGAGTCAGACACGAAAGACGGTATAGCTGTGATGGTTGCCATCCGACAGAAGAACTTGAAGCTGGTCAAAATGCTGATCGAAAGGGAGGACAATGCTGGCTATAGCGATATCAATTCGACAGCACCATCTACACCAAAATCTTCACTTGGGCAGGTGACAGGGACGAAGAAAATGAATACGAAGCAGAAAGGGTCGGCGAAGAGAAGGAGATTGGAGGATAGGATGAAACCTGATTCGAGGATGTTGAAGGCGGCGGTTCAGTGCAAAGCCAAGGACATTGTGGAGTATCTGTGTCATGAGAAGGGAGTGGTGCCGGATATCCAAACGTTACAGCTCATGATGTAGGTTTACCATTGAATGAAACAGGCGCCATCCCCTTGGACTATCTTCGAACCTTTGTCATGGTGTGTGGAATTTGACGGGTATGTATGGTTGTATTTTCAATATCCTAGATTTCTAAAGCCGCACTTTATCTTCCCAGCGAATATGTGAATGATGTCGCTTTATCATTCTCGAAGATATAGCGGGCATGGCGCCCGAACGGACTGTTGCTGGTACTCTAAATGTATGTGTTCAACCGACTTTACTTGCCCTGCTACAGGCTGATCGGGGACGCCATAGCAAGTCCTTCCTCCACCAAAACGCGTCACGGGTCAATCGAGATTGGGACCGCTGCGGTTAACTGTGTGTTGATATTCAATCGGAATCTAGAGAGAGCTTCATGTATGTTTTTCATATTCATAGGCCCGTTACAATTGTAATGACCGCAGGCGCCATCAACTCAGTCCATCTTTACTGCGGCACTCCCGACGGGCAGAGGCCGTTGGGTGGCACCTGTACCACTGCCTAGCTAGCACGGCAACATCAAATACGACTTGCAACCACTGTTCGCAAGGATATGCCTTCCCCTTTCAATAGGCGTACAACTAGCCAAGGCGCAGAACTTTGGAGCATGTGTCAACTTTCTCTGGTCCTAGGTTTCAGTCATTTCTTTCGCCCGGTGCTTAACCCTGTTGACCGTTCCGCCGCTTCCGAAGGCGGTTATCGCGACGGGTCGTGATACGTTTCAATCATTGATACTACTCTACGCTGTCGGCGAACGCGGGCGCTCGATCCTATTCCGTGACCATGAATCCGGGCAACTCCATCCGCCACTCACACAGCCCGACCACGAGTGAGCCACAATTGTCCATCAACAGAGAATAGATGCCCGCTGTGCGCGTCGGTGGCCTCGGCCGTATGTCCACCAGACCAATGTTTCATTATTCAAGGCAGTCGATGGTTGGGAGCCCTGAACTTGAAGGCTGAGAGGCGGCCCTGTACGCTTAACAATTAATTGACCCGAATCGAGCGCATCCGGAGCATAATGTCGAATTGATTTATCGTGGCCTTGGGTGCAGTTTTGTCTCAGTCACCATCTCTTACTATGATCAGCGCTAATTAGATTCCAGATATACTGCACCTGCACAATGCCTTGAGTGCACTATCGGCACTCCCCAGGTCGCACAACGGTCTTTTCAAGCCTGCTGGATCTGTCGACGCGTGTCGTAGTTCATTTGAGGAAACGCCAATCTCAAGCCCTTCGTTCGCGCTTCTCATGACACGTGCCTTCTTTCTGTGCCTGCTATTGAATGCTTCGACATCAAGTATGAGAGCGCAATCTTTGGGCTATCTTCTCTAACACACCATCATGATCAAGCCGTCATCTTCGGTAATAACCATTCTCAGTTTATCTGGCACACAGTTACAACCTGGGCTATGTTCAGATCATGTCCCCTTTCCGACAACACCTAGACGCCACAAAGGAAGGGCAGTTTCAGATCCATGGTGACGCGATTGCATTCAACTACTCCGCAGTAGAGCCTAGCGCTACAGGATGTAGAGGTCTAGTGTCTTTGGGAATGTCGGGCCTACACCATCACCAGTGATCATCTCTGGCGGACTAAATCCATCACATCTTTCTTCAACTGAATACCCGTGTGTGTACTTTGGATCTGCATTTGTCTGTGGATGTTTCCAGCTCGGTGACTTGATGAGGGCACGTATACATATATACCTCCGTGAGTCCCGCATCTCCCTTTCTTTGCTTTTATTCTGTAATTTCCCTTAAACAGGCTTCCGGTCATAATACCTACGAGGAGCTTTGGTTCTCCTTCCCGCCTCTGTCTCCCTTCTATCCGCTGGCTGGTTATGCTGTTACTTAGTCGCGTGGTTTACAAGCAACTGGAAAGTGCATAGTATGGTCGATACGAAGCCAAGCGTCGCTCTCCGCTTTCAAGCACCAATGGACTCCGCCAATAGTCACTATTAGTGCGTTTTCAACATCGCTTATCCAAGGTACACGCCAACTAAACCCGCTACTATCTCCCAACAGCGCAGCGCTACAAAAGAATCTAGTTCTCGCAGCTACAGGTTTGGATGTTCCGGATAATCTGTTAGTAGCAGCATCTCAGTGTTGACCTAGCCATCCTATATTTCGACTACCTTTTGACCTTTACCCGCGAAGTCGACTGGGTATGGAAGGGTCCTCGGAACTTTACATGGACGAATGTCATGTTCTTTCTCAACCGCTACCTTTCTGCCTTTGGCCAAATTGCTGTTCTATTCAAGATTTTCTGGCCTCCCGAAGGATTCCAGAACAAAACCCAAGTGCGTATCAGATTATCCATCCGTAAGCGAGTGCTAATAATCTTTCGCCAATCCACCCCGTTTTCCTGGCCTTCCACTCGGCTCACAACCCACACTACCCTCGATCAAACTTTGGACTGATACGGACATCCCATTGTGTGTCTGTGACGGTCATACTCGCCTGTTCATCAACTCTGCTCCCAACCTTCGCCCACCACTACAATCTTTCGGCGACCTTTCTTCTTTCCGAATGTTCGGGTCTCGATTGGATATCATTGCTTCCCGCTTCTCTACACACCACAAAGATGTACGTTCCGCTATTCCTTATGTTTTCTTGATGTTGGGAAATGGAAGAAACGGTTCTTCGCTGTCGTTGCTGACTCTCCGTCGCCTTCCTTGTTTTGCCCGGCTCCTCGCCGACCATCGCAGATGTCTTCAACTGGCAACGTATCATCAATACCTCGGGGTATCCATTCAATTTGTTGTCGGAGGTCAGTGCGATCTTCACCCTCGCCATTCCCAAGATACCTTCTCCATGATTGCCAATCTCAACAATCCAATCCGTGTCTCTGCCCTTCACCTCCCTTCATCCACACCACATCTCACTCTGGATGTATGGGTCCGTAACTAACGGTTCCACATCCAGTATACCTCATCATGCGAACGTATGCATTGTACAATGGCAGCAAGAGAGTATTGGCGTTCTTGTTGGTCGTGGCAGCACTGGTACTCGGAAACGGAATCGTAAGTCATAACAAGCTGTTCCGAAATGCATTGAAGAATGACTGCTGTCGGTGTGTGTAGTGGAGTGTGACAAGAGGCGAGGCTGTCGAGCCCACAGAACAAACCAGATACACTGGATGCATCATACCTTACGATCACCACAGGTGAGTGGGATTACCATTCTAATCTCCCAATTCATAGCCAGGACAAGGCTGACTGGTGTGTTTCTTAAGCGCCCGTCGTATGTATTCCGAGTCTTAAGACCGTCACCACATTTGTCTGAGGCATGCGCGGGCATTTCCACTAGGATTAGCGATTGCATGGGCTGGCTTGATCTTCTTCGACGTTGTGGTCTTCCTCCTAACCCTTTACAAGTCGATTCAAGGAATACGGCACGGAGGCTCGACTATTCTGAAAATTCTCCTACGAGACGGTGCAGTTGTTTCTTCTTCTCGGAAACGGTGTAAGACTGACGTTAGATCTCCCCCTCCAGGCGCACTGTACTTTGCGTGAGTCCATCGCACCAACCATCGGACTCGGAGAGGTCTGGGTGGCACACGGGCTTACCACCTCTTACTTCATCACAGCGTTATGTTACTCATGACCATTGCGACTGTTATCGACTTTCTAGTAAGCAAGCTCAGCTCTCTCATTTGGCACCCTCCGAGGACTTATTGTGTCGTAAATGCACGTGCAGCTCTTCAATGTCCGTCTTTTTTTTTCTTCCATTCTGACACCATCACGAACATCGACTTTCTTGACCCAGCCATATGCCAAGTCAAGCCTGTCCACGATGGCCAATGTGTAGGTTGCACCATCTCCTGCGTCTCCGCTCACTCACCGACAACGCCCTGTACAGACTCTCTTCGACCCTTATGTCAAGACTGGTTCTCAACCTGCGCGATCCGACACTCTGCTCGCGTTTCGTCTACGACAGTGCAGAATGCTACACAACCGACCCCGTCATCACCTCGTTGCAAGTAGGCGCCCATCAGAGTCGGTACACATACGAAACAATGGGCGGGGTTTCGTCAATACTCCCCTCCACAAATGGGCACGAAGCCATGCAAAGGCCCATGATCATGGTAAGTGTACCACTGACCTGTGCAAGAATCAAATTAATGAACCCAATTAGTCCCCGCGGGGCTTCAACAATGAACATGATTCCAAGGACTCTACTAAGGGCGATCGGATAGACGGCACCCCATGAGACCGAATACGATTAAACCACAAATCCATGTGCATACCTACAAGTAGTCGCTGAGTGCTCTAAGCAGCATAACATTAGCCGTGAGATCGCCCATCATAACCTGTGTTAAGCGCCCGATAAGCGCTGTTCCCCTTCCTGCGCCGCGCAAATCAGTTTGGCATCTCGTTGCGGCAAGCGCTCAAGCGCTTAGGGAGGAGAGTCGGTAGACTTGCTCAGTTGATTTGCTACATACTACTCGTCACCGTCAGGATTCGCTCCCGGGACCTGTTTCCTCGTCCCCCACGATTTGACGTATGCACGTGTGTCCCAAGCATATGATTATAATTAGGGGAACGCCATCAAAGCACAGGGGATTATCGGCGTCTTTGTATCTCAAACACCCCAACCACAAGTACTACATACTCGACTACATCGACCAGCGCACGAAGTCCACTGACCATGGACTTCCTCAACAGCCTCCCAAGGCCCACACTACCCGAATATGCATTCGTCACACGACTCAACATCGCGCTCTTTTTGCTCGTCGCGTCCGAATCCAACTCGTTCTACCTCGGTAGCGCCATCTTCAAAACTCTCGCCTCGTTGTCGTTCTTTTTCGGAGGACTTGGAAAAGCATTTGCTATCAAGAGCAAGGATGTGAACAACATCTATCCTCTGCTATGGGACTTCTTGGAGGGGAAGTTGTTGAAGAAAGGGGACAACTATGCGTTTTTCATGGTGTTGGGTCTGGGATTCAGCGTCCTCGGAGACGTGCTGCTGGTACCTTCGAGGGAGAAGTACTTCGCCGTTTTTCAACCAGCTCAAACTTCACAGAAGGTGGAGGAGAAAGGGCGAGAATTGAAAGGGGGGAAGAAGAAGAAAGGAGCCAGGAAGTCCGCACCCGCACCAGCACCCTCGACGGCGACGACAAAGCCAACAGTCCAAACTGAAGGCGACACGCTCTCATTCAAAGCTGGAACATTCTTCTTCGCCCTCGCACATATCGCCTACACCGTCGCCTTCCTTTCCTCCCCGACCACGAGTAAATTCAACTGGGTCACTTTCGTTGCCTCGGCAAGTATCGGCCTCTTCATCAGTCGCTTGCTTGGAATCTTCAAATCCGGCAACATTTCTCAATCTTCGCAGCTGAAACTCAACATCCCAGACGACATGGCGCCCCTCGTCAAGGCCTACGTTTGCATCATTACCACCATGGTCGGGGTAGCGAGTGCAACAGACGCCGGGTACCAGAAGACGGTGGGGGCCTGGATGTTCATGATCAGCGACATGTTCGTCGCGGTCGATGTCTTTGGGAAGAAGGTACCTGCTGCCGCGAACGCACGAAGAGAAAAAGGACGTCCGGGGTGGAAGTTCAGATCGTTTGGGTGGTGGTTTTACTTTTGGGCACAAGTCATCTTGGCCGGGACTATCTAGGGAAACGACGTATTCCATTCTTCTCGCCAATCTAGAATTGTGAGAGGTCACAGCGGTTCTCGTCTTCGATCAGGTCCACAAGGGTCTGGTAGTATTTGTGCTGGACCAACTTGTCGTCGTCGACGGCCTTGAGTGGGCCGCGGACGTACCCTCGTCCGTACCCAAAGTGTTTGGCTACAACAGCCTTGATACCCCCAATTCCTCCAACCTTGGACGCTGCCCACTCCCCATGTCCAAGTCTTGCCTGTAGCTCCATAGCCTCCTGTGCCCTGCCTGCCTTCCACAACCTATACAACTTAGCATGTAACTTGGGAACAATATTCACAAGCGCTGAAGTCACACCAGCTGCTCCTGCGTTCAGCCCGTGGATGAAGACATCGCTTCTGCCCGGGTAGGTGGCAAAAGTGCAAGGCGGCAAGGTGGAAGTAACGCGCTGGATCTTGCCTATATTTCCGCAAGAGAGTTTCGTCCCGACGATGTTGGGGTGTTTGGCGAGCTCGAGGATCGCGTCCGAGTCGAGGTCGATACCGGCCGTGACACCGGGGAAATTGTATACCATTGTTGGAATGGGTGATGCATCTGCAACCTTGACGTTCGTTAGGAAGGTCTGAATGTGAGATTCCGTAACACACACCTCTCGATGAAATCGCAAGATGTTATCCAGTGTCATCAGCTTTGGCCAAACGCCCGGTGTAAGAACCAGTGCATAGGTTGCCCCCGCTTCGTGTGCATCGACATTGAGTTTCTTCGTTTCACGAGTAGAAGGCGCTCCCGTTCCAGCGATTACTACCACATCTTTGAACCCATTCTCATCCAGGGTGATTCTAGTAACCGAGATTGCTTGCTTCTTTTCTTCTTGAGAACTAGATATCATTCATAGATCAGATATGTGAATTGGATGTTGTAGTTGAGAATCGAACAGGTGCTGAGCTTCGCCATTGGAACCTTGAACTAAAATACCTGCAACGCCTCCCTGAGCAACAGATCAGTGATTGAAGGAGAAGAGAACTGAATGCGCTGTACTTACTTGTGCAAGACGGAGGACGTGAGCTTTGATAGCTGCAATGTCGAGTTCTTCGTGTTCATCGAAGAAAAGAACTGCGGGAACGTAGACACCTGGGGGAGGAGGAGAAATCATCGTCGGTGCAGCAGTCCAACTCGTGCAAGTGACCAAACAATCACTCCCGCTCATGGTACCACAGTCTAAATTCCCAATTCGCACATCCATTTACCTAGTAGGTACACCACGGCAAATCCCAGAGTTGACGGACCAGAAGCCGTTTAAAATTGAGAGTTCATGGAGGTCGTGGTCGTAAAGAGGCAGAAGGCATCATGCGCAGCTGGTTGTGGGACAAATTTCGGTTTTGCCGGTGGACCGCGTCAACGAGTCTCCTTCCGCCTCGACCACCATCACAACACGACGGGCTCGACGACAGCGACCCACTGCACTATGCTGTCTCTAGCCAAACGAAAAGCAGCCAGCGGGTTCACAGTCAACAAGGCTGTCACATATGGCCTGACCGCTGCAGCGCGGCAGAGCCGACTCGAATCCAGCCGGCCTGTTCATCGGCAGTTCACGACTCTCCTGGCGGGCTCTCTGAGGAGAACGTACTCGACACCCGCACGGTCAGCATTCAGCAGACACGTACAGGCTCGTGCGATCTCGTACTGGTCTATCCCGAGGTTCGTGGCGAGGGCCTTCAGGGTACCGGTAGCTGGAGCAACTGTTGGCGCTGGTGGGTTTGGGTATGCTAACTACAAGTTTGAAGGTGCGTTTACATCAATATTCACCCAGACTACAAGTGTGCTCATAGGTGTCTGCAGAGGTTCGAAAACAGACAGACGCATGGATTAACAACGCGAGGGATACAGCTCACGGCATATTCTCAACCGCTTCAGACGGTGTCTCTGCCATTACGTCCAAGGTTGCAGAACTCAAACTACCAGACCTGCCCTCCGTCGAAGCACCTCAATTCCTCAAAGACCTATTTGCGTCGATGCAAGGCGGCGAAGAAGGAGGGAAAGAAGGGAATGGGGAAGGTGGTTCCTCAGGAAACAACAACCGTTCTCCCAAGGAGGACGCTGCAGCTGTCGCAGCACTTCTAGCAGCAACCATGGCTTCCCCACACGATAGCCGCTCTTCCGACATTGGGCCCGATTCTAATGGTCTCATGCACCTCACCAAGAAACTCATTGAAATCCGGAGCATGCTGCTGAGCATCGACCAATCCGACGCCCTCAAACTCCCCAGCATAGTAGTCATTGGAAGTCAATCTTCTGGGAAGTCTTCCGTGCTGGAAAGCATAGTCGGCCACGAGTTCCTTCCCAAAGGCACCAACATGGTCACTCGCCGACCGATCGAGCTCACCCTTATCCACACGCCCGCTAAACCAGGCCAAAAGGGTTCAGTCGAATATGGCGAGTTCCCTGGCTTGGGAACGGGTCGAATAACCAACTTCGCCGATATCCAGCGGACGCTAACGGATCTGAACTTGAGCGTCCCAGCCGACCAAGCTGTCTCCAACGAACCCATCGAACTCCGAATTTACTCTCCAAACGTCCCCGACTTGACACTGATCGACTTGCCCGGATACGTCCAAATCAGCTCCCTCGACCAACCCGAAACCCTCAAGGAACAGATTTCGGCCCTTTGCGACAAGTACATCCGCGAACCTAACATCATCCTCGCCGTATGCGCTGCAGACGTCGATTTGGCCAACTCTCCTGCCTTGAGGGCAAGTAGGAAGGTTGATCCATTGGGCCTGCGGACGATTGGTGTGATCACCAAGATGGATTTGGTGCCTCCCGAAGAGGGTGCTGCTATTCTTTCAAATAACCGATACCCTCTTCATCTGGGTTATGTGGGTGTGGTGTCCAAGGGGCCTGGCAAGGAGTCGAGTCGGGACCGTGATTCCAGGGATGTCGTAGCTCGAAGAGCAGAGGCCGATTTCTTTGGACGACATCTCGATGTATTCAAACCTTCCTCGACGATGATGATTGGTACAGACACCCTCCGACGCCGGCTTATGGAGGTGCTCGAATCCTCCATGGCTTCTTCCCTTCATGGAATCACCAACGCTGTCCAACTGGAGCTCGAGGAAGCCACATACCAGTTCAAAGTCCAGTACAACGACCGCCGCATCTCACCCGAGTCCTACGTTGCCGAAGCCATGGACACCCTCAAGCTGCGCTTCCAAAAAGCGACAGAGCAATTCAAACGACCCATTATCCGCGCCAAACTGAAGACCATGCTTGACGAGAAAGTCATGGACGTCCTCGAGCAGCTTTACTGGCTCGACAAGCGATCTCCCGAACTCTCCCAACTCGCCAACGATCCCAAACTGAAGCCTGAAGATGTAGAAGCTTACTGGAAACACAAACTCGAGGCCGCTTCGTCATTATTGACGAAGTCGGGTGTAGGACGGGACAGCACCATCCTCGTAGCGGACGGTCTGCGTTCGTTAATTGATTCCATTGCCGGTGGCGAACCTTTCAACTTCCACCCCCGCGCAGCCGAGCGGCTCATCCAATTCTCGCACCTCATCCTCCGCGACCGCATCAACATCACCTCTGACCAAGTTGAGAACTGCATCAAACCCTTCAAGTATGACGTCGACGTTGAACCTCGGGAATGGGAAGCGGGCCGTGAGCGCGCGATCGACTTGTATGAAAAGGAGCTGGCGATGTGCGAGAAGCGGCTGAGCGAGATTAAGCAGAAGGTCGGTGGGGGTAGGAGGCTGGGAGGATTAATTTCGTATGTGAGGAGTTTGGAGGAGAGGCAGAGGGAAAGAGAGAAGGAGAGGGCTGCGAAGCGACTGGAGAGCGGGTTGACCGCTGGAACTGAGGATACGCAGCAACAGCCATCGACGAGTGTGATACCAAAGCCGTTGGAGTTGGACGACTCGCCAGAGTCCTACAAGTATCCACCAGCACAGGTCATGGACGGTGAGTCAAAGTGGGTCGCTTTCGTGGAGGTTAAACTAATTGGAATTTCCTTCACCGCGCAGCGCGATATGCGATGATGTACAGCGAACGACTCAACATTCTCAAACTTCGCCTTGCCGCCCTTCGTTCCAGACGGTGTAAGGCTGGACCCCAGAGTGAGGTGTTCTGCCCTGAAGCCTTCTTGAATGTCGTTGCCGACAAGCTCGCCTACACTTCTTCATTATTCATCAATATCGAACTGCTCGAACACTTCTTCTATCAAGTATGTGTTGATTACACGAGGGGTTAACTGGCTCTGACGCTTCTACTTGTTCAGTTCCCTCGGGAGATCGACGCTCGACTGCTATACGATCTCGACCGCAAGGAGATCGTTGACTTTGCTCGGGAGAACCCCATCGTTCGAAGACATCTCGATTTGCAAGAACGAAAAGATAAACTAGAAGAGGTGCGGTCTCATCACGTCATCTTTTGTTGTCAATCCAGCGACTGACACCTTGGACAGGTCATGAAGCAACTCAATAGCCTTTCAACGCTTCGCGCAGACCCTCAGCCGAAACCACGAAGACAACGAGGTCTCTTTGGAATCTAATTTCTGGGTCCTCGCTACCTTCTCCATTCACTTTAGCGATAATACCTCTTCTATTCTACTTTAGCGGCTCCATGTTACTTTATTCGTTATTTCCTTTTCTCGTGTAGATATGGCCACACTTTTTGGTTTTACCAACTCACCGCTCATTTTTCTTCCGTCAACCTGTCTCTATTGGATCTTGGCTAGCTCATGGCCGGTGCTTGCTGTAACGATGTCGACTTAATGATCATTCTATGCAAATTCTATGTATGTTGAATTCTGGTTGGAAACTACGGGCGCCAGTGCAAGGGATTTCAATTTTCAGGTGAATCCTCGGGGTCGCGAATAGTTTCCGCAGATCCGTCCCCAGCACTTTATCTGATAAGCCACGTTTCAACTGGAATTAGCCCGATCTATCGACGTCACTGCCCCAAGATTCAATCCGACTCTGACCATACAACTTGAACGTATCGACCTCCATGTACGAATGTATGCAAGAAAGTCCAAAATCAAATTCGTAAAATCAGCAGGGATTTGTAGGAGGGTGTACTTACCCATGATTTCTCCCAGGGCGCCCTGTTCTGAAGGTTAAGTAACCCAATCAGACGAACAAGATGAGGTCACATGCGAGGGAAATCATATGCTAAATTCGTTGTCACTTGCGCTCAAGACATAAACACCTCACTCTCGTCCCGTTCTTTCTCTTCTTTACCCCACATCACCACTCCCATCTTCTTCTCTTCGTCGTCGCCGTCGTCGCCCTCTCCTTCAACAATACATCATGTCTGACGTTAAGGTTCCCGGATTCCAGGTAAGCACACACGACACTGTATTGTGTACGAGGAAGATATTGACTAGCGGCTCGCTCTTTCACTAGGCTTCCGAGCTCATTGCTGGCCTCCAAACTGCCTTTGGCAAGTACAGCGACACCGAGAAGCAGGCCGAGATCAAGAAGGTATATGTCTCACTCCTCGACTGTCCGTCTCCCGCGACAGAGCGCTAACGTTCTACTTTTCGCATTACAGAACAACGGCATCTTCGAGCTCCAGGTCACCAATGACAAGAAGGAGACTGCCACCTGGACGATTGACTTGAAGAAGACCGGAACGGTGTACAAGGGCAAGGCTCAGCCCAAGGCTGATGTCACCATCATCCTCTCCGACGCCACTCTTATGGAGTTGGCTTCTGGCAAGGCACGTCTATCTCTCTTTTTCTAGGGTATATCGAACGGGTCGACTGACTGGAGATGTTTGCTTGTGAATAGCTTAACGGCCAGAAGGCTTACATGACCGGCAAGCTCAAGACCCGCGGCAACATGATGCTCGCCACCAAGCTTGACGGTGTCCTAAAGGTTTGTTCCTCTCCGCCCAATATTCTCGCATTCGAAAAGATATTAATGCCGCTTGTAACTTACAGGGCGCCAAGGCCAAGTTGTAAAAACGTCGTCGACACCACCCTGCTAGCATAACGCACCCCATTTGTACCAATACACATCTCATACCTTAAAGTTTTATCTTTATTTTTCCCCTAGTTTTCTCTCCATACCAGCCCATTCCCAATGACATGGATTTGAAAAGAGATTTATATTTGGTATAGGCCTGCTGACGGGACCTACAGACTGCTAGAAAAAACACGCTCGTCTACGCCTACGCCGAGGTGGGCTTCTGGAACGCGACTGTGACTACACTGCTTCCGCTGTGACCTCCAAAAGTGAATGTTGGGTGTCGCACGTTGGAGCTGCGAAGGCAGGGTATCAGAAGGAAGACTCCAAGGGCCAACAACGAAAACGTACTGATAAACCAGTCCGGTTTCCTGAGTGCAGAAGCTCGCTTTTAGTTCGTCTTCTATAAAGTTGCATGCTAAAGACGCAGTGAAAGTATAACGGTAGGCTCCGCCATCGAAAGGGAGAGGACCCACATGTGATCAAGAAAATCCCTCCGGGTTTCAACAGCCTCACCACCCGCCCAGGGTATCTCACAGCTGGCGACCGTCCCTGTTCATCCTTCTCCCCAAGTGCAATCGCATCGTATGTCCCCTTGTCCAGCAACAAGTCCCACACTCCCGTTTTCCTCTCCCGTTTGGCGCCTTCACTGTGAATTGGAAGTGCAAGGGGCGTGTCTTCCAGAAAGTCGCACTGATCGAACAGGATTTGGTCTGCCCCTGCCTTCCCGCTTTCTTTTTCAACCTCTTCTCCTGCTTCGTCCTCGTCCTCCTCATCTCGACCCTCTTTGGTCTTCTGCACCGCAATTCCCCTCGCCAACTTCACGGCTCCCATACTATAGTCGATGCCAGCCAACAGCGTTGGACCATACCCCGCTTCATGCAACCCAAACAGAAGTGTTCCATTCCCGCTCCCCACTTCAAGGATGGTCGGGTTATCAGTTGGAGGGATGTTGTCTACTGCCCAGTCAACCATTTTTTCGACAGAATCCTCGCCGAACCTAGTTTCGGGATGGCAGCCGGACGTTAATATTCAACCACGATGAATGAGGAACAGCAAAGGCTCGTCAACGTATACTCGCCATATTTCACCCTCATCTCCAATCTCTTCAAAGTTGGTCAACTCGCGCTCGTACACTTGGTCCCAGCTGAACTGGAGAGTTATCAAGTCCGATCCAGGAGACAGCACGTCGCGAAAGAGGCTCAAACATACTGTTCTTTGGTTCCAAGTTTAGAAGGAGGGAGTTCGGCGGTGGACATGGTCGTGGGCGTTCGTCGAGAAGGAATACTGGAAAGACACAGAACTTATCTACGAGGCTTAGTCAGCAGGCAGACGCTACTGGTAGCGCTCCAAGCTGGCCTCGAGAGGAACAATCTCGAAGGGAAGGTACAAGGAAGAAGGGTCGTCTTCTGTCTGTCATGGCACTCCGTTTCTAACCAAACGGCTTCGGCAATTTGCCTGCGCTGAGTATTGAAGCTTACAGCTGGTGTCCAGTAGCTTGTGCGAGAGCATTCTGAGTGGTGATATTATAGCAGGCGGATATTAATGCCAATAGGGTAAATATGCTACAAGAATCTTCGCCCTTCAGTCAGTCTGCCTGCTCAACGAATCCTTCAAAAAGTACACACCTAAATGATACAACGCTATCCAACCAACCTCCCCACGAGAGCGAACGAAAGCGAAAGGGCAGACACGAATCATCGCATATTCTTTTCCAGGAGATCTTTGGCTTCGTTAATCTTCGATGCGAGGTAAGGCGAGCCTCCTCGATCGGGGTGGTTTGCCAACATGATTCGTCGGTGTGCGTCTTTGAGGTTTTTGCGGAGCGCTGGACCGTCCCTACACCACGAATTCAACAAATAAGTAATTAATTCAACATTGTACAATGCGAGAAGCAGAAGATACGCACTTGAGACCCAGAATCTCGATGGCTTCCTTCCTGTCCATCTTGGCTTTAAACCCTCCCTTGACCCACTTGTCGGCGTTCTTGCCAACGAATAATCCTTGCCGGATGAACGAACGTCCGAGGATGGCGGCGCTCACTGCGGTGACGCCGACGATGACTGCTGTAGCCATGACTTTGTAGTCTTTTGGTTTGTAGGGATTGGGTGAAGAAGAGGAGTGCGGGGCGGAGAGCCTGGAGAGGGTTGGATTGAAAACGTAGCGTTGGCCGGGAGCGGAAACAATTTGGCCGTGGGAATGTTCTGGAATAGGGGGCGTGGCTGTGGTGCGAAGGGTGTTGTCTCTTGCACATCGTACACTGTACAGAATAATGAAGGCGTTTTCGGTGTGGCACCTTACGCGAATGCCTCTCACATAAGGATATGAGAATTGGTAGGCGTCTCGGATCTCGAATATTGTCTGATGCAGATTCTCAGTCATACTTATTCTAGATTCAGTTCACCTTCGGACTACAGAGAACGAGTGAGGATGGAAGACCCGGACTCGTGTGCGGCTATCATCTAATAAAATGCGTCGAAGGGGTGCGATTGTCCTTTTGGTGACTTATTTTAGGTAAAAGGCGGATGAATTGAAGAACGGAGAAAGCTGTTGGCTGTATCGCAACTCGACATCTTGTTCAAGCTTATGGACACACAACACCGGAAATTTACAGGCTATGCACATCCACGGACTATCCTTAACCATTGAAACACGTCAAGAATGAGTAGGCTAGGCGTGGCGCCCAATTACTGCTTCTCACATCGCCCATTGACGCCAACCCACATACTCGCATTTCCACATTTCGGACACTTGTCGTTATCTTCTGACGGGCTCGTCGCCACCATTTCACACAGCTCAAAAAAGGCAAAACAGAGCTCCATGCACACAACAAGCCTCATGCCTGCCTCGGGGTGTGGGCGGCAGCCTAGAAGCTGCTGTGCGATAAGCGCCCATCAGGTTAGCATCTTCCATTGTTCTCCCGCCCGGCAGCCCCTTAACTCCTTCCGCAGTGCTCGTGAATCACGTATAGTTCACACCCAATGTGACAATGTTGTGGGCTCCAAAGAAGTCCCAATGTATTTCAGTTAGTAGCAATCACGGTTCTCCGAGCCAAAACAATGAGGCTGGTGGCAACTCCTACATGGGGAGATCTTGCTCGGTATTGCGCCGAGCCACTATCACCGATTCGCTACAGCCACGTACAGCTACTTAATGGTACGACTGTTCCCTTCACTGCCATTCCCCTATCTCCTCCCCCATGACGAGCCACTTCAGCTTCGACCAGGACTTCTATCGTCTTTTCGAATGGACGGTAGATGTCGACGTGTGTCATGAAAATGACGCGTCTGTGGGGGCATCGCTCGATACCTTTATCGACTCCATCGAGAATAATGCAGTTGGGCTATTTGGAGTTTATGGTGTCAAGGGTGCTTTGACGAAGCTTGCGTTGGCAACATATTCTCGGGTGTTGATCATCTCCGTTAAACCTGGGACGAAAGTCAAGTCTGCCCTCGTCACGAGACGACGCCTTGAAACCGACATTCTTGCCGCATCGACAATCACCAAAGAAGGATTCCTCCTGGATTCGTTATCTTACTCGCTCTTCCACGACCTTGGTGTCCGTATCAAGCACGCATTCAACCTCACTAAGTCTTTTGGATCACCCAGCCTCCAGAATTTTATCGATGTACTGGGCGACAGGGACATCGACAATAAGGAGGCCGCCCGATCTTTGTTCAAGACTCTCGAGAAGCGCGAAGTGACCAACGCAGAAACGGCGAGGCATGCGTGGTTGACAGTTGCCAGCGGTTTGCTGCCCGACATTCAGAAGAAGAGGCCGAAAAGGATCGCAATTGATACTGTGGTAATGGATGTTCATGTGAGTGCTGCAACTCACTCGCCGATGTCTTGAATCCCTCACCTTTTCGACCAGCATCTCAAGGTTGTGTCTAAACTCCATCGTCACCAAGCCCTCCTTCGCAACCTCGTCCCCGATGTCGTTCAGAACGAAGTCTCTGGAGACGCCAAGTTCAAGGGCGGAAATATCAGCGTTGTTTCGGCCCGCTTCAAGACGAGAATTCAATACACCGGGGGCCAACAGGTTCGTCTTTCCCTGCCCGAATCCTAGGTTATATCCACTGACCAGTGACAACTATGTATTCAGACCTTGCAGCTCTGCATGAAGCAAGGCGACCGCGTCGTCAACATAGCAGCCAAAACTAAGAAAGTCGATGGTCGCTCCGTTTCAATCACCAGCTCTTCAAAGACCAAGCTTCCAGCTGCCGGCGCCCTTGTTTCGGTGAAAACCATCGGCCGCGAACCTCCAAGTAATAGTGAAGCTATACGCACTAATTTATTCGGCCAGATCCTGCAAGGCCGGTCATCCATCCTCACCAATCCCTTCGTGCGCACCATCTGGCTACCGCACGAAAAACCCAACTGGGTTCCGGTAAAAGCCATGTCATCAATGTGCTCTGGCCTGGTGCCATCATCGACGTACAACCTGAATGTGTCGCAGGTGACGGCTGTGAATGCCATCCTCTCACCGGCACAGCACGATCGTGTGGTTCTAGTGCACGGCCCCCCTGGAACGGGGAAGACGACCGTGATTGGAGCTGCCACGTACAATCTGACTTCCAGAGACCCTCAGGCATGCATATGGCTCGTCGCACATTCAAACGTGGCGGTCAAGAACATCGCGGAGAAGTTGGTCCAAATCGGGTTTGAAGACTTCCGGTTGGTGGTCTCGAAGGACTTCCATTACGATTGGTACGTTCCTCTGAGCTTGCTTCGCTTTTTTCCTTCGTCGTTCATCTTCGTCTCAGGCATGAGCACCTGTACCAGAAAGTGGAACATAGGATGATCCGTACCGATTCACTCCCCAAAACCGCAATTGAAGCCTCGCGAATGGTCCTCGGTTCTCGGGTGATTCTTTGCACCCTCACTACCCTCTTGAACGACAAACTCAGCAATATCGCACGTGTAGTCCCCGTCGAAGCCCTTGTCGTCGATGAAGCCTCCCAGATTGAGGTAGGGGACTATATTCCCATCATCAACCGATATCAGAGCACGTTGAGGAAGCTGGTTTTTATCGGGGATCACAAGCAGCGTGAGTTGGTGTAACGCTTGAATCAGGGGCGAAGAACTGACAAGGTACGCTGTAGTTGCGCCTTATGGGTCCGAAGATGTCAAGGAGCTCGAAAGTATCTTTGAGAAGGACCATTTGTGCAAACGTGCCATTATGTTGGATACCCAATGTGAGGACCATCTCGAGTCACTCACTTTCACAGGCGCAGGACTAATCACGTTCTTGCAGATCGAATGCCGATTCCGATAGGCGCCTTTATCTCGCAGCATGTTTACGGAGGAAAGTTGAAAAGCCAGCACCCGTTGAGCAGCTTTAAAACCTGCCGGTTCGTCGATGTCAAAGGTTCGAGTGAGATGAAGCGGGGCCACAGTTGGGTGGTATGTTCGTTTCGATCCCTTCTCGCAGCCATGGTTACTTAAATCCTGTCACATAGAACATTAAGGAAGTGCAAGCCGTCATTGCCCTCGCCCGAACACTCGATGCGTCGAAAATGAGTTTTAAGATCATCACCCCCTACGACCCTCAACGCTCTATGATTGAGAATCAACTCAAGCAGGAGAAGCTCCCGCACGAGGACAAATGTTTCAACGTCGACTCGTTCCAGGGTAAGCGCCCCTTCTCTTTCTCCGGTCGTTTGGTCCGGCTAACCTCCACCCGTTATTCGAACCAGGAAACGAAGCAGACTACATCATCATTTCACTCGTACGCTCCGACAAGCTTGGATTTCTCCAAGAAAGCAGGAGAGTCAACGTCATGCTTACGCGGTGCAAGAGGGGAATGGTCATTTGCACGAGCCGACATTTCGTTCAGAGCATAGCGAAGGGGTCCCTTGTTGGGAAGCTTGCCGCGACTGTTGGGGAGAAAGCCTGGATGGAATCCAAGCGAGTTCTCTATTCCAACGCAAACCCTTTCAACTAGTCTATTGTGTTATCTACTTCGACGCCCAATGTTAATTAGCATTATAAACAAGAATTGTTCGCGTCTGGCAATGGTGAATTCTCGGCGCGTCGGAGCTGGAATAGGCAAATCCATCAGGAACCGTTCCTTTTGGTCGTTCTCTTCACTCCCACAACAATCGATTAACCTACTGCCTTGAGGCCTGCTGCCACATCGCCAGGCCGCGAGGCAAGTGGCTATTCGGTTGTTGTTTCACGATGACGGAGGAAGACAACGACTCTTACGCCCAATCTACTACCTCTTGCTCGAAATCGAGGGACTCAATGCCCAATCGATCCTCCTTCACCCTCACTCAGCCCTTCATCTCAGGCCCGACTGAGAAGGTCAATCGAGGGATACCAGTTACAGTGATCAAAGAAACAGCACTCAAGCCAGAAGATCTCGTTATTTTCAACCATACCCTGCCTATCGGTGTCAGCATCGGGTTCTCAAACTCTCAAAGGAACAGAGGCAAAGTCCTAGCCGCCGCTTTCGTCGACGAGCGGAATGGGCTCCTCATCGAATTCGACGGCAAGAAAGGCGATGACTGGAGAGATAATCCAGCCGTTTCCTGTGCCACCACACGCCAATTGCTCGAGGACACCGTCCTGTGTCGCCCCGCCGGTCCGCTTGTCGGCTTCGACATGGGCCCCCTCGTGCTCTCACTCTACGCCGATTTCGGTTTTCTTGCATCCAATGCCATCGACATACAATCAGTATTCTCCCCTGATGATCGTCAGGAGCTCGCATCCATCAAGAGCGCCCTCGGTGAAGACACTCCTGGAATAAAGGAGAGTAGGATCGAGGGCATCTTCAAGACGCAATTTTATGAACACGAGGATCGCAGGACAAAGATCGAGCTGGCATCGAGGGCTTGGATCGGCCAGCACATCGTTGCTGAATGCATGGATCCCGAGCTCATCGATACAGTCCCAGCGATCGACCTCCATAAACTGGATCCAGCAAAGGTATGTGGGCTTTCATATCTCGTGCAGCTGCACCGCCGTGCTGATAGCTGATTTCATCGTAGCGAGCCATTATTATGAAACTCGCCATCGATGCCCTTCGCCTAGAGCAACTCAAACCACTAGTTACCAACCACCAATTCACCGACGTTTCTCGAAAAGAAGATGACAAAGTCGTTGCCAATTCCGCCGTATACAAGCATAAATTTCGCGGGGAAAAGGTACGCTCTTCCACCAATGACTGATTCTGTTATTCATTGGCTGATCGTTGTGGACCCCTAGTCTGTAATGGTTGCTGCACAGAGCCAGCGCGGCACATACTATGCCCAGGGCACCATTGTCGCCGGCGATGGCAGGGCCGGCGTCGTCACCACTGCACATAACACCGTCATCGACACCACCTCTATCACTGCCATTATCTCTGAGGGTCGCGAAGGCATGACTCTTGCTGATCAGAAGCGAGCCGCCGACATCCTGCGGATTCTCCAGGGCCGTATCGACCCCTCCGCCACCAGTCCCTTCTTCGCCAACATCTGGACGGTTCCGGAGGGTGGAAAATTGGCCTGGCCTGCCGAGTGGGCCAAGGAGAAGCCAACTGCCAGTTGCAATGGGAGTCTACGAAATTCATCGCCGTCGGTCAATTACAAACTCCCGCCACTCAATGCGTCTCAGCAAACTGCTATAAACCACATGCTCAGTGCTCAAGGCCGCCTCGTCATCGTTCAAGGACCTCCTGGGACAGGGAAAACCTCCGTCATTGGCACCTATGTCACGATGGCTGTCGCGAGACCCGACTTCAAGGGTCTGTGGCTCGTCGCGCAATCGAACGTCGCCGTCAAAAATATTGCTGAGAAGCTGATGTCCATCGGTTTTGATGGATGGAAATTGTTAGTGGCAGCGGGGTTTCATGATGGATGGTATGCCATTTGACTTAATTTTATTTATATACTCTGACATTGGTTAGGCATGAGCATCTCTACCATGATCCTCGATTTCGTGGTCACCTCATCAACTCGAAAAGGTTCTTGTATGTCAAAGCACGAGATCTCACTGACTGTCGAGTCATTTTATGCACCCTAAGCATGCTCAGTAACAACAAAATCCCTCTCTTCACCAAGCATATTCCGCTTCACACCCTCATTATTGATGAAGCCAGTCAGATTGAAATTGGAAACTATGTTTCTGTCTTCATGAACTTTGCTTCCCTCCGAAAAGTATGTTTTATCGGTGATCCTGAGCAATGTGAGTTTCATATTTCGGTTGCTTTTCTGTTGTCCTGACCTTTATATTGCTAGTACCACCACATGGAGAGGAAGATTTGCAGGATTTACGGAGCATCTTTGAGGTCAATCATTTAAAGAGCCGGATCATCTTTTTGAATACTCAATGTGAGTTTTTTTCCAGTTTGTTGAACCTTTACTGACATGTCTCAGATCGTATGCCACCTCAGATTGGGGAGATAGTCTCCTCATGCATCTACAACAAGCAGCTCAAATCATGGGAGAATCATCCAATCAAGGATGCATCTACTGCTTGTTACTTTGTTGATGTCACTGATGGAAGAGAAGAAAAGAATGATTCATCTTGGAAGGTGAATATTGCTAGTCCTACATCAATTTCTACCTTGCTTACAGGGCTGAAGAATACAGCTGAACAAGACATTGTTATCAAGCTTGCACAGAATCTCCAGGAAGCAGGGATGAAGTACCGGATTATCACCCCTTATGAGGGACAGACTAGTATGATTGAAAGGAGGATGAGGGAGATAGATGGCCTGTCCTGGGAAGACAAGTGCTTTAATGTTGATGCTTTTCAAGGTCTGTTTCCTTCTATATTTTACAAACATTTTTCTGATTTTACATATTCTATAGGGAATGAAGAAGACTTTATCATCATCTCTACTGTCCGCACACGGTCTCTCGGATTTTTAACCAATACCCGGCGCACTAATGTCATGCTCACTCGCTGCAAGAGAGGCATGTACATCATTACTAACAGGAAGTTCCTGGAAGGGCCTGGTGGGGACTGTCTTGTTGGAGAAATGCTTGATGCTTTGGAGGAGAAGTTTGGAGAGCAAATCTGGATGACTGTTGATGAAATCCAGGCAGGACAAGTTAGCCATTTGTGATCATGGTTTATGACCCTTTTTGCTTTTCCTGTTATTTCTGAAGTTATTGTACCTGTACTGTTGCTTTGCTAACTTTTCCGGACATGGGATTCCTTGTCCTTTCAGGAAAGGGTTTGGTTAGTCCTGATTTTATTGTTAGGATTTGATCACTCCTTTCCTGGAAGAGTAGGTGAATTTATGTCCAAACTGTTACTTTGAATTTATGTACTTGTATCCTTGGAGTGTGATGACCTAGTCCTGACTTTCACTTCTATGTATGTTTAAATAAACCCCAATATTAAAAGCACTTTAACTTGTGAATTATATGAGTTTACAAATGACTAGGAATAATCTCAGGCTCAGCAGTCGGTTGAAGCAGGAGTAACTCCTTCATCTGAAGCAATGATTCAGCAACAACACTCTTGAAGAGTTGAGTTGACGTGTGGGGGCTGTCAAACTTGGACTCAATGCCAAACTTGATGAGGCTGGGGGCAGCAAGATCTACGAAAGAAATGAAGCATCAGTATCCCACGTTTCGGGCAAAACCAGACCACGTACAGTTTATCCCATATCCATCCTCATAGGCAGCACCAAATCCGGTACCCTTGAATAAATGGCCCGCGCTGAGGCCGCTGGTGCTTAGTTTCCATGTCTGGCTGCGCGAGAATAGTTCGTCGTCGAAGAGTGCAGCCGATTCGCCGTTGGGGGGGCGAAGGAGGAGTTGGAGGCCCATGAGGTGTCGGTCGATTCCACGGCCTGTCGCTGCTTCACGTGTGAGGCGAGTATGCGTTTGGACGGCGCGTTGGAGGGCTCGAATGCGATCCTGGGACTACATGTGTCGGGTTGAGCGGAGTGCGTGAGTTGAAAGGATTGGTGAACGTACCGAAGCCTTTGGATCGTGCATGCTCAACACCCACTCTCGCGCGTCTCTCGTCAACGATCGCAAAGTCTCTGTTCGTCCGTTCTTGAACATCCGAGTCAATACGGTTTCATATGTTGCCGTGAATTCACCACGTGTCTTGTACCAGGCCAGCTGGAGTGCCATCTGGATGTACGCGTCAGGGGAGAGCTTAGCTAAGGGATTGCATGTTCAGCCATTGTCAAAAGAGACGGGGAGAGGAGGGGACTACCCATGGTCTTTATCCAATCTGTTCCGTAATCCGTGAACCATAAAACACTGTCATCGGAGTTGTTCATAATCTGGTTGGCACGTTGGCGAGCAGCATCCGACTCCTTCCATATCCTGTCATCTGCAACCCAATCCAAACGCTCCCACATTGGTTCATTCGAAGGTGCCGCTGACGATGGCTTCACGCCTTCGGCGAACTGTTCCACTTCAACTCCCTGAACAATACCGTACTCTGCGACGATACTTGGAACCAGGGCGTCGCAAGGGGAATGTTCACCCGTAGCTCCAGCGCGGGTTGAAGGGTCGACGATGAGCGTGAAGGCTTTGTCGAAGAATCGGTTTCCGACGTTGAGGGGTGTACCGCGGATGGTGTGCAAATGGGAGTCAAGGTAGGATTGTTCGAGGGTGCGGTGGTGGACTTTGAAAGGTGGAAGGTTAGCAGTGGTGGATGGAGGCGGGATGGCGTAGGTGGTATGGTCCAGGCTTAGGCCCATAACGGTGTGGAGCATGGCTTGGTGGGTTTTGCGGTTTGAGGGGTGGAGGTTCAGGAGGTGACGAAGATTCTGCTAACGCGTGAATCGGAATACAGAAGCAACAAGCAGGAATGCGACGTACAGCAGCCCATTTGTCACGGTCATCGGCGCTTAAGACGCCAATAGGGACCGCCTTCTCGCCTTTTGCCAGACGTTCTTCAACGTCGAGTACGACTGACCGAAGTTTTGCCTCAATTTCCCTCGGGGTCATCAGGACTGGATATTCATCCCCGACTGGAGGGTGGTAAACGGGTACCGCGTAGCACCAGTCGTGTACCATGACCAACAGCGAGCGGGCTTCACGGGTGGGCGTTTCTGGTGGATTGGAGAGCATGTCGCAATAAAATTCAGGTATTCGTGCAATGTTGAATAGCTTGGAGGTGCTGTTCCGGAACCAGATGCCTTGCAGTCCAGGATAAGAGATAGGTTGCGGAGAGGATGGAGCCGAGGACTAACCTGTCCGAGTAGTATCCGGCTGGATTTCTTGTCTGTGCACACATATAAATGAACTACCTTGATCAGATAGAGAAGCAAAAGAGGACGAACCGGTCAAGCTTGTCCTTGAAGTCTAAAATCCTCCACGTTAGCCATGCTGCTCGTCGAAGCTGCCAGAACGTGGTCCCAGCTCTATTGTTGCTTGTCTCTCCTTTAATTGCACTTTGAGGGATCATATCGTCTTCGAAGAAGGCCAACCACCAATTCGAGTTGACGAGGAGAGGAGCTCTCCATTCCAAGTAGGCCTTGTTAATCCAGAAGTTGTCGTCTAGCCAATTATTGGGCGAAGCCTTGTCGAGAGCTATGAACGTGTCATTAGTGGGTCGGGCGCGACGGAGACCAGTAAAGCCCACCTATGAGTCGGTCCTGAAGAACCTTGCCAATACCCTGCTCGAATTCGTCTGCCCATTTCTTCCGAAGAGTGTAGCCGGACTGGTATGACATACCACCGCGCTTTTCATCCTCAAGTAAGAACGGCTCCAACGAAGCAAGGTATTTATCCAACGTCTTTCGCAGCTCTGGAACGGGAAGGCGCGGTAAAACGGGTGGTTTTGGCTTCGACGGTGCCATCGAACTCGGTGACGATGAAGCGGGGGCGGTGGCTGTTGTCGACGTGGACCGCACTTGCATTGTGAATGGCAAGATGGCCGACTTGATTTTGCGTTTGAGCATCTCTAGTCAATGCTCTCTAGGGCAGCCAGAAATCTAGAGAATGTACAGGCCGTCCATTGTTCGTCGACGTTGGAGGTTGTAGGAGGTAGGCGTCCAAAATTATCGGCACTCGCATTCCGGAAGCAAACCGAGTTCCTTAGTCAAACACCGAGTAAATCTAATCTTATCTGCGGACCCTTTACACGAGCATCTTGACCACTGACTACCATGTCGCGGAGCCGCGTCCCTTGACTGGCGCTATCCTAGTCGCGAATTCCGACAACGTTTTCTCCGAAGGATGGGTGTAAAGTCGCTATGGACACTCTTGACCCCGGTGGGAAGGCCTGTGATGTGCGTATCGCCAATGTAGCGTCCGAATACCCCCATGCTGACCTTTGGAACCAGGCTGGAGACCGTGGAGGGCAAGGTCATGGCGATAGATTCTAGCATTTGGATATACCAGTTTCAAGCAACCATGAGAGATAAAGAAGGCCGTGGACTCGTAAATGCGCACGTCCTTGGCTTTCTACGACGAATCGCGAAACTCCTCTTCTACGGCATCAAACCGGTCTTTGTGTTCGACGGAGGGGCACCAACGCTTAAACGGGCGACCCTGGTAAGATTTTGGCACCTAGAACGATGTACTGGCTCTCTTACCTCTGCCGTAGAACGAGAGAAGGAGAAAGAAGAGCGGGGCTGCCGTGAGCCATATTAAATTGGCAGAGAAGCTCCTCGCCGCACAAATGCGACGGGAAGCGCTGAACCACGCAAAGGGAAAAGGGAAAGCCTCTGCCGACGTGCCTCCCGAGGAAATGGTATACCTGGAAGACCTTGAACCAGGTGCTCCCAGGACTCCGCCTCGCCCAAAGCCCGTCAGCACGCCCTCGTCGAGCACCAAGAAGAAGAGCAGGTTCCATGACCACGACCCGTACAAACTCCCAGAAGTCGACCTTGAGGCTGTGGTCCATAAATTGACCCAGACCTCTGCCCCAGATCCTCGACTCGCTACAGAGGAGGAACTTCGGACCTTCATCGAAGAGATGCGCCCGGAAGATTTCGATCTTAATTCACCTGCGTTCCGAGAACTGCCCACAGAAATCCAATACGAAATCGTTGGAGACCTCCGTCTCAAATCGAGGCAAACATCATTTGCGCGTTTGCAAAAGATGCTGTCCGCCTCGCGCACTCCTCTGGACTTTTCCAAACAGCAAATTGAGAACCTACGACAGAGGAACGCGCTGACGCAGCAATTGCTAATTACGACGGACAGCATTGGAAGCGCCCATATCTCTATCCCAGTTCGCATTGCCAGCGAAAGGAACAAGGAGTACGTCTTGATTAAGAACGACGATGGTTCGGGGGGATGGATCCTAGGCGTCAGAGATCCGACTGGAAACAGCAGAGATAAACCTATAGAAATTGACCAGGACGAAGTGAAAGAAGAAGAATCCGGCGATGATGATATGGAGGAAGTTGAAATGTAAGGGTTCACTCCGTACTTCAATAATGACGGGTGGTATTCACATTGTTCGCAGACCTTCCATACCAACGGTCGATCCTGATCTACGCGAGTGGCAGAGAGAGAACACCTTGGATGCACTCTCGAAGCGTCGCACCGACAAAGGCCTCGAACCTCTTCGTACCACCAAGCCCGCAACCATCCGCAAACCCAAGGTCAACTCCACTCCCCTATTCGAAATGCACGAGAGCGATTTTTCGGACGGTGAGCTCCCTCAGGCCCTGGTCCAAGAAGGGGACGAAGAGGATTTAGTTGCCTTCGCTATCCAAGAGTCCTTTGACAATGCTAAGAACAATAGCAACAGACCGGCCACCCCAAGTCAACCTATCGCAAGCTCAAGCTCGGTTAAGCTGGACTCCTGCCCTCATTCGTCATCCAATCCTAAGACACCAAGTCGCTCAGCAAGTAGACAGGATCAATCTCGACAAGACGATGATGAATACTTCGCTACAGCCAGTCGATTGCAAACCGCGCTCCGGTTTGCACATTCGCATTCGGCGACATCACCATCGCTGTTTGGCAGGCAGGGTTTACTTTCCGAGAAGCGTTCCCCTTCTAAATTGATTGTACGCGTTGAAAGTGAGTCGGACGACGACGACATGGAGCCTGTGCCTATACCCTCGGGCGAGGAGGTGGTCGAGCCCAGTGCTGCAAAGTCCACGACCCTAGCTGCAATAGAGGGAGAAGATGTTGCTGCCTCCGGTAGCGTGCTCCATCGCCACGAAATCCCTGGGCCAAAAGTCGCACCCGACAGGCGTCCTCGTCCAAGCATCCCTCCGTCTGAAAAGGGCCCTTCCATGTTTAGACCGACAGGTTTATTGCAAGCCGAGCAATTCGTTCAGAGGAATACGTCACCTTCACCCTCTTCGTCCGTCCCGGTACTTCCAGCCCAGTCCATTGTTCTCGATGACTCGGACGAGGAGATGGAAGAAGTGATTACTTTGGAAAAGCTGGCCTCACCTTCTGAGGGCCAGCAGGTCTCGTTCAGTGACAACTCGTTCACACATGACAATTTATCCGCGCCAACGACGAAAGATCCCTCTCCCCAGCCCCTTTTTGTCCCTTCCACTCGATCACCATCGCCTTCTCGTCCCGTTTCTCCCCAACCCTATCCTATGGTTGTCACAAATGAAGAAGACCATGACGACCATCCACCTGAAGATGAACATCCTCCGGAACACGAACAGGAATTCGACGCGGCCGACCTCCACGCTGAAGAGGGTGAATTCGCCAAGTTTGTTTCTCAGGTCAAGGGTCGAGATCTGGACAGTGTTCGCAGGGAAATAGACGAGGAGATTGCTACCCTTAATCAACAGAAGAGAAATGCGATGAGAGATGCAGAGGACGTGAATCAGCAGATGATAAGTCAGATCATGGTGTGTGACCTACCTCCTCTCTTTCTCAACGACCGAGTGGACTTATTTTTCTTCAAAGACAATGCTGCGGCTGTTTGGAATTCCATACATAACCGCTCCAATGGAAGCCGAAGCCCAATGTGCCGAGCTCACATCCCTCGGATTAGTTGATGGTGTTATAACCGACGATTCAGATGTCTTCCTCTTTGGTGCTTCCCGCGTCTTCAAGAACATGTTCAACCAATCGAAGACCGTCGAATGTTTCCTGCTTTCTGACCTCGAGCGTGAACTTGGGCTGGATAGGGACACACTCATCCAACTCGCTTATTTGCTAGGTAGCGATTATACAGAGGGCCTGGCAGGCGTGGGACCGGTGGTGGCTATGGAACTGGTCAGGGAGTTTCCCGGTAAGGATGGGTTGTGGAAGTTCAAAGAGTGGTGGACGAAGGTGCAAACGGGAAAGGATGGCGATGAGAGTAACACAAAGTTCAGGAAGATGTTTGTGCGTACCGCTGTTCTAATCTTTGGTGATTCTAGAGTTCTGACGACTGGAACAGAAGAAGAGATTCAAAGACCTCTATATCGCACAAGATTGGCCTAACACCGCTGTGGTAAGCTGCTTCCTCCTCCGCGTTCTCATCCGTCTTCTAACGGCGTATTTCTCAATGCCTAGCGCGACGCATACTACCACCCGACCGTCGACTCCTCTGACGAACCCTTCAAGTGGGGACTTCCCGACCTAGACGGCCTCCGCGCGTTCTTCAATTCAGAACTAGGCTGGCCTCAGTCGAAAGTAGACGAACTCCTCCTGCCCATCATTCAAAAGATGAACAAACGCTCCCAGACCAACGCACTCAACAAGCAAGGAAACTTGACCGATTTCTTTGGTGTAGGAGGTGGGAGTGGGACGATCGCACCGAGGCAGAGGCAGGCCTACGCGAGCAAGAGGTTACAGCAGGTTGTGAGTGAGTTTAGGAAGAAGAGGGGGCTGCAGCGGGAGAAGAGCAGAGGTGTGAGCGTTGGAATGGACAGCGGAGCCGAGGAAGGTGAAGGAGAGAGTGAGGGTAGTGGGCCTTCGAAACCGGTCAGGAAGAGGAAGAGGACCACGACACCTGGAAATTCAGCTGCTGGCAGCAAGAAAAGAAAGCAGGCTTCCAAAGCTCCGAAAGGCCCTCGTGGGACCAAAGGGAAGGGGAAAGGAAAGGCGACGGCTGTTGCGACCAGTGACGAAGAGGAGGGCGGAAGCGAAACAGGAGCATCGGAGGATGCTTTTGAAGAGCCTAATGTCAATATAGAAGTCCCCCTCAAGGTGGAGTTGCGTGCCCGTCCCAAACCTCGACCGCGAGCGCGACGACCTCCAGAGACCGATGAGCCAGAAGCATCCATGGACGTTTGACCTGAGTAGCGATGATATTAGATATTCTAAGTGTACACTAGATCTAATTCTAATGGTCAGTAAATACAATGTCCCATGGTACCTTACGAAGACTTTTCCGATGACGATGAGCTCGAGCCATGCTCGAATTTGTCGAAGCCCAGAGAGCTCTGGACAGCGTCGTCAGTAGCATCCGGTTCTAGATGACCAAACTTGTTGCGACGAGCCCTGAATTTCGAGTTAGTAAGCTTTTTTACAGAAAGGCGGTCGCGAGTTTGTGTGACGTACCGGAAGAAGGTGTAGGACAAGACAACGTCCTGTACATTTCGACAAGCAGGATCTTCGAGGATATCTTTGTCGATGAAGAATAGCAGGGGCATATCAATTTCTTCGCCTGCTAGTAGTTTCTGCTCTTCAAAGCAGAAACACTCGACTTTGGAGAAATACGGAGCCACCTGAACCGTTCCGAGTCACGGAATTAGCGCTTTCACCCCGGGAACACAGGTATACGACATACCCTGTCTGGTGTAACATTGTACGTTGCGATACCAATGATATCCTGCTCCGAATCGTTCTTCGCGGTATAGAACGCCAAACTTGACTCTCCCGGCAACACATTCACAAACTTTTGCTGAGGTGTAAACTTCCAAGGGAGTTGCTCGGACTTGTCAGCGTTGAAATGGACTTTAATCCTTCTTGCGTTTTCGACGGGGACGAGGCGTTCCGGCTCGAAGCGTCCTGTACCAACTTTGGGTGTTCCTGCGAAACCGGTTGCTGCACAGAACATTCGGTAGAGGGGAACGGCGGCGTAACTTGCACCGACCGCGAATAGGATCTGGGGGAGGGACGTCCTTTAAACGCCTTTCATTGGAATGAAATGGGTTCACATACAACAGCGGAGGTGTACATGAACAAAGCTTGATTCCGTTCACGATAAACCTGCTCCCTCGTCTTAAACTTTGGCCTTGGAGGTGCATTTCCAGTTAGAGGCGGAGGTGTGCTCGTCGTGGTCGTTGGTCTGGGTGCCGGCGTTGGTGTCGTTGACGCGTGTCTTCTGCACGACATCCGCCATGCTTGTTGGTAGTAGGTTTGGCGACTAGCAAAGGCAAACTGCCTCGCTGACTGGATGCCAATACCTCTAAGGAACGACATCACGAAGGGAGTTAAATGCCTCGGGGAATAAACCGTGAATTATTTCGGAAATCAAATATCGGGCAGGGGCACGTGCCAAGCCACCAGCTGCCCGCGCCAAGCAGATTTGGTCCAGTGGACTTGACTGTCGACCACCATCACGCTTGCTCGTACTTATCGCTGAGATTGGAACTTAGACGGGAATGTCGTCGACGAAACAGCCTGAAGCATCGACCTCGAAAGCAAAGGAAACTGCCCCTGACGTGGCGGACATCGATAGGTTGTTGAATAGAGAAGCGACTGCTTTCCAGAGAGAGGTCGAGGTTGAGCGGATTCTCAAAGCCTTCAAGCTCAAGTAGGTGTTCTATTATTTGCCCAGATACTCAGCCTAATGATATTTACAGCCCGTACGACATCTTAGACATAGACGAAATGTCAACAGCTGAAGAGGTCAAGAAGAGGTACAAGCAGCTGTCGCTTTGTAAGTCGTGACACCATTCTCCTTCAACTTCATTGGTAAACTGACCGCATCCCAGTCATCCATCCAGATAAATGCCCGCACCCACGCTCACCAGAGGCATTTGATATTCTCAAGAAGGTGAGTCCAGTAACTCTACTCGTACCATAGTCATTTAGACGGACCCCCCGCCGCTTCCTCCTTACAGGCCGAATCAGAGCTCTCGGATAAAGCAAAGCGAGAGGAACTAGATGCTCTCATCAATCAAGCTCGAAACAACGTCCTTAGGGCCCTCAGCCTTCCTCTGTCAACCAAACCAGATGATCCAGCCTTGAAGAACTTGACTCCGTCGTTCAAAGTTCGCCTAAGGGCGCAATCGAAGGAATTGCTCATCGAAGAAGAGGTTAGGAGGAGAAAGTACGTCATTACGCTCATTCTTTTTATTTTGAGTTCTTAATTGACTTTGGGTGAAATGTCAGGGCGATAAAGATGAACCTCGCCAACGAAGGTCTGGAGGCACGAAAGAAAGAGGAAGAGATTGCAAGCAAGAAGCGCAAAGCCGAGGAGGAAAAGGCTTGGGAAGGTGCGTCACTCCCTCTCTTGGACGACGTAATTCGCATATTAACTGACCGTCTTTGCTCCAGACAATCGAGAGGAACGGGTTGGTTCTTGGCGGAACTTCGCAGCAACCCAAGGCAAGAAGAAGAAGAAGCAGAAAATTGCTATCCTCGGCTGAGCGCAATCCTTTGCTGCTCACCCATCGTACCCTCATCCTTCCGTTCGATTTCAGGCGCCTCGCCCTTTTTATACCAACGTTCAACATACAATCACCCCCTGGCGCCCATCCACCACACCATTCGAATCCTTTGTATGTACAGTTAATTTCCGTGTACTTTTATCCTTATCTCCTGTTGGGCGCGAATGTGGGCTCATTGTAACTAGGGCTGGCGCATCTTCTCTATATGGGCGTCGTTGGCTCGTGCCATACTCTTAAATGTTAAGTGGATCTCGTTCATCCAAATCGTTGCTGATTCTTCTGTATACAGTAGGGCTGCCTCGGTGTGTGGCACAGCCCACCAGGATTCCTCTGGGAAAAGTCAAACCACTGCACGTTTGCCATTGCGTTGCTGCGCCAAGATAGCGTAAGCCTGAGACAAGACGTGAATATCTTGCTGGCGAAGTCTCAAAGCACAGCGTGACATTCATTGACGGTCGCATCGGATGACTTCTGAGGTCTCAGCCAGGGGGGCATCAAGTTTATGCATTTGATGAACAAAGTTCTTCATCCTGCTCCAACTGATGGTTACTAGACAATATCCGACGTTGAGCATATCTGACAAGGGCTCGTGAGTACAGGCGCGCTCCCCTCAGCCGTGTGCATCCCAGCAGCATGGTCTCGTTCGCTTTGGGGCAAGGTCTTTCCCTTTTGGGAAAATATGATTGATTTACTGGCCACCCTCGATCAGCGCTTGTGTCTTGAACAAGGATTTCTACATCGTCAGGTGCTGGGAGAGATGAATGTCGAAGTTTTTCTAGCTACAAATACAATGGGTGGTACAAAATACACAGATTTGAGATACGAAAGAAGGGTGTCAACCTTGTGTCTATCCAATCGTAACAGTGCCGCGCAGCTTGCTACACGGCATAGCAATACCGCTCCTTTTGCATCGAAAGACTGCTCTCCATGGAGGCCATACTCCTTGCGTCAGAGTCTCCTGAATACGCTCCGGATCTTCCAAGGCTGGTGCTCGGGTATCCACTGTACTCCTCGAAGCTTTCCTGACACACACTACAGCTACACCCTTCCTCTTCTTCGTTGGGCGTGCTTCCGTCGCCTGTGCCGCCATCATACGTCATAATCACGCTTGTGAAAATATCCCCAGTGGCCGTCTGACCTCGCCCTCTTCGGATTATCCTGGAACCTGCGTAGTAGTTGAAGGGATATAGTCGGAAATGGATGTCGGATGAGAGGGCCGGGTCGCGGAGGTTCAGGATTAGGCGCGAGACGAGGGTAGCGTAGAGGCTGTTCGTCAGAGTTACGACGTTTCCTCTTGAGTAATCCTGCGAAGCGTCAGCGCGGGTGATCCAGGGGAGAAGAACGAAGAGAGGGCCGCTCACGTCGAAAGCGTAGTAGGATACAATGACAGCCATGTTGGCGAGCATGACAACCCTGGAGATGTCCTGTTAGTACTGGATGACTGGGGAAGAAATTGAAAGGCCTGCTCACCCAAAGTACAAAGCACCATCCCTCAGGAGAATCCTCAGCACTACCGAATTCTCCTTCTGGATGATCTGAATGGATTTGTACAATGTGAGGACGAAGACGACGACTTCCGCTGACATCCCAAGGAGGATGGCAGGCATAAAACCTGTCGGCAAAAAGTTGCATCAGCATTATTTCCAGACGAGCTGTAAGCGACTGACTTTGGATGGACTCTAAAGATATGGGTAGTATACACCCCCTAGGTGGAAGTTGGCTCTCGCGGTAGGCCAGGGAAGGCGCTGTCACCAGGCCCCACTACGCGTATCCAAAAAAAAGTTGCGTTAGCACCAGGTAACGAGCGAGTAACCAGTGAGCGCAGAGGAGGCTAAGGCGTAGGAAACGCATGTAGATGCGGCGAAGTATAGAGATCCGAAGAAAGTCGCACTCACAGTTGCGCTTCCAACCACTGCCATAGCGATTGTACATAGGCAGATGAGGATTAGTCTGTTCTTTCCGTAGAGAACGTAGGTTCGGACGATGAGAATTGCTGGGTGAAGGGGAGGTGCACAGAAGGTTGTGAGTGGGACTGAGTCACTGATTTCGGGGAAAACCAGTTATACTCACCTCCCATGAGCGCTTGCGAAAGGAATACCGCGACATGGTGGAAACTTGTGAGGGCTTTACACCTACGACTAAGTGTTAACTAGGCTCTTCCCGTCCTCAAAGGTGCCTGATGACTCACGTCTACACTCCCCAAACCATCGCACAAAGTCCTCGTCAGTGCCTCTTCCTTTAGAAGTCGGCGAACGAAGCATAGTCAACGTACCAGCACTCTCCCAGGGTCTGCACTCCCCCAAAAGTACTGCACTACCAGCGCCGGGGCCAGGAGAATCGAAAAGTACCGGTGGAGGACGAACAGGATGGTGATAAGCGTGAGCTTATTCGAGCCCTTCCAGATCCAGTTTACTTCGTCGCAAAAGGTGAGGGCATAATCGTATAGGAGGATGGCTGTCAGTACCCAAATCAAATTCTTGCGTCAGTATGAGTTCAATCAATTGCTGTGATGATGGAGAGGAATGTGTTCGGAAGTGAAGACAGTAATTTAAAAGGCGATGCTTGAGATTCAATTGATGAGATAGATGGAGAGAAGGGGCGGCTGATGGAACAAGGACGAAAGGCGCCTTGATCACAAGCTTCAAAATACGTACAGAGCGAGATTGCGACGATGTACTGTGTTGGATAGCTGTGGTGCGCATGGCATAGTGGCCCAATGACGGAATGTGTCGAAGAGAAAAGCCCACTTGATTAGTATACGGGAGGAATCGAGAGAAGGCGAGACGCACACAACTGATTGGTTCACCAACGATTCCGAGCCAGATTGAACGAGTGACATAGAGCTTCGATCTCCTTCACAGAAGGGGCGCGCGTTAGTTTAACGAACGACGGAAGAATGGGTGGGCGCAGCCCAGGGTGATGATAGTGCCTGCAGAGAAGAATGAACGACAGATGACAGACGGGCGAAAAGGGGCGTCTTGACTGGGTCCCACCAGACGCGATGGAGGGGGAAGTCGACCAATGACCAATGGTCTGATCGAGTGCCACAAGTATCGAATGACCTCGTAACCGTCACTGTTCCTGGAAGGACGAGGTACTTCGTAACGAGGGGACAGCACCTCTGTTGACCTTGGGAACGAATCCAGAGCCAGGGGCAAAGTCAGACCGAAGACCTGGGAAAAGGAAGGTCCTGTAAAAAGAGAGGGCCGTCTTCGATGAATTGCTGGTAGTCTGGCGTTGGCACGGAAAAGAGACCAGCCCTGGTGGAAGGTCGAGTGCTGGAGCGTGATCGACCAATTGGAGGGGACAGACTACGTCGCGCTGTACCTCCAGGGTACCGGGTTGGTTGTCGGTAGTCAATCCTAAGTTCCACCGCGACTGTGTGAGTTGAGTGTAGAAGTCGTTCCAACCTTCCGATGATCTCGAAAACACGAAACTGCCGTGGAAAGTTCACGTAACGCCTTCTCCCCAAGATTTTTGGACCTGTATCACTGAAAGGTGGTCGTTCTCTGGGCGAGTGTAGGAAGCATCGCAACCAGGGAAAAAGCGGACCGAGGGGAATTTAAGAAAAGGGATACCGGAGAATAGGGGGAGATTGGGAATGATATGGCAGAGCTTAGTACTCACGACAACGGGTGGCGCTGAGCGCGCGGGTTCAGTTGAGATCTAGTAGGCGGTCAAGAGACAAGTAGCGCCAGCTCAGAAGGGGATCATACCTATCGTCCGTCCATATCTGGGAAACGCACTTGGGGGGACCCAATGCGAGGGAACAATCAAGCTCGTATCAGACAGTATTTATGGAGCGGACCCGGCGATATAAAATGAGCAGCGCAATAATGGAGAACATTATTGATATTCCGGAAGAGAAGACGCTGCTTTTGGAAAAATAATATGTTCTTAAAACATGTAGGTACGTACAGAGCGGTGTTGCAGGTGAAAATAGACGCTGTCATCACCCTGTCGTTGTCAACCTGATAGTAGATACCGTCATAACACTGAAAGCGTATCATGTCATGTACTCCAGGATGGCCGAGTTCGATGAAGAGTTTCAGCCAGTGGGCCAGTGGAAAGCAGTGGAAGCGCCCAAATTGATTAGATCAGATGATCCACTTATCTTATCTGATCCAGACTGATTAGCCCGCCGACCGCTTGCTGAACAGTGGAATATCGGAAAGGGTCAGGTTGGGGTCAGGCCTCAGGAGAGGTAAAGACACCAACCAATCTAAGTAATTGAGCAAAAGCACTAGCAGGGGCCTTTGGATCCCCGTTCCGCCGTAAACCTTTTATTGGCGATGCCGTGATGGGTGACATCAAGACACGCCGCCTCCGACACGCTGTTGGCTGTTGGCCAGCTTCGATGATGACCATGCACCTCGCTTAAGCCTTTTCGTCCATTTCCTCGTCCAACCACGCGCCAAGATACCCCGGATTTTGAAAATGGCAAGGCTTCGACGCGAAACGACGAGTAATGAAGGAAGCTATCTTCCTCCATCGCCAAATACCCGGCCGTTGCGCGTAGTGGCTGCCGGAACACTGTTCCAAACCCATACCCTTTCGATACCCACGCATCCCGAACCGAGTGGTGTCATTCGTGCCCACTCAGTGGAGAAGACCAGGGGAGGATCAGCTAATCTCGTATGTGCGGAGGATAGAGCACCCTGATTCGATGTACATGGCAGGCTGAGCTTAGTGTGAACAGGTTTTGTCTCTACTGGCCCAGTTTGCCAATGTCGATGCGGCTTTGGTGGCCTCATTGGGAGGTAACGAGGAGGGAAAAGCTGTTCTCAAGGAACTGGAAAGGGAAGGCGTGAACACACAGTATTGCAAGATTTGGAAGGACGCCGGCGTTCCGAGTGCTTGGGTGCTACATTCCGGTGAGTTCTTACCTAGTCTTAGGCCATGAACTGACAATGACAATGGGTTCCAAGTGAACAACGGATCTCGTTCAGTAATAAACCATAATCCATTGCCGGATATCACCCACGAGGATTTCATTTCGCTCCTTGGTCCTCTGTTGGCCCCCGAGAACTACCCAAATCTGTTCTCTCCAAGCAATAGTCCTACCATCCCAGCTTACGGATCGACTTCCTCTCTGCAGGCCAACACACCCCGACCTTCCCAGACAGGTCCCCGACCAACACCGTTCCTTCACAATCCCAATAGCCCCGCCCCTTTCGATTGGTTACATTTCGAGGGTAGATCGGTCAAGACCACCTTGAGTAACATAACCGGACTGGATGGCCTTGCACGCGAAAAGAAATGGAGAAGCCACTGTGTCTTTAGTATCGATGTTGGCCGGAGGGGCAGGCAGGGTGTGGAGGCGGTAGGTCACTCTGCTAGGGTGTGCGGATTGTCGATTGACATTCTCTACCACAGTTGATTCCTTACGCTGACGTGGTATTCTTGAATAAACATTACGCGCAAGCCCATTCGCCTCACTACGCGTCCACGCCCCGAACTTTCTTGCTCTCCCTCACATCCATCGCACCACCTCACTGCTTGCTGGTGGCGCATTGGGGAACGGAAGGCTCAGCCGTGCTCTCCCTCCCGACGAAGGAATACTTCCAGAGCTCAGGGTGGGTAGAAGAAAAGCCCCCTTCCGATGCCTACGACACCAATGGAGACCATGGGGGAAGAAACGATCCGTCACTTCGATCCGTCAGGAGCGGAAGTGATTTCTGGGCTGGAGATAGGAGCAGGACACCGTCCACCACCGCATTCACCGCTGGGGACTTCCTTTCGGACAGCGGACACGGCCATTCGACTATGAACTCGTATTCTCATCGGCATATGGGACACAATCCAAACTCGAGCGGTCAATACACAACCACGGATTATTCGCGTGACCTCTACCGCGATGACATTTCACAGAGAACGGAGACAGATGATCGAGGGAATGACGGAGTGGTCGACGAGGTTGGTGCGCACGATGCGTTTATTGCGGGGATGATCTTTGCCTTGAGTCGAAAGCTGTGTCCTGGGCTACCGTACACGCCTGCATGGTCTGGAGAGGATCCCAGTTCGTTGTCCAGTGACAATGAACGCACTAGATGGAAGTTGGATGAATGCCTCAGGTATGTGTACTTTAGCAATTCTTTGGCTTCCCCTGACTGGCCTATTCATAGGTTTGCAACCGAGCTTTCTGGCAGAAAGGCACGTCGGAAAGACTGGGCCGGGTTGGCGGAGGAGATGGTACAAGCTGGTTGGTTCGATTCGCCCTGATTACTTCTGCTACACCTCTATGAACGTAATGATTACCGGATATCTTTCTGTCTTCTCTGCTGTATGGTTTACTGTAATACTCTATACTAATCACCTAGGTCCTGTCGCCTTCAGAATATGGCGTGTATTATTCCGCTCCCAACCGCATTTCCTGCAGAGTGGCTTAGCGGTTAATGTCATGCTGGTAACCTGACGTCACTGAAACTGACCTGCACCGAACCCTATTCCTCCCGCTGCTGCCTGTGCGAGCTACAGATGAACAGGTGTCAGCTACTTTCAGACAGACTAGGATGGAATTACAGTGTTGCCAAACGTTCCACCCAAGCTTTGTTTCTTAGGTTCATTGGGCTGCATTGGAGGTAGCTGCTGTTGACTTGGAAGTGGGGCAGGTGGTCCAGGATTGACATATGCGGGAGAATTATTGGGTGGGTTATAAGGAGGTTGGGCGGGAGGAGGGTATGGTGGCGCTGTGTAGGTCGGTGTGGCTGGGGGATAGGGTCGTATACCAGGTGGATATCTCGGTCCCCCCATGTGAGCGGGTGAATTACCGGGGACGACTGGAGGGCCATTCGGTACACGCGAGACGTACGCTGAGGGAAAGAGCCCTGTTTTCCCATTGTATCTCCCTGTCCACCAATCCGCATTGGTCTCTGAAATGATATCTACAATGTCACCTTCACGGAAGGATAGGTCGTTGGGTTCCTGAATTCCGATTTAGGAAGGTTTGCAGGGGTTCTCGCTTGGTAGACGGATCACCTTGTTATCTTCGTTATAGCCCCAGATGGCCTTGGCTCGGAATAAACAAGGCGTTGGAGGTGCGGGTACCGAGGGGCGGAGTCTACTTCCTTGTTCTGTTCCCCGTTCTTTCTTTTCTGACGAAAAACTGTTTCTTTCTCCTTGGAATGACGGTCCCCTGTTTTGAACTTCGTCTGTCGGAGCCATAGCGAGGGCTGACTGAGAGCAGGTCAATTTGAAAAGGATGTCTTCCCCGTCTTTCTCGCCCATGGCCTTCCGAGCGAGCAGGTACTGAACATTCTGCTTTGTCTGAGAAAGAATAAAGTCGAGAGCGGCGTCCGGCGGGCCTGTCATTGTTGCTGGAAATAGGAGTTTTCGAACCGAAAGGGGGTGGGGAGCGAGCTCGGGGGTTTTGATGGAATTTCCATTTTGGACTGAAAGCACGGGCCGTCGGACAGGCCTGGCCACGTGAGGCTGAGCGCGGTCAGACTTGCATTCGCCGCTTGCCTCGAGTCAACCAAGTCCACCATTTACTTCCGGGATTCAGCTATTCTCCTGTGCCCGTGGCCTCGACGATGAGCACGACACCTCTCGTTCGGCCTGCACAGTCCCAGGTCTCAATAGAGCCTACAGCAAAAAACCCTCTTTCAGATGGATTCAATGTAAGTTTGGAGTTGGAATTGGCGTTCGAGTTTGCTGAATACAGTTTCTTGTGAATAGTATCCGCAGTTTCGTCTTTTGAACAAGAAGGCTAGGATATCAGTTTCGAAAGCGTATGAAGCAACGCCTGAAACGAACTATCACCTTCTTGCTATTGCGAACTCGCGCGGATGGTTTGCTGCTGCTCGGTTTGACGGCTCTTCTTATGGTGCGTCTTTTCTGGACTATTTCAATAACGCGTCTGAACTTTCCTCCTTGTAGAAATTGTTCTCTCACCTGTATCCGACCTGAGGTCTGCCTTGAAGGAGGCAAAAGAGGACAGCGACAACGACTTTAGCCCCAAACGAAGGATAGCTCTACCCCAGGGAAAGCCTAACATCCTAACATTCGCCAATCACGATACAAGCCTCCTCGTCGGAATAGAAGGAGGATCAGTACTATCATTCAACTCGTCAACGATCCTTTCACCTGGAGAAGGTCCAGTTCAACCCGAACATACGGTTCAGCTTCAATCCGCACCACTGCGACAAATTCTCCCAAATCCCGGTACAGAGCCAAACCTTGTCGACAAGGTTGCGATTGTTGGAAATGGGACCATTCAGGTTTTCAATACAAAGTTGGAACCACAGGGAGGATGGACGGCGAGCGACGCGGATACCAACCCCATGGCAGGTGTGTACGCCCAATTCGGCTCTGCGCTGACAACTCATCGCGTTTGCAGTCGCATGGTCTCCCAAAGGAAAGCACATTGCAATCGGCCTGAAATCCGGTGACATTTTGACCTACGCATTGACGAATATGACCGCACCACATAAACACATTCCGCCCACATTCCAAGGCACACTCATGTCACTCAGCTGGACAGGTCCCGGTCATACCTTCCGCACCAGCTATACCGACCCGCAAGACTCGAGCAATCTCACACTTCACGTCGTTTCAATCGACACAAAGACATCCACTGGAGTGTATTACTCGTTGACGCATCCTTTCGCGTCCGGGGACCGCACATTTCAATCACCATACACCGTCCAGTTGCCCAAATGGGATGAAGATGCAGGTACCGCCGATCATTCCAAGTCTCTTGTTGTCTATGGAGATGCGACTTCAGTTGACATTGAGATATTGGCGCACGAAGGCCACTCATGGTATCAGCAATCGCAAGAGAACCCCGTCTCTTTGCCACTCAACAAGGATGACGAGGATACAATGATGCTGTCAATGGACGCAGACTTGACGGACACGTCCCTCTCGACGCCAACAATTTACGTCTACCTCAACGATGGAACTATCCAGGGATGGTACCTCGAGCATTCCAAACCGTATCCCTTGATGGTAACAGGGACCGTCCCAGCACCACCCGCCATTCAATCAGACACCTCGATGGCAGCCGAGTCGCCTGTAAAACCAACCACCACTTCCCCCTTCGGTGCCACATCAACTTCCACAAGTGCATTTGGCCAGCCTTCCTTTGGTCAACCTGCATTCGGGTCAACGGGCTTTGGACAAGCGCCTAAACCTGCTGCTGCCCCTACAACCGGTGGCTTTGCCAGCTTCGCTGGATCTACAACGGCATTTGGCGCGGGTGCTACGACTTCGGCCTTCGGGTCACAAGCGACCATTACTAGTTCACCGTTTGGGTCTCAGAACACCAGTTCACCATTTGGATCGCAGCCATCCACGGCCGCCACGACGTCGCCCTTTGGCAATGCAGGGACGACGTCGACTTCCGCCTTTGGTTCTACTGGAACCTCAGGCTTCGGGTCCTTTGCTAACACCGGGAACTCTGGATTCGGCAGCGGCACTTCAGCATTCAGTTCCCTTGCAAATTCCACAAGTACAACAAACGTGTTTGGTGGATCGTCATTTGGTGCATCGAACAACAATAACGCCGCTGCTTCCCCTCCATCTGTATTCGGCGGTGCAGCGCCTGCCTCCGATATGACTAGGGAGGCCTCCATGGCAGATGACACCCCATCGTTTGGAGGACTCTCGTTGGGCTCCAGTAATACCACATCAAATTCGTCTAAACCCAGTGCTGGAGGGATGTTTGGCTCGTTTGGGAACTCAAATAATTCGACAACTGGGAGTGCATTCGGCAATACGACTGGAGGTGGAATCTTGAAACCAGCTACCGGGTTTGGCGCAGCTTTCGGGGCTAATCCCGACAGTCCATTTAGCAAACCTAGCGCACCTGCTGTCAGTGCGTTTGGCGCGTCAGCGACTCCAGCAACAAGTGCCTTTGCAAAACCAGCAACAGCCCCGGCTTTTGGACAGACAGGGTTCGGTACCTCATCTGCAGCGCCAGCAACTAGCACGTTTGGAAAGCCAGCCAGCGCGCCAGCTTTTGGACAGACCGGCTTCGGCACGTCGGCCTTTGGTCAGCCTTCGTTTGGTCAACCTGCCTTTGGGCAAAGCGCATTTGGCACCAAAGCTGCTGCGCCAGCAACGAGTGCTTTCGGATCCAATGCAAGCGCAGCTGGTGGTTTTGGTGCATGGGCCAGCAAGCCTGTTTCACTCACAGATGTCAAGACAGAAACTAAGGACGAGACCCCTCAGGGTGCGTTTCGTGTGGCTCATACTAGTACAGGCGCTGATAATATTACAGCTGCGGTGACTACGGAAAAGAAGGAAGAAGCACCCAAGAGCACCTTTGGTGGAGGCGGCTTCTCTGCATTTGCCGGAAAACCAAGTTCGTTTGGCAGCACTGTTCAACCAGAGAAGAAGGAAGAACCCAAGAGTGTGTTTGGCGGTGGATTCTCTGCCTTTGCTGGGCAGCCCAGTGCTTTCGGAAGCTCTGCCGAGAAGAAGGAAGAGGCGCCCAAGAGCGTATTTGGTAACGGCGGTTTCTCCGCTTTTGTGGGGCAGCCCAGCGCGTTTGGCAGCTCCTCTCAGCAGGAGAAGAAGGAGGAAACAGCCAAGAGTCCTTTCGAGAAGCCGAAGGAACCATCGACTCCAGCGAAGCCAACGCCAGCTGGCCTGACGTCGCCACCCTCCTCTCCTGAACCTGTGCCTTCCTCGCCGCCATTCGGTTCCAAGGAAAGCACACCTGCGGTTGCATTTGGAACGACACAACCCCCCAAAACACCGCCTTCTTTTGGAACATCTTCGTCGTCCGTGCTCCGTCCTGCCACCGGCTTTGGAGCGTTTGGTTCAACGACCCCGGAATCTTCGCCCTTCTTCAAGAAAGATGACAAACCGCCTACAACCTCCGCGTTTGCGCTGTCTGGAACGCCTTCAACGCCTCCTTCAGTATTTGGCCAAAAACCTGCCGCAACTACTACACCGGCATTTGGTTCTCCTTCCGCATTAGGGAGTAAGCCAATGTTTGGCGCAACTTCGGCTTTGGGTAGCACGCCAGCATTCGGTGCCCCATCGCCCTTGGGAGGAAAATCGCCGTTCGGAACTGTCAATGCTGGCTCCTCTCCTACCCCCGCTTCGACTACCAAGCCAACAACCGGTGGATTCGGCGCCTTCAGTAGTGGCCCTACTGCTTTCAGCGCCTTTGCTGCTGGATCCGCCAAGTCGTTTAGCGACGTCTTGAAGGAGAAAGGTAGCGCTGATGAAGCCAAGGAATCTGACAAGGAGAAGGCAAAGGAAGTCAAAACGGGCAAAGTTGAGGAGACCACCGCTTCACCTCCTCCCGCCAAGGCTGATAAACATGTATTTACTTTCCCGAAGGTCAAAGATGAATCTACCACCAAGGACGAAGGAAAGACCGAGGAGAAGGAGGACGTCAAGAAGGAAGAGGACCGAGGAGAGAAGGCGGAGGATACAGAAAGTGAGGGTGGCACTGACAAGCCCTTACTTTCTCCATCCATTGTCGAAATCCTCTCTGCATCGAGTTCGTATGTTAATATCGCAGAGGAGGAAGGTATTGAAGACGACCGCTCAGATGATTATGTATCTGACGAGGAAGAAGAGGATGAAGACTATGTTCCATCTTCCGGGGACGAATCTGACGAGGAAGAAGGAAGTGAAGGGGAGTCGGAAGAAGAACTCAGTCCTCCAGGGTCACCCACAGCCACTTCACCGAAGAAGGAAGTCGAACGTTCTTCGAGCACGCCTCAACCGGAAGTTCCTGATGTCAAGGTCACCCCTGCCGAGTCAACGGTTTCTGAGAAGGGGAAGGAACGAGCAGCGAGCACCACACCACCAGACACTCCTGAGAAAGAGGTGATGCGCAAAAGCCCGTCTCCTTCTCCGTCGTCGCCATTCGGAATCGGTCTTGGACGTCCGAGCACCCGGCCTGTTCGCAGTTCTCCTTTGGCTGGTACGCCTCTATCGAGCGATGACGGTCAAGAGGATGAGGACGAGACCAAGAAGCTCACACCGCCACTTCCCTCGAAAGAAGAGCCCTCGAAGGAGTCCGCAGAACCAGCTACTAAACGACCAAAGACCCCGCCCCTCCTTTCCACTTTCAGTGCTCCCGCATCAATCTCTGTGCCTCCGACCCCCGTCTTGGCACCTGCTGTCGTTCCACCCCGTCCAGCTTCCACCTCTGACACTGCCGCGAAGGCAGAGAGCCCTTCGCCAGCGTCTGTGTTTTCGAAACCTCTGTTCGGGAATACGCAACCATCCCCGTTCGGCACTTTTGGTGCGGCAGCACCCACTGCTCAGCCGAGTTCCTTCGCCACTCCACCCTCCAGTAAAGAAGCAACGCCATTCGGTTTGCCGTCATTCAGCTTGAAGCCAACTTCGTCTCCGACACCCCCAGCCGCACCTGGAAGTCTCTTTGGCAGCACAGGCGCGTTTGGCGCTAAACCCGCTTCGCCTGCACCGTCGTCCGCCCCCGCTTCCAGCACATTCGGTAGCACTGGCTTTTTCGGTACCAAACCTTCATTGCCCGCGCCCTCCACTGCGCCAGCATCCACTCCCAGTGCGCTCAGCAGTACGGGGTTCTTTGGTGCGCAACCAACACCGCCTGCTGCCGGGTCTACCAGCCTCTTCGGCAGTACGGGGGCGTTTGGTACCAAACCAGCGCCGACTGCGGTCCCGGCTGCAGGCCAGGCAACCCCCTCCCCCTTTGGGGCCTCGCCATTTGGATCAGCATTTAAATCCACCCCACAACCCGCACCCGCAACGCCTTCAGCATTCGGCGCTCCTGCACCCAAATCTGCACCACCCCCTCCTGAACTCACCATGGAGGAGGGAATGCAGAAGGAATGTGCCTTGCTGATCATGAGTATCGACAAGGAACTGGCGGAGGTTTGTCACTCCTTTTTTTCCTCGCCACGTTCCGTTACTGATGTTTTGTTAGCTTCGAAAACGCGCTCAACAGGTGAACCAGAAACGAGAAGAGTTTGGAAAGTCGGCCGGTGGATCGTGGCAGAAAGCCGACCTTGGAGATAAATCCAAGTGGGCGCTTGGTGATTTGAAGCAGTTCGGCCAAGTGATGCTGAAACTTGGAGAAGACCTCGATGAGTTGGAGAAACAGAGGGAGGAGGTCAAGCAGGCAGTTCGTGAACTGAGGAGCAGCATGTTGAAGGGTATGATTGTAGATTCTATCTTTCTGATCGGTATTGATAAAATACATTGCAGCTAATACCCGACGCGAGGAGATAATTAGGTTCAACAAAGCTCAAAACGATGCCGACTTTGCCAAAATGCTCAAGATGAGGAGTTTGGGGCCTGAGCACAGCGAATCTCAAACCCACCTGCGGAAGACCGTGAGGGTAAGCTCAAAGCCAGATCCCTTTCGCAGCCCAGCCACTTATAATACTTTCCTGCTCAGAATGTCCGTGACCGTATAACCAAATTGGAGTCGCATCTCCAGAGCTCGAAGAAAAAGCTGGCACAGGCCACCACTGGAAAGGTTTCGATCAAGTGGGTATCATTTATCCCTTCGTCCAGATCTAAGTGGCCGACCGTTTTTCAGGGCCCCGACTTTGGACATCGTGAATAGGACCTTCCGCAACATCGAGCTAGCGATTTCGCAACAAGCCGACGATGTTTCCCAACTTGTGGCCCGTGCTGCCAAGCTCAACCTCGAAGATCAACCCAGCACTCCTTCAACCCCAGCTAGGGATGCTCGCTTGCCGGATCCCGTCCGAAGACAGCCGTACAACGTCACTCCCAACGTGGCGGCTGTGACAGCTGCTGCTCTGAATGCTGAGAGGTCAGCTCATAGGCTCAAGAAGGCACTGTTGTCTGCGCGGAAGGAGCCACTGCTAAACGTCAAGGTCAACTCGGCCACTCCGCCGCCTGTAGCATTCACCTCTACCAACACACCCGCCAAGAAGCCGCCCTCTGAAGCAGCCTTTGGGGGACCAGCGGTACCGATTGACCTATCTGGAGTCGTCTTTACCCCGCCGCCTCCGTCAACATCCAGTTGGAGCCTGCCCGCAAGCGACTCCACCCCGAGTTCGCCAGTCCCAACTGGACGGCGTGGGGCCACAGTTCCCAAGAAACACAGCACGGTGCAGTTGAAGAAGACTCCAGGGACGCCTCCTACGACACCGCCTGTCCCGTCTTTCGATTGGGGACCACTTCCATCTTTCCACAACTCGCCTAGGACTACGCTAGCAGCGAGCTTTACGAAAATAGACACGACGAAAAAAGCCTAGTCGGTCTTGACGCTCTCCAGCGGCTGTAATGTTACGATCATGCCCTAGTGTACCCCTTAACCTATTTGACGACATGTATGAATGTAGTAAATGATGTGCTTCTTAACCAAGTCGAAGGTCCGTTTTGGAAGATTCAGTTCAAGGCACCCGGCATTGTTTGCACCCCGCCAAACAAAGGGCCTATGACGCCCAACTGTGGACCTCGATGTTCTCACCTCAACCATGTATCCGCCTGTCCGGAAACACCGCGCTCGCCGTTTGCCAAGAAGCATAGGAGCGACTAACAGCGACTGGTGATAATCATGTGCCCTTCCATCCTTCGAATTCAGGACAAGAATCTCCAGTGATAGATCCTTACCAAAAAAATTCCCTGTTCTGCAAGGAAACTCTAATTCAAGTGCTGTTAGCGCGTCCCACATGGTGCTGAAAAGAAGCATCGCAGGTTGCAGTTGGGATATATCTGGAATAAATCCCCAAACTTGAAAACAACCCACCTCGGCCATTCCCATATCCCCGCTCCCCTCCTGCACTGGCTGCGCGTCCCACATCCAACCCCGTCTCGTCCCTGAATGCTCCAGCTCGTTCTTCTTGAATTATGGCAGAACGATTGGTGAACATAGACGACACTGACCCTAGTGTTGTCTACAGCCCTCCTGAAGCATGGACCCCGCAGTTTATTTGCCCTGACTGTCGTTCGGCAGATGAGGTTGGAATTGTAGAGGAATCAGCTTATAATGGTGAGTTGCGCGATCCGCTGCAAACGAGTATGATGCTAATTGTCGACTTCTTGACAAGGCACTTGGACGACTGTCCAACCGGTGAGATGCTTTGGCAGTCCTTGCCCCACGTAATGATAACCGTCGTCCCTTAGACGTTCCCTCAAGCCAATATCACCCTGGAGTTCGCCGGTACGAGCATCAGTTCATTGAGGGCAGTGAATAGACATCTAATCTCCCTGAGCAGGGATAGAAGCCACGGCATTCTTTACCTTGTTCACCAACGTGCATCAAATAACAAACAGCGACCTCCCTACGTGAGTGACAATTGATATGATTTGCACAACTAGTTGAGATTGAATTCTCATCAGCGAGAACGTTGCCAATATCGCATTTTATGTAAACGAAACTCGCGTCGATCCCGCTCCTTTGCCATACAACCATTGGTGGTATCCGGATATGCCCCAAGATCCATTCATTCCAGGGCTGATTTTAATGTGGAGAGAGAGGCTTCCCCCTTGGCGGCATACAATACGCGTTGAGTACACCATTGACGTGGATGCAGGAGAGCCCCAGGTCTGGCTAGCCTTCGATAGGCTCGAATACACGTACGTGAATTTCAGCACTCTTACTACGCCTTTGTTTAATCTGGGCACAATAGCCCCGTTCCAGGAGCGGTGCTACCGCCACCCACTTCACCTCGTCCGCCACCCGTACCCAGCGAAACATCCTCCTCTGCGTCTTCCTCCACGGGTCATAGACCGACTGAGAGCAATCGCCCAATCACGGACTTGGAACCGCCTTCAAACTCAAGAGACATCCCCATGATCCTTGGACTCTCAGTTGGTCTTTCTATCTTTTCCGTGCTTGTACTCGGAGCCTTTCTGTTCTGGTTCTATCGACGGCGAAAGTCCAGGCGCCAACCCCCGCCGCCCACTGCAAACTATGTCCATCCGGACAGCATAGACGCCGAAGATGTCCCGCCTCCACGGTACCGTGAGCCTCGTCTCACACAAGTCCCCACCGCCAGTACTACCACCGAGTTCGATCCTTTGAACTTGTACGGTGGGAGTAGTGCCGGTGACCCGACATTGTCGAGCTTGCATTCCCCAGGCTCAGCGACCACATCCTCCCCGGTGTACTACCAGAAATCTTCCTTGGGGCCACTATCCAGTGCTGTCCCATTATCTGCCTCCAATTACAGTCCGACGAGAAGCGGAACGGACTTAAGCTACGTGCCTCACACCCCTGCCCCGGTCTCGCCGTCGACATCATCCGGGCCAGCGTCTCAATATAGTAGCGGAAAGAACGAGAAAACGCCTTTGCGCTTCTTGGTTCCTTCAAACCCAAGCGAAGATGACAGGAGCAGTATTGCGTCGCGAGGAGCAGGAAGAGTTCAAGGGCCTCGTTCGATGGCAGCAAGTACCTCAATGCATGTGCCGAGGACGAGACCTCCCTCTTATACCAGTGAGGGCTACAGATCCTGACCTGATTTTGTTAATGTTGTACAATATTGTTCGTCTAAGTATACATCGAGTATGCCCGGACATGGGAGCTACATACCCCGGTGGAACCCAATAAGTAATCCCTGAACAAATTACTTGGACTTCTCTTCCTCCTTCCCCTCTGAAGATTCTGATTTTTTATCGAACGGATCGTCGATGATTGATTCGAGGTGGGCAAGGGCAGCCTGACCGAGAGGAGAGCGTGCGATGGAACCAGAAAGAAAAAAAAGTTGGTCTAGTATGGCGCATATCTATTATCATTGAGGAAATCACTGCGAACCTTGCCTACTTCGCTCAATTCCTGGTCTCCGTCTCCCGTAAACACTTCGAAGGTGGAATCGCTGGCGATGAATGCCGAGTCATCCATATCATCGTCCTCATCCATCTTGTCAGGGTGTAATGATGCACAATCTGACAAGGCTTCGAAGATGGGATCGACTATGTCCCTCGGTCAGTGTACGGATTTTGATAAGATGAAGAAGACACAGCACGCACGGGAATCCGATGAAGAGGGAATGATGCTCAGTTCACGAACATCAGTGTATTCCTGCTCTTCGGCAGCCTCTTCGTCGCCGTTGGCGCCAGCTCCATTTGTCGACGGTTCAGTAGCCACTACAAGATTTTCTTCATCAAGTTGACAGTAGATTGACGGTTTTGAACCGCTCTTGGAAACTGCGTGGAGTGTGATGGAAGGGTATTCGACTTGGAAAGCCTTTCCCGTAGAAGACACAAAGACAAGGACACTGCTCGGTGATCAATACAGTTCGACAGCTGATACAAGTGCGACATACCTTGTCAGAACCAACAGAGTTCCACTCGCCGCGTCTTGCTCGGTGAATCCTTCGACTGGAGGCTCCAAGACCACGGAAACGTTATCTCCCTTCCATTTCACGACCGGCGGGAGATCATTAAACGAGCTTGGTGTCGATTGAATCAGACTTTTGTATTCCTCTTCGCTCACGAAGGTGGGCACGGTCTCGATGAGCGTAACAGCCGGCATTTTGAAGTTGGAAGAGTGAGAAGGATAGAGTTGCAGAGTTTTGATCAATGATTGGAGGTGTCTTGTTATGGCATCCTCCGGCTTGGTAATTGACGTCCACCATCGCCCGTCGCGTCGCGCTCGCTGTTCTCGACGATGGACAAAGACAATCGCGACGACTTTACTTTCGCTAGGCTTTCTGACTTGAAGCTACCGGTTACCTTTCGAATGTAAGTCTTCAATGTCGATTCATCGTTCCCTGTGAAGTAATGACACGGGCGCTTCAGATCCCAATTAGAGGGAATCCGCAAACCCAAGTCGTTCACCGAAGTTCTAGAGAACCCAGACCTCAGGTTTCACGGCGTACAGCAAGCGTATGTGCGTCTTCTACCCCAAACTGGTCAAAGTGAATGACACGAATGCCCTGTTCCTTTCCAAGAACACTTTCAGACCTCTATGTCACCTGCCAGCTTATTGCCGACAACAAGCCACTTACAATCCCATATCGAACGCCATTCAAAGCCTTCAAGAACTCTTATACGTGCGATAACTTCCTTATGGGACAATGTGACTCTGAGCTGAAACGACATGAAGGTGGAATGAATGGATAACCTTTCCCGTTCGATACTGCGACCTACCGGCGAGCTCTCAGATCACCTTTACTGTCTGGGATATTGGAGGACCAAGAACCGCTGTTCCCGTAGGCGGCTCTACATTCCGATTGTTTGGCAAGAAATGGTGCGTGGCTCTACTGTCCAAGTTTCGCTGAATCATGACCGTTGCTTTAGGACGCTGCGAAGGGGGAAGCATCGGCTACTCCTTTGGCCAGGTGTCGAGGCCGACGGGTCCGTTGAAACGACAACGCCCAGCAAACTGGCGATCAGGGATGAAATGGGGAGGCTAGAGAAGGTGAGCAGATTCCGTCTTTCGATTGCACCGTCTCACAATCCGCACAGTTAGTCAAAAAGTACGAACGCGGGGATCTACCCAAGAACGACTGGTTGGATACCATGGCATTCAGGAAGATGGAGGAGATCCACGCAGTGCGCATTCTCTCCCTCCCTTTTTGGTCGTTGAACAGAGATCCTTACTCCGTCGAGTCACCAGGCTGAAACGGAGAAGTCAGAGAACCTGTTCCTGTACATCGACCTACCGAGGTTCGACTTTCCCGTAATCTTCTGTGAACCGGAGCCAGTTGCATCCACTTCGGCCGCTGCTACCACAACGACTACGACTTTGACGACTGTAACCCAGGCACCGTCTGCCCCTCAGATCTCCGCAACCTTTGTGAACGATCCTAGCCTCTGGGGTGTAGTTGATCCAGATATCACCAACGAGAACCCGGTGGAGGACAAGCACCGTCGACTGGTTCGAAGCCACAGAAGTAGCCCCTACGATCGTGAACTCAAACCCAATGCCAAGATTCGTGACGAACTAACAGTGCGTCTTTGGCCTGGCTTTTCCTTGGTTCATGCTAAATCTGGACTTTACAGCATATTCTCAACTATTCCCCAAGCCAGCAATTGACATCGGAAGAGAAGGATCTCATCTGGAAATTCCGTTTCTATCTCGCTAGGGACAAGCGTGGCCTGACCAAGTTCCTGAAATCTGTAACGTGGAGAGATTCTTCGGAAGTCAAGCAGGCCGTCGAGGAACTACTTCCCCAGTGGACAGAGATTGACACGGACGATGCATTAGAGCTACTTGGTCCGAGTACTGTAGACTCGCGAGTCCGAGCATTCGCTGTAAAGCAATTGAGCAGAGCAGACGACGACGTAAGTAACGCTCGCTTTACTCAAGCATGGATCTGATTTGATCTTTTTCCTTCAGGAACTGCTGGGATACCTATTGCAATTAGTTCAAGCGCTTAAGTTTGAAAGCGCAGCCAGTGAGCAGCGATCCTCTAGGACGACGACAAGTGCAATATCATATGACGACAGTGGTCTAACGGATTTCCTGATCGCTCGGGGAGTCAGGAATCCGATAATGGGCAACCGCCTGTATTGGTATTTGATGGTGGAGGTTGCACTGGAGGACCGTGTCATGGCTAAAATGTACGGTCGTGTCGTCTTCAAGTTCATGAATAAGATCCTGGAGGTTCGTGTCTTTCAGTGGCGTAGCTCGTCCGAGCCTGACGATTTGCACAGGCAGAGGGTGGTTCAGAACGCCGAGAACTCATGCGACGACAGGGTCTCTTGGTCGACACACTCGCCAAGCGTGCTCGTGAACTGCGGATATCCAAAGACCCCCGTCCAAAGAAGATCGAGAAACTCCGTGCACTCATCTCGGATTCCAAGAATAACCTCGCCTCTATGCCACCATTACCTCTGCCTCTAAACGCCAAGATCGAGGTGACGGGGATCATCCCAGAGAAGTCATCCGTGTTCAAATCGAACCTCTACCCTCTCCTTCTATATTTCCAATGTTCGGACGGCTCAGAGTACCCGGTTATTTTCAAGGACGGTGACGACATGCGGCAAGATCAGCTCGTTATTCAGCTCTTTACTCTCATGGATCAACTCCTGAGGAAGGAGAATCTGGACCTGAAACTGAGTCCGTATGACGTCCTGGCCACCGGTCCCCTTCAAGGAATGGTCCAATTCATACCGAGCAAGACCATCGCTGCAATTGTCAGCGAACATGGAAATGTGCTGAATTACCTCAGGGTCAACAATCCCGATGAGGGTAGCGTTGGGACGTCTGGTGTCGAACCAAGCGTGATTGACACATTTGTTCGCAGTTGTGGTACGTTGCTTCATTCTTGGATATCGAGTGCGTACTCATTGTCGATGTAGCTGGCTATTGCGTTGTAACATATATCCTTGGAGTTGGAGATCGCCATTTGGACAACCTTCTCATTGCACCTGATGGTAAGCCCTGACAGCCGGCCCCTGGCGCTCAGGACGCACGATTGACATGCCCATACAGGTCACTTCTTCCATGTCGACTTCGGCTACATCCTCGGACGAGATCCCAAACCTTTCCCACCAGCCGTTAAAGTTTGTAAAGAGATGGTCGATGGCATGGGCGGCGCGCAATCCCCTCACTACATGCGCTTCAAGAACTACTGCTTTACCGCCTTCAGCATTCTCCGGAAGAGCGCCAATCTCATCCTCAACTTGGTCGCCCTTATGGTCGACGCCAATATCCCAGACATCAAGCACCGAGACGTACATGAACAGATCCAGGAGAAGTTTAGGCTGGACTTGAGCGAGGAAGATGCCATCAAGCACTTTGAGACTCTGTTGAACGAGACGTCTTATTTCACCGTTGTGTTGGATAGGATTCATGATCTGGCACAGTATTGGCGAAGCTAGGCTGTATTCCCTTCTGTTATTTGTTTCTTGCCGTAGATGCTATAATATCTAATAGCCATGTATATTAGTTTGACAGGACTGACCATATCCTATCCTCTAGAGATCTAATAACGGCTGGAGTGGTGTTTAGGCTCGTCATAAAGTATCCAACATTGCCCAGGGTCCGGTAGTTGACTCCATAAGGTGCACCACCAGGTGCTGGTGATAAATTCCCTTTCTGCTCGGAAGGCCCCTTCAATGGTTGCAGTAGATTTTGGGCGAAGAAAGACGTGTAGCCTGAATTGGGAGGTGAACTGACCATTCAGCCGTCTTCGAGCACCAACAACTCACCTTTGGCAGGATCCTTGAAATCGATTGCCAATACGCTACCCAACGCCATCACCTCATTAACTGACGGAAGCTTGGAGATTTCAGTAACAAACTGAGGATCCCATAGACTCCAGACAGTGCTCTCCTCTCCCTCAGCAGGTGCCCACTTCTCCCTCGCCTTTTTCCACTCCTCGCTCTTCGCAAGTTTCTCGATCTGAATTAGCGTCTCGTTTGCCACTTCACACCCAATAGGATGAGCAGTGTACGAGTGACCATGCAGAAGGGCCTCGGCCTTCTTGTCGCTCAAGAACGCCTCGAAGATAGATTTAGACGCCAATGTGACGGAAAGAGGGATAAGTCCACCGGTGAGTACTTTGGCATTGACGGAGATGTCGGGGTTGACGCCAAGGAGTGGGCCAGCACTCGGGACGCCGATGCGATAGAGGCCGGTGAAGACTTCATCGAAGATGACGGGCATGCCAGACCACTGGGAGGAAGACCTGGAACGACGACCGCGGACGGTGTCGACCAAGATGCGCTGGAAGAGGGGATCCACGAAGATCATCCCACCTGCACCTAGGACGAGAGGCTCAATCACCAGTGCTGCCAGCTTGGTCCCCTTCTCCTGAAGGGTATCGAGGACGCGTCGAATCTGGAATGCATATGCTCTACCAAGAGGTGTGTTAATCCGCTCCTCGACGTTGTAAACCCAGGACAACGAGGGTGCTTTGGTAACGTGAGGTTTCTGGGAAGACGATAGGGAACCCGGGACTGTAATCGTTACTTCGCTGTTCTGAATGCCAATCTTGGGTGGTTCGAACCAGTATCCTTTCGCTTCATGCCATTCACAGGTGTACACACCCTCCTCGGATGCGTCCATTGCGCCAATAGTATCGCCGTGGTAGCTACCTTTGAGACCCAGGATCCCGAGGTGTTTCTTCTCCTGGCTTGTCAGCTCGGCACCGTTTCGTATCGACCATGCGCGCAATGCCATCTTGATGGCGACCTCCATTCCGGTGGAGCCATTGTCTGAGAAGAACACCCGGGACGCCCAGCCCTTTCCGGGTCCTGTGGTCAAGAGTCGCTCGGCAAGTTTGAGAGCCGGAAGGTGGGTTGCTTGAGGGAACATAACGTGGCCGTATCTCCCACTGGCGCGTGCGGCGGCCATGGTCAGGGCTGGGTGTGCATGGCCCAAAGTCTGTGTCCACCATGAAGCTGACCCATCGAATTCGGGATGCAACAAGCTTTTGGATGGAGGGGAGTCGGACTTGTTTTGTGCGACGCTAAAGTAGTCCTTGTACGCGCTGTCGATAACGGTGACGTCTTGCTTTCCCCTCACCGTTCCGTGTTGGACAAATGGCCACCAAATGCTGTTGAGTGTCCGCCCAGGCATAGATTCCAATTCCTGTACACGTATGGCGTGTCGCGCGTCAAGATAATCGACCAGTCGTGAAATGCTATTTTCTTCATTGGACGATGTGATTGCATCGTAGTATTCCTCCGTCGCGGTGCGGTCTGCAGCTGGATCCGAGTGCCGGGGAGGTGGAGGGTCCACCGCGGCGACGTGCACACCCTTTTCCTTGAAGTACTCGGTGAGATACTCCCAGTTCCTGTAGTATTCGTCTCTGAACATGACTACCGCGTCGACGATGAACCCTCTCATCAACAGCGACTCGTAGCCGGAGATAGTGGACGATATTCCTCCAAGTTTGGAATCGCCGACGAGAATGGTTGGCAAGAACAGAGGTCGATATGCGTCGGCTTGGGTTGTACCAGAAAGCGTAGGGCTGTGTACACCTGAAAGCCGTTCGACCGATTAATATAACGTGCTTCTTTGCAGTAAGAGGTCGCTCCCACCTCCTGCCGTTTCGATGTACATATGGCCCGGCCTCGAGCTTTTGGCTGCGTGTTCTCGGATACGGTTGGCGATGGAGCCAACCAGGGCATCGTCGGAGGGAATCTATACCCAAAACTATCAACAAACCACAAGTCGCGTAGCACCCGGAAACACACACCAGACTGTTATTCTCCGAAGTCTTCCTCTTTGCGGCCAGATGAGGACTGACCGGGTCATCGTATCGAAACAAGCATTCGGAATGAATCAAGTTGGACGCTTTTCCTCCATGTCGAACGATATGACTGCAGAATTTCGTCCCTCAGTCCTACCCCAAGAACACGAAAGGTACTACTCACTGGTCATCGGCATCCTCAATCGCGCCTGTGCTCACAGGCTTGAGGTAGAAAACAGGGAACTTTTTCTTGGTCGACGCCCTCGCAAGTGCTGTTGTCAGGACGGTCTTCCCAACCTCTGTGTTCGCACCAAAGATTTGGTGGATTCGTAGGTGCTTGTACAGGGAAGACATCGGACAGTTCACCGGCTGCAGAGATCATTTGCCCCAGCGTCTTTTACATCCTCCGGCTTTTGATGGCTGATCGTGACGCCGGCGGAACGAGGAAGCAAGGCGACAATGTCTTTCAGATGGGAGCATAGCTCAGTTGGGAGAGCAGTAGACTGAAGTTCTAAAGGTCCCGCGTTCGATCCGCGGTGGTCCCATTTTTTGTTTTCACGTTTTGCCATTGGTTCACGCGCATGTAGACTGTGATCCCCCTGTACCTGTAGAACATTCGATGACGAAGTCGTTCAAGAAAACAAGCCTGATCTACGCGTTTAACATGCCTCAATAAAACTGCAATGTTGCTCCAAGCCATAGACATCAATAATTAAAGCGAACTTGACCAAGATTAGTACTGCAGACCTGACTTGTATGACAAAGGTCCTTATGTGCTCCTAGACATTTAACTGAGGTAGTAGTGGTCGTTGTGAATGGTTAGGTTAGGACGGGCAAGACGGCAAGAATCCAAAAATTCTGCAAGACTCCAATTCCCCGATGGCCCAATTCATATGTCACAGTGCGGATGCGAATTCCCTTTAAGCTCGATTGACCTCACTGCTGCAACCTTCGGCGCGTGAAAGCCCTCGCATCTACAACGGGCGCCGAGCTTGCAGTCTGTTGCTTCTTCGCGCCAGCCGGTTTAGGCACTGAGCAATTCACGCCAGCCAAATAAGCCTCACTCCACCCCTCAAAGTCTCTCTCCGCAATTTCAAACGTTACCCCGCATTGAGTCAGATGGACGACGATATCGTGGAAAGTTAGTGATCGTTGGTCAAATGGCCTGTATGAGGGCCCTGCGTTGCCAGGAGTGTGGCCTTGATTCGAAGCGATCGTTAAACCCAGTTCTCGGACTCGCTGTTGGTACAATCCTGGCTGGGAGAACAACTCGGCCATGAGAGCCTTGAAAAGCGGTTTTGGGGGCTGGGGTTTGGCGATACCCTCAGCTTCCAAATCCATGACGACAGTACTAGAGCCGGCAGTGGGTTGCGAAGGAGGTTGAAGAGGAGGGGACCTTGGCTCCGTCGTCTCAGGAATGTAATCACTCCTTGGACACATTTTGGCCACAGCCCTATCTGCTCGTAGATCGGTTATCAGTGGGCCTCCCTGGGTGTCCTGTCGCACCCCTCGCGGCCAGGAAGCAAGGTTCGCTTTGTAGTACTTGTACCACACGGATACATCGTCGTCGAGGGTGGGGTTGGACATGCCAGAGTGCCGACGGTGGTGGCCAGACCCAGTGCCTCTGGCTGACGTCGGAGATGATGGACCTGCGTTTGGGGAGAGTTGTTGCTGTTGTTGTTGCTGCTGCTGCTGCTGAGAATGGCCACTGCGTCGTGGTGATGTCGCCGCTGCCGCTGTCGAGCGCTGATTTGACGCCCCTGTTTGGGTTTTAGGTGATGTCGGGAGGGCTGCCGAGAGCGCGGCGCATGTCCGGGTAGGCAACAACGGAGGGCGAGACGAATAGTATGTTTCGCGATCGATAGGGGATACAGCTCGAACGAATTCGTTGTCACGAGAGACCAGTTCGCAAGTTAGGTTCCTAGAAGATTGGGTGACTGCTGCATTTCCTTGGTTCACATCCGTGGAGACCTGTAGCGCGGGTGCGCTAGACCCACTTGATTTCAAGGTAGATGACAAGCCACTCCGATTCGCCTGGAGGATCATAATTTCCTTTTTGGCATTGTCGAGTTGGGCATTCAAAAGGGAGACCAAGGCCCTCAAGTGTTGATTGTCTTCGCTCCCTCGACGTAATCCTTCACCTAGGCCCTCTTCGCGAGCAGCGCTATAAATGAGGCTAAAGAGAAAAGGGATATCTAACCGACGCGTGTGGCCTTTATGTATGTGTGGCAAGAGATGCTGAATGTGTGCCCTACATTCACCGCAGGGGGAACTGTGCAAGAGACCGTAATCGAAGTCGTAAGCGACCTCGTTCAAGTTCCGTTCGAGGTGGTTGTTGTGGATGTCGACGGTGGGCCAGGATTGCATGTTGTAGTCTTGCAACCACCCAGGTTTGTCAGGAGGCCAATTTGAAGTACGCGACGTGTAAAGATTGCGGTTTATCCATGTAGTAGTGTCCATGAGTACTTTGGGATGGTTGGGAATTCTGCTCGTTCCTCTGGTATTTATACCTCAAGTGAGGTGAAGTGAAGCAATCGGGGACGCTGCCCAAAACAGGGCAAAAGGTCGCGACGAGACCCCAAGCCCGATTTCTTGATCGCCAAGACGACAACTAGCTTCTTCGCTCGAGTGACTCCAGTCAACCCTAGAGCACAGCAGCTCTATGATCTTCAAGGTTCACGACGCGAACTAAAGTCATTGTAGAAACCCGCATGCGATTAGTGATGTGAATATGTGCACCAGTAGGTACTTTTGCGAATTACAACAGAAAAGCGAGAAAGGAATGCTAGAAGAAACGAATACAACTACAGCTCAACCCCCAAATCCCCAATCCGCGCGTTTACTCAGACTCAGGCTTGTAGTCAGGTCGCAATGAGCGGACGACCTTGCCGGCACGCCAGATCTCTTGGTTGTCAATGACAGCAAGCTCCTTGGCGAGATCTTCACGGTACGTTGAGCGACCGTTGAATTCGAGGGATTTGCGGGTCTCAGTGCCGTTCCTCACGCTCTCGTAGAGCTGCTCGAAGATAGGAAGGTTGGCCTTCTCGAAGATGGGGGCCCAGTCGAGAGCACCTCGGCGTGCGGTGGTGGAGCAGGCGTTGTACATGTAGTCCATACTATTAAAAGCGTGAGAACGAGTTCACACGGAGGATGAGAGAAACATCACATACCCCTTCTGGCCAATCAAGGGGTACAGGGATTGAGTGGCCTCCTCAACGGTCTCGTTGAAAGCCTCTGAGGGGGTGTGGCCATTCTTGCGGAGGACCTGGTATTGAGCCAAGAAGAGACCTTGGATGGCACCCATGAGCTGTAAAAGAGTGATGGGTAAGAACGGAGACTTTCGGGTGAAATAAAAGGACACGTACGACACCACGTTCACCGTACAAGTCAGAGTAGACCTCCTTCTCGAAGGTGGTCTCGTACATGTAGCCGGAGCCAACGGCAACACCGAGGGCAATGGCCTTCTCCTTGGCCTTGCCGGTGACATCTTGCCAGACAGCGATGGAGGAGTTAATACCACGGCCCTCCTTGAAGAGAGTTCGGACGGTGCGGCCAGAGCCCTTGGGGGCGACGAGGATAACGTCGACGTCCTTGGGGGGAACAACCTTGGTATCCTCCTTGTAGACGACGGAGAAACCATGGGAGAAGTAGAGGGTCTTGCCCTTGGTAATAAGAGGGGCAAGCTCAGGCCAGGTCTGGGACTGAGCAGCATCAGAGAGCAAGTTCATGATGATAGTTCCCCGGTTAATGGCCTCCTCAATGGGGAAGAGAGTCTCTCCTGGCACCTGAAAGAACGAGTCAGAGGACGTGTCGCGTCGGGGACGTGGCAGGAAACACGCACCCATCCGTCACCAATGGCTTGCTTCCAGCTCTCACCACCCTCACGAACACCGACGATGACGTTCAAGCCGTTGTCGCGGGCGTTGAGACTTTGGCCGTGGCCTTGGGAGCCGTAGCCAATCATGGCGAGGGTGTCATTCTTGAAGTATTCCTGGAGTTTGGGAAGAGGCCAGTCGCTTCGCTCGTAGACGGTCTCCTTGGTGCCGGCAAAGTCAAGAGTCTTGACACCACGGGCTCCCTACATGGGATTAGACTGTGCTCGTTGTGTGAAACACGTTGGAGAACGTACCTGCACGGCAGAGACGCCAGCTGGTGTTGCGGCAGAGGCCCTGTTGACGGCGGCGCGGGCGAGCAAAGAGTATTTTGCAGACTGAGTCGCAGGGCGAACTGCAGCCTTTGCCAGAGAGCGGCGCAGGGACTGGGAGGCGGAGCGAGCAGCGATGGAGGCCATTTTGGATGAGGTGTCAGGTGAAGGAGCGTTTTCCGTCCGCCCGTCCTTAAGTTTTTAACCCATTTCCGCTTATGGAAATGACTCAACACTCGGCCGACACACGGTCCAGTCCCGAGAATCACCGAATTTCAGCCTTCTGCCCTCAATTTGTGTCGCTTGCGATCCTCGAGGCCGAAAATTCGAACAGGGTTCGTGCGCATAATTGAGCGAGCATGATTTGTCCGCCAACGAGAATCCCGAAACCTCGCCTTGGCGCTAAAAAATACCGTATAGCCCCGAATGTGCAACGTTAATATACAAAGTGTCTTCTCCACGTTGCTAAACGCCGTCGAGTGCCTTGGAGAAGCTCTGCAACTTATGGCCATGAATCCGACATTGAGGCCCAAAGCCGTGTTCCGTAGCGAGCAGTGTGGAGAGAACTGATCGAGACCCCGGAAGGCCATCAGCGCCATGCGTTCACATGAACAACGGCAAGCGCATAGGCGACATATCTTGGACGACGACGACGACCAGGCTTGCCCTGATCACTTCCAACGATGCTGCGAGCCTCACGTATTCTGCGAGGACCGTGCAGACCGCTGCTGCGGGGATGTGCACCCGTAATTCAGGGTTCATACGTATGTGCAGGCTGTTCGTTTACCGGCAAAACTTCATGCTCATCAAGGCCATCCGCCACAGCGATCAAGGCTGGTGTCACCCGTCCAGGCTAAGGGCAAGACTCCATCGCATAGCAGGCTCCTCGCTACTGTTGCACAAGCAGCAGCAGAAGCACAGCGGCCGCAACCCGAGGCTGCATCGGAGGAGCTCCCGATTGTGAGTAGCGATGAAAAGCAGGTCGCGGTCGGGTGGGATACCCGAACTTGGTCTCGGTTGTAAGTTGTCTCCTTGCAATCTGCATTCCGCGAAATCCATCTTGTTAATGATAACAGCCATAACATATGGCTCCGCGACCACTGCCGATGCCCGAAATGCTTCCATCACATCACAAAGCAGCGTCTCCAGAGCACATTCGAGGTGCGAGCCATACACCTTCTCTGTCGGCCCTCTGGCTTACCGACGTCTTCTAGATACCGGCAGACATTGCTCCTCTTCGCGTCGAACCAAAGGCTGAAGGTTTGGAAGTCGTATGTAAGTCCCCAAGTCTTCGATATCCCACCTTCAATCTCACACGGAGACGGATAGGGAACAGCTCCGATAACCACACATCACTATATCCCTGGACATGGCTTCGAGCCAATTCTTACGATCCTCCGTTGAAGGAGAAGAGACCGGATGAGACGGAGAAGATTCTATGGGGCTCCAAGATTGAGAAGGCGCCACCGACGGTTGCATACGAAGAAGTCATGCAATCGGACGCAGGCTTATTCAAATGGCTGTCCAATATCGTAAGTCCTGCTTTACTGCTATTATTCTGACGTTCTTAACATCCATATGCAGGACCGGTTCGGGTTCTCTTTCGTCTCCGGTGTCCCTGCGACCCCAGAAGCTACCGAAGAACTGAGTGAGAAGATTGGATTTATCCGCGAAACTCAATGTACGTAGCTTTTGGCCCTCCAATTCCATTCTGGATCTTATATTTGCCAACCAGATGGTAAATTCTGGGATTTCACCTCCGACCTCGCCAAAGGCGACACAGCATATACCACGCTCGCATTAGGCGCCCACACCGATAACACCTACTTTGTACGTCTCCCTTCCCACCACTTCCTATCTCACTAACCCAAAAGCACAGACCGACCCATGCGGCCTCCAACTCTTCCACCTCCTCTCACACACCGAAGGAACAGGTGGTTCCACCCTCCTCGTCGATGGCTTCTACGTCGCGTCCATCCTCAAAGAGCTCAACCCTTCCGCGTACCGTCTCCTCTCAACCATCCCTGTCCCCGCCCATGCCGCCGGCGAGCCAGATTGCTTGTACAGGCCCAGTCCGTTTGTCGGGTATCCGACCTTGGGACACGATCCCTGGACAAAGGAACTCGTGCAAGTTCGGTGGAACAACGATGATAGGTCTGTTATGAGCCATCTTGAACCCAGTCTCGTCGAGGAGTGGTACGAAGCTATCCGTCTTTGGAACCAATGTCTGAAGAGCCCGGATTCTGAGTATTGGGTGCAACTAACACCTGGCACCGCAGTCGGTGCGTAACGTCATCCTTCTCTCCCAACTGCCTAACTAATACTTTCGTACAGTCGTCGACAATCACCGTGTCCTCCATGGCCGCTCTTCATTCAGCGGCAAACGCCGCATGTGCGGAGCTTACATCGGTGTGGACGAGTACCGCAGTAAACTTGCTGTCCTCAGCGAGAAGTATGCTCCTGACACTGTGCTTCGTGCCACGGAGGCCCTGCCAGACACTGTAGTGAACGGTCGCAACATCTGGAACCTCGCGCTCTAAAGCCCGAGCCTTCCGAAGACGAATCTAACCTACCTTATATGTACTCACGAATTGTAATGTGTTCTTTACGAATGTACTCATGAACTATCTCGTCAATCGGAGAAAAATCCAAAATAATTTCCATTAGTTATGTGTAAAGAGTTGCTAGATGCAGGAAGCATAATGGAAGCCCCTTCCGATCTACGCAGAAGCAGCAGCCTCCTTTTGAATCTCCTTGAGGATATACCCCTCCAGACCACCGCACAACCACAACTCCTGCACGCTAGCGCCAACGGGCTTCACCTTGTACACCTTCTCCACACCACCCGTCGTAACAGTAACGTTCCCATTCTCCATATTCACAACAACCTGCAAGCCCTTGTCCACAGTCAACTCCCCGTCCTTGCCACCCGCGCCCCGCTTGCCATCTTTGGTATACGCAGCGGTGAGGTCCGCAACAAGCTCAGGGCTCTCGAGACACACCAACCCGTTGTTGATCGCGTTGCGCTTGAAGATGTCACCAAAGGAGCCAGCGATGACCAACGGGACACCAGCAGACTTCAATGCTGTCGCAGCTTGCTCGCGGGAGGACCCTGTACCAAAGTTGTACCCTGCAACCAACACCACGCCGGGCTTCACACTCGATCCTTCAGAGGTGCTGAATCCTTTGCGGAGCGAGGCGACGAGAGAAGCAAAGCCGGGATCGTAGTTTTCCATGACGACTTCGGCCTGTCGTTCGAGCGTGATATCATCTTGGTAGGTATACTTTCCGGGGTAGATGCCGTCGGTGTTCAAGTTGTCCTGCGGTGCGAAGAGGAGAGGGCCAGAAAAGGCAGGAGGGAACCCTTCGAGCAGGGGCTCGTTCTCTGCGGCGACAGATGAAGCCGCAGAAGCGGGTTGTTCGGAGATGGTATAAGTTGGGGCACCAGCAGGCGGGAGTTGGGCAGGGTCAAGCGAAGCAGGGCCAGAGATGAACCCATTGATCGCGCTAGCAGCTACAACCGCCGGGCTGGCGAGGTACGCCTGCGCATTGGGGCTACCCATCCGACCCTTGTAGTTTCGGTTCGTGGCGCTGATACCAATTTCGCCGTCCTCCAGGAGACCGGTTCCAAGACCAATACAGGGTCCACAGCCTGCAGGCAAAGTCTTAGCGCCAGCTTGGATGAGTGCGTCCCAGTCGCCCAAAGCTTCGGATTCTTGCTGTACGTTCGAGCTGGCAGCGGCGATGTAGAATTCGACGCCGGGAGCGATCTTGTGACCTCGCACGACAGCAGCGGCAGCGGCGATATCAGATACACGTGAGTTGGTGCAACTGACGAGGTAGGCTTTGTTGATAGGGATTTTCTGGGATTCGAGGGTGGGGAGGGGGGTGGACACCTTGACGCTGTTCGGTCCGGAGACGTGGGGTACAAGGGTGGAAAGATCGAAAACAAGGTGAGAAGAGTATTCAGCGCCAGAGTCAGATGAGAGGGGGGTCTGTCGCAAGGCCGAAAGTCGCTCACGGTTGAGACGGGGGTGGGTAGGTGGGGGGGGAATGGCGGAAGACGAAGGGGAAGCAAAGGTGCGGAGTTCGAGTTTGTTCAACACCCTGTCGTACCAACTGAGCAAAGTCTCGTCAACGGGGAACACGCCGGCTAGGGCCCCCCACTCGGTCGTCATGTTCGCAATCGTAAGTCGTTCGTCGACGCTGAGAGTCGATACACCCTCTCCGGTAAACTCGATGGCGGCGTTGAGCACTTCATCCTTGTTGAATGAGCCGCAGAGGGCGACGATAACGTCCTTTCCGGTTACACCGGGCGCAAGTTTGCCCTTGAGCTCGACCTTGACCATTCGGGGGACCTGCCACCAGGTTTTGCCGGTTGCCCAAAGTGCTGCAGCGTCGGTTCGGACAATGGGGGTTCCAACACAGCCAACACCACCGTACATATTGCTGTGGCTGTCACTGGCGACAGTCAGAGTATGTGGGAAGGCATAGCCCTCCTCCACGAGGACTTGGTGTCCAATTCCGCGTCCGGCAGGGTAGAAGTCGACTCCGTGTTGGCGAGCAAATGCCTCAATGTTGGCGTATTTCTGCAAGTTCTTGCTCGACCTGTTTTGCACGTCGTGGTCCAGGGTGAACACGGGCTGGGAAGGGTTATGGATCTTGGTTGCACCTATTGATTTGAACCTATCCACGATTTTAGTCAATCACCCAGATTTCTGCCTCGGAAACATATAACACACACTTGGAGATGACAGGGCCAGTGTTATCGTGGGTCATGACATGTTCAGGCTTGATCATGACATAGTCCCCAGCCTTGACGACCTTTCCTTCTGGCAGTCCGACTGCATACTTCTGGACGACCTTCTCAATGAAAGTCTGGGGCACACGACCTGCGGCTACCGACGCATAGAATCTGCGGGTAGCCATGGAACCATGGCGCAAGGACCAAATTGAAGCTAGTCGCATGGCGTCGCGACGTGCCTTGCGCGGTAAATTAAGGCGGAAGGATGGGTTGTGGAGGAGAAAAGGGTGAGAGCAACACAAGCCAATCACGGAAGACCAATTTCTTTCGGGAAATTTGCCGAACTTGATTTCGGCGGACAACATCCACAAATATTGCGCGATTCCGTCTTGCTCTTTGCCGCCATCCCCGTTCCCCGAATTGAGTCTTCTCCAATTCATTTCTACCGCCTGCGACCACATTGCTATGGGCAATATTCCTTCAACCCCAGATTCAACCTCGACGGCAGTCAGGGCACGATTGTGTGCAGGTCTAATTTGCCATTGACCTCCAAACGTGTATAGGTCTAGCTGTAAACACAACGCACACATTAACCAACGACATACTTTGCAGCCAGCAGTTCAATTGGGTGGCCTATCCGTCATTACCGCCAACCGCCTCTCGATTACGGATCCCCTGGCATCTGCTCCATTCCACAATTCACGCAGCTCTTGATCCTCATACTCCTCCTCATTCCAATCATTGGAATACCACTTTCTCGCATTCTTAGCAACGAAGTCCTCGAACGACCACAACTCGGGTTCGAGCTTTCGAACGTATTTGAATATGTACGTTTCCGCTTCGACGGGCGGGAGGAGCTCAGAGGTGTCTGGGAGAGGCGGAGGGTGGGTCGGGACGAGAGACGCTTCGTCGCTCCTGGACAGGGGGTGTGAGGTGAGGTCAAAGTCTTTGAGCTCACTTAGAGGGTGGACGGAGACGGCTTGTCGGGTGTATTCCTGGTGCCATGGGAAATAATAGATCAGGGTATACGAGAGCGAGTAATTTTGGAAATGACGCACAGATCCTTCGAAGAAATCAAGAAGGGCCATGTCTGAATCTGAAAGACCAGTTACGAGCGTACCTCGAACAGACCTCTCCTCCAGAGAAAGTTCACGAGAGAAAAGCTGCTTCCCTTCTGAATAGGAGACGACGCCTGGATAGTCTGCTCTCTGGACGAGCATATGAATAGACAGGTCGGGCTCAAGTCGTATATTGACGCACTCGGATTCTATGTCTAGTATGATCCTTTTTCGCTGTCTAATCAACACATTGTCGATTTCGAAAGGACCAAGGTCCACTTACCAGTAAAACAGCTGGACAGAAGCGCAGGTGAGCCCCCGTATTGTTTATGACGCGAGTCAATATTTTGGGATGCATGAGCGTGCCGTAGAAGAACGCGCTGTGCCCAGTGGATGCTTCACTAGCCATGATGCAAGGACGTCTATGTGAGGATAAAGGCAGAGCACTGACTCGGTGGGGAAAGATAACGCCCCTAAACCGCCGGATCAAGCTAGCTTTCTCGCGCTGCGGTATGTCAGCGTTCAACTGTTCACCGCACCCATCACCATGAACGTTGAATCGTAACAACTTCAAGGAGAGCAGCAACAGGCAGTTGCTGGCAGATGGAACGCAAGTTAACGACTTGAATTCAAAACCCGGAATTGACCTTCACTCAATCGCAAACTATTCAAATAACCGCCCGTGCCTGTCAATGGTGCGCTATTCGGTATGAAGACACGCCCAATCCCGTCCCTCGACTGATACAGTAGTATGTGCTCACCTTTCATTTTTTAAGCGACCCACAACAGATCCGATGCGTCGCTCAACGTCCAAGGTCCAGTGCCAACAGCCGGGAACCCAACACCAGCCTTCGACCGAAATACCTTTCAGAGTTCCTTTCTAGGAATAAGGACGGTCCCTGATCCTTTGTTGAAAAAGGTTTCTCCTCGTATCACCATCTCGCGCTTACTTACTGGGCATTGCAGTCGCGGGGTCTGGAGTCTGAATGGAAAAGGAGTAAACGCCGTCAGGATGCATAAAATGCCCCGTCCGACGGCGCAGTCCACTTTTGGTCAAGCTCCCTTTTTCGTGCGCAATCCGTCCCTTGCGATTGACGGCGTCGCTAACATCGAATTCTATTTATCAGTCACCTGAAACAGAACTTGGCTGGAAGGCCATGTGTGGTTTGTCGTACACTCTGCGACCATCGGGAGGTCTGGAGCCAAACCTGTCGGGAACCTCTGACTCAAAGCGCTGGCCTCCTACTCAATTCATGTGGAAGTGCGAATTCACCAGCCTAGTAACGCAGCCCTCACTATTACCCTCGGCTTTTTCTCATTCTTATCTCTAGAACCACAGCCTCTTTTCTGAATTGCGGCAACCCAGGTTCCCATCGTACCTGGTGGCCAGACACCCGTAAGCGGCGTATAGCACCCTGAAATGCCGTCACTTAAGCACGTTCAATTCACGGAAGCGTCCATAGGCCGACCATATCCTTGAAGCGAACGGACTGATCTTTGATTCAGTTGGCTATTGCCTGAACTAGCCTGGGGGTTTCTCATCCACCAACGTCACGCCTCAGCAATCCACTCATGATCCCTCCGATCGCGGCTGAAACCTCTCCTGTCACTTTCATATACTTACACCCTCCACCGCGTCCTCCAGCGACGCATGCGTCCGACTGACGCCAGGATGTTCGATGCCAGCGCATGCACCCCCGAAGTCGTGGAGAAACTTTCTTCAATCCGCCTGGTGTGGATAAAAGCGGCTACCGTGGCCTATATATGCTACGGCGCTGTGGTGGTACTTGCCATTACGTCTCTTCACCTCATTCTTCGCGGCATATCGAAATCAAGACTCGATGCTTCTCCTCAGTCAAATCACATCATCGTCAACGTCCGGATACCCATCATCCTTACCACCAGGAATGTTATTGCCCTCGTATACGTCCTGGCCATGACGACTCTATCAACTCTGGCGATGCTCTCGATGACAAGGACCGTGTCACAAGCGATCATCACCTCGGGTTGTTGGAATGGGTTGACGCATGAAAATTGGTATTCGGCTGTGGATAAGATGCATTACTACGTCTTCGTTTTGACAAACTGGGGCTCGGACGGGCTACTAGTGAGTTTCCCCTTGTTAATGACAAAAGAAGCCACTCTAACAGTGGAACGTACTAGGTGTGGCGCTGCTTCGTGATATATCGATCTTCAACTAGGATGCCTGTCTGGGTATCCCTCACTCTACCTATCGTCCTCTATCTTGCTGTCGTGGGTATGTCTTCTTTACCTTCCTACTTCGTTACGCTGATCACCCGCTCCAGGAATGGGACTGTGGTTCATGGTGCCCAAGGTACCGCATCCTCACGGCCCTCACCCACACAACAACACTGGCAGACTTTACGAAATCCTCTATTCTTCCCTCACTCTTTCCTTGAACATATTAGTGACTCTCATGATTGTCGCCCGCCTGCTAGTGTATCGCTGGCGACTAACTTCGATTTTGGGAAAGTCCCAAGGGTCTCACTACACCAGCTATGTCGCCATCCTGATTGAATCGGCTGTTCTTATCGTCCTTTCGAACATCTTTCTCATCGTCGTGATGCAAAGAAACTCCCCTCTAGAAGCGACTGCGTTCCAGGCTAGTATTCAGGTCCAGGTGAGGACTTCTGATAACTGAATTGAACTGCTCGTGTTTACTCACCGAATCTTCCTGTAGGCTATTGCACCGCTATTGATCATTGTACGGCTGTTACAAGGGAAGGCATGGTCTCCTGCCGTTGAGAAGGCAATATCCCTCCAGACTATTCAACTAAGTGCTGTGGACCCTTCCAATCTCGGAGAGACCGCACCGTCGGGTGGTCCCCTTCGCTCTCCATCGAGGGACACGAACAGAGGCACACCTATCATCCAAATCAATACAATACCTTCAAGTCCATTTCACCCCACCTTTAACACCGACCCCGAGTCGTCATACGACTCGATGAAAATGGACGACTACACCCAGAAAGCGGAGCTTGCAGAGCACGATCGATTAGAGAGCAGCCCATACGCTAAAGCCAATTAATCGATTAATCAGTCAAATTATTGTAAGATGATGGACCAAAAAGAGGTCTTGTAAATATTCGCATGATCTGCCTAACGATTTCTGACTCGATACACTTTCTTCTGCACTTTTCCGTTTCGACTCAACTCAGTAAAGTGGGCCACAAGGTGCCGACCATGCGGATCAAACAAGCGTTCCCACACACGGCGGAGTCGCGATGGCCGAATCCAAGCACAGCCCCGCAATTCAGAGCTTAACCCACAACGACGACCCTCGAAACCCAAGCCCCTTGCACAAACGATGGCCAATGAAGACAGAACCTCAGTTTTGGTCTCGACCTTTCCTCCTTTCCCAACTCTGAACCTGTTGGTGCCGTCGTCGACACCAGTTTCGTCGGTGTATTCTTTACTGGTCGACCGATATCCTTCCCTTCCTCATGAACTGGCTTCGACGTTGCTCATCACTACCCAGACTGGGTATGCCCCGGACGATGAAACCACACTATCCACGCTATGCTCTGAAGATAGCAACTTGGTGACCTTACGCCTGGCACCACGGATATTGGGAGGAAAAGGAGGTTTTGGTAGTCAACTGCGTGCTGCAGGCGGTCGGATGAGCAGCCAGAAGACCAACAATAATGATTCATGCCGTGACCTATCTGGAAGGCGATTGAGCACAATTCGGGAGGCAAAGAAGTGCGTACACCTTAGTATCTCTTTTGATTTTGTTGCTGACCCACCTTTATTTAGGCTTGCAGAGTACCTGGAATCTGAACCAGAGCGTTTGGCTGCAAAGGCGGAGGCACAAAAGGCTAAGCTTGAGGCTTTGGAACGCAAGCTCGGTATCGACCCGAATGCAAAGCCCGGAGAATCCAGCAACATCCCTCCCGAGATCTTGGCCGGCAAGAAGCACAAATTGGACAGTGAATACGTTGAACAAACCAAGGAGCTGTCTGAGAACGTCAAGAGTGCAGTCTCCGCTGCGTTCTTGAAGAAGAGGAAGAAGGCAAAGACGAGCCATAGCCCCTCCGAGGGTACCACTCCCAAACCAGACGCTGCAAAGAAGGATGCCAAGGCTGAAGAGGCCACTCCGGCAACAGCTACACCCACTTTGGAGGAGAAGGCGAAAGAGGTCCCTCCAGCGGTTGTGGCGACTCCTTTGGACGCCATCGGCGCTTAAATACCTCTGGTTAACATGCATGACCCCGTTTCCTGTATAATTATTGATTCCACCTGTATTCCAAGGCGTCAATTTCTTTATCTCGAGTTTCAACTTGTCCGATATGTCAACCTGGAAAGACCGGCCGCCTTTCGTTCAGGATCTGATAGGACTGACATTGACATTGCCGCGGGTGTTGACAACACACTATGAAGTGAGTCTGACTTGCGACATATCGGACTTCCCTGGATCTGATTCACACGCGGTAGACTGCCGCGATAGGTCCCCCTTGATTTGTCGATCTCCCCCAGCTGTCTGAAGCATCCAAAATAGACATCCATGAGGAGTGTTCTCTTGGAAATGTCATAAATGCCCACTTCATTCTGCCCTGCCCATTCCTCCCACCACATGCCTGAGTCCTATTATCGTCCCAGATGCCTAGCTCCCATGCCAGTTCCTGCACTCCAGAAATCCTCAAAGCGCTGGGCGAAAAGCGTTGGATATGGATGAAGGGTGCATTTATTGCGTACCTATGCTATGGGGTCGTCTTGACCCTCGCTTTCGTCTGCATACAGTCGGCACTGTGTGGGATATCCAAGACAAGACTGGACGCCACTCCCAGATCTTCAAAAACCTTCATCCTCAGTGTCCGGGTTCCCATTATCCTTTCTGTCAGAAACCTGGCGTCACTCCTATTCGTGTTGGTCATGATAACTTTCTCTAGCATCGCTATTGTGTCAATATCCGGGAAGATTTTTCGCACAGTGGTAATTGTGGACTGTTGGAGAGGGTCTCCAGCACATACATGGCTGGATCGGGCGTATAATTACATGTTCGTGGTGTCGAACTGGGGGGCCGATGCATTGCTGGTGCGTTTCCTGTCCTTTCCCTGGGGGAAACTCTTCTAAATTCCACTTGTTAGTAGGTATGGCGATGCTATGTGATCTATCGATGTTCGACTAGAGTGCCTGCTGCCATCTCGTTAGCCCTTCCATCTCTTTTGTATCTGACGACCATAGGTAGGCTCACTTCCCTGTCCATTGTGCCCTTCAATTAGTTCATTCCTTTCAATTGCTAGGAATGGGGCTCTCCCTGATGCTACCTAAACGCGAGGAATACCGAAAACGGACTGAAACATGGAGAACCCTGCGCATAACTTACACATCGCTGACAGTCGCATTAAACCTGCTGGTGACGGCAATGATTGCGATACGACTGTCGATTTACCGTTGGCGACTAGTGTCAGTGATGGGCAAGTCTCGAGGGAGGCATTACACCAGCTACCTCGCTATCCTAGTGGAGTCGGCCGCTCCCATTGTTGTTTCGAACCTGATCCTTGTCATTGCAATGAAGACGAGTTCAGAGTGCGAAATAATGGCATTTCAAGCCAGTATCCACATCCAGGTTCGCGCTTCCGTTCGCTCTCGTGTTTACTCCCTTAATGAAGCTGCGGTTAGGTCATCACTCCATTATTGATCGTACTACGCATTCTCAAAGGAAATGACTGGTCGCCTGCCCCTCCCAGCAGCAAAGATGTCGACCTCGAGAATGTACCACAGACATCCACCCCGTCGCCTCTGGAGCCATTCGACCAGTCCGCGCCCGACTATGCTGCAAAACCCCGAAACTCACTCTCTTCCATCGTTCGATTCACGTCCCATTTCCCGACGCCAACTTTTCATTCTGCCTTCGATACCAAAACCGGATCAGAAAACGATGTCACTAAAATGACTGAATACAGTAGCACGTCGGTCAACGAAGATCCTTGAACACACGTGTTCCCGCGGACAATGTATAAATTCCTGTTGCAAGTACTACACCATTGCCTACTGTCTGCTGTTATATGGGTTTGCAATGTACCCCATGTTAATCGGAGGACACCCGATCCATTGGGGTCCGGGACCGCCGGACCTGGTCCGCGGGCTGTGGGCAGGGCCGCGAGAGTCATCGCACACCTGTGAACCCAATCTATCTGGGGTCTGATGTACTGCACGAGTACTGCTTAGGCCAAAGATGAGTACGATGAATCTGTAGGTCTATACTAGGCTTTCTCGCTTCGGGACAAGGATAGGTAATGTCAAACCTCCCTCCACAAGCACGCTGCAAGTCGCACGACAGACACTGTCTTGCTAGGTCTGTAGGCATATTCAAAGACGAGATCAGTCTCCAAGAACACACTAGATATAAGGATATTTTGGTGTGTATAGATTGAGAACGATGACTACAAGGTCAGGGAAGATGCAAGGGAGAACGTCGGTACACTGGGGCTTAGGCCTAAGGCGTTCGATCGTGTTTGTTCGTGTTAGGATCAGACGCCCTGATGGCAACCTCAGGTTCGTCCGCTCTGAACCTCTTTATTTCTTTATTTACATACAGTTAAGCCCAAAAAAACCTACATATCTGTGTAATGTGACTCGAGAGTCCAGACCTTGCTTTTCTAACGGCTACACCCTTGCGGAAGACGAGCAAAAGCGATGTTCTTCGTCGCGCAGCCCAGCCCGCGGCCTTGGACCGGCGGTCCCGGACCCCGATAAATCGGGTATTCTGGTTAATCGCATGAAACGACTATCTAACGGTAATGCAGCAATGGGCGCTGGAACCATAATGATAATCTACTGTGGCTGATAATCGAACCACTTTCTAGCGTTGTTTTTCACGAAATCATCGAAAGACCACAGATCTGGTTCTAAGCCGGTTGGTACAGAATACACGTATGTCTCCGCTTTCAGTGAGCACGGCAAACATTCTGCGGTTGGCAATGGACTCGCATGGAGAAGGACGAGTTCCTGGTCCTCTCCTGGGTGGTCATTCACGGCGATTAAGGGTGTGAGCGGATGAATATCGACCGTAGCTTTGCGGTACTCCTGGGGATGCGAGTCAGTTACTGCATACCGCAGTGTGATAAGAGACGAGGAGTTCACAGGACTCACGTCGTCCTCAAATCCATCGAGTAAGATCATGTCCGCCGCGGTGAGGCCTGTGACAAAGGTCCCCCTCACTGTCCTCTCTGAAGGACTTAATTCCCTCCCGACAAGAGCTTCCGACTCTGAAGAAGGTAAAATCCCAGGGTAATCTTGATCCTTGAAATTCCTCAGACCATGTGGGACACAAGAAGACATTGAGACTCTGGCACCGTACCTTGACTTTATGTCTAGTGTATCCCTGACGGCGCTCGTTGAGTATGTGCGCACACACAGAACGAACGACGCTCACCAACAAGACCGCTGGGCAGCATTTGAGGTGCGAGCCGTCGTTCATTATGATCTGTTTAAGAATTCGTGGATGCATCAACGTTCCATAGAAAAATGCGTTGTAGGTCGACATGGGGAAATGGTAAGACTCTTGAACTCGATAAGAAGACGCCCAGTTATCAGAGCGTGCACAGATTCCGGCTCGGATAAGGAACTGGCGTTCCGGCGGCTGAGATGACGTCTTCTGAATCCGGTTAGGACGGTTTTGTTGGAGGTGATCACCATCTTCGACAGCCAGCATGCGGAAGAGGACTTCAAAGAGTAATCCAAAGACTTAGTGACTCTAATTTCTTTGCAGTTATTACGCATACACGTTACTGAGTCTGGTTCGAGCTGTGGGTCCATATGTACCCGACGATATTATTGATCGATCGCGATCAAGGGCATTGATGGGAAGACTTGATGAGTCAGTCACCAATTGCTGATTTTCTCCTTGTCCTCCTTCCACCATGTCGACATCGTGTGGAAACCCAGCAGTAGAGAAAGACGCTGAAATGACCCGTAAGCACGTCAGATGAATGAAATGAGGGAGATTTACAAAATATCGCGACAGGTCGACCAAAGTTCGACAGATCAAAACAATGCGTCAAGTGTAAAGAGCAACGAGGAAATATAGTCATTCGACATGCTGTTTATTGCAAGTTCGTTCAATATCCGATGTGCAAAGGCAAACTCTCAATAATTCTTCTCCTAGACAGTGCTTCTTTCCCCTCATCGTCACCCGATTCAAAAAGACGTTGGAGCCTGTCGTAAACCCAAAGCCGGATGGGCCACGGAAGAAAGCCCTCAAAGCGAATGGAAGTTTGGTCATTGGGTTCTCGGGAGGGCTGGGATCTTCAGTCCTGTTGGATCTTGTGTCGAAGACCTACTTTTCTGGACCTCCTACGACAACGAAAGAGAATGGACAAATGAGGGGTGGCGCCGCTCATCCAAAGAATCGGACAGGTGCTGACTCCGGGGTATGGAAAGGAAAGCCTGCAGTATGTTACGTCGAGCTTGCGAGCGTGATTCCCGAGGTGTGTATCCTGGTCCTCTTTATTTGTTTACATCTAATCTTGTTTCAGGGAAAGGACAAGACTGAAGAAGTCCGTAAAACTGTACAAAGGTACTCCGCGAGCGATGGGTTTGAATTCGAATTCGTCCCCCTTCGGATTGAAGACGCGTTCGATGATACTTGGTGGGCAAGATTCGGGGGCATTGATCTATCAACCGCAGCGCGATCGTACGGGGCTGACATTGCAGATGAATGTAAGCAACGGGATCCGCACTCTTTATGGGGTCACTGACACCGTTTGTTCCACAGTGCTACCATTGTCCGAGATACCCTCCAGTTCTTCAACTCCATACACCCCTGTTCAGGCCCTACAAACATACCTCAGCTATCTCCCGACCCCGACGGCCAAAGAGAGTGCCATTCAGACGTTGACCCGATTGCTACTGCTCCATGTTTCTGCTTCCCGTGATGCCTCGCATCTGTTGCTCGGGACCTCCCTGACAACGCTATCCGTTAACCTCATCGCAGGCATTTCCCAAGGGGCCGGCTTCTCTGTATCAGAGGAATCTTTCGAAGAATGGTCATACCCTACCATTCAGAGAGCAGACTCTCCTTCCATAGAGAAGACAAGACCCTCCAAAGTCCGGATAGTGAGGCCTCTTCGTGATATCGGAATCAAGGAGTGTGGATTCTGGATGTGGTGGTCCGGCCTACCCTTGGTTGGCGAGAAACGACTTTCTTCGGGCCGCCAGAGCATCGTGTCACTAACTCGGGACTTCATCATGGGTCTTGAGCAAGATTACCCATCCACTGTCAGTACGATTGCAAGGACATGCGCCAAAGTCACTCCCAAAGAGAAATCCACTTCGCCTTGTCTGTTGTGTCAAAGGCCAGTCTCAATTTCCAGTAATATGCCATATAAACCGACTGACGTGCCAATACAGACCTGCTCAACCTCAGGCACAGGAGTGGAAGGCGCAGATATCCATTCGCTCATATACCGACGAAACTTTCGCGGCTGCTGGTCACCCTCTTCCCCCACACCTTGAAGATTTCCCTCCTGCACCCACCTCATCTGTTGACCCCCCGCCTCACATCGCATCCAGGCTTTGTTACGCCTGTCATACCACACTCACGAGTCGGAGCAGCAGGGGAAATCCTGGGCGTGACGGCCTCTCAAACGTGGTACCGCTTCCTACATGGTCCCGGGCGAGTTTGGATGTCAGCGGGGTGTCGATCACCCGAAAGCTGGGGGAGAAAGAGATGATGTCACAGATTCAGGACTACCTGCTAGAGGAGTAGATAGGGTTAAGCGTAGAGTGACGCAGCGTAGCGTACCGTGTATCTCGGCCTTCTGGTGGTCTGAATATGTCGGGAACGTCGATTGGAACATATCCCGATCGGGACATCCCACTTCCCGATCGGGCAAGCGCTGTGACATCATCAGCGACGGTAAGTATTTGAAGAGATTCAATAAAAATCGCTCTCCCATTTCGTTCGAGACCATACACCGAACTTCTCCTTTTGACCTCTCTATACCGTATGGTTGGAATTCAGGATTGCCGATGTGTGTTGGTGACGGGAGCCACAGCTGGAATCGGTCGGGAGCTTGCGAGGAGCATCGCGCGGTTGAGCAGCAAGCTTACTGCTATTGCCGTGGGTCGCAGACAGGAGCGATTGGAGGAACTAGAAAAAGAGGGTCTGGAAATTATCCAGTTTGATAGTGACACAGACGAGAAGGGAATATCATCTTTCGTGGATAAAGCGATAGCACATTATCCCCAGGTAAGTCTCAAGATGGTAGACCATTCCCGTTCCGAGTCGTCTGACTAGTATCCCGCGCCCTCGAAGCTTGACGGCATCGTTCTCTGCGCTGGGGTGCAGAAAGATATGGACCTAAAGAAGGATGCAGATGTAAATGGTGGGCTTTGATTACATCCAACGCAAGCTACCTTGACCAATAGTGAACGGCAGGGATACGTCAGGAAATGAACGTAAATTATCTGTCTACGGTCACGATCATTGTGAAGTTCCTCCCTCACTTGTTAAAATTAAGCGTATGTTCTGATTCACTTAGTTTGTCCCTCTCTTTCTAATGTTCAAATTCAGGATCAAGGCACGCCCTCGGTCATAACGACTGTATCGTCGTCGTTGGGCATCGTTCCGGCTGCCTGCCAGTAAAGCCGCCTTGCATAGCTTCTCTGAGTCCCTTCGTCTCCAAATGAAAGGCACAAAAATCACGGTCATAGACATACTTCCACCGTAATCCTTTTCTTTGTTTCGTCTGCGACTGCTAAACTAGGAACTCTTCGCAGACTGGTCGAGTCTGAACTTCACGACGGTACGCTTGAATGTTCAACGTCAACGTCAAACCCCTCAGCAGTCATATTGCTTACACACACGCTTCCATAGAAGAAGGCACTACGGAAAAACTCAGCAGTTTCTGGGTTCCCCTCGACAAGTACATCGAGAGCACTAAGAAGGGACTTAAGGCAGGAGACGGCAGAATTTGCTACGACAATGAAGCAAGTAAGGGAAGTTTTGACAGATTTGAAAAGGGGAAGGAGAAAATAGCAGAGAATCGTTCGATTGGTTCACAAAAAATGTCATGCCCATGAACTAAAGTTCGATGCCTCGTATCTTGTATCTAGAGTAGGGAGGAGTGAAGTTGTAGATGGAGAATGTGGGTATGTGATTTGCCTGCGGAGGTAATCCTAGGTTTCGGCAACCATGCAGCTGACGAGGAAGTTGAGGGGAACCGAGCCTGTTAAAGAGCCGGTCAGATGGGGCCACTTTCAATTCCAGTGAACCTACCGGGATAAAACCAAAATGCAACCGCGATGATGATATACAGAGCTAGAAATTCTATGTTCTAGCCGTCCGTCGAAATTCCAGCGCGTGAAATGCACTTACAAATGAGAATCATGCCTTCCAACCAGTTAGACTTACCGTCCGCAACAACGTAACTTGTAGTTTGAACTTGAATTGAGGTTCACTTCAGAAAGTCTGTAATGACAATCGGACGGTGGAATGATGTCACCTGACAGATATAAAACCTGTATGTCCCAGTCACGACGGTTCCATTACAGATAAAAAAGGCAACAGAACTCACGAGAGATTGAAATGGGTCCATCAACAATGTCAGCGGTTTGTTGACCACCCAAGCCAACAATACCATGAACCTGCGCGCTGGAGTCATTTTGCGGATGCGCGGGCGCAGCCATGTCTTTACGTACGGGATTACAAACAATGCAGTTTGCTACTCGAAATGCGTTAGCTTTAGCCATGCACGCAGGTACAGCTGCTTACGATGGTAGACCCGATAGCCACAGCAACGCTGAAGCTTAGTTCGTCTTTCACAGACACTCTCATAGAAGTGATACATTCTGCGGAATTTCGTAGTTCAGTGCGTGTATTCCCGATCTGAACAGAAGATACTCACCTGCCACAGAGCTAATGAGGGGAAGGACGATCAAGGCGACCCAATCTTTGCTGACATGTGCTGAGATTCCGTCCATGGATTCCACGAACCAATCCGCAGTGATAGCTATGGCCTGTGAAAGACCGGGTCATGTCAAATAGGACGGTCTGACAAGGTCGTACAGCACTCACCATCGTCACAGTCAACAATAGAAAAACGGTCAAGAACCAGCTAAGTTTGGGCTGCTTGGGAGGCTTGACCATCTCGTCACGGGCCGTGCCTTCAGGCTGCTGATATGAAGGGAGAGATTCATACAACTCGGCAAGTGTCTCTCCCGAAGCGCTGGCGGAGACTAGGGTAGTGGGAGTCCCAGGCATACTTAACGGCAAAGTGGAGTCGGTGCTCTGTTCATTCGGTTGGTCAACCAATCGAAGTGTCGGTCTCCCGAACGCCATTCGAGACCCGGTATCATCCATTGAGGTGGTAGAAAAGCTGCGTTGTTGGCCATACATGGGCCTCGTTCCAGAAGATCCCCCGGATCGCGGAGGGGGATACGAGTTTATGGTCGGCGATTGGAATGAGCTTGACGTCGCCTCCTGTAACTTGGTATAGTTGCGAAAGTTGGTGCGTGATTTGTTCAAAAAAGCCGCCGCCTTCTCTGTCGTAATGTTCTGGGTCGCAGGGAGCCGTGCGCTTTTCTTGTTATGGCGGTCGCTGTACAAGTGGCTATGAGACCACAATTGGAACGCCATATATGAGATGTAAACTGTGAATTTTGAGAAACGAGTCTCTACTGGAATCGACGGCACTCACTGAATAGCAAAACGATAGAGACCTACTCCTTCAAGGTCAGCGAGCGTGATGATCAATATCAGGCAGCACTCACTCCGTGGCTCATTCTCAGTATGTCTCGCTTTTGATGCTCCGCATCCTCACCCTCAAGACTAAGGGTAAAATGGTATGCGGCAGGGAGGAGCAGAACCCCCACACTGATACTGAGCAACGAGGAATGGATTTGGGTCGCAGCTGCGTACAATTTGGAGCTTAGACCTACTGTCATATGAGAAATTCTAAGGATAGGCGCACTTGGATCAAAACCTTGTTCAGAGAACTTGATCCCGCCGGCGAAAAAGCATAGACCAAGGACAAGAACTACAAAGAGAGGAGTATAAGGTCAATACATGGACGCAACTTGGAGGCAGTTGACGCACGAAGTTTACTCAGGATCGATCCCACCACTAAATCTAAGGATTAAGCACCATAATCGGTATGGCAAGGGCTATCCACCACGTACACGATGATTGAACGACGCGCAATTCGCATTTTCGGAGAGCAGAAATCTAGTTGCACGACTTTGGTATCAACAGCCAAGACATTCACCCGAGTCGGACGTACCGCGACGACGATTTCGATGCTACAAGGCCATGAACGAATGTTGTTCAGAATTTGCACAAGGGTTGACGGCGGCTCGCCGCTACTCACAAGTTACTCTGTAGAAATGATACATGTTTTTCGAAAATTCCCAAGAGCGTGAAGAACGTACCATGCTCGCGTTCAAAAGGCCTGTCTTGGACCCTCCGACACGAAGGGCCAGCTCCGCGATCGAGAGGTCGTGAAGCTTCAAGGCGTACGTTAAACTTAAGGCGGGCCGGGTAAAAATGGAAGTGAAGCGACTCACCCTCACGAGGGGAATAAGGGCCAGGATGCAAACTGCAGACATGCCTAAGTAAGAGGGAGCGCAGTTAAGAAGACGGACACACGAGAGAAGACCAATGCATGAGCTTGGTCAAACACCAATCTGGACGTCCACTGTGCATGTGTCATATTAGCTTCGCCAGCACAAGTCGTTAACCGCATACCGCAAGGGGGATCAAGAATAGCAGTAAATTGAACCCTACAGGGGCAACAGGCTCAGCTAACGCATCGCCGCACAGTAGAACATCTCGCCACGTACATGATCCAAAAAGAATAATCCTCCATCCTTGGAAATGTCTGGACCAGTTCTTCTGAGACGGCCTACTGGGCGATTCGGAAGTGAGTCTTTCCGTCGACTCGGACGCATAAAGCGGTAGCCCGCCGTTGACGAATTGGCCTTCAGAAGACCCAGCCGAAGCCGCGTTGGGGGCAGTGGGAGGACTGCGAGTTTCTACTGGCTGACCATCGTGCTGGGCAGGCTCCGAAATGTCGAAGGGGACAAAGGGCCTTGGGGCGGTGTCGCTCGAAGACATCGAGCTGGTAAGTCTGACTGGAAGCGAGAACTGTAAGCGGATAGTAAGTCGATGGCGGCGAGCTCGTTGTCACGTTCAAAGGTGTCGTGATACTTAAAGTGGGAGGTTAACAGCGCTAGTCCGAGTGCGGAACCAATTTCACGCACTTTAACCAGTAAGCGGCTATCTATTTTTGGTGACCACTTCACGTGCACTCTGGGACGTCCTGTTTCATTAGGAACTCGCCACCAAAGCATGCGTGCAAGGGCGCCGCGGTTGCGACGATCAATGCAACATGCGTAGCTAATGGCAGAGATACGAGGGAAGCCTGGCGAGGCGCGTTTTGGTGACCGGCAGGGCCAACGGTATAGGTGGGTCCATGTCCTCTTCCTCCAGGCCTATCGTGGTGCATGTCGATAACTACCGGTTGTTGAGCCTCGCCCTTCAAACCCAACCAAATATATTTTGACATTCGTCCCCCAGTAGGTTTCCTTCATCGACATGGTACGCGTATGCCATGGTCTGCCAATCCACCTTGCCCTTCCAAAGCATGTTCATCCACTTTTTGTTTGCGGTTCCAAGGTATCTGTGGGCCAAAATGACTCCTGGAGGCGTTCCATATCTATTGCGCATGGTCACAACGCCAGTAGTGCGGGAAGTCCAGGGCAACTGCTTCATGTCGAATCGAAAATTACCGATGGCTCTGGCAACCAATTGTCCGTCGGGAGGTAGGCGGCTCTCTGTCGCCGGTCGCATGTGTCGTTCGAAGTGGATTTTCAGCGCAAGGACCTGCAGCCCGGGAAGTACTTCCGTTACCGATTGTAGAAGAGATGGCTGGAAAGGGAGCCACGCATTAATACCCAAAACGCTAAGGGAGGGATCAACTGCAACTCACCACCTCTTGGTCCAACTTGGTCCGATATGCTTGAATCGCCAGGTAAAGGTTATTCAAGCGAACAAACCCAGATAGACTGTTGAGGGGATGTCCTCTCCGATTCCATCCTAGTTCTTCGTTGAAGGACCATGTCCCTCCAATTACCGCGATGTGTTCCAGAGTTTGGGAATGGCCTAAGAAGATGGTATAGTCTGAGAGTACTGGAGTGTTGTCGGCCTGCTTCGTCCATCTCCAAGCGAGCATCTCCGCCTGTAGGCTAGTTGGATACGGTGATAGTCGAACCTTTTTCAGAGTCGAGGTATAGGATTGAACGTATGTCTGAAATGAAGTTGAATATGGCGCATGAATCTCTTCTAATTGGATACGTTCTGCGGTAAGAGCCTCCCAGAATTTGTCCAGTTCTGATTGGCTTGTGTCGACAGTTTCTGCACCGGTGAAATTTCTGATATGTAACGACCTGAGGTGGGGGAATCGCCACAAGTGTCGAAGACTTGCACAAGACCCATCGGTGGCACGTATGGATGTAAGTCGGAGGTTCGGTCGGTCGGCGCAAGCGTCAGGCTTGTGCCCTCGAGATTGCACATCATGAAGGTAGTCGAGGACTGCAGAGAGGGGGCCTACATGGTCCCATTCTGTCTTGAGCTGTTTCCGCGCGGCCAAGTCCAAGAGTTGGGGTAGATTTCTGAAGGTCAACATGTCGGATGACCCAATGCGAATTGTGCTCAGAGAATGGGAGGACGATATCCAGGCAGATAGGACCTCCCATGCTGGAGGGGACATGAACTGGCCACCATGGGACTGAAATCTGAGAAACAGGTGCTGAATTAGGGATGCCCTTGACCAGGAAAGCCAAGCAGGGAACTTACTCTGCCCTTTTCACGTTTCTTAGCAGGTTCAGGATTCTAGCCAACAGCGCGATCGGCTGTTCGGGGTCAAGGTCCGACGCCGATGGCCATTGCTGGGTTGTAACGGGTGCTGGGTTAACGGTCTTTATCAGTTTGGTCTTCTTCCAGAACAGTTTGTGGCGAGTTTCAGTAACGTTGGTGATTGTTGAGTATGTGGTCCAGAAGCCCCAGATGTACACTTTCCGAACGACAGAGAGATTCCTGTAAGTGCCGGATGCCAATGATATGAGTCTTTTCAAGGCCTTGTCAAAGTCATTCGGCGACTTGAAGATGTAGAGGCAGAGATTGGCTAAAGCCTTGGCCCTAACCGCCGTCTCCATGGTTTTGCACGTTAGACGAAGTGATTTCAATGTAATTACTGGTAGCTGGTGTGAATCAGTTGAGGCAAGACGGGCCTGACGTATTGAGACCCACAAAAGACCCAAGGTAGTCGATGATTTCAACAGGCAACTCGACCAACGATACCTTTGGCTGAGAAAGTGCTCTCATGGTGGCAGTGATTGGAAAGGCGAGTTGAACGCGGGGAACATCGCTTCCTCATTCGAGCGCCGAGCTCACCGAGTGGTTTCAGCGTGAGAGGTCTGCGTCCGACGTGCCAAGGTCCCCGTCGGCCATCAGATGTTTCACGTGATCTTCGCGCTCATCAAACGCGTTCAGCGCGGTTCGTGCTCGCGACGGTTTGCTCATCGAACGCAGAGTTCCGTTCGCTTGGAAGTGGCCATCGCCCCTGGCACTGTGTAACCAATTAAGATGCAGGGAGACCTTCTAAAAGGTCTCAATTCGGCTCAGCTCAAAGGTGAGTAGCCCACATATTTGGTTTCCCTCAACTGACCAAGTCGACCAGCTGCGACATACCCACCGAATACATCATTGCAGATTCTGGCTGGCCCTGGAAGCGGAAAGACCAGGGTAAAGCCAAAAAGACGTATTGAATGGCCTAGACTTACCACCTACACATAGGTATTAACAACTCGTATTGCCCACCTCATCACCAACTGCCATCTCCCACCAAACTCGATATGTGCAGTCACATTTACGAACAAAGCTGCAAATGAGATGAAAGAGCGATTAACGAAGCTTCTCGGGAAAGAAAGGACAGCGCAACTCAAGCTCGGAACGTTTCACTCTCTCTGTGCCCGATTCCTGAGGAAGTACTCGAAGCAAGTTTCGGTACCGGACAACTTTACCGTTTGCGATGCTGGTGAAAGGTGGGTTGTCATCGTCTCTCGCCGGGGAGGTCATTGACGTCCATGAAAGCAAAAAGATGATTACATCCATCTTGAAGGAATACTCAGACACTATGGCCCACCGTGGTCTCTCGCTCGAACCTTCGGCTTGCGCATCCATGATCTCCAAAGCCAAATCCAGAGGCCAATCCGCCAAAGACTATCTTTCCGACGCACTGATAAAGTCCAGCAGCAAAGAAACGGACGAGCCCGCGACACTGGAGGTTCTTGTCGGCAAAGTATATCAGGGCTACGAAGCGGCTCTGCGGAGAATTAATGCGCTGGATTTTGACGACCTTTTGATCTACGGTGTGAAGCTTTTCACCACCCACAAGGAATGTGTCCTATGGTGTAGACATATCCTTGTTGATGAATTTCAAGACACCAATGTCACACAGTACGAGCTAATGCTCGCCATTGGAACCGCTCGCTGCGTGACGATAGTTGGGGACCCAGATCAATCCAGTCAGTGCACTAGGTTTCAACAAGCTGGCGGCTACTGATAGGCTAGCAGTTTATGGCTGGAGGTCCGCAGAGGTAAAGAACCTGGAAAAAATGAGGACGGGTAATTTTATCACTTCTTTTGTATCGAGTGAACGCTAATGTCTGTGCTTAGATTTCCCCAACACTTTTCAAATCTTCTTGGAAGAGAATTATCGCTCAACAGCGTCTATATTGGAAGCCAGTCTGGCTATTGTATCTCAGGGCAGGTCCCTTTCGCGCTATTAAGTGCATATACTCATGAATTAACAGACTCTAAGCGCATAAATAAATCCCTGTACACTGCACATCCTTCGGGGATCACACCTATTCTTTATCAGGTCAACGATGAGAACGAGGAATCTCGCTTCATTGCAATCGAGATCAAGAGACTCGTTGCGAACATGGGCGGCATCCTTCGGTGGGGGGATTTTTCGATACTACGTGAGCCATATTCTAGACCCTTGGCTTACATGCATCCTAACCCTTCTCAGTACGATATAACGCCCTATCCAGAAATCTGGAAAAGGCCTTTCAGAACGAAAGAATCCCTTGCAGGATTCTCGGGGGCCACAAGTTCTTTGAACGGTTGGAGGTACGCTCTGGCAAACGTCAATCTACTGGTGTTACTGAGGATCCCGGATAGGTAAAAGATCTGCTTGCCTACCTTCAACTTATAGACAATCCAATTTTTGGCCCAGCGTTCATTCGTGTGGTGAACGTTCCTGGCCGCGGTATTGGTGAAAAGGTGCTGTCCTTTGTAGAGGCCCCGCAACTTGAGCTAATGGACATTAGACCCTGAACGATCTAACCAAGCGAGCCGAAGATTCGGGGAAATCATACCTAGAACTGCTGGAAGGCATTTACGACATGAGACTTACCGACCAGAAACCTTCAGTCCGCAAAAAGATTGCACCCTTCGTACATGTCATCCGAACTCTTCGGGCATGTGCCAACGAAGGGCATGGGGCCTTCGGACCTGCTTTGGAAATTAGTCGAACTAGTTCAGTACGAAGAACATCTGAAGAAGACCCAGCAAGACTGGGAAACGAGATGGGAGAACGTGAAGGAACTGATCTCTTTTGCGAAGGAAATCGAGGAGCAAATGGCGAAGGACCGGGAGGCGGCTCGGGCCTCGGGCGTGATAGACGAGTTGGAGGTCGAGGAGTGAGCGTTGATTATGAATCTGCTTACTTCGATGCTGACCCCTTTGCCTTAGTACAACGCCCTTGCGACAATTCCTCCAAGCGTCAATGCTTTCCTCCGAGGGGGATAACGAGAGCGAAGAGGATGCGAACGACGTAAGATACCTTATTTTGTTTCATTCCCCTATGCTGACCCCAGTTCAGAAAGTCACAATCACAACGTGCCATTCTGCGAAGGGCTTGGAATGGCCAGTCGTGTTCATCCCATCCGGTAGGTCATTCCTCTTCAGACGGCGCATGTGTTAACTAATACGCATCTAGCCGACTCCTCAACATACCCTTTCATTCGCAGTGAAGACGAGGACGAGGAGAGGTGGAACTTAATCCAGATATTGCAATTCCATTTACTCATCGCCCCGCCCTTCGTCTTTCTTTAGGCGCCTACTCTATGTGGCTTGCACACGAGCGAAATCTATGCTCTACTTGACCAGGACGACCTCCCGGAAGGTCGCTGGGGATGTGAAGCAGAAGCAACTCTCGAAATTCATCGCGAATATATTGGACAAGAACCACAAGGACGGAAAGCGGGTGAGAAATCTCATACATTGACATCGGCAGGCCGACCTAATAAGTGCGTCTTAGGCAACGTTTATCCAACACCTCCCCCATTTCGAGGAAGAAGACAGGGAGATTATATCCAGTGTCCTAGGGAGGCCCACTCCGGAAGACAATAAAGTACAAGAAATGTTGGGCGAGTTGTAAGTTGTTCAAGGCCAAGCCATTCCCCATTCACCTGACAAAGTCCAACCCGTTAGCTTGAGACTGGGACGAGAAGTGCCTTATAACATTGTTTGGCGACCTGCAAGCCAGAACGATCCCTCTCCACAACCTTCCGTCCAACATTCGCACATGCAATTCCCTCAGCAGACCTTCGACGCCACCTTTACTCGCCCTACTTTCAATCCCGAGCCTACCTTCTCCCGCCCCTCGTTCAACACTTCTATGCCATCGCTTTATCGACCAAATGTGGTCACTCCCTTCAGCACGAATGAACAGGGAAGGGCCACAAATAGCGCACCTGCACCTGCACCGAAACCAAAATCCTCTACCTCGAAACAGGGGCAGGAAACACAGAAGGCTCCCTCAAACATGATGACGAATTGGCTGGGTCAGAAGCCCAAGTCCAAAAACCAATCATCCACTGTCACGCCGTCTGTCGCTGGTCCGTCTAGGCAGTATCACACAAACAAACCCAAGTCGCATGCGTCATCCTTACCCTCCCATCCAGTCCAACCTCCCACAAGCATTCCACCGACATCTGTGAGCTCATCGAAACCAGAACGTCCACCCACTTCTACCTCTTCGAGTTTACGTACCAACGCAAGCCTGCCTTCGAATACTGTCACGACAATTTCCAAAACTCCTCTTCAAATGGTATCAAATCAACCTCGACCTACGGTGACTCCGGCCAACCCTCCACCAGCACTGAATATAACGAATTACCAGGCCTCCAACCGACCTACGGCTGTCGCTTCTGGTACGTTAGCGGCCACAGGAGTCAAGCGAAGGCTAGGAGTAGGCCGAGCTACGGCCGGATATTCGAACAAGAAGTTCAAACCTCCTGTAGCATCAACATCATGAAGCGGACTCTTCAAAGCTTCATCCTCGAACGTCTTTGCGCATACATTCTTTCCTGCATCATACACATCACTCACTGTATTATCAAGACCATTACTGATTAGAACGCATGCATTAATCGGATTAATTACCGCATTCCTGCGGAGGAGGCGCGCAGCCAGACATGTCCAGCCAAGTGGTATAGTAAGAACATTCGACTGGGTCCACTGGACCCCCGCTCTTGCAAAACGAGATGAGGGGACACGGACCGCAGGGGTTTTGCCATTGTCCGACCAAGGATGTCATCGTAGCGTGAGGTTGAGGTATCGCTCGATAGACATAATTTGACGATGTTGATTCTGGTTTCTTGTGACGTTTGTGAGTTCTTTGGGCGTCAGGATCATCGGTATCATCTGGTGAGCGATCCCGTTTCCGCTTGCCGTCGGCTGCGCTACCAAATGGTAATCCTCTTGGGCTTGGGCTTAGCGCCAGTTCGTCGTCCGACGTAGTAGTTGGATCCTCTAGCGGTCCGTTTGTTTCAAACGAGTTCTCTGTCCATGGGGAATCTATGGTTGATCCGCCAGAGTGAGATGAACTACAAGAAGTCAACGGAATCTTGGAAAGATAGAGGATCAGAAAACAACGTCCTGAATCAAAGGCAAGGAAGATCCACACCCGCTCCACGAGACCATCCAAAACGAGGACGTGCAGCAGCGCTTCCACCTCCCGCAAACTCAGTTCCACCAAGGTTATCTTGGTCCGTTTGATGGAATCGTGGATGCAGCTAGCACTTGGGTACCTCCAACTTTCCGAGGGTGGGTAGAATCTTTGGGTTTCCGGTGCAGAGTCGCATGGTTTCGGCAAAGTCTACATATTTACAAGATCGGCAAATGCGTCGGCATGTCGAACAAGGTGACATGAGGATGGTGTGTAACATACCCGGTCAACGATGTAACGAAGACAAAAAGACTTGACTTGGTCAATGAACTCGACGTCAATCTTCTTGTCGGTGTACCATGACCCGCCCGTAATCTCGACACCAGGCTCCAAGTCGTACAAGATGAACGTCCGCTGACGCGTGTTCTAAAAAACCAAGTCGATTAATATTGTTCTTTTTTTAGTCGCTGGGAAGGTAAACCGACTAGCCAAACACTTGGGACGAAGTATAACGAACGGGAGGCATGACAACTCACATGCAGAGAGCCTTTGATAACCTTGATTAATTTCCTGTTGACAAGAGTCTTGACGCTCTTCTCCATGGCCGCCTTGTGGAGTCCCGTGCTTGTTCTGAGTTTTCGAGAAGACATCCCTGTAAATGGTGCAAAGTGGCGCACGCCGCCTTGTCATTACACATTGCACTGTATTGGCATTGAAGGGTTGTGGCGGAAAGTTGAAGACAAGAAGAGGTGTGGAGAGCATAAGTATGTCAGACCACACACCTTGGTCGCCTGCTACCCGGATATAGTGCAAACATGATATCTCGTCGATGGTGAGGTCTTTGACACTGACATTTGCGGTACCGTGGTCAGCGGCCGATCAGGGCTCCAACACGGGGAGAACATATAGGAAACACACCTTTCCAATTCGTCCTGTTCCAACGCTCGGAAAGCCACTACTGCTCCCTTATCATCGCAAGACGCTCGAAAAAGGCCCTAGTGGATGCGAGGGTGTCGTCATGAGTTTCCAACGCGGGGCCAGTGCCCGTTTACAGCGTGTTTGAGGGATGGTGTACGTACCGCTGATAACAAGAAGTTGAGGGCGAGTATTCGTGTCTGTTCATCCGGAACTAGAGCTTTGACTTCGTCGATGGAGATAACCTGTTGGTCAAGGGTATGTTTTGGTGTTTTCAATAGACAGCCAGATGGACGCACACGAGTCGTTTTCGCCAATGCAGCCTGATGCAGTACCTTTTCCTGCTCGTTCAGCGCTCTCGCAGCCATGTCGCTTGCACAACCTTAGTACCCATCGTCGGATACATGTAGGCGCATGGGGCCCATGCATGAACAACGCTCGATGTCTTGCACGGACAACGTGCTTCAGAGACAAGCGCTCAACACTGATGGACGGATATAAGCAAGATTTAGCCTTGATTGGCGCCCAAGATTGGAAACGAACGATGCGCACCACTTGCTCGTTTCCACCATCCAGAAATGTAGCGGATGCTTCCTTGCTTCCTCTTTTCATTTCGCGCTTTCCACTGACTACTCCGAGGCAGATTGAATGGCTGTGTTGATTTTCTGAAAACAAGATCATGCCACAAGGGTAGGTCCACATAGACTAGAGACGTCCATGCACTAACCTCTTCTTGGACACGTCTTCTAGAGTTGGCGGCGCGCTTCCGTTTTCCAAGGATCCATACCCCAGCTAAGATCTTGTCATTGGCAGTCTACATCTGCCTTGTTCAGCAACTCCGCGATGCCGTTATGTCTGAGCATAGTTGACTGGGACCTTTACTGGATTACTGGTGTCGAACTGCTCTTCGCATCTTCGTGTGAACAAGAGTGAGCGACGCCGCACGGTAGGTCCTGTTTTACTCGATCTATTCGACATTCTAATGCTGGACAGCACTCGGGTAATATACATGCCCCCTCTGAGAAGATCCCAACAATCCAACGAAAATCTGGAGGACACGATTCTTGTCAGAACAAACTCAAGGAGGAATGATCCAGAAGAAAATTAGAGTCAGTAGTAAGAAGGTTTCCGCAGCTCCTTGAAGGGAGCATCGGTAGTCTAACATACTTTTGACAAAGCATCATGTAAAACATAGCAAGAACGAGCGCTACTCACCGTGAAAATGGTTGTCCTGGTTGTTCCTCTCGAAATCCGAACGGGTTGTTATAGTGGGACCCCGAATGCCGGGAATTGCCGGATCTGGTGTTCGGGGGCAAGTTTTGAGGAGAAAGAGAAGAGGATGGAAAGATTTTGCCTCGTGTTGAAGGTGAGGCAAGTTGTGAGGGAGTTGTTGATCCGGAATGACAGTGTTTTATCACTAATACGGTCCTTGGACGCATTTTTCAGACCCAGATTTACGCGATGTGAAAAGGGATATGTATAAGGACCAGGTTGACCGAGTGAACGGTTCGCTCATCTTCGATGTTTCCGACAACAACGACCTAAGTGCCATATCCCCGTTGGTCCTCTTCTCTTCCTTCAAAATAAGACGCCCTTACCCCGCCTCTTATCGTCCATCGCCCCCGTCCCCCTGTCCGAGCCGCCGTCTACCCTTTTGATGCCCCCTTACACTACCCATCAGCGCAGGGAGCATCTGACTGCCAATGATAGGCGAGAATCCCCTGTGACCCCTGCTGTCACAGGCATCGAGTACCCTTTCGACGACGCTTCCACCACAGACGTCGACTCTCGCCCACGCGGTCACCAGCCCCAGTTCTACACCCTGCCCAACATAGCAGCCTCAAGCCTCGACGACGCCATCGAGCCCCCCTCGACGTCGTCACTCGACCATGTCTGGAACTCAATCCGCAATGACAAGTCGAAACGCATGGCCAAGGAGAAGCCCAAAGTTCAGTCGCTCGAAGAAATAACCCAGGAGCTTCTCCACCTCGACACACACCCTGGTCCTCCCCTCCATATCCCTGTCATCGAGTCCCATAATGGGTCGGTACCGAAATCCCTCAAGAAGCATAGGTCAATGTACGCTTCTCTCTCTCCCGGCTGGCGGTACCTTGCCAGCTTACCCCTTCTGATGACAAGCCAATGCTAACCATGTTCTCTCTCGAATTCTCGTTCCGTTACAGATCTAATTTCCGAGAATCAACAGACGGCCGATCGATGGTGGCTACTTTTGAAATGCCCCCAGAGGTTGCGAAACAGGACATTCATATCAGCTTCCAACGAAACAGACTCGTCATAACCTGGAGCTATGCTGAGATTGTAGAGTGGAAGGAGGCAGGCGTGTTCAACAGAGAGAGAACGGAGAAGTACTACAACAGGACCTTGCCCCTTCCGGAGGGTACGAGGGTCAGTGCTTGTCCTTCCGGCCTGACATGACGGTTCGATGACGTGCTAATCGATAACTTTATCAGTTCGAGGAAATCCATGCTCAAATGACCAGCCGGGGGCTGATTCTGAGATACCCAAACCTGCGCTCTTACCGCGTCGACGGCCGCACTCGATCTGGAGACTCATAATGACCTCGTTGCAATCCTTGCAAAGCATGCTGCACATCTGCCTCGTTTTCTAAGTTTGCAAATCACAAGAATCAGTGTAACTAACTTATTGTATTACTAGTCCACGACCCTTCTCAGAGCACTCCATCATTGTAGGTCCACGTTTTTATGACATGCTTAGGACACTGCAGGTATCTCTCTCGCATTAGAATATTAACGGTAGTATCGAACTGTATTATTTGTTTCCTTCCAATCGACCTCATCGCTCACTCGGAGCCTGTCATCGAAGTTCGTCGAGCGAGGTAAGTTGCAAATGCCACGGATCTAGTGAGGCTGGCCAACAAGTGCTCTATGTATGATGGAAGCTCACCATCGCGAAGTTCTAGTTCTTCCGCGAAGCAAAAATATTGCCAAGTCAGGAACTGCCAGTGACACCTCGATTTCAAAAGGGAAGCTGTGGGGTAGCACTGGGGAAACACCTTCCGACCGAGGGTGCGGTGTCAGAGCCCAAGAGGAGAAAATCGCGGGAACGTCACCACCTTCCAACAAAAGGATATAGAACGCACCCTACTTGCACAATGGAATTTACTGAAGGAGGCTAAAGTGCCCAGGAAACTGGAAAGCTTACCACGGTAGAGCCCATATGTGACGTTATCGTGTGGCGACTGGAAGCAGTCTAAGAACGACCAAAGGTTGTGATTCTCGTGAATGAGTCGATGCGTGAAATGTTATACAAGTGGGCAACCGGTTGGCCAGTGAGGGCATATATCATTGTCGGGCCGATTGGAGCTTCAGTACGCCATACAGCGGTCAACGATGTCAAGTCAAACGACCAAACCCAGAATTGCAAAGTAGACCCAGCACAAGTCGTTATCACGCCCAGAGGGTGGTCGGGTGATTCGTCATTCTTGCTTTCTCCTCTTCTTGTCGTGACGAGTGGCGTTATTGTCGACAGTAAGAGGCACGAATTCCAAAGGAGGGTAGACCAAAGCACTTGTATGCATCTTGCTTGCCTTCCCTAGCTTACCTTGTCCGCTCCCACTCGCTCCTCCAACTCCACGCTTTTGTCCTATCTCTATTCTCTCTTCCTTGGCTTGACTAAAATCACCAGAATTGGGATGGTCCAGAGATGCAGCTGCTACCACAACGCGGGACTTCCAATTCGTTATCCTTCCGAATTCCTTCTCCCTTTCCTCGGAACCACATCGGGGCTGAGTGCGGGCTGCTGCTAGTGCCAACTGCGAAGTCGAACAAAACGAAGCTCTCGAAAACGGGGCAGCTTTGCGAGGGTCGACCAAGGTTGCCCTTCGATCGAGGGTGCGACTGCTGCCGTCTTGGTCCGACCTGTCATGGCTGAGTGGGACGAAATCGAGGGGTCTGCGTGTTGGAGCGACATTGTCTTCTGTTCCTCGTTTATTGCGCGGCGATCGAAGAACCAGGTTATCCTGGGGTCGTCCATAAGTTGACACTGATGCTTCAAACAACCGCGTGCCCAACGACTTGGTCAAGAGCTTCTTCCGAGACGCCTTCTTACTCTCTTTTTCTTTCTTTGCGTTTGCACCATTGGGAGGACTGGAGGATCCTGGATGGTACTCGGACGCGGTTGCTGATTCGCTCGAAGAAGACCCCTCTTGTTCCGAGTCATCTTCGTCCGAAATGACAAGTCTCCGGGCAGGACGTGCTCGAAGTCGAGGTCTCCGCTCCTTTGTGGAAGGACTCGACGAAGTTTCCAAGTTAAGCTTGATTCCGGTGTTCTCTTCGCTGCTTGCGTCCCGCGCGTCCGGGAAATCCCAGATTTCAAAAGCTGCTTCGAAGTGGGATGGGCCAGCGTTGTTGGCTGCAGCAGCGTAGCTGCTCGGCGAGGATAGAATCGTTCTTCTTTTCCTGGCCAAGTAGGATCGGAGCTTTGGTTTCTTGTGAGACTGTGCATCGCTGACATCCACGCCCGCATTGCGGGTCAAGAAATCGTGAACGGTAATCTGGGCTGTATCTTCATCCGTTTGCGGGATGTCGGGAAGGTATTTAGGGAGACTCCCTGGACTTATATGCGGGATCTCGGATATTCGAGACAGTGGTTTAGCAACCGTAGTGGAATCGGAGGTCCTCTTGTGAGTCTCCGCCTAATCAAACCGTCATTGGATTTACAAGGAAATAAGGAGATTCTCGGCAACCTTCGAGGTGAGATCTGTATCCTTGTCTCGAGATCCCTCCGGTTCAACATAGTAACCCAGACATGGATCTATAGCAGATCGCTTTCTTCTCCGTTGTACCTGAAATTGGTGAGCCCCTAGTTACCCCGCCATTATGCCGCGTTCAACAGACGAACCTGGAAATCCATTGAATCCCTCGTTGTTTCATCAGTTGGAGAAAGAGGAGCAAATGTCGAAAGTGGCTCGAATTCTGAACATAACGGCGTACGATGATGGGGGAAAACAGGAGACCGGAAGCGGCTGGGCGCTTGTCCTTTGTTTGGTTGCTTATTTGGCTCGTCGCGCGTGATGCGGATGCGACGCCGTCAGCCAGACAGGGGCGGTCTCATTCTTGAACTCACTGTCAGCAAGTTTTCCTCGTCCACGACAACGATGCTTAGACTCAGATCCCAGACAGGCCACATCTCATCCTGAACCTCAGGGAACACGTCTTGGGATAGCTGCTGCGGGGAGGAGATAGCAGAATTCTGAAACACACGAGCTGATAAAACCAGTTGGCCCGGGCGACCTTGCCAGCCCATGTCAGAGTTCCCATGGCTATTCCCGCAGAACCCGCCAGGAATATGGGGAGAGTCGACACCTAGGGAGGGGAGAGTGTTGTTTGAGCGGTAGTCCATCACTGGGACCCAGATATGTATGTGAGATCTTTCCCCGGCTTCATCTTCGAGCCTTCTAAATGTTATTTAAACGCCCTTAGGACCCCGTATTCATGCACCATGGCGGGGGCGGGCCCGTCAACCTCTATTCATGGTATATGGCCGCACGCGAACTCAGAGTACATCGCCTCGGAAGTTGGCTCACGGGGCTGTCGCGTTCTTGACGCGTCTTACCCTATTCCACCTGCCCCCGGAACGTCTACGAGTCGGAGCACTGCTCGACATCGTCTCCCACTCCAACACAAATAGTCTCAGTTCACTTACCCCAGGCTTTGACTCAAATGTATAAGGCAGTCTGGGATTGTCAACTCAGTTTGACGCAGTCGTCCAGGAACTTTGACTCCACTTCTCCTATTCTCCTGAATCTAGGGTGCAGGTGAGCCCATTCTTGACCCCGCCGTTTCTGTTCGTCGCACAATCTTCGACTTTTTCTACCCACGTCTCAACTCCATAGCCAAATCTAGAGAAACTAGGTGCGTCGAACAAAAACATAAGTGTTCGACGCACATCGTTTCACTGTGACCTCGTCACACTGTCACACCTGAACCCCTTCTTTCCAAAGTTTATAAGAACCCCCGGGTTTGCACTTAATCGGGCGTCGCAAATCGCACTTCCACCACTTGAACCATCACCACCGTAACAAAATCTTCTGAACCAACATGACTACCGTCTACCAGTCCACGGTCACCTTAACCTCCCCTTCCGGAGAACAATTTGTCTTCGAGGTCTCGTCTACGAAACCAAATCCAGAGCGCAGACTCGTCATCAACACCCGCGAGGAGAATGGGAAGACTATCATCAGGCCCATTGTCGACGAGCTCTCCTCTACGACCTCGCCCATCGTCTTCAACGAGGATGTCAACCATGCCGTGGACGAATCACTTGTTGACGTCAAAGAGCCCTGGTCATTACCTCAGCCACCTTCCATGCTCGAGGAACCCTCCACGTTCCTGAAGGGCTATGACTCTGACACTGATTCTGATGACGAAGAACAAGGTTGGTTATTTCTCACTCCTTCATTCGTTTTCCGGTAGTTGACTTTTATTCGTTCTTTCCAGCCATGGCCAGCTTCTGCAAACGCCTCAGGCGGGCTGCGAAATTCCCTCGTCTCTCCATCAAATCCCGCGATTCCTACTACAACTCTGATTCCGAGGACGTGGACGACGAAGAGACACCGTCATCCTACTGGAACTCTCACAAATCCAAAACCACATCCAAACCCAAATGTACTTTCGATCGCAAGGCTGTTCTGACATTCGGCTCGAGTACACCTCCGGTGAAGAGGCGCCTGAGAACACGGACGACGAAGAGTACGGCGAATGGCTCGATAACTATTTGCTGGAGCTCGCTGGATTGAAGACGCCCTCTTCTGAAGACTCAGACCAGGACGAATCTGTGCCAATCCGCTCTTTCGTCCGCGCCTCGCTCCCCATGCACCACCCCAAACCCGCACCCCTCGAGACAGTGTGCCGACCTGCTTTCCTCGACATCGGCTCTGATTACGGAGTCTAAATGCAAGACTGCCACGAGTCGGATCGCAGAAGTGGTTTTGCATGACAAAGGATAGTTGGCGCCGAGAGGGCACGTCCGGTCGGGTATGCAATCTGTTGCAGATGGTACCCTGCTGCTCGTCCGGCCAGGTTTATGTATTCAGTAGATAGTTCCATCTCAATCTCTACCTGTTTCGACATTCGGCTCTTCTTCCTTGCTGTGTATCTATCCTCTGTATAGAGTCCTTTCTTCCTCATCTTCTCCGCCCCTCACTGTGAGCATCACCCGGTTTGGTTGGTTTGAGGTAATTTTTCCTGCCATCTTTCTCTCTCTTCAGCGCGTAGTGGCATAGGGCCGAATATTGAGCATTCTAGATTTGCAGTATGAAACCATATCCCCATCCTATTGGTACAATATATAATTTAGTACAATAGTACACCTTTGCATGGACTTCTCCGTAAAACCCTCCACGATCCCCAGTCATCTAATTCTAATTCGCGGCGGTAGCTGAAGCAAGTCGCTGTAATTCAGCTTCCAAATCAGCCTTCAACTTCTTCAACAACTCCACATTCTCTTTAATCTTCTGGTCCAGCTCGGGCGTCTTGGGCATCTGCGCCTTCAACCCTCTAACGACATTGCCCTGCTCAGTAATCTTTGCCTCAAGGTCGAGGGCAACGTCAGATTTAGGTCCGGTATAAGCAGGAACAGCAGGCGCCTTCTTGCTCGCTCCCTTCTTCTTGGATCCAGGCGCGTTCTTCAAGGGGTCATTATGGGTTTCGGGTTTCTGTGACTCGTTACCGCCGAATTTAGCACGCCATTCCTCAATCTTGCTCTCTTCGATCTTCTTGAACAGATGCTCGGGTGTGCCGATAGTGTGACCCGCGAGGATATCGTTGGAGAACACGTCGGGGACAGCTCTTGGGGGTGCGTTGAGCTGCCTCTCGATGGCAGCACCCGTGGCGGGCATGAAGGGGTGGATGAGGACGGAGAGGAGGTAGATGAGGTTGGCAGCTCGGGAAACGACTTGAGCGCAGCGTTTGGGTTTCGAAGTCATAAGAGCCTTGTTGAGACCGGAGGACTGGAGGTAGTTGTTGCCTTGAGCGGAGATGAGCATGACTGTCTGCAAACCCAGGCGTAATTTGACAGCATCCATGGCGTCGATGTAGTCCTTGAGCAGCGAGTTTACGTGGGTGAAGAATTCACCGTCGACCTCATCGTTGGGGGAGTAAGGGCCAGGTGCGTCTTCCGAGTCGGGGATGACACCACCGTATTGAGAGGAAATGAATTTGAGGGCACGGTTCACGAAGTTGCCAAAGCTGTATCGGAACAAGTCAGTCGGTAAGCAACAGAGGACTCCGGAACACGCACTTGTTCAGGAGAACGTTGTTGTTGGCAGCGACCTGAGAGGATCCGGTTGAATACAGAGTCAAGCTGGTTCATGCTACAACTTACACAGTCACTCCAAGAGAACATGGCATCCGCCGTCTCGGGTCTAGTGGACAGCAAATAGTATCGCCAGACAGAGGCTGGAATTCCAGTGTCCTTGGCAGCAGGTCCGAACACACCACGGTTCTTGCTCTTGGAGAACTTGCCTCCTTCGTAGTTGAGGTACTCTGGCAACCCTGTCAGCTTTCAGCAGTGGAGGGAAGTTGAGGCAGTTATTCACCGGTGGTAGAAAGGTGGTGTAGTTTGGTCCAGTTACGACCGTCTCCAATCTGGACAGAAGGCCAATAGACAGTGTGGAAGTAAACATTGTCCTTGCCCATGAATTGGTAAAGGTCGACGTTCTCGGGGTTAAGCCACCATTGTTTCCATTCGGGCGTAAGGTTGGCCGTTATACTGGGGTACCCAATAGGTGCGTCGAACTAGTCCCAGAACTCAGTAGAAGTCAGGACACTCGAGGAGGCAATACATACCCAGACATCTTCGGATAATTGTATGAGCTTGAGTCACACGAGTAGGTGAAATGACCACTCACAAAGAACCTTATCTTTCATCCCATGAACATCTTCGCCTTCAATGGGAACGGGAACACCCCACTTCAAATCCCGAGTAAGAGGAGTAGGAAGGAGACCCATTTTCAGTCGAGCATCAATGATTTCTCCATCGCCGTTGATAACGGCGTTCGGGGACCATTTACCCTTCTTCCACGACGACTTGATCCACTCCTCAGTCTTGGGTTGGATCTCGTTGAGCTTCAGATACATGTGCGAAGAGAGCTTGGTGGTGACTTTGTGGGTCTTGTCAACAAGGCACCGAGGTTTAATGAGTTCGACGGCGTCCAGGGTTCTGCTGCAGCCATCGCACTGATCACCTCGGGCGTCTTCATAACCACAATGGGGACAGACACCTTCTACATATCGGTCGGCCAAGAACCTGTCGAGAGCAACGTTCGCAAATGAGCCGTAGCAAGAGGTATAGTAAACGTACTTGGGACATCCCTCGCAGTAAACCTGCTCTTTCTCCTGCTTCTCGAGGAAACCGTTTTTACCCAGGTTCAAGAAGATCTCTTGAGAGATACTGGAGGGAGATGTGAGAAGTAAGAGTGGAAATAATCACTGTAGGAACATACTCGGTGTGGTAAGGAGTCGAGGTCCGCCCGAAGTGGTCGAATCTATAGGCAGGTGTGGTGAGAGGCGAGTCTTTTGTAAAGGCGACCATGTTGCTAACCCGATGTCAAACCACTCGTAGGTAGCTTTGTGAAGGACATAGTATTTGTCGCAGAGTTCTCGAGGAGTGATGCCCTCTTTCAAGGCCTGAGTCTCGGTCGCAGTGCCGTATTCGTCTGTACCACAGACATAGAGGGTTCTCTGGTTGCGAGTGCCTGTTCCAACGTTGTCAGGGATGGTAGAGAAGTGGTTTCGTTCGACATACGGCTATATCTGCAGGACTATCAGCCACTGAGGATAACAACCTTGAAGTAAATCATACCGACTAAATACATCCGCGCTTAGCGTGCTCCCGATGATGTTTCCTTAGGGGACATAAACCAATGTTCACCAAGGAACTGAAGGGAATTTCTCACCAAGATGAGGAACGTTATTGCAATAAGGCAAGGCCGAAGTAATCAGGATGTTTTTCTCTCCGTCCTTTGGCAATCTATGGCTCGATTAATTGAAGATCAAAATCTCTGTAGATAGAAAACATACGGTGTCACGCTTCCTGGAGGGGGGATTTCTCTCAGAACGCCAGGATCTGCTCGTAACCGTTGTGCCATGTTGTTTAAGATGTTCTAGAGGTAAGGAAAGATGGGGAACAAGGTAGAGATTGGAGAGATGGACCAGCGGAAACTTGCTAATCTCCCCGGTCCATCAAATGACTCCGTCAAAACAAGCCCAAATAACGCGCCTTGCGCCGGGAGCGGAACTTGAACCCGGTCAGCGACTAATTGGGGATCGTCACATCATTGCCGTATCGCCTGGCGCCATTCACAACCGCCTGCCAATGCTCCCTCGTCGCCGCCATCTTCTCCACAGAACATGGCAATTCTCAGTTGGTTGAAGTAAGTCTAGACCGTCTGATACATTGGACGTCGCTGATACATTGTCGTCGAAAAGACTGTTGTCACCGCCTAGAGGTCACGGCCACCTCTCAGCTGCTCAGCCTGAGTTTACAGTCACCGCAGTTGTCATTGGCCTCGCTATTGGATGCCTAATATGCTTCACAAACTTGAGCCTGGGCTTGCAGTCAGGATGGATATCCATGTAAGTCTTTCGCCTTTGGCGAAGGGCGAATGCTCACATTGGTTTAGGATGTCCATACAGTCCGCCCTTATCGGTTTTCTAATTTCACGAATGCTGCCAACGCCATTGACACCCCAGGAGCTCATTGTAGTCCAAACCACAGCTGTCGCTACCGGAACAATGCCACTTGCTGCCGGCTTCGTTGGTATCCTGCCTGCATTGAGCCTGTTGGATGAAGAGCGGGATGGTTCACCAGCCATTCGCCTTGACTGGTGGTCAGCATTGTGGTGGTCCTGCGGGGTTGCGTTCTTTGGGTAAGGCTTTCACACCGCGTTGGTGATATTCTGAGGCTAATATCACTTAGTGTATTCCTCTCGCCGCCTTTGCGAAAGCAAGTTGTCAGTGAACCTTCGGTCTGCAATTCCCTTTCACTGACGCTGTTTCAACAGATTATCGAGGAGGAACTGCCATTTCCTTCAGGAACTGCAACTGCTCAGATGATATCCGTATTGCACAAGCTCCCTCCACCGGATACCCAAGTTCACCGTCGACGCGGATATCAACAGGTGGATGAAGACGAAGTAAACGTGGCCCCCGCAGAGGAGACAGAAGTTGCAGACCCACAGCGAGAAGAAAGTGACGGTCTAGAACGAGAAGCAGTACAACACGACGGATGGCACGATTTGATTTGGAGCTTCAGTGCTGCAGGTGGTCTGACTGTCAGTACCCCACCTTATCATTCCACTGCCGACACTGACACGTCCCATAGCTGTTCGCATACTTCTTCCCCGCTGTGTTCACTATCCCTATATTTGGAACTTATCTTGCCAAAGAATGGCTTTGGTATTTTACCCCCAGTCTGTCGTATGTTGGCCAAGGAATCATCATGGGGTTCCCAACCACCGTCAGTATGAATCTCGTGAGTGCATATTCTATTAGGAAGCCGTTCCGCCGATGCTTACATTGCGTAGGGTATGCTTGTTGGCTGGGCAGTCCTTTCGCCACTTGCGAAGCTATCTGGCTGGGCGCCTGGTCCTGTCGGTGACATGTCCAACGGTGCTCGCGGATGGATCCTCTGGGTTTCGCTGGGAATCATGTGCGTCGACAGTCTGGTGTCACTCCTCCCTGTCGTTGTAGAGTATGCAGCGGACTTGATCTGGCCCCTGAGGCGCCATTATTCGCGGATCGGGGATAATGGTGTTGCCAAACGGGAGGACCATGAAGTTGAGACCCCCAACCGGCTTGTACCTACTTCGTGGGTCCTAATTGGCCTTGTCTCAAGCATAACCGTAGGGACGTGCCTCGTCTGGTTAGTCTTTGGTCATGACGGCATTAAGCCCTGGGCGACTGTGGTGGGATTCATCTTTGGTGGCTTCTTGAGCGTGATAGGGTATGTCGACCTTAGCACGCATTTTCCGCGGAACTAACGATGTCCGTTGTTAGAGTCCGTGCTCTTGGAGAAACCGATTTGAATCCAGTCTCTGGTCTGGGCAAGGTATCCCAACTTCTCTTCGCTTGGATCCAGCCAGGGAACGTCGTTGCGAACATCATTGCCGGAGGAGTCGCGGAGGCAGGTGCCCAACAGTGAGCGACTTCTTTGATCTACACATATTCCCCCAACTCAAGTTATCTCGGCGTTTAGGGCGGGCGATCTGATGCAAGACCTAAAGACTGGGCACTTGTGCCGAGCTTCTCCTCGAGCCCAATTCTATGGGCAATTGGTTGGATCTGCAGTTTCGGTCGTGATAACCACCACCGCCTTTACGCTTTACAACCGAGCATATGAAATCCCCGGTCCTTCCTTCCCCGCACCAACTGCCTATGTATGGCTCGGTCTGGCTCGCCTCCTTCGTACGTGGTCTCTTTTATTAATCACTGTGCTGGTTATGAATATCCCTCAGGTGACGGTCAATTGCCGGAAAACAGTGCAACCTTTATGGTGGGTTTCAGTCTAATATTCGGCATTCTGTCGGGGGCAAAGACGTATGCTTCTCGAAACCAATTATGGTATGCCCAATGGATACCTTCCGGGGTCGCCTTTGCCATTGGTTTCCTCAATACGCCCTCTTTCTCGATCGCAAGATTGATCGGAGGGACTATCGAGTACATTTATCGCACCAGATATGCGAGGAAGGATGGGGGCGACATTCGGTTGGTGGTCGTTGCCAGTGGGTTTGTCTTGGGCGAAGGTGTCGTCAGCATTGTTTCTTTGATTCTCAAGATTATTGGTATCGGTGTTGTAAGCTGTATAGGATGCGGCCATGGGTTGTGCGGAGGCTGCCCCGCTACGACGTAGAGCCATTGTCTTAGACTTCAATTCAACCCATGCTTTTATGAGCGCTTAAGTCCGAATGGATTAGTCATCACAGGATTTGCCTGCCCTACGCGTCAAGGACGCTTGACTGACTCGACCTCCAACTGCGGAAACTTTGTCCACGTCGGCACCACGTAGACGCCTCCAAAGGCGGCAAACAATACTGTTCAGTGCACAAGCGACATGCAATAGGACCATTTTCTTATCCCCAACACCCATAATGTCTCGGGTAGAACTCGCTAAAATCCGCTCCTTGACCTTCTACAAAGATGAATTGACTGCAGCTCGCCGAACTTCGGCTATTCCCCAACTGAAGTGCGTTGGACGGCCTTGTAGGCTGTACCAGCCGGATGTTATCAGATGTGTGAACACTGGAGGGGATGGTGTGGATATCGATTGGCGGGTACGTGTTCTTGGTTCTCGGATACCTGGTTGTTGCTGACTGACCGTCATCTTTTCTCATTAGTGTGAAGCAGATTTACCGGAAGCATTGAGATTTGGAAAGGTGGAGGTCAGCTGCGAGGGTTGGTCCAGACCTGGGGATCCATACGTGCTGAAGGGTGCGTGAATGCCACTCCATACGGTTCCTGAGCTCGCCTCATCCTGTCCCAGGTTCTTGTGCATTAGAGTATAAACTCGTTCAAGTCCCGGATGCTTTGCGAGGTGGAAAGACCGACTCTCCAATACTTGGATCCTGGAAAGGTGAGTACCAATGCAATTCGAAGAGGATGGACCATATTCACATCAACTCTACAACAGAATGGGACACGTCTGAAATTATCTTCTGGGTCGTCTGGATATCCATCCTCCTCTTTATCGTCTATAACTTCCTGAAATCATGCTTTGGCAACGATAGACAGGTGGCGCGCACCGCAGGCAACAACCGACCAGGTCCAAGTCCCGGTGGTGGTTGGGGACGATGGTTCCCTCGCGACGACCACGACGACTACCGTCCACCACCCCCACCCTACTCCAAAGACCCGCCCGGAACATCGACGTGGGACAACTGGCGACCAGGTTTTTGGACAGGCGCTGCTCTAGGTGGACTCGCCAACCAGTGGTGGAATAACCGGAACCGTCGAGTCTACGAACCAGAACCAGAACCCATTCTGCGACCAGGGTGGTTTGGTAGTCGGCAGCAAAGCACTGGGTGGTCCCCATTTGCTTCACACAGTCAGCCGAGCTTCCGAAGAGCGAGACCAGTGTATGACGATTCTGATCGTGGAGAAGGCCCTTCGAATCTTGGGGCCATGAGAAGTAGCACTGGAATTGGTGGTACCAATGTCCGGTGATCAGGAGGCCGAATTTGATTCTTGGAGACGATGGTTTCCTCCCCTACTGAATCTTTGTAAGAGGTTCCGCTTGTATTTTTGTCGTCGTATTCATGCAACGCTCTTGTTAGTAGCTATGGTGAATGCTGAAACTAATTCAACCGGTTACAATGACTACTCTTTCTCCCTCTCTCTCTGTCGCTTCAAAAGTCGAATTATCGGAGCCCAGTGGATAAACGTCGGGATTAGTAGCAACTGGTATGGTTTCCTCGAATCTCATCGTCACGGGTCCATTCAGGGATCAGCATTTATTGCAAGTCCCCGCTATCAGTTTCACGACCCCAGCCAAATAGAAGCTCGCTCCAAACCATTCAGCTACCGTCGGGCTTGGTCATGCTTCCCTCTGAGAAAAAACACGGAGTGATTTCCAGCATTTTGATAGTTGGGCAAGTCAACCGAATTCCTTGGAACTTCTCGAACCCATCTCAACCTATCCCGCGCTGTGTTTAACGACTTTATTCTTTCCCGATTCTGCCCATCCATGCGCCCGCGGTGACTTTTTGTCGGCTAAATGACGGATGATAATTTTCTTGGATTTCGTTTATAACCGCGGCGTGGTTTGGTTCCTGAGCTGGCTAGGACGCGTTTCTCGTTCAGGATGAAGTCTGTGCTCTCCCCGCTGTCTGCAACTGTGATTGCTCTGTTGAGCACTGCGGCTGTTGCCGTTCCCCCCTACGGCCAGTGCGGTGTAAGTGTCGCACTCAATTGACGGTGGTGTGTTCTCTGACGCTTGCTTCTCTTAGGGCTCTGGATACACTGGACCTTCCGACTGTGACTCTGGCTATACCTGTGTCCCGGTGAACCAATGTACGGCACCTACTCCTACGGCCATTGTTCTCACAAGACTGACTGCCGTTTGAATTAGGGTACCACCAGTGCCAACCCGGTAGCTCCGCCCCCACCAACCCTCCCAATCCCCCTGTCGCTACTACCACTACCACTGCGCCCAGGCCCACCAACAGTGCTTGCCCAGGCGCCGTCACCAAGTTCCGCTACTTCGGTGTCAACCAAGCTGGTGCTGAGTTCGGCAGCAACATCATCCCCGTACGCTGCTCTCCTTCCACCATCCCCTGACAGTTGAACTTACGCCCGACGATGCTCGGTTTCAGGGAGAGCTCGGGACCCACTACATCTGGCCCGCCCCTAGTTCCATCGACTTCTTCGTTAACGAAGGTTTCAACACTTTCCGAATTCCCTTCCAATTGGAGCGACTGAACCCCCCTGCTCGTGGGTTGACCGGTTCCTTCGAGCAGCCCTACCTCCAGGACTTGAAGAGGACTGTCGACTACATCACCCGAAACAAGAACTCTTTCGCCATCATCGAACGTGTGTTATTTACTCTTTCTGACACTTGGTTTGTGGAGACTGAAGGGGACATGCAGCCCACAACTACATGCGATATGCCAACCAGACCATCACCAACGTTTCTCAGTGAGTTATTTACCTCTGAGAGGATATAAACTGTTGCTTACGCTTTGTCGTTATAGATTCAGCACCTGTAAGTTTCTCGCATCGCTTGAGACCTGTTCCAGAGATTTAACCGTGTTGCGTAGGGTGGAGGAACCTTGCAACTGAATTCGTAAGTTCGATTTTTCCATTGGAAACAAGTTCACCCTCTGACTTTGTTTCTAGAGGGATAATGACAAGGTTATCTTTGGTGTGTATCCATCGAAGCCAAGCGGGCAAGAAAGAGATCTAAACACTGTCTAATAGATGTCATGAACGAGCCCCACACTATGGATGCTCGTGTCGTTTTCGACCTCAACCAAGCGGCGGTCAATGCTATCCGTGAAGCTGGTGCTACCCGCCAATTGATCCTCGTTGAGGGAACCTCCTGGACCGGTGCCTGGAGTAAGCGATCCACCTTTTCCTCGATAGAGAATTACCTCATTGACATGTTGACGGAATTTAGCCTGGACTACCACCAGCGGAAACGGCAACGTCTTCCAGAATATCCGTGATCCCAACAACAATGTCGCCATTCGTACGTCTTGTTCATCGACATCTCCTTCTAACAATTCCTGATCAACGTTTTGGCACCACTCGTTACCACTTTCAGAGATGCACCAGTACCTCGACAGTGACGGTTCGGGTACCTCTCCCACTTGTGTTTCCAGCTCCATCGGTCGCGAGCGTCTCGCTGCTGCCACTGCCTGGTTGAAGCAACACAACCTCAAGGGCTTCCTCGGTGAACTCGGTGCTGGTTCCAACCCCACTTGCATTGAGGCCATCAAGGGTGCTCTCTGCTCCCTCCAGGAGTCTGATGTCTGGATTGGTTGGGCCTGGTGGGCTGCTGGTCCCTGGTGGGGCAACGTAAGTTGTTTCTGCCTTTCGTGTGGACGGGATGCTGATGCAATGTTTTATTTTCTTCCTTATAGTACTTCCAATCCATTGAGCCCCCCAATGGACCCGCTCTCGCTCAGATGTACCCTCAGGCCATCAAACCCTTCATCTAAAGTGCTGAAGGAAGGGAGAAAAGGAGCTCGAGCTTCTGCAAGGATGTAGGATATGTCGTCATTGCTTTGAAATAAACTATGACTTTGAATCTTCCGCTGTGCGTCTCGACTACCCCGGGTTGTAATTTCCTCAACGTGTCGGTTTCTTCAAGACTCGTTGACCATTGAAGCATGAACATGAGGTGGGGCAAGAATGCATCCCGAAATGGGGTACTACATCGGCCGATCCAGCAACGGACAAGCCTTGGAGTGTAAATTCGCTCTGTACCAGGAAGGAAAGAAGTGTGACGAGGGACCAAGAACTGTCAGGTGCAACCGTTGAATATAACGGGTTTCAGTTATTGGGTTCGCTCCTAACTTTTATAGACAGAGGCGTCTTCGTCCATTCGCCCATATATTCTCTCCGATGTGATAATCGGAGGGAACTGCGGAGTACTGGGCGAGCGCCCGTCACAATCTATCTGCCCGTATCCCGTATCATATCAGTGACTATGTCATGAATTGCGTAGGCTTCACTGCTTTCGGTAGGTGGGCGGCTGTAAAAGGCAGTTGCTGTGATCATCCCTTTGCTAGGGATTAGTTAGGTTGTGATTTGTTGAATTAGAGTGACGGGTATGTGATCATGGCAGCGGAGGGCCAGGAAAGCAGAGGAGAGCGTCGCGGGAGGTATACGCGCGGGTGAACACAGGTTGGAGGCATGGAATGAGCCTTACACCTGGTCCCAGGAGTTGTCCCTCCAGAGAGATTGATTCATAGGCATGTTACTACGAGGAGTGCCAACCATGGAAACATGGGAGATCCTAGTACACGCCACCCCATTTCGTCCCACAACTGAGTGTGAGCGGCAACCCAGACGGTACACGTTCCCAGTCGAACAAGCCTAGGAGAACTCCGCTACAAAAGGCAATAAATGTGACGAGGGGGCGTTGGTGGGTCCTTGATTGTGACACCGAAGCGTAGCGCAGTTCTCCCCTGCCGCAAACGTCAATCATGAAGGCGGCAACGCAGCCCGCATTCGGTATGTGCGACTCAGAATTGTGTTTTCATGGAGGCGGCGTTTGGTCGCATGACCGTGCACGGGACGGTTGTCTGAATCCCTTGGTGGCTATCATCGGGATTCAAGAACCCTGAGGACCATTTGAGGAGCGGAAAATAAGATAAACGGATGACAATAGCGAGCAAGATGGCTGTTGTTCGTACAGCCTTGTAGAATGATATCTGCACGCACTCGACACGTTTTCCGTGTCGAAAGACGCTCGATGTTGGGCACCGTGCGGGGTAATTTGATTGGGTCAATTATGGTCAGCCACCGCCAAGTCGGAAGCAGTTCCGATTCGAGTCACTTTGCCACGAAAGCTTCACAGAGAACGTTCTGGTTCTAAGTTTATCTGTACGCACCTCTTAAATGAAAGAAGGGTATTTCAAATCGTGGAGAGATGTAATAAAAGAGAGAAGAGGGTACAAAAGTGATAAGGCGGACATGACGATGCCGAGCTCCGGCTCGAGATCGTATGCTGCCCGTTTTGGGAAGAGGTCCTCATCAAACCGCATGTTGGGCCGTGACTCTTCTGTTTTACTTATAAACCTCCACCACCCAACATCTGCAGTCCTGGCCGTCCCCTTCCCTTTTGCGCTCTTGGACATCTGTCCCTTCTCCTCCAGAATATCTCGACATTTTCTAAGTCGTCGACAACGACCTCGACGATGACCTCGACTACCACCCATCGAGGTCACTGCGACGTCATGCAGGCCTCCTCGTCGCTACCAACCCCAGGCTCCAGCAGCGTTATGTCCCCTCGAAAGCCAACGCGTTATCCAGTGTATTCTCCAGACCACTTTGTGTCACGCTCGAAGATGACGCAGAGCGAGGACGTGTCTCACAAGCGCTGGAAGAAACCACCCAGCACACCACGTTGCTCGGTGGGGAAGACGACTGAAAGAACGCCTTTACTCAGTGCGTGTGGGGAAGGGCAGGAAAGCCACAGCCAGCAGCCTACGGAGACTCCCGTCGTAACGCTTCCACGACGGAAAAAACCCTTCTATCGAGCACGACCTCTGTGGTAAGCAAAGTGTATCGGTTTAGGCTTCGATGAATACCTAATCACAACCTATTTTCACTTTACAGGCTAGTTCCGTTTGCTGTTGTGGCAGCCCTCGTCGTCAGTATGCACTTCCTTTTCGAAGTTCGCAATCTAACCGAGTTCTATGACATCAGCGGGGGATGACATTGGCTCCCAGAGTCGAAGTGTACACTCAACTATCCTGCTACGCACTTCATGGCCAAAGTGAATATAATAGCACGTTAATCGACCTCAACATCCACCTCGACTCCATGGAATGGGAGCGATCATCGGCAATCTCATTATATTCTTCTCTCGATCCACTAGGCCCGTACCTTTTCACTTCGCCGAACTTGAACCCCAATCGGACATCACACCTCCCAATCCCTGAACCGCTGGAACCACCATCATCCTCCAAACATAAGCGAAGAAACTCACCTCATGTCGACGACGATAGCGATGAACCAAGTTCAGATCCTCGCCTTCCTTCACCTCGCTGCCTTTCAGATCCCGCAGTCCAGGCCAACGCCGCACGTTTGCAGACTATTATTCACCACTACCATGGGTCTGCTATCTGCTCTAACAACAGGGTGGTGGGGTCGCTTCGGCGAGCGATATGGACGGACGAAAGTCTTGGCCATTGCAACCTTTGGCCTATTCTGGACCGATCTTATCTTTGTCCTCGCATCCTCTCCCAGTCTCCCTTTCCCTCTATCATGGTTCTCTTACGCTTCCACACCCAATCGCGCAGCTCAACTCCTTCTACTCGCTCCACTCGTGGAAGGTTTGCTCGGCGGATGGTCGACTTTGCAATCAGCGACGTCAGCATACATCAGTGATTGTACCTCCCCGGGATCGAGGGCCCAAATCTTTTCCAGGTTTACAGGCGTGTTTTACCTCGGATTCAGCGCAGGCCCTGCGATTGCTGCATGGGTAATCCGCCACCCAGAACTCTTCCCCTTTCCGTCGTCATCGGACCCGGGTTCAGGTTCTGGCACGCTGGTTGACCTTGCCGGCAAAACCGCTCAACAGAGGCAGAAAGTCACTGCTGTTTTCTGTATCGCCGTAATCTGCTCTTTCATCAACTTCCTCCTCGTCCTCTTCGTCTTTCCCGAGTCGCTCTCGAGGGAAAGGAGAGAGCAAGCAACACGGGCTCATGACAATCAACATACGTCATCGACCTGCAGCACCAACTCCTCTGGATACAAGGGGAAGGGTAAAGAGAAGACCCTCGACCTTCCTGTAACTGGTGTCGAAGACGTCGAGGGTGTCGGTATTGGCGCTATCGTCGATCCCGATGAAATTTTGTCCCCCATTTCTGCCCAATCGTCCGGCGCACTATCAAGACGAGCTTCGTTCAACGCCACCGAAGGCAAGGGATCGACCGACCGTACACCAAGTGTCGGGTTGGCTTCTGACTTGGCCAGGGAGAGCATCGTGATTCGGTTCCTACGACCGCTCGCTATCTTCCTTCCCGTTTACGTGGACATGCCTACCCGCAATGGCTTGACTGTCAAGAGGCGGAAGGATTACAGTTTGACTTTGTTGGCAGCTGGTTTATTTGCTTGGATGTTGAGCACTGTGAGTTGAACCTTCAGTCTACCTGACCCTTTCTCGTTGCTAATCTCTCCGAATCAGGGTGTTTACCAAATCAAGTATCTGTATGCCGGGCATACGTACCGATGGGGAGCTGAACAGCTTAGCTACTACATCTCCTTCATGGGAGGAGCGCGAGCTACCTTCCTTCTTGTATTGCTACCTTGTGGGTGCCTTAGTCCATTTGCGATTAATTTGTGCTTACCGAGAGCTTGATAGTCCTCATCGCCACCTTCAGGTCGAAGCGCAAACCTGAGTCGCAAACTACAGCCTCCGGTTCCAGTAACGGTAAAGGGAAGGCTCGAGCAGAGCACCCTCACCACGTTGAAGACGGGGATGTTGAAGCCAACGATGGTGCCAAGGCGAGCAAGAAGCCTCCACCAACACGGCTTCAACTCGGCAAAGACATTCGCTTCGACCTCCGTCTCACCAGGTGCTCCCTTCTCATTGATATTATTGGAAACATGCTCGTGGCCATCGCACCTTCCCCGACCATGTCCGCAAACGCCCTCTTTTCTAGCACAAGCCATAAACACAGGGGTCACCCTTCTTGGTCGATGACCCGGGATCAAAGTCAGGCTCTCTTCATCCTCGCCAGCGGCTGCAACTCCTTTGCTAGTGGAATGGTTCCTGCCGTTCACAGCTTGGCCTTGTGCATTGTCCAGGCTAGAACCTTGGAACCCGACTTTGGAATTGAAAGTCACAGCTCTGAAGGCCAGCGAGGAGAATCCGCTGCCCCCACTGCCGCCCCTGTCGACACTGGAACCCTTTTTGGCGCATTCGCCGTTCTTCAAGCCGTGGGCCAAATGATCCTCGGCCCCATGCTGTTCGGTATCGTGTACAGCCAAACGGTTGCTTCTCACCCCAAAATTATTTTCGTGGTTGCCACTAGCCTGTTGGTCTTCGCCCTCGTCCTAATTTCGATCGTCAAAAACCCCGTCGGTGAAGTTAGGTTGGCGAGGAAGGACAAGAAGTTCAGGAGGCGGATGGAAGCTGGATACGGGGCGTTGGCTATCCCTTACTCTGGTCCCAATGGATCTGGCGCACGCTATATTGGTGGGGGAATTCGCAAAGCTAAAGGAAAGAATTGGGAGAGGGATATCGAGAGGAGGGGGAGGCCAAGGCAGAGCAAAGATTTACGGGGTGGTGCCATCGGTTGGTATTGCCATCCGGAGGGGAAGGATAGGAATGGCGGAGGCAACCAGCATCTTATAGCGCAATCCGCTTAGAAGCATTTCGGACAAGAACGATCAAGAAGCTTAGACTGGCGACCCATGACTGACTCTTCGGCCGCTTGAACCCCGACGACTTTTTTACGACTACGACTGACGCCCTTTTATAATACACCTTCTTACACACTTCAATCTTGCCGCCATTCGACGGCATATTTCCCTCATAATCACAACTCGTGTGCCATCGAGCTACCAGGCCACAATCTGACCTTGCTCTAGGCAGCGGCTTCACGCTGCAACCTAGATGGGGAAGACTGGTGCCAGCATCTCTTCCCTTCCTTGCACGCTCCAGGTCGCATGTTCATCATTGCTTTGTATTTTTAGCCCACAGTTTCCTCTGCTTTGCTTTGCATCTACATACATCATCGTCCTTCATTCATTCAAATTATCGTTATCACGTCCTCCATTCGTTCGATCACGACTGTACATCATATACTACCGGATTCTCATTATGCTCTACTTTACTTTGACTAGTCCAGCTTTCTCGCCTCGCGTAACCTACGTCATATTATTCCCCTGCACATATATATTTAACTGGCCCGGAATTTCATGGTTTTCTGTACAACAGTGGGAGAAACGATCGCACCTTTTGAGGACAAAGCGCGCTTTGGTGGGTGCGAAGCCGCCTGGCCGCCCTTTGTCTCGGACCGTGAACAAGAGTCTACAAGGACTGTTGAATCTGGACAATTACTCGGGCGATTTAGACTATCTGTGTCTTTCCCTGGATACCAAGGTCCCAAGAGTATACAGAGGGTCCTCTGGGACTGGAGGGGGAAGGGGCAGCATCGTTGTGCGGTGTCCGTCGCTCTTGAACCGGCGGTACGCCCTGGCCATTCCACAACCGCCCACAAACTCATCCACGCGCCTTTGAAGACCTGTGTCGATCTGCGACTTGGCTCTCATGCCCCACTTGACACTCGCCGTCATGGTTCGAGACAGGTTTGCTTGCCAGCATCGGAATAGGGGCCCCCAGGGCAGCCTCCCTCCACTGAACAGAAAGGGCCAACTGGCTCACAAGACGTGCCCTATCAACCAATTGCCAACGGAGATACTGGAATACATCTTTGTTACGACAACGACGCCCACAGCAGCCTTCCTTGCCGACCACTTCCAGACGCGTTTCTCGATATTACGCGTCTGCAAGTTGTGGAACGCCGTCGCTTTGTCGTGCCCTGCTCTATGGGCAGTATATTACCCAAACGCCGCACAGCTGCCACATAGCAAAGAAATCCTCTCGCGCAGTGTAAACCATCCACTCTCACTGAAACTCTTCTCTTTGGACCAGAAGGAGTGCCCTGGATTCGAGGAAACCTACCGCCTCTTCACCGACCTGGCTCCCCGATGGCACGACCTCGACATCTACCTCTACGACTGCATGTCCCTCGACTTCACCGCCGCATTACCTAAAACCGCTCCCGACTTTACCACCCTCAAACTTGACATGACCGAATGCCTCGAAACCGCCGTTGCAGAGGTGTGTGCGGGGATAGCGAGACACTGTTCATCGTTGCGACACTTGGAATTCCGTTCTGCCGGAATATACTTCAAGGCGTTCGTGCAGTTGCCGTGGTCCCAGTTGGCAAGTTTATCGCTCGTGACGTCCATTTCCGAGGACGAAGCAGGCCTTATCCTCTCAGTTTGCACCAATGCCAGTGAAGTCTCGCTATCAGTCGTCAAGCCCTCTCGAGGATCGTCCGCCATTCAGGAAAACATGGTCGCTGTCCATCCAAATCTCCTCCATCTCCGGATCGGCTTTCTGCATCTCGACCCCGCCGACTTTCTCTCTCACTTCACCACCCCCGCCCTCCGCACCCTCGACATCCAATGCTCAAAATCCACCCTCTCCAACCTCTCGCGCTTCAAGTCCTTCCTCCTCCGCTCGAAATGCCAATTGGAATCCTTTGGGCTAGGTGATAACGGTTACATGCGGGATCCAAGTCTGGCCGCTAGCATTGTTTTGTTGGAACCACTGCAAACAGCGACCGTGTTGAATTTGAAGTTGCAAAGGATACGATTTAGGGCCGTGGTTGAAGCGGTCCAAAAGTTGCGGATTGGACATCCGATTTTGCGTTTTTTGCGGTCACCCGGGCCTGGAGCAGGTGGGGTTTACGTTGATAGAAGATTGGATAAGACGCGAGCGATGTATTACTAGCAGATAGTACGCTTGTGCCTGGACCTTGTAGATAGAGCAAAGACTTTTTGCACACGGACTCTTCTGATTTTTCAATTCAATGGAAAAGACTTGTATAGATCCTGTCCATCGGTATATTGGTTACCTGAATCCAGGTGATTAGAATCTACCTGTACAGGTGGGGGAGCGAGTTACATGGGTGTATGTAAATGCAAGGCGTCTGAATCATGATGGGGTTGTGGAGGTGAATTTACTATATGCAATGTGAGGATAAGGTCAATGTAAAGGGACAGCGAGCGAATTATCCGATGTGCGGTAGGGAAAAGGTAAAGGGAAGAAAGATCAACAGCGAAAGGACGCAGTAAGATATGCCGATCAAGAAAATAATGTCGGTGGCGAAGGGCATGGGCACGGTCAGGGCCAGATAAAGCAGAGGGTTTGGGATGCATATTACACATGTGCGAAAGGTTCGGCGAGCCGTCCAGGAGCGGGGTACGCAAAGTTGATGAATGTGCGACGGAACCGGCGTTGGAATCTTGGATTGTTGATTGACGCTTGGGTCATTTGAGCGACGAGGGCGACGGTCCGCAAAGCACTCATCGTGGGGTAGAGAGCCGGAGTTTGCGAGGAGCCGAGTGCTGCGTTAGCTGAACAAAACTAAGATTCCGGGGTCGCCGCGCTAACACGGTGGGTGACATCCAGAATATTAGGCGAGGGACCTTCCCAACGTTCACAGGACCGTGAATTTCTTCGCGACTTCTTGTGATGGCAGCACTGTCGAAGTTCCTGCAAAGGTTCTCTACGCCGCCCGCGTGGTTTTGCCGCAGTGTTGTATAGTTGTTGAACGATGAGACAAATGAAACTGAGAAACCGATCCAATAATTTACACGCCTTGCGGGGTGGGCTGCTGCTGAATATTCGGGTTGGATTGGCCCGGCAGATCCTGGATCGCAACAATTCAACAAAACGGCTCGACGATTTACTGCGTCTCTGGACTAACCATTCTCGGCTTTTTAACTGGCCGTGGCCTGACCCCTGCGTTCCCTGCTTTGGCGTTGATGACGGGCCTGGGTTGAGGCGTACCGTTCCCATTCGGCACGCCATTGGATATGCCGTGCCCTTGCGAGCCATTCGTCTGAACGGCGTTGACTGCGCCCTCTTCGTGCGCGCGCTTTTTCCCGCGAGGTTCTCCACCAGAAAACCCGGATCCCGGAGGCGCAACTTGAGGCTTCGTTGATGCAGGTCGTGGAGGGAGACCTGCACCTGGAGGAGGAACCGTGGAACCCGGCCTCGGAACGGTCGACCCTGGTCTTGGGACTGTAGACCGCGGGGTCCCTGCCGTTGCTTGCTGAGCTTGCGTGTTTGGTGTCGAAACTCGTACAGGGGTGGACCCGGGCCTTGGTACCGTTGATGCAGGTCTGGGTGTTCCCCCGCTCGTTGTCCGCGTTCCTGAAGGATTCCGTTGCGGCGTTCCAACTCCTTGGGGCCTTGCTGCTGCAGGAGTGGGTACTGGCGCCTGTAACGAAGGTTGGGTAACCGGAAGACCTTGCTGTATTTGCTGTTGCTGCAGCTTGGCCAATCGCTTGAGTTCCTTCTGCAAACGCCAAACGAGGAGGGGAAACGACGGAGAATTGCCAAAAGGAAGACGAGAACATTAACGATCACGATATAGCCCTCTTTTCGGATGGCAACGTACCTTCTTCTTCCGGTCTTCTCGAGCTTGGGCCGATTCCAACACGAGGGCATGGATGTTCCACTGGAAGGTTGTGTAAGTGTGGAAAATTTGAGATACAGAACGCCGCAACGTACGCCTTTCAAGCCCTCGGGACTAACAGCAAAGGCATCTTCTTGCGTGTGAACGTCGAACGGCGTAATAGGGATTCGTTGTTTTGGTGGAATCAACATGATTGTCGTTAAATAGTCGTCTTTTTTCATCGAGTGTTTGCCTGTTGCATGTCCGAAAACATGAGTAATCGATTCATTTCATCGATATTGGCAGCTGGAAACCCCAAATCCCAGCGCGAAAATGACATGCAGGGCAAAAGAGCCCATCCTATCTCCACCCCCCAGAGTCGACGCAATATTGCATCGAGAAAAGAGAAACTCACCGGGCAGGCCCTTAATAAGATGCTTATAACTGTTTTTCTTCTTCTTCTCGCCCTTGCCTCCCGGTCCATCGTCGTCGTCAGCTTCGCCCGCGCCGCCGTGTGGATGACCACCTCCCAAGCCGGTATTCATCCCGCCTTCCGCCATATTCACATCGACCTCCTTGCCCTTTCCCTTGCTCCCCGGTGTCTGAGGTCCTCCTGCGCCCACTCCAGTTTCGTTTCCAGGTAAGACTGCTGGTCGAACATAGCGATCGTATGCCGAATGGAGGTTGAAGCGCGCTAGCAGGTCCTGAGTGCATTCGAGGTGAAGTTTTGGTGGCGGAGGCACTGGAGTATCGAACATTGCGCGTCGAGAAGGTCGAAGGAGACGGTGTCATGGAGAAAACAACATGTCAGTGGACTGCACGGACAAGGACCATAAAATAGGAATTGAAAGCGTGGCACCAATACCGGTTTGGCTAATTATGCGTTCTCCCGAGCATCGAAAGAGAGAGAATACCCACCTGGAGGGGGGAAAAACAACTCTGTTGCTGGGGGCGTTGGCGGACGATGTGTCGGCGATGACGAGGAGGCTAGGGCCGCACCACCGGTCGACGTTGGTGAGGCGGGGAGAATTGTGGAGAAGGATGTAGAATTTTGTTGGTGAATTGTGTTGTGGTTTGAAGGCCCGGCGACAGCGTTTGTTGAGCTCGCATTGTAATAGGAAAGTTGGCCGTTCATTAGGTATTGAGAACGGTTCGTATATTGAGAGCCAGCGAGCAACGACCCAAGGGTGATGATAACAATCCACTTGAAACTTCGGGTCCAATTCCGTCACCCTGTTTGTCCCTGCTTGCACACGCCCCTTGGTCCGTCTTTCTCTCAACAACGGAAAGTACAAAAAATACAATAGGGTATATATCGTACAGAACAACATGTCGTGAATTTCGTACATCATTAAAAAAAAATATATCATCGTCGGCTTCCGAGTGCAAGATTCGTCATGCTCCGGTTCGCCTCATAGCTTCGCCTACCGCCACCACCGCCAGCAAGCCACCCGTCTTCTTGAACGCGTTCGGCACCAGGAGATCGCATGAGACTCGTGGAACTGGCATTCTTCTTGCTATCCAGCGATAGGAGTCCCTTGCTGGACACCCCACTCCCAAGTGCGTAATTGGGACTTGATCCCGAAACACCGGCGTTCTGATGATGGTTCCGCTTCGAGTCAAGGCTGAACGCGTTGCTCAGCCCGCCAGGCATACTCAGCCGTCTCATCCACCCTCCCTTGGGCTTGTCAGAGTTGATAGGAGGTCGAAGGAGGTTTCCCGAGGACAGGGGCCGTGAGTCCGTTGTCGATGTTGATGGGGTCCTATATTTGGCGATAGAACAGGTCTCGCATCCACAGTACGGAGCATGGGGAGAAGAGCTTGTCGTGGGTGATTGCCTTTCATCGTTATATCTAACGTTACGGTGATCGTCACCATTCCGTGATTGCTGATGTGTAGCTTGCTGTGGAGGAGGGGTGTTATTATGCTGACTGTCGCCGTATCGCCCTTGATTTCCTGTGGATCGCAGACGAGTGGGACTGGGGGATTCCTCGTCATCCAGATCCATTTGCGACAGGGGCCGCTGGAGTTGTTTCCGCAAAGATATTCGCCGAGGTCGGAGCGGACTGATAGGCGCTCGAATGGGCTCGCCACGGTGCGGTTCCTCGGCAACTGTACTCATTTTGCCACCTGACTGGCTCGCGGACTCGACACTCCCGCGAAGGTTGGCTAAGCGAGCACGTTCCCGCTCCAGCTCTCTTGCTTCTGCTTCAATCGCGCGCTCCCGTTCAGCCAACTCCCGCTGCCTCTCTAGGAGCTGCCGTTCCGCATCCTCGTCGCCCATTCTCCGTCGACTATCCTCCTCTAGTGTAGGTGTTGACGTCGCAATGGAATGCTGTCCTGGGCGATGCGACATCCTAGGAACGTAGTGGGACGACTCCTGTTTCGTACGTACTTCCAGAGGAAGAGACTGTTGTCGTGCCATTGGCGGTGAACTTGCTCTCGCTCTCGCCGAAATCTGTCCATCGTTCCCTTCGTACTTTGACGCCAAATCCGTCACACTGAGTGGGATCTTGGGCAACGCTCGAGGAGGTGGAGAAGTCGATCCGGACTGCACAATATGTCAACACTCAATCCCAATAGGATACAGGACTGGACTCACGTTACTCGAATACCGATTCCGCATAGCGGCAACCACGCTCCCGCTACTCGCACCAGTATCAGTCCTCTCCGCTCCTCTCGTCCTCAACGCATCATAGCTACGCGTTTTGGCACTCTGCCCCGTCGACCTGTCCATTCCAAATTCCCGATCCGTAAACTCGTTCGCACCACCCTTGTTCGATGGTTCGTCTTCTGTCCATTCGCCCGGTATGGACCCTTTCCTCCCAGGCGAATACCCTGGATCTGAAAGCACTGCCGGATCCTCTTTCACCTCTTGAAGAGCCGGTTGGGTAGTAGCAGCCCGCACAGGCAGGGGACGGCGTACTTCCAAGGCAGGAGAATCAGGTTGAGATTGCATTGAAGCGTTCCGAGTGGTCAATCCAGAAGTCGGTTCATCTCCTTCGCGTCGATCATCTCCCGCCCAAAGAACTTGGCTCGCAGACATTGGTGATTCTGACAAAGGTTGCGGTGTAGTCAAAGTAGACAGGGACGATTGTTGACTTTGTTGTCGTGGTGGTGGAATAGGAAAGTGTGTCGGGGGTGCCGGGAATGCGGATAATGTACGAACTGACCCAGTCACGGGGTCAAAAAAGGGTTGCTTGAGCGTATCGAACGCAGATGGTGGTGGAGGTTTAGGTCCGGGAGGGGCAGTAGTACCTGCCTGAGGATTTGGGGAGGGTGGTTGAGGGGAACGACCGGGAGAAGGTAACGGCTGTCTCTGAACCGTCGGGGAAGGTTGACCACTGTCATGTTCGATGGGCGAGTATCGCGGTGGAGTGACCGAGGGACCTTCTCTCAACTCTGGGATATCCAACGTAACCCTCTTGGGCGAATGCTTGGCTAGTTGAGGTTGAGGCTCGCTCTGATGGTCCGAGGTCTCCCTGGGCGTGGCGGAGCCACTCGAAGGTTGCTGCTGTTGGTCTGGCTCCGGAAGACCTTGAGGAAGCGGTTGAGCCCACCCTCCTTCACACATCACTCGCCATTGTGCGAGTGTACCAATCGTAGGCGCAAAGCGACGCACTCCTTCGCATGCCTTCAGCCATTCCGCGTCTGCGATTCGGGCTAAGCATGCTGCGACATTAAAGGTTATTGTGGAGTGCTTCTGGGTTACGTTCATCGCGTGGTTGCTAGTTCATAGATAAATAACCTGAACGAACACACTCGAAACAGACAGACGTACTACTTGTCTTGAGAAATTTCCGGACCGAGGGTGCTAATAAGGTTGATATAGCGAGCATGTTCTTCTGAAGCATCGAACGATTTCTTCTTGGATTTCTTCTCGTATAGTTGGCCTACCAATTCACACATGTTCAATCTCCAACTTGCGAAATACACTGAATTGGACACACCAGCTTGCTTGATTTTAGCATTTGCACTCTCCAATCGCTCATCGTGCGCTTTCTCCTCTTTCTACCCCATCAAATCACGTTAGCTGCCTCAACATGAAGAGGAACATGGAACGTACCACCAACTTCTTGAACCATTTCTTGACCTCAGTGCTAATCCCATCGTACTCCTTATCCGCCACCTTCGTGTACTTTGCATCAATTTCGGAAAGCGCCTCAAAGATATTCGCACTAGCGCTAAACGCGTTCCCTATATATCCATAACCATGTCCTGTTCCTCAGCCAACGGAAGACCTTCCAAACCAACGCCCAGGATACCACGCACCAGCAACTTCCCCCGTAACTTTAAGCGCCGCAGTCTCCTTCAACACTTTGGCCAATTTCTTCTGGAGTGATACAACCACACTGACAGCTTCGCAGTATTCGTTGAGGATGTTGAGGAGGGACTCGAGGGACTTGCAGGACTTGTGGATGTCGGCTCGTTCAGCGATAGGGGGGTGCGCGGCGGATAGAGCGGTCGTCGCCATCGTGCATCGAGGGCGGGAGCGGCGACGACGGGGTGGGTGGTGGCGGGGATGGAAAGGAAGGAGGGCGAAGGTGAATGGTGAGATAACGCGGGGACAGTGTCCTGAGAGTGACAGGGCTTCCCCATCAGCGAATGAGCGAATGCGGGGTCGGTGCGCCCACGCTTCCTGATTAGGCAATCTCCTGCCAGCTCCTGTCTTTGGTCGCGTCAAGCGCGTTGAGGGACATGGACTTTGAGATTTAGTGAAATGTCTTAGTTTCCCTGCAGAGCTCGGTGATAATAATACAGTACGGATAATATGACCGGGGACGCGTACCTATCTCCTTGTCCGAGATAACTATCCACTTCAGTACCTTGGTCCCGATCATTCAATTGGGTGATATCACATCGTCTACTGAAGGCCAGGAAATATAGTACAGTACATTTACACGCGTCGAAAGTCCATTCTGTAAAGTCAATGCCTCGGGTATGCCCATAAATCACTGCATTTAGATGACACTCCATCCATTGTCAACAGGCAAAATTGCACCAGTGATACCAGTGCTAAGGTCAGAAGCGAGGAAGAGAATAGCTTGAGCACACCGTTCCGGCGGGGCAGATCCTTCATTAGTCTCCATGTTGACATGGGTATCAAGCACGGGTCTGTCCAGCGAGTCAGCAACGGCATTGAAAAAGAATGGATGGAACTCACTTCATTTTCAAGAACGATGGAATATCGAATTTACTTCGGTCGATATTGGCAACAATGTTCGTGGTCACAGCTGAGAAGAAGCTGGTCAGTGCTTCCCATCCATCCAGGGTCAGAAGTACACACCTCCAGGACAGACGGCATTACACCGAATACCCTCGTCTTTGTACAACCACGCTGTATTCTTGGTCACACCAAGCAACGCATGCTTGCTCGCAGTATACGCAACACCGGCAGCCGCACCACTCAATCCGGCCTTACTCGCTACATTCACAATACTCCCCCCTCCCTGCTCCTTCATCACATTCACAACCTCCCTCATCAACTTCACAGGTGCAGTCACGTTGACCGCGATAAGCTTGTCCCATGTTTCGTCAGTTACAGCGGCGACACCTGCGTTATAGTCCATGATTCCGGCGTTGTTAACGAGGATGTCGATGCGTTGGGTTTCGGGGAAGCTGGATCGGACAGCGGCGACGATGGCGGATGCAGCGGCGGGGAGGGTGAGATCTACTTGATGGAAAGCAAAGGCTTCGCTTGTGATGGATGAGGGTGCGGGGGAGAGGTCGACGCCTAGCACTGAAGCACCAGCGTCGAGGAAAGCTTTGGCGGTCGCGAGACCAATACCTGACGAAGCTCCAGTAATGATTGCAATCTGTAACGAGTTGTTGGGTTTCAGGTACGTCGGCAAAAGCAAACGGAAAGCCCACCTTGCCGTCCAGTATTTTGGCCATGGCAGCGTGTTGGACGTGGATCGGTCAATGATATGTGTGATAGAGAGCTGGGTAGACTCTTAAACGTTTCGCCTAGGTCGACTCGGAGAAGACAAAGGTCGTGTCGGGGAAGGATTTGAATATCGAACCGTTCAAATGGTGCCATGCTTTGGTATTTATAAGAAACGAACGGTCCGAGGTATGGATGACCCGCCGTAGCTTGGTCCACACAGATAGGAAACCATGAGATCAGTACCACGCACAGACACCGGAAAATCTGGTAAGATGTATGTCGCCGAGTCCTTCCTTTACCAATCCCCGTCCACATAACGAGTGCATTTCACGTAAGGTCCAGAGCATCCGGACAAGAGTCGAGCAATAGAATTCGGGAGGGTTGTTGGAGGGTTGGACTGAGACAGGTCTGTCGTGGAGGAGGGAGCGGCGCGTGAGCAAAAATGGACCCAGGCGGACGCGATCTGGGCAGAATCTCTTCAATGCTACCGGTCGAGTCCACGTTCGATGCTGGTGCTTCGAACTTGCCCAGAGACAAGTCAGAGAGACCATGAGCAGCCGACGGGGAAATCAGGGAAAGTGCGCCTTGAGGCCTTGAAACAACGGCCGCCGTCCTTCCGATTCAACGCTTCATGCATGGCTGAGAACCAGGCCGATTCCAAGTACCTCGTGGACGGAAGGATATTGGAGCGCAAATGACAATGTCGTGGAGTTTTCTTTGACCGTTTGTCTACTGCCAACCGGCTGGTCCCTAGGCTTTCTACTGTGCATAATTCGTCAATAAACAATCGTCCAGCACCATAGTGTCACTCACCAAAGAAGTAGCGTACACGAACACATTTCAGCTGAGGAAAGGAAAGACCTCTTGACTGTTGGAGTGTCAAGAGCCTCATGGAAGTCTACGCCCAAGTTGGTTTTGATGCCTTCCCAAACTTGTCCACGCCCTTCGATTGAGGCTATCTCGGATCCTGCAACCAATAGGTTTAGTTTCTGTCCTTCAGCAACCTCGAAATCTTCCTGCAGACACCCTTTCTTCAGCCCTCTTATACCTCGAAATTCGCGCTTCACTGGCAGCTTTTGATTGAAATCTAGCTGAACCACGCGGTCCGAACGATGGCACCGATTAGAGAGATCGTCATGGAGGATGACAGTGACCAAGTCGAGCTCAAGGTTACTTTCTACCCAGAACTATACTTACAACGAAGAATATGGATTCTGGACATCTTGAGACGGGATAACATTGCGAAGGTGAGCCTCAACCCCCTAGAGCAGTCTAGACGATGTTAACCCCTATCCCACGGTTAATTAACGGCCCATTCCTAAAGCTACTCGACATTGGTTGCGGAGAGGGAGAACTTCTAGGAACCCTATGCCAACCAGCACCTTGGCTCACGCCCCCACCTTACGATGTCCTACCACCGGAAACCCCAAAGACACCGATCGCATCACCAACGTTCAACTCAGAGGACGACATACCCAACCTACACGCAACCTTGATCCATGGCTTAGACATCTCCGAGGATGATTTGGCCTTTGCTATTAATACAACCCAACCTCCACAACCGATGGACCAGTTTAAGGACGCGGTCCCCTTGAGCCCTCACCCGCAGAAGAGGTTCAACACGACCCTCACAAGATTCGAGGACCTGGAGGTCAAGCTGTGGAAAGGAGGCCTGGAGATGATAAACGAGGAATTCGTCGGGATTGAGTGCATCGTCAGCACAGAAGTGTCAGTCCTCATCTTGTATTTCCTCCTCAAGACTGACAATGATTGACAACGGCAGAATCGAGCACCTCCCTCCTTCCATATTCCCTTTCTTCGCCCCGATCATCTTGGGCGTTTACCATCCAGAGCGCTTCTTGATGACGACACCTTCCTACACCTTCAATGCGCGCTTCACATCCCCAGACGCCCTCCCATCTGTCCGCAAAGGCTATCCGGATCCAACGAAGCGAACAGATCGGATATTCCGTCACTCAGACCACAAATTTGAGTGGACAACCGAGGAATTCGAATCATGGCGTGACGAGACAGCGAGCACGTGGGGGTACAGCGTTCATTGGTCTTCCATTGGCCATGCGCGAGAAGATGACCCTTATGGACGAGACGAGGAGCTCGGTGGTGCAACTTTTGTCGCTGAATTCCGCAAATTGGGCGCCGAAACGATGACCGATGCTCAGCGAGAAAAGCTTGGCCGGGAAACCGTTGAGAAATTGATGGCAACGGAAGACAGTGCGATCCACAGAACACCGCACGAACTGGTCGCTCATCATCGACACCTCGCCCATCCGTCTTCGCAGAAACCAAAACCCTTCGAGGAAATCGCCAAAATTGTGAAAGAGCGGATGGAGGAATACCGGGAGGCGTTCATGCGTCTGGATGAATTGTGGTTCGAGAGCGAGATTTCAACGGCCTGTGGCGGTTGGATCGAATTCTTGGTGAAGGCCGTGGAGGAGAGTCCTGTACTGCACCTGAAGAAAGAGGAAGATGGCATCAAGCGAAAGCGAGATATGTGGACTGTCGAAATAATCGGTGCAAAGTCGTTGAAGCTTTGGGGAGATCCCGATGACGTAGAGACGGAGACCAACCAGAGCACAGAATATGTGCCCCCCGATTGGACGCCGGGGGAGGGCTGGCTCGAATCAACTGACATGAGCGACCTGGGAGAATCCACCGGCGCGGAGGGAGACATATCCTTGTGTGGTTCAGAGGAAGATTCTGCTTGGTCGCCGAACGTCGTGCCAGGGAAGGGGTGGCCAATTCGAAAGCCGAAGAGGAGGAATACATGGCAGCCGTCGTCCACCTTGAAGAATTCAGACGAACAGGATTCGGATGATGCTTGGTCGAGAGGTTGGGGTAGCAGTCAGGCTTGGGTGGACAGCTCTGAAGACGAGAAACGCTATAAACGACCGGGTAATTCGTCAACTGCTACAGCCGCGGGGAAGAAAACGGAACGCGACGGCAATACTTCGACAGCTGGCTGGGATGGGGATGCCGACGATAGCGATACGGAATAATTATGAATACCCTTGCTTGACGATTGAGCAGTGTTGGGATCTCCATATTACACGAATGTTCTGGTTCGAGAGTGATGTCCGTGATATTAAGAGTAAAATACAAAGCAAGCTGAAGGAAACCGTCAATCAAGGCCTCTACGAGAGAGAGAAATCGACCGTACCTGGTATAAATAGGGGTGAAACTAGCAAGTGAAAGTCCTCAACGCCCCTCGTTGCCTCATTCGTGTACTTCCCTCACGATAGGCGCTATAAAGACATTAGACATTTGGGCCCCCGGAGTGTAGAGCACTGCATACCAATGATAGGGTTAAGCTGGGCCATATACGTGATCGCCCAGGTCAAGTAGCAAACAGCGAATGTAAGCATCAAGCTCGTGCGGATAAGACTGCGAGGTTCAGCCCGTCATTAGAAGAGTCGAACAATGCGTTTCAATGATATCCAGAATACTCACACTTGGTTGGGACCCTTTCTAGTGAATACAAATGAGGCTGCCATCAGCCCTAGTGTTACGGCCAGCATAAGAAAGACGGGGAATAGCCCAGACATGGCGCTTGTGGGTTGTGGTCGACGACAACGACTGAGCAGTGAGCTAGAAAGGGTCCGGCTGGCCAGACTTGTCGAGTGTGGGAACCATGATGGCAGCGCTTCCACAGTGCCGATGGTTGCCGAAGCTATAATTACTTCGACCTGCACACTGGTTTCCGACTCAAATCGCGCATGGCCAATAAAACTTCTAGATACACCCAGGAACCATGGATCCTCCGGTTTGGTTTCTTTCCTGACAACAAAAGCGAGCTAACACCGTTCATTTTCAGCCTCGCCTCGCTCCATGCTGACGCTTCACGACTGGCTTCCCTGATAAGCATGAGAAGATGTACGTGCACCCAACGTAAGTACTTGTCAAGAATTCGAACGCATTGCGGAGATCAAGGCCCGCGGAAGGGATGGTGTAGGATGGTGTGAACGCTGCTTATATCCCAACCTTTATGTGGCTCCTTTCACCGTCCAACAGTCCGGATTCAATACATTCACCAGATCGCCGCAAAAGACGTTACGACCCTTCGGCTTCCTGAATCCTGATCTTGGTTCCTTGACTGGGCAGAAGGGACATTGTGCTACAACCATCTACTGCCGCTGACGCGCCTAACCACAACATTGTGGGCAGGTCTTCTTTTTCTCGGTGGTGATCTCCGCTTACCATGCCTCAGAGGGATAAGCAGGCTCTATGGATTCCATTTGAATGCCAGGGCTTGTACAAGAAGTTTCGAACGGTGTCAATTCCCCAGAAGAAGCGAGTGTTCTGACATCGTCGGAGCCTTCGTGGGGAAATGGATACGTTATAAGGTCCTCCTCGGTTCTGTACCATCGAGATTATTCTCTTCCCCATCCCAGGCGAATTCGTCCAGCCCTCGCTAAGAAGATGGAATTCATAGCGTTTCCCCTACAGGCACTAGCTCTGTACTTCGTGACAAAGCTCGTGTGGGCCATCCTGAGCCGTGTTCTCCTGAACCATCCTCTGGATGTGCTGCCGGGACCGCCTTCCCCTTCGTATCTCACCGGTGAGCAACTATCCAGCGGCTTCATGTTTGAACATTCAACCCGCTTGTTTCTCCAAGGAAATTTGAAGAAAGTCTTCGATAGATCAAACGGGATTGTATATCACGAGGATATCTTGAAGAAATGTTAGTCTTTACTGCCAACGCGTATAATGCCATGTTTTCATGTCCTATCTTCCTGTCAGATGGCTCAGCGATGCAGATTGCTGGTCCACTTGGGGTTAGTCAACTGACACTGTTCTCATTTAATGACTCACCCTAACTTCCCTCAGATGAAAACTCTACTCACCTCTGACCCTAAAGCTCTGCACCACGTTTTCGTGAAGGTATTTTGTCCTCTTTGGCTGCAAAATCCCGCTTCCCTATTTATACTTCAACTTTCTATTTTAGGACCAAGATGTACATGAAGAGACCGACCTGTTCCTTGCGTCTGTCTACATTCAGTTATCCCATGACGAAAGTGTAACATCTCCTTCTGCAGGACCAACTCAATGGTGTTCGGTCCCAGCTTACTATCCACTCTTGGGGAGCCCCACCGAAAACAAAGGAAGATGCTCAACCCTGTGTTCTCTATCAATCATATGCGCCAGATGGGTAAGTACCTCTGTAAATCCGTATTTATAAGGTCAAGCAGTGTTCATCCCCAACGTTATAGTCCCTATCTTCATGGAAGTTTCGACCAAGGTCGGTTGACATAGCCCCTCTATCGGACGCCGCCTTGACGACATGATTTAGCTCGGGGATGCACTGAGCCGTCTGACCTCCACCGGTCCTAAGGAGGTATACAGGGTCTCGAATGACGGACTTGAAGAAGAATGCTGAGTATCTCACAGGTAGAAGTCCTCGGGTGGTTAACTCGGACTGCCCTGGAATTAATCGGACAGAGTGGGTTTGGCTACTCATTCGATCCCTTAACTGAACATCACGAGGAACATCCATATGTTACCTCGGTGAAGCTTCTCACGTAGGTGTCTCTATGAATTGCATGCTCCCATACTCAACGTTTTTGTAAAGTGCGATGTTGATGAAGACGATATGGGTCAGACTATTCTTCCTCCCCACGATCCACAAGTGGAACCTTGGTGGCAAGCGATTGCGACGCTTTGTAATGGACCGTTTCTCGTGGGGAGCCTCTCGGATGTTCAAGGACATCGTGGACACCATGCATAAGACATCTCTCGAAATTTACCACTCAAAGAAGAAGGCGCTAGAAGAAGGAGACGAGGTGGTGGCCAGGCAAATCGGCCAAGGGAAGGATCTGCTCAGCATCCTCAGTGCGCCTCTCACTGTTTTCTCTGTATACCTCGTCTCACAGCTGCGCTTATGACTAGTGCGGGCCAACATGGAGGCTGATTCAGACGACGAGCGTTTACATGAAGACGAGCTTATTGCACAGGTCACGTAAGTCGGGAATAACCCATTCTGTCGGGCGCCAATTCAGGTCAATCTTTAGCACCTTTACATTTGCAGCCATGGACACTACATCCAGTGCATTGTGCCGATTCTTTTATCTGCTCGCAAAGCACCAGGATGTGCAAGAGCGTTTGAGAAAGGAGATCAAAGAGGCAAAACAGCAATACGGCGAGATCAACTATGACCAGCTGACAGCCCTTCCGTACCTCGATGCCGTATGCCGGGAGACCCTTCGCCTGTGAGTAGCTTTCTGCCCCGCGTCGAAGGCGTGGCAAGCCTACTGATACCAATTTTCAGATATCCACCTGTTCCACTGATCAGTCGGGAGTAAGTATCACGCTTCAAGCCTTTCATCGAACAGTGCGTTAACGAATGAGCAAATGGACAGAGCACGACGGGATGCCATCCTCCCTCTCGGTATGCCTATTACAAGGAAGGACGGGCAAAGGATCGACGAGATTCACGTTCCAAAGGGCACGAAGATATGGGCCTCAATCCTCGGTATCAACCGCATGCCAGAGTTATGGGGTCCCGATGCCGACGAATGGAAGCCTGAGAGGTGGTTGTCCCCTCTTCCCGAAGCCCTGAGGGATGCCAAGGTCCCAGGAGTCTACTCCAACCTGTGAGTTCCTCCACCCTGTAACATGCCCTGTTATGACTGACCTAACTACCATCACCGATAGCATGACCTTTATTGGCGGAGGCAGAGCGTGCATTGGATTCAAGTTTTCTCAATTGGAAATGAGTGAGGACTATTATGCTGTGGCAGGAGACTTCTATCGATTCCACTAATAACCTGTTTTCAGAATGTGTGCTGTTCGTTCTGTTGGATCACTTGAGATTCTCGCTGCCGGAGAACAAGGACATCAAATGGGTGATGTCTGGAATCATCATGCCAGCAGTGGACGCAGAGAAACTGCGGCCAGAGCTGCCTCTGATTGTTGAGAGAATTCCCTGATCTTATTGCTGTCAGATACGCCGCAGCGTGGATCAAGTGAAGCTGGAGTAGTGATTTATCTGCAGGTGTATATGCGATTGGAATTAATACCGGCTTATGGTGGACCTCATCCAATGCTAGGTCGTTGCATAGTGCTTGGAGTTGAACGTGTTCGCTAGTAGTCCCCTTGTCTGGCTATCAGCTAGCTGGTCGCGGGTACCAAATCACTGACACGGCCTTCCTTTACACGACAGGCTAATCAAAAGTGTTAGGCCTGCAACTCGCACGTACAACCACCCACCCGTTCAGGTCTTTTCCTTCAGAAGTTATGCGATACTGAGCGGGACAACAAAATTAACATGGTCGCGAAACGAGCTAAAACCGAGAATAACCGAGATGTTACAGGTATCTGGTGAAGTTGTCACCTGGTACAATGGTGTGCACCCAAGAAAAGGGATCGGATGTGTGTCCAACAAATGCAGCCTATACAAGCCCACTACCCGCCATCTTGACTGTATCCACAACAGCTCTCAGCGAGCCTTTCCACAACCGGGTGACAAGGCTGGCGTCCGATGCACCGGCGACTTGAAGTCGGCGTCGCACAAGATCAACATTGCTAGGAGCCAAAGCTGCCGCAATAGCAGCTCTCCGTCGTCTATACCGTATTCGCCAGATCCATGATATTACGGGGAAAAGGACGAAGAGGATGATGAATGTTGTTACTTTTGACGTGGTGAGGTGGGGAGCCAGGGATGCTTTGACCAGTGAAAGGATAGTGGGGGGTGAGGTGGGCGTAGAGGACGTTTGGAGGATCGTTCGTGGGCCGGTGGAGGATACGGAGCTGGACGATGCTGCAGAGGAGTTCGTCCGACGCGTTTCCGACCGTGTATGTACATTGCCATTGGGTAAGGCCACATGCCTTCCTCTAGGGGTCGGTGTCGCAGTACCGTCTGAGGACGCTTTTGAGGACGATGACGAAGTGGCCAGGGCCGTCATTGCCTGAGGGGCGCTAGATGATTTACTACCCCTTGGCGTAGACGGAACGACCGTATGAGTGGATGTGGTGGAAAGCGAAGATGTAGAAGATGCTGATGGTGCTGGTGAATGCGTACGCGGTGTCGGAGAGGGAGATTCGGACGTAGGTGAGGATCGAGGAATTCGGGCGGCAAGTGTTTCCGCGTGCAGTGCGTTCAATTGCGATTTGAATAACTGAGGCGGGTGAACACATGATGAATGGAAGGTACACGGAAACATACCTCTCTTTGCGGTTCGTGCAGCTCTCCTTCGAACTGAAGGAACTCTTTGGCATACTGCCACTGTTCCAGTTTGGGCAGGATGTGGAGTACGTATATTTCCACCACCTTCTCGTAGCCGCCTTCCTCCGAGCCTGCCGACGCCTCAGATGCGTTAAGCAGTAAAGGCGACTCCCGACGAGACATCCATTGCTCTGCCATCATCCTCCCAACATCTGGACAGTCCAGCTTCAAGGTGGAATACAGGAGGGTGATCAACACCGCTGACGGTAGATATGCGGCATCCGGTGTCGCCGCCTCCGTAGTCCCATTGACAGGGGTAAACAATGCCAATGAACGTCCATAGATGTTCGACATAAGTATTTGTGGGGATTCTGTCAGAATGGAGCGAAGGTGCTCAGGTATGGAGTCTCTCGACGGTGGATCAGCGTAGATGGTTGTTTCCAGAGTTATTCTGAGGATATCCCACTTTCGGCGATGCTCGTCGAGTGCATCATGGGTCAAAGTTGGTGCCTTCAGCAGTTGAAATGCAGAGTCGATGAGGGTATGAGTGAGTCCAATGTTCTTGTGGAGGAATGCTCGAGCGGCCCTGTTATACAGAGAGCGCAGCGTCGTCGTCGTGGGGGAGTTATTTGTCGGCATCGGTATGGGCAGCACCGTCTTCAATGAGGTTTTGTGTGGCGCTTTGTGAGTGTATACCGTCGTGGTTATGGTGCTCGTCGCGGTGGGCATTGCGGACAGAAGCAAGAGCAGTTTGAATCCATTGACGGCCAATGTGTCCTCGGCTAACGGAATTCACATGTACCGATCAATCCCACGTGCCGGTAATGTCCCCATGGTTCAAACCCCGCAACTCCGGATTACACGGACTTTCCTCCTACCCCTCAGAAAGTCGCTGAAATGCCCCTGCTCAGTCACCTTAGGACACCGAGAGGGCTCTCTTTGGCTGTTTCTATATCTTGTTGTCCAATCACCTGCTCTCCGAGACTGCAAAGCAAATTGGACTGAGCTTAAACCGACCCGGAGAAGTTATCACAGTAAATAGCAGGTAAAGATGTTCAAATACATACGAAGCGTCCCCATTCAAGTTTACAAAGGAGGCGTGGGTATCGTTTAGTCTAACTACGGGAAACTAAATGCAGACTGAATACCTAGGGGTCAGGACTGCCGCTCTTAAGGATGTTCCACTATGGGGAAACATGGGATGAACGACCCATGCTCACATTTATAATAGCGGTCATAACTCAAAACACCGGTACAAGTATATCGGTATTTGGGACCCGTAGCTTGAGGGTATACCATGCTTGTGCTATATTGTCGTCCCGCGAAACGCCCATCTTCTTGAACTTGCAGTCACGATGCAGATGGGGCCCAGGGTGACTTTCCAGGCAGATTGGTTATAGCCTCACGACAACCTAATCTCCAAAGGCCAGCGTTCTCCACCACAGTTCAAGTCGCAACCAACCAGAGAATGGAGATTTCGATTCGCTCACAATGATATCGATTCAGATCGGAGTTCGAAATCTGTGATGGCGATTCGATGCTACAGGCGCTAATTCTCACTAGGCGGCAGGCCGGCACCTATGACCTTGCCCCAAGCCCTTGTTCTGGTCTCTGTTCAATAGAGAGTGCTTTTTCATACATATTCCATATCATATACATGTTCCGATGTACATAATTACTATTCCAGGGGAACCATACTGTCGATAGACTATAGTGTTGGGCATTTTGGGGAACAAGCGAGGTGGACAAGAGAAGAGAATCCTCGCATTGTAAGGGCGGGATACAAGTATGGGGGCGGTGTTGGGACCGTTAACCATGACGGTAAAGCAGCGGCGGGTTCCCAGCGGGCGTTTACCGTGCAATGACACCCCAGATCTACCAACTTTCCTGCCCGCGCGGATCCACCTTCGGAAAATCTGGCATGTTGGTTGGAACATTAGCGGAGTTCAAGGAGTGTTATCCACATTGTCTACCTTCCGGCCTCCCTGAATTATCGTCTGCCTCGATGCTGCTCTCCATCACGACGATAGACTCCAGGCAGCCGCCAGTATCCAGTCTAACTGCCACTCTGGAAGACTAGTCGGACTCGTGCATACTATTATTGTTCACGGAAGCGAACTGAACAGAGCACCGATGGGTTCAAATACCCCTGCTCTCTTGGTCCCACAACGACTACTGCCCCGCAACCTCTGCTACAACTATGGAAAGCCTTGTTGCCATCTTTCTGAAGTCTCTCGCCCTCTACGTGACAACCCGAGTCGTCTGGCCCTGTTTCAGGCGCCTCGTCCTCAAGCATCCCTTCGATGCGCTTCCAGGACCTGAAAGTGACTCGTTCTTTACAGGCAAGTCCTTCAGTGTCGGTTTGGGGCCTGTATTGGAACCTAAGAGCTCGTCTCCAGGGAATTTTGATGACTTCTTTGACAAGGAACACGGATCGGCCTATCACGAAGGAATTATTGCCAAGTGTGCGTTACCTCCTTCACGAGGGCGACAACTCCTTCAGACTCATGTCTTCTTACCAGACGGTTCGATGATGAGAATACATGGTACTCTTGGGGCCAGTTCAGTTCCTACACCGAAGCCTCTTCGCATTCTGACCCATTTCGTTCAGTCCAAAATGCTGCTAGTGTCCGATCCACAAGCATTGCATCATATCTTCGTGAAGGTTCTTTTTCGACGACCTTTGCTTTCCTGTCCTACAATCTGACATGTCCAATGTAGGATCAGGGTACCTTTCAACTGCCCAGAAATTTCCAGATGTATGTCATCTGATCCTGTCGTGTATATTAGAAGACGGTAATGACACTGCCGTACAGTTCGAATGGGCTAATTTTCGGCAATGGCTTGCTGGCCACCATCGGGGACCATCACAAGAAGCAACGAAAACTGGTCAATCCTGCGTTCTCCACTGGGCATCTACGGAACATGGGTCAGTCTAAGGTCCAAATTCCAATCTTGCCATTGTCTAACCCTTCTCTAGTTCCGATCTTCATCGGAGTAGCAAACAGAGTGAGGATAGTGTTGATGCACCCGAGTCCACCAGCGCTAATGTTGCCTGTTAGCTTAGGGACACATTGACAAGGGTTGCAACCAAGGGTCCCACTGAGGTACGGTTTCTGGTGCTAGCTGAAACTTGACGTTATCCTATGTGTTCTGCTAGGTTGAATTCCTGCACTGGGTAACCCGGAGCGCTCTTGAAATCATCGGCCAGAGCAGCTTTGGATACTCTTTCGACCAGCTCACTGAAGATTACAAGGAACACCCCTACGCTAAGTCCGTCAAAATGCTCACGTACGTATCTGTTTCCGTCCCGTCCCATAGAGCCTTATTGACCGTTTATCCAACAGTACCGAACAGATCAACAACATCCTCTTGATCATTTTCGTTTTCCCCATCGTAAGGCGATGGAACCTAGGTGGGAAACGGCTTCAGCGTTTCTTCGCGGACAACCTTACTTTTGGTGCACCGCGAAGGCTGCGCGATATCATCGACATCATGCACAGCACTTCAGTAGAGATCTTCCAATTGAAGCAGCGCGCATTGGCAGAAGGCGACGATGTTGTTTCATCCCGAATCGCAAAGGGCAGGGATGTGCTCAGTATCCTCAGTAAGTTCAGTGGACCCAAACTGCCACCTATTCATTGACATCCTCTGGATATAGTGAGGGCCAACATGGAGGCCGATTCCGAGGAAGACAAGTTACCGAATGACGAGCTTCTGGCCCAGATATCGTATGTTCCGTCCATTTGCCTTGTGGTGAATTGTATTCTAAAACTAACCTACCGCATGTGACTAGGACCTTCACATTTGGTGCTATGGACACGACTTCAGGGGTGCTCTCCCGCCTTTTCTATATGCTAGCCAAGATCCAGGATGCCCAGGATCGAGTGAGAAAGGAAGTCCAAGAAGCCAAAGCAGAGCACGGAGACGGTATAAGTTATGAAGTCCTGACTGAACTTCCCTATCTTGATTCTTTGTGCAGGGAGACTCTCCGACTGTACGTCATGGCACCCTTGTCACCCGGCGGAATACTTACTAACTTTTTTGCGACAGATGGCCCTCTATTCCGCTGCTATCTCGAGAGTATGTATATTTTCGTTGCTGGACGCTGTTCGTATCCACTAAACATCCACCAGTGTTTCCCAAAGCACTACTCTTCCTCTCTCTATCCCTGTCATCGGGAAGAGCGGCGAAGCAATAAAGGAGGTTGTCGTTCCCAAGGGTACAACTGTCTGGACATCTCTTCTTGGTGCGAACCGGCTCCCAGAGATATGGGGACCCGATGCTGCCGAATGGAAACCTGAACGATGGTTGTCCCCACTCCCCGAAACTGTCCTGAAGGCGAAGATGCCGGGGATCTACTCTCACCAGTCAGTCACACCCCATCTGTCGGTTTGAGGTCTGCTGACAACTGTGCAGGATGACATTCCTCGGTGGAGGAAGGGCGTGTCCAGGTTACAAGTTTGCTCAGCTTGAAATGAGTGAGGATTCAGACCTTTCTTTCAAACTGACCAGAATCATCGCTGATTCCATTGCATTTGCAGAAGCCATTGTTTACACTCTCATTCCCGTACTAAGATTTACGCTAATTGAGGGCAAAGACATCAAATGGACCTCCAATGGTATCCCCATGCCCACCACCGATCTCACGAAGGCGCAGCTGGAACTCCCACTCCTCGTCGAGAGACTCGCTTAGAGGCATCTTAGACATCAATGCAGGTGCGCCACACCGACATCGTGTTCGCATATTCCCACCGGCAAGCGAGGAGGAAAAATCAGATACGAGAATGGGGTATACAGCGTTGATAATGACACAATAAAGATAGTGGATAATACCAAGGCATTTAGTGCCCGACGTTGCGCGAAAGGGAACTAGCACAGCAGCAAGACAGCCGAAGAGTTACAGCGTAATCAACAAAGATGGACCAGTTGTTATTAGTACAAGCAGCATGGTGGGTAGAGACAAAGGAGTGAGGTGGAAAGGAGGGTTAAACCAGCTCAAACGTAATAACATATAGCATCATCCGCCTTGAGAACCCACTCTCCATCCCACAACTCGAGCCCACCAAACCGTCCCAATATCCTGCAAACAACCAGCAAACCAGCTGATAGCTCCGCTCCGCGAACAACAACGAAAAAGTTAAATCTCCTGAGATAAAATCACAACATTCATCGACACGGCAAAAAGATTTAAAAAAACAAACAGCAAATGAAATCCGCCTTAAAAGCATCGTAAACGAGGTTTAGAGGAGGGTTGTGGTGGCCAGCGTCCATGACTCAAGCAGAAGGGGATGCGGCGGGGATGGAGCCCCAAGCAGGAAAATACAAGTGTTGCCAAGAATGATCCAAGCCCGAGACCGCATCTCGCCCTGCAAGCATCACCTCCCACCCGTTGGCATGGACGTTTCGTGAAAAGAGAGGGGTATCTGGGTAACGTTGGGATGGGGTAGTGAACGCGCTTAGAGAGCCAGGGCGACCAAAGCGGCGACCGCACCGAGAGCCATGACTGGCTGGCTGAATTGACGAGGAGCGGCGCTGTCGCTGTCGAAGAGAGCGTTCTTTCCGGCGTTGGCGGCACCAACGGGGGCGATTCCGCTTGCCTTGGGAGGAGCGCTGCCGCTGTTTCCGCTGTTGGTGTTGCTGTCGTTTCCAGTGAGGCTGTTGGTGGCACTGGCGCCGGTTCTGTCAAAGGGGAACGTGAGTGGATCGCTTAAATGGAACTAAGCCGTTGGCCACGTACGGGCGAGGGGCGGCAGATGAAGAAGCGCCGCCAGGGAGGCAGGACCTGTTGGAGCCACCGGAGACAGTGATCTGAAGGACAAAATGAGCAAGCTGGAGACCAGATATGGAGCTGAGAGCGTACGTTGGCGGACCAAGCTTCGGTATCCTCAGCGTCGGCAACGCTGTATTGGATGACAGTGCCAGCAGGGATAGCTACCTCCCAGTCGACATAGGTGGTGGTGAAGTCGCCAATCTCGGCGCTGGGCAAAGTATCAACCACTGAGCGAATTCCTGTTGACAACGGTACTCACAGAGGCTCGCCGCAAGGCTCGTTGGCGTCAACGACGATGAGGTTGTAAGGGCCGGTGGTGGGCGGCCAGGAGATACGGGTGGTCTCGCACTGTCCACAAATGGGTTCGTTAGGGGTGTTCGAAATGGTCCTCGACGTCGGGAACGTACCTGGACAGACTCAGGGTTGTTGATCGCGAAGGAAGCGAGGGCGGGGAGAGCGAAGAGAGCGACGGAAACGAGTGTGGAGTACATTGTGTAGACGATAGTTGGAACGACGAGGAACGTGCTTTTTGCGTCGAGAAGGACGTTGAGGAGAGGGGGAGGAAGAAGACGAAGCACGCGGAAGAGGGAAAGAGATGGAGAAAGACTGAGAACGAGCGAACAAGTGGGCAACTGAAAAATGTAGGAGACTGAGAAATTCAACAACCCATCACATCTTCAATGTTGCCAGGCACGCCCAGCCATCATCTAGCCAAACAAATACTTTCCTTGGCTTTTGTTCCTCCAGTTCCATTCTTCCTTCAATAAATACATGACTACATGAATACTACGATACGCTGCTACAGTTTGGCTACAGCTTTGTTCTTGAACGAAGCTAGGTTTGTCCTCTTCGTGATTCTGCAGAGGACGGGCAGAGGGCAAGTGTGAGTTGCTATGGTAATTCGCCAAGACCACTTTGAAACTCACCCGGAATGCGCTATCTCGCTGGGCTCCTGCCTCGGTCCCTCAACAGCGACGCGCTTCTCCACGGGGACGTAGTCCCGTTTAGTCGGACCGACATAAATCTAACCCGGAGTGAGCAAGGCCAGTTTTTTTTTTACTCAGACCCTCTCGAGAAACCTACCTGTCGAGGTCTCCAAATCTTCACACCACCTTCCTGCAGCATCATCTATAGATCGGGAGCTGAGCATTGTATTCTCTTGGAATTGATGCCCGCACACCATACCTGCCGCCAGTGCGCTAACCACCCAACAACTCGCGGAACAGCGAATAGCACCGGGAAAAAGTCCAATGGGAAGCCTATTCAGACCGAATTAGTCGACTCTGAAATGTAGAAGACTCCATTCCACCGTACCCATAGCGCGATAGATTAAACCACTGATGTTGAATTAGCTCTCGTACAGCGGCCACTTGAATGTCGGAGCCTGCTTACCTCCTATTGAAACGGTCAATCTCCGTAACAGTTAATCCAGAAACATTAGCTTACCAGAAATCGACATTAGGAGCCAGCCTGCGCTTAATGAAATATTCATCCTTCATTGCAGCTTCGTGCAACGCCATGGCAGTCTCGAGGAGTTCATCCTTGCCCGTGCTATCCCCAAATCATTGAATCAATCACCTCACCACAGCACCACTCCTTGCTTGGCGACTTACACCTTGAATACTTCATCTGCAGTCTTGCGAACAATGAACGACCGGGGATCCGACTATATATGAAGACATCTCAATGATAGCACTGAGGAAAATGATAGCACTGAGGAATGATAGTCTGGTGGACTCACCGTCTTGTATACACGGTGACCAAAGCCAGAAAGGACCTTCTCTCGCTTCTTGACCGCCTCGATGAAAGCGGGAACATTCTCGGGTCTTGAATATCGACACCCGACATCGTCGCCATGTTACATGTTACAGCGCCAGCAAGAGAAGGTGATTCGTTCGCGATGAGAATCCACCAAATTCAAACCCGTCGACAGCGACAACACCGGGGTGTGACGGAATCGCAGGGGGAGCATCAAAGGATCACAGAGTCAAGATGTCAATGCTATGTTCAAAACAACTCGAGGGAAAATACACCCACTTTCCGATGGAGATGAGCATACGGATGACGGCCTCATTCGCACCGCCTGTCCAAAGTAACATGCATGAGATTCCTGAAGAAGCGAGTGCTTGTGATAAACATACCGTGCAATGGGCCACTTTAATTCCCAAGGCGGTTAGTCCTAAGTAGATCTGGATACCAAAGTGTTCAGGGAACTCACTAAAGTGATGCGCAGCCGGCTCTGTTAGGTTATGTCAGGTCTTGTAGGCCAGAATGGACTAGAGCAAAGAACTCACGCGATAGCAGAATAGGGATCGACGAGAGAACTTCCGGTCTGAAGCACGGTGGTCGAAGAGGCATTCAACTCGTGGTCAGCATGGAGGAGGAACAGGACATCGAGGGCTTTCTCCAAGACAGGGTTCGGAACATAGTTCTCTTGCCCAAGGCAATCCATTTGATACAGGAATCTGTCAAAGACGATTAGCCACCGCACGCCCAAAGAATCAACGGTAACATACGATCCGGTATAGCTCAAGCCGGTTGGAGGAGTAACGAATTCACGGCCCTGTCGAACTCGGTAAGCCATAGCAGCCAAGGTGGTAGCCTTCCCAATAAGGCGGTTAGGGTGTCCGAGAGGGACATGGATAAAACTTTCGCGCGCGAGCACTCCGCGACCACAGCCACCGATCCCAAGCCCCTATCTCGGGCCTCTCCCAATCGTACCGTTGCTTGTCGTACTTTACGCATTGCTCTAATTACAGCCACAAACTTTCTACAAGACTCATTCACCAAGAAATGTCAATACCCTAGATCGTAGAAACCAGGTTAACATGAATTGGAAATTGTTAGAACGGTAGGAAACGCCAAAAAAACAGATGATCTCCGACTTTTCACCCATCTCCAACTTCAATGGTAACATGGCCCTCTGGATTCGAATTTCAAGCTGATCTGTCATCGTGCTGGTGCGGAGGCTCGGTAGACTTCAGTAGCATACCTTACAAAAGGGTGAGTAAGCTCGGGGGACAGGCTAATCGTCAACGACACTTGTTGAATGATTGATTCATTGAGTAAGCGCCCGGTCCCAAGCCCAAGCCGCAGTGGTATTGAAGTACCTCGGCGGCGGTCGCGCTCAACAGTTCCATAAGAATGGAAGATGTAATTCATGAAATGATTCTTAATTCGAAGCTCAGCTACATGGGCGCTCGTAATTGTATTGAAAATTTTGTGAGGTATTTTAGCCCCTCCCTCCTCAGAAACTTCACTCCATGCTTCTTCATCTGCGTGCCTCACTTGACGAAAACTTGACCTCATATCAGAGGGCGCTATCGACATTCAAAACGCATGTATTGCACCGTAAATTTCTAGGATACACGAGGGAGATAGGCCATGACCATGCGTCGGAATACATCCCAACCTACAGTAGCATTGAGCGAAGGACTACCGATTGACATGTGAAGGTCAGTAAATAAATTCTCCAAGTCGTCGCTGACGAACTGGAAGAGCTGAGGACGGTCATACTGGGCCAAAAGTCTATCCATGTCCTCCGAAGGGACTTTGATCAGTTGGTCGTAACCACCGTACGTCTCGGGGTCGGTGAAAAGGTCGATACGCCGGGCATAAGTGGGCAGAAGACGGATGCGGTGGGTCTGGTGTTCAAGAAGAAGTTTGTCCAAACGAGCCTGAACTATGCGTGCCCTTGAAATCCATCGTGCTAGTGAACTGATTGTATGTCTAGTATTTGACATCTCACTCATGGGGAGAAAACACTTACACATGAAACTCGTCGTTATCGACATATCCACTGTGTTCCATGTATGATGTGAGTCTGGTAGAAGAACAATATATTAGAAAGGTCGTTGTGAGAATAAGCTTAAGTTCATCGTCGAGAAATTACCGTTTGCAAGTGGTGTTACAAAGAAGGCGCACAAGGTATGTAAAGTACTTATAGAACGACCTAACTACTACTTCAACTGCACAGGTTTTGATTCTGAAAGCCTTCCCATGTCGTCTCGCCAAGGGAGGGCAGCTGTTCACGCTCTTACGCTCTTCGATGTTGTGATCCACAGGTAAGTCAAGTGTACCATTGGCAAAAGCTGTGTTTGCTGACCTTACACCGAAATAACTCAGTGACGACGAGAGCTATGGGCTCGGGGGCCAGGGAACGTCTGGACTCGAAGAGTTAGCCGCCCGGCACCAATGCAACAACATCTGTAAAGCTCTGGGACTTCCGGATGCTAAAGAGTTTTGTAAGGACCTCACCGTGAAGGCTGGTGAATGGGAGGCGTTGTCTGTGTCTGTTCCCAACGTAGACCTGGACCCCAGGCGCTCACCATCCCCTGTAACATCGGATAATGGCTGTTCTGCTCTCACTAGTCTCAAACACTACGGGGAATCCGACAGTTCAGACTCGGAGGAAGATTGATCTGCAAGCAATCCCTTGTCGTCATGGATCTATTATCGCATCTCATATAACACATTTGTCCTTCATTGAGAGTACCTATCGAGTAGTATACATGGATGTACCTTACTCTACTCTCTTATATACGCTGGTTCGTCGACCGAATTCACGTCGTCTAGGTACTACGTCCGTGAGATAGGAGCCTGGGATCGGTGGCTGTGGTCGCGGAGTGCTCGCGCGCGAAAGTTTTATCCATGTCCCTCTCGGACACCCTAGGCGGTAGATCTGCTTGTCCATTATGGCAAGCGATGCTGCATCTCCCTTGGTATAGAGGGTTTGGCCTTGTAATGAAGGATTGGCCTCCCCGTAGTATGAACCAAGATAAGCAAAAGCACTGGTCAGGATAGCCATTGGATGGGCATCATAGCTATGATCACAGGCGGTTAACGAGCTGAATGGACACATGTTAAGGACGCTCTCACCGGAAGGAACGGCAGAATTGCTCAGCATCGGAGTGCATGACGCCGTGGTGCAGTACCTCCCTCTCCCAAGTGGCATACTGAGCTCTGGTAGGGAGCGACCCGTAAATGAGGAGGTAAGCTGTCAAGATAGAAAACACATGGGTCAGGGTTCATGAAATAGCATTGAACCGGAGTAACGTTCGCTCGTACCGGTCTCGAGATGGTTGGAGTGCACGGCCAGCTGTTCAATGGGATATCCTCTTCAAAGTTCAGAATTATCGGGTCAGCTTAAAGGCAGCGTCCAACCCAGTATGCGTGCTGACCGGTATCTTAGAACTATTGGTTGTAGTGTCAACGTAGATTCATCTTCCCGAGTCGAGACTGGCAGACATACCTCCGGCTTCACCGTCGATGTAAGTGATCTCGCTACGCATGACAGCAGTATTCAGGTAGCCCTTGTCCTGGACACGTAGGCCCTTGTCCGTTTCATTCTCCTTGCGTTCGCCTGGCTGGAATGGGGCCTTGATGTCTTTGAAAGCAGTAGCTGGGATGCTGTTGTTCTGGATCCTAGTTGGCGGATGGCCTTCAGCATAGACTCCAGTTCTTGTGGACATAGAAGACTCGGACGTACGGGATGGTGTACACCTTGCCAGTACGGTTATCCCTGACAGTCAAGCTCTGGTCTTGCGCTCCTGTAGTCTGCTGTCCCATAGTGATGATCGTTTCTGAGGAAGCTGGGTGAAGCGAGAGAGAGAATGCGGGGAAGAAATCACGAAAACCTGGGGACGATGAGCGGGCAAAAAAGGTTCAGCAGAACAAGTTCCGAGTTGTCACAAGGAGAGTGTTTCCTTAAGATTCCGGGAGACAAGACTCTGAATACCATTTGTGTGCGGCTACTACATAAGTAATGAACCCTGGTGAGAGCGACGTCACTGGGGAAGAGATTCACATGCCCAGCATCCTTGGGTGATTGTCGAGCGCTTTTGATGGGCGCAGTTGCCTTGTTGGGATAATCCCGACTGACGCGACGCTCGGTGGGCGCGATTGATACACATTGACCTAGACTGTCGTGACTGACAACTGAGACTTTTATCTAAGGCTCGCGCCTGAATGGAGCCTCTTTTCGTATACTTCAGCGGTCTTTGGGGAAGACATAGGAAAGACTCGGGTTCCTGGCTGGTCAACTTCATTCCGGGAATGGGTCACATTGGCACAAATCGGCAGGGCACAGACTTCAAAAGCCGCTGCTCCAAACCTTCGCGTTTTCGTTCGTGTCCAATCGCATCGTCGTTCACAGAGCAATGAATCACTTCAGCTCAGGCCCCAGGCGCCAATGGTCCACGCTCTCTGAGCGGCTAATTGACGTCACTCTTCATGAATCCATTTCTTGAACATTGACCACGACCATCCCACTCACTTTGGTTTGTGTAAAGTATCCCATGTCCGCTGTGGCTCACGCTTAATGAAATCTTAGACCATGTCAATACGGGATTCTGCAGAGGAAACTATGGATGTCGATGGTGCAACCAATGGTGCTGACCCGTCGACACGACCACCTCTTCGCGTTCGAGCCCTGACCCTTCTGCAGGAGCGCAGGCTGATCGCGTACCTTGATGACAGATGGCTGCAATTCACTCGAAACTTTAAGAAGCGGTGAGTCCATTGTCGGATCCACTGATGCAAACCATTGCTCAAAACATGCTACAGCTCAGAACAGTCCTCAACCTTACGGACGTTGGGTGATTATCTCGAGGAAGCCCGTCACCTCCTGGCGTTCATCCTACAAATACCGCCTGTCGATCCGTCGACGTCGCTAAGGATTGCGTACATGCTCCGACTTACTGCGGACGTCCTTGGAGGAATCCCGGGGTATAGCCTGACAAGGCGGGTTTCCGACCCTCTAGCGCCTGCAAATACCGAAGAACCGACGAACGTGTCTCCAAAGAGTATCAGAAATACTCTTCGAGATCTCCTCGACTTTCTGGATGATCTGGACCACGCGTGGCTTGCTGTCCTCCAGGGCCAGGTTTGGGACCCTGAGACAGCAGAGGGCGTCGACTTGACCAGCGCTCTCGAATTCATCACACACTCCCCTCATGATCCGACCACAAGCAACGGAGAGGAACACCAACCAGCCTCAGCACCTCCCAATGTTAAAACCTCACCTCCGAGCCAAACAGAACTCACACGGCTGCGAAGCCTCCTCGTCGGCGGCCAGTCGGCCCTCGAGGAATGGCTCCTGAACGAAAGGGTCGCGAAGCTGAGCAGTCCAAGTGCTGATGGCGACGATCTCACTGGCATGCTTGCTCGGATGGGGTTGCTGGACGAGTTCGACAACGTGTTCACTCGTACGATGGACGTCCTGGGCTATGGTAATCTCAGAGAAGATGATGATTTGGAGGAAGTTCCGATGTCTGCCCCTCTGACCGGTCCAGGAGAGGATTCAGGTAAGTATCACGTTCGTGGCTACACGTAGGCTATCTGACAGCACCGAACTATTTATAAAGTTTAAAGAAGGTGGAGTGCAGATGGAAGATGACGATTACCAGTGTATCTGTGGACACTTGGTGGACACGACATATGGCCCACCGAAAGAAGCTGTGAATAAATGATAACGACTGCCAATGACATGGACGGATTCTCGAGGTTCTTAACTCCTCCATCTATCGACACAGATTCTCGTACATGTCTCCTCGTACCACCACGAGGCTGAGAGCGCGCGACGTGCATCTGCTACCACAAAGTTCCGCAGCCCCATTCACCCAAACTTCTCGGCAGCACCACCCAGGTCCTAGTCTAATTTTAGCATCTTCGATCCCGGTGATGTAGATGGGGCTTCAGGAAACGAGCTAGAGTCTCCATCGAAGCTTAGTCGTATGCTCACATGCCCTCGGACGCTTGCCAAACCATGTGCTTCTTTACCTGACGGTAACATGTCCAGCATCGAACAGTTTTGGACGGTTCACTTATAGACCCGAAGTTTGAAGGCGCCATTTGTCCTTTTTTGCCACTTGCCCGCGTTTCTTCGTCTCTGGCATCTCGCCCCCCTTTCTTCCAACCTGCGTTGTCAGATCGAGGTTCGCAAGTGATAAATGACTGATAGGCCGACATTTGCGCAGAGGGTTAAGAGCGTTTCCTTAATCTTTGCGTGCGTAGCTCAAGCTTATCTTGGTATCCGTTTTTTGACCTGGGTTGACCATGATAGGTGTGGCACAGCGCTTTTCTCGGACGGTAAGCCCATCGACATGGCTCAATGAACACGACACTGAACGACGCGCAGGTTATGCTAATGGTGTTATCGGGACTGGTGCGATGCTTTCGTGAAATTAATTGATCACGGTCCACTGACTTTCTTTCAGTGAATACGCGTTCGTACCATGCCGCCTTTCCCGGAATCCACCCAATGACATTGGTCCCAAGTCTTGACGCGCATCTACGGTGCTGAGGCTTTGGCCAACCATGCATACAGCAGGACCCTCAGCAGTCTCGCTTTTGCTGGTACCATTGTGGGAATGCTACTGTTCGGTAAGAGGCGCCTACTTGTCATGATTGGCCACGAAACTGAAAGCTGGTGGTGCATAGGGTACCTCTCTGACAAGATCGGGAGGAAGTTCGGAATGGTAGGTCAATCATTTCATTTCCCCGCCACAGGCTCCTGACCTGCGGTAGATGTCGGCTACTGCAATTGTGACTCTCTTCTCAGGGCTTTCTGCCGCATCCGCTGGAGCGAACGGTAGCTTGGGCGGGATGTTGAGCATGCTTAGTGCCATGCGGTGGGCAGTTCTGGCTCCTCAAGATCAGTCCCTGAGCGGAGTGCTTACTTCTCTTCGTAGATTCTTGCTTGGAATTGGTGTTGGCGCCGAGTACCCATGTGGTTCAGTCTCGGCTTCAGAACAGTCAGAAGAACCCGGCATCAACAAGAAGGCCCAGCACCGATGGTTTACTTTGGCTACCAGTAGGCCGATATATGCTTTGCTCGTGAGCGCAAGACTGACTCTCGTTAGATTCGATGATCGACTTCGGTTTCGTCATCGCAGCCTTCGTGCCTTTCGTTTTGTTTAAAATGTACGACCAATCTCCCGACTCCAGGACTTTTACTTATGTAAGTTGCACTCACCTAGCTTTGGAAATGACCACCTCCGCGCTGTATGGAGGCTTTCGTTGGGACTGGGAATGGTACCAGCGGCAGCAGTTTTCATCTGGCGGCTGAGCATGGACGAGCCCGTGCGGTATAAGAAAGACTCGATGAAGCACGCGAAGATTCCCTATCTCTTGATCTTGAAGAGGTACTGGGTATCACTGGCAGCGATCTCGTTTGTGTGGTTCCTTTACGATGTCATTGTGTGAGTTCGTTTCGACCTCCCTCTTCCCCGCCGTTGCTGAGGCTCTGTCGCTAGGTATCCGGTAAGAGTCACTCTTCAGTCGATCCCATACCCGGCCTAACAACCAGGCAGTTTGGGCTCTACTCCTCCCTGATCGTCAACAAGTGAGATAACCTCCTCGAGTAAGAACCGCCGCCATTTCGAGACTGACCTCGATACCTTTAGTATCACCGGAGGAGACACCAATTTGACTGTCGTCCTTGGGTGGAATGTTGTAATCAAGTATGCATTTAAACTTCGATCATCGTGAACGACAGGGGCTCACCAGGTGTCTTCAGCTTGTTCTACATGCCAGGTCGGTGCGACAATCATATAAGGAGGTATCTTTACCAAATTCGGAAATCTAGGAACTCTCATTGGCGCCTTCACCGTAGACTTCCTTGGTCCAAAATATACCCTGGTAAAGATTTTAAAGGCTCGGATATGACAGACCCCATGGCCTGTGCTCACCGTGACTTTCCCGGAATTCTAGATCACTGGTCTCGTCCTTCAGGCCATCATTGGGTTCACCATGAGTGGTCTGTACAAACAGTGAGTCTTGAAACCTATCACCAACTTGGATGCTCCCTAAAACGGGCCAAAGACTCTCCGACAATGTCGCTGCCTTTGCCGTGCGTACGTTTCCCGCATCATGTCAACGAGATACTAATGAAATAGTATTCAAGGTTGTCTATGGGATCTTCCTCAGCTTCGGTGAATTCGGTAAGCACGGTTTTCTGTGAAGTGAATATACCCTCAGTCTGGACCAGGCCCCGGTAACTGCTTGGGTCTTCTTGCAAGCAAGACAAGTCCTACTGCCATTCGAGGGCAGTACTACGGAGCCGCTGCTGCCATCGGAAAAGTCGGTGCGTTTGTCGGTACTTGGAGTGAGCGTTCCCCGATTCAGGAACATACCGGATGCTCATTGCCTGACTTTAGTCTTCCCACCCATCATCGATGGTTAGTACAAGTTGAGCGTCTTGGTTGGCGATTGAATTAAGCGTCTTTCCCCCAGCTTTCGGAGGACCGGAGACTGCTCGAGGAAACACCGGCCCGTTTTGGATTGCAAGTGGTCAGTACATTCATCGCCTATGTTTATGCAACGTTGCTAACTCTTTCACAGGTCTAGCACTTGTTAGCGCACTGACCACTTTCTTCTTCATTGTACCTCTCACTCACGACGGTATGGAGAAAGAAGACGCGGAAGTGAGTATTGAACTATTGACATCCCAACCTCCGATGGGGTACTTATTCAACTCACAGTTCCGAGCTTACCTCGAGGCCAATGGATACGATACGTCTGCGATGGGTCTTCCTGATTTTGACTCGGAGAGAGGATCATTAGGTGAAAAAGTGGAAGGGCCAGAGAAGGCTGTAGATGTAAAGGTCGAACCTGCTTAATCTTTCGCCGTCAATGGTTCGATTGTACAACTTCACGACGCGACATGACTTCTTTACGACACTCTGTTTAGCTTGGCCAATTGTGAATATCAAGTTCATCTCCAAGATTCACACTCTTGCTACTGTTTCACTCCGTTCCGCAGAGTTGAGGGCAATACCTCTGGCTGAAGGCGCCCATCATGATCTTATCTCTTTCCCCTTTCGGAGTTGATCGCGTCTCAGCACACGTGCTTATCTTTTTTCTTCTGGACTTCCAGCGACGTCGAGAAAATCATAATACCAACGTTACCACTGCACCTTTTCTACCTCTTGTTACGAATGTTATAACGACCGCATTATTGACGCCCAAGCTCGACTGCACCAAAAAAGACCACTTTCAACGACCCAAAAGTAGCTTGCGACATGAGCAACCTCATCTCAGCGGTCTCATGGGTTCGCCGCGGTGTTGCCCAGCAACATCCAATAAAATACGTCTTGGACGACGGAGAGTTAGAGCGAGTGAGTAAGCTCGCTCGGATAGAACTCGAAGATGCGCGGAAAGAGCTCGAAAAGGCTCATAAAGCTGCTATGGAAATGGGCAAAGGGGACGAAGAAGACGACGATGAGGAGGAAAGCGAGGTTGTAGGCATGGATGCGGATGGAAAGGACGATGAAGGGGAGTGGGTCGAGTGAGTTGACGTTCTCGTCGATTATTATACTGGTACGAGAAGGAAGCTGATGTCTAGTCCTTTTTCTCGTGCAAAGTGAAGATAGCGATGCAATGGACGTGGATTCTGGGCCCAATGATGCTTCCAAGAAACCCTCCAAACCCAAAAATCCAGACGATCTTACCGAATATAACTTGGACAATTACGATGAAGAAGAGGGCGGAGAGATTGGTAAACCATGTCCCTTTTTGTTACTGTCTAGCCTACTGACATGGTCTTGCTGCTATAGGCGGTGTTTTCAGCAGTATCAAGGGCCTGACATACTACAAGGACAATAACGAAGACCCTTACATCACGTTGAAAGAGGTCAGAATGGTCCCAATATCCGTACTTCCTGTGAAGATATTGATTTTGCTTTTAGGATCCCGAGGACGACGAACGAGAAGAGCTCGAGGTGCTCCCCACGGATAACCTGATTGTGACCGCCAAAACAGAAGACGAGATTTCACAACTGGAGATCTATGTCTATGACGAATCCCAGGAAAATCTTTACGTCCATCACGACCTTATGCTCCCCAACTTTCCTCTCTGCCTCGAATGGCTCGACTACCACCCTGCCTCGTCTTCTACAAATTCTCATCCAACTCCTGCGACTGAATTCGGAAACTACATCGCGGTCGGAACCCTCGATCCTGAAATCGAAATCTGGTCCTTGGATATTGTCGAAGCGATGTACCCCGCAACTGTCCTTGGTCGACCCGATAAAACCAAGGCGCATGTGCCCGTACCACTAGGAACCGGCAAGAAGAAGAAAAAGAAGATGAAGGAACGACAGAAGGACGACAAATGCCATGTCGATGCTGTTCTTGGGCTCAGCTGGAACAAGCAGATCCGGAACATGCTTGCGAGCGCTAGTGCTGATCGGACAGTGAAGCTGTGGGATCTGAGTCGGGACCCGGTGGCGGGTGGTGAAGGAGCTGGTGCCATCCGAAGTTTCGACGTGCACAAGGACAAGGTTCAGGCCGTCCAATGGAATACGACGGAACCAAGTGTCCTCTTGACCGGAAGTTACGATCGAACTGTCAGAACATTCGACTCGAGATCTCCAGACACGGGCGTTGGGGCTGCAGTGGGCAGCGATGTTGAAGCTCTGCGATGGGATCCCTGGGATAGTTACGGCTTCTATGTGAGTATCGTGACGCCCTGGTTTGTTCACCCTGCTGATCCCCGGACAGGTCTCCTTGGAGAATGGCATGGTATTGAATTACGATGCCCGTACCCTGCCATCTAATCTCGAGACACCAAGCGCTGCAAGATTCACCCTTGCTGCACACGATGGAGCTGCCTCCTCCCTCGACGTTAACCCTCATCTCAAGGGATGCATCGTTACCGGCGGAACGGACAAGTTGGTCAAGGTCTGGAATGTCACGGAGGACGATAGCAACGGTAAACGACAAGTGAGCTTGGTCACATCTCGAGACCTCGGCGTTGTGAGTATCCTTTCTTTTGTCCGGGAATATTCCTTCTGACCGAAATGTCCAGGGCAAGGTGTTCTCTACCGTGTGGTCACCGGACGATCCTCTCACCCTTGCCGCTGCTGGTTCAAAAGCCAAATTGCAATTGTGGGATGTTGGGTCGAATTACGGCGCCCGCAAAGCTTTCAGCGCCAAATTGAAGGATGCAGGCAAGGTACTGAAGGAAAAGGCTGAGAGCGGCGGTGTCGTTGGTGTTGTCAGTGACGGTGAAGAGAGCGACAATGACGACGATTGATTACAATGTACCAAGCCACTTTTATCAGTGTTATTGTCGAATGAACTTCCTGTTTTCGTTGTACTCTCGACTCAAGTGGCCGTCTATTCGGAAGTTGCTTTAGCAACCGTGGCCATCAGCTGCCTTTTTAAGTCGCCGAGACCTAGAGCCGGCGCCATCGTGGCCAACAACGAGCAGCCAATTTTTCCCTTCTGCCATTCACATATAGTTTCTAGCTCATCGTCAACCGCAGCGTCGGCCGATACCCCTTTCTCTTTCTCATCTTTGCTTACTACCTTCGCTTTCACTCTTCTTCTATAGCTACTTCATTAGCCACTTAATCACTTCCATCTCTCTCGACGGCCACGAACATGTACGTTTCTGTCGACGCGTTGTCGACCTCGGTTCTTCTCCGTTGTTCAGAACGCTAACTCTAGGATAACAACAGGGGTCTTCCAGACGAATCTCCCCGTGGAAGTGTTGCAAATCTCATCGGTCGTTTCGAAATCCAGAGCAAACGCTCCGCACAATCGGCAGCCATCTCTGCCTCATCTCGCAGCTCCAGCGTTGTCTCCCAGACCAGCACGAATGGTGATTCTGCTACAGCGGAAATCAGAGAGAAGAGGGAATGGCCGCCCAGGTCCGCTACGCAACAGCAAGAGAAACCAGCGTTTGCTCTTCCCTCGTACTTGAGGCCCAACGTAGGATCCCTCGCCAATACGGTTGCCTCTTCCCTTGCGTCAGCTCAGTCGGGTGCTGCTGGAGGTCCAGGACGTAGCGGCCCCCCTCCCCCAAAGGACGAGGCGGATGCTGCGGCAACGAACGGCGGTGACGCCGCCACCCCCATGGCTCTCTCGAGATCAAACTCGCGTGCAACTCTGAACGCTGAGCCAAAGGCTAAATCAGACGCAGCACCTCTCGACACAGCGTCTGCTGCTTCGGCAAAAGTCGAAGACGACGCTGATCCTATTACGCCTAAACCCGGATCGGTGCAGAAGAAGGCCAGCACGTTGACCATCACCCCAGCCGATGCCAAAGTCCCTGACAAGACGCCAACCACCGCCAAACCACCAGCCACGAAACCTGCTACTACTGCCCCTTCAAGAATCTCTGCGCCTCCGAAAACACCCGCCAAAACCCCTGCAAAGGCCCCTGCAAGGACCCCTGCAAAGACTCCTTCGAAGACCCTCACCCCTGCGACTTCCATGCAACCTCTCAAACCCCAACACACCGGACAATCTGTTGGTTCAACTGGGACCACTCGTAGACAGGCCGCTAGGACACCAGTCCCAGCAACCCCGTCTCGCGCCAAAACACCTTCGAGAGCCACGCCTGCCAGAACGAAGTCCCCTGCTGTGACCCCAGCTCGGGCAAAGACGCCGTCCACCGGCCTGTACGCACCGACTGCAGCCTCCCTTGCTCGGTCGAGAACCGCACCGGAGGCTCCACCCCCACCAAGCACTAAGAAGGTGTTGAGCAGTGAGGTGGCTGATAGATTGACGAAGCCAACTGCAGCCTCTCTCTCCAAAGTCCGCACTCCCGTCCCGACAGCCTCACCACGTCCCAGTGTTGGTGCGACGCCGATCAAGAGAACGACCACGACACCTGCTGGAACGCCTTCAAAGGCCACACCAGCTACTCCCTCCAAGTCGGCGTTGAGAAAGCCTGCTCCTACATCCCCTGCGATCAAGAAAGCTGCTAGCACCACTGCCAGTAAGGCTAAATCTGCCACTGCTGCCGCCGCTTCCACTGTCGCAGCTGCTGCGCCTGTCGTCGAGCCCACGATTGAGGCCAAGGAGGAGCCCGTAGAAATACCACAGCCAGTCGCTGAACCTGTTGCAGAGCCCCCTGAGCTCGAGCCCGAAGCGCCTGTCGTTGAGCCGGAGGTTGTTAATCTCACCAATGGCCACACGGAGGAGCCAGCTCAGGATGTCGGTGCTGTCGCGACACCCACTCTGCCAGTTGAAGGTGAGCCTGAGGTCAATGGCAAGGCTGGCGACGACATCGAAGCCCTCGTCAATATGCTGGAAGCCAAACCCATCTTGGCCAATGCCGGGGTTGACGACAAGATCGCTGATATTCCCGACGAGGAATAGATACCTCCAGTTGGTACTGGAAGGATGGAATGGAGGGACGTTTAGAATTTAGGAATGTTTCGTTTTTCAATGGTCTCTTTTTTTGGTTCGTTTGCCCATCCTGTTTTGCAAACTGTGATGAATTGTCTGTGCCCGCCTGTTACGCTATCCGTGTCTGTCGTTCCGTTCCTCGTCCCGGTGTCTGTGGTACATCCCTTAACTTAGCTACAAACCGCTTTATTCTACCCCTTTTTCGACTCGCTCTCTTTTCGTTTTCCTCGCTCAGCTAAAGTCGCGTTTGGGTATATACATGACAGCCTCTTCCCAGTTGCACATCCTGCCTTTTTATTTTATTTGCTATGTACGTGTAGTTAGTTGAATAACGTCGACATAAACTTTTTGATAAGATGGGGGCCCCAGTGTCTGTTAGCGCCGATATCAGGCCTGTGATGAGCGCCTCTCAGATAGATAGATTTGCTGAGTAATCTGCTCTATGACAGGAGAGTCCGCCTGGCAATCTCTTGGAACCATTCCACCACCAACCCGACTGATCTATCGATGTCTATCACGGTAAAGAAGGAGGGAGGGATCGTTTCCAACGATTGGCATATAGTGTAAGCATTAATACGAGCATCTACCCTCGTCCTTGAGGTGATTTTTTTGCTGCGAGATAGCGACGTCTTGACGTTTTCGTGAAATCGCAGGACAATCTCTGTACCCTTCATCTCCGAAAAACACGCCACGATCGCGAAGCGAGCTATCGAAGTCGATGCCGAATTGCAACCTCAGGCTGTAAAACGGACCTTGAAAATAGAAGGGAACCAGCTGATAGGGTGCGTTGCCTTGATTCATGACTTGTGGCGAGGGCTATGAACTTCTCGCTATGTTTTGTCATCTCTAGAACGTTCGAAACCTTGACAGTTCGCCTCGCCCGATTAACTGTCAACGCCTTCCTGGAGAACGTGGATCTCGTCGTTCGGACGATAGAAAACTTTGGAGAAGATGCGGAGAAGAGACCCATTTCATAATCTACCGTCGCGCAGGCAACGTTAACAGCTAATCGATTGTATGATTCATTTCATTGTTTTGTCCATGTTCGTTGGATAAGTGAAGCAACAAAAACAGAGGGTACACCCGGAAGGTACGGAGCGTTTAGTCTGGTCCCTTTCTCAGACAACGTGCTGCTGCTCGAGATGCGCTTACTCCTTTTGCTCCTCGGTCTTCTCGCCCTCCTTCTTGGCTTTGTTCTTCTTCTTCTTGGACTCGCGCAAGTTTCTCGTGAGGAGGGTTTTAATCTCCTCATCCTGGAGGTCCTTCTCGGTCTTGACGACATCGGGAGAGTACCAGATGGGGGGTTGGGTGAGCAACAAAGGACCAGCGGGGAGTAATGCGATGGTGAAGTGGAAACCGGCGACAAAGGTATTTGCGGGGGTATAGCTATAGGAGGACAGAATCAGCTCGGCGAACGAGCCCAATGGCATGAAGAGAGTGCATACATCACTTCATAAGGTTTAACCAAGCTATGCTGAACGGCCTCTTGCAAACCCATTCGAGATCGCTTCTCGTCCTCAAGGATGCGGATGTTGAAGGGGAAGGCACCAGCCTTCTTCTGGACCTCAGAGAAAACGGCACGGGAGTTCTTCATTTTGAGCTGATAGGTGACGGCCGAATCGCGCTGGTAGATGGAGGTTCTTGTATCCTCGAGACGAGCCTAGAAATAGACGGCAAGATTTCATACATGTCAGGCACAGACAGAAAAAAAAAAGCCCTTACCTTGCCATCTTCACCGGTAGACACAAGAATGTCGATACCATAAACTTCACCTTCAGCAAAGGTAGCGGTCTCAAACTCGCGTTTCTGGCCTTCACTGGGGTTGAGGATGATGCGTTTCTTGCCGTCAATGACGTTCTGGGTCTGTTCGCAGGAGAGCATTCCTGGAAATTTAAGGACATCGCGTAAGATCGCGTTTTGCGAGGGGGGAAGGTGTGGTAACGACATACCTTCGACGGGTTTGCAATCCCACTGGGCGGCAGATCGACCGACAATCTCGGTGACACTCCAGTTCTTGTTTCCAACCTTGACGGTCCTCATGGCGGCCTCTGCAGCAGTCCAAGCGGCCCTAATCACATCTGCGCGACGACCAGTGACTGGATTGGAGGCATCGGCACCCACAACGATAGTTTCAGCGCTGATGGATGCGAAACCGTCGATATGAGCTCCAAGTTGGATTTTCACGACGTCATCCTTCTTCAAAACCTGGTCGGCCTGTGGGTCTGATCTAGAGGACGCGCGTCGGCAAACGAGCACTGTATCGTTAGCTCCACGAATCGTAGAATTTCAGGCCAAAAGACCTACGCGATGGGCGAGAAGTGGGAGACGCAGTTGTTTACGGATATCGAAGTTGGGAACGCGACGCCTGGGATAACGGGGGTGAAAAAAATGAGGGGGTTGTTCTGGAACGCTAGAAGTGAGATAGCGTACCTTTGCTGATCTTGACACCCTTGACAGACTTGTTGTAGACGGCGCCAGTGCCCTCTTCCACAAGCTTGTCGCCCTCGACACACAAATCGATCACTTTGGCTCCCTCGACGGCAAGCGCGATCAACTTTTTCGTTACTGAATGAACGATCTCGGCGGCGGTCTGCGGAGGCGGAAACAAATTAGCGATATGTTCATCCAACGTCCATAACCGACACAGGGTCATACAAGATTCCCTTTATGTCGACGGTGTGGAGAGATATCGCACCTTGTACTTGGTGAGATCGGCCTCAGAAATGCTGGGGCCAGTAGCCTGCTTTTTCTCAGCAGCGGCAGCCTGAACGGTGACTGGCTTGTTGTCGTCGGACATGGTGTCGTGGAGTTTGTAGGGTTCGGTGAGGAGATGGAAGAACGGTCAAGACTGAAACCAGCTTTTCTGCAGCCCAACCACAACCCAGAATTGATCTGCTTGCCTTTTTGGGATGGGAGCTTGGCGGTCGGAATCAACAATGACGACGAGGATTCGTGAAAAAACGTTATGTGCAATAAAACACCAGTAATAGGTGAGGTATACGTGTACGACTAGCAGGGACGAAAGCGATGGAAGTAGATGCGACAGAATGCGGAGGGGGGAAACCCATGGTACAGAACCAGAAGGATGAGGGAGGGTATCGTGATACAAGTGTAATCTACAACAATGCGAAGATGAAACGGTCCATTAGCATGCTTTCCTTGCGACCCAACTGCGCATCGAGCGGCAAAGATCTTCAGAATCGTAGTACATCTTCGGCAGAGGTCCCTTGTCAATGGAAGGGTTTTTTTGAGGCTCAAAATCGCTGCGCCATTTCCGGAAGTCTGGACGCTGGCCCGGAGTTTCTGGCCATGACAGGCGGATGCCTAAATGTTCTCGCATTGATAAACGGTCAGTCATATCACTGGGAAGAGAAGGCGCTTTAGTAAGATAGATTAAAAGACGTGGAATGACTCCCACCTTAGCCAGCTGTTCCAGTCCCGCTCGAAGACCTGTCGAACAGTGACCAGCTCGCTACTGACTTGGTGAAGGAGAAAGTCTTCGCTGTAAAGCCTTTCGTATTCCTTCCATATTGGGCCTTTGCAGGCGACTATAGTGTTCACCGTTTTCGCTAGGTGTATTGTTGCCCATTGGCTTGGGCCCACAAAATCCTTGACGGAGCACACGGCGCGAATCGAACACCCATCCGCTTTGGAAGTCGAGCGGGAGATGGTAGGGAGTTTCAAGTCAAACGGAGTATCGAGATTGCCGCGGCTTGACGGACGAAAGCTGTCTGCAGAGTGCCGTGAGCGAAGCGGCGGCGCAGAGCTGCTGTTGGGTGGCAGTGGAATTTTCAGTGGCGGATAAGGTTTTACTTCCTCGAAGAAGGTAGAGATATAAAATGGAAGGACAGCGAGGAGTTTTGGCGTGAGGAATCGAGAGGCCAGCATAGCATCCCACGAGGCTTTGATTCGTGAATGATCTTGAGGGTGTTTGTCTAGCGGAGCTTGTTGAACGCTGTTCTCCGAGCTGGCTTGAGAAGTGAAGGAGGACTCGGCGAGAAGCGAGGCAGCGTGTGCGAGATTACTTTTCGACGACGTTTTGGCTCTTGTCAACTCCTGGAATTTTGTCCTCAATGGGGATGCTGGGGGTTTCCGGTCGGGCAAGGAAGACAAGGTATTCAAATCCTGGGTCGAACCAGCGGGAGAGGCCGAACTAAAATTAAGCAGTGACAGGTCAAGATCCAGCTTGGGCGTCGCCGGGGGCTCGGGCGGTATCGTCGTGCAAGGGAAGATAAGATCCTCCTCTATGACCTGTATACGTATACTATCAGTCTTTTTCTCATTCTTTCTTCCGGAGAAGGCACCCGTACCTCTAATACTGCCCCCGGTTTCATTACTCTTGAGATTTCCTGGACACAAACGATTAAGCGTTATTAATCGTGACAGGCCCATATGGGGAGTAGAACATGCCTCCAAAACAAACTGCCACTGTGAGATCACAAAAGTAAAAATGATTAGGACGTTTCGATAGGGAAGACGAATCAAGGAGCTAACCTCATCCTCCGGTACTCCAAGACCGATGTAAGCTATCCTTACAAAGTCAAATTGAGACTCTGGAAAGGGAAGTCCATCCAACCTGCGAGAATGAGGGCGTGTTGAATAGCTTCTCACATTCATGGCTAGAAGGAGACCAACAGATTGCCATGGACCCATTTCACTCGCCGTGAGAGATGACGATAGTGTTCTAACCCATGGAGGTTTGGCTGGACGTCTGTGATGTCAAAGCCAATGATCGTGCTTGACTGTGGACATGCGGTTTGAGTGAGCTGGGAGGGGACGGTCAACAAATACGCCACACTCACCTTCCACTGTTTAGCGGCCTCCAACGTCCAGAAACCCCCTCCACAGCCCAGGTCCAGCACCACTTCAGGTGGACGTTCGAACCGGTGCATCGTCAGGCTTCGAAAGCTATTGACGAAGAACATATGGTCCCAAATGTCACTGGGATCCGTTTTAGCCACCCGACTGGGACACGGGGCAAAGGTGGACTCACAAGTCAACCATGCCATTGGAGTATTCAAATGGGTATGGGACCTCTCCAGGCTTCCTCCTGCACTTGCGGAAATTCAAGAGTTGGTCCTGGACATCCTTGGTGACGACGTGGGCGGGGGACGACATGAGTGTCGGAAGGGGGAGTCGAGGGGGAAAATGGATCACATAGGACTTTTGTAGGCTGATATAAATTCTGATCCAGGTGAATGGTTTATACGCTTACGGCGCACGGGGTCTTACAGCGAGTTCAGGGTCTCTTTGGCGCTAGATCTCGACGTCTTTTTGGGATCCTTCTCCATTTGGAAGGTGAGAGGAACCTGCCCCATTGGCTCCGAACTCCCACGCTCCTTCCTGCGTTCGCCGGCTTGCACCACGACGCCAACACCCAAGACCTTACCGAATCCGCTCGTTGTTCGTTCGTCCCACAGCTCCTTGTCGTCGTCGTCTGGCGCAATGAGCTCTACACATGCTTTGCGCAGAGCCTCGGCTCTCACACTCGCCTCTCGAAGACCCGTCGCCCAGGTCATCCCCGTTGCTCTGCGCGCCAGATCACGTTCAAACCTCCCAGAAGAACCCGACCCACAGCTGAATGGCTACCCGCAATTGCCCTGGGTCCCCAAAGGATCTCTCCCTGCTCGTGGATGGGATGATATGCTCGAGCGCAGGAACTTTGGAGAGCCAGTAAGCCCATAGTTCCATTCCGCATATATCACATTCACTCACGACTTTGTGTGAAAATGTAGCTGCATGAGCAAGAAGAGGTTCTCTCTATGTGGGGTCCTGATGTTCCCCCCGTGCCACCCCAGACTGCCCTCCGACACTTCCTCTTTGCCGTAACTGCCTTCATTGGCGCAGGATTCACCATAAAATACTATTTGACCCCCGACGCACCTGCCATTAAGCGCGAATATCCTTATAACGGTCTTATTAAGGAGCTTGGTGGATTGGAAGAGAACAAGGCAAGCATCTCTGACTTCTGCGCCGCCCCACGTTTGTGCAAGATTGCTGACCATTTTGACTTGTGTACTTCAGGCGAGAACGGAAAGTCTCGACGACTCGGAATGAACTTCGCTAGAGTTGGTTTAGATTTGCTGGTTGTCCGGTTCCCCCAATGAAATCATGCACGTTGTTCGAGAACAGGAGATACTTGCGTCGTCTTTTTATTTTGACCAGGCTACCCGAAGTGAGCGAGCTGGTTTTACCGTGCGTTTCGGAGGATGGTCGCTTGGTTGTTTTGGAAGAGTCTCGATCCCGCGAGGAAGAAGATCGCCAAGTTGTCAAGATGGCCTCCATGCTATATGTCATTTACTTTCCCGGACGCTCCTCCACGCATGGACCAGTTGTCACCAGCTCCGATTCGCGTCAAAGTTACGCTGCCTAACCAGACACGGCGAGAGAAGTTGTGGTTTTTCCTCCAACGATTAACCTGTTGATCGGGGAAGCAAGATCGACGAGATGCCCTCGGGCACCCAAGTCCGAGCCGTTGCACCAGGACATGACTGAGGAGTGAGGAAACGAGCCACTCCTGAATCGTTCGCCTGGATCTTTGGTACCACTTGCCATTCGCGATGCCAGGCTCCTTTATCCAGTTTTACCGTTCACCATTCATCAAAATCAAGGTACAACTCATTGAAAAAGGAGGTAAGGAGGGATGCAAATTTGCTTCCGCCACAGTCAAGATTTTTGGCAATTGGTGGGCGCACATCCACATCGTCCTGTGTCCAATCGTGATCCATTTATGTAACGGCGCCGAATGGTTTGATCTATGTGCGTCGAGTGCGTTTCTCCTAAGCTTGCTCTACAGTGCTTCGAGGGTCTCTGGGTGTCTTTAGTTGTATCTAGGTGCTTCCAAAAAGGTGGACCTTTATGCTGGAGGGTGCCAGAGGAACCAGCAAGATTGAGAGTTCAGGGTGCCAAGGCAGAGAGTCTCCGCAGTGTTCTAACCGTTCCCGAATGATGCACGCAGCTCTGGGCAGCGGGAACGAGTGCCTAAAAATACGCCCTTTCCACCACCTTCGGTACGAGTGGCCGCTTATGTTTCCGTAAGTGCCCTCTCGGTGAGAACTCGACAGGTTTGACCACATCATCCAATGAAGCGGGACCCGGTTTTCGGAGTGGTTTGGCCTTGAAGCTTGAAGCTTGACAGACGAGTCGCCCAGGATCCTGGGGCACAAGGAACGCACGCATCTCTCCGTCGAGCTGCCCCTTTCACCAAACCAGTAAAATGTAGATCTCTCGAACTTTGTGGATTCACCCACAGCGGTGTACTCTGGATCGCGTAGAGGGCCCTACAAACAGAATTAATTGATTCAGTTTCGGTTGGATATTTTGATAGTCGGCGCTAAGCTTTTTTACCCATTGGTGCACGCTCATCAGTTTCGGGCGGACGCTGTGGGATGAAGGCGGAGTGATAATTAAATGGAGAGGTTGTGGAGAGCAGAGATGTGGAGAGTTTGCCCGTAGATATGTATGTCCATACTGCCTTCCACACTGGAAGAATTGAGAACGAGCTTTCTTGGAACCATGCGACCCTGAACCGGCTCATGTTTGGAGCTTGAAGTGGGAACCAATGCTGGGTAGACGCGAGGAGACGCGAGGCCAATTCAGACACGTAAAAAGACTTGCTGTGGTCGTGGTTTAATTCATTTCAATTGGCTATGATTCTATGAATCGGGCTAGCGTCCGCTAGCGACGACTGAGCGATCGAATGACGAGTTCCAAGCGATTGAATTCAACGATGGTTGCCAGATATCTCCAGGGCCCCCTCTCCAGGAATAGAGTGGTAGTACGCAACCGAGACGCCACTGCGACGTGAACACCAGTCCACCGAGTACTAGGACGCGTAGGTTAGTATGTAGGTACCCCTAGCAAGCCCGTACACCTGGTTGCCGCCCATGCCGCGCAGGTGGTCAGAGTCGGCATCCATACGGACCAGACTGCCACGGAGGCGCTCTAGAAGCGCTCGGAAGTTCGGGATGTCGGGACGGAGAGGGCGATAGCAAAGTCGTACTCCGGCAAACGCATGGATTCGGTCCCCCATCTTCCAGGGCAAAGGTTGATCCTAAAAACCAGCGAGATTTGGAAGAAGTTCTGTTGGGAGATGCACTGTGGGTCCGTGGCTACTTCAGATCTGTTTGGCGTTTTGGCGTAAGGCTGAGAGGAGATAAGTATCCAGGGCATGGGTATCCTACACCACCACTTTTTTTTGATGTCTCTCTGAGCTTGGCCGAATGATCATCGAAGACCTCCTCCCGGATATCAGCGAAGGGCGGCCTGACATCGCCTGACATCAATCCATCGATCTCGATGATGTCGTTGACACCGAATGTCCGCCCGACATCCAGACTGAATCTCATGCTGATATTGAGGGATAAATTGTGTGGACCTGAAAAAATCCTTTTTTTGCTGGCCCGTTTCTCTTCTGAATTCTCGCGCTGTTCACTAGACATATGGAAGAACAAGGAAACCACATTTATTGAGACTGCATAGGGACATTGAGTCCTACATAATAGGATGTAATGTAAGCTATGTATATACACAGAAGCTACTCGACGGAAAGGTGTCTAGTTCAAAGCAAAAATTTCGGGGTGTCGCTGAACCCACCGACGTTGATCACAAGCGCACTCAACCAGAGGGAAGTTCTGCATGAACCTTCTCAGCAGGCAGTCAGACACGAGATTTCCTGAAACTCACCATAAGACCCTGCCCAACATCGTCGCGTCTACGCACTCTCTGCAATCCATATTGCACTGGACCGAATGGTGTTGCAAGTTCCTGAATGTGACGCAGTTAGCAGGAAGCACATCAGCAGAAGAGAGTGGGTTTACCTTGGGCAGACGGTAGCACAAAGGCGTTCCGTTTGTAACTGGGCCCGGGAGGTGGTGGGAGTAAGAAAGGAGGCAACGCTGGCAGGCATCGCAGCGCGCAATATGAACCATGGTCCACGTGACCGCGCACCCACGGCGGTCCCACGCGTTGGATTCCCGCGCGTTTACCATTTCGGGGAGGTGTGCGCCAACTTCTTCAAGTCGGTCTCCATGTTGTGTAGAGCTCGTTTACCTGCCCCGTACGACCCTGAAGCCACATCTCTAAATAGAGGCCTCCAATAGCTTGACATATATTAAGTTAATTCTGGAGACAGATTTGGCACCATTAACTAGCGACTTCTACATTGTCGCGGGAAAGGGGATATTTAAAAGATGTTTGACTGCGCATGTCAGGGCAACATCGAAAAAGACATTTCTACGATGTCGGCAAGGGTGAGCTCAAGCGGACGTCGCATGGCGACCCACCGGAGAAGGGGCGCTGAGCTCGCCTGACATCAAAAATTGATCTCAGACTGATGTCATCCAGAATTGGTGGTGTATGACGAAGCCCAGCGGCGGCTCTGCGCAAAGAGTGCAGAGGCCATGCGTCGCATGACAACTAGAGCCAAAAGGTCGTTCGACAGTTCCGCCGCTGTGCTTTGAATTCTGGATCAAACAATGTGATGGGATCCATGAACCGAATCGGCAGGGAGTTTACGACAACTGGTGAAAAAATGTGCCAAAAAGATGTACGGAATTCGTGATTCAGGATAGCGGTTACGGCGAGCCACGAGGATTCCGTCGATCTTTAATAAAGAGTGAATTGAATAGAAGTTCGTTTGCAAAACACATAGTAGATGTCGGGCGGAGGAAGCAACTGTGAGATTCCTCGAGTCAAAGTTCGAAAGTTTCTCGGAAAATAGAGAATGTAAAAGAGGCGGCGACGGCGGTATTCAAGGCGATGGAGACAGACTCACTGAACATCAGAAGCCGAAAAAGCGCGGACAAAATCAGCGTGCTAGGCGTTATTTTTCATCGCGCTGGAGCGACGACGAGGCTACTAGGCATCACAGAAGATGGTCGAAAGTTTTAGCATCTTCCTTTTGAATTATAAATCCCGCCCTAGGCGTTCGGCACGAAGGACGAGCTACAGGAACCCACGCTCGTGGTGTCGGGGTCGGTATTTGCAGCCACAATGCCGACGCAGTGTTAGTACGGAGACTCTGACCGAGTGCCTTGAGCCCTCAAGGCCTCATGAGCCTGTCTGCCTGGCAGCTGCCGTGCATCGTGGAACCAAGGGACCGGAGAGAGCAGCCTAGACGGGGCAGTCGCCTCGCTCTGCCGGCATGAATCCGCGGTCCACTTTGCGCTCTGAAGTAGAAGTTAAGGTTTCACTGTCCAACGTGGACTCTCCGTGACAAAGAGTAAAATTTATGCGGACATACCGCCAGATGGGGTGAAGGATGAGCAAGAGGATAACGTAGAATATTCCGCCAGGCTGGTTGAGTATCCTTGGGCCTGATGGATACTACGTTTCTGATGTTTTCAAGGTTAGACTGATAGATAGAAACCTTTGCTATCTCCGTGAGTGCATAGCAAGGAAGATGGTGGTCCGTTAGACGCCTGGCACTCTGAAACACACACGCAGAAGGATGACTTCCAAGTTCCAGGCAAAGTACCCAGCGAGATGTATACGCCTATTGCAACAATTTCAATCGAACGTCGGATAACAACAGGGCCATTGACAGAGATACGGCCTGCCGAGGGTAAAATCGAGTTATCGTTGGGACCCAGTTGCGATAGCCTTGAGATCTGAGTATAGAAAGCAAGGCTTGGACTAGCACCTGGATAAGCCTTTTTCATGAGTGATAAGCGCGATCGATGAGCGAGGCGACGACGGTGAAAGTGAACATTGACGGAGTTGGTTCAGGACAAGATGATGGGTTCGGTTGAGCTGTCAAGCGCCTGTTTGTACCTTCACGTGAAGCGAAAGCTAGTTTTGTTAAAGGCATTGTCAACGTCGTGGCAGGGTTGCTCAGTATTTATTTCGCGACTTGGATTGGATATAATGTCGAGCTCGGGACCTGTTGGTGGTGTTGGCTATGGCCAGAACCTAGAACAAACAGGCAGAAACCAGGTCGAGTTTCCTTCAAAGGAACCCTACCCACCTCAGCCAATGCCAGCATCATCAGCGCAATCCCATTCACGCACTCGTTCGGCCTCTTTCTTTTCTGCCTTTCGCTCGAACAAGACTCACCAAAGAAATGTTTCATCGCCACCACAGCAATCGATTGTAGCCACGACCCAGAGCCAGGGACAACAAACAATACATCAACTTCCTCCGTCCACCACCATGATCTCCCAGGGGCAGCAGCAACACTCACAGTACGCTGCTGCCAATACCACTACTTATCAGCAGCCTCTTCCTCCAATACCGCAACAACAACATCAACAACACCAGGGAGGCGTACAGCATCCGAATTCAGCTGTCAATATGTCACAACCACCACAAAACGGTCCTCCACCACCTGTTAAACCCCAGCAGCCCCAACCACCGCCTTTGCATCCAGAGATTCGCTCAGTCGTCGGGCTCAAGGCATCGCATGCCCACAAGATATATTTCTCAGGCCCATTGGTCAGGAGGATCGAGCGACAACCGGATGGACAGAAGCCGACTAAGGATGAGGGCTGGGTGGACGTCTGGGCTCAACTTGGCGGCACAATTCTCAGCATCTGGGACATGAACGAGGTTCAAGAGGCCAGTCGTCAGGGTAGGGAGGTTCCACCGACATACGTGAACGTTACCGATGCAGTATGTCCAACCTTCCTATGTCTCCCCGCGCTTCTGACATGTTCTGTCTAGTTTGTGCAAGTTCTGGGCTCTGTAACGGTACCTGCGACAGCGAGCGCCGGCCCTAGACGATATTCAAACGTCCTCACTCTCAATACAGCAGGTTCAAATCTGCTGCTGTTCTCGTGCCCGTCCACTGCCGCGCTCATATCTTGGGCGGCAGCCTTGCGCCTTGCTGCCTGGGAGAAGTCCAGATTAGAAGAGATATACACAGCCCATCTCATTCGAATTACCCTATCCTGTAAGTTGAATTTCAGTCATCGGAACATATGTGGTTCTCATCGTGCGTGTTCTACCCTTGCGCTTGTGCCTCATCGTGGCCGGGACCGAATCATCAATCACATTGGTGGGCGTCTATTGAAAATGCAGCACGGGATTCACCAACAACCCTCGTGCGCGGCAAACTCGAGGGATGGGCGCGGATACGCATTGCTGGTCAAACAGACTGGAAACGAGTCTGGGTATCCATTTCCCAAGGAGCCGAGATCTCGACTCCTGGCAATTCCAACCCAACAACTCCCAACCATCCTGATTCTCGCTTCGCCGCTTCTCCCATCCCAGGACAGCAACCTGGAGGGAAGAGGCGTTTGTCGAACTTGTTCTCGAGGGAGCACAGTCCGCAACGCCCTGCTTTACCGACGAAGCCCACCATCACCATGTACACGGGGATGAAGCCAAAGGAAAGGAAGAAGCCGTTGCTGACTGTGACGGATGTTTCACAGGCGTTTGCGGTGTATCCTGAACGTCCTGAGTTGATCAGTCGCAGCACCCTGATCAAGGTCGAAGGATTGCTTGGAGACGAAGAGTTGGCTGGATCAATGAAGAGTCGTGAGGGATGGGTGCTCCTGATGCCTGAGTTGGAGGGTGCAGCTGGACAGAATCTCCAACTGAGCAAAGAAATGCTGAAATGGCTTGTTGGTCAGTCTATTCTCCATGATTTCTTTGTGGAGAACCTGTCTGACCGTGTCGATTCATTTAGCGCTTCATGATGCCTTTGGGATGTACGGGCGACCAGCTGGATGGACATGGGATCCTCGGGATCCAGTCTCTTTGATGTTTGGCTACCCAGTGGGTCCCAACAAAGAGGTAAGGCCACCAAATCTACAGTGTGTGAAGACTGGTGCTAACCGGTATACAGCATCTGTTCCTTGACCGAGAAGTCGTTGAAAATATGGATCCAAGGGACGACCGAACCTCCGTCATTCGATCCCACTTGCGAGACTTGCTACTGGACTTCATGCGTTCGACCACTGTTCAAGTAGTTCCCCGACCTGGACAACTAGCTCCGCAGGTTCAGCAACAGCAACAGCAGCAACCCGTCAATAGCGATCTTCCTCCATCTTTGCCTCCCATTAACGGCTTGGGAGAGAATGGCACAAATCCGACCGGGCAAGGTTCACAACAACCAATACTTGACGGACAAGGCAGACCACTGACTCCTATCACTGAAGGTGGAAGCATCCTGACTCATACCAACACACTCAATACACTCCCCGGCGGGTCGATGGATTTGAACAACACTGTTCAGTCAAGCATCCCTCAAAGGAATGGGTCTGGGACAGACCAGCAATCTCAAATAGGACGGCCTCTTTCCCCCTTGAACCAGCAGCAACAGCCGTCAACCACGGTGCTGGGTCGCGAAGTCTCGAATAGCCCCACACCTCTTAGCCCAGTATCCTCGAACCCCGCCTCGACCAACGGACAAGCCCCCAGTCCTACCCCAGTCGATACTGGCTCCTACTTCCCTCCGATAGATCCTGTAGGACTACAATCCTCTCAAGGGACCACGCCTCCAACTCGACCCTCCACTGATAACGGTCTCATTGGGAGGATCGGGACCCCGCCAGTTTCTAATATCCGACCTCTCTCTCCCAATAGGAAAGGAACGCCCAACAGTAACTCCATCCACCAGACTTCCAATCCTTCGTCACCCTACCAATCCCCGCGACTCGTCCAACAAAGCACTATGTCAAAAGAAGATTCGGGGCTTCCGTTTACGCCCATCACTGATCAACTTTCGAGAACTCGCACAACCCAGTCTGCAACTACGTCAACCAAGTCAGATGGAACTTCAAATTTATCCTACGCCAAGGAGGCAGAAGTGCTCAATAACCAGCAGGCTTTGCAGCGACAACCGCAAGAGCGGCAAGAACCTTCTAAAGCCCCCGCCCCATCCAACGCGGCCGACGACAGTAACGATTTCACCAACGAGGCCGGTGCACTCTTCTTCATGGCTGTCAACAATTCCAACGGTAACCTCACAAACCCGACAGCAATTTCGCGGCAACGTATCCCCGCTGATGATAACGATGACGATTCGGACTCACAATCGTCGGCTGAAGCACTTGTGCAGAGGCCGGCAGTCCAAAAGCCTCTGAACACTGAAGATAGCGACAGGCCAGGATCGACGCAGCATGCGAGTACCGACAATGCAAGACATCAACCTGTTCGGCAGAGCACCCCTATGGCATTTTTCAACCGCCCATCAGCCATCAATTCCCCGGATGGCCAGTCATCAAACACAACGACTGAGGTGGCGAATGCCAACCAGCATCCACACTCAAGTTACGCCAGTTCGTCGTCTCCTTCACCTTCAGCGACATCTTTATCCGGGCAAGCGTCCCCGTCGTTACCTGGTGAACCCGTTACCGGAACTCGATTTGGAGATCGGTCCGGACGCAATTTGGCGGCGTTGGGACGTAAGCCTTCTGGAGCACGTGCTCCCCAGCCCGTGGTGAAAGGTTATAGCGGCGGCAGCCAGGTGGCTGGCTCTTCCTCATCTTTGCAACTTCACCAACAGCGTTTGGCTCACCACGTTGAAGCGTCCGACGAGACAGGTGACGACAGCGAAGCTAGTCATCTACCGCCACGAGATCGACAGCGACAGTTCCACCAGCAGCCGCAACAACCTTTGCCAAGCAGCGTGACGAGTGGTACTCCGATGGCCCGAGTTCAGCAACAACATCCCTCGCACGACGATGGAACGAGCAATGCAGAGGTTCTGGCTGCTCTGGCGTATTTGGATGTCAACGACGACGATCGTCAGCAATCAAGAACAGGGGTGGGATCAACATCGACACCTCCTACCTCTCCACCGATGATCCAGCAATCCGATTCCATGAAAGACGAAGGCTACACGTCGGCTTCGAATACCAACTTCCAGGAATCGTCTTCGGGTGGATCTACGACGTTCAAGTCTTCCTTCGCTCCATCCAAAAACGCAGAGGAAAGGAAGAAAAAGGCTCAAGCTCAGCAGGCCGCGCAACAAGCTGCTCTACAGCGGCCTGGTAGAGCTGGTGGGAAGAAGAAGAGGCCCCCTGTCGTGGCCGGCGGGTGGAATGATAGCTCGGATGAAGAAGAGGAGGAAGAAGAGGAAGAGGAAGAAGAGGATGACGATGTTGATTCGGATGGAGGAACCCCTGCCAATGCACCACCTAGGATGCAGCAACAGATGAGGAGCGTTTCTGGACAACAGCTGCCGCAGCAAGCGTTCGGAGCAGGAAGCCTGTACCCCAGTGTCGAACACCCGTCGGAAGGATATTCGCAGCTCCGTCCACCTAGAAATTTGCCTCAAATCCCTGGTGGTAGTCGTCCACTGAGTAAGTCCTTGTCCAGTGTTAGCGTGATGCACTGACGAATGAATTGCTTCAGCCACGACCGAGCTCCAGCAGCAAGCGATGGGCCCTCGTCGTCTAGTTTCAGACCAGTACGCCGAGAGCGTTCGCCAAACGTATTACGACGACGGTTCGAGGCCTCCGGGACCCAGCGAAATTCAGTATGGTGCTGCGCGACAGAATGTCTGGAGTCAGGTTTTGGATTCCAAGGCTGCGCCATTCCAAACACCCAACGAACAAACCGGCAACGGTCGCGACACCTTCGTACAACTTGAACCTTCGGAAACCATGACCAAAGCCTTTACGCCACAGGGTTTGCTCAGTGCCGGCCTCCAAGACAAGCAGGATCGATCGGCCAAGCGTCAAGAAGAGCTCGCCAGAGAGACTGGTGCATCGCTTATCAACGTCCCCAACAAGCCGCCTCCTCCACAGACTGGCCTTCTTGGAGCTATCACCGCGCACGAAAGAGAGAGGAAGAGGGAAGGAGGTGTCGGAGCTACGCTTACGGAGCGGGAGCGTGAAAAGAGAATGGCGGAGGAGAGGCAGAGGCGATTCGACGAGGCACAGAGGGCACAGTTGGACCAGATGCAGCAGGGTGGCTCGGTGTACGGTGCACCTGGACAGTTTGGGATGATGAACCCGATGATGAACCCTATGATGATGGGTGGTATGAACCCGATGATGGGTATGAACCCTATGATGACTGGAGGAGGGCTCAACCCGATGATGACAGGGGGAGGGATGAATCCCATGATGACTGGAGGCGGGCTGAACCCTATGATGACGGGAGGAGGAATGAACCCTATGATGGGCTACGGGATGATGGGTGGTTTCAATCCTCAACATCTCTTCGCTGCACAGCAAGCTGCACAAGCCTACCAGCAAGCCATGATGGCGTTCTCCGTTGCCGGCTCCCAGATCGGCGGCGAGGGAGGCAACGGCGGTGGAAGTCCTCAGCAGCAGCAACCTCTCAATCCCAACATGACTGGTGGAAACTTCGACCCTAGGATGTCGATGAACATGATGGGGATGCCTGGGATGATGAACCCTCAGATGACGGGTAATCCTCAGATGCAGATGCCACCGATGGGTATGCAAATGACCGGTGGTGGCATGTCACAAATGGATCCCAGGTTTAGCGTTGCTGGTGGTGGAATGGGCATGGGCATGGGCAATGGCAACTCGCCTGGAGGACTCGCTGAGCCGGTCCCGTTGGGTGCCTCGGCCATGAACCCTGCCAATCTCACACCAGGCAACTTCACACCCAACAGCGTTGGGAGGTCGTCGCCTCTGGGCAGAGGGTCACCGATGGGGAGAGGGTCTCCTTTGGCTCGCTCTCCTGTCACTGGAGACACTCCGAACGACAGTCGAGGTGCCTCGCGGCCTGCCAGTCCAAAACACTAGGCTAACCTAGGATAAGTTTCAGTGGCGTCTTAGGTTCTTTGACTTCCCTGCCCCAAACTTCTCCCTTCATCATGTATCAAACACGCCTTTGCGTCCAACGGACTGTTCACTTCCAATACCTTCCTTCACTCCCACTCCCGTCCCGTTTTCACATCATCTCCGCTTGGATCTGAAATGATTTTACGACGTGCACGTTCTCTTTTTTGGGTTTTATCATTCGCCTACCACCATCTACCTTTTTTCTGTGCCTCCTTGTTTCTCTTGTCTTCTTTATCTTTCCACGAAAATCTACCGAGTATCCTCCAACCTGCTGGTATGCGATGTCACTGCGACCTTGCTTCGTTTGTTCCTTGGCGCCCGACTTCATACTCGTTTCCGTATCTTTTCCCTTTTCATGACTCCCCATTTACTTTCTCTCCTGTTCCTTGTTTTGAGTGGACCCGGTATCTACGAATGGACTATAAGTATATTCTTCCTCTCGCCTATGATATAGATATTTTTCTTTACTCCAAGAGTGTGATCTCTTTCTCAAGTTCCTTGTCGCCGTCAGAGGGAAGATCGATGTGAAATTGACGAGGGAGATGCAAAAACCTGTCAAAGTTCAAGCAATGGACCAACTTACACGTGAAGATGGCAGGAAATTGAGAACATTTTGCAATTCGGCAAGGAAGAAAACATTTGTCGTTACATGCTGTCTATGTAGATGGAATGGCTGTTGGGGGAGAAAAATACACGTGCGGAGGAGTTGAAAGCCTTTGTGTAAACAGAAATCGAAACCGGGAGGGAAGTGGAAATAGTGAAGGCAGAGGAGAATAAATAGACGTTAATTCCACGAAAGCCGAAACGAGAACACACTTTAACATGCAAGAAAGTCTAGATTGTCATAAATATAAACAAAGCTGTTCCAGGCTGTGGAGGGATTGTTTGAAGCGGTCGGAGGGGCAAGAAAGGCGTGAAAGGTCGGGTGGTTGAAAATTGAATACAGTACAAATGTGGTTGTGAGATGTTCGAAGCTGGGTTGTAGCGATGTAGCGTGGTGATGACGGGAGCGGGGGCGGACGACCGTTGAAGGCCTCATGCACCGTCATTAAATATCATCCTTGTCGTGAATAACCGAACGTGAACGTTGCGCGAACACGGGAGGTAGAAGAGAGAACGCTGCCGTTAGAGAGTCACTTGAGAATCTTCTCCATCTTATCGAGCGCAACGTCAATCCCTCGAATCAAACGCATTACATTTCTAGGGAAGATCGCCCTATTGGCGTTGTTGTTGTTGTTGCTGTTCTCATCGAGAGCCCCGGATGACGACGGTGATGAGCCTCGTTGTCGAGACTCGGCGGAGCCCTTGTCCGAGATACTCTTCTCGAGCAAGGCGCGTTCAAGTGCAAGGGGGATCCCAACGGTTATTCGCGTTAGCTGGATTGTTACGCGCGTGCGGCCCATGATGTCAAAGTAGGACAGTTGGCTAAATGCATGTTGGGCTTCAAGTAGTCGAGTTAGTTCGGTGTGGAGTGCATACACACAGACACGGCAAGCTGAAAAAGTCAAAGAGTCAAGTTAGGGGTCTATTGACGCCGGTACAAGGATAGGAAGGGACGAACTGAGCGCACGTTCGCGGATTGAGTGTAAGGAGGCAAGAATGGAGTTAATTCCCTCGTCGCCCAGTTTGACGCCGGGGTTGACATCGTTCAGCGCGTCTAATGATTGCTATTTAGCACTCGGGCAAGGTGTCAATGTACGGGATGGAACTTACTTAGCAAGGTCCTGATAACCTCCAGATCCCCGTCCAAAAAGTCGTTAAATACACCAATGATGACACTCCGAAGTGTTTCCTCTGCATAATCTGTTGGCCGAGCGGCGAACACGTCGTAAGGACTTGTCGAAGACCGGCTATCATAACGACGTCGAAGTGCTGGGGTGGAGAGGACATCGTAGGCAACTGCTACGCGTTGAAAGGCTTCTGTTGCTCGTGGGTTTCCGGGGAACTTGCTGTTTGCGATAAAAGTTTATGGTTAGCGTTTCGGGGAAAGTTTGTTGTCGAGACAACTGAACGGCGTACTCTGGGTGACACGCTCTACTCCGCGACAGGTATGCCCTGCGTAATGTCATTTTGTCGAGGGTTGGAGAGTTGGGCACCCCAAGAATCGAATAGAGGTCGTTTTCATTGATAACTGTTGTTATAAACGTATCGTCCTGGCTAGGTGTGGACGATGAAGAGGTCGGTGAGGGCGGTGAAGACGGTGTTGTCTGAGAGTTTGCAGCGTCGAGCTCAGGTTTATTAAAATCGGATAATGTCGAGGATGAAGCTGAAGATGGGAGGGAGCTGAGGGACGCTGACGAAGAGCCCGAGGACAGAAAACCGTCTGAGAACGCGGGAGAAGGGGGTGACGACGTCGACGGGGACGTTATGGGCTTCTGACTGCACGGTGTGGGCTCTGAAACCCATGTCAGGTACTTTCGCTCGTAGTTTTCGATTGCTTCATCCTCTTCTTCGTCGAATGGCAGGTGGAAGTAGTTGGTTGCGATGCTTGTTCCAGTTGAAATCGCGTATGAGAGCATTGCCATGGGCGGAGGCGGTGGTTTGGTGGTCGTCGCAGATGGCGACGAGCTCGGGAGCTGAAAGGGCGGGACTGGAGTGCCCAGGAGGGTCTTAGAAGATAAGCATTATAGGGAACGGTGTGTTTAGGCGAAGGAAAAGACGAGGATTACAATTCACATTGAAAATGAGCAATTGGTCTAAAAACATCTCCATGTGATTCACGGCGACATTTCATAAATCACAGGTCCGAGTCGATAAGCTCAGAACCCTTAATGTCCTCTTAAACCCGTATGGCTCTTCGTTGTATTTATTATCGAGGTCGTTACAACGCATGGTAATCTGCTACTATCGCACCTCTGCCCCGAGTGCTTCTGCCAATTCTTTGGCGGCCTTTCGGAGAGTCGACCCACGTTCTCCCATGACCGTCAACCGAATGGTTTCGCTGATATTATCAGAAGGATTCGGGTATGGTGTGAAGTCCCATCGTCCAAAGGCCCAATTTAAAATCAGGTTCTCATCGATTGTGGTACCAGGCGCCTGCTTCGGAACAGAATCGCTCTCGGGAGTCGTTCCTTTGTCGTCGGGACCTCCTAATTCTTCGACGGGACCGATCCGCAAGAAGCCTTTGATTCTATAAACGGCCTCCTTCGAAACACCTTCGAGTACTTTCTCGACCGTTGATCTAGAGAGCGAGGTAGAGCCAGGCCGGCTGAGAATGGTGAGGGTTTGGACTTCATCGTGGTGATGGTGCCCATTCGAGCGGTTCTGTGCATGTTCCTCCTTTTCCTCCAGCCGGAAGAGCTGTGAGTCTAGTCCAAAAATCAGGGAGGGATCGACACCGGTCCGACCTTCACATCTAATTTTCGGGGTGAGGTCGTTCAAGGTGTGTAAATGATCCATGACGATGTCTAGTTGCCTGTCCGAGACGTGTTCCCATTTGTTCTGCAATTTGAATTAGACGGTGAATGGCGTTCTGGACTTCAATGAGCGGCTCACAATAAGAATGATGTCAGAGTAGCTGGCCTGCATTCTAGCGGTTGGAGAGGTATCTTCGTAGCCAGTGAAGTTCTCGGCGTCTATGACGGTGATGATTGAGTCGAGCTTGAAGCCTCCGTTGCTATCCTTTTCCAATTGGCGAATTTGGAAAGCAAGTGTTGCCGGAAAAGCTGATCCCCTATATCGGTACGGTCAGCGTGAATGGCAGGGTACTCGAGTTCTTCGGTAAATCGACATACGAGCATTCGATGATGATTCGATCCGGGTTGAACTTATCTAAAAGACTAAAGAGATCAGGCGAGGGTTCTCGAGAAAGATAGAAGACGGGCGAAGTACCTTTGATCTCAACAAGGGCCGACTGCATTTGCCCGACAAGGACACAACACCTACATATTCTCATTAACTCGAATTGGAATTGGATCGTCAAGTCGGACTCACATGCATCCATTGAGAATCTCGTTGACTCCAGACAAGTTGGATGACTCTGCAAGCTTACTGTCGACTTGAGGTGCCATTCAGCTCGGTGGTCTTCCGAAGAAAGGACGTTAGGACTTACCTTCGATGTCACCAAACTCGTTCTTCAGCAACACGACTTTGTAGTCCTTTGGAAGGCGAGGCAGCAAAGACAAGATGATGCTGGTCTTTCCTGCACCCAGGAATCCTGTGAACACGGTTATCGGTGTTGCGGACTGTTTGAGAATCGAGCCAGAGTCTGCGGTCATGGTCGTCGAAAGAACAGCGTCGAAGATGAGCCCCAGTCGGATATCATTAGGGTAGGACTTGGCATCAACACTCAGCGGTGATGACGAAGGTGGCCTTGGCACCGAATGTTTATGGAAAGAGTTGGCGTCCTCAAGACCGTCCCGAGCACTCTTGGACGCCTCCAGTTTTCCCTTGTCTTCCACCTTCATATTCACCGTGCACCGCTAATTCAGCTTTGCGCGCTGTCCACGACAACGATGGCGCGTTCAAGCGGTAGAAGTAACGTCAAGGTACCGCCAGTAGGCGCTTCCTCATCAACCCCGGAGAAGCCATCCAGTTCGAAACCTTTGGTCGTCAGCGCTGCCGCCATTGCCCGCGTTCAAACCGTCCTTTCTGCAGCTGCTTTCCTCAGTGCATTGGCCATAGGATGTGTACTTCACTACAAGAAGATTGTCAAGAACGGAGTCGCAAAGTATCCTGATGAATGGTTGCCCTCCGTATCTGCGACGTAAGTTATACATTTCGGGTGTTCACGCGTGGTATCTCTAACTTGGGGCATCAAAACAAAATAGAATAGGCGACTGGTTCCCTGAACGAAATGTATTCCAGATTCTTATTGCTCTAACTGCACGTAAGGGAAAGGAATACGACGTGCCTACCTCGAGTAAACTAACTTGCTTGTTTGACGTAGCACCGCGGATTGCGATTCTCTTCCTCACCTACTACCTCAACCGGTCGGAAGCTCTGTTTCTATTTGGCTTTCTGCGAACATTGGCATGTGGAGGTTGGGTATATGTCACTTCCAGTGACCATGGCCTCACTCACGACGTCTTGATGATTGGCTACATTATCTTGAACATTCCTTGGATGTGGGGCAACGTCAAGCTCAGCAGGAGTAGGGTTGTAAGACGCAAGAGGTGCGCATCTCTTTCAGAAGCGTGTTCAATGGAATTTAACCAGACACCGTAGGACTGGGATGACTATTGCATTCTTCGCGACACTTGTCCCGCTCGTGTACTTCTACATCCAACACAAGGTTCATCGCATTCCTGGGGGTGGGTTTACAGTGTCTCTTGCCCTTGCTTTTCGAATACCGACTTTCATTCGCAGCATATAGTATTTATGCCATCTTCGAATGGTCACTCATTGCCTTTGACGTTCTGTTCGATTCCATTTCTGAACTTGAACTGCGGGAATCGGGCACCTACGTGAGTAGTCTCGTTCCATCTGCTTTCGGAAACCTCATCTAACACGTATGCTTAGATCACGATAGGGCCCCAAACTCCCCAACTGACTTCTGAAACTGATCAAGATGCAGTGATGTACTACCAACAGCTCCGTCGCCTGGCTTAAATAAGGTTACTAATGGTATCCGTGATGTCTACTTCAGGGTGTCCTCTAAGACGAATGTACATGAAGAAGCTAAGAAGGCGTCCGACGGCGCTCTGAAAGATGCTTTGGATACAGCTCTCGCCCCGGCATCCAAAACTGTCACTGCAGCTGCTGGCTCCTCGAAAGACGCTTCACAACATCCAAAAAAGTCATGCAGGACGCTGCCTAGCTTCCTCTCTGATGTTTACCTTTGTGCGTTTGACTCTCGATTTCCGTTCCTGTAAATTTAACCCATCTTTAGCATATGTGTTCTGGTCGACATTCACCGCTCTCATTCCCTCTCTGTTCTACTTCTCTGTATGGGAACTCGGCATTGCCGGTCAAGAACTGGCCCTTCTCAGTCTCCTCTCGCCCGCCTTCCTCACCCTTTCACCCCTTTTCTTCCCTGTTCCCAGCACTGCTACTTTCCTCTCGAGTAGGAAAGGCCAGGTCATCGCTTATCTCGCTCAGTTCTCGGCTTTGTTAGCGTACTTGAGCAAGAGTCCGTTGGTCAGGTTGGCCATTGTAACTCCTAGCTGCGCAATCATGATGCAGAGGGAGGTGGTATTGCTTTCTGGACTTGTCAGCGGGGATGGAACTAAGAGTGGCAAAGGCCTGGGTTATTGGGGAACCAGTGCGTTTTTGCTTCTTTCCTCCATCAAGGCGAAGACCTAACCCGCAACTTACAGTCACAACTCTCGGTTTCATCGTTGCTTCCCTTTCGAAGCATGCGAACCACGGAAACAACCCAATCTGGCCGTTCATTGATCCCAAGAATGGAGGCTACAATGAACTGGGTTTGGGTCTCGCCCTTCTCGCCCTCATCGAATTCGCCACCCGTCCAACTCCTGCGTCTTCTGCATCTACCGCCCCCGCGCCTAAGCACTCCAAATCTACCAAACCTTCCTTCTGGAGCACCTTCTTCACCGCCTCTGTCCCCCTCGGCAGTCTCGTTTTCTCCCTTCACAACCTCCTAGCCGATCCGAGTTCGCTCGTCGCTGCTTCGTGGACTGGTTGGGAGAACGGTGCTCCACGGGGACCTCTCCCTCATGTCCATGGATGTGTCACCATGGTTGTAGTCTCCCTTGGACTTGCCCTGGGCGTCTGGAGTGTGAGGTATTCGACATTGAAAGAGGGAAGGACGAATCCGCTTTTGAGCATTCCTTGGTTCGTGGTGGGTTGTGCCGGAACGTACGGCATGTACAAGGAGCGCAATTGGGAGGGATATGCTTCAAGCCTGGTTCTGGCCCTTGTTTTGGTCTCCGTTGCTCCTGCTATCTTCGTGAGGGCTGCTCAGGCTGCTAGAAGTGTTGGGGTCGTCGAGGATGATCGGGTAAGTTGGCATAAATTTGAAGCTGGTGGGGGTCGGTTTCTGACTCTACGTCCCTATGTAACAGGAGGGTGCCGAGATTACGAAGGAATGCGCTGGACAGGTTGCAAAGACTTTCAGCAGCGCGATGCTTGTTTACATCCTGTTGAACTTGGCCAGCATCTTTACGGTTGCTTATGCCTTTGTTCCTGGAGGCTGGGTTTTCCGTGAGAGAACGGATGCGTGAGTTTGGTTTTCCTTCGCCCCGCTCACCTGTATGTGACCTTTCAATCCACAGCGTTTTGACAGCCCAACTCGCCTGCCTTGCATTCGCCTTCAGCTGGCCCGCCATCTCCTCTTCTGCTCCCACCCCCCGTGCCGCTGCGGGCATCTCAGCTCCAGCCAGGAAGTTCACCTTCACTTCTCTGGCCGTTATCTCGATTGCTTCTCTTTTGACGACAATTTATCGCCACCCGATGGTTCCTCCCAAGCCTCACAAACCTGGTTCGAAGCTTGTCAATGCGGGTATCTGGACTGTTCACTTTGGTATCAACAACGAAGGGCACGATAGTCAGAGGGGCATGAGGGATCTCATCAAGTACGTAGGTTGATTCTTTGCTAGATTTGATGCTAATTAAGTCCTCTTGTAGGGATATGCAATTGGATATCGTTGGCTTGTTGGAGACTGATCTGCATGTACGTGGATGTTTGGCTATGTATCTCAACTGGGAAGAGTTGCTGATTTCCTCGGTAGCGGACTGCGTTCGGCCACCGCGATCTGTACGTTTTTTGAGTAGGTTCTGCCTTGGAGGCAACGCTCGCTAATGGGCTACTAGGACTCGAGTGATGGTGGAGGAGCTTGGATTCGTATGTTTCTTTCTGTATCCGTGGACATCCTGATTAACGTCCTCTTCAGAACGTAGACCTTGGGCCTGGACCAAACTCGCACACCTGGGGCGCTGTCCTTCTCACCAAGTACCCCATTATCAACACAACTCACCACTTGCTGCCTTCCCCTCGCGGCGAGCTCGCTCCAGCAATCGAGGCCGTACTCGACATTTATGGTACCGAAGTTACTGTCGTTGTTGCACATAACGGACAAGGTGCGTATTCGTCCGTTGCAATGTCCTACACTTTCCGACTGACATGACGGTCACAGAGGAGGATCCGTTGGACCGTGAACTGCAAAGTACCGAACTGGCAAGGATCATGAGGGAGTCGCCGAGACCCGTTATCTTTTTGGGTTACGTCGTTACCAAGCCCCATAAGCCTCGACGTGAGTGGTGATGTGTTTAGAATGCTGTCGTACGTTTGGTGCTAACAGCACTACAGCCCACCCTTACCAGATTATGGTTGAAGACGGCAACGTCCACGACATTGATGCTACCGACAAGGATAGATGGTGCGCGTCTCATCTCCCACTTTCCTCGAGGCACCCCCTCATCCACGATTTAGGTGTGAATATATCTTCTACCGAGGGCTGTATCGCACGGCGTACGCCAGAGTCTCTCGCGGCATTATCACGGATACCGAGCTGCAGATCGGACAATTCGTTGTGCCAAGTCCCGCAGTCAAGACTATTAACGACAGTGAAGAATCACGATACATTCGCACGACAAAAGAAAATATGCCTCAAGACCATTGGTTCCCTCAAGAGTACCACGGTAATAAGAAGAGGGGAGGCAAGAACGGACATTACTATCATGTGTTCAAGACGGTGAGTAACTTGTGTGCTGAGTGGGGATGACGCCTGATTTGTGCTCTGTACACCAGCCTCGGTATTACCAACTCCCTGAGGATGCGGTGGTTTAATGTATTGTATGTTGACTTTGATATCTTGTCTAGTGTGATTTGTATGTATGAATGGACAACGGTAGTCGCTTTCGGTCGTTTTGTCCTCTACTCCGAGTATGGCTTGCGAAATGGGGGAGGTGATCGACGCGTTAAGAGCTCGACAGCGCCTCGCCTGTGGTAGGGTCTACTTGCCACCTGTAGCCTTTTGGAGGTCTTTAAGGATCTTGTCCACTTCACCAATATATCGATCAGTGAGCTTCTGGAACTGAAGGAGGGGTCAATATATCAGCCACATAGCGGGATATTGAAACACATTACCTCTTCGATCTCAATAGAATGCTTTTCGAATTTGCCTCGCTTGAGACTCGTGGAGTGTTGTCTGCGGACTTGTACACGAATCTCCTCGGCTTTCTTCTTAGCGGCCGCGTACAAGCTGAGCCGGGACTCTACGGTGGGTCTGAGAGGAAATGAGCTGTCAATTTGAGGCGTCATGGGGATAGGGACCGCGTACTTGGGAATAGGGACTTTGATGGTTCTGTTGTCTTGTCTGTGGGGCACGACGCCTGGGATGCCGCATGTGTGAAGAGCAGATTCAATGTGTTTCATGTTCTGCAGACCGGACATTTGCATTAGCCTCCGCCACAAGCCGCTTCCAATTGGTCAAGTGCATTTCGAAAGTATACGTTTGTGCGAAAGTTGAAAGAATTCCAAAACGAAACAAGTACCTTACATGTTCATCGAATAGTGTAATGAGCAGGGTGCTACCCTCTCGCACGCCAACCGTGGCCAGTTCCTCCAGTCGGTAATCCTTGGGGTCGCTTCCCAACTTGACACGAACGGGTGAGAGGATGGCGGGTGTGATGCGACCGCTGGCACGGGTTTCATAGCCAGCGCATTCCTTCTTGAACCAGTCGACTGCGTTCTTCATAGTCGTTTCGGCTTTGGCATACTCCTGTTGGGCAGCTTCGTCCGTGATTTTTTGTTTGGAACCCGGGACTATGTTCTGCGTTGACTTGGCTTTGCCTTTGCCTTTGGTCGCATACTGTCGGTGCTGGGTTACTGGCGCTATTGAGGACAATCTTGGAGAAGTTGTCGTCGTTAGGGCATTCAGCTGTTGTGAGCGTCCCAGGCGCGTTGCAAGCAGGTGTCGCTGAGCAAGTGAGCGAAGCAGAGACATGGAGGACGGTGATCGCTGTCCAAGTCGCGAGAACGAGGAACCAATGGTCCGGAATCCCGGTGGCGATGCTAATCATTTCCGTGGGAATATGCTCGGCAATTGCCGAATTACCCACCTCTTGCGCTTGGAAACTTCAATGAACTGTTTCTCAAAGATGCATCGCTCTAAGCAAATTCGCTGTCTCAGTTTTACTTGAAGCGCTGAACCACCCCTGAAAAGCATCAGGCCCAACCCAGCAATACCCCGAGTCAAGAGGCGATGAAACCCTGCGCTTTACCTCCAAATGGATAGGTGAGGCAAGACCTTGGTCGACATGCCTTGGCTATCCTCCATGACCTCACATAAAGAGTCAATCCTGAGAATGTCATCTTCTTCCGTGTCGCCAGTTGGCTCCAATATACCTTTTTGATGAAACCGATATCGCTCATTTGCCACCCGTCTGCCTTGCCTCGCCCGGGCTCGTTCTGAAGTTGCGGTGCTCTCCGCTCAGATGCCACAACAGCCAGGCGTCTATCGACTGATGACTCGACCTCGAAAAGGAAGCCTGGCCACGTTCCTCTTAAAGCAACACGTCTATCATCTCGCTGAACCTCGCCAGCGATAGCCCCTCATCATCCACCACCTTTTACTTACCCTTATGATTCAGTGGTCCAGGATCAAAAGCTACGCAGACCTCTTGTGGTATATCTCCAAGTAAGGCTCTCATTCAGTGCATTCCCTGCAGCCAACTCATTAAACCTTTAGTGAACCCGATGCCAACGATAGATCTGCTACAGTCTCTGCTTCCTCGTCCTGGTATGTGGCATTTATCCCTTCATTGTTCGCTCCCCTGATCGCCAGCGATAGGGTTCCTTGGTCCAGGCGTACTAGAACATCTGTGGCAAAGGCAGAGAAACAAGCACCTCAAACTCAGTCACCAATACTTTCGTCGTATGTGGCAGGCAGCGAATCCCCACTCAGAGCTGTTTCACATCTCGATCCCTTCCCAGCGGACCTCCTCTCTTTGCCGTTATCATTGGTATTAACAACTACGTTCACCATTCATTGAAGAAACTTCAAGGGGCGGTTGCCGATGCCGAAGCTGTCCAAGAGTATCTCGAAAATGACCTCAAGGTTGCGAGGGACCACATCACCTTTCTGCGTAACCAGCAAGCCTCGTGCTTGGCAATCATCGACTCGTTTAGGCGGCTGGAGAATGACACGCGAATCAAGAGAAACGACCCTATTCTCATTTACTATGCTGGCCATGGGGGCGAAACAACCCGAGAGGCGGAAACTATCCAAACAATCTTCCCTCAGGATTACAATCCCGACGGAAACCCCCAGAAAGTTCGCCCCATACCCGATCGGACAAATAGTCGACCGGCATGGTAATAACATAGTAATTAAGACCCTTTTCCATGTTGAATTGAAAATAACCATCGCTAGACGGTTATCTTTGATTGCTGTCATTCGGGTTCTGGAACACGAGGAGGTGATACACGAGAGGACCCCCCGGCAACCGTTCGGGGAGCGGAATTGACTGACAACGACGTTACCCCCGACCTCGACATCAACATCATTGGGTCAACTTGCGGAATAAGGATTCCACATGGATTCGCTCATTGGGACATGCGCTCGCATGTGTTGCTCGCGGCTTGCAGCGCTAACGAACTTGCTCGGGAGGACCACAATGGGGTACGAGGACGCGGTCGATTTACTTCCGCCCTGCTTAAGCTTCTGAGAACAGTGGGTCCAGAGAAGCTTACTTACGCGGAAGTGTTGAATAGGATAGGTCCAATAACCGGGTGTGATCCCTATTCCATTACCTTTTCGATGAAATCTTACTGACCCTGGCCATTCTTCAAGCCAAAACCCTCAATGTGAAGGTTTCCATCGTGATCGCATTTTCTTTGATGCCAAGGCCCCCTCCCATATACGAGCCTGTTACGACATTAAACTTGAAGGTGGAAAATATGTTCTACAAGCTGGTTCCGCCCACAGGGTAACGCCCGGGGCAGAGTTCACCATCTACGAAAGCAAGGCAGTCATTTCGACCAAGCCCGCTATCGGAGTAATGACAACCGTATGTCAGGGGCTCGTGCAACCGCCGGGTCTTGATACGTACAACTACACTCTACCTTCACCCTCAACACCATTCGATATTATTATTTATATTTTCTCTTATACATTTTATTCGTTACACCCACTTCATTTCAGCCCGCCGGTTCCTCTCTTGACTTTGACGCGCGACGTTCTCGGAGCGTGGGAAAGGTCACGAGAATTCGAGCCAGAAATTGTCCAGTTTCTCGTGACTTGCAATCACGTGATCTGGCGCGCGCGCGCGGCCTCGCGGCTGTGCCGGAACCTTCGGATCCGCCGGATAATCCTGTGGACTTTAGACGCGCGCTTGGCGAGCTGTCAAACGGGTTCTTGTTATTGCTGTATTCGAAGTACGTCTTATCCTGTTATTCTTCTATTTCTTAATTCCGCCGTGTCGTTATTCTCCTTGCTTCTATTTCTTTACACTTGATTTCCAGTTTGCTCAGATGACCTCTTCGTACGAACGTTCTTGTTTGGATTTTATCCGCCGGGTTACGATTGGTCGTTGTAGTCGTTCTCGAGTACTCTAGATTTTCTTGTGTACGATTTCGTCTTTCTTGTTCTGGTTCTCGACTTATTCTTTCCCTCTTGGACTTCGTCATTTTGTCTTGATTCGCCCGTAGATTCCCCGCCGGTAGTTACTATAAGTACTATCTCAATTTGTAGTAGGTACCCCATCCGGAATCTCGACTAGGTTCATACGCATCGAATCTCTCAGTCTAAGTTCCTCAGTAAAACTCTCTCCCTCATCGCCTTCGACCGTCGAGCCTTAAGCTCCAGTCGTCCTTCACTCTCGTCGCTCCGCCGGAAGGCGTTTCTGTCTGGTCCTTCGGCCTAGCCAGCCTTTGGAGCCGTGACGAAGGGTACACGTTCTTATAACGTGAGACCAAGGCTAACCTCCTTCCTCTCTACGTCCATCTCTCTCTCTCTCTCTGTATCCGACCCCTGACAGCTAGATTCCGGATGCGACTTCGTCACGTCGTTCCTCGTCTACACTTATGACAGAACTGGGCAATCCTTACAACCTACGCCGTCCTCGCCCTCCTCCTTCTGCCTCTACGCTCGGTCGACCCCTCTCTCACTCTCGACACGAGTCTCTCATCGACCCCTTCTACGTCTCGAACGCGACATCTCCCGCCGTAGCAGCTACTGCGATTTGGCAACCTCCAACCTCGTTCCTTGGCCAACCTACCATTCGACGTGATATGTCTAACGACGGTCGTGAAGAAGAGTTCGTGGCCTCTCACCTCGGTTTCCCTGGTGGTCTGACCACTAGTGCGTTTGGTGGAGTTCGCACCTCAACCTCCGGGTTTGGCAACCCCGGCGGGTCCTCAGGTCGAGCTCCCAACCCTCTTCGTGACGGTCTACCCTCCTCTGGCAAAGGAGACGAAGACCCCCTACCTTTTGGCTCCCCACGCACACCTCCTGGCGATCCGCCGGACCCTCTGGGCGGTGGAGGTGGTGGTGGTGGCCCCTCAGGTGGTGGCTCTGGTGGTCCCCCGCCGTCTGGCAACGGTGGTGGTGACCCTTCCCCTCATGGTGGTGGTGGTGGATCTGGTGGCCCTCCTGGAGGCCCGCCGGGTGGTGATTCAGGCAACCAAGGGCAAGAGGAACCCGAAGACGACTTCAATGGAGTCCTTCGACGCATCCTCGAGCACCTCATCGATGGCCAGCGCGACAGTTCTCGCACTCTCGCCAAAGCCCTTGAAAAACTCGAATCCCAATCCGCCAGTGCCCCTCGACTTCGCGCTCCCGATCCCTTCGATGGTTCCGATCCCGAACTACTCGACGCCTTCATCGCTCAGCTCACGGTCTACCTTGGGCGCTACAAGCATACCTTCAAGCACCCAAAGGACGCCGTGGCCACTGCCCTCTCATACCTCAAGGGCAAGGCGTACACGTACTTCGCGTCTCGTATCAACGTTGCTCGTACTACGGACGCGACGTTACCTTGGTTTGATGATCTGGACCTCTTCATCGAGGAGCTCACTCTCGTTTTCGGACCCAAGAACCCCGTCGGTGACGCTGAACGTAAAATTCGCGCAGTTAATCGATGACTGGTCGTGCCTACCAGTACACCCTCGACTTCAACGAGCTCGCAGCACGCATCACCTGGAACGAAGCTCCCTTGCGTTCCCAGTACTACGCCGGCCTCTCAGATCGTATCAAGAACGAGCTGGCTAAGCGTGCTCGCCCCTCTTCGCTCTTGGAGTTGCAAAACGTCGTCTTTGATATGGACGAACGTTGGCACGAACGCCAAGAGGAGATTCGTCGTGACCAGGCTCTCCTGCAAGGCACTCCAAGCCAAGCTCTCTGGCAAAGGTTCATCGTCCACTCCTTCTCTCTCGTCTGGCTCTCTAGCCACCCCGGCGTCGACTTCCTCCAACAACTCATCGTCTACCAAGTCTTCGTCTCAGTCCGCCGGGAACCCCTCGTCTTCGTCGACCTCTTCCTCTGCCAAGGGAAAGTCAAACAAGACCTCGTCTACCTCGTCTACGCCTTCTTCGTCGACACCCTCGTCGTCCTCTGCCCCTCCTCGTCCTTACGCCGACAAGCTTGATGCTAACGGGAAAGCTCAAGCCTGAGGAGCGTGCCCGCCGTATCAAAGAGAACCTTTGTATGGTGTGCGGCAGCGCAGAGCATAAGGCGTTTGACTGCCCTAAAACCCGTCATCGTGCTCGCTTCGCTTCCGCCGGTCAGCCTGCCACTGACTCGTCTGCGGGAAAAGCTTGAGCAGTCCTCTGACCTCGCCTCCTCCAGTCGACTGCAGCCTCACAGCAGGAGTGCCTGAGGTCCGACTTAACGCTGCAGCTCTATCCGACCCTCATGCTCTCTCGTTCTCGGTCTCCATTCTCTCTTCGACGATTTCTTCGCCTATCGACCTCAACTCCCTGGTGGATTCGGGTTGTACGGACTGTTTTCTCGACTCTGATTTTGTATACTCTCATCCGTCTCTGCAATTTTATGAAATTCCGCCAGTACCACTCAAACTCCTCGATGGATCAGTTCGTACATGGCTCACGTCGCGCCGCGGACATCATCCTCCGTTTTCCGTCTGGTGATGAGTTCTATCTCAAGTGCTTCATCACCAAGCTGGATGCTCCGTATCCCCTGGTTCTAGGACACAACTGGCTCCGCCGTTACAATCCGTTGATTGACTGGCGTCGTGGTCAGATACTTTCGTTCGAATCGGCCGATAACCCCTCCTCCTTGAGCTCACTCGTCGCAGCAAACGTCGAGACCTCCGTTTCATCATCCAGCCTTCCGTCCAAACCATCCGTGGTCCCTTCATCGACCTGTCCTCTCGTTTCTTCTTCCCCTATCGACTTCGACTCACTCGACTCCGACAAATTATCCCACGCGGGAACCGATTGTTCCCTTACCTCAAGATCCGCCTCAAGACTCGTCGTCGTCGATCCCCTCTCCTTCTTCCTCTTCTTTTACTTCTAACCCTGTGCCAATCGCTTTTGTGAACGCCTCTGCTTACCGCCGGGCTGTTCGCATGAGTGGTTCGCAGGCCTTTTCACTTTCCATTTCTTCATCGGACAACGTCTCTCGGGCTTGTGCTGCTTCAACCAGCCGCGACAACACTCCAGATCTCTCCAACGTTCCAGAAGAGTATCACGAATTCGCTGACGTCTTCAGTAACGCGAAGGCTTATTCGCTTGCGCCACATCGCCCCTATGATTTGCGCATTGATCTGGATGAGTCACAGCCCCTTCCTCCGAGTCGGCTTTACTCCCTCTCCCCGGCGGAAACCACAGCGCTACGCGAGTTCTTGGACGAGAATTTGCGCGCAGGTTTCATTCGCTCGTCGAACTCCCCGCTTGGTGCACCCATTCTCTTCGTCAAGAAGAAGGATGGTTCCCTTCGCCTCTGTGTGGATTATCGGGCTCTCAACCGCATCTCAAAGAAGGATCGCTATCCGTTACCTCTCATTTCGGACCTTCTTGCGGCCCCGGCGCGTGCTAAGATCTACTCCAAGATCGACCTCAAGCACGCGTACCACCTTGTGCGCATCGCGGATGGGGATGAGTGGAAGACAGCTTTTCGTACTCGTTATGGGTCTTTCGAGTGGTTGGTGATGCCTTTTGGCCTCACTAACGCACCATCGGCTTTCCAGCGCTTCATGAACGACATCTTCGCAGACATGACGGACGTCTCAGTCATTGTCTACCTCGACGACATCCTCGTGTTCTCGGACGATATCACTCAGCATCGTCAGCACGTCAAGGAGGTACTCCGTCGACTTCGCAAACATGGTCTTTTCGCTTCCCCAAAGAAGTGCGAATTCCATGTCGATCGCGTTGAGTATCTCGGGTACATTCTGTCCCCCGACGGGCTCACCATGTCGTCTGAGAAGGTCCAAGTCATCCAGGACTGGCCCGAACCCCGTTCAGTGAAGGACATCCAGTCTTTCCTTGGGTTCGCGAACTTCTACCGCCGGTTCATCCATGGCTACTCGGACATCGTCGTTCCCCTTACGCGCCTCACTCGCAAGGACGTTCCCTTCGAGTTCTCCGCCGCCGCTCGAAAATCCTTCGAGACCCTCAAGTCCGCTTTTATTTCTGCTCCCATTCTCGTTCATTGGCGACCCGATCGACCGCTCATCGTTGAAACAGACGCATCCGATTACGCTTTGGCCGCCATTCTCTCGATTCAGCTCGAGTCGGGAGAAGTACACCCTGTCGCTTTCCACTCTCGCACATTCCAAGCTGCCGAAACTCAACTATGATGTCCACGACAAAGAACTCCTCGCCATCTTTCGAGGCGTTCAAAGTCTGGCGTCATTATTTGGAAGGTGCAGGCGACCCGGTCAACGTCGTCACAGACCACAAGAACTTGGAGTATTTCTCCACTACCAAGGTTCTTACCCGCCGGCAGGCGCGTTGGTCTGAATACCTCTCCCAGTTTAACCTCGTCGTTCGTTTTCGTCCTGGCAAATTGGGCACTAAGCCTGATGCGCTAACACGACGGTGGGACGTCTACCTTAAACAGGGGGGTAGTGACTTCGCCAGCGTTAATCCAGTCAACTTCCGTCCAATTCTTCGCGTCTGAACAACTGGCTTCGTCATTAAGGGCTACCTCAGTCTATACCCCAGCCCTTCGAGCCTCGTTCGTGGTCGATTCCGCCGGTCTTCATGCAGACATCAAGGCTTCTTATTCTTCGGACACCCTCGCCTCTTCACAACTTCCTATTCCTTCAGACCCTCGTTGGGAGCTTCCATCCGACGGTCTTCTTCGACTTGATGGGCGTATCTACGTTCCAGATAGTCCTGGCCTTCGTCTTCGAGTCCTGCAGCTCAAGCACGATCACCCCCTTGCTGGTCACTTTGGTCGTAACAAAACGATCGAACTGGTCCGCCGTGATTATGTTTGGCCCAAACTGCGTTTGTTCGTCGCAGACTACGTCAACTCATGCACGACTTGTCGCCGTACGAAGACTCCTCGTCACAAGCCCTACGGTCTTTTGAAGCAGCTTCCCATTCCCCTTCGTCCTTGGGAGTCCATCTCCATGGACCTCATCGAGCAACTCCCCTCCTCTGGTGAGGTTCACCGACATTCTCGTTATTGTCGACCGCCTGTCCCAAGCAAGCCATCTTCATCCCGACGGACTCTCACCTCACGTCCGCCGAGCTTGCTCGCCCTCTTCGTTATCCATGTCTTCTCCAAGCACGGCGTACCCTCAAACATAACTTCTGATCGAGGTTCAGAGTTCGTTTCGCATTTTTTCCGTGCATTGGGTGAGGCCTTGGACATGAAGCTTCACTTCACGTCAGGATACCATCCTGAAGGCGACGGACAGACCGAACGGGTGAACCAGACCCTGGAGCAGTACCTTCGGGCTTACTGTTCTTACCAGCAGGACGATTGGCATCGACTTCTTCCCCTCGCAGAATTCGCGTATAACAACGCACCGTCGGCTACTACTGGCGTCTCCCCCTTCTTCGCGAACAAGGGTTATCATCCAGCTCTCAACATCCACCCTGAGCGCGACCTCGCCAGCTCTGCCGCACAAGAATTCGCCGTCGATCTCGCCTCGTTGCACGAACACCTCCGGGAATCTCATTGCTATCGCCCAGAAGTCCTATCAGCACTACGCTGATCGCAAGCGTCTACCTCCGCCGGGACTTCAAGGTTGGCGATCGCGTCTTCGTCAAGGCTGCCTTCTTCCGCATCACTCGTCCTACCAAGAAGTTGTCTGAACGGTATCTCGGTCCATACGAGATTATCGCTCAGGTTGGCACCCACTCCTTCACCCTTCGACTCCCTGACTCTATGCGTTCCGTCCATCCTGTTTTCCACGTCTCCATGCTCGAGCCACACCACGAGTCTAAAATTCCTCTTCGTCATGATCCCCCTCCCCCGCCGGTGGAAGTGGATGGCGAATTGGAGTACGAGATAGCTGAAATTCTCGACTCGAAAGTGGATCGTCGCCGCCGTACCTGCAAACTTCTCTACGAAGTGCGCTGGTTGGGCTACGAGAACACGGATGAAGAGCGTTCTTGGCTGCTTGCTACCGAGCTAGCCCATGCTCAGGAGTTGGTCCAGGACTTCCATCGTCGCTATCCCGATAAACCTGGCCCCGATTGGTGATACTGTTCCTCTTCAGCCTTGTCTCCCCGGCCTGCCTCTCCTCTTTTTTCTGTTCGACCTCCTTCACTATTTCTCATTTTTCTATGCTTCAATTTTTCCATAATTTTCAAGTCACAACTTTTCTTTCACCTCATCGTTTGGCTTCGAGGGCTCAGCCGTAACAGGGGGGTACTGTCAGGGCTCGTGCAACCGCCGGGTCTTGATACGTACAACTACACTCTACCTTCACCCTCAACACCATTCGATATTATTATTTATATTTTCTCTTATACATTTTATTCGTTACACCCACTTCATTTCAGCCCGCCGGTTCCTCTCTTGACTTTGACGCGCGACGTTTCTCGGAGCGTGGGAAAGGTCACGAGAATTCGAGCCAGAAATTGTCCAGTTTCTCGTGACTTGCAATCACGTGATCTGGCGCGCGCGCGCGGCCTCGCGGCTGTGCCGGAACCTTCGGATCCGCCGGATAATCCTGTGGACTTTAGACGCGCGCTTGGCGAGCTGTCAAACGGGTTCTTGTTATTGTGTATTCGAAGTACGTCTTATCCTGTTATTCTTCTATTTCTTATTCCGCCGTGTCGTTATTCTCCTTGCTTCTATTTCTTTACACTTGATTTCCAGTTTGCTCAGATGACCTCTTCGTACGAACGTTCTTGTTTGGATTTTATCCGCCGGGTTACGATTGGTCGTTGTAGTCGTTCTCGAGTACTCTAGATTTTCTTGTGTACGATTTCGTCTTTCTTGTTCTGGTTCTCGACTTATTCTTTCCCTCTTGGACTTCGTCATTTTGTCTTGATTCGCCCGTAGATTCCCGCGCCGGTAGTTACTATAAGTACTATCTCAATTTGTAGTAGGTACCCCATCCGGAATCTCGACTAGGTTCATACGCATCGAATCTCTCAGTCTAAGTTCCTCAGTAAAACTCTCTCCCTCATCGCCTTCGACCGTCGAGCCTTAAGCTCCAGTCGTCCTTCACTCTCGTCGCTCCGCCGGAAGGCGTTTCTGTCTGGTCCTTCGGCCTAGCCAGCCTTTGGAGCCGTGACGAAGGGTACACGTTCTTATAACGTGAGACCAAGGCTAACCTCCTTCCTCCTACGTCCATCTCTCTCTCTCTCTCTGTATCCGACCCTGACAACCGAGTCTATTAATGCTTTCACCACCGAACTCAAATTGGTCCCTGGAAGTCGTCGCCCTCGAGCGTTCAAGACGGATGGAAATCCCGTCGCCCTGCAGACAAAGGCGGGCAAAGCTGAAGACTTTCTTCTCCACGTCCCGTTCGATCCCGAGTCGCTCCCAATATTCAGGGCCATATCTTGATGAACTGAAGGGAACAGGTCCTACCCCTTGTCGCATCACACTTGTAGAGCGTTCCAATGCCCAACTCGAAATGTACATGGACTCGGACGGCGCCCTGTGCTTTAAAATACTGGACCAGCGCCTCGTCAAGTACGGCATTACGCGCATCCCCCAAAGTCTGCAGCCCAATTTACCACCCGACAAGTTGAAGGAGATCCTCCGCGCTGCGGCACACTACACCTTCCACCTGAACCACAACCAAGAAAACAACCATATCCAAGATAGAATCACAATCAAGTTCATGTGATTGTTGGAATCGGACAGTCTTTACGACGAGGATGGCTGGCCGATTGTAAAACCGGATATGGTCAATCTCGTTCGGGGAAGTATGATTGATTTCGTTCCCAAGGAAGAAGCAATCTATGGGTTCGAGATCAGAAATGGTACTCCGTGGAACCTGCACTTTCACTGCTTGTACTTCGACAGCATGGATTTGAGCATCAGTGAGTGTTGCTGTTAAACACTATGCTGCTGCTCGGACTCAAAACCTTTTTACAGCGCCATTCACGGAAGTTATCAACACGGGCAGATTTGTGAAAGACTACATGATTAATGCAAACACGGGTATCGCGACCATGGGATATGGATCTCTAGGCATTCCCCCGGCGAAGGTGGACTTTCCAGATGGTGTGGACATCTGCGGCGGGTTCTTCAAGTTCTATTTCAGCACTGAACCTATCGACCTCTCTCACGTCCCACAGCACTCTCCTTTCGGAGATACTCGTGGGATGATGCAAGTCAAAAGGAAGCAAACACGTACCTGGGGAACTATCCTGATACCTGTCATCCAACGTCGAGGATAAAAGGTCTTGGCTGTGACCAATTGACCACCGCTCGGGGAGCAAGTATTGGCTATTATGCTATGGGCTGTACTGAGCCATCAGAGCTTCAATGAATCGATGTATGTGTTCTGGCTAACTGTGGGCTACTGTCAGTAATAGTTTGCGGTGCTTTCTGTGCTGAAGAGATCGGAATGATGATATCCAGTGTTTTCGAGCTAATGTTAGTTCCAAGACCCAGTGGCCAGAACCTCGCAGTGCTCCCGGGGGAAAGTGTTGTAAATGGGAAGCAGCGAGATGAGGCTATTTACAAGTACGGGACTTAGTTAAATACATGGTTTCTTCTATTAGTAGGGAAGTTGAGCTCACATCCCAGTTACACGCTGACGATCACTGAGCACTCACACCTGCAGCGATGGTGCTTTTGTCATCACAGTGCATGAGGTGTACTCCTGTAATGCAGCTCAAGATATTGTTGCGAGGTAATATGCCCAATATCGTCTTCTGCTGTAGAGGATCGTCGCGAGTCCTCGGATATAATACAGGCCGGTAGCAGCAGTACTACTCAGTGCTCAACTCCCCCAAGTGATCTCCCCTCCCCGGCTTCTCATATTCTAGCTGCAGCCCCTTGACTCGAATGCTCGAACTATCCCAACACCATATGCATGCTACGCACAGGGTTCGGAGGTGAGCCAAATAATAGCGTCGACCGATGGGAGTTGTCCTCTAATTTCTCTACAAGTTGTGACAGCAAAGTGATTGATCAGGGGCCTAATATAACGCTGCAACGAGTCAGAAAGAGCCCTTGGAAATGGTTGTGTCGAGTCCTCGACTTTGCAGTCGCACTCTTCCGAGTTGTCAACTTGAGAGCCCGGACCGGAACAGATGGGTGAGCGCAACGCAACGATTTGTAAATTTCTACAGTGTCCGACACATAAACGTGACGTCTCTGCGCTTGGCGCATTTTTGCGAATTTCAACATGATTTTTTCACTTTTGTAACCTAACTTGGGCCAATTAGCGTAAATATGAGGTTTCCGAAAAACACGGAAATTACGTAATCTGTTCACATTTTCGACAAGAACCCAGTGACCGAGTTGAGTGCCGATTTCGTCTCTGCTTCGCATGATCCTTCGCCATGCCTCGTAACAGTGGGCGGTCTGCAAGGGCAAAGCGTCAGCGCGCCGCTGGGGGTGGACAATTTGGCAAAGACCATATCCCGGACAGTCCATCCGAGCTCAAGAACGATCCCGACTTTGTTCCCAACTCGGAAGATGATGAAAGTGATAACGATGAGATTACGGAAGGGATGACAGAGAGCGTAAATCCGAGGATTGGAGACAGTGTGGATGAAGGGAATGGCTCGGTATTGGGAGAAGAGCAAACCAGAGTTGAGAAGAAAGAGACACACAGCTTCTTTAAGCTGAATTTCAGAAAATCGAACCAAACTGAACAGTCGGTAAGCACTCTCAGCTCATAAATCAAGTGAAGCATAGTTTCTCACACAAAGCACATCATAAGGCATCGAAAAAGAAGGGAAAGGAGAAGAAGGCACCTCTGGGTGCTATGCCTAGCTACAGTGGTACTGGGAAAACGACTTTATGGAAGAATAAGAAGAAATATATGCAAGCAGCCATCGGAACGAGTGCGATTTCAGGATTCTTCTCGCGTGCTAAACAGTTGGCCTCCGAATTTAAAGCGCCCACGCCAGATTTGGCTAGTGGCAGTGGATCTGCTTTGGCGCCCATCGATGTCGACACCGATTCTGATCCAGAAATCATTTCGGTCGATGCAGCGCCAAGCACGAGCTCAATCGAGCCGGACACGAGCCATCCAGGCCCCGAAACGGTCGTTACGGCGCCTATGTCTGTGCCAGACTGTCAGTCCCAGGCTGTCATCGAAGGTGAGTTAACCATTTATGTCATCGATGGGAAGATTCTGATGGTTCTCAGAATTGCCTGCACCCAGCGCCGAGCCTGCGCCTCTTCCAGTCGAAGAACCGTCTTCAGCCGAGACTATTGCAGTCCGGGAGTTGCTCGACATATCGATGGAGTGGGAGCCAGCCCCAGCGCGACCGCCCTTGAGGGTAATCTTGATGAAGCTGATTGCGGCTGCGAAAAAACACGGCGCTTATTCCTCGCTTATCAAGCTCAACAGTGTCAAAGATTATCTCAGCCTCGTTTACACCTACGAAATGAACCCGCGCATTAAGAATCCTCGCACGAAAGCGAGTCTGGCAATTGCAGCGAGGATTGGGAAGGGGCCGGCCTTTGCACGTAAAATCCGCGAACTTGCCATTTACATCGATCGGTTCCACACCCTCCCACCACGTAACCGAGGCAAGCACCATGCCCACCCATCACTGTTGAACGATGAACAAGTTTTTCATGCGGTACGAAGATATTTGAGCGTTACGGCTGCAGGAGAGGTGAGTCCTGAATAAAATTGTTAAGCGCCGTCACTTAACGTAAACACTATGATAGATTACCCCACGCGAACTTGCCAACCAAGTAAACCATGTCATTATCCCTGGCATTGGTTTCGACCTTGATGGAAAGACCATTTCGGAACGTGGAGCTATCCGTTGGTTGATTAAGTTGGGTTACACCCTCTCAAACGTCAAGAAAGGCGTCTATATTGATGGCCACGAGCACCCAGATGTGGTCAAGTCACGGAAAACCTTGCTTGACAGGCTTGCTGAAGATGAACAGTACGTGACTTCACATCTATTTTCACTCAATCTAATCATTCCGATTTAACAGTTTACGATACACTTTTGACGACAAGACCCTTGAACCCATACCACCAAAGCTCGGCCCTGGCGAGAAATGTCACATCCCTGTTTTTCAGGATGAAAGTATTTTTCGCACCAACGATCTCCGTCAACGGGTTTGGGTAAAGACCAAGGGGCTCAATGGCAACGCGCCAGCCCTGCCGCTCCGTAAAAAGGGTGCTGGGCGTTCCCAAATGGTCTCGGATTTTATTGTCGAGCTAACTGGACATTTAAAGCTCACCAATGAGCTTATTGAAGCTCAACGTCACTTACCTGAAGGCCAACGCATCCCCGAACAAGCACGGAAGATTATTTACCCAGGGAAGAATGCAGATGGATGGTGGGATGCGAAACAGTTTGATTAAACAGGTGCGCTTTAATGAAACTTGAATACATTTATCGAAGTCTAATCGAGCCGTGTGTCAGGTTGAAACGAAGGCCATCCCGATCTTCGAGGCACTTTTCCCAAATGCCGTGGGCGAGTTCTTCTTTGATCAGTCAACAGCCCATGCCGCCCTTGCTCCAGATGCACTCCGCGCTCACGATATGAATGTCAAACCAGGGGGAAAGCAACCGAAAATGCACGACACCATTATTCCCCACAGTAATCCCAATCCGGCACTCCGCGGTATCGTACAGTCAATGGTATTTGACGAAGATTTACCCCCATCACATCCAGACTATGAACATTGCGGGAAACCAAAGGGAATGCGGCGGGTTTTGGAAGAGCGAGGGCTTTGGGACATTTTGACAGAGAAAAACGGTGGTAAGGAGATTCCCGGTACTTGCCAGACTTGCAAACTCTCGCAGAAAGAGCGCGAGAAGCGCGAAAAGGAAGCTGCAGAGGTTATGGCAGGTCTGGACGAGCCCGAGGAAGCCGATTCTGATGACATCGAGCTCGGTTCTGGTGCTGAACTGACAGGGGCAACATGCTGCATGCGGAAAGTCCTGTCGGAACAGGAGGACTTTCTCAATGAAAAGCCGTTGCTCCAGGTCATCATCGAGAGAGCCGGTCACAAGTGTTATTTCCTTCCCAAGTTCCACTGTGAACTGAATCCGATCGAGATGCAGTGGGGTTGGGTTAAAGGCCGTAAGTCATCACTTCCTTCTCACATCGACTAACTCACTTCACACATTTATTTTTAGGTTATCGTGCACTGGCAGATGGCAGCTGGCAACGCGCTAAAGAGCTCGTTCCCGCGCTCTTGGATTCTATCGAAATTAAGACCATTCGGGCGTTCTTCCGCAAGACCTGGAGGTACATGGATGCTTACCGGTGAGTATTGGGCTGATTACAACTTCATTAACCTGGATTCTAATGGAACTCTTCGCAGACAAGGACTTAATGCTGCTCAAGCCGAGTACGCTGTTAAGAAATACAAATCCCATCGTAAGATTGGGAAAAAGATCTATAAGAACGTCAATATGCTGCTCAATTAACTTCTTTCGGTCTTTCGGTCTTGTAGATGTTCTCGTTATCTTATCTACTGATAAGACCTTCCTTATATGGAAAGTCTTGGCGACGTTCACATTTACAAATGCTCAATTTTTTTAAAAGTCTACAGGAGGGAAAAGGGTCGAGTAGACTCTAAAGTACTTTCGATTTCGAGTTGATTCCGATGGTTTTCGGAGGTTTCTAAAGTGATGGGGAAGACTAGTTAAGGAAGGTGGTTTTGCCGCGCCAAGAGGTCACTTTTGAGCGTCGGACACTGTACAACCTTCCGCTAACGGGCCTACGTGATAAATTGACAACCTAGCGGACTCCCCATTCATTACATTGACGAAAGGTTAAACCATTTCTCCGACGAGAAAGCAGTCATTCCATATTCCAGGAAGGATCCCATTAGATTATCTATGTCTGAATTCGAAATGGACAAGAGCCTACGGGTCAACGTTATAGACGAGCGGGTCAATGTCCATGGTTTTCAAACCGTCCCGTTTGCCTTGGCGATTCAAAACGCGGATTCGATCCCACAGTTCCTTGACAGAACTGCTCATTTTTACCGCCACCTGAATGCCTTGCATCCCAGATGTTCAGCTGAAAGCATCGATCTGAAGCTTTTCAAGCTGGAAGAGTCAACAACGCAGTTCGGCGATGCCGGTTATCCGGTCCTATACCCTACGAGCGACAATCTTTTCGAGGACGGTGTTGCGTATTTGAGAGTTCACTCAAATGCGCTTGATTCACCCACGATGTATGGGTTCGAAATCACGAACCAATCCCCATTCGACCTCCACGCCACGATTCTTTACTTTGATAACAGTGACTTCAGCATTAGTAAGTCACCTCCGCTGGCAGCGTATCAATGAGAACCACAACTCAATCGCGACATAGCACGATATTACCCAGACAGTGGCTCCGGTGAAGTCATCCCTAAGCACGGGGGAGTGGCGCACATTGGCTACAACCACGATGCGGCAACACCTTTTACCTACTTCCTGCGGGAGAATCAAGACGTCGATGTGGGATTCCTGCAGGTCCTTCTCACAGAAGCGCCAATGGAAGTGGACCATATCCTGCAATTCTCTGCATTTACTCAGGACACAGGTCCTGGGTTTCTGTCCCGGAGTCCACCCTCAGGTGGCCAGGCAAGTGATATATGGGGCAGCATGGTCTTTAGCATTATCCAGAAGCGGAGCATGTAGAACTCTCAATGACTGAATGACCTAGACATTATCTCCACCACCCTACACGCCTTCGAAGTCTTCTTCTGTAATTTATGCTGTAGCTTGAACCGGTCTCGAGCCTGTGTCACCCGTAAGTTCCTCCGCCTTTCATTCTAGTATTTCTTCCGAAACGTCTCCGAGTCCTCTCTGGAACGCTTCAACTCCCTTTTTAGGTGTTCTATTTCGGTTTGTTCAGTGTCCTGGATGGGCGAGGTGCTTCCCTTTCCAATGAACTGTTGGGCACAGAGGGCATTAGCCTTCTGGCGTCTGGATGCCCCTTTACAGTGATTTTTCCGACTTCGTGCCATCTGACATGTATTAGCACACTTCTAATTTTAATATGAGCCCTCAAAAATTAATTGGTGCTGCGGGAGATGACGGTCGACGTGGCTTGACACGACTTAGGGGTCATTTACATAAGCTAAATGGGCACGTTTGGCCCTCAAGCTCACGAACAATTTTCTCGCCGCAGATTTGGGTCAGATCCTTCGATTTTAGTACCAAAATGACTCTATAATCACGCTCTGTGGTTTTTATAGACTGTCTTTCCTCATACTTGACGGTTTGTATTGACTCTAAGGCTAAACTTGTTACCTACGGGCTACGTCCCAAATCTGGTCTATAGCATCCCCGCCCATTTCCGTTCTGGACCGCCTGGGCATCAAACCGAAACCATATCTGGCCAGATTCCCTTCCAAAATTGACTTTCCTCCTCCACTGGCCAAAGGCCCTTACATATGTAATGTGCGTTGCCCCTTCCCACAAGCTATGAATGCATCCGAGTCGATATAACCTGGACGCACTATGTGATAGTCTGCTTTGACGCGACATGTTTGGAAATGAAATGACAGACCTCCCCGTTCGCAGTCGGCGGCTTTCGACTGCACTACCAGATGTGCTAGTGGGTAATGGGACATTTAAGCTGACTCCGAGCGGAGAGTAATGTCTGCATAATTCGCTGTTCAAGATTTTCGGCCGTCGTCTGACTTCTCGTGGTCCTTGAACTTCATCAGGACCGGAGTCCAAAATTGGGTATTTTACCCGCGGGCCTGGCATGGGCGCTCAAACAAGTGCGATTGACACCCTGCGTTGAGACCAATCTCTGGGAATTCAAACAGATGTCTTTACCGCCAAAATTCTATCACTCGAATGAGGGTCACGCGCGACCACCTCGTGTCACCGGCGCCAGAGGAGTCACCAAGTATTAGTCCTAATTCAGACACCAGGGTTCAGGGGACAGTGAGCGATTAGACTACTACACCGTCCAGAGCTTCGATTGAACTCACTTCGCATTTGTCATATGTCCTTTTATGATCTTCCACGTCTTCGTGGCAGGTTTGCCTTCTAAACATCATTAACCCAGCCTCGGTAATACTGGGAGCAAGCGAATATAAACAGTGTTGCAGATTACCGTCCAGTAGCGCTACCTTTGTTCGTACCGGACAATTCTCCACGTAGAACCGTTGCCCTCCTTGCTCAGCGGCGACAACAGACTCCTGTGCTTAACCATATTTTGGTCAGCTCCTTCGGCTGACCATATCAAAAGTAGACTTCCGATCACCGATTATACACATTCTACCTCGTTGCTTACCCTTGTGCCACAGATGCAAAACTCAAATTCTACTCATCTACCACTTAGTAGCACACCTACTGTTAGGGTCTCGAACATCCACCCACATCTACCCACAACCCACCAGCCTTGACCCACACTCCCCGCACAATCTCACATGATCCCGCATGACCCCGCACATCCCCGCACTCGCCATCACCTTTCCGCATCCCACATTCCCATATCTCCGCAACCCTTCCCTCCGCACTCCCGCATGCTCCGCAGTCGATCCGCATGCGGAGTCTACGGGCGCTAGACACTCCGCTCCGCATTTATGCGGAGCACCGCCGGTACGACACGGCCCACAACTGAGGGGCCGGTGCGGACCGTGCGGAGAAACCTCGTAACCGCCCTCTAGGCGCCCAGACTCTGCATGTGACCTCTTATACTTCTTTATGACTTCATTCTCTGCTTTACTATTGTTCTTTAGAATCGACTTACTCATCCTTTTCGCATTCCGCGGTATTCCGCATTTCCTATGACTCAGTTTCTCTTCTTGTCCCAGACTTATCCCAGAGTATATCCAGAGTATCTACAGATATATAAGCTAGCTAGATTTCTGTAGTAGATACTCATCCGGAATCTCGAATCAGACTTATACAGAACTTCTCCTCTGTCCAGTCTTGAGCCTTCAGGCTTGCTAGAGCTTTTCCGCATACTCCGCATTTCCGCACAGTGCTCCTGATTCCGCTCCGCAAGGCTCTCTCTTCTCTCTCCTCGTCTTCCGCCGCAAGGCGCGTCTCTCTCCCCCTCTCCTCCCCTCTCCTTTCGGGTTGGACCATATACCACCAGCGTGGGCACAACGCAATACGTTGAGGCCAAGGTCCCTTCGACTCCGCAGACTCCGCAGTTCCGTAGAGTCTAACACCTACTAAGGATACTCTACCGTATGTTTGCCGGATCGCTGTTCCACTGAGACTACCTTGGCTGAATTTGACCTCAGATCGTCTCTGTTATTGAACTTGTTTGTTAGACTCTACGGAACTGCGGAGTCTGCGGAGTCGAAGGGACCTTGGCCTCAACGTATTGCGTTGTGCCCACGCTGGTGGTATATGGTCCAACCCGAAAGGAGAGGGGAGGAGAGGGAGAGAGAGACGCGCCTTACGGCGGAAGACGAAGGGAGAGAGGAGAGAGCCTTGCGGAGCGGAATCAGGAGCACTGTGCGGAAATGCGGAGTGTGCGGAAAGCTCTAGCAAGCCTGAAAGGCTCAAGACTGGACAGAGGGGAAGTTCTGTATAAGTCTGAATCGAGATTCCGGATGAGTATCTACTACAGAAATCTAGCTAGCTTATATATCTGTAGATACTCTGGATATACTCTGGGATAAGTCTGGGACAAGAGAAGAAACTGAGTCATAAGAAATGCGGAATACTGCGGAATGCGAAAGGGATGAATAAGACAATTCCAAAGAACAATAGAAAAGCAAAGGATGAAGTCATAGAGAAGCACAGAGGGTCACATGCAGAATCTGGGCGCCTAGAGGGCGGTTACGAGGTTTCTCCGCACGGTCCGCACCGGCCCTCAGTTGCGGGCCGTGTCGTACCGGCGGCTCTCCGCATGGATGCGGAGCGGAGCGCGTAGCGCATGTAACTCCGCATGCGGGTCGACTGCGGAGCATGCGGGAGTGCGGGGGAAACGGTTGCGGAGTTATGCGGACTTAAGGGGGCTTGGTGGCGCTTCTGGAAGGTTCCGCGGAATAATGAGGACCCTAACAGTACCTCCCTGTTAAGGCCGAGCCCCCGAGGCCTGATGTCCGCATTTCACATATAGCTGGGGTCCGGTGGAAAAATTTTCCCACCCAAAGTTGTTCCCCAACTACAACATGTCTCCCTCTGCCAACACTCTAAACAACACTGTCCCCAAAAGCGACGAGGCCCCGGCCTCACCAACCAATGTAGCAGCCCCTCTTCCCCCAGCAACACCCCAGGAGGAGATAGAGGACTCTCCGCGCGCGCCTCGCCGCGGAGGTTGCGGAAAAACAGCGGCTTTTGCAGGAGGTGGAGAAGAAGCGTGCGGAAGCGGCGGCGGACGCGGAGAAGTCGGGTGGTGCGGCGGAGAAGGAGCAGGAGAAGGATGAGAAGGGGAAGGAGAGGGAGGAGGAAAAGGAGGTGGAGGAGGAGGGGGGAGACGAGGATAACCCTGACGACGACGTGGAGATGCAGGGGACGTCGTCTTCTGAGGAAGGGGACGTCCCGCGTGCTCGGGCTACGCCCCGCAAGCATGGTGTCCCGTCCGCTACGGTGAGCGTTCTACTTCCGCCCCTCCGCATGGTCACGAGCGAGCGCGCGCAGCCTCCCCGCGAGAAGCGCAAGCGGGCGGAGGCGTACGGGTGTTGGTCTTGCCTTTGGCGGAACATCGACTGCGAACCGAGTGCGGGCAGCGGAGGATCGTGCGCCGCCTGCGCCACCGCTCGTTGCAAGTGCGCCTCGACCGATAGTCCGCCCCCGGACCCAAAGCACCGCTACTATCCCCGCGACGGGTGGCAGTGGGACTGCGCCTTCCCGTTCTGGAACGGCAGGAAGGGCTCCGCCCATGCGGAGGACTTCCGCGACAGCTCCGCGTCGGCCCCGCGCAGCAGCACGCGCGCGCTCCCGCGCGCCCGTCCCGCCATCTCCGCGGGCGCTGCTCCGCAACCTGCCGGTCTTCAAGATTTCCTCACCAAGGCAGGCAAGTTCATGAAGTTCGTCGGCGACTTTGCGGAGAGGGTGGACGCCCGCGATGCGGAGCTTTTGGAGGAGATGCGGGCGGCGCGGGTCGCTGCGGAGTCGGGCGCCAACGACTTGCGCCGCTTGGTGGAGTTGATGGAGGCGCAGCAGGGGCCTGGCCGCTACTGGCAACCTGGCCCACCTGCTTCGGAGGCGAGCACCAGCGACTATTTTGGGAGTGGCAGGGGAAGGAAGAGCAGGAGCGGAGGGCGGAAGGGTGCGGGAGGTGGCGGAGCGGGTGCGGAGGACTCGTCGGGAAGGGGGTTCTGAATGCGGAGCGGTCCGCAACTTCGTCGTCGTTGCCCTCCTTTGATTTGTGTATTCCGGTCGGCCCTTAGGGGCAAAATTTCTTGCATGTATGATCCTGTGGCCCCTTGGGCAAAGAAAAAATTAAACTTGTTGTCTTGGTCTCTTTTTTTGAGTGAGAGTGCGGAGAACCAAGATGCGGAAACGAAAGAAGGTATGCGGAAAAATGCGGAAGATTGCGGAAGGCGGAAAGAGGAAGATGGAACTTAAGAAAATAATAGAATGCAAAAGAACAAAGAATGCGGAGTCAACTGCGGAATGCGGGGGAATGCGGGGAATCACCAATGAGGACCAGGCTTGTCTGGGTACCTCTTGTGGAACTCTCCAACGATCTCTTGGGCATGTTCAAGCTCTGTGGCAGGGAGCCAGCTGCGTTCCTCGTCCGTATTCTCGTATCCGCGCCACCGCACTTCGTAGAGGAGCTTGCAATGTTTGCGGCGACGATCCAGCTTGGAGTCGAGGATCTCCGCAATCTCGTATTCAAGTTCCCCATCCACCTCGATTGGAGGCGGAGGCGGTTCGTGACGTTGCGGAATCTGAGAGGTGTAATGCGGTTCGAGCATAGAGACGTGGAAGACAGGGTGGACAGCGCGGAGAGAGTCGGGGAGGCGGAGAGTGTAGGAAACCGTTCCAACTTGGGCAATGATCTCGTAAGGGCCAAAGTATCGTTCCGAGAGCTTCTTGGTAGGTCTGGTTGTGCGGAAGAACTGGGCCTTGACGAAAACTCGGTCGCCCACCTTGAAGTCTGGCGGAGGTAAGCGCTTTTGGTCCGCATAGCGGCGTGCGGACTCCTGCGCGCTGGCGATACTAGTGCGGAGGTGTTCGTGGAGCTCCTGCAAGTCGACCGCAAAGTCGCGGGCTGCGGAACTCGCAAGGTCGCGTTCAGGGTGAACAGAGATGTTCGGATGATAACCCTTATTGGCGAAGAATGGCGAAACACCAGTTGTGGCACTAGGCGCATTGTTGTACGCGAACTCCGCAAGTGGGAGGAGTTCGTGCCAGTTGTCCTGCTGGTAGTTGCAGTAGGTCCGCAAATATTGCTCAAGCGTCTGGTTGACCCGCTCTGTCTGTCCGTCTCCTTCTGGGTGGTAGCCGGATGTGAAGTGGAGCTTCATGTCCAAGGCTTCCCCCAGACTGCGGAAGAAGTGGGAGACGAATTCGGAGCCGCGGTCGGAGGTTACATGGCTAGGAACGCCATGTTTGGAGAAGACGTGGAGCACGAACAGTCGCGCAAGCTCTGCGGAGGTGAGGCGGGAGTCTGTCGGAACAAAAATGGCTTGTTTGGACAGTCTATCCACCACCACCAAGATATCCGTGTATCCGCCGGATGCGGGGAGCTGTTCGATGAGATCCATCGAAATGGAGTCCCAGGGGCGGAGCGGAATAGGCAGGGGTTTCAGCAAACCATAAGGCTTGTGACGCGGAGACTTGTTGCGCTTGCAGACTGTGCAGGAGCGGACGTAGTCCGCAACAAACAGTGCGGAGTTCCGGCCAGACGTAGTCGCGGCGCACCAGCTCAATTGTCTTGTTCTTGCCGTAGTGTCCCGCAAGCGGGTGGTCGTGTGTGAGCTGAAGTACGCGGAGGCGGAGTGCGGAGTCGTCCGGAACGTAGATGCGTCCGTCCTGGCGGAGTATACCATCTGCGGAAAGAGTCCAGCGAGGGTTGGAAGGTGTGGGGAGGTGTTTGGAAGCGATTTCGTCCATGGAGTAAGCAGCCTTGATGTCCTTGAGGAGCGCTCCCTCATCAACTACGACCGATGCGCGGAGTGCGGGGAGCATGAATCGTGTTTGAGCTGAAGTACGCGGAGGCGGAGTGCGGAGTCGTCCGGAACGTAGATGCGTCCGTCCTGGCGGAGTATACCATCTGCGGAAAGAGTCCAGCGAGGGTTGGAAGGTGTGGGGAGGTGTTTGGAAGCGATTTCGTCCATGGAGTAAGCAGCCTTGATGTCCTTGAGGAGCGCTCCCTCATCAACTACGACCGATGCGCGGAGTGCGGGGAGCATGATCGAAGTTGCGCGGAGCGATGCGGAGAGCTGCTCATTGGTGAAGATGGGTCTGAAGTTGTGGGGATTGACTGACGCGTAGTCACTACCTCCCTGTTTAAGGTAGACGTCCCAACGTCTAGTGAGGGCATCGGGCTTCGTCCCCAGCTTTCCAGGGCGAAAGCGGATGACAAGGTTGACACTGGGAGAGATACTCCGACCAGCGCGCTTGCCTGCGGGTGAGGACCTTGGAAGTGGCGAAATATTCCAAGTTCTTGTGGTCCGTCATCACATTCACAGGCTCCGCAGATCCCTCGAGGTAATGCCTCCAAATCTTGTAAGGCCTCGAAGATAGCCAGGAGCTCCTTGTCGTGGACGTCGTAGTTGAGCTCCGCAGCTTGGAAAGTGCGGGAATGGAATGCGACGGGGTGGATTTCGCCAGAGTCGAGTTGTTGGGACAGGATGGCGGCAAGGGCGTAGTCAGAGGCGTCAGTTTCCACAATCAGAGGTCGGTCGGGTTGCCAGTGCACCAGGATGGGTGCGGAAGTGAATGCGGACTTGAGGGTTTCAAATGCGGAACGTGCGGAGTCACCGAACACGAAAGGGGTGTCTTTGCTGGGTGAGGCGGGTAAGCGGAACAGTGATGTCGGAGTAGTTATGGATGAAACGTCGATAGAAGTTGGCAAAACCGAGGAAGGACTGTATATCCTTCACAGAGCGCGGTTCCGGCCAGTTCCCTGGATGGTCTTGGTCTTGTCCGCAGACATAGTGAGGCCTGCAGGCGACAAGATGTAACCCAAGTATTCCACGCGCTCCGCATGAAATTCGCATTTCTTTGCGGAGGCGAAGAGACCATGCTTCCGCAAGCGGCGGAGGACTTCCTTGACGTGCTTGCGATGATCCTCCATGTTGTCGGAATAGATGAGGATATCATCCAGGTAGACGATGACACTGACATCAACCATGTCCGCAAAGATATCGTTCATGAATCGCTGGAATGCGGAGGGCGCATTGGTCAGCCCAAAAGGCATCACCAGCCATTCATACGACCCATAACGTGTGCGGAATGCGGTCTTCCACTCGTCCCCGTCCCGCAATGCGGACTAAGTGATAGGCATGCTTCAGGTCAATCTTGGTGTAGACCTTCGCGCGGCCGGGTGCGTCGAGGAGATCGGAGATCAGCGGAAGCGGATAACGATCTTTCTTGGAGATGCGGTTGAGTCCGCGATAATCGACGCAAAGGCGGAGCGATCCATCCTTCTTCTTGACAAAAAGGATGGGAGCGCCTAGGGGAGAGTTGGAGGAGCGGATGAAACCAGCCCGCAAGTTCTCTTCGAGGAACTCGCGGAGTGCGGAGGTCTCCGCAGGAGACAGGGAATAGAGACGACTCGGTGGAAGCGGAGCGGCGGCGTCCAGCTCGATCTTGAGGTCGTAAGGTCGATGCGGAGGCAAGGTGTAGGCCTTAGCATTGCTGAACACGTCGGCAAACTCGTGGTATTCCTCTGGAACAGAGGAGAGGTCGACGGGTTCCGCATCGACTGCTGCGGCGCATGCCCGCACCACGTTGTCGCTCTGGGAAAGGGAAATGGAAAAGGAGTGTGAGCCACGCATCGCGGATGCGCGGCGGAAAGCGGCTGCATTGACAAAGGAAATCGGAACTGGATTGCTGGTGAACGCGCAAGAAGGAGGAGTGGGCGGAGCGCTAGGCTCCGGTGCGGAGAGAGGCGGAGGGATGCTGGAAGTTGCGGAGGTCTCGACGTTTGCGGCGGCGAGTGAGCTCAATGCGGAGGAGTTATCGGATGATTCGAACGAGAGTATCTGGCCTCTGCGCCAATCAATCAACGGATTGTAACGGGCAAGCCAGTTGTGTCCTAGAACCAACGGATACAGGGCATCCAGGGTTGTGATGAAGCACTTGATATGGAATTCCTCGCCTGAGGAGATGCGGAGCGTGATGTCCGCAGCTTGCGATAACCAGGCGCGAAACGGTTCCATCGAGGAGTTTAAGCGGAACAGGCGGAATGATCATAGAATTCAATATCGTGCTTGGATACAAATGCGGAGTCGATAAAACAGTCCGTACAACCCGAATCAATCAAGGCGCGGAGTTCAGCAGAGTCCAGGGAGGAGGAATGAGTTGGGGTGCGGAGAATCGAAAAGAAGATGGAAAGAGCATTGGGATCAGAGAGGGCTGCCGCATTTAGTCGGACCTCAAGCCTTTCTGCGGCGGAGACGCAGCCCTGAGGGAAAGGCGAGGTCACAGGGCTGCTCAGTAATTTCCCGACTGAGAGGAGTCGGAAACCTGCGGAGCGGACGCGTTGGCCCTGCGGGCACGGCGGGTGCGCGGGCAGTCCGCTGCGCGGTGTCCTGAGGCAGCGCAGACAAGGCAAAGGTTGTTCCGCATGCGACGTTCGCGCTCCTCAGGGCGGAGGCGACCATTAGCGTCCAGGTTGTTGTTCCAAGGGCGCTGCTGGCCACCGCCCTGACGGTTGTTGCGGTTGCCGCCTCCAGAGGAGTTAGCGGAGGAGGCGGAGGGCGCGGACGTGGAAACGTGCGGAGCGGAGGGTTGCCGTTCTTGCGGACGGCGGAAGTTGTTGCGGGAATGAGGGTGACGAGAGTGGTTGTTGCGGAAGTGTGAGGGGGCGGAATGATGCGGAGTGGAGCTGGAAGAGGAAGGACCAGGGCCACCGGAGGAGTGATTGTTGCGGGGGTGCGGAGCAGGGTTGGATCCGCGGTTGGTGGAGCGGAGTGCGGCCTGCTCCTTTTTGATCTCCTCCTGGCGATCCAGGTAGCGCTCGTCGATCTTGAACACCTCAACCTGGAGGTCCGCAAGGGTTGCGGGGTTCTCCCGCTTGGAGAGCTCGTTCTTGATGCGGTCGAGGAGTCCATTGTAGTACTGGTCGCGGAGCGGCTCCTCATTCCAGTTGATTCTTCGCCGCAAGCTGATTGAAGGCCAAGTTGTACTGGTAGGCGCGTCCGGTCATCTTGAGCGCCTTCAGCTTGCGGGTTGCGTCCTTGATGGGGTCCTTGGGTCCAAACACGCGGATCAGTTCGTCCTTCCATGCGCGGAAGCTCTGGAACCAATCCGGGACTCGAGCGTCTCCGCGCGCGCGGGCGGCCGCAATCTTGTCGCCAAAGTAGGCATAGGCGTCGCCCTTGAGATAGGTGAGGGCTGTTGCGACGCGGTCCGCATCGTCGCGGAAACCGTCCTGGTACCTCCCGAAGTAGAGGGTGAGCTGGGTGATGAAGTTGTCGAGTTTGTCTGGGTCCTCCCCATCGAAGGGTTCAGGGGGTCGTGCCTTGGGGCCCTCGTGCGGCCTTGTGAGTGCGGCCTCCATGGTCCGCGCGAGGCGGCGGTTGGTCCGCGTGAGGCCGGCGAGGAGCCGACTGAGGAGTTGCGGAACGTCCCGTTCGTCGTCCGCATCGGAGTCAGATGAATCCGAGCTGTCATCTCCATCGTCCGCAGGACCGCCGGGGTGGACCGCCGGGTGGGGGCCCTCGATGCGGCTGAGGAGGGCGACTCGGGCCCTGAGGTGGTCCGTCTCCGCCCTGCGGAGCGTCTGCGGGCGGCTGCCCGTCATCCGAGCCTGGAGGGTCTCCACCCCCGACAGGCGGAACAGCAGGGGGTTCGTACGGCGGAGCGGGGTCGTTGGAGCCTCCCGCAACCGCGTTTGAAGCGGTGCGGAGGGGTGCGGGCGTGACATAGGATAGGTCCGACGATGCGGGCGGTTCATCGACTGTTCTCCCCTCGCCGGAAAACGGGAGTAAGGCGGCGGTGACAGTGGCCTCCTCTCCGCGTTCCTGCGCTGACTGTGAGGAGAGTCCGCCTGGGAATTGCGGAGTGTTTGCGGGTGTGGTCCGCGTCTGGACCTGTGTCGCCATTGGGTTTCGGTAGGCAGAGGCCGATGTAGCGGGCCCAAGGAAGGATGCGGGCGGACCCCAGATTGGCTGCTCCTGGGGCCGCGGGACGTCAGGTTGGCGGAAGTTGGGTGAAAAGGGATTGTGGAGGGGGTCGTCGATGACAGGCGGATGTCGACGATGATGTGTGGAGATTGAGTAGGAAAACTCCGGAGGGGTTTGCGGACGTTGGAACACAATAGAGTAGTTAGTGCTCCTGGTGCGCATACCACAGCGTGCGGATCCGGAATCTACTGTTAGACTCTACGGAACTGCGGAGTCTGCGGAGTCGAAGGGACCTTGGCCCTCACGTATTGCGTTGTGCCCACGCTGGTGGTATATGGTCCAACCCGAAAGGAGAGGGGAGGAGAGGGAGAGAGAGACGCGCCTTACGGCGGAAGACGAAGGGAGAGAGGAGAGAGCCTTGCGGAGCGGAATCAGGAGCACTGTGCGGAAATGCGGAGTGTGCGGAAAGCTCTAGCAAGCCTGAAAGGCTCAAGACTGGACAGAGGGGAAGTTCTGTATAAGTCTGAATCGAGATTCCGGATGAGTATCTACTACAGAAATCTAGCTAGCTTATATATCTGTAGATACTCTGGATATACTCTGGGATAAGTCTGGGACAAGAGAAGAAACTGAGTCATAAGAAATGCGGAATACTGCGGAATGCGAAAGGGATGAATAAGACAATTCCAAAGAACAATAGAAAAGCAAAGGATGAAGTCATAGAGAAGCACAGAGGGTCACATGCAGAATCTGGGCGCCTAGAGGGCGGTTACGAGGTTTCTCCGCACGGTCCGCACCGGCCCTCAGTTGCGGGCCGTGTCGTACCGGCGGCTCTCCGCATGGATGCGGAGCGGAGCGCGTAGCGCATGTAACTCCGCATGCGGGTCGACTGCGGAGCATGCGGGAGTGCGGGGGAAACGGTTGCGGAGTTATGCGGACTTAAGGGGGCTTGGTGGCGCTTCTGGAAGGTTCCGCGGAATAATGAGGACCCTAACATTGTTTCCCAATATGTTCACCATCATCATAGGGATTAACAAGTATCGTCCAGAGTGTGGCTTCAAAGAACTGCATGGAGCGGTCAATGACGCGAGAGAAGTCTACAAGTTCCTTGTCGCTGAGCTCGGGGTCCCAAAGGAACAAATCATATTTCTGACAGACGAACAGGCGTCACGGGACAATATCAGAAAAGCATTCAGGCGGCTCAGGGACGATAAAAGAGTCGAGCGGGACGATCCTATCCTTGTCTACTTTGCGGGCCATGGTGCAGAGATAGTGTGCACGAGCGGGGCCAGAATACAGGCAATTGTACCTCAGGATTACAAGTGTGATGGGCCCAATCCCGTACCTCCCGTTCTGGATCTGGATCTTGCGGCGTACCTCAACTCCTTGTCTGGGAAGCACGGAAACAACATTGTGAGTCACGTTGGCCATTCAATTGATAGTCCAATGTATCTGAGATACCTCGTCTCAGACAGTGATATTCGACTGCTGCCATTCGGGATCGGGGACACGAGGAGCGGAATCAGGAGGTGATCCTCTCGCGCAAGTGCGAGGGGGAGAAGTCCTTCATGGCCTCCCTTTTGATTTCGTACAAGGCGATACCACTGAAGCCTCACGTGGTATGAGCATTGCGAAGGGGTTCACAGATCGTGACACCCGTTCGCATGTTCTATTAGCCGCGTGCAGCGCAAGTGAGGAGGCCAAAGAAGACCAAGACGACGCCGGCTACTACTGTGGCCGTTTTACCAGGGCACTCCTGGCACCTGCGCCTCCTCCGCCGTGTGTCACTGGGACAGCTCTCCTACTCCAGGGTTCTGAGTCATATGGAACCCATCATCAAGTAAGCTTATAGTATCTCCCATGCTCGTTGCTATTCCTGATTTCAGCTGCAATTTAGTCAAAACCCTCAATGTGAAGGCTTTTACCGCGATCGCATTTTGTTCACTACGAGCGAAACAGCCTCTTCGCAGGAACCCTGGTATATCGCCGAGAAGCTAGGTGATTTGGGCGGATATCTCCTGCAAGTGGGCTCAGCTGGCCAGGGCTTCACGCACGAAACCAAGTTTCTAGTTTTTGAGTCCGAAGAAGCCGTCGTGGCGAGACAGCCCTTGACCGTGATGACACCTGGCAAGATCGATGCTTTCCAGGCAACCCTCGAGCAACTCCCAGGAGACCCAATCACACTCAGCCTCCCTATGCTATACGCTATCCCGCAGGTCAGTGAGAGTAGGAAGCTCCTTCTCCATGTCCCGACAGACGATGGATGTCGCCCTATACTCGAGTGCTTTGCAAAGGACTTAGGGTGTGTGCCTGAAGGCCACTGTCTCGTCGATTTGGTCAGCGCGACCGAGTCGGACCAGGTTCAGATGGGAGTGCACGCGGAAGCCGATGGCTGTCTCGTATTCGACATTCTAGACGCTCGCCTCACTCGCCATGGAATCACCCACCTACCTCACACCCTCCGACCAGTTCCCAACCTTGTCGACCAAGTTTTCCCAGTAAAGCTCAAAGAAGTCCTCCGCGCTGCAGCTCATTTCCTATACCATCTCAATCATACGCAGGAGAACAATTACATTCCAGATCGCATTTCAATCAGATTCATGCGTCTGGCGGAGTCTTCGACTCAATTCGATGAAGAGGGCAAGGCTATATTGGAGCCTTTCGACGAAAACCTTGTCAACGAGGAGGGCATTATCGACTTCTCGCCTGAGGTTGAGCGGGTCTATGGGTTCGAACTTGAAAATGGAACACCGTGGGGACTTTTCTTCCATTGCCTCTATTTCAACAGCATGGATCTCAGCATCAGTATGTCTGAGAACCTTGCATATTCTCGAAACGATGCTGACTATCCAGGAATTCTCCAGCCTCGTTCACCTCCGCCGGAAACAACAATAATCATCCGTATGATCTTGATGACATGTTAGGAAAGAAAGGCTCGGGGAACAGTGTCGCGGGAATTGGATATGGTCCTTTGGGACTTGCACCAATCCAACCAAACTTTGACGAAAAGGAGAAAGTCCTCACTGCTGGGTTTTTCAAGTTTTATTTCTCAACGAAACCCATCGATTTATCCCATATCCCATGTCCCTCGCCGTTTGAAGGGGGTCGTGGCATGGACAAGGCCGTCCGCAAGGTACCTCATGTGTGGGGTACGCTGGAAATCCCGGTGATTCAGCGCCGGACCTGTGCACACAATTAGCGGTCCCTCGCGTTCGAATTGAGATCGATGAGACTCAAACTTCCATTTTGCGACTTCATTTCTACTAATAAACAATCGTAATTCCGATCTTCTCAGCATCGAACGTCGTGCCGCCTTAAGATACAATCGATACTATCTCATGATATAGCCTTGTTTTGCAAGGGTTGTCCCGTATTACTGTTCTAACATGCCAAATATGCGTGGCAGGCAGCATTTAAGGGCTGGCATCAGCCTGGCCCTTCTAGTGCTCGAGTCGCTGCAGCCCCGCGTCGGTCTCCATGCCCCCTCCACCGACAGATATTTCTACTGCCATTTGGCGCCTCTACCAGCAGAACCAGTGCGTCCATGTCTCGTGGATTGGTCTGAAAGATTGACTAACTCTATCCTTTGTCTAAGAGCATCTCAGCACCATGGGGCGCAGAATCGACGGCTCGGTTTCAGATGGTTGAAACCAAGGATATCGATAATGTAGGTGTAAAACGTTGGAACTAGTTGCCTATACTTGACGAGGCCGTGAATAACACGCAGGGCTATTTCCCGCCTGTATATGCGCTGTATCAAGCGAAACAGCGTAGACGACAAGCAAAAGGTGCCCAGACCGCTTCGCCCTGTGTGAGTTGTTCGAAGTAGCAGTTTCATAAAGAAAGCCCATCTGACACGATATTGCCCTCGTAGGCCCGCAACTCAAAGGCAGTTATTCGCCCTGGTAATAGGAATCGACAATTACTCGAACCTCGAAAAGCTGTCCGGTGCATGCGAAGATGCGGATGCATTCGCCGCATATTTGCAAACCGTTCTTAGGGTCTCCCCCAACAACATCAATAGACTGAGAAACGAACAGGCCAATCACTCTGGCATCGTCAACGGTCTTACGTTTTTAGCCTCAAATGAACGAATCAAACCGGGTGACCCAATCGTGATATACTTTGCAGGGTTCGTGGACAACCGACAAGACAACCAGTTACCGGCCTTTGTCCCTCAGAACTGGAGCAATGCGAGGCAACAGGCTGTCACCTCGATTCCCTCGCACGACCTTCTAGCATTTGCGGCAGAGATCAAGAAAACGAAGTCCAGCAGCGTGGTACGGCCTCGAGCACGTTTACCGTTCTGCAGTGTTATACCTCTTACCCTCCATGTTAGACATTCATCGTCGACGGCAAGGATCTTGTATCCAGCTCGAGAGGAAGCAAAGCCTCGAGGTCTCGAAAGTCCAGCGCAGGTACTGCATCAAGTGGTGAATCCCCTTCGATTATCGCTGCGTGTTCGAACGGGGAGGTCGCCAGGGAAGACGGAAAGCGAGGCAGGTTCACCACTGCGTTTCTCAAGATGCTGAGCAGGAATGGAACCACGCCAATTTCCTGGCATAGATTCATCCATGGGATTGCTCAAATCGTCGGGTATGCCAAAGACACCACCGCGGTCCAGCTAGCTGATTTTTGTGCAGCCAGAATCCCTGCACCTCCCATACGGAAACCGACCGGTATCTCTTCGACTTGGTCGCAAACCCGACAAATTCCGACAGATTTTCAGTAGCTTACAACGGGGATAAGCTCACCGTTCAAGTTGGTTCAGTCGCAGGGGTTACAGTTGGCTCCCGATTTGCTATACACCAGGGTACTGGGTCTGATGTCAACCGTCCTCTGATGACCTGCGTCGCGGAAGAGGTCGCTCCGTTTGAATCCGTTTTGCGGCCTGAAGGCACGGGCCCAGTCTCCTCCCTCACCAGATCCTCCTTCGCTATCCTCGTCGAGAAGGGACTCCCACACGACCTCGTCATCTGGGTTCCGTCCGAGGATCAGTTCCGACCACTCCATGAAGCTCTCCACACTACACTCATTCAACCAAGCCCAGGCTCCTACCGACTCCTCCCAACAGATAATCTTTTGATCGCAGATTTGCAGCTTCTCCCGGGACCAAACAACGAGAAGACGCTGCGGCTCAACGTTTTAGACGAACGTGTGACTGTCCATGGCTACAGTACATCGCCGTTCACCTTAGAGTTGGAGTCAGACTCCATCTCCCGTCTCCTCCACAAGGCTGCCCACTTCTACCGCCATCTCAACCGATCCTACCTCAACCACACCATCGGGGATAAACTCACTGTCAAGCTCTTCCGACTGGAAGAATCGGACACCCAGTTCGACGACGATGGATACGGGGTGCTGTATCCCGTCGGAGACAACCTCTTCAAAGGAGGTGTTGCACAGTTGAAAGTGAAGGCTGAATCGGACGGAACTGATTCCCCGGATATGTACGGGTTCCAAGTCCTCAACCATACCGGCTTCGACCTCTATGCGACCGTTTTCTACTTTGACTGTAGTGAGCTCAGCATCTGTCAGTCATTTCATCCCCCTCGAACGCTTCTCTGGCACTTGATTAAATGTCATTCACAGCCCAATATTACCCCAAGCCTGGTGGTGGAGAAGTCATTACCAAGGAGGGAGGGGTCATGGCCATCGGATACAACGCCACCGGGGCCTCCCCCTTCACGTATTTCCTTCGAGACGGACAAGATCTAGACGTCGGGTTCCTGAAAGTGCTGTTTGCCACGGAGCCCGTGGAACTTGAGGGTATCGCTCAAGCATCAGCCTTTGAGGCAGACGAAGGTGAAGTCTTTCCAAGAGCAAAGGAGATCCAGGGGGTATGGGGCAGCCAACTGTACACCATCGTTCAACGACGCGCCAAGGAAGGGTGTGAGTAGATGAGGCACCCCATTCAGCCAGTATGATATGTGCTCTATCATTACGTCTACATAGTATGCTCGTAATACTATACAAGTGCTTGCCTTTGCCATTTCTCACCGTGGATTCCACTTCTGATGGTCAAACGTCAGGACATGTCAAAGGCTTTCTGCTCGAAGAAGAAACGAAATATCTATGTATAGCCAAATGCATTAATGGGGCATAACAGCGACAAAGAGCTACATGAGCAATGCTAAAGGGGATGAACACGATCAACAGGTACAAATTGGAAAACAAGCAAGGTCTAACAAAGGAGGCCTAGGAGGGTGACAGCGTAGCTCGAGAAAATGAAATGCATTAACTACTGGTCGTGAATGGGGAAGAAGCGTACAAGTACAAGACCATAGGGGTTTTAATAAAGTTAAGGTTTCGTTTCGGAACGAAACCCATGTATAACGTTTTCTGTACGTGTTGAGAAAACAAAGTGCCAGTGTTGACAAGTGCCGCCCAGCAACGCAAGACGGGGATGTGCATAGGACTGACCAAAACCAATGCAAGAGTTCATGACGCATAGAAAATGAACATGCAGGCAAAGACAAGTCTTAAGCAAACCTCATTAAAAGTCTAAGGATGTGATGATGGAACGGAGTAAACTGGCTGCATAGGCGGGCGGGGTGGAGCACCAGGAGGAGCACCAGGAGGAACTTGCACTTGCTGTTGCTGAAAGAACAAGGAGTTCAGTCAGCAAAGCAAGGAACTTGTCTTGGATATACTTCAAGAACCACTAACCACGTTCATCCACATCGCCACTGAGGGCTGTTGTGGGGTTTGAGGAGCCCCGTGACCTGGGTGAGGCGCGGCAGGTGCGATGTCGCGTTCCTCTGACATATACGAATCATGCGAAGGCTGGCATCCGTAGCTGCTCGCATGAGCCGATCCAGCTTGTGCGAGTATATGCGTGTATCCCTGTTGGTCAGTCCCGTTGGTGTTCGCTGCGTTTCCCGACGCGTTCTCAGGGTAGAAAGGGTAAAACAAGTTGGTCGGGACGTCAACCAGCGCCTTCTCTTGAGGCGTCGAGCCTCCGCTACTACTGTGGCTGCCACCGCCCATTCCTTGGTTACCGTTTCCCGTACCAGGAGCCAGGGTGCGAGGCTGTGGCCCGTAAATGGGAGGACCGCTCGCCTGCGGCGCATATCCAGGTCCAGCAGCCGCGAGGGTGGGAGTTGTTTGTTGAGATTTGGGAATGGGCGAAATGTTGGAGTCCTCGTCCCATTCTGGTTCACACATGAGGACAGGGTTTCCTGTAGGCGTGTAGGTACGAAGGTTGACGTTCATCACGCGCTCAGCGAGGCGTGAAATGAGAGGATGGGCTCCACCAAAGTCTTTTCGTTCCCATCGCCATCGGAAACGAGGGAGCATGTCCAGTGCAAGCCAGAGGTCTTCCAATGCGGTATTGAAAGGAAGACAGTCCACTTTGGACATTTGGCCGTATAGTATGACCATGGCCGCGATGTGCAATGGGATAGGCGACGTGAAGAAGGCGATGTCTGGGAAACGGATGAGCTGATTGTGAATGACGATCGTGTTGTGAGATGTGATGATAGCTGTCATCGGAGGCGTGTGAGCGAAGTCACCTCGGTAAGAGATAAGCTTACCATCAACCAAGGCCTTGCGGCGATGGACATAGGAAAGTTCCTTCGAGCTAAAGAGAGCTCTGAGAAGTAGAATCCTAGCAATGCCTATCTTCAGCAGCGTCAAGCCCTCATCTTCTGTGATCTTCTGGACCAGTTGAATTCGATCATCTACTGGCCACTCTTCTGTACCACTAAAGTAGTAGCGGTATCTCTCTGGCAAACTCCGTCGGAACTCGGACATGCTCTTGATAATTCTCGTCGCGTTCCGCATGATGGTGTCTGGCGCTTGCTTGTTCGGCGTGTAGAGTGAGTTGATGATATCTGCCTGGATCTCCGCGACAGGATGTGAAAGATCGAAGTGTTCCGAAAAGTCGGTAAGCCTGGCTTTCAGAGGGCGAGTTGGGCGTGGAGTGTTCGTGTCCGATGGAGAGATCGCCAATGGGCGTCCAAGCAGGATAGATGTTCCACGATCGTGGATTAAGACGATGCCCCACAGCCGAATTCGAAGTTGACATTCCTCTTCCGTGAAAACATTCTGCTCTGTTGTTGTTCCATCTGGCATATCGTTGGAAGTGTTCAATTGAGTAGTGGGGTCGTGGTGCAAACCCAATTCAATGGACAGCCGAACGAGGCTGCCAACCAGTCTCCAAAGCGTCCGGCCTTGTCGCTGAAACGAGGGTGAGCCAAAGTACGAGTGAATGACACGAGGATACATACTTCAGTATAGAGATACCAATGAAGCAAGATCAAAGCCTGCAGACTCGATATGGTGACACGAAGGTCTGGCTTGACCGCCAACGCTCTTTGGAAGAACTCATCATGCTGAGGCCAGGTGGGCGGCATGAGCTTCTTCGCCATAGCAGATCCCAGATGCTGCGTGACTTCGGCGGTCAAGTCGACGTCAGCCTTGACTGCGCGATGATTAAGATCACTCAGAGTACCCAGCGCAAAAATGAGATAGAGGCTACAGATATAGCCTGGATCATATGACGACACCCCATCGTACAGGTCGTCCATGATCTTTTGGAGGTCCTTCCGGGAAAACACTGGCCGATGAAGATTGAGATGGGTGAAGTAGACGTCGACGATGTGGTTGGCCATCTCGCGGTCCTTGGGTAACCAAACATTCGCAGTCGGGCCCGTTGCGACAGGACGCGAGAGTGCAATAGTATTGGGGACCGAGCCAGACATCGAATTGCGTCGGGCTGTAACCTGAATCCACTGGGCGCTGTCACGCGGGGGGACATCCAGCTCTGAACGATCACGGCCAGAAGATAGGCCATTCGAGCCAACGGCGAGATCTTCCCTGTCGGTTGGGGCACTTCCCAGGATGTTGTTGACGATTGCCGCCGAGACACCAAAGTTCTTTGCGAGAGCCTCGGTGTTGGACATATCGTTGCCGTTTGGATCTGTGCCTTTGGAAGGGGGCGGTGGCCTCTGGGGAGGTGGAGGTGGAGGCGGAGCGGGCGGAGGAGCTTGTTGGGCGGGGGGCGGCAATGCAGGGGGCGGAGCAGCGCCAATTGGAACGCCTGGGGGCGGCGGGTACGGGGGTGGATAGCCTGGGTGAATGTGGGGACCAGGATAGGGACCTGGAGGGGGCATTTGTGGGTGGTAAGGGCCATATGGAGGCGCAGGCATCATTGGGTGGTAAGGAGGATAGCCAGGGTGAGGAGGAGGTTGGAACATGGGTGGATAACCCTTTGGCGGCTGCTGGTTTGGGTCAGGGCGTCCGACTCGCATGCCAGCAGGGTCCATCTGGAAAACTGGGTTGATCGCTGGCGTCGTCGAAATTGTGCTGGGGTCGATATTTTCCCTTGCGATGTATTCGTCGAGGTTGTCGAGACTGAAACCAGGGTAGCGCAGCTTGAGCAGAGCCTCACACTGGGCCAACTGGTGCTCGACATGCTCTGTGTGACCTCTTGGGGTCAGTGTCTGACGATGTCTGTCTTCCTGGTTGCATATTGTGCCCGCTGTCGCACACGCTGTGCATCTTGGATGCTTTGAATCGCACTGTTGTGGCAAAAAAAGGTCAGAACAGAATTGACGGTAAAAGCTGGAAATTGCCGTCGGTGTCGCCCGTCGGCACTTGCCTTTATTTTCTTACTCCTGCATCTCGCGCACGCCTCATGAGATCGCCGTAATCGTCGCGGTTCAGATGGCGCTGGCGCGTCTTCGCCGTTGTCTGTCCCCTTTCTTCGCCGCTTACCCGTCGTCGGTGCAGGCTGCGCAGGAGGAAGGGCCTGGGGAGGAGCCATCTGCATGTGTTGCTGGTTTGGATCCATGGAGAGAGCCGATTGCAACGATGATGGCGCTGGAAGCGTGTTTGGGGGTCCAAGCGGCGTAGGAAGCATGTTCAGAGGGAACTTGCACTCGTCGCCGCTGGTATCAGGTCTTTTTGTGCTGTTGTCGACGCTGTGGACGATGAGCAATAGAGTTTTTCGGGCGTTAGGCTCGTTAGGGCAATTGTTTGTCTTTGTAGTCCCCGCACTGCTGAGCTAATTCCTTTGACTAAGTTGCACGCCTTTTGTCGGACTCCTCTGACCAACCGCTCACATTCTCCTGAACACAGCGTACTCTCCTTCCACCGTCACCATGGCCCATTCAAGTCGCAGGGATGTTGCCTCAGAGTCCCAGCGCTCAAACGAATCCATATACACCCTCCAAACCGTTAATTACCCTGACCAAGACGATAGATCCCCCCTCCTTGCTCCAGAAACTCCAAATTATGGCGCTACCTATCCCCGCTCACCATCAACAACTTCTTCCAGCAGAATCATCCTTAATGCGACCCTAAAGATGGCCTGTATATTCGTCGTCAGCTCCGCCTTCTTGGGAGGCGTTCTTTGGCTTGCACTACCTACCCTCGATGAGTAAGCTAAACCTTACACCACACTCTTCCCAGTTCATCTGATTTTATTTCAAGAATCGACCGACCTCTCCTCAAGATTCCAAAGTCATTCGCAGAACTCCAGGCCCTCAACCAGCTTCTCAAGAAGTATAGAGACATCTACCCTTACCGGATAGTTATCTGCTATGTGACAACTTACCTCTTGTTAGTTCCTTTCCTTCCTCCGCCACAACTCTGCTCATCGCGATTCTATATCCGTTATCAGTCTCCAGGCCTTTTCACTACCAGGGTCCATGTACCTGTCCATCCTCGGTGGCGCAGTCTGGGGCGTCGCGCGAGCCCTTCCTCTTGCATGCTGCTGCGTCGCAACGGGCGCAACCCTCTGCTACTTCATCTCCGCAGCTCTTGGCCCGGCTCTTCTCGCCATTCCAAAATGGAAATCCCTCATGGAGAAGTGGTCCGACAAGATTCGAAACAACAAGGAGAACATGATCTCTTTCCTCATCGTCCTGCGGATAGCGCCCCTCCCGCCTCACTGGGTGGTCAACGTTATTTGCCCCCACGTTGGTATTGGTATCGTCCCCTTCTGGATCAGCACAGCTCTCGGTATCCTTGGTGTAACTGTCATTCATACGACCATCGGTGGCGGCCTGGACGAGATGACAAGCGCTGATGATTTCCACCTGATCAGCTGGCGCAACTTTTTCGGGCTTGCCGCAGTAGTTGTCGGCGTCATGATCCCCGTCGGCCTCAGGTATTGGTTTAGAAGAGAAGTAGAGGACGTCTCCGAGGAGGAGGGTAGCGAAGATTTGGAAGAAGACCGCATCATTGCCGTGGGGCCACCTCCCGCGCCCAAGTTCTCCAATAACCGACCGCTTCTCGAACGGGACAATACTACGACTTACAGCTCTGAAGAGGACGACGACGACGACGACGTAATATTGGCAACTGGCCCAGCCATCGACATTCCATCCAGTAAAGATGCCAAGCCAGAACCGCCTCTGATCGTGTTGGACCCGTCGCCGAGTACGTCGGTCCAAGGCCGCGTATAACTCTCCTCAATATCCGCTCGCATTGCATCCCACTTTATCATTCCCAGCATCAAGATTTTCTAGCATCCTACAGCTTTTGGATTCTCATCCTTTTATTTATTGAAACGAGATGTTCGCCCAACTCTTTCTCCTCCCTTGCTAACGGATTGCAGAAATCCACTTTGCCCTCCGTCCACTCCACCTCGCCAGCATTCTTTTTTGCCGACTTGTACATTGTTCGTACTTGATAACCGGGCTCTTTTGGATGGAGTCGTTCCTTTACGACCTGTTACGACGTCACGCCCGCAGCACTTTTCAATTCCAACGTGCTGGTGTTGTAATCTTTCTCGTTGGACGTACGTCCCTCTTTTGTTGTCCCTCCCTGTACCATTATTTTTAATTGTACGACCAACATTCGTGGATGGAAGTCTGGTACTCAAACTGTTTTCCCCTGACGGTTCCAGCTCGTGGGGTCACCTCGGGCTTCAAACGTGCGTTGGGTGTGACCTCGAAAACCATCTTTGGAATCAGGTGCTCCACGACGACGACGAGTTATTCAAATGCCCCCAATCCACATATTGTCGGGAGCCCCCAATACTACTCTATACTACTCTGCCCTTTTTTTTTTTTTTATTATTTTTTTTTTTTTTTCGTAGCGGTCCTGTGCGTTGTTCGCCAAATCAAGAAGGCGGTGAGCATGATCATGATCTCCAGGGTGTCCTGTCCGAGTTGGGGGGTTCAGCGCCTCGGAATTCTATCCACAGAGGATCCACTCTGTGATGTCAGTCCATAACTTCATTCAGCTCGCTGGTGTAGTGTCAACCGGTATGTACTCGCGTGCAATCTCGGACTACTGCATTCACGACCTGAAATCACTCACTCGCTGCAACAGCAACTCGACTGCGGTTCCTTAGTATGTCTCAGCAAGAATGAAGTAATCTCTTTTCTGAGACTTAGCCTTTGGGACGTGCTTGTCGGCGGTATGTAGAGGCGATAGAGCCCGCGATGGAGATGGGCGGGGAATGATACTGAGTCTCGATGGATAGTGATTGAAACTGGGATGCTTCTTCTGTAGGATCTTATGCAGCACTCCCGGACGTTTGATCGCCGTCTCCCGCTAGGATTGTCGACCCCTTTCAACCAGGTCGCATGATGGACTCATCTTGCCAAGTTTTACCTCGAGATGGAGTTCAAGGAAGCTCGAGGACTCGGACGGAGGACTACATGTTCGGTGGTCCCTGTCATTATTGTAATATGGAATTTTGTCCAAAGTGTTGAATTAATGTCTGCGGGTATATGGTAAAAGTTTAAGTCATAGCAACATTTACACAATGTCATAGAGACTCAGGCGAAGGCCCGGCGAAAGCATCGGATGCCCAATTGAATATTCAGAACGGACAATCGTTGGAATCGGAAAGTTTTGACTGGGTGGTCTTTCGTTTCCGAAGGGTCATGACCGTATCAGGATGAGAATAGAACTTTTATGCCTAGCCCTTCGGGTACTTGTCTACGGTCAGCGCCCAGCACCCGGGTCTAAGATGCAAGGTATCTGCTGAGAGACTACGGGCGCTTATTCTTTAGCCCCCGCCCTCTCATGGGCTGATAGCAGCCTCGGATCTGAGCTCGATTCTTCCGAAGTAGGGTGGATAGTTACCTATATGGAATCGGGCCTTCCGAGGATGCGGGAGTAGAATTCACCTTGTAATCTTACCTGTAATGGTCCCGTCCATGGCCATCATACTCGAGTAGTTCCGACGGTCAAGCTTGTGAAGGCATGTTTTTCTGTTTGAATGGCGCCCATAACGATGGGTAAGTAGCACATTCCAATAGCACGACACGATGCTTGGGATGAATGTGGAAAGGCGAATTCCCCCAATGATTTGGAAGGACAAACATGTCGTTACTGTGCAGTCGACTAGCGCTCTGGGTTGAAAGCAAGCACAAAAAGCAAACAGCTATTATTTCCCCGGGAAGGGCGAATTCACAGGTCCTACTTAAACAAGGATCCGGCGCCTGGACCCTGATTTTTTTTTTTCTCCGGCGACATCCCAACATACTCAGCGTAGATTTATGGACGCCTCTCATCCGTACATGAGGGGCGGTCTCCGTAGAAGCTTCCAATCGTCGCGGCGTAGGCTCCGAAATCCGAAGTGACGACCGGTTTCGAATGCTTGGGAGGAAGATACTAGATCCAGCTTGCTCATTAGTGGGGTGAGTCTTACGTATGGGGACACACCCCTCTCATAATCCCCATAGTAGATGAGAATCCGAAGGCATGGTGAAGGAGGTCAGTATTCCAGACTTCAAAGTATGCGTAGAAGACGATAGATGGTTCCTATCCTTCGGAGTGAATGGCTTCCCTACGACCCATTATTCTCGTTGAAGAGAATTGCCCTACCTTGGATATCTCGAGATACTTGTATACATGTGATGAATTCATGACCGCAGCCCACTACAGCCCGGCGTCTTAAACAGAGTAGCCTGAAACAGAAGTGTGATAGTGTGACAGGCTGAAGAGAGGTGAAGTGCAAGTGTAGATTTCCTTGTTCTGAGGATGTGAATTGGGGACACGAGGGAAAGGTGTACTGGCTAGATCATAGATGGCCATGCTACAGGTTTGACAGGTTGGAGATTCTGATACTGATAAGGTTCCGGAAAGGCATACTCGGATGTCGGCATCGATTCGGAAGTATAAAGCCAATTGTCCCGGCGTTCATTGGCTGCAAAATCAAGAAAAAAATAGGAGAGCATTGGCAATTTGCATCAATGGGCGATGATTCCGAGGTTTCACGGGCAAAGATGGATATTTCCCAGTAGGCAGGCCTTTCCAATGCCATTGTTGGCGGCGCAGGCTGATTCTCCGCGAGAGCGACCCTCGATGACGAGACACTGTACACTGAGTTCCACGGGCAGGCCTTCAACGTTGGAGTAGTCGACGTCAATGTGTAGGGGTCATGGATTTTTTTTTTTTCGCTTTCAGTCGTCCAGAAGCAGTACAGATGCCGAGCGAAGTAGACCACCTCGGCTACCTCAGGGAGTACTTACTTGGGCCAGGACACAGCAGTGCCGACGGCAATCACAATACCATCGCTCTCCGAACGTGCCGAAGTTGGTGGAATAGGGGTGCGAACCCCCTGCCCCAACCTTCTTCGCCCGGTAAGGTTCTCCACCTTGCCTCCAGCTCCTTTAAATCCAAACCTTAAGTTATTCCATTTCCTCCATCGTACATCCACGAATCTCCCGATCGATCCGATTTAACTAGTCCTCGATTTGGCGTACCTAGTACATACAAAAGAGGGTGTCCCATTGGATATTCACTCTGGTGACTTGTCTCTTGTTCCCGTTCGCACCAAACCGAGGATCATAGGACACACCACCGGAGTTGGTTTTCTTCGCCAAGTAAGTATTGCTTTTGGTTGAGGCGCGGAGCGATCACGAGAGGCCACGAGGGGGCTGTTGAATCGTGCGCGCATGCAGTTGACGTCGTCAGCTTGAGCAACGCTCGCTCGGATCGATTGCGGGATGTGATCCCAACTCCTTATCCGTATGTACCGCGGTACCGCCCTGCCGGGAGCAACTCCATTCGATGTGCAGCATCCGCGTCAATGGAAAGACGATGCTAATGGGTGCCACTAGGAATCCTTTTGAATGTGGTAAAATGAAAGACGTTCTAATTGCTGTTGTCGTGTGGGATTCTTTTATGGACTTTGAGTGGGTTGCCTCAAGGTTGCCTGGTGCGGTTTGGCGGTCACTTCGAGTCCGCGATACGGAAAACCGCATTTGCCTCTCCATCCATCGGTAACCAGAGTGGAATTACTCCCCCAGCATTGGGTGCACTACCGCATGATCCAAATGTACAAACAGGAGTTTTCAGTGACCAACGGGACGACATCGTAAAGAGTCGACTGGTTGGGGAGAATCAAAGGATCTTGCTCGGCGCTTTATTAGCCATGAGATCGGGGGTAAGTGGAATTGGGTGAATGGGCTTTGGAGCCTTGCTCGTGACACTTGGTAGTTCCGATTCTCCGAAACTTCATCATAGCGCACATTCTCTTGGGTTACAAGATCAGCACTAGCCACCAGTGTGAGTTATTGTAATCTCATACGAGCTCGGAGCTCGTAGGTGGAACCGACGCTTGGTTATCTTCAGCACTCATCTTTGCCATAGAGGTTCAGGGTACTGTTCTCTCAAGATGTATTTTATCAACAATGTTTCCTGCTACTTGAAGGCTCGCGCGCCTCAACTGCACATATTCATTTTCGGCGTCCAGACCTGTGGACATGGCATGGCGGTTAATGCATACGACACGGCGCGGAAAATGTCAGTTGCCAAAGGGCCCACTAGCATTCCTTTGAAATCGAAGTGCAGTGCGCATTGTTCATTACTTTGAAGGATTCGTGTATGGCCCATTCAGTGATAATATCACAGCGCCCTCAGACGTTCGAGCCTGCCCTCGAATGTGATACGTATGTATGGAAGCGACTGAAGCAACTGGGAATTATATTCAGAAAAATCTAGGCGGAAAAGGTCGATGCGATCGTGTGCCTGGATTCGAGTTTTCGGTCGTCACCTCAATAGGGCCTCCCTCATTTCGAAGGAAAAGGCAGGGTGCAATTCTACTTGCATCCCACTGACGAAGGGCTCAGCGAGGGAGGTGGCGGACAAGGAGCAAGTCGGTAATTGGTCCCGATTGGATAACTTGGTCCTGCACGATAAGATTTGGGAACAAATCCAGCATCCAGGTAGTTTACCCAAGTAACGAATATGGAGCCGATATATTGATCTCCGTTAGACGAATGTCCGGGGTGTGTGTTTGAAGATGAGCGGCAGTGTTCGAGAGAAGAGTCAACCAGAGCAGGCGAGTATGACTTGTTTGGTGGCAACTGGACAGTGGGAGCGGCGTTGTCTGGAAATGTTGGTTGCGTTGGTATCGTCGCAGAAACGATCTGCGCTTGCGACGATATCAAATTCCAGTTAGGACCGACGGATTAGCAGTACAGGGCAGGAGGAGTTCCCGCGGCGGTGGTTGGGAAGCTGTATCAAATGATGAGCAGGTACGAAAAGGGAATCGCTGGGTGTCTTCATCGTGGGCCCTTTCCCTTTTACTTTGTGCTTCGTGTGCCCGGGAGGTGCCGAAAGCAGGAGAATTGGACATGGGGAGCGACGTAAAACAAGAGTATCTGATTTTCGCACAGGACAACCCGGGCAAAGCAAGCCATGGCCCACGGGGTGCAGAATCCGCTGTATGAGGGTGGCAGAGAGGTAGACACATCCGAAGAAGGCCCGGAAAGTAGGAGGGACAGGGTTGGAATTGAAAAAAAAAAAAAAAAAAAAAAAAGAGAGTTGTGGAGGACGATATTTGCAGAAAGATTAGAATAATGGGTAGACTAGAAGAATGGAAGGAATTGAAGCAAAGACTCGTTGGTCTCGAAGATTCAAAAAATTGATGCCAAAACAACTGAAGCAAACAGTCAGCCCAAACAGAGTTCTCCCAGGACGATCATTCTCCTTCCTCCGCTCGACGTTGCTCCCGGCCAAGTGCTCCCCTCTTCCTCATCGTCCTCAACGTCGAACTGACCTCGAACCACACCGCCGTCGTCGTTCGACTCGTCCCAGTCGCCACTCAATCGCGCTCCCGCCCTGCGCGGCACACCAAGCGCCCTCTCTATCCCCACGCACCGACCACCTAGCGAGCGGATAATGGCCGATCGTCCTCCTCAGGGCTACCCTCTTCTACCACCCGGCTTCAACGGTATCAACCCAGCGAGTACCGTTCTCCAGGCCCAGCAACAGTACCAGCAGCAACAACAGCAGCAACAGCAGCACCCTCAGCATCAGGGCGACTCGCACCCCGGCCCATCGTTTCCCGCCGCCATCTGGCAGCAACAGATGTCCCAGCAGCAATTTCGCCCTCGCAGCGGCGCTGGAATGACCCCACAGCAGGCCCAGGTTGGTCCATCTTTACCGTCGTCGCTTCTCAGTTTAGCTAGGACACAGGCGTCCTCTGGAGGCTCCGCTTCGCACACCTTCCCACCATTGTCCCCCTCAATCGCACGGCTGCCTCCATTTTTCTTCTTCACTTGCCTCCTTTCGTACTTCAGTCCTTGCCACAGTGCGATCGCGCACGGCTCTCAGAGCCCCTCGGCTCAATTCGCTGCTATGCTTATCAATGATTCGTCCCATCGTCTCGTACAACATCATCAGCTTCCATACTGATTCTCCTTCCTCTCCTCTAGCAAATGAACGACCTCATGAGGAGCCAAAACATGGCTCGTGTGGCTAGCGGGCAGCAGCAAGGAATGTCGTTTCCGATGGGTGTCGGCATGCCAAATATGGGGGGACAACAGCCGTTTCATGACCAGCCATCAAACCAGCCTAATATGCCAGGTGGCGCGTTTGGGGGAATGCCCAACGCCATGACCCAAGCGGCCCTTCAGCAGCGCATGCAAAACCAACCTGGTGCACTCCGCAACTTTGAGGCCATGATGCAACACAATCTCCGGCTCGGTCCTGGGCAGCAGTTAAGCCAACGCCCCGATCAACAACAGCAGCAACCATCGCAACAACCACCCTTTGTGAACTCGAGCGTCAATCACCCTGGCCCAAGCGACATATTCTCCTCGCCCGCCATGTCCAATGAAGCCATTCGCCGACCATCGCCCTCCCATTCGTCCAACATGATGCCTGTCATGTCGTCGAACATTGTGAACGGAGGGCCCATGAACCAGCAACCTCAACCACGCCGCGTTCTGTCCAATAGTGAGCTCAATGAGCGTGCAAATCAGCTTAGGCACATGATACAGAACGGTGAAAATGCCATCAACTCTATCAACATGCAGTCTCAAATGCGCGGTCAACCCCTCACTCCCGAATTACAACAACGAGTCAAACAGCTCACGGAGGACGTTATGGTGAAGAAAGGCTACCTGCAAAGAATAGTCGCGACTTTATCCGGACAAAATCCGCAAGGCCTGTGAGTTTATTCGAGGTCTGCTTTCACATAAAAGAGTCATTAATTCGAGAAATTAGGCCGCAACAGGGCGGTGGCGGAGGTGCGGGCCCTTCAGGGAGCCCCTGGATGCACCCTCCCAATCAACCTCAAGGATTTGACAGCCCAGGTTCCGTTGGGCGACCAGGTCCAGGACCCAGCACGCCTGTGCAGCACCAGCAATCCCCTCACCCTCCGGGCATTCAAGGTAGCCCGTCGATAGGAAAGCCACAAGGAACTGGTAACCATATGCCGAACCAGGCCACACTCCCTCAGCGGACCGACTCAGTACAACCCGGTGCTTCTCAGGGCCCACAGCCACCCCAACTCCCCCAACAGCAACAGCAGCAGCTACAACAAGGGGACGCCTCTGCCAGTGGTGCTGGGCCTTTTCAGCTTGGTCCTATGGGTGCAAACACGAATGGTCAACATCCCTTCCAACCCCAACCAAACGGCAATAATGGTCCCGGCCCAGGGATGCAGCAGGGTGGTCCTAGCGGAATCGCCTCTCAGGCGGGACCCATTGGTTTGGGTGACATGCAAAATGTGACCGGGATTGCACAACTTGTCGCTAACATTCCGCCGATGGACCGGTTGAAGTTTGAACAAACGTACAGAAATTTCTGTCAGAAGAAGAATATAAATCCCAGCATGCAGACCCAGATCGAGAATAAACCAATCGACCTACATCTTCTCCACGCCTCTGTCATGCACGAGGGTGGTGCTGCAAAGGTACGCAGCGCAGTAGTGTTCTCCCATTCGCTGTCTGACTTCAATTATTTAGGTGGACCAGCGCGGGTCATGGGACGTCATCGGCGGTCGGCTGGGCTTCGTGCAATTCCCTGGGAACGATACGGAACCGTCGAAGTCAGGCCCCATGGTCGCTCACCAGATTTCGAGGATTTACAAGGAATATCTGCAAAGTTTCGACACTTTCTATCTTGCTTCTGCTCTTGATTCTCGCAACAAGGCTGGAGCAGGGCCCCAATTCCCGAACCCCGCGCTTGTGGCTGCAGCGATCACCGGTAATAACCAGATAACCAAAAGTGCTATTCCAAGCGCTCTGGCGGCAGGTGCTGCGCAACTGAGACTCAGTGCAGCCCAGATGACGCAACTCATGGCCTACGCGAACCGATCCTCGGCCGAGCTCAAGAGCATTGGACTCCCCGACCATGTCTTGCAGTATATTGAAAATAATCGAATTCTCCTTCAGCGCGCGTATAACGAGCAAGACAATCGTTCTCGCAATGGACAGGCCCTTGGAATGATGGGGAACGGGGGCCAGGCCCCGCCGATGAACGCAGACCAACCTCAACAGAACGGCTCTCAGGGCGGCCTACCAGCGAACGGAATGGGACCGCCGGGCATTCAGCCGCCCTCGTTTGGTCCTATGGCTGTTGGACAGAGCCAAATGCCCGACAGAAGGATCATGACGTCGTCGCTCAGCCAGGGCGGTATGCCAAATCCTGGCGGTAATTTCATGGAGCGACCGCAAGGCCCGCAGATGATTCCTCCGCCACCTCTTCCGCAGATGCAACCGGCTGGCCAGCAGCTCGGACCGATGGTAGCCCTTTCTAATGCTGGACGTCCTAATCAGGAGCACCTGCGCCTGGCAATGGCCTATGTTAACAAGGCTAAAAACGAGTTTACGTCGACAAGTAAGGAGTGCTTTAATCTGGAAGTGTGCGCTTATTGATCTCATGCTTTCGTAGCCCTGCCCGCGATGCCTCATCGCGATATTCCACCCGACCAACGCGCTCAATATAATCAACTTCTAGAACAACTCTTCCGGTATACCTCGGAAAATGAGCCCAACCTACCCATGTGCTTCGTTTTGGTGAAGGATGAGAATGCCATAAAGCGGATGGTTGCCATTGTAAGTGCTTTTTTGTTCCTTTCCGAAGACTTGTTGATTCTCCTTCTATAGACGTGCACCGTGGCCTATCAACGTCACCTCGTGAGCTCTGGGCAGCATCGCACTGTTCTAACGATAGACTCTTTACGAGGAATGCTTCAAGAAGTCGCGAGGTTTCAAGAAGTCTTCCAAAACGCCTTACGCAATGTGCAGCAAAACTCTGCGCAACAGCAGCATATTCAGCGAGCTCCCCAGCATCCGATGCTCCAGAACCAACAGATGCTCCATATGCAGCATGGCCCATCGCCTATGAACATGTCATCTCCAGCTTCTCATCCTGGACCAGATATGCCGCGAAACCAAATGCCTAATATCCAACCTTCTCCACCGAATATCCCTCCTCCTCCAGCCGCTCAGCAACACACTCCTCAACTTTCCTCCCAGTCGCTTCGCCTTCAAAACCCTCCAGCCCGTCGCACCCAGAAGCCCGCCAACGCAGCCACTCCCACAGCCGGCATCTCGAGCCCTTCTCCAGCTCCAATGACTGCCTCCACCCCAACCCACAGCGCGGCAACGCCAAGTGCTGTCACAGGTTCACCGCAACTGCCCAAGTCTCCCAAGGTGAAAATACCTGCTACTAAGAAGCCTGCCGGTCAGACGCGCCGTCGCCCTTCAACTTCCACCAACAAAGGAGCAACTTCTTCCCCCTCAGTCCCTAACGCACCGACGCCGCAGTCCCATGCTTCCCCGGAAACCGCTTCCACACCTACACAAAGCAGTTCGAGTAAACGCCCAAGAGATGACGAGGGCAGCAATGTGAATGGGCCAAGCCCGGGACCTTCTGGCGATTCGGAAGTGGCGAACGGACCTTCTCCTCCTAAGCGCGTCAAGAGGGACGAAATGACACCTTCTGCATCCTCCTCCACATCGTCTACTCAAGCAACTGTACCGCAACCACCGCCTGAAAAGCCGATTGAACCGGCAAAGAAGGCTCCTGAGGTTGCATCTGAAGCCCCGAACGCGACTGAAGAGAGCAGCGCCAATTTCCTCGATCAGATGACGGAACTCATCAAACTTGCTGCGGGACAAAATGAGGGGCAGGAAAGTGTAATGCCAGACATCTCAGAGACGTTGGAGATGCTACTGAAGGGCTACAATCCTGATGGGGAGAGTAGTAATGGATTTGGGTCCGACTTCAATGCTGGTGGTTCAGGATCAGGCAACACTCAAAAGGAGAGCTCGCCCGGACCTAGCCTCTCGTTCGACGAGATCTTCGACTTTTCAACCATGCCGGACGAAGAAGACTCAAAGGATACCCCGGATCTCGTTCAGTCCTCGACAAATCCAAGCCCCGAATCCAACGCCTCTGAAACGGATCCAGGGCATACCGGTGGTTCTGGCGGAATGGTACAAGGAGATGGGGCAGGTGGTTCGGGTGCTGCAGGAGTCAAACTCGAACCCAAGACGGAATCTTCATCGGATGTACTACCTGCTGGATTATGGAAAGAGATGGATGGAGGAGAGGCAGCCTACTATCAGTCTTCAGAGTGGAAGTGGGATGGACATATGCCAGACCTCGATCAACCCTGGGCCATTTTCAATTGAACATTGGATTTTTTGCTTTCCTTTTCTAATGTATCTCGCTTTTCTTTCCCTTTCTTCGAGGTTCGTTTCGTTTATTTTATTGCTGTCCTATGTTGCTTTTTCTCTTCGCTTTTCCTTCGCTTTATCTGTCTTTATTCATTATTCCCCTTTCAGCCATAACGTTGCGTTTCGTTCCCAAAAGTTTCCTTAACTTCGACGTTAACGTCATGTTGGTGTCCTTTTCCCCTCTTATTAAAGCACCTTCCCTAATTTTACCACCAGTCACTCCGTCCAATCTTAGTAGGCTATCTTCTTTCTTTATTTCCGCTATATCTTCTGGAACAGCAACACCTCAAGCCACGACCAAGACCCAAGATTCTTCCCATGTCCCCTTTTTTGCTTATTCGGTTCGGCAGTGTCACAGATTCTCTTACCCCTTCAACCTTTCTATTTCTTTCTTTATTTGCTCTTCTTTCTGTCCCTCTCGTTGAATGTCTCGAATCTCTGTGCTACACTTAAACTGCTGTGTTGTATTTGTTACATACGTATACTCTCCGTGTCCACGATCTCGATTATTTTTGTTGTACTCTTTGTCTCTGCTATCGATCTCTCTTTCTCCTTGGCTTTTCAGAATGGGATAAAGGGATGCCAATCCGGATGCCGGACCAGGTACGAGGGCCAGACGACGATTCGGAGAGCTTACAAAGTCATCAATTAGCAGTAGTGTGGGCGATGCACGACGTATGGGAGAGACAACGTTAACGCGTTGAGAGTAGGACAATGTGTCGTGTCCATACCCCTCGATCCATCTGGGTTTATACAAACAGGGGGCCCGCGGTCCTCACTGGCGACCGACGGTATTGCTTAAATTTATCTGCTTTAAGGCATCGCCAGACATCATCCAGACCCTCCAACGCGTTGATCACAGGTGCAGTCAGCCTGGTCGTCATACCCCTGCTTCCGTCTTGCCTCCAATAGACCAGGAAAACCCCAGAAAGTGTGGCTGAAGTGTAAAGTCCGAGCCAACATGCAGTTTGAGCAGGAAATGCGAGCTAGCGGGGCGAAGGAGACATACTACTCTTCGTGAATCTCAGGACACCTCGCTTGAGAGACCTCATGTCCACAGTACCAGTGGCGAAAGTGATATCATCTCTTGGTTACCATTTGTGCCTTCATCACTGACCCAGGCTATGTACGTGCCGCCAGGCATGTGTGGTCTCCCGGGGACTCCCACATTTGTCCACGTCTTGGTTCTAACGTGCCGGCGCTTAATCGTCTCAACCGGGGAGGCCCAGCAACAGGAATGTACAAATGGATAGACTCCGACGAGGGCTCACTAGGCGATTGTGTCGTTCGGTACTAGAGACAAGCATAACATTCAGTCAATACACACAAGGACACCGCAAGGGACTAGTTATCCAGGTATATACCACTGCTTCGGCTGCTTCATTATTCCTTCGAAATACCGCTGACCTCAATCCCGTTCCTTCCGTTCTTCGTGGCTGTGGTAGTGGTGTGCGCACTCCCAGAAGATCCGAGTGATTGTCGAGATCGACTCGCCGTATTTTGAAGTATGCGGGCTTTGAGAGAGTTCAACGAATCTGCCTTGGGCTTGGATGATGCCGACGATGGGCGAGAAGACCCCATCAGTGAGGACGACGATATGCGTGACAGGGAGGAAGAAAAGGATGACCTAGACGACGAGGAAGGGGAGAGTAATGATGTTGAAGAGGAGCTGGGAAGACCGTCCACGGTGAGTCTCCTCCTCTTAACATCTCCAGCTTTCCTCTCTTCCAGCTCCCGTTTGGCCTTGGTCCACAAAGCTTTGGCGTCTTCTTTCATCTCGTTGTTATCGTCTAACAACTTGAGCTCTTCTGGCAGCCCGTACTGGCCTTTCAGCGAGTCGTCAGCCTTTCTCTTTTCTTTTTCGATCTTCTTTTCCTCGCGAAACCGTCTACGGACTTTCGAGGAGAGGGTATAAGGGTCGGCATTGTAGCGGTCCGATACAGTTTGGAGTGCCTCTATTCGTGGCTTCTGGACTTCGTTGATGAGCTTCTCGGTGGTAGTGGTCTTTTCAAGAGCGGCGAGCGGGTCAAGTGGGACGCCTTCCTTGTCCGTGTCTAGATCCGTTGAACGTGTGCAAGGAGGACAGTTGGGGAAAGGTTTGAGCGCATAAGAAGGAAGCCAGAGAATTCACAGACGTGGCGTGGGGCCGTGACAATACGCAGAGTACCCGACGAGAACACGCAATAAGTGGTTAGCGCGACAAACGAAAAACGGTATGGAATGTGTACTGGCCATGTATTGCGAAACCTCCGTGCTCTTCTGGGTCCCAATCTTCTTCTTTTCGTCTTGCTCCTGAGGTCACAACATAACGTGTGTTCTAAAACCAAAAGTCATATCAGCCATGAGGATACAGCATCATGAGATCCTACCTTGGGATCCGTCTGAATCTCAAACCACCCGTCACACAGATGGCATTTACATCGAAAGGAGTAAATTGGAGTCGAGTAGTAGTTGCCAATTTTCTTCTTCTCGGCGTTGTATCGGACGCCCATGCCAATGTGGTTGTTGCATGTTCCGCTGGGGATCGAAATAAGTACCCTTGGATGAGCAGAGGCGGAGCAAGGTAGGATACAGACCACCAGATGTTGAAAGGTAATTCAAAGCGTGTTATGAGAATACCCTGGTCAAGTTTTCGGGCTCTGTCGCCAAGTGCATGGGTCCCTATGTCGTCGAAAGCAGTCAGCTGCTGGATTGGACATAACTAGCGGGATCCCCTCACCTCTGTATTTGTTCAGGCTGCCCTTTGAAGGGTCCCAGTCAGGAGGATAATACCTGAATGGCTATCATTAATCCTGAAACGGAACCATACGCCTTTATAAGACGAACTTGTTGAATCCTTGCATTTCGAGGCAAGTTAATTGTGGTGGTCAATGAGCAACAGACGTTGGCTTGGCGTGCATCATATTTTGATCGCAATCTGCCGCCTTATTTAAATGAGTCGCCTCTATCAGGGGCCAGGTGTCCTGGAGTCCTCCCACCACCCAGCTGAACGGCCTTGAATATTCCAGACTGCGGCTAAAAGAGATGCTAAAAAATGTATAATGGGTGACTTCCTTCACCCATATGACAAAGTGACTCTCAGGGAGTTCCTTTCGCCAACTTGAAAGTCTTCATGTTACGACTCGGTTGTGCTTGTTGTGATTTCCTTCGGAGGCCTCCTTCACACGACCGAGAGAGAATTGGTATCTCCTCTGGGTTATTATGCTATCCACCACTTTTCCGCCACGCTAGAAAATATATACAAGGTGGCGCAGGTTCGCCGAAGTAGTTCGTGTGAGATTAATCATACTAAGCATAAGCACATGGAATAAGAAAAGTCTCTGGGATCAGAACGTACAAGTAAGATATCCAGGATAGAAGTGCTGCACAAGCCATACATTGCAACGGTGAATTTGACTTGTGTGTCTGAACCTGGAAAGCCCCTATCAAGATGACAACCCGAGCTGAAATTGACGGAGAAAAAAGGGTGTTGCCTGTTGGAAGGCACGAAGCGAGTTAAGAAAGCGGGGTCCTATCGAGTAGGCTAGGATGAGAGTGGGGCACGGCAGAAGCCTGGCTGTCCCCCCGGTTATTGGCCCCAAGTTCTGGCAATGGTGTCGAGCTTGCCGTTGTATCATCCTGAAATTCCGGAGATCCTGGCGGGATTGGCCAAGGAAGCGGGGTGGCAAGAAGCCCCGCCGTGACGCCCACCTCAGGATGATTATGTGAACTACTGTCTGGGCCCGACTTCTCAGGATCTTGATGAAGGGCAATGCTAGCAGGATTGTTCCAGTGCGCTTCACAGTAGTTGGCTATCACAGTCCTCAGCAAAGAACACATCCACACATCAAGCGCTGGAAGGCGAGCACGCACCTTCAGGAGAAGACCACTTTTCTATGTAGGTTGCGATAAACATGAAAACGGTCCACATTGTTGCAAACATCGAAAAGGTGCCCGCCATGACCGCGACAAAAATGAACCCTGGTGATTTCAGCCTTTGCGCTTTGCATTCGAAGGTGCCTTCGAATATCGCTGGGGTCGAGAATGATCCCCTCGGAGGTAGGACCATTGTCGTTGTGTCGTTCCACGCCATGTTCATGCTCACCTTTGCTGATTGGCTTACTCGATACTCTAATCCGGATGACGTAGATCCAAGGCCAGATCCGAGGTCTGGGTGTGCGAAGTCGTGTACCAACGTATCTGGTCCAACCCAAGGTTTTGCGAGGAAGTTCCGCTGTTCGAAATTACCAAGGTCCAACCTAGTGGCATAGTGAAGTAGCCAAAACATGTTGAAGAGCGGGTTGTAGAACGTCGCATTTGCTAGTTCTCGTAGGTTCGATGGGAGGCCAAAACCCGTGTTCGTGACCTGGTTCATCGCGAACAGCTCCAATTCCGGGACTTCATCCACCTGGTCCGTATAGTTGTTGTGTAGGAGCCAAAGGGGACGTTGCTTAGCCCTTGCCTTGGCGGTGATGGCGAATGGGGATGTGAAGTTGGAAGCGTGGTAGGTTGTATTGGCGATGTCGATGATGTCAAAAAAGGCGCTCGTGAACCTGGGTGACATACGCGAGTCAGCGGGCAGAATAATGCAATCGAGGAAGGCTCACAGAGATTGAAAGGAGTACTGGTGGCCCACCGGGGACTGGTCATGAATGTCTATTATTATCAGTGGTACAAATTCCATCTGCAAGGAGGTAGTGGCAATCAAACTCGTCAAGGCCCCGGCTTTACGCCTTCGTTCATGTTCAGCAAGAGAGAAGATCTTATCGGCGTGACAGTGTATCTCCATCTCCGCTTCGAGCTTGTGGGTTCGCAGGTCCCAAGTGAGGGTAATGAATCGATTGTCGCAACTGTCGAGCTGCACCCCCTTGTAGATCAGCTCGGTCGCGTTGGGACTGGGAACGGGTATTTGCGTCACTCTCCATTCGAATAATCCGTTGTTGGTCTTCAGCGTGTCGCCCACTGATATAACGCGGGGATTGCAAGAGTACGACACCTTGCCAACGAGCGGAAGGAGTGGTTTGTTCCAGGCCGTCTTAGTGGTGTCATTGATGGGATAAGTGTTCGCAAACTCGGTGACCTCGTCGTAGCCGACCAGAGCGACTGGACAATGTATATGAACTACTAGTGCATGATCGTGATCATGGAGGCGACGAACGCACCATTGATGACGACAAGGCCCGCGATCATGAGAAGAGATAAGCCAAAGGTCAAGGGTGCTAGCACTCTTGACCGCCGAAACGTCCGGGTAACCGGGTATTCCAGAGGGAGTATGTTCAGTAGCATCGCCGCGAGAGAAGAGAGCCGCGAATAATCGAGGTTAGAGTAACACAGGTGAAAGAGAGAAAGGGTGCTCGGGATTTAAATACCCGCTGGGACACGCCACCCAATACGAGCAGGAGTGGCTTCCATATACGTTGCGTTGCGGAGGGGTTTTATTTGAGCCCCGGAATGTCCTTGATGTCCACAATGAAGGTTTGAAAGGAAAGCGAGCTAAGGTTTAGGTGGAAAGGCAGGTACCATCAATTTCGTGAAGACTCGAGACCAGTGTACACCATGTAGAAGGGGCGAAGCAAGCAGGTCTCGGGCGCTCGACGGCAGCTTAGACAAGAAGTCTGAGAGTGTAACTGCTGGAGCTAGGGAGACACAAGTAATAATATATTCAGTAGAAATACAATCATGGTGCAACCATGAGTTTGAACCAATCATAGACCAGATAGTAATGGACAAGAACGCACAGCGCAAGCGCAAAGATGAAATCCAATGGTCATAATACAGTGTCGATATCACCCGTACGGCTCTGAGCCCGAGTCAGAATCGTCTAGAAACGCGATTTCCCATCTAGGAATAGCAGCCCAGTCAGGTACATAGTCGACGTCCAACGAAAAAGGATACACACTCGACAATCAACCTCCCTCGCCCTTTCGCCCCTGATCTTGGCATCCCTCCGCCATGGAACTTCACCGTCCCGTGAATCATCTTCGTCAATTGGTAATCCACTTCCAACCAGTATTCTTCCCCGTGGATTCCCTTAACGTTGAAGAAACAGGGGACGTCGTTGAGCCTGTCAATCCAAGGAAGCCAGACATGGGCGACGAGATCGTCACCGTCCTGTTCAAAGGGGAATGTACCGGGATTCTTGGGTATAGAACGGATACTCGTGGGGCGTGTCGGTCGTTCGCTAAAGCTTGGTGCACGATCCCGTGGGTGCTAGCAAAATCATTGTGTTCAAGAAACAGCTGTAAAGGAAGTGATTTTCAGATACGCACGATGTATGGTGTCCCTTGGTGTGGTGTAAGTTGATTCGCGCTGAGTACGCTTGTCGGTCTTGATGATCGTTCACTGATTATACTGGGCTGGCTTCTAGCATGCTGCAGCAATCGGTCAATGACATACTGAGTAAAGACGTTATGTCCCACACACCAGGTAAGGGGTACCTCGAGCAGGGGAGCTTTCGTGGAACGAAGGTTCTTTGGGCGGTTTTCTTCGCACTGAGAAGCCGGATCTCTTGGTAAGCTGGGACACTGTCAGTACGTCCGGCTTGCCCTCGAAGACCACAGTTCAACATGTACCTTCGAACTTCGAGAAAGCTTTGATCCTGTGGTAAGGAAGCTGGACTTGTGCATATCGTGCTACGGTATAGTTAGACCTTGTGGCGGAAACTGCTGATACCAGTGTCGGGAAACCTCACTGTCGTAGATGCAGGGGTCTGATCCTGGTAGGGAGCCCCATAGAGACTTCCGTATCGTACACTGTTCTCATCGTCTTCAGGGACACGGGAATGTAGCGGCATCGCGTGGTTCTGAAATGAGTACGGTGAACTTGTCTGTAAATTCAAGAGTTAAGCAGAACATACCATCTCCGTCATGCCGAGGCTGGGGGAAGCACCACCATGACTTCGATTTAGAGGGATCCCTTGAAGAGGGCCATGTGGCGTCTGAGCACTACCTTGCTGGAAGTCGCCGTGGTCAGAGAAAACGTCATCTGGGTGCTGCAAATGCAACGCAAGTCAGCTGTGCGCCATTAAGCAATGTCAAGGAGTCGGAGACACCGAACGCACCGGAAGCGAGCGTCCGACGGGAGGGTCGACGTAGAAACTCTCCATGCTATTTTTGCGAGTCAGGGTTTGATCGATACCCTGACAGAGCGGGATATTACTGTGAGAATATCATGATAACAGGGCAGGGTGGTCTCGTACCCTGTGTACAGGGGTCGCGTGGGCGACGCTGGTATGGAGACTGCCAGGTCGTACACCATGGAGGAAGGGACTAGGAGCCTGTAAGGTTGCATCGAGGGAAACGTGAGGATTCCAGGGTAATTCATACTCTTTAGTCCAACTCACCATTTGCCTTGTAGCTGCATTGAATTCATGAACGGATCCAAACGGTGAAAAGTCATCCGCTACTCTGGTGTCCCGGAAACTCCCTTTCGAAACAGAGCCTGCTACAGGTGGTGGTCCGTGCAGTGCCATTGAAAGCGATTAGAATAGCACAAACTGCTGGACAAGGGCAAAGCGCGAGGGTCAAAGGATGAGAACTATAGATGAGAAATGACAATGATCGCTTCTATTATGAACCAGTACGATACCTTTTTATATCAACAAGTTAACGTCAAAGTCGGGAATGATTCAGGAAACGCGAATACAGCCCATCAACACATGTTCCCTTGTTCGAGAAAAAGAGATTAGCGCAAGAGGACCGGGCTGTCCAAAGCTGAGCGCTGAGCGCTGAGCATTGGTGGATCTTCAGACGCAAATTGTTGGGAAATCAGTATCGCAGAAATTGAGAGATATCAGACAACGCTGCTTCCAGAACTCGGTCGCTGTGGGTGGCAAGGCGAACTGTAACATGAGGCACACCGTGGGTTTCGTGGCATTGTTCTCGGCTTACAAACGGGATTGCTTCCGCTGATAAGACAAGATCGTCACGCAAGGGCGCGTATCCACTAACGATGGTACAGGCAGTACATACATACAAAACGGCGACATCGTCCAAAGTCCCATCAAACTAGCCATACAGTTCCAGTATCAATCCCAACCGCCCATCTCCGCTTCAAACTTCGCTTTCCTCAGATCCCTCCTTTCCATATCGCTCATGGCAGCCCACACCTCGATCCCGCCCAAGCTGTCAATCAACTCTTCTTCCCATTTCTCTTCTCTCTCCAGCTCTTTCTTTGTCTTTTTCTTCGGTGGGGGTGGAGGTGGTGGAGGTGGTGGAGTCCGTCTGTTTGGATGCAAAGGAGCGATCTTCGACAAAGCGGTCCTCGACGATTTAAGGTAGGGGGAATAGGCAGTCGCCCTGCTGATTCCAGGCACCCGGGCACTCGAGGCCACAGGGAAAGGCGAGTTGGGAAGGGAGTTGACACGCTTTATGAGTTCGGTCATTGGTGTCGACTTGCGAGGTGCGATCGAGGGGCGTCTGTGGAATGGCTTGGCAACTGGGGCACTCATCTCACTAGGTTTAGGGGACGAAAGAGGCTGAATGTTCTCCTAAGATTGAGTTGGCATAAAGATACGGAGTAAGCTGCGAATGTCATCATACCTTAGACAGATCAGGATGTGGTGGTTCTCGATGATCTGCCCCTTTTTTCGAGCCAGGAGTCTTGGTCAGGATGTTCCAGGCTTCACCCTCGTCCTCCTCGTCGGAAACGACAACCCCAGTCTTCCGTTTCTTCGACTGAACCTTCGACGGTGCCATGCTTTGCTCATGATCGACTCTTCCGTGTTCGTTCGCCTCGAGTCTAGCTTCGACCTCGCGGGATTTCGTCCTGTTGTCGTTCTTTTCCGCTGACGACTTGGTTACCTTCTGTCGCTTGCTTGGACTTGCTGCAGTGGAAGAGACCCCATTGCCCTGGTCGCCTTTATCATCAGGGATGGCCATTGACTTTCTCTTTTTTGCGGCCTTCGGCCTCGTTGGAGGCTCTAGATCAGTGTCCATATCGATGTCAGAGAGAGGGCTAAGGGGCCGCGAAGGAGGCCGGGGGTCTGGTGCTGGTTCTAGAGGACTGGGAATGACCGGTGCTTTGGCGGGGTCGGAAGGCGCAGAATTGGGCTGTGCCAGAGGATCTTCATCAGAGTCCTCAATGAACTCGTTGCTCTTGAATACCTCTTGAGTCTCGTTCCCTTTCTTCCCATTGGTTTCCTTGGACTTCTCTTTGGACTTCGACTTTTTCTTCTTCTTGTCCTTTCCATCCTGGACTAGCCTCATCGAGTCGTCCCCATGACCTTCTGTGATTGCGTTTGACCCTGTCCTCGACGTGATAACGACCTCCACTTGACCAGTTTTCTTCTTGGAGGATTTCTTCTTCTTGGGAGGATGATCATTTGCATCAAAATCAGGATCGTACCCGTCCTCGTCGTCCCTCGCCTTCTTGGACTTCTTTCGCTTTGGCTTGTCAGCCAGAGGGAGGTTCCCCTCGGGATGCGGGAGAGTCGGAAACATGGTCAGATCCACCACGTCCCTTTCAGCATGGCTTAGGACTTCCCGCTGGTCGACGCCCTTTGCAGTTGTTGGCAGAGATGATGATGCAGCGAAGAAAGTGGGTGGCGGGCCGTTCTTGGGGTCGATGGGAGGTAAGTCAATGTCATCGCCAAGAAGCTCATCGAAGTCTGACTGGTCTTTCTGGGAGGAACTACTCCCATTGGCAGTCGCAGCGAGCGTCTCAATCCGAGGAACGTCCAGATGTTCGCCGGCGGGAGGTTGGGATGTGAGCGGAAAGTCGGAGGGAGGGAGGGAGGATGGGATCGCAGGGTTCTGAGCGGGTTGGTTTGGGAAGGATGAAGGAATGTCGGTAACGGGAGGTCCTGGTGGGTCTGAAAGTGTTTTGTCGTCTGTGGTCGTCAATCTCTTTGCTCTAGGGCGCGGGCGAGGACGGGGAGGTTTCGTCTGCTCCAATGGGCCCGATGGCAGTAATTGGTCAGATGGCGAGTGATTTGGAGCGGAACTCCTGGCCGCTTTCTTCTTCTGTTTCTTATTGGTAAGGTTGAGCTCGTCGCCTGAATCGTCGGTCAACTCAATGACTTCGGCGGACGGGTCTGGGGCTGCTTTCGCTTTGCCCTTGGATCTCTTCGAAGCAGAAGGTTTGGCCAGGGTCGACTTTGTAGATGCGAGAATTCTCTCCTTGCCATTCCCCCCTAATTCTCTTGTGCTGTCGTGGCCAATCGCCTGCGTCGCGGTCGTTCCTCGTTGACGTGTCTTTGCTCGGTCTGCTATGCTGAGCATGTCAGGAAAATCAAAGGCAGGAGCTTCAGACGAGGTTGGTAATTCGATTTCCCTGCTGCCAGTGTTCACTATCTGATCCAAGAAATTAAATGTGGAGCGCCCGGAGGAATCCGCTGTTACAGTGGGGTCGTCGTCGGACAGCGTTTTCTTCTTCGCCTGCAGAGGCCTAGGTCTTGGTCTTGGTCTTGGTCTTGTAAGCGAAGGTGTCGTCAAGGTAGATATAGACGAGGAAACGCCGTCATTGCCATCCTGTCGCTTCGACGGAGAGCTGAAAGGGTTGATCGAAGAAACCGCCTTTGACGGTCCGGCTTGGGCGTCTACTGTCGAAAATGTTGAGATGTGCGACGTTTCCTCAATCGCCTTAGCTTTTTTCCTCGTTAGATGTCTACAGGTAAAGGGAGCTCCTATACGCACCTCGAGACGCCTGCAACTCGAGTTCCATCGAAATTTGACTCAGACTTCGACCCTCATGGCCCATGGTGGTCATCGCGAATTCGTCCTCGTTCTCGCTATCGCCAACCCAATCGCCTTCGTGTTCCATAGTATAAAGCAAGTTGTGGTTCTGCACCGTGCGGGGGCTTGTTGTTGGTGGTGGCCGTCGTGGTTGTCGTTGATCAACAGAGGCGAGCGGTGGCATTCGGTACGGAGCCGAGACGCGTGGGTCCTGGACACGTGATCGCGTCTTGCGTTTGATTTCCCATTTGGAGTGACTCTTGCCAAACTGAGCACCGTACTGGAGAGAGGGGCAAGTGGGGGTTTCGGGGCGTTGTCCATGTAACAACGGCTGCTGTACCACAGTAAAGACGAGACAAGCTCGTTGGCTGATACTAATCTGCGTCGTCTAACATGAGTCCTCGATGCCATTCAAGACAGCTGAGGTCAAATAAGTTCCCCACTGGAAAATCGGGGAGAAGCCTGACTTGGCGCGGTATACATATAAGGTAGTACAGTGACTATCCGGAGCCCCTCTGATTTCATAAGTTTCATAAGCTAGTGCGTCGCTCGAAGGTATTCTGTGTGCAAGGCCCTTAATATATATCTCAGTCAAAAAATTCTAGCTCTGGGATAACAGACCCCGAAGCAGTCGACTCTGGCACCTAAATTGACGAAACTTGCACACATGCGTCAGTGAGAGAATGGGGACGGCAGCTCATATATGCTCACAGCCTAAGATAGGGGGCCTCCCATTGGCGCAGTCTGAGGATAGCTCCGTCTTCAAACTGAATCCCTCATCTGAATGATGTTGAATGTGAATCCATAACCAAGACCTCACCTACTGGAAGATCCGTGCCATCAATTGTTGTGGTCACCTTCAGACATTGGAAAGTGTCCCTTTTAGGGTGACGTAAATTGATACTAAGAAGATTGGGATGGCCCCTGCACAAGGATGACACTCTTTTCCGGGGTGATGACCCTAGGGTCTCAAAATTTTATTCTTTATTCTTTCCTCAGATTTTCTTTCTTTTCCTTCATCTGCACAACTAGCAGCTCCCTCATGATCACGAAAGGCATCGTCGTGCTTTCTGGCCATTAAACCCCTCGCATTGTTCACAGTAGTATGATTGCATAGAAGCACCGACGGCGACGGATTATTATCTCGAGTATCTGGACTTCCCTTGGCTCCCAATAGTCACCAATCAAGGATCTCTTCAGGGGTGCATGGTCTTGTATGAAATGTATTGACAGCGACTGACGCTAAATAGAATATGCTGGGTGCCATTGTTCCCCGCATTTCACTCGGTGCCTTGGGCCTTGGGACGGCCGAAGCTTAGCCTGGTATAGGCTTACAGTACTACCCCTGCGGAGACGCCTAAGATGCCGTCAATTCCATTCATAGAGCGGGGATAAATAGCGCACATGGGTCCAACTCCTTCATCACCGTCGAGCTCGGGGGCTCGGGGATTTTGCGATCTCAATCAGCTCCAAAATGAGCTACATAAGTATATACTTCGCGGTACCTTGCCCTTGGGCCTGACGAGTCGGAGCCTGGGCATCCGATATGATACCAAGTGGGATGTCAATCTAGCCATGGATAGGCTCTCGCCCTTTCGGAAAGGCCCATTCAGGTATTCCAAGTACTGGCTACCTACAGCTTGTCGTCTCAACCACGGCTGTACAGCTCAAGTTTAACTGGATTGAAAATCCTTTACGGATGATCCCTACTGACTAATCGGTGCAGCTGGCAGCTAATATAAGTCCTTTGAACAATCCCTGGAGGCCTGAAATTGAGCACTCCCAAACATCCCGCACCCGGCACTGTAGCAGGCCCAGGCGCGGACGTGTTAAATTTCCCACCAGTGGAGATCGTCACGCGCTTGGGTAGCTATCCTCCAGCGCCAGTGATACAGTAGGCACTTATGTCAAATTTGTCAGTCAGCTCGGGCAATAACCATCTATTAATTTTTCTGATCTATTCGTATATCTATTGTGATTCGGCTTTCAATCGAGTTGCTAGAACGCAGTGTCTGCAGAGAGCGTCTAGAGGTATCATCCTCGGTATGCAGTGCACAATCGAGCTCATTAAACTGGAGGAACGTCCAACGAAGCCTACGTAGTACCATAATCTTAGATCAGCACTCGTGGTGCTGGAAGTGGAAGCCCCCTCGTGCTGGACCGTCCACACATGCGACGTCGGTCGGCGGGGAGGTAAGAAGGCCGAGGGACACCCTATCCATTTCGAAAAGGGGCGTGACGATATGTATCAGTCGTTCGATTTTTCCGCAACTTCAAGAATAGAACGCCGGTTATAATGGGGTCATTCGAAGTTTTACGGGGCACAGGGCGTGGCCAAAGGAAGACAAGATTCGTTGTCGTCCCGACAAAATTCCATGGTCGTCGTGTCCGTATCTGGGCCCATGCCGACTACACGTCGGAGAGGATGACATTGCTTCTAGGCGGCAATGGGTTGCGATACGTCCGAGTCTCGTGGGTGGTTCACTAAGCTCCAGGAGAAGCTTCCTTCCGCCCAGCATGCATTGGCTACTGGCGTTGGTCCGTTAGATTGGCTTGGCAAGATTCAGCATATTCGTCGGGAAGTGGTAGATTCCCCGCGTCAGCGTTGAATCCCTGCCCTTTCCGCTAGTCATGCCTTCTAATCAATGCCGGGAAAAATGAAGACTTAATAGGGAAGGTGGACGCGATTATCCGAGGATCTTGTCCTTCCAGAGATAGACAAGGGCGACGGAGAGCACCATGGTGACGGAGAGGTCGAAAAGGGGAATGCAAGAGCCTGTGGACGATGGTCTCTCTACCCAGAGATTGTGCCAATGCTCACAAAGAGATGCGTGCTACGGAATTCCACTTTAGTGTGAGACTGAGTCAAATGAGAAGCGCTCACTCACCTTGATTCTTTCTAATTGGACTTCGCCCTTTTCCTTGATCCATTCCTCCAACTTCCCTTCCTTGGCTGAAATCAAGCTTGAAACCTCCGCAAGGTATTGTTTGGCGACCGGGCTGAAATAGAGTGCCGTCGCAGGTAGCCTGAGATTGAATTCTGATTGTGCGGAGGATTGGTATCAACGCTCAGAACTTGCACCGAGGGAAATCATCGCCAAGGACGGCAAGTACTTACGATTTATCACGGCGTATGGGAATACTGAAGCAGGTTTTTGCACATACAACTCCTCGGGGATCCAGCAATCCAATTCGTCTTGGGTAATGAATCTAAATGGAGCCAGCGCAACATACGCTTGTCAGACATAAGGATGAAGCAAGTGAACATCGTTCTTCTACGCACTGTTGCTTGATACATCGGGAACAACAGCGGACCCGACAAGTCCAGTATACTTCCTTGATGTTGCGCGCCAGGCAAAACTAAACATAAGAGCAAATTAGCATTGAGTTTCATCATCGCGATGAAGGGAGGGTTAAGAAGAGAAGATCGCGATTGGATTGGATCCACGTCACTGCGAGCGGGGCGCCATTATCGCCCACAACGAGATGTGATATAGGGAGAGAAAGAAGGGGTTGCGGAGAGAATCGTGCTGAGATCAGGTACTCACGTGGCAGGATTCGTCGAAGATAAGCCTTGTGTATTGTGGCTCGTTCAAGTCGGACGGGCAGGAAGGCAGACCCTCAATTCTTCCTAATGCAGATCGCCAAATCGAACGCGTCTTTTCGCGCGACAAAAGTAACGCTCGAAGACAGCGGCTGGTGCGCGAAAGGTTGAGAAGGTCCATTGGTCCTAAGTGCATAAAGATCTTGGAAGGGGCTGGGATCGAGTAGGGGTCAGAGGCATCCAGACTTACTTCGCAGATGATATCCAATGGCATATCCATAATTTGTTCCAAGCCACCTTCACGGTACACAACATTGCGATTTTCGAGGGCATGGGGCTTTGTTGAGGGGTCTATACTGTGGGAGTACTGCGACGGCTTCGAAGAAGGGGATTGGATTGGATGGGTGGCTTTGGTGGAGGGGGTGTGTTGGTTGAGCAATAGCCAGGAGGACATCGACTCGGGGTCGGAGGTCCAAGGGGACGGGAGGCACATAGGGGAAACAATATAGGAGGCCATATCGAGGGCGGCACGGCAGTAGCAAGCAGCGGAGCAGATATACGTAGGTGGGGAAGTTGACGAGGTGTTTCACAGGACACATCGTGCCTTATGTATTCCTCCGACAAGAAGCTGTGATCTTATAGGGGAGCAAGGAAGCATAGCACCAAAGAATAGAACGACGCAGAGCAGAGCGTTATGGCATATTTTTGGCATTCGTGCCATCAAGGGTTGGAAGGGGATATTGGGCGACATACAAGTAACCCAAAACGGACGGGAGATCAACGATTGGATCCAGGGAAGAGATGATAGTCACTCAAAGGTGGACCAATGTATCCAAGCACATGACAGCACTGAGCAATTCGATACACGGCATCTTGATGCACCTTCGTTAGTAAGAGTTCCATATTCGCGTGTCATCCCACCTGCACTCTTCTCGCGTCAGTGATGCACGGGGTGAGTGGATGGGGTATGAATGGAACTGGACTCGAGTGCCTACTATCAGTGGTGTCGGTTCAGTGGTTCCGTAAGGACCTCCAGTAAAATCTATGATCCATGTTTTCCGAGGGGTTGAAGCGACATACCGCGAAACATTTTTCGTGACTTCCTCGGAGGATCAATCCCCATGAGAAAACGGAAGGCATTCGTCTTCCCAGAAGGGCCGCTGTGACAGGGGAGTAAAACGTACCTGGCTCATCGGAGACTGTTGGGGCCAGTAAAGGGACGCAATGCGGTAGTATGAACTGAGAGCAAACGGCCAATTGGAAACAGAGACTGACCCGGGTCATAGGGTCATCGAGGAAGGGGATCGGAATTCACAAGGAGTTTGAACTTTTCAAAGGGAGCGCAATACTCCGCCACAGCATGTCTGGGCAGTGGGAAGAAGAAACGCTGCTCAATACATATTTACTGTTAATTTCTCCTCCCGCCACAAGCATTGATGGTGTAGCGGTAACATTGGGTCTTCCCATGGCCTAGCTCCGGGTTCGACTCCCGGTCAATGCATTTTCGTTTTTCCGTCAGAGGTTCGCCTGAAACATACACTTTTGTGCCTCACCGAAATCTTCGTACTTACACGCAGTCGAAGGGAGCCAGGAGAAACAGATTCAACATGGTTTTACATGCAAACGATCCCCCGAGGTTCACACTAATCAGCGTGGCTCTCTGGCGATGACGCCCTACCAGTCTGGTCGAGAGAAGGTAATAAAACATAATGATAAGTTAGCAAAGATGCCAATAGATCCGTCCTTTCACGAAGAACAACGTCTAATTTACGCTAACGATTGAAGAACTCGATCCGTCAATTCAATAACCTGGAGACATCGAGTTCAATTGTAGAGAAGCAAACATCAATTTGATAGACCTACCTGATTGATATCCGGTCGTTCTTGAGGATTTGGCTTCAACATGGCATCGATGAGGCTCCGCAGCCCCTGCGAATAAGCCGATTGCGGGTGCTTGTACTGCGCGTTTAGCACTGCCATCGCAATCGAGCCGCCCTGTTCCGTCGTCTGGGTGTTTTCGAACGGCGAATGAGAGTAAGCCAATGCGTATAGCGTGCACCCAAGAGACTGCAAGGAATATGAGAGAAGTACATTGCCATGGAACAGAAGGCTCACCCAGATGTCGACCTTTTCGTCAAGGGTAATGCCTGTTTTGACGTCGAAAAGTTCCGGTGCGCGGTAGGCCATCGTGCTTTGCTCAGCGGCGATGTCCTTGGTGGGGTTTAAGGTTAGAGGGCACATCGAGGCTAAGAACCGCGGCTTGGGCTAACCTGTTGCAGCAAGGCCTGTTGCCGGTTTTCTATGGGTATTTTGGCTTTCATTGTACTTCCAAAGTCCATGAGAATAGGTGTTTTTCCGTCATCTGCAATCATGATATTTCTGAAAAACATGAGTCCATGGAGACCTGAAAGGACAGAGTTCACAAACCCAGGTTTCAGATCCCGATGTGCGTAGGGGACCACGTCCAGCGGGGTACCCTCTTGTGGTTGCGGCAATTCGGACTCCTCGTCGCCGTCGAATACGACGTCATTCTGCACCAGTTCTCGTTGTTTGCCCATGAGAGGAACAGATGGTGTATCATAGGAGTAGCCTCCCTCTGCGTCACCTTCTGGCCGAGGGAAGCGCGTATCATCGTCGTCGTCAGCAGGCCCAGAATTAGTGGAATTCGACCGCTGAGGATCGGTGCGGATAGCGGAACGAGCGGACGTTGGTCGGTATTCGTGCATGGCCCGTACTGCGAGACATGTTCCACGGAACAGGCGGAGCATGTCTTGTTCGGAGAAGTGTCGATTGTTCACCAAGTTGGCGTTTATGGCGTCTTGGAGGTTGCCACGCTATCAAGGACTGAGGATATGTGATGCCTGAGCTGGTCATACGAATCGGACGAACCTTGTACAACGGTAGGAAGAGATACACGATCTGTCCCTCGCCCTCGGGATCCTGGACTACTGCGGAGTCCTAACATTTTGGTGAGAAATGGTCCTTGTACCATTGAGAATCGGTCAACTAACCAGAATGCGGATGATGTTGGGGTGCCTGGAGGGCGTTCAGTGAGGCGGTCGCTCAATAAAGTAATGACCCACTTGAATCTACGATAAGCTTCAACTTCTCGCATCGCTTCTTTCACCCCTTCAGAGCCAGTTGGGCAACGAATCTTCTTGAGCGCGAATTGTCGCTAGAGACCACAATTACACCCTGCGGCCTGGTTGTACCATGGAGCGACGTACCCCACTGTGTTCATCCTGAGCTAGATACACAAAGGAGAAGCCTCCTTCCCCTAGCACCTTGATTATTTGGACTACAATCGGAGGATGAGCTGACAACCACTCGAATACACTGGTTACTGACATGTCCGTCCGTTGATCTTGAGTTTCGGTTGCTGCTGGCACAAACACGACGACACGGCCCAAAGTGCATCCTTGGCCTGATCTTTGAGCGTTTCGAGAGCGCGAAATAGTTGCGGAGGTAGAGCCATTGATAACAGGTGTTCGTGGTTGAAATGGTAGGCTGTTCATCGCGGCGGTCGTAGCGGAAGCATAGCTGTCGTGGGAGATTCCTTCCGTACTATGACCAATGCCCACCGCTTTTGAGGGCTCGGGAGTTCCAGCGCTCAGCATCTATCCAGTTCTCATGCAATCTGTGAATATCGTCTTGCGTTCGAAAAACACACTTTCAGGAAGACTCTTTGTTGCAAGGCACAAAAAGGGCCCAACCGGGAATTGAACCCGGGACCACTCACAATCTACGTAACGAATACGCGGGAAAACTCCCGAAGCGAGTATCATACTACTAGACCATTGGGCCGCGTTAGTCCATTGACTACATTTATTCAAGGCAATCGATAACGAGCATCTCGTCGCTCCCACCTCCGGCAAGTTTGATTGGCTTTTGCAAATGTTCTTCCACCACACATTACTCCAAGACGATGAAGAAAGGAAAGAAGACTGGCATCCGGCTTCCTGAGAGCCTACAGGATCAAATCAACGAACGAGGTATGCATTGATTCTTATTTTACGCCTCGACAGAGAATTAAAGTCGCGTGTATTGGGGTAGAAAGTGACGACCGCCATTACCATCGCGGTGTCGGACGAAACAAAAACCTCAGCAGGAAGGAACTGAGGAAGCAAGAACGCGCCTCCAAAAAGCAAAAGAGAGCTGAATACTTCTCCCATTCGAGACCGTCAGTCCAAGAGGCGCATCCAGGCAAACGGCCAGCTGAAGAGAGTGCGGAATCTCCTATCCGGAAGCGACCCAGAAAGGACAACGCACTAGATGAAAAACTGTCGACAGAAGTTGTCGCGGAGAATCCTGTTCAACCATCGAATGAAAAGCAGTCCAAAGGATCTTCTTCCAGCTCACACAAACCGGCCAAGAAACCGGTTTCCGTCCCACCCAAACCCAAGAGCCAGATTGAAGAGAACGAAGATCGGTATATTCGCTTTCTTGAAAAGCAACTTGGATATTCCAAAGGAAAGCCAAAGAAGAAGAGTGCAGACGAAGATGATGGACTGGATGGTGTGTTTTTTGATTTCCTAGCGCCAGCAACTGCTGAGGGAATACTCTAGATCTCCTGGACTTTGCGGATAACTTGACCATGTCCTTGGGAGAAGTGCGTACCCATTTTTCACTGACACTCTTCCACTCAACGTATCTTCAGGGGGGAAATGAAGGTGACTTCGACGACGAGGACAACTTCAGCGAAGGGTCGGACACGCTCGACGACTACGACATGGATGCAGAGGAGGGAGGCTCAGAGGACAGTGAAGATGACGGTTTAGAAGACGAGGAAGAGGAAGAGGAATGGGGAGGCATTGAAAGCGATTCAGGTTCAACGGAATCTGAAGCAGAAGAGTCATCAGAAGCAGGAAAGGCAGGAAAAGCAGCCGAAACGACGACGAAACCTGCTGCTGGTGCGTTTCACTTGGAGTCGGTCACAAAGCTTTCCGGTTGGGCTGAACACATCGAAGGTTCTGTCTATGTTCCACCCCATCTGAGGAAGGCTCCTGCAACGCAATCCGAAGCTCTGCTGAAACTAACCCGCCAACTCAAGGGTCTTCTCAACAGGTAAGTGAAGCATAAGTTATCCCTGCCCCGTTTTATTGAAGGATTTGCCAGGATGTCAGAGCAAAACATTGGAAGCATCGTTGGCAGTATTGAAGACATCTATCGGGATAATTCGCGCAATGGTACGTCTGCAAGTTTTATTTTGCCAACACGACATTGAGCCTGTCCACCAGACGTTACCTCGACTTTGACGAACTTGGTCATTGAAGGCGTCGCCTCGCATTCGGTACTCCTGGACTCCTACGTCGTACTTCACGCCGCCTTTGTTTCGAGTTTACACAAGCTCGTTGGCATCGAATTCGGTGTGTATCCATCTAGATTTCCTACAACCCCAGTTCCGCCCTAACCAGCCATAGCGGCTCACTTTGTCCAACAGGTGGTCTCCAACTACGAAAAATATTACGAAGCCCTATCCACCCCATCCTCGTCAGATGCCCCCCAACAGGAAGACGACGACAAAGGAAAGGAATGCTCGAATTTGATTGTGCTTCTTTCCGAATTGTACAACTTCCAGGTTATCTCATCCATACTCATGTTCGACATCATTCGGGCATTGTTAAAGGATGAGATTTCCGAGTTCAACGTTGAGCTATTGCTCAAGATTCTACGCAGTACGTGATTCAGGGTTTGTTCGGGGGGCGATATATATCAACGAGTGTTTCAGACTCTGGCCAACAGCTGCGAGCCGACGATCCTCTGGCCCTGAAGGATATCGTTCAGATTGTTCAGGACAAGGTCGAGGGGAAGGAGAGCGCCGTCAGGTAATCTACATCCAGCTTGATCTCGAAGCAATCCCTAACTCTGTCTCCAGTTCAAGGACGCGGTTCATGATCGAAACTTTGACCAACCTCAAAAACAACAAAATAAAAAAGTTGGGGGAACAAAATCAAGGCGGTGCAGCCGTCGAACGGATGAAGAAGTTCCTAGCAGGTCTGAGCAAAACGAAGCACGTTCTCGCCCATGAACCTCTACGGATCTCCTTGGAAGACCTCCATTCTGCGAATACCAAGGGCAAGTGGTGGTTGGTCGGAGCTGCATGGGGTGGAGACCCACTTGTGGATAGGCAAGCACATATGGAAGAGATCGCGGCGACACAAAAGGCTGCAAGAGATGAAGAGAGTAGCCTGCTTAAGCTCGCGAGGAAGCAGGGTATGAACTCCGATATTCGAAGGAGTATATTTGTTGTTCTTATGAGCAGCGAGGTAGGCCTCCTAACGGATGGGATGTGCAAGGAGCATACTGAACCTTTTCTGCAGGACTATGTCGATGCTTGCGATAGACTTTCTCAATTAAACTTGACTGAGGTCCAACAGCGCGAAATCGTTCGCGTGCTATTGCACTGCTGTGGCAACGTGGGTTCTTCTCGCCTCAGTTTAGCGCTCTGCTAACTCTCCCTCAGGAAAAATCATACAATCCTTACTACGCCCTCGTCTGCGAACAACTCTGTAAAAAGTCCCATTCCTACAAAATCACCGTCCAATTCTGCTTATGGGACTTCCTTCGTGACCTCGGGGAGACGAAAGTGGGCGGGGCCGAGCTCGTGAAGAATGCGACGGATGATGGGTTTGATGTCAAGAGTATCTCTCGGACAAGGATGAACAATGTTGCCCGATGTTACGCGTGGTGGGTGGCCAAGGATGCTGTTTCGTTGAGTATCCTCAAGGTGCGTTCCAGCATATCGTATCTGGTTCCTGTGGAGAAGTATCTAATCTGGCGCTTTGCCCAAATCGCAACACCGAACCCCGAACCGAAACACTCCTGGAACACCAATTCCAATTCGAATCGATGCCCGATAGCCGGTCGACTTCACCATGCTCAAACCACAAACGAGAGGCTTCCTTAAGGAATTCTTGACGCATCTTCTTCTCAACAGCCAACTTACCACTCCGGTGGTGACGAACGATCTAGGGAGCGTAGCGGCGACATTGCCGACGAGGAACCGGGGTGCAGTGGAGGAGATCTTCATCAAGGCGTCTAGGATTGATACAGTGGCGATGGGCCTGGTATATTTCATGAATGAGGCATTCAAGGAGGAGGTGAAGAAGGGTAAGGCGGAGAAGGAGAGTAGGGAGGGAGGGAAGGAAGACAAACTGAGAAGCTTCTTGGTCTGGGGAGTCGAACTTGCGAAGGACACTTTGCAGACTGGTTTGGACGTTATTCCAGACCTGTAGCAGACAGAGGAGGAACCACCGGACCATGGAGCATACCCAAAAGACGGTGGCGCAATTAAATACTCGACCACGAATGCTTTTAGATCCGATGTAGAAGGAGCCTCAGAACTCGGAATGAGCGTGCCGTCATGGTGACATTGGGGGCCAGTATAAAATCCTTCCAGCGCATCTGCTCCAGATTCGACTAGGGGATTTTAAGTATTCGCAAAAGCTACTAGAGGGAAGTTACATCAGACATCATACCGCCGTGACAAAGAAAACGAAGACCACAAACAGATGTCCCCGGAAAAGATATCTACATAGGTACGTAAGGTACAACACGGATGTGGATGCGGACGACAACTAGAAGACAACAAAATGCAGAACAAAACGACCAACGAATGGGAGATAGAGATGAATGTGCGTGCAGACAGAAATAAAATGCAGAACTTGTTTATAGCGACCCCTTCCCTGTCTCATTCCTCATACCCCTCGTCAACATCAGCAACAGATTCTCTATCCTCGCTTGCCGATCCTGGTGTGCAAAGTCGTTAAGGCCCATCTCAACCAAAGAATAGAAAAAAGACAAGAGATATCACTAACCTGCAACTCCTTCATCTCCTCTTTCAACTTGTTAACCGGCAAACTCTTCGCATCTTCCATCAAACCCTCCAATTTCTTCACGCTCGTCTCCATGTGCATCTGGGCTTCACGGAAGACCGGTGCAGTGTGGGGGTATTGCAATCCTCCGTAACCAGCACTGGTACTTCCTTGCCCGCTCGAATATCCAAAGATGTTGTGGTCATTGTACCCTCCACCGTGACGCCCATCATACCCGCCACGCCCGTACCCGTGCATATGGTGCTGTGGAGGCGGGTATCCGGGCACTCCAGCAGTCAAAGCACCATAGCTTGGGGTGCCCCTGATAGGAGATGCCCCTCGCCCAGAGTAAAGACGTGCAAGTGGGCTCCTGGTTGTTTCTTTAGTAACAACTTCAGGGGAAGAAACATCAAGAGGAGACAGCACGCTCCACAGGCGTTGCCTTGGTTGACGCCGTGGCGAGCCTCCCGAACCTAAACCGCCTAAACCATTCCCATGTCCTTGTCCACCGCCGTTGCTGTGTGCATAAGGGTAATTGGTACCATGTGCGCCAGAAGTCGACAATTGTGCCGACGACCCGGACGGGAAGGCGTACATGGTCGCGGAGGGCGGGTGGGACATGGGGTCGGGCGAGGGCGCCAGGGGGATCGATTGGGTTGCTTGATCCGGATTCTCGTCGTCGCTTATCTCGAGGATAGGACTTGCTTCGGTCAGATCCATACGTATAGACGACGGCCGTTTCTTCAGTCCTGCACCACCATTCCCATCCCTCACAGGCGACCTAGAAGGCGTTGCGTCCCTCCTTGTCGACCTGCTCCCCCTTCTCGACTTCCTGCTCTGCCCACCGCTCCTCTCCTCCTTGTTCACACTGCTCTTACTCTTCATTGTCTCCCTCGAATGCACGGACTTGAGCGCCGGGCCATCCTCATCTTCTTCTTCACTAGACCACAGATCACCGACAACCTCATCATCCTCGCAGACTTCAAATATCGCCTCCCACAACTCACTTTCCACACTTCCCACCACAGCTTCGACAAGCGGCATATGCCTTAGATGCCTCGGCAAGCTGTTGTAAAACCCCTGCGCGACATCTTTGAACGCTTCGCGTAGTTTCCCGATGGATGGCGCACCGGAGGAAGTGTAGAATCCCGAGGCGAGGTAACGCTCGTAGAGAGCGATGACAATGAGTTGGGGCAGGGAAGTGACGCGGATGAGGAATACGTTGAAGGTGTGGAGCTGGCGTGGCGTGAGGAAAAAGGATGAGGGTTTGAGGAGGAGGAAAGCAAGTAGGTTGAAGGGCGGTTGATAAGAGAAGAGGGCGTCGGATTTGACACTGCAATCTGGATGAGGGCCTGAAGGGAGGATATGGTCCGGACTTTGACGTACCCTTCGACGGTAGAGATCGTGTACTGGAACAGGCACTCTTTGGTAGCATTCTGCATGGAGCGTGTCAAGAAACCCCGATTGTGCGACAAGAGATGCGAGAACTCACTGCATCAATCCTTGCCACCGTATTCGACAAAATAGAAATCAGAACTGCGACACCGCTTAGTTCCCTGATGTACCCAAGTGCAACTCGGTCACTTACTAGTTAACAAAAGCGTATTGGAAAGGGCCGCAAACGCAGTCATGAGAATAGGTCCCCATAGTGGATGGAAACTTGAAGCCTGGTCGAAGCTGAGTGACGTGTTACCGAACCAGATTTGGACCATGAGCCAAGCGATAGAGGCTGCGGACCAATCCTTGCCTTCGGGGTTGTCGGCGGCTGCAAAGATTTAGGTTAGGAGACTGTCGCGTGCAGGAAGAGGCGCTGACATACCAAGGGTCCATAGAGTGAACAACAATCCGGAGAAGCAGATAGCAGCGATGGTGATGAAGAATGCGAATTGAACTATCATTGCTCGTAGAGACCTGCCTCACTGTCAGTGTTTGATGCTCTGGTACATGTGAAGGGCCTACAGGATGACAAGATTGTCCGAGACGAAGAAGAATGCCAATCTGGCGTGCCTCCGGTTATCATGGGTGTTATACAGTCAACGATGTCCCCATACCGAGGGAAGAGGATGCATGCCCCACAAGCAAGTACATCAAACGCCATTGCAGACGTTTCCACTGCAGCACAGATGGTTTTGTAAGGCGGGACGTAGGACGAAAGAATAAGGAGCGTACAGTTGCCATTGGATAGACCCTGGATTCTCAACACGACATACGCGAGGAAGATGAGGATGAACGTAAAATCGAACGCGTTCCAGATCTACAGTAGATCCCAATACAGTTCAACTTGACGTCGAGGTAACAAGGGGACGAGATACCTACATTCGCGATGTAAACTGCAGATTGGGGGTCATTTAGTTTTAGCCGCCCGGCCAATATGCGAGGAACAAAACACGCACTGATCCATCCATGTCCAGTCGAAGCCGTGTATTCCTCGAGTGTGAAAGCTGCCGCAAACACGATGAATACTAGTTCGTAGGGTGTCACTTGGGACTTGTCCTGATCTGTCGGCACGGAATAAAGTTATTTTTCTGCAAATGAAAGGTTCCGTGACGTGACATGACACGAGGAATACGGGAACAAGGACAGGAAGCACCGCTCAAGGGGAAAAACTGAAGACGGGCGGAGATGAACGAGACATGTAGGCGTGGAGTGGGTGTAGTGATAGCGGTAAAATAGGGTCAGGAGTGGAGATTGGGCAAGTGTCAAGGAAGAAGAAACACCCAAAACGGTTGAACGTACTGGAGAGACATAGCATGAACATGACCAGTAGAATGGCGAAATTAATGAACTCGAGGTAGTTGCCATATTGCGGGACCCGAAGACTATCGGGGTTGACGGTGAGCATGAAAACGTGCATGTCACGTTGCAGGATAGGAGTAGGAAATGCCAGAGAAATTATATCAGCGTCAGAGTATTGCGCGGACGGGAGAATGGGACGTACCGATAATGGTCCAGCCAGGAAGAGCGCTTAGGGTCGTAGATCTCTATAGCTCTCGACTTGTAATTGTCTGCCAGGAGTGAACGATTTGCTGCAACCGTGAAGACAACCCGCCCAGCATAGATATCATTGACTACTTTCTGGGTAACAGTTGAAGCCAAAAAGTCTTTGGCTTCAGTCGCAATCGCCATCTAGTAAAACGCGTTCGGTTATGATCATTGTGCTTGGTAACGAGTGACGACATACCTCGATGGCACTGTGAACGGCAGGCCCAATATCGTTGTCCTTGCTGCCCATATTCATCTTCACTTCTTCTACGACCTGTTGGCTAGCCCCAGCCAGTGGGTTCCAGCTTGTTGTCAAGACAGCCACGAGTTGGATGTAATGAGTCGCGAAACGACCGAGGAGCTTAATCGCCAGGATCTCGCAGAGTGAAGCCCTCGAGACCATGACACCCGCGTACGCGAGCTCTGCTTCAGATTCTGTGAGGAAGTACTGGCGGACGACGAGACACGCATAAACGACGGATATGTTGCGCAGACGAGCATATTTGTTGACCAGTGGACGAACGATTGAAAAGTTGATATCTGCCGCTGTTAGTTGCCTGGATAGGTGCTCAGTTGTATTCCAACAGGGGTATTCGGTACGTACTCCCAGCTCAGGGCGCTGTCTGTACAGCAGGAGGTGATGAGGATAAAGCAAGGGCGGAGCAAGAGTCTTCTCGTTACGCACCAATTGTTTTCTGGGAAAGGAAATGTCAAAAAGCTTATCCACAGGTAAGATACTTCGAATGACGCATAACTTACGGTTACATCCTTCCTCAGAGCAGGAATGAGGGGAAAGACCTTGACTTTAGCAAGATTCTCTGCTGTTGGTGCCAACAAAGGCGTTGTCTGTTGCTCGGGGTCCATGGGACATGGGTGAGCAGAAAGAAGGTTAGGCTACATAGCCGCATGGGTTGTGACGAGATTGATATGGTCGGTGATGCAGGAACCGGGAAGAGATCCTGGCCATTCGGATGCCCATTTTGGCTTCCCACTGTGACAAAAGACGACAAAAAGCCCCAGCGGCGCTGGTTGTGGTCTTTTTGTGCTGCAATGATTCTATTCCCTTGCTATTGTTGTGGGTGCGGCGGGAATAGAGGGGATCAGCCCAAATGGGATCAAGGCAAGATTCGCCGCCTGTCCAAATCCGAAGTGCCTTGTACTTTTTCCACCTCCAATCCTTATCCTTAAATTAAACTACTTATACCAATCGCCCGCTCTTTTCCATACCCACACCTTACAGTCTCTTTTTTCTCTTCTCTCTTTTCCTCTTATCTTTACTTCTCCTAATTCACGAAGCATGGGATGCTGTTTCTCTGAGCCAGTAGATTTCGACGGCGAGGTCAACCTCTATCACTTTGACCTCCACCGCGCTGTGGGGAAGGGCGCTTTTGGAAAGGTCCGTTCTGCTTCGATTTGCCAGAACCGACATGACCACTAATCTCGCTGTCCAGGTCCGCGTTGTTGAACACAAGCGATCCAAGAAGCTCTATGCCCTCAAGTACATCGACAAGACACGCTGCATAAAACAGAAGGCTGTCGCGAACATCATCCAAGAACGGAGATTGCTCGAAGAAGTACGCACATTCCAGCATGTTCTTCCCACTTCTTGTCCCTGACGATCCTACCCTGCCCACATTCAGATCGACCACCCTTTCGTCGTCAACCTGCGCTATGCATTCCAGGACGACGAGAACTGCTTTTTCGTCCTCGACTTGATGTTGGGTGGCGACCTCCGATGTTCGTCCGCCGTTTGCTTGCATTTTCTTACATTCCACTCAACGTCCAACCAACAGTCCACTTGGAACGCAAAGGCCACATCCCGGAGAACGTCGTGCGATTCTGGGTAGCTGAGCTCTCCAGCGCGGTTGACTACCTGCACCGACAGCGGATAATCCATCGGTACGCGCCATCTCACCATTCCACCTCTTCACATGTTCGCTAACGACCGCCTTGATCCTAACAATCATAATCATATGGCTCCCCTGTCCCCCTGACTCTATCCCCGGCCTCCTACACCGCCCCTCGCCCCTCTGATTCACATTACACAGTGATATCAAGCCCGACAACATCCTCCTCGACTCGGAAGGTCATGCCCACCTCACCGACTTCAACGTCGCAATCCACTACTCCTCGTCACGTCTACATTCCTCCGTGGCTGGCTCCATGGCCTACATGGCACCCCAGGTGGTGTCACGGAAGGGATACAGTTGGCAGATTGATTGGTGGAGTTTGGGAGTCACAGCCTACGAGCTGATCTACCACAGGCGACCGTTTGATGGTCGGAATGCAGAGAAGATGACACAGAGTATCATGAAGGATACATTGAAGTTCCCTGGAAGGGAAAGCGGAGAGGACGAGAAAGAGAGGGAAAAGGAGTCGTGGTGCAGTGACGATGGGGTTAGCGCTTTGAGAGCGGTGAGTGACATCGGATGATCTCCTTTGGCGAATCTAATTGGCTATCGGTTTACAGTTCATCGAACGAGACCCTCATCAGCGCCTAGGTTGCAAACCGGACGCACGCGGTTTGGAAGATGTGAAACGACATCCGTGGTTTAGAAAAATCGACTGGGACGCGCTCGAGAGCAAGACGATCCAGCCACCGTTTGTACCTGACGTGCGTCTCGTTCCTGTCTTCTTTGGCCACCATCTTTTCCCCCATACATTTGGCGCCCACATACCCACTGTCGGAGTTGCCACACCCGTGCATCAATCATTCTTCCCTGCTTCCACTTTCCCATATAGACGTTTATCGAGAGCGATCGTACTGACGCGAAGCTCGCGTATGAACAGATGAAGCAAGCCAACTTTGACGTCTCACACGAACTGGACGAGTTCCTCATGGTCGAAAAGCCGCTTACCCACTCCAAACGAAAGGCCAACCCCGATCTCGAGAAAATGAAGCCTGAACTGCGTCAACTGGAGGAGCAGTACGTCCTGGTCTTCATTTCTTCTACTAACACTAATGCACTACCTCAGATTCACCGTGTATGACTTTACATCTTCCAAACGCCTGTCTTATTACCCCCACAACCAGCCCATAGTTGCACTCACAGGGACCGAGTCTGGTGACACCGACCGGACGCTGGCGGGTACGATTATTGCAACGCAGACTATGGTTGAGCGGAGTCAGGCAGGATCGCCTATCCAGGGCTTGGAGAGCCAAGGAGGGTATGACGGAGGTTACCAGAGGCATCAAATGTCGATTGATCAGCAGAGAGGGTACACTGGGAGTGTAGGTGTGGGTAGTACGAATGGGCATGCAAGGAGCGGGAGTACAAGGACATACGAAGGAAGTCAACACCAGCAAAGAAGACAGTCGATCCAGTATTCAAGGCCGCAGAGGCCGCAACATGCGCATATTCAACACCAACAATATCAGCATCCGTCACAACCACGGCCGTCCTCGTAAACGCATTATATCTCAAGTCCCTGAGAACTTGTTATGATCTGGCTATGATATTCACTCACATTTGCGGTTATGGCTTTGGGTGAGTATCTTGTTCCTTTTGCGCCTGGGGATGGGAAGCTGATGTGTTCCTGGGCGCTATAGGTTGTGTTATGCGCTCCGGGCGGACGTACACTCGACTATGGAGTACTTTCCTATATCCATGCATCCAGCTTTCTTTACCATACATTTTGTGCCCTCTTAATACCTTTTTCTACTCTACCCGTCTACTCATATCATGCTTTCCCCGGCTTCTACATCATATTTGACCCTGCACACACCCTCATGTTTACATTCGACATCTTCGCATCATCTGCATTCTTCATACTTTTCGATTTGTACTGCTTCAATCCTACTTGCACCGCACCCATCCACACGCATACTCACTTCACTATTCCACCTAGTATACGAATTACGACGACTCCCCTTTTCTTTGATTCTTGTCTACGATCATGTCATACCCCCCTCCTTTGCTATCCTTGCTATCGCAATTCCGCTCACCCGCGTTCCGCAGGCATGTACATACACATAAACATCTGTACCATTATTCGTCGTTGTCGTGGTTCTACGTATTACTTTTCCTTTCCCCTCCTCCCCTGTTTTTCTACTCTTCGCTTCGCCTCGCATGAGACGCTGGATTTGCAGTTCACAACTTCTATCATTTACATAGCTTATTTCCCTCCTTTACGTTGTGTAATTTTAGGTAGATGGTATATGGAATTCTTTGGAAATCGGAACCAGTAAGAGTTGAGGTAGCCAACACACGCTGAGCAGTTTGCATTGCCCATTGGTTGAACAGCGGCGATTGCGGACATCAAGAGGGGTACAAAGAAGGGGTCACTGGAACTTCTTTCTGCGGAGAACTCGGTGTTGAACGTCAGGAGAATACAAAGGTTGACACGTACTTTGTGTGCTGTTTGACATGGACCTCAGGAGGCTCCTAGCAACGTCGAGCCCCTTGTACCAGGGTCTTTGGTCGCCATTCGCGAAGCTCGAGAAGCTGGAGCATTCAAACAAAGGCCACGTAAATATAGGGCAGGTACCTTCATGCTCGAACGGGTCGTCCATTGTTACCCCGGCTCAGTGGGGTGCGTCAGGTGTGAGTTCAATGTATTCAGTACATAACACTCGTTGGAGAATGCGACACGGCTTCTATTTGCTATGGAGACACCCACGACGTAGAGGGTAGTAAGGAAAACCATGAAGCCAGGTCAGAGTAAGAAGTTAGCCCCTATTGTGGGATTCAGATCACGTCGTTCAAACTCTCCTGCCGCGTGAATCTCCGCACGTCATCTGCGCTCGCATGTCCGAATATTGCCATAGCACACGCTTCCCCAGGACTACACGCTCAGTGGATGGAATGAGGCTCGTAAGTTCCGCCAGATTGCCAAGCCATACCATTAGGGGCTCTCCAATTGGGCGACGCGTCCATCAATTGCTGTCAGTCCGCAGGCTTTCACGCAGCTCTTCATCGACAACCTCTTCTTCCCTCTTCCCTTCCACAACCGCAGTCGTTTCCTCCTCTTCGACAGCCACCAGATCAGTACTTGGACTTAACCCAGGGCGTATCTTCACCCCAACATTCGCACCACGGACGTCAGAGATTAGTAGACGCAGCAAACATACCAAAGCGTCTCCTACCAAGAGAACTAGGGAGATCAGTCGGAGGAAAGTCAGGCTTGGAGTAGCTGCTACAGCCACGGAGGCCATGTCGGACAGAATCAGTGAAAACGACGACCAGTGGGAGTCTGATCACGAGAGCGTCGATGAGAGGTACTGGGTCAAGTTGGAGGACGTGAAGACGCTGGAGGTGTTGTACAAGGAGGGTGCGTTGAGGGTGACGCCAGGCCCTGGTGCTGCGGGTACTGAGGGGTCGTCTACCGACGAAGGGGCAAAGGATAAAGCAGGGTACGAACCCAATGCAGAGTTCTTGAAGAAGGTCTCGCTTTTGTGTGTATTCATATTCAACTCCTCTGTTCACAGAGAATGGCCTGAACTGATTACTGGTCTCGATTTCAGCCAAGGCGATATCACGAAGCTCCAGGTTGACGCCATTGTAAATGCTGCGAATAAGAGTTTGCTCGGCGGGGGAGGGGTGGATGGAGCCATCCATGCTGCTGCGGGCCCCAAGCTATTGGCGGAATGTAAGCAGCTGAATGGTGCGAGGACGGGAGAGTCAAAGATTACGAGGGGATATGATCTGCCTGCGTATGTTCCTCTTTCTCTCCGTGGTGTATGCCTGGTTGATGCTGAATATTCGCTTGTAACAGTCGACACGTTATCCACACAGTTGGACCCGTCTACAATGCATCGCAGCCGGAGGAGAAGGCGGAGCTCTTGAAGTCCTGTTACAAGACTAGCTTGGAAGTTGCCGTTGAGAACGGGTTGAAGCATGTGGTACGTATACAGTTGCGTCTCTCCGCAGTCCAGGCTCACTCAAGGCCTCGTGCGGACAGGCCTTCCCGTCTGTTTCGACGGGCATCTATGGGTACCCCATTGTCGATGCTACCCACATCGCAATCAGGACTACAAGAGAATTCCTGGAAGGCCCTGACGGAGACAAGGTATGTCTCTCTCGTCAATTCTTATGTCCTACAGCTCTAACCCCGGAGCGCAGCTGGATAGAGTCATCTTTGTCGTGTGGAGCAACACTGATAGGGAGACCTACGAGTACGTTGTTGACTGAGTGAACTCTTCCCGCCTCGACTCTGATGTTTTTGTCCAGACAACTTCTACCAGAGTACTTCCCTCTTGCATCATAAAGCTCATAGTAATCCTCACCGAAATAAATACGAAAGAATCTGTATGTACGTAGCTCTTACGAGCGGGGCCCCTATCCCCTCCAGTTGCTTCCGCCCCGGATCAAATAAGTGTTCCCACGAGCGAGTTGGATTCGGCGCCAGCACGATCATTTGCGAGTAACTTGTCAGAGGGAGAGAAGACATATGCTCTCCCTCCGCAACCGCGTCCAACATGCCTCCTTGCCGCACATATTCCACAAAACTCCCCTTGCAATTCTCGCCGACAACCTCGAGCAGATTCTCAAGGCCCAATGCAAAGGTCCCCGGCCCACTCCCTCCGTAAAATACCCCCTCGACAACAACAAACTTCCAAGGTCGAAGAGATATCGCTATCCCAATGCAACACCACCAGTGCGGAGGAAGGATATGGTTCGGAAGGACGGGTATATGAGCATCAGTCGCCTGCTGCAACATCCTAGCCTGAGGCGCTATGGCTTTCGCGAGCTGTTCGATGCGACGCGGTTTGACCCTGAGAGACGGTTTCAAATCGTTTATGAACCTGATTCTATTGGGAGCCTGGATGCTGGCGCGTATGGAACCTATCACAGTGGGTCGAATGGCTTGGGAGTTACGGTCGACGGGGCAGGAGAAGGCGGGGTCTCGAGTTCTGCTAGTGGGAGTATTGGGATTTCAGAGGGAGTCGACACAGGGTCTACGGTTCCCGAGATGTGGTGGATTCGACTGAGGCGGGGCTACTATCAAGAATTCGATATGCGCCTGAAGAGGATAACGCATCCGCAAGAAGTCAATGTTGCTATCCATGTCACGACACCTGAAGCTTGGGAGGACATTAGTGCGTTTTTCTCATCGCAGTTGCCAAAAGATATATTCATTAAAACGCGTCTCATAGAAAGAGTCGGGTTAACGCGCCAATCATTCCCTTACATTCAATTCCACTGTGGCATCCCCGGTGCAGAAACCCTCAACCTCCCAGATACAACGGGATGGACGTCCTCGCCTTACTCATCCGCCCTTCACGAACCCATGTTGGCCAGCGGATTCTACACGAAAGAAGTCCTGGAAAAGATAAAATGGGTCCAACGGATAGAGAGGAAACAGAGAATGGATCAGAAATGGAGGAAGCAGGAATTGGAAGCGCCAGATCCGACGAAAGCGTTTTCATGGCCTTCATTCTGGTCGGCGTCCTCTACCGCAAAATCTAGCCCTCCCTCGTCATCCCCCTCGTCCTCGTCACCCAGCCCATGCCAGTCCACTTCCTCACCACCAATACCAACGCCAGCGCCATCGCCCTCACCTCAACCCCCACCGACACACAAAGTCCTAATCTTCCTCAATTTCAGAGACGCCCTCCGCAGTGGGATCAAATTCTACCAGTCCAAACAGGACAAACGCGTGCTTCTAACACCGGGAGACGAGAATGGGTGTATACCGCCCTGGTTGTTCAGGAGAGTGCACAAAGTCCAAATAGCGAGGCAGAGGGTGTTGGCTCGTCCGAGTGGAAGTTCGTCGGAAGGAGTTGGTGGCCGTGGGTCAGCTTCGACCTGGGGAGAAGCGAAATCCTTGGAAGTGCAAGGTGCAAGTGCTACAGTTACCGGTGTAAATGAAGCGGACTCGACGGCCCGGGCTGCTTCTGATTCTCCCGAACACAGCGACCAGACAAAACCTAACCGCGAACAGTTGAGACCGACCCCTGCCGCAGACACCCAGCCCCCTCATCGATCGGAGTTAGTCGACGTGGATGTGGAGGTTTCCCGTGAAGAGATAGAATTCGACCGCTCTGTCCCACCGGGCAAAGTGGAGGTCACGGAGACAGTGTATGAACATGAAGAGCTCGCACCGATAGTCGAAATTGAGGACGAGTTTGAGACGGAGAAGAAGGACGCAGAGGAGAGGGTGCCAAGAGACGAAGACGAAGGTTGGGATGAGCAAAACCCCAGGAGCGAGGTGGCGGGGCGCGGAAGTGAAGGGGACAAGGATGGGGCAGTTTGGAAGGAAGTTTCTGAAGGCCAGAATGTCAAGGAAGGAGATGGGGAGATGGGCGTTCACAGAGACGACGGAGCGGGCGAGGTGGCAAGCAGAAGATAGGCAAAGGCACTCCGCGCAAATCTCATTCTCTCACACGACTCTATCCTATGACCTCCTGCTTTGCCAACCAAAAGTCACAATATATCGTACACGCGTCGTAGCTTTACGGGACTAATGATAATACAGACTACTTAGAATACAAGAGCACTTCTTTGACACACACGTCAATCCGATATCTCGTACACCTCAGCAGGTTCAACAGCCATTCTCGTCCGCTGGCTCTGCGGTTTCGAACGTGAAGGTCTTTCATTCACACCTCTTTCATCATCGTTATTCCGTTCGCCTTCTCGTCGCTTCTGGGACTTGGTCAGTTTCCTACCGCTCATCGTATGTTCAGCTGTCCTTCCCTTCGTCCTAGTTCTCAATCCCGACACAACCATCGCGTCAAAGTCAATGTCGTCGCTATCCTCGTCATTCGAAGGAGTCGGTGAACGCGAAAAAGACATTCGCCGCGGTCGAACGCGTCGTCGAGGAACGGATTTATTTTCTTTAGTATCCTCTCCTCCATCTTCGCCTTCGATTTCGACCTCTTCTACCGCCCGACTCAGGGTTTGTGTCTGCCGGACATTCCTCGCAGTTACATTTCTGGTGCGTGGAATAGTTGGATGCAAGTCCACCGGCATATGTGGCCGAACGTCTTCGTCTCCAGACGAATCATGCGATGTCGTGTCCAGGAGGTCCACTATCTCCGGTGATTTAGGGCGAGGCCGGGAGGCAGGACGAGAGGAGCTCGTCTTTGCAGGGCTAGTGGTTGGCCTGGTGGTGGAAGGCACTCGTGATGGACCAGTTCGGGTATTAGCATTGCTGCTATTGCCGGCCTTGCTACCTACTCTGGCATGTCCCCGACCCTTGGGTTGGCTCTGAGATTGTCTCTCGAATTGTGAAAGAGGGAAAGGCATCTCAGGTGCTACATCCAAGACTTGAATCGACGCTGTCGATTTATCATCCTCGTCAGAGTCGGAGATGGCGATCACCTCAGACGACTGGGGCTGGCTTTGCCTCCAAGACGGTGGAGGGACTCTGCGCTGAGATGAAGGAGGAGGACGGGACCGTGGTTTAGTAGGTGAAGATGTGGCGGTTTCTCGCCGTGAGGCTCTGATTGGGGATGAGGAATTTGCGAGAGTGTGAGACGAAGCGGAGGTCGGTAGGGTTTTCGATTTGGATTTCGAAGGTGAAGCCTCTGGGTGCTTGGAAGGGCTACATGAACTCGCTGACTTGGACTTGGACCCGTCACGTTTATTCTTCTTAGCGCTTGCTGCTAAATCTGCGGCGATAATCGTTTTGGTCGTTCTTGTAGCGGCAGTCGCGGAGTTGTGTTGGTCGATAAAAGCTGCAGTCCTCCTTTCGACCTCCTCCAACTCGCGTAAATCTTCACTGTCGAGTATAGGGAAATCGTCGAATTCGTCGTCGAAAATGTCCGCTTCCATTCGAGTATCATTGAGATTCCCTTTGTCCGTCGGCAAGTCGGATACAAAAGTATCCTGAATGTCTGGAACGAGTTCCAGTGGCTCGCCGAAAACAGGTGGTCTTTCCAAGACACTGGTAACAGCGGAGGGCTTCGGTTGACGCGTTAAGAGTGTAGGTTCTTCGTTCTCGTCTTGACTCATCGGATAATCGTCGTCAATTTCGATAGTTTCTTGGTGGACCTGAGAAGTGGGTACTTTGGAAATGTTGGATGGAGCGCTGGGACGTACAGGAGGGTTGCTTGCAAGGGCTTCCTGCTCGATTTGGTCCAATGCTTCCCAGTCAAAGTCATCTTCAAACCCTCCACCAGGTGACGATCCTGGTGTGACAGGTTTAGGCAAGGTCGGTGCGGTTTGCCTTAGTGTGGGTGATAATGCCATGCCAATAGCCCGAGAGCTGCTGGATGGAGCACCGTTGTTGTTGAAGTACTGGGAGGTTACTGTAGCAGTAGCGGTGGTACGAGAGACGCTGGCGGAGGATAAGATCGTGCTTGAAGTGTTCGGAACGCGTCGACGCTTGTCCTCGAGGTTAGCATCTTCGTTGGACCATTGGACCGCGGGTGGAGGGGAAGGAGGGACTATTTCTTGAAGCGATGTGCGCCGTACAGCCTGCGGGGAGGGGATCGGAGCTGGGATATCTCCTGGAGCCTGATCTTCTGCCGGTTGAGGTTCCTCTTCAGGATCCAGACTAAGGAATTGCGATTAAGCAGAATTTGCCAAATAACGACATGACATACACGCACCCCAGTCGTCGTCGCAAGCCTTGTTTGAACTGGAAATCTTTGCGAGCATTCTCAACGCTATTTCCACCTTTCAGAAATGTGTTTATTGGTTCAAGGTGCGCTACGCCCTTGACTACCTTGACGTCCTTCAGTTGCATCTGGTCGCGTGTCAGCAGACGAACATTGGGATACCGCGCATGCAGTGACATACCTTGAACCCCAAAGGAGTGGTAAGCAAAGACAGCTGCGGCAATGGCTTGTATTCCATCGCCTTGAATGTCGTAAAACCATCACTCAGATGAAACATCAACGTTCCTCTAGGATATTTGGGCATTGGCCCTTCGTCGCCTTCAATCTCCAAGTCTCCGCCGTCGCCTTCCATATCTTCTTCCACCTGGACCGGCTGCCCTCCATTCCGTCTCATAAGCGTTTGTATCCGCTCTTCTCTCGCTTTTCGAACTTGTTCTAGTTGGAATGCACTGATTCCTACATCGGTGAGATCCTTTATCTCCACCAATACGGGAGGTCCTGAGATTCGGGTGGTGGTCTCCATATTGGATATAGCGGGAGGGACGCCCGTGTCCTGGATCGTGGAATCGTACAAATCAGATTTGAGCAGCTGGGATTCGATTTCTTCGAGGACATGTTGGGGTAGGGATCCTGGAGGTAGATTATCCATTACCCATTCGTGACAAGCTTCTAGCCATTTCTGATTTTCGTTGAAATTCCGTCAGAATTAACAGAAGCAGGCATGGTTGTCTGATTAGCATTCAGCAACTCGGAAATGTAACTGAACATACGCGATAAATCTTGGGCTTTGGGTATTTTTTGTCCAAGTAGTCCACTATATACTGAGGGACCTCGTTCATGGCGATGATAGTTGAAGAACAAAGAGCCACTAACTTTTACGACGCGACCGTGACGCGCCTCGTGTTATGATGCCGCGCTTGATGGAACTGATGGCCAACTCTGGCGTCTCTCATGTCACAAATCCAGAAGAAAATATGGCCATGCGGCTACTACAGTACTTTTATGATTGGGATGCATAATAGAAACAGACTATCTATCTGAATCTCTATTCCATCTCCACATCGCCGTCTTCGTCCTCACTACCTATATCCTCCCACTCTTCACCGCCCTCGTCTGCATCCTCGATAGGGGATGGTTTTATGCCCATGGAATCGAGTTTCGCAACAAGTTCTTCACAGTGGTCGATGATAGGTTTATCAGGGTGGTCTTGATTTCGGTGCAGCTGAAGGCTGGATTAGTCCCCATCGCAACACGGTATTCTAGATCACATACCACTCGACATGTCTCGAGACAATCCCGAGCATCCTTCGCCAGTTCCTGCCATGTCAATCCATCATAGCTTCCACCTTCTTCCTCAGCTTTTTCCGACATCAGGTAGAAGCACCACCCCTCCAGATACCATGCCTCGACGTCTTGGTCATCGGAAGACATAATGCCATGAAGTACGAGAAGGGCCGGGGCGTAGAGAGCAAGTTCAATGAAAAGTTTGACGAGAGAGAGGCGATTGGGAATGGGAGGTATTCGGGGATCATCTACGGGTGAATGTGAGCTTCCTAGCGTCCTGTGTCCTGTGTCCTCCAGTAGCCGATGAAAACCTACCGAGATCAAGGTCTTTCCACAGACCCCAAGCCTTCTCCAAAATCTGTTTCGCATCGTCCGGTCTCTGCTGAGACATTCTGACAGAAGCCAGAGTCTGCAGGGCCTCCGGGTTATCGGGATCAGTCTGGAGAGCGAGATTCAACAGATCTTCGCATGTTTTTTCAGCTTCAGGTTCGAAGCTTGCAGACGGCTATTAGAACGAGATAAAAAACATACAGGTAGCTCAGCTCACCATAAATCATATCTTGGATCCATCCAGAGTTCCACCTGGCCAACAAGTGCCCGCACAACATTGCTCTTCATCTCGATCTCATCTTCACTGGGAATCCCTGTAGAAGCTGGCTCTTTGCCTTTTAGCTGGGCAAGGAGGATATTCACAGCACTATTGAAGTGCTGCAAGGCAAGCCTGGGATCTTCTTCACTGAGCTGCGCGAGGTAGAGGTGCGCTGATGGAGGTGGGACTGCAGGGGCACCGGGGTTTGGTGGAATGAGCGATTCAAACACCTGCATGAGTAGCTCTAAAATTCGGTCTATGGTCATTGAAGCACTGAAAACCCACTTTTCTGGCTTCATCAATCTCTCCAGTCTCCAGTAGCGATACTCCCAACATTTCCTTCGCCTCTACATTGGTGGCATCCTGTTCGAGGATTCTCTTTGCGAATTTCAGCGCAAGTTCATAGTCGCATTGTACAATTAATTCTTGAGCTTTTTTCAAGAGAGCTTCTGTCGTCGGCGGGTTGTTGGAAGATATCGGTGTTTCCACTGTCGAAGCGGTCTCTGCTTTAGAGCGACCCTTCTTTTTTGGCTTCGTCCGACCCATGAAGAGAATGTGGTGGTAGAGATTAGGAGCCTGTTTACATAATACCCTCTTCTGCGAGACCGAGATCAAACCCCGCAGAGTCCGGAGGCAGATGTGTCGCGACTGCGAAACATGGTATTGTTATTGGGACCTAGCTAAGTACTGCACAAATCGGCTGAAGGAACTCCCGTCTTATTCACTCTCTCAATTGGCCCTGAGGAATATATTTCCACTTGGAGAAATACGCCTCTGCTTTGCCTGCACCTCCATTCGTGGTGCAGTATACCCCGAGCAGCACGCCTGAACCACATAAGCCAAGGAGGAGGAGATATGTAGACATCACACACCAGTAAAGCCCCAGCTGACAGGGTCATTTGAAGCAACGACGATTGTCTGCAATTCGCGAGATCCAGCAGGTCCAACAGCGAACGAATAATGGGAGACGTTGGACGCTTTAACTTCTAGTGTTAAAGTCTTCCCTTTCCACGCATCTGGGACAGGGAGGACGACTGGGTCTGGTACAGGGACATAGGACTCTCCGCGGAATCGGATATGCGGAACAACCTTTCCGTTCTCGTTGGCTAGGCCAACTATGCCCATGTGGAACTGGTGGTTCTGCGTAAGGAAAGTCGTAATGCCGGCCTCTTCTTCAAGAATCGTAGGCTTAAAGTCTAGATCGACTCTGTAGGTAAAGAAAGTATGCTGTTGTCGACGAGAGACGAAGGATTGGCCTTCGGGTCCAGCATAGTTTCCATTAAGAGCTGTGAGGTTGAGTCGCGATGATTTGATGCGAAGAGTGTTCGGATGACCGCGAGGAGAGACAGCGTACGAATCAGGGATAGGGAAACGCCAATGAGTGAAGTGAGCTGGCAATTGAGACCCTGGAACGAAGTCAATGTCATCACCCTCCCCCGTGAATGGCCTGGCAGAGTTGGAACAGTCAGTAGAAGAACCTTTGGAAAATCGATGTTGAAGAGACCAACCCTACGCCTTTGATGTTCCTGTTGGGGCGAGGAAGCTTCCATCCGCTTATTTGCCCACTGATTTGGGTGAAGTAAGGCCACTCTCCTTTCTTCCAAGTAACTGGAGCAAGCACGGTTTCCCGGCCCATAGGGTAGTACAAATAGTCTGGACCACTGCGTGTAGAGAGTGCAACGCCCCACCTAAGCGACACTTTAGTCTGTTTCTCAGATAGTGTACATGGCACCTACCAGTTACCGCCTCCATCTTGGAACAGGTCGGCATGACCCACGGTCTGGACTAAAAGATGAGGTGTATAATCGTCTGTTAGGTCACAAGGAGACAAGAAATCTTACACAAGCTACTGGTGTTAGCGTTTGTAAGGATGGGGTTGGCGGGGTTCGATTCAAAGGGGCCACTCAGACTCTTCGAGCGAGCGATCGTCTCCATATGTCCGAGTCCGGTACCACCTAGTGGGAGTGTTGACAAACCCACCGTTGGGATTAGGTACTAAGAACACACCTTCTGCGGCCATAAGGTAGTAGTACCCGTCCTTTCGATAGATGTGGGGGCCTTCAGGAGCCTATCGTTCTCGCGTCAAAACCAACGATTTCTCTGTTTACATATCCGCTGCTTACCATGCCTCCCGTGCCTTTCCAGATGAGCTTCCAGTCCGAAAGCACCTCGCCTGTTTCAAGATCGACTTTCGCTTGATAAATACCGGGGCTGGAAAAGGCAAGCTCGTCGGATATCGATCGTGAATTGTCGTAGTACTCTGCTCACCTAACCTGCCACGCAAATGCAGCATTGATGTATGACTGGCCGTCGGTATCCCAGAAGGGCGATGGGTCATAGCCTTGGAACTTGAAGTGTGTTGCAACGGACCAAGAGGAGGGTTTGTATGGGTCTTTCCCCCTGAAGATAATCTGAGGGGAAAGTCAAGTTTTGAGTCCTGGAATGGAATTCTGATGCCAGGTAAGTAAATCGACGGACATTGTCCCATCTGTCGGGATCGTTTTGAGGAAGATGGTCATCGACGAGGGTGGTGACGAGATAGAAAGTCTTTTTGTGATAGCGCAGAGCTGGCGCCCATATGCCACTAGGTTCAATCCGTATAAGGTTCTGTCAGCTTTAGCTGTGAGATAACCAGACCTGGTGGATCGATTCGTTTCTGCGAGCCTGGGAAGTTGCTCTCGTCGATTGAGTACATGTCCTAGACTGTCTTCAGGACGAGCTCAGATTAATCAATTCGAGAAAACTCACCAATTAGCTTCCAGTTCTGCAAATCTTTGCTTGCATGGATCGGGATGCCAGGAAATGCATTGAAGCTAGATGAAGCGCAGAAAAAGGTCTCATCCCACTCCTTTACAAAGATGCAGCTTGGGTCAGGATGGAACCCAGGAAGCATAGGGTTGTGAAACGTCGAGTTCCTGGAGAGTAGCTTCTGCCCCAGGGTCGGTGCTAGAAGGAAAAAGAGGCTCAAAAGGCCCACGACGAGACGATTCATCTTGCAAACTGCCCAGAGAGATAGAGGGGGGATTTCCCAAGGCAATAGCCAGGCATTTCGACACTGTGGAGCTTCTTAAGAGGTTTTGAAAAGTACATCATGGGCATGTGGTCGGAGAAACACTGGAATTCGTAGAACCAGTTCCAGCTTCGCTGTTGACAATGGTGGTGGAACGCAAGCTTCGTTTGGCTCGAATGAGGCTAACGGAGGCTGATGGCGGGAAAGCACGGACCGTCGAGGTCCGAAACGGGTAACACACCAGTCGACGAGGCCAGCAGGTCTTGCAGTAGCGACGACCTTTTCACCTTTGACCGTCAAGGCTATGGCTATTGAGACACGTTAATTGCGACCCTCCAATCAGCTCTAAGACTCTTCTCCTGCTGGATGGTCCATACCATGGGTCCATCAATCTTCGAGTACTCTCACAGGGATCCCAAGCCGGAGGATGGTCTGTTTCTTGAACGATTGGAGTCGTTCATGAACAAGTGTCTGGCAGATATCAAGGCGTTTTCCGAGAGAGAGCTGCGTCCATTTGAAGAGGTCTCTCTAGTTCCATTCGTGCCGCCGTTGGGCATCCTAATACCCTCTTCATTTTTCCCCTATGCTAGACACGACGCTCTGTGGCGGAATGGCATGCTAAATATCTCTTTCAGCCTTTGACTCCCGGCGACAATGCTTCCATTTCGCTATCTTCGGACAGAAGACAATACGGTGCGTCTTTACGATATAGATTTCTATCGCGTGTTCTTATAACCGCCCCATAGTCCGATCCATCCTGATGGACACCTCTCGTATTCTGGAAAATCTTGCCGAAACCTCTGGCGTCCAGTCATTCTTCTTGGCAATAGACCCTCAGGATAACCTAGACCCTGGATTTTTGGGTGGGTCGCTGCGTGGTCGAGAGTTTTGGCGGGGCCTAAGAGGAGGAGGCGAACCCGGAGCCAGAGCTTTCAAGCAATTTTGTTTGAAATTTGAGCAGGTGGCGGAGCACCCGAGCGCTCTAAGCGACCCTTATGGATCCCCTCAGACCCCGCAACCATCGACCAGTGTTAAACAGGATGCAAGAACCATTAAATCGGATCTCTATGACACAGTTCGAACCTTGCTCAGGTCTGTCATCGGATACCCCTTGATTCTTTGCATTGTGAGTCTCATATGATATCCTTACAGGTCAGTCAGTGGGATTCGGACTGCTGAGATGAAGTGGACCAATCCTGAAAGGTTGGATCTATACGGAGTGCGCCTTGTAGGATGGCCTCCGAATATACCATCGCAAAACCCCTCGACTTTGAAAGTGAATCAGAATAAGCAACTCCTTGACTCTTTCAAGAGTGGCGCCACAAAGTTCGAAAGACTGGCTATCACGGAACAGGAACCTCGGAGTACCTCCTTGCCAGTTGAAAATCCCTCCGAGGACTTCTCTTGGGCTTATGATCCCGATGCCGTCCTCCCCGGTACCGTAAGTGGACTATCCTGGTCCCGCGCTTGTCTCTGTCGTTGACGCCCTGGACCAGGATAATCTACCAACACATTCGACCCATCCTTCGACCTCGACCAGCCATGTCACGTCTGGCCTCTCCTCCCTCTCTAGGGACTCACCAAGTTGGCCCTCGCACACTCAGTCTCGTGAAGCCACACCTTTGGAGCTTTCAAATACGCTTGTTCTTGACCCATGGAATAATTTCGATCCTGCCTCGCTGTATGAAAGCGAACCTACCTTGACTCCGACTCCTTTGGAGTGGTATGACGAGGGTCTACGGTATCGCAAGCGTCCACGGAACGATAGTGGTGATGATGTCAAGTAATAACTTCTGCCCCCTTTCGCGTTTATAGATATAGAGCACGGACATTTGTCTTTTAACTTTGTACAATCATACGACTCACGGCGCCCGAAATTGTTAGAGATCATGCAATGAGGCGGATGTCGAAAAGGAGTTGGCACGACCAAATAAAAGACATGTGGTTCCAAGCTCAGGGTCCAGTTGGGGCTTGTTTAAAGCCGCCACACCTTCGCGTTTTTCACGTCTGCCAGTTACGACCAACCCCTCGTTCTTCTTGATTTTATTTCTTCATAATGTTTTCCTCTCTCTTCTCGTGAGTATCGCCCTTTTGTGCCCAAGATCTAACTTTTGACGACCCGACGCAGTGCTGCCCCTGTTGACCCCCACGCTCCTAATTTCTTTTCTGCAACTACCAATGTCCCTGAAAACGAGCTCTTTGGACCATTAGAACCTAAGGATACGGAATGGCTCTGTGCTGGAGGTTTCGTAACGGAGACGCAGACGTTTTACACGATCACTGACGATGGAGTCTCGATAATGTGTCAAGTCATTCACTCCGCGACTGGGCAAGTCTCATCGATCATCATCGATTTGTAGGAATCGTATTGACAGTCTACCCGTGCACCTAGAGTCTGGTATCCCACCGTCCAATTCACCTTCAAGGTCCACGATCCCAAGACTGGCAAGACGATCTGGAAATCTGTCAATGTCTCCAACTTCACCTCATCACCCCCTGGCCTCGACAAACGCTCGTGCAAAGCCGACGAATTCACCCTCACCTACAAGCCAACAAACAATCCTGAATACCCCGAGACCTACGTCGTCAATGCCAACCTTGCTGCTGACCTCCAATTTTCAATGGAGTTCCAGAGGATTGGAACTGTACCAGGATGGAAGCTCGGCAAGGGACCCAAGGCAGGGTATTCCTACTTTGGGCCCGACCTTGAGAAGCCTGAAGGCTATGTGATTCATCGCTTCTGGCCTCGTTTCAAGGCTTCAGGTCATATCATCTCCGAGGGCAAGGCTGACACCGTTCAGGGTGTCGGTATGTTCATCCACGCCATCCAGGGCATGCGCCCTAACCTCGTTGCTTCGGCATGGAACTTCCACCACTTCGAAAGCGAGGAGCTCGGCGGTGTCTCTGCTCTTCAAATGGAATTCACGACATGCGATACCCATGGCAAGAAGGGTTCAGGTTCTGGACGAGTCTCCGTGAACATTGGTTCATTGGTGATCGGCAACAAATTGGCTGTCATCACAGCAGAGACTGCATGGCCTGGAGAGGCACGACCAGCCGATCCCAGCGTTATCTCGCGCACGACCCACCTCGACACCCAGTTCGACCAAGAAACCGGATACAAGAAACCAAGCCGTCAGATTGTCGAATGGAAGGGACCTTCCATCCTCGCCGATGCTCCGGGAACCGTCACTGGCAAAGTAGAGGTCGATGTTGGCGATGTCGAAAACCCCAAGGGTTTGATTGAGAAGATCGACGTTCTGGCGGAAATTCCTTACGTCTTGAAGGTCGCCGTCAACTACGTTGCCGGTACCAAGCCCTACATTTACCAGGTGAGCAGCCACGTTGTTGTATTCTCGGTGAAACCTCGAGCTGACTGACTGGTTTCAGTGGATAAATCCCGCCAAGTTGCATATTTCTGGGCCTGATGCCATCGCCCCCGGACTCTCGAGCGGTATTGACGTCAACGGCACGCTCTACTCTGAATCTACTTTCATCTCCTAATGCTCTGCAATACTACCTTGCTCGTTTACAATGATACTCTTGATGTATGTACAACATAATAATTCAACGGTTCGGGTTCTATCGATGTGCAAGTCTGGACCTGCCTTTGTAGGATCCCCATCCTGGTGTGGTATCCAGGAGAAGCGCTCATTATATTCAGCACGTCTAGAACTACATACATATCACTAGGATCATCATAGGACGCCGCGTTGACGGCGCCTATCCATGACTTGGAGAAACTTGGACTGGGAACCAATTCGGCTCCCAACTCCTTCTGCATCGCGAGGATCGTATTCGTCCTTTTCATCGTAAATATAGTCCATCCCTCCTCTGTCCCTCTCTACTGACATCACCCTCGCATACTCTAAGAACAACCTGCCGAGCATCGTCAACAAAGAATCACGGAAACGGGTTGTGCTCTAGGCTTACCGGAACATGTATGCTGTCAGGTCAACTTTCCTCCAGTGTGTCAAGCTCCATTGTCTTCCGGCTTCAGCGATCTTCTTAGCTAGCGCGGGGTGCCCCCCAAACCCTGAAGGATCACCTTGGAAGAAGTAGAGTGTATCTAGTAGGTCGGAATAGTCTACCTGGATCGGCACGTAGTGTAACCATGGTTCTACTCGATCCGCAAACCTGAAAGACCATCAGCGAACCCTCCAAAGATCCGTAACGCGAGCTCTCTCACCATTCCTCGTATATCGTTGATTTAAATATGAGGCTGTTTGACGTTATGAGTCGCTTGAACCGGGATGACCAGGCGTTTCCGTCGACCTAGGATGACAAGTCAGGCCTCGCACCGCTAGAGAGGTAAAACAACATACGTCAATGATATATTTGTATTTTCCTTGCGTCTTGAAGTCATGTTTGAGGCGGAACTCGTACTCCCGAGTCAGTCTTCTGCATGTCTCTGGGGCGCAATCAAGGGGACGCCCCGCAAAAGCCACGTCTGTCATCCTAGGCTGGGCCCACTTTACCGTACTATCGTTGAGGGCCACCGCCTCGCCGACTCTCCATTGCTCATCTGGGGGACTCTGTAAAATGGAGTCCGCAATAAAAGGCAGTTTGGCCCACGGGTTCGCCCAGGCTACAAGTCTTGTGCGTTGGCTGAGCCACCAGGGCCCAGGAGGGCCAAAATAGAGACCCGTGGTTGACCCTCTCCACTCCAAACGCGAGTCTTTTTTCTCTTCGAATGGTGGGTCGTCCACACGAGGGAGGACGTCCCGCACCCAATTGTAAGGCATTGCGAGGGCGATGTCGTGGTGGAGAGCTGTCGGGCTGTAGCTGAACTGGGGAATGAGGAGGCGATCTGTGGTGCTCCCATCCATGTTTGAGTGGATGAACTGGCCATGGGTGAGCAGATGGGAGGGATGAAGACATGGGTTCATGGACAGTTTGTGATCGTGAATGAAGGTTTTGGGATAATTGCGTCTGTGTCCAGATGCGTAGGGGCTGTTGTGCTTGAGCTTCAACAGCTTAGTGAGTGAGGGGTCGCCGTCAGAGAGGTCGATTGATTGGGTGCGAGCTGGGGATTCTGGATGGCACGAAGCGAGCCAATTTCCCTCTTCATTTCCTGGAGGCACATCGTCGAGGTCTAGATCTGCTCGAAGCATCAGCTTGAGAACATTGTGAATGGACACAATCAGCGTACATCTTCCCTCTTTTCCGGCTTGTATAGCTGCTTGGAGTAAACCGTAGTCCGATAGCAAATTGGGATTGTCGTGAGGGTTGAAGACCGCCCTGAAAGCAGGGATGAATTCGTCGACCTCCTCCAGGAGTTTAGATACGGTTCTTGCACCCGAGGTGAAATGACCCTTCCTGCTCATGTCGTTCAGAGCGTAGTTCAGTAGCCTCATTCGCGACCTGTCCGTATCCTTGCCAAGGGTGAAGCTGTCCGCGTATCCTTCCCGGTCACGTTGGTTCTGTTGGAGTCGTCGAGGGTGAATGCCCCAAAACGGGGCCATATTACGGGATATCAAGTCATATTCGTCCGGGAGGGGAACATTGTAAACTTGGACATATGTCCACCAGACGTCGAATCCCCGCGGCGGTTTGCGGTTGTGTCGCCTTTCGTATTCCAGGCATGCCTCTTTCAAAGTCCGACTTGCCCTGTCGTTCTTCCTCTTCCAATTCTCTTCCGCCTTTTTGACGAGTTCGAAAATTGGGTGGGGTCCGTCAGGGTTGACTTCCAAAAGGCCGTCGTCTCGGTAGAAGTGTCGTGCTGAGCCGGGTTGGACGGTGGCTGCATGGTCTTGCGGGGGATCGCTGGTCTTGAGGGGGAATCCGAATGTGTCGTGGGTTATAGGCCCCCAGTGGGGTACGGATATCTTGGCGGTGATTGTTACGGAGAGTTCATTGAGCCAGGCGTAGAACTGGGTGTAAACGATGAAGACAGAGACGAGCAGCGCCAGACCGACCGCCCAGCGGATGTACGGGCGCTGCAGCCTGAACCTGAGTGCCATGGATTAGAGGTGAGAAAGGAGGTGAAGGAAGCGCTCGTTTAGCATTGGAGAGTTGAAACGGTGAGCGTTGCCTTTCAGACTGCGCATTTGCCGTCATATTATTGAGGCCCTAAAATCGCTGGCAATGGTCCTCAAGTTGTTTTCTCCGAATGGAATGGTCAACGAGATCATCATGGCAATGCACCGCCACGTGCCGATAAGTTCGCCGGGTGACTGACTGAATTGAGGTGTTGCTGCGCCAGCGCTACCGATAACGTTACCGAGCTTTTGGTCCTCCTTACGCGTTCACACCGACCTTTACAATGTTCTGCGCCCATGTTTTGCCTTCTCCGCTTTTCTCTGCGTAGCTTTTCTACCAAACCGCCCGCCCTAGGCCTGGCTCTGCCTCAGCTTCAGAATCAAATCGTCCACACAACACAAAATGTCCGATATCTGAGCGCTGGAAGCAGTATCATCGCTACGCGACACAACCTGTGCGGTTGGCCTCCACAGCAGTCAGCAAAAGAAGGAAATCGACATGCACATTTGAACAGACGAAGCCCAGCGTCACTCAAGTGGTCACCGGGCTATCACGCGCAACCACCATCACTACTACTAGTCAGGAATGACTCGACTACCCGACGACCCCAGTGCACCAGGCAGGTCTCAGTGCGACTGTCCGACTACAGGCTTTTCCATGCAACTCCGAGGAGACATGGGTGGCCGGTGATAGGAATATTGGCCCCAATTTTTAAGGTAAGTTTTGTTGGCCCGACCTCTGCATTGTGCTTACCCCTCCAACTGATGTCTAGGCGTCGGTTGCCTTTCAATTAACCCGCACAATCAGTCGAGTAGTCCTTACCTTCCTCCCCGCAGTTCTCATTGGGAGGAAAAAGTCGGCCATGATGATGAAGCACGCCCATATCCACGGTATTCAGATATCCGAAGAGAAGCGGGAAAAGTACATGAAAAGACTCAAGCTCTCGACGAGGCTACTGCAAGCAATGCTGCTCTTCCCGTTCCTTGTCTTTTGGGCTACGATAGTCGCTAGTTTGGAGCAGACGCCGTTAACTGGGCGGTGGGATACATTAGGTTCATCTAGTTGACTCTGATGCTGATTCCGCAAAATGTCAGGTGGCGAACGATCTTCCTGTCGCCGGAGGAAGAAGACGATATTGCCGCCCAGCTTATTGGACCAGGGTGGTACAATGCAGTTCACCAAGTCCTATCTGAAGAGGGCGAACCAAAGTTCATTCCACCGACTGACTGGAGATACCAATGGGTTAGGGAAACCTTGCAAAGACTGGTCGCTGTTCTTCCAATCCTAGAAGATGAACGTCACCAAGCACCCAATTGGGTCGAAGTGGGGCCAGACGACCGACCTCTTCCTCCTCCGGCGCGCTACCCTCTCAAACCACGTCCCCGTGCTGTCGACTACATACGCCTTGTATGCCATAAACTTGGTGTGACACAATCTCCCCGCCCGAGCGATTCGGATCACTTCGCCCTCCTGCTCGTTGACAGCCCCGTCGACTCCAACGCGTTTTCGTACGGCTTCTGGCCCAATGGTGGCTCGGGGATTGTGGTCTATTCAGGGTTCCTCGATGATATATTCGCGAAAACACCGCTTCAATATGTTACACCACCAGATGACCGCTCATGGCTATCGCAATTCTTGGGGGTCCCTCCACCACAGCCTTACCCTGTTGTCAACGAGGAGCAGACGACCGACCTGGCCGTTCTCCTCGCCCATGAACTTTCACATCTGATTCTATGTCATCACCTCGAATCTCTGTCGAGCTCATCCATCGTGGTTCCAGGGACGATATCCATCATCGCGGACATTGTTCGCGTTCTTGTCTTCCCCATCACCATGTTCTTCGGTCCTTTCGTCAACGATGCCGTAGCCAAGATGGGCGATGTTGGATCAGGGGAGCTACGAAGGATGGGCGAATGGTGTACGACTGCTAAGCAGGAAGTCGAGGCAGATGTTGTCTCTGCCAGGTAAGAGCTTCGTGGCACCTTTCGCCGTTTCTTATGCTAATGTATCGAGTAGGATCCTCGCATACGCAGGCTTTGATGCTCGAGACGCTGTCAAGTTCTGGGAGAACAGATCAGACTCGGATCCCGAATGCCATCGCGTCGAAAGGGACAGGGCTGCACATCTCAAAACCCATCGCATTAGAGGTGTTGGCCATCCGGAAAATGCAAGACGGATAGAAGTTCTGAAGCAGGAATTATCCAGCTGGGAAAAGGCGAGGCTGGCAGCTGCTGCGGCTAGGGCATAGAAGCATGGCACCGTGGACAACATTTTATTGAATGGCCTTTCTTAACTAACTCCCCTTATATATTTATTGTTTTCATATGTATACTCATCGAATAATTCTAGTGATAATGCAATAATCGCAATCTCGGACGGAGCACGATCACCATTCAAAAGGGGAGAGGGAGCAGGCACTACGCCAGGAATGACCTCACACTTTGGCGGTCGTCGACCTCCTAGTTCCTCTCCAAATTAGCCTTGCCTGCCGAACCAAGAATCGTGAAGAACTCCTCGCAAGCTTTCGAAAACGCCCCTTCCGACTTTTCTATCGCATCGGGCAAGGGCGCTGTTGTGATGGCATCTCCGAGGACTTTCGTGTACACTTCCCTGGTTTGCAAATTGAGGTTGACCTTTCAACGCAAGGTGAGAGCCTCGAACTTCCTCTAGGAGATAAATTGACTGACTTTGCTGACCCCGTTCGCAATGCATGCTCTGAACAGATCAGGTGGGAGGTCACCTGTACCGTGGAGACACAACGGGATGGTCCCTTTGAATTTGATTTGGAGATTCTTCAAGCTGGAAAGAAAACCACAAAACTGTCGGTGACGTTTGCACGCAAAGACATCTGTGGATGGCCTACATCTCGAGATGAAACTTGGGAGGGGACGTATATCTGCCATGAATGTTGCCGATGCTGGGAGCAAGTATATCGGCTCCAGTCCTGCGGAAGTCAAGAAAGTCAATGAACGGATAGCATGGTCAGTCACGATACGAAGACTGACGCGTCCATGAAGTGTTCCGCTTTCGAGGCGTTGATGAGCGCTCCAACAGGAACTTCTCCGATCCCCTGTTCTGAACCGGACACCCGGCCGAGTTCTACTTCGACGGGGATCCCTAGCCTGTGGGCGCGTTCGATGAATGGTTTGGCCCGTGAAATATTCTCTTCGTCTGTCTTCACCGTCGTCAGCACAGGCAGAACGCTTGGAGAACTGAAAGATGTCACCTGCGCCTCGGACGCATCGATCATGATGCTGTCGAACTTGACTCCATCCTCTGCGAGATCCAAAGCAAAGTTGATATCTTTGGCGTCTCGTGCATGGTCCAGATGGACAGCCGCTGGGACCATTGCCGAGTGTGCCGCCCTGAGGTCTAGGTTGGCTAGGGTAATAGCACGAGCTAGGGAAACTCACAAGGCGAGGCAGTACTGCAGGAAGAGTTTACCTCCCCACGCCAGGGTGCGGGGCAGCATCTGTAGAATGACTGGACTTCGCGCCCGTTCTGCAGCTGAGATCAGACCTCGAGCCTGTGGCATGTCATAGCTGCAGGGGTGGTGTAAGGAAACACCTAGTGAATCGAGAAAGCGATAGGTATTCACACTGCTTGTGCCAGAACGCCATAGCCTCCTTTCTCGGCTCGAGAGAGTATCCCGATGGTCCTGTTGCTTTCAAACCTTCCAATCATTGTGCCGATGATGGTTCCGTCGAGTAAGTAGCTGGTGCTTGTCGAACCGCCGTGAAGCAGGTTGCGGTGAGACAGGTGGAACACACACGGCACGTTGATTCAGGAACCTGGGCTACATCTAAATCTTTTGGGTCCTAATGAGCGTAGAGCCTGTGTACAGAGAATCCTTTCTTAATCGATGATAATCACGTCCTACCCGGCCAACATTGGAGCAACCCCCGGAGAAAGGGGTTATGTATGGAATTAAGCGCTGGAGCGCTTGTCCGCCAACCCATACTTTCCCTGTACCTCTCGATAGCTACTGACAAAGGAGTAACAAAGGCAAAACATCAGGTATGTGCTACGTGTCCTGCTACTGTAATACATCGTTGGGATAAATATTATTGACTCCTTATTCTCATTTCCATGTACTCGTAAAAGATCACCGGCTGAAAGCTTCATCGTCATCCGCCATTCCGTCCATACACTATGTACAGACATTGCCCAAGCTGCCTTCGTCACCCTTCTATATTTTTTTCTGAAGTAGTTCCTTAGCATCTGGCAGCCCCCCTCTAACACTGGTCGAATTGGGGAGCATGCAAAGTATGTAATGCCTTCTCGCGAGTTTCACAGTATGTCGCTTGAAGAGCGAGAGATGGGCGCCTATCATAAGTACATGTTTGAGACTGAAAGGGAGTCCGCGAAGCGCACTTTTCGAGACCGCGACTTCGAACAACTGCCCTGAATCGAGGCGGCAATCACAGGCTGTGACGTCATCGTGGATTTCGATTAATGGTCTTCCAAGTTCAGAATTGGTTCGTCTTCATCCTCTTCTTGATTGACTATGCATTGGACTCCGGACACTGCAGGGAAGTATCTTGGACACGACCGTTGTAGGGGCGCTTGCCCCTTAATAGGTGCGAACCATGCTGTCTTGTGAACGATGATATCGCTGATGCCAGAGAACTAGGCTTGGTTGCCCTCCAACGAGTTCACTTTGCTCCACAGACAACACTATAGTTCCTGCATGCGCGGTTTAATTGAATTTCACGACCAGTACCAACCCCAATGAGAGAATTCATCTGGCCGAGGGTGCGATTTCGACCTTCCAAGGCCTCGAGTTCGAGCTCCGCGAAGAGGTTTCTTTGTATTATTATCACTTGACTGCCCGTGCGCTCGGAATGAAGAATGTTCAGGCACTGACATGTAACTTACAATGGATTTCGGGGAGAACAGGGAGAGAAGCGAGAGATTAGGCACACAAATGCCGTAGAGGCTAGCACGCCTCTTCCCACTTCTGAATCTGGAAGGTGCGCGCGGTACCGCGCTGCGGTGGACGAGATCTTAGTTACTTCATAATCTATTGACTAGCAGGCGGTGTAGATAGTTAAACAACAAGACGATTTTGAACATCGCATTCTGGCTGTGTTGCAAGGATGAGATGGAGAGCTGAATTTAAGAGTGGTGTTGTTTGTCGGTGTTATTGTGGGGCAGATCGCCCCGGGGACTTGTGACGAAGAACTGCAAAGGTTATTAGGACCCATCACCACATGTCCACAAACTCCCGATAGTCTCCTCACTCTTCCCTCTCGATGCCCTCAGTATCGCCTAGGGTTATCTTCATCGCTGCCCTTGCCGCCAATCTCCTCATCTGGTCCAGGAGTCGGTATGCACCAGGCCTCGGAGGCCAGGCGCAGCCAATCTCTGGTGTGGCCCTTGCGAAACGGGCATATTATGAGCTGACAGGGATCGGAAACGTCGATGCATTCGACGAGGAGGGTCACGAGGTACGTCCCAAAACTCAAAAGATCTTGCAAACTAGCGCTCATTGCAGGCAGTGTCGACCACTTTCAATACCAGTCGCGTTGCAATGTCAACATGTCAAAGACCTTTGCCCGGACAGCGACACAGTCCTCGGAATCAACTACCTTCGACACTATTATTGCACAAAGCCACAAATTCGACCCCTGGCATTCACAGGCCTTCTGGTTTGGCTGCTATTTCTGTTCTCAACGCTCGGAATCAGCGCCTCCGACTTCTTCACCCCAAACCTGGCTACCATCGCCCAATTGCTCGGTCTGGATGAAAACGTAGCAGGAGTGACTTTCCTGGCTTTTGGAAATGGTAGTCCCGATGTTTTCTCAACCTTCTCTGCAATGAGGGCTGGTTCCGGAAGTCTCGCCGTCGGAGAGCTGTTGGGTGCAGCGACCTTCATTGTGTCCTGCGTTGTAGGCTCCATGTGCATAATCAAGCCTTTCCACGTCCATCCTGGCCCTTTCCTGCGAGATGTTGGCTTCTTCACAGTTGCCATCACCGTCATGTTGGTCATACTGTGGGACGGGACAATACATCCCTGGGAGAGCGGGATGCTCGTCATCCTTTACTTGTTCTACGTGATAGTCGTGGTGGTCAACTCTTGGTGGGACAGGCGTAGGGAGAGGATACGTGCACGCGAGGCTTTGATCAGAAGTGAATACCAGGAAGACGGGATATTCGAACGGTATACGGATAACCGTAAGTACATCCGGGTTCGTATCCTTTCTCATGTTGATGTCTTCTACAGCCGTCCCCAACAACAGCGATACCCTCAGAGTGCAGCCCACGACTTCTAATAGAGGGCGTGCAATATCAGCACCAGCCCCTCCGCGTTTACAAACCAACCTCACTCCTCGCCTTTACCGATCAAGGTCACCTTCTCCCATACCGTCACCGTCTCATCACCAGCTTCCTTCCTTCTCATTGATCGGTGCCCTTGAGTTCCGTGACGTGGTACAATCACTGCGCAGGGAAGCTTCAGCGTCCTCCCTCGGGATTTTTGAGTCTCCAATCACCCCGTACGCCGGTGGCCATTACCATTCTCCTTATTCAACAATTCGCAGGGGCCGACGCTCGTCGCAATCGAGCCAAGGTGAGGAAACGTTAGACGGCGTTCCTCTAGGTGAACGCACCCGCCCCACCTCACCGAGTATACAATCCATCACACCGCGTCCCTCTTCCTCAAGGCTTCATCCCACAGAAACAGGTGGAGATTACTTCGCCGGAGCTGTACCAACGCAGAATTCTGTGCCCTCCATCCTTCGAACTCCTGCTTCGCCCACCAACTCCGAATCGCACGAAGTGCTCTATGTTCCTCCAACGAAAAGACAACGCATTCTGGACGTGTCGTGGCACATCTTCCATACTTTATTCCCGACATTGGCTCACATCCGTGAACAGAGTCTGCTCGGGCGCATCGCCAGCGTCTTTGCTGCCCCGGCTGTCTTTCTTCTCACTGTAACCCTCCCTGTCGTCGTCTCGCGTCACGAACATGGTCGGGCAGGGATCGAAAAACCTGCAATCACGCTCGAGGAGGCGCCTCTAATCGATTTCGAGGAGGAAGCTGTAGAGCGGGTCCTACTTGCCGAGGATGAGGTGCAAGAAGAGCTGCATGAACTGACGTACAAGAAGTGGTTGATGGCTACCCAATGTGTCCTAGGCCCCTTGTTCTGTGTCATCGTACTTTCCTTCGGGAAACCGCATCTCGGGCTTTTGCTCGCTGCGGTTCTGGCAGGGTTTGCATTAGCCATCCTTGTGATCGCGATTGGCGGGGATGGGAGCCATGCTAGTGGAAAGATGCTGCGGTGCTCCATGGGCTTCTTGGTTTCCATTGTGTGGATTATGGCCATCGCTGATGAAGTCGTAAACGTCCTTCAGGTATGTGACTTTGGACTCTGCTTCGTGGCCTTGCTCACTCTCGTTTTTTTAGACATTTGGCATCGTGTTTGGTTTGTCGGATGCCATCATTGGTCTGACCATCTTTGCGATGGGCAATTCGCTCGCTGACCTTGTGGCAAACATGAGCGTAGCAGTACGTGCTCAGTCCTTGGTGGATCCCCCTCTTTTACTCATTCACCTCCATCCAGGTCTTTGCTCCCATCATGGGATTCTCTGCCTGCTTTGGTGGCCCCATGTTGAACATTCTCCTCGGTGTCGGTCTCGCAGGCACATACATCATGTCGCAAACCAAGGAACCATACGAACTTCACCTATCGACTACTCTTCTCGTCAGTTCCGCAGGCCTCCTCACTCTCCTCGCTGTCACCCTCGTCTACGTCCCCCTGAATGACTACTACCTCTCTCGTCGCTGGGGTATCCTCTTGATCATATCATACCTCGCTATCATGATCACCAACATCGTCGTGGAGATCAGGTCATGAGAGGTTATCGGTCATGGGAGACCGAGACTCGCGCACTTAATGTCTACCATATAGACTCGCAACTGGATCATATGGACTCTTACACATGTTAGTTTTGTGTCGGCCATTATCTACTACGCATTTGGGTAACTTATTTACTTAGCTTTCGAAGCATCTTTTCCATCTGTCTCTTAAAGTGACCGCATGGGCGATTGCGAATCTTGTATAAATGGACGATTATCGGAGTCTGGGGGGTCACAAGGGGACATGAGAAGGAATCTGAGTGTGTCCCGCGGGCATAGGAGGACAGATTGAAAGTAAAAGGATAGCCAACAAGCCGACAGGAAGGGGATATACATAGTTTCGGCAGAGGCTCGCGGTAGGAACACCGTTACTCTCAAATCTAGAGCAAATATGACAGATGATCAGCCCGAGTATAGTCGGCTTGCCTTGTCATGAAGGGCGAGTAAGAGCATTTGTTAAAGTACCGGTGGACGTCGGATGCATGTGCAGAAATGGGATCACCATATAGGCCTGCACGTAAAGATATGGATAGTAGAGAGCGCCAACGGGTGCAGGACCATTGGCAGAGTGGCAGTCGAGAGAATTCGCCAAGCGACGGCTCTGGGAATTGATATATCGATACTCGAGTTAGGAGGCCGAAAACGTTGGACAGTCCGCGCTTGCATGCATTCCTTTGTCAAACTTGCAAGCACCTGTCTGCCCGGAGAAACCAGAAGCAGGATCTGAAGTTCGAGCACGACTCTGAGGCTCCACGGAAGAGAGAACGGAGGGACGCCACGAGGGATTCGAAACATCGTGAGCCAAGTTTAGATGTAGTAAAATCTTCCCGAAGGACTATCTGAATCCGCGTGGGCCAGGTATGTCGGTATAGGACGTCAGCTCATGAAAGCTATGTATAAGGACAGTCATCCCACTGGCTGGAGATCAGAAAGATGGCTTACCTTTCAACGGAAATTAAAGCTGTCGATGGAGGAGAGCCTCGCGGTAACAATGATAGAGCACCCCATTACATAAAGCTAAGTATAGCAGAACAGAAACCGAGTTCGCGAAGCGGAAGGACGCTGACGGAGAGCGGCATTGACATGCCAAAGAACTCTGGCCGGCGAAGGGCAATAAACGCGCGAAGAACGAGGACTTGTACGTGAAGCGGTTGTTAAAGATAGGCTCGGAGTGATCTGCTTTGCGGCGCTGAGGAATGAGTATTTTAGTACTTACTAGTGTGTTCTAAAATCTCCAGCTTTCGTAAAGAGTAGTAGCACCTTCCTTCTGGGGTTAACTATAACGGCAAGGAAGCTTCGTTGGTCTGGAACTTATGTACATGTCGAGAAACGAGGGGTGGCGAGATGAGATTACACGAAAGGGTCGAATTGTCGGAACATCGCGCACGTGCGCACAACCACTGTCTCATCACTTTGAAAGATGGGCTCAAACGTAGGAACGTTCAACTTCTCAAAACGTGGATCAACATTTTTGGTCACCAGCAAAGAGTAAGATAGCATCTACAAAGTACAGCGATGATGAATGCGTAAGTAAGTTACAAGTACACAGTGCAGGAGAAACGTCAACGTGCAGATTGTCAGTAAATAAGAAAGCAGGCGTGATTGAGGATGAGTCGAGAGAGAGTGAAACAGAGCGAGAGAGAAAAAGTTGCAGACCAGTCAGTAATGTATGCGTAAGTTAAGTTATGATGATGATCACGATGTATGTTTTGTGGAACGAGACCACCGTTCCATGAGGATGAAGAATAGACCGAGAAACAAAGAAACGCCAGTCATTACTTTGAACTGCAAAAGCACCATTGAAACCCCCTGAATTAGAACCGTGTATACGTGGTTTGCTGTTTGTCGTGTGTCGTGTTGTCATTCGTGACGCGCACCCGGATCTAACCCTGGTACGCAAAAGAGACGGCGCCATAGAGACCCTCCTCCCGTCCCAACATTCCATATCCATGAAGGACCTGAACACGGGAACAATGTCGTCAGTAACCGAGATCTATAAATAGAACATATGGCGCAAACTCACCTCCATCTTACGCGCATGCCAACCTACACCACTGCTGACATTTCCGTTGGCGCTCGAAAGTCTTTCCATTTGGACGCGGAACGGGTGGTCCTCGGGCAAATCCCTTCGAAGCACACTACCCTGGCCAGACCCAGCCTCTGCAACCCAGCCCGAAGCAGTGTCGACATACCAGCCACGACCACCCTTGCTGCGGATGATGCGCCATGCGCCTCCACCAGCTCCCAATTGATTCAGCATAGCGTTGGAGAGCTCGATGACGCGGAGACGGGTGGGTGCGATGGCTGGAGCAGACGCGCCTGAGATACTGAACCTGAATGGTGGCGTGCAGAGGGGGCGGATGATCTTGTTATGGAGATGCATGGAGGCTTGTCTAGAACCGGTAATATCCATGTCGGGGGAGGTGTTGATCAACGTAAGGACCTCGACATTGGGAGCCTTGTCCAAGATAAACTTGGAGATGGCGGAGAGGTCGAGCTGAGTAATATGAGAGAGACCGAGGGACCGAAGCTTGGGGAATGGTTTGGCCTTCTCGAGCATACCAGGAGTAAGTGGAGCGCTGGACAAATCGAGATAGACCAGCTGGCCGTTGGTGAGAGCGGGAGCGCGTGTGATGATAGCCTCGAGGTCTTCCTGGTTGAGAGGAGAGACGTAGGTCATGTCACAGTACAAGTTGAGCTCTGTTAACTCGGAAGTAACAGGAGAATCGACAAGGAAGCGCCTGATGCTCTCACTAGAGAGCTTGATGCAACGAGCCAGAGCCAGAGACTTGAGGCGAAGGGTAGGAGAGGCACCAAGCATATCGAGAATCTCCGATGTGATGCGAGTACCTGAGACATCGAGATGGGTGAGGTTGGGGAAAGCCAAAAGGAAAGGACCCAAGTAGCCTGCTGGTGCAGACTTGACACCACGCATCCCCAGTCTTCGCAGACCAGGGAAGGTCAATGGCTCAGCCATAGCTGCGCGAGCGAGACGGTGACGACGGTTATCATCATCGTCTTCCTCGGTCTCTAACTCGGGGGGTGCGAGAAGATGAGTGCTCACGAATTCCTGGAAAGCATTGACAAAAACGGGGCTGATGCAGCCAGTAAAGTCAACTGCCTCCAAATCTTTACACTCTCTTCTTCTCTCCCTATCTTCCTCTTCGATCTCGCACACATCGGTGATAGCACGGCCTCGGCTAGGGCGTCCTCGACCACCGGAGGGTGCTCCACGTAAGAAGAGTTCATTGAGGACAGGCAGGGTGAGTGCGCCATCCATGTACTCTGTTGCGCCAAACTGGATCAAATTTGGAAGCTCCTAGAACGTTCGTGAGCAATTGCGAAATATCACGCCAAGCCGACATACTACGCACCTTGAGAACAGCCTCGATTCTTTCACCTGTGACGAAACGGCTATTGACACCTTCCTCTACTGATCGACGCATGCCAATAGTGCGGAAGTGATTGAAGTCGAGGTGACGCACGAAGCGACCTGGACGGGGATCGGTAGGGCTAGGGACTGGAAGGGCACAGACTAATCAGCAGACTAATCATGGATGGGAGAAGTTGAGTTACTCACTGTACATCCCGGGGTTGCGCTCTTCCATTGCATCCCGAATGGCATCGCTGATGGAACGGACAATCTTCCAGCGGGCGGGGGACTTGCTCTTGGGGCGGAGTCGACGGGGACTGGGGTTGCGAGAGGGTATAGGTGACAGCAAGTCGATTGAAATAGAATCGTCGGGAACCTGGTCGTCGTCGAGGTCGTCGCGCAAGCTCTCCTCGAGCTTGAGGACCTCCTCCCTGTCGTGGAAGGAAGCTATGGCTGCGTCGGTGGCGGCCTTAATGGTTTGGTCCAAGACTGTTTCGACTGTTTCTCGTTCGTAGTTCCAGGCGACTTGTTCGAGGAAGGCTAGCCATGTTCGTGGGAGCCGGACTTCGACCCTGGAGAGTGGGGTTAGCCGTGGAGACTTTTTTTTTGAGACAAGGAGAGAATACGGACCTGTGCCACAACCAAGGCTTTGCGGCCTCATGCCAGGCATGGTTCACCAAGCAAAGGCTAGCGAGAGTCTTGCGAGCCTCTGGCTCTGACCAATGTGCTGGAGGAACGGCTGAGGGATGCGCAGTGGGGATGCCATCTGCGACTAGGGGGGGGTCGAGGGTTGGTTCTGTTGGCTGGAGGCCCGAGGTATAGACCTGAGCACATATGGCATAGAGAATTTCTTGGGGGTATTGAATTCCGGGTTGAGATTGAGCAGAGAGTATGGACATTCAAATGGCGATTTTTGACTTGAGAAGGGGATGAGAGTTGAGGATCAACCAACGCAAACTGTTTTATATAAAACATCTCGCCCTTTTTAGTCTCACGCGCGCGATGTGGAGAATGATCCAACTGCCTTTTTCGGTCAGTTGGCCGAAACACTGGGGCCGGATCTTCTCCTCCACCCCCCCGGTCTTTTGTTGTTCCAATATATTTTTCAACATTACTATTATTTAAATCCCTCATAGCTCGCACCGTAAAGGGTTCACGTCACCTCTCCGATGGATTAAATTCCCTAGTCTCTCCTCGTCACACCTGTATCCCCTCATCTGTGTATGTTCTCCTTCCCCTCCGGCATATCTCCAAGGGGCTAGAGTCAGTCTAGAGTTCTGATCAGTCATCCACATGAACCCCTCTGAGAACCTTGGAGGAATCCAATTCCTATGTTAAACCCCCCACCCAGGGTTCTGCCGTCGTACATCTCTTTCCGAGACTCGTGTCTCCCCCTCTTCCCAAAATATCTCACAGCTGTTCTACCGCGATCTAAAAACAGCGCGAACACCCGTTGGTCGAAGAAACTCTATCGGGGTGGGCCACATGATCACCTCTCATCAGAACTCGACATCCACGACATGCCTTTCCGAATCCTAGCGCACGGGCCTGTCTCTCGAATGACACCACAGCATGCGACATACACAATCTGCATTCTGGAATCCGAGTCTGTACCCCTCCGTCATAGATTCAGATGTACACCGCCTTCAGTAGTACCCTTGCTCCGACGAATCTTCGTTGCCGATTCCGAAGTGTACGCAAGGTATCGAGACCCTGGTCTTGACATTGTTGACTCAACTGCGCATACGAACCTAGACCTACCTACCAATCGCGATCCGACCTCCCAAACAGCATCCTTCTTGGCCTCTCTAGCCAAGCCCTGCAAGGAGTAAACCGGCCTACTTCGGCACGGACAGACGCTCGTCCCATTGGCGCCTAATCACCGAGATTCCCTTCATGGGTTTCCCCAACCAGAGTCAGCCAATTCAACGGAGAATGCGCTGTAAACAAAACATAGCAATGACGGAGCAGTCGTGAATGTTCAAGGCAAAACGCTAGAGAGCTTCAATGTGATGGATGTGAAAGAGGTCTGTTGTGAATTCGGATGGATCTTCTTGGTATGTAGCCCTCATGTCATTTAGCATTCCCTTCTTTCGATCCACGCTTGCCTGATGGATCTTACTCGTCATGCAAGACATGATGCATGATGATTTGGTTAGACAACGTATCGCGGACTTACTCGTCCATTGCCGCTGTAACTAGGGGTGAAAGCGACTGTTTTTCATCTCGCCTGTGTAATGAGCTTCTCCCGAAAGATATGAATAAATGCGCGTCGTATCCCGCTTAGCATTAAACCCTGAGCGTACCCCAAAAAACGTACATGTAGATAGGATGTATCGTACAAACAAAATACATACTAGATCAGAACGGGGTCATCAACACGCGCGCTCGCCTGCATCGACCAAGCCAGCTGGCAAGCACTAATTCATGAGCGGACGTAAAAGTCGTACTGGAGGAACATCCAGGCCAAGCTGGTAGCTATACGAAAACCGTGAGCACACCTTGCACGCGGAAATGAAGGGAAGACTAACTTGAGACGATGACTGGGCTGATGACACCAGGATTGATTGAAGCAGTCCTGAAAATGAGCAGCTCGGACGAGAAGTGTCCAAAAGCGATCAGGTAGGTGAAGAAGGCCATGTCATATATCCTGAGGGAATGGAATAAGTGAAGAGAGCACATGGGAAGGGGTGCGCCCGTACACTTTGTTCGTAATGTTGTAAGCGGCATATGCTCGTACGACGGCCGAGGTGAGCGTCCAAACTGCAAAGGTACGGGCCTGGAGGGGAGTAACTGGAAGAAAAAACGCGCTTGAATACGTGAAGAACGCGTGGTAGCGACAGCGCCCATCGCACCTGGCTGCGGGTTCTTATTGTAAATTCGACGTGTCAACTTGAGGGTCACAAAGTTCTGGAGTGAATTGAAAACAGCAGTCGCTGCAACCACGAGCTGCCAATAGGCAAGCCATCCTTCAGACTGGGGCAATACTAAGGCTTCTGTTAGTTTCGTGGTTCGACAAAATATGGGAGTAAACGATAATTACGGGCAAGTATTCGGTCGGCCATTGGGATGAGCGCTGGTACAGAAGAGAAAGCAAACATGGGGAATGTAGTGAATGACAGGGATTAGTCATCGGGTATCAGTGACTATTCAGGTACAGCGCCAACAGAAGGTCTGTTGTGAAATTCGACTGCAGCCGGGCTCAACTGGGTAAATGCCTTGCGTTGGCGTCCTCTAGGTTCGCCGTCGTCGCCATCGTAGTCGCGCAACGATGTTCGACCCCGCGCTGAGGCCGCCCTCGATTCGTTCCGTAGCGAGCAACTCGAGCATCACCAGTGGCCTGTCCCGACGCTCCAGGACGCGTAGACGTTCCAAGACTGTCACTGGTGGCGCCCCACCGCGACCAGACGATATCGCTGCGACACCAGTGTCAGAATTGCCCTACCTTGACGCCCCAATCGTCAACGGACCCTTCGCTAGCGCCTCTTCATCCTCGTCGCTTCCTATTCGGCCCCCCAAGTCCCCACGCAGACCCGACTATGAGCTTTCAACGCTCACAACCGCAACGACACCCAGCTCACATGGCCTTGACCTCCCAAACACAGCAGAAGTAACCATGGTCGAACCCCTACCCTCGCCTCTTCTCGGAAAATCGGTATGTTGATAGATCCCTGCCAACCTATGCCGCCCTAGTTTTTTCTAATCTGCGTTTGACGAAAACAGCCAAAAGTTACAGAGCTAGATACGACGAAGCTGTCATCTGCTGTCGTACAATCAGGCTATAGACCACCTCCCTCGGCCTTCTCTCGCGACCCTGCCTTCACTCCTCATGTTCGCGACTCCATTTCGACCCACCAATCGGGCACTTCATCGTCCCTGTACCCACCGTCTACTCCCACAACCTCGACACGTCCGGACACGCCCCCAACTCCTCGCTCAATGTCCCGCCTCGACTACCTCGACCATCCTCTCAGTCCTGAAATTAGAGAAGTAAAAGGTTTCGATGGTGACGATGTGGCGTATCGACTACAATTGTTGGTGAAGAACAACTACTTTCTACCCCCGGCTCACTCGAAGCCCTCACCCGCCGACTTTGCCGCAGTGGATGCATCGTCAGGCAAGAAGCCCGTAAAATCTTCAACCCCCGCATTCCTCGACCTCTTCCGTGTCGTCAAACCCAAGTCTAAACCCAACACACCTCCGACCGCTTCCCCCAACCCAGATGCTCCCCCACCCATGCTCAGAACCACGGCGGACTCAATAACGACAGGGCATCTGCTCCGCCCTCAACAACACCAGCCCCGAACATCTTCCCAGATCCCCCGGACGTCACCCCAGCCGAGAGGAGGCCGCGTGGTCGTTGTAAGGGAGAAGATGGAAGATTTGGCCGTCGCAGCTAAACAAGCCGAACAAGACCTCAGGAATAAGGGTTTGGATTTGGTGCAGCCCCCGAGTTTGGGGGCACTGGACGACGTGATAGACCCAACGGACGCCGTCGATGTACCACTCCCATCGGCCTCTTACCCCTTTGCTGTTCAAGCATCTGCCTTACACGGCCTGGGCGTCCAGGACTCAGTTGGTGCCGCTCTTCTCGCCGACCGACTTCCCCCGCCCAAAGGGTCAAATATGTCCTCATCTTTTGATATTGATGACGATTGGCGCAAGGCACTCCTCCACGAAGCCGTACATCACTCACTTGACAACACCCCTGATGCATCCTTTTCCCATAACCTCGGCGCATCGACCCCTGTTCTCTCAGGTCGGTTTCGGTCGAGCTCGCATGCACCGACGCCTACATTCGACCGCGACACGCCTCCTCGAGATGTACAGACGCCTCCTCAGATGCTTACAGCGAAACCAAATTCGCGAGAAAAGCCACGCAAAAAGATACCCGATCTGGGGAGGAACGAGGAACACAGACCTGCACCGTTGGATCTCGACGACATGAGGAGGGAGAGTCACTCTTCCAGTGTGTTGCCTCCAAGGGTGATAACTCCTGTGGGACCCATGACGCCGCTCGCCCCTCCCCCGCGGAATCGATACATCACTCAACACTCGAGTAGTTCGCAAACGAACTTGCCTTCCTCCCTACAGGACTCGGAGCCCCCACGTTCAAACAGTGCGGCGTCTTATCACACTTTACGCAGAGCAAGGTCGTCTCCACTGTTATCGGATCACGATGCCCTTCGTAGAGGACTTGTCATGACGCCTCCACCAGTTCCCAACTCTCGACTGGTTTCGGCAACTACAATGACGTCTTATGATAACTCGCAAGAACGGCCTGATAGCATTACTTCTGGTTCTTTCTATACAGATGACGATTTCGACGACGAAGGTCTGCCGCGACATTCATTGGCACTTTCAGCCGTCCATGGGGCTCATGGTCGGCCTTCGTTATCAGAATATTCGCAATCGTCGCTGTCGCCGACCACGTCCGCTTTCCAGGATGCTTTGAACCGCAACCCGTACTATTCGAGTTCTATGTCTAGCCTTCACCATTCGCGTGTCAGCCTGGAGCAGCGCGACCGAGGTATTCATGGACCTGGCTTCCCACGCGACTCTACTCTTTCACCACCACCGCCTCGAATGTCGTCCTCACTTGCGCATGTCGCCCTTCCCCCACCACCACGTCCCCGCAATTACCCGTATCAACATCGATTCGTGCCCCGACCACCCTCTGATACGTCTTCACTCACAGAGGCAGGTTCACTCCATGGTCCTGATGATGTTAATGAGACGCTTAGGTTTGACGAACCTGCACCAACCTCTCCTGGACTTGATGGTCTGGAACAACCACGGGATATGCCTGACATACCACGGCTATCGCTGGACAGTGATGCTCACCATCCTATCGTTCCAAGTATCAACACTGGAAATGAACCCCCCTCGGACACGTCCTTCTTCGACACTATCCAGACGCAGCCAAATGCGATGGACGATTTGGACTCTTCCGATGAGGATGAGTTACCGCCCCCGCTTCCGCCTCCGAGTCCTCGGATACACGAACTTGACAGTCGAACTCGCGCAATTTCCGTCACCTCTTCCAATGGGTCTCGGTCCCCGCTGATGAGGCAGCAAAACCATTCGCTACCCTACGTCGCCCGTGCCAACGAAGCTTCCACTAGTTCCAGGTTCTTGCCGATCGGCGGAGGGGGTGGGGGGTCGAGCATACCAAAGCAGGGAGTTGGGAATGTTCCTCCAAAACCTCAGTACTTCGCGGATAGGAAGAGCGACAGTGGCCACCCAATGCCCTCGGTAGCTTATTCCATCATTCAACACTCTCAAGAGCGGCTACCTCTGTCTTCGACGAGCATAAACAGCGATCACAAAGAAGCGCTGGCGAAGCCCAGGCCTGCGACCGCGAGTCAAGCTGTCCCGTCATCCTGGAAAGCACAGGAATCCTTGCGCAAACTCGATGGGATGCTCCTCCAGCATATGGAAGCTGAGAAAGATACCATCAAAAGGATAGCCACCACCGTCAAGCAAAGCAACCCCGCTCCCCCTTCACCTTTTCCATAATTTGGACACATCCGCTCGCTACCTTGATTGCTTTCTGTCTTTTATCTTTATCAAAACTCTATACCATAACCTGGATACCACACATCGCGCAACTATTGGCTTTTTTTCTTTCTTGCTTTCGATCTTTCCGATCTCCGCATCGATTAATTTTCTTCCTTCATTGCTTTCGTTTTGACCTGGGTAGTTCCATACACACAAACCATCCAACTTCTATCGACCGTCGTACTTGGTAATATTCGCTCTTGTGACCTGAACAGTGGTCTCGTCTTTCTCTGTGCAAAGTGTACCATAGATATCGCTTCATACCGTTTCTTCTCCTAATGTTGGACTATAACCATTCTGTCGTACAAGCTGGAAAGGTGAAATATACATGGAAGCTGTTCTTCGGCCGCGACCCTGAGTCAGTGAGAGTAGTGCTGTATATAGGCGCCAACACGTGTACCGCGTTCTGATGATGAGACTTGCCAGAAGGAGTCAAGCTGAATAGGCCTACTTTGGCGACTCGTTTCCTTTCCTCTGTTCAATTCAAATCGCATCACACCAGGTGCCCACTTTTCTCTTTCCCAGCGCCTCGCTTTCTTCCCGCTTGACCTTGCACTGTGACAAACCACGTTGACCATGGACAAGTACAACGAGAGGCCGTATTACCCCTATTCGTGGCACCAGGTATGTGTCCGTCGAGCTGCTGCGTATGCTCACCGCACTAAATGTCCTCTATGTCTAGTCTCATGATCAGGTATAGTAGTCCGAAGCATGTATACGGGAAGGATAAAGGTTAATGAAAGAGATGTACTATGAATAGGCGACACTGCTGCTCATGGTCCCTCACGACACCCAGGACGAAGACCTCTCGGTATGCTCATTCCGGTCCCGGCATTCGCATGACCAGCAGTTGACTGGATGTTGAAAAACAGGTCTTGATAGACCGAGATTACCTGGTCGTTGGAGTCAAGGGCCACCCGCCTACGATCAAGGTACGCCGTACACCGTCGTTTCTGCGGCCTCCAGTAGACATCTCAATCGTTTACTCGGGAACAGGGAAAGCTCTACAGCGCTGTCGATACAGCTAGCTCGGTGTGGCAGCTCGAGCCTCACTCCTCCAGGCTGTCAGCAAGAGACAGGACCATCTCGACGACTTCAACAACTTCGACCCAGTCCTCGTATGCATTTGTCTCGGACCCTGATATCTCCAGTAGCTTTGCGGCTTCCTTGGAGGTCTCTGATGCTGAAGATGGCTACTTCTCGAGTGCGCCGTCACCCACGGTTCTCCAAGGTGAACTTGAGCGAACGACGGCCGGTGGTATTCCCCCCAGGCGAAGGTTACCCTCCAACATTGCCTCACGCTCGACTTCTCCTGGACGGGCCATATTCCAGAACATGCAGATAGCCTCGTCCTTCTCCTCGCTCGAATCCCTGCATTCCCCGCAATCTGGACGACTCTTGACGATCCACTTGGAGAAGGAGAAGTCCATCATCTGGCCGTCGTTGATTACTGGTCCAGTCCCCGAAACCATGTCCCCGACGTTGACGAATTCGGTGGTCTTCAACTCGAGCGAGGAATTGGAACACCAGTACAATATGGACCCGACCAGCCTGGCCCTGATCGGACTCGAGTACGCCGATATTAGGAAGAATAAAGAAGAGGCTTTCGAGTACTTCTTGTGAGTGGTTCTATCCTTCTACATCGACCGGGACTTGACTTCTTTGCGCAGACGAGCATGGCACCAGGCCCATGTGCCCTCAGCAACTATGCGCTTGGTCTCTCTGTATCTCCCACTCAACGCAACCGAGACCGTTGAAGAATTGGAACCCGAGGAACAGCCAAAGCGGGGCTCATTCCCCTACTACTTCCAATGCATCGGCGGGCTCAAAGGTGTCGCCCAACTTTACCTTGAAGCCGGCCTCCTGCACCTCGAAGGCGCCGCCTCTACCCTCCTCGCCGCCTCCTACTCCAGCCTCTCCTCCCTCCGAGTGCCCATCCAAACCCAAACCGGCACCGATGGCGGAACAGAGGCTTGGAAGCGCGACCGCGAAGCCGCTGCCAAGTACTTTGAGCGTGCGCGTGCTCTCCAACCTGACATGGACGTTCCGACTATCCCTGAAGACAACGTCAGCGCAATCAATAAACAAGAACTCGACGTTCAGATGCCCTCCATCGATCTCTCAGACTCTGTCACGCCCGAAAGCATTGGCACATCGGACCCTGCGAGTGATCACGAGTACCCGACGATACGTCGAAGACAAAAGAAAACGGAGATGGCTGTTGTGGAGAGGACGGAGAAGTTGGCCGACGATATCGATAGCACTTGGTATTTGTACATTCCGGGGTTGGTTGGCGCTGGTACTGCGCTGTTGGTTCTGGGTGTGGTGGGTGCATTGAGTCTCTCAAATTGGTCAAGGCGAAGTCAGAGTTCCTGAGCTGCTGACGGTCCCTGGATTCTGACGGCAGTGGCGACTGGAAGGACTGACCTGGTACTAACACTGGCTAGTACAACCATTTCTACGGAATTACGAATGTACAAGACGATACGAATTTGCATTGATCTATCATAAAATGAACTATATACCTGGTGGGATGATCGAGGCCCCTGGAGCGCTTGAGCAGTTTCCCTCTTTACAACAACCGTGATCATGACGTCCTGGAACGTAAAATTCCTTCAAGCCACCAATGATGTCGAGAGCCCACGCGCACTGATCATACTCAATCAGCCTTTCTCCTTCAATCTTCTTCGTCGCTTATGGGCGTCTTGTCAGTGGAGGGCCTGTGCAGATGGTGGTGCGAACCGCCTGTATGACATCCTCCCAGATGATAAAACCCGGCTCCAGTTAGTGCTCTATTCGAATCAAGGCGACCCCGCTGACATGAATCCAGATATCTACCCAACCTCATTAAGGGAGACTTGGATTCCATTAGGCCAGATGTTCGCGAATTCTACGAGAAACACGTACGAGGAACTTTCGCTGGAATGAACTTGATTGACAATCATCCAATAGAATGTGTCTGTGGTTGAGGACGGCAGTCAGTACGCTACGGACTTGATGAAGTGTGTCGACGCAATCTCGGAGGAAGAAGAGAAAGGACGGCAACCTCAGGTATGTATTCTTGTTGTCCAAGTCAGGAAGGCTACTTAGCAAGACTAGAACGAGGACATCGTCCTGCTCGGTGGTCTCTCTGGGCGCCTAGATCAGACAGTTCACACCCTATCCTATCTCCACAAACTTCGTAAAGTTCGTCGAGTATATGCAGCAACCGATGACAACGTCGGATGGGTATTGGATACAGTATGCATACCTACATGCTATCGTATTATCGTCTGACGAATTCTTAGGGAGAACATGACATTGAAGTCGACCATAACATTCTTGGTCAGACCTGCAGCCTTCTACCAGTCGGTATCGACAGCACCATACTCACGACGAAAGGGCTGCGATGGAATCTTGGTCGGTCTTTATCTCTATATATCACAAGTCCACAAGTAACGTCCTCCTCAGACAACGAGCCATCGTCATTCGACGGATTGGTCTCAACCTCAAATCATTTGGTCCCAGGAGAGAACGTTTGGATTAGAACCACCAAGCCCATCTGGTGGACGATGGAATTGAAGAACATCTAGTTAAGAGGTCCGAGATACATAAGCTTAACCACTCGTAAGCTGTACTACAGTCGGATCATATCTTCCCACTGTGCTTATCTATCCAAACTATCCCCAAACCGTCTTTGACCAATACCGCCATGACCTCCATCACCGTCCTATACTTTGCAGCCGCGTCGACAGAAACCGGGTTGACAGTCGAAAAGGTTCCTATACCCACGCAAGGGCTAGCGTTGTCGTCACTTCCGGGTCTCCTTGTTTCACGACATCCTGGCACTAATCTTGAACAAGTCTTCCAGACAAGCCAATGGAGCGTAGACGCGGAAATGGTCGAAGATCCAACGACAGTCACACTGAGGGGTGGCGAAGAAGTTGCCGTTATTTGTCCCGTCTCTGGAGGGTAGCTGGTGCGTAGCATAAACCTGTGCTGCGCTCAAGTTGACTGTTGACAAAAGCGGTGGCCCCCCAGCCAACCAGGGACTTGGCCCGCAACCGATCTTTCCCCATCGTCGAGTACAGGCCAAGGAGTTATGATAGATCCCTATGCGGCGGTCATGTTTGCTTCTTCTTGGACTTGAGGAATTCCTGTTCCAAATTCGAAAGGAATGCGTCGGCTTCATTAATAGGGTCGGCTCGTGCCTTTTCGCGGGCCTTTTCTGATTTGCGTTGAGTTGTTTGAGCTTCCAGGACAGCGAAAGGGTCCATGGACACAGATGGTTTCGGAATTGACACAGGTTCTGGCGTCCGTTTGGACACCGTAGTACCTTCACTTCCTTCGGTCGGAGGCTTAGCCACCTTCCTCCTCTTCGCTTCGATCAACTTCCTCCTTTCTTCCAACTCCCGCTTCCTCTTCTCCATCGCCCGACTCGTTGTCGATTTGGAAGATTCTCCATCCCGCATCCCTTCTATTTCTCCAGGCCGAATATCCACAGCTCCAGCCTCTTGCCGCGCTTTCTCCGTTTCCATTCGAGCCCTTTGGAGTTCAGCCATTTGCGCTTTCCTCGTTTCTTCATCTGCTGAGAATTGATAGAAGCCAGCACCCTTGGCGCGGACCTCTTTGGAGGCATCGTAGTGAGCTGCAAGAGGCTTGTTGGCTTCGGCTTCGGCTTTTTCAAGTTCGGCTAGCCTTTCAGATGTTGGCTCGTAGACGGGGAAGTGATTGACAGGATTGTCTGTAAGACGAGGTTAGTAGAACGAAGAAAACCAGGATATCGCAAGGCATACGGATAATAATGTCCCTGTAAGGATGAACGTTAGAATAGCTGACCGGAGGACTGCAAAAGCACATACGCGTCTGGATCCGCCTCCTTGGGCCACAGATGTCGAGGAACCTCTGATCGTCGTGCAGTCCTCTGACGACCAAATTCATCTTCGTACTCGATGATAGGGTCATCTTCATCGTCTTTCAGAAGGTGGCGAGGAACTTCTGAGCGTCGGGCGGTCCTCACTCGACCAAATTCGTCTTCATACTCAACTATCGGGTCGTCCTAAGGAAAGGATGAGAATCGGTGGTCCCCGTCTGAGTATACGGAAGAGCGTACATCGGTGGGGGCTGTTGGAACCGTCAATGATTCATCTATATCGTCGCTGTCCGATTCATAGTGATGAGAAGGTCCCTGCAAGTCGAACTTGACGACAGGAACAAATGTTAGTCACTCTTCCAAATGCCAGTTCAAGGACAACTCACGTCCACCAGAAGCGCGTTGTATTGAGCTTCATTCAAGCCTCCAGATTTCCCCTTTCTTAGCTTCTCGTATATCTTTGATTTCCTCTCCAAGATGGTCCGGGCGGATTCGAGTGTCGGGCGGTCTATGGCCTCTTGCTCAATATCCCGGCTTGCCCGTGCTGCCACGCCCTTATTCTGTCGTGCCCATACTGTCGGTTTCTAACACATATCGGGTCAGACTAAGACGCCAAAGGGACAATCTACTAGTCCCACACACCTTGTCCGGCCGTTTGATACCACCAACAATCGTAGAGGTCTGTCCAGCAGCCTTATTTTCCGCGAATTCAGCTTCTTGTTTTGCAAGTTCCGCCTTGAGGTCGAAGAACGAAGTCGCACTGATCCCTTTTGCCTTGGCCTTGCTGTTGTGGGACATGGCGCCTGATTGTGGCCAGCCCCGGATGGGACTCAGAAGAGGGATGGTGGAGGTTAAAAGTCAAGTCGCGAACGCAGTGAAGAGTGATGATTACAGAACAGCTATTCGTTCTCTCGGGTGCGATCGTACTAAGTTACAGTAAGCTGGATTGGGTATGTATTACTAGAGGACCAGCCAATATGCGATGCCAGTGGACCTTTACAAATTCCGGTCTTTTCGACCAAAAAATCAAGGATAGAGCCAATATTGCGGACCGCTTCAAGGCTCACGAGTGAAACTACGACCAAGTCGTGATCTACGCCTACCGCAACGTTGCAAGATCTCTGGTGCAGTGCCCTACGGCAAATCCGTCTCGTGGTCTCAAAGCCGAACATACCTGCGCGACTGGTTAGAAAAACGACATCGAAGACAGGGCTCCGGTACTCACGTCGCGTCAATTTGAGTCAATTGAGGCAAGGCCAGCATAACCTTTCTGCGGTAATGCACCCTGTCGTTCGTTTCGCAGGGGTTTGCTTCGAGATATAGAGTTCGCAATGTCTTGATGCCTCGAAGTTCCTTGTCAAGGCCCGAAAAGTCAGGGATCTTGTTGCCGCTTATCTAAAGGGTAGGTTGAATGAGCCATGCAGTTGCAGCAAAGAAGAGACCAGAACGAACCCATAGCTCTTCCAACTTGTTGAGGTGGGATACCCCCTCAATCGCCTCAAGGAAATTGTACCCAATGTCCAAAGTGGTCAGGTTGGTCTACCCAGGGAGGTTAGCTTTGGCAAGGAAAATTAGAACCAGAAAACATACATTCTTTTCGAGATTCTCTATTTTCTTGATGCCATTATGACTCAGATAAAGTTCCTCGAGACTCTCCAGTCCCTCTACTCCCTCCAACTTTGTGATCCTGTTCGACTGTATTGACAGGATCCTAAGCTTCTTTAGTGAGCTTAATCCCTGTTGATACATTTCAGTGGCTGTCGAGGCAGCAGTATAGGCCCGGAACAAACCTCCAATTTTGTAATCTTGTTCTTTCCCAGCCAAAGCTCTTCTAGATTGACAAGGGTGTCGAGGTTTTCGATTTTCTGGAAGTCTCGTCAGTTCTTGGGGTCGAGCAAGTATTAATTATGCGACCCACTCGAATTCTATTTCCTCCAAGCTCCAGGCTAGTCAAATTAGTCAATGATTCGAGTCCGGTAATCTTTGAGATCCGGTTCTGCACAAAGTAGATCAAGGTAAGCTTGGAGAGGTGTTCCAGGCGGTCGGGGATGTGTTTGAAAAGGTTGAATGAAAGATCGAGCATCCTGCATAGAGCCACGGGACAGCGTCAGTCTTTCCTTACACAAGCAGATCGAACCAAGAGCCACGCACGTCAGATCGGACAACTTGTCCAAAGCATCTCCGAGATTCTTAATCCTGTTATCATACAGGTCCAATTCTTGAAGCTTGGTGAGTTGATGGAAAGTTTCCGAGTCCAGGTGTTTAACCAAGTTCTGTCGCAGGCATAGTCTCCGTAGATGATTCGCGAATCTTCGAAGGCGTAGCTCATCTAGGGATCCAAGGCGACAGTGCACCAATTCAAGTTCCTGTTGCGAAACGACGCCACGAAATCCAAAGTCGTCAATGCTGGTGAAGGTAGCCAGAGTAGCACTGGACGCACATCGGTCTCGTCAGGGAAGTCAGCCAGAAAGTCGCCTTCCTCAGCCTCTTCCTCCTGTTCCTCAACGTCGCTGTCTTTCTCGTCGTCCGATTCTGCGTTGTTGGTTGACGAAGACTGCACAACCCGTGTCATGGCTTGGGACCTGAATGGAGCATTCCATGAGTTCGCCTCACATACAGATCAGGGCAAAAAGTGGACAAAATACTTCATCAACTGGCTTGCCTCGCTGGGTTCCTCTGAATCTGCCGCTGGTGCATCGACCATCACAGACCGCCGGCACTGGGTTTCCTTGGATATTGCCTGCTTGTGGGACGTCGGCTCGGTTGTTGGCTCATCCTGGACAACGGCCACGTCCGTCTGTTTCTCTGTCTCTGCCATGAAGTTGGACGTTTCGTGGTTGAGGCTTGATCAAAATGAAAGTCGCCGAAAAAGGCGAAGAAGGCGACCGCGACACCGTCGGGAGCTGTGCACTCTAATTAAGCATGACATCACGCAGTAAACAACGATAGCGATAGGGGCATCAAGCCACACAAGCCACTGATATTACATTGAAGAACCTGACGAAACTAATAACAATATTGACTATAAATTAACAAGACGCTACAGAAAATAATACGAACAATTATCTTATAATGACACTGCAGCCCATTACAGAATATACCCTAAGTCTTTTAATGCTTCAATCTGCGATACGTCAATGATTTTCGTGAACCTGATAAATCGTCCATCTCTACAATGTGTGTGATAAAAGAGGCAAAGAACGAATGGTCGTCGTGAGGAAAGAAAAGAAACGGTGTGTGCCATGTATGAAGAAGGTCGAAAAGATGCGAAGAAGACAATGATTGATGATGATGCAAATCGAAGATGAGGTAGTCCATGGTTTTTGAAAGAAATGAGGGCGGCACCTGGGTTTGACAGTGTGTAATCATTCCAAGAAGAAAAATCCGGAAATTATAATGAAGACCCATCCTTTATCGATGATCACCTACTGCTGTTGCGGAATGACCGCTTTAACGATCGTGGCTCGGCGGAAAGCGGGGTTGGGGGAAGGTCATGGTAGTCTCGGTCCCTTTCCCTGCTGCGTTCCGAAGAAGGCACTGGAATGATTCCTCCAGGGGAGGGCTGCTGCGAATTAAGAGGCGGGGATGGAATGAGCGGGGAAAGCCGACCAGTGTAATTGGAGATCTGGACCAAAGGAGGAAGTTGGTTGATGTTATGGTTGCTGGAAGCCGTAGAGGTCATCGTGGACGCATCAGTCTGTGCCGAATATGGGGGGTTGGACAAGGGGGAAGGCGTAGGATAATAATTGTTCGAATAGGATGACCTGTTGTCACTGGTCGGAGCGTAATGCACGAAGTTCATACCGGATGGAGGAGGCATGTTTGATGAAGGTGGCGACGGCGACGGCGTCAATTTCTCTAACACCTGACCGCCCGATGGAGAAAAGATCTCGTTCCCGGAAACAGGAGGGGCAGCCGGAAAAACACCATCTGCAAAGTTTCTTCGAATGGTCGCATAGGGCGAAGTCGCATTGACCGGAGACGACCCGGTCTCTCGTTTGAGAATAGTCGGTTTATCTTTACGACGCCTTTGTCCTTGTCCTTGACCCTCTTTCTTGGCCCGGGAGCGGGCATATCGCAATCCACAGCTGTCACAATATTCGTCAGACAGATGTTACGTCGAAGCAATGGATAACTTACGCGTTGCAGAGCTCCTTCTTGCCACTGGGTCCTTTCCGCCATTCTGGGCTTGAGGTGGCCTTGCAGCTCGAGCATTTGAGGATCCCCGCTGGCCGATTGCTTGCGGTGCGGGTAGGACCTGAGAACTCCTTTCCTGCGGTTGGACTAATGCGTCGCCGAGGAGGAGGTACGATGTCAGACGTCGGAGACGTATTGGCGCTGCTCGGTGTCGTCGGGGAATAGGTGTAGGAAGGTGATAGGGGTCGATTAAAAGAGGGTGCCTGCGAGGACACTGTGTCCAGATACGTCGGCTGAGGCGGGGGTGCCTGCTGCCAAGCGGCATTGGATTGGTCCTGGGTGGGGGAAATGTATGAGTTGGAGCGCATATTGTTCATCGGAGGCGGCATCGCTGAGCACGGGTCAAAGTTAAATTGAGTCTTGTGAAAGGCGCCGTTAATGAACTCACCCTGGGACCATCGCTGAGGGGGAGGATAAGGGGCTTGTGTTCCCTGGCCAGCTTGCGACATGTAGGCTTTGGCGTAGTTATCCTGGCTGGACAAAGGTGGAACAGGGTAGGGACTGGACTGGTCGTAATACGACGAGACTGGCTGGGGATTATATGCAGGGGCAGCGAAAGCTAGTTGATTCATGGCTGCGGTCGGATTCGTGGTGTTTCGAGAGCAAGGGTTGACTTTATGACAAGCAAAGATGATGCACCCTGTGAAAACAGAAGACGCATTTAGCAGGGCATGGGGCACAGAAAGGGGGACGTCTACCATGAGGTATGAATATACTTTCGACCTCCCCTCCAAATATGGGCGTGTTGTGCAATGCTTTATACCTGCGTGTACAACTCGTTTTAGCATCGCTTGCACCGGGAACACCCATGTCCATGCTGACGGTCTCCACGAGTTTGGCAAAGTCGAGACTCGTTGCTTCTGAAGACTGGGACGGTCCCGGGGGCCAGCTTAATAACAGATGCTTGTCGGGTTGGTTTGCAAGGATTTGGAAGACCCTATTCATGTTGCCCGTCTGAGGAATGCAAACAAGTAGCCGGCTCAAAAGCAAGTCGATCTGGTCATTGGCCATCATAGGCGTTTCGCACCAATTCGACCACTCCGTCTTGTGAACTTCATCATTATCGTTCGGAGATAGGTCCATCGACGCGTGAATGAAGCAAAGCACGAGGCCTTCAGCTGCCCAGTTGATGACTATATCCACCGCCATGTAGTCGTTGTCCAAGGCGATTCTGTCAGCCTCTGACCAGGACACTGGCGAGCCGGCGTATCCGAGTTTCCTTCGAACGCCAGAGAGGCGAAGAAAGCGTACACTAAACACGAATGCGTCACAACAGGAAAGCTGAGACATCAAGATGGCCAACGTACCGGGTGACGGAGCCATGCAGAGTCTTGCTCTCGAGAACGCTGCCAAGGTCCTGCTTCGCTGTCTGTTGTTCCTCTGGGTGGACAAACGCTAAAAGCGATTTTCCGACGAGAAGGTCCGCCTCCGTGTCAAGATGGTGTGCCAGCACGGGGTCGAGATAAATAAACTGAAGGTCGGAAGACAAGAGCGACCAGTCTGTGCGACGGGGCGCGGGGGGATTCACGACGGGCGGCCAACGACGAGGCGCATTCGCGAACATGGGGTAAGGGCGAGATCGTTTGGGTACAGCGATCGAGTGGACGATCAGAATTCGAACGAACGGAAATATCAAGCTCGCTACTCACAACAACGCGTTTGGCCCACTTTCGGTAACGTTACTCCAGAGTGATCGGCGGAGTAGGGCGTCGATTGTGATGAGGCCGGCGGTGTTGCCAACGGCGGCTGATGCTCATACTGAGCCTGCTGCTGAAAGCCGGAGTGGGGCGCCGCAATATGGGCGTTGTGGGGGTACTGATTGTTCTGGGCGTTGTGGATGTCGTGAAGGGAATAATGTTTAGGGGAATGAGTGAGATAATTCATGACGAGAAAATGGGCGTCGTCGTCGTCGCCGTCGACGATGAGGACGAAGAGAAAGAAAGGAGAGACGGAATTGAAATGGTAACTGACTGAGACACGGAGAGCAAGGCCAGTCTCCCCTCCTATGTATTTGTTTGTCAGCGGCCCTGACCCGCCTGAAACTATTCGGGATCGCCTTGTTCCCCTGTCCTCCGCATTCTCTCTCTCTCAATGCCATAATCCTTTTCCCAATACGGTCCTTCTTTAACTGCTTCTGTAGATCCGCTACCACTTCCGTACAATTTCGTCCATCTCAATCACCGTTCTGACACTTTGTCTTCGATTCTTAATTTCCCGCCAAATATTAACGCCTCTACACTGCGTCGTTTCCATTCTTATACCATGCCCTACAATCCTGCCAATGTCATAACAGGTCAGCGGAACGAGGGGGTCGGAGTCTGTCTCCAGTCTCTCGTTGTTTGCATCAGTTTGCGTCGAGAAAAGAAATCGGTCACCCGGCAGTTTTAGTGGTCTTGACATTAATATTTCGCTTTCGACCATGGCAATCAACCAGAAGAACATCTGGGTCGCGGCGGGCGACGGTGACCTGAGCAGAGTAAGAGTAAGTGTCAGCCACACAGAACCTCAGTTCTATTCCAATCATTCATTGTTCTTCATTCATTTCAGGAGCTCGTAGAGTTACATTGCAAGTGTGATCTTGTCTCCCGGTGATATTACTAGCTCACCCCGCAGTCAGCCGTTTCTCCCAACGGACCAGATGAAAACAGCTACACTCCGATGTACGGTTAATCGCACCAACTCGACTTGTTCTGACCAGTGCGCGTCAAGGCATGCTGCAGCGTCCTATGGACATATCGACATTCTCGACTACCTCATATCAAAAGGTTTCTTCCTTATCTTCCGGCGCCAACCATCTCTCATTTTCCCTCAGGTGGAGACGTGAATGTCACAGATGATGACGGAGATACGCCGCTTTACACAGTCGAGAACGTCGAGACTGCACGGTATCTCGTCGAACGTGGCGCGGTCGTAGACCGTCGCAATCTGGAGGGTGTCTCAGTGAGTGACGCATTTCTGTTCACGAGTCCTATCTCACACCTTTTCCAGCCCATCGAATACCTCAGCGATGACTTTGAAGAAGTAGCTGCCTACCTCCAGACCAAATCGTCCCTCCCACCACCATCATCCCAGCCATCCTCAACAAACCCTTCTCAACACGCACAAGATGCCGCATCTGAGCAACTTACCTCCGAGCTGATGGCCTCTGTGCATGAGATCATGCAACGAGGAGAGCAAGACGGCTGTGATGTCGATTCACAGCTGGCCCAAGCCGTTACCCGAGCCGTCTTGGGAGGGGTTGAGGCGGGATACCAACTTGCAGATGGCACTACTGACTCGGAACGACAACGAAACCAAGCACCTACCGCGGAGGACACCTCTTCAACAAAACGACCGCGGATAGACTAGCTTGGGTGTTTGGCCCCTAAATATCCTAATCTTATCGGATGCGCTCGCCTTCGACGCGATCGCGTTGATCACCGTCACGATCCCTCATCATGATCATCCTTGCTCGATCGGGCCATGAACCTTCTTTCAGAAACTTAAATCCTGATTGTGGCATGGAACTCATGCCTCAACACCAGCAACGCTCATTCTTTCCACATATATTGGCCGTGCACGCGACCGCGGCCTTCCTGATCGTGTCAATATGAACCTGGGTTCATGAACCATCGAATTCTACCGTTCTTCTGCGTTCTCACCTGGCAGCTCGGTGACACACTAGTTGCGACGAATGAATTTTACACAAACGGGTCAAGGAGCGCGTCAGGTATGACGACGGGACTTCATTGACAATTACTATTGCTTCCCAGTCTACTTGTGCCAGCATAGTTAGGGGGTAACTCCCTGGGGACTTGCCTAGGCTGCAGTGCGCGCAGTGAAATGATAAATCCCCGTTGCCTGTGAAACAGTGAGGTTCAATGTGCCCATGATGCCTTGACACCTGCTGTTCGTTTTCGAGTTCCGCTATGGTTGAGCGCTAGATCCATGGCTATCCAGTGGCAACGAAGGGGTCCTTCGAAGCGGGCACTTGTGACGCACTGTCGCTACCTTGGAACTGGATGACGCTTCGTGAAACATTAATTGGCACGAATCCCATGAATGCCAGATCCAAGATATCAGCGTTCCAGTGTGGCCCATTGTCGTTTGCTTTTCTGAGTCCATTCCGTTGGAAGTGCGAGCGTCCGACGCGTTTAGACGCCGGTACGGATTGTTCCCTTGAGGCCAAGGTAGGAATGAGCGCCCAAATTGAAACCATCGCGACCGGGAGGTGCACGTGATTAATGATGGGTTGTTGCTTCGACATCTCCTTGCCTCTTCCAACTTGCTCGAGATTTTTCTCTTCTTGATTGCGTATCGGCTTTCTAGGTGAATCTAGGGTCCTTTGCACCAGAAACCTCACTGAATCGGGCGGAATCTACAGTCTTCATCTCGGTAACTTGATCCTAAGGAGTGCAACCACACCGTACGCAACACCTGGATGTCACGCTGGGATCTGTCGGCGACGCTCGCAACTTGCTTGACGCTCGAGGACGTATCGGACGCGGAACGCAAACCGGACCTCAATTATGAAACACCTGTTCTCCAAGTCACCTCCAAAGCGCGTGAAAATAAATATGAAGTCGTTTGTTTACCGCTGACAACGGAAGCTTGGAAGCGAAGATGGTCCAGTATGTGCCTGCTGCCCGTCGACGCGACAGAAGAAGAAAAGGGAGAGGCATCTAAGGCTGCAGAGCTGTGGAGAGTCCGCCCGGGGTTCTTGAAAGATGAAGTCACCCTCTCGCGGCTAGGTGCGTCTCTGATCTATCAGGACATGGCTGTCTGACCAATGGATCCGTGCTCCAACAGACGAAGCTGAGGGTGTGATTGCTATGGTCTCGGAATGGCTCGAGTTGGATTCGCCAGACGACTGGATCCGCAACGATGCAGAAATAGTAAAGAGCCCCGACCGTGTTCTCATGTGTCGAGCCGAACTAACGGTCGCAACAGGCCCTGCAGCAGGAGCTTTCCTACGCTTCATATCTCAACATCGCGACTGCAATCCTGCCTCCGCCTCGTAACAGAGACCATGTCGCTTCATATGCCAGGGCAATCAACTCATGTCTACAGGCGACTTCCTACATTAGCCTCTCCGTGCGCCTCCCAATCTACAACCCCTCCGTCTTCCAACCCACTTCGCCCCTGTCTTCATATCCTTCTTCGTCATCCCACAACTCTCTCATGTCTCCGCAAACCCCGGCTTTGGTGGTATCGGACGCCAACCAAGATCGACCCCAAAACTCTGAAACGTCTTTGAATGCAACATGGGAGATGTGGGATCTCATTCGGTCCATGTGTGATTACAATCCTCGTCTGACCCTTAGTATGCCAGCCTCGTTTCCCTTCTTCCTGTTGGGAAACACCCTCTGACCCAAAGCTCCCAGCTCTGGACCTTTCACCGGCGCTTCCGACCTCTTTGGGTGTCCTCAGCAAATGGGCCGCTGAGGCTGTTCGACACATCTTCCTGCCAGCTTCCACGTTCATTGCCAATATGAAGGGGTACCCAGTACTTCCGAAGCCAACCCAGGCGTTCCTGCGCGACAGCATGATTGCACGTTTCTTTTTCGCGTGTTCTTTGTTCAAATGTTGACTCTTTCTCTCTTCTCCTCTGCCAATGCTTTGGTGCATATCTAGCATCGGCCCACAATCATTCTAGCGGACGTAAACTCGGGAAGGCATGCTCGTGGTGGTGAACGTGCCTACTCCCAGTACATACGTCATCTGGAGAAAACAAGTCCGACCGTGCAGGCTGCCCAAAAACCCGGGACGGTGGAAAACTTTGCGCAAGGTTATCAAGACTATCTGCAGGCGCCATTACAGGTAATCATCATTCTCCCTTTTAACACGAGTCTTTGGTGACGTGAACCTCTTTTTTTAATATCTTCAACAGCCGTTAATGGATAACCTGCCAAGTTTCACGTATCAGGTCTTTGAGAAGGATCCCGTCAAATATGCTCAATATGAAGAGGTGGAGCTGTTTGTTGCATTTGACTTCAGGAATGTCGACTGATACGTCTTTCCTCTAACCCAGGCTATGTATAGGGCATTCTTGGACCGCCCAGCAGACGGCAAAACGTAAATGAATTACGTCGGGGTCTATTTTAGCATGCTAACATCTCGGTCATCAGGTTAGTTTGTGTTGCAGGGGCTGGCCGTGGACCGCTTGTCGCGCGATGTCTGACGGCCTTGGAGCGTGCGCATCGCGATGCCAAGGTCTATGTGATAGAGAAAAACCCGAATGCATATGTAACGTATGTCCATATTTCATGTGATGCTCCTATCACCTCGCGTACTGACGCGCGGTCCCAGCTTGCAGCATCGGCAAGAAAGAGAATGGGGAGACAAGGTCCAGCTCGTCTTTGGTGACATGCGGGTCATCGATGTGCCCGAGCAGGTTGACATCCTAGTCAGTGAATTGTTGGGTTCATTTGGAGATAACGAGCTCAGTCCAGAGTGTCTGGACGGGGCCATGCGCTTTTTGAAACGTGAGTTCTTTCAACAGGGATGATACATCCTCTATCCAAGCTTAGTCCTTCCCCATAAGCGGACGGCATCTCGATACCGTCTTCTTACACAGCCCATCTCGCGCCTTTGTCCTCGTCCAAGCTCTACAACGAGGCTCGATCTGGGAATAGTGAGAAAAGTCTGGAAACCCCTTACGTGGTTATGTTCCAAGCGGTCAACATCCTCAGCGGTACGAAATCGTCAGCTGACGGTCGTTGCGGACCTCAAATCCAAGAATGCTGGGAGTTTGAGCATCCGCGAAGCGATGCCATTTTGGATACACGAGGCTAGTTTGCAGTCGTGTTTTTTTGGGGTTGTACATGTGTCGCTCACCATTTTTTTACTCTGTTTACAGGACTACCGTTGAGCAATAACCATAATGTGCGATCCGCCAAATTGAGATTCTACATACCTCATGCGGGGGTACTCCAGTATGTCCATTTGTACCTCGTCTGAGATCGAGCAGCTGACATGCGATCGATATAGCGGACTCGCTGGTTACTTCGAAGCAGTGCGTGACGCTTTGCGCGAGGCAACGGACATCCTATCTAATCGATATCGTAGGTTTTATATGGAAATGTTGGTCTGAGTATCCATCCACAGCGAAAAGATCAGATATCAAAGGACATGCTCAGCTGGTTCCCCCTGTTTTTCCCATTCAAGGTGGGTATTCTGCTTTTGGAAGGTGGTTATCTCTAACGGGAACATAGGAACCGCTCTACCTCCCGAGTGATTCTGAGCTACAAGTATCCATCTGGCGACTGACAAATAACCAAAAAGTCTGGTACGAGTGGCATGCAGAGTCTTTCTTGTCTATTCCAAAGAAACCTGCGGAAGGAGACGATGCGTTCCAACCCGCCAGAGCACCGACGCCTTCGATACCGACCTCGCCAAGCGGGTTCCCCAGCCCGCTCATTGATAGCGTCGATCCCTTTAGCAACCAATGGCGCCGTATGTCTGTAGCGACCAACTCGACTTCAAGTTCCGCAGACGTTGAATATGAATCTGTCAAGATTGGGCATACCAGTCTTCATAACCCAGGTGGGCGGAGCAGCTGGATTGGCTTGTGAAGGATAAACTACTTGCTCAGTACGCAAATTGTTTACGACGTGCTCTGGATATAACACGGATGGTTTTCAACTCAACATTTTTGATTTCAGAATCGAAAAGCGCAGCCTGAGGTTATATTTGGAACACGATCGACGATGCGGACATTGAAGTGGTTGACAGCCCGCGCCGCGAGAGGCTATTTATCACCCTCGACCTTTGGATTCTCTCTCTTTCTCTCAACCATTATACCGCTCACAGATTTCGAGTTTCATTTATCCCGCCTTCAGCGAACCCCCTTCCTTTTCACTCGCCTTTGTCTATACCCTCTTTCTTCGATTTTACGATGAAGATTCTCGCCGCCATCGCCGCCCTCATCTCAGCCATCCCCGCCATTTCTGGGCTGGTCATTAACACGCCGTGAGCCGCCCCCTGTTCCTCCCGGCGGGCTGGTTACTGACAACTGTATCAGCTCGGGCGTGGTTCAGTGTCGTACGTTTGAGCGCGTGAAGATGCGAACTTCACTGAGCGGGACGCGTTATACCCAGAACCCATTATGATAACTTTTGGCTCCGGCTCTGCCCCATACTACATCTCTGCTATCCCCGGTACGCTCTCCTCGCACTGTAGGAAGGCACTTCTTGACAAGCCCTCGTAGCTGGCCAAGTTTCAGCCAGCCCGGTGCGTTGCGGTCCCAATAAATTCGTGTAGTTTGAAGTTTAAAGTGAAATACGTCCAGCTCCGAACCTGGGATCCTACCAACGCTCAGAGCCTGACTTGGAATGTCGATATGGCTGGCGGAACGGCCATGTATGTTTTCACTCGATCCTATGCGCGACTCGGAGGTTGATCCCAAGTGCATCTCTTTGCAGTTCTTTCATCGTCAAGGATAGCACTGGCGCCCAAGCATACTCGGATCAAGTTACAATTCAGGGTTCAAATGATTCAAGGTAATCAAAAACAAGATCATGGTGCGGTAGCGCTAACCTGTTCTTTCTTCAGTTGTCTCAATGCTAGCTCGAGTGCGTCGAGGTCCCACAGCGCCTCATCCTCTTCAGCCTCACATTCTTCTTCAGCCGCTGCGCATGCGACCGCCAGTGCAGTTGCAACTGGCAGTGCAGCAAGGTAGAGACAGATCATCTTCCCTTTTCTTCGCTGGTTAACAGTGTATGCAACCAGCCACGCTTCTGGTGCGGTCGAAGCGACAACTGCATCAGCTGGGAGAGCTGCGGCCACTCAAACCACCTCTTCCAATGCGGCGAACGGCAACGCCGTTCACACTAGCGGCGGATTCCAAATGGACGTCGGAGCGCACTGGGTTGGCGTTGTTGGAGTCATCGGTGGATTGTTGTTGTAGATTTTGGACTAGTGTGGATACCCCTCGTGAATTCCTTTCTTCATCGTCTGTTCACAGTCTTTCACAGTCTATACGTATGACTACATTCGTTTGATACAAGAGATCGGAGTCTTTAAAATTGTGGTGCTTCGCGAGCATGTGATGGTGATTGACAACGCGTAGAAGTGTGCCTTAGCCATTTAAAGGGAGAAATAAGGCTCGTGGGACGATGGAACGGTTCTTGGCTTTTACCTGAACGAGCATCCTCTCTTTTCGTTAACGTCGTAGTATTCAGAGGCCTATCCTCTGTCATTCGCTCTTTATTTTCGGGGACTTTGGTGCATTCCAAAGTTCTTTAAATTATCGGCCGCGACTCAGCCTTGGCCACGAATCCACAAGGTCCATCACTGCACATGTCGGTTTCCTCCGGGGCAACTCCCGCCCATCCGGTTCAACTCAACAACCCTCTGCAACCGCCATCTGCCACCAACGACGGCGACAAAACTCACCCTCGAATGCAAGATTCTGACCCTTTGCAGGTGGACATGAACGCCACCTCGTCGAACACAGAGAGTGCTTTGCCACCTCAAGAGCCCCCTATTTCAGAGCTCACCGACTCATCTCTCGCAAAGGTACGTCTTGGTCGTTTGACTCAATTTTTCTGTTGCTCAGTCCCAACCAGGACATCGTAAAGGACGAGATCGCCCCCGTCGTCGACGAACTCATCGAACAAGTCTCCCAGGCCACAGTGAAAGCGGCCCTGGACAGTGACGTTGTTCCGAACGACGAAGACGTCCCGACCTCGGCCCCGTCGTTGGTCTCTGACGCGTCGATTTTAGACGTGTCAACTCGGGTATGAAAAGTCTGTAATGTTTCTGTGCATTCATTTGCTTAATCTACCATTAGATTAACGGCGACGAGCCCGCATCATCCACAGAGACCCAGATGGAGTCCACCGACACGATCGGCGCAGAGACGACATCGCCTGTCGTAAGTCCACTGTCCGCCCTTTTCCCATCGTCATCTCATCCTCGAGGAAGGTCGAATCCACCGCTGTTGCCAGCGATTATGCCGAAGTACCCACAGCGACTTCGACACTTCCCAGCGACGTAAGTAGCCACCTAGACACTTGAAGTGTCAGGAAAAGCTGATGAATGATTCCAGATCGTCACTCCTTCGACACAACCGTCTTCGGAAGAGAAGGATAATGAAGGCTCTACCGTACGTTCCTTACTGCGTTTTTCTCGCTTCCGTACCAATGCCAAATCACAGGGAGCCGAAGTCGCGTCTGAGCTGGATCCTACCGTAAAGGTGAGTACTATTCCTGTCAGACCGGAATGGGGAATGCTTATCTGTTCACATGGTAGCCGAACGAGGGTGCCAATGACCTCGCTATTCCCGATGAGACTTCATTCAAACCATCGGTGGAAGACATAATAACCGAGGAAAACACAACTCCTGTGGCTGACGCTACACCAGTGGAGAAGGCTGAGGCTGTTATTGTGCCGGACCCCGAGGAGGCAGCCGAACCCGCTCTTACCACCGAAGGATCCCAAACAGTCGTCGAAAGCACTCCTATGCCAGCCGCCGTTGTTGTCCAGGTCGATGACGCCGCCAACCCCGTCGTAGAGGAAGTAGTCGAAAGCAAAGCTGAAGATTTCAGCAGTGACCAAGCTGTTGTCGAACCGCTTGTCGAAGAAACCAAGCCCGAAGAGGTGAACGAGCCTGCCCCCGAGATCCTTCCAGCTGTAGTTGAGCCCGATACCCAACCCGTTCTCGCTGAAGAAAGCACGACTCAACCAGGTATGTCCCATTTGGATACATGGCTCAGCCTGATTACAAATTGAAATTGCAAAGCTGCAGAGAATACCGACCAAGCTCCTACCTCCAACCCAACCCCCGCCGGCGACGATGCTTCCCTTCAGCCATCCGAAGACTCTACAGTCAGCGCGCCACCAACTGCATCGACCCACGAGGACGCGGATGCTCCTGCTCCGCAAGGGGGTGACGCGACCGCGCCTTCTGAGGATGCAGTTGAAGCCGTGAAAGAGCCCGAGATCACGCAAGAAGACGCTCCCATCGCCCAAGCAAGTTCTGATGTCGTCGCCACCGCAGAGGACTCCCCAGCTGAGGAGGTCGTCGACGTCCCTGCTCCTGTCGAGACAGCCGTCAACGAACCTGCCGTTGAAGAGCCTGCCAGCACGGAAACAGCAGCAACAGTCGAAGAGGAACCTCAACCCACCGCCTCGGATGCTGCTCCTATCGTCGAAAGCGAGCTTCCTGTTGTTGATTCTGCCACTGAAGTCGAGGCTGTAGAAGTGGAACCAAGTAACGAAGTCGAAGTTGTGGAATCCCAAGAAGCTCCAGTCAAGACTGAAATAATCGTCACCGATAATTCAGGAGCTCCTATCGCCTCCGAACCTGAAGGTTCCCTTGTTGCATCGGCCGTTGAAGACTCGACCGAGGAACCATCTGCGCCAGTCGAGGATGTCAAGGTTGTTGAAGAACCCCCGCATCCTGAAATGCTAGAGGAATCTCAGGAGCCTACGCCCGAGGTCGAGAAGCCTACCGCCCTCGAGAACACTGTTGTGATCGAAGAGCCAGCAATCGAGGAACCGGTTACTGCTGAAGAACCCCATGTCGCGGCTGTGGAAGAGCTTCAAGCGTATGTTGCTGCTGACCCCAAAGAGGCCGCACCCGGATCTGAGGAAGCCCCCGCCGAAGTCACACCAACCGTAGAGGAGCCACAGCCGGAGGCAGCTACGGAAGCTCCCGTCGTTGTTTCTCAGCCCGTAGAAGAAGGGACTCAGCCTGCCACTGAGCCTTCACCAGCCATCGTCGACGAAACCATGGAACCTGCAGTCATTGAGGAGGATGCCTCCCCAGCAATCGCCGCTGAGGAGACTACATCAGAACCTGTCGAAGCCGAGTCTCCATCGCAAGCCCAGGTTGTGGAGGAGCCTGAGTCCTCTGTTGAAGCACCTGCTGCTGTTGGGGAAATGGCCGAGAGGCCCGTTGCCCTCGAAGGAACACAGGAAGGAATTTCTGCCTCGGCTGAAGAGACCGGGATCGAGCAGCCCGCAATCGTGGAGGAGGCTCCTGCGGACGAGGCGAAGACGGAGGAACCTGCAGTTGTTGAGGAGGTCGAGGTTGTGGACTCTGAATCTGCGATGGAGCCCAAGCCCGAAGTGCCAGCTGCGCTCGAGGAGGTCAAGGCTGAAGAGCCCGCTGTCGTCGAGGAGGTCAAGGCTGAACAACCCGCTGTCGTCGAGGAGGTCAAGGCTGAACAGCCCGACGCTGTTGAGAACAACGAGGTCGAGGAAGCTGACAATTCAGGCATTGAAGCCGCACCTGTCGAGGAGTCCATTGAACAGGCGATCGTTGAAGCCCCTCCGACCGTTGAGGTCACCGGAAAGCCCGTCACAGAAATACCAGCAGCCGTTGAAGAGGCACTGAGCGGGGAGCGTGCTGTTGCCAAGGATGTACAAGGCGAAGAAGCCGCCGTCGTGGAAGACGCCAAGGAGTCGGTCGTTGAAGAAACTGTGGTCGTCGAGGAGCTCAAAGCAGAGAACCCAGTTGTCGAAGATTCCCCTGCCGCCCAGGTAGTGGCCGAAGAGCCCGCTGCTGAGGCTGCTCCTACCACCGAGGAAGCCGGCGCAGCTGGGGATGGTTCCTTGGTCAAGGAACCAGCGGAACAGTCTGGTGTCATCGAAGAGAAGGCTGAACCCGCACTCGATAGTCCCGCTTCGGTTGAGGGCGTATCTGAGGAGCTCGCGACTGAGGCTGAGCCCATTGTGGAAGCACCCGCAGATGTCGAGGAGTCAGCTGTGGAGGTCTCGGCAATCGCAGAACGAGTTGCAGGGGCTGAGGCGATTGCTGTCGAAGACGCAGGGAACGCTGAAGCCGTCGAGGAAGATATTGTTCGACCTCACCACGTCGCTACCGACACAGAAAGCTCAGCCGAGTCTTTCGCAGAGCCGATCACCCCTGCTATCACTGTTGAGGAACTCGGTAACCAGACAGAAGTCACTGTAGAGGACAAATCGGTGCGCAATGTTTTAAAGGGCCAGCTGGCCGATGTGCTGACGGTCATTTTTGCTTTATCCAGGTTGAGAACGTTGCTCCCGCCGTCGAGCGCCCCAAGTCACCGTATCCACCCGCCTTCGAAGTCACTACGCTGGGCCGTGGTGTTTCAGTGCAAGAAGAAGAGGAGGAGGAGAAGGAGGAGAAGGAAGCGGCCCCTGTCGAGGAAACCCCTGCTGTTGCTCCAATTCCTGTCGTGATTGCCACGGAGTCGGATGGTGCCTCCACTGAGGTATATGTTACCGTAGCCTGGCCTCCTGATCTTTTGCTAACTTCACTGACAGGTCATTAACCAGGACGAACGTGAAGCACCCCCCAGCCGACCTTGGACACCTTCTTATTCTGTTCACTCCCAGGGAAGTCCCATGCTTCATCCTCAAGAAGAACCGGCGGTCGCCCCAGAACAAGCATCCGAACAGTCCCCAGAGGTCTCGGAGGTGGCCACCTCTGCTATCCCCGACATCCAGACCAACCTTGCACCTGCTGCACCCGAGGAGGCGCCAGCTGCCAAAGACATCGAGACCGAAGCCAAGGACGAAGACGCCGTGCAAGAAGCTACCCCTGCCGTCGCCCCTGAACAAGCGGAGTCAGAGCCCTCGGTCCCTGTAACAGAGGAGAAAGCTGCTGAAGAATCACAGGTGATGACAGTAGTGTCTGCCGTAGAGGAATCTCTCCCAGCAGCTGAGAGGTCTGCGCCCGTGGTCGAGCTTGTGGAAGAAACGTCTGAAGCTGAGGCTTCTGAAGAGCCTGTTTCGACTGCCACTGACCCCGTCGTTGCCGCCGACGAAAAGCTTGCGTTGTCGCCCAAACCTTCCCAGACCAACCTATGGGTTCCTTCATACTCCGTCAGCAGGCAAGGGAGCCCTGTCTCCACCCCCAAGGTTGAGCTTGAGGGTGATTCATTCCCCTTGGAAGAAGCCAAGCCCTTGGATGCTACTTCTGAGCCTAGGACCAAGGAGGCTGACGCCCCCAGTGCGCCAGAGTCTGAGACGGTCGAGGATGGTGAAGCCGCTGAAAAGGTTAGTACTTGTTCTGTTTCAACGGTACATCTCGGCTTACTGTTGTCTAGCCCTCGACCCCATGGACCCCAAGCTACTCTGTTACGACTCTCAATGGCCAAGAAGTTACCCAGTCTACCGACGCCTTCCAACGGTTCACTGATCTCAATGCATCTGAGGCTGAGGAGAAGGGCGAAGAGCCGTCTGCTCAAAGCGCACCACTGGAGGTGAAGGCTGAAGTGGGAACTTCTGTCGCAAGCAGCGAAGAAGCTGTTCCATCCTCAGCCACCCCGACTCAAGAAGCATTCAAAGTCGAGCCCATTTCCACGGAAGGCGTACAAGAGCGCTCCCTCCCGACCTCTACCGACAACGAAGAAGCCAAATCGTCTGTTTCCCCTCTTTCCGTCACTTCGATCACGAATGGTGCCTCACCGCTTATCTTACCTGACATCTCTGCAGGACGAAAGCGACTGGAATCTTCCGCTTCCTCCAAATTCTTCCCCGGTGGATGGTTCAGCGCCGCGTCAAAGATCCCTGATGAAAGTCGGGCATCGCTTGAGAACGCCACAGGCGAATTCATCCCCAACAAATCACCCACCTCTCCTACTGAAGCATCTGCCGTCCTTCCTCCCATCTCAACTGACGTCTCGATACCGACTACGGAGGCTGGGGAAGATTCTGCATCGTCTGCGACTGCACACAAGAAGAAGTGGTGTGTTATTATGTAAAAAATATCCTTCGTTTCATTGGAAAGTATCCTTCAAGCAATCTTTTTACTCTACACTCCTGGGCCTTACCTTTCAATTCATTGCTCACGACTATTCATGACGACCATTTATCTTTATCTTCTCGATTATGCATACCGCCTTACCCATTTTTCTACCGCTATTGGAACTTTAGTAACGTTTTGATTCTCTCTTGCACCTTGTTTTGCAATGGAATTTACCCAATCATAATCATGTCCACTCCTTTTTAGTAGCTCAACAAATTAAAACGCTCTCTCGGTTCGTGAGTGTGTATATGGTAGAACAGTAAAGGAGAGACTAAAGCTTCGCCTTGGTGTCGTCCACGAGCGTTACGGCTGATGCGGCCAGGGCAACGGAGTCGCGCTCCTTCACCTTGGCGCCTGCAAGAATATGTTCAGTGTCAGGTTAACGCGAGAGAGCACTGGAACAACTTACGGAAGATAACCTTGTTGCCCTCCTTCCACATCTCGGTAACGATAGTCTCCCCTGGGTACACCACGCCAGCAAACCTATGAACGCCAAGGACAAAATTGAGTCTTAGTTCGAGGACTCGAAGCAGATGCCTCTCACCGAACTTTGATGTCCTTGTAAGGGCCGAATGCCTTCAGGACATGTTTCCCAGCAATGCCCATGGAACAGAGACCATGAAGGATGGGTTTGTCAAAGCCACCGATGGCAGCAAAGTCTGGCAAGATCTGCGCAGAAGAAAGGACGTAAGGAGAGAGTCACCAAAGAGGGGGACCCACGACATACATGAAGGGGATTGTAGTCTCCACTCAATCGGTAGAGAGCGGCTTGAGAGGGATTGGTAGCCTCCTCTGTCACAACATCGGGCTGGCGTTTAGGTGGATTGTTAACCGCTGAAGCTGCTCCCCTGTCTACTTTAATTCTTCAGAGATGCAATTGGCAGACTCCACTGTGAGCAACACTGACCGCTCCCAGTTCGTTTTCCTCCGAAGCCTCCAGCACCGCGAATGAACACGGTTGATTGGTTCTCAAAGATAACCTCTCCGGAAGAAGCATCCTTGGTCTCAACGATGATGGTGACTGCAGCAGCCTTTCCCTTGTCAAGGACCTCCAAAAGCCTGGCTTCGCTCACGAGGGCACCGCCAGTCGGAATGGGCGCCTTGATGTTCAAGTATTGTTCGCCATGGAGGAGTTTAGCCTACAGATATTCAACAAGGTCAGTGTACGAGACAATAAGCACTGTGAAGTGAGATTCACGGGATTGTAATTGGGCAGCCAGTCGAGCGGAATACCAGTGCTGCAAGGGAATTGGGGAATAACACCAAACGTAGGCAAGGCGGAGAACGAGTCGTCGCCCTCGAAGGTCCACTGAAGTTCTTGCGCAGTCGCTCCAATACCGAGGTTGTACAGGATAACGTCGCGCTATGTCAGCTGTCAGTCTCATACCATGGCCTTGAACACAAGATGTCAGTTGCCCACCTCAGTGTAGTTGTAGGTAAAAGGTTCGTGAATCTGCTTCTTGGCTTCAGCGACAAGAGCAGAATCCTCGGGGTCTGCAAAAGCTTTTGGATCTCTGAAGGGGGACATGGCGAACAAGTGGTGCGGGACTAGTGGTTTTGCCTTGCAGTGTTGGAAAACACATTGCAATGACGGGCAGCTTTGTGGGAGAAATGGAATCACATGCAATCCCGGTCCGTTGTGCTCGTCCCCCTTCTCAGGCTACAACGTCTGACTCCGTCGGCAATTTGAGAAGTCGAAGTCAAGGGGACAGGCCCTCGTAAACGTTTATACAGTACTTCCAACGTACGACGAATCCCGCAGGATAACACGAAAGGCATTAAGGATATCCACTAAATAGTGCCCAGCAGCTACAGCTCTAAATATACATGCAAATGGAAGATGAGATGGAATACAAATGATAATTTATAGCTTGGCTTTGAGTGATGATTGGTTGTTGATGTTTTCGAGAATCTGTTGGATAGATTCTCCAGAGTTGGCAGGGTGTGTTGCACGCTCGTCTGGATAGAAGAGTTAGCCCAGCCCAGCAGGGAGCTCGAGTATGTGAACATACCATAGGTGGTAATCTCCTTCCACTTGGCCACAACATCCTCGGGCGTGTATGGCTTGTCATGAGGGAAGCCATAGCCGCCAGTTCGTTGCCAGCGTGTCTGGGCAGCCCATCCACCAGAAACCTCAAAGATGGCACCAGTAGTTTCGGTGTTGTCCTTGCTGCTAAGGTAGCCAACAACAGGTGCAACAAAGTCGGGCTTGAAGGCATCGACCATCTCCTGTGGCCTGTATCGCCGTTAATATGCGTCGAATGATTGGGTATGAAGGTTCACGTACCAGACAGTGCTGGTCATGGCAGTTCCAGCAGAGGGAGCAAGGACGTTGGCGATGATACCATACTTCTTGCCCTCAATGGCAAGGGACTTGGTAAGACCGATGATACCAGCCTTCGCGGTGGAGTAGTTGGCCTGACCAAAGTTGCCGTCTGCGATACACAATTAATCTCCGTAGTCGGGGGGAAGCGAGTGGAACGTACAAATGCCGACCTGCGAGCAGGTGGTCACGATACGGCCGTACTTCTGCTTCTGGAAGACGGGCCATACAGCCTTGGCACACTTGTAAGTGCCGCGGAGGTGGACAGCGAGGACAATGTCCCACTCTTGCTTGGTCATGGACTGGAAGGATTTGTCTCGCAGGATACCAGCGTTGGCGATGAGGACGTGGACACCACCGAACTTCTCGAGAGCAACAGCGACGATCTTGTCACCATCCTCAGCGGAGCAAATGGCAGCGGCAGCCTTTCCGCCAGCTATAGCAAACTGGATTAGATTGCGTGAACCGCATTGAGAGAAACCGGAGCTTACCCTTGGTAATTTCGTCGACAACGGCGTTGGCGGCTTTCTCGCTGACGTCATTGACGACAACGTTGGCACCGAGACGAGCGTACATCAAAGCATAGGCGCGACCCAAACCAGCCCCAGCACCTGTGATGATAACCGTCTGTCCGTCGAAGCGGACTTCGGGGGAAGCTTGAGCGTTGGAGGGGAGCGACCTGGCAGTCTCGAGCTTGCCCTGCAGAAGGTGGATTTACATGTATGTCCGAAAAGAACCAATCCAAAGACACTTACCACTGAGTCGACATCGGTAACGGCTTGAGGACTGAAGGAGACCCATTAGCAGGTGCACGCCATATTCTCTGAAAGGAGGTCCGCTCACTAGTATGGCTTGGAGAAATCTGTGACATCCGACCACCTCGCCTTGACCTATTCGAAAACATGAGTACAAGGGATTTCGTAAAACCCGAATAGCCAAACACTCACAGCGGAAGGAGAGAAGCTAGCATCGGTCTTGAAGATCGCGCCATCGCTTCGCTCCCATCGGAGCTCGGCAATGAATCCAGCGCCGACTTCGTACACCTTGCCAGTGGCATCCGGACCGTCAGGGTGGCAGATAGCGGCAACGAAGGGAGCAACGTATTCCGGGCTGAGGTTCTTGAGCATCTCAGCGGGCATGATGGTCTCGGTCATTGCGGAAGCAGCGATCTATGGCATCGAGAAGGGAATGAGAATGTCAGCTTCGCAGAAACGACAACGAGGAAAGAAAAAGAAGGGACGCACCGGAGCAATAGCGGTGGATTTGATGTTGTACTTGACTCCCTCACGAGCCAGGGTCTTGGTGAAACCAATGAGACCCATTTTTGCTGCACTATAGTTGGCCTGACCAAAGTTGCCTGCAGGTGACGCATTAGGTTGAAGTATGTAGAAAGACTGCTGAATGAAGACTCGCACCATAGATACCAGCAGCGCTAGCGGTGTTAATGACACGGCCGAACTTCTGCTTGCGGAAGATAGGCCATGCAGCCTTGGTACAAGCGAAGGCGCCGTGCAGATGGACTTCTGTGATCTGGTCCCACTCCTTGTCCGACATGTTCTTGAAGCTACGTCGAGTTGAGCATGGGCTAAACACAACAGGCAGAACATCGGAAGAAGATGCTCACCCTCTATCGCGAAGGATTCCAGCATTGTTGATGAGGATGGTGACGGTGCCAAAGTTGTCGACGGCGGTCTTGATAACTGCCTCGCCATCGGTCACAGAGGAGGAGTTCACGACGGCCTTGCCTCCGGCTAATCAAATGACTGGCAGTGAGTGCTGTTGTCTAAGACTATACGGAGAAGGAGACATACCCTTGGTAATCTCGTCGACAACCTTTTGGGCTGCAGCGGCGTTGAAGTCGTTGACAACGACGTTAGCACCCCGCGAGGCGAAAAGCAAAGAGTAACTGGAAGACGGGTCGGTAATCAGTTCGCTGCGGCGGTGGATTCAAAGGCGGGAAACATACGCCTTTCCAAGTCCTCCACCGGCACCGGTGACGACGACGGTGTGTCCTTTGAAGTCGAGGTGAGACATGATGTTGAACAAGGTGAATGGGAGAAGGTGAATTTGGGTTTGGTTAAGGTTGAAATAACCTGAAATACCGGCCGAGGTTGCATGTGAATTTCGCCCTATGCCTTTCCTCTTCCCCGGCTTTCCTAATCAGTCACTTTTGATCGCACCCCGCGTTCCGTCTTTTCGCGTGCAACAATTCTTCAAGTTCAACCCTATTATTATTTATAATTTTGCGTCAAAAACACCGCCTCATATATGAGGAAAACGAGTAATAAACTTTTAACTGCAGTCAGAAAGGACAAATCTCCAGAGATTTTACTTTATAACGAAAGAGCGTGGATAGCAAATAACGAGACGAGACGAACGACACAGCATAACGAACGATTGGAAAACAAAATCAAAACGACAATGATAAAGACAGAAATAAGTTACATAACTGAAAGGATGAGAAAGAGTGAGTGAGAGAGGAGGAATCATGCAAGCTGGATAAGAAAGCATATTGTTCGTGAGGGGCCATGACGAGACATTAGGGAAAGAGATGTTGTAAATGAACGACGGGTCTCGAGTGCATAGGGGCTGCACATGTGAGAGTTAGATGCAGTATAACAAGAGAAGATGCCATGAATATAACGGATGGTGCAGATGTGAACGCTGGGATGAATTGGGGTGGACAAAAAGGAGCGGATGGGTGACGACAAGATGCGTAACAGAGTAGTAGTCAACGAACGTATCACCGAAAGCTTCGTTGGCGGATCATTCGGTTCACTCCAAAGTCATCGTTTCGTGCTTTCGTTCGAGGTGCGCGTGCGCCCACTCAATGGCGAAGATGGATGCCTTGAGAAATTTCTTGTTGGCATACTTCTTGCAGACGTACAGCTTGGAGAAGTTCTCTTCCACGAGCTTCGAGATGATGAGGTCGAACCCGGGAATGAGTTGCTCTTCCGTGTAGCCAGAGTAAAAGACGAAGGCTTCGTTCTGCATAGCAGCGATTGTTTGTCAGTCACATGATGCATCAAAGCTTGTTATTAAGGCCGAAACTCACCCAGTCGCCTCCAAGCATCCTTCGAGAGCAGTACATGCCAATAGCAGCGATCATGCTGGGTTTCACTCGCAGGAAGCGGTAGTCCAGCAGAGTAATTTCCGTCAAGAATTTACTCAGGGTTCGCGTCTGAACGTCGTAGTCGTCGGCTTTACTGATTTTCCTCATCCAGCTGTAGGGGGAGCAGTAATGGGAGATGCGGAAGTCGAGGGTTTGGAGCATGATGCGCTCGCCCTTGAGAATCTCCTCCTTCGTGTATCCACTCTCCGTCATGAAGACGAATTCATCCACCGAAGGTGCAAGAATTTCTTCGTACTTGGCAGCAACGAACATGGCAGTCACACCAACAAGCTGGAGTTTGACCAACGAAACGACGCGCTTCGTTAGGAAGCGGTCGACAATGTTGATGGCAATCCAAAGAGTCTCGGGCAACATGTGGTAACGCAAATGCACCTGTAGCAACCAGTCGACCAGCGTCTGTCGCATCGACCAGGTGATTTCATTCTGACCATCCATGTAGTCTGGGTTGGGCATGATTTCATCCTATGACTATGTAAGCGCCGGTCGAGAACGAAAACGTGAAACCAACTCACCTCCATCTCTTCCATATACTTAAAGATCTCGTCGGCATACTCGGAGACCATTGTTGTGTCGTACATGTCAACTTCATCTTCAAAGCGTTCGCGGACGTGGTCGACTTCGCGTTGGAATCGCTTGGCCCGTTGTGTCGAGTACTCGGGCCATACTCTTTCAGGCTTGTCCTCTTCCGAGGCAAGTGCTGCACCGGGTGTTTCGGGAACGTCATCCACATCAACGCCAACCATCGCTTCGACCTCTTGCTCGTGGCCGACGTCGTCTTCTGCATGTTCAACTTCCATGCGGACATGGGTCTCGGCGGGAACGGGGTCTTGGTAGACCACTGTCTCTAGTGTGCTGGAGCGCGAAATGCGGTTGTTACTAATAGCGGCGGGTATCTTGGGTCGGACGGAAGGGACACGCATGTTGACGGTAGCCTGTGGCACATTGGCCATTGGGGGGTTTCGGGAGGGGCCCAGCGGGACGCGCTGGGCGAGGGTGGTTGAATCTGACCTTCCTCGCTTCATGCCAATTTCTTCCTTGAGCTCTTTCCCCACGCCCGCCTTGTGGACTGGGTCCTGCTAAGCGGGCGCATCAGAATCAACCACGCTCTTGAACGGGTGGCACGTCACTCACTTTGTTGCGGTTAACGGCGACGGCGGTGACCTCGCCCAAGGCTTGTCTTACAACGCCGCCTTTCGAGGCGTTCTCCTTTGCTGAAAACCTTGAAGCACCTATCGAGCCATGACGGGAGTGTCTACTCATTGCGTTTTCGTCAGCCTTGACACGCTGGCCAATTCCACGCCGTTGGGGCAACTTCTAGACTGTTAGCACCGTCGCACATGCTGTCAGAACGCTGCAAAACGTACGCGGGCAGCATTAGTGGCCATAGTAGTTCGTTGTTGAATGTTGAAGTTGGTGTTGTCGAAAGTAAAAAATTGAAGAACAAAGTTGGCGGTGGTGATACAAGGTTTGTCGATGTCGGCGTCGTCGAAGGTGGAAAAAGGAGAAAGGTTCTGATTCTGACTGGAAGTCAGCAGACTGAGAGGTCCAAGGAGAAGACTCAAGAGTCGCGAGAACCAAGACGTTTTGAACCAAACCTACCACGTGACCGTGACAAAACTCGGCTAACAACAAAACGCGTCGCGTCGTGACCGTGCCAGTGGCTCTGCTGCTTCTCTTGTTCGAGCGGCGCTGCCTCAGAAAACAACAACAGATGTTTGACATTTCAAAATGGAACGAGAACATTATCATCAATCTATGTACCATCCGGGCCTGTCTGAAATCTAGCAAATCGTCTCTGCTTCTCCGATTCCCACCAACTCTCGTCTGTGGGTGCTGGTCGCTTTGTTCCTAGCCCTGCTCGTTTATCGTGCTGAATCACCTTGACGGGTTCAACGATCCCTCCACCGACTTCCCCATCCGATGAATACCCAAGCCCCGTCCCGGGCTCCCATCCCATCTTGGAAAGTAGTCGATGGCCGATATTGCTCGTTGGCAGTGGCCCTGGTGGGTCGGATACCGGGTCCTTGGAAGAAGCTGCATTCAGAGGGCCAGCAGAGCCAACTGCGGTTTGCATCGATAGACCGGGAGGTTGGGAACTGATCCCGGGTGCACCGGCAGCGTATCCATGAATCTCTCGTCTTCGAGCAGCACGGTCTACGTATGACGCAGACGGTCCTGGACCAGTGGTCGGTGTCAAATGCTGTCGCAAAAGGCTTTGTTTCAGCACGGCCAGTGATTTCTTCGGATTCTGCGGGGTCTGGATCGAAGGACTGTGTAAGGAAACGGAAGCCCTGGTCTTCGGCTCATCCGTGGAGAAAAGTGATATCTCATTAGTATCAGATGAGGAACAATCGATGCATGCCAGGTGGCCCTCATGGATATGCACCGTGAATCTCGTACTCCCAATCGATATTTCGTCCATGTGGTGCAGAGTCCGAGGGAGACTGGCGATTCGCGGCGGAGATAGACGAACAGTGGGGCTTTCATTGTTTGGATTGTGAACACGGAGGAACGTCCCATGTTTTGAGCCCATGTCGACGATACCCCATTCTTTCTTTGCGCCATTCCAGAAAACAGTAGCGTGCACTTTGGACACTTCCATTTCCTTCAGGCGAATGCGAGGTGTGACTGAACTGGCTGCCGGCTTATCCCTTCCAAATTGGACCTCGGGGAATCCAGTGAGGATAGCCAGTCGCCGCTTCGTTGGTAGACAATTTGAGCCCTGGACAACAAGACGCAGGAAAGATGTCGATGTGGTATTCCCTGCGTCTCTGATATCGTCGTTGCCGTCGTCACCCGGCCACTCGTACGACGGGTCGTATTGACTCATAACGGCGATGAAAGAGGGTTTCGCGGGATTTATATATGCGAACCACTGTTTTACTCTGAGGAAAGGCTCGTTTTAGTCTACGAGGAACGAGAGCTTGACCACGCACCGTACATTACAACAGAAGGGCAGCCTGTCCCAGAGATCCTGCACTGCCATCCATGCAGACCGTGTTTTGGAGGTCCGACCGGCAGACGCCGAACTCCGAAAAGGGCGCCTGGTCGGCAAGTTAAGCGCCAAACCGCTCGTGTCCAGCAGTTACCTCCGCAATGCTTCGTGGCAATTAGTGGGGTGCGTTTACTTTATCTCTTTATTTTCCTTGAATGCTCTATCTATTACATATTCAGAGTGCCCCGATCCCCAAGTCGGACTGGCATTGCGAGTCTAGGGCGAAGTGTGAAGCGAGGTTTGCTCACAGTAAAAACCGAGTGATGAAATCAGGACCTCTCTATTCCTGGGCTGCTATATCTGGTCTAAATGTGTGATTCTCTCGGGACTCGGAGGACTGCCAGAATTATCTGATGGTCCTCACAGAAGAATCGATCATGGAGTACTTATGCGAGGATATGCTGGCATCAGAAGGCCTTGTCCGGGAGAGAAGGTTCACAACAGCAGGGCAAATAAGGCTCCACTATCTTCGCATCGTAAATGGGGCGTCATCGTTGGCCATGGAAGTGGAGCTTTTTCATCACTTCAGGTGACTCTGTTCTTTAGAGATCGGCCTTTTCGGCTTGGTCTACATGAGCGTACTCCGTTCTTCCCTTGACTCGCGAAGGTCTGAGCTTTGCAGAGGGAGGGATAATGGTTGACCATGTCTTGCTGCAATGTGTCAGAACTCATAGCATTCTGAAAGGCCTTATTTTGGAACCTCTCTATTGGAAGAAGAGCATTACTCTTGGATGTAGGTGGGCTTCTCGACTTCTCTATCCGTTGTTTCAATCTCAAAGAGAAGAGGCCTACCAATAACACCCCGTGTAAAAACGATTGTTTCGAGAGAGAATTCGGGCAGACTGGATACAATGTTAACCAGCTAGCAGTGTCACGGTGCTCCTATCCCCTCATAGGCGTATTTTTGAAAACATGTTCTCTTTGCGCGGTAGATTCTAGAGGATGTTGCGATGGTAGAGGTTTCAACTACCGAGAGGGGTTACCAGCCCTGACAAGCGACGCTTTCTCTGCACTCTTCAAAGCTAAACCCCTATCCGCGCGTGTTCGGCTGATCGATCGAAGAGGATCAAAGCGGTCCGTTCAGGGGAACTTGCCAAGTTTGGTATCGCGCACACGTTGAACGCGAACCACCAACTTGTCTCCACTCTGACCGCAATGGATCTCACTGAGGTTCTTATATTTCACTGTCTGCTAGGGGTTTTGTGACCCACGCTGCTCTTTAGGATCACCTGAAGTCGCTTTCAGCGAAAGAATGGCTAATTAAAACCGACCCTGGCTCTTCAACTCCCTATCTCTTTGTTTGTCCTTTTTCCTCCACTGAAAGGCGTTCCTTCTGGACTGAGTGTGTTTTGGAATTCTTTTCCAACGTTAGAAATTTTCCTTCTCAAGAATAGATCTATCCTGTGTCCTCCTGGCTACAGATACCAAGTCAGTGTGGGCCGAAGGTGTGTATACTCCAATGCATCAAGGTCCTGACATATCTAAACCCCCTGTAAGTCATGAATAGTCAGCAATTCGCGCGTCGCTGGAGAAAATACAATCCCAGCAGTCCAGGCCCATATCCAAGTGTGGAAGAAGAAGACGCCTGGCGGGAAGAAGGGCTGGAATGGCTCTCAAACCTCCATACCCTCGGGGGCATTGACCAGGCCGTCTTCGAGGTTGTTGACTCTCACTTTTCGGTGCGTGAATATTGCTTCACGCAAACAATGATAGACTGCCTGACGCTTCAAGTAGGATCTTTCTCTGGGGTTGGATCATGCGAGCTTTAAATGGAGATGGGAAGCCAACAGCGTTGGTTATCGCTCCTCAGCTGAAATCATTTCCAAGCACCTGGTCATTCCGTTAATAACCGCCAATTCTCTGGCACTGTCTTCTCCAGAGTCCATCGGTGAGATGGCAGACAGTGACGTAGAAAAGGTATGCACGTTCCATTAAATGTCAACGAGACAGCACGGCGAACTCACGCTGAGCGATAGGCGGTCGATAAATCGGCACGGGTAGCGAGAAGGCATGCCGACACCCACGTCAGAAACGCCCTTTCCAAGCCAAAGGCCGCCACAATTCTTCGACGAATAACCGCAATGTTCAATTTCGCCACAGAACTCCGTATGTGTCTGAGTTTTCGTTCCGTGAGACGATGATCCTTACCTTGCCTTCCCTCCCATCAACCTGTTTTCAGCACCAATCCTGTCTGTCGCACAAAAACCGGATCTTGAGCCCAGGTTGCAGGTAGAACCACAGGTGAAACAACCGCCACCATCACACCCCTCCCCACCCCCACTTGTTGCGAGAGAAGCACCATCCTCTAAAGCGACCGCTGATATTGCAATCCATGGTCGGCGTATGACATCGGAGTCTCCTCCCCCACAGGCAGCAGTAAGTCTCACCCGTTGATTCGTTTGCTCAGCTGTTGTGGAAGGTCATTGACATAACCGTTATCGCTTCTTTTTCACTTCCTTTCTGTCTCATCTTCCTTTCGAACCTTCTTTTTCCAGCGTCAGGCCGTTCCTTCCCCAGCTAGATCCGATATGAAAGGTAAAGACAGGGCGGCTGTGCCGGTGGGATCAGAAACAGAGGACTCTGACGATGAGCAAGGAGAAGGCTCGGCGCCTGTTTCCATTCCGAAGGGCCAGGGCACGCCTTCTCCACCTGCAGTAAACGCAGCAGTATTAACCAATCAGGACATTCGGATGCATAGTCCATCGCCCCCGCCACCGTCAATCAGGAAGCAGTCACTCAGCCCTCCACCTGCGAGTGCGGCAGCATCAAGTAAAGAGTCCCCAGCGCCGGAGAGAAAGTCTGCAAAGAAACCACGGGTGGAATCTTCTAGTAACGATAGTGATAGCGATGCAGGTTCGAAGGGACGGGCTGGTTCTCGCGTTCCTGCTCGGAGAGGGGCAAAGCAGCCTATGAAGCGGGGAGGAAAGCGGTTCTAATACGGGGGTTATTTGGTAGAGATGTATACTTGCTAATATACACGGTACAGAGATGTTATCCAACCAGTAAACAAGCAGGACAGCGGAAGCAGATATGTGCAAAGCGGGGTAGAACAGGTTCACAGCACAAATTCAGTAGTAGATAAGTGGGTGTACGACAGCGGATAACGATAAGTGGATAGAGACAACATGAGATGGAGCTCGATGATTCGGCGAGAATGCGTAATGAGTAGAGCAAATCGTGTGAAGATGATCATGACGCCAATGAAGATGGAGGCAGGATGGTATGCGGGACGTTCACGGTCATGAATGATGAAATGACACTCCTCTTGAGTCGAAGATCAACGACCGACACGACGAGCGAATTCGGCGCTACGACACTCCTCGCAGGGGGCGTGGAACAGGTTGACGATTCGACGTTCATCGCCCGTTTCCTGAACGTTAAAGAACGGTCAAAAGGCGGAATCGGAGCAAAGAACGGGAAATGACCGACTCGAGTGCAGGAACAATTTGGCGCCTTGTGGGTGTGAGCACTACTGTGCCAGCAATTTTCGGACTCGCAGTCGACCTTCTCTCCGGAGTAGTATGACTTGATAAAATGCTGGCGGAGACCGTGAATAGGGTGTCCGGATGGAACGAGCGGGACAGTACGTACACCGCAACCTCTGTGGTAATCACCGAACCTATGGGACGATGTCGTCAACCGTCCTGTCCGACGATATAAATACGGATAGGGGTAGACGTACACTTCCATGCGGCACATTGTTTGGATACTGGGGTATTAGAATATAGAAGAGTTGAGGGATGGAGAGGATTGAAGCCAGGGAAGCGGGAAGGGCAGTTGGAGGTCAGGACAAGAAACGAGGCATAATTTATAGGTCTTCGATGGAGTTAAGTGAAAAAGCTGGAACACAGTCCTGTTGTCACGCGATGCTGTTGACTATACTTGGATCTCCGCCAAGATGGGTTCGGAAAGACCTTGTATCAAACTCATCGGTATTTGATCCCGGACCACCACAGCAACTGCTGCGTCTTTGGTGGGCACGCCCTTCAACTTCCAATCAGGTCGTTAGCATCTCTGCGGTCTCTTGACCTGACAATGCCAATGCAAAACTCTTCCGATGGAACAGAAGCGGCCCCATCCGAGCTCATTGGCGCCCGACCAATCGTGAAGTGCAATACGACGTTCGCGGAGAATTGCGTTTATTCGAGAAGGAAGATATGCCACGAGTACCAGCAAGACCAATATGAGCCACCGGCAAATAGTCCATCTGTTCGTACTGTCGAAAGGAGATGGAATATCGATGATGGTCACCGGGGCAAAATTGCCTTACAAGAGGCATGGTGCAGACCCATTGGACAAGAGAAGAACCCACAAGCGGGATGAAATCACCCGAAAGTGCAGGAGAGACCCATTCATCGAGATTGAATGACGTCTGTGAAGTAAGATCTGGAACGATTATCACCATGGTCGATGAGAAAGTAAAAACGTTCAAATGGGTCGTTCTACTGGAAATAGGCGTACATCGACCATCATGGGTGATTCAATCGTTTACTGGAAAGAACACCGGCGGCATTTCATGTTGCTTCGTTGCTGTCATGAATCCCCCGAGAAAAAAGGTTCGGAGGTGATCAGATGGCCTGAAAGCATCGAAACCCGTACCGATTCCTATATCTACAAGGGTGAATTGGAATAATTAACGTTGCGAAATGACTGTGTGCAATGAGAAAAATGTTTCATACCTGGACACCAAGGTCGTTGCGCTAGGGCGAAGCCAATGGTTCTCCAGAATCGTTTTCAATGTGACGCCCTCGCAGTTTTCCGTAATGGTTTCGGTCCCGGTAAAGGCGCGTGTAGGCTGACTTCTTTGTCTAGATTGTTGTGGTCGCCATCGACATTCAACCAGGACATCGCAGCTGTTCTCGCTTCCCCCAACAACTTCTGATTAGCTCTCAGCGGTTGCTGAACATCTTTAGCCACGCCCAGAGCGCGTCGGGTGAAAGCGAAAACAAATTCGAGCAAAAGATAAATAAATTTGAGAACTAGCTCGTGCCGTGGACAGATCGCGCCACGATGAAGACATGCTTTGGACATCGCTCGCCACCACCGGTCACGCGTCGTCGACGCCATCAGTCTCACGCCGCGGCCAAATCCCGATACTTGTTCCACTCTTTGGCACCTTATCCCTCGTTACCTGCTCGCGTCCCGCCTCCCACTCTTCAAAAATGTCCACCGAAGACCTCATTGAGGTGGGAAAATCAATTATAATACCGGCATTGAACCTGGACTCACTGTATTTTACAGCAAGCATTAGCCAGCGGACAAGCTTTCGTGCTCCCTCCCTCACCTCGCGAGACCAGGGCACCAGAGCCCCCAATTGCTGCTGCCGTGGCCTCTGAAACTACAGCAGACAGTGCTGTCGATGAGTCTGAACCCACCGAGGCTCCTTCTGCCACCCCCGAGCCCGACGCCTGGAAGGCAGAGTATGACGCTCAGGTCGAGGCCTGGAGAGCACAGTCTGCTGAAGCTCGAGAAAAGGCCGAGAAGGAACGCGCAAGATGGGAGGCCATTCGCAAGGAAGAGGCTGAAAAACGCAAAGCTGCTGGAATCCCTGAAGTGAAGGAAGATATCCCCACTGGACTTCCCACCCACAGGCCCAAGTCGGATCCCCCCGCAGTGGTACGTCCTACTTATACCTCAAGTTTCGCAAATTGTCGTTTATCGAGTATATAGGCAACTACAAGCTCCACAGTCGACATCCGTCCCGATTCGAGACAGGACACCGATACCAACGAGGGCTCTCAGAAGTGGGAGGAGGTTCAAGCTGCCTCCACTGCGTCCTTCCCCTCCATGTCATTCCCAGAGCGGACGACGCCGCCTTCCTTGGCTCCTGCACCTCAAACCTCTCAAGCACCTCCTCCTACCGCTACGCTCGCCATTTTCGACTCATCCCTGTCGACTCGCACTCGTATTGTTGCCTTGTTTTCAGCCCTTGCTATCAATTTGGCCCTGCCTTTCGTCAACGGAGTCATGCTCGGCTTTGGCGAAATCTTTGCTAAAAACGTCGTGCTCAATTGGTTCGGATGGAGGTCGGTCAGTGTAGCGTCCAACGTCGGTATTGGCGCCAGACGCGAGCGTACATCCGTATTCAGATGATTTTCGACTGTGCTGTATCTCCAACCTAGTATCTGTACATTCGTCTATGGTCATCGAGCACGCTGCAATCCCAAGCTATTAATATTAGGGGAAAATAAAGATAGTAAAGAACTACACAAGATGAAAAGATTAGAGTCTGGCATCCTTGGGCATCTGTCGAATAGCCTGGCGAACGCCGAGATCGCCCAAAACGTCCTCCGCTAGTGTAAACGAAATCAGGATTAGCACCGAGAGACCAGGGCGGTGGCAGAAGCAACGAACCTCCACCGAGAATACTGCAAGAACCAATGTCAGTAACTTTGCTCCTTAAACGTTAGAAGCCACACTCACGCATCGAAGGGAACAGTGCGGTGGTACTTCATAGAGGATATCTGTATCAGTCACCGGACACAAGATCACTGCAAACAAACCTACATGTTCGATGAATTGACCCATTCCTGGAAAAACGACAGGTCAGCTGCAGCCCTGGTAAGACCATAGGTGAGTTAAACGTACCAGTTCGAGTAATTCCGCGGCCACCGAAGATCTGCAGTACGTGAGCATTTGAATGAAGCACGACAGTAGCAATAGATATCTTACTTGAACGGCGTCAGTAGCAGTTTCCTGGGCGAACTTGGTCGAAGTCATCTTGAGCAAACCGATGGGTCTAGTGGCTGTCAACAAAAACGCGCAAGGAAGCTTGAATAGGAACACGTACCCGGCAAGGTACTTGGCTTGTTCTTTGTAGGACTGATTCCGGGATGAGTTCGAGATCTGAAGTCAATTTGGAGGAAACTTACCATGTTGTTCATCTGATAGGTGATGTTTTCGAGCCAGCTTTGGACAGCTTCAGCTCGCGAAATCATGGCGGCAAGTTTGCTCCGAATAACAGCCTGGGAATGCAAGGGCTTTCCGAAAGCCTTCCGCTGGGTAGTCCACCTGATCAAGGTCAATTAATGAGGCGCCGTGAAGGAAATGAATTACACCTACTTCAAGCACTCTTCGACAATAAGTCGCTGGCTCCTGGCAGACGAGCAGATCATGACCCATCGTTCATGGTTGAAGTTGCTATATCAAAACATGTCAGTGACCGTTTAGGTCGGTGACTGAAGTTATTCGAACCTGAGCATAACGAAGATTCCTCCACCCTCCGGGCCAAGAGTGTTCTCGACCGGCACCTTGACATTGTCGAAGGTGATGAAGGCAGTGCCAGCAGTCGGGGACTAATAGAAGGAGGTCAACCAAGTCAACCTTCTGATTCTCGGAAGCACGCACGTAGCTAGTCTTGATGGACTTGGTCTCGACGCCCTCGCCACGTTCGACAAGGATGACAGTGAAACCGTCCTACAACCAGCGTTAACTAAACCTCAAGAGTCCAAAACTCAAATAAAATTACCTCGGTCTTGCAGCCGACGGTGAAACTAAGAGTAGACATTGTAAGGATTCGTCCAGCTCGGAAAACGATCCCCACTTACTAATGGGCAAATCTGGCACAGAGAATGCGTCAATAACCTCCTTTGACAGTTCCTAGGAATTCACTCACGTTCCGTTGGTAATCCACTTCTTGCTGTAGAACGCGATAAGATGAATTGAGAATGTGTTGCGGTGGAGTTATCGGAAAGAGATGGGCGTTATTGGGCACGGTGCACATACACATGATCAGTATGCAGCCTCAGTACCAGTAATCCGGGGAGAATAGAACTCACGTTCCGTTGATGATCCAGTGCTTGCCGTCTGGAGTCTTCACGGCAGTGGTCCTGAGACCAGCAACATCGCTACCAGCAAAGGCCTCAGAAATAGCCAAGCAAATAGGCTTCTTCCCGGACAAAACGTCCGGAACGACCTTCGCCTTAATCTCATCGCTACCAAAGTTGAGAACGGGAGGGAGGCCGATGACTGAGCCGGCCATGAGACCTGTGAATTTCCACGTTAGGTTTTGTGACGCTTCAATAAAGACAGAAATGGTCAAAGTCCATACCATCTCCATAGCCTCGGCACCCGGCTCGTGCAAACTCTTGGGTAATAATCATCTAAACGGGGTCTTAGAACCCAATAAGGGTATTTCAGCTTGTAGAACTACTCGCCTCGTGGAAGTAATCGAACTGTGAACATGTTGCAATGTGAATGAGGCAAAGCTGATCTAGAACGACGACGGGAAATACGCACTTGCTCGGGCTTAACGATGCCTCCCATGAGCTCAAGGCCTACACTAGTTGATTAGAAACCGTCGGCGTTGTGCTTGACAGTAACCAACCTTTGAGGTGCTTGCCGGGGCCCATTCGCATGGCATGGAGGTTGAGCTTGCTATTCGGAAGCTCAGAATCCGCAATGCGTGTCGAGACAATCAAAGACTCACGCCATGGCTTCTATGACACTTGCGCTAGGAGGCTTTCCATCTTCTTCTCTGGCCTATTCACAACCCAAATTCAATGATATTTCGGGAAATATATCAACGTTACTACTCACGCGGGCATCAGGTGTGACAACCTCGTCGATGAACTTCCGTACTGCCTTTTGGAATTGCCTATGGTTCTATTATTGGCGAATAAGAAAAAAAATGAGATTGGCTCCGGGTATTGTTGTATGAGGTGACCTACATCCGAGTAGTAAGGGCTGTGGTAGCCAGCAGAAAGCCAAGTTGGTTCGGCGTAGGGAACCTTAGAGAGTTCGCCGACGATTTGGCTGTGGATGACACTCTTCTCGCCCTCAATCACGCCAATCTGGAGGCGCTTGTATTGAGGCTTTTCGATGACCTCGTGTCGGTGAAGGCCGTAAAAGGCTTCGGTAGCATCCTTGCCAGCTAAAAATATGACGACCGAGGGGTTAAACGCTGCGTCTCATGTTCAAGTAAATTTTTCCAGCCCTACGCACCAACTTCGGCGTCCAACAAGACAGAGGCACCTCCAGGGTGTAGATTCTTGAAACGACTAATGTCATAGACCTTGCCGTCGATGATGATCCACTAGAAGCGGCGAGGTAAGTTGAAAAGTGGTGGATGCGGCCAAATGTATTCCTCACAAGATCACCGTCCTCGTCGTGCTGTAACCGTTATCAGATATGATTTAAAGAGGCTGAAGCCGAGATAAGGCCCTGCGCACCTTTGCGACTTCTTCGCGGGTGAAGACTTTGAGTTCTTTTGAGGCCATTGTGAGCGACGACGAGGCTGGTAATGATACAGCAACAACGGTGTGCGTTAGTCAAAATGCAGCGTCGATAGTTAAAGCGCTGTCCAGGCATGTGATAATCCCGATCACCTCCACAAACAGCAACCTCAGCTGCTCCACGCCTCTCCACGCGTCCACTTCGGATAGCGGATCCTCTCAATCAACCTCGGGGCCCCTGATGAAACAGAATTTGTTTGAAACACCATTTTTCGTCATATGCCAACGTCCTGATTGGGTCGGAAACAAATTGCAAGAGGCCGGAATAGATATGTACGCAGGAAAGCAAATAAAATAAGATAGAATACAGCAAACATTTACAGACGGGTGTCTTTTGGCATCTTCCGCAGAGCTTGTCGGACTCCCAAATCGCCAAGAACGTCTTCAGCACCACCAAGAACACTAACAGAAAGGCATTAGTCGGTCTGAAAGGCAATCGAAAGGTCCGGAGACTTACGCGTCGAACGGAACTGTGCGGTGATAGTGTTCGATGAATCGACCCATACCGGTTCTCGTAATACCCCGTCCACCAAAGATTTGGACAGCATCTCGGGCGGTCTCTTGGGCAGTAGAAGTAGCGTAGCGTTTGAGCAGAGCAATGGGACTAGACGAAAAGGTCAATGATCAGCTGGGGAAGCATAAAAATGTAAACGACTGAAACTCACCCGGCCAACTTGTCGGCTTGCTCTGCATAGTTCATATGGTTCATTTGGTAGGTGATGTTCTCGAGCCATGCTTGCGCACTTTCAACTCGAGAAATCATGGCGGCAAGCTTAGCTCGAATGACAGCTTGGGAATGGAGGGGCTTGCCGAACACTTTGCGTTGGTTGACCCACCTAGGAACCGTTAGCAAAGGGTCCAATGAAAATTCGTGGAGACCCGTACTTGAGACATTCTTCAACGACCAATCGTTGAGCAGCAATGCTACCAGTGCACATTCCCCATCGCTCGTGGTTGAAGTTGGAGAGGATGACCTGGAGACCCTTGTTCTCCTTGCCCAGCGTGTTTTCGTAAGGGACGAAGACGTTTTCGAAGGTGACATAGGCAGTACCGGCAGCAGTCGAGTATGATGTCTTGATGGGCTTAGTCTCGACGCCCTCCCCACGCTCGATGAGAAGGACAACCAATCCACCCTGTTCGGTACGACATCCAACGGTGAAGTAATCGGCAAAGGTGCCGTTGGTAATCCACTTCTTGGTTCCGGTGACGATCCAACCGTTCTCGACGCGCTTGGCCATGCAGCGCAGTCCAGCAACATCACTTCCGGCAAAGGCTTCAGTAATGGCCAATGCACAGAACTTCTTGCCAGCGAGAACCTCCTTGGCGATCCTTTCGCGGAGGGCAGGCTGACCAAAGTTTAGGATGGGAGGGAGACCTGAAGGTAAAGAGTTGAGATACAATCGGATATGCCCTGTCAGTCGACATACCGATGTAAGTTCCGCCACCCAGACCGTCGGTGTAGCCACGAGCATTGACGCGAACAGTTTCCTGGCCCAAAATCAACTCGTGGAAGTAATCAAACTGGTGAGTGTGGTGAGCCGGAGAAATTGAACACGATAGGAATGAAGGTTCACCTCTTCTGGTTTGACAACTCCACCCATGAGCTCCAAGCCCTTGAGATGAGGGCCGGGGCCAAATCTCATCGCGATGAGGTTCTGCTTGGCCATCTCGTCGAAGACACGTTGGCTCGGACGCTTGCCATCCTCTTCGCGGGCTTGGGCATCGCCGACGATGACTTCCTCCACGAACTTACGATAGGCAGCTTGCAAACGGCGATGCGACTAGTTGAGCGGTATTGTCAGTAAAGCGTCTGTCTTCACTAAGCCCAGCACATACCTCCTTGTAGTAGGGGCTATGGTAGCCCTTGGAAAGCCAGAAGGGCTCAGCGTAAGGAACGTCGCTAAGAGCACCGGCGGGGCGAGCGAAGATTGTTTGCTTAGCGCCGGCTAGGGTGCCGATCACTAAGCGCTTGAACTGAGGCTTCTCGAGGACTTCATGACGGTGCAAACTGAAGAAAGCCTCCGTCGCGTCCTTTCCGGCTGAAGTGGCGAACCGAAGAGTAATCGTTAGCGCGACTCGGACATTTGTCACTCAGGCTGCGTAACAACGCACCAACATCCTCATCCAGCAAGACGGACAAGCCGCCCGGATGCATCGCGGCGAACTTGGAGATATCATAGACCTTGGAATCGACGACAATCCACTGCAAACGCGAACATGTGAATGGTGGTCAGTGAGCATGTCTTCCTCGTGGAAATCACCCGCGCGGGGAAAGAGTTACAATACTTACGAGGTCACCCTCCTTCTTATGCTGTGCGACTTCGTCTGCGGTGAAGACCTTGCTCATCTTGCGTGGATGCGCCCTTGGGGTAGGTGTAAAGGAACAGGAAAGAAAACAAGATACGCCAGGCTATGCGCGTTTTGAATTCGTATTTAGAGCTTTCGGAAGTTAGGGGCCATATTGATCGGCCTCGGATGGTTACCACCTCCGGAAGAGTAGCTTTTGAAGCGGATATGGCGGAGTATCACATGCGTCGGATATGAGGACGGAAAATCATCCAATCATTGGTAGGCCATTTTTAAGTCCCTGAGAGGTCTGGGAAGGTCTGGGGTTGCTGGTCGCCAAAGTCGGCGAGGGCAGGGGGAATCCCGTACTACCTAGTGACATCTAGGGATAGTAGAATCGGCAGAAGCCTGCCTTGAATACTGGTTTCTTGAATTTACAAATCTTGTGGAATTTCTACGCGAATACCACTAGGAAACTCGTCACGATGCCATGTAAGAGTGCCGCGCGATGGGGCCCCCAATTCTAACCCCACAGTTACCCCAGACTCGGGCTCTTTTTCCAGCGACAGTACAGCCCTGCGGAGTGTTGGCCATTAAAAGTACTTACCTGCCATAGCGCCCCTGAGGCCAAGGTGAAGGTCCAGTCTGGCGAGAAGTCGAAACTGAATTGCCTTGTGCACACAGAAAGACTTCGAGACAGCCCCGTCACCACGATGCGTCGAGAACCGTCTTTTTAGCTTCCGAGAACCAAGGTCAGTTTTCCGTTGCGAGACAGGCTACGATTGACGACTATGCAGGTCATAAGTTTGTCGAAATACGGGACCGGGATAATTGAGTTTACTCCCCATGGCACTAATCAGGCAGAAAACGTAGATTGTCATAAGTAAAGTACGCTCTCGGGAAGGTGCGACTAGTAGGGGCGAGAAGAGGAGAAGATGACCTTCATTCCCACTGGAGCATAGCAAACATCTTTGAAGCGACACTGTGAACCCCGCATTGGTTGAAGATCAACCAAGTCTCGACTGAATTTCAGCTTTCAACCTAACGACGACTGAGTGTAGGTTGAAGTTCGGACAACCTACTTGGTAGGTTGATCATCAACCTAAGGAGGTAACCAACGGTGGGTTGGATATCATCCAACATTGCCGAGATCAGAGACCGTGTTGGGCAGGTGTCTGCCGGCGCGCGCGATCGTACTGTGCTCGAGGTTATTGGTTTTACATCTCATTCTAGCGCGTGGTATTCATTTTTCCTTTGTAAACGGATGCAGGTAGATCTTCTTTCAATGAATTCCACATTTTTTTAGCTTACATCGCGACGGACTCCAATATTTTGTGAATTCAAATACGCGGGTACTCTGAGTTTGCTACGACGGCGGGGCCCAGCAGGCGGCACCGCTTGCACTAGGGTATTCTGGAAGTGGTATCCCTTCTTTCCTGAGTGTGTCCTCTAGCCGTTTGATCCATTCGTTGAGAACCCTTATCTTTGTCTCCTTCCATTCGTGTTTCCTTCGAAGAGCATTGTGTTCGGCCTCGGCGTTTATTTGTCGGAACTCGATGAGTCGGGAGATGCTTTCCATGATTGCCTCGTTTAGGAGGTTCTCTTCTTTAAGGATTCTCGACGCCCTGGATTCGGCTGGTTTATACAAAATGTTAGCTATCACGGCGATGACAAGGTGATATAGCATGCGCACCAGCGTTGTGGCCAGTAGACCCCACATCGATACCAATCTGATCGTGCTTTCGCTTCCCCCCACTGGTACCGGCACCCTGTGCTTCGTCTGACGTATCCAGGTACCGGCGTTTCTCCGACTTGACCATAGTAGACATAAGTGGTGGTGAATTCTCGTCGCTGTCCGGGATGACTGCGTATTGGTGTTCGTAAAGGTAATCTTGTGTTTCCCAAGACTGTGTTTGGGAGAGGTCTTCCGTATCGAGTTGGGTGTCGATGTCGTCGTTCATGTGCGGGTTATGACAAAAGGAAATTGAAAACTTACGCTAGGGAGTCAACATCGGCAGGTGCCATAGATGCATCAAGTTGAAATAAACTCAGTCAACCTATAGACATAGGTTGACTTTCGCAAAATCACTGCATTTATCCGTAAAGAGGGAAAGAGGATATATTCAGTGTTAGACTATGCCGACAGTCCATCCTAATCACAACCTAATCACTATCATCCCCATCGTTACCATCATCGACTGCAATAGCTCTTGCCAAAGAGCCACTACGGTCGATGATAGCCATGCCATCGCTGCCCGCTGGTAACCTCCCTATCAATACTTGCACAGCCTTGACATCCACAATGTCGAGCGCGCCCATCTTCGAGTAATAGTGGATGTCGAGGTCTTTGGGGGGTGCAATCTCGTCTAGAACACATGGTCGTATAGCTGCCAAGATTACCGTGTCGTTTTCGAGCTTGAGCGTTCGGCGTGCTGCAGAATCGTCGAAGGTGATGGCGTAGAGGTGCTCGATCTGGCCGTAGAATGTTGTTAGCTTGTATTTGGGTGCCTTGTTCCTATGGTGGGCGTAGATATCGACGAAAATCTGGTACTGGTTCAAGGAGAGTGAGGAGGTTTGGAACCGGCGATTCCTAGAGCAAAATGATACACACCCGAACAAATGTAGCATCACGCCGGTCCTGGCCCCGCCTCCCTAATGTAGACGAGCACATCGTGTCACCCTCGTCTGAGTCAACCCGTTTAACTTTCCCCCACTCTGAAATCCGTGCACCCTTCAGTAACTGCTTGACTTTGCTGATAGGGAGCCTGCGATGGTTGCTCAAACCATTTTGCATGGCACGTGTGACAAGAGCGGATGCTATCACAGATAGCTGATTGTCGGGAGGTGCGCGTGCTCGGGATGGAGGTAGAAGAATGCAAGATTGATCTAAAAAAGCGGAGGTTAGTATCAGGCTACGAAGGGTGAAACTCGAGAGGGCAGACGTACAGGCAGCATGGGTAAATCCGGATTGAGGGTTAGTTTCAGGTTCAAGAGAGAGCTCTTCAGCTACCCCATGCACCATCTTGATCTGCGTGAGCTGTGCATCTTCAACAGCAAATCGATCGAGCGACGCATATGGGAATCGGCGGCTCCGGATTGCGGGTTGCAGCTTGCCACAATAACGTTCCATCGGAAATGCCCAATAACACCAGACTGGACCCATTACACGAATACTTTCTGCTATGTGCAGCAATGCATGAATGGTAACTGGGCATATAGGTAGTCGTGCGGGGTCGCCCTGGTAATACAGTCTGAACTGCAGGTGAGTACAGGGTCTTTGCTCAAAGCAAGGTCACATACCTCTCGTAGTCACTAACCCAATCATTAAATCCTTCCTCAATCGTGTCAATTTCCTTCTCCGTGATGTCGAATTGAAGGCATAGATGTAGGAGTCGGACAAGACGGACAAAGTGATCATAGTATCGTTGCTGACGGAATCGTCGACGAAGGACCACAGGTGCGATGTACAGTGTCCAAAAAGACCACATCTCGGCGGAGACGTAGGCGGAGGAATCGGTCGACAAGTTGGGAACACGTGGTCCATAGGCTGATGGAATCGTGTCTCCTGCCTTCACAGTAGCAGCCCCGATGGCCTCCCAGACAGTAGGTCCAAGCTCGTAACCCCCTTGGCCTTCATCGAGCCCCTTGAACTTTCCGGTCCAGAGTAGGACAAGGTTGGGAATCAAATTCTCCCACACGAGATGCATGAATAGTGATGGACACGGGTTTTCGATACCCGGCGGGTTACGGGTACGGGTAGGCGCGGGTGCGGGTACGGGTAAGGGTTGCCGTACCCGCGCCCTTCAAAACGAGCCCAAAAACGTCCAAAACGGCCATAAAATGGGCGGGTTACGCTTGATTTAAGTAAATTGAGTATATCTCGCTCATTTTTGGTCCGTTTTGGACGTTCTTGGGCTCGTTTTGTGCAGAATACCCGTCGGGTTGCGGGTACGGGTAAGCGCGGGTACGGGTACGGGTAGGGGTAAATTTACCCGCGGGTTACCCGTGTCCTTCACTATGCATGAAATCGTATGGGAAGCAAGCGGGGAAGGAGAGGGATGAGAGCTGAGAAAGGGCGGGTACACCCTTGATGCCATACTGCTTGGAAAGTCGATCGGCCGCTGCGACTGTTGGCGCTGACTGGACTTCACGGGCTTGTGCCATAAACTGGTCGTGCGTTCGAAGTGGGAGATCTGTGGGCCTGTAGGACGAGACTGCAGCAGCATTGTTGATAACGTTGGGGTGGCGTGAGCGATCGAGAGGGACGTAGTGGGTTGTTGCACGGGAATCCGGAATGCGGAGGCCTAGGATACCACACATCCTACATGGCGAAATCCCGTTGTGACCCTTCATGCGCATGAGCATTGAGATCGCAGGGATATCGCCAAAAACCGCAATGAGGTAGGCACGGAGGCTGAAAAATTTCTTGGAAAGGCCGTCGAAGGCGTTTACACCCCGCATAAGCTTCAAAAACTCAACAATTGCAGGCCACATGAACGAATCCATATCGAGTGGCTTCTTGGGCCCTGGAACAATGCCCAACGCCAGGATCCGATCGACATGGAATCGGATTTCGGGTCCCAGGTTGTAGTTGAAAAGAATGAGCGGCCATGCTGTGGTTTTGCGACGCTTGAACGGCGAAAATCCGTCGGTGGAAAGTCCAAGGGCGATATCCCGGTCGTCAGCGAAGAACTTGTGGGGTAGTGTCTCATCCCCGACAACAACGTGCTTGGTGCGAAGCGATTGATAGTGGAGGCCGTCGAAGATATCGGATACACCATCGGAAGAGGGAATGAATTCCTCAGACCGGTACTTCATTTCTTGAGCAGTTGTTGGGTCACCAGCAAGGGCGATGAGGCGGGGGATAAAAGGGAGATACGACCACAGTTTTCGTGGGTTTCCGGATGTGTCATAGCGAGGCTCCTTGCAATAGGGACATAGGGTGTCGTCTTCGAAGGGGCCAGTGAATGCACAGCATGAGTTGATGCAGCAATGGTACTGCTGGGCCCGGAAACCAGAGAGAAGGCGAATACGGCGGCGTACGGAATCAAGGCTGGGGAGGGGAGGATTCATTGGGAAGGCCTTCCGAAGCTTTGCGAAATTTCGGTCACTTGTGTGTGATTGCAACTTGTATGCGAAGGCCCTGCAGATAGCAAGGTCATATTCCATCAATCTCTCCACTAAAATTAAAAGTGTGCTGTTAGCGTTAGACAGGTTGCACGGCAGCTTGTATACGCACCAATTTCTGCATCCTCCCGACGAAAGTCCTCTTGCCACGTCTCAATGTCATCAAAGCGAGACCAATCCAACCATGCTACATCGTCTTCATCAACATCCGAGTCCGAATCGTCATCATCACCCATCTCTTCATGATCATCCTCGTCTTCGGAATGACATCCTGTGCGCAATGTGGACCACATTTGCTTGAGATGTTCCAACAGGGCATCGTCGGGGTCGTTGGGTGGTTCGAGGGGTGTAGCCAACTCGGCGGTGTGATCGAGGGCCGCGTCAAGTGGTGCAGGTGAGGAGCTGCTGCCACCGATATCAGAACACTCGTCAGAATCTGAGACATCGACAATGGGCTCGAGCAGTGCTGTGTACAAGGGTGGTGGCGATTCATTGGCTTTGGCCAAGGCAGTTGATCCCTGGTGTGCAAGGAGGCGGTGTTCTCGCTCGAGTTGTCGGGTTATGTACCTGTTGCAACACAGGCAGTGTACACGGTTCTGTTGGGACATGGGTGTGAGGTGGAGTGACAAAATGAATATACGAGCAACTACATACAAGATAGGTCAACAGACTAATTGTAATGACGAGTCGGCAACTCGTGATGCGCCACCAAAAAAATGTCGCAATCACGCGCAAGACCCTCCCGACAACCTCCTTGCCCCGATAGAGTCCACCCGCACAGCAGCCATCTTCAAGCATGGCCACGCACACACGTCGTTCAGCAACGAAGACAGCAGCTGCCAACACAGCGCCCCTGGGTGCAAGCAACAAGGAAAATGCGAAGGCTTCAAAGGCCTCATCCGGAAAGAAAAGTAAGAAAAAGGGGTCGGACGATAACAACAATGGCGACGAGGTCCTCCTGAATGTGATGAAGCGGATGGAGCAGTTTGAGGGTGGGTCCGAGATGATTGATACTGATACTGGTGATCGTTATCGGGGCTGACGTCCATGTACAGCACTCCTCACAGCCGCACAGAAGGAAAATGACACCCTTCGTGCGCGATTGGGTACTGACACAGAGCCGGCTCCCAGGGAAGGGTGCGCAAACCCAGACGAAAACGCGGCTGGTCCCAAAGATGGGGATATGGCGAGAGGCGGGGGTGGTGACGAGGCTAGCGTGACCGGCGGCGGTGATGGTGGTGACAATGAGGACGTCGACATTGCTGTGTTTAAGGACAAGATAGCTGAATTGGAAAGTGAGAATCAACCTTCAATAATGGCACAAGCAGTTTCAACTCACCTGTACACAGAACAACTGGCCGCCAAGAATGCTATCATCGAAACCACCACAGCGACCGCCAACGCGACAGGCCCACCGCCGAAGCCTACGGTCCCTGATGGATCCATCCTCCGCCCTCGAGGAAACTTCTCCATCCAAGTGGCCATGGGACTTGCTGGGTCGGAGAAGAAACATAGCATCTACCAAGCACTTGTGGTCAGTAGCTGTTTGTGTTTCAGAGACAAGCACTCACCATTATTCCTATGAAAAATAGCGAGCCATCAAGCATATATCAGGCCAGAGTCCTCTTCAATATCACCTGACGTGGGCTGAAAATTCAAACGAGGACAAAGTTAGGGTATTCCGAAAGGTGAATTACAGCCGTCTGCATCCATTGTATTCAAACACTTACCTACGATGACTTCCCGGCTTCACCCTTGTAGTGCAGAGAGGCACATCCATTTCTCAGGCGGTTCCACAACGACTGGGCAACAGAGGCTATCCGGAAGCAATGGTTCAAAAATCGTGGAGGCAACGCGTACGCAAACGGTTACCTGGAAGTACCACCCAAGTATGCATACGTGAAGGACAACGCGGCCAAGCGCAACCCCAACGGATCGCGAGTCAAGAAATCCAAGATCGTCCTCGCTAAGAAGAAGAACGAAAAACGAGCGAGGCTTGCTAAAAGCAAGCATCGAACGGCGGCGACATCGACAGCGAGGGCTGACGCCGAGGAAGAAGCTGAGGACGGAATGAGTGTTGACGAGAGCAGTGGGGACGAGGGCAGTGGGGAAGAATGAAAGGTGTGCGAAGGAGAAAGGCCGCTGGGTGTTGGGTGCTGTTTGGCACGGTGGGCGGTCTCAGGATCGTAATTTACGTACCTCTCGTTCTCACCAGTGTATCGGTATCGATGAAATAGATATACCGCAGCTGAATGCGCCAGGGTGCCTGCCCAAGCGACGAGCACCTTTGAATGTAGTTTTGGTTGTTTTTCAGTCAGAATACTAATGAATTTCAACCATACAGGTAATGACATCTGAACCAAGAAAAGAATGAATTTCAACCTATAGGAGCCTACAGTCCGCAAAACCTCGGAATATTTTGTTAGGTTGTAATCAAGGGGGTCCCGGGATTTTTTTCTAAGACCGAGGCCCGGATTTTTTGTTAACGCCCTCTGGGTCATGGGGTACCTAGTATGTAATCAGGGGTATTCCCATATATAGTAATGCTATATCCGTCAAACGCGCGCCCGCTTGCTCCCTCCTTCCCCAGACCTTCTCCAGTTCTCACAAATCCAGTTCCTTTCGAAAAGGTCAACGCGCTAACACACTTAGTGTGATACTAGGTATGTTTCAATACCCATTTTGAACGGAAGTCAGGTCGTAGTACTCACCAATTTTATCGAACAATAAATGATTGTATCAATCGAAACTTACCTGTTGAGTAACTCCATCCATGGTCAGTCGTAGAGTCGAAGGAAATGGGTCAATGCAAAGGACACCAGTTGGAAAATTGCTCTCGCCTTTCTTAAAACCGATCGTATTGACTATATTAAGCCACTAGGTTCGGAAAACGTCGTCATACCCGCCCGACACCCGCCCAAAATTGCCTAAATAGGGGTATGCACAAAATTTTTTTTGGCCGACCTGGCGGTGGGGTACCTCCTACCCTCCGGTACGGGATTCCCGGCCCGGGACCCCCTTGGTTGTAATTGACCGATTTTGGTTGAAGATCAACCTACGCGCCAACCAACGGCCTAGGATGGTCATCAACCAGCGGGTATCCTACGGAAGGGTGATAACCAACGAACCGTAGGTTGAAACCCCTGGTTGAAAAACAACCAGCGCGGCCGGCATAGAGCGAACTACCGCCACGAGTCAATTTTCCTTTCACCCTTACTACACGCGCAGAGTCCAGAGGAGGATCCCAGGATGACTACGAGAGATGCCCCGCTTTCACAAGTCCAAAGACTCAGAGGTTCAAGATAAGTTGGTCCCAGACATAGGGGTGAGTCCGGCCGCCGGGAACTGGTCTCATGACGGTCAGTGCTGAGCTCAAACAATGCCCAACACATCCCGCTCTCCGGGTCGCGGTATATCCTCCACGCTCGTCACACCGATGCCCCTTGAACTGGTTAGAACATGGCGCTCTCAGGTCTCAAGGTCATCGAAGTCAGTTTCCTATTCTTTTCACTTCGAAATAGCGGCTATTTTGGTGCTGATATTGGTGTACTTGGAATAGTTTGCCGGATTAGCCCCGGGACCGTTCGCTGGCCTCGTTCTAGCAGACAATGGCGCATCAGTGATTCGGGTGGATCGACCTTCTACATCTTCGAGCGACCTGCTCTGCCGCGGTAAACGGTCTATCGTGGTCAATTCAAAGGTCACTAGTGGACGAGAGTTGCTCAAGACCTTGATTGCCTCTGCGGATGTGATCATTGATCCGTTTCGCCCTGGGGTAATGGAAAGACTGGGTTTGGGACCAGAAGTCTTCTTGGGAGATGGCACCAAGGCTGGGCTAAACGAGAGACTGATCTATGCAAGGATTGTGGGGTAAGTGAATCGCTTTTTTGGGACTGGGCCACTTGCTGATCCAGGAACTTCTTAGTTTCCCTCGAGAAGGTATTCGATTTTGATGAACCGAACGCGCTTCCTTGACTAATATGTTGCTCCAGGCCCCTACAAGGACATGGCAGGTCAGCTCTAGTCTCCAAGACTACGCGAAGTAGTACTGAACTGTATCCACAGGCCACGACATCAATTATGCTGCCCTGAGCGGCGCCCTGGCTGTAGGAGCCTTTCCAGGTACTTTCGAATTGACCATGCTGACGTCTTCCACAGATGCTCCCTGGAACCTCTTCGAAACCCTCTTTCCCCCTCAATATTCTCTCAGACTTTGCTGGCGGTGGTATCATGTGTGCACTGGGAATCCTGGTGGCGCTGTTGGAACGAGGGAAGACAGGGAAGGGTCAAGTTGTGAATGCTGACATGGTGCGTGTAATACCTTCGTATATACTGAGCCCGGAACTTAAATCATGAAGGTTACTGGTACCCGCTACATCTCTTCATTCCCTCTTATCCATGCACTTGTTCCTTCGTCGCCCCTCATGGGAGGCCCACGAGGAACAAATCTTCTCGACGGAGGTGCACCCTTCTACAACATTTACAGCTGCAAAGACGGTGGATGGATGTCAGTTGGATGCCTAGAACCCGAGTTCTTCAAAGTCTTCCTGGAATTGTTTTTAGGAGCCCTTCCGAGAGATTTCACCCTCGCCGGCTGGAGGCCAACACTCGCGACCCAACGTGAACGCTCGGAATGGGACAAATTCGCAAAGTTCCTAGAGAAGGGTTTCTTGACTAAACCCAGAGACGAATGGGCCAAACTGTTCATGAGTATGTATCACGCCCCTGCCAACACTGTCGATGCTAATGTTCTCTTGCCTGATTAGACACGGAAGCCTGCACTGTCCCAGTACTAACACCCAAGGAAGCCGGAAAGCTTGCACGAGCCCCAGTTCCCGAGGTCCATCCGAAGGTCAAGACATGGAATTCAACAGCCTTACAGCAGAAAGTGTCGCCTTCAATCGGATTGCTGCAGCCAGGCAAGGACACCGAACAGATCCTGGACGAGCTTGGTATCAGCGATTCGGAGCGCCGCCGTTTAGTCCAGGAGGGAGCTGTCGACGGGAAGTTCGTTTCCGTTCGGACCCCTTCCAAGTTGTAATGATATACCAGATGTAAGACGTAGTCATGCTTGTTATATTGAATAAACTGGATGCTATTGGTCTCTGACGACAAGTCCCGTTTAAGCGCTCGGAGCGTGAGATCCGAAGCGTCATTGTTGTGATGTCGAGAGGAAAAGGTCGAATTCAGGCTTTCAGCTGCCTCCTATTATCACATGTAACAGTCTGCCTCTCTCCTTTTTATAGGTTTCTGCCATCTCCTGGTCGCCCATTTCCACTAGCAACCAACCTTAGACTTCGCACAGATGGCCTCCAAGCAGCTTCGAACCTTCACGAGAGAAGAAGTTGGCAAGGTATGACACTTTTCACCGCTGCTCTTCTGCGCCATTAAATGCTGAATTACCGGTTTCTTGGCGTATTTAGCACAACAAGGATGATGACCTCGTTCGTACCCGACGACTCCTAACCGGCCTTTGTCAACTTTGAGCTCACCGTTGTCACCGACAGTGGATCATCATCGACTCCAAAGTCTACGACATCACTCGATTCAAGGGCCTCCATCCCGGAGGCATTTCTGTCCTCCTCGATTCAGAAATTGGTACGTGCTCGCTGGCCCACGATAGCATCGTTTTCGCTGACAGACCGTCGTCGTTGGTATTATAGCTGGCCAGGATGCGACGGAAGCATTCTACAGCCTTCACAGGCATGAAGTTTTGGAGAAGCCCCAATACCAACGACTCGTGATTGGAACAATTGAAGGCGAGAAGAGCAAGATCCACGGTCGAATCCCTGGTGAACTCAGCAAGGTTCCATATGCTGAGCCTACATGGCTGTCTGCTGGCTACCACAGCCCTTACTACTCGGAGGTGAGTCACTCGGTCCACTGTTCTCGTCCTATTTAGTTTATGCCTTGTCCCATCCAGAATCACAGGCAGTTCCAAAAAGCTGTCCGCCGTTTCTTCGATGAAGTTGTGCATCCCGACGCCCTTGTGAGTATCTTTATCTTCACTCTGCACCTCGTGAACTCATCGGTCCCTTAGGCAAGGGAAGACGACGGCAAACGACCGTCTCAGGACGTCATTGACAAGATGGCACAGCTGAACCTTCACGCCATGCGAATGGGCCCCGGAAAACACCTCAAGGGACGTGTTCTCATGAACGGATTGGTCAAGCCTGAAGAGTTTGACTACTTCCACGAGGTACTGTCCGGTCATACTTCGCTCTCTTCAGCCTGCTGACCCCGTCTCTAGCTTATCATCACTCAAGAATTTGCGCGAGCCAGCATGCGTGGTTACGGTGATGGTAAGCACGATCGTCTGTACGGGGTCGCGTCCTTTATTCACAACCCACAGGCCTACTCGGTGGAAAGGTTATCGGCCTTCCTCCAGTCCTCAACTTTGGTAGCGAAGAGCTCAAAGCCCGTATCGTTCCCGACATCCTGGATGGCAAGAAGTTCATCTGTTTGGCCATCTCTGAGGCCCAGGCTGGAAGTGATGTTATGGGTCTGCAAACCACTGCTCGCAAGACCGAGGACGGCCAGCACTGGATCATCAACGGTATGCTTCTGTTTCAACACATCCATCCCCAACTCACTTATTCTGCGATAGGAACTAAAAAGTGGATCACCAACGGCACTTTCGCTGACTACTTCACCGTGGGATGCAGGACTGACGATGGTTTCACTGTCATCCTTGTCGAACGAGGGGAGGGTGTGGAGACGAAGCAGATCAAGACCAGTTATTCGTCTACTGCCGGAACTGCCTTCATCACCTTTGACAACGTCAAAGTCCCCGTTGGCAACACCCTTGGTGAGGAAGGTGGAGGAATCTTCGTAATCCTCAGGTACGCCGTCATCGTTGGCAATTGTCTTCATTTTCATGGCTTACTCTTCCTTGCAGCAATTTCAACCACGAACGATGGGTGATGTGCTGTGCATCAGCTCGTAGCCAGCGAACCATTGGTATGTCTCGATCTCTATGTTCCTCGAGACTCGGTACTGACGTCGATCTCAGTCGAGGAATGCCTCCAGTAAGCATTGATCACCAGGTTACCGCCGAATGATCTCTGATACCCCGCCTTTAGATGGACAAACCAGCGCAAGGTCTTCGGCAAGCCTCTTCACTCTCAGGCCGTCATCCGTTCGAAGTTGGCCGCCATGATCTCCCGCGCTGAAAGTGAGCATTTCCTTCGCTCCACCTGCATCCTTGGATGCTGACTAGTCGCTTCGCAGGTGCTCAATCGTGGCTCGAAAACATTACTTACCAGATGAACAACATGGTTGGTCTCATACGATCCACTGGCTGCGAAACTCATTGCTGACCCTATTCCTTCAGAGCTATAAACAACAAGCCAGCAAATTGGCTGGGTAAGTACACCTTTCGAGACTGACATACTTTGATGTTTACCGCTCTCCCAGTCCTATTGCACTCCTCAAGAGCTACTCGACTCGTGCGGGTCAAGAAACCGCTCGCGACGCCGTTCAAGTCTTCGGTGGTCGGGGCATTACTAAGACCGGTATGGGCAAGTTCATCGAACACGTAAGTTCGCCTGCACGCTTAGCTCCAGGGCCTGTTCGCTCACTCACACTTTGCTATACAGTACCACCGAACAGTACCATTCGATGCTCTTCTTGGTGGAGCAGAAGACGTCCTCGCCGACCTTGGTGTACGTCAAGCATTACGCGGAATGCCCAAGGATGCACGTCTATAATCTGCCTATGTGGTTCTCGGAGCCCACTTCGTTACTTTATCCATTCGCGTTCGTTATTTAATCTAGCGGTATCACTTAGTTAGTAGCACGGTTATACAAAACAACAAAAGATCATAATGTAACAAACAGAAAAGCTAGAGAGGAAGACCGGGAAACTGAAGACGACGCAGAGACAGAGCAAGATACAGAGAGCAAACGAGTCCATGGAACCATCCACGGAACGGGTAAAAAATACACTTCTGGAAGTGACACGATAGAGTAAAAGGCGGCAGTAGCAGTCCATCGAGGGGTGGGTTACATAGAAGTGTAACTTTTTGAAAGAACAGAGGCAAAACGAAAAGAGAAGTGAAACAAAATATAGCCGAGACAAAGCCCAAATGGAAACGTGAAGAATATCGAAAAAGGAAGGTCCATCGTCTCCTGCAACCGTCACTCTACTGGGACACTCCAGTGAGGTAGTTCGGAGGACTGGTGGTATCATAACCGTTGGTGACTGATCGCAAATCGATACCAAGGTTGCGTTCGAATTGGGTCATGAAATTAAAGCCTGCTGTTGGCGAAGGTCAGTCAAGTCAAGGGGCCGCATACGAAATGGCCGTACTTGGCATCGAGATATCTTGCCACCCTGACGGATCAGCAAGATCCTGGAAGCTTCGAATAATCTCCTCGTCAAAGGGCAACTCGGGTTGGAAGTAATCTGTCATGAGCATATCCCCTTGGGAATTGTCGTAGGCGTTCATGATTGGTGCGTCAGGCGCATACGGGTCAATACCGCCCATGGGTCTGAAGTTGTTGAAGTCGGTCAGAGACTCTGCCGGTGGTGGAGAAAGTGACCCAGTAGTGGCCGGAGAGGAATGGTTAAATGTCGCGCCGTAAGGGTCAGACGAGGCTGATGGTTGCGTGTCCATTTGTTCGCCCCCTGAAGCGGTTTTCGCGGGTCGGCGAACCCGTGGAGGCGGTGGTGGCGTCGCTTCAGCGGAACCGCTTCTTGGAGGAGAGGGGTCGATCCTTGCCAAAGGCTTCGCCAGGAGATTCTTCAGGAACCGGGCGTAGAGCTTGGGTCCATGTCGGTCATCGATGGCGATTTCAGGTGAAGACATCAAGTCAATGACTTGTTGCACAAGGTTCCGAATCTGCACTCGCTGGTCTCGAGTGAGGTAAGATTGGAACTTGGGTTGCAACAACTGGTGGGATGTTATAATTAGATTAGGTCCGCAGAAAAGAGTGTACCATGTTCGTACCTTGACGAGAAAAGCGGAAGCGAATGTAACAAAAACACTTTGAGCATCAGGACCATGTCGCCAATAGTGACCTACAAAATCAGTCAAAAGCTGATGACGCCGCGGAGGCTCGAGTACGAACGTTGCTCGGGACGGCAGATATCGTCAACAACTGCGTGGACCACGTCAGATGCGGCATTCAGACACTGAAATACAGAGATTGTCAGAGATAAGGATCTCACTATAGTTAGATAAATTACTTGCCCTCATCAAGAAAGGATTCTCATCCTGGCCATCAGTCTTTCCGAATGCGTGTTGGAACCCATAGGACAAGGCGATAAGGCGTGCATAGCTGTAGGCCAGTCGGAGGAGGCCAGTGCGGAAACAGTTTTCGGAGTTGGACATGTCCGTCGTTCTGAGAATAGAAAACCAGCGCTCCTGAAGCTTTTGCAATGCATCGTCAGTTTCAGTGGCGATGCCTTCGAAGTCCACCTCCTATGAATCTGAATTAATAGACTGTATTTGAAATGGAAATGGGATGGATGACAAACCTTGTTAAGCCCAGTAGGGTGATCAGGATCGCTATAGATCTTCGCCATAAACTTCGACATGAGCCTCAACTCCGCGTTGTAGGCGCAAATATGGATGTCGAAGTGGACCATGTTGTGAGGAGAAGATTGCCACCAGTTCTCTGAGTGGTTCGCGGTGTAGTCAGCGTTGTTGATGATAGGGGGCTTGCCATATTGTGATCCCGTGGAACGATCCAGGTTGAAGCAGTTCAACCATATGCGCGTTCGATTGAGCATCTCCCGTGCGTGGTTTTCGTTCTTCGGTTTGGCGGTCATAGGAAGGTGAAGGTTAAGATCCGTCGCAGTTCTAAAGAGGACATGAGTTAACACGTTATTGTTAGACGTAAGACTTACCTGATCGCCAACCCGAGGTACAACCAACTCCTCTGCTGCTCCCAGCGTTTGACCGGAATGGGGTACAAGCTCATCAGGATGTAGGCCGCACACATCTCGACGTTTTTGGTCCCGCTGGTGAGTGCATTTCCCGCAGCGGCCTGAGCATAATGCATGGCCTGTTGGTAAAGCTCAGGTCGCTCCGAGTAGAATCTGGAGGCAATGGCACATACTAACAGTATGAGTTTAGTGCCCAAATAATCACGAAGGGAGACATGTCACTTACTAACTGTGAACAAGAAGGGGCTACGCCAGAAGGTTCGCTTGGCATCATAGAGAATGGGATCCAGCAAGGACACGGAGAGGTTCATTTCAGCATAATATCTAAAGCGCCATGAGGTCAAGTCCAGGGGGAGAAACGAGGATCCACTCACAAATGGAACAATTTCTCTGCTTCGGCGGGAGTGATGAGTCCCTTGGCTAGAATGGCCGGCACTTGATGAGAAAGACTCTTGGGCTGATTGACAGGGACTGGAGTGGAAGCTAACGATGAATCGTTAACATAACAGGCGACGATGGAATATGATTCCGTACCAGGTCTGAAGAAGTTTTCATTGGCGATGCCCGAACTCCTGTCATCGTCCTCGTCGTGCTCGCTCGGTCCCCTGCTTAGGGGACGGGATTTGAGGCTCAAGTTCCCGAAGAGACCGAAGGGTGAGGCTTCGACAGGAATGTTTGCTGGTTTCGCGTCGCCAGTATTCTTCTTCCGACTACCAGCCGCACTCCTTGTGGTTCCCACACTGGAAGCCGAAGATCTGTGTCGAATCCTTCGGTGGACGCCACTCTCAGAAGGTTCTTCACCCTCCGCGTGCTCTATGGAGACAGCGATATGTTCATCTTCCTCACCCTCGAACCTGTCCGAAGCTTCAACGAATTCATCGTCATCACTGGAATACGGGTCTTCGGGATCTTCTTCCACAATGTAGCTTTCAGGTACACCCCCTCCCGCCACGCAAATGAATGACAGCTCCTGCATGTTCTCCCTCGTTTTAGCAATCCACTCCTCGATTGCCTTGTTTGTCGCTGAATTCGATTGTTCCTCGGTCCGGGGTTGAGAATCACCAAGGAAGGGTTTTGTTGTTGGGGATGAGGGAGAGAGGGGGGGAGAAGACAGACTCGAGGATGACTGGGGGGGATGAACGCCTTCTTCCTTCTTTACCGACGTGACAGCTTCAAGCTGCTGCATCAGACGCTCAATTTCTTGAGCCTGCGCTTGAATCTTGCTGATGAGATGCTCCCGTTTTCTAAAGCAAAGGTTAAGGTTGGCACCGAGGGGAAGATAATAACAGGACCTACGGTGGTACGCGGCGGACCTTACGGCCGGGGATAACGCAATCGTGGCCTCCATTGAGACACCTCTTGCAAGGATCGCCCTCGGTCTTGACTTCGCACTTAACCTTGAGGTTTTTGCATCTCGCACATGCCCGAATCCTATGGGAAGGTATTGAGTAAGGGAGAATGATTAGCCAAAGAGCGCGACGCACGGTTTGGCCTTCTGGTCCTTGACTTCTGATAAGCCTGGCTCAGGCTCTGGTTCATCGTAGGTAGGTTCCTCATGGGGATCTAAACGTTGGCGTTTCCCCGAGGAGGGACCTGACTGGGCTGGGGATTGGGAGAAGAAGGACCTATCTAGGCCGAACGAGGGCTGTAGACCGTCAGGAGATGTGGTGAGCATCCCCCCGCTACGGACGGGAGAATCCATCGAGACCATTGGTGTGGTGCCGCTCATGTTTGTTGAACCAAACGAGAACATTTGGGGATTGTTGCGATAGGCCGTCTGGCTGAAGCCCTGTCCGTTGGAAGCGCCGTAAGTGGGTTGAGAGCCATGTCCATATGGATTGGGAGGCTGTGATTGCTGCTGGGTGCCATAAGAGGATGATCGTGAATGAGATAGTGGCTGGTTGCTCTGCAAAGCGCCTTGCAATGAGGACGTCTGTGGCAGACTGGTTGTTGGGGGCGCCTGGGAGTATTGGAAGGCCCCAGGATACGTATGTACCCTTTGTTGCTGCTGATGGCTGGGGACTTGCTGCTGTTGCTGTTGCTGTTGTTGCTGCTGCTGCCTTGGCTCAGGATATTGACCATAGCCAAAGTCTTGCTGAGGGTAGTACATCTGAGACTGCTGGTCCCACTGTTGGTTCGAGTTGTATGGATTGGGCATGGCGCGCTGACCGACAGGACTAAGATGTGATGCGAGGACCGTGATGAGCGGGTTGCTTAGGGGCAGAGGCTGTCGGCGACGACGACGACGACGACGACGACGACGGCGGTCAGTGGAAGGAATGGACGGGGTCGGTTGACAGGGTCGGGAGATGGTGTGGGTGTGTGGGTTAATATATAAGTAGCGGTTGAGGCAAGGGTTCCTCGATCACAATTAAGGGAAGATGAGTCCCAGGACCCAGGAACGGAGGGACAGGGTGATGGGTCCTCACGTGGGGATCGTGCTGTTTATGTAGTATCATATAATTTTCTAGCGATTCAGATAGTCACACAGCTCCGTCTTCTTCTTGCCGGTCGAGGCCAAAATTTCCTGCTCCAGGGTGCTCGCTCCTCCTACACGTGTGCATCGCCACTCCATCCTCGTCCCTTTCCTGTGCACAGACGTCACTTTCTCTTGTTCTCTTCATTTAGAAACGGGAAGGTTGTGGGATTAAACCATCGTCGTTGGGATATGACATCGATAGCTGTTAAACTCGACGACCTGCAGCGCGGTCCTAACGTGCATCTGAAACTATAGGCGGACTTTGTAGTAGGACTTGACTTCCATACCGCCAATCGTGAAGTCACATCTCACACCTGTATTTGGCACGGGAGGGCTGCGACAATCCGTCTCTCGTCACATCACGCATCTGCTGCATCGGGTCGCACCACCAGCGCTCATGAAGGTCTCTCGCGTTCCGCGGCTTCGTCCTGGCTACAAAACCCCGGTCCAGGGTACCCTTCGTCGACAGAAACTCAAGAGGATGTATATCGTTTGGGGCGGATGTTACCATCAAGTCCTGGGTGCTCTGCCGCATGTCATCTGCCACGGTTGGGAAACGGAGTCACAAGGTTCGAGTTCGGAGAACCTCTGGCAGTTTCCCCCAGTTAGGCTTCCTTTTTCACTTTTCTTTAGGGTAGACGGTAAGACTCGGGGCCCTTTGTCCATCGGATCCGGAGACTACACCATCGCTCGGATGAAAATCACCACAAAGACGTATCTTCGAACAACCATAGTACCGGCTACTCGACATCCCGACAAGCCAGTCTTAAAATACGTTCCTTACAGGCGCTTGGGGGCAATGCGCTTCGTCCATAGTATGAACACTGATGTTTCAAGGAGTTTCCCCAATCTCGTCCCGACTTGCATGACTATCTGATTGTCCAGTATTCTGAATACGCTTTCATCCCGATTCCGCGGTCCGGTATAGGGTAGAGCAAGCTTCCTAGCGAAAAACGCTACTCTGTCAAGTCGGATATATTTTTGAACCACCTCAGCTCGGACCTGTACCCTTCGGCATTGCAGGCTTCTCCACTTTTGAGATCCAGTTGTCACAGACTTCGGGTCGCGGGTAGTTTGGCCCTGTGGTCAGTCAATGAAATGCTGCAGGCTCCAGCACACGCTCTTTTGCAAAAAAGTATGCCGTATATACAGTGAAGGGCTTGCAACTGCGCCGACCTGTTTCTCCGCTCCATCAACGACCATGAAATACCGACATGAATGAGTTTGGGCGCCTAATCCGAGCTCCTGATCGGAGTTCATACCATTTGAACGATGGGACGCATGCCTCGGAATGAATTATCTCTGTCAGTGGACTGCAGAAACACGAACTATTCTCGGTGTTATTTTTACACTCGGCCCGAATGTCAAGATCGCCATTAGAGAGACAAGTGTAAACCCTGAACCACGTCGTGAGAACGGTTGTTCGAGCGCGAGGTGCAACCCAGGAAGAAACATCGTCGGATATTCTACAGAAGCGATGGATGGGGAAGTTCCAAACCCTTGTGATGGCTACGTACATAGAGGAGAATATTTCTGCGACCATGCTGAAGCAGAATGAGCAAAGAAATCCCGTACCCAGTCGTGCATCAACGGAACCATAGATCCTCAGGAATCCTGAATCTATCCTACTTCTTCTCAGAACAACGCCGCCTCTTCACCATCGGCTGCATATTCGAGCGATGAGAAACGAAGTCAGACTTCGGCAGCTCCTACCGCGCATCCGGTTTGTGACAGGGTTCATACATATGTACGTTTCGTACACTGGAAGCAGAGCGCTCCGTGGACAGTTCCAACGTTTAAAAATTCTACAATCCCATGACTAGCGTGCTGAAATCCGCGACCAGTTTATCCGCTGCACCCCCGACGTTGTGCGAGGGCCGCAGAGCGCCTATTAACAGGTTGATGCCTGATGGCGCATCAACGCATCACCGTCGTCTTATGCAGTGGAGTTGATGATAAGATTGGGTATTGAACGACGTCAAGTCCAATATATGACGTCACATACGCGAAGACCTGTCCCTCCTCGTACATTGTCGTCATAATGTTGCAGGTTGCGAGAGGTATAAAGGAGGATTGGAGACGGTTTGATTGCAATTACATTTCCCATCCCCCAGCAACTCTTATATATCACCCACACCATGTTCCGCATTCAAGCAGTCAGAGCTTCCCAAACCCTCGCCCATGTCAGGCAAATCCCTGCTCCTGTCACTATACAGAATACTAATTTAGATCTCTCAGACTGCACGAAGGACGTATGCCACGGCCTACCCCCCTCCACCTTCCGGCCAACCCGCTCCTAATCCCAAAAAAGCAAATGAATCAGACAACACACTCCTTTACACCGGGTTGGGCTTGGCCGCAGCCGCAGGCGCCTATTTCTACTTTAAGAGTCCTGAAGAAGCCGACAGAATCCAGTCGATCCAGGACAAGGCAAAGAGAGACGAAGAAAGAGTACGAGTGACCTCCCGTGAGGCATACGATGCCGCGAAAGACCGTGCTCAAGACACAGTCGACAAAGGTCGTGCCAGGTTGGAGCAAGCAGAGGTGAGTTTCGCCTTTACTGAACCTCAAGGAGGCTGAATTTGACTGCGATCCATAGGACAAGGCCAAGGGAACCTACGATGCTGTCAAGGCTCGAGTAGATGACAAGACCTTCCAAGCAGACCAAAACCGCCGTGGTCTCTTCGACAGAGCGGAGGAGCACATCGAATCCGCCAAGCGCTCTACGCGCGGCTCTCTCGACAGCGCGCGAAGCTCTACCGAGAACCTCTATCGCGACGTTCGTAGCTCTACCGAGCGCAAAGCCCAAGAGCTCCGAGACGATGCTGATAGAAAGGGCTCTGAGTTCCGACGCGAAGCCGATAGGAAAGGAGAGGAGGTGAAGGAAGGTTGGTTCAGTTGGCTGGGGTACGGAAAAGAGAAGGTTGCTGAAGGAGAGAATGAGCTGAAGGAGGGCAGGGATAAGTTTGAGTCTGAGGCTGATAGGTTGAAGAGAGAGGGGGCAAGCAAGGTCGCAAGTGCTGCTGATAACGTCCGACAGAGAGCGGAGAAGCATACATGATCGTTGTAACTCGAATATTCAGGGACTTGTGTAACATATATTGCTTCAGATTTCCACGTGTTGTACCCGCAAAGTAATACTTCCCCTCATTTGTACTTCTGAATCCGACCTGAGTGTGAGTCGTCGTTTCTCAACCAATAAGACAAATGGTTCGGAAGTACTCATACAACCCCGTACATCCAGTCCCGTCAGTCAGTTTGCGCTATATATGTCCTCCCTTTACTTCTTGCTTCACACTGGCAAGTAGATCCTTTGTCGTTTTCTTCGGCTTCCACCCCAGACGTCGTGCTCTATCCGCTCTACACCTCGAATTCGAATCCAAGAACTTTGCGTTGTTATTGAAGAATCGATGTTTTTCATCATCCGTGAATGCGGTGGGCGTGGGCTCAGTTGCCTTGCCAAGATCGACCATGGCTCTGCCGATGGCATCAGACACGGAGAGCCAGTTGTGCTCGCCCCCTTCGGCAAAATAATACCCTTCGGACCCATGCTTGAAGTATGATGTGTCGGCGACAACTGGGGTGCGTGGGCGGGAAAGCGCACGGGTTGGAGTACCTGAGCGGGAACGGGTATTGCGTGGGGGGCTTGGGCCCTCCGTTTCTCGATGAACTTCAGGCAGTCCATCGTCCGGTAGCATGTAGTCAACAAGGAGGATGTACAAAGAGGCAACTGCGCAAGGGATGGCATCAATAGACGGATCAGACGGAAAGGACGAGCGCTTACGATCAGCGATGTGGACATTTGACCAGATGTTAGCGCCCTTCCCAAGGACCCCTGCGCGCCCTCGAGCCAGTGCAGCATCGACTAACTGCGGTATTTGTTGAGAGCGTGGATTCTGTAGCCCAGCGTCTACCAATGGACCCGTTGCCCTGCCGTATATAGTGCTGGGAAGGATGATATACGTCTTGACATAACCTGATTGCCAATTAAGCGCCGGGAAAGCGATAAACGGTGGATAACCCAACCTTCATTGTCCGCATCTATGACTGCCAGGTCCACTTCCCTGTGAGGTTGCGTGCGGGGGATAGATGCAAGGGTGGCGATATCCAGGTCGCTATAGATCGTGTCAGACGCATACATGCCCCTTGCGTCATCGATGAGTACACCTAGCGTCAAGACCGTTGTCAGCCTGACCATCGCGGAGAACCTCCCAGAAGTGACACACCTGTCCCTGACGTATGGATAAGAGAGGGAACTCCGCCCGTCTTGCCGTGCCGCGCTTTGAGGCCTCGAAGGATAGCTTTGGCGGCTTCAAGGTCGTCTGCATCAGCCTGTATCCCGGAGAACGCCATGGTTAACAATCGCCTCTACCGGGGAAGCGGGTCAAAGCAATACTTGCGCAGGCCACCACAATGTCAGACTCAGAGGCCAGCTTGGTTAAGAGGTCGTGGTCAGAGTGGGACCCCACCACGGCTTGGATGCCCATCTTTCTGAACTGTGTAGCCTTTTCTGGAGCCCTCACCTGGTCCTGGGTTAGCACGGCGCCTACCTAGTCGATATTCAACCTCACCAGAGCGGTTATCCTAAAAGTATCAGACAAAGGGTGGGAGATGAGTCTGGTTAATACACTCCCGCCAATGTACCCTACGTCGCGGCTGGTTTGTTAAGCGGGTTCATGTCGAGTTTAGGATGGGTCTGCACCTGTGGCCCCCGTGAGGAGTATATGCCTTTGAATCATAAGGTGGCCTGAATGCATTGAAGATGGAAGTACAGTGGAGAAGAGATTTGTGTCTCGCTCTGGGAATGTTGTTCATTAACTCCGCAACATTCTGGAAAGAACATGGTGGCCTGGTATTCTTGGATGCTGTCTTGCTAGGTCCATAGTAGTGACCTTGTATGTAGAAAATCATGGATGATGGACGTGCGGGTCCAAAGGGCGCCCGAGCATATGCCTGGGCTTGAAGGGCATGCACGCCGACGCTCGCATATAATCAGTGATGAAGCGTGGGAAAGGCGCCTAGGGCGTAGTAACGCCGATGTGGCCGTAACCGTCATCGTTCAGTGACTCCTCTTCCCCACCACAACCGTTTGGGCGTCGCAGAACGCAGTCCCAGCTCCCGTCATCCGTTCTCCTCAGTGTGGATGCCAACGGCGACGTCCTCGGCTTAGTTTTTCATGTGAGCATACACTATCTACAAATGTGCATTCTCCGGGGGCTATTTCTGATGAAACTGTTTGCACGTTTAGCAAAGCAGCGCCTTTAAATCAGCGGCACTGCACTATTACATTCTTTTTCACCCCGTCACTCTTTTTGGTCTTCACCCCCCACCATGGTCGTCGTTGACCTTCGCCGGCGCCAGGGCATCCAGGCGTCCACAGCTGCTGGCATTGAGAACTCAGCGATCGTGGTTGACGATTCGGCTCCGACAGGCGCATCCGGCCTCGCTGTCGATGGTTCCGCCCCCACCGGCGCCTTCACCGAAGCTATCGACTTGGTCTTCGATGGCTCCTCGACACCAGTCGCTCCTCCCACTCCGGCACCCACCCCTACCCCCACCCCCATCGAACCAGCGGCCAATGAAGAGGTCGAGCAAACAGGTGCAACCATTAAACCCATTCCCATTGGTACTGTAGTTGGCAGTTGTGTCGGCGCTTTCCTTGGCGCCGCACTCCTTGTGGTCATTGGCCTGTTCTTCTACAAGCGCTACAACCGCTCCCTCAAGCAGAAGACAAGCCGATCTTTCCCCCGCTCACCTTACAAAGAACATCACGATAGCCGCGCACATTCCAACAATTGGAACCGCCTTGATGACAAAGACGAAGACAGATGGGAGGGCAAGGATGGGCCAGCGCCAACCGCCGTTGAGCAGAAATCTCCTCAACAAAACGGGTTTCTTGCTCCTCTGGAGACCATGGATATGTTCGCCAAGTCTCCGAGCGAGAGTTCTCACCGTTCGGACGAACCCACGTTCGAGATGACGAGCCATCCATACAGCCAGACGACTCCCACCAAGGTACCAGAGCCTCGCGACCTTCTTGGTCGAGATCCTCAGTACACACTTGGTGAGGTCAACGCTGGCGCGCCAATGTCCTGGGCTTCCGATTCTAGCAAACCTTCTTTCCTTACCACAACAACTGCACTGGAAGGTGGGGCCATGTCACCAACGCTCTCCATGGCAATTCCTACTCCACCCGCCACGAAGACCCACTCGCATCATTTCCAATCAGCCGAAGTTGTCGAAGCCTTCGAAACCGCGCCCGCCGTTCCCGAAGTGAAAGTTCATACCAGTTCCAACAACCCCTTCTTTAGGGGAGGAAATGAGTACATTCAACCAAGTCGAGCAAGGTCGCAGTCTCAATCGAGTACCAAGTCCAACGCCACGGTCACCCAGTCGAACAGCAACACTGAAGGTTTCCCCGACAGTCTCGCGCCCCCAACCACCACTGGCAAGGCTAAAGAGCGCGTCGTTTCCATTGACCCCTTCACAGATCCTTTGCCGCCGCCATCGTTCATTCATCATCAAGCGACTGGGTCCGCTTCGTCCGCTGCATCCAACGAGCGCGCTATCAGGCAACTCATGGCAGCCACGGGAATGGACTTGGACGAGGCTGAAATTCAGCGAAGGTTGAAGGCTCTGTCGATGCAACCCTCTATCATCTCTAATTCCGGCGACTCGATGTATACCGATGCTGAACCCGACGAACCAACACCCACCTTGCCACCCAGCTCTTCCGGCCACACGACTACCCGCTAGTTTTTCTCATCTTGTCTTGCTTTTCTCCCTGCACCACCCGTGTACTAGCCTCTCCCTCTCCCGCTCGATTCCATAACTATTTTATCTTCTAAGCTTATGATTGAAATCTTGCTTTGGATTGATGTCTTCCAACGATGAAACGCCGCTGTAAACATCTATCCCCTTCTTGTACTACCTGAACACATCTTCTTCGGTTTGCCATGGATTGGTTTTTCGTTCACACTAAGTATATTGTGTCACGATTACATTGCTAATCCGCACCTTTCTTTCCAATTTACCTGCGCTAGATACTTTTCTTCTGCCTGCTGTGCGCGCACCCTTAATCCGTTATGTAGCGCAGTTGTAACCATTATCTCCTAATATACAACGATCCTCATGGCTAGAGTATGGCGATACAATCTCGGTTGTAGGCTCAGAGTGGGCGAGTGAGCGCTCAGAAGGATGATGGAAACGTAGACCTACACACGTCGGCGGACTTGTGCTATCCCATGTGGGGACTAGGTGGCGCTCCTTCCGTCCTTTCCGTGCATGTGGAAATGCCTTGCTTCGAAGCTTTGGATGCTGTTCTATTCGGTCAGCTAGGAAAGTATCTTCATTGAAGCTCCACTCTGTTGAATCATTGTCGCACGGTGTTCATTTAATACTGTAAAACACATCTGTGAAATGAGTAGGTGCTAGGGGATGCTATGAATATCACCCTATATGACCCCCTAACTGATTGGATCTACAGCGGTCAAGATGAGCCTGTAGGGGACCACCATCAAGCGCTGATACCGTCCCACCTATTCAGGTACATCGAGACCCGCGGGATCTGTGTCTGGCATATACGACGAGCTTCCGCGCCGCCAAACTTAGCGCCCGAGCACCAACACTTACATCTGCTGTCCTCCATGCTGTCTTCAATTGCAAGCTCTCTCGTATTTACGCTGAACAAAAACATTTGTATGACCTTGTTCAGATAGGCGCCTCCTCTGCATTGGAATTCAGGATGTCAACCTGGTTACCTGAGGGTCGAACGACATCGTCATCGGATGATATGGCTAAATTTAGCACCCGAGAAATGATGCGATCAATTTCATTTCCACTTGTCGTCAAGGGCAGCACCAACAGAAACGATATATCTAGAATCCTTGTTTATTTATTTCTTTTTCTTCTCCCAGCTCTTGTTCTCTCTACCTTGAGCTCAGAGCTTATCGGTTACTTCATCCCATCCCGGCCTTTGTCTGTCGCAAAGGCCAAAATTCACGTTCTTTACTGACTGATCACATTCGTTCACATCCGACTTTGAATTCGAACCACCCTTCCGACTTCGAGACGGCCACTTTTTTGCGACGACGAACAGACCATATCAAACTCATGCCTTCTATCATTAACAAATCGACACTGGAACGGCGAGCTGAGGGCGATTCTGGCCTCAACGGTGTCTACATCGCGGGTATCGTGGTCGTCGCCCTCCTGCTGTTCTGCGTTGGGACCTGGCTGCTTATCCGTTGGAATCGCCAACGCAATAAGAAAAAGAGGGAGGAAACTAGTGCGGCGACCTTCCTCTCTGTCCGAGGTCTTATGAGAGAGGCTCCCTCGACTATGCAGGAAAAGATGCCCTCCCCTCCAAGGTGCGTGTTCAACATTCCACATTTGTTTAATACAATCTAACCGAATGTGTATTATATTCAGCGCCCAGGCCCCGCCTTCATCTGGTTTCTCCCGTTCACAACGGCGACCCACAATCGTTATCCCAGATCGTGCTTTGACGCCTCGCGTCGGAGCTGGTTCGAGGGACGATATTATCAACTTCCACAGACAATCGGACAACTTCCCCAAACCTTTCTCCTTCGCACTCAACAGGAGCCCAGTCACCCCGCCAGGTCCCAATAGCGGTAATATCGGTCCTCTGAATCTTTCACCCCAGGAGAACAACCGCTCCTCGTGGATTCGACATTCCTTCTTCAGCAACCGCTCCAGCATGGCGATTGGAAACCGATACTCCGTGACGTCCTCGTCTTCGTCGTCCTTTGGAGCGGAACCCACCACTGGAGCCACGCGCAAAGTCAGACAGCTATTCACACCAGTCCTCCCAGACGAACTTTTGTTGACGAAGACCGGAGAACAACTTACGGTGATTCAATCGTTTGACGACGGCTGGTGTGTGGTTGGACGGGAGAATGCTTCGAGCATCCAGCACAAGAAATCACTATTCCCGGATTCTACTGGTGTAGCTGGGAACGACGTCGAGCTGGGCGTTGTCCCTGCCTGGTGTTTCTTGAAGCCCGTCAAAGGCTTGAGAGCGGAGCGACCCGTCAGGAGCACAAGTTTGGGCATCACTGTTCAAATGGATGCCCCCGGCAATCCTTCGCGGAACGACCTCATTTCATGGTCAAACTTCTAATTACTTCGAGCATACACTTACACTTCCCAGAACAGAACAACAACACTCCCACCTGCTTCGCTTTCGATTCTGCAAGTGTACTATAGATCGGCCCCATTCGCCCTTCTTCCCAACACCTAGACCAGTCTATTGCTACGCATCGGATCATTCTCTTTTTGCACCATTTGATTCTACTTACCCTATTATTCATTTTTGGCACTTACGCTGTCCCTGGCCGATAGATTGCGAGCTGGCTTGAAATCATTGGTCGATAAGGGCACGCACCAGCGGTGTACACAATGTATACTCCTAATGTAGTCTACACAGTAGCCATGTTGTTGAACACGATTGTCCAACTGATGTATATACCCATCCCTTACAGAGCTACTGTAAGCATAACAAATCTTCTTTCAGAATGGTTGGAAGGCGTACGTTTTTACAGCCAAGTCGGCAGAGTTCGCTTCAGTACCAACGGGTGAGGATTTGGTTGCCTCCCATATCGATACTAACGCGGGTTGAGAACTGAGCGGACAGACCGTTGCCTGACATGCGCTGTCTAACTCGCGAACACAAACTCTGTCAAGCGCGAGAGTGTTCGTGTCGAACAGACGTAAGTACCGTCGTGCCCAAGGGAGAACACGCGAGCATCCGAGTCGGGGATGGTGGCTGTGCGAAACACAAATGGGGTCGCAATCAATGGTTCTTCACTCTCCACTCTGGCCATGCCTGCCAGATACGCGCCGCTCCCCAATCCCAGCTCGAATGTCCATGATCCAGAGCGGGAGCTCGAGGATGCCTTTGAACTAAACGACGAAGACGACCATGACCACAGCGTCCAGCACCACGGCGCCGCCGTTGCCAACGCTAATCTCCCCCCGCAACCGCAAGGGCACCCCGCACATGCACGACATCCATCCCTGCCGCCTGCCTACGACTTCGAAAGGCAGGATTATGATTTTCCTCCGCCAGGATCGCCTCCTCGACCGACCGACCGAGCGCTCCCCAACAACTATGGAAATTCGAATGGATTGTTGCCTGAATCGCCTGTGATACCCCAGCCGCGACAGCCCTCGTTGTGGAGCCGAGCGGTCGGGGCCGTTTTCCCCTCAAGATACCAGAGAGTTGCGTCTTCGGAATCATCCCAGAGGAGGATTGGCGGTGGGACAGAGAACGATGGCGTCTTTGCCAATGTCATGGCGAAACCACAGGCTGCCAGGACAGAGCGAGCAGAGGACGGCAGTATTTTTGTCGTACCTGAGGAGTCGCAAAAGGAGACCCCACCTGTATGCACTAAATATATATCTATGAAATACGAACTAACCGTTTGTATCTTTTGGTTTCCAGTCGTACGCCGAAGCTCAAGCAGACGCGGTTCCACCCTACTGGGAAACAACGGTCCATGCACCGGCCTCAAACGACCCCAACGCAGATATGATCATCGACGACCTCCCGACTGGGTCGTTCTTAGTCTTTGCGATCAACCTTATTTTCTCATTCTTCTTCCAATTTGTCGGTTTCTTCCTCACCTACCTGCTCCACACTACACATGCGGCCAAGTTTGGATCTCGCGCTGGACTCGGGTTGACACTCATCCAGTACGGCTTCTATTCACGAATGGTGACTGAAGAAGAGGCGGGGACCAGTCACGACATTCCAACATACAAGAACGGCTGGGCGGCGTCTCACTGGCATAATATGACTACGCCGCAACAAGACCCTGATGCCCAGGCGGACATGGCCATGTCTGCCATGTCCCGGGATTGGCTGTCCTTCTTGTTCATGACTCTGGGTAAGCAATCAGCTCCGCTGCCCCTTGATATCACCATCTGACGGAATGGTCGTGATTGTCATGATTTCAGGATGGTTCTTACTTCTTTCATCATGCGTCGGCTTCTGGCGGGTGAAGCGCTGGGAAAGTTCTATTCGAGCACCAGTCCCCGAGCCTTCAACTGCAAGTGACCTTGAACGAGACCAAGCAATTCGGGTGAACATATCCCGTGTATTCGGTTTCGACCTCCATGATGATCGTAATCCTCCGTCGCAGCAAGCGCTCGAAGCAGAAGCGAGGTTACAGCGAGATTTGCAACGTGCAGGGTTGCTTTGATTTGTACCCTTATCCGGTTTGGCTGGTTGCTGGCCATGCTTCCTCATGCATATGATAGAAAACTGCGCGTGTTTTGGATGAAGGGAATTGATTCGTGTGTGTATTATCATTTATTTTCTACTTTTGGATGGATACTTCTTGATTATTGCTGCTATCTATTTGGATCGCTTTTGTACATGAGTGACTTAATGCAATCTCGTTTTCATGGATTGCTGAAGTCCATCAATGTCCAAACTGAAAGGCGATTGTCTTTGCCTCCAGCCACCAACCATCGAGCGCGATTTGCTTTGTCCGTTTCGTCGAAGTCTTCGTCGCCTTCGTCATTGACGCCATCGAAGAGCGGGATACTGCGCGCAAATACCAGCGCCTGACAGCCTGTCCGATGGTATTTCAATGTGCCTAGTGGCTTGAAGGACTTGGTGGAAAACAAGCGGATGCTGCATTGCCCTCGAGATGAGATCTAGCCATCTGATAGAGGGAAGGGGCGTACTTTCCGTCCCATCCACCAACGGCACACACTTTCCCGTCGTCTCGTACTGCTATGCAAGAGTTACCCGCGTTCTTGATTCGATGGACTGAACATTCCGGGTTTCCATTTTCCTACGACAGAGATCAGAAAGGAACCCCGTCTGCCTTTTTTCAAGTCAGGGCGTACCGATAATTCATAACGATTCACAAGATGGTCTGCCGAGGTTGTTAGTGCGAAAGCGTTGTTCTTCGATACAGCCATGGACATGACTGGGTTGCGATTGGTATACAGTCATTCAATGAAACGACGCGGACGCACTAGTTTCGACGTGCGACTTTGTAGTCCAGATTGTCTCCCAACCCTGGCCTTCGATCGATGTCGTTTGGCCTGTCCGGGTGTAACGTCTCAGCGTGACGCTGCCATTTTCGTACGCACATAGCAAGCGTAGGTCACTTGTAGGCGGGCTGGAGCTGATTTCCGATGACGCGGCCAGGTACAGGTGAATGGACATTATGATTCCTGTCGCCAATGAAGCCTGATGGTCATTGATTCAGGTATATGAACTTACCTGCTCTGCCTCGCCCTGTCGTCGGCTTGGCGGAAAAGACAGGCTTGTTGCCTTCCTGGCCAATAGCAGCATGGTATCTATTGCATTCAGGAAGGGACCATATGTCAGCCTTCAAAAATGAGTGGGTACGACGAGGTCACAAAGTAAAGCCAAATCACCGTTGAAGAGTCGATCAGGTTTGGTAAGGCGATCAGAGCATCTGGCGCGGATTCTGACGCTACGTCACGGGGAAGTGGTAGCAGAGCAAAGCGGCAATAGTTCAGCGCATTCACGTCCATCGAATAAGCCAAAGATGGTGCGAGCATGTTGGTCAAAGTGGCGGATCCCCCTACTCGACGGTCTGAAGGAAGGTCTTCCACTCGGTTCCATACATGCAGCTTATTGTCTCTTCCATGCCTAGAAGCGAGAGAGCACGGGCCATATTCATTCATTTCAGACCCTCTGAGGCATGAGCCAAGCAAGCCTACGTGATAACATGAGAATTAAACTCTTCTACTCCGAGAACGCTGTCGGAATGAGGATTCCAAGTTGTGATCGCGCGCAGGGTTCGTGTCGAGGTGACTGTCACTTTGCCAGAAGCATCGCCCGAGTAGAGTCGTTCATTATCGTCTGATATCCAAATAGTTGTGATTGGTGTTGAATGAGATCGCAAAAGGTGTGTAGGCGCTGGTGGCGCTGGTTTCGACATGAGGGGCAGGAGCAAGGGGCGCGCCAAGCCAAACGCGGTGACTGGAAAGGGAAGGGATGCCAAGCATCAGCAAACACCACAGCCGCCCAATTCGTTGTCGTGTTCACCGACGACGTGTTCATCACCCTCGCTCTCACACTGAGATCTCCGTCACTCGCTGGCTCTAGGCAACTCATCTTCTCAAGCGGACTACCTGGAGGCTAGGCGATAATACATCTCTCTGGGAATCAGGATGCACAGTATATGGGCAAGGATCAATAATACTTCGGCGCTGTTGTCGTCGTGTATGATGGCGCTGCTGGCTGCTATCGCGGTCTCGAGTTTGCTGTTCACTGCTCAGCCGACAGGAGGCAATGTTAACATTGCTTCGATACAAGTGTGAGTGTTGAATCTTTGTTTGAGCAAAACCTGTAGTTGAATGAATTCCAGATACCCCGGGCAGACAAGACGGTATGCAACGAAACGTCAAGACCTTGCATTTGTGGACTTTAATATCACTGCTGGTTTGAGCTATCCTTGTTGCAGAATTGTAACGTTTGCTAATGCACCCATTCAAGACTTGACTCCGCTGTTCAACTGGAATACAAAGCAAATATTCCTGTACCTCCAGGCCGAATATAATACTCGCAAAGGTGTAAGTGCGCGCGCTTGTTCGCTCTCTTTCTCGTTGACGCGGTTTCGATGCATAGGTCAAAAATGAAGTTGTGATTTGGGACCGTATCGTTCGAAGCAAAGACCAGGCGAAGGTTAACGTCGTTGGAAAGAACAAATACAACTTCCGCGAACTTTCGACCACTTTCAAGTATGTCTTTTTAGGGGTTACTGGGGTATACCTGAATCTGACTTTGCCATCCAGAAACATCGCGGCTGCCAACTATACACTCATGTACAATGTCATGCCCTATGTCGGTGTTTTGACCTACGGAGAGGCCGCACGGACAACAGAGCCGGTCGAGTTTCCACCCCGCAAAACGCGTGTATAGTATCGTTGAATGAGAAGCACCTCTTCCCGATGAGCTAATGCTAAACCAAGTCCTGTGAAGTAAATTGTATTCCCGAATTTCTGGCAACCAGGTTCCCGTTTGGCGATTCATATTTATTCCCATCGTCGGAGATTCTGACATACTCTGTGACCAGAGTTATCACGAAGATCAACCAACGTGGGCAGGGTTCGAGGCAGTGATTGTCGCGTAGGGTCGCCGGGACACCAGGGTTTCTCAGAAGGCTAAGTGGTGGGCAGTAGCTCCCGGCAAGGACCAGAGACGCCTGGAATCAGGATTGCTTGGCCTTTCCACGTCTTTCCGCATTGTGGGGCAGTGACTGGAATCACGTCTTAGCACCGCTCTCAAGTGTACCCTATTAGGCCAGTTGCTGGAGATAATAGCATTACCAAGACTGGATGGGAAGCATCAAGCCGAAACGGTATGGAATTACAGCGCTGAGTGTTTGTCAGGTGAAACTCCCGTCCGTATGGTTAGGAGAGTGGATGGATGCCACCGTCGCATCTGGGCAAACCTCTGAAGCGAGGCGCTGTTGTCATCAACGGGTCCGGGAAAAGTGAAAAAATGGGGGGAGGGAGTTGAATTTTTAATTGTGAAATATGGTAAAAGTGTGGAGAATGATTAGGTAGTGCACTGGAATGAGAAGAAATAATAAAAGGAGGGACAGCGGCTGAAAAAGAGAGACTTTGAGTGGCACTGGGAGGGGGAAAACAATTGCAAACAAAAGGTGGTATTCGAGGTTGACCCCTGGGATTTGTGGTACTAGTCATTTGCAGCTCACTCATCGCCGTCTCTCTCTCTTCTTCCCTCAATCATCCACGGTCCTTTGCTTCAGCCATGTCGGCGGCGGTCCACCCGCTCAACCCTCACCATATTTCTCATTATTCTCGTTCAAACTTGCCCGCAGTAACTCAAAGCATCGCTGGGCCCAGCGTCATGGCCAATGCGTCTCCAGTCACAACCAGGAAGCGCAAACGCGCCCACCAATACACCGTCAGCTACAGCGAAGTCAAGGAGCTCGACAGCGACGGCAAGGTCAGGGAGGTCATCGTCATCGAGGACACTCCCCCTCCACCAACTCTCTCACCCGCCACGACACACAACGGTGGTTACTCAGCCTCCTACCAGCCTCCAGCGTTAGCTCCTATCCGCACACGAGCAAGAGCAGCAGCAGAGGCTCAGGCAATGTCTTCGAGCTCTTCGTCCGTCCTGACAGCCCCCGCTCCAAAGAAGCGAAAGCGGGATCACCAGGATGAGGTCCGTGCGCCCCCTGCAAAGAAAGCCGCTGCTGGTGGCCAACAGTCCAATGCAACCAATGCCGCCAATGCATGGGACAACCGGACCGTTGCTGCTACCGACGACGTAGGTTTCATCTCCTTTTCGCCCGCCTTCGATAACTCTGGGCTAACCTCATCGATCACCGCCCCAAATAGTCATCTAAAGGCGCTCCTCCATGTGACGACAAGGAGGGCCACTACATCATTGTCCCAGACGACATGATTTTCAAGCGCTGTGTGTCCCCCGCCTTTCTTGGCTTCTTCTTATGCTGACGTCTTCGCCTAGATCGCACGGTGCGGCTGCTAGGACAGGGCACCTTCGGTAAGGTGGTGGAAGCCATTGACACACAAACGAACAACCGCGTTGCTATCAAGATTATCCGGGCCATCCCTAAATACCGCGACGCAAGTAAGATTGAAGTGAGGGTCCTCCAGAAACTCAAGGAGCGTGATCCTCTCAACCGAAAGTACGTTTTCTACCTCATCGTTTAAGCGGATGGAAGTTAACCCTTGGTCAGCAAATGTATTCACCTCCTACACTGGTTTGACCATCGCAACCATATATGTCTCGTCTCCGAGCTTCTGGGGATGTGCGTCTACGATTTCTTGAAGGAGAACGACTTTGCTCCCTTCCCCCGGCACCACATCCAAGATTTTGCCAGACAATTGTTCGGCAGTGTCGCATGTGAGATCCGGCCAATCCATCTCCCCATTTGTGCGCCTACTGACTATTTTTTTCTAGTCCTGCATGAACTCAGGTTGATCCACACCGACTTAAAACCCGAGAATATCCTTCTCGTCCACAATGACTACAGAACCATCAATGTACCTATCCCTGGCAAGGTATGACTTTCGCACCACCTGTTTCGTGCACCTCCCTCATGGTGGAACAGCGCAACGGTGCCACAAAACCCAAGAAAATCCTCAACTCGACAGAGATTCGCTTAATCGACTTTGGCTCAGCGACCTTCGAGTCAGAATACCACTCCACGGTGGTATGCACGCGTCATTACCGTGCACCCGAGATCATTCTTGGTGTGTTCATTTGCTTCTTACTATCCATTGTCCACTAAGCCTTTTCGTAGGTCTTGGTTGGTCGTTCCCCTGTGATGCTTATTCGCTAGGGTGCATCCTCGTCGAGTTCTACACAGGGTTGGCACTGTACCAAACCCACGACAACCTGGAGCACTTGGCGATGATGGAGATGGTCATGGGCAAAATGCCTGAACGGTTCGCTCGAGCTGGTGCTCGTTCCAAGCCCGAGTTCTTCAAAGAAGGCGCCAAACTCGATTGGCCGAAGGCAAAGTCAACACGACAAAGCAAGAAAGACGTCAAGTCAACTCGTCCTCTGGCGGTAAGTAATTGCTGCGCCGAATGGAGCATTAGCTGACGGCACGACAGGATGTCATCCCCCCATATGACCACATCAACCGACAATTCTTGAACCTGGTGCAGAAGCTACTGGCCTTTGATCCAGCACAGAGGATCACTGTCAGAGAAGCGCTCGCCCACCCCTACTTCTCTCTGACAATACCGGAAGAAAACTAAGCCCGGACTACTTCCTCTATTTTTTGCTTTGCTTTCTCCTCGTTTCCATCGCCTCATCATTGTTCATTGTGCCACTATCAACAGTCAAAGATTCGCAACACTGTAACACAAAGAAGTCACGACGCCCGGCTCCAGGACCACCGACGTCTTGGAAGCATGTCCACCATGGATGACACCTTTTTTTGCCCCAGCTGGCTTGTACTACATTATGCATTCATTTAGATCATCACCTATCAGATGAACAACCGGTCGCTCATTACAACAAACCCAGTAACCCTCGTTCGTCCCCCGCCTTTCATCTTCCTTCTTGCATCCACTGGCCACATATCTTGCTTAGGGCGGCGCCATTTTCTACAAACCCCCTCGTTCGCGTCTGGTAACAACGAAACGGACTCCTTTGTCCCTTAGCCTTGTATACTGTTCCCTCTCAACCCTCGTTTTGTTTTAATATTTCCTTATTCTTATACTTGGAACTCGACCATTCCCCGTTCGTTTCTTCTCTCTATTCACGTTTTTCTCTTCTCTTTCTGGTTGCCTGGATGCGTTTAATCTGATACGATCTCGACGTTTGTGTATAAATATAGTCAATAATAGAGCGGCCAAGTCCCGGAAACCGTCAAACCGATGTCGTCCAGGGTAAACACGCACGAATAGGGGGGGTTTGTATGTGGTTTTGGGACTTGGGGGATTCGGGGGCCTTGGGTTTTGCGTGAGTTGGGAAGGTGCCAGCCAAAGGTACTTTTCATTTGTGTAAATCAGGCCAGCTAACAACCATTGGCATTTCTTAGACGTGTCGGCTCAAATATTCAAGGGCGGAGGGTTCGTAGAAGTGCAGCACCAGCGCCCTGTCAACCGTAAAAAGCAATAACAACACGGCACTCTATCCGCCCAGCCATTCCAAGTGACCTCTATGATCCGAAGACTGGAATCCGCAAGTTCCCACTCCCAAGTGTAGTGCTCGACTCGGTGAGTCTCCTCCAGGTCCATTCTCCTCGACGTTTCGCTTTGAAGCCTCAGACGGCACGGAGCGGCTTTGGGTACATATGCGGCAAACGAATCGCCTGATTCGTTTTGTTGGGTTAGCCTTACTCGCAGTGGTTCGTGTTCGTGATGCTGATGAACTAGTACGCCTCGGGAGAGCGTTGGCTTTGCGATCTTGGGGTCTCATCGAATAGACAGCGACCGGTAGCTCAAGATGATGCATTCTATATACTGGTGACTTGACCTGGCTTGCTATTATTCAACTGCGATGACAGGGGCTTCGACTAGTGGCTTTGTTCTTGCTATTCAATGACTGTCCTTGTATTTGGGGCTTGGAAAGGGGGGGTCCTGAAAATCTAACATGCTGGTCGCTCGGATTCATGTTCACAGTATAGTCCACCAAAAATGCCTAGCTAGTTTAATCTGAGAATGTAACGACCGTCGAAACAAACCTATTTATACATGATCCCCATGAGCCCTGTCCATACGAAAAAGGTGAATGGGCACCACCATCCTATACAGCGGAGGTGGACGCGGTAGTAGAGGATGCTGGAGGTGGCTTCTCTTTGCGGATTACCGACAAGAACCTGCCCTTGCTGCCGTTCTTATGGGAAGCGGTCGCTTGTTCCTCAGCAGGCGGTACAACCGAAACCTCCTGGACCACTTCCCCGGGTTTCATCCCAGATCCAGGTTTAATCTGCTGCCGGTCACTCTCCGACAAGGGCGCCTTCCGAGCCCACCCAAACCACCCACTCCCTTTCTTCTGTTTCCCGTTCGCCTGCTCCATCAACAACTCTGGGTGCAACTTCAAGTACTCCTCTCCCCTGATCCTCAAGAACTCCTCCAACAATGCTGCGTTGCGACTGTTCGCTTTAAACACCGCGAGTAAGACATCACCCACAAACGGGATGAACCCTACAGCGAAGCTGACCGCGTTGTTGGCCATCATGCGGGAGAGCAGCCAGGGTGGGAGGTCCGCTTTGCGGGCTTTGCGGACCACGAGGGAGTAGTTGAGGAGGGCAGCGATGGCGTCGCCAACGACGGGGACCAGATTGATGATGAAGGTCCAACCGAAGCGTAAACCGCAGAGGTTGAAACCTTTGTCGAGGTAGTGGGCTCGACGTTTGACGGAGCGCAGAATGGCAGCGTCGCGTGCAGAGAGCCCAGGGGGTAGTTCCCGCTGTGTCGTGTCAGTTGGAGCCTGTCGAGTATCAAAGGAGCTTGCTTGCCTTTCTGCGTTTCTGACGCCCTCGTTCATCGGTGTACGTTTCGTACAAGGGGTCGGCCGGTGCGTACTGTTCTAGATGTTGTTCAAAGAGCTTCTTGCCTGCTTTACCGAGCAAGGCGGTCATCGTTAGTGACGACTAAGTTGGGAAAAGGGGAAAGGAGAGGAGAAGAAACACGACTTGGATGCCTCATGGCGCTTGGAGTTGACAGTGTCAGAAATAGATCAGGTAATGACAATTGCAGTGTTCCCTTAGGCTGTGCCCTGAGCGTGACGTCATTCTACCCAATTAAGCGCTCGTCGATCAACAGGTCAAACGAATACAAGGAGTGTTTGAGCATATCCTAAAGAAAACTACAGAGCAATGGAAGATAGAACAGCTAAAGGCTCTCTGGACCAACAGGGATTGAGGGAGGTGGTTCAAGACGTTCCTGTGCCTGTGCTCATCATCAGTTCCAAGTTCAAGTTCCGGTGGCGGAATACGCACCTGGGTAAGGAGGTCGAGGTCGATCACGGGAAGGATCTCAGGCAGTTCCCCCGGCCCCGGAAGAACATCCCAACGCGTGGGTTCATTCCCAATGCACAGACAAATGTCCTCGGGGAGATGCGCACCATATTCCGCATTGAAGTGCTTGCGCACTTCGTTCTCCTCTTTAAAAGACATTGAGGGGTCAGCGCCGCTCGTCGAATGAGTTGGATTACCACATACCTTCTACCATAGAGTTGAGTTGGTCCTGCATGGACTGGACGAATTGTTCCACAGATGTCTTGTAATGCCGCCGACGGGCAATTTCGAGGAGGAGTTTGTTGAAGGCTGTTTGGTAGAGAACGTAACGCTGGTGCAGATGGTCCAAGGTTTCGAGGTGGATGTTCAGGGATGCTAGGGATTCATCACATTCCACCTAATCACGTCCTGTTAACAAGGCATCCGAACGGAATGTCCCAGCTAACTGACCTCGACGGCGTCTTGATTCAGTAACATCTCCGCCATAATATCGCCCAGTTCATCGAGGTCGTTGAGAACGCGTGACAAATGTTCGAGGTCTTGTTGAAGAGACTTGCGGGATGCAGTTAGTGTTTCGCTACAGGAATCGTAAACCAGAGGCGAGCGTATAGACATATGTATTGCTTACTATGCTTCTCCAATCTGCTTGTCACTTTCATCCAGCTCGGCCATTATCACGGGTAGTTCCTCGGTATCCCTGTTCATAACTGCAATACGGCTAAGGTTCAACACCAGACTGGCACAGATGGTAGTTTTTGGACTCACTTTGAAGGTCCTCGTCCCCAAACACCTCCCCAGCCTCGCTATCCTTGAGCGCACCGGCCATCTGGTCGTAATGAACAGCCAAGCTCTCGAGCTTCTCAGCCATGGAAGTCACGATGGTATCTTGTGCCGTCAATGTCTCCTGCATCTTTGCGAGTATCGGCACCTCTGGAGGCAATGGAAGCGATTCCTGCAGCGAGTCTACTGTGCGTTTGAGGGACGAAGCATAATCATCGGTTTGGTTGAGAGTATCCTGCAGCGGAGCGTTACCTTGCCGCTAAGGTATTAAGGGGATAGAGGCAGCGTACCTCTAGCCTATTCCTGTCATTCTCGATGGTTTCTAAAATCTCCTCGATAGCGCGGTCGTCCACGAAATCCCGGAGTGTCTTCCACTTGGACCTATCCGCCTTGGCCTGTCTCTTCAACTCTTCTGCATCCGTCTTACTCTTTCTCTTCCCTTTCTCTGATTCCCTCACGCGTCGGATAGAGCCATGTCTCCGAATAGTAGCAGAAGGTGACACGGGTGAAAGGGACAATCCGCTTGCGTTGGAACCGTTTACAGATTTCTGGGTCACTGCACGTGGCGGGCTTTGTGGTTGAACAAGGGCTGTCTCGTCGTCAGATTCAGAGTCCGAATGCTGGCTTCCAAAGAGAGATGACCCTGCGGAAGTTTCATGGAAGTCGGGGGGAACCACTTGACGCCCCAGCGATTCGAGGATAGATTCAAGTGCGTCGGTGGACTTGGTTCGTGTAGTGTCCCATTCCTGAAAGGAGCGTAATTTAAATCGTTTGGTTAAGCACGAGTGTTAAACACTCGTACCTGAACTCGTCTAGCCAGACTGCCTCGCTTCTCTTCAATGCACTTGGCAACACCTGCTGCTAACTGCAATCACAGTGGAGTGGTCGATGTATAATAGGCTTAGCTCGTCCCAAGACACACATAAATACTCTCTCACCTTTAACTGCTCCAGAATAGCATCACTAATCCACCGTACTTTGGCGTCCAAGGCAAGTACGTCGATGGCCTGTTGCGCGGACGAGTTGTAGCGACCATGTGCTCTCGAACAGACTTGTTCGCCATGTTGAAGTGCTTTCTTGGATTGCAGGACAAGTGAGACAAGATGTGGTTGGTCATTTAGTGAGCTGGGCTTCGGGACAGACATTGTCGGATTTGCGAATGGTCGTCGAGGTCTGCGCCGTGCGGGGTGCGCTCAGTCTATTCGGCGGCTCACGTGATAATGATGATGTGATCCGCTGTCAGTGTCTCGAGTGCCTATACCTATCTCTTAAATCTACCACCAAACCTCCATGTCACGCCCATACGCCATTGATCAAAATACAACGCTGTGTCTAACGTGTTCATGCTCCTTGCCGCCTTTCCGAGCTCTTGCTGCTGCCCCTCCCAGCTCATCTGAGCCCCAATGGAAGAACACGGTAGACCCTCGAGAGGAGTTTACAGATTACCTCGAGAAACAGGGTCATCACATCACCCCGTGCTGCAAGAAACCCATTTGCCCTTCCTGCGTCAAATCCAACCCGAGGCTAGCGAGATATGATCCATGCTTGTCCTGCCTCGCCGGAGTCGATGCTGTAGGCTACCAGTCGCCGAGGAGTGTCGGTTCGCGGGGATTCTCTGACGTGAAGAATATAGACGGGGCTATGAAAGACGAAGATACATTTGTGGTCGGAGAAGATGACGAGGCGGTGGACGAATTTGACCTTCCGCCTCCAGATTACTACGCTTCCGAGGTGGGTGGTGGTACGCTGCCGTCGGGGGTTTCTCCGGGCGAAACTACAGAGCAGCAGAAAAGTAAGGAGTCTTTGGACCAAACTCTGGAGGTCGAAGGGGAAGAAGGGCTGCCTGAGAATTCGGAGAAACGGCCACTCGGGTCTCGGAAGTACTACCTGGAGAAGAAGGATACTCTTCAAGGTCTTGCCTTACGATTTGGAGTCGATGTAAGCACGCTCAAATTATACATTTACTGCCCTTGACTTAATGTACCTCCATGCAGGGAAGGGAACTGTGCTGGCTGAATAACCTGCCCATGAGCACTCTCACCACTACCCCAAATATCCTTCACGCGCGGTCCTTCATCGTGTTGCCACCTTCCTCTAAACCACACGACCAAGAAGGTCCTAGTGAAGAAGAGTTAAAGGCAAGAGAAGCCAAACGGGTGAGAGAAAGGGCTGAGAGAAAGTTGCAGACCTTGATGAAAGAGGCGGATTGGCGAGTTGCGAAAGCGTACGTTGCATTGGCGGATGATGAAGAGCAGCAGGATGAGGCTCGTCGCAAGATGAAGATGTCTGATTCGCTGGGATCGGGGTCTAGTGCAAACGCACTGGAGGCTGCAGCCATTGAACAGTATCTGGATGATGAGAAATGGGAGAGAGAGCAGAGAAAGCAAGGCCTCGGACCCCTTTCTCCGGCAACCTGTATTCCATTTAGCCGTGACAAGTAGTTCCACTCAATGGTATCGTCTGTTCTTGATGTGGCAATGCCCCTAAAAATTATGTGTCATCAAGCCGGCTTCTCTTCCGCCCTTGGAAGACCCGGCAGCCATGAGCTCACAAAAGCCCATAGTTTTCCGTAACTCGTATCTTTCTCTTCATCTCCCACCCACAAACAGAATTCATGTCGGGTTCCCGGTTGGACAAGTCTAGTTCCAAGGACACCTCGACGCTGGGCAAAGGTGCCAAGCTCGACGTTGGCCCCGACGGAACAGCGTTTGTCTTCAATCAACGCTCTTGGTACGTCATGCCTCTGTTCGCGGCTTCGTCTTCAACGTCGAGCTTACTCCCAATCTCAGGTGGACCAGGGTCCCTTTTACGTCTACGAAGCCACCGCCACCACCTCAATACTCAATACAAGACTCTCCTTTAATCCCAGAAGCGTCTGCCAACTGGTGGAGCCTTGTAACGTTTGGCTGGATTTCACCCCTGCTTGGACTAGGTTATGCAAGGCCACTCGTCGCAGCCGACCTTTGGAAACTCCAAGATGAACGAAGCGCCGCCGCTATCGCCGACAAGATAAACGAATCATTTGATAGACGCCTGAAAGAAGCAGCCGAGTATAATGTCAGGCTTGCCAATGGCGAGATCGGACCTGGCGTTGGGAAGCGGATATGGTGGTCGATTACTCCAGGGTCAGTGTCGGAAAAGGAGAAGAAGTGGAGAGAAGTAGATGGTAAGAAGAAGGCGAGCCTTGCTTGGGCTATGAACGATAGTGTCAAGTGGTGGTTCTGGTCGTCTGGCCTGCTCAAGGTCGTTGGCGATACTGCCCAAGTGACGAGTCCTTTGGTGGTCAAGGTATGTTGTTAACGGCTTATCTGCGGTGCATGAAGCACTCATTGTCCCTCCCGCGTAGGCTATCATTGAATTTGCGACAAAGTCATATAGTGGACGCCGTTTCGGTGTTGGCGAGGTCCCAGCTATTGGGGAAGGCATCGGCCTGACGTTTTGCTTGCTCGCCTTGCAAGTTATCGCTTCCCTTTGCGTTCACCACTTTTTCTATCGCAGTACATCGGCTGGAGTTCTCCTGAGAGGCGGCCTAATCACCGCTATCTACACTCGGTCGCTTCGGTTAACCTCTCGAGCGCGTTCGACCTTGACCAACGGAAAACTGGTGAACCATATCTCGACGGATGTATCTCGAATCGACTTTTGTGCTGGTTTCTTCCATATGGTGCGTTTGTCATACTTTTTTGTGTCGGAACTGGTCTGAAATTATTCCTTTACAAGGCTTGGACAGCCCCCATTCAGCTTATCATCTGCCTCGCTTTGCTTATTGCACAACTTGGACCCTCTGCACTAGCTGGTTTCGCTTTCTTCGTCGTGGCCACACCGATCCAAACTTGGGTCATGAAGCGGCTGTTCGCACTTCGACGCGACAGTATGATATGGACTGATAAACGCGCCAAACTCTTGCAAGAACTCTTGGGTGGTATGAAGGTCATCAAGTTCTTTGCTTGGGAAATTCCATTCTTGAAGAGGATCGAGGATTATCGAAGAAGGGAAATGGCGTAAGTACTCATCCCAATGTTTTTAATTGTTAAACGGATATGAACAAGGATTTGCAGATATATTCGTTCTATTCTGTTGATTCGGTCTGGTATGAACGCAGTCGCGATGAGCATGCCCACCCTCGCCTCTGTGCTGGCCTTTGTAACCTACTCTGCGACCGGCCACACACTCGAGCCCAGTATCATATTCACTTCTCTTACTCTCTTCAACTTGCTCCGTCTACCCCTGATGTTCCTCCGTACGTCGGCACTCCTTTGCGCATACACTCACAACTAACCCCCCTCATCGCTCCTTAGCTGTTTCCCTGAGCTCGATTGCAGACGCTGCCAATGCTACAAATCGTCTCTACGGAGTATTCGAAGCGGAGCTTTTAGAGGAAACCCATGTCGTTGACGAGAATCTAGACGCAGCGATTGAAGTGAAAGGCGCTTCGTTCACATGGGATGCACCACCACCTGATGAAGAGGAAGGGCAGGCCGACGGTAAAAGGAAGAGATACAAGAAGAGGCAGAAGGCCTCCGAGAAGCCCAAGTCGGGACCTAAACCTCGTGGGGAGGGCGAAGATGCAAAGGATGAGGAAGAGAAGCCATTTGCTGTGAATGATGTGCACTTGGTGATTCCGAGAGGCAAGTTGGTCGCAATCGTTGGACCCGTTGGGTCTGGCAAAACAAGCTTGTTGCAAGGCTTGATTGGGGAGATGAGGAGGACGAAAGGCAGTGTCACATTTGGAAGTAGTGTGGCGTATTGCCCTCAGAGTGCTTGGATTCAGGTGAGTTATAATCCATGTGAGACATGTGAGGTGTTACCCTCGGCTAACCGTATTGCTTGTTAGAACGCTACGATCAGAGAGAACATCTGCTTCGGCAGACCTTTCGAGGAGGACAGGTACTGGAAGGCTGTCCGGGATTCTTGTCTCGAGCCCGACCTTGAGATGCTGCCGTATGGAGACATGACAGAGGTCGGAGAAAAGGTAAGTGTTCCCGACGTTGTTTCTTGTATTCTATTCAGTTCCGGGCTTCAGGGCATCTCACTTTCCGGGGGTCAGAAGCAGCGCATGAACATTTGCCGTGCTATCTACTGCAACACGGATATTCAGATATTCGATGTACGTAACCTTCAGAGTGCTTCCATTCACTGGGTTCTTACATGTTATACTAGGACCCTCTATCGGCTCTGGACGCTCACGTTGGCAAGGCCGTCTTCCAAAACGTCCTTCAAAATTCGCTCTCTGGAAAAACCCGAATCCTTGTCACTCATGCTCTCCACTTCCTTCCACAAGTTGACTACATCTACGTGATCGCTGACGGGCGTATCGTCGAGCATGGAACCTACTCCGACCTCATGGCTCATGGCAAAGATTTCTCCAAGTTTATTACCGAATTTGGAACGAATGAAGAAGAGAAGGAAGAGGAGGAAAGGCTCATGGAAGAGGAAGCAGTTGAGCGCGCCGTCGAAGATAAAGAGGGAGACTCACAGAAGGAGCCAATTAAAGGGAGGAAAAGTCAACCCGGACCAGGATTGATGCAAGAGGAAGAGAGAAACACCGGTGCCATTGCATGGGGCGTGTACAAAGCGTATGCTCGGGCTGGAAGAGGGGCAATCGTGTTACCCCTGCTGATTCTGAGCTTGGCCTTGAATCAAGGCGCGACAGTGATGGGCTCGTACTGGTTGGTGTGGTGGCAGGACGAGTACGTATCTCCTTCTGGACGTTATGTGCCGCTTCTGATATTTCGGACAGAACATTTGGTCAGCCACAAAGCTTCTACGTATGTCACTGAATGACTCCCTGTAGGAAGACCCATGAACCTGACCTTCTTCGGTGTAGATGGGAATCTATGCGGCCCTAGGAGTAGGACAGGCCATCTTTGCGTTCCTCATGGGTGCAACCTTTGCTCTGCTGACTTACTTTGCATCTCAGCGACTACACAAGGCGGGTGTCGTGGACATTTGTTCGTCTTTTTTTCGTCGTGCTCACAGCTTTGGGGTTTCAGGGAGCGATCACCCGAGTCATGCATGCACCCATGTCATTTTTCGAGACAACTGTAAGTTCTTCATCCGTACCTCGTGGGAGAGGTTGGATATCTCTAACAACAATCTGTAAACTCAGCCCCTAGGTCGAATCATGAATCGCTTCTCGAAAGGTAAGGTTTCATCTTCTAAGTGTCTATAGTTCCGAATCGTAATCTTCCTCCCTTGATTACGCCCTTTTCCAGATATCGACACCATTGACAATCTGTTGGGAGATGCGTTGCGGATGTTTTCAAATACCTTTTGTGCCATTCTTGGTGCTATCGTCCTCATCTCCATCGTCCTCCCGTGGTTCTTGATTGGAGTTGTGGTGATCATGGTCTTGTACATCTGGGCTGCAGCATTCTACAGAGCAAGCGCCCGTGAATTGAAGGTACGTTAATGGTGTTTTGCGGCAGGCTTCCTTGATCTAACTCTAGTTAAATCTGTCTACTTTCTACATAGCGATTAGACTCGGTGTTGAGATCATCCCTGTATTCGCACTTCTCCGAATCGTTGTCGGGTCTGGCCACCATCCGTGCTTACGGAGAGTCTCAGCGCTTCATTGCGGAGAACCAGAGCCGAGTGGATGTGGAGAATCGGGCATACTGGCTAACTGTTACCAACCAGGTGTGCTGCACATCTCCGCTGTTAATGACGAGTTACTCAAAGCAACGTATTTTCAGCGCTGGCTAGGGATTCGTTTGGATTTTCTGGGATCTCTTTTGACATTTATCGTGGCAATGTTAACCGTGGGGACGCGATTTACTATTTCGCCTGCACAGACCGGCCTAGTCCTTTCATATATCCTCAGTGTTCAACAAGCGTGCGTAAAGCCCCTCCCGTAAGATCATGGAAATGTCTAATGTTCTCCCATGTCTTTAGGTTTGGATGGATGGTTCGACAAACCGCTGAAGTAGAAAACAACATGAACTCGGTTGAGCGGATAGATTACTATGCCAAAGACATCGAGCAAGAAGCCAGGCACCAGATCCCCGAAACCAAACCAGACGATTCATGGCCCAAGGAAGGGCGGGTCGAACTTCGCAACGTGTTCCTCAGCTATAGGCCAGGTCTTCCTGCTGTGTTGAAAGGACTTTCGATGGATATCAAGGCCGGAGAGAAAATTGGAATCGTTGGCAGGTCAGTCTCTTTACTTTTTGTTGCTTTTGTCATGCAGGGGAGATTGTACTGACCATCAATACAATGAATTAGGACCGGGGCAGGTAAAAGCTCCATAATGACAGGTAGCTAACGGCTTCTCTCGAGAACCTAACAACTTGATCAGCCAACTGAATTGGAACGCACAGCTCTTTATCGCCTGGTAGAGCTTTCGTCTGGCTCAATTATTATCGACGACGTCGACATATCGGAAATCGGTCTATTTGACTTGCGGAGTAGCCTTGCCATTATTCCCCAGGATCCTGTAAGTTTCCCGCTCATTCAAACAGTCCGTGTTCCGCCTCAGTCACTGACAAGCCCGCGCTTCTTTCTTCCCAAAGTTGCTATGTACGTCGCATTAACTGATCGTTTACTATTTCGCGTGGTCTCCGACTCATCTCGTCTCACCTGTGTTTTTAGTCTCTGGTACATTACGGAGCAATCTCGACCCTTTCAATCAACACGGTGATTCTGTCCTTTGGGACGCACTAAAGCGAGCATACCTGGTGGACACACCCCAGCGTGTCGCAGTTGCACCAGAAGACGACAGCCCGAACGCTAGCGGAACGCAAACACCTATGAACCGGTTCACTTTAGACACAGTAATAGAAGATGAAGGGGCAAACTTGTCGATCGGTCAGGTACGGTCAAACATTCAATTTAGTTTCCTCTCTTGATGCTGATATGTATCAACCTTCTCCCATTTCCATTTGGATAATTCCTTTTTTCGTCTACTCAATCCCCGCCGACACAGAGGTCCTTGGTGTCCCTCGCCCGCGCCCTCGTAAAGAACGCGAAGATAATTATCCTCGATGAGGCAACTGGTAGGGATCGTCATCATGTGTCATGGCCACTGGAGTGTTCGAAGCTGACATTAACCTTTTCCCCCTTGTCCCTGTTCCTGTCTTCCTTCAGCATCGGTTGATTATGAGACGGATCGTAACATCCAAGACACGATTGCGTACGAATTCAAGGATAGGACAATCTTGTGCATCGCCCGTGCGTTCCTTTTGTTCCCATGAAGGTGAGAGACTTGTATTCTGACCCTTCCAATTTAGATCGACTGCGCACCATCATTTCTTATGATCGCATTTGCGTCCTTGACGCAGGTCAGATTGCTGTGAGTGAGATATTGAACCCTCCACCACCGCGTGTGCTGAATCGAGAATGATAGGAATTCGACACCCCCGAGGACCTGTACAAGAATACCAATGGGATTTTCCGAGGAATGTGCGAGAGGTCTTCGATTACACTGGAGGACATCTTGGAGGCGGCTGCACACGACCATCTTCCAAAGGCACGAGCAGTATGATATAATGGATAGCGGGTTAATCGATCTATTGTCTATAGCAGTCAGGATGTAAGTTAGGAACATATATAATGGGTATATCTCGATAGCAAATGCAATCTTGTAAAATACAACACATGAGTCCGTTGGCGCGAGGTCGTCATAAACAAGTCAATAAGTAAAACATTAAAAAGTCACTAAAGAACCAAGGAGATCCAGGCGAACAATACCATAACATGTAAGTTACCGAGCTGCCTCTTCCTGTAACAGCCTGCGGACATAGTCTGACGCAGTTTTCTTAAGGGAGGGGTCGATGTCTGTTCGCGACACCAGGTCCTACGAATGACAGGTCAGCGAGTGCCTAGAGTAAGGAAGAGATAATAAACTTACGAAGACTTTCTCGGTTCGGAGCCTGCTCATCCCCGTTGTTTTGAGTTTTTCCAGTTCAAACCTCTCCCGTTCTAACCGTAGTTGCTCGGCTTCATACCTTGCTTTATGCTCCTTCTCTTCCCGCTCTTCCCTCCTCCGCAGGTATTCCATCTTAAGCCTGCTCGCTTGGGTCTGTACTTGGATGTACTGCATGAGCGTGTTGACCATGTTCGGGGTCAGCGGTATGGACATTGCCGATGTATCCCCCTGATTGCCATTTGTAGGTGGTTGTGGTTGGGGATGGTGTGGATGGGAAGGGTGTGCATGAGGCGGTGGTGGAGGCATGGTTGGCGTTTGGGCAGGGCCTGGGACCAAGGACGGGGAAGCGCCTACTGACATCAGAGGTTGTGGCGGCTGTGGTGGCGGCGGAGGATGGGCGAGGTGTTGCTGCTGCTGATGAACTTCTCTGTTGCTGGGGTTGCTCATAGCATGGGGGTTAAGGAAGTTGACTTGACCCGGATGCGAGTGGGTCTGTTGACGATCATGTGCTAGGCCATTGGGTAGCCCATTTGGCAACAATGTGGGGTGGGGTTCCGCTGAAAAATCGATAGTGGCCGTGGTTGACTGGGCAGGGGGCGGTGGCGGCGGATCCTCCTCCTCTGGATCGTCTGGTGGATTTTGCGTAGGGGCTACGGTGGAGCCACGTAATGATGCTGGCTTTGTTGTCGCTGGGTCGCCGTTCCAGCTGGAGAAGAATGTGACGTACGTCAATTAAGCATAATAGGGCAACGAGGTTGCACGCTGTAGAAGGGGAGACTCACCGACGAAAGAAAAGCTCGTACCATCCACGAGCAAACCAATGCTCAATGATACGAGCAGTCACGTTCCCGACATCGGTACTAGCCTTGCGTGCAAGTTGTAGCCGCCTTTCATATTCACGTGTGCGGTCTGACTCGTTGGGTGTTTGGTAGGGGCCAGGGTGTCCATGGAACGCCTCCACGGCGTAGATTTGTTTGAATACGTTGAAGTTGCGTTCATAGCAGCCTTTGAGTGCCTGATAAGTCTTCTTTCCTTCAAAAACCTCGAGAGCACACTGAGAAGGGAAGGTGAGGGTTTGCAGTGCGCCACAGGAGAACAATAGCACGCACCTCGCGTAAACACGAGTTCTTGGTAGCCCTCAAGGCATTCCAATGGTCGTCGTTGTTGGGCCCCATGAGCCAGCGAAAGAGGCGCGTCTTCTCCTCGTCCGTCCAGTGCTTTGCTCCCTGGCCTGCGCCATCTATGTCAAAGTTGTCGTCGTCGTCCCGCCTCCTCTTTGAGATCTGGACTGTGTTCATCTGGTTGTCCATCTGTTTTCGCTTCATTGCGGGGGATGTCTGTCCATTGGCAGGATTTGTGACGAAGGTCATGGAATGAACGGCGGAGGGAGGGCCTCCATGAGCCTGGGCAGAATTAGGCTGATTGTGGGTGGGCGGGGAGGTGGATGGATGCCTGTACGGGTCAGGATGTGGTCTTGGGTAGGACGGGGGCGCGAGATGAGCATGGCTGCCCAAGGCTTGACCAAGACTCTGGTGAGTCTGAAACGGTGTCTGTCGAGAAAACCGTAGGAATGAGCGGTTCGTTGTGGACAATCCGAGTCAGGGACATACCGAGCCGTTGCTGTCAATATTGGCGTCCCTACGGTCCTGCATCGTCATATGCCCGTACTGCATCGTTGAATCACTGAACATTCAGAAATACACAGTCATTATATCACTTTCAGAACCCAAAGGCTGTACAATTAAAATTCAAAAAAAGAAATACACACTTTTGAGAATCCATTGCACTGTCAAAACGAGCCGGACGATTTCAAAATCGATTCGAACAGCCCAGTTCGCCTAATGTTTGTCATTGCCATCGGATCCAAACACTAACTATTATTACACTAATCTACCGCCAAGCATAGCTTTGGTATTCCTCGTCGCCCTCCTCTTCGTACTCGCCATCGGCGTCTTCGTCCCCGTATTCCTCCTCAGCGAGCCCCACGTCGAGCGTGGACCGCAAGTCGGATTCCGCATGCAACGGCCGTGCTTCCAGTTTCTCAATCCCGTTGATGTAACCTCGTCCATCTTCGACTGCTGGCGGTGGTGAAGGGGGATTGTCTGATTTAACACCGTCTTCATCCATCCCAAAAGTCACAGGCCCATCAATTGCCTCGACTGAGTCCGGAGGGTTGTCCGCCTCTGCTGATGAGGGTTGAACCTTATCACAATCGTCTCCCTCCACGTCCCCTGATTGTGCTTCAGAAGGTGCTCCCTTGGAGGGTTCTTCATGTCGACCATTGATGCATGTCCCATTTATCGACGGGGCCTGATCATCAGCCATTTCCACCTTCGTCGCTGTTCCAGATGAAGATGGCGTCGTGTTTCCCAGTGCCTGAGTGACCTCCGCTTCCTCCTCGTCTGATGGAGATTCAACCCTTCTCCGCTTCCGCGAAGGAAGGGGGGTTACCTTCTCATCAAACCCACCAGCCATATTGTTCTTGCTCCGAGATGAACGTAGATTTCGTACGCTTGGAGAGTAGTCTTCCTTGTGTACCGGCAGGGAAACCTCAACATCTTTAGGCCGTCCAGTACCGCGTGGTCTCCCCCGCCGCAGTGCATCTGATATGTGGGGAGTCTTCACCGTGGCAGTTTCGGGGGAAGCACCATTCGTCCGGTTCCGTAACCGACGCGATGAAGTGGGGGAGATGACGAGTTCTGGTGCAGGGCTTCGATCGCGTTCCTTGGGCTTGGCTGGTGTTTTCTTCGAAGCCCGTCGTCTCGCCTTGACCTCCACCTTGGGCTTGGGTAACTCCTCCTCCTCCTCAGCTTCGTCTGGAGGCGGACTGCCGAAGAGGTTCAGCTGAGGCCTTTCTGGTTTCTCCTCTCCGTCCTCCTCCTCTTTGTTCGGAGAAGAGACTGTGATCTTCTTCCTCCTTGGAGTTGTAGGCGAGAGGCCGTTAAGCGAAGTTGCCATCGCGGGGGTTTCGGTGACCAAGCCCTGTGGTGGTTCCTTGTTCTTCCTGGAGAGTAGGTACGGCGTCCACTGAAGTTTCTCTGGCTTCAACTTGAGCTGACCCTTGGCTTCATAGGCCCTCATGAACGCCGCGACCCTCTCCCGGTCGAAATGAATCTCGTAGTGTTTGGGAGGAACAAATGGACCGCCGTTGTCCCCGTACCGGTCTTGGGTTTGCATACGCTGAAGCTGTCGTCGACCGACTCCGCTCTTCCGACCTTTAGGTAGTTTGATAGCCTGGCCAGGTGAAGGTCTGATGATCGGTGGGGTGGGCTCGCGGATGAAAATCATGTTCTGCTCTATCAGCGTCTGGCAGATATCTTCCAACGTCATGGACGTGGCCTTGGCGATATCTATATCCATTTGCTCAGCGCCTATCGCGTGAGTCACCGACAAGACCAACGCACCTTCGAGCCGGATCTGATCTGGAGCATGCTCAAGGTACCGCATCACAGCCAGCGTCCAATACCTTCGGTACCCAATCTGCCCAAGCGCAGAAAGCGGCTTCTCCGGGGAACCCAACCTTCCTTCCTTCTTGGACAGTAGATAACCTGTGTGCACGGTTAGTTACCGGCGGCATGTCTATCATAAGACAATCACATACTGAAGTCAATTAATAAGTTTCCCCATCCTTGCCGCTGTCGAACCGGTAACGTCATTATACAGCTAAGGTTGTAATCCTTCGGACTCCTCTTCTCCTTGCTGAAGTATCCGACGAAGCGGGCGCCAATATCGTCCACTTCTGTTACAACGTAGAATAGGAACGGCTCGACGTCGTAAAACAGCGATTTGTGGTCAAGAAACATCTTGGATAGCAAGCATAAGTTCTGACAGTAGATCTGGCACACGAATCAGTTTTTTGGCCCGAGAACATGGGCTATATCTTTCACAGACCTTGTTCCTTCGGCCATCAACTTCGAATATGGATATTGGCCCATCGCGGTAGATTTCGTCCCCTGGAGGATTCCGAGCCTTGCATTTCACCTGTCCATTGTCATTCAGGATCAGTAAAACCCTTTTGCGATTAGGAACAGGGGCGTACCCGGTGACGAACTGCACCAAATCGACTCTTCATGTACTTCAAGCAGAATTCGCATATCCAGAGACGACCATCCGGAATCGTAGCATACTCTTCCGGGAATGGTGCGTCGTACCAAGTCTTGATGTCCCATTCGCCAAACCGGATGGTTCTGATTCGTAGCATGTGGGGATTGGCGGAAAGCTGTGGTGGGAGAGGTCCTCCAGGAGTAGACGGGACGGGAGAAGTAGAGACGGCTGTAGGTGTTGATGCGGAAGGTAAAGCTGTCGTTAGGTGGTGTAGAGCTGCAGATCGTAGAGGTCGGGAGGGCCCTGCGCCAAAGAAGTCATGCTGTTCCGGTTCTGCTGAAGCAGGAGGTGCAGTTTGTGGATGAAGCTTCTCCTGAGAATGGTGGCATGAACAACTTTGTCCTAGAGAAAATAATAATAAAAAGGTATCACATACCTCTGCAATGCTCCGAGACCGTTCAAAGAGTATCTTATCATGCCTGGAGATCATTGTTTTCGAGGTATCCCGATCTTCAGGGGAGAGGATATCATCGAACATTCCATAAACGGAGTCTTCGTCGTCGTCTTCTTCTTCCCGCTCTTTCCCCTTACCTTTGCTCGGCGAGTGGTTCTGAGTGGGTAGCCGTAAACGAACCCGCGGTAAAGAAGGTGCAGGAGAGGGGTCCCTCGGTCTCTTCCTTCGATCTCGACGTACAGGCGATGATTGTGGTTCTGGTTCCTCCTCTGAAGATTCCACCGGGGGAGGTGGTGCGGCACCCCGACCACGTTTCCCTGTGGCCTTTCCAGCCCTTGTGGGTTTGGGGACTGCTATAGGTTCTTCTTCATCCACCTCCATTTCAGGTGCGGGCTCTTGTGCCTTGGGTGTTGCTGGTGGCTCTGGTAATGGATGCTTCCTCGGTCGACCCCTACGCCTACCGGTTGGTGGCCGGCCCCTTCTAGGTTTGGCGACTTCAACAGGAACTTCCGGGGCCTCTTGACGGGCTGATTGAGACGTGGAGGCCACAGATGCTTCGCGGGGTATTGGGATGGGTAGTGCGGGGATGTGAGGGGACGGGATATGATAAGGGCCTGGTAGAACACCATCTACGAACATCGGGATACCCTGTTCCGGGAACAAGGGTGAGCATTGCGGGCAGGACCATTTGCCGGGAGGCGTCTCATCCATGGGTGGATTCAAGCAATACATATGCCAGCCTAGGACAAGTTTAGAAGGGCCTCGATCTTCCCATTATGCACGCACCTCGATCACAACTGTCACAGAACATCATCTTCTCCTGAAAAAGAAGAGGGTTGTCAGTAGTTTGTCCAAGGAGGTCGAGCTGCACAAAACGTACGTCGTCGCCCTTCCTGCTGCAGACTTCGCAGATCTTGCATTCAATACAACGCCAGGGGTAGGACCGAATGACGTCTCCAATATGTGCTAGCTGCATACAGGTGGGATGTCCTGCAAAGGCGAGAAAGTGTGTAAGCGCCCGGTGATTGACGCGAACAGTTGGGAAGAAACCTACCACTCCGGCCACACTCGATACAGTGGGTCATCTGTTCTGGCTGCTCCGTCCGGACGTTGAACTGATCGTTTCCATTGCAAAATCCACACTCTTCTTCTCTTTTCACCTTGCGCTTTCGCTTGGTCTTTACGGGTGGTGGGGAAGCAGGTTCGGGTTCTATGTGGATGTAGGGGACAATCATCTGAGGTGCAAACGGATCTCCTTGCGGTGCTTGTGAGTATTGTCGCTCTTCGTCGTCTTGTGCCATTGGGGTGTGGACCTGGACTGGCGGTGGATAGAGTGGCTCTTGAGGGACGTTTTGTGGCTGAAACTTGGATATGGGGAGGGCAGTCATATCACGCATGACGCGACGCGCTGTATGAGACAGTGCGACGACGACTGCAGATAAAAATTTGACTTACCGAGGCCTCCCGCATACTCTGCTCCTCAGCCACCAGTACTGGGTCGATTGCCGTCGCTTCTCCTGTCAGCGCAGGGTCGATTGGTATGTCGTCGCCGGCACTCATGGGTGTACCATATTCATGGGAAGTTTCACGATTGGAGGCGGCGTCAACAGGAAAGGCAAGACCGCGCATTGGGCGTCCAGGACACCGTACTAGCGCCCTCTTAATGACCCTGACACAGAGATATAGGCAAACGGCTCTCGTCGCCGTTGCGAACAGTGACCAGTGGTATTTGCCCTTGTTTGCGGTCCTGATTAGTCTGCAACCCAAATTGGGAAGTGCCAAGAGGAGTCGTCGCCTCCCAACTGGCGAAACATGGGCGAATGATCACCGCAAAAAGACTCTGCGGGCGGTCACATATATGCCCATCGGACACTGGGATGGCGAATAATCCGGTATAGAAAGCATTGGATGAAAATCAAAGGGCGTCAAGGTTCGGATAAACAGGTCCCCACGCCGCGAGGCGAACCAAACCGGGCCTGATCGACCGAGATCCCCCTCTTAATTACTCGCGAGTCGCGACGCGAACCAGGACTTTACAGGGACGCATCGTTGCCACCGAGCCGAGTATTCTAAAGTCAAAAATCGTTGATTCAACATATCGCGTAAACATTGAGTACCTGCGTCATAGTTTGATGGTAGCACCAGCGGGTCACATCTCCATAATTTGGTATTTCTGTATCAAGCTAGGAGATGTATGTTTACAGCAAAAGTATGACTGTGACAAGACCGCACACCGAGAGATAAAGTAACCGTTAGAGATCGTGCGGAAGTATTGGCGCCATACAAATCCCCACGTTCCTCCCACTCCCAGACTTTTGATCAAATAAGTTTACCAGCTCGATGCTCCATGGAGAGCCATTCCCGTCGTTATCACACCTCGTATGACCCAGCGTTCTCCTGTCTCCAACACATAACTGTTCCTGCAGCCAGACCAACCTATCCAACAAGATAGAACTTTCGACCACAGGACCGAGCAAACAACGCAAAAAATGGAGCGTCTCTATTTTTTGCTCTAGCTCTGGAGAGCGGAGTGTGTCAAACAATGTTGACGTTGCCTCTCCATCCCCCAAGTTCCACTTTACACCTAGCTTCTTCCCGGCGACGTCGAGAAAGTGATGCCAACCTTGTCTGTACGCAGAGTCCGGCAACTTTCCAAGGCGCATGGCGGTTGCCGTCTGTCCGACACCTACGGTCTGTTGTTGCTGAATTTGTGGGTCCGCATGGACTACGGATGGAAGTCGTTTGAATGAACCATTCGCTTCTGATAACACTTGACGCGACGCGTGTGACGCATTAGGCATGGGCTCGTTGTACAACCACCATTTCACAGGAACCTCTGCGGATTTTTTGCATTTGGCTTGTACCCTTTCTGTCGCCGTCGCTGGCTCAGCCTCGTCGGTCGAAATCTTCGCAAAAGGAGTGCGGAGTGCGTAGCCTAGCAAAGCTCGCCAAACGATTTTTCTTGTGGCTAATTCCATGGATGGTTGCATCTTCCATCCTGAAATCGGGGCAGCGGGATTGGGGACCAGCCAGGCCTCTGGAATTTGGGCGGCTAAATGATAGGCTGAGGCTGGAAGGGGCTGATGAAGAGGTTGATGTGATCGAAGGACCTTCGAGAGAGGGTAATCTGTCGGACAAAGAAGATCGGTGAGTGATGGGTTGACTGCTTTGGTTGATAACTTGGCGAACCTCCTGGATACATGAGATTATAGCAACATCCAACTGCAACAGTGGAACATGGATACCAAATGTTGTCCGATCCAATCCTCGATGTAGCAGACACAAACGCCCGCAAGATATCGGGCGTCAAAGAGCCACAGGCATGTAGGGCCACGAAGAGGACGGGAGCGACAGCATCTCGTTTGGGGTGAGTGCCGGTAACCCAGTCGTCCACTGACTTTATCAGAGATTCGGGGGTGATAAGAACGGTTTTATGTGTTATTCGAGGGTTTGTATTGGCGGAAGGATGGCGCTTGTTTTCTTTGCCTAGCTTAAGCTCGGCTCCGATAGTCTGTCCCTCGTCCGCGTCCAGCGCCAATACTCGTGCATCCGGAAATAAACTGGCAAGGGTTCGAGTAAGATATCCTTGACCCGAGCCAACGTCGACGATATGCAACGGAACATCGGGATGATGAGGATTTCGAAATCCAGAGTTGAGCTCGACCAGCGCCTTGATGTAGCTAGCCATTTGTCGGACTTCATGAATTTTCTTCGGAGACATCCCTTTGGTGCTCTCTAGTGAGACGAGCCAATGCTCTGAGATGTTCAATGGACTTCGGGGGAGCTGAAGAGTGCGAATGGAGTCCAGTAGATTTTTTAGATCATCTGGAATCTTGTCCGAAGCTTTGGCGTCTAAAGCTCCAGTCATGTAATAGTCCAAGAGGGATCTCGGCGGTACTGTCCATGAGTCTGGAAGTGTAGACAGGTCAAGATCGTTGGGATGGGTACAGAGAATGGCATTTTGAGATTGAAGGAGATCAGCAAGCTGGAGAAGGTGGTGGTCGATTGGAAAGGACATCGTTACGGTTCGCCGAAGTTTGAAAGTGGTTTGGATTGCACGACGTCGCCAAACAATGCACTGCGCGGGCAGCTGCGATCACAGTCCGTGTCGTCGACGATTGCCTCACCCTGAGCAGCCAACCACAATGGCTTACCTCGCTCCAATTATCTCTGACAATGGGACTGGATATTCAAAGATTGGGTAGGAGACTATGCAGTCAACCAGGATTTGCAGCGGACTGACGTCCATTAGTTTCGCAGGGAACTCAGACCCCAGCTTGTACGTCGTCGATGCAATGACATATAGTAACGTTCGTGATTAAACATCCCTTAGTGTCTTTCCGACAGCCATAGCGACCCGCGGTTCAGCGACTACGTCCTCCAGAGCCCCTGCTGTTCCAGCCAAGCCAGGACACCTCGCATCGAAGCGTGGAGTTGAAGATCTTGACTTCTTCATAGGAGATGAAGCCCTCGCCAACGCGAAGACACCAGGCTATGGCGTCCACTATCCGATTAGGCACGGCATGATTGACAACTGGGATCATATGGAGCGCTATTGGGAACAGACGATCTTCAAGTACTTGCGAGCTGAGCCCGAAGATCACTACTTCCTCTTGGTACGTTGTCATGGATTGACGGTGCGGAACTGTAACAAGTCTCACACTGCATCTATTTCTTGTAGACTGAACCTCCGTTAAACCCACCGGAGAATCGAGAACAAACAGCTGAAATCTTCTTCGAATCATTCAATATCAAGGGTCTCTACATCGCTGTTCAGGCCGTGCTCGCCCTCGCCGCATCATGGTCTTCCAACCGCGTCACTGATCGCTCTCTCACTGGAACGGTTATCGATTCAGGTGATGGTGTAACCCACGTTATCCCTGTCGCTGAGGGATATGTTATTGGCAGTGCCATCAAACATATCCCTATCGCTGGTCGCGATATCTCGCAGTTCGTCCTCAACTTGATGCGCGAGCGCGGAGAGATGACGACCGTCCCACCTGAAGATCAACTCAGAGTGGCGAACAAAGTGAAGGAGAACTACACTTATGTCTGCCAGGACATCGTCAGGGAGTTTAGAAAGTATGACGAAGAGCCTTACAAGTACTTCGAGCGTTATGAGGGAGAGCACAGCGTTACCGGTCGGGTATGCCCTTCCCGTCTTCAGAAGTGATGCTCTAATACTGACACTCTGTGGCAGAAATACGGTGTAGATGTTGGCTACGAACGATTCCTTGCCCCGGAAATCTTCTTCAACCCAGAGATCTACTCGTCTGACTTCTTGACTCCTCTCCCTGAGATCGTTGACGATGTCATTCAACAATCACCTATTGACGTTAGGCGTGGTCTGTACAAGGTAAATCCACTTCCCTATCACCATTGCGAACTTGATTTCTCAAAACGACTTTCAATCTAGAACATTGTGCTGTCCGGTGGTTCCACCATGTTCCAACACTTTGGTCAACGGCTCAAACGCGATCTCAAGCAACTCGTTGATCGTCGCTTGGACCAGAGCGCCATCTTGAGTGGTAGCGCTATCAAGGTGAGCGCACTGTGTCGTTACCGTGCGCGCTGGTCTAACATGATCTCCCAAGTCCTCTGGTGTCGACGTTGATGTCATCACACATAAACGACAACGGTCAGTAGATCAGACGAACTTTGCAAGCCAGTATCGAGGTTCTGATATCACGCCGTTTTCAGTTATGCGGTCTGGTTTGGTGGTTCACTACTTGCATCGCTGGTGAGCTGTTTCAATGCATATACCCTGTGAATTTGGCTTATACCTTTGCTCAGCCCGAGTTCTACTCGTCCTGCCATACTAAAGCGCAGTACGACGAGATCGGACCCAGCATTTGTCGCCGCTACCAGATCTTTGGGAGCGCGACCTAAATACCTACTTACATTACCGCTATCTGGACGATGCAATATAATTTCAAACAAATGGCGCCGAATTACAGCGGGCATTCTAACTGGAACAGCTGCATTGGAATCCAAGCATTTTCTTCTCTCCTAAACCACAGAACCGCTTTTCTTCTTTCTCCTCCTTGTCGAGTGCCTCCAGCTCATCTGCGTCTTCCCCTCCCCAGGGTTCGAAGGGGTTGCAAGCCATCTAAAAACTCGCTCAGTGCCCGCTCCAATTTCTCCGGATTGAAAAATAAACTCACATGCAGAACTTTGGCGAGAACTCTCTTTCCACTGTCAACATCCCTCTCAACTCGCTTGATGACCTCTTCCAGCACCCATTGGCGAAGAACAAATCGAGGATTGACACCCCTCATTTCCTGCTGCCTTTGAATCTCTGTTCCTTCCAAGTCTTCCTGCCATCCCGACGCCTTCCAATCGCCATGCTCGTCCTTGATCCTCTGCGAGTACGTCTCGAGCCACTCGATCCACTGCTGCTTTGCGGCATTCACGTTCAGTTTCTCTGGCTCGGGTGTCACTGTCAACAGACGGTTGATGAAAGCTTCGACTTCAGGGGCTAGCGAATGTGCGTTTGGCGTCCCCTTATTCTTGGCATTGATCAATGTTGACGCCTTGAATGAGGAGAGTATGCGAAATGTGGAGTGGAAATCAAGACCGTAGCCCTCCATGATGTCCAACAGAGGTCGGAAGATCTTGGATTCATCGGTAGGATCAGGGCGATGCAATCCGAGTCTCTGGACGGGCAATGAGATGCTAGTATTGCGAAACTGAGGTAATGTATCGCACCTTTCGAAGGAGGTCACCGTACTCCGTTGAGCACGTCTGCTGTATGATTCGCTCCATTTCATCTTTGATCTCCAAACCTTTGGCAGTCCACTCCTTTATCTTCTCCGGTGATGCGTCCTCAGCCCAACCCGCAGAGACAGCCTTTCCTGTCTCAATTTCAGCCCCAATCAACGGTGCTAGAGCCTTGAGCAGTGCCCTCAGGGCGTAGATACTGTTCAAGTTTGGTTAATCCGGATGCCGCGGGGAAAATAGGTGAACCTACATCATATTGGGTTGGTACTAGGGCGAAGAAAGGCCATTAAAATTGAGCCGTTCGTGGATGGTACGGACTTACCTTGTATGCATAACGACCACCTTCGTCGGTGTGGTTGCAAATGTGGAGCGGGTCGAAAACATCCATGAATGCGTAGGGTCCGTAGTCGATGGTTAGTCCAAGGATTGAGACACTAGGGCCATCTGGTGAGCAGCGGGTGACATTGATCATTTTGAGACGTACTTGTCCGTGTTGATTACACCGTGCATGAACCCATACGCTTGCCAGCCAGCAACCATCTTCGCATTCCGTCTGGCCACATCATACACAAGCTCGGCGCCCCATGGTTTTCCTTTCTCGACAGAAAGATTGAGGACGTTTCCGACAACCCATTCGCCAAGCATACGTAGCCCTTCATAGTCTGGCTTTTGCTGGCCGCCGCCAAAAAAGAACATGTTTGTGGGTCCATTGAACGCTTCGAAGTTGCCAATGCGAATGAAAGAAGGCGCTAGACGAGTGACAATGGATGCACTTTCCACACGCTCGCGTTGCACCGGCAGGGCGGGTAGAGAGACAATCGAAAGAGCCCTGGTCGTCGGAATGCCAAGGGCGTACATTGCTGCAGGGATGCAGTCAGTTTATGGGAAAGGTAACGACGACTGCTGCTGTACCTTCAGAGCAAAGATATTCCCGAATCGATGAGCGGACAACGGCGAGGCCATCTGCACTCCTTGAGAAAGGAGTTCGACCGGACCCCTTGAGCTGGAGCTCATAAGACAGGTCTGGGTGTGATGGGTGCGGGGTAACCACTAGCGAGTTCTGTCAGCCTCGGCGGACGCGGAGACGAGGGAGAGGAATACGCACATATGGATATAGCCCGTCCATCTCCCAGTTGCCCTGCCCATGAGCCAAACTGGTGCCCACTGTAGCGCAGAGACCAAGGAGCGAATGCTCCTTCAATAACCTCTGGAGGCGTCATGAGGGTAGCATGACCACTGAGCACGTCAATTAGGTCCTGTCTAGCTTCGACCGCCTCTGCTATTTCGGAAGGTTTGCCATCTCCTTCGTCATTGAACTCGTCCGACAGAGACGGTACTCCAAGTGTGGCAAATGCATCTCCAACATCAAGGTGCGGAAGACAGTCGCGGAGTGCCGTTTCTGAGAGTCCTAGCAATTCAGTGGGCTGGTCTCTGTGTTTCCCGTAGTACTTCACCAACGTAGAGTTGGGGAACCGGGGAATGGGTGGTTGAGGGTTCACTGCTTCTCTACTTGCCAACCATCGTTCTATATACGCATTCTTATCTTGGTTTGCCGGGTCGTCACTAGGTGATGGAGGTTGAATGTCGTATGGGAATGACACCGGGAATGGCGTGACATGAGAGTAGTGGCAAGGCGGAGACAGCAGTCGTGCTCGTCGTTGTAAACTTGGGGTGGTCGTCAGTACATTTGTTCTGAACGCTGTGGGATTCGGTGTCCAAGTGTCTGGGGTGAGGTTGTGGATGAGCAACCTCGACGGTGGGGGAATTGGGAGGGCAGAAATAGGAAGTTTGGACATCCTATGTGGTAGTCGCGCCAGTTTGAAGAATCAGTGTGGTGCCATTAGCTCTTGAAGTTTAAAACAGCTCTACTTAACCTGGCTGAGGAGTTCAAGGCGATTGCTAATCGACTACTTCCCCACGTGGATGACGTCTCCCTGCTGGACTTGGACGGAGGCTTTTCGTTGGAACATGGACATCAGATATCTGTCATCAGCAATGCTTCCAGCTCGCACTCCGGGTTTGCACCTCACTCTGAAGAGGACCTATGACCTCGGCTTTCCTCCCTAGCTCACGACCTCCTCTTCCTCACCAACGGCAGACACAGTTTGAAGAGACATTATGGCAACTACTTCAACCAAACTCTACTCAGACAATGCTTCGAATGATCACTCTAATCGACTTGCTGAATGACCATGGTCCCAAAGACGTCCACTTAGAAGGCCGAATGATTGTTTTGACGCGAGTCAAGGATGCACCATTATCGTATCGCCAGGGGTGGGCGGAATCCAGTGCCGCGCTTCATATCACTAAAGCTTGGCTGGGAGCTGCGCTATCTCATGCAAAGTTTCGCTCGTGTCTGCTAGCAATGCTCCAGGTTCGATGCATCATCTCTCCCCTTGCCAGCGCTCGCTGATCTTCTTTCGGCGAAAGTTTCTCGAGTCTCTTCCATTTACAGCGCGAATGGCAAGAGACCGCGACTTCGTGGAACTTTTGGATCAAATACAATCTCTTCCTCTATCTGAAGGTCAGGCAATCAATTGTTGCCTCACTGAGTCAACAAGAGATTAAAGATGTCCTAGAGGAATCTACAATCTATAATCGATTGATGTCTCCATCTGCCAGGCATGACACCAGTCCTCCTCAGGGCCCTGTTCATGACTCTCGGGAACGGGTATACGACGTCAAGTCCGTAGCGCTAGGCAACAATTCGGTTTCAAAGGACTCGACGGTGCAAGCAGACGAGGAAATGATTTCATCCAATGAATCGGAAATAACTGCGGACGATATCTTTTCCCAGTTTCGAGTGGACGACATTGCCATTTATCTCGAAACCACAATGAGGATGCTCAGAGCACCTCAGTCGGGCTGGTCGGAGGCCGACTGCGCTTATATGATTCATTCAATCTTCCAAAAGGCGTTGGATACGCGAGAGTCGTATCAGTACATGCTCTCACTGACGGGGAATGACGCACAGTTGGTTCTCGACGCTCTCCATTTTGTGAGTACTTGGAAATCCCCTGTCGACATTCTCTCAGTTATATCATCTAGTTACTTGCATACACCCCGTCCCTTCCTCCACCAGACAGGCGCCAGATACTCAAAGCGCTGCAGCGACTGTCAAATAGGTCTCAACTGTACCCAGCATGCTTGGCCCTGACTAACGTCGAACGAGAGCCTCACCCCATCGCTTCGGGGCATTTTGGGGAAGTATACAAAGGCTATTTCGAAGGCAAGGTCGTTGCGTTGAAGTTGATAAAAATGTATGAGAGAACCAAGGCCTCCGTAATAACGAAGGTTGGTGATAGCATTTTCGAGAGTCTTCGTCTGGGTGCCTATCCACTAAAATCCGACGACTAGGCGGTCTTGCATGAAGTGGTCATCTGGTGCCAGCTGGTACATCGAAATGTCCTGCCTTTTCTTGGTATTCACGAGTCTGAGGAGGGGTGGATATCGCTTGTATCTCCTTGGATGCGACATGGGAGTCTTCCAAGGTACCTTTCTCAGAAACCAAATGCCAACAGGCTGCTCCTGGTCCGTCGATCTCACCCTTCTCACGACTCAAACCTGACTTATTGCTAGATATCTGATGTTGCGTCCGGTCTGGCTTATCTCCATGAACACGGTGTCGTCCACGGGGATCTCAAAGGAGTGAGCGAGTGGAACCTTCCCAACCGTTGCTAGTTCTGATGTGTCTCTATCAACCTAGGTCAATATATTGGTTTCGCCCTCGGGTCACGCCTGTCTAGCAGATTTCGGTTTGGCCAAAATCGCAGACAATGAAATCATTTCATGGACCTCGATCCGTACTTCCTCGACACAAGGGGGCGGCACGATCCGGTGGCAGGCGCCAGAGCTCCATGACCCTAATGACGATGTCACCCCGAAGGCCACTCCAGAATCTGACGTCTACTCGTTTGCTTGTGTCTGCTATGAGGTAGCGATGTACATACAGTTCGTCAAAATAGGCCCCCAGTTTCTGATTGAATATTTTGCAGGTCATGACATCTAGACTTCCATTCTACGAATTTCCCAGAGACTCAACCGTCATTATGAAGATCATGCAGGGACACCGACCTAGCAAACCTGCTGACAGTGATTTGCCGTGGTTCGAGGCTGATGTGATCCGTGAGTTGTGGAGACTTGTCGAGGAATGCTGGCAACAAAACCCTTCATTGCGACCGGGAGCCAGTGACATTGTCCAGCGAGATATTATACGCGTTGACGCCGACACCCGCACCGAGCATAGTTGGGAATGATCATAACGGTACAAACTACGACAACGCATTGGTTCCCACTTGAAGCCACCTGCCTGTTTAGTTAATCCAATTGCGGTTTTTAGCGATCTCGAAGTAGCTTCATCGCGCCACTTGTTAGTGGAGTTATCAGGGCTCCTCATGGCCCACAACTGTTGTTCTAGAGATACATAGGAGCTTCTAGTAGCCCAATAGTAGTACTGTGACGAATATAAAGTGTGGCAACCGTGTCCTTCTAGCGCCTGAGCGGGGCGACACGCAATTTCGGGCGTCACTCAAACCGATTGAGACATGTCATTGCATCATGACTGAAGTCAGACCTGGGACTCAGACTTGGGGTAAACTCCATGATGGAAAAGCTTATAATGGACTGAGACGAGATGTTTAACCTTCAGCAACCCATTCGCATCTACCACCCCAACTCAGCTCAAACCAAGTAGCAATGGCACCCCAATACAAGAAAGGTCAATCCGTCCGATACAAGCCTGTTGGAGGTCCGTGTTCTATTTCTATGCAATCTCTGCTTCCCTTATACTGTCTTTTCTAGGACCGGACTCGAACACTTCGGAGAGCGTCGGTGTCATTCGCGATGTTCTCACTGAACCAGGCCGTCAGGCTGATCGGAACGTCAACGCCAGCGAGGACGACCCCCGTTACGAGGTGCGTACATGGTCCCTTCCGCGTGTATGGCTTCTCTAAACTATGTGCACAGATTGAGAACTCGAACACGGGCAAGCTAACCACCATCTACGAGAAAAACATTCTCGGCAAGGAGTAATTGGCACTTGAACGTTTTTTTGTGCAGATTCTGTAATTGTAGAACACATAATTGAGAGCTAGTGACTTCGTCCTTCTTGAATAGTCCGTACTACGATAGTAATGTTCTTAAGGTGTTGGTAGCCTCGAAAGTTTGCGTTTAGCGAACCTTGTAAGAAAGGTGGATGGTACGCGTTTGACTACATCAGTACAACTTGGTCCCGTTCCGCCATGCTCAAGGTTTTCCACAATCTCTGTCATTCAACTCCCTTCACTGCCGGAATGAGCCAATCCAGAAATTATCTGATGATTACTCGTGTTCACCGCAGTCCCGTACTAATATGAGACGATTGTCGAGCTGGCAATGGTGTAATACATGTGACAAGTAAATATTGACGGGTGTTCACCGCGGTTGGAGCATGAAGGCATAAGGTAAGGCAGTAGGGGACCATAAACATTGTATCTAACTATCTGAATTCGCAAACGCATTGCTATATCTCGGGCTTCAAGCTTCGAACGCGTTTAAATTGATATACGATTGGACAAGCGCATCGTACTGAGCGTCAATTTGCGCGTCGGCTGGAGCAGGGACATCGGAAAAGTCGAAGTTGAAACCGAAGTCGAGGTAGAGAGGGATCTGAAGGGCAGAGAGCTGGTCCCGAAGTGGGTCCGCGTCGACCTGGTCCGCGCTGTCGTTGAAGTTGAAGGAACCCATGTGCATGTCAAGTTCGGTGTTTAGGGTCGAAGGCCTTTCGTTGTCGGTGAGGTGAACAACTTGCTTGGGACTTCCTGCCTCCCCATCTCCCGGGAAGCAGAAGGGAACAGACTCGGGACTGAGAGCTGGCGAACTCGAGGCAGGACTTGGGTATGCAAAGCTCGCTATGGAAGCTCCGCTGTCGCTCTCTGACCCATCGTGCACCCGTACTTCCCTCGACACCGTTTTCACTTTCCTATCCTTCCTCGGTTTCCTCCCCTCGGCCCTCCTCCTTGGCTCGTACGCGTAATCGGGGTACTTCAGCCTATGCAACCTCAACTCCTCTTCGTACTTGTCCTTCCATGGCTGCTGCTCCTCCTTGGACATGGCGTTCCAGACACGCCCGACCTCTCTGCTGAGCTCATTCTGGTTCAACCGCTTGCCAGTGGGGGATACCTTCGGAGGATTCGTTTCATTGAAGTGAGAGCGGAAGAGGATGAAGGCATTGCGTGGGCGAGGGATGTGACTGGATTTCTGGGCTTTGGTATGGGGTCGGCGGTTACGGATGGGCCCAACGAATGGCGGAGGTGAGGATGACGATGAGACAGATGGAGAAGGAGACGGCGATTGGGCGGGGGGAGTGGGAGCATAGTAAGAACTGGAGGTGTATGATGAAATGGAGGCCGGGGAAGAAGCGGAAATGGCGGGACTGCCATTCCTGGGATCAGGAACCCAATGCAGATGTTGGCAATCATTGTCGAAATATTGGATGTGATGTGATTGGGATTGAGGTGAAGAGGGAGAAGAGGTGTAATGAACTGGTCCGCCTGGAACCCCAATTGGAAGGAAAGCTGAGCCGGAAATAGGGTACGGTTCGCTCAATTGCTGGGTCCATTGGCTTTGACCTGCAAACCGAGTTACTGGTCCGTCTTTATCATCAAAGCGTGAAATCGAACTTACTGTTGTACAATGTAGGAGCAAACTCTTCAGAATAATACTGGTCATGTTGCGAAGCGACAGTGGTGAAAGCGGACATCGTTGCACAAGGTCGTTGAAGGACTATGTTCGATGGTTAGAGCTGTCGGAATGGGTTGGATCTGCTGTAGGGCTCGAGGTACTGGACTGAATTCCCTTGCTTGGTTGCATTCTTTCTCCCTGAAACTGAGCCTCTTTGAACCATTCCAGCTCTGACGATTCGCTTTCCATCTTTGGATCGTCGAAATTTCACCCTGCGTTTAAAGCACGTCGTGGCAGCCTTGCTGTTTGTGACGTCCCAGAGGGTAGGAACATTTCCGGAGGACGGGTCCTTTCCCGTATGGGGAAGAAGATGTTTGCGATGGAATACGGTGAAAGGGAGATGAATCCATTCATCAAGATGTGGCGGTTGGATGTTCCGGACACCTAACTTCAAGGGCACCAATTTCTGCGCTCCAGTATGTAGTTTGAGCCCAGGTGGAAAACCGTATTAACAACATCGAACATCGACGACAGCTGGACTTTGTTGCCTTTCGACCAGGAGCCCCCGGTTAAGCACCACTTGGAGAGATTAAGTCGTTCAGACGGTAGGAATTGGGTAGGAATCACCGATGTCATCCGGGTTTGATCCTGTGACATACTTGGCGCAACGAGGCAAGTCATGTCCATGTGTGTGAAGGAATTTCAAAGCAAACCCTGGCCATATCCCTTCGAATGCCATGTATGCGGACGCCAACCAGGAAGGCCAGGGATTACACGATAGCCGAGAAACAGTGGATTCTCAGACGAGATTTACAAAAACAATGATGCGCGTATCGTTAGTAGCTACCAAGTACACAAGAACACAAATGTAAGATGATGTAGCAAAAGATTATACAGGAGCGCTGAGATTTCTGGTGAGAAGCAAGATCGCAAGAGACGCGCAGTAAGTACAACATGAACAGATCGTGACTGGTATATGTCCAAGGTCCAACAACCTTTTACAAGGGTAGTACACGGGAAGCAGATTAAGAAGAAAAAGGATATCTTGAAAGGATGTCATAAATGAAAGCAGATTACAAACCGGAATAACCGGGCGGTGGGCCGCTAACGTCCACCTTGCCCTTGTAATTCATAGCCGCATCACGGCAGCTGATGTCCACTCCAGCCCTTCTCGTAGCTTCAACCTCCTCCACAGCAATTCCAAGTTCATCAGTGGGGATCCAGATCGTCCGCTGAGGTCGACTGGCAGCGGGGTGAGCGAATCCGTATTTGTTCAGCTCATTTTCCTCAGCTTTAGCCTGTTTCTTCGACACCTTTTGGTCAGCCTTGGACACCCCGCCTTCAGGCGAGCCATCCGCGCCGGCGGACATTGAGGGTGAGACCATATCAGGAGGCCGCAATCGAGGTTCCTCAGAGACGATCAATCCTTGCCGAACGAGTTCGCGCTCTTCAGCAGGAATGGCCGACTCAGCATCCGTGTTTGAAGTCGCTGGAAGTTTAACCGGCTGCGGACTGTCTGCTGCCTTCCCTGCAGCATCATCCTCTCCGGTGAGAGAAGTGTCGCCATCTTGGTCTTCGACATCGACACCCTGGCCCAAGCGATCCTTCAAACTCAAGGGCAATGCTACTAGCAACGGCCCGTAAGAGTTATTCAAGATCGCATGGAAGCCAGCGGTGATGACGATGAGCACGACCATCAGGGCTCCCTGGGGTATACTGCTTGCGTTGTTGTTCTCGTCTCTGGCAAGGAAGAAGAGGGCCGCGAGACAAATTTCTTCGAGGTAAAGGCCAACGAAGACGTGTTGAATGGCTTTGGGAAAGAAGAGACCTCCGGTGTCCGCTCGAAGGTCTTGTTGGAAGACCCATAGGAAGAGGTATTTGTAGAGTTGGTAGAAGAGGAAGAAAGTGAGGATGGCGAGACCGTTAATGATTGGCGCGATGGTGGAGTAAGCGAGTGCTACACATGTCAGTTAGTTAGCATGTAGCGGAAGGGGGGGGAGAGAACCTACTGATGACAGTCAACAGCGTGATGCCAGGGAAAAGAGTACCCCAAGCGACGTGTCCAGGGGTATACTTGATGTTGTAAACCGATCGGGGCGTGCTTCCAAGAATAAAGAGCTTCACATAATAGATGATGAGAGAGACGATCTGCAGGAAGCCACCCGCTGCACCAGAAAGACCTTGCAGGACAACGTAGCTGGACGAGATGTGAGCATTTGCCGTCCATCATGATAGGAGATAACAGCTACACACGTCAAGAAGAAGGTCGAGGCCTTGGGCAAGTTCTCGGCCAATACAGCTGGGATGCTGGTAGGATTGTTGGCCAACTCTTCCAATGATGCAATGATACCAGACGAGAGAGTGACGATGAGGAAGGAGTGCTATTGCGTAGGGGAGGTTAATATGGACATACATCTATCAAGATGTAACACGCACCAGCACTTGGAAGAGGAAGAATCGCGTCATCAAACTGAGCTCGAGCCCAGTGTACTTGGGAATGCCTTCGAAACGGGCAAGGAGGCGAAGGATGATAGGAAGAAGCATCATCAAAACGGCGAGCAAGACTGGAGGCAGAATACCCTGTTGACAATACCTGTAAGCGACCCAATACTAACCAGCTGAACTGACACTTACACTGATAATTCCAACCACAACCTCAGGAAGGTCACAAATCCAGGCCAGCCAACTGACCTCGGTGCAAAGCTTGTTGATGTTGGAGACCGCACCGACAAAGGCAACTGTTCGAAAGTAAGCCACCGGAAGGGAAGAAAGACTAGACTAGATACTGACCAGGGAAGGCCCAAAGTAAGATCAATCCCGCTGTTGCGGCGTAGCTGATAGCCATTCGAATCTTTTGCTCGTAGGGATTGAGGCCAAGGTTCGACCAAATCACGTCGGACGGGGCAACCTCGACATAGCGCGAACCTGTGGAAGGTTCGATTAGCTTTCGGAAGAAGATTCACAAAGGAAGCAAACCTACTCATCCGATATGGTTTGTGATGAGCGAGAGCCTGGACCGCCAAATGAGCCGAAATTTGCTTGTTGAAGGTGACGAACGCGCTGTTGAGCGGTACATATTCGTCGTCATGACCCTTGCCCATTACGCCCTCGACCATTTTGCCAGAAACGTCCTTCATCCCGGAGACAACCTTTCCAGACGCATCCTTGACACCACCGACAGCACCTTTCATCCCTCCAACAACCTTTCCAGAGACATCCTTGACCACGCCACCGACATTCAGGGTTCCATCGCCAGAGAAGGTCTTGACACGGCTGGGAGCCTCGATAGGGTTGCCATACTCGTCGACGGCCGCTCCAGCCAAGAGGTTTTCGTTACCCATGGCGATTGCTTCGCGTTCATCGCTTGCGCGAATCTTTGCCCGACCCTCCTCCAAAAGTTTGGTACATTCGGCGATCTCTTTGCGGCACCAATCAATAGTGTCCACCTTTTCACCCCAGAGTCCGAGGAATCCGAGCTTATGAGTTGGCCGTTGAGCCTGAGGAACCAATTCTTCTGCCCTAGTTAGCCTGTGCTCTTGGGTGGTCGATGGTGTAACAAGAGGGGAATCGACTGCAAGTGAAGACCCCGAGCCATTCATTCCTGTGGTCGTCTTGTTCTTCCCCTTGGTAGTGCCATCATCCACGTTTACAGCTGGTTCCGGCTCGGTAGCCTTGCCCTTCGCCTTTTGCTTGTCAGCTTTGAGCTTGAGTTTGGCAGCGGTCCTCATCAGAGCAGTTTCAGCGCTCTCGAGCTTGTTGCATGCTGCCAAACGGCGGTCGTAGATTTCAGGGAGGTCCCTCAAGTTGCTGCAAGGTGATTTAGGATCGAACGCAATTGAAGGCATCACGACACGCGTACCGGTTGATCCAGATCCTCTTGACTCCTCCAGGAAGGTCCTTAAATAACTCACGAAGTCGGTATTGGTTGAGATACGCATCAGGGATACCGGTAACCAAGATGGTGTTGGCTTGAACTGATCGCGAATGGGTCTTCTCGGTCAGGTGTTGCTGACGAGTAACAATGAAGAAGGACATCTCCTTCTTCAGGTTATAAAGGACCCAAACTATTCTCAACGTTAATCATGGCGAAGACAATGGGAACATGAGGGCTCACGGGTGAAGATCCAAGCGCACACCAAATGTGCCCAGTACCGTTGCTGCTGTGTCTTGCCCACATTTCCAAACGTGAACCGGGAGAGGCCGTCGACGCCGTTCACTTCTTCATTGGCTAGCTGGTCGGGATCTCTCTGGATTCCAACAGAGGTTGCGGGAAGCAAAATGACCCAGGAGATGATCCAGATAGGAAGGAGGAGTTTGACCATAAGCCTGAGGAAGCGAACGAAGAAGAAGGCGTCCAGGCCATTGGCTTTGATAATGGGTCGGTAGTCGGCGTAGAAGAGGGAGATTGGCCAGAACAGGCCTGAGATGAAACGCGAAGACTTTGAGATAGACTTGTCGGATCCACCAGGTACAGGGGTCAGTGGAGCAACGCGTTTCCTGTGACAAAATCAATCAATAACAAGCCAATTGGCATAGAAGACACGCACTCTGGTGGGGGAACATAAGTTCGAGGCTCATAGATGGCTTTGAAGAACGGTCGAAGGATTGTGAAGACTCCAAGCTGAATCCCAAACACGGCAGCGTTGAAGACGAGAGCCGTGACAAACGTCGCGGTCGACGCCGATTTGGCGTTCGTGATGTCCGTCGCGTCCGACCTGGTTTCCTGTAAGTCTGTGCTCTGTCAACAGTACAGCCAAGGCACTCACATTGCGAAGGTTGGGGACGCTCAGGCTCGTGTTCCTTTTCGGTTTGGCCCCGCCTTTTAAAGCTTTTCTGGAGAACCGAACAGGTAGGATCTAGAATGATGCTCCTGTCAACGGCGGGATGGCCAATCGTTCTTCGTCGAATATCGTGAGGTTCGTGCCACTGTCTTGGGCTCGTCGGGGTCGTTTCTGGTCGTAGTTGCAGACTGAAACGTGAACGTAAAAAACGGGGTCGGTGAGCTTAACGCTGTGTGGAACTCGAGCTTGAAGGCGCGGCTTGTCTTTTGTAGGCTTGACGTCACGCCACAATTCCTCCCTTCATGGAGGTGATTGATCGATGACGATATTCAGGGGCTATGCAAATCGCTTCCGCCGCTGAAATAAACCCAGTGTTTTCCACTCATCGCCATCGTCCAAAGAGGAGGTCACTGCAGTCGATGTCATAGTCGGTGGTTTGTGAAAGAAGAAAACGTATGCCAAGACCCAACAGGCATTCAGTCAACGCACCGACTCGGAACCCCACACCGACACTCTCCGGGGCGACAAGCTGATGCACTCACTATATGCTCCGCCTACGTGATGGACGTATGTATAACATGCAGTTTACCTTCAACTGGTACAGTATATTACAGAATACAGGGATGTATACTTCTTACGATCATCAGAGTCTCGCTTTAGCAGCAGCATCTTCAATGAAGGGGTTGGTGGTTAAGGTTTCCTTGCGGAAGTCTTCCAAAACATCACGATACAAGTCCTTCTGTGGAACCGCAAGAGATCATCTCAGCGTGCGGGTAAGAGGTGGAACGCAGAAGGTTACGGACCTTGATGAGTCCCCAAGCCCCAGCGGAAGCGTTCATACTTACACGCTCCGCGACCTCTTCAGCTTTGGCCAGGACGTCCGCGGTCTTGCCGTTGACGATATGATCCAATAGACCATCAGCCAAAGCCTCGGGAGGGGTGAAACGGTGCCCTTCTAGAGCAATCTTGCGCACAAGTCGATGGTCACCGAACTTGGCGCGCAAAAGAGAGGCGAAGGAGTAGGGCCAACGAGCGCCAAAGTGAACCTAGGCAGTGTTAGTTGAGAGATAGGTATGAAACCAAATGAGGGTGTACCTCGTTCATGCACAACCAGGCGTTCCGCTTGCTTCCATCCGTCATGACCCGATAGTCGCAGGCAAAAGATAGCATGAGTCCACCAGCAAAACAGTGGCCATTGATCGCAGCAATGGTGGGGACTGAGAACCAAAGCTTCAATAGCAATCCAAAGAGGCGAGATGGAGATTGAACTCACTTGGGAAGGTGAGGAGGCGGGCCAAGAGAGGATCAAAAGTGACTGTTCAATGTTAATGTCCGTGAGTATTGAGCAAGTGTAGACTGGGAAAGGTCGGAACATACCAGGGAAGAAGTTCAAGTCCTTGACAACATTGGCAAAGTCAAGTCCTGTCGCTGGTATTTAGAGACTGTATTCAACATAACCAACGACAGCCCAACTTACCATTGCTGAAGAACTTGTCCTGGTCTCTTCGACCAACGATAATGAGTGCCCCTTTGCCCTGAGGCTGGTCCTTGGCAGCTGCAGCCGCGCGCCATTTCTCGCGCCATTGCCTTTCGACTTCGTCCAAAGCAGGCTTCAAACCCTCGTTCACGAGAGTAGCAGTCAACCTATTGTCCTGGCCGTTGTGTAATTCGATGACCCAGAGATGGTCCTTGGCTACATACAGGTAGGAGGTCAGTGCGATGATGGTTCCTCTAGTCCAAAATGAGAAACGTACGTCGGGTGAGGGTAATGAGAGGCTCTTGGGCGTTAACCGGGTACTTGAAAACTTGAGCCATGGTGCGGATAGTTGTCGATACAGGGTAAGATATGGATTCCCCCTCTGCGTTGAATTGTCCAGAAACTTGGTGGAAGTTGAGACAGTTACGCTGGGCAAGTCAATTGCCGGGTTGACCGACATTCACAGGGGTGACTCCATGTGATTCTCCAGCCATTTTTTCATGTCTACGCAATACAAGTCCTCCTCGGGCGACGATCGTTCTTGAGTCAAGGGAGACTTGAGAGTGGAGACTTGTTGATAAGATAAATGAGATTTTGAGGAAGATAGCGAGCTCAGTTGGACGGTGGGAAGAGCCGGCGCTCGCCTGTAAGACACGATGCCAAGCCAGACTTGGTTGTCCGCGACGAAAACAAGGCATAACAACGTTCTCTCCCACTCTTGACGATGTCCAGCCACGAGGAAGGTATTGCAAAGGTCAAAGGTGAGCCCAACACTTATTCAATCTCGAGCTCGACCAACAGAAATCGTCTCAGCCGAACTTACCAAACGGGAGGAGTTCTTGCGTGAATCATGGGTGCGGGCAATGGAGGCCCGGTTGGTGCAGGAGGAACTCGGAAAATGCCATCAAGGCGAGGGCGTTAACCACTACGAAAACTGCAAGTGGCTGGCCGACAAGTACCTCACTATGCTGAGAGAGAACCGAGTGAGTACTAGGGCAGTTGGAACCCTTGTTTCGCCTCACTGACTTCTGCGCTAGGTCAAGGGTTACAAGCACATAGACGTGTAACTTATCCACAGTCCTCACACACATCTTTTCCTTTCCTGTGCCAAACACGTAGACACCCTCGTCAATAGACACCTTGCCCATGGACACGCTCATTCAAACCCCATCACGAGGACAAAATGTGTATTCAAGATGGAAGCATGGTATATATCTATCTCCCTATAAATTTCGCTAAATGAATTAGGTGGACGCCTGGGCTTTATAACGAGGACAATGTAGCCATTGCGAGAGCCCAGAAAAGGAACGGTGCAAGAACTCGGTGAGCAGAAGAGCTGGAAAGGATTGGTTCAGGTGGCAAGCATGGTTTGAATGAGATGACACGCACTCGTCGGAATCACCAGCTGTTGGAAGAACAGACGCCGTGGGCGACGTTTCGGTGGAGCCAGGGCCCCCGCCGGTCGTACTGCTGCTTTCAATGGGGACCGACTCAGGATTGCCTACCAAAGCATGCAAATTAGACGCCTTCGTTGTGTTCGACTGCAGCACCCATGATATCCCTCCAAGAACATGAGAAAGGAAGACAGGATCCTGGCAACACCATTGTCAACATTTGCCAGGAAGTAATGTGACTGCATTGCCCACCTCCCAAGTCTCGTTCAAATGTCCCAAGCTGGTGTAGAAGCTCCGACCGGCGATCCCTCCTTCCTCAACGCCAGCTCCCTGTACTTGGAACCAAGCTGCGACCGCGCTGTTAGACTTCGCCCGTCTCCAAATGGAAGAGAGGTCACGTACCAATTGGGTGTGGGGTCCCATGGTCGAACCGACGTGGGCCATTGTCTTTCATAGTGTTAAAACGGTTACTCGAAGCTGGACAACACTTACCAACATAGCTCGATTCATCAGCGGCTAGAATGACTGTTGCACCAATGGATCGGGGGTCTGAGTCAAAGTTGTACCTGCAATGTAAAAACAGTTCTTGACCATCCAGAGGCGAGAGGTCGGGTCCACGGAAAGCTCACATTTCATCCCGGATTCGCCAGGAGGACGGAAGTCCCTCTGTGCTTGGGTGAGGTGGTCCGATTACGTCGAGGTTCTAGGTCATTTCAAAAATCAGCTTCCTTTGGATGACAGTAAAGCTAATGCCAGAAGACTGACCGCTTCTTGAAGATCGGCATGGTAGTCAAACCGAGCACCTGCCCATCAGCCCCAAGGTTAATTGCAACGGACGCGACGCGACGCGAGAAACATGCACTCGTACCTAGCTCTCGAACAAAAAAGCTCGTATTTCGTAGACAGTCCGATGCTGAATGTATTCCGACGAAATTGCCTCCACTGTTGAGATACGTTTGGAGTGCAGCTCTACCTGATTCGTCGAGTACTGTCGAGAACGTTCAACATCGTTTTCGCAAGAATATGGAAGCTCATTATCCACACCGTCGCCAGTCGTGCTCAGGAATACAACAGCATCGAATTCCGACAGATATTCATCTGTAAACCTTCCCCTATCTTCCGTACTCTCGAAGATGCTGTTTATGGATTCCGCATTGGCCTCCAATGCTTCAATGGCCGTGGGTATCGAGTCATGTCGGAACCCAGTGGTAGCAGAATACACCAAGACTCTGGCAATGTGCTGTTGTTGGCCTGCGCCTAGTGTGGAGAAGAGGAGGAAGAGCGCGAATTTCAAGACAGCTGGTGGTCTCATGGTATAGAGCGAAGAAGAGTCGAACTGCAAGTCGAACCTTGCATTCAGCAGGCTTTAACAAACGGCTCCGTACAAGTCTTAGTAGCCTTGGCATCATGCCCGTGTCGGCCTGTAAGTGGGGGCTTGTACCGCTGTTGCCGCGAAGATGGATCCCCTACACTGTATAGCACTTGATAAATGAGGGCTCTCCAGCTGAAGCGCAAATAATTAACGGATGTCGCACCAACCAAGTCTGGCTAAAAACCATTATTATTGTAGTATGCGGTTAGTAAGTTGAGATGGACATTAGAGCACATGCATGGATATAAGCTACAAAGATAGATCTATAGGCGAAAGCAATGCGAAGACCAAAGGATATCCAAAATATTTTACTGTGGTTGACATTCGGGCTGGCCGTGTATATCGTCGTCGGAATCTTCGTCTTCCCAGTCATCCTCGAATTGCGCCTCCAATTCCTGGTCAAGGAAGGTGGAGTGCAGTTCACCGATATCCGATTCCTCGTAGTTTGCTTCGTCCACGATCTCAGGAAGGGGTTCGATGTCTTCCTTCTTGGGAGGCAGAAGTGTCGACAATGCCTATAGGAATTCAAGCTAAGCAAAGACGAGCGGAACTGATGATCGAACAACATACCTTGATGTCCACTGTATTAAGCCAATCAGCGTCGGGCATCTCAACGGTGAGGACGACGTGCAGGTCTCCCTTGTCGTCTGGTCGTTTGAAGATAGGCATTCCCTCCCCGCGAAGGATGATAGCATCGTTGGGATTAATGATCTTCCCTGGAGGGCTGCTGACACGAATGCCACGACCGTCGAGGTGAGTAACAAGGATCCTGGAGAATCCGAGAAGGGCTTCGCTCAGGGTGATCTTGACCTGGGTCAAGAGATCGTTGCCTATCCTTTGGAAGGATTCGTGCTTTTGGGCTTTGAGAACGAAGATAACATCTCCGGCGGGAATGTCAGGCTACAGTCAAGGTTAGAGAAGGCATTACAAGATTCAAGGTCAACCAAGTACCTGTTGGTCGCCCGCACCGGCGAGAACGATTCGTTGCTTGTCCGCCATGCCCTTCTCAATATGAATCTCCTGCCTTGTCTTCTCCTTGACCACACACTCTCCCTTACATTTCTTGCACCTGGATACCCTCAGATGAGAGCTGCACGAGATCGAAATAGCAATAACACGCACCGTTCCTTCTCCTTGAGTCTTTCACCAACGCCTTTGCAATCACGGCACTGCACTCGAGAGACTTGTCGAGGTCCTGGATTTATCGTTGTCCATCCCTTTCCATCACATGTGGAGCATGTCTTTGGTTTTGCGTTGCCCCGCGCGCCTGAACTGGCGACTCTCGTCTCAAAATAACAGCACAGGCCACGGAGAAAGAAACTTACCCCTTGCACCCAGAGCAAATAACGTCCTTCTCCATGTTCATTTTGATGGTTTTCCCGTTGTAGAGGTCCTCCAACGACACCTCATAAGGTATGACGGAATCTTCGCCTTTTGTTCGCTTCCTTCCGGGGCCAAAGCTGAACCCGAACATTGGGTTGCCCCCAAAGAATTGGGCGAACATGTCGTTGGGATCCATGAAGTCAGGGCCACCAGGGCCTTTACTTACGCCTTCCATCCCATGAGCATCGTAGACTTCGCGCATTTGAGGGTCATTGAGAATTTCGTAGCTGGTGAAGGACTAAGTGAAAGGCACTAAAGATAGATGGTGGACTGAACGAACGCAGAGGCCATGGTTTGAAACTTTTCGTGAGCATCGGGGTCGTTGATGTTCTTGTCCTAGAGAATCTTGGGGTCAATAGCCAGTGACGAATCACAAACACGAGGCGGGCGTACAGGATGGTGTTCTTTAGCCTGGTCATTGTCAATGCAAGAACAACGCGTCAGAGAAAGAAAGCACCTTTCGTTTGTAGGCCTTCTTTATTTCATCTGGATGTAATTGAGCGCGCGTATCTTGGTATTGGCCGTAAGGACATACCTTGCGTGGCGGTCACAGAGACACCCAGAAGATCGTAAAGTTCGGTTTCAACAGCCACTGCGAAGGGAGGTAAGCATCGCAATGGACATATATTCTGAAACTTACTTTTGACTTATTTTTCAGCTGAACACCAAGTCAAGTATCTCCTCCAGTTTCTCACTTTGTCGTGAGTGCACCTTCGAAGTTTTGCAGTTGCAGACCCCGCGGCATCAAATTCGACATCAAAAGCGCTGGACCTCCGATCACTCCATCATGTGTCATTTCCCACGATATGGAACCTGCAGGCAAGCTTTTTTTTCCTTGACGTGCTTTCTTCTGTCCCCATGTCCTCGACAGCGATTACATCTTGGACTTGAACGTCGACCCAGTGAGTCATGTCCCTATCGACAGCATTTAATGATGCTATTTTACATCTTATCTACATTGTCTGACGCCGTGTGCAACGAAGACAAATTTCGATACTGACCCTCATTCTCTCTCCTTCATTTAATCCAGTTCGTCACTGACCCTGTCTCTTTAGGAACACCATGTTACTTTCTCTTTGACAGAGGAATAACTCGTGGACTCAACTTTTAACTTCCCCATCGCCGTTCTTGTACCTAGTTGCTCAAATGAACTTTTATTTCGAGGCAGCACAAGTCCTGGATCGACTGGACGCCAAACAGGGTTCGATAAAGGGTCTTATCGCCAGCCTTGCAGAAAAGAATAGGAAGAGGTCCACCGCTTTAATCATTGAGACACTCAAATGTGAGGTTCTTCATCCACATACCGGGAAAGTGTTGGTGTTGAACCTGGTGTGGGTAGACAAACCCGTCCTTTCCGATGTCATAGCAGCGTCAAAGCTGACGAAAGAGGAGCGCAAGCTCAGCTCCCATAACCTTACCCTTGTCCTCGTGTACGACCTGCTCCTTGGAAAGGGTATTCAGGCAGGGGATGGACCCATCAAGCAGGCGGTTTTACGCCACAAGACCCGACTTCATGGAGAATTTCAGAAACTCAAGATCAAACGGGGTGTTACCTCGAATGCTCAGCTCGTTCAGAGAGCCGATGAAAGGGCTGGTAAGACCATTTCTCCACCGTCACAAAGAAGTTAAAACTCCATACTGAACTACAATTAATCAAGAGTCAATACCTCGCTACGTACGAATAAACACTTCCTTGTGGACAACCGACAAGGCGGTCCTGTATTACGTTTCTCGAGGGTTCACATTAAACGACACCTTAAACTCGAGGTAACTTCCCCCCTTCATTCATGATCGAAATGGCGCTGAGCATTGGATTTAATGCAATAGCGATCACAAGGCGTTTGTGAAGGATCCTCACATCCCGGACCTCCTGGCTTTTGCGCCCTTGACCTCCTTCGTCGAAGATCCTGCCTACCTAGATGGACGTGCTATCATCCAGGATAAGGCGTCATGCTTTCCTGCCTTCGTGCTGAACCCGCCGGCCACAGAAGACAGTGTTGTGATCGATGCTACGGCAGCTCCGGGAAACAAGACTTCACATCTGAGCGCACTGATGGGCAACAAGGGAAAGGTTCGCCCCTTCTACCCTTTCGTCATATCTCAATGACTGAATGCCCCTGTCTTAGCTCTACGCGTTTGAGCGGGATAAAAGACGATTTTTGACACTGCAGAAGATGCTAAACACAGCACAGTGCCGCAACGCCATTCCCATTAACGCAGATTTCCTTACCATTGACCCTGAAGACAATAAATTTAGGCCCGTCACACATATGTAGGTCATTCTCTCATGATCAGATCCAAACTTTTAACCTGTGACTCCTAGACTGTTGGATCCATCATGCAGTGGATCCGGAATTGTCAACCGCTTGGACCACTTGATACCTACCGGTACGAGGAAGTCAACCGATAAGCTTGAAACATCTCGTTTACTCCATACGGTTCTCATATTAACAGCGATCGAGGAAGAGGACATCCCAAATGAGCGTCTAGCGAAGCTGGCGACGTTCCAGCTCAAGATGATACAACATGCCATGAAGTGTTAGTCGAGTTTAAACCATGGTCTTTTCGAGCACACACCTGCTGAATCTGGGTTTATTTTAGTCCCCAATGTAGAAAGAATCGTGTATTCAACATGCAGTATCCATGCTACTGAGAACGAGCACGTTGTCCGTGCTGCACTCGATTCGGACGAAGCGAAAGCAGGTGCGGGTCCACTCCATTCTTAGACTCAAAGCCTTACCCTACATCCTTCACTACAGGTCCCTTTGTGTTAGCCCCCCGAAACGAAGTGATTCCGAGCTGGAGCAGACGCGGACTGCCGGAGGAGATGAAGTCAGCAGGTGTGTGCTCCAATACACTTCTGGGACCCTGTCCCTACTTATGTACATGGTTAATTTTGCTTGAACAACAGAGGAGGCGGAATCTGTGATACGGTGTTCTCCAGATGGCGATGGCACTAATGGCTTCTTCGTTTCCTGTTTCATTCGAGTTCAGAAAATGGCCTTGAAGCGAAAACTCGACAGCGAGGCGGATGGCACGGAAAGAAGCAAACCGAGAAAGAGGAAAAGAAAACGAAAATAGGACAAAACCCTTTGCTGATGACATATTTCACGACGAGGACCAATCATACGTGTTGACCGACATAAAGGCATGATGCGATTCACAATTACGGGGAAGACGATACATTAAGAGCAATCTAAGCGACTTTTGCGAACGTAGGCAGTTAGCCGAAAATTCAGGTAACAATCCCAGAGGGAAAAAAGAGTAGATGGATGAACGAGAGTACCTGAGACGATAACCTGAAATGCCACCGCTGGGCCGTCTTCTCTTCAATCAAGGCGAAGATGGAAAGGGATCCCTGCTAAGTCATCTTGGATAAGGTTTAGTGCTGCGAATCGGTCAGAAGAGCGGACAGTTGAGTATCGTCGAATTAGGACATTTGCTGCTGGGCGTATTGATTCTGGTAATAGGCGGCGTAGTTGGAATATTCTTGACCTTGACCATAACCGCCTGGAGCTGGCTGTGAATATCCAGACCATTGAGCACCGGGATTGCCATAGCCTCCTGCACCCGGGTATCCTCCATAACTTTGTTGTGGGCCACGGTACGATTGTTGAGCGGGCTGCTGCCAGACTTCCGGGCGGCGCCAGGGAGGAATATTGGTTCCACCAGCAGTAATGTCGTGGCCTCCAGTGGGTGCCGACCAAGATTTGAGCGGGTCGCTTGAAGCAGGAGTTTCGCCCAGCTCAGCCATCAAGCTAGCATACTCTGAGTCGAACCCGCCACGGGTTCCGTGACCCGGAGGAGCACCCGGGGGTGGTGGCGGAGCGTTGGGATCCCTGTTGACGGTGCAATCCCTTGCCATATGACCGGCGCTGCCACACACGCGACAGATGATGTTAGCTGTGAAGTTGCGTTGCTCGGGACAGTCATATTTGCGATGGCCTACGCCGCCGCAGTTCTGGCAAATCTGGTTCTCATCATCACGAAGGGTACCGTTGAGTGCGGCCAATTCTCGCAATTGGTTACGCTTGTGGTCGTTTTGGCCTTCCGGGGTGGAAGCGGCCTAAGAGCTCCAAGTTAATGGAGAACGAACGGCACAAAGAAGGGACACATACCGTTTCAATAACTTTGTTGATCATTTTGACACATGCTGCAACCTTGTCTTCACTGTCAGCAATGACGAGACAATGTAAGTCCTCCTCTGCGTCCTCAGCGAATTGGTCTGGTCGAGCCTTCCCCTCCTTCACACTGCCTTTGCCACGAATACTGATCTTTGCTCCACTCTCCCTTTCCATCTTCTTCAAACTGTTGCCCCGAGGACCTACAAGCAAGCCGAAGAAATTGATTTCTGGAAATTCTTTGACGGGGATGTAGACTTTCTCGGAGGGGCGCTGAGAACGCTTTTGCTGCTGGTATTCGACGGGTGGTCGGAAGTTGGGATCGTTTTTCATGGCTTTTTCAACGAGTCGGATTCGCTCATCCTCGAGTTTCTTACGGTATCGAACTTCACGAGTGTTGGTACGTCGGCCGTGCGCGTCGTAAGTGGGGGGAGGAGATGGCGATCTGTCAAAATATGAATATGTATGCAGGCGTGGATGGAAAAGAGGATCTGACCTTTCACGCTCAGGGGGGATGAAATCGTTCAACCTGAGTTTTCGGTTAATCTCTTCCAAACGCAAGTGAATGGCGTAGTTATCAAGCTGCGCCTGGGAAACGCCAGCGGCCGAAATCGCTGTGGGCAGTCCAGGGATCTCGGTTTTTGCCTCGCCCCAACGGCTACGTCTTTTGCGAGGAGCATTGGGATCAACTGAAGAAGGGCATAGCAAACGCAAAGATTAGTAGATGGTCAGGGTTAGTGGTTTGTGAGCTGAGAACGGTGACTGCTAGAATCCAACAAACATCAAGAAACTTGTATGGGTTCTTCGTGGACTTATGTCGACCAAAGCGAGCCATTTCTCGCCCTGCTGCTCGTACTGATGCATTACATACCTTTGGGATCTCCATTTGCCGGGGATTCGTCACGCCCTCGTTTGCCAGGGCTTTCACGATCCTGGCTTTGGTGTCGCGGATATACAGAAGGTGACGGTTGCGCTAGTTGTGGCGCCGAGTTGTCTTCTGTAGGCGGAGGACCAAATCGACGACGGGTTCCGAGAGGAACTGGTGAAATTTGGTCAGGTTGTGGGTGAATTCAAGGAAAAGGGATGCTCACCATCGTTTGTGCCAGTAATTTGGCGGGTTGCCGGCTTCCACATTGTCAAAAAGTAAGATATACAAGACGAGCGGACAAAAGAATGCAGGACAAGGATGTGGTTGGGTCCAAGTGCGACGGCGACCAGTCATCCACGTTTCCCCTGCAGCGGCAACTTTCAAACTCCGCCGCTTACCAACTTACCTTGTCGTGACCGTCGACTGAGTCAACGACATAGGACATTGATCTTCAACTGCCATCTGCATTGCGCCGTCGTAGCCATGTCCATTAAAAGAGGCCCCGAAGGTGCGTTGTACCCCACAGCTTTAACCGACTTATTGACTTATATATATGTAATTCAGACTACAGCAAACCTGCCAAACGCCCTCGACGCAACGACGACGATGAGTACCTAGATATTGCTGATGAAGACGACGTTATTCCACCATCTCCACCTGATACCTCCCTTGTACCCCGAGCTGCAACCATTAATTTCACTGCCTTGACACGACGCCTGGCCGAAGGTCGCAAAAGCAATGATGATCCAGCTGAAATGACGTCTCTTGAGGCACATCGCCGGAAACAGGACGCCCTCGTCTCCCACATCTTTATGGACCAGGATTTCTCCTGGCTACATCTGAAACCCGACCATGCTTCTCGACCTCTCTGGATCAGCCCCGAAGATGGTCACATCATCCTTGAAGCTTTCTCTCCAATTGCTGAACAAGCACAGGACTTCCTCACTGCTATCAGCGAGCCTGTCAGCAGGTGGGTTGCATGAGATGCCGTGGTTCAGTATCGTCAACAATTTAAATTTAGGCCGGCATTCATCCACGAATACAAACTCACCTCGTATTCGCTCTACGCCGCTGTTTCTGTCGGCCTCCAAACGGAGGATATTATTGAAGTTCGTCTACATGTGTAATTGCCAGACCCGTGGCTGACAGACTTGTCTTCAAAGGTTCTGAATCGTTTGTCAAAAGCACGTTCTGATGTTCCGTGCATCGTCGTGTACTAACAGTATCTTTAGGTACCCGTTCCTGAAACCATAGTCAACTTCATCCGCGAGCGAACGTTGAGTTACGGAAAAGTCAAGCTCGTCCTGAAGCACAACAAATACTTCGTGGAATCCAGCCATCCCGAAACGCTCCAATTCTTGCTGAAGGACAAAATAATCCGTGAAGCTCGTTCGCAGGCGCCCGTTGTCGACTCCAGTATAAAGGCCTCCACATTTACGACGGCGAAGGCCCCTGTGCGCGGTAACCTTGCAATACCTGGCACCAAGGAGCCGGAAAAGAAGGATGGTGCCACTAATATGCCAAATACTTCTGATGCGCAACTGTTCACTTCTGTAGTTGGCGTGGAATCAGGTTAGTGTTGTTGGCACAATGATCAGCCACGAACTGACCATTCTCCAGATGATATTGAGGAGGACGATGACAATGTCCATGCATTCGAAATCGATGATGCTAAGATAGACGTGAGTAACATGCTAGGTTCGTCTATGCGGGACGCCTAACATTCGATTCGCTGTTCCCTTATGCAGGACGTAAAGAAACGATGCAACGAATTGGAATACCCTATGCTGGAGGAGTACGACTTCCGAAACGACACCATCAATCCCAATCTTGACATCGACTTGAAACCGGCTACCACTATCCGGCCTTACCAAGAAACTAGTCTGAGTAAGATGTTCGGCAATGGGTACGTACTCACTTCGCCGTGATCTTTCCTGAATTAACGCTAGAACTGGGAATAGTCGAGCACGGTCTGGTATTATTGTCCTTCCTTGTGGTGCGGGCAAAACCCTCGTGGGTATCACGGCCGCTTGCACGATCAAGAAGTCGACGCTCGTTCTTTGTACATCATCGTGAGCGTGATGTTATTGTATCCCGGGTCCCATACTCATCTCTTCTCAGTGTGTCGGTCATGCAATGGCGCCAGCAGTTCATTCAATGGTCAAATATCACCGATCGGCAAATTGCTGTGTTTACTGCTGACCAGAAGGAAAAGGTATGTGGTTCCTGTCATGACTGGAATCGGTTTTTGATAGTCTTTTCCGCAGTTCGCTGGTGAAAGTGGCATCGTAGTGTCAACGTACTCCATGGTCGCAAATACCCATAACCGATCCCATGACTCGAAGAAAATGATGGAATTCTTAACTTCAAGAGAATGGGGCTTCATTCTTTTAGATGAAGTGCACGTCGTCCCAGCCGCTATGTTCAGACGCGTTGTCACTACGATCAAAGCGCATTCCAAGCTAGGCTTGACAGGTAAGAAACCTCCCCTTTCTGGCTGTACCGCGCCCTCACTCTTCTTGCACAGCTACCTTGGTCCGAGAAGACGACAAGATTGCCGATTTGAATTACATGATTGGGCCTAAACTTTACGAAGCCAATTGGATGTATGTACCAATCCACCGGGACTCGCTAGACGCTGACATTATCGACCTCCACAGGGACCTTGCTGCGAAAGGACATATCGCCAACGTTCAGGTAGGCCTAATTTCATCTTCAACGCATGGCCGAAACTGAGTATTATAGTGCGCGGAGGTGTGGTGCCCAATGACCCCTGAATTCTATCGGGAGTATCTTCGTGAACAATCTCGGAAGCGAATGCTCCTCTATTGCATGAACCCAAACAAGTTCCAAGCGTGCCAGTTCTTGATCAGATATCACGAGGGTCGGGGAGACAAGGTGATCGTCTTCTCCGACAACGTCTACGCTCTCGAGGTATGTTGGTCGCAACATGGAGTCGAGTGATTATTGAATTTCTACTGCAATAGGCTTACGCCAAACACCTCGGAAAACCCTACATCCATGGCGCAACTGGTCAAGTGGAACGAATGAGAATTCTTTCCCACTTCCAACACAGCCCGCTAGTGAACACGATTTTCCTCTCGAAAGTTGGCGACACCTCCATCGATCTCCCAGAGGCTACCTGTTTGATCCAAATCTCTTCTCATTTCGGCTCTCGAAGGCAGGAGGCACAGCGCTTGGGTAGGTTAACTATATATGCCAATGATCCCCGTGCTTATCAGCGCCCTTTCAAGGTCGCATTCTCCGAGCCAAACGGCGAAATGATGAGGGGTTCAATGCCTTCTTTTACTCATTGGTTTCGAAGGACACGCAGGAGATGTTTTACAGCACCAAGCGGCAGCAGTTCTTGATTGATCAAGGATACTCTTTCAAGGTCATCACTCATCTTGACGGCTTAGAGGATCTACCCGACCTAGCGTATCGGACCAAGGACGAGCAGATTGAGTTGCTTTCATCGGTGTTATTGGCGAACGAAAGCGAAGCTGACCTGGGCAGCGATGTTCGCGCGTCAGAGGGTGACCTTGCGGGCACGGTGACATCCCTTGATTTCGGCGGACCTGGTCGTTTCCCTGGAGTTCAGCGCACGACTGGATCACTTACCGCACTTAGCGGAGCACAGCACATGTCGTACGTCGAACAAAACAAGTCTGCCAACAAGAAGCTTGCCCGGGAAGCGCCTTCTCGTCATAAATTGTTTGCCAAACGGGAGAAGGACAAGGCCGCAGCCAAGAAAGAAGCCAGAGCGGCAGCCAACCTGGGCAGACTTTAAGGTTTCTACACACCTGCGTGATATGAGTCCTCGATACCTTGTTTGAGCGTACCGTACCTAGTATAATACAGATGTGATAGGTCATTTCCTCTGTAATGATAATTTATCGTTTACTCGACGTACTGTTTATCTCGGGTCCTTTCGGCCTCTCCCTCTCGTTTTTGATGGAAACCGAATCGCCTGGCTTGTCTCTTACCAGCTAAGTACTGATCTACCAGCACTCGGTCGATACGTACTATTTCTTCCTCTTAGAGTCTTCGATCCGGCGAGTCGCTGATTGGCTGGACTTTCTCAGATTGTCGCCAGATCTGGGGCGCTGGTCCCTGAATATGCACGTCAAGGACAGGCCCCAAAAGCCAAGCTGTTCTGGATTCAAATACCTAAAATTTTGCGCAGGTAGGTAGCTCGCTATGTAGTCCCCCCACTACTATGGGTATCCAATGTTTCTTTCTGGACACTGAAAGCACTATATCACCCCCACGCGGTCCCCGGTTTGCAAGCCATCTCGCGTAGTCGTGGACACGAGTTTTAGGGGCAGGATCTAGCGATGTGCTCATCGTTGCTGTGACTTCCAGGAAAGATTGGCCTCCTGGTGTCTGCAACCCTCGTAAAAGACAGCCGTATGCGGAATAATCTGGTGTTGGCCCTAATACGACTAAACCGCGACAGTAGGTACGGTGGCAAGGCGGCCTTATGAGATTCAGGGATTGCCTTGATGAGGCGCCGGTTTGGATCGATCAAAACATCTCGATTTGTGTGATGCCCCTTCGTCCCGAGACTGGCATCGGAGGCTCGGAACCCTTTTATATGCCTGTTCCTTTCAGCTCGAAAAGGGCAGCCATTCCCTCCTCCGCATTTCTTTCGAGCCCATGTCCTCCAAGCGGGGCCGGAAAAGAAACGACAACCTACCCCCTAACCGTGCCCGCGACGTTCAAAGGGCTTTCAGAGCACGGCGTGCGGCCCACCTCTTGGTACGATTTTTCTTTCAAGCCTCCCCCGGTTGGTTGATTAACGCCGAACGTTCATTTATCTACTAGGCGCTTGAACAACGAGTATCTGAGTTGGAAGAGGAGAATGATTATCTCCGACAAGCTTTGAACCTTCCTCCTTCGAACAGACCTCCCTTAGGTCGGGGACCAACGGGCAAGGACAAGCCGAAGCCTAATCCTAATCCCCCCACAAACCCTCTGTCTACCTTGTTCCAACAGCTACAGTCCTCGTCGACTCGCGAAACCTCCGTGTTCTTAGATTCGCCGCCGTCCCGCGACAGTACCGACTCTCCTGTCTCAATTCCCGTCTCCATGTCCCCTTCTCGTCCCATGACGGTACTTGACAGCAATGCATGGAGCGATAATCTTCTTGTCGACAACGTCTCTCGCACTCTCCCGCCCCCTCCGATTACATCCACCTCGACCTACCATATCTCCCCTATCACCGTCCCATCTACGGTAAAGATGGATTTGAATGTCTATGCTGCCAGTTCAGCGACGCCTTCACGAAATATCACGATCAACCGCACTTACGATAACCCCGGCAATGTCTTGACAGGAAATAGTGTCCGGGAATATGGACCTATGTCTTATACATCGCAAACTACGCAGCTCGCGGACGAACAACCACGAACCCATTACGACTACATGTCCACCCTCTTCCAGAATCAGCAGCCATCCGCCGTCTACACCCGTCTCGGACAAACCCCGTCCCCATCCGAGTATGTCCAGCAGCAGTCCGACCAGACTGTCAACCATCCCCAAAGCCATTGCTCGGCGGACGCTGCCATGAATAGTTGTACCACTTCGCACCCTACGCTTGTCCACCCCCGACCAATGTCACACCCGGCTCATTCCCAGTCACAGCCATATCGTCCCCATTCTCTCCCTATGCAGTCCCAGTCCCGTCAAGACATGCACCCTCCGCGGCAATCCAGTTTGAGTCGTCGTGAAACACCGGTTTCCTTTGTCGACACGACGACTCCCGCTCGAGACCATCATGGTTATGCCATTGGGCAGAATTGTCACCTTACCAACCACCCGCCAATACAAAACGACCCGCGGAGCCACGATTATGCGCTAAGGCTCCATGGGATTGAAGCTTCTGTTCCAAGGCAGCAAGTACCCTATGCTCATGCTCCTGATGGCCACCTCCATCGCGCATAGGGCGACGATCGGCTGGATTTTCTTTGGTATAATTATTTTTCCACGCGCGCTTTACTATTGGCTTATTCTTGACGACAATGGACCTTCGCAATGTTTTCAGGCGCTTTGACAGGCAATTTGTATCGCTATCTCGTTCTGTGCCATGATTCCATCACTAACAGCCTACCACATACTTTACCACTCCTAATTATTTTCAGAGTATATGTTCGAACTCTTGGTACCATATGCGCGACCAATAACTGTTACAACTAATGCAGCATAGTTTCAGTCCGGGCCTGTCGCTCTCCCCGAGAATACAAGTCATACCTAATCGGTGAGCGACCTGGGCTTGATTGAAATGGATGATCGCCTATCACCTCTCGGCTTCTGAATTTTACGCCGGCTGCTCGGTCCTCCGGCAGAACTCTGGACATTTGTGTTCCTGACGCTCCTGAAACCTCCTCACAGTTCCGATGCCTTGCTTGGATTGTTCTAAAGGTACCCGTGGCAAGCATTTCCTGCGCCCCAAATACTTCTCCTACTTACTTTCGAAGGATAGTGTGTGGAGCGCCCATCCAGCGGCCATCACCTTCGATAGATGAAGTGCTAGCCATTCTGGGGCTATCACTTTCTGAAAATGTCCAGCGGTTGTCCTCACTGCTCATCGACGGATGTAAGGACCGAACCGAAACATAATCTCGTTCACCAATCTATTTCTCCGCAACCCTGGTACTTACACATCATTGATAATCGCAAGTTCAACCAGGAGCCCGGCGATGGACGAGCAGTTCAAGCATCCTCAGCCAAGACATGGTTTAATCACAGAGCGATTCGGCACCGAGCGAATTCGGAGGTCAGATACGCTGCTCACATAGGGGCAACGGTGACCTTGTATGACGACATATGAGGTCTCAAGCATTAACGCGGTGAGTTCATGAATCATCTTCGATTCGAACTGGACATTAGCGGTGGCCTCCTTTCCAGGGGCTAGCCCGTCTCAGCCAAAATTTTTGAGAACTCGACCTCTCCGAGACCTACACAATGGGAATTGTCGATTTTCTGGGAATTCCCATAGATAAAATTTCACTGCACTCACATTCTTGTATATTACGAGCCAGCTGAGAAACGACAGTCAATGACGGCACTTTCCATGGCCCAGGGACATCCTTGTCAGGATTGCAGAGTTTCCATTGGAGATATGAAAGAAACGCAAATGCATGCTTTCATAAGAAATGGATTGCGAGCATACATTCACCATGATTATGCGTCCTTCAGTGGGCTCTTGCGTGTTCCACCCCAAAGACCTGTAGTCTGAACGAGTAATATAGACGCTCAAAACATTCCAATCGTCCTATGTTTGTTCGGCCATCACAGGATCAGGCAAGGCTGATGCGGCCTACTAAAAAAGTATTACGCAGAGGATTCACGTGCCAGCCCGCGTATTACAGCTCTTCGTCTTCACTGATACATCGTCCTATACATCGAATCCACTCTCCTCGTTGGTATCCAAACTGCCGCGTTCTCGCTCATCGCCCTCACCCCCGCCCAGGAATGGTGCTCGCGGGGACTCGCAGAGAAAGTCTGCTCAAGGGACAACCCACCGTGTTCGGCGGCGAGTTCCAACAACAACTGTGAACGAAGAACAGTCCAAAGATACCAAGCAGACCCTTCAAGGGTGGAGCACAAGCTATCAGGCAGGGTCATCTAGGTATGTTGAGCACATTCCGAAATGTTCTATGTCTGACCTATTGAACTCGTAAGCTCTGATTCCGAATGTTCGTCAGAAGAGGAAACCGAAGACGAGAGCTCACTTCTGAGAGGAAGGAGTGAGGCCGGAATCAATGGCAAGGGCCACAGGTTCGGAAACATGACCAGTGGCCCTTCCTTTATAAAATCTCGGAGCCCAGATAGAACATCGTCAGGCGAATCCTCTGCAACGGGTTTCCGTATGGGTCGCACAGCGTTTACTCGTTCCAGGTCGCCAGTCGTCCGACTGCAGCCATCTCTAGTTCCCCAGTCTATGCCAGCACGACACCTATCGCCAAATCTTACGCGCCAATCTCGAAAGAACCCCTTGCTCATTGCCCTATCATTATTCCCCACAAACCTCTCATTCAGGATCCCATTCCTATTCACTGCTCATGCATGGTCATTCAATATGGAAACACGGAAATTGGGAGAATTTGTGCTTCTGCTTGTATCCCTTATGTCTGCTTCGTCTCACTTACTTGGAGTTTCGACCAAAGAGATCGACGATGGACACCACTGGCACGCACTAGGTAAGTGCTCTTGAAATGCCCTTGGTTTCTCTCTTACATTTGACATTACTAGAGTTGAGAATTCTCGCTTTCCTCTCGGCCTGCTATATCATGTGGACGCACAGTGAATTATCCTTCACTCAGACGCCTACGGTGAACAAGGATCAGGAGGCGCCACAAAACCTAAACCCAACCCCGTCCACATCCGCCAACAGGTCTTCCTCCCCTCGAGCATTCGACAACAAGGACATGCGGAAGGGATCGATTTCATCAAACGTCAAAGCCGATTCTGGTTATATCTGGATGTCTGTTCCAAAGAACTACAGGTAGGCCACCAGCCCAACTTTTCTGTTCCCCAACTTACCGTCGGCCACAGGGATTGCGGCGACGACGGGATAGCGACAGGACTACTTTTAGGACCCCTTATCGCCACGTCAGTTCTCATATCGTCCATTCATACCAGAAGCACATCCGCAGAACCTCTACCAAAAGACTGGCTGATTGAACCTCCGCGCGTTTTGCCTGGTCTTTCCTCTGCTATGGATGCATTAGTGCTCTCCAGGCACAGTTTGGTCAATCTGAGCACATTTTGCGCAACGATCCTCCTGATCCACGTATGTGCATCTTGGTGGTTGGAAGGGCTCTATACCAAGGGCACGAATAAGCCAGAAGGGGAGAGGGCTTCAGTCCCACGTAGCGAAGGCAGACGGTTCTGGTACTACGCACTTTTTACAGTAACCGTTAGCCTTCTCATGGTCGTCCTCAAGATCACCTTTAGCCAGTCTGGCATTGGTATATGGAAAGGTACGAATACCTGTAGCCCAACGAGTTTCCGCTGAAGTTTGTCTCGTCGTCAGATCTTTCCACATTCGAGGCGGCGATAACTGCCCCTTTCTATAGCTTGACGCTGTACGCGGGTCTACGATTAGCGCATCGGGGATTTACCGTCGGCGAACTTGGATTAGTATGCCTCGGAGGAACCGCGGTTTGTTTGGAGTTTCTTAATCTCACCAAAGCGAGGGTATGCCCGGTTTGGCTCACGATGATGACTTAGGCTTTAACTTACCCAGATCATGCTAGATTTGGCCTATCACGACTCGCTATATCCGAACATACCGACTCCCTACACCACTGCTCATTTTCCAGATCGCCTTGATTGTCGGGTCCTTACTGACAGGATTCCTTTTATCCCCTTTCCTCGTCCTCTCACGAAACAACGCACAGCGCCCGGCCCATCGAATCCGCTCGCCTGAACAAAAGTTGAGGAATCGACGTTATTATGCCCTTGGATTTTATGTGGGGTCAGTCTTGATCATCGTGGGTTTGATAGGCCTATGGACGCGGTGGCTACTGGGAAACCGAGATCCGTGGCTGTGGACGATGTTTTACCTCCTCGAAGGCCGAAACAAATGGAGTCGACCCGTGTTGTTGGGGTATTGGGCACTCCTTGGATCCATAAGCGTGGCAGGATGGGGTCGTCAGCTTTCAAGGTCTCGCAAATATAGGCTGAGAAGTCAGGAACAATCCATGTCAGTCCAGGCATACGACGTCCCTATGGGTTCCAGCCTCACCTCCAGTCCCGAACACCCTAATTCAAGTCACTCTTCGGCTTCTCCAATCGGTGGCTCCATGTCTTTTGCGACCCTTGGAAACATTGGTATGCCCAGTTTACCCAACCTACCAAATGGGTCGAATGTTTCCAATGTTGCAAGCGAATTGCTGGATGCAGCCGACAAGCGGGTTCCTACGCTCAGCCTTAACGCACGCAGAAAGTATTTCCACGGACTAGCTGTTCTAATGTTCGTCCCAGGTGTCGCATTTGACGTACGTTGCTCTCTCCTCAACGCAAAGTGTGAGACCTGACGGTGGCGATGTAGCCGGCATTCACCCATCTCGCATTCAGCGCAGCATTCGCTTTGTTCACCTTTACGGAGTACATCCGATATTTTGCGGTATACCCTTTCGGAGCAGCCATCCACCTCTTCATGAACGACTTCTTGGATCATCGCGACGGTGGAACAGCGATCTTGAGTCACTTTTACCTCCTGACAGGTTGCTCAGGCTCCTTGTGGTTAGAAGAGTAAGTGGATCACCTCCGCCTTTCGTTCGGCCCAACTAATTCCCAACTGCTAGCCCATCAAAATTGAGGCAAGTGACGGGTATCTTGACGCTGGGAGTTGGGGACGCAGCGGCCTCGATCGTCGGACGAAGGATTGGGCTGAGAAGATGGTCCCCGACGACAGGCAAGACCGTGGAAGGTAGTTTGGCTTTTGTTGGTTCTATTTTCGCGACAGCATGGTTCCTTCGTCTTTTGGGTTTCGTGGAGACATTCCCGGTGCGTATCAATTCCTGGTCGACGCCATACAACTCTGACAGATCCTCCAGTCGTTGCGTTACCTCCTGACGTTGATGTGCGCAGCTTTGCTGGAAGCTCTATCGGATCAGAACGACAACCTGACGCTCCCATTATATACGTGGAGCATGCTCGTGGTGATTGGAAGCAAAAGAATACTGTAGAATAGAGGTTAATGTAAACACGAGAAGCTTGATAATTTAGGGCAACCTGGTGTATGATGTCATATTTCCCACGTTTGGCACTTTGGGTTTGCGGTTATTAGAGGTCGACTGTGACTTGGCCCTTCACCCTTGAGATCCAACCAACGTACCGCCATTCTTCACTCATCTTTGCCTGTTCCATACGTCTACAACGTGCAGGGTCACGATATACTACTACCGCTTGCTCTCCGGAATCTGCCAATGAATAGGCGCCAGGATTATCCATCGTAAATCCACCTTCAGCCCAGAATACGGTAGTTCAAGGGAAGAAGAAACCAGGAATGCAAGCACACTGCGAACCCTCAGTACTCAACCCGGTAGGGAAGCTTCATACGAATGGGCTGTTCGTTCTGAATACAGCCATCGCCAACAATCGCTACCAGACCAGCGACAGCACTGGGATCGACCCGAGGTCATTGACGCAGAGCATAAATGCCGCCAAACGTGCGTGTAAGACCGTATCAGGGTGCCTGCGACCCGAACACAGAAAAGGACAAATTCTGACGTCGTGGATCTCTGTAGGCCATACCGTCTCGCTTCCGACCTCCCCATATCAGGAGGGCTCATCACGATCGTACGCCGAAGGCACTCCCCTCGGGCAGGCCAACGGCCTAGCCACCTTCAGTAATGAGGCTCTGCTTCCGCGAACGTCGAGCTCCGGTACGTTTTTGTAAGGAAATGTTCTCAATGTATGTCTAACATGTCGTCCAGATGATCTCGAAGTGCCTTCGGATAGCAATCTACTTTCCACACATGGACGGTCATTATCTGGAGACACAGAGTGCGACTGGGCGACCTTTATCACGGCTTATGCCAATGGGCGATGGGACCCTCACAAGCCGCCGAACCGGCCTCACCCGTGTCATGGCTACGATTCCGAGACTGGGTACATGAAGAAGTTGGAGCCAGTGCAACTGTCTACCTCGCTACAAGTCACCGCGTCGGATTTCGACCAGGACCGCGATGGAACTTCCAAGTTGCGAGACGGGCGAGACAAGGTTTCAATCTCTCTGCAGGCTATGCAGGACCAGGCCGGTTCAATCATCGCATCATCTACGAACGGACGCAAGTTCCACAATCTAAAAATGGATTTCCCTCTCAAGCTCCCTGTTTCTGGGAGGTCACGGATCTCTTTTCCTCCTTCGACGTCTACTGCATCCATTGGAAGCAATTCCTCCATGGCGAGCACGGCGGCCTCCAACTCGGATTTGCAGACGACCGTGGCCACAATGCGATGGGCTGCGGCCAGAGTGGACATCTCGCCTCTGGCCCTTCCATCTCCCGAGCACGAGCTAACAGATCCCATGCGCGGTGTCATCACTCCTGTACCTGGTTCCCACCCTCCCGACGACGACGAACCTCATGACCAAGTCATAACGCCTGGTGGAAGCCGACGATCAAGGTTATCCAGCTTTTGGGAAGGTACGATAGATGTCGATCCTAAGGCCTTCAAGATGGGGTCTATTCCACGGAAACATTCGCGCTTGAGCCTGGGTGGCAACAGCGCAGATGGTAGGGTCACTCCAGATAGTGTGCAGACGAACAAACAGGATATACCAGATAAAGTTCCAAAGAAAACCGAACACTCACCCGCTACTCAACTTTCCATACTCGCTGCTCAACCACCGCCTGCCACTGCACCAATTCCGGACAAGAAAACTTCCAGTCGATCGGTAGAAGACTCTGACTACTTTGGAAATTTTCAACAATCTCCCAAACCTATTACCGCCCCGATCCTGGTGGAACCCGTACGAGAGGTGCATTCGACTTCCTCCAACCCCGCTGCGGCGGACAGTGGATCTAGGACAGTCCCAGCGCTTCCTCGCCGCATTTGCCTCACCAGGCAAACATCCTCTCCTCTTCCGATTTCCCTGGCACCACCCGAAGCTCGTATCCCTGGAGGAAGGGTACCATCAGACTCGGCAAATCCAAATGCCAAAGGAAGAGCTGTCAAGGAGGAACAGATGTTCTCGGAACTCGGATACCTTGCTCCTCCAAATCCTCCAGATGAGCTTGAGCGCCGGCGAGCCTTGTATAAGTGCGTTGCCACGTAAAAGTCGTCTGCATGACCACTGAAGTTTTTCAGATTCAACATATGGTACACCGGGCCCGACCTCAACTTTGACCGAATAGCCCATCTCGCCAAGCTGGTTTTCAATACGAAGGGTGTCATCGTATCGCTCATCGATGGCAACGAGCAGTCAGTCTAGTTCCTGCGCATTTAGTTATCTCAGTTAGCTCACACGGTGCATTCTAGGTGGTTCAAATCAGAATGTGAATGTCTCTTCCTTTCTTGCGCGCTTGCTTGTTCTAATTTACTTACCCTTTTTTTCCCCCTTCCTATGGGGTTTCAATTTTAACTGGTGGCTCGATTTTGACACAAGGGGGGCTCAAGTCACCAAGCTGTCCCAGGACACATTCACTGTGTGGCCATGCCATCCTTCAACAGTTGAGTATGGTCTCCATCCTTTCGTCCCTCCCACGTGTGGACGTTCTCGAGTTGGATTGCACTCGGGTTTATCTTCCGAGGGTGCCACTCGCTCGAAACTTCGCGCTTGAGGCAAACGACTAACTTAATTGAGCAGAGGAGATGAGCCTATGATCGTTCTAGACACCCATCTCGATTGGAGATTTGCCAGGAATGTGAGTAGTAAAGAGTCTTTTTTTCCCTTCTCCGACCCGAGAATATTTCCCTATAGTTCTCTCTGTATTCTCAGCACGTTCCTAATGCATGCATTTCTAGCCATTGGTGATAAATTCCCCACGTATTCGCTTCTATGCCGGAGCCCCCTTGCGCACCCAAGATGGCTACAACATTGGCACGTGCGTTAAAACGAGGTTCTTCAGAAGATGGTGACGGACTCAGATACGCCATTTCCCACTAGGCTTGCCCTCATCGACGACGTCTCTCGAGAAGACTTCTCCCCCCGTCAAAGACATACTCTCAAGGAATTCGCTGTAGGTATATTTGTCGCATGTTTCCCTGACAAGCACTGACATGCCATGGCAGGCAATTGCTATGCGGGAAATGGAACTTTGGCGAGACAAAGTCAGTGTTTCGTGAAATTCGAGTTCCAAGGCTAATTTGGCCTTTAGATTCAGTTGAGAATACGGGATCGAATACAAAGCTCTGTAAGTCTTGGTTGACTTGGAATGAAACAGAAACTCAATCCATTCTATCTAAATTTCGACAGATGGAGGAGTTCACTCGAGAATGCTTAGAAATCGATTCCGAAGTACATCCCAAAGTCGACAAAGCTTCCATCGTGATCGGTACTTCCATGGACCGTGTTTACGACCGCGCAGCGAAGCTTGTCCAGAGAACGCTTGACGTAGAGGGAGTGATTGTCATGGATGTAACGCACTGCGAAGTTTTGGAGACTATGGGTGACGAAGGAAATGTGTCTGTGACCTTGCACCATGGCACTCCAGGGAGTGAAATGGAGAAGCGCCCGTTGTCGAGAGAAGATTACCAGAGCCTGAATAATTTCTTCGCAGCCTACCCAGAGGGCAAAATTTCTGAAGGAATTCTTCCTCCTTCTTTCAGGCCCTACATGCCCACTCATATCCGATATGCACTACGTTTGTCCTCCTCGCCTTTCCATCGCCACGCAGCTGACCCTTTCTGGACAGTTGTACCGATATTCAATATAGACAAGCGCCCATTTGCCCTGCTATGCGCATATAATACTAATCTTCATTCAAAACGATTTGTGAGTTCTCTTCCCTCTTTATCTCCTTTCATGCACTGACTTCTGCTTAGTTAGAAGGGCATGAGTTATCATACCTGCGAGCTATTGGCAAGACCTTTTCCCGTTTCGTCAATCCATTTCGACTGATTTATTTCAGGTGTGATCATTCTGTCCGCTGTCCTCAAGAGACGCATGATTCTAGCCGACAAAGCGAAGAGCCTATTCATTTCAAAGTGCGTTACTTCAGCAACAATGTTCACGATATTGCTGACTGCAAAGTAGTATTTCTCACGAGCTACGAACACCCTTGCATGGGGTCAGTACTGCCGCTTTACTGTCCGAAACGCGTCCACTGACGACGCGCTGAGCAGATCCTTGCCGCTGCAGAGTTACTCAGTGACAGCCCCTTGAATCACTCACAGATGTCCTTCATCCAGACCGTCCAAGCTTGTGGCACTTCTTTAGTTGAAACAGTCAATCATGTCCTAGACTTCACAAAGCTCAGCGGCAACGTCAAAGCCGGCGGAGTGGAGAATGTCATCGTCCCCATCACGTCAGTGACTTCGTACGTTCCTGGAGGAGCTTTATTCACAATTCCAGTAGAAACGACATGATGCAACTCATAGAAGAGGCAATTGACGGAAGTTGGATCGGCTATAAAGCCAGGACGGCCAATCTGGTGGATTCGGGCATCGGCAGTGTCTACTCACCTCCAAGTGACGAAACCACCGACCAGGGCCACCAACCGTCGCAACCACATGTCGAGACGGTTATAGACATTGGGTATCGAAGAGAGGTATGGCCGATGTGTTGCATGTTCCGTGCCATGTTATTAATGCTTTTGTCCACAGGGATGGCTGCTGAAGTACGAGAAGGGTGGAATTCGCCGTGTGCTGATGAATCTCTTCGGAAACAGCCTCAAATTCACCACGGATGGGTATGTTCACGTCAGGCTGCGGTTACTCCCTCGCTTGCCAGACGACCCGCCAAACAAAGTGAGGTTAGAGCTTGCCATCGAAGATACAGGGAAGGGTATCAGTCAGAACTTCCTCAAGGTGAGCTTGCTGATCTAGCGATCGGAATCGCACTACTTACTGTCCACTCAGAATCAACTCTTTCACCCGTTCTCGCAGGAGAATCCTCTCCAAACAGGCACCGGCCTCGGATTGGCGATAGTTAACAGTATCGTGTCTTCCGAGAATGTCGGAGGAAAGGTGGACGTCCGAAGTGAAGAGGGTCAAGGAACCGAGATCAAGGTCTTCTTCCCTGCAGAAATCCCAGAGGACGACCCCAGGTTGGCTGATGCGGCACAAGACATGGAACACTTCCGGGCGGACAAGAACAGCCCGTTACCCAAGATATCCATGCTAGGCTTCGAGTCTCAGCACAAAGGCATCCAACTCTTGTACAGAGTGCTTCGGACGTACATAACAGAGTGGTGGGGCCTTGACATAGTGGATGACTCTCAGGACAGTGACATCGTCGTCCTCAACGAGGACCTTGGGCCAATTCGTTCCGCCATCGAGCGCAACGACATACGTCGCCCGTTCGTGATTTTATGGGTCACACGCGGGAACCCTACTGTTCTGGCAGCCGCCACAGAATACGAACGGATAGGCGGATTCTGCCGCATCCTCTACAAGCCCACTGGCCCATCGAAACTACGGGGGGTCCTCAAACTCTGCATGCACTCCATCAAGATCAATCGGTATTATCGCGACTCGGCACCCATGACAGCTGTACGGAAGAACACGGTATCGGGGTTTGCAGAGGACAAGGATGTATCGCATGGAGGGGTGTTGAGAAGGAACTCGGATGAAAACTCGACTTACGCCAGCAAGTCGCTTAGTCGACCCCCAATGTCCCCGCGGTCAGCGACCATTCATCCCTCCGTTTCCTCACTTCGGCATCAACTGTTATTATCCGCGCTTCCGGAGAAGGATCGTGGACAGGAAGGGGAAGTTGGTTCACCTGTCTCTGATGGAACAGGTCTTCGTCCGATGGTTTCTATCGGCCCTGGGGGCTCAGTCCTGAAGTCATCCGTCCAGCCGACAGACATCCGAGGCCGGAAGCTCAGGGTTTTAGTCATCGAGGACAACAACATTCTGAGGAACCTCCTGTAAGTTCTACTCTAAATCACAATGGTGGGACTCCTTGAGAGCTGACACGTATGTCTTTCTTCCAGGGCCAAATGGCTGATCAAGAAAGGGTATGATTTCGAAGAAGCTGTGGATGGGCAGGCAGGCGTGACGGCGTTCCAGGAACATGGTCCATTCGAGTGCGTCGTCACCGGTTTCTGCAGTGGGCACTGTTTCTGACGTTCTCGATTCATAGTGTTGCGTTGATTGACCTGTCAATGCCAGTCCTCGACGGTGCGTCCATATGCGTATCCTTTTTAACGGCGCGCTAATGACGCGGTATAGGCGTCGCGGCTACCAAAGAGATCCGTCGTATAGAGTCCAGTAAAGCAGGGGGAGACGACAGCTACCCCTCAGTCAAGATACTTGCCCTTACTGGAATGTCTTCATTAGAAGATAAGCGGCGAGCGTTTGAAGCAGGAGTGGACGGATAGTGCGTTCGTTTCGTTATTCTTAGTTCTGCTGCTGACGGTCTTGGAACTCATAGCCTTGTCAAACCGGTGGCCTTTAAGACCCTGGACGAGATGTTCCACAAGCTCGGGATCTCTTCATAGCATACATGTCATCTTTCAACCTACTTTCTAGCGCTTGGCGCTCCAACTGTTTATTTTAACCTTTTTAGGACTTTATTGTTACGTTCATAGTCGACTGTTATATTTTTTCTTGACCCTACTAATGCAGGATACTCCCACCCATGGCAATCTGAGGCTTACGATTCAAAGGCACAGGACGATGGATCAGTGGTCGCATGTGTATTTGTGGTTCTGTCGCTGTACAGAAGGATGTAGATAATGCAAGGAAAATGAAGCGTCCTGCCTCAGTGAGTGAAAACACCACCAGGCCTCGAAAGTATTGCAAGTAGAAATACATCTAGCCTTTTTTTAGCTAGTTAATTCATGGCACAATAGCGATAAGATATATGTGTTTGGCAACCGGCTATCCATCACACCTCCCCAAGGCCCGAGTTGACCCGAGGAAAGGGGATGAGTAAACCGTGCATTTTGAGGGAGCGGATGCATAAAGATGTCGTGCGCCAGACGGGGAACGGGGAAGTGGAGCCCCATAGTTCCGCGTAGCCGTGGCAAGTGGAAAACTGGGGTGATTACTAATGAAAATTAATCACTTCTCTCCACCGACGGGCTAGCAGCGCGGCCCTGAGCTTCAGCCTTGTGTCTTCTCAAGAGACGGTCAAGAGCTTCCTTCTGGCCAACAGCGAGCTCTCCTGATTGAATACCAGAGTGGTACACACGGAGAAGGGTGTCGACGTCGTCCATGGATTGAGTTCGGACGTCAGCGAGTTCCTTAATCTTGGCAGTAACGTCCTTAACCTAATCATTGCAAAGGTAAATTGAGTGAATGTCGATGAAGGTGCAGAAGGCTGTTACTAACCTCAGCATCAGTGAGTTGAAGGCCGAGTTGTTCGACACGAGACTTGACGGCGTTCCAACCGGTCAAACGGTGACTAAAGTAAGATTAGTAAATGCTCGCATGATGAAAATGGAGAGGAGACGAACCCAATTGAAACGTATCGGGTGAGACCAAAGTCCTCTGGCTTGAGGATTTCGTAGGTGCTGGGGTTGTTAAGGATAGCCTTGGCGTGGATACCGGCCTTGTGGGTGAAAGCACAGTAGCCAGTGATGGGGTTCATGAAGGGGATGTTGACCTCGACGGCTTCAGCGACCAAGTTTTCGATTTCTCGAAGCATGGGGAGGTTGTACTTGGACTTGACGTATTCGGGGTTGGCGGCGTAGAGGCAGGCAACGAGACCACCCAACGGAGTGATTCCGACACGCTCACCAATACCAAGGACGGCTGGAAATCAAAAAAAGTCAGATATCGTCGCACCAAAGATACCTGCGATACTTACAGGTATCGATGTGGGTAGCACCGGCTTCGAGGGCGGTGTAGGCGTTGGCGATGGCCATACCGGTATCGTTGTGAAGATGGACTTCGATATCGCAGCTGACGACGCCTCGGAGGGTTCGGACGAGATCGTAGACTTGACGGGGGTTGGCGCAGCCGACGGTATCAGCGATACCGACACGGTTAACACCAATCTTATCTACAGTCTGGTAGATGGACAAAAGGTCGACGAGATCGGAACGGAAGGAGTCCTCTGATGAGAATCGGACTTCAATGCCCTTGGACTTGACGAATTCGATGACCTCGATAGCGGTCTTGGTGATGTAGGCCATATCCTTTCCATGCGAGAATTCACGGAGGTAGGATGAAGTTCCGATAACGACGTCAACACCGTCGACACCTGGAGGACAGAGTTTATGTGAGGGCTCAGGGGGTTATGATCAGATTGGGGGAATTTTCACTGACCAGTCTCTACAGCGACTCGGGCATCGTCCATGTGGCAACGGATGTGGGTGAGGATCTTGGCCTTGAGCCCGAGCTTGCAAATAGCCTCGCAGTCAGCTCTTGACTGCTCTGATGCGCAAGGGGAAGTGAGTTCGATGTACTCGACACCAAAGGCATCGAGGGCCTTAGCAATGGCAATCTTGGTCTTGGTGTCAAAGAAGGCATTAGCGAATTGTTCACCCTCTATTGAGTGAGAGATCAGAGGGAATTCAAAAGAGTATTTCCTGGATATTCTAACCTCGCAGTGTGCTCTCGATGATGTTGAAATTTGAAAGATTTGATAGCAAGTCGGATGCGCGTGCGGCGTAGGGGTTCTTGACCTCGCGGTTGAGGTGAGCATCGGGTGCCCTCCATGTGCCTCGCTTCTTGATTCCCTGCTTGTTGACGCCGTAGGCAGGGGCCCCGTTGGTGCCGTTGGTGGTGGAGGTGGAGGACTCGCCGTTTAGAGGGATAGCAACCATTTCAGACTTGTCAGCGGGGAGAGAGTCACCAGTAGCGTGTGGGCACATTGAGTCGGTCGTCGTTGGCGAGATTTTTTAAAGGAAAAGGGAAGAAGCTGGGTGGAGAGTTGTAATCAACTTTGGGTTCAACCTCGACTATAAATTTGTTTCTCGATTTGATTCGAGTCATTATCTTAAACTTAGAACGGCATAAGCCTTGGCATCGGATATACCCGAATACCGTCATGCCTCGCCGGTCGGCCGACTTCCTCCAATCATAGCTCTGATATATTCATTCACATGATCATCCTGGTTCACTGTTAATTCGCAGCTACATAGACATCCTACAAAGTTCAAATGTCGGCCAACAGGAGTGTCGGCGGAGACAGGTGGCTAAACCTTATCCTTGCAGTTGATCGCGGGACTCTGGGTTGCACAGGCTCAGTCAGCAGAGGTGTGACCTGGTAGGTCAGTGCCAAGGATTGGGAATCCATCTCTTCGTCACGGGCCCGACAGAAGGGATTCCGATGTGCACACAGCGTTGACCGACTCAGAGCTCACACCGTGTCTCCGCATGAACCCCTTCACAATTCCGGTCGCAGTACGGCATCGAACATCGACGACAACGGTATGCTCCCCAGTACCCGCACACCGAACACAGAAGACGAGGAGGATACGATGGACTTGGTGCACACGCATTGAGGTAATTGACGCTGGTTGATGGCATTGACGAGATGTTCTGCTTTGTGACGGCCCTCAGTAAATATCTTTGTGAAGTTTGGTGACCAACGGACCGATTCTTCCAACAACGTCGCGAAATTCTTCCGGTACAGAACGGCAGTGCGGACAGCCATCGTGGACTTTTTGCCAGTTGCTGCTGGCGACGTTCCAGGGATATTCAACTTGCGCTTGTCGGATATCGTTTGGCGCCCTCGGCCCTTGGAATACCCGGCTTCTTCTTCATCTTCGACAGTGGGTACAAGCAATGTAGGCTCAGTGTAGTTGGATTTCTGTAAAATAGTACAGATCGAGTCCAGTTCGACCCGGGGTTTGAGCTCAATAGTATATACCTCGAGTTCGTCCAGATGCCGTTTCGTCCGTTTCGCAAGGATCTCAGGCGGGATAGTGACTGTTCTGCCTATGAGCTCTGTTCATAAGATTGACTGTTGCTGGTGTACATACACTGCTCTCTAGCTCGCTTTGGAGGCATATTGGTGAATGTAATGGAGCTGGGTGACCTCGGCCGATGTAAACAGGGTCCGGCACTGTCGATCATGAGCACGCCATTTGTGGTTCTACCAAATATTGGGACTCGGAGGATGCTGCAACGTCCTTTCTCTCCTTCCTACTCGCCGCATCTCCCTTTGAACTGCCGACTAGCGCAACCTCTAGACTAGTCAACTGTCATAAACAGACCATCACTGGTCCTCATTGCATCTAGCAGCCATGACGCCGCCAAAACCATTGGAAACCAAGCAACCTCTTCACGATCTGCCGACACCAGGCCCAGAGTCTCCGTTTCGAGAAAGACGCCCGTATAGATTTTCGACGCTATGTGCAACTGTCGACAACCCGGATATGAAGGATCAGTATGGGAGTAGCTCAGTGCCCATCTATCAAACCGCGACGTTCAAGGGTGTGGGGAACGAATACGATTATACCCGCAGCGGAAACCCTACTCGAAGCCATCTTCGTGCGTTGATAACATGGACTGTGTCGCTGAAAGTAAGCTTCTAACAAGCATTGCAGAACATCACATTGCCAAAATCTCTTCCGCAGCCCATGCGTTCACAGTATCTTCGGGAATGGCTGCTCTCGACGTTATCCTGCGTCTTCTGAAGCCAGGCGACGAGGTCATTGCAGGAGATGATCTCTACGGAGGTACAAACCGTCTGCTCACATACATCCGCTCCCACCTCGGTGTCACCGTACATCACGTCGACACCACCGATCCCACCAGCCTCCACAAGTACATTCACCCTACCAAGACAGGCATGGTCCTCCTCGAATCACCCACAAACCCCCTCCTCAAAATAGCAGACCTTGCCACAATTAGCAAAGACGTCAAAGAGCGCGCACCAAACGCCATCATCGTCGTCGATAACACCATGATGACTTCTTACCTCCAGCGACCCCTCGAGCACGGTGCTGACATCGTGTATGATAGCGCTACGAAATATCTGAGCGGTCATCATGACCTCATGGCCGGTGTCGTTACCTGTAACCGGGACGATATCGCCCAGAGGTTGGCATTTACCATTAACGCAGTTGGTAATGCATTGACACCCATCGACTCCTTCATGCTACTCCGGGGTATCAAGACACTTGCCATTCGAATGGACCGACAACAAACTACCGCACAACTCGTAGCCGAGTATCTATACAACCTGGGTTTCACAGTCCACTACCCCGGGTTGCCTTCTCACCCCGGAAGGGATGTCCATCTTCGTATCGCCGATGGAAATGGCGCGGTTTTGAGTTTCGAGACAGGGAATAAAGAACTTAGCGAGAGGATTGTTGCCGCTACTCGTCTTTGGGGTATCAGTGTCAGCTTTGGCTGCGTAAACAGCTTGATCAGTATGCCCTGTGTGATGTCGTGAGTGCCTGGCTATTTATCATCCCACTCTTCCATTTTCCATTCCTTCTGTGAAATCCCGCCCCCATCCCTCCCTTCCCTTTATCCCACTTCCCATCCATACGATGCCTGCAACCGACGCACCTGACTTACAAGACTTGACTCACGACAGGCACGCTTCCATTGATGCAGCAACTCGTGCAGCCCGCGGCCTACCTGAAGATCTCATCCGCCTCTGCGTAGGAATAGAGGATCCTCATGATCTCCTGGATGACCTCGAACACGCCCTCCTAGAGGCAGGCGCCATCGAACTCAATGCTGCCCAAAACAAGTTTGTCAGGGCACCCGATCCTGATGCCCTCTCCCAGGCCGTCCACGATTTGGATCTCGATGATGGAAGGAACCAGTTGGAATGGTTCGTCAGTGCTCCTGGAAAGGTCATCCTTTTCGGAGAGCATGCGGTTGTCCACGGTGTTGTAAGTACTTATCCTTTCTTCGTACGTTAAGAGGCGTCGCACTTTGAGAGATACTCGCCCTCCCGTCGTTGGTTCATGCCGCTTCAGCTGGGGTGCGGGCTGCCCCCGTCTCGGTGACCCCGAGTTGGATTTGCAATTACTTCCTACACCGGTATCATGAATTCAACTGACACCCATCTCGCCCTAGACCGCAATTGCAGCCTCCGTTGATCTTCGATGCTACGGACTCACCACGCCGCGAACGGATAACAAACTCTCCGCCCACTTTAAGGATCTAGGAAACTTCTATCACGAATGGGACATCGACAGTCTCCCCTGGGACGCGCTAACGCCAATCCCACCTGGCGAAGAACATCCAGAAGAACTCGATCAACGACTCATCGAGGCACTCTCGCAATCAGTCCTCGCTGAGCTAGGAGATGAGAACAAACAAGCCCGCGCAGCTACCCTTGCCTTCTTGTACCTGTATATGACCTTGGCCAGGGGTCAACACCGGTGCGTGGCTCCCTGGTTTCCATCTCTGACGTCTTCAACTGACCGTGTCTTTCTATATTCGCATTCTCCCGCGGCGACCTTGTGGGCCCTTTTACATACTCAACGCTCTCCCTTACTATTGTGATTGCCTACCTCTCACAGACCGAGCTTCAATTTCACAGCCCGCGCCACTCTTCCTGTGGGAGCTGGCCTGGGCTCTTCAGCGTCGTTCTCAGCCTGTGCGGCGACGGCGCTGCTCCTCCTCCACCGACGAATCAGTGTCCCTGCCAAACCTGCCCCAAGCACAGAAACGCACATTCACGTGTCCCACGAAGGACGTCGTGCGCTTCCTGCCTCTGTGGCAGAAGACGTCAATCGGTGGGCGTTTGTCGCTGAGAAGATACTGCACGGTAATCCCAGCGGCGTTGACAACAGCGTTGCAGTCTTTGGAGGTGCTCTGGCGTATACCCGCCCCGGATTTGGCAAGAAGGGGGGTATGGAACAGATCCAGGGGTAAGTAGCACTGTTGGTTCTCTCAAGGTCCGGTTATCCACCAAACCGTTCTATTGGGGTTTTTGTGTTACGAGGATGAGGAGCTGATGCCTCGAGATTTCAGATTCAAGTCGCTCAAGTTCTTGTTGACTAATTCACAAGTCCCTCGAGATACCAAGAAGTTAGTGGCTGGTGTTGGCGAAAAGAAGGAAAATGTGCGTATCGATCGTTCATCCCTTGCGGTAGTGTTGCTCATTTACTGTGTGCGGCTGTCTCCCTTCAGGAACCCGAGTTGGTGAACGGTATCCTCGCGGCTATCCAGAGTATCAGTGACGAGGCGAGGAGGGCGTTGGCGGATCCCGAACTATCGCGCGATGCCCTGCTCTCTGCTTTACAGGTTCGTCGTGCCCTCTATTCACGCCTCGTGTATGGGTTACTGAGTTCCTCCATCCTGCTTTGTGGCGCTCTTATGATAATAGGAGTTGATCAAGGAGAACCATGATCATCTAGTCACGTTGGGCGTCTCACATCCCTCCCTCGAGAAGATTCGAGAGAAAACCAGCGAACCCTATGGTTTGAAGACCAAGCTGACTGGTGCAGGCGGCGGTGGTTGCGCAGTTACATTGATCCCTGATGGTAAGTCTGCTTTCCCCCCTGTTCTGTTCAGAATGAATTATTAACCTTTTCAATGCACAGACTTCAAGGAGGAAGTCCTGAACGGATTGATTGATGAATTGATCCGCGAAGGCTTCCATCCATATCTCACATCTGTGGGTGGAAGTGGGCTAGGGATCTTGTCGCCGTACCCAGAACATCGAACCCGTGGATCTGATCCTCAGCCTCCGAGGGAGGACGTTGGAGGAGGGCAAGTCACCCCACCGGATACACCGAGAGCAGAGATTGTGGAGAGGCACACGAAGCACGGTGTCACTTTCGATCCTTTACGTCCCACCTTTGAGACGGCTGCAACAACCGATATCTCTGATTGGGCTTCCAGCCTTGGTCGTTGGCTGTACGTTTAGGTGGTGAATGGGATTTCCCCCGCTCTCGCCTCAACCCCCTGCTTTGGTCACCGCCACGCCGATATATCCTTCTCCGGATCGACTGTCCGTATTGCATGAATTCTCCGTGGATGAACTAGACATCGCTTTTTGTATAACACCTTTGCTCTCATCTATTGTAATCGAGTCCCGTTACCACACAGTCGCCACCAGCTTCCTTGGTGCTTGTCCAAGGGGTCGGATACTGTCAACATGCCAAAGGGCTTGCGGATAATGTTCAGTCGGGAAGCGGGTTTCTTGGAGAAGGAAGGAGATCGGGGTGGACACGTGGGTGGCCAGTTCCCTCTCCATCTCAGTAACTAGCTTTCGCGACATTGGTCGCTCCTCATTACAGGTATCGGACATCAATGCCTCCCTGGCCCATCTTCCATATCATAAAACCATCCTCTTGTGTGTAGGTTGTCCAGTTTCGCTATGTTAGCTGTTCTTTGCGCTATGTGAGGGGATCACGTACTTAAAATCGTATAACTGGATCTGACATGTGCCACAGCATCATCATCACCCAATTGAGCGGTGGGATCTGCAAGGTTATCTACTTCGGAAGCCAGAAGAGAAGGGCGCAAGGGCGTACACAAGGGGCGATGTCGGTTTCGCGCGAGCAAGTGGCTGACAGGATCTATGATTGACAATGGTCAACAATGAGGCAACCGTTGGATTTGCAAGGGGTACTAAGTATAGAAATAAAAATGGGTATCATCATAGTATACAAAAAAAACAAACAAAGGAGCTTTCGACTTGCAGCTGGTTGAAACGACACCGTTACTGTAAGGCTTCGGCCAAGAAGGAATAAACAAACGACTTGTACATAGATGGAGGATAGCAAGCTTAATGGTGTCCTACGAATAGATGAGAGTAGACCCTACAATAAATCAGTAAAAGGTAAGTAATGAAAATCATTCCAAGGAAAATCTGTACTACGAGGGGTGTTAATCAACAGTCGCTGTCAGAGTCGGAATCGCATGATGCTTCGAGAACGCTGCTTGGTCGAAGGTGCACGACGTGCGTCGCCTTCACCCGTTCATGTTGAGCACCGAAGTATCGTTGGGATTCGAAGCTCCATCTGAAGGAGGGTTCCATGAGTCAAAACGACCTGGGTTGGAAAGGGAGAGAAGTGACATACACTAGGTTTCCGACCATCCAGTAACCCAGAGCTTCGATGTATCGAACAGCTTCTTGCGGCAGGTCGGTGGATTGTAGTAGTTGAGACTTGGCCTCCAGGTAGTCGCGCATTTGTTTTTCGCATTCTCGCCCAATGTAATCTGATGCTTCTTGCAAGCTGAGATCCTTCTCCTTCATCAGCACCGTGACGACGTTATTGCCCGTATGGCCTTTCGCTTGTTCCATGTCATAAGAGTAGACGTCCTATTGCAATCGAAATGAGCCAATTGTGAAGGCCGAACCAAGGGGGGAAACACTCACGTTGGCCCAACACACAAAATCACAAGCAGCCCAGTACGCCTTGGCAAAGGTAGGGTCTTCGTAGACCTCATCGTCAAGGTCGATCCCCAGAATGTATTCGACGAGGGAGTAGCAAAGTAGAACTGCGCTGTTTTGTCGGCGAAGGGCGATGAAATCGTTCAATCCGAGGACTTGATTCCGTTCGCGCAGTTCCGCTTCTCGGGCAACGCAATCGGTGTAGCTCTCGCAAAGGTCAGCAAATCGTCGAACGGTTTTCGGACCAGCCAAGCGGACGAAGCGCTCGCGGAATCTGATTTACGAGAAGTGAGTAAGATGTGAATGGCGGAATGACGAAATAACGGACTCATGTGTGATTTTGGCAAGGATGGAACCGTCGTCCCAGTGTGCATCCCTCATAGCGTTGACGAATATCCGACCTGTGGCCCGTGCATCCTGGCCGTTCTGGTCGTCACTGATTTCATCGACGACGAACAGTAGGTTGACCTGACGTATGATAAGAGGCCGAACATCATATCAAGGACAACGAACTCACGAAGTCGCAGCAGGTTCTGAATTGCTCGTAGCCGGCGTATGCGTAAACATGCGAGCACAGGAGTTCGTTGGAGCCTTGAATGAAGAAGGCGCGTTTGCGGTCGGTGAAGATGTTGTAGCTATTGATCCATGCGCGAGACTCAGCAGCCGCTTGTTTATACCAGGGATTGGTCGCGTCCTGGAGGGGACAGATGGAAAACAAGTCGGGGAGAGTGAATTGGCGGGCAGTTGGACGCATTTCGGGAAGAGTGTTGGGGAGTAAAGTGGGAGAATTGAATGGTAAAAAGGAACGGTGACGAAGCAGTCGGGGATTTTGTTCAGCCCTTTATACCATCGTTGATGTATGCGTGTGGACCAGCCCAAACTCAGGATCGTTCATCTCTAAACAGGGACAGTTGCCCGTTCGGAGAGGGAGATCCTTGGCTATTGCCCGATCTCATCTGGGGAGCCGCAGTGAAATCTACAGATTGACTCCCTGCACTTGGAGACGCGTTATTTCCCTGGAGCACCTAAGTACATTTGCTGAAGAGCTTAAGGAGAGCATCACGATGGCTGGAGGAACTTCCATGGTGTCATCTGGATATCTCAAATCCCTGTACTAATGGGGAGGGAGAATGAGGAGTCTGGGCGTCAAGAGTCAGCTCACAACTCTATGCGAATCCAAATTTTATAAACGTAAGCGATCGGTACCTCCATGTGGGAATGGTTTGTCGCCGTTCGCGTTGATTGACTTGAGGAGGCGTGCAGTCGCAGGGTGAATCTGGCCCTGAATGAACTTGAGGATCTTTCTTTCAAAAGCTGCAGAGAGACAGACAGTCTTCTGAAGAGGAGTGAGCTAGATTCCAGTTCTTTGGTATAATGATGTGAGAAGTTAAGGAGTCTGTTCATTGTTGCGGCATCCGCAGGCCCAACATTATGGCTCGTGTATCCCAAAATACGAATACGGAAACTCCGTGCCATTCGCCAACTTCCGTGGAGGGCAAGGCCGAGAGATATTTTGATATGCGACATCACACCGGAGAGCGGGGCACCCACCAAGTCTACAGCTGATCAGGGTTCCAGACGGCAGCAACAAGCGGCCTAGAGGAGTTTGTGCTTGACCAAGCCAATTCCAGTCCCGTCGTTAAAAGTTTTCTCTCCTCCTGAGAAAATGTATGTTTCGGGAATCAGTGGGATTCTGCTGAGAAACCGATGATTCATATGGATGAGCTCGCAATCAGACACTACTAATCGGTTCGCTCACAATAGTCGGGATGAATGATGATATGGAGTAGATAGATGGTGCCTCGCATAGAAATTTACCCAGCGACTAGCCTCCTAAGGGCGTGGTGCCAATAGCCATGAAGTCCGACCGGCCGTTCAGCACATCAACGCGTTGGAACCTTGGATTCCATGGGAAGTTTGACCGAAGGGCACCGTTGCTGAGTCGGGGTCCATTGGCAAATCAGTCTGTTTGGTACGCGTTTCGGAAAGGAACGATGAACGAATGTCTTTAATCCGCGGTGGTTGGATGGGGACGTACCTAAGGCTTGTCAAATAAGTCGACCTGGACTTGGAATGCCTTTCGAGTTGAGGCCGAAAGAAAAAATCGAAACCTGCTGGAGACGATCAGGAGCCTATTCAAACGGTTCAGTCACATCCAGGGTGAGGAGCAGCATTCCATTTAGCCATGGTGCGACTGCAGTCATTGTGCTCCTCGAGACGTGAAGTTCAGTGTTATCATGACAACCAGGCAGGAGTAAGCGACCGATCCGTTTCCTGACCCTGATAACCTCGTATCTGGATCGGTCTATTGCTCTGCTTTCAAAGAGGGTCTCTTCAACTCGGTGATCTAAGAAAATCATGGCCGATAGTTGGAGATTGACGCGTATGACTAACTTACAAGGAAACCCAATCTAAACTGGAACTCTGTCTGCAGGAGGACAGGAATTCCGCCGGCTGTCCTGGATGGACAGAGAGTTGACAATTACCCTCTGCCCCCCTTGAACCACGGGAATTAAATAACTGAATGTGCTATGAACTCGTTTAGTCTATTAGGCAGCACGGTATTGTACCGGACGTACTTACGATATGACAAGAATCGCAGAGTTAATAGTACCTGTCGACCGAGGTTTTTGCCTTTGGACAAGGCCCTGAAAACATCGTAAAGGTCAGCTCGAGGGCTCCATAGGGGGTAGCAGTAAAGAGACGTGATTCAATGCCGACGGTAAGGGGGATACCATGCCCTGTCCGCGGAACGTGTAAATGAGTTCGATGGGCAGTCCACGATTAAAGGGATGCGAGCGAACAAACTTGGGATCATGGCCTTGAAGATACTCCGTATGGGCGATTTCTCTCAGCATTCTCGAAAGTCTGCAAGGACCGCAGGAAACCGGTGCGATGGAGATCGAAGTGGGAGCCTGGACTATGGAAATTTGACACCCAGCCCCCACTCTCTGCTACTCCTGGATCAGAACCACACGGAATCCCTATCACATAAGACAGAGGTTGTCCCAATCGCGCAGCTTAAAGTCAAGAAATCGCATGCGAGAAAGGATCAGGGAATGCATGAAGCAGATTTCGAAGCAGATTTCCTACAGTATCGGGAATGAGAAGGCAGAGACATTGAGGTTGGAAGATCGGCCGGGCGATTATGTGAAGGGTGTTAATTGTCCGAAAGTGGACGGCGTTTAAAGGGGGAAGCCTAAAGTCCCCCGGCATCATTGCTGACTGGGCAGGGACAGACAAGCTTAAGCCTGTGGTGCAGGGTGGAACAGCAGAGCAACCTAATCCAGCTGAACAGTGAGGTGAGGGGAATCCAGCCAAATGGAATGTTACACTCACCATTGCGCCTGTCGAGAGCCATCACATTTCGGTTGGCCCGGAAGCCTGCCAATCATGAAAGGACTGCAGGTCCAAGTAGAACGATGTCCGTGATTCAGAAGAAAAAGCCGAATCTGAACAAAGAAAGTGGAAGTTTGTCTTTCTTGACCCATGGAAACCTCGGGAGCCGCACAGAAACAAGGTTGGTTTAAATGGACTGAACTTGGATTCAGACGCATTTCCGAGGTGACAATACGAGGGGGGTTCAGCACGACTCGGCTTTACCCCGACATGTCGATACAAATAGCTAGCGAAGGAGAGGAAGGAGTGAAAGAGCAGATAGAATAGACATAAATCAGAAGCATATCCGATAGCTCGCGTAACGACCACTTGTTTCACTTGGACGTATGATTTTGACGACTTGCCCTCTCCGAAGCCCGTAGTAGCGAGCAACAGGGTCCATGGGTTGAATACGAGGTAGTTGGGTATCCTTTAGGCGACTGAGAGAAACGTAAGGAGGACAGGATTCCGGGAAGGGTAACAAGGCGTCTTACTATCTTTCAAGTAGAGTTTTCTTCTCTTCCGGCGATAGCACCTCGTGGCGTGGAACAAGGGTGTGGTGGGTGATGTTAACAAGGAGGTCTGCCTCTGCAAATTCCTCGAGGCGGTACGTAGAGGCCATGGCGGAGATGACCTAAAGGAAGGTCAGTCCTTGGACAGCATCCAAAAAAGCTAGCACGGACCTTTCTCGCTGATGAGGTCATGGTTGCTGGAAAGATGATAATACCGCGTTGTATGGCCTTCTCCTCCATAATACCCAGCAATCTTTACCATTCCGAGTCAGATTGAATACACTTGAAAACAGTTTCCCGACGTACTTTCGCATTGCTTTCACGCCTACATTGGGCTCCTCCGTGAAATAGACAAAGATTTGGTCGGAGGGGTTCAATCGGTGGTGAGTGTAAAAGTTGAGCTGGTTTCGACTGTTCGCAGGGTTAGCACCGCAGCCCATGAAGGCTATATAATAGGATAGACTCACTCTATCACACCCATATTGTTCCCATAAACTTGACGAAATCTCTCGAGGCTCATGTTAATTTCTTCATCAGAAACACTAAAACCCTGATAAATGAAGGTCGGTAAGAGTTTGCAGTTCCAGAGAGAGATAAAAGACGTCTAACTCTGTCCTTCACTAGCTCGTGAATGGTCTTGCTGACTTTCCATAGTCTCGCTGTCTCGTCGCCGTCCGCCATAACGTCGAAGTTATCGTAGTCGATGGCCAAACTGGAAGTGAAGAGACGCGCCAAGCTGTGTTCAACTTTAAACTCCGCAAGAACGATGAGCCAAGACCGTTGGCAATGGCGGAGGCTAACCAACTTGAAGTCTTGGTTAACGTTCTTGTGCGGCAACTCAGCTTTGGTCTTTCACGACGCGATGGCCCCACCGCCGAACCAAGCTGGTCCCAGTGCGGGATCGTCCCAGACTCTAACTCTCTCAGATGGGCTCATGGTGAGTGTAGGGCGCCTGCCGGAAGATCGAATATTCATTAATCCGCAGGCTCGATTCAAACCAGCCAAAATATTCAAAAATGCAGTTGAACCTGGTCCACCGACAGGCCCTCACGGACGGCCATCGCACTTGGCAGCGAAGCAGATAACTGGAATATGCTTCGATGACAAGGGAGAAGTTCTCATCACTGCTGGAGAAGACGAAACGTTCAGAACTTACAATTGTAAAGGGGGCAAGCAAGTCTTTCTGGCATGTTCCCTGCTTTCTCAACTGACCGTCGCAGTACAGAACCGTAAGGACGCTGTACTCGAAGAAGTATGGTGTGGATCTTCCGAGATTCACTCATAAAAGCACCTCGATCATCTACGCTTCAACAAAGGAAGATGACACCATCCGCTATCACTCACTTCACGACAACAAATATCTCCAATACTTCAGGGGCCACAAAGGACGCGTTATTTCTCTGGAAGTTTCTCCAGTGGACGACGGCTTCATGTCGGGCTCGCTTGACAAGACGGTCCGCGTCTGGGATCTGCGTTCACCGACCTGTCGAGGCCTTCTTGCCCTACCAGAAGCACCCGTCGTGGCTTACGACACGACTGGAATGGTCTTCGCTGTCGGCGTGAACCGTTTCTCCAAAATAATGCTCTATGACCAGGCTAACTTTGACAAAGCACCGTTCTTGACGATAAACCTGATAGACCCCTACCTCACCCAGGCAAGCTTCCCTCCACGCCCCATCTTCATGACGTCCCTCGCATTCTCCACCAACGGGAAATACATCCTAGTCGGCTGCTCGGGAAGTGTACACTACGTCGTGGATTCTTATGAGGGCCACGTTCTGGCCCGACTCGAGGGTCACGTCGGTCTGGAAAGAAGATCTGTAAACGCACCGCCGGATATTGAACCAGCAAAAGGGATCAGCGGCGAAGAAGTTTCGTGGACCCCTGACAGTAAATACGTGGTCAGTGGCAGTTTGGACGGCAAGATTCATATGTGGTCGATCAAGCGAATGGAAGAAATTCTGGGGGAGACACCGTCACTGCCTGAAGGCTCGCGCAAGCCGATAAAGATCCAATCATTTGTTCAACTCGAGGCAGATGCATCGTCGCCAACGCGGTGTTTGCGATTCAATCCACGACTAGGCATGTTTGCTACTGCCGGTACTGAATTGGTGAGTGGCAGACTGCCTTACTGCTTTGTCCCAAGCTTGATTGACATTTGCCTAGGCGTTCTGGTTACCCGACACATCTGATAACCCAGATGATGTGGCTAAGGCTCTTCTCAAGAAGAAACTCGGAACATGAACATGTCGACATTATCCTTGCGCACTCCACCCGGCCCCTGGGGCATCGCCGATTCCATCTATGTGTTTTTGTACCTGCTTTCTTCGCGCTCTCTTTGACATAATTAATTACATCCCTCGAGATATCACCACGAAGTCTCCTCGGATGATTTGCATTACAGTCTGCCAAACGCGAATCTTCCGCCGCCGGAAGTTTCGACGTCTCATCAAGAAGAGTCATTTGACCCATTGGTTTTGTCTGCGTGCCCGTAAATCCTTTACGCAAACTCTTGTGTATTCTAGCAGAGCTGTACACACTCTTTCGTCAGCGCGTCAAACGGTTGTCCCTGCTTTTGACCTGTGAATATGTCATGCTTATCGTATGGCGCCCTGAGGAAGACACTGACAGAGAGTCTAGAGAGGACGCGCTCAGCGGTCACGTGGTCTTGATCTGGTGAGAGTATGCGGACGTGGCACTTGACTCCAACTTATCTCTCCGTTTGCATTCCCTTCCTCTTCTCGTCTGGTTTTCGCGGTCGTCGGTTGGTCCAACATGCGTTTCTCTACGGTTCTCGGTGCTGCTTTCTCGCTTTCTTCTTTACTTTTGGGTGTCGTACGGGCTGAAGAGTCAGGTGCGTGACGCTATGAAAGCATAGACACCCGGTGCATAAATTGACTCCATTGCTCTAAATTGAATCTAATAGTAACGGAGGGTGAGCCCGAAATTACTGCTTCTGCTGCGTTCCCGGAGGACAATGCTTTCAATCGTGAGTAGCCCCCCATATTTCGAATCGTTCAGGCACTAATTTGACTCGTGTGGATGGTAGAAATTGTGAATGGCCGCAAGAACGCGTTGACTGTGACCGTCTCCAACAAATCTGGTCTCAACGCTACTCTCGTCCAAATTCTCGGTTCCCTCACCAACCCCAACACTGGCAAGCTTGTCAAGAATGTAGGCCTAACCCTTTATGTAGCTTGGCATGAGTGCTGAACCGACCGTCTAGTTGACTGAAGCTAAATACAATGGGTTCCCTCTTTTGCAAGACATTGACATGCAAATCCCCTACGTCTTCTACAGCGAGTGAGTGTCATCTTCATTCACCTGTGATGTCCTAATGTCTGACATTTTCGTTAGGTTCAAGGTTTGTGTTTAGGCGCTCGTAGCTTCAATCACACCGCTAACTCCAAACAGCCTGGTGAACACCGCCTGAACCTGTGGGTTGAGCACCAGATTGACGACAAGAAATACCGTGTCGAGGCTTACGACTCTGTCGTCTCCGTTGTTGAACCGGAGTTCTCCATCTTTGACATCAAGCTGTGCGCCTCCCTCTCCTCTATATCGCTCGCATCTTCAGCTAATACGCACTCCTCAGCATCCTCACTTACCTCATTGTGGCTGGCATCCTTGGTGGAGCTGGTTTCCTGACCTACCAGTCCTACGTTCCTCAGAAGAAGAAGGGCAAGAAGACCGCCGCACCCGCGGCCAGCACCCCCGTTACCGCTACTGCCACCGGTGCAGGAGGCTACGAAGAGGAATGGATTCCCGCGCACCACTTGAAGAAGCCCAAGTCTGCAAAGAAGGCTTCCGGTGGATTCACCAGTGGAACCAGTGGGGACGAGTTGAGCGCTGCTGAGACCAGTGGAACCGAAGCCAGGAGACGAAAGGGCAAGAAGAACTAGACGGTTTTGTGTATTTATTACCCCTCCCTTCCTGTGTTCCGATGACGACCCTCTTTGTGAAGACCCGGATCCCATGTGTCTTCCATTCAAAATCCTAGCTAAGTGTTCGAGCCTCAGCCTTGTAATGTGAGCATGCTTCCGGGGTGTATGGCATGATTGATAGATATGTGTTACGGTGATTGATGTTGAGCTGCCAGGCCCCCGGTGAGACTCAACGCTTTCACGGGTACAGCTATCCTTGGAGAAGCTGTCTTTACCTCTGTATGCCTGAGGTGATGAATGCTATGTACGCCACGAAAGGCGGTATCTTCGACGTCAGCGAGAATGATAAGGTTTGGCGTTTGCAGTGTTTCAAAGCTGGCCTCTGTTGTGTTGGAGAATACTCGGATGCTGATATACATATGGTTTATCGAATACAAGTACGCGTATAAGGAAAGCTGGGGTAGACAAGGGACTATAGCTGGATCTTAACTCCCAGGAGGGGACGACATGAGAGAATGCGGTCTACAGCAATTCTGATGCTCGAAAATCCATCAGCAGAGGTCAACCTTGGGTTTCTAGCGAAAAGAAGGGAGATAGGAAGCCCGGAATATCAAAACACGCGTCGGATTGTGGTCCAAATTGAAAAATGACCGAGAGCCTCGAGCTCGTGTCGCGAGATGTTTGCACTTGAGATTTAAACTCCGCTGATGATGGCCTTTGAAGTGAGTTTGGTTACGATGTTTAGAGGAACCCAGTCGCCCCCTGCTCCCGCTCAACTCCCTAAATACCCTTCCTGACCATCTTCTTTCTTTCCCAAATCTTTTTCTTCTCTTTCAACAGATTTCATTTCTGAAGCATGGCTGCCAGGGTCCGTCAAATCCCACAGTCTGCACCGTGGAACCTCAGCAAACTCACACAGCGTCCAACAGGCTCAGTTCTTGAGGGAGTACAAGCTCGTCGTCGTAGGTGGTGGTGGTATGTTGCACAGCTCTTAGAACGGAATGTAGTCTCACCTGTGGTGCCCCAGGTGTTGGAAAGTCGGCCCTGACTATTCAGTTCATCCAATCCCACTTCGTGGATGAATATGACCCGACTATCGAAGGTCCGTATAACAAGGCCTTCTCTCGCAAGGATGCAATAGCTTATGCTTATTCGACACAGACTCGTACAGAAAACAGTGCATCATCGACGACGAGGTCGCACTCCTCGACGTTCTCGATACCGCCGGACAGGAAGAGTATGGGTGAGTACCCGCGCTGCACCCCTCTATTTTCCACCGAATGCTTCGTGGACAGCCCAACTTTTGATCCTCGTATCCCATACCACCGCTTTCCTTGTTCCCGGAATCTTTGCATCACCACCTCTCCACCTTGCCCTCTTCTTCGGGACGTTCCGTGATTAACACACACCTACAGAGCCATGCGGGAGCAATACATGCGCACGGGCGAAGGCTTCCTTCTCGTCTACTCTATCACCTCCAGAAACTCGTTTGAGGAAATCAGCATTTTCCACCAACAAATTTTGCGAGTCAAGGACCAGGATTCCTTCCCCGTCATTGTTGTGGCTAACAAGTGCGATCTCGAATATGAACGTCAAGTTGGCATGAACGGTGTGTAGTCCATCTTTATGTCCCTTGCCGACATGACATGAACAACGTATTGCAGAGGGGCGTGATCTCGCCAAACACTTTGGTTGCAAATTCATCGAAACCTCGGCCAAGCAACGAATCAACGTCGACGAGGCATTCAGCAACCTCGTTCGGGAGATTCGCAAGTCAACAGGGTGAGCAATCCTCTCTTCCAAGGTATTCTGACTAGCATTCAAACTGTCTCATGCCCCCAGGAACAACAAACCGGTCGTCCTGCCATCGCAGCAGGTGGAGGTGGTCCAGCCGGCTCCTACACCCAGGACAGGCACCACGATGAGGCACCTGGATGCTGTGCCGGATGTGTTATTGCCTAAACGCCACGCCGAGTTGGGGTCCATTGTCGACCCCTATCGATGTCCACCACTGCCGACCACCATTCCTACGTTCCCTTCCTACGTGCTATCCCTCGTTCACCATCTCCTTACCATTGCTTTATATTCCCCGTATTCTCACCCTTTCGATCTCTAGTATTCACCGTTGTTCCTGCTTTCTGCTGTGTTTCGTTTTCATTCATTTCATGTGGCCCTGCCGTTTGCAAGTCCTCTTTTCAATTGTAGTTCTAAGGTTCCTGCTAGATCCCTATTCCATGTTTTTCTCGCTCCCCCCCTTCTTACCCCGTTCAGAATTCTATTCCCCCACACCAAAAGGCATTGTATCGAATTTCGCGGATTTAAATCACTTGTACATTACGTTCATTAGAATGATTTGGAATATGGGAGTTACCCATTTTCAGACGGTCAAGTGATATGTAACGAAGATGATTTCGATCATTCCTGCTCTTTCTCCTCCAACTTCTCAGCTGTGGCGGGGCTTAGTTCCAAGGCAGGTTATGAGATCTGAAGTGCTGTACTCACCTTGCAAAGGCTCTGATGTCACGTCCTCCTCATTCACTGCCCGAATGGAGTCAATCCCGAGTTCATAGCGCCCAGTGACGTTACTGTTTCCTCCGAGGATTGAGATACCGATGCTCTTCACTCGCTCGCGGTACATCGAGATACGGCCATCGGCTACTTCTCCTGCATTGGTACGCACAAAGTTGGTGAACGGAATCTACAGGACAGAGTCAGAACCTCGAGCCCTGTGAGAGCAATTGGAACTTACGAAGAGGTCCTCCCAACCGCCATCCTTCCGTCTGAAGAACAAACGGTGTTGCCACAAATCCGTCGAGATGGGGCCAGCCGTCTGTATATTCACATAGTACGAATTCCGTGTCTGAGGGTCACCTCCCAGTCGAAGACGCAGAGCGAGGTATTCATGGTGCGAAACGTCGTCTGTGAGGTCTCCGAACAACGACGGTCGTTTCTAGAGTCCCAGCAGTTAGCTTCGCCTATGGCAGTATCAGTGCGAGTCACGCACCTTATTCCGGAATCCAGCATAGCCGCCTCTTATCTTCCCCTCATATCCAGGCTTGACATCCAGTCTCATAGTCCCCCAGAACCTGCCTGTGGCCTCCCGTCCAATACTCGCGTTATGTTCGCTGGTGTCGAGGTCAATGTTGACCGACGAGTTGCCGCCAATATCCGCATCACAGCCTGTGGCAATTTGGTCTATGTCTTGCTGCGTGTTGAATGTAAAGAGTGTTTTGGGCGCAGTCGAAGGACCCTCAGCGCCTCGCATGAGAATGACTGCAGAATTTGTTTAACAAACGGCGAATTGCGTGCTGTAAAAGAAAATGCGCACTTTTGGAGAGACTGTCCCGCATTATCATTGCGGACCTCTCGAAATACCGCGAGAGATTGGACATTTTTGAAGAGGGTGAGGGGAAAGTGGTGGTTCTGTGAAGAGTGAAGCGCGGGCGGAATAGCGCGCCAAACCTGTTGACGTCAATCACTCGTGCGGGGAATCAGATTCATAATCTCTCAGCGCTCAACGCACAGAACACCGATGGTTTTTGGTTCAATTGATATGAAAACCTAGAAATACAGCAGATGCGTTATGCATTGGGAGGTGATGGTAACGAGAGTGATATGTTCAACATTGAATATAAAATTGGTACTCGACCGCACGACGAACGAGAAAGCAAAAAAACGCACGATCAAGTCTTAAGTACATAGTAAACAGGTAAGTAAATGGTAAGTGTTCGCCTTGCAAGCACAGGCGACGCACTCGAACGAAAAACAGCTTGAAAAGAGGACGGAGAAGCGACAGCAGGCAATGTCACGGGACAGGTCTCGAAACGTCTCTATCGGCGAGAAGTCAAGGCACTGGGAACGGGAGGGGTACGGGGGTTGGTATAGGCAGACGGAGTATAGTCATCATTGTCGAGACTGCCAGTCAGAAGGAAAGGTCGTTGCCGTGGACTCGTATTTTGTGACTGGCTGCTGGGAAGTCTTGAGATGGTAGCGCCGGTCGGAGGAGAGGGTGTTCGATCCCCGAGAAGGGTTAGTTGGCGAGGAGGGGAACGGGGAGGTGATCGGCCAAAAGGTGCTCCAAATGCACTCAAAGTTGTAGTTCCAACGCCGTAATAACGGTCGTCAGAGGATGGCGCGGGTCGAAGAGGTGTTACGGTCTCAAAATGGTCGCTTGACGACCATGAATCCGATCGCCACAAACCCCCAGGGACTTGGGTGGGTGACGCTCTTGGCGACGAATTCGAACCCGTAGAGGGTGAATACCGATGCCTCTCAGGCAAGGAGCGGAACAATTGGGACGGACTGTTGTAGCCATCGGAGGACACTGAACTCTTGTGCGAGTGCGCTACCACCTCGGCCCTTTGCAGTGCTGGCTGGGGGCTGGCGAGGATGTCTCCGCGACCGTATCCACGAGGGCTAGATCCTCGGGAACTTCCTAGACTGCTTTGACTGGAACTCTTGCCGTGGAAAGATAGCAACCGCTCTGACGAAGTGTTGCTCTTCGTGCTGGCCCTCCTCTGGTGAACGTACGTAGGGAGGTGGAATGGCGACGCCTTCTTCTCTTCAATTTGAGGGCCAAAGGAATTGTCGTAGAATCCAGATTTCTCGACATCCCGGTGACTGGTGGCGTACGAGGTACCCTCGAAGGCTGGCTCGAGAACTCGGAAGGTGTTGTAGAATAGGAACACATTGACGACGCCTAACCAATTGGTCGGTAATAATTTAACGGTGCGACACGATGGTGACGTACCAAGAGCAAACCAGCAACAGGCAGCAAAGACCAAAGCTTCGAAAGGGACTGGATACCCAGAAATAGTAAGGAGCCTCATGATAGAGTACGGCACCAGGAAGGCAACATAGGCTATGCTTCTGTCAGTACACGCTGGACAGGAAAGACGTTCATCTTACCGATTGGGTACCTGCATTGGATGCGGTCGTTAGTCTACGTGATTTCCTTTTCACGTCGATTTGATTTACATACCAAATCATACTGCTGGCAATACGGGCGATGAACCGCTGATAATTATCACTGGCAGCGACTGTCCAGCGCTCATGAGGATCGAGGCTGAGTTTGACACCGCCCTTGACTGCGAGCGTCCCACGCAGGGCGAGATAGATGATGGAGTAGAAGATTGCGGAAAGGATGGATGCAACGAGAATCTAACGACCAGGTCAATCATCGTGGCAAGTTCGGACTAACGAGAAACCCACAGGCAGAACGTGCAGCATGAACTGCGCTTTTGGATACACAGCGCGAATAGTGCACATGAAACCATCAGGACCATAGACGTCACCATCAGGCTTAGGAAGAATGAATGGAACCGAAGCTGAAGAGCAACCAGGAATTAGTGCCCTTAATTCTTGCGAAGTGGAACCAACACTTACCCATGAAGATGGACAACGCCCAACCAACGCTGATGGCAGACCTCGATGTAATGACTGACTGCTTCCTCCTGAGTACCAAAGTATTGAATGTGTGGATAGCGATGGCCACTGTGAAGTAACCCGAAGCCCAAGTCCCCAACTGTAGCAAGAAACCTGGTGCGACGATCAGTCAACGTCGCGTTGCTTTTCGTTTTGTAACGACCGACCTTGGGCGATGCAAATGGCACCTGGAATACTTTACATTAACACAGGAAGAATCGTAGAAACTTTAGTTGAGGCGTACCCTCTGTAATTCCCCTTCTCATTAACCAAGGAACGGCCACTATCCCGGCCAATGTGTTGAAAAGCATCCCAATGAGCAAGCAGGCTGCGTAGTTTCCGAGTTGTGTGTGGAAGAAGACATATTCCTGGGGCTTTATCCGGTTTCGAAGGACAAAGCATTGAACAGCGAGCCATAATATTCTCAGCGCGACAGAAACGAGAGCCAGTGCACACAGGATAGCAAAGACATTGACAGCCTAGATGGAGAGATGAGTCCAAATCGTGTATTGTAAACAAAGGGAGCTCACAATTGCGCCGCCCAGCTGCCCCTCCGGGAAAGGAATAAAAGCCATATTTAATCAAGAAATTTGGATCCTGTCCTACTAGTCGCGACAAAGCCGATTCAAAGTGTTGAAATGAAAGAGCCGGCGTCCTGCGTCCAATATTGCTTGCCTCTCCAAAGCCAGCGGAAGGATCCTGTCCGAAGTAGAAATAAGAAAATAAACGAAAGAACGAAGAAAGGAGGGAAGGGGGGAAGGGGAAGAGAAGGGTTACTGATACCGGCTCAGTTAACGGTTGGAAGATATCAGTGATGTGAGTTTTTACCCAAGCTTGGTATCATCACCGTTGCCTGATCCTTTCCCAGTATCACCCTAACAACGCTTACCGCCACGCTTGACCAAATCCATCGAATGTTCTGTTAACTTTGTGTGGAATTCGACTAACCGCCAGAACTGTCTGCAAGAACCTGTCTCAATTCAAATCGACCATGCTGATTCATGATTTCCTATCGAAGAATTTCTCTATGCCGACAGCGACTTTCCGTCGTTTCTTATTCTGCAAGGATTTCTTTGCAGTACTAGATGTCGATGAGAATTGGGTCTGCGCTTGCGCAGTCCGATTATCTTCTTGTGCAAGGTCGCGGGCAAAATGCCAGTCGTCATGTTCCAGCTTCAGTGAAGCTAACGCTGCTTCACGTTCCCCGTCATCAATAAGCGCCTGGATCTCCGGGTTCAAACTCAGGGTCTTGTTGCACCTTGGGCATGTGAATGATGTCCCTGGGGTGCCTCTGGAACTCGGAGAGTGTTCATTTTCATCACCCCCTGGTAGCGTAGAGGTGCCTCCGTGGTCATCTTCCCTCTGTCGTTTACTTGGCGGCTTGGATTTGAAAAAGCCTTCGATACTCTGCTGGCCCGGCTCTGAAACGTCGATCCCAGTGAAAGACAGCTGGACGCTAGAAATCTTCATGGTGGTCGCATTTCCCACCAATTCTTTCCACAGTTTGTCACCGGCAGCCGCAACTGTGTCAACAGTGACCTCACGAGTGAACGGGAAAACGGCCTGTTTCGATCTGCTTGACTCATAACCTAGGCGACCATATGAGTATTGGACGCGGACAGTTCGAGAGATACTACCTTTTCGAGCATGTAGTACGATATTCTTTGGCCATAAATTCGGCGAGATCTGGCGTGCCTCGTTGAGTCTGAGCGCTAACTCGGCGGCTAACACCCTAATCCAATGGTAGCCTTCCGATGCGGCAGTGATTGGTTTTGGTAGGTTCTTGGACGCCAGCATACTCTTGGTCAGCGTCGTGCCCTTATCCTTTACTGGAGCAGGTCAGGTCAGTAGGGGTACAGATCATAGTCTTGACTATTTGCGAACCTTCTGAGCGGTCTATACCACTATACTGGAGATGTGAGGACACGTTCACAAAAGTCGTTGATGATAATCAACTTGCCGAAGAATCTCATAAACCCAGATAGAGTCTTCTCCAAACTTGTTCTGCATCTCATCTGCGAGATTTGGTCATCGAGGTGCGACCAGAAAATGATAGCGCTGCTACAAACCGAGGCTGATTGATCTAGGGAAACCATGAGCGAACGGAACAGCAGCATTCCCAGGGAAAGCAGAGAGCCTACAGCAAATCACCGACGGTGGCTGCATCATATTCCTGTGCGAGAGCGCGTCCAAGCTTGCCGCCCAGAAAACGAATCTGTTAAGGAATCGATACCAGTTGCCTGAGATTTGGCCCATGGACGCACACACACGCACCTTTTGAAAGGCCATAGGGATCAGGTAGTTGGGTATCGCTGCATTCCTGAGGATGTTCTGACAAACAGTTAACGAACAGCCAAGCAATAATCAAGCTCACGACTCACCTGGCCGAAAGGCTTCCGATACGATGCTGCTAATTTGGCGAGGAACTTGTTTCTAGCCAGGCCCTGCGTTCCTCATTTAGATGGCCCCGAGAAGGTAAGGTCAACTGGGCTTACGGCTGAGGTGCTGTAGCCGAGTTGTTCCAATACTCCTTTCCGGGCCTTCATCACCATCCCTGCGGCTATTGACAGAGCTACATCATGCCAGGTAGTGTTGGCGTCTTCCCCATCTTGAAGTCCTTCATCGTGGACCGCTTCTTCCGCTGGCTGTTGCTTAGATGTCGATGGCTGATCTTGACCCTCTACAGGTCCGGTTGTTAACGTTGATGTCGCTGGAACAGGGTTGATAGGAATGAGGTCTCCAGTGCCGTACCACGATATGGGAGGCGGTGGAGGAAGAGGCGTATCCACACCATTTGGGGCATCTGGCGGAACCTGTGCAAGGTAGGGATATCGCTGTAGAAGAACCTCTCGCACAGGTTTCGTGAAGTCGATGAAAGCTTCATCAATGGACGCCTTTTCTACCATCAACGGTTCAGAGACGAAATGACCGGGGACGAAATGAAAAGGCGACGACGTACCTACTTCACAGCCAGGCAGTAGCTCTCTAAACAGTGCGGCAATCTTCATGCTTTCACGCCTATAATAATCAAGTGAAACCTGAACTCTGCGTTAAACGCTGTGCTCAAAGGTGAAGGCGGCTTCGCTGACCTTGTGAGTGTTCGTATCGACATTGTCCCAGTACCCGGGTTCCTTCTCTCCCTCCTTGTATGTGGCAACATGGACGACCTTTAGATGCGGACATCTCTTCAACGCGTCCTTCTTCTTGTCCATTCTTGATATTCCATACTTCCGGGCTGGATAGTTGACGGCGATTAAGGAATCCCATTGGAGAACGACGAGTGGGGTATCTTTGTCCACACCAAGCCTAACCATTTCGCAGGCAGCGTAGAATGCATCGCTGTCGCATAGGCCAACCACCCGCAAAGGGTCCCTGACACCGAGGTTTTGTGAAAGTAAATGACGATACGTGATCGTTGGGTTGAGGTCTGTGAAGTCGCTGTCCGAGGTGGCTGCTTTTCCTTTTCCCTTCCAAATGGACGCCGAAGTCGCCATTGTGGTATAGCTTCCCAGTTTCGTCAGAGAAAGATATATAGACTCAAGAACATCGGGATGGAGGATTAGATGATGTTGGTTTCAATCCGACACACACCTACTAGTGTCCCAATCAATTCGTTACAAATAACGCGTAAACAAAGAACAACAAATTTAAAGGCTGCAGTTCGCTTGAAACCGAAAACATGACATTGTCAAAGATATTGTACAGTCCGTATTTCTTCTTCTGTCCGCGTCTCGACTTTCTTTACTTGAGCTTTCCCAAAACGGACGAAGTACTGATATCAATAGAAAGCAACTCCTGCAAAAGTGTCAGCGCCCAGGGACGACATACAAGTCTGGAGGGGGGTTGACTGTACCTTTCCTGCTTCAACCTCCTCCGGAGTCGGCATGAGACCCAACCTCAGCAACTCAGAGGCCTTGCTGACCACGGGGTCGTTTTGCATCCTGGGCAGCAGTAAGTAACGATAGAGAAGATATCTGACTCGGACTCACGATGCAACAGCGACGATGCGGTTGTTCTTCACATAGTATGCAATGACCTTGGATAGGGGGTAAGTTCCATAAGTCCGGCAAAAGTCAATACGTGGGACTGACCTTCAGCTCGTCAGGATTGCCCTTCACAATAACTCTGTCATACTTGTGCCCGATCCCACAATATCTCAGTTGTTGTCCCTCTGAGCAACTAGTGTCAAGGTGCGGCTCTATTTCATGTTCGGAATGACTTACGCGCGCTCCAGAAAACAGGGATCTTGACGAAAGGTTGCTCCTTTCCTGAGATGGTAACGCCGACGGCTCGACCATGGTTTCCGGCTACGTTCCAATGCTCGATCCTGGTCTCGTCGCCGCTAGCCTGCGGGTAGATCGCAATGTCACCTGTCGATGGAATGTGAGCTCTGCAGCCACATTGTCTGGTGAGGTCAACATTTACCGATGGCGTAAACATTCTGCTGATCAGGACCAGATTTGACTCGAAGGTATTGGTCAACTTTGACACCACCGTCCTTCTCAACGTTGATCCCACTGCCCTTCAAGAACTCCGTGGCCGGGGCAACGCCAACTCCCATTATGACAAAGTCGGCAGGGATGGTCTGACCATTGACAATCACCCCACTTGCCGCGTTAGGGTTGCTGTCGCTTGCGACAATCTTGTCGACCTTGCTCTTCATATGGAATTTGACACCGTTGGATTCGTGATACTTCATGTGGAGGTGAGAAATGCATTATCAGAAAACTTCAGTCACCCGTGATGAGGCTTACCTTCTTCAAAGCTGCACCAATCTCGGAGCCCAATACAGCTTGGAAGGGGTACTCCTCCATTCCAACCACGTCAATAGATGCAAGCTTTCGCTTAGCCATAGCCACGACGAGCTCCATGCTGATGAAGGAACTACCGATCACAACCACTCGCTTCCCTTCCTGCGCGGCTGAATACATGGTGTCATAGTCGAACTCGGGCAGGAATAACAGATGGCCTTACCTGCATCGACTTTCTGTGAGTCAGCGATTCCACGGAAAGTGTAGACATTCTCAAGGTTTGCGCCTTCGATCGGAAGTCGACGAGGGGTGCCTCCAGGCGCGAGGATAAGTTTATCATATGGCAAGGTATCCTTCCCTCCGTCAAGAGTCACGACCTTTTTCTGAAGATCCACGCCAGTAACTTCCTGTGATGCGGATGGTGAGTGTAACAGTAATCTTGGTCGAAAAGTCTTCGAAACCTACAACGCCGAGTCGAATGTTCGTCCCATACTTAATCTTGAGATCTGCAGCAGACCGCCATTCGATCTTGGCGGGGTCGGTAATGAGTGCCTTGCTCAGCTTTGTTCTGGAAAGCGAGTTAATGGCAGAGTCAATCTTGATACGAAGACAGAGCCTTACCTGTCGATCGGGGTGTATGTTTCCTTGGAAATCAGAGTTATGGGTCCGGGATACCCGTGCTGGGAACAATTGTTGTTTTACTCTATCAGGTATCGTCTATACCTGATGCATAGTACTCACCTCTCGAAGGCTTTCGATGGCGTGGAAGGTGCCCGAACCACCACCTACGATCACAACCCCGTGTCCAGTGGTGTCATTGCCGGTGGCGAGCAACTTGGGTTGTCTGGACAAATTGGCTTTGAGCGTGTTGGTGGGATTGGCAGTTACATAGATTTGGCCGTCTGCGATATACGCTTCGAAGGAGTGGAGCGCAGTTGGGGCAGGAGCATCCTCTGGCGATGAAGTTGTTTATTATGAGTGGTGAGATGGGGTGTAGCGCTCCTACCGATATCGCCTGTGCAGACATTGAAGCACGCTGGAGAGCGAAGGTCAGTCTGATTTTCGAATTACGAGCCCACAGGGACCAACCTCCGTGCCACGGGCTACAAGGGAGGGGGTCAGAAGCTTTTGAGTATGTCGTCATACCAGCACTCACCAGACCACACGGCCGTCTGCAGTCAAAACGCCTTTGGCGAGCGGCGCTCCGTAGTGAGTACAGAATGCGCTCGTCGCATGGATCTTGTCGCCCAACCTGGACAGCAAAACCTTGCCGTCTTCGAACGAAACCTCTTTCCTGGGTACCGGGCGGGGGTTACGACGTTGCTCAACACTCCAGTCGACACTACTCACATTTGGCCATCCTCGAGCTCTGCCTCTGGAAGGACTGCGATAGTTTTCACTGACATTCTGCGTACTTGGTGGTGGTAGAGAGAAAGGCTCGGAAAGCGAACCGAGGGCAACTGGAGGGAACGAGCACGGGGAATCAGAAAGCGCATATAAGGGTGATTGATCGCGTCCAATCAGCTCAAGTAGATTAGACCAAGAATCGGAAGCTGCTCCATTCGACCATTTATGCGCACGCTTTCCCCATTGCGTCATATCCTCGTCTGATCACTCGGGCGCCAATCATCCACAGCCATAGACGCCCATTAAAGTGCCCCAGGTCACTGTCTGCGTTAGTCACCATAGAAGTCGAAGTAGAATAGATTGCTAATACTCTCGTAAGTATCAGTGCCTGTCATGAGTATTCTTTGCAGGAAGGGGAAGTATGGGGTGAGTAGAATGCCGTGATTGGTGATATTGGGATAGATGGCTATCGAACTGCCCCGCAAACTGAGGATATTCTTCTCAAGACGGAGAGTATATGCCTTAATGACATTAGGTATAGATGACTGCCACTACTGTATCGCAATGAGGGTGCGAGGCTGACTGATGCTTCCATCGATGAAGCTGTTAAACAGGACAATAGGTTCAGCCATGGTGTCAGGAATTGATAAACGGTTACGAGTTGAAGTAGTGTCCGCGATGAGGTTCGATAGGATGGTGCACAAGCCGAGGACAGAAAAGCACAGCCATGCATGAGTTGCGATGCCATCAAATTCAACGGCCAGCGGCGGCGATGACGAGGTGACCCCTCATGACAGCGTTGACTGTCACCGGTGACCACCACCGTCCAAGATCGTCGCCAGATCCTAATTCCTACAGGATGTATCATGGTTAACATGGCGGTCTCCGACCTGTTCGTAGCAATAGTGCGAATGCATCGTGAGTGTGGTATGCCGACTTGTGCTCGCAGTGCTCACCTGGAGATTCTAGACATTACCAACCCAAGCAAGTTTCGACGCTTGAAACGATTCGCATTGCATGCCAATGTATCTGGCTTGGTCAAGGTACCGTGAGCAGGCTTTCGTTGAAAGTCGTTAATGGATGCTCATAGGGGTCACACATAGAAAGGGAAGCCAGGGCTGGTGGTTTTCGATGGGAGTCAGTCGTCTGTCAAGACCTTTCTAGCCAACGCTCGAGGTCCGTCTCCCCCTCCGCTGACATGGCGGGTACAAGCTCCAACTAATTACAGGGCTGCGGTACTTGGAATATCATCACGTCGACACAACGTCATTGCCTGATAAATCCAAACGAGTTGCAGATGGTGCGCCAGGCCTGCACGAGGTCGAGCACGTCAACACACTGGTGAAGGCCATGGACAAAGTGGCGCTCAAACAATGGTTCAGGGACAATTTAGGGATGGCCGGTCCTGGTCGATGAAGCTCGTACCTCTGACGACCAGTCGCAAAGCGCGTGGGTGATCCTTGCAAATTCTTCGGGAAATGGTCAGTTCATTCAAAGCGCGAGTGACGTTCGTTGAAGCCAACTCACCCAAAGCTGCTCACTGGAGTCCACCCATGATCCCGAGGTTTCAGATATCTCTGCCCGTTGGTCGCCAATGTGCTGTCGAGCAATTCTAAGAGTGGATTCTCCTTTCCTCGGGAAAACAGCCCTATCGCTTTCGAAGTCACTAGCACTAGTCACACCCCCACGGACGGTCTCACTTCTTGAGCCTCCATCGTGTTCGGCTAATTTACGGATCCTCTCGACTGAACCCTGTTGCTCTAATTCACGGCAAAACCGCAAATAGATTATCTTTTGCTGCAACGGACCCTGTACCGGCGCGGTACACAGATCGCTTCTGTCGTGGAGATACCATAGCAGGTGATCCGCCTCATAAGCCTCTTCTTTGAATAAACTCATCATTCCCCGCAGGTTAAGTTCACGACTTCTTAAATTCTCTCGGTGGCTATCCCCCATGTTCTTCGTCCGTTGAAGCACAGTCGTGGTATTTCCATTGTGATCGCTACCTTTCGGTGGATCGTTGCACAGTCTTCATGGGAAGGAACCACATTCGTTGGTATGCCCCGGGGGTAAATGAAGCCAGTTACCCTCTCTGCGTTTGACCAGGCCCTACCCCGTCGCACCCCCGAATTATACACATGGTTTATCCGTATAGTAATGGCGAGGTGAGTACCAAGTACGCGTCGCGCTTCGGGCGGCATGGCATCTCCCAGTCAGTACTCGGTATACATCGCATTGTCATTCTCTATGTGCCTGTCCAAGGCATGGGTCGTCGTCGGTGCATACAGGCTTTATGGCAGGGTAACAAGGCCCTTTCCATTATCTACATATGTTCCAATTTCCCCAATCAATCTTTTTCCATTGCACCGTCCCTTTCGCGAGGCTGGTGCAACATGGTACTGTGGCGATCGCCACCTCTGTCCCAACTAGAGTCCTCAATTCTGATTTACTCCCTGTTAGTGGCTCAAGATCGAGGAGATGTCGCTGTGAAGAGCCGTGAGAATGCGTGCGGCATCGGTGACGTCGCTCTAGCTCGCTTTCCACACCTCTGGCTGGTCCTTTGTCAACCACCACCACGAACGTCGAAAGAGTGACCATGACCTTCCTAGACCTGCCGCCGTCCCTGGACTGGCCTGCGCAATTCTGCGCTGCGACGATGCTGGCCACTTGGGTGGCTTCTCTCATCACCGGAAATGTCTCGCAAGTGGATAGGCTCTGGACGTTCTTACCCACAATCTACACCGCCTACTATGCTTTTCTACCGCTATTCCCTAACACACAACCATTCTTCCTCTTCCCTTACGCTCCAAAGAGTTTTGGATGGGCCACAGCGACCACTTGGAGCCCGAGAGCACTGCTCATGTTCGGATTGACTTTTACCTGGATGTGTCGTTTGACCTACAATACGTATCGGCGGGGCCTGTTCAATTTGTGAGTGAACGAGTTGAAACCTTTCTATTTCATGACTAAGTGAGCTTGTAGGAATGATGAAGATTATCGATGGGCAGTCCTTCGCGCCCATATTCCAGGTGCACTGTTCCAGGTCTTTAACCTGGGATTCATTGTCATCATTCAGAATGTGCTCCTCCTGTGGCTTGGACTCCCCGCACGAACTGCTGTGCAGCAGCCTCATGACCCCCTTTCCACATCAGACTATGCCATGGCTGCCCTAGCCTTGGTTTTGCTTGCGCTCGAATTCACTTCGGATAACCAACAGTACGCCTTCCACCAATACAAACATGCCTACCTGGCCAAAGAAGCTGGGAAGCTGGACGTCGAATACAAGCCAGAAGATCATTGGATTGGATCGAGGTTGGACTGGACACCTGAAGACGCAAAACGAGGGTTCCTCAGTCGTGGATTGTGGAGGTACTCCCGCCATCCCAACTTCTTTTGTGAGCAGGCTTTCTGGGTATGTTCTTCCCGTCCTCGAAAAAGGTGTGTCGACTGACGAACCTTTCAGTGGGTCATCACCCTGTTCCCCCTTGTCTCACCATCGCCTCCCCACCTTCCTTCTGCTGAAGACTTGCCTCCCCTCCGAACGATTGTCATTTCCATCCTTCACCCAGACCTTCGACGGCCACTTGTGGATACCTTGACGGCCGTGTTTTACCCCGCGTTCATGCATCTCCTCCCGGCCATAAGCCTTTCAGCTCTCTTCTGGGGCTCGACCACCTTCACGGAATCCATTTCCAAGAAGAAATACCCTCTCTCGTATGGCGCGTACCAAAAGCGAGTGGGAATGTTCGCGCCAGGTACGACGTTGCTGAAGCTGGTCCAGTTGAAGTTGTTCTCGTCCGAGGAGGAGAGGAAGAGACTGCATGATATAGTATGGGGAGGGGTCATTGAGGATAAGAAAACAATCTAGTCAGTGTGCTACTTGTAGGACGCTCTGTTGTGTTTGTACAGTACTGTATAGCGAAAAGAAGCAAGTATGACGCCTGCGATCAATGAGGCAATTGCGGTGATGCATCGCTCCATTCTTGGTTCACCCTTCTCTGTCTCTGCAGCCCTGTTATGTGCAAGCCTTTCTGCGTTCAGCGTTTGGGCTGTCTAGGTCGGTTGTATGGCTCGTGGCTGTCGAGGCGGTGGTTTGTGGCCCATTACGTCAGAGGCTGCCACCGACCGCCCGTTCCGTGATTTGGTTCGCCCCGTTGTCACTTGGCCTCACCTTGGCCTCGATCCGCCACCTTAGTCAATTGGCATTCAACCATCTCTCTTCTCATTGAAAAGCTGCTCTCTCTGTGTGCTGGCCGCGAGAGAGGGTCAGTATGATCTCTGCCCGCGAGCTCGCCCTTTATGTCGTGGTCGCCTCATTCTTGGCGTTTTTCTTGTCCTGCGGTGTATCCGATGGCCCAAGTCGATTCTGGTCGTCGGTCAAAGAGGGCGCAAAGCGGTTTGATCTCGTCGAGCAGGCTACGAAGAAACGTATGTAAAGTTTCCCTTCCTTTGAATATAAGCGCTGGCGCTGATCTCCTAGACAGGATTGCCAGACTTTACCCAATACGAGCCGCTGAGAATACTTTCACGCTCAGAGTTTCCTTTAGGTGACCCCCTAAACCTTTCTCTATCTTCCATTGGCACTGAATGTGTTTCAAAGATGATCCCACTCGTCGAGTGATCATAGTTGGCGATATACATGGGATGATCCACCCGTTCAAGTCAGTTGCCACTCGCCGATCTCCCTCAGGTAGACGGTGAAAACTGAGCCCTCTTTCCCGTAGCAAACTCCTCGCCACCGTCGACTACGACCCAGATGCCGACGTCCTGATACACACCGGCGACATCATATCCAAGGCGCCTCATCGAGACTCGATGGCTGTCCTGTCCTTTATGGCGCGCAATAACATCACCGGCGTTCGAGGCAACCATGACCAGATGGTGATAGAGTGGAAGGGTTGGATGAAGTGGATATGTTCCTCGTTCGATGGTTGCCAGTGGCTTCAACGCGTAGAGAGAGACTGGGACAGACGTCATAAAGAAGACAAATCGCTCGCCTTGGAGGACTTCCTGGAGTCAGAAGAGCAGGCCCTAGGGCTGAAAGACAAGCGGTGGTGGAGCTTAATCCCCTCGGAGTGGAAGATGCTTGGTGACCACTACCGGATCGCTAGGAGCATGTCAGACGAAGAATACAGCTACCTTCTCAACCTCCCATTGCGACTTTACATCCCCAGTGCCCATGCTTATGTGGTCCATGCGGGGCTTTTGCCATCCGACCCTCAGTACCCGTTCGACTCAAAGAGGCAACCATTGGCCCATTTACCGAAGGTTGGAGGACGGTCAAAAAGTGAGGAGAGGAACGGTGTAGAGCACATGAGGAACCTCCAGGAGATGGCAGTCTTGACCAAGGTGCCCCAGAACACAAATCCTTGGGTCGTCCTGAACATGCGGGCTGTCAAGAATGGGAAAATATCAAGGTATGTGAGCCAATGTGCGCAGCCTGAACAAGTCTAACCGAGCCTTCAATAGGAAGCGCAATGGGAAGGACTGGTACAAGATTTGGGGGAGGGAAATGGACCATTGCATTGGCTTCAGTTCAAAATTGTTTGACGATTATAGCTCGCTAATACAACCCACCTCTGGGAAGAAGAAACACGGGTTACCGTGCTATCCCATCTCGGTCTTCTATGGCCACACCGCGTCCGTCGGCTTGAACGTCCAAAGATGGTCCTTTGGTTTGGATTCGGGCTGCGTAAGTTACCACACGTCTCACAAGGGTGTTCTCGCTTGACCGATTGATGACTTAGGTGTATGGTCGCAGACTCTCGGCGTTCGTGATTGGAGGGCCCGGAGTTCTATTGGACGATGTCAGCGAAACCGACGCCGGGGTTGTTGATGCGGACGGTGAGTGCCACGGTACTCGTGCTACTCGTAGTCTGTTCTTGTCTGACCTTGGGCAGGTGGAAATGATGACGATACGGATGCGTCTGGGAAGAAGAAACACCACAAGAACGGCGACATCGTCCCCTTCGGTGACCGCTACCAAGGCCAAGTTATCTCTGTTAAGTGTTAAGGAGAGACTGCGCGAACGTGGCGATGCAGGTTCCTCAGTGGTTCCCAGAAGCCTGTCCACTTGACGAGATGGTGCAAGTCTCGTGTCCAATCCACTCCCCATTCCCTCGCGTCTGTTATTGCATCCTTTACTTCGACCTTCTTGCATTTCTCCGCCCCTCTGCGCCTTTCGGCTTCGCTCACGTCCACAGGCCAATGACCCGATTCATGTTGTTTCTCGGTTTAACTTGTTCTATTTTGTATCATAGATGGACTACCTTAACTGTCTGTAAAGATCACTCGGCCGAATTCTCGAGGTTAATAGAAGTCGCTTTTCTTCTCTGGACGACGAACAGCATCACGGGTTAAACATGGGTTTTCTCCATGACCTCGACCGCCAATTCTTCGGGGAAGCCGACGCGTTCTCACTTCTCCAGAAACGGCTTCTTCAGATCCAGAAAAAGAAGTTCTTCTATTTTGTTAGTTCGGATTGTTTTCGGTAGATCGCCTATCCAGATAGTGGGGAAAGAAGATCTGGGGTCGAAACTTGGCACCGAACGCCAAGGCGGCAAGGACAAGCCATGCTCGGGCGGGGTTTCAATACTTTTTTTGCCAGGTTTCGGCAAGATCTATGGGAAAAGCTGTCTTGTAAGGCAGGAGGTAGACCCACGAGGACACGAAGTGCGATCTAGTGCTCTTGGGACAAGAATTTATGGGAACGATGAGGAAACAACTGGAATCAGCTGGAAATATTCATAGTACCTTGGCACGATACCGACCGCCTTTCAAAGATTGTGTGCGCTGCTTCAGTAGGGCTGCTGTCGTGACTTGTTACCGCCTCTACGGCAGCTGCTCCAATAGAAGGAGGCGACTTTTCGCACCTAGGGCCCTAGGGGTTCTATTTGTGGTCAAGAGATCTAGTAGATGATGGTCCTGCTCCAATTCAATGTCAAGTGTCCAATGAGGGTAAGGAAGACTTGTACTCCTTACCTGAGTGTATTCGACCGTGATGACTGCGTCAATAACCGGTGATCTCGTGAAATGACTGAGGACAGCCCAGCGCACTATTCGGTAACATGTGGGCCGTATTAACCCTGGTACTGAGCGTCTTGCGATGACCATCGGTATAATAGACATCTATAGCTGTAGAGTATGCATTCGCGCGGTGTCTCTAGATGAAATGACGGAGTATAGGGAATAGTGAAGCCTAAGATAAGTGGGAAGGGCGGGTCGGAAACAGCGCTTAAAACGCGTCCGTTTCTGTACTGACTGAGGTGAACGTCGATTTTGGAGCGTTTGTCAACTACATGAGCCAATGTAAACATTATAACAGAACAAGAATGGTGACTGTAAGGGACAATATCGTAGACGCCTTGACAAGCGCTGACTTGGACGGTCGTTGAAGGTAAAGGACGGAGGTTTTAGAGATAAGATAAGATAATTTAACAGCAACTTTTTGGGCGGAGTCTGTATTTACCATTTTTGGCATCACCCTTGGCATATCCGGTGCTATTGCGCGGAGCGTTAACGCCAGAGGGGAGATGGGGAAGAGTACGTACTGTAACCACAGTCATCTCTCGAGAGGTTCTGTGGCGACACAAGGAAACACTTCAAGACTGTCCGGTTATTTTCCGTGAAGTTTTGGGTATAAAACATGGCCAGGAATTGCACTTTGGAAAATCAACATCCTCGGTTCCTTCGACATGTTGGGCAAAATCGCAATCGCATCTCTCTCTTTCCTGGCTATCGCCAAGGGTCAACAGGTTGGCCGCGAGGTCGCCGAAAACCACCCCCGTCTCCCGTGGCAGCGCTGCACTCGCAACGGTGGATGCCAGACTGTCTCCAACGGTCAGGTCGTCCTCGACGCCAACTGGCGATGGCTCCACGTCACCGACGGCTACACCAACTGCTACACCGGTAACTCCTGGAACAGCTCCGTCTGCTCCGATGGTACCACCTGTGCCCAGCGATGCGCTCTCGAAGGTGCCAACTACCAGCAAACCTATGGAATCACCACCAGCGGCAACTCCCTCACCATGAAGTTCCTCACCCGATCCCAGGGAACCAACGTTGGCGGCCGTGTCTACCTCATGGAGAACGAGAACCGCTACCAGATGTTCAACCTCCTCAACAAGGAGTTCACCTTCGACGTTGACGTCTCCAAGGTTCCTTGCGGTATCAACGGTGCCCTCTACTTCATCCAGATGGACGCCGATGGTGGCATGAGCTCTCAGCCCAACAACAGGGCTGGTGCTAAGTACGGTACCGGCTACTGCGACTCTCAGTGCCCCCGTGACATCAAGTTCATTGACGGCGTGGTATGTTCACATTGAAACCCCTCCCAGTTTGACGTTTTCTAATGCTTTTGTCCAACAGGCCAACAGCGTCGGATGGGAGCCCTCCGAGACCGACTCCAATGCTGGAAGGGGTCGCTACGGCATTTGCTGCGCCGAGATGGATATCTGGGAGGCCAACTCCATCTCCAACGCCTACACCCCTCACCCTTGCCGAACCCAGAACGATGGTGGCTACCAGCGCTGCGAGGGCCGCGACTGCAACCAGCCTCGCTATGAGGGTCTTTGTGATCCTGATGGCTGTGACTACAACCCCTTCCGCATGGGTAACAAGGACTTCTACGGACCCGGCAAGACCATCGACACCAACAGGAAGATGACCGTCGTCACCCAATTCATCACCCACGACAACACCGACACTGGTACCCTCGTCGACATCCGTCGCCTCTACGTCCAAGACGGCCGTGTCATTGCCAACCCTCCCACCAACTTCCCCGGTCTCATGCCCGCCCACGACTCCATCACCGAGCAGTTCTGCACTGACCAGAAGAACCTCTTCGGCGACTACAGCAGCTTCGCTCGTGACGGTGGTCTCGCTCACATGGGTCGCTCCCTCGCCAAGGGTCACGTCCTCGCTCTCTCCATCTGGAACGACCACGGTGCCCACATGTTGTGGCTCGACTCCAACTACCCCACCGACGCTGACCCCAACAAGCCCGGTATTGCTCGTGGCACTGCCACCACGTACGGTGGCTCTCCCCGCGACACTGAGCAGAACCACCCCGATTCCCAGGTCACTTTCTCCAACATCAAGTTCGGTGACATCGGCTCCACCTTCTCCGGCAACTAGATTTTCTAGTATCGTTCTGTATGCGCTCTTTGTATCCATGTCTCGTCGTCATCTTTGTACAAAAAATTGTAGCGTGCCAAAGTGCCATTGAATCGTATCCGTTCCATTCCTCTTCATCTTGCCCGTTTGAAGTTCGTACGATGTCCTGTGAAGGTGCTCCTGGCACCATCTTCAGTATTAAGGGAGGTCAAACATCATCTGTCTTGCCCAATTCCTCACGTTCACCGAATTTAGTGTCTTTGTTTCCTTTCCTGAATCGTCAATCTCTAGACTATGACGGGATCGCTGAATGCGGGTACTGCTCTTCACGGAACCTTTCCCCGCCCCGCCTTTCTTAGCTTTCGTCCTCTTGCAGTGGAAACGCATGCGCAGCTCCGATCACCATCTGTCCGACGCGCCGTCAGGTCAACGGGCACCCACGGACTGGGCGGTTATGTTCAACGCGCATCCTTGTACATTTCCTACCCTTTCCATTGGCTTCGCACAGAACCTGAGAGAGAACATTTCTTGCACCAACATCCGATGACATATTACGGCCGCAGCGGCCAGACGACCTGGACTATGTCTCTGAGGGCAGGGAAGGCGGAGAAACTAGCGCCATGGTTTCGCATGGATTCGTGGTTGATTATTTCCACTGGACGGTTCCCGACTCCAGCTGAATCGAGGACTGGATGTCCGCCAATACTTCGGAGAGGACCACAGCGGAAGCGATTCATTATTCCGCAGAACAATGCCCGTCGTCCTGAGACTGACCACGCGGCCCAAGCGGGGTGCGATGAATATGATGCTCTCGTTGGAGAATTAGGCAGCCGCGTCCGCTTCCTAACAAGGATCCCATGACTGATGCCAACATTTTGCCAAGTAGAACCCCGAGATTTCTGAGCGCGGAGTTATGTTAGGTGGAGGCCGAAAAGAAGCGGAGCATCGACGTGCAAAGTTGAGAAAGCCTAATTTTCATCGAAGTTTACCGTTAGTGTCAAAGGTGAGGTTAGACTACACTGCAAGAGGCCAAAGTTGGACAGAGGCGCCCGAAAATCCACATTTGGTTGAGAGCCGTTCTTTATATGAAGGCGAAAGTTGGGTATGAATATGTAGTGACCTCAGAACGGAGGGAATTGCCAGTGTGCCAGAAATCGCATTCCATCGGCATTTCCCAAAGTGCATTCAGTCTCCGACATTGGGCGTTTGTCCCCCGCACTGCTGGCGGTTGTCGGGATGATCTTGGCCAGCTTGGCAGAAAGCGATCTTTCCTCCCGTTTCCGTGAACTTCTGGTCGGAATCTAAACACCCTGGAAGGGTGCATGGACTTTCTGGTTGTCGACGATACATGGGACTTTTTCATTCATCTAGGTGCTCTGACGCCCGGGTTTTATCCGCGCATTTTCTCTATAAAAGCACGATGAGAGGAGCCAGAAAGCCTCACCACACCTCGAGATACATCGTCGGATCTCGTGAAGATGTTCAAGAAAGTCGCCCTCACCGCTCTCTGCTTCCTCGCCGTCGCACAGGCCCAACAGGTCGGTCGCGAAGTCGCTGAAAACCACCCCCGTCTCCCGTGGCAGCGTTGCACTCGCAACGGCGGATGCCAGACTGTCTCCAACGGTCAGGTCGTCCTCGACGCCAACTGGCGATGGCTCCACGTCACCGACGGCTACACCAACTGCTACACCGGTAACTCCTGGAACAGCACCGTCTGCTCCGACCCCACCACCTGCGCTCAGCGATGCGCTCTCGAGGGTGCCAACTACCAGCAAACCTACGGTATCACCACCAACGGAGACGCCCTCACCATCAAGTTCCTCACCCGATCCCAACAAACCAACGTCGGTGCTCGTGTCTACCTCATGGAGAACGAGAACCGATACCAGATGTTCAACCTCCTCAACAAGGAGTTCACCTTCGACGTTGACGTCTCCAAGGTTCCTTGCGGTATCAACGGTGCCCTCTACTTCATCCAGATGGACGCCGATGGTGGTATGAGCAAGCAACCCAACAACAGGGCTGGTGCTAAGTACGGTACCGGCTACTGCGACTCTCAGTGCCCCCGTGACATCAAGTTCATTGACGGCGTGGTATGTTCACATTGAAACCCCTCCCAGTTTGACGTTTTCTAATGCTTTTGTCCAATAGGCCAACAGCGCCGACTGGACTCCATCCGAGACCGATCCCAATGCCGGAAGGGGTCGCTACGGCATTTGCTGCGCCGAGATGGATATCTGGGAGGCCAACTCCATCTCCAATGCCTACACCCCCCACCCTTGCCGAACCCAGAACGATGGTGGCTACCAGCGCTGCGAGGGCCGCGACTGCAACCAGCCTCGCTATGAGGGTCTTTGCGATCCTGATGGCTGTGACTACAACCCCTTCCGCATGGGTAACAAGGACTTCTACGGACCCGGAAAGACCGTCGACACCAACAGGAAGATGACCGTCGTCACCCAATTCATCACCCACGACAACACCGACACTGGCACCCTCGTTGACATCCGCCGCCTCTACGTTCAAGACGGCCGTGTCATTGCCAACCCTCCCACCAACTTCCCCGGTCTCATGCCCGCCCACGACTCCATCACCGAGCAGTTCTGCACTGACCAGAAGAACCTCTTCGGCGACTACAGCAGCTTCGCTCGTGACGGTGGTCTCGCTCACATGGGTCGCTCCCTCGCCAAGGGTCACGTCCTCGCTCTCTCCATCTGGAACGACCACGGTGCCCACATGTTGTGGCTCGACTCCAACTACCCCACCGACGCTGACCCCAACAAGCCCGGTATTGCTCGTGGTACCTGCCCGACCACTGGTGGCACCCCCCGTGAAACCGAACAAAACCACCCTGATGCCCAGGTCATCTTCTCCAACATTAAATTCGGTGACATCGGCTCGACTTTCTCTGGTTACTAAACAGGGGTTTCTGTTCACATCGCTCGCGTACCTCTCTTCTACTCTAGCTCTATGTAGTGTACCTTTGCCTGTACAAGAAAACAAACTGCGCTGTGCAATGTAATTCGTTTATCCTCGCTCGCACTGGACCTTGATTGTCACAATTCATTCAAAATAACTATTGATAGTGCCAGCAGTGTAAGAGTCCAAGTTTCAACAGTATCCTACTTCTAGAATGAAGCAAAGTAAACCTTTCGCAGTTAATGGCACCCCAGTTAAAGGCGAGGAGATCCCCGTCTAAATAAGGAGTGAAGGTTGCCTCTTTTGTCGCGTTGCGCGCTTGGCGAAATGCAACCTCAACAACCTAAAAACGTTAATTTTCGACATCCACACCACTGAAATATCCCGCTATTGTGGCTAAACTTCTCACCCGCTTTCGAAGCTGATTCGCCTGGGCGGCCCAGCGCATCACTTTCCAATCATTATGGTCAAAGGTTTATGCAATGCTTCGAATTCACACAACCACAGCAGGCTTCCTATGCTCCCCGTACCAGTCTGAAATCGGGATGCAGCTACGTCGTGCTCAGTCTTGCAGTATCCACGAAATGAAGACAGGATGGCAGATCCTTCCATAGAAGTGATACTGGCGCGCGTGAGGCGTCGATTCGTATCGAGTGAGTCACCCCATTGGCAGTCGCAACCTTGGTACCCAAACTCGCATTCGACTATTCTCGACTAGCATTGGCCCTGGGTGCGCCCGATGCACTATGCGTGGAAATAACCGTGACCCTACTTCATGCATTGACCAGTTGCAAGCTGTCAATCCCCACGCCCCGTTCCCATCGTCCACAGGGTTCTAGCAACGGTATTCAGGCAGCTTGGTTGCTCCTAGCTGAAGTGAATGCAATTATTCCGTTGAATGCTCAAGGCAATTCAACCCCGATCTCGAACCCCGGTCGATACGTACTCGATGTATTATTCCGCCCATTAATCTAGATTTCTGACCCATTCACATCTGGAAGCTTTTCGGTAAACGTAAGGTTCAGAAGGTTTAGATTGAATCTGACCCGCCATATAAGTCAAGCCCAGTTCACAGAGGGGTCCTGTGGTTTGATCCTTACGAGTCGCCAAGGATCGAAGCCGGAGGTGATCCAGGTTCGGAGCTTTGGTTCAATTCGTGCCGCGGAACGGCAACAGACGAGGCTCGACATAAGATTCGCCCTTGAACGCTCTGCACCGGGACTTCTAACGGTTTGAAGGATTTCGCAGTGAAATAAGCGAGTTGGCAACTTTGAGCCCGTCCCAACGTGAACCTTGGGCTCGAATGCTTGAGAAACTACCAGCAGTATATTGAACGGGGAAAGCAGGACCATGGAACGAGCTAATTGAGGGAGATAAAACAGTCAATTGCGACTGTAAATGGGGAGTTGGTTGCCGATACATTTATAATCATGCTTTTCGCACTCGTCCTGACATTTTTGGGCTGCAAGCAACTCAAGGAGCGGTCTGTCCCTGACTTTCACACTTTCAATCTCCGCACGATGGCCTATGTTTCTTGGAACTTGGCATTAATTCTGGGGTTGGAGCTAGCTCCAACGGCAACCATGATCATCTGGTATCACCGTGGTTAGCTTCTTTCGGCTGTCGGTCGAAGTACGTGAGGGCGCTCTTGACTGCCCTCAAGCACTTGTACTTGGAGATCGTGGTGCTTGGAGAAGTGTCCTTCTTGTTCTGCTTGCCCGGACTGCCGGGTTTTATCCGCCACCACAGCCTATAAAAACGCGACGAAATGGTGACGGAAAAGACCAACAACAGGAGACACGTTCTGAGCTCACAAATGTTCAGCAAAGTCGCCCTCACCGCTCTCTGCTTCCTCGCCGTCGCACAGGCCCAACAGGTCGGTCGCGAGGTCGCCGAAAACCACCCCCGTCTCCCATGGCAGCGCTGCACTCGCAACGGTGGATGCCAGACTGTCTCCAACGGTCAGGTCGTCCTCGACGCCAACTGGCGATGGCTCCATGTCACCGACGGCTACACCAACTGCTACACCGGTAACGCCTGGAACAGCTCCGTCTGCTCCGACGGTGCTACCTGCGCCCAGCGATGCGCTCTCGAAGGTGCCAACTACCAACAAACCTACGGTATCACCACCAGCGGAGACGCCCTCACCATCAAGTTCCTCACGCGTTCCGAGCAAACCAACATCGGTGCTCGTGTCTACCTCATGGAGAACGAGGACCGATACCAGATGTTCAACCTCCTCAACAAGGAGTTTACCTTCGACGTTGACGTCTCCAAGGTTCCTTGCGGTATCAACGGTGCCCTCTACTTCATCCAGATGGACGCCGATGGTGGCCTGAGCTCTCAGCCTAACAACAGGGCTGGTGCAAAGTACGGTACCGGCTACTGTGACTCTCAGTGCCCTCGTGACATCAAGTTCATTAACGGCGAGGTATGTTATTGTCGAGACTCCTGACAGTTCCAGCTTTTCTAAGTCTTTCTCGACAGGCTAACAGCGTTGGATGGGAGCCCTCTGAGACCGATCCCAATGCGGGCAAGGGCCAGTACGGCATTTGCTGCGCTGAGATGGATATCTGGGAGGCCAACTCCATTTCGAATGCCTACACTCCCCACCCTTGCCAGACTGTGAATGACGGTGGCTACCAACGTTGCCAGGGCCGCGACTGCAACCAGCCTCGTTATGAGGGTCTTTGCGATCCAGACGGTTGCGACTACAACCCCTTCCGCATGGGTAACAAGGACTTCTACGGACCCGGCAAGACCGTAGACACCAACAGGAAGATGACTGTCGTCACCCAGTTCATCACCCACGACAACACCGACACTGGCACCCTCGTCGACATCCGCCGCCTCTACGTCCAAGACGGCCGTGTCATTGCCAACCCTCCCACCAACTTCCCCGGTCTCATGCCCGCTCATGACTCCATCACCCAGGAATTCTGTGACGACGCCAAGCGAGCATTCGAGGACAACGACAGCTTCGGTAGGAACGGTGGCCTTGCTCACATGGGTCGCTCCCTTGCCAAGGGTCATGTTCTCGCCCTCTCCATCTGGAACGACCACACCGCTCACATGTTGTGGCTCGATTCCAACTACCCCACCGACGCCGACCCCAACAAGCCCGGTATTGCTCGCGGTACCTGCCCAACCACTGGTGGCTCTCCCCGTGACACCGAGCAAAACCACCCTGATGCCCAGGTCATCTTCTCGAATATCAAGTTCGGTGACATCGGCTCGACCTTCTCCGGCAACTAGATTCTTCGAAGAGCACCGCCTCCTAGGATCAGCTGTCCTCGGGCGACATGTCCTGTTTTGTTCACCTTGTCTCTCATCCCGTGTTACACTGGCATTGTGTATATCATTATCCTTGTGTTCCAAAATTTGTAACGACATTCAATACAAACCACCTACTTTCGTGCCCTGTTGACTCGTAGCTCTTGAAGAAGCGTTCGTAAGCCACAGCTCAGTCGCAGATACACTGGCATAGGTCTACAAGTGGCAGCCGTTTTTGTTAACCTGGACCTTGTACTCTTGCCCTGGCGACCAGTTCTTGGCAGTATGGGGTGAACGTTAACAGAGAAGTGTTCCTGTGTTTGCACTTTGAGCTCTTGACATATCGCGGGATATAACCTCTGGGCATCGGGGCATACGCTTTTCCTTCCTAAAATGGATTTTCATTATCCTCTTTCGTGAGGGAGCATTCCCTTGGCGAGCGAAAAGTCCGAAACCTTAATAGATAGTATCTGAAATCAGCCGGCCTCCCGAGCCAATTGCGTTTGGGCCTTTGAAGTGTTCATACTCCAGAATTGGCGCCATTTGAACTTTTGTTCTTGCATATCTCTTATGAATTCATCACCACTAGTATACATTAATAGCAAACTGGGCCAGAATTACTAGTCTCCGCTCGAATAACCAGTAACTCCGCAAGATATTGCCCACGTCTGGGCTCGTTTAACTGTGTCCGATACCCGATGGAGACTGTGTCTCCATATCATGGCGTCGATTACAACACCCTTATTTAAATGGCTCGAAATAACAACTTGCGTGTCCAGAACAAGATTATCCAAACCAGCGCGATGAGTCGACAAGCAACGGGGCCCAGATAGGCGTATGTCTAGACCACTTGAGTGCGAGAAAGGAAAACGCGGCACCGATATGTACTGCTAAAAAAGGGCGGCTCGACTTGCCAGCTTGCTCGGTTCGATTACTGATTCAGATACCATCCAATTGCATCTTCGAGGGATGGTACCATCGTTCCGGGACACGGCTCATTTACGATCGATCTCTAATGCACAGGATAGAACAAAGGATGCAGCCTTTCAAACCTTCTATCCTCTCCCATCCCTCTACTCATAACCTGTCACGGTGATTGTCCTACAGTCATCAGCTCTCCGGAAGCTAAGAGCGGTTGCGAGCATCCAAACTCCCGTGAATACCTCGAACGATGAGCAGGTTATCGATTCATTATTCCGCCAGTTGAATCTAGATGGACCGCTGGAATGACTACCTGGGTTGTTTTCGGGAAATGCGAGAAGATTAGAATCCATTCAGATGGAATCTGCAAATACAAACGGCTCGAAAGTCGTTCACAGCGAGGTCTTGTGGTTGATCGGAACTCAATGCCAAGAGAAGAAGCGCAGCGATCCAAATGCGGAGTTTAGGTTGGTCGTTTCTGCCGTTGAGCGGCGCGTTCCTCTGTATCGTCTTTAGTGGAAAGCTCAGTAGCAAGGGCAAGACTTCAAAGCAAGTAGTACATGTGGCAATAGCGCAGAGTCAGACTATGAAACTCTCGAATTTGTTTTGGTCCCATGGGTCATGTATTTCGCCATCGCTACTGATAAGCCATGAACAGGCAGTAAAACAGGGTATTGCCCAAGATATGGCCAGCAGAAAATTAAAGTATTCGCTTTAATGGGTCCATTGGCCAGCCAGAGAGCTCTGCAGGTCTTTCCTCCCTGTCTATTAACGTGCAAGTGACCCATTCGGCAAGGGTTCTTTGAGCCAAGGGCAACAATGGACTGCTTCGATCTCCGCTTGATAGTGGTGCAGGCCGAAAGGCTTGGCACTGATAGAGTTAGACAGCGACCATGATCATCTGCACAGAAATCTGCGTGCTTCGTGTGATTCATCGGTTTTAACGCTGGATAACACTCGAAGGAAAGTTCAAGGACTCTTTCCTTCAGTTCATCCATGGGCTCTCAGGACGTGTTTCTCTTTGCCAAAGACTGCCGGACTTTATCCGCGTAACTTGGTGTATAAAAGCACAACCCTGGCCAGGTAAAATGCTCCAGCAGCAGGAGAACACTCAATGTCCCCTGACATGATCGGTAAAACCGTCCTCACCGCCCTCTTCTTCCTCGCAGTGACACACGCCCAACAGGTGGGCCGTGAGGTCACCGAAACCCACCCCCGTCTCCCGTGGCAGCGCTGCTCTCGCAACGGTGGATGCCAGACTGTCTCCAACGGTCAGGTCGTCCTCGACGCCAACTGGCGATGGCTCCATGTCACCGATGGCTACACCAACTGCTACACTGGAAACACCTGGAACACATCCGTTTGTTCAAGCGCAACCACTTGTGCCCAGAGGTGCGCGCTTGAGGGTGCCAACTACCAGCAAACCTACGGTATCACAGCCAGCGGCAACGCCCTTACCATTAAGTTCCTCACTCGTTCGCAGCAAACCAACGTCGGTGCTCGCGTCTACCTCATGGAGAGCGATACTCGATATCAAATGTTCAACCTTCTCAACAAGGAGTTTACCTTCGACGTCGATGTCTCCAAGGTTCCATGCGGTATCAACGGTGCCCTCTACTTCATCCAGATGGACGCCGATGGGGGTATGAGCAAGTTCTCTGGCAACAAGGCCGGGGCCAAGTACGGTACTGGCTACTGTGATTCGCAGTGCCCCCGTGACATCAAGTTCATTAACGGTGAGGTATGTTCCAACCGAGACTCTTTCCAGTTGCCTTTTCGTAATCCTTGTCCAACAGGCCAACAGCGTCGGATGGGAGCCTTCTGAGAGTGACCCGAACGCGGGCAGAGGCCAGTACGGCATTTGCTGCGCTGAGATGGATATCTGGGAGGCTAACTCCATTTCCAACGCCTACACCCCTCACCCTTGTCGCACCACGAACGACGGTGGCTACCAACGCTGCCAAGGACGTGACTGCAACCAGCCTCGTTATGAGGGTCTTTGCGATCCTGACGGTTGCGACTACAACCCTTTCCGTATGGGTAACCGCGAATTCTACGGCCCTGGAAAGACCGTCGACACCAACAGGAAGTTCACTGTTGTGACCCAATTCATTACCGACAACAACTCTGACACTGGTACCCTCGTCGACATCCGCCGCCTCTACGTCCAAGACGGCCGTGTCATTGCCAACCCTCCCACCAACTTCCCCGGTCTCATGCCCGCCCACGACTCCATCACTCAGCAATTCTGTGACGACGCCAAGCGAGCATTCGAGGACAACGACAGCTTTGGCAGGAACGGTGGTCTTGCTCACATGGGTCGCTCCCTTGCCAAGGGCCATGTCCTCGCCCTTTCCATTTGGAATGATCACACTGCCAACATGCTTTGGCTCGACAGTTCTTACCCCACCGACGCCGACCCCAACAAGCCTGGTATCGCCCGTGGCACCTGCCCTACCACTGGCGGGAAGCCCAAGGACACCGAGCAGAACCATCCCGATGCCCAAGTCATTTTCTCCAACATCAAGTTTGGTGACATCGGCTCGACCTTCTCCGGCAACTAGATTCGTGAAGAGCACCGCCTTTCAGGATCAATTTTCCTTTAACGGCTTCATTTTGTACCTCAAGGAGTGTAGGGGAAAGTTTCCAAAAGGTGTAGTTGTGGACAGTCAGTCGATTTGCTTCTCGTGTCTTGTTTCATGGATTCCTCTCTTATAATCGGTACTTCTCGTAAAACCGTTGAAATTATTGAAATTATCAAGTTCGTTGCTATCTTTGTCTAGATTGTCGTCCGACCGGAGCTCCATCCTGTTTCCTGGGCGGACAGTAGCTGGACGCCAACAGAGGGCTCCCCGCAATCGAACGGCGGGTCAGCCTAACGTCAGTCATATGTTATCACCTTTCCCTTCAGAGACTGCAAGTCTTTTTCTCGTCTCTTTTCGTTTTGGTCCGCTACGCCTGCCAAACGGTTCAGGAAGACGGGTGAAAATAGGAAAGGCCCAGAGACTCCAGGAGACTAACCCAATGTCAGGAAAGAGCCTTTCAAATCGATTTCCCATCGCATAGACAGCGTAGGTCTGGTTAAAATGACTACCACTAGACCAGGTACCGTCAATGCCATGCAACTTCAATGGAACACACTATAGTAATGATTCCTCTGCCGGTACCTTGACCAAAAGACGCCTCCTTTGCGCTCAGTCGGAGGGAATTCGAAGTGCCATTCCCAACTACAAAGTCAACTTCCTTGGTCCCCTCCTCCCAGGTGATTCCGTCACGGAGAAGTCATTTACCGACGTGAAGAACGCCTTCCAGGGCATCCAGATGCAGATGGCATGGCAGGGCATGGTACAATCTGGTGCCAGTTTGGCCAAGGGGTTCTAACGCTCGGCATACGCTGTCAACGTGATCCGGCTCGACAGCAGCTACCCTGTTAATGGGGTTCCCGCAATGTGCAGGCACGTATTCGAATGACTTGCAAACTGGTGGAGTATTAACATAGATCGAATACCCCGTACGCAGACAGTCAAAGGGAGAATTTCATTAAGTAGTATTTCCATTGGTCATTCTCCTTTTGGCGTTAGTATACAGTAGTGCTCCAGAGTACTCCTGGTGCATTAATATTGTGCTTAGCACTGGCATGGGTCTTCGGAATCGTGACCGCGTGGAAAGATCAAATCGCGTATCATCCATGTTCTTGGCGAATACAAATGGTCTTCTGCCATGTCCTCTTCAGCTGCCATCACCAGCCCCGTGGCTGGCCACGATAGTCTCGTAACTGTTTCTGAGCAACCTCTCCTACTACCTTACCACAATGTCGAGCCCCTCCATCTCTCCTGGTGTCACCAAGTTCAGTGAACAAGATCGTGAAGGACACTCTGCACCCTGGATCCAGCCCAAGAAGAACATTGTCCTGACTTCTCATGGCCGCCCACCGTGGTCAGTACCTGGCACGAGACATGTATTGGAACAGGAGCACCATAGGCTGAAGCCTCTACAGGTACGGTGAAGATGGTCAGCGAATCTGTGATGCTTTCGTCATTGGGATAGCTGGTACGTTCAGGCGCACTCAATGAAGTCGTTGTTAATTCACCCTACTTGGTCTCTTTGGCAGGTGGTTCGGCGAGTGGAAAGGTCTAGTTACCTCTGATAGCTGTGCATGTGACTGGGGCGGCTTTGACGAACCTACAATCCACAGACCCATGTGGCTCGGGAAATTGTGAAAAAATTAGGTTCCATACCAACTGTGATCATCCTCTCCCAGGCAAGTAGCGGACAGTCTGCCTTCATCTCCAGGCCACTAACCCAGATCTAGGACAGCTTCTACAAGTACCACACCCCCGAGGAACTCGTCCTCGCTCATGCTAATAAATTGGATTTTGACCATCCCGATGCTCTCGACATGCCTATCTTCGCTTCGGTATGTTATCTCCCCACTGTTGTTACTAACAACGTTCTGACTTGATTCCCAGTGCTTGGCTGACCTGAAGGCAGGGAAGCAATCAAACATTCCAATTTACTCTTTCTCCGAGCATCAGAGGCTCGAGGAGAAGAAGTATCTTTATGGCGCTAGTGTCATCATTGGTAGGGTATCTGTTCCTCGAGGCGTTCAGAGATACCTACGAGTGATCCACCTTGCTTAGCGGAAGGAATCATGGCTTTGGTAGATCCCTCTCTAAGGGCGCTATACGATCTCAAGGTATGTCCCACGAATATCTATAAGGTAGAGCCTCTGTTCAGATATCTTATCTGCCCAACAGGTCTTCGTTCAATGTGATCCAGACCTTATGCTCGCACGTCGTATAAAACGAGACGTGAAAGAGCGTGGACGTGCTGTGGATGGCATTCTAGACCAGTCAGTCCCAATCCCTGCGGTCTGTGCCGTATCGAAGTAACCATGGCCAACACAGGTACCTTCGTTATGTGAAACCGTCCTACGACAATTTCGTCCGCCCGACTGCCGCTCATGCTGACATTGTATGTCTTAAGGTACCTTTATGCCCCTTTCTCCTGACATGTCCTCTAGATCGTTCCTGGGTCAAACAATGCTGTGGCGATAGACTTGATGTGTACCCACATACGACAGCAACTTCAAGAACGGTCCAAACGATTCCGCGGGAAGATTGCAATCCCGCACTTGTACCTACCCTCCAAGTCTGGTGCATCCACGCCTGAAAGTACGATAGAGGACCTAGATTTGCACATCATGCCCCAGACTCGACAAATTGAGGTCAGTGCGGCCAATTCATCAGAGGGGCTAATGCTCAAACATAGACACACAGGGTATTTTCACCATCCTTCGCGATAAGGATTCCAGCCGCCAGGATTTCGTGTTTTTCGCTGACCGCCTTGCAACACTTTTGGTGGAACATGCGCTGCAATTCTTGCCTTACACTCCCAAAACTGTTGTCACTCCAGTCGGTGCTGAATACGATGGCCAGAAGCAGGCTGCCAAGGTGTGCGACTTGGCCGTCCCCCATCTCTTTGCGATTCTGACTTTTCTTCCTGTGACAGTACGTTTGCGGTGTGACTATCATGCGATCGTATGTCTCGCCAGCCATGTCTGAAGGAACGCAAAAGGTTACTGACGATCATCATAGCGGCGGTGCTCTCGAACGAGGATTCCGTCGAGTAATCAACGACGTGCCTGTGGGTTCACTTCTTGTCCAATCGGACTTTACAACGGGCGATCCCCTCCTACTGCAAGTGATGCTCCCCCAGTACGTCAAACTCCGACATCTGGCAGAAGAGACTTGGGTGTTCCTTTTGGACGCGCAAATCGGGACTGCTGCAGCTGCGTTTATGGCCATCCGCGTTTTGCTCGACCATGGCGTGAAGGAAGATCATATCATCTTTGTGACGTTCCTTGTGGCGAGGACGGGTGGTGTTAGCGTGTTGAGAAGGGCGTTCCCTGGTGTTAAGATCATCTGTGGTGCAGTTGATGAGCACATGAAGGAAGGATGGATGGAGGGTTACAAGGGCGAGGGCAACCCTGATGGACGAGGCCGGGCGGTGTGGCTGATGCAGCCTGGGATGGGCCAAATCGGTAAGGCCTCGCTTCTCGTTCCGAGACATGGTTCTGACCGTCATGCTTCAGGCGATCGATATTATCTATGATTCAAGGTTTTAGGATGCTTGGACTTTCATTTTCTCAAGACGGTTAGGTCAATAGATTCGAGTTATCTACATAGCGGATATATACAGGATTATTCATTCTGCAGAGGAAGGTCCGAGAGCGATATCGACAACAAGCAACAAAGAGAAAGGGATACAGTGGCCTTTTCTAGCAGATGAATAGAATGGACGTATCCTACCAAAAGGTCAGCAAATTGGATCAGAGGCGAGGGAACTAGTAGGCATACCATCGGATGCGAGCTGGAGAGCTGCAGTAATTAATGAACGTCATGATCAGATGTATGTGGATGACAGTAGCGTAATTTAAACCTACCTGAGGCTTCTGACTGTACTTTGAACGAAGAATTTCTCGTACATTGACCAGAAGCTCTTGGTAACTCTGTTGGTGTTTGGCAGCTAAGGGACAGTCAGTTCTGTATCATGCCCGTCAAGCACTTGTACGACATACTCAGAGCAGAAATGAAGGCCTGAAATTAGAAACGACAGTCAGCAACTTGGACACACTGCATCATTGATGAAAGGACGCACGTAGCTCATTGCACCAGTGGCCTGGCCTGCTTCTTGGGTATCAGCACTAGTCTGTGAATCCTTGCAGCCGCTAAACGAGATCTGAGAAAGCGGCGATTAGAGTGCAACGCAACACAAACGGGGCAAAGGTGCTTACGACGTCTGCAGGACTGGTGCGAGTTGCTTTGGCAATTTTGTCCGCCTTCTGGGAGCTTCCGGTAGCAGTCTTAACCAAGCCCATCGCGGATTTGAAGACGCCACCCATGTCACCACGAGCATAGGAGGTCACAGCGGATAGGAGGCCTTGGCCTGCTTCAGCAGCAAGGTTGGGTTCCTTGATTTTACCTTCGGTCGAATACTATCGAAAAAGGTCAGTACAATTGATTCGCCCAGTGCCTCTGGAAACGACCTACGATGTAAGGAAGATCTAGGGATAGCGAGGTCAAGTGAGGAGCTGTGGCTTCATAACATTCTTCATCGATTTCTTACCAAGGGCTGAACCAGAGTGACAAGACTACATCGGATTTCAGTTCGAGCTGAGCGATTGGCTAGAAGTCAAGCTTACGTCGAAGATGGCGGTCAACCGGCAACCTGCAGGCAGGGGCTTAACCATGATGTCGTGGATCTCATCGTCGACGATATGTCCATTGGATTCGAAGTCGACCTTTTGGGATGCGGTTAGTCCAAGAAGAGCAGTAACTACGGAACCTCCCTACGGGGTAGATAACTGGAATGAATGATGTCAGGACAAGAAATACACGACTTGGCTTGGACTGACCTTCGTCATAGCCATCAGCTTCATCTCCATCTCTATCCTTGGTTTGACCTCCGTGTCCAGAGACTGAAAGGTTTGGGTTAGTCAATTGACGCTGCTGAAAGACGGGGGTGACTTACAGTGGAAGAAGAGGGCATCGTTTGGTTGAGCTCCTGCGACCAGCCATTTCATCGCTTGACGCTAGCAACCCATTAGCATGATTACATCCTTCATCGATGATATGCTTACTATGTTGGAAGCGGTGGGCCTCATACGGGGGTTTGACTCGTCATCGGTTAAAGTAACGATGTCGCCCTCCTTGTAACCCCACTGGTCTATACCAGCGCTGATCGTGAGTCGTCGTTGATCAGATAGAGAAAGCAAGGTCATACCAGTAAGGAAGCGCTTGATATTCTTAACATCGTTGATGCACCCCCGAAGTTCACCACTTTGGCCGATGTAGTTGATTCCGATCTAAAAAGAGAGAGCCAAGGGGTGGTTAGTCGCCCGTGTCAATCAGACAGATAGCGGACGTGATCCACAAAGAGAACGAACCAGCAAAGCCTTCTTCTTTCCAGTACACTGCGAGTATTGGAAGTAGGGTTGCACATCTCTGCCTCCGGGTGTCTGCGAGTGAGGTCCGTAATGTTGGACTTGGCTGGGTGGCATGTGCGGGGCAGCATAGCTAGGTTGATAACCGGCTTGGTGAGACGGGGGAGGTGGAGGCGGTTGGTTGTTCTGTCTCCATTGAGCGCCTGGGAAGCCGCGAGTTGCTGGCTGGGGAGGAGGACCTGGAGGCGGAGTGTATCCGCTATTATCGACGAAGGTTTAAGTTGGGAATCCAATAATGACATATAGCGATGAATACGAACCCTTGCGGGGGGCCTTGTGGGAAGCCGTACCTGGATCTTGATGAGAACTGCTGTAGAACTATTAAAAGATGGCTGCGACTCACCCAGCGGGCGGAGGTCCAGGGGGCGGTGCGAATCTGCAAAGTCCTCGTTGGTCGGCGCTGTTCTCTGTTATGAGCAGTGTCCGGGACTTACCCAGCTGGAGGTGGTGGGCCCTGGTACCTGTGAATCGAAGGCCTTCAATCCACATTCTAGCCGCAATGAGCCCTTTGGAAAACATACCCGCTGGGAGGACCGTATGCCGGAGCGTAACCTGGGTTGTACCCTGGAGCAGGCAGGGGCCCTGGAGGAGGCGCGAAGCCACCGCTAAGAACGCTTCAGTTGCATTCTACCTGTTCACGTTCGAAGTGGACCTACGGGCTCGGGAACGATGGAAAGCTATTGAAATATGTCAAAATTTAGTAATCATCCGACTGAAAGCTGATCATAATCATACGCTGGGGGTGCATCGTGGCCTTGGTGGTTGTCGTTGTTCCACATTCTGATTTAGAGAGATTAGTTGAGGTTGTGGTTGTAGAGGAAGAAAGCAAGTTGAAAGCTGTTCAGCGCAAGTTGGCTCATTATAGAGGGCACCGATCACACTGCCGCGACACTGCCACCCATGAGCGCGCCCTGTCAGTGTCAATCAAGCCCGCCGTACACTCTTTTTGGTAATTGTCTACGAGCAACGCTCTTTGTTATGAACCACGACAAGCGACGCGAAGCACCTCATCCGTCCCCGGGCAGCATCGATCAACGGCAGCAGAAGGCGACTCTCCGCCATCGGATGGGACGAAGCTGGACGAAGGCGACCTCAGGATCTTGTCTTTGTACCGGGACACTAAGTGTAAATTGGCCGACCTAGTACGACATAGCAGCAGCTGAACATCACCAACACACCGCACTCGGTGGGATGATGTCGTAGTCTCGATAGCAAAGCGAATCTGGCGAGGCGACACTCCCCGACGCCAGCGTCTGTGAACAGCCTCTGGATTTCCGGCTGCAGTGACTTTGAGAGTCGCCAAGTAGTCTCGAGTCATCGTCGCGAACGTCTTGCCCAAGGCAATCCAAAATCGTATTCACACAGCTACGAAGGACCCAAGGGGAGGCGACTATCCACCGGCCATGGTCAGCTATATCTGTTCAGTCCGCGCCTGGCACTGGGCATGCTTCCTCGTACACACAGTCACACATTTAGTCCACCGGAGGATTCTGGGGCCCATCACCATACACTGCTTGGGTAATTCCGCAGCACTTTGATCAGGGGTTCTAGAGCCCGATCTAATGGCCTCCGAGCGGCCACTCGTTGCGATTTTTTCAGCACGGAGTATACATTTTACAACGATGACTTGGTGAGTCGTAATTGTTTCAATTCCAGGGTCCTTCGCGGTCACCTTTTCCCGGACAGGAGTCCCTAGGACTCATCGAGGCTTGGGACGAGGAGAAGCGAGCTCGATTGCGTTCTAGTGGTAACACAGGTTGCTATCGGTGGAGTCTCTCATGTGGAGCTGATCATTCGATCTGCAAAAGTCACGAAGGAAACTGTTGATGTTGGGGAGAGAGATGTAATGTGAGCAGAGTAAACGTCCAACCCCTGCGAGGCTGAGAGAGGGCTACGGGGAGAGAGGACCGCTACGCTTCAGGTGAAAGAATAGAGTATTCTGGGCAGTAAACACACGAAGAATGCGAAGAGTTCTTAGTGAGAGCAGAAACGTGGATGAAATTGAGTGATCTGATGGTTGTCGAGTCCGGTGACGGCGGCATTATGCCAAGCCAACAAGGGAATGTTTGGCCGTGAATTTATAAATTACCGCCGCCAGTCGGTTCTTCATTCTTCTCACCTTTTTCCTTCACCGCATATAACCCTCTTCGACCTTTGTCTCCAAATCGTCGCTTCGTTTCTAACCATGGTCTCTCCTTTTGCACCCCTCACTCTCCTCGCCTTCGCTGCTGCCGCCCTTGCACAGGGTGTCCTTAGAATCGAAACTCCGTGAGTGCCAGCACAACACACAACACCACCCAGCACTCTCTCTGACTCCCACACGCAGCGCTGGTGTCACCGTTTGCCGACCCACTCAATTCACTTTTGAAGGTGGTGAACGTACGTACACTCCTCCATATACGTGTCTCGACACCGTCCTAACGCTTTTCTTTTAGCCCCTTACTTCTTGGTTCGTATTTTCCAGTTATTCTGGCGTGATTTTGAAGGCTGAAACCCGAATTTCACCTTATCCTTCGTCCAACAGACGTGAGTGATCCTGCAACATTCATCATACGCCACACATCTGACACAGTCTCGCAGTGCCTACCCCGCTGGTCAACCTACCGCTCCCCCTACCATCGACTTTGGTGAAATCAACGCCAGCCCCTTCCGATGGACCGCCAACCTCCCCGCCGGCACCAGCCTCTTCTTGAGGTTGATCGACAGCAACGGTACTCCCGCTGAATCCGGCTCGTTCACCATTCTTGAGGGCTGTAAGTACTTCTTTGCCTAATAGGGTCGACTGCCCCTCTAAACTTATCGTTCTCCACAGCGTCCACCGATTGCATTGGTCAAGAACCTGATGGTGAAGACGGTGATGATGAGACTCCCGCCCCTCCCGCTGGTAGCGGCTCTGCCCCTGCTCCTCCTGCTGGCACCCCCTCCACTCCCTCCGCCCCTGGTGCCGGTTCATCCGGTGCTCCCAGCTCCGCTTCCTCTGGCGCTTCCACCTCCAGCAGTGCCCGCCCCACCCAGAGCGGTGCCGCCGATGACGAGGAAGACGGTGCCTTGTCCACCTTCGTCTCTACTGGTGCCATCGGTCTCGGTGCCATCGCTGCCGCCGCCATCCTTCTTTAAGAAGTCCCAGTCTAGTCCTTCAAAATATACCTGTGATGCCCTTTTACGCTTTTCCTGGACCTTACTAGCGCATCGATCTATCTTAATAGGTTTATAGATTCGTGACTGACTTTCTATTCGATTCTAACCAATGCCCTGTTGTTGTCACCCATGTTGTCTTCGTGCGAGGGACAGTCTTCCTTAAAGAGTTTATTAATCTTCCTTTTGCAGGATGTTGTACGCTTTTTTGACCAATACTAAATTCTGCGTCCGTTCCTTAACACCCGCTCGAGTGTGTCATGTTATCACCAATGTCCCAAAAGGCTTCTCTGCTCCCTGACCATGGCAACGTCTTTGGAACAAACGTTTTGCCAGCCATACCAGGCAGGCATCTGTGCGACCTGAACGGACCGTCAAGCCCGTTTAACCTGTCTCGTTGGCGAAATTTCGGGTCCTTCCTGAGGGGCCTACTGCTGCTTCTCTGTCGTTCTATCATACAATTCGGCTCTTCTCCACCCAATCTCGGGCATGTGAGAGCACAACGAGGCCACCAGTGGGTTTTTTCTTCTCGCCCCTGTCTGTGGAGACATAAAAAGCTGGAGTTCTTTCAAAACATGGGCTTCCCTTCTCTAGGCTTCTTTCGATTCCTCTTCTCCTCGAAGCCTTCCCCCCTTCTTTAGTCCATCTGCAGACACTAAACGATCATGGCTGGCGGTGGAGTTGCTGTTACCACGACGCGTCGAAAGGCGCTTGCTGGTAAATCTGGTTGGGTGAGTCCAAGACTTCATTCAATAGAGCGGCGACAGTCGATCAGGGAATTAAACGATTAACGTTCCCGCCAAGGCTGGCTTGGTCCATAACAGAAAAGTCTTTGCTATTGCGGTGTTTGCCTCTCTTGGAGGATTGTATGTTCGCTTTATCTCCTCGTTTGCTACGCTGCTCACGGTGCTCTCTGAACAGGCTCTATGGTATGTTTACCGTTTGAAGATTATCGCAGAAACGCGCGCTTAGCCGTCTGGGTTTGATTAGGTTACAATCAGGTCCGTTCAGTCTATACTTGTCCGTCCCAATGCTAACAATGATACTAGGGTGTCTTCTCTGGTGTTTTGGCGTAGGCAAACCCATCCGCATAGGCGCGCGCAGATCTGACTTGGCATTTAAAGGATGCATTCGTTCAAGACCAGGTTTTCAGATACAGTCGATGATCCTGGACTCAAAGGCTGGCTAGTCGCCATCCTCGAACTCGGCGCTTGGTTTGGTGTCCTAGTCACTGGTACGATGTCTTGCAACACGTCTTTTTCTGAGTCTGACGAATCGCGCTAGGTTATCTTGCGGATAAGCTCTCCCGAAAGTATACCATCGTACTGGGTGAGCTTCCACATCTCACGTCTTGGATACTGATTGCTCGCACACCTGAGCCCTTGGATCCTACTTTTCTCACTTCACGGGAGAATTGAATGGGTTTGCTGACACGCAGTTCTTCTTCATGGTCAGCTGTCGTCGTGTTCCTTATCGGTGTCGTGATTCAAACTGCCGCATTCACCATTGCGCCTATCTTCGGAGGTAAGTGGCCTGAGAGACAGAATTCTTGTCCCATAATGGAGCCAGAGAGAAGGTGGTAGCGGATGGAGAGCGTTCTAGTCCCACTTTCGGAGTTCCCGTCGTCCTCTACCGCCCCTGTGGTCATGCTTTCATGAAAGCACGTAGCTGATGGTTTCTTCAATAGGTCGGTTCGTAACTGGTCTAGGTATCGGCTCGCTCAGCATGATTGTACCATTGTACAACGCCGAGATCGCGCCTCCGGAAGTTCGAGGGAGTTTAGTCGCCCTGCAGCAACTCGCCATTACGTTTGGTATCATGGTCTCTTTCTGGATCGATTACGGTGCGTGTGCGGTTTCTTATGAGCGTGTTTCTCCATCAAAGTATACTTGCTAAGTCGAGACACCTGAACCTGCAGGCACGAATTATATCGGAGGTACTGGCGAAGGCCAACTTGAAGCTGCATGGCGGATTCCGCTTGGGCTCCAACTGGCTCCTGCCGTTATCCTGGGAGTTGGAATTTTGTTTATGCCTTTCTCGCCTAGGTGCGTTTACGCCATCCTTGTGTATCGCCTAGACGCCCTTCTCTAATGCACCATGTATTGCTAGGTGGCTTGTCAATCAGGGTCGAGATGACGAGGCTTTGACTGTGTTGAGTAATGCTCGGGGTCTACCTCCTGACCATGAGTTGGTGCAAATTGAGTTTCTGTGAGCTTTCTCTGTCCCAGGAGTTTGAGATATGGTCACCAAGGCTAACGGTCTTTGGCAGGGAGATTCGAGCTCAGTACTTGTTCGAAAAGGAGACACAAGAGTTGAAGTTCCCTCAGTACCAGGATGGCACGTTTGCATCTGGATTCAAGTTGGGTTTCTTCGATTATGTTTCCCTTTTGCGATCCAAGAGTAAGCACAACCATTCCACCTTCCTTCTGTTCAGCTAACGGGCGCATCCATAGCTCTCCTGCGACGAGTCATCGCTGGGTCATTGTAAGTGCCGTTTACATTTGGGAACCATGTTTCTGATTTACTTCCAGCACCATGTTCTTCCAACAATGGAGTGGGTATATTCGACCATATGAACTCGGCAATAGGCTAATCGGAATTTTATAGCTGGCATTAATGCCATCCTCTACTATGCCCCTGCGATCTTCCAGGCCCTTGGTCTGACAGGCAATACCATCTCCCTCCTCGCCACTGGTGTGGTTGGAATTGTGTAAGAGCCCTTGTCCTGCCACCTCCTTGACATGCCATTCAATCCCTCTTTAGCATGTTCATCGCTACTATTCCCGCAGTCCTATGGGTCGATCAACTTGGCCGAAAACCTGTCTTGATTTCTGGTGCCTTCCTCATGGCTGCGTGCGTCGTGATCGAATCCTATAATGAGCCATAATCCTGGATATTCATACTTTCGTACCATGCAGCTGCCACCTGATCGTCGCCATTCTCAGCGGGCTGTTCTATACTTCCTGGGACACGTAAGTGTAGCGTGGGTCATCCTTTTTCACTCCACGTTGTTTAACTCGTGGACTTTGTAGGCATATTGCCGCGGGATGGGCTGCCTGCGTGCTTGTCTGGATCTTTGCGATCGGTGAGCGCTTCGTGATGTTCTCGCCCATGTCACGTTGTGTTGATCCATTGCACAGGGTTCGGCTATAGCTGGGGTACGTTCTTGGCCTCGGGGAGTGTTGGTGTAGGTTAATCTTTAGACGATTTCCAGGCCCCTGTGCGTGGATTTTGGTTGCAGAGATCTGGCCCCTCAGCGTTCGAGGAAAAGGGCTGTCGATCGCGGCCTCATCCAATTGGGTATGTGTCTAAGGAGACTTTCAACTGTAGTGCTGCTCACCAGTATACTTCAGATGAACAACTTTATTGGTATGCCTCGTGGAATCTTTGCTCTCGCTGAAGACTAAGCCTGTCACAGTCGGTCAGGTTACCCCTACCATGCTGGAACACCTCCGATTTGGAACCTTTATCTTCTTTGGCGTGAGTTCCGACAAATGGACCCTTGTGACGAACAGGCATTTACGATCTCTTCGCAGGCATTCTCCTTGCTCGGCGGCCTATTCATTTGGTTTTTCGTAAGTAGAACTCTGATGCATGAGGCTACATAGTGTATTAACCTAAGGATGCTCTTCGCGGTAGGTTCCTGAAACCAAAGGCAAGTTCCAGCGCCGTTCCTCAAGGTTCGCACCATGCTAAAGCAAGCTTTGTCTAGGACTTACACTGGAAGAGATGGACGACGTGTTCGGTGCGACGGAAGGACTAGCTGCGGCCGATCAGATACGTCACGATGCTATCTTGCGACGGCTTGGCCTCATCCACGATTCTGCTGCCGGGAGCGAGAAGCACGACGAGGAAGTTGGTTCCGTTGTGCGTGAGGAGAATGGAAAGGATTGAGAGGGCGGATTCGCTGGAGATGACGTACATCATTCACGGTATCAGACTCGATGTAAAGTACAAAAACCTTGGGGGTTATAGGTACCTCCTTTGCGAGATACAATGGCCCGAGAGAATGGTGGAAAATGACATCATCCCAGGGTTTGGGTCAGTTGATGGGATTGACACGATGCGGCGTGCAGCAACGAAGCTGGGCGCCCTTCTCTTGGAATCGATGGTCTTCTATGCGCAAGTCAATAAATGTCGCTGACCACATTCACAACCCCAATGGCGACCTTGTCCCCGTCAACACCCTCCTCGTCCTCGTCGCCGTCAGATAGCTTGGCAGGCAGTAGACTCGGATCTGAGGATCCTGGAACCGTCGACTTGGCCCCTGATGCCGCAAGAAACAAACATGTCCTCCTTCTCCTCGACATTCAACGTTTCATGCTCGCTCCACCACCGATAGGCGTACCCTCTGCAAAGACGGTGTACAAGAACCTCATGGAACTCCTGACATGCGCGCGGTCATCACCCAACCCACCCCTTATCATCCACGTTCGAAACACGGGAGATCCGGGAGACCCAGACGAGCCGGGAACCGATGGATGGCAGTTGATCTTCCCTCCCCTTCCCAACGAAGTGGTTTTAGACAAGAGAAAGAACAATGCGTTTGCGGGGACCAAGTTGGGGAGTCTTATACCAACGGATGCGGAGATTGTGGTGGCGGGATTCCAAACGGATTTTAGTATTCGGGCAACGGCCAGTGGGGCGTTGGCGAGAGGGAATGAGATTATACTCGTTCGTGGCGCGCACGCTACCTTTGACCGAATCGAAGTGCTGCACGGCGCTGCAGTCCATGGCGCTGGGGTGACATCGGCCGCGATAATCCAGGCGGAGATTGAGGCTGAGCTGGAGGAGGCAGGTGTACACATTTTGGAGATGAAGGATTTGCCAGGGATTTTCATGGATAGATAGCTGTTTATTCAATTGGGTTCTCTGCTACTTATCTTGTACATCTGCCGCCTATGGTCGACACTCTGTCGGCGCACTAAAACACACCAAAAAGGATTTAGATTGGGGCATTGTTGCTCAGTTACGCGACTGAACATTGCACCCTCTTCGATACGGCGCTTATCAGCGCCGAGTCCTTTGGAGCTTCACAATACAGTCACCTTTGAGAAGGTCATCTTAGATCGGCGCCGGAACGTATAGTGACATATCCAGCAGCGGAGTCCTGTAATGTCAATGGGCTCTCACTCGCAGCGGAAGGCATCGAGGTACATTAGCTACTGATAAAGGCGGCCTATAGAAACCCAACTTTGAGACTATCGAAACACAGTAGCTTCCGGGTTGGAAAAAACGCCTCAAGGCTTTCGGTTTGCTTGTCCTGTGAAGCATAGAGGCACGATGTTCCATGTTGCATGGCTTTCCGCTGCGCTGTCTTGGTGTCCCGAGGGTGCGCCCAAGGTTGGTGTCGTGAGGAGGTCCGTCTTTTCTCGAGCGTGATGCATCATTGCGGTCGTTACGAAAGTCGTCTACGAGTTGCTTGTGTGCATTTCGAAAGGGCCAGCTGTTCCTGCCTATTCAATGCGCGTCTGCAGTCTCGTTAGATTTCAGGATGGATGTTCACGCTCACGTGGAAGAGCGGAGCCTCGAACTGCCTCGAATATTAAATAATCGGAACGACGCGGGATATATTCTCACGTGCTTTTTGTCACACGGGGATTCACCGTGACACTGAACTGTGGTGAGCTCGCCATCCTCCTCGACAGCGACCACAAAACTTTTTTCTGCGACGTTCACCATGTTCAAAACTGCCCTTCAGGCTGCCACCCGCCCCGCCCTCAACGCCGTCCGTTCCTCGGCCAGGCCTGCCGTCGCCCTCCGCGCGTTCTCCACCACCCAACGCGCAAACTCGGGCCCTCCTCCTCCCCAGCTCTACGGTTCCGGAGGAAAGCCCGGCCAGGTCCCCACCGACATTGAGCAGGCCACCGGTATCGAGCGTCTGCAATTGCTCGGTGAGCTTGAGGGTGTCAACGTTTTCGACGACAGCCCATTGGACTCCAGCCGAATTGGCACCAAGGCCGACCCCATCAAGGTCCTTTCCTATGTGCGTAAAAGTCCTGCTTGACTTTCCGTTTTCACTTCTGATTGTATTCCACAGGATGTCGAGCGCATGATTGGCTGCACTGGCTCCCCTGCCGACTCTCACGACGTTACCTGGTTCATGGTGAACAAGGACAAGATTTCCCGCTGCGTGGAGTGCGGCTCCGGTGCGTTACCTGCAAGTGGTCTTCTGAATTTTGCTCACCAATTTCCCCTTTTCAGTGTACGCTCTCGACTTCCGGGGTGAGGAGCACGCTGAGCACCACCACTAAGCATACCCACTCTTGATAGTTTTGTGCTGGACCTATCATTATCATACTCCCGCCATCCGCAATAGAACGCAATTCGCTCATTCATCAATTCCACGTCCGAGGTCAGAGGTCTACTCACGGTCTACACGTGCCCAGGCGCTTTGAACCCTGTAAGCGCCAACTACCCCTAGGGAATTACGACGTTCTCATTGTGAGTTATGATTGTCGGTTCACCTGAGGGAAACTTGAGTTCGAAACTGTGCACAAAGTACTTGTTGCCAAAGAAAAGGATGACATGGTGCTCAGGGTGTGTCTACTACTAATATCTCAGTTCATTACACCCCGCCTGATGTCCATTCTTCTCAAAGACGCGCTTGCGAAACGAGGGGCATTGCCAACGTAACTGATGCATACTGCCGTTGCCGTAGGTGAATTCTGCCCTCAAGTGGGCGGTATTTCTTGAGTAACGTTATATCTCTTCTCACTCTCAGGACGTCATTGGAGGTGAGATGGCGACAAGATCTCGTCGTCCTCGAAGGCTTTCTTTTCCTTGCCAATTATCACCAATACTTACCCAACAGCTCTATAGGTTGCATATCCCACTCCGCAAAGCTTCGATAATGGAACTTTTCGAATCCGTAGCCATCGTTTTCGAAAGCGACCTTGGTCAACCTCGGCGGTGGTTTTCCCGAAGGGACTGGTATAAAAGTGCCTTTCTGGACCGAGTGTGCCCTCCAGCCTTCTCCTGCGGTCCTTAGGTGATTCAGTGAATCCCTTTGCCTTTCGTTCTCTTTCTCTCTTTGCTTCAGTGTTTATTTCGACTTTTCTTCTTTTCGTTGGGCCAGGCGTCTTTCCCTTCTATCAAGTCTTTCTTCCAATTCAGCGACACACTTTCCTTCTGTCCGACCCCGCCAACTCTTCGTTTTAAACACCATTTCAAGAATGTTCTCAAGGATCGCCAACTTCGGTTTCTTGTCCTTGGTCCTCTTGTCCACGAGCGCCCCCGTTTTCGGCCGCGAACGTTGGCTTGAGCGAGACGACAAGGCTGTCTTCCTCCACCCGCGTCGGTTCGGCCAGGAGCAACCTGCGGTTTTGGAGAAGCTTAGGAACGCGTGCCCTGGAGATGTTTGTGGCACCTTGGCGGGTCAGGCTGTGACGCCTTTGCTGGCTGCTCAGCCCGAGTGCTCTCAGCAGGATCTGGCTGATGATATCATCGGTGTGTATTCTTTGGTCATTGGATGGGAAACGTTATTGATGATATATGGATATAGACGCCAGTCGACAATTCGATGCTGCTACTCAGGCCAATATGATTGCTATTGCACAAGAATATCGTCAAGCCGAGAAGAACACTCCCCCTGTGAGCTGCGAACCGTTGTGCAGTTCCAACTTCTCTGACGTTGGCTGTATAGGACTTCACCACCGACCCACCGACCCTCAGGAACTCTGTCTTCTGCCAGAAAGCCCCCCGGAACCCCGAGTTGAACGGCTTGGTTCAGGCTCAAGACCCTGCCAATGACCCCGAACTGTTCTTCGACCCTGCTTTGAGAGCGACCGTTGTCAGAGGGAGCCAGGCCAACACTGCTCCCTTTGCTGGATGAGGGAGTTGCATTGTAACTCTATTGTGTCGTGCGTTGTCCTAGTCGCCTCTCTTGTATACCTCTGCTGTGTTGTACTTGTACTCCTGCTATGTGTAGGCTGGCCGCGACGATTTCTTTACGTTGTATGTGTGTGTATGTGGAAACCCCTTCTGTTCGGTGCAATGTCGGTGTAACATACCTAGCTCTGGATATGATGATGACGAAACAATCTGTCAAGTTGTCCAAGGCTTGATGAAAGCTTTCATGGCGGCCTGATAGAGCCCGATAAGAAAGCGTAGTGAGCATTAATTACGCATGGCAAAGGCACCGAGGGACAAGTGGAGAGAGGATGCAATTTCTGAGTCCCTGGGCCCTCGAAACACTCCGTTTCCTGAGAGTTGTAGCGTGGATGAGGCGCTGGGTTGGGAAGAAGCAGTCGCGGTCTCCAGGTGTAAGCCGTCTCGGAATTCGTGAAGATCAAAACACGATACCGCTCGGTGAAACCTTGAATTGCTCGAACCTCAGGTTCTGAAGTGGGCACTTTGGTGCTATGGTGAGCGTAAAGCATATATGTTTTTCAGGGCGCGTGGGTGTTGTATCTACTTCCAAACGACAGGTACAAGGGTTTTATACGACGGTACAACTCGGGCACTTTCATGAAAGAAAAAAGAGCATCTTTTAATTATGTGTTCCTCGCGCGTCCTTCAAATTCCGGAAAAGATGAGAAAGGCAGGGAACGTCCAGAGCATGCAACATTGTGGTGGGACGAGCCGGAGATCATTCCCATCACTCCGGCGTCTCTGGATCAGAAAAGGGCAAGAGGTGCATGTTTTTGGCAGGTGTGTTCATGACAACAATCACCAACTCTCCTCCAGTTGAGCGAATCTGTTAACGTTTGTCTCTATGTTCCTGAACCTCTACGGTGCATGTTCTCGAGCGATTTCCGCATAAACCTAGGGCGCAGTCCTCTGGTCTGTATCGTCCTATGCAGCTACGCTTGAACGGATGCTGGTCAAGGCCTGAAACCCCTTCTCAGATTGTTGCCTGGCACGGTCGCCAAGGACTGCTACGACAAAAAGGTCCACTCTCGAATCACGCTCCAAGAACAACCGGCGTTCGCTATAGAACTTCCGGACTCTTTAAGGAGGACTCAAGGAGGTACATGGCTCCCATGGTCCCCATCGCGACATACGGTAATGCCTGCGCATCAGTCCCTGGCTCGAGCCACGTCTTTAAAAGCGGCATGCTCACTGTGACAACCTTCAGCCTTGTCTTGCTTCCCTTTGGTTCAGCGAACCACTTGCTTGAGTTGTTGACGGCGTGTTTTCCTGTCTTTCCTTTCAGACCGGGTGTCTTTTTCCTTCCTTCTTTTCAATTGACCACCTATTCATCCTTTCTGAGTCCATCTTTTCAAGCGCTTCAGTCGCTCATTCCAATATCCAACGCTTCTTCGACATTCGTCCCAGACAAGTTATTTTTTTCGAAATCGACCACCCTCGTTAACCTCCTCCATTTTCTGACATCCACCCGTTGAAAACATGTTCTCAAAACTCGGCCTCCTCACTTTTGTTTTGCTCGCCACCTCGGACGCGGTTCTCGGACGAGAGCGCTGGTTGGAACGCGACAACCGTCCCGTCTACCTCTACCCCCGTCGCTTCGGACAAGAGCAACCTGAAGTTTTGAACAAGCTCAGGAATGCCTGCCCCGGTGAAGTCTGTGGTACCCTCGCTGGCAAGGCCGTCACTCCGTTGTTGGCTGCGCAGCCCGAGTGCTCTCAGCAAGACTTGGCAGATGAAATCATTGGTACGTCCAACTCCTTTTCGCCTACATTGAATGCATTCTGACCGTTTTTCTAGATGCCAGTCGACAATTCGATGCCGCTACTCAGGCCAACATGATTGCCATCGCCCAGGAGTACCGCCAGGCAGAGAAGAACACTCCCCCCGACTTCTCCACCAGCCCTCCCACCCTCCGAAACTCCGTCTTCTGCCAGAAGGCTCCCAAGAACCCAGAGTTGAACGGTCTCGTTCAGGCCCAGGATCCCAACAACGATCCCGATATTTTCTTCGACCCTGCCTTGGGTAGGTCCGTTCGAAAGGGCGAACAGGCCAACACCTTCCCATTCGGAGGTGCCGCTGCTCCTGCTCCTCCCCCTCCCGAACCCGCTGCCGGTGAAGATGTGAACGAGGACTGCCCTGTCGAAGAAGTCGTCACTGTCACCGTCACTGGCGCCAACCCTACCGCCACTGCTGATGTTACCGTCACTGCAGGCCAGCCTGCTGCCACTGGTGTTCCTGGAGGCGTCGACTTTGGTCGCTGCACTGTTCCCGAGATCGAGTTCGGTCCCAACTTTGACAACCGACGGGAGACCAGCTTCCGACCGAAGGATCCTCAGTCGTTCTCTCAAGGGTCGGCTCAGAATATCAACATCATCACCCGTGCCATGTGCGACCAGTTGACCAACACCTGCGGCGCCAATCAAGCTGCTAAGGATCTTTGCGCTCAAGCTCAGCAAGCTGCTGCCGCTGCCACCCCCGAGAAGACTGGTATCCAGGCTGATGCCTTCAACGCTGTCTTTGGTATCACCACGGTAGGTTTCACTTTCGCTGATTCGTCTCGATTGAAGTATTTATCCAGCTTGTTTGTAGAACTTCGCCACCGCTACTGTCATCGATGACCAAGGTCGTATCGTCTCGGGAGGCTCTAACGCTGTTCCTGCTCCTGCTCCTGCCCCCGCCGCCCCCGCACCTGAGGGCAACACTGGCAATACTGGAAACAACGGCAACACTGGAAACAATGGCAACAACGGCAACACTGGAAACAATGGCAACAACGGCAACACTGGCAACAACGGCAACAACGGAAATGGTGCCATTGGCAACTTTGGTAGCTGCTCTGTCCCCGAGATTCGCTTCGCCCAAGGCCTCGATGGTCGTCGCGAGACTGCTTTCGAACCCGTTGACAAGGCCTCCTTCAACCACGGCTCTGCTCAGAACGTCAACATCATCACCCGTACGTCTGCTCGTCCTTTGATGCAGCTTTCTTTTCTGATTGGTTGAAACAGAATTCGTCTGCGATTCTTTGGTGAATACCTGCGGTGCTGATCAACAGGCCCGGGACACTTGCGCTCGTGCTCGTACCGCTGCCCAGGCTGCAGCTGTCGGAACCGGTGCTCAGGCTGATGCCTTCAACGCTGCATTCGGCAAGCAAACGGTGAGTCCCAGTTTTTGTTTACTTCGATTCTCGCTGACAATCGTCTTCGACTAGAACTTCGCTTCCGTCCAAGCCTTCGACAACCAGGGCCGACCTGTTGGCAGTGCTGAACCCGTCCAAAACAACGGTGGCAACAACAACAACGGCAACCAGAACAACAACCAGAACCAGAACAATCAAGGCAACAACAACAACAACGGTGGAGCTGCTCAAGGCGGTAACATCCAGGCTTTCGCCGGTGCATTGGGTGGTGTCCGCGCTCCCGCTGTCACTGACATTGGTGGTGGACGCTTCCAAGTCGAAGGCAACGCTGCTTTTAACAACCGAAGGAACGCCCTCGTCCGCTCCTGTGACGTCCAGAACAACCAGTGTGCCAACGCTGCCAACGCATCTGGAAATCAGAATGGATTCAACGTCCAGGCTTGCAATGCCCAACAGGCACAGTGCATTGCCCAGGCCGGCAACTAATAGTTAACTCTTTCCAGCCCTTAATGAGTACTTAATGGTCTGCTTTTGGATACCCCGTTCATGATTTCTTACCCTCGCATGCGCATTAGATCTAGTTGCACTTCTGATTCGATCGATTTCCATTTCAATAGCCCCCTAGTTTGGGTCGTTTCTGTAGCCTTAGGATATCTGCAGCGCTTTTGTCCACGTCTGTTAATAATAACAAGCATTTGGGTCGCTGAAACATAGTGTGATGCTCGCAAAGTGAAGATTATTAGAGGGGAACACCCTACACCTTGCATCCTTTTCTGTAGGTTCGACACACCATGGCATTAAATGGTCCGGTTCCGTTTATTGATTTCGTCCACATTCATATCGTCTCTTCCTTCCTGTGCTACAGCCCCAGTTGTATCGCGCGCAGGCCCCTGTATCGTCGCAGTTCCCTATTCGCGACCCACTCAGCAAACGATTCGACCGTGGGCTGCTGGTGTAGTGGGAGGTATAACCCGTATTTCATCTTGTGCCGTCCCGGAGGGTTCTTGGAGCTTTAGAAGCTCCGTTTCCTTTACATTTTGCACAAGGACAAGGTATGCGAGGCTTTTGGCATTAACGCAGGATGCTAATGGTAACAAGTGGTAGAAAGAGGCGTTGGGTTCCCGCGTTGTTCCCCCGGTGCAGAACCCTTCACGCAGACTACATACAGAATCGGCTTCGGAACTGCGTTGAGACATACAGAAACCCGCCGTTCTTGCCTCCTTATCCACAACTGCCTACGACAACGAGAACTCGAGGAGAGAACAGACTCAATGACAATGAATCTCGAAGTCACTGGACTGGGAAACTTGAGGACAAGCGAAACATAGGTGTATTGGTAGTACAGAATAACAACAGGCGGCTCGGACTACAACTTCTTGCAGAGCTTCTTGCCGTAGTCGATCACCTCCCAGTCCTCGGTTCCAGGGGTGGTTCGCGCATAGAACACACCCTGAGGGTCCCACTTCCGTTTGAGCTGCTTCAACCTGGGGTAGTTGCTTCCCCAGTAGGCGTGCTGCCAATTGGGTTCGGCAAGGTTACCCTCGTTAACATAGGCCGCGCCGTAGGGACTGGCAGCCCGGAGAGGCCCGTCGACCTCGTCCGTCAAGAATTGCTCGGCAGCTTGCTTTTCCTCGAAGCTGAGGCCGAACGGGAGAGGATACAAGGAGATACTGAATGAAGAACCGTTACGCCAGGCCGGGTTGATGGCGCTGTCGGCGACAGGGAGGCCAACACCTGGACCGACAATATGTCCGATAATACCGTATTGAACGATCTTTTTCTTTGCTTCGACAATGTCATTGCCGTGTTCCGCGATGTCACGGCGGGTGAACAAGCGCCCACCAACAAGGGTGTTGGCGCCTGCGCCCTCGTCTTCGAACATGTCGATGTAAAGGTCGAAGAAGGTGGGGAAGTCCTTGATATACGCGTCATATGGAACACCTTCTCTGTCCAATTCGTCGAATAAGGGCTTGAGGACCTCGGCGATCTTCGAAGCGTTCATGTTGGGGCCAACGAAGGGTCGAACGCGCAGCGTGAAGGGGAAGAGCTCGTAGTAGACGAACATCTCATTGTCGACGTAGTGATTGGCCAGATTGTGGAAGGCCGTAAAGCCCTTCCAGAACAGAGTCTCGTCGGTTGTATGTGTTGTATTGATGTAAAGTTCGACACCTGCGGATGGCGTTTCGGGGAACGTCTTGACAGTGACGGACACGACTGCAGCAAAGGTGGCTGGCCCACCACCCTTAAGTGCCCAGAATAAGTCGGGGTTTTTGGCAGCGTTGGCGGTTACATATCTTCCGTCAGCGGTAATGACGTCGAATGATAGTGCCTGGTCAGCAGCTGCGCATAGGTGTTAGTCGAGGGTCCGAGGGGCGAGACGCGAGAGTAACGCGTGCTTACCCATGCCGTAGCGTGTCGCCAAGGGGCCATGACCGCCGCCTTGAATATAACCTCCAGCAAAACCGACAGTCTAAAGGACAACATGAGAAATATAAAGCATAAACGTCACATAGGGACCTACCGGGCACTCTCCGGTCACAAGTGCGACAGGAGGGTTCTGAGCATTGGCGAGCCTCCAAAGCTCTCGACCTTGGATGCCAGCACCAACAGTGACCGCACCACCTCGCCAGTTGCCGGGACCAGTGTACCTTTTGTGGAACTTGACGTCTAGAGAAAGGATGGTTCAAAGAAGCACTCTTATCCTCATTGGAAAAGATCATACCCTTGAAGCTGTGGGTGTTAATGGCGAGTGAGCCGTAGCCGGTAGAACGGCCAAGGAAATCATGGCCAGTGTTGCGGATGACAAGGCGGATATTGTTCTTCCTGGCAAAGTCGATGCCAGCCTTGATGTGCTCCTTCTTCTTGGCCAGGATCACATACTCAGGGAAGTACCCCAGAGTGCAAGTGTCGTTGGGGTTTTCAGTTGGAAGGCAAGTTGTGTTGGTCCAGAGGATCCAATGGTTAGATACAGAGCGCTCGGATCTAGCAACAGGTCAATCGGGCGAGGGTGAAGAAAGAGGCTACTCACTGCCAGTTCTGGTCGGCCCATCGTTCGGTCACCTCCTGGCATTTAGCAGCGTCGTAGGTAGGTTTTCCTTCGAAGGTGTTGTAGCAGACCGCAGGGTCTGGAATGACTGCCTCCAGATTGCCATCGACGGTGGCGTTGAGTGCACGCCATTTGTCCCGCGATGGCCAACACTTTCCACCTTCGTAGCACTTGCAGCGATATCTTGAGCCTTTCCAAGTCAGAACGTTGGAGGACTCATCGGGAGCTGCGAGGACAGTCTGGAGAGCGAAAAGGGCAGAAGCAAGCCGAACAAGGGTTGTCAAGGCCATCTGCGCAGTAAAGCAAGCCAGATGGGCGGCCTGTGGGGTTCACCTGCAATTTGTAGCTTATTTATCGAATCTGAAGAGTAGCCGCATGTCGTAACAGATGATGCGCAGGACGGTACATATAGCAAGATAGGCCTAGGACATCGGTGCAGATCGCCATGTGGTAGCCATATTCGCTGCGACGAGAACTAATAAGCCCAGTAGATATTCTGTCCTTTGGAGGTTTTGGGCGGGGGCAAAGTGGTGGCAAGGGGGTAGTTTGGCCGATAATTAATCCGGTGCGAAGGCCAGAGAGGTCGATAGTTAGCTGGAAACCGTCAAGGCGACAGGTGGTCACCTTCTTGAACGGGAGATTTACTGAGAGGTGTGGAATGAAGAAACCTGACCTGATGCGGTTCAAACGCAAACGCGGATTTTGGTCGACATTAGGGGAGGGATCTGATGATTCTGATGGATGGCGGAATTCTTGGCAATAATTCGGCCGGCGGTAGTTCCTCGGTCCGTCACCAACTATCTTGACCCTTGAGGCGCCCTTCAGAGGTCCAGAAAGGCACTCAACGACCAAGCACATATGATGAAAGAGGCGATTGCGATGGTTCCTTTTCAACCGATTCTGCCAACCGAGTGCTACGCGACTTGCCCTGATGCGTGATGGCAGGAAGACACAGCCACCCGCGGAGGAGTCGCGGATACACTGTACTTTCGATACTCAATGCACGCACCAGCCTCCAACGCTCGAAGTCTCGCTTGAACCAGGGATTAACAGGTCCTTTGGAGTTCCTCACTTCACTGGTGATTCAATGCGGGGTGTTTCTCGATGGCAAGGGTCGAAAGTCCGTCTGTCCGGTCACCGAGATGGGGAATTGCTCTCCCCTGTAGCTCCCTAACTTACGTTCGTTTCTCTGAACTTGTTCCCCGTCGACTGTCATCTGTCCACAGACTTCGAATACATGCACCATTTATAGTACATCGTAAGTTGTGGACATGTCTCATTGGTTCTAAATCTAATGGCTTTACAGGCTGTCAATCACCTTCCTACCGCCTGTGTTTCCCTCTCTTCCAACTTGCTCCGATGCTGGAGTTCTCTGCCTGGTCATGGGACACCTCAAGGGCGGCTTTGGTTGTCCACGAACTGTTGTCATCACGTCCTCATTACGGGGATTGGGGCCCACCACTCAGGAACCAGGCCTGACTGAATTGTGCAGAATGAAGCATTTCCATCCATGCGACACATTCCGTTTCGCAAATGATCTTTCAGAAGAAAGGTACGTCCATAGCTCCGTTTTCCAGGATTACTTTCAATAGATTCCTTCCACAAGCAGCCCACAGGCAATGAAACTCAGGCGATACGCAGGATCCGATAGGCTCGGGAAGAATTCCAAGGAAATTCTTTGTACCGTAAGACAGTGGGTCCAAGGTCCAGGAGTGAAATAGGTATTCATTGTGTTGTTCCTGGCCCTCCTCAAAAACCCGGAACCAAGATGGCTTCGAAGTTTGAATGGCCATTTAAAGGGCGAATCTCCCTAGGCCTACACCCCAACCCACCACCTCTAACATTTCCCGACGATGGTGGCTCTCAGCTCCAGCCCCTCGCTGGGCCAACTACCCCGCGTCTCCCTTCTCTTCCTCACGCTCGCTCATTTCTTCACTGCTACCACAGCCCAGGATGGGAAAGGGATGATAGGTGGAGGAAGGACCCTGTTTAAACCTGTCTGTGCTCACACTTGCCGTTCATTTATCTCCAAAAGCCCGATCTTATGCGACTCGAAAATCCCCGACGAACCTCCCACCACCGATGACACGAATCCCTTCCTATGCTATAGCAAGGATGCAGCCTTCCTACGAACGCTCGCCCTTTGCCTCGAGGACCACTGCCAGCGGGAGAAGCTGCCTGTCTCAAGCATCGAAAAGTATTGGGAAAGGAAAACGGCATTTGGCATCCCGCCCATCATGACCTACGAAGGAGCTCTGCGGCATGCTCACGAAGATCTTCAAGAATTTGACGAAGCCGATGTCCCCTACCTCGTAGAAGGTGCTCCACTGAATACAACTCATCGTGTTCCTGAAGAAGAGTGGATGCTGCTTTACAACTATATGCGATTTTTCGACAACTCCTACACTCACGCCAGCGGGTACTAACTTCGCGAGTACATTCAACTCCAGTTTTAAACCGTCGTATACTCATTCTTCTACAGGATCGCGGTAGCCGTCAGCAGTGTCTTTATACCTTTCTATTTTCTTTGTTTAGGTTCCTGCCTGGGCGCCCGCTCTGGTACAGCCGTTTGGAGGCGATCCTGGAAAAACCATTGTTCGGACATCGTCATCGTACCCCCATGGCTGGCGACATCGGCATCATGCCGACGCGGGGTCAATCCCTATACATCGCCTATCTCCTCATAACCCAGATTTTCCTCGCCATATTCCCATTAACGATTTACCGGCCAGCCTACAACTCATTTGGACCACCTTTCTCCGCCAAGCTTGGAGAGTTCATGAACGCGCACCCAGAGCTACAGATTATTGGCGACCGTACAGGAGTCATCGCGATGGCAGACTTTGTCGCTCTCTTCCTTTTCTCCAGCAGGAATAACATCCTCCTCTGGATCACCGGCTGGAGCCACGGCACTTTCCTTCTTCTCCATCGTTGGCTCGGCTATTGCACCATCATCCAAACCTGCCTCCACTCCCTCCTCCTTGCCATCCTTTACGGACCCGACCACAGCTACCAGTCGCAACGGCCCTTTTGGATTTGGGGAATTGTCGGTACGCTTGCCTTTGTGGTGATATGGCCAGTCTCCGTTCTCCAAATTCGCAAACGTTACTACGAATTCTTCCTCATCTTCCACCAAGTATTCACCGCCCTCGGTCTGATCGCCACCTTCTTCCACATATACGCGTTCTTCAAGTACACATGGGGCTACGAGATCTGGGTGTACATCGCTGGAATTATCTGGTTCCTTGACCGCTTCATCCGCCTCATGAGGATGGCGGTTAATGGGTACCGAACGGCTGTCGTCACTGCTGTCGATTCCAGTGGGGAGTATTTCTGCATCGAGATTGACGGTGTCGTTGTGGATGGCCATGCATATTTGTCCTTCCCGACCCTCGCGTGGCGCTTCTGGGAGAGCCATCCTTTCTCAGTGTTGTCCAGTGTCGCTGTGGCAGGTGATACGCCCGCCAGGTCCAAAGACAAGGCAGTCCCCGGCGACACGAAAGCCTCCGGATCGCAAGCCGACCCCGAGAAAACAAGTCAGTCAAGCTCCGCATCTTCAAGCTTGTCGTCGAGAACAGGACGCGTCTGTCCGCGTGCCACGATCCTTTTCCGGTCAAGGGACGGTATCACGAAGACCATCGCCGACCGAGTGCAGGCACTGGCACAAGGACAAAGCCTCTCCCTCCCCGTCCTGGTCGAATCCTCGTATCGCGCCAACCCATCGATCCGCAACCTTTCAGGATGCACCACACTCCTCTGTATCGCGGGCGGTGTTGGCGTCACTGCTGTTTTACCGATCATCAAGACGTTTGGTGGAGGTCGTACGCGGTTTGTATGGGGACTACGCAACGAGTCGCTCCTTCATGCGCTTCAACCTGACCTTACTTCGCTTGGCCCTGGTGTGCATGTCGAGACGAGCGTGGGTGCGCGGTTGAACGTCAGGGAGATTCTGGAGGAGGAGTTGGAGAGGGATGATGAGGGTGAGTTGGGCATTGTAGTTTGTGGGCCGGCTGGGATGGCGGATGATGCTAGGAATGCGATTAGCGAACTCGGATCCAAGGCGAAAAGGGGCGTGGTGTTTGTGGATGAAGCTTTCAGCTGGTAATTAGCGGATTTATTGGAATGATTCTTCACGAGTGTGACGACGACTGTGATGACAGCTTTATGCATGTGTATTGTTTCTTGATTTGTAGATTATATGATTCTTGTCGGAACGACCATGCAAATATTACGAGGGATAGAAAAAGATTTGGCATGGCTGAGAATTGAACCAGCTTCTGCAGTATTTTTGCGGGCCGAGGCCCGATCTATGAAACACAGCCACACAACGGTGGACAACGATCTCCGAAGAGTCGCATTACACTGACAGTAACTCTGGGCAGGTTTATTCGAGGTCGATTTGATATAGGTACAGGGGACAAAGTAGTACTAGTTAGTATCGCATCTAAGTATCATAGAGAGGATTGTAGCATGCAAATGCAAGTGATACTATGTATGGAGACAATGGAAGACTCAGGAAGAAAACAAAAGTGCGGAAGATGAGAGAAGCCTTGTAGATGGTATACTATTAGGATATGATGCGCCTTGATAAAGGCTATATGATATGAATAGAAGTCCGGACCACGAATCGCGAAAAAATAGGCATAGAAAATGTCCACGAGAAGTGCTTCGAAAACAGTGTGACCCTCAATGGAACCATGATAACAACGCCTAAAACCCCAAAACGAGAAAACGAGATGGGAACCCGAGCATAAAGTGGAGTAGCCGGTGATTCGAGATTCGAGTAGACGGAATTCACCGGCTAGCACAAGCTTTACGTCTATACATGAACGATCTAGTTCTGCCCGCAGAACTACCTCGCACATTTCCCGTCCTCGACTCCACGATGGAAAGGTCGAACGAGCCAGCGTTCTCCGAATTGGCCACGCTCGAGAGTTCTCGAAGACAGTCAATGTCTCTGTGGCCAGAGGGATAATGGACCTTTAGGCGTCCAAGGGAAGCGATATGGAGTTGTGGAGTGGCGGCGGCGATGGTGACGGAGGGAATTAATGAAGCAGAATTCCAATTGGCCAAAGGGAGAGTAACCCCAAGTCGGCCCTGAACCATTTCGACCAATGAACTTGTGGATGGGAGAGGTGTGTCTAGAACCAGCTCCGACAGAGAAGGACAGAGGCAACCCCATTTGTCCGGATCCCCTTCGAGTGAGGAGGTGGAGTGCACGCTAGCCAGGACTCGGCGAGGGGTGAGGGAGCGAATGATAGTGTCCCCGAGTACCAAGCCTCCAGATAGGGTCAGGGACTTGAGCGTCCGAGATGATGCCTCTAGGCACTTGGTTAGATCACTTTCCTTCATCGGGGCGTGTACCCAGAGGGTCTCGATAGCACAGGACGACCTCTCCACCAGATTTAGTAGTGAAGTTGGATCCCAAGATAGCATTCCTAAAGTTCCATTGGCAGCGGCCGAGGGAAGCGCTAGAATGGCTCTTGAATAACGTCCGTTCAGATGTTCAGGAACCCCAGAGTCCATGTGAACGCGAACGTGCTTGAGTGAAGGGAGGATAAGGTGGTCCAGGAGTCCGGTGAGGTCGTGGGCGATATTGAGGGAAGTGAGTTTGGTGAGAACCAAGGGAGGCTGTGGAGGCTGGATTTCGGGGAATGGACGAGTGATTCGGATGTGTTCTAAATTAGAACACAGATTCAAAAGTTTGAGGTAGTCCAAGCTTCCATAATCCATGGACAGGGATAGTCGGGAAAGACGGGGAAGTGGGAGTGAATGGAGTGTTTCTGCATCTGCAAGGTCGTCGACCCATGTCAGCTCCTTGAGATGAGGGGCTGTCGCCAAAAGGCCTGTGATGGGTTTGACGTTGAAGGTGCTAATATCCCTGGCATGGAATTCCGAGCTGATACATGGGAATGTTGTGCATGGCCATGGCGAGATTGTACATTGGTGGACATTGAAGATGGCGAAACTCGAGTCGTACGTTCTTCCAGCGCGCGGAACGCTTGGTGAAGACGTCGATGATGGCCTGATGTGGTTTCTCGTCGAAATCTATTGAGAGTGACAGGGACAATGGCATGTTCCCCGAGTGGGAAAGCCATAGTTCTGTGGGTGCCACGTCGTCGTCTGCACTCTGGTAGCTGAGATGTAGGGCGGACCAGAGGGCGGGAGTTGCCTTTGCCACCTGCCTCCAGAGAGAGCAGACATTGAGGATGTTGAGTGGAGCTGCTGATGGGGAAGGGCTAGGGAACTGGTCCGCTGGCAGAGCGAGAAGGAAAATCTCTGCGAGGATCTCTGGTGGCAGAGAAGATATTGGTGACGAGTTGGCCGAGTTCGGGGTGTCGAGGGGAGTGTGGGGTATTGGGTTTTGGGGAGAGGCCCATTGCGTGATGGGTTGTATGAGGTGGAAGGGGTCTAGTTGCATCAAATAGCGGTTGTGCAGGGTATAGGGAACTGGTCGAAAGTTAGGCGAAGCGGCTAGCAAAGAATTGAAAGGGACGGACTGGTATTTGGGGGATATTTTGGTCCGAAGCTGGAGCTTTTAGCAGCACGCGGTGGCAAGCACGGTGATAGAGCAAGGCACGCTGTCAACCAATGAGATCTCTCTTATAAATACAGTTCGCATCACACTCACCCACCAGCAGGGCCCTTTCCAACAACCGTCGTCGTCGTGGCGTTATTTTGCAAGAGTATTTTCAGACCGACCCGAGCCCGATAATTGTTGTGTCCCAAATAATGGTCAACTCGGCATCCCTCCGATCATCCTGCCCCAGTCTCCCCTCCCCGCCCTGGTCATGATCAAGACGAGACCATTCCCGACTATCTGGTCATGTCCCACCTGACCTTCTTCATGCTGCGGGTCACACAAAGAGGTCAACTCAAAACGCCGCCGCATTGACCACATCCTCGCCCTTATCACATCCAGCTGAAGCAAAGAATAGCCCCGATTCAAGTTTCGGGATTCTGGTCTTTTGATCAGCAAGCACGTGTGCCAATCCCAAGGCTTCTGGGCTTTCGTTATCTATATCAGTTTGCATTGTAACTGCATTCGACTTGTTCAACATCCATTCCATTTTCACAACCCCCTTGTCTCAAACGATGAGGATCGCTATACTCACTTCAGGCGGCGACAGCGCTGGTATGAACGCTGTCGTGCGCGCAGTGGTCAAAACCGGTATTCTCAAGTACGTCGTCGTTCGCCACAACGTGATCGGCAAGCCCATGACGTCTCTCTTTCTGTAGAGGATGCGAAATGTATGTTGTCCGGGAAGGCTACGAAGGCCTCGTTCGCGGAAACAACGAGCACGCCGAACAGCAGGCGAAGAATGTCGCCGCCGAAACAGAAGCAGAAGTTGAACGAGAGGTCAAGGCAACCTATGAAGCCCCTCACGGCCAGCCAGCTGTTAATTTACTCCACAACTTGCGATTCGGCGATGGCGAGCTGCTGAAAGACGGTACTTGCGAGTTTGTTGGAGGGAGAACACTCAAGGGTCGTTACATTGTACGCGTCGGATGGGATGACGTACGGGGCTGGTTCTCGCAGGTATGTCCGCCCTCGTTCTCGAACACAAAAAAAAATGTACTCATTGCCGCTATAGGGAGGTACTCTCATCGGTACTGCACGTTCCATGACCTTCAAAACCGTCGAAGGACGAGAAGCAGCAGCCCACAATCTAATCAGAGAAGGAATTGACGCTTTGGTCGTCTGCGGAGGAGACGGTTCCCTAACGGGAGCAGATGTTTTCCGACGCGAATGGCCATCTCTCATTGCCGCTTTGAAAGAAAAAGGTATACTTAAACGTATAATAGAGTCTCCTTTTCTAACTCCCCGTCAAGGCCTCGTCTCTGAAGACCAAGCCAAGAAGCATGCTCATCTCAAGATTGTCGGACTGGTGGGCTCCATTGATAACGACATGTCAATGACCGACTTGACGATCGGTGCTCCGACTGCCCTCCAACGCATTTGCGAAGCCATTGACAACATCAACTCTACGGCCTACAGCCATTCCCGTGCCTTTGTTATCGAAGTCATGGGTCGGGATTGTGGATGGCTGGCTGCATTGGCTGGTGTCGCGTAAGTGGCTGATCAACTAGCACCTGGTCGTTGCTAATTTTACTAGTGGAGGAGCAGACTTTATCTTTATTCCTGAACGTCCGCCTACAGCGATGCCTTGGGAGGATGACATGTGTGCCCAAATTCATCGCGTACGTCTTTCGCATTTCCTCTTTGCACCACACTCAACTCTCGCAGCACCGTGAAGTAGGCAAACGAACCACGATTGTCCTTGTTGCAGAAGGCGCACATGATTCGGATTTGAATCCAATCAAACCAGAATATGTCAAAGATATTCTGACCGAGAGACTAGGCCTCGATACCAGGGTCACGACATTAGGCCATACGCAGCGAGGTGGACGCCCCTGTGCTCTGGACCGAATTCTGGCAAGTCCGCAGATTCGCTTTACCTCCGCTTGTACTGACGCCTTGAACACAGCCCACCCTCCAGGGAGTAGAAGCAATCGATGCCTTGTTGCAATCCACGGAAGACACCCCTTCATACATGATCGGTTTGCACGAGAACAAGATCGTGCGAGTACCTCTAATGGAGGCGGTCGAACAGGCAAGCCTTTTCCAGACCCGCCAAGTTCATCCGTTGACAGGTTTCTTAGACCCGTGCAGTAGCAAGGGCCGTGAAGGCCAAAGACTACGAAAAGGCCCTGGAACTTCGTGGCTCGGAATTCAAGGAGATCCTGGATGGATTCTTTGCGACCTCGATGCTAGCCGAGGAGTCGGCCAAACTCCCCAAGGAGAAGGTGTGTAGCTGGATCTAGAATGTGACGTCATTTCTAATACCGATTGTGACAGAGGATGCGGATTGGAATCATCCAGTGCGGTTGTTTTTTGAGCCCGGGCATTTGATTGATGCTGACTCTGCTAATTAGTATGGGTGCTCCTGCTGGAGGTATGAACGCAGCCACTCGAGCCGCAGTGCGTTACTGCATCCGCCAAGGACACACCGCGCTGGCGATTCACAACGGATTCCGTGGTCTCCTCGACGGCAATATTGATCAGCTCTCGTGGCTCGGAGTTGACGCCTGGACTCCTCGTGGAGGGTCTGAACTTGGTACCAATCGTGCTCTTCCTTCGACTGATATTGGTGGGGTTGCGGCCAAATTCCAAGAGTACAACTTGCAGGGTCTGCTCATCATTGGAGGCTTCGAAGGTTTCACTGCCCTGCTTCAGTTGGAAGAAGGCAGGAAACATTATCCCGCCTTCCATATCCCTATGGTGCACCTTCCTGCGACGATCAGTAACAATGTCCCGGTTACTGAATACAGTATCGGAAGTGACACCAGTTTGAATGCCCTTGTCGATGCCTGTGATGCTATCAAACAGAGTGCTAGTGCTAGCAGAGATCGCGTGTTCGTTGTTGAAACGCAAGGAGGAAAATGCGGTTACATCGCGACCATGGGTGCACTGGCTGTAAGTTTGTTATCGATGATCTATCCTAAAATGATACTCAGTCTTTGCAGGTTGGCGCCAGTTTAGTCTATACCCCCGAAGAGGGCATCACCCTCGACATGCTTCGACGGGATGTTAGATTCTTGAAGACCCGCTACAGCCTGGATCCACCCGGCAAAAGCGAAGGTCGTCTTGTCATTCGGTAAGGGTCTGCATTGCTCCTTTAACGATCGTTATCTGATCCATGGAATCTAGTAACGAGGCTTCCTCTTCCGTGTATACCACCACTATGATCACCAAGATGTTGCAAGAAGAGGGTGGATCTCTCTTTGACGCCCGATCGGCATCCTTGGGACATACACTCCAGGGAGGTATTCCTTCGCCCATCGATCGCGTTCGCGCGGCTCGGTTATCACTCAAGTGCATGGTCTTCCTCGAGCAACATCACAACCGACTCCTTGGTCAAAAGCACCGACAGGCACCTCCAGAATCCGCTTCGGTTATTACTGTGCAAACGAGCTCTGTTAAGATGGTCCCTGTACAAGAGATGGTGAAACATGCAGATATGGTGAACCGCCGGGGCAAGACCGCCTGGTGGTTCGGGGTGAAACACTTGGAAGAGCAATTGGCTGGCAAGCCTCAGTTCCTGGGTCTGCACAAGTCTCCCGAGTATCAAGCGAGCGTGAGTGGATACGCCAAAATGTAACAGTAAAATTTCCCGGACAGTGTAGAAATAAATTTCCCTTGAATTCACCGACGCGACGCGTTCTTTTATTGTTTGTTGAATGAAGTCGCTGGAGCGTGGGAAAGGTTTCTTCAATCGTCGTGGCCAGGTCCGGCTTACACGCTTTTGATCTTACACTCATCCTGCCACACTGTGACTGATTGAAGCGTCCTCCCCAATGACTGCTCGTCCGCCCCTGCCGCTGCGACATGCAAACCCTTCCCTCAGAGACGGCAGTTCGTTATCGTCTTCCTTCGCGTCGAGCTCATATCGTTGACCACGTAAATTTAACAGATGCAACAATTCCCCCGGTTAAATATCAAATATTGAGCTGCCAGGGAAAGGACATTCTCGTACGTTCCCCGCTTCGCGTATTCCGACCTCTAGTCCCTGACATTCTTGTTCAACTTAATCCAGGTGGGACGCTTGAAAATTGACACAACGGTAGAGAAATCGCGCGGTTCTGAACTGCTAGACTTGGTGGACTGACCACCGATTCACAGGACGGAGGCCATGCCTTTATCCTTCGAAGATTCGACACTCAGGCGATCAGCCTTACAACCATGTTTCGCGCCGCGTTCCCGACTGCGTCTGAAGCCGAGGAGAAAGACGAAATAAACTACGTGAAGGCCAACTTTGATCTCTTTGGCAATAATGGCTCGTCGAAGGAGCCTCACATCACGCGTCTCGCCGGTACCTGGGTCAACCGCGACACCGCCGGGCAGCTTGCTCATGACTACAACATGGTCGACCTCATTAACACCATGGTCGAAGCTGAACCCGATCCAAATGGCCAGTACCGACGCTCGAACAAGTCGGCCCAGAACAACAACCCCCCAACGAACGCGCCTGAACCCACGCCTGCGACGAATGTGCATGCCACTCGATCTCCAGCGAAGCAGTCGCCCAAGCCACCGAGTAAAACGCTCCCTACGCCTTCGCCTGGATCGGGAGACGCTCAGCCACCGGCTCCCAAGCGTCGACGGGAGGGATCACCAGCCACCTTCACGTCTGGTATCCCTGTGGCATCCTCTCCTGCTGTTCCCAAAACCCCTGGACCGAGGCGATCTACGCGGACGAAGAGTCCTGCTCCCAGCCGCGTCCCACAGCCTCTCACAGCGACCAAGCCAAGGTCTCGCGCCTCCGTCGCTCCTCCATCGCCCAAGAAGCGTCCCGTCGATTTGCCCAAATCCTCTCCAATCAAGGCTGAGGAAGATACCGCTGTGGAAGACAACGTTGCTGGCAATGAACTCTATGCACAGGATATCTCGGAACAGAAGAAGCTTATTGCTGACCTTAAGGCTGCTGCGTCATCAAAGAAGCCCGCTGATACTGTGAAGGAGGACGATGATCAGCAGATGGAGGAGGAGGGCCAAGGCCCATCCAAGCTGAAGCGGATAAGGCAGGACGAGGAGAAGCCGCTGCAGTTTGAGTTCAAGGAACCCGAGCGGGAGGAACGTCAGATTGCCACCAATAGGAGGGTCGGACGATTTGATATGCAGCCTGAGAGGAAATCTCTCGCTTGGGGTATTGCTGCTTTTGCGTTTGGGATGACAGCCATGTACGTTGGTTTGGTTTGACTTGCAGTTCACGACTGACACTTTGTGCAGCACCTATCTTCCCAATTTCCTCTAGCACCACCTTCCTCATAGGACACGTCGGCATTTCCGATCGATCCACCTCCTCCCGTCATGTTTTCTTTTTCTATCTATCGGCGTTCTTTTTTTTTAGCACAGGTATAGTTTCCCCTCTCTCCTTCCCTTGTCTGGCTGTCCCTGCCTGTCTGTATTTTATATCATTATTCCCCGAATTTGCGACGCTGTTTGGCATCGCGCGACCTCTTATCATGGGCGCTGATGTCTTTACAAATCCGCTAGAAACGATTACTTTAAGGCTTTCTTGATTTTGTCGCCCATGGCTCTTTCGTATATCACTATCACGCCCACCCACGATGATCTGGCTTTCAGTTGCACCGTTTCGTCGGCTTTCCGTCTAGTACTTATAACGCTCCTTTTCCTGTCCTTTCTGTTGGATTTGTATTATGTGTAATTTCCTCTCCCGTTTATAATCTTAAAACATGCTAAAGCAGTGGAATGTGCGTGTGGACTGTTTCAATAAGCAATGTACATACAACAAAGCCCTAATATTACAGGTGACTGTCTACTTCCTTGGAGTACACACCACTGCGCCGTCAGGGTGATAGAGACCAGTAACATACAGCTTTCCGGTTTCTGGGTCTCTCAAACCGGTAGAAGAAGACAAGACGCCTCCAGGAGACCCGTCACTTTGGAACAATGTCTTCAAACTCCATGTGGGCCCATCTGAAACATAATCACTGGTCGACACAGACGCTTCACCGTCAAACTTCTTTCCATTCTTCTCGAACGATTGCTCAGGGTTAGATTTGGGTACCACAGAGACTACCCAACTGCCAGAATGAGCCGGCAACCCCTTTGCGAGTTGAACCAGCGATGGGAAATGGGGATGACCTGCGACCAAAAGCTCCTCGGGGCCATCTGGGTTGTCCAGTGAAGGTGTGAAGCGGATATTATCGCCGCAGAACGGCAGCGTGACGACCTTGGACGTCTTTGTCAGAGCGTTGGTTGCAGGATCTCTGTCATAGAACCAGATTTGGGCCAGAGAGGTGCTGGCAATTGCGACTGTCTTGCCGTCTGAGGAGATGGAGACGCCGTTTGGGAAAGGGATGAAGTTGGCTGCAAATTCGTGCTTTGCGATTGCGCTTTCCCCGCTGTTGGGTGGGTTGAGAGTGACGTGAGAGACGAATGCGAGAGGGAGGCCGAGGACGCTCTCGAGGACGGGGACGACGTGGCCGATGATGGGCCACCTGCGGGTGATTAGATGGTCATTGGATACGTAAAACGAGTCGGGCGAAGTGAGTGCGAGGGCGTTAGGTGCGACGAAATAAGGAGAGGAGAGCGTGCGGATGTGCGTCGCAACCGTGGGATCGGAGGGGTGAATAGTGAATTGCTCGATGGTGGTACGCTCTCTAGCGTGGTTGACAACGTAGAGGTTGGACGCATTGCCACCGTACGACGGCCATGCCTCAAGACCGAGCGGGTGGAAGTCGTGGTTTTCTGGATATCCCTTGAGGGTGATACGCTGTGGTTTCCCTTCGGGTTCCCCCTTCTTGGATGGCTTGTGGACCCAGAGAGCACCTTTAGGGCTTGGGTCGCGCAGAGGGCCCATCACTGTGTTCCATGACTTTCGGTTGGGGTCGCAGCTGAGCAGAAGGAGACGCGACGAAGGTTTTCCCGCCGCGTCGTTGTGCTCCCACCAAGCTTCATCCTCGCAGTATGCGAGGCTTTCGAGAGGATTCACAGCATCGCCTGGACCAAGAGGCGTACAGTCTTGCCCGTAGTCTCCATTCACCACGTAGCCCACAGGCAAGGGCGTCTTGAATAAGATTACGTTCTTAAGAAGTGGACCGCTACGGTAGAGGAACAGCGCCTGCATTGATCAAACCAGTGGTGAGTATTTGAGAAATTAATGGAATATGAACTTGGAGCCCACTAGAGCGACAGTTGACCAGGTGAGAGCCCGGGATGATACCATGTTGGCTGTGGTAGAAAGGAGGCCTTCGGGTGACGTTAGGATAGGACTTCGGTTGCCACCTGGGCTTTTGCTGAGTTTGCGCCTGTGGATCTTGATTTGTCGTGGAAGACACCTTCTATCATCTCTGTTCTCCTTATGCAGGCTGCCCGATTGATATCACGAGAGACAGGCGACAGGCTTTCAAGCATTACAGTCTACCCTGGTACGCGTTCGGGGCGAACCCTGTCTCGTTCTGTGCCGCCGAGTAACAGTTTGATGAGTGACAATTGCGTTCAGAAGTCAAACCCAAGGACTCTGCCTAACCGAATGTCGCCAGCCATTGGCGGACTGGAGAAGACTTGCATATGGCGTTTGGGGGTCATCAGAACCCTGAGGCATAGCCTGGCGAGCTCTTCATGATCATATTGTGTAGCACTGCCCAATACTAAACAAATATGACCAAGGGAACATGAGAAGTTGAGAAGCAGACCACGATGCAAACCGCTAAGAAACCGGTTCCCGATACGGACTAGCAAGAAGCGCTCTAGAAACCCTGATAACACACTCTCTGTCAACAGCCATGTACACCACTGGATAAAACTTCAAAATCTCTCCGATCTCGACGGTTTCTGAGAGCGCTTCCCACTGAGACTAAAGGGTCAGTTCACAGGGTTGTGGCGAGCCCCATCTGGCGTGTCGCAACGAACAGCAAAGACACCGAAATAGAAAGTAAACGAATCTGGTCAACTGACCTGTTTGTTACCCTTTCATGATTCGCATCTCCATTGCCCAGATATCTTCAAGAAAGCCATAGAAACCCCCTTGGGCTACCCGTTGAAGACGCTTGGGGGCCCTCCTACATGGCCAAGACAGAGGGCGTAGGTTTTGTCATGATAACGGAAACCCAGCGCGAGATGCCACACAATACTCCGATTTATTCGAGATCCCAGCCATGCGTACACAGTCGTCATTCAGCCCAGTTGTGCCATTTTGGTAACCTTCCAAATCCCGCATCATTCGTGTTGGTCAAAATAGTTCCACTGGGGAAGCTTCTATTCCGTCAGACAGATGCCATTTGTCTTCCGACTCGACGCTGCTTCTTGACGGCTCTTTTCACTGCTTGTCCTTTTACACCCTCATGCTTCCTCTCTATTCCCCATTTGCGTCCAACCCTACACCTTGCGCCTAGACAAGACGCTTTCGACTAGTCCGCCCTCCTACACTCGAGGTATCCTGGGATCCGCCATTTCGGTACAGCATAACTGGCCAACGCCGCGAGGTGTTCTACTAGTGGAGCGCCTGACCATCTCAGCCGAATAGCCCACTGCCTCAAAACGCCTTGCTGGTTCATAAAAAAACAAATTGGCCACAACGAGGCGGCTTTGAACCTCTCCCTGCCTACCCACCCCTCCACAGAAGACGGTAGCAACCACAATGGCTCTGAGCGATGATACATTTGGTGGGTCGACTTCGGACTTGGGGCGGTTTGAAGGCCGGTGTTTGAGTTTGAACGCTTGGTCAATTCAGGTGCTATGCTGGTTGGGGTGTGGATAGCGATTGCGATGTACGGGATGACGACACTGCAGGTTAGCCTTTGCTACCCGCTGCCGGGTATCCAGATGCTGATTGTGCCCGCAGACATACTACTACTATTACCACTATCCGAAGGATAGAATGTCCATCAAGATCCTGGTGCGTTGCCGGATTACTCAACCTTGTTAGCTGTACTGAACGACTTCTTAGGTTGGGTCAATATGGTTCGTTGGAATACCGCCTTGGCAAAGAAGGGGGATGGGCTGACGAGTCATTCTACAGGGCCTTGGACACCCTCCATGTCATCTTCAGTGCGGGATTCCTCATTTTGTTTCCTTTGTTTTGGGCTGACCTTTGGGTGCAGTGTGCCACGCTATGTATTACTACTTGGTGAAGACCTCTTGGGTTCACCTTCCTGGTCGCTGGGGTTGGCTCATATATTATTTTCAGATCAAGAACTTTGGGAACACTCTACCACTTGCAGCAGGGAACTGGTGAGTGAGAGCTTCATTCGCACCGCCTGAAATTGTTGCCTGGCCAGCCGATTCAAATAGCACTACGACGATGTTAACTCAAAATGCTAGGTCACTAATTGTACGTTCTACATCTACCGCCCATGGCCTGAACTAAGACGGACGGTTGCTCCGGATCCAGTCGTCTATCACTATCAATGTGAGTTCGTCCATGGAACATTGGAACCTGTAAACGGACGTTAATCAATGCGGGATAGGTTGTCATCGCTTTCGTTGTTCAAGCGTAAGTGATGCTCCATCTGCGTTTCATCCTGGAGACTGAGGGATCAGCGAAGTTTCTTCACTCAAAGAATCTATGCACGTACGTTCAACAGTTGTTACTGGTGAATGTGTTGTGAGACTTCTTCGCCAGTATGTCGGAGAAGGAAATGGTTAATCACAGGAGTAATTGGGTTCACAGTCCTGGGTCACTTTGGTAGGTTTATCCGAGTTCTAAAAGTCAATACATTGGCGCTAACAGACTGTAGTCTTCGGCATTGGTAAGGGCGATGACTTTCAAACCCGCATGACTAGAGCTGTCTGCTAACTGGTCGAGGGATTAGAAACCGTTGTCTTCATGTAAGTTCCTCCAAACTCCAACGTATGTATATCATCTCATCCCGGGCTTAGATATATCAAAAAGGAGTTCTCTCGACTGCGGGAAATGCAGGTGGGTTGTCCCAGCGTAACGATTCTCGTCCGTATTATCTCACACATCGCTGTCCCTGTCTGTTTATTTCACCATGACGGATACCCATTGAATCCCCATAGTACTACGCTGCCGTGCCGTTTGCCATCTTTGTTGTTCTCTCCGACGTCCTTATTTCGGCCGCACTTTGTACTTTTCTGGACAACAGTCGGACTGGGTACGAGGATACCAACAGCATGATCAATCGGCTGATGGTGTTTTCTATTAACCGCTGCGTGCTTATTTGGTGAGTTTCATTACCTCTTTCTTGTGAAACCTGACTGACAGGAAGAACTGAAGTGTTGTTGCCATCGTGGAGCTGGTGGTGGTATGTGATCCGTTTTCATTATAATTCAGCTCGTGCTCAATGTCTTGCTAGTTCATTGCGAAACCTCACTCTCTCTATGTCTTTGCTGTCGACTTTATTGTCGGAAAACGTATGTCGCCGACCTGAGTCGCCCATCCCTCGTCTAATTAAGATTGAAAGTTTATGCCAACTCCCTCTTGGCATCTCTCAATTCTAGAATGGCCCTGCGGCAGGGGAGAAACGAGATAGATTCGACGGACATTTCGACTAGCTTCAACCTTGCGACCATGCCTCACTCGACCATCAGAACGGAAACCACCGCGGATGTATGTATTCCGGTGGTCTGCTGGGGTTCATTTGTACTCACTGGATACTTAGGTCCGTGCGGAACAGCTTGTGAGACTGAATAGTACGGATGGAGGGGAGCTGTTGGACGAGAAGGGTAAATCTAAAGCGGTGGGTATCAGATCGGCGCTCACTTGAATTAATGGATGCTAACGCGCAGCCTAGACTTCATCGAGTTCTGACCACCTGTCGTCGATAACGTCCCGTCGGCCTGGGCATCCTACTGTGGAGGTGTAATACTTATTATCATTTGGCACGAGCCGGCTTAAATCAACATGGAAAGACGCTGAGAACTGTTGTGCTCTGAATCGCGAGCCGGCATGGACAAGCGCTGGTCAGGTTGTTGGGCAGCTAAAGGTGGTGCCCCGGCATGACAAATCCTATTGCCGTCTTGCGCCTATGGCCAGCTTGACCTCTGCGAGTCAGTTGAAGAACTGACTCGCGCATGTTTCTTGCGACTACCTTCCAGCAGGGGTTCTACGTAGCTCGACCAATACCTGATCTGTCACAAGTCTACAGTGTAGCAGTTACCCCCTTTGAATATGAATGGAAACGGATGGCGCTAACAGAGCCAGCGACCAAGAAACATTTTCTTGAACGTTCATTGAAACTGGACGTTATCTTCGAGCCCAAACCTGGTACGTTGCCATGAGCCTCCCCTTCGTCCCAGTCCCAACTGCTGGTATAACCTCCCATCCGCAGCCTCGATCATCTGGCAGCAACTTATCGCACCCAGTGCCAGTGCGATAACCTGTGTACCTGGCCCGCTTGATCCAGGCGTTCCAGAGCCTCGGAGAAAGAACCGGATGTTTCTAACCCTATCGCCTTGCGACTTTTTCCGACGACACGAACATCGAGGTGCATGCACTTGCGGCCGTGTTAGCATTATTCCTATGAACTCGATCCCTTGTCAGAGTTGAATCGATCAGTGGTATCGGAGCTAGTGAGAAGGGTGCCAATATGGCGACAATCCGGGACGTCTACGTGGAGTTGAGCCTTGACAAGCTGTTGAAGACATATGGCTCGCGCGTACGGAAGATGTAGATAACGAGTCGTGGAGGATTGATGGCGGGCGGACCGAGGCGGCGAGGATTAAAGAAGCCGGTGGGCAAAGGTGTTTGATCAAGGCAGTCATCACCACAAGTCATTTCCTCGCTCCGTGACACATTTCTCTCTTTTCAACGCGATCCACCGACGACAAGGTCTTCAAGACAGTCACAGACGCGTTCTTCACCCCTTCGTTGTCGTTGCGCAAACAATGGACCAGGAGATCGAACGAGTCGTCCAGGCCATCGCGATTGCATCTGAGCCTTCCCAGTCCACCTTATTCCAAGAGGCTCTCAACTACATCCAGGGCATCCAGGAAAACGCAAATGAAACATGGCGATTGGCTTTGCAGATTTTCGTCGCTACCAATGGCGACCAGGGGCGCAAATATCCCCCACAGGCCAGGTTCTGGGCTCTGAGGGTTCTGGAAGAGTTTCTCGAGAATAAGTGAGTACCCGCCCCTCGTTGTTCATGGTCTTGTCCATTGGATCTCGACCTGTCCGCCTAGTAGAAGGGCTTGAGGCATTTGGGCTAACGGCCTTCTCTCAGTTAATTCCAATAATGTCATCGAGCCTCTTCCCTTGTTCCAACCGTGTCGTCAGACCATGCTGATTGTCCATGTAGGTTCGATCCATTAGACCCAGAGACCTTCCAGACTCTACAGCAAGCAATGATGAGCTATATTCAATCAGAATATGTCCAAGGCCCTGCAGAAGCGAATGCACCTTGTACGTTTTAGACGTTTTTTCGAAAGGGCTTTTCTGACTATCCCTGCCTCAAGTCATTCGAAACAAATTCTCGCACACCCTCACCCTTTTGTTCCTCTGCACGTATATCGATCAATGGCCATCCTTCTTCACGGACCTATTCAGCCTCATCCAACCCTCTTCGCAGTCTTCCTCAACCGGCCTTAATCGACATATATCGTTATTATTCTTCCATCTGGTTCTCGAAATCTCAGGAGAAGTCGCCGACCAAATGATCAAAACGGCACGGACCTGGTCTGCTGTCCGCCATGCCAGGGACGGAAGGGTTCGAGATGCGGTTCGAGAACGGGATGCAGCCAGAATCAACGAAGCTGTCCTTACGATCGTCGCGACCAATGTGGAGCGAATGAACGCTCTGAAAGAGGGCGACGGGGATTCTCAGGAGCTCGGCAACTCCATCGAGCTCGTAGATTGGGGTATCAGGACGTTTGGGTCGTATGTCGGTACGTGGTCAGACCTTAGGAACGCTTTCAAGTTTGAATTCAAACACTTGCATAGGTTGGATCGATATCAATCTAACTGTGACACCCACGACTGTCCCATTGCTGTTCAAGCTTCTCGCCGACTCATCCTTGCCCATCCGACTGGCTACTTCCGTCGCTTTGCTCAGAATCGTAGCAAAGGGCTTGAAGGAGCCAGCAGATAAACTCCAGCTCTTCAAAGTGCTGTCGCTCGGTCAGGTCTTGGACGCCCTGGAAAGCAAAACAGCAAAGCAACAACGAGAGCGGGGGGATGACGTTGATGAAGGGGAGGAATCTTACCGAGAGGCACTGGGCAAATTGTTGAATGTCTATGGGTTGGAACTCACCAAACTCGTGGAAGTGAGTGGTTTATAGTCAGACCCTTTCAACAGTTACCTTAACGTGACACAGGATGCCCCAACGGATGACATTCGTTCAGATGCATCAGCAGCTCTGGTCGACCTCCAGCCCGTCACTCTGCGGTTCCTAGCGGATGACTATGACGACACGGCTTCCACTGTGTTCCCTCTTCTCCAAGCGGTCCTCGGTAGTGTCAGTTGCGCTATCCGTCCACAGGCATCGTATGCTGACTCCAAGTGTAGTACAAACGTAGCCGTAAAGTCAGCTCCGGTCCCATTGACGATCAAAAACGCTCTTTCTTGAGTGCTTTGCTGCAAGTCATTCTTAAAAAGATGAAATGGGATGAAGAAGCCGAGCCCGACGACGTGGACGACGACGACAATGGCGAATTTGAAAAGATGAGAAAAGTAAGGCTGAAAGGATAACTGCCGCGCACATCGCTAACAATGTCTCGAAAGGAATTACGAACCTTTATGGATGCGATCTTGACCATTGACCAAGACCTCGTTACTGATGAGGTCAGAAAACTCGCACTGCAAACCATCTCAGCCTATCAAAGCGGGACGAGCCTCAAATGGAACGACGCCGAGCTTGGCGTCTACCTTGTCTACATTTTTGGAGAGATCAATAAAAGTAAGCCTGGGATGCTTTCTCGGAGGGAGTGAACACTGACATTGCACAGGTGGCGGGAAAGGTCGGGCTGCTTTCTGCCAGACTCCTGCAGTTATAGACAAGGACAAGCGCAAGGTCACCGACTACTCAGAGTTTCCTTTGACAAGCCATGGGGAGATGCTCCTTGCCCTGGTTCAGTCAGGGATCGTTTCATACCCAAATAGGACTGTTTCGTTGCAGTTCTTCGAAACAGTTACTCGGTATGCTGACTTTTTCAAAGTACGAAAGGAATGCATTTTGCCCGCACTGGAAGCCATGATAGACAAACGGTACCGTGGTGGTTGTTTCTCTCTGTTGTCCTTGTGATCTGACGGCTTCCCAGGGGGTTGCACAATGAGAACCAACAATTCCGCATCCGGCTGTACTACCTCTTCTACAAGTTCATTCGTGAATCGAGACACGAAATCCCCAGCCAGATCGCACTCACCATCATCAACAGTTTGCCCGACCTGCTCTCGATCAACGTGCAACTGTCGGAACCGGAAGACCCAGAATCGGACCCACTCACAGAAGCAGTCAAGAGTCCCGTTTTCGAATCCCAATTATACCTCTTCGAGACCATTGGCATCCTTACCTCGACACTGTCCAAGGATACAGAAGAGCAAGGGAATCTTCTCTTGTCGATTGTCAAGCCCTTCATGGAAGAACTGCTCGCTAATTTACAGCTGTTCCGAGCAGGAAGCCAGGACCTTGTCCCTGTCGTCAAAGTCCACCATATCATCATGGCCCTTGGAAATATTTCCAAAGGATTTCCCGATCACCCAGCGAGTACTACTTCGGAGAACTATATGGCCCCCTCCTTCAAAGTCTTTGCAGAAATCGCACAAGCCATCCTTGTGTGTCTGGAAGCCATGAACGTCATCAAACCCATCCGTGATGCGGTAGGTATCCCGCCTCTCAACCAATTCTTTTCGTCTCAACCTGCGCCTAGACAAGGTTCGCCTTCGCCAGAATACTGGCAACTGCGGGTCCGACCGTTACAGGATACATCCCTCCTCTAATGAATCATCTTCTCGCACATTTCGAGCCTTCCGAATTAGTTGATTTCATGAACTTCATTTCTCTCTTGATTCATAAACTTCAGGTCAGTCCGTTGAACATCGCAGATGTAGCTGTGTTGACCCTCCCGTAGAAGGACATGTTCGAGGTGTTGGACAAGCTCATCGCACCCCTGCACTCCCATATAACGGCCATCCTTTCGCAAGCGGCCAGCGGTACGGACGAACTACGATGGCAGATAGAGACGAAGAAAGCATACCTCAACCTACTCGTGGTAATCCTCAATGCTAGACTAGAGGGAATTTTTACCTCGGAACGTGCGTTATGGCCCTTGTGCGAGATACCTACGTTCATCTCATTTTGCGTTCATTAGGAAATTCTGCTTCATTCGAGGCTCTTTTGGGAAGCCTTCTCCGGATTGTGGAAGACGTCTCGGATCCTCCCAGTCAAAAACTTGCTCTCACTTTCTTCGGCCGGTGCGTTACGGTCTGGGGCCAACCTGCTGGCTCTCCAAATCCAGAACTCGGAGGAAATTTACCTGGATTTGAACGATTCATCTACGAGCAAATTGTGCCCACAGCTTTCGGCGTGGTGGCGTTACCCAGCTTCAACCCCAAGGATGGACAAGCGCTAATGGTATGGTGTTATCTCGCTTTCGTGATTGTGGAAATGGCTCATCGGAAACCAGGTCATCCACGAGGTGGCCTCTCTACTACAAACGGTATGCAAGACACGCGGTTCAGAAGCATACGACTACTTCCTCTCGGCGTTCCTGCCCTCAAAAGGCTGGCCTGCTGAGATGGCTCTGGACTTTACGACCAAACTCCGAGATTTGGATTCTAAAAACTTTAGGAAATACTTTACCGAACTCATTCGCGCCTCGCGATCGTCGTAGCAATGACGAATCCTTCTCTATCTCTACCTCTCGCTCTCTTTCCCTTGTACATTCATTTACTTTCTCCTTACGACCTTCTGAGGGAAGAGATGACACTTGCACATTCCTTATTCCCTTCTTGTCGTTTATTAGAGTCGTAGTTGTGGATCATCGATAATCGTTTATGTATTCGTTGTAGCTTTGCAGTTTTGAAGAATTTATGACTTAAAATATTCCACGCGGCCCCAGACAGTTGAAATATTTGGCGCACAGTAGCACAGTAGCCTACACAGGTTCTAGCCCAATCACTTTTGGGTTATGTCATGACTTCAGCATTCCATTTGAATATAAGGACACAACTAGCTCACTCTCGAATAATCGCAAATAGGCATTTTCAAAGGTCCATCGTTGTGCGCGCTCAGCATGCTTGCGGAGGGGCCAAAACATGACCCAATAAAGGAAGGTTGGAATCATCGACGCTGACCGCGAACAAACCGTTCTCAGCACCCGACCACGACCACATCACCAACGACGAACGCGAAGGGACTCGATAACATCACGATATGTCGTTCTTTGGAGCCACCACGTCGACAACGGCGGCTTCGACTGCCGCGGACAAAGACGTTGAAGTTGCTGAGCCGCCGACCGATTCAATTTCTTCAGTCTCGTTCTCACCACAAGCCGACTATCTTGCAGTTGGAAGCTGGGACAATAGCGTAAGTTCCTGACAATATGGAGGAGACAATTCGTGCTTATGAGCACCTCTAGGTCCGGATATATGAAGTCGGGCCCCAGGGGCAGACCCAAGGCAAGGCTATGTATCAGCATCAGGGCCCCGTCCTAGACGTTTGCTGGAACACGGTATGTTTTGACGCGTTAACTATTACAATGCCGGCTCTTAGAAGGCCTTTGTATAGGATGGAACGAAAATCTTCTCTGGAGGCGCGGATAACGCTGGGAGAATGTTCGATGTTACGACTGGACAGGCCACCCAAGTCGCCCAACACGATGCTCCAATCAAGGTTGTCGGCTGGGTGAACGCTCCCCAGGCTGGAGTTTTGGCGACCGGTAGCTGGGACAAAACCATCAAAGTACGTATGCGTTACGTTTTTAACAGGCGGGCAAAAAACCTCATGGCGACGGCGTTCTTAGTACTGGGACTTGCGTACTCCCAACCCTGTAGCTACCGTTACACTTCCAGAACGATGCTATACGTTCGACATCCAATACCCTTTGATGGTCGTTGGAACCGCCGAGCGACACATTCAAATTTATAACCTCAACAGCCCCAACACTGTCTTCAAGGTCGGTGTGCTCCTTTCACACAGTTCTTATATGATACTAAACGTCGTTGTAGAATTTGACCTCCCCTTTGAAATGGCAAACTCGTGTTGTGTCTTGCTTCACAGCATCTCAGAATAGCGGGTTCGCAATTGGAAGCGTTGAAGGTCGAGTTGCTATCCAGTAAGCTGGCTTTACACTTTCTCGTTCCCATAACCTCCATCTCATTTGAATTGAAGATACGTCGAAGACAAAGACTCTAGGTTTGTTTTTCTGGCTGCATCGCACTCCTACACATAATCTCACCCTCCGACAGCAACAACTTCTCGTTCAAATGCCATCGCCGAGACTCTGTCCCCAACTCCAAAGACCAAGCCATGGTATTCGCAGTGAACGATATTTCATTCCATCCTGTCCATGGCACCTTCTCGACTTGCGGTACGCCTTTTCACTGTAATTAGAAACTTTCTGTCTAGATGACCTGTATCCGCCTAGGTTCCGACGGCACCATCCACTTCTGGGATAAGGATGCACGAACTCGACTAAAGAGTGGGTTTCCCTCACCTGGTAACCGATTCAATACTAATCACCAACACACTTTTAGCCTTCGAAGCAGCACCTGGGCCGATATCCACGACCGCCTTCAACCGCAACGGTACCCTCTTCGCCTACGCCATCTCATACGATTGGTCCAAAGGCCACTCCGGCATGACTCCCGGGCACCCCAACAAGTTGATGCTGCACCAATGCAAGGATGAGGAAGTCAGGAAGCGCAATAGAAAGTAAACCATTGAAATCTAGTCATTATTGTGGTAGATCTGTTGATTTTGGTGCCCTTTCCGACTTCTGGTCACTGGGTCGGGATACGCGATTCCCGGTGCTGCGAAAATCGGTCCTGTTGCTAACACTATTATACTGTTAAAACTCGTGCGTCCAAGTAAGGGTATATAGTCTAGTGGAGATCCTTTGAAACATGTATATCCAAGTAAGGGTATATAATGGGATGTTTTTTCGTGTATCTAATCGACTTCATCTCTGCTGAATGCGAGGTGTAAGGACAATGGGCAGCTCTCCCTTTATCATTATGAAGTAGTCTTTCATCTCTGAGAGGTATTGCTCGGGATCGTAGAAATCAGCTAGGTGCATGTTGTATCTTTGCATGATTAGGCAAACTAGCATCCGCATTTCCATCCATGCGAGACTCTTTCCGGCGCAGCCGGCTGTCCCGATGCTGAACGGAGTGAATGCAGCGGTGTTGAGAATGAAAGGAGTACGCGAGTTGAAGATGGATGGTTCGAGGGCTTCTCGCTGTTCAGGTGGTAGCCACCTCTCTGGGATGAAGGATTCTGGTAGGGGGTAGAAGAAGCGCGGGTCTCGTTGAACACTGTATGTCGGGATGAAAACGTTCGTGCCCTCGGGAATGAAGCTACAACGGATAGCATAGTAAGATCGATCAGCATTCGAAGAGGACGTCCGAGGCTATAGCTAGCTTACTATGGGCCGATGCTTGCCCCTCCGGTGCCTCTTTCCGGTGCGCGCTGGGAGCCGGACAGGACTGGAGGAAGAAGACGTAGACATTCATTCCTGGATTGGGGCAACCATTAGAGAGAGGAACCCTGGAACGCAATCGGTAACTCACAAAGCACTGTTCAGATAGGGGAGGTGACTCTGCTTGGTGAAGTCCAGGATATCATCCCCGAGAAAGTCAATCTCCGACTGAAGGCGCCTGAACGCGACTGGGTGTCGGAGGAGGTAGTAGAAAAGGTTTGTGACGGCGCTGGATGTCGTGTCCGATCCTGCTATTATTGCCAATCCTCCTGCATGGGTGATTAACCTGTGTAATTTGTATCTTTACGGGATAGCCATACCGTCGTTAATTACCTCGACCACGGATGGTGGATGTTTGTTCGCGTCGTCTTCGTCGATCTTAGAAACGATCAATAGATGGCCATTTCGGCTCAAATGAGGATGCCCACCAAGTAGTAGAAAAGATCTTTGTAAGGGGATGGCTTGTGCTTCCTCTGGAGTGCGCATTTCTTAGCGTGCGCCCGAAATGCCTTCAAATCACTTGCGAAATACGGCAACCGGAGGAACAGCGACCCGAGCCAGGGGAGGTGTCCTAGGATGATCGAATTCCTATTCGAAGATGGTATGAGGCTAAGAGGAAAACACCTGTACAAACACTACTTACCTTTGTCCTGCCTCCAATAGGTGCCAAAGGCCGTCTACATCCCCGTCCCTGATCATCTCAGTTCCGCCTCCAAATCTAAATCAATCCCAAGGGGATGGGAATCTTACATCAGTTCACGAGGTCGGGCACGGAGTGTGCTTGGTCAATGCAACCCCGACTTACGCGAGATCGTTCATGACATCGTACCTATGCAATTGGTGCGGTGTTAGTTACGGCTCGGGGAGGGCGTCGGCGAATGGGTGGACGTACGACCAAAACCCAATCCATTTCGTCAAATCCACTGGGGCCTGTTGAGACCCAATAGCATCCACCAGCTGGGAGCAACGGTTCAGAATGATTGCCTCGTATCCCCTCAAAGCGCTGGTACTGAATGCCCTGGTCCATGGTCTTCGTCGCCGAGCGTGCTCCCGCTTGTCTCTCAAAGCGATGAGTGGCTTCACAGTTTCGTTCTGCGGAACACGGCCCTCCCAGACTGGGCCCAGGTTACTCGTTGGGAGCCGTGAGAGCGAGGAAGATTGAAGAAGACGCACATGTTCCCTTTGGAAGACTGCTTACGGGAGCGATAGCGCTCGCATCGCGAATTGACAGTTCGTTTGGGCCTGGAGAACGAAATATTACAGATGCGAGGTTATGATAAGGTGGACGATGGTACTTACCCACCCGCACGACGTCACCGTATTTCTCGTGAAGATAGTGATAGTAGAGATGCTGTTGCCCTCGGCTCGCGATGAAAGCCATCCAGACTTTTGACACCCGACATAGCAAGGGTCCAGGATGCCCTGCGAGCGGATGTAACGGGGACAACCTGTAGAGCAGGATAGACAAGACCAAAGCCGCCCAATAGACAGCCCAGGCCAAGAAGAAAGCCGAGAGACGACCCCTGCAGTGTGTCGAATACAGCGCCGATAGAAGGCCAGGGACTGCAATCAGCAAGCCCACAAGCACGACTGGTTCGTGGGTTTCTGTCCTCTTGAAGACCAAGTGGACCAACTAGATGGATACCAGGGTAGAGGGAGTCGGGTAAACCGACCAGAGTGTGGCGTCAGTGCTTGACGGGGAGGGCGGGCCCGAAGCCATCACAAGACCTACGTACCACTGCGACGCCCGCGATGGCGACGAGCAGGTCCGAACAGCCGAAGATGTTGTCGGTGCTCATTGGAGATGCCAGTGAAGGTGAGGAGGCTGGAACGAACACATCCGTCCAAGGAGTCCCAAGGACCTCACTTATAGCAAGAGGGAATTATCGATTACAGGGTCCGAAAGGGAGACAGTCGACTTTTGAAAGGGCTGGGAAGCAAAATTAGCCAAATGCGCGGGTGTAGCGTTCACTTCGGTGTGATCATGGTCCCTGCTAGCTTGATTGCCTGCTCTGGTATACGACCCCGGATCATCATCACCATGATGGCTACTAGACTCGGTGGCCCGAAACACCCCTCAGCATCTAGTGAAAGAAAAGTCTATGACAAGACAAGGTCGGAGGAAGCTTGGGAAACTAAAGGATCCTCGAGGATCCAGAAGATGGGGCCTGAGGGGCTATACTACAAAGTTTGTTTAGTAGATCACTACCAGCGCGACGAGATTGCCGAAACCATGGAGAACGTTTTACATGAAGTGGGCTTACGAATTCTGGAATCCGATAAAACTCTCGATGAGTAATTGCCTTAGACGCGTTAGTTTGTACTTCTCGTCGTGCGAACAGGGCCACAGGTGCGAGTTACAGGTAAAGTGGGTTGGGATTCTTGCTTCTTGAATCTGGCCGGAACGTGGATACCCCACAGACAAATGTTATAGCGACTTCAGATGAGAACGAGAAGAATGGGCCCCTAAGATAAAGACATCAAGTAGTTCCCGAGTTTTAACCGTCCCGCCGTGTGTGGTCCGGGACTAGCGACGATCTGACCCAGCTAAGAGGGATCAGACCTTGGTGTATACTGCAACTAATTGGAGTTGCCGCCAGCCTTTGGAGTCGGGATGGATATCATTGAACGCTAGGCCAGTCCGGCGCTCAATTGGACTATAGGTGGCTGACCCCGCTAAGGTATGAATTGAAATGCAAAGGCAGAACATTTGAACGCCTTTACGAAGACAGCTTGACTTGCTTATGGACAGTAGAAGCCGATGCAAAGGCCCTGGGTTGGACGATGCACGGCCTGGAAAACAAATCTTTGTTGAGGCCGAATCTCTGAGAGGCAGTTTGAAGCTCCAAAGAGGGTAGATCAATCATTGGGCTCGAAATAGCGAGGCTAGATGCACATTTTCCGAGGGCAGATGCCGGTTAGTTTGCGCGGATGTAGAAGCAGAAAGTTGACCGTTGTGTACTACGTATGATTAGGTATTCGAAGTGGAAAACGAGAAAGGAGAGCGGGTAGTAGTAGTAGAATCTCTGAAGTGAATGTAGTCTCCAATAGTCTAGTGGCCCTGAGTAATAAGGTCGTCATTCGAGTCAATTGGAACAAACGCAAACGTCTAAGATTTCGGTCTCGGGCAGAGGAAATCGAACTTTGCAAACAGTAGTAGTACAACGTGGATTATAAAATGGGCACTAAGCTACTACAAGATTGCAAATCTCTTTTCACGACGAATGTGGTCGTTACTCGTGCGTATACAGGACAACAAGGCAAGGGGAAAGACCAAGTCGAAGGGTAATAGATAACATGTAAATAGGTCGTAGCCATTCTTTAAGAGAGCATAATTTGTAAGGTGGCTATCGCATAGCCAGGCTGTTGTACGGCACCCACGGGCGCGGTCCAGGACAACGATCTAGGTATGATTGGGAATTTAATGATACAACTGTCATGCAGACTTTTGGGCATATGATGCAGATACAGTCCTGATGATGGATGGTGATGCCGAAAATGCGCGCTGTTCGAGGAATAAATACCAGTCAAAGAAACTAGGTGTTTAATCCTGTTTCTTGGCATCTTTCACCTCCAGCAAAGGATCCAGGTGCGATTCGGGCTGTCGATACGATCCACCTACCCGGTCAGCCCATGTAAAGTACTAAGGGTTGTGTCAATACAATCCGTCGAACTAAGAAAGACATCTGAAACGCACCTGGCCGTAGTTGACGGTGAAGTAGATATGATGGAGAGTGTGATGAGCAGGTCCGTTGATGATCTTCTCGAGCGGGTGTCCAGTCACCATGTCAGAGTCGTGGATCTAACGGGACAGGGGATGATGAGCAACGGCGATAGAGAGATGACAGAAGGGCTCCGAACTCACGAAGATGCTCCAAAAGTTGACCAATACAAAGAGAACCAGATACACCATCCGGTGTAGTGGGAACAAGAAGACAAAGAGGTGATACGGGACCGATTGCAGGTATCCATCCACTGGGTGGAAGGCATGCGAGGCGAATGGGGTTGGAACTGGTCAACGGGTCAGCTACACCTCACAGTGCTTTGATATCAATCTCGACTCACTGATCCATTTGTGATGCGGCTTGTGGAGGTATTTGTAGAAAATAGGAATGTGCAACCAGCGATGGACCCAATAGATGCAGTAGTCGGTGAATAGCAGGAAGCTTCAAACAACTCAGCCTCCAGCTAATGATGTTCAGGGAAAAAGAGACTTACAATGGGACCGATGCAACGAGATAGATGTAACCATAGGTATCCAATCCGTCATACAATTTGGAGTAGCCCATCACCTCTCCTTGGAACCATGGTAGTGTGAGAAGTGTGATCATAGGGAATGCTTTGAGACTTGATTGAATCTCGAGTCTTATCTGGTTCTTGAGGAACCGTGGGTGTCGTTTCATGTCGTGATTGAAGATGAAGTAGTATGACAGGGAGGCAAATAGGAAATACAGCACATGAATGCCGACGAGTGTGAGGACGGATAGTGAGAGGATCTGGCGCGGTATGTAGTTCCGTGGCCATGCAGAAATGTTGGGTATTGACTGGGAGGCGGCGTACGAGGCGATTTCTGTTGCGGGAATTGGTGGGTGGGGCAAGGAGGCGACTAATTGGGACCATTTGGATGCAGACGTGACAGGGACATAAGAGGAAGACGCGTTCAGGGATTGGAGGAACTCGGGCGACGCGGTGAAAGCTGAGAGGGGGACGAGTTTCGCCCAAATCTTGTCGAGGAAGAGGTCGTCACAAACGTCGAGGACAAAGTCCATGGCGGAAACTGGGTGGGAGTTGGAAAAGAAGATGGAATATCCCCTCAATCTTTCCAAGTTTATGTTTGGTGATACTATTAGTATCAGGCCATTTGCACATTTTTTTGATTGCTGACTAACCCGCCCTTGTCATCATGTCTAACCCCACACGGAGGTTCTCTTCCCGGCTAGTCACTGTCCAGGCAGGCCCCGATAACTGTTGCGAGTCTTATTGCGGTCTTGTTGCGTTTATAGATCCTGAATGTAATGGCCACTTACTATCGGCCCATTCTCGTGCAGTATTGTCATACCAGATTCATTTCTTCACCCCTCTTCTTTTCGCAAAACCGTTGCACTTTCCCTTCAGGGTCTCAACCTAGGTCCCACAGGCCGACGGCCATCAGAGCACGTAGGGGATGATGACTCACTTACTCATGACTTCATCCGCGAGCCGCGAGTTCAGAGTCGGAGGACCGGAAACAACGTGCTGCAGAATGCAAGAGTAAATGGCAGATCACGCGCAAAGATGGAACGAGAGCGGAAACAAATAATATTCTTTCACCAGACACGGACAAGCTCCTATCGTTTATCGAATCACATTCCGGTCGAGCCCCATGGCCAAAAAACAGGTACCCTCCTGCTTCAAATTTAGCTCAGGCTGTCAACAGGATGTGTCACAAAGCCCACCGTTTGTACTCCTGCCACTCGGCGCCCCACTTCTTGTCTGCATGTCGCTCGAGCCCTGGAACGCCGGATACCTACAGAGAGTTCAGCAATGCAAACGGATTGGCGGCAGGGTCGGAGCTTACCTTGTTAAGGAGGAACCAGGTGAAGATGGGACTAATCGCGGACAAGACCAGTGTACCCGCCGGAAAAGCAGGCGTCTGAAGGGGGGTAGATGCCAGTAACCACACCCCGGTCCAAATACCAAGCTCTCCGAGGTAGCTAATGCGGCGAGTTAGCAATCGCCACACGGCGGACGAATCAAGATAGGATCCAACATACTTGGGATGTCTACTTATACTCCACAATCCCGATGTGATAAACTTCTCGTCGTGATGCTTAAGCTCCTTTCTCCTCCTCCAGGCCGTCTTTTGCATGTCGGCAGTGACTTCGAAGACGAAAGAGGCTGCCCATAGGCCAATACCAAGGTAGTCACGAAGACCAAGACCGGGACTGAGAGAAGGTGGGAGCGTGTTGACGAGCCAGATTGGCAAGCCCACCGCCATGATCCATGTGGCTGGCGGGTTCCAAGAGGTCAGCAGTTGTCGCATGGCAGCTCAGTCCAGCACACCTTGTCCAAACCACAAGGCTCCAAAGTGTGTAGGATCCTTCTTGATTGTCTCGAATCGCGAATCCCCGCCAGTTTTGATGGCTCTCTGCGAAGGCATCAGGACCACTGTAGCAAGTCTGTAGGAGATAACCCACCGCGCCCAAGAAGGTGCCGAGGCGCAAGCTCCAAATACCGACAGCGGCATTCAACAGCAACTGTCGATGAGAGAAGGTCGACAGAGGCGGGAACGTCATTGGAATACCGTCCCAAAGCCTCGCCTTCACTGTCGGATAGTACATGGAAATGAAGGTGGTGGTTAACCAGCCCAATGCACCACCCATGTCGAAGAAGACGTCGGTCTGGGCGGGGATGAAGATCGCAGCCAATACTGTTCCTCCCATTAGCTCGTCAACCAAGAAAGATGGAAAAAAAACATACGGGTCTGAAGGCCATAGGCACTAATCGCCGTTGGAATAAGCTTTGAGAACACAGTCATGCTTTGCCGTTCAAGTTCAGAAATTAGAAAGCAGAAACGATCAAGCTCTTATGAAAGGGCGTCCAGTGTGAGACTTGATGGGATCGGGATAGATTGTAATGGGCACAAGGGCTTTCGGTGTCGTCGTTGCGCCGCTGTACACAGCACACAATCCGAAATCCGGCTAGTCGACATGACGGTAGACTGAAACGCTGTGGGGGCTGAGGACGACAAGACTGAAATCTCCATGGAACGGATTGCCCCCCTCTCGGGAAAGACCGACTGTTTCGACTTAGGGTTGGGGTTAAGGCGTTTATTCGAATCTCACACTCAGCTCCGACTCGTACCCAGTGCTCATCCATTTCAACGAAGAGCCTGCTTCAGGCATCGAACGCGACCTCTGAACGCCATCTCCCAGTTCACTGGGTGTATTCACTGCGAATTCCGTGTGTCTCAGCATCGTTTTCTGCGTTTTACGGGATCCGGGTTTGTTCACTTTATTTAATCAGAAATATTCATCAACTGAATAATCCCCCCGGTCTTGACTTTTCAAAAGATATTCCCCCCCGGTTCTGACTTTCAGGTATATTATATCATTTCCTATCATATCGTTTTTCCCTTCTCCTCATCGCGACCGCTGCCGATGCTAATGCTATCCCGTTTTCTCCAGGGTCTTTGGCCGACGCAGCCTGTCCCTTCGAGCAACAGTTTGTTCGGCACGGGCAGTGGCCAAGGGGTGGCATTGAATACATATTCACTTTGAACGATGGATAATCCTCAGCATTACCAGCCCTTGTCGCATGCATTGCATCCCCCGTTAGCTCCTTCCCAATCGCGGTCACCATACAACGGGGCAGTGCCAGTGTTCACCGCACATGAACCCCGCACTGACACCGGCCGAGAAGAAGAAGAGGAGGAGGAGGAAGAACAAGAAGAGGAGGACGAAGGCATCGTTGAGAAAGAGTTGAACCGACACGAAGGTGAAACTCAGCCCAGCAATCCGTCGTCACCACCCAGACCTACAACGTGTGTTGCACCTTTACATCCTCTCCTCATGTGATCGCGCTTAAATCTATGGTTCGGGGTTATTCCAGCGGTCCTGACGGGCATAATCAGCAGCAGCCGCAAATTCAGAATGCTGGCCAGCAGCCTGAGCCAAAACGACGCCCAGGGCGACCAAGAGGATCGAAGAATAGGAAAGTACGCATCTCGCAAGGCGGTCGCGATGCAGCTCCTCCCCCCTCGGGACCACCACCACATCCGGACATTCATTCATCGAATCACATACTACGAATCCCATGGAGAATCTGATCTCTGTGCAGAATTCTACGGCGCAGCGGAGGAGCTCGTGGTCAGTCCCATCCAAAGCACCATTTATCCGTCCCGCTGAGCCAGAGTAGAAAGGAACAAACCCTCTGGTTATCGCCCAATGTTATCACATGGGGCCACCTCCAAAGTGGATCCCCTCATCATGCTCGCTGAAGCAAAGCGGATCTGTGACGGCTTGTAAGTTTCGCAATCCTCCTACCCTCCGGTTGATGCCTGATGATAAGCCCCAAGCTCGCAAACCCTGCCCAATTGGTGTCCAACCCCCATCCACCACCTCCAATGTACCCCGTGATACCCGGTCTCTATCCTCCCCCACCTCCTGGTGTTATCCCAACCGCCACCCCAGGTGCATCAACTAGCAAGCAACCCTCTGCGATACCTCCTGCTACGGTCATTACTAACCCTCAGAGTTTCGTAGTCCCGCTGGGTGGCCAGCCAGGCTTCCCCCCTCCTCAATATCCCGTTTACGGTGCCGGTCAATATCCTACTAGCCCCTATTACCCATTCCCTTTTTCCCAGCCATATTATAGCGCCCAACCTCCACCCGCATCCACGAGTGCTGCGCCAAGTACAAACACTCCTCAGCCGCCAGCTACAGCTACTCCACCAACAGCAGTACCAGCTGCAACTAGTGCCCCTGGGACTAGCACTCCTACTAACAGCACCTGGTCAGAGGAAGACGTCGAGAAGCTCAAGAAATGGGCAGAAGAAAGCAAGGGTACGACTAGTACGGGAGAAATCGACTGGGACTACGTAACAAGGAATTTCGGTGACAAACGGTCAAGGTTTGCGTCCAAATGTTTGCGTATCTGTTCGCCCAGAAATTTCTGATCCACTTTTGACTCTTGTTAGGCATCAAGTCTTGATTAAGGCCACTGCGCTTGGCTTAAAAGAGAGTTCTACTCGAGGTCAGAAGCGCCGTCGAGATAATGAAGGGGGTGATGCAGTTATGGGGTCCCTACCCACCCAGCCCTCCGGTAGTTCCTCATCTGGAGTTCAACCTGTGGTAGGATCCCCTTCACTCAGTCAACCTGCTTCAACGCCGTCGGCGTCTCCGGCCATGCAACACCAGCAACGTCCTCCATCGGCTCCAGCTACAACGCCAAGTGCTCCGGGAAATGCGCAGATTACGATGACTCCTACGCCCGGCGTTACTACGAATATGCCCTGGCCGATGCCGACGGTCGCTGCACCAACGTCCACGGGAGGTGTGCTGGGCTCTGCTAGTACTTCTCAGGAACCTCAGAGGACAAGTTATTATCGACCCCGTCCAACGCAAGGAGATTCTGCGCCAAAGTCGGCATCACAACAAATACATCATTATATGTATGTTCCCAATGGTAGAGGAAGGGACACTGGTTGATTGGATTGTTTCATGTTTCGCTTTCACCAAGTCAAGGAGTTCTTTTTGGTTTTGTTCCATGTATATTCTTTTCGGGTTCATGTCGTGTTTCACGATTCTGAGTGTTTCCTTTTCCTGTGTACTTGCCTTCGACCCGTTGTTGTTTCTTTTCTGGGGATGGTTTGATGTACTAGACTTCACCAATTATTCGTTCCGAGTGTTCTGTTCCGTTTCTGTGCATACCACCAGATCCCTTCCTCCAGAATATATACCAGGAGACTATAGTCGGCTCTAGCATAATATCTGAAGATTTATAAGATTTCAAGCTGGGGAAGCTTACACCTAATACTGCACACTTACAACGTGGACCCACATGGACCTGCTGTAACGTCGAGCCAAGAGAAATTCCGTCAGGCGCGCCGTGCATCTTGTCCACCACATTCTCCTTCTATAACTGAGCTGCACGATATTCCCTTTGACTTTATAAATCTATATCGAAGCTCGCCTTCTTACTTCAAAAACCAGTAAACATGACATCGACACCACCAACACGATCGGGACTCTCAGCGCCGCCTCTCTCACCCTTGCGGTCTGCATCCCTAGGTTCACAAAGCTCTCAAGCACAACAAGAACCTGCAACACCAAGGCGCGCTTCTCTACTGGCTGCCCCTCCGGCTGGAAGCAAAAGCAGAGCAGCAGCCAGAGACCTGCTGCGGAAACACTACGGGTTGGGCGTCGGTCCTCCGCCGCCGTCCAAAGGAAATGCCCCTTCCTCAGACCCAATGGATCTGAGTACGATTTGTGCTACATCTCTGGAGCATATATGCGATGTTCTGATACTGGCTTATCGAGTTAGATTCCCCTGCATTTGACGCGAAGAGTTACTATGAACAATTGATCACCACGTCGTCATTACCTATGCTCCTGAAGCAGGAGAACGACCTACTATCGGGTAAGGGCCCTCTGAACTTGTGAAAGCACAACTAACACCTAGGTCATTTAGAAATTCGACAATTGGATAGTGAACGCCAATCTCTGGTGTACAATCACCACCACGAACTCATCGCTGCTAGTGACACCATTGGCGCGGTATGTGAATTCCGTCTTTGGTCGTCGGCGACTGACCCAGCCACCGTCTATCAGATGAAAACCCATGCAGAAAGCTTGGAAGCGGACCTCGACTTGCTTCGAGCAGCATTCTCAGAGATATCACGACTGTCAGCAGAGGTATCCATCGAAAACCATACATTAGATGGACAAAATTCCAACACGAATAAGTGACCCTCTTCACAATTATACCTCCTGCTCGTTACACAACAGAAACACTACTGTACAGCCTATACCTATATGCTACAAAATATGGACCAAGTTAATGATAAAATTAGAGAGAAAGAATGTCTTCAAAGTTGGTTCCAACAGTCATAAAGAGCGTGAGGTTCATGGAAAAGAATGTCAGACGCCGATTCCACCAGGGAGTCAGGCGCTTTGAGAAAATGGCCATTCAAATCATCTCAACGGGGGCCCAAAGCTCCATCTGCCAGAAGGACATGCCGCGGTGAACGAGTTCGGTTATGAAGAGGTCGTTGGGGTTGATGAATTTACCGATCGCCCAAGCTTCGTACCCGCGTTCTGGTCGAATGCCCTGTTTCTGTGAAGGAGAGGTCAGCGACACGATACACGGTTAACTGCAAGGGAAAAGGGAGGCTCACCTGGAGGTCAGTAGACCAGGCCATTACAGACTTCGCGAGTGCTGTGAAAAGATCCGTCTTCTTGATTTCCCCGCCCAGCGTAGACACACGCTTCACCGCGGATGGATAGCCAGGCCACTAGTGTAAGGCAATCAGTCAGTAAAGAACAGGCCACAAACATGGGAAATCGCACTAACACTAATGACCAGATGGATCGACTTCTCATAGGCGTCCTTCAACGGCTTATCGCTCTGACCCACAATCACTGGGTTGTAGAGAGCCAACACTTGCGAAACCTTGACTCCCGGCTCGGGAAACCCTCTGACTCGAAAGTGAATGCTGGGATGAAGAGCAGGGCCCGCGTCGTGCGGCCGCTGAGGGACTCGCATGTGGTTCATAGGCCCGTGAAAGCCAGGCTCAGCCCGAACAACTAGGTGTTTAGGGATAGTGTTTTCGTCGTAGCTTCGGGTGGCCTTGGCGGTGGGCGAGATAGGTTGGCGATCAGAGACCCGTGAACCGGCGGGAAGGTGGTCTTTGTGGTACATGGCGTCGACACTGGTTCGTGAGCGACGGTTTGGTTCAGAAGTGACTGTGTGAGCCGGCACTACAGTCGGTCCAGAGCCATACGAGGCATTGATATCCTGAAATCGTGTACGCGTCGGCGATTGTGCAGCATCATAGGGTCGCCCGCTCTGAGATAAGCGCCTCTGCTTGAGTGATGCCTGTACATGGACGTCATTCAGGGTTGCCCCGGAGAAGTTAACTGAGCGACTAACCTGAGGGCGAACTGCACCCCTTTGAGCTTGGCCTTGGGGAAGAGGGTGCCCAGAGGTGTTGATTGGGGCTGGGACGGGGTACGGCAGCTGCTCGTAGCCTGCATACACATTCGAATGAAGGGTGGGAATACCTGTGGCAGAAGGGAGATAAGGATTGTATGACATGTTCAGTTAGTTAATTAAGGGAAGAGATAACGATGGTCCAAAAGTCTGAGAAGAAAGAGTAATTGTGAAATTGGAGATTTATATACCCAGTCCCATCGGGGGAGTAGGCCACTGTGGCCCACATGCTTCCATTGTCAGGTAAGTCCCCTCCACAATGCAGATAGCAACCTATGTTAAAATGCTAAGTCAAAGCGTCGGTCCTTTGTGAAAGAGTCCGCTTGGTCCATTGTAGGACCGTGGCCTGCACTACGGGTGGCACTGGGCGCATAGGAAAAAAAAGAGCAACAGGCAGTCGCGGATCAATTTTGTCTGAGGCTATGAAACACTTCTGGCTGTTGGTCAGAGGACAATGGGACGTCGGTGACACAGAAGGAGCACCCTGCAACGACTCGGTCAAAGCTGGGGTAATGGGAAGAGTGTTGTTTGATTTCATTCCCGAAACAGTATTGAAAGATGCAATCCGCATGACTCGGTAATGGAAACGTTGCCACAAAGACAGCTGCCGACAATGGTGACAGAGAACGGTAAACCTAGAACTTTACGGTTAGTTACACAGGGTAAAGCACTATTGGATGAGGATCATCCAAGCGAGAATGAAGTAGAACAATCTGGAACGAATTGTTAGATGGTGTGGAATCAGGGACGGCTCTATCTTACAATAGAGGGTAAACAGCGAGGAGAATGCGCTGCTGCTCGATCTGAGTTCCATCCAAGAAGTTGACGGAAGCTGGTCACGGAACGTTAATCACAAGCGTAGAGTTTTGCGACAACTACATACCCCAGATGCACCATGCCCATGCGAGCAGGGCGACGGGGCCACGGACGTAGATAACGCGAACAAACGTCGATATGAGGGCAGCAATGTCAAGGGGTGCAATGCAATACCCAATAACGCAGAGACCTTGGAAGAATGACCTGAAATGGATAGGTTGGCCGTGTTGTTTCCACTATGCAGGATCGATGCACATACACTCGACCGCCAAGAAGCTGGGATTTGTGTAAGCTGAAGATCCAACAAAAATACGTTGAACTCACCTTAGCCTGAACAGTTACAGCGAGCGCACCAAGGGAACAAATGACAATGACGGAGGTAAAGACGCCCATTCTTTGGTCCGCCGGGGCCTAACGACTCCTTCAGTGGGAGACTGCGACACAAATCCGAAGGATCTCACATTGACACTAAGCATAATTCCAAGCAGCAGACAGAAGATCAGAGGGCCCCATAGATCCCACTCTCTGTACAACCATCAGTCAAGCAATGTGTAGAGGAAGAAGAAAGTCACCTTAGTACTTCGCGCCCAGACGACCTGCGAGGGTATAGAACTTGGACTAGTTTGGTATATATCGAGAACAAGTCTCGGGCCTATGTTGCCCTTTAAAGCGGGTCGAACTCTAATGAAAACACGGGGACCTACGATCGTTTTGCTAACAGGTTCGTCCAGTGTGTCAGCTCCAGTATATCTGTGCAGCCCAAATCAGCGGGAACTCAAGCGAGATGAATTCGGCTAAAGACCTTGTCTCCACCCGGACACCGCCAATAGTTTGTCTATCTGCCCGCTGTCCACTAGCCTGTGAAGAGCTCCCGATATTTCCTGAAAGCGTCTGACTATTCGATCTCCCTCCTGCGCTTGGAGGAGCTAGTTGCTCAGGCTCATACGCCGCCCGTGCCTTGCCCTTATCAACTGGATTTGCAGAAGTCGGTGCCATGGATGGATGGGCGAATCCTGGAATGCTGTCCTCATCCAGGTCATCGTCATCGTCTGTTCATAAATATTACATCGCCACATTCGTTGTAAAGAGCAAATGAGGAGAACTAACCCGCTTGGATGAATTGGGAATTGGCTGTGAGCGGCGTTCTTGCTGGATCCATAATCGGTTGTCGTGGAGTATATAGCGAGTCAAGAGTTCAGGCGCTCGATGTCGGCGGCGATGACCACGACAGCGCCAAGCATGCAGGTCACGTCGTCAACGCGTTCGAGTCGGAGTTGGAAATTGACCCAATTGAGCAGGTCTGACGCGTCCTCATTATTCCACCGCTTGCCTCCAAACCAAATTATTCTCTCTTACTCGTCCTAATCTTTCACAATGGTGATTTCAGAACTTACAGATGACTGGAACGAAATCTAACGTCTATCTAGGGTAACGCACCATCTGGAATGCCCCCCGATCCGAACCAGAATCAGGGTTCAAACGATAAAGACAAGCCCAAGGAACCGCCCAAGAAGAAATGGGAACCCCCTCTGCCGACCCGTGTCGGTAAGAAGAAGCGAAAGGGCCCTGCAGCTGCAACCAAACTACCGCCTGTCTTCCCAACGACGCGTTGCCGATTGAAACTTTTGAAGCAAGAACGAATCAAGGACTACTTGTTGTTGGAGGATGAATTCATTCAGAACCAAGAACGCCTTAGACCAGAGGTCACTCGGGAAGAGAAGAATGAAGAAGATAGGTCCAGGGTGGATGACCTGCGAGGATCGCCGATGGCTGTTGGAACCATGGATGAGATTATCGACGACGACCATGCCATTGTCAGCACGGCCTCCGGGCCAACCAACTACGTTTCGATTATGTCTTTCGTGGACAAGGACTTGTTGGAGCCCGGATGCCAGGTGTTACTCCACCACAAGACCCAAGCAATTGTTGGAGTGCTGCAAGACGACACGGACCCATTGGTCAACATTATGAAGCTCGACAAGGCACCCACCGAGAGTTACGCTGACATTGGTGGCCTGGAGACCCAGATCCAGGAAATCAAGGCATGTGCTTCATTGAGTCGGCACCGAGTACCTTTGGATGCTAATATTCTGCTTCAGGAATCGGTCGAGCTTCCTCTGACCCATCCAGAGTTGTATGAGGAAATGGGCATCAAGCCGCCGAAGGGCGTCATTTTGTACGGTGTTCCTGGAACGGGAAAGACTTTGCTTGCCAAGGCAGTGGCCAACCAAACCTCTGCCACCTTTTTGCGTATCGTTGGCTCCGAACTCATCCAGAAATATCTTGGTGACGGCCCCAAACTTGTGCGAGAACTATTCCGGGCGGCTGAAGAGCACGCTCCAAGTATTGTTTTCATCGACGAAATCGACGCTGTTGGTACTAAACGGTGAGGCTTTTTTCATTGTTCTTCCTGCGTCTGTTATTGATCCACCATTGAAGCTATGACTCGACGTCGGGAGGTGAACGTGAAATTCAACGTACCATGTTGGAACTCCTAAACCAGCTGGACGGTTTTGACACTCGAGGAGACGTCAAAGTCATCATGGCTACCAACCGGATAGACTCGTTAGATCCTGCCTTGATTCGACCCGGGCGTATTGACCGTAAGATCGAGTTCCCTCTGCCTGACGTCAAGACGAAGCGACATATCTTCCGGTAAGTATCTATCCACCTACCATACTATGCCCGTTTAACACATCTCTCCCTCCAGGCTGCACACATCGCGAATGAGCTTGAGCGAAGATGTCGATCTTGAAGAGTTCATCATGAACAAGGACGATCTATCCGGGGCTGATATCAAGGCTGTATGCACGGAGGCTGGTTTGCTTGCATTGCGTGAACGTCGTATGCGAGTAACGAAGGCCGACTTCACCACTGCTAGAGAGAAGGTGCGAGGCTGGTTCATTTGGACCTCTGCTTCCATATACTTACCTGGTTCTGTAGGTCCTGTACAGCAAGAAAGAGGGGACCCCAGAGGGATTGTATCTCTGACCACACTGTTCCGTATCATCTGTATTCACATTGCCTAATGAAGTCGTTGGCGCTTGGGTATCGGTAACGTGATCCATAGGCCCATTTGGTTCAGCACCCCGGTGGCGTAACGACCCAGGTAGGAGATAGGCGAAGATCTACACACACTGCTAACAGTTTGCTTATGCTCGTTGCCAATGTGTGGTAAATACGCATAGTACATACCACTTCGGCATCGAGGGCTCTCCTGCGATCAGCAAACGCAAGCCCGCTTGAGCCTGTCAAAGTGACTGGTCGTATAAGATGTTGATTGCTCGTTGAATCTGTTAAACATGACAACCGTTGGTCAAGACCAAAGGGATGATGTGGGCTAAGGTACATAAATAGAACAACAGCTATATTATCAGAGTCGACTGTATGTCAGCTAAATCGTCCATTGAACGTGAACTGGCAGAAGGGACGTAATGTTGGACAACTATGTAATGTAGAAATGCCGCCAGTCTCCAATGTGTCGTGATGGATGATAAGTATAAATCGATGGACTGCGGTATAGGTGAAGTAAGCGAATGGCAGATCTAAAGGGGTATATGTTACAAGTCAGAGAATGAAAAAGTCCCTGAAAAGTCCGGATAAGCGTTACGAAAGAAGGGTGAATCATATAGCTGGAAAGAAGAGAAGGGAGTATCATATAGTCAATAACCTGGTCAATCATTAGGCAACGTCAGCGTTACATTGAACAAAAGATGGAGAAGTAGACATACCGCAACCACAGCTTCCCACTGCCACTCTTTTCCCGAACTAATTCCCATTCTCTATGGCCAAGTTCATGTCCCTTGAGAGCATCAAGCAAAAGTTGTTTCCCTTCTGGGGTTCCTTCTCCTTCCAAAATCCATTCTCCGAACCACCCTTCGCCCATCTCCCCGTCTGCTTCGGTCCTCAGCCGCACCACCCTCGCAATCCACGACCACTTCCTCACCATCGCAAAACCGTTAGGAGAGTGCGGACTTCGAACCTTCCTGGTAGAATGGATCAGCGTCAGCTGGGGTACGTCGTCACAGACAGGTAATCGGGTGATGATATAGGAGAGATTGGTCATGGGGGGCATGATATGGGCATAAAAGAATGGGGTTGGGAGATTGAGTGGTTCAGTGAGCGGCAATAAATCCGGAGGAGTATATGGGACGAGGATGTGTCCATTGAAGAGCAACCACTTCGTACTCGAAGTATTGGAGCCGGAGTGCGCGAGACCAGGACCAGACCGAGAACCTGGTCTCATCATGATAAATTCGCCTTGGGGGTCGTCTCCCTCGGACGAGTTGTTGTCCTCGACGGAAGGAACGTATCCGAGGTTGCAGATGATATCTCCTGTTGAGAGGTGGTCCCATAACCCTGATTCGACCAGCTGTTGCTCGCACTGGACCAAGCTCTCAGAGTCCGAATCTAGTTTCGTGCATGGGACGAAAACGCGCAGAATTGGCGCCCGGACACGGGATGTTGCGAGAATGAGGTCATGCGGTGACAACGCCCGGTTTTCGGGGCCTATCCCGTTCAGGTTCATTGAATTACGGGATCTTGATAACTTGAGCGAAAGGGAAGATGAATCACTTGAACCGTTGCTGATTGAACCGATACGATGGTGCGTCGATAGTCGTCGATTGCGTTTGAGTGACCTCCCACTGGCAGAGTCGTCGTGACTCTCAAAGGCGACCGGACCATAGAATGAGCTCTTTCTCCATGTGCTCGAGTACATTTTGAGCGCGCGAGGCTCATCGGGTGGTGGCGGTGGTGTGGAGCTCCGGAAAGGCTTGCGTCCAAAAATAGATATTCTGCGACCCTTTTTCGCCGGCGCTGTAGATATTTCGCCGGCGCTGTAGATATCATCGTCGAAGCAGCGTCTGCCGATGGGCGCGGAGATCTAGGGATATCGAAGGAGCACGCTGTGCGTCTCGGAGACATCGGCGGGTAGGACTGAATGGGCGCTGACTTGTGCCTAACGTGCTTGAGCAGCTTGTTATCTTCTGCCACATCGCTAGTTCGTGCACTGGCAGGTGGCTCGGAATAAGACAAGGGTGCAGGGAAAGTGAGCTCTCTCAGCGACTGTATCGGCGAGAAACGGGGCCTATAGTAGACGCCTTCTTCTGATTCATGGGGAAGCGACGCTGAGGAGCTGTGTGCAAGAGACTGGAGAAGGAGAACAAAGCGGGAATGTGCCTGGCATAGTGCGACGAGCTTCTCGCGGAGTTGGTCATCCTCCAAACTCGGATAGAGGGATTGAAGGATTTTGAGCGCGTGGAGAGGGTAACGATGGAGCGGTACGCGCTGGGATATCACTGAAGCGGGATCAAAATCAGCATTGGCGGGCCCGAATACGACGAGAGGCTACGCACGAAGTCGATCGAGATCGAATACGGTGACAGGGATATCTTGATAGTACTGCATGTCCCTCTCCCGAAGGCATTGAGCATACCCCTGGACGAACCTAGACAGGATAACGTCCCTGAGAGGTACAATACGGAACGAGTCGGCAAGTTTTTTGCATGTTGTAAACAATGAGTAGGCGTCGGTCCACTCCATGGATGACAGGATGGCGTAAAGAATGTTGGATTCGTCCAATGCAGTAAGGAATGACGAAGTGTTGTTGTCTCTCCAGAGGTACAGGGAGGCTGGACGATACGACGATGCTCGCGATGGTCGGACTGGCTTCGACGATGACACTGTATTTAGGTCTGCGGCGAGTCGTTCTGTCTGGGCTGACAAAACGTGATGCCTGAGCTTGCTGGGCAAGTGGAGCGGGGGCCTGGCCTCTGCCGCTGGTGGTCGGGGTAGCGGGCGCCCCATGTCGGTCTTGGGTGAGGATTCACTGGTGCCCAATGAGTTTGAGGTGACCGTGGTTGTGCTGAGGCCGGTCAAAGCCATGTTGGACGTCGTGGAGGGATAGAGGACACGGAGGGGAGGGAGTTGGGGAGGCGAACTGGACCGAAAGGGTTTTTGGAGAGACGCCATTGTGCGAGCAATGACCTTATAGCTAATAAGATCGATTGACGCACGACGGAAGGATTAAGTTGGGAAATGGCACAGGAATGTTGTTCGCAACGTGCAGCTCCAAAATTGACTGCTATGCTGAGGAGTGAAGAATATATTACGACATTTGTTTTAGTCCGATGGATATATCCAGTCGAAAGCGGAAACCTACCTTTGACGCTGACCGCAGTCGACATAAAGCGGTAATCGCGGGTTTTGGCTATCGCAAGGCGAGCTCGTTGCGGTTGCGGTCCATGGCGGTGCCTACAATACACCTGTCCAAGTTCTTTTGCCCACACTCCTCACAAGCGCCAGGGTCCGTCCCTTGATTTGATCCAGACCGCCATTTCCGGACGCCAAGTAAAACAATTCCCCGGTCCGTCTCTATCCCGACTCAGCCACCTCGTGGGAACATGGTGCCCATCGTTCTCGGCACTGGCCACGGCCCAAGCTCGTCGTCTTGAACCATAACATCCTCAACCACTCATTCGGCACATTATGGGTCGTGATCTTGAGCGCGAAGTATTCGGTGGCTCTGAATCTGAGCTGTCGTCGGATGAGGAGGGTGAGTTGTCGATCAGGGTCCGCACGCACCTTTCATTCAGTGTACCGCCTCTTCCAGAAAACCGGGAGCAACACCAGCGACCATCCCAGCCGAGGGACGATTATGACCAGGAATCGTCTGCGGGAGATTCAGAGGATGAGTATCAGCAGCGACCTAGTAGCGCAAAGCCCAAAAAGAAGCGGCTAAAGCAGAGAGGGGAAGGTGGTGAGGAAGGGAGCTCGCGCCCTGCGCAGAGGAAACGCAAGCGAAAGCAACCCGTCACGGAGGAAGACTTGAGCGAGCTTCCTCCAGAACTAGGTGTGTTTACATACCATCATCCTGCAGGCATGGCGTCTGACGCCGACGTGCAGCCAACAAACGCAGACTTGATATGCAAATCGAAGCCATTCTGAAACCTAAAAAGGCCTCGAGACAACGCAAGAAGCGCAACAACGAAGAAGTGTTGGACCAGTATGCCGATGACGAAGTGGCACGGTTGCGGGAAGCAATGAACAACGCAGCTGAGGAAGACATCAAGGCTAACAGCGAAAAGCAACCAGCGACTGCCAAACTCAAGCTTCTCGCTGAAGCAATGGAAACTTTACGCAAGTGCGTGTGAACTCCTTCGACCTGCTACAGGCGGTTGACTCGACATCCATTTCGGTGCTAATCCTATGTTTACCCTGAACAGACAATCACTCGCCCAGTCAATGATTGACAATAACCTTTTGGATGCTGTTCGGAGGTGGCTCGAGCCACTCCCTGACAAGTCACTGCCTGCTTTGAACATTCAACGTGAACTGTTCAACGTTATCCGGAAAATGGAGTTCATAGACTCTGCAGTTCTCAAGGAATCTGGTCTTGGTCGAATCGTTTTATTCTACACCAAGTGCAAGCGCGTCACGCCCGACATTGCGCGCATCGCCAACGAACTCGTGTCAACGTGGTCTAGGCCGATCATCAAGCGTTCAGCTTCGTACCGCGACCGTATTATCCCTATAGCGGATCAGGGGGATGGTGATATGCGCGCAGGCGAACGCTTGAACTCGATTTTGGCTCGAGCGAAGGAAGGCGAGAAGAACAGGGTCAGGAAGAACGCTGTGATGATCCCGCAACGAGAACTGGGCAACTATACGGTCGCACCCAAAGCTACTGTTAATCTTGGAAGGACCAACGCCAGCGTGGAGGAAGATATCCAACGAAGGAGGAAGAACGCGGAGCGGCTAAGGCATCTGACGAGGAAGGTCACTACCAAGTGATTCGTCTTTATATTTGAGGTTTTGTTCGGGTGTCTCTGTGGTTCTCGAGTTATTCCTACTTCTCGTTCCGATGTGAGTTCCCTATTTGTATTAATCTTTGTATAATCCCGTGCGCTTGGTTTCATGAAAATCTTGAGTTTGCAGCGATGAGAAAATCCGATGACGGATATCAGTGTGTAGCTGCCTCGTGTTCGAGAAATAAAGGCGATTGGACGGTTTTGGGAGACAAGATCAACACGACTTTCGAGAGAAGGTTTCACGAGCATTCATGTGGACTTTGCATTCTCACACATGCCCCATTTCGAGAAGAGGGGGCGGCTCGTTGAGAGAAGGTACCAGAAGGAAAGGAATTGAAATTAGGAATACAAAGCCGGGGAAATGCCTGATCAAGATATTGGGGACAATTGGTGCATTCATGGGCCGCGTCGGACTCAGACTAGAAGAGATTAGATATGGGCCAGAAACATACATGAGGCTTGTGTGGGTTTCTGGAACGCGGACAGGACCACGATGCAGAACACGTTGCAGCAACAAATGGCAGGGCTGGTGCGATGGGCGGAGAAATAGGAGGGAAAAAATGTATCGAGTATTGTACGACGTTGACAACTATAGTGATTATCACGTCGTCTGAATGGCTTGGAATGTTGACTGAGTTGTACTGAGGACCGAAATAGTGTGGGTGCCTCGCGGAGTCTGAAATGCCATAATGAATGTTTTGAGTTGTTTGCATTCCTGTCTTGTCCCTCCCGCCCAAACCAAGTCCTGACCCGCCGTCGATTTTTGCCTTTCTGCGACTTGGAGTTCCCTGCGCCGCGCTGCCCTCGTCGTCGTCGTCGGTGCTCGTCGTGCAGACGTCTTCCACCGCCCTCTTCGACGTGTCCAACAGCGACCACAAGCACTATCCTTTATTTCTTTCTCGTTCTTCTCTAAGTTATCCCTCATGCAGTCACGTCGACCTGGCGTCTCCCCGCTCGCCATTGTTCTGCCTCATCCACAGCTTCCTAGTCGTCGCTCCTCGTTGCTCTCTGCAGGCTCGGACTCGCATTCCCAACCCCGCACACCCGTCACAGGCCTCTCCCCCAACTGTTCCGCCATCTTCTTCGCCCCGTCACGGAAGAGCACCGACAGCTGGAACAGTTCCAACGCTGATGAGCTTGAGTGGGAGTGGAAACCAGAGCAGGTTCTGCTTCTCTCACGGGTTCGTCTTTTGCGTCGCGTTTTGCACCCAGATTCTCATCTTTTCACCGTGTATTTCAGACACTTGACGCGCTCCCAGCGCACCTAGTCACTCCTTTCAACGGTCCCATTCCGCCTCCAAACCTCCTAGACAAGATTGCCCGTGGCGTCTCAAAGGCTAAAGGTCCGGTTGACTGGCCCCACTCCTTACGCGCAACTCGGGTCAAGCTCATCGAGCTTGCTCGCGCAAAGGCAAAGGAAGAAGCCCTCGCTGATCAACGCCGCCAAGTTATCACCGAAGAGCCTGAAGTCGAAATCGATGATGGTTCCAACTACTCTTATCTGCATGATGGAACCGAACGGCCCCTGACCGTCGAAGCTAGAAGGCGTCCGTACAGACAATCTAGCATGGACTTTATCCAGCCTGTCGGTACCGACCTCAAGGATAATGATAGCATTGCCCGGTATGTGGTTCTCGTTCTTGGTGGGCGAGCGCTGTCCTTAAGTCATTTGATCACACAGTCTGTCGCGTCGTCTCCAGCGTACCGACCGCACCTTCCCGAACCCAGCATTCCACCCATATGCGCGCGCTTCCCGTGCTCACCCTAACCGCCGATCCACGTCCCCACCGCCGCTTGCCAATATGCCGTCCTTGATTAACCCATCCACCGAAAGCTCGGACACCGTCAACAGCTTATCCACTTTTTCCTCGGAACCTCGTGCCATTCGCCGTTCGCTCTCCAGTCTGTCGTCCATCTCCATGCTTAGTGGCAGTAGTTCCGGAATTGCCATCCCCGATCCAAGGGTACAACGTATTCGTCGGTCCGAATCCATCTCAGTTGGAGCCCCAAAGTCCTCGGTCGGCCTCAAGCGTGCCCCTACCTATGGTGCCCTGGCTCAAGGGGCCAGGCGTGAGCACATGGCTTCTCCCGGTCGACACGTTCGCAGGGATTCGGGTTCCTATCCATCCTCTGACGAAGAAGAAAAGGCTCGTGCGAAACAGGCAAAGAAGGCCAGAACCAAGTCCGTCACCCAGACAGCGCTCTCGAACCCTCCCAGTTCCCCTGTGGCGCAGCGACCCTCGTCTCCGCTCCCGCCTCCTGTCCCAGAAAAGGACAGGAAACATCTCAGGTCGCCCCGCAAGGGTCTTATTCAGGATGAAAACGACAAGGTGACCTCATCTCCTTCACCTTCGAAGCACAAGAAGACGGCCAAGGTCGACGGTTCACTCGAGAAGCCTACGAATCGCAAACGCCCTGCACCCATGAATTTACAGAGGAACCCGAGTATATTTGGCCCCGAGTTACCCCACCTACAGAAACATTCGCCCAAGAAAACCCATATAGCGACACCTCTGTCACCAGCGAAACCTCGAGGTAGCATTTTGACTCCGACGAAAGCGCGATCCCCATCTCCATCTCCTCTTTCTCCCTCAAGCACAATGGCGTTGTCGCCTGCTGCGCACATTGTTCCGAGCTCTCCCAGCCCCCCTGCCACACAGAAGGCGAAGACCTTGAGGCGAGTTCAGCGACTTATCCCTGCCAGGCGGATCTCCTTTGGTAGTCTGCTCTCCGGCAACGAAGAGGTGAACACCCCTGGTGAAGGAGAGGGTCTGCGCAATTGCTTGGGGAGCGCCTTCCAACTCCTTTAACGAGAACATTAACTTCGAGCGATATACCATCCCACGGATCCTCAATTCTCGCAGCGAACACACAACCCATCTGACCCCTCGATCTCATTTCAATCCCATGAACCAGTGCATCATCTTTCAGTCCACACATTTTTCATTTCGTCTTCACTTGTACATATTATGGCATTTCGCCCACCCCTCCCGTCGTCAAGACTCGAAGAATCTCTCGTCCAACCCGTTGTTTTCGACCAATACCGACGCTCCTCTAACCCCTCCCCGTCGGATTGCACCATCTAGCTCTGCTTTCCCTGCTCTGCGACACATGACAACACTTCCCACCCATCCTAATCCAACGGTCCTACTCCAACAACATCGGCATTTACTAACCCCTATCACACTCATTTTTCTCTCTCCTCGGACAGTCTCTAGCAGCCCACATTCCTTGGATTCTTGTTTCCTGTTCACGCACCTTTCTGCGTTCTGTTTCTTCTGGCGACTTCATGACCTCATCCACATTCATTTTTTTCCATCGTCTGTACTATTACCACCCATCTCTCTCTCTCTCTGGATTAAGGGCTCGGATAGATAGTCCGACTCATTCACGTTCTTTTCTTGTTCCCTTCATTCGGATCTTGAACTCCGTCCTCTTCACATTCTTTTTCTTCATGGAAATTCCACACATCCACCATTTCATTGCGATTGAGGGAAACATCCCTTCAAATTCGAATTTGGCTTGGCCCCACGTTCATTTGTTTCTTTCCATATTCCTTTTTTGGTATTGCTCCTTGTGATTGGCCTCAGCCCAGTCGAATCTCGCTTTGGACGAGCGTGTAACAACAGATGATCATCCTTTCCTGCAACCCTTTTTCTTCGAGTTTATCTCCCCTCCATCGTGAACCAGCCCGCTTCCTTCAAGAATTCACAATCACACCGCAATTTGGCTTCTTCACTTACCCGCCATTTCGACACTCTTCGACTTTGACGTTGGATCTCGATTAGTCTGTTCGGTGATTCTTTTCGCTTTGACGTTTGTTCCCTTGTCTTTGAAGCTTTGCTTTTCTCTTGCTTTTCTCTGATTTGCAATCTCTACCGTCGTACCAAGAGCCGCCGTCCACGAGTGCTTCCGCATGGCTGGACTTGTCTCTTTCAGGAACGCCGTGTTGATTGCATTCATCCCTTCCTGTTATCAACTTCATTCCATCCATTCCCTTCACCCTTCCCCGTTTCAAATTTCTACCATGTACAACACATCCGATTACCGTAGTTCGCCTTGAAGTTCCGTCCCTTCACATTTCTTTTGTTACCCAACAAGTGCCTCGTCTAGATCTAATGTGCCTGTGCGGATTTTACAGTAGTCGTACAATTTATTGGTTATTTTATACAAGCTCACAGAGGCGGATCCGAGGTAACTACGAAACCCGACAGGTCACTGGAAATCTGCCCAGAACAGTTCAACTGCGCATATGACTCCCAGAGCAACCATCCAATCGACACCATGTCGCAAGTTGAGCAAGGTTCACTGTTTCGACGCAGTTAGCCATGGTAACGTTTTGCTGAAAATACTGCGGTCAATAGCAGTGTCGATGTGGTATCGACATGGCATATACCGATCCACGGGCCACTGGCAGTTCCTCCTCGTTCGCCCTAGTAATATACGGTTAGGCCGTCCGGAGATTCCCCAAGGTGTAAGACATTGATTGAACAACTTTCGGAATCAACGGTTACCGACATGCAGCCAGTAGTGAAGTGGTCAGATACTGGCGTATTCTGCGTCTCGAGCGAATGTGAGTTCAGCTCCTCCATTGTGAAGAATTTGGCGTGGAGAAATACTGCAGAGGTAAACCCGTTCAACCCACGAGGATTTTCATATTCCAGGTCTAGTTTTTCAATCGTTCGTGTGGTCGATTCCAAGAGTCGTCGACGTAACAGAGGAGGGCGACGACGTAGGTGAATTGCCTCGACGCGTTCCTGACGATACGCTATCTTTGTTCCTCGTCGGATGGGCATGATTATGTTACATGGGACATGGTTTCTCGATGCTTCGGCGCGTTGCGAATTCAAGGGAAGTGGGTGGCGAGTGAATGTCTCGATGTCTCGATCCCAGAACAGATGGAACCGTCGGGGTTGTTAGATAGGCTGGAGAGCTCCTCGAAAGTCTCTTCGATCCAATTCCACGGCCTGCAGGGAAGAACTTGAGGGGGAGACCGCTGTTCCGAAGCGTTTCGCTAAATTGGAGTGCTGAGAATTGGCCCTCCTTGCGGCGGTTGATGGGACCAATGAGTTCGTGGAATCCACCAATTATGATTGTTTTGCCAATGCCTTCTTCCAATGCGCCGGCCTTGCGAAAGGGCTCGACGATCAATTCCTCAACTGGATGGGCAGCGCCTTCCAGAAGATTGAAATATTGACAATTGGGGCAGCCTCGATGAAAGGCTTCACAGCCGGCATGGACAGGGCGAGTTGGAATGCCAACGAAGCAACCTATTTCTCCGCTCAGTCTCTTTGGTCGGTCGAACGAGAGAAGAAGAAAGTGGCTTTCAGAATAACCATCCTTTCACAGGCCTCTGCGACCGTTTGAGCGGTGGCCGTTTTCCCCGTCCCAACAGGTCCAAACAGCCAGAAAATAAACTGGATTGTCGTTCTCTCTGCGCCGCCGCCCATGCAGTGATAAATCTCCAGGGCACTCTTCCGAGTTTGTGGCAGACATCGCGGCGGTGGGAAGCTTTCATGAGAATCGTGGGCCGCTCTACTTGTCGCAAACTCTTTCAGCTACACGAGGGCTGTACAAAGGGAGTGAGAAGCTGAGTCAAGTGAGGAGAATGTAAACTCACGTTCCATCCCAGGTTTGGAGAAACCGTTGAACGTTCTGCCGTTGATGGTAAAGTGATGCGAGTTTTCCAACAGACATGCTTTCCGAGGGAAACCCTGTTACCTGGATTCAATGGTGAACACAGAGACCTGGAGATGAGAAGAGGATCGATGAGAAGGTAATCACAGTTGCGGGCGGCAGTCTGCTGCCAGTTTCTCCCTTTGCTTGAAGGACACGACGTTGCCTACAGAATCCAAAAACTTCGTATTAAGAAGCGCGGTGTCTTAGGTACGCCGAGTGAGCGCTGAGAACCTTCAGAAACGAGAGCTGAGATCTGTAAAACAAGAATGGAAAGGAATGAAAGAACTGCGCAGGAGTGTGCTGCATACTCGTATCATGGTATTCCATCCCAAACCTCGGTCGACGCGATTGGAAGCACTGTCTTCTATCCAGTGGAGTCAGCAATGCGAGAGTCAGACATTGGATACCACATCATCCCACTCCTTTAGAAGACATCGTTCTCCTCGTTCTTGCCTTGGAATGACAATTGTCGCCTGCTCAGTGTAGGAGTTGAGAAGTCACTTGAAGTACATTGAAGTACAGGGCGCCTTTGTCCTTTAGACTGTGCATCGTCTTCAGTTCAGTGAGTCCCATACAAACTGGCTACATGCTAGCCCATTACAAGTAGTGAGCCCACTGAAGTGCTTGTAGCCCCGGGACCTGACAGTTACGGATGATGTTAAGAAAATGGATCTCTTTCGAGGCGTTTCCGGTAGGGTACGTCTCGTCTACACAGAGTAATATGGCAAAGAATTCGACAAAATTCTATTGGCACTTCGGTCAGCTCAGAACCAAGAGAAGGAAAACACCACGAACCTAGGGTGTAAATTGAATGGGAATGAATGTATTTTATTGAGTTTCGTCCAATTGCCTGGCAGCAGCGGCTTCGACATTTGCAAGGGTTTTCCGTCGCCGTTCTTCGATTTGTCGCCTCGAGTCTGCGATAATTTCAACCGCCTTTTGGTCCCAATGGTATGCCCAGTACCCTGCATAACCAAAGACACCCATTGCTATCGCATGTCCGCCTGGGTCTGTCGTGGAACAGAACAAACAAGTCAGATCCCACATTCGCGGAACCAGCAGGAAGCCAAACTGGTTCGGGACGCACTGGAGAAGAGGTTCCGTTGTTGAAGAGCGAGCTGGCCAAACCTCGCAGCGAGACCGAAAGTTGCGAAGCCAAGAACGTTTGCGAACAGTGACATGTTGGTGTTGGAACGACGACGACGACGACGGGCGGAGGTGTATGGAAGACGTCGAGGACGATGACCAGTGAGTTGTCGACAGTGTTGTTAGGATCCAAAGGTGACGCAGGCGGTGCCAAATAGGGGGCACAGCCGCTTTGACGCGATCATTAACAGGCACCGCCGCTCATCGCGAGCCATTTCGTGTTTGGGTTCTTTCAAGTTCTATTGCAATCGATAAACCATTTACAGCTTTCTCTAAACCCTCAGTACCTTCCCCCTCCCGAACAAAGATCATAATGTCTACAGAAGCATCGAGCTCAGCAGGACCATCAGCCCCTGTCGTGGACGTTTCCCCAGTCCAGCAAAAGGTTAACACCGCGAAACAGCTGAAGGACAATGGCGATCAGGCGTTTAAAGCAGGAAAGACGAAAGAAGGTGCGTGAAAGGTCCTATAGGGCGTACTCAGGATCTAATAAAAGCGTGAAGCGTTGGGCTTTTACCATCAGGTATACAGAGTCATTCGCTATTATTAATAGCCATTGTGAGCTGAAGTCATTACAGGCCTTGATGTATCTACACGGTCTAGACAAGTACGTTTAGCTCTGAATAATCACCCCGGCCTGTTCATTATTGGTCTTTTAGGAATGCACTTCAGAGTATTGGGATGGGCTCTAAACCAGCATCGCCCGATGAAGCCAAGGACGGGAAAGACGCCAAAGTGAAGACGGAGGTAAGTCATGGCAGCCATATTTGGACGCGACTGTTGATACAAGCTCGCTATCAAGGTCGACGAGATCCTCGAGAAGGTCTACGCCAACATGTCTGCATGCCACTTGAAGAACGAGAACTGGCAGAGAGCGGTTGATACGGCAGACAAGGTGCCCCTCGTCTGGTTCTGGCTTGTTTAGCATCACTCGTTTACCACCCAAAAACCAGGCTCTCAAGATTAACGAGAACAACTTCAAAGCAATGTTCCGGAAAGGCAAGGGACTCGGACAGCAAGGATTCTTCGAGAAAGCCGTCAAGATCCTTGAGGAAGTGAAGACGAAGAACCCATCAGGTGGGTGCATTGTGTGTGCTCGATATCGACGTCGCTGACACATTGGCGAATGTTGTTTAGACGCAGCTATATGCGACCAGGAAATAGCGCGTCTTAGGGTCATTGATAACGAACGAGAAAGAGCCCACAAGCAGAAGCTCAAAGGTAACCCCGAACAATTCACCGACCTTTCGAAATAGCTCACCAATTGTGTAGGATTCTTGAACAAGGACAAAGCTAAGGCAGCTCTGGCTGAAGCACATTCATGATTCAACGCCGCAGTCTGTGGATTTGTCTACCTGCTTTCGATCATTGATATCCAGTTTTCGCATGTGATCGTATCTACTAATCCGACCCTTGCTCGCCGTTCATTATGTCAACTTCACCACCTTCTCAGAAACGAAGTCCCGAACATCGAAGCCCCCCTCGGGAGGAGTCACTACACTGGCCTTTTCCAAATAACTTCACCAAGTATCAGCTTCGATTGCATGACCGACAAGAGAATTCCTGCGTACCTCAGTGTGTCTGTAAGAACATTCGTTGGGATTTCCAAGATGTTAGATGGGTATCGAACGGTCTTTAGCCATGCCTTTTCACAGGACAAGTGAGCAAGGAAGCGGTAGTGAGCGTGAAGTCTGATACAGAGACCGACCTTAATGTCTTCTTCAGGGTATCCAAACTGTTCTTTGATGAACTCGACATTGTCGTTTGCACGGCGTTCTTCCGAGTCAAATTCGTGAACGAACTTGTCCAATCTTTGGAGGAAGGATGAGGTCGCTTCCGGCGATGCTCGGTCAGGATGTGCGGCAATGAGCCAGGAAGGCCAAGGTGTTGGGACGGATCCGATCTTGAGGGTGGTGGCCGTATGAATTCGAAATACGGTAAAAGGAGAGGGTTGCACGCACAAATCGAGCTTTCCCGGCATCCACAAAAGGTTTGGTGGTGAACCACTCCCACATGAAAGCACTGGTTGACCCTTCATTGACCGAGTCGATCAAGCCATGGATGTCGTTATTGACTTGGGACATGGTAAATCCTGAAAATCCAGCATAATTGGTGGTGCAATCTACCTTGGAATTTCAGGTCGTCAGTTGGCCAGCCCTGTTGCAGAGCCATGACATAGGCCATGATCTGGCTTCCACTGTGATACGGTTAGCAACACGACGGTTTAAGCGAACCTTTCAACATGCCTTCCATATCGCGAGATACCTAGGGTTGTTCCCTTGAGGTCGGGAATACCATTGTACTCCGCCTTGGTCCCAGTGATGACAGCCCTTGGGGAGTGGGTTAGAATTTCCAAAGCATCCCAGGTAGAGTTCCGCACCAGTTCAGAGGGGTCGCTACGTAGCTCCCCACGAGCTTATAGGCCTTGGATCCTTTCGCAATTCCGGTAATAAGGGCATCTGTGAGTGCACTGAAGCGAGTCAGTTCTTATTCAAGCCGCTAAGTGGGCTTGAGTACATTGCAATGTCGATCTCGTCGTTCGTGAGTCTCGAAATCAACTGCCCAGTTCCACCTTGATCTAGCATTAACATAGATCACATCCAAGCATGAGAAACGAGACTCACTCGGACATTCAACGAGAGTGAACGTGGTGCCGTTGTCCTCTTTTGCGAGCTGAAGGAGAGGGCTCGAGAAGTGTTCGCGAACTGAGGGAAGCCGGTTCTGTTAGTATTGCGTCGTGGAATGGCTGTTACCGCGATCACTACGCCTACCATATCCAACGCGAAGAACCATTGCTTTAAGAACCGATAAGGTTAGAGATAAGTTACAAGATGAGCTCAATCTCTCGAATGTCGTCTGGATTGAATTTATGGATTCAAAGATTTTACGTCAGAGCGTTTGAGTTTGATGCTCGCGTGGCGCGTTTAGGGGTAAATCAATATGGGGAGGAAATCTCTCCTGCCACCAGTTTATCCCGCAATAAGTTGTAAATATCATACGGACAGCGTCACATGAATACGGTGGCTACAGCTGGTCTACTCCCACTCAGTGGTCTCTGCGGAAACGACCGCTTGAAGGTTATTGATTGGCATTAGCGTTTGAAGCAAACAAAGCGTCATGCCGAGTCGTCGCGAACTGGCCATCGAGCTTTGTTTCGTTCTTCCATACACGGGCAATTCGGTCGCGTCAATGCGAAACTAGCACCTTTCTGGAACCATGAACCCAATTGTGAGGACCGACAATCACCGGAAACCAGCAGTAACGACGCTTTTACTTCAGAAGTACTACACAAATGTTCAAGACCTTCGAAGTTACTTGCTTGAAATCCTTGACACTCCCTCGATTGATACAGTGAAGGATGATGAAGCGTTCCGGAGCTACATCTCTGACACAGTGGTGGCGAGCCGCGCTGTTGGATGCAGGCGGTTTACCGTGCAAGCTGTCAACTACGTTATGGGAGAGGTCGGTACCAGGTATATTTTTGCCGGGCCTCGACTAACGACAACGTAGGTTGTTGCGAGAGCCCAGTGTCAACTCTTAAGAGAGAACGCCAGAAGTGTCCTGACCATTGGCTACCTGATGGTAGGTTTTCTCCCTAACCTCTTAAGGCGCTTTCTGACCCTTTTTCGCAGGGCCACTCTGAGGGTGACCTGGTTATGAAGGATAAAAACACGATTGTGTCAGTCTTTGATAGTCCAGAATGGACGACACTCCTTTCAAAGTACGACTCACCATCCTGAAAATTGTATGCACTGCTAACGACGAGGCAGAATCGGGGTCGACGCAATGCTTCACTTGTTGACCGAAACGTCCATATTCATTCCCTTGCCCAACGGGTGCCTGTGTCAGGTCACCGGAGAACCCCTTCTATTTCTGAGACCGCTGGCCAAGGACGCGTCGGTCGATGGCGAGACACGTCCTGCATGCACCAAGGCAGTGAAGCGAAAATACCAAGGAGACTTAGGCACGAGTGCTCGTCCACACAAACGGAGAAGGTTGAACAAACCCCCAGTCACCCCCAAATCCCACTTGGAAGTTGTCCAGTATGTACACTCCGGGAACTCTTCCTTTCCCTTGCTCATACATAACTTAGATCTACGCCAGCCGACATTATGTTTGCCAGAGCGAGGCTATTTTATGCTCGCCCTTGCTTTATCCCTCGGACCAACCATTTTGTAGTTGGACTTCCCGTCAACCGTGAGCCTGATTCCAACAACCTTTCTTCAAGGCCTGATCAGGATTGTTTTCGGCAGATGTGCTCAACAGGATCCATCCTTCATACAGTCGAGAAAGGAGGGACCCCCACACCCCTTACCAAGAACCTGATCACCGAAAGCAGGCCGAGAATGTTCGCCATTTGAGCAAGTACATCTTTCCCGGTCAATATGGCCTCCAGACGCCGTTTCAATCATTTTCAGGCAAAAAGGACGCGTTTCCCTATCCCGATTATCTCGACAGGGAATCAGAAATTGAGGCAAGTCTTAGTTTGCTCGCCGCAGTATAGCCAGTAACCGTGCCGGGAATTTAGATTCTTGGTTCTTGCAAAACGCCAAAGCGGCTTAAAGGGACCATGGCTATGGTTGATCAAATACTATGGCGCCACGAAAAGTGTAGCTATAAGGCACTGAGAGACTTGGCCTGCCCGTCGAAGGTCTGTGGTCAGCCCTGGCGTATGATTTGACTGACACATGACGGCAGATTCCAACGGAAGGCGACGGGGATATCGTCCACAGTAGCATAATACTGGTAAGAACGTAAAATGTTTTGGTTTTCCGCTCTCACCTCTCCGTTAGGAATTGGTCTCTGAGTCATCTATGCAACTCGCGACCCAACCCTCTTTGCGCTTGAGTGACGTATCTTTGGATTCGAGTGGACAGTCTATTCGGCCCATCGGAGGAACTCAGGCTAGCGCGCACACGCGAAACAAGCCTCGATTCATCGAGTTTGCTTGTACTCATACTGAAGTGTTTAGATACGTTGCGCTGGTCACCACAGCCGTCATCCCGATGTCGTTCTGGGGCGACAGGGCAAACTTCAAACGAGTCATGAAAGGTTGTCCCCCAGTTCTTGCTCCTCTGATTAATTCCTCATTATGTCCCTCAGTTGTGAAGCGGTTTATAACATGCAGACGCTATGAAACATTCTCTTTGCACTTCGCTTTGCAAAACTTCAGCACAACCGCTTGTGAATGGTTGGCGCCTCCCGGAGAAAAGGCACAAGCACAGAAGAGGGTTTCTGTGTCCGATTCCCTGAAGCGGAGAGAACTCCTTGAAGAGTTTTTGTTTTGGTACTTGGACGGTTTTGTGACGCCGCTGTTGAAAGTAAGCCCCAAGTGCTCATGTCATTCCGTCGCCGAAAGATAACGCGTTTGCCAGACCACCTTCTACATAACGGAATCCTCTGCCTTCAGGAACCAGATCTTGTACTTCAGGCAGGACGACTGGAAGATATTATGCGAGCCGCTGCTGGACCGATTGATCCACGGAATGTTCGAAAGAATTCCTGATGTACGGCTTCTTCGCATCTTGAGTCGAATTTGGCACTGATTATTGTAACAGAAACACGCGAAGGAGATATTGAGGCAACGGTCCCTGGGTTTCTCATTCGTTCGTCTGCTTCCCAAAGAAACCGGTGTGCGACCCATTGTAAATCTGCGCAAGAAGAAACCGATTACCACCGTAAGTGGCTTGCTTGTCGGTACAAGACATTGTGTGCCTAAGGAGCGGGCTCCGAAGGGTAACTATACTGCCGATCGGTCAATCAACCAAGTGCTGCAGACTGCCTTCAATATTCTGTCATATGAAAAGGTGGACACCTACTGCCTTCTCATCAGGGGAATGCTGACTCTGACTGCTCCCAGAATATATGGACAGAACGGCTAGGTGCCTCGGTGTTTGGCTCTGACGAGGTCTATGCCAAGTTATCGGCGTTCAAGAAGCGAGTGTCGAAGTCAGAGAATGGTTCTCTGTCAGTAAATCTGCTCTTCCGATTCTTTGCAACACTCATACAATGCTTCACAGGCCGAAGCTGTACTTCGTGAAGGTGGATGTACAGGCATGCTTCGATAGTATCGAACAAACAAAGCTGTTGGAGATTCTTCGAGAGCTGATTTCGAAGGCAGGGCTGATCCGCTACAGTCATTTTCTAGGATATTGCTCACGTTTCAATAGGACACTTATGTCACCCAACGCCATGGCCAACTCCATTTTTCCGCAAATCGCATTAAGAGAACGTTCGTTAGAAGGGCTTTTCCCAGTGGTGGGTTGGCCAGTCATTCTGCGCCCTACATATCCCGATGACCCATTATATGCAGGACACGACACGCACTTTGTTAAAACTGCTCAAGATCTTTCACGGACCTTACGGAACATCATTTTTGTCGACCAAGTGAGGTATCCTGAGGAGACCAAGGACAACATCCTCGAGCTTCTCGAGGAACATATCACGGACAACACGGTCAAGGTGGGCTTCCGCTCGTAGCTGGCGTTTCCGAACATACTCGAGCTCATTCTGCTCAGATAGGCAAGCATTATTATAAGCAGAAAGTCGGTATTCCTCAGGGATCAGTACTGTCGGCCCTCCTTTGTTCTTTCTTCTATGGAGACCTCGAGCGTCGGACCATGAGGTTTACGGAAGACATAGAAAGTGTATGTTGTCCTCAGATGTTCACCGCTGCATCCATGCTGACAGCAGTAACCAGGTTCTGATGAGGCTCATAGACGACTATTTATTCATCACGACGAGTTTGAAGAAGGCGAAGGCTTTCCTCGAGATGATGAATAACGGACATCCTGAGTACGGGTGCTTCATTTCCAAGGACAAAACCTTGACCAACTTCGACTACGGCACGGACGTTATGAACGTTGTTGACCCCAGCTCGTCAAAGAGTGCGTGCCTCACTATTCCTGACCATGACTGCTTTTCCAATCCCATACAGACTTCGCTTGGTGCGGTTATTTGATCAATATGAGAGACCTCTCTGTGACGGTCGATTATTCCCGTTATGCCGGATGGGGTGAGTCCTATCTCAAACCCCTGTCGATCATGCTAATGAAGAATAGGGATTAAGAATACCCTCACCGTGGTTCGAGGTCGACAATCTGGTGCAGTGTTCAAGCACAAGATGCTGTTGTAAGTTCGGCCGTGGTTTAGGAGGTACACTCCATTCTCAACGCCTTCGTAGATTTGGTCAAGCCAGGAACCATATCATCTATTCAGCTCCGGATCTGAATCCTGAAGACACTGTGTATCTGAACTTTTATCAGAACTTCCTCTTGACAGCTTTGAAGATGCACGAGTATATCCGAGACGGAGGCCTTTCGCTCAAACAGAATTCCACCTTCATATACAGTAAGTTGCAAGAGTCCACACACAATGAGGAGTGCATGTATAAACTTCCTTTGACAGAAACTATCCAAGAAACTATCGAGTACTCGCATGCCTCGGCGATGGCGCAAGCGTCACGGAAGAACATTGGTGGGGAGAAGCGGTGGCGTTTGAAAAGGTTGGCAGTGTTGTGGTAATGCCCCCGCCTTTCATATCACGATAGCTGAAGTTTACAGACTGTCTCAGGCTTGGAAATCACGCATTCCACTATATCTTAAGGAAGAAACCCCACGGATATGCAACCGTCTTGCGACATCTCGAAAGGCAATTGGGCAAGCTGTGCAACAGATTTTACAAGAGACGGTTCAAGCGTCTGGTAAAGGAAGGACACACAGCTTTTGATCTTTCTATGACGTAGTAGAGACGCCGATGTAAGCAAAGGGACAATCCAGCTTATTCAGAAGTGACGATGTGGGGCGGAGGAGGAAGCGCTGGATCGAGCATGATAAACGCCCAGATCATGATCCGCGCGGACGGAAACCGAATGTATTGCCGGTGATGACGGTTGGAATTTTTTGTTGCAAAGTAATTCCCGGATGTTCTGGTAGTGTAGGGTACCTGATCACGTTGCAATGAGAGTTTTAAGGGGCTCTGTATTGTGCCAGCTGCCACCATCTTCTCGCATTATTTCTGTCACTGTTCCTCCACGTCGTATAAGCCGCCAGCTTTTTACGCCTTCGCCGCCACGTCTCAAACCAACCCAACGATCGACAATGTCTACTGAATCATCTTCTGGCTTTTACTCTCTGAAGGCTGAACTGCCCAATGGACAAACCTACGACTTTGAACAACTTCGTGGCAAGGTTGTGTTGATTGTGAATACTGCATCCAAATGGTTTAGTCCCACCTTTCAGTTAAAATGTGTAGGATTTACTGACCGATTTTAAAGTGGATTTACTCCTCAATACAAAGGCGTGTTCTCATTTTAATGGCGTTCTTTTGCTTGGAGTGACATTTTTGCCCTCAGGTTTGCAACAACTGTACGAGAAGTACAAGGATAGAGGATTCACTATTCTCGGCTTCCCTTGCAACCAGGTTCGTCCTTTGCAATCGCGTTAGGGAGGGGGTCTGATCGGCCTCCCATCCTTTCCCCCCTCTAGTTCGGTGGGCAAGAACCTGCGGACGATGCTGGTATTCAAGAATTCTGCACGGTGAACCATGGCGTCACTTTCCCCCTTATGAAGAAATCCGAGGTGAACGGAGACAACACCAACGAAGTTTATCAATGGCTAAAGAGCAAGAAGGCTGGTTTCTTGGGCCTCACGAGAATCAAGGTGTGTGCTGTGCCGCCTTACCAGTTCTTTCTCCTAAAAGCTCAATGGCGGTTTGGTAGTGGAACTTTGAAAAGTTTTTGGTCGACAAGGAGGGAAATGTTGTGAATCGCTGGGCCTCAACCACATCCCCTTCGTCTATCGCCTCTGAGATTGAGAAGCTGTTGACCGAGGAACCGAGATTGTAGAAGACATACCGTGATTTCCGTGCATAATAATCTAAGGTTGACCTTTTTTTTTTTTTTTAATCTCCCCTTTGTCTCGGCTTTATGCCCAGGCCTCACATGGAACTGCAGTCATACGAATCGTGTTCGCAGTAGTATCTAGACTTGACATACACCATCGGATATTTGTACAGCAAAGCTTACAGGTACTCGAATGTCCTTTCCATAACTAAGAGTTTGTGGTGAACAGAAAACGGAATAGTAATGTGGCCGGAACGCATGCCCACGTAAGTCGTGAAGGGTCGTAACATAAATATGAGAACCCGAGAACAAGTCATCAAAACGACATCAGGCACATATAGTCCATTTGGAGTGAGAGAATAAAGATAAAAGGCAAAAGTACCACGAGCAAGAAAAACGGACCAAGACAAGCGCAAGGTCAGTGGCAACAAGAAAGCGGGATGGTTGTGAAAGGATCCAGTGATGTATAGGACGCTCCTGCCGTTATGACGATTCAATCGAGCTTTGGCTGACTCTATTATCTGGATTGGCGACGAACAGGCTCCTCCGAGGAACTAGCCCATAGTCCACCATGTGCCGTTTCCCCTTTCTGTGTTTCCCCTCATCGGCGCCCTGGGATTGCTGTCGTTCGTATGCCTGGATCTTGGCAGCGACATCCCCGCTAGGAGAAACGGGCAGTGGGCGAGAAGCTGCTGAACTCCCAGAGGCAGGGTTCGTGTAGAGTGCCACAGGAGGTGTTACAGTTGTCGTCGGGGCAAACGCGATAATAGATTCGTGGGGATCCATCTCCGTCGGTGAGGCGTACGTCGCAAACTCCTCGTGCTCCCGTTCCACAGAGAGGTCGGTATGAATACTAGATTCTGCGGTCGATTCTGTGCTTCCACGTCCACGACGGCTCCTGAAGCTCTTAACTCGCTGGACTACTTCCATGGTGCCACCTATGCGCTCGATGGCTTCCGAATCCGCTGTGCGGAGGGATGACATAGATTTACCGTGCCTTCCTGCGTAGGGCTGACTGTGCTCCTCCCGCTGCTGCTGTTGCTGAGAAGAGCCGGAAGGAGTTGGAATACTTGGACTAGAGCGTTTGGACTGTGGTGAATCCTTGTCGGGGGAGCGGGAGTGGACGCTTTCGTCAATCGTCACTAGCCTTGGAGGAGGATTGGGGTCGCGCAGCGAAGGATAAGCCACTGATCTTCCAGATGCATCACTCTTGCGACGCCCGAGACGGGACCACCATGAATCGCTGCGATGGACTGGTCGTTCTGTCGTGGACGGCAATAAATTGGATAGTAGCGTTGGTGATCGTGGTGGCTCGACATGAGATGTGTTCGATGTCGCAAGGGACCCCGTTGCGGAGAATCTGCTGACATTGTCACTGGAAGAGGCACCGCTCTCGGGTGCCGGCAAAGTGCTTCGCGATGTTCGCTCTGACAATGGGCTGAGAGGGTGACCGACATGTTCCAACGGAAAATTTGTCCGCAATGCCAACGGAGGCGCTCGTGGAGTAACAAGGCGTACTGGGTTGTCCCCTTGATAAGACGTATCTGAAGCCTCATGTTGGTCCTCCTTGATAGGGTCGGTGAATGGATCGGTGTAGCTCGCATAACTGAGGGCGCTTCGAGTGCTGATATGGCTGGCCTCCCGTCTCGCACGTGGCCGTACGGCTGCATATCCTGTTTCTTCATCGTTGGCAATGGGCGTTCCGTCTGAGAACGGATCGGTTTTCTCTCGCCATGGAGTGGAGCTAGTCGTGGAATGACCAGTGATGCTGGCGTCACGACTCCGTTTGCCACCACCCAAGAAGCTCATGAGTGACCACGAGCTTCCTTGTGACCCGTCTCGACGCCGGGTTTCATACCATGCGCCAAAATCGTGTGCGTCTTCGTCGTCCAACATATTTCGCCGCTCAGGAAGTTCCCGCGGGTTACGGGACTTTAGTGACCCAACCCCTAGGAACAGACCCGCAAGTCCATGAAGCCTTCCTTCCTTCCCCTCCACCATACCACCCGCGCGTGGAATGTCTCGGTGCACTTGGGAATCATCGTCGCCGAAACCGCCTGGTAAGGGTATGAATCGACGCTCATCCCAGAATCTCCTGTGCCTATGTCGTCGATAATAGTAGCCGGTGGCCACGACGAGGATGAGGGCAATCACGCCGACCGTGGTACTGACTGCGATGACAATGCTCTTCTTCTTGCCCGCTTCCGGCTGTTGCCCATCGGGGTTGTCGGAGTCACTGTCTGTAGGGTGGGGAGAAGGATTTGCCCCACCTCCTGACGTTGGCTTGCCTTTTTTGGTGGTGGTGGTTGAACTTTCCGAAGGTCGAGTTGCAGGGGGTAGCGTGGGCGTAGGTTGGGATGTTGGGGGCGCGTAAGAAGGGACCCAACGCTGACTGCCTGTATCGAACACTTGCAAAGCAGGAGGCGCTGGGCCTGATGATTCATATCCTGCGATTAGGACAATAAGAAAGGCTGTCACAAGGAATGGGCAGAAGTACACTCACCAAAGCCTATCACGACTTGTTCACCGTGAGCGACTGCGAAATGGTCAAAACGAGACCCCAGGTCTGAGAGCTCGTCGACTCGATTCCATGTCGCAGGACTTTGCGAAAGATCGAGGATCCAACCGTCGCCCAAGGCGTTTTGGAAAGAAGCATCTGCGCCACCATGGATAAGAATTTTGTCAGGGGCTATAAGGGCGGTGGCGAAGGCTCGCCGAGGACCCGGGACGGAGTCCGACGAAACTTCAAGCTGGCTCCAAGTGTAAGGTGTCTGGGTCGTGTCGAGGACGTAAATCGTTGAGAGCTGTAGTAACCGCCCTGATGAAGAGCTGTAGCCTCCGAGAACGAGGATACGACCGTCGGCCAGTGGTATAGAAGCATGTCCACATAGCGCAGGAGGACCGTTGTCGGAGGGTAGTTCTGTGAACGAAGAAGATTCAGGGTCAAGAACCCAGCTATCCGAAAGACACATGCGGGACCCGTCAACTCGCTCCCCTCCGAAAACGAAGACCAGTCCGGATGGAAGAGTGGCCGTGGAATGACGGATCCTTCGTCTCGGTTGGTTGATCAAGGCTGAGCTGTCTTCTAGTCGCCAATATGGGCCTAGTCGATTGAAGACATCGAGAATAATGGCTGTGTCAGTGGACCCAATTGGTGAGTTGGGGTCCGTTTGGCCTCCTACGAGAAGGATTTCGTCTCGGTTTAGGGCCGACAGAGATGCCCAAGCTAATGCGGGTCCCTGGGATGTAGAAGAGTTCGAAGAACTACTGACTAGTTCCCAAGGCGGCCGGACTGCTGGGAATGGGGAGGCGAGAGAGAGGTATAAAATGTCGTTGGTGTTTGGGGCAGAAGTGTAGGAAAACGAGTTGAATTCGTCAACCTTTCCTCCAAACACGAACAAGGCATCGTTGACAACGACTGTAGCTTGTCCCCATCTAGAGATAAGATCTCAGCCAGTGTCTTGCACGGGGAAATGACTTGAACTCGCCTGGATGTGGGATCATAACACCATGTTCCGCCAATCAACAAGTTCAGGAACCATAGTATCCCCGACCGCCGCTGTATGATTCTTGATACCATGACAAGGGTGTAGAGAAAACAGAATTGGAGATTGAGCTGCAAGACTTTAGAGAATAAGAGTTACATGAAAAGGCGTGACGTTTATCGTGAAATATGTCGTGAAGCTGGAGTATATGTCGTTGGTGGAGTCGAACCTGGGAGACCCCCCCGCGCCTGTGCTACCTCCACACAGCCACACATCACCATCACTGGCACCCTTATTTGGTCTCCACTGCTAATTAGCGTCGACATCTCCCGATCGAATCCTTTGCACTCTGGAACTCAACCGCTCCTCCCCCTGAGCATCGAAAGTCCACCGAATTCTCGCGACGCTTTGCTCTCCCAACACGGAACGTATTCACGACATTTCCTCTGTCCTGGATTTGGGGTTGGAATGTCTGTACCCTCTGTGAAAGCGCGGCGAACTGCATGGGACTATCAGACGAACTGTCTCCAGACACTCTGGAGGAACGAAAAGAACAGTCTATATGTGGGGTCTGGTCTGGCAGACGAACTGCCTCCAGACACTCTGCAGGAACAAAAAGAGCAAACTGGAATATGTCTCCCGCGCTGTTGCATTGGAAGACGGCTGCTGGATGATGGATATTAATGTCCCCTCGATATCCCGCTGCAATTGGTGACATTCCCCGTTAACCCCATGCCGTGCGCCTTTGCAAAGATCGTCCGGAAAACTACTACTGACGAGATGGAAATTGATTCGAAAGGTACAGGCGGCGTTTTCTTGCGACCAGTGGCCAAGGGTCCCCAGCTGCAATGTACTCACATACGAATATAAACTTCCTGACCCATGTATCAACCACGGTTTCCAGTCTGTTTCACATTGAGAGGATACTCCAACGAGGCCCTGTCATGAACAATAGGTGGCGATAAGCATTCTTCCGGAGCAAGGGGATGATTCGACACTTCGAAATCTCATACAGGCGCCGACGACAAGCGTCATCGAAATCATCGCGGACTTCGAAAAAACCGACTACCCTCGATTAGGCACACTCTGGTGATGTCCTTCTCTTGCATCTGCTGCAAGGAAATTCTTCGCCCCGTCCTTCACAATGCAAGTGTGTTATGGGCACATACTTTCTGCGGTTCAGACACCCAGTGGTCATGAAAGGCCTGCTGCGTCTGACGGCAACCCGCCTAGTAAATTCTAACTTTGCTGCAGGCTCAGGGCAAGTGGCAGTCAATAGTGAAAAAGATTTTGATCGACTTATGCTATTTGTCCCGAGAAGTTTGCTGCGGTTCCCAGAAGCTTACGCTAGTCGAGACGGGGAAACGGATGGCGCTTCCTTGGACTTTCGGCCCAGTACTCTTCTTTCCATGATTAAAGGTCCCTTCCCCTGATGGATTCGAGCAAGTCGAATGTCAGTTGATAAGGAACATTCAATCGACATCATGTCTTCCGCCCCAGCATCGTTTAAATTGCATAGCCATGAGGGAACACGAACGAGAAGCCTCCTCGTGAAAGCTCCTGTTAAGTCTGTCCACCAAGGCCTACAACAGCGCGCTGTTCAGTTAAGGTAAAACAAACTGCTAGGTCCTGCGAAGGACCACTGCATGTCACGTTTCAACTTGATCACCAATGATGTTCAGCGACCATGGAATGATTGTAGAGGCCTTTGAGTTTCTTATTACGCCGAAAGCTTTCGAATGCCATTGCATTTGCTAAACTTACGGAAAGACAAAAGACTAGCCAGTGTTCCGGCTGTGCATGATTCAACACGCTTCTATCACTGTCAGGATCGACCGTTACCTCGTATCCAATTACCTGAAGTTAGCGGCCAGTGCAACATTAGAGTTCGTTTATTCTCGTCAGACCGAAAACGAGGCGAATGCACCGCCCAAATGATACAATCCAGATCTACAGACGCCCGTTCGAACGTTGTTTAGGGGCCAATACGCACCATCGAATGCAGGCATCACTGATCGCTCTGATTTTCGTTGAGCGGAAGCAAATGGCCAGCTTGGCAAGTGTCAGGGGTCCTTGCATTGTTACTTGACGCCCAAAATGCCCAAAAACGCGAGGTTAGCTATGTATCAGCGCTTCCAGGATCCCGAGTAAGACAAGCGAGGGCGATGACGCTATGCGTGGAAAAGATGCACGAATGATACACGCGACTGCTGTACAACTCGGCCAGCTGCGCTTCTCTGGTTAAAACCGATTAGACGCCGTTATCCTCAGCAAGCGCTGTACATTAAAAGCGTCCCCTCCCTGTGATTCGAAGTTCGGATCGTGTTCCCTCGCAGTCCGATACCCAGGGAGCCCAGTGCTCCTCCCGCAAGTATTTGGGTCCATTTCTTTGCCTTGTTGCAAATGAATAACCACGGCACTTCCTCGTTGAAATCCACCCTGACTTCTTGGCAGCACGCAGAAGAACACCTACTGCCTCCCGCAGATCTTGCCATTTAAACTTGGCGGTTGCCAACCAGCGGGTCTTAATGCCATGTGTTCTATCCTCCTTCGAATCCTATCAGTGGCGTATCTGGAGAATTCAATGTAAAGGGAAGTGGCTGTCTCTTTCGTATTCAAGAAGTAGCAAGGACTATGCTTACCCGAAGTACGACCTGGCAGTTGGCCTCACGATTAAGCAACGAGGCAAGGTTCGCTTCACAGCCAAAAGTGAAATCTGGGGTACAGATGTATTTAGGGCCCCAGAATTACGCTATGCTCGTACCCTCTAGGGCACCGTGAAATCGTCACAATGTAGAGCAAGGGAAGCCTAGTACCTTACCTTCTACGCGCGGCCGTTTACGGCCATTCGGGATACATGGCTATCTCACCGATGCTAGCTGGATTGCGAGAAGGGGGCTCGGCGAAGATACAGAATAACCCAGCTTCCACCCCGCAGTGTTACTAGGCCTATTATACACCCTTCTTACATGTCAATGCCGGGAACAAACACATCGCTGACTGACTATTCCACTGGCAGCGGGGTCAGCGAATACTACATTTGCGTCGGAGGTGCACACCCGTTCCAGCATTTGAGCGATATCCACTGGGTTCCAGGTGTAGAGCGTCCCCCTCTTGACGTTAATGTCCATTGCGCGGCTTATCTATAGCACACGGAACTTGCTGCTTCATTAACAGCTTTCGGAATTCAATATTCGAGGGCGTGGTAAAGGTGCATGTTTCGGAAGCCACACATATTCATGCTTGGCCCGGAAAGCCACTGTCTGGGATGGCTACTTTCAATAGCCAAGGACTATTAGATTCAATTTGGCGCCCATGTCGTTTCCCTGCAAAAGCTGACAAGCCTAGACCAAGGGCGCTAGTAAAGGAGGTCATATCAGATGAACGATGGTTGGCGCTTAGCCCGATTCCCTCGGTTTGTCCCATTCGCCACGGATATTTTATTTTAACACTTGTCTGTCTGGGACGTGATGTACCGAACCCTCGAGTATCGCAAGTACGGAGACTATAGACAGGGGGCGTTGTCGGCGGTGTTAGAAGGATGGCAAAAAGGACGTAATTTGTTGGAGACACCACAGGACCACGGCAAGCGCTTTTGCTACAGCTCCGTGGTGATCGATGGAAGAACTACTGAGGGAAACGAGGTCTCCACATGGTATAGACGCCCTTCTCTGTGACGACACGGAAGTGGAGCGCCCGTGGAATCCTGCCCTTGGTAAATCATGTACTTACCGATGATCCAGAAGATCGGCTTTGCAGGTTCTCTCTGTTTCCGCATGGCAGGAATAGTCGAGGATTGTAACTTAGGAGCTCGCAGATGCCTATGTCAAAGAAAAACGCATTTGTGATTCCTGTTATACATTGGCATTCTTAAATTATCTTCCTTCCCTACAATTGTAGTGTGACTGTTATCGATCTGGCGTTCCTGGGGTACTTCGACTGATTTAGGCGGCAGCCTCAATCTCAGCGACGTATTTCTTAGAATCTTCGTCACCGACTTTGTTGAGAATCTAAAGACGGTTTAGATTTGATGGGTCAAGATAATTGGGACGGGCCTGAGACACACCTCGAGGAGCTTCTCAACGTAAGCCTTCCAGGAATCCTCCTTGGAGGTTCCCTTGACAGACTCCCAGGCATCCCTGGAAGCAGAAAGGATCGGGGTCAACTATAAGGAGACAGAGGGGCTTATTGAAGGCTAACTGACCACTTGGCTTTTCCAGTGAAATCGAACATGCCAGGCCTGGTGGTGGTGTTATCACCAATGGTGCCTAAACACACGAAGTAACATAAGCATCCGTTCTCCGTCGTACTCGCGGACAGAGGGTATGTACCTTGCTTGAAGTACTTGTAGAACTGTAGATCTCTTTGTCAGTTCTCCGAAATTGAATCAGATCTCCATCCCAAAGACTCACGAATAGCTGATCATCCTGGGAGGGTTGGATAGGCCCATCCTTAGGCAAGCTCCTGACGATCTCAACGGCCTTGTTGAACTTTGCCTCAGACATGTTGGAAAAGACGATGGCGAGGAGAACTGAAGGTGAAGTCCAGTGAAGAAGAGAGAGCCAGAGGCAGCTGGTTTGGGTTTATCGCGGCTGCGATCGCGAAAAGCTCGTGATTCTTCTTGATCTCATGAATTTGGCCTGATTTGGCAGTCTGATTTCAAAGTACTTACGCGTCGGTCGGATCCGACGGACTCATTTCCAGCCTCCAGGGGTCCAGACAGGACGTTCCTCAGGGAAATTGAGGGTGCTCATCGGCGCTTATAGCTCGGCATAACCAGCGGTTAAGATCTGTGAGCATGGAGAAGGGATTCTTCATTTTGGGAACCTCGAAAGACCAACACGACAGGCAGGTTGACGGGCAGACAGTCCTTGAGGTCCCGAGTTGTTGTATGTAAGGACCCTTCTGGTAATTTTGATTGAAATAATGTGAAAAGTGAAGTGCGGGAAGTCGAACCAGTGTTATGAGGCGATCCGTTGGACATAATAACCTATCCTGGAACCTGACGTTAATGCAGCTTTAGCCTCTCTTTAATGAACAATGACGGGGTTGGAACACACTGTCGGCACTCTTCCCGCTCGGTACAGTGGCATAGCATTTGTGAGCTCAAGTTGACTTGGGCAGAGGAAGTCCAGTGGGTGTCACATTTGGAAGGTACCAGCAACTCGGTAGGCGGAGTGGCCAACGAGCCCCTCTGGACCAAAGGGGTAAATCCCTCCCTCTCTCTTGCTTTACTTTTCAGCCTACCCACCGTTATTCCAGTACCATCGCCTCGAAGACAGTTCCAGCTTGCGCTTGAAGCTTGAGGATGGCTGTGTTGAGGACGCGTTACATAAAGGCACGTGAGAGATCCCACGAGCGGCCACCAGAGCAGTCAGTGGTCACGCAGTACCGATCACTTGGCACCCCTCCATTGCCATCGACAATTCCAACTCTCCGACGGCCACGACGACGAAAGTATTTCTAGCGGCTTATACAGCTGTGGCTGCTGCCAACGCCCAAAAATGTCTCCAGCTGCGGTTCCCCCATCACCTCAAGAGATCCAACGAAAGTTATCAGTCCATTCAGTTTCGAGACCTAAAGTAAGTTCTTGGTTCCCTTTTTTCGGCAACGCAGACCCAACCTAGGATATACTTGAACCTTTTCGGGTGTTTCTTGTTTATGGTGTGCTGTACTTACCGGTTCCCTGTCAGCCTGCGCTAGGCCATGTATCGGGAACGGAATCAGACTCGGATTCAATCCAGACGCCAGACATCCTAAGCGGTACTCTGGCTCATGGTGGATTCCCTCATCTTGGCAACCCCTCTCAACAACCACCTTTGTCGTCAATTGCGGAAAGGAGATCAGCCAGTGGCGAGGATACGGACGAGGAAGATGCAGTCGAGGGTGGATGGAGGACTCCAGATCTAAGACGACCACGAAATTCCATCGACGAGAGTGTCCTCAAGTCCGGGTACCTTTGGAAGAAGGGCGAACGACGTAAGGTGAGAACGAGTCTGACATTGACCATCTGTAATGATAGCCTTACGCCGTCGCCCCTCCTCGTAGACGTGGAAAAAGCGGTGGTTCGTCCTCCGGCCAGCGCATCTCGCGTATTACAAGAGCAACGCGGAATATCAAACCCTCAAGTTGTTGGACCTTTCCGACATTCATTCATGCACACCTGTCAACCTGAAGCGCCACGATAATGCGTTCAGCCTTATTTCCCCCAACCGAACCTTCTATTTCCAAGCCGACAGTCCAGAAGATGTCCGGTCATGGGTCGCAGCGATCGAAGGTGCTCGACAAACACTGATGGCAACCTCGACTCAAAACTCTGCTTCTACTCCCATACCTATCGCTCGTTCGTCACAGGCCCACGGAGGAGGGGCTGGAACTGGAGGAAAGGTGCTCACCATATCCTCGTCCCCCGGTCATTTACACCCTATCACCTCCTCCGATTCTGAAGATGGTGGGGCTGGGGGAACAACCACCGGTCAACGCGGTTATCACTCTGGTTCTGCTCCTTCACCTACTGCCATCAACTTTTTAACTCCATCGAAACCTTCGACTTCGACTACTGCAAACCCGTCGAAAGTGATTGTTTCTGGTTATCTCATGAAGTGCGGGTCCAAACGCCGCAACTGGCGTAAGCGCTGGTTTGTCCTTACCGGCGAGAAGCTGGTGTATTCAGGAAGTCACATGGTAAGTAATGATTACTAGTTTCATGATACTTGTTGTAACAGATGGTTGATCTCCTTGTCGGAAACAGGATCCCAAACCGCACAGAACCTTCCCGTTCAGCGAAATCCTGGATGCGTTAGAATATGAATTGCCGGCGAACCGGCATCCCCATGCACATTCGGCGACCACGTCTTCACCACCGAGTTCCTCGGCTGTTCCTGAAGTGGACGAGGCGTCCGGATCCCACACCTTCAAGATCGTCACCACCAAACGTACGCTTTTGCTTTGTGCTCCCAGTGAGGAGGACGAGATCAAGTGGTTAGGGGCAATCAGAGCATTGATTGCTCGCCGATCAGATTCTGGCGTAGTCCCCGGGGAGTTGAGCAAGTTGGCGATAAGCTCGGGACACCACCAACATGAAGGGAGCGGTGGGAGTGGAACTGCGACGCATGGGCTGTCGAGTCCCATACCGCCTGCGAAAAGCAAAAGCCGTCGAATGAGTTTTGGTACTACTAGCCTAGGGGGTGGAGGAGGGTCAACGTCGGTTGCTGAGGGAGTTGAGGTATCGAGAAGTTGAATCTTGATGGTCACCCGCTGATATGGACGGATTTCGCGTGCGCTCGGACAATGTTAGTGAATCTTCCTTTCGTTCGTTTTCTCTTATTTTATCGAATGGCGTTTTACCTCATCCTTTTACCACACATGCATGTCTTGCCATGATATCTGAAACGTACCCGTACTTGCCGATTCCTTTTTTTTTCGTATCATACTGTCTATTCGTTTGAGCTTTATTGGTTTTGTAACTGGAATTGGCCTATCCTACGTAGCAAGTGGTTTTAATGTTTTCGAAATCGATTCGTGTTGCGGCCTGTGCTCACTTCAAGGCGGCTGTGAGTGACCGGCCACCTGGCGACGGGATGTCTTTGTTCTTTCTTGGGTCAACCTGTGCAGGTTCTAACCTGACGTTTTGTCGATGGTTGCCAGAGGCTTCCCGCGAACAATTGCAATGCCCTTCAAGCTGAAAAATGTCCTGTTTGGGAGTGTTGGACCTACAACGCTCAATGTGTTGACCTCGGAATGTCTAAAACAATGATAGGAGGCATGTTTTCTTTTTATGTAATGCCACTGGAAGGTGACCGTTAAATGAGAAGGTGATACCCCGCGATCTGGTGCCGGAATAATTGAACAGCTCCAGACATTGTGCCAGCCTAATGTTCGCGAAACGGAATTGAATAGTTACAGCACGCTGAAGTGAATCCAGGCAATCTGTCCACAGGTTTCGAGTCCATCGATTTCCGACCGTGTTACGAATCGAGAAGGTGACGGCGCTATAATTAGCGTTTGCTGGGGCTTTGTACTTTTTTTGGGTGTGGGGCAAGGCAGCATACCGTTTGGTATAGAGAACATGAAGCGGGAGAGGTCAAGCTTTAAGGGAATTGTGAACGCGGAAACGACATATATGGCACGCTGTCGAATAAGCTTTGGAGCCAGAGGGCAGGGAGGTTGAAGGGCGCTTGATTCGAGAAACGCGGTAAGCACGTGACCTGTGGGACCCCGAACACCCCAATTATTTACGTAATACGTGAGAGGAAATTAAGAGAGCGTGATAGCAGGTTGCACAGGCGTCTCCCTTTGCATTGGTTGTTCCCTTTAAATCTGCGATGGAGATGGAGGGTGTGTCTTTAGCCTGACCTCCCCACACCACTGCAACTCTCTTGATTCTATTATTTTCTCTATCCTCTCTCTCTTCATCGTCTGTATCCATAGTCTCAACGCCCACTGTATTCTTCAACAAAACTCCATCGACGACAACGCCCACCACTGGCACTAGCCGCCCAGCATGCCAGCCAGTCCAAAGGCTTCCCAGGCAAAGAAGGCCGCGGCCTCTGCAAAGAACAAGGGGGCCGTCCGTGCAAAGACCGGTTGCTATACGTGCAGAATCCGACGAAAGGTGAGAGCGCCCACGTTTCTCGACGAGCGCCTGGAGCTGTTTGACTCATTAGTGGCGCCTTTTTTTCAGAAATGCGACGAGGAGCGCACAGAGCGAGACACGTGCAGGACCTGTGAGCGTCTGCGTCTCGAATGCTTGGGCTTTGGCGCCAAACGGCCCGAGTGGCTGAGGGTAAGCTTTTTTGACGCCTGTGGGTACAGCGCTTGCTCATGGTCAACTCTAGGAAAACAAGAATGTCGTCCTCCTCCGCGACAAGATCAAGGCTTTCCTCGCGTCACAGGGCCTCATCAAGGGCCACTCAGGCACTGGCTCTCGCACTGCTGAGCAGGGACACATGATCTTGCAGCTCTCGGGAGACCCAAGCCAGTCCCACTACCACAGCTCCTCCTCGGAGAGCCCACCTTCAAGGACCCTCTCCCTTTCCTCCGACGATGACCGGCATCGCCTCGTCACCTCTTCCATTCGTGATCAACGTGAGGACTCAGCCTGGTTCAATCCTGGATACGGCTCTGGTACGCCTTCCCCTATTTTCGTACAGTGGCATGCCACTCACACTTCTATTCCTTCCCTCAGGCCTCCATTCTCTCCATCGCTCCGACTCGCCCTTCTCGAATGCCAGTTACGACGAGGTTTCACCTCATCACGCCTACACACTCCCTAATTCCTCTGGTAGCTTAGTTGACTCATGTGAGAATCTGTACCACTATTGAACGCTGTAATGACCTGTATTTTAACACTTGATTTATTTGTTTTCCCAGCCCGCCTCTCCCCTGCAATCCGAAGTACGTTCTCGAGGTGGTATACCGAAGTGCCAATCGACATCATGGACAACTTGAACGGTCTCTCAATCAGCGGCTTCGCATCAAGTTCGACAGACGGCCACGCCACCAAGGACCCATCTACAATGTTGTTCACGATGCCCACCAACTGGCTACCAAGTGACCTCGTCGAAACTTCAATCGAGAACTACGTCCAAATGATCGCTGAGATTCAGTATCTGTTGGGAGACCGCAAGACACTACCGCAGATGATTTGGGATTCGTATCGGTCGCATCCCAACTCGAAGGCGGCATTGACATTGTTGAACAAGGTGTACTGGAGAAGACAGCAACATCCAACCCAACCTGTGCTCACCGACTCGGAGATGCATTCGAACCTCGCCGTGTTGTTACAAGAGCTAGAGAAAGGAAGATTCGACGACCCTGACGATGCCATCGCGGCACTACATGGAGTCTCCATGTTCCTTTTCGACGGAGGGCAAGGTGCCTGGCGCGACTTCCTCAAGCTCGCCACTAGATACGTGAAGAAGGTCCTCCACAACCCGCAATACACGAGTCCCAAAGACGCTCTCCTCTTCGCCACTGCCAAAGATGCATTCATCGTCAAGACAGCCATCTGGTTTGACGTCCTCGCTTCCATCACCACTCAAGAGCCACCTACGTTCATCCAGGAGATCCGAACCATGTTCGGTCCTGTTCACCATGGCGTCTACAACTCCCAATTCGATACTGACCCTCAGTGTTCGATGATGTCGCCCATGGGTTGCGAGAACCGGGTAGTGTGGGCGTTGGCGGAAACTTCGACCCTCGCTCACTGGAAGTATACAGAGGATGTCAGGTGCCGACTGAGCGTCAGCGACCTCGTCATTCGGGCACAAGAGATCGAGAACGTACTCTATCAAAAATCATACGAGCCGATGCCTGCGTCGGGTGAGGACGACAACGACATGGAACAACTCCGATTCCTGGCCTCGGAGATCTTCCGATGCTCTACGCGGCTCTTCCTCTCGGCTGTGGTGAACAATGACCACCCACAAGTTCGACAGATCCAAGATCTCGTGGACGAGTGCATGGCGGTGTTCCATAACTTGTTCAAGACACCAACACTGGACCAGTTCAAGGTTTCGAGGTCAGTAATCCGAAGCACAGTGTTCGGTATTTACTTGGTTGGTGCCCTCACCCACAATCGCCAACACCGAGAGCACCTGCTGGAACACATAGAAAGAGAATCGAGGGGCCTGCATGGTGGCGTAGGGGAAGGAGTGGGGAATTGTGGGTCGATTCGAAAGATGCTAGAGCACGTTTGGAAAGAGTCGGATGCTGATCCCGCAAAGCCTGTTCCGTGGCGGAGGGTCCTCAAGGAGTATCAAATCCTCCTTGTCTGAAAATCAGTACGGTGGATCGCAGGAAGTTCGCTCTGCATCCTTGCTCATCGTTACCCAATGGCCGCCGACGCTTTCGTTATCTCGTGTTTCAGTGATCACACAGTCTTTCGCGACACGGCTCCTCACTGACAGCCCAAACCACCATTTCCTACTCGAACCATCCTATCATCGCCATCGCATCATAATCAACATATTCATCAACTGCACATATCCCATCACAAGTTCACCAATCCCTGATTGACGAATCCTCCTCCTCGGCTTTGGGTGCTGCGCAATTCAGTTGTAACGGTTTCCGGTTTTCAAAGTTTCTCCGACTTTGTGGTTTTATCGTTTCTTTCTTTCTTTCTTTACTTCTTTACCATATACTCTTAATTTTGTGGCGCATCCGAACTTGCTAAACCGCGAGTCATATGTTGCCTTCCATCTTCCACACCATAGGTTAATTCTATGGCCATCATCGTAGATTGATCAAGGTGAAACGACCAACCGACGGGAGCATTTGAGGCCTAGGTCTAACCGCTTCCCAATACAGTTATCGGTTCTCCTCGCTATCCCTGGCTTGGTTCCACCACTTATGTTTCCAATAAATCAGCATCTTTTCAACTTTCTTTAGTACTTCTCTGCTCTCCAATTTCTCCATTTTCCTTTCTACTTGGTTAATCTGTCCGCATGTACCGTATCGTTCAAACACCAAAAATGTCACCACATTCCCACTTTTGCCAACTGTGCTCCCGCGCCTCCCGCCGACTGCTCTGGCGTCTCAGTTCGATTGATGAGAAATGTCCGGAGGCCAGCGGATTGAGGACGAGAGGGGAAATATGCTCCAACCCGAGGTCCACGTCAAAAGCCTCGATGATGACTCCATAATAATTGCCTGGACTCGCATTCATGACTGTGGGGTGCAATCTCTCAGAGTGTTTCAAAATTCACCAATCTCAATGGAAAAGTTCCGGATAAGGGTACGTCGGACTTTAGGCATGAAATCGAGAAGAACATGCAAGTGGGGGAGAATAGGATGAAGCCACGGTCAGAAGTCTAATGTATTAAGGTACGTACACACAGAAATACAAGGACAAGTACACCCTTGTCCTTGGCGAATTCAATTCGAATTGTCACATTTACGCGTCTCGTGGAATGGGGGGGCTCGTGGGGTCGAAGGGAGGACTTCTGCTTATTTGACAGCAAATAACAACGTCACCCTCGAGACGTTAGCGAGTCAGTGTGATTCATTACTAGGCCTCGAGGATGTATCTACGCAGTGCCTACGAGTGCACACCTTTGCTACAGTGTCCACCACCGCATTGACGAAGACAATGCAATTCGGAGAATATTCGACCAGAAACACGCAACAATGCATTGTTTCATCGTTACGCGATAAGCACGCCTCGTGTCCAAATGCTAACATATGCGCAAATCCAATGGGGTGCATCGCACTGCCATGATCCCTGGGGCCTGCTTCTAGGTGCCGACATCACATCATAGACCTCTGAGCTCTGGTGATCCACAACCCCGTTATCTTCGAATTCTGGGGAGGCGGACGCGAATTGGGAGACTGCCCCACGGCGGACCGTTGTAGAACCTCAGATTGGCTTCGTCCACTGGCTGTGTCAACCGTTCAACAGCATCTGGTCATCAGATACGCCTATGTGCGATGACCACATTGCCACTATGTGCTCCAGTCCAAATATGACTTCGAAAAGAAGCTTTCTGCCAAACCCTGGCCAAACCCACAGGGGTACACCTTCATCGTCGGACTCGGAGGACTTTTGTCGTCTTTAATGCGGAGGACGACCACCGCTGTTGAAACTCGTCTGGTAGCCACTTCTCCTTGTCGACACAATCAAGAAGGAAGGTGCAGAGAGATCAAACATGCCGAAAAAGATTTGAGGCGGTTGGGTGCGATTAGCACTGAATTGGCAAACTGAATGGGGTCAACTTTCCGCTTGAGAGGCACCTCTAAGAATAACTCACTGACTTGCCTGTTTTAATCTTTCTTTTTGTGTCGATCTTAGGCACCAAGTCAACAGTGACCCCCCCAAAACACATAATCGGCCCCAGAACACCATCAAAGATGCAGTGTCATCCTGCATATGGGAACAAAAGGCGGAATGGAAACAGAAGGCTGGTTCCTCCCAGCCAAAGGCAATGCGAGAGGGTCGTGAATTTAGGTAAGCGACGGCGTACCTTCGAACCCTGTAGTCGCGTCAGTGCGAGCCACCCCGTCTACAGCAAAGAAAGACATACGCGACTAACGAGGAACATTGCAACGAGTCAAGTGGTCATGCGGGATGTGGTCCCTCGCCGGAGGGGAATTTCGACCGTGCCTATCGCTTTGCGAACTCCGATGAGCGAGGAATTAGCGTAAGTAGCACAGCACGAATTCAGAAAGGCGTTATTGACCGAGCTGTCCAGACAAATCTGCCGATCAGCTACCGGAGATGCCATCCCACTCAGGTCAACCCATGTTGCGTGTGTTGCCGTTTTGCCTATCTTTTTCTGACTTCCTTGGAAACACTCCCATCAAAGCTGTCTGTTTTCTCTGCCCCGTTTTAGTTCTCCGCTCCAGCTCCTTCCAAGTCGGTCTGTTGTTGAGATTTGCCCGATTTTCCTGTCATCGGACCCTTTTCCTAATCACTCAATAACTCGACCGCACGCTTGCTCCGACCAAATCGACGTTCCCAATTTCTTTTAAAGTGTCCTTTGCCTGATCACCTCTGGTCACCTACACGGCCCAATATTTCGTCGGCCCTCATCAGCCTCTAATATGGCGTACCATTCCTACCCTTCACCTGACGACAGTCAGTCACCCTCTTCATCGGCAAATGTGTCTCCAGAAACGCATACCCTTCCCCTTGACTTCCTCCCATCAGGAGAAGACACCGACCAGAGTGCTCACAGCACCCCCGCGCGCACAACCGTAAACCTCCCTCGAGCTCAGAACGCTGGCAAAGGTGGATGCTGGTAGGTCCCACCATTGTTGCTTGCTCGGTTCTAGCTTGATAACGCGCCATCAATCCTAGGACGTGCCGCGTTCGACGGAAGGTTGGTGAACACATCACGTCCTCCAGACCACATTCTGACCGCCCTCCTTTCAGAAATGCGATGAACAGCGAGAAGGCGACTCCTGCAAAACGTGTCGACGGCTGACGATTAAATGTCTGGGTTGGGGCGCAAAGCGGCCCGACTGGATGCGCGTGAGTACCACTGTGGCTTCTAACGTGACATACGGGCTCACCTCACCTCATTTTTCACAGGACAAGAAGAACGTCGATGCGTATAAGGCCAGTATCAAGGCCCAGCTATCGCGAGCTGGCCTCATCCGAGGTCAACCACGGCACAACCCCATGCAGTCGCCCAACCAACGATCCCACCCCCGCCATTCTACCTCTTCAACGAGATCCTCCGCCTCATCACGCACATCTGAGCCCGTTTCCGTACCACCCACACCACCCACACCACCTCCCGTCAATATTAGCAATCTCGACTTTCCAGGCTTCAACCAATTCCCTGATGTCCCCTTTCCCCAAAACGAGAGTGGACTGATGGCCGGCATGTCCAATGGTGCGCACATATTGAACTTCCATCAGGGCTGTGTGATACTTACTCATCGCGTGCCAGCATCTTCTAACGGTTTTGATCAATTGGGAAATGCCTACAACGATATTAACTTGAATGCATTTGACCCATCACTTGTATACCCTTACTCACCCGCCTCCATGTCGTCTGGTTCTTCTCCCTACATGGTTGACCCCCTCCTTGACCCCTCCTTCTCGTTGTTCCCCTCCGATGTCATGTCATACCCCGAGCAATCGTCCCTGCAGTCCTATGGGATGTCGCACAGCTCGAGCCCCATGTATAACGACCTGATGATGCACTACTTCAACGTAGTGTCCAAGATTCAGTTCACCTTCGCTGGCAACCAGGTCTCTGGGATGACATATAACGTAAGTGTCGTTGTTGGAACAAATGAAAATGTTTCACTTACCCTACGCCCAGGTTGTATACCAGGATACCCGAGGTGCTCCTGCATATGCCATCTACGCTCTTGCAGATCTGCACCAAACGCAAATGCGGATCTCGCAGGGCTTGGAAGCCCCACAAAGCAACCAGGCCTCGACAGCCAACTATCTGTACCAGGAGGCCTTGTTTAAGCTGAAGTCTAACCGCGACAACGGCAACGGCTGGGGGGAGAGCGACGCCATCGCTGCACTCCACCTGATCAGCTATTCGCACTTATCTGGTGGCAGCGCGGATTGGCAAGAGCCCTTCGATATCCTTTGCTCGTGGCTGTTGCAGTCCAACCTCTCCGTCGCAGGTCCTAACAGCAAAGCCATCTACCAATCATTGACCGGACCATCCCAACTCTTGGTCAGGATGATCATGGTTCGTAGTCTTGCTCAACCCCTGGGGTGAAGGCTGATGAATTTGATAGTGGCTCGACATCTTCTCTAGCTTGTCGCTGAACAGAGTCCCCAAGTTCCTCAACCTCTGGAAATCGCTGTTGGACCCTCAGCAAGGCTGCCCCCAATTATTGGACATGGCATCACTCACCGGCTGCTCTGAGGATACCCTCCTCGCCATTGCAGAGATCTCCCAGCTTGCAAACTGGAAGTCGATGCAGATTCGCAACGGGACGTTGAGCTACCCAGAGCTTGTCACCCGGGGCAAGAAAATCGAAGAGAACATTCGACGGTATCAGTCAATACATGCCGAGATGTCTCGTAACTTCGGCCCCGTCGAGCAGCTTCATGAAGGCGATACACCTTCGCAGGCTCATCAAGCGGCATGCGTGTCACTTTTCCAGGAAGCTTCCCTCCTCTATTTGCACACCATTCTCAGCAACTCCAGCCCTGGTGAGCCAAAATCCCTTCCCTCGTCAATGATGCTAGACTAATCAATAGATTTGCCAGGGGTTCCTGAAATCGCAGGATCGGTCGACGAGATAGTGAGACAACTCGGTCTCCTACCTTCGTCGAACCTGGATCGCGCTCTCGTGTATCCGATCTGTCTGGCGGGCTGCATGACCAATGACTCTACGAAAAGGGATTATTTGAAGGGCCGGCTGCAGGGCTTGAACGAGACTTACGGAAATCTGCTGCAGACGAGACTGCTGATGGAGACTCTGTGGCAACGACGCGATGTTGGTGGTGGAACGCCTGATTTGCGAGAGATCATTCAAGAGCAAAGCATCTCATTATTGCTCATCTAAAAACTTTCGACCTTCTACTGCATGACGCTTCTTTTCCATGATCAGTTTGACTATGATATGACATGGCGATGTAATTTACTTACCCCTTCATCTTGTTTACATGCAACATCTGTACTAAAAACTGCAACCACATGTATTTAATTAGCATAGTAGCACCCTGATACCAATAGGATACCATTTCAACTCACCTTCCTATTACACGACGTGCTAGAGCCGCGCGCGATTGGCAGGAAAAACACTGGCGTTGACAAGGAGCTGCCCATAGTACCCCAGCAATACAGGGTGCTGGCCATGTCACATTCCGGTGAGCACTATGGACTATCCAGAGAGATACGGCCTGAAAGCACATAGATTTCGAAGCGCCTCGAAACTGAGTGCGTGAACCAAATCAGGTCCAACTGAGGTTCGAGCTCACATTCGAGTCGGTTAACACGGTCCCAGTGGCGAGCGAGTCCTAGTCTAAGACTGAGCGTTTGTCGGTGGTGTCAGTTGGCCAGCGTTGGCAAACAGTTGTGCGGGCAAGTCAGAGCAAAGTGCAAAGAGCATGATGGTTAAAAGGAAAGACAGCCCCATGGGCGCTGGTTCCGAATGAAAAAGCCGGTGAACCGGGAAAGACTTTGCTCACATGACCTTCTGAATAAAGAAATATTTACTCCTAATTGCCACGGGCGCAGTCGATGTTCGCCCAATGTCTCCCATTTTGGCCGACACCCAGCGCCCAAAGGACGCCCAAATATAAATATGGGTGATAAAAGCCTAAACCCTGTTCCCCACGACACCTTCCCTTGTACACGAGCACCCACCGCCCAAGTGAATCGGTCAGTATGTGCCATTAGCCTATTCAGAATCCACTGCAATGACCGTTCTCGCAGGTTTTCATAGATAAACACCACTGTATGCGATGGAGCTGGCGCCTGGTTCGAGATAAAAGGGCTGCCATTGGATGATATTCGGTTTATGATTGTCATGGGCCAGAGTCACGGCCATCGTATGATGCTGGGCGCTTGGTGGTGAGTCGTAAATATACGCAGTGTTAAATTTCCTCCTTGTTTTCGGCACAGCTTTCCTTGCCACCTGTCTCTTGTTTCTTGCTTGTGCCTCCTTAGAGCTTTGAGTCAATTCAAGCAAGATTCAAGGGCGAGGCCCTCGAACAGTCCCGGAAAACATAGGCAGATTAGGTATGACTCTGTCAGCCTATTATTTAAACTGTGCTAATGACAGATGTACACGGAATCGCCAAACATCATACTACTCCGGTGGCTCAGTGCAGTATTCCACATCGTCCTGTTGTTCTATTTCGACGAACGACGTCCTCGTGGTCCAAGGTTCGATTTTCACCCCGGATCTTTCAACTCTCATTTCAGTGGAGAAGAATCGGCCTGAGGCATCGGCTTCACTCCCGTTGCAAGCACTCGGCCTCGACAATCCCGCTTATCCACCTACGCTCTTCGTGAACGTCCTGAGCCCGCGGCTCAGTTCCCCCTAGATGGAGGAAGCATTGCCAGGCCAGAATGGAACTGCAATCGTCTCACCTTTCAGGACTCATTTATGATTCTCCTCCCCACACGCCTCCACGACCCTAGGCCAGACTCTGCCGCCTTACAGCCGTTTGCATTAGTCTTTGCGCGAGCGATGTCACAGAATCCAATTGATGGCGTGTCGGAAAACTCCATATGGCAGCCCAAGTCGTGCTCGACGCTCCGTTTTGACCGTCGTTCAGGCTTCGGTATGAGATGTTTGCCTCATCCTCGTACCCTTACCATCTCTGCTTGTGCTTCCAATGGTATGAAACAGCGAAATGTCCCTTTCACACCAACAATTCGTAAAATTGGCCATGTATTCGAGGAAGAACCTGGTTGGAACCTGGCAGGTGGGAACCCCACGGAGTTTTCCGACACGCCATCAATTGGATTCTTGCGACATCGCTCGCGCAAAGACTAATGCAAACGGCTGTAACGCCGACGAAGGCCTGAACCTAGCGAACCTTGAGGATGTCAAATTGGGGCCATCCTCTTTCCGCTCCCAGGGAATTAGGGTCAGTGAGAGGGATTGGACAAACTTGGCCTGGAACCCTGCACAAACCCTGGCACATCCAGATTCGTGTTGACATTCGTTCCTTGGAACGCGGACCCACTGTCATGGATATGTTTAGCTCACCCTCGGAAGATATGTCAGCTATGCCGACATCTGTTGGTACACATCGGCCAAGGCAATTGCTCGCTAGTCCTTCTCTGAGGAACTTCTGGTGGTCTTGCGCGTCTCTTGGTTTCTTGGTATGGAGTGGGAGAGTCGTGCTTCGCTGGAACTGTGGGCTTTCTTGGTCCCGCTGCTTACCACTCCCATTCGAGCCGACTTTCTTCTCATTTCCATGGGACTATGTTTCTGATAGTGCCATTTCTATGACACGGATTGATGCTCTTTTTCTAATCCCGACCTCAATTCCCCAACCAGCTCCGTTCTTTCAGCTTTCTATTTCGAGTCCACCAGGTGGCCTCTCGCTGGATCTGGAGTGGACCGCGCCCCGGGGCTTCACATCCCAAATCAGCGCAATTCAAAGCTGCACTTAAATATGTGTACCAGGCGGCTCTAAATTGTGACTCTTGATCACGGAGAACCTGGCATCATGGTGCCTCTCTCAATTACTATTAGCACTGTCTAAGTGTCTTGATTTTCGATGTCCAACTATGATCTAGAGGTCCTTCGCCTGAGGTGGCGGCGACTCGCGTTTCTCCGAGATATCAAGAAGGTGATCTATAATGACGGGATGAGGGTGTTTCATCATATACAGTATGTACGTGATTTATGGTAAAGAGGTCCACCTCCCCATTAGAAGTTCAGAATCAATCTCCAATTTCGCTTACGAATAGGAATAGGGGAAAGGGCTGAGAGCGAGTTTAGTCTAGCGGCTATCGGGGTCGCTGGTGATCTGAGTTTGTCTGGACAGTGTGGTGTTTGTCGAACATCGCGACTCGGAGGCGCTCCCGGGCCAGTGTGATCTACTGAGCAAAGCGAACGTTAGCACCGTGTCTGTTTTGAATCCCTTCATAATTCTTTCGGGGGAACCACGAGGGCGACTCAGTAGATTATGGAGATCTGGGGCGTTTTTATCTCTCGCTCGCTCGAGTTGTTACTTTACTAAGGGTTAACGTTAAAGTAACCCAGACCGTAAACGGCTCAGGCTCTACGGAACCACCTCAATGAGCCACATGAACTTAGTGACAACACATACGCGGTAGGTATTCTACGCTGATTTCCGGGATTGAAGTGTTTATGGTATGTTTCTCGATTACCCTCAGGCCTCAGTGCTCCTCGCAACTAATTGTACTCTCTCGGAGGTTGAGAGTCGAGACGATCCAGATTGCGCTCCATCGGAATGGACAGATTACCACACCCTTTCACAAAAAGAAGGAAACACGGAACACACCCATTCAACCATCCATCTTCCTTCCTCTCAACGACGACAAGGCGTAGTTGACAAGTTACACAAACACCCTCAAGGTTCCTCAAGTTTCGCATGTCGCGCTCGCACGAAGCCCGGTCTGGGAAAAGGAGGCTCTTTCAGACTTGCTATTGAATTAGAACAACAACAAATTCCCCGAGCCCTCCATGCCCGAAGAATATTTCGTTGTCGCCTAGTGCCTCCACTTACAGGTTCCAGCATCAACTTCGAAACCCAAGCACACCAATTGGGATGCCAATCGATTCTGTGTATAATCCACTCTTCTTGACTTCGTAGCTTTATGTGATTGATGTCAGAATGCAGGTTGGGTCCATCTGGGCGGTGGCTTCTCCTGTGTCGCTTAGTAGACCCGCGGTGCAAGAAAGCAGTTAGTGGGTCCCTGGAATGACGGAGGTCGAGAAATTCAGAAGAGCAGTGCTTCATTTCCTGAGTTGCATCAAGATCTGAGAAGACAGGAGCTTCTCCACATCGTCTCCGCCACCGTGTAGTTTACCACGCAAATCCAGATGGCCATCTCTTCCGTGATTCATACCGTGAATAACGGTGGGTCAAGAATCTAGGATACGTCTTAGCACCTATTCTTCCGACGGGCCAAGGACGGAGGTGAGGAGCACCGATTTGAACGTTGGCAAGAATCCATACTGCAACGAGGAGGGTCAACGTTTTGATCAGGGCTGTCGCAACTTGGCCGACCAAAAGCAGGTTCCATCTTGGCTCTGGTTACTCACTGAGGAACAGCTGATATGTATTTCATGTCTAAACGTTCTCATGGAGGGGGTAGCTCGATAAGTTCCATTGGATAGCTCGCGGCTCGCCATATGTGTCGAAATATAGATAGGGGCATGTGTCCGATAGAAAGTGCATAGATAGTCCGTGATGCAGTAGCGTCTAGCTAGCATCAATAAGGAGGGGAAGGTAGCTGTCCCAACAAATGTCTACCCCGAAAGATGTTTCTGGAGATGAAAGAAAAATAACCAAACTGGGCACACTCCTTGCCCTCCAATTCCGCCAACGCCTCAGTTCCAACGTCCAGCACGGCCAGGCAACGGGTTCAAATCCCCGTTTACATCTGAGACCAACGCAAACCAATGTTGGTTGCCAACGCCAAAAAGAAGACAAGACACAACACCGTTGGACCATACTTGTCATAGTAGAGGCCTGACGCACTTCGCTCCCTCAGCCGGTAGGATCGATACAAGAAGATACCCGCGGAATAGGCGATAGCGAGTAGCGCGCAGAATGTGAAGAACGCGGCACTGATCAAACCCCGAGTGTCCGAAGCTGGGATAAAGTTAAGTAGCGTTGTTGCGATGGTGCCAATGAATACCGCGTTGTTAAGCCATTTCTGTAAAAACAAGGAACACGCAGTCAGTAAAGGATTCATAAAAGGTGCCAACGGGAAAGGGAACAGTTAGGGGTCCGTGGCAAAAGACGCGTAACTGACGGTCCACACCGCAAACAACTCGAAGAAAAGCGTGCTCACCAAAAAGGTTCGCTCCGCTGCGAAATAAACCTTGGGCTCTATGCGAACCGGCACCGCGATCTTCTTTCCAGAAGGAGCACGCCAGTTGCGCTCAACAATGCGGTCATCCACTGGTGTCGACGGTCCTCCTAAAGCAGACTCCTCTTCGACCTCGTCAAACCGCCTTTCTTCCCCATTACCATTATAGGTAGCTTTGTCCTTGGACGCCTTGTCTAACTTGTCCTTCAAGGTCTCATCGAAGGCTGACGAAGGTGCAAGTGGTGTGATGGCAAAGGATTTATCCTTGACTTTGTTCGACAACGTGGATCGCTCACGACGATGTCTTGGACGTCTATGTGAGCCCTGCTCCGATCCGCTGTCATCCGCCAGGGCTGGTGACTGGGGAACTGTAGACTGCTTGCCCTTGTCCTCCTTGCTCACGCCCTTGGCTTCTTCCTCTTCCCGGCGCTCTTTGAGCATTGCCTCTCGATATGCGATGGCCGCCTTGACCTCCGCACCGCTCAGACCGGTTCGTTGCCCTTCGTCGCGTGCAGGTGCGAGGGAACCGTCGTATTCGTCATCCTCACCCTCAGACAAAGGCTCCGTATAGGATTGCACTTCCGGGGAGTGGGAGCCCGTCGATCCATGTCGAGAACCGCTGCCGCGAGATGAGCCGATATTCGAGGGTCGTTCGATAACGCTCAAGTAGCCGGTGTCAGGCTTCAAGATATCGGTGTCCACTGAGGCATAATGAGGTGACCTGGTGGAACGAGAAGAGAAGTTGGAACGCACTTTGGGGGAGCCAGAAAGGCACGAGATCCACTCGGTTGGGAAGCAGTGTGGAGCAACCATGAATGAATTTACTGTCCTTTCTCTCAGTACAAGTGCATGAAGAAAAGTGGAATAGATAGAGTACCTGAACTTGGGAACAGCTTCGACCAAGTGCGACTGAACGAGGTCTTGGATCCAATCGGGAGGTTGCTGGCCAAGTTGCGTCTGCAACTTGACTTCAAGGACACCATATCTATCAATATTTCAGGAAAATGAAACGGAAGGGGATGGGCTCCATACGCACTTGAAAATTTCCTTATCCTCCGGGAGTACTTGGTCGAAGGGAAAGTCGATTCCAATGTCGGTGCGACGCCAGTTATCTCCAGCCCGAACACGACCATCCCAGTTGTCTTCTCGGATCAAAGTGAGCTCGGTGTCCAGTGAGATACGAACACGCGCATCTCCCGGAAGTTGGAAAGCAGTTCGATTGTAGAAGGAACGCATAACTAAATGGTAATTGGATGGGAATTAAGCGATGCACTGTAAAGTAATGTGGCGATACATACCTGGTACAAGTTTCTTCGTCAATACCGCATATTGAACTTCGCTAGCAAGCTGAATCATGGAGTCGACCTCTTGCTGGGTTTTCTTGCCCTTCTTGACAAGCTCTTGGAAGTCTTCATCGACCGTATACTCTCCTCGTAGGAATGGGTTGACCAGGTGTTCCTTCAGAGGGAAACGGGCCTTGACAGACTTTTCGCCGGTCCAGTCTTCTCGATGGGTCTTGCGCTCAACAAAGATCTGGACGAATGTATTTAGAGTAGTTGTGGAAGCCATCGGACGGGTCTCTCACCTGTTTGTTATCCACGTCCCCGTACCATCTTAGTCGAATGGCTTCAGCACCTTCAGTCTTCTCCAACCTTCCAAGGTAGAGTTCGAGGTCCTCGTTGTCGAAGTAAATTGAAGTAATAGCTACCCAAGGGACTTGTGGTCAATATCATAAACGCTAGGAATGTTTGGATGGACCTCACCGGAGTCCTTTGGTTCATATTCCTTGTCTGGATTGAATACTGTATGGGGTCGTCAGCCTCAGGGAAACAAACGGAGTTTAAAATGGTTCGCGAACCTAGAACAGGCAAGTGTCTCAAGATGGCAAGTTTCAAGGGAACAAGATTATCAGGGTGAACCTAGAATAGATGTGAAAATCGGATGAACACGGAGGCGAAAGCTAGAGCATACCCAGTACTTGGTCGTTTGTCGAACAAATGCGCTTTGGCTACCGCCGGCACTGGAATCACCCTGGACAGGATTGCCACGGGTTCTCACTAAGTCATAAAGCTTCGAGAGTTTGACAATGAGAGCATCCCAATTGTACTTGTAGAATGGCTTTTTCTCCAAATGCTCTTGGATGAACTCGGTCTTGAGGTGCCATTTGGTTTGTTTCTGCAGAGGCAAAACCAGTTAAAGGGACGTAATAAATGGGATTCATTGCGTCACTCACATCATGCTTCTTGAGGATCTTCATGAAGCCAGTGATGTTGAGCTTGGTGTAGAGGGCCAAATCGTGTACGTCCGCAACGAGTATTGCAACTTCCTCTTCAAGATGATGGAAACGGTCTTCGAGTGCGTCATAAGATTCATCCGAGTCGTTCCCTTCATCGTCGGACAGATCGTCATCTGAGCCTCCGTCTTGGGCATACTCGTCATGGTCGACCTGCTGACTCTCTGGATCAGCGCGTTGCCGTCTCTGTTCTTCTCGCTCTTCGGCAACCAGCCGCTTCACGTCTTTCTCGGCTTCGCGAATTCGGCGAGACAGCTCTGACGTCTGTGATGGGGCTAAAGTCAGTCCTACGCAATCGAGGAACTATTGTCGGGAAAAGAAGGAAAGCTTGTGCAGTCGCCCCACAACTAAGCGAAAGGTGGAAGACGACGCGAAAGAGTGGCGGGGAAAATAGACACCATTACGTGCCTTGTCTTTCTGAAAGTCATGAATCTTGTCCAGTTCGGCCGTTAGCATGGCCTTGAACTCCCGCTCATCCTCTTCTGTCCAGGCATGGGCTGTCGTCCGAACCTGGTAGCTTTTGAATTAGCGCCAAACAATGCAAAGTCGCAAGGAAACCGTACAAACCTTGAGTACCCGCTTCAGGTGGTTATAGTCAAGGTAATAAGGACGCCATTCGCTGTACATGTCCTCCTGTTTCGAATTACTGGTCACACGAGCACACGAATTGGGGTCGAGAGGGGCGTCTTACGCTGATTTTTGTTCCAAACTTCATGGTGACGACGAGGGAAATATGGGTAACGACAAGAGAGGGGAACTAGAGAGAAACATTTGGTGAGTTCTGGTTTTGACATGGGATCCCGCTGGACGAACGTGCGTCGCCTTACCTGACGAGCGTTAACTGGGAGAACTGATAGAGCCGACCGCGGGAAAGCTGAGATCATTGGTAGACTCGTTCACGTGCGCGGCAATTGCCTTGTGATCGAAGCCCTGTTGACGGGACACCTGCTATCACTGGCAAGCGACGCCGACTGTCCTCTCCCCGTGGCTTCAGGGCGATGGCTGCCCTATCTTCGACATCCAGCGCCACCAATAACCAACAACCAACGAACGGTCACCCAAATCCCAAAACCAATGTCGCAAGGACAAAGATTCTGTTGCTGGGTCTGCGAAGGTGCGTCGACTAGCTTCGTTGTGGCCGCCTTATTGACTCGGGCGGGTGTATAGAGCGGGGAAGACATCCATCCTCGAAGTTCTCTTCAAAGACCTTCCTGCAAAACAGTCATTTTATCTGGAAACAACGATGCGCATCATGACACACAAAGTCGAGTACGTTCCGTGTCCTTTCCAACTCGCGTTGTCACCACGAAACTCAAGGCGCTTGCTCTCGATTGGCGCTTCAGTACAGTCATTCCACTGGAAATTTGGGATACACCAGCCAATGTCACCGTCGATACCCTGGGGGCACCACTGTCGGACTTTGCAACGATCATCTTCGTCATTGACATCCGGGTATGTCTTCTCGAGCGCGTCCAAGTTCCGCGACAATTTGAACTGAGGTCATTCCGTTCCGCCAGGATCTGTACAATCAACCAATATCCAAGTTGGTAGATTTCATCGTCGCAGCCAACAAAGAGAACCCCAATATCCACATCGAAGTCTTTGTTCACAAAGCAGAAAAGTTGCAGGAGGACGACAAGATTGGTAGGGCTTCTCGGAATCTGCCTTCTGACAGTGGCGTCTTAACTTTCTGCCCCCGCAGAGAACTACCGCCAGATCAACGAGAGAGTGCTTGACAGACTTATCGACATAAACCCCGACTATGAACACCTTCCAATTAACTTTTACCTTACCTCTGTTTACGACCACTCCCTCCATGAATCGTTCTCCAAAGTGCTTCAAAGTCTGGTCGACTCTTTGCCGTACCTAGAAGATCTCCTCAACGTTTTCTGTGCTGTTCGTTGTCCGCAACTTTCCCTCATTCAGTAACTAATCTCCCCAACAGAACTCCCAATCACCCAAGGCTTTCCTCTTCGACGTGAGATCACGGCTGTATGTCGCAACAGACGCATCCCCAGTGGATTCGGCTACACACAACCTCTGCTGCGACTACCTCCAAATGCTGAATTCGTTCGGTCCGCTATATCGGTGGGTTCTAGAATCCATTGTCTTGCTTCCCTGAGTTGACCCTGGCCCCATAGCTCCATCACTTCAGGCTCGGTTCGGCAGCGTCCCCCACCTCAGACCCCACCTCCTACCGCTTCCTCCAGTTCCTCCTTGGCTGCCGGCTCTGTCTCTTCGTCACCGCCTGCTGCAACCCCCATAACACCTGTCGTTCACCCTGCCAGTCGGAAACATCCAAAGGAACTCTTCTACCCGAGTGCGGCGACGACCCTCCATCCGGCTACTCCGGGAACGACTCTGACCTACCATCTCATTACGCGCAACCTTGCACTACTGGCCGTTCTGCCGACTAACGTGTATGAGAAACGGCGGGGGCTGCTGGAGTACAACATCGTATTTTTCCGAGAAGGTATTCAAGAGATCTGTGATGTGGAGGAAGAGGCGCGAGAAGGCGGATAACGGCTGTTCGGTGTTCCTGATCCAGGCAACCCCAACCCAAGGAATTGAATCCTTCCGCCGACCGTCGCGTCGGTTGTACCATACAACTGTGCTCACTTGGATAATAATCATCATTACTGCATGTTCATTATCGATCCACGTTAATCCATTATCCATCTATCTTTACGGTGTTCTTTGACCATCGTAGTTAATCTGTGTTCGCCAAGGGGGAGCACATTGCCTACACGTTGCGGTCTAAAGCTTCCCAGAATTAAATTGGAGTCGTCGCGTCGTCCAATCAGCGCGACGCCTGAAAAACTGCCGTCACATCGAGCAGGAATTTTGTCGAGGATGGAGCCAATTGGGGCATTATCCGGGACCAAACACGGTTGAGAGATTGATTGACCCCAAATGATCGTCCGAAAATGCGATCGAGACCCCTAAACGTTCGGGGCAAAATCTTTTCGTTGGGGTATGGGGGCTACTTACAAGCGAACCATTTCTTTGGGTACAACTCTTTAAATTGCACCTCGTCCCTTGAGTTGGCACTCGCCGCTCTTCTCTTACCTACTTCCCCGTAATTTCGTCCCCTCCCAACATCGTCTTATCCAACGACAAAATGGCCTCCCAGAACGGTCATGCTATACACGCCAAGTCCAATATTGCAACCCGCCCCTTGGTCTTGAACCAGGGCACACTTAGAGTCAGTCTCATCTTCACCTACACACATAGAACACATCCAAATCGTTTTTCATTTCAGATTTCTATTCCAGTTTCTACATCGTCCGATGAATGGATCGCAGCGGAGGTCCTGAGAGATGAGTTTGCTACGGCTATAGAACAGGATCCCATCGTTGTCGGCGATGAGGACGCGACTTCGGACGAGGCAAAAGTAGAGTTTGCAGTGCGTTTTCTGGCTCTCGTCGCGGACAGCGTCGACAAGGAAGCCCAATCCATCGCAGCACGCACCGCGTTGCTCCTCAATGTCCTCAAGTACTTCACATCGACCTACCTTTCTACCACCGACATCCATACCTTGACTGCCTCATTTACTACCGACACCCGCAAGGCCGTTTTGGCCGCCTACTTTGCAGCAGTCGCCGCCTTGCAGAACCAAGGCGTGTCTGACATTCCCCGCCAACCACAATCTGCACTCCTCGAAGCTGCCTCGACTGGCAAGGCTTCGATCTATGCTCTCTTCGGTGGCCAGGGCACCAACGAAGTTTACCTCAACGAGCTCCAGGAGCTCTACGACATCTATAAGCCCTTCATTCACTCCTACCTTCAAACCATTACCGACGAGGTTCTCGTTCCTCTCGCCGAGGACGAGGAGGACTCGCCTTTCTTCACCCACGGTCTCGACGTTCTCGCCTGGCTCTCGGGTGCCATTCCTCGGCCTTCGGTCGCGTACACCGCGTCCGTCCCAATCTCCTTCCCTCTTATCGGATTAACCCAACTTGTCCAATATCTTGTCGTCTGCCACGTTGCGGGCCTCACCCCTGGTCAGCTGCGTGATCGCATCGGTGGTGCGACTGGCCACTCTCAAGGAATCGTATCAGCTGTGGCGATCTCCGCATCGTCCACCTTTGAGGAATTCACCGAGAACTCCATCAAGGCCCTCAAATGGCTCTTCTACTCTGGCCTGAGGGGTCAACAAGCCTTCCCCGTGACCGCAATCGAACCAAGCATCGTTCAAGATGCCATCGAGGGTGGTGAAGGCACCCCCAGCCCCATGTTGTCCGTCACCGGTCTGGGCCTGAAAGATCTTCAGCCCCATATCGAGCAGACCAACAAACACTTGCCTGATAACTCCAAACTCTTCGTTTCCCTTCACAATGGTCCCAAGGCCTTCATCATCACGGGACCACCCAAATCTCTCTTCGGCCTCGTCACCAGCCTTCGTAAGATCAAGGCGCCTTCCGGTGCCGACCAAAGCAAGATCCCCTTCTCTCAACGCAAGCCCGTGTTCTCCACCCGTTTCTTGGTCGTCGGCGTCCCTTATCACAGTGACTACTTGACTGGCTTGACTGACAAGGTCATCTCTGAGGATCTTGAGGACGAAGAGTTGTGGAAGGCCGATGATCTAAAGATCCCTGTCTATAACACCGAGGATGGTAAGTTCCTCTGGACATGCACCGATCGTATTGATAAAACTGACGCGTCCTTCAGGCACTGACTTGCGCGGTTCGGCCGCCTCCATCACCCGCTCCCTCTTTGAACAAATCTTCACCCTCCCGATCCACTGGACCAAGGCTACGAACTTCCCTGAGACTGCCACCCACGTCATCGACTTCGGTCCCGGAGGCGCCAGCGGTATTGGTCCTTTGACTGCGAAGAACTTCGAGGGCCGCGGCATTCGTGTCATCGTCGCTGGCGTCAAGGGCAAGGGCGACGTCGAGCTCTTCAACGCTAGCGGCGTCAAGTACGAAGATTGGTGGAGCAAGAAGTGGTCGCCCAGACTCGTCAAGAACAGGTGTGTGGCCTTATCGTCGATGTCTTCGTTCTCCGACTGATTGTCTTGTTGCAGCGAGGGCGAGCTCTTCCTCGACACCCCCTTCTCCCGTCTTCTCGGTAAACCCCCCATCATGGTCGCTGGTATGACCCCCTCCACCGTCAAGGCAGGCTTCGTATCTGCCGTCTTGGATGCTGGCTACCACATCGAACTCGCCGGTGGTGGTCACTACAACGCGAAAGCCCTTCGCTCCAAGGTTGCTGAAATCCAGGAGAAGATCCCTGCTGGCGTCGGTTTGACTCTCAACGCCCTCTACATCAACCCCCGCCAGTTCACCTTCCAGTTCCCCCTCTGGCAAGAGATGAGGAAGGAGGGCCTCCCCATCGAGGGTTTCTGCGTCGCTGCCGGTATCCCCACTACCGAGAAGGCCGTCGAGATCATCGACGGTCTTAAGAACGCCGGAATCAAGCACGTCTCCTTCAAGCCTGGCTCCGTCGACGGTATCCGTCAAGTCATCAACATCGCCGCTGCCAATCCCGACTTCCCCATCATCATGCAATGGACTGGTGGGCGTGCCGGCGGTCACCACTCCTTTGAAGACTTCCATCAACCCGTCCTCTCCACCTATCGTGCCATCCGTGAGCACCCCAACATCATCCTCGTCGGTGGATCTGGCTTCGGATCTGCTGAAGATGTCTGGGAGTACTTGACTGGTGACTGGTCTGTGACGCGTTTCGGTGTCCAGCCCATGCCGTTCGATGGTTTCCTGTTCGCGAGTCGCGTCATGGTCGCCAAGGAGGCCCACACGAGCTCTTCGGTCAAGGACCTCATTGTCGCCGCGTCTGGTGTCGATGACAGCCAGTGGGAAGGGACGTACACCAAACCCACTGGTGGTATCTTGACTGTCCGATCCGAGCTTGGTGAACCCATCCACAAGGTTGCTACTCGTGGCGTGAAGTTGTGGAAGGAGTTCGACGATACCGTCTTCAAGTTGCCAAAGGAGAAGCGCGTCGCTTGGTTGAAGGAGCGTCGGGACGAAGTTATCGAGAAGTTGAACAGGGATTTCGCTAAACCCTGGTTCGGATGGAAGAAGGATGGGTCAGTTGCGAAGGATTTGAGTGACATGACTTACGAGGAGACTGTGTTGAGGATGGTTGCATTGATGTATGTCAAGCACCAGAAGAGGTGGATCGATATTTCGTTGCGAAACTTGACCGGCGATTGGTTGCGACGTGTCGAGGAACGATTCGCAAGTGCTGACGGCTTCGCCACCAAGCCTTCTCTGCTCCAATCCTACACCTCCTTGGATGATCCATTGCCCTTCGTCGAGGAGTTCTTCAAGAAGTACCCTCTTGCGGCGGAGCAATTGCTGGCTGCTGAAGATACCGCGTACTTCCTCGCCATCTCGCAGCGTCCGGGTCAGAAACCCGCTCCCTTCATTCCCGTTCTCGACGCTTCATTTGAAGTATGGTTCAAGAAGGTCCGTTGTTCTTCATGTGATTCTTGTGCCATGTGCTAACATTTATCTTAGGACTCGCTCTGGGCGGCCGAAGACATTGATGCGGTATTTGATCAAGACCCTCAACGTGTGTGCATTCTCCAAGGGCCCGTTGCGGTCAAGTGGTCAGTGAAGAAAGACGAGCCTGTCAAGGAGATCCTCGGCAACGTCAACTCGTCTCTCATCCAACGTTTGCTCGAGCGCAGCTACAATGGCGATGTCTCCTCTGTCCCCGTCGTCGACTACATCGCCGCTGCTCCTAAGCAGCCAGCCCCTCTCACCGGAATCACCCGCACCGCCACCAAGGATACCATCACCTACGAATTTGGCAAAGTCACCCCTGACACCGAGGCCTGGTTAGAAACCCTTGCTGGTCCCGACCTTAATTGGTTGCGAGCCCTCGTCACCTCGAAGACCATCGTCCGTGGCTCGGCCTACGTTGACAACAACCTCCGTGCTCTCCTTACCCCTCGCCCTGGTCAGAAAGTTGTCGTCACTTATGCCGACTCTACCCCTGTCTCCGTCGCCACCTACGGTGCTGCACGCTCTTACGGCTCTCACATCCCTAGCTTCAAGGCTGTCGAAATCAAGTATGACCCCACCGTTCGCGTCATCGACGTCACCCTCTTCGAAGAGCGCAAGGGCTCTTCCGTCCCTCTCCTGTTGAAGTTCCAGTACAAGCCTTCCCAGGGCTTCAACCCCATCCACGAAATCGCCGAAGACCGTAACACTCGCATCAAGGAGTTTTACTGGAAACTTTGGTACGGCGATGACCAGCAGCTCCCTGCTATTGACATCCAGGAGACCTTTACTGGTCCCGAGGTCGTCATCAAGCAGGAGGATGTTGAGCAATTCTGCTCCGTCGTCGGCAACCAGAACGAGGCATACAAGGGTGCCAGATCCGCCTCTGTTCGTGCCCCCATGGACTTCGCCATTGTCACTGGCTGGCAGGTATGTTTTCTTTTCTTTACATCATTGTTTTCGTGCATTGAGCCATTTTTTGCAGGCCATCATGAAGTCCATCTTCCCTTCGGCAATCGATGGAGACCTCCTTCGTCTCGTTCACCTTTCGAACGGCTTCCGAATGGTCGATGGCGCCAAGCCACTGCGAGTTGGCGACGTTTGCAACGCCGAAGCGCGCATCGTCTCCGTCGTCAACTCGAACGAAGGCAAGATTGTCAAGGTCAAGGGATACGTCCTCTCCAAGGGCCAGCGTGTAATCGAGGTCGTTTCGTCTTTCCTCTACCGAGGTCGTTTCACCGACTTCGAGAACACCTTCGAGACCACCGAAGAGCCGGAATACCTCGTCCCACTCGAAAGCGACGCTGCCGTTGGTGTTCTCCAGTCGAAGGAATGGTTCGAATGGGACAACGAACATTCACCCTTGACCGCTGGCACTTCCCTCGTCTTCCGCGTCCAATCCCACGTCACCTTCAAGGACAAGGCCACCTACCGCAACATCGCTGTCACTGGCAACGTCTATGTCCGCAATCAGCTCAAGGTCCTCGTCAAGGTTGGCTCCGTCGATTTCCACCAAGACGATTGCTTGGGCAATCCTGTCACTGCCTATCTCCAACGCCACGGAACGCCTCAAGGTCTCACCGCTCCTCTTCCCAATGATGGCTATACCCTCAACACTCCTGACGTCTCAACTGTCTTCACCGCTCCTCTCACCAACGAACCCTACTCTAAGGTTTCCGGCGATTTCAACCCCATCCATATCAATCCCTACTTCTCCGACTTCGCTTCCTTGCCGGCTACCATCACCCACGGAATGTGGTCCAGCGCTGCCACTCGCCGCTTCGTCGAGACGGTCGTTGCCCAAGGCCATCCTGAGCGGGTTATTGCTTATGATGTCAGCTTCGTCGGTATGGTTAACCCTGGTGATGAGCTTTCTGTCAAGCTTCGTCACGTCGGCATGAGAGACGGGAACATTGTTGTCAACATCGAGACCGTCAACTCGCAAGGCGAAAAGGTCCTCTTGGGCTCTGCTGAGGTTGCCCAGCCCACCACTGTCTACGTCTTCACTGGCCAGGGCTCTCAGGAGCCTGGAATGGGTATGGACCTTTACAACTCTTCCCCCGCTGCCCGCGCTGTGTGGGAAGGCGCCGACGCTCACTTGCGCGCTGTTTATGGCTTCTCCATCGTCGAGATCGTCAAGGACAACCCAAAGGAGAAGACGATCCACTTTGGTGGTATCAAGGGTCAAGCCATTCGTCAACGATACATGGAGATGACTTACGATACAATGGACAAGGACGGCCAAGTCAAGACCCTCCCTCTCTTCGGTGACATCAACATTCGTACCGCCAAATATACCTTCAGCCATCCCAACGGTCTTCTCTTCGCCACCCAGTTCGCTCAGATTGCACTCGTCGTCACCGAGAAAGCTGCGTTCGAAGACATGCGCGCGAAGGGCTTCGTTCAAAAGGATTGCGCTTTCGCCGGTCACTCGCTCGGAGAATACTCTGCTCTCGCTTCCATCGCCGATGTTCTCCACATCTCTGCCCTCGTCGATGTTGTCTTCTACCGTGGTATCACTATGCAGCGGGCTGTCGAACGTGACTCTCAGAACCGATCCAACTATGCTATGTGCGCCGTCAACCCCAGCCGTATCTCGCCTTCGTTCACCGACGCCGCTCTCCGCGAGGTCGTCGAATCCATCGCTACCATCACGGACACCCTTCTTGAGATCGTCAACTTCAACGTTGAGGTAAGAACCGATTTGGAATCATTCCCGAACCTAGGTTAACCTTCACAACAGGGACAACAATACGTCTGCGCCGGAGAACTCGTTTCCCTCCAAACCTTGACAAATGTCCTCAACTTCCTCAAGGTCAAGAAGATTGACTTCGTCAAGGTTTGTGGTGTTGGCTTCTATTGCTGGCTATCTACTCACCACTCCTGACAGTTGACCGAGACATTCACCGTTGACAAGGTCAAGGAGATGTTGAGCGACATCGTCAAGGAATGCTACCAACGCGCCCTTGAGCAACAGAAGGCTCAGGGTGGCTACATTAAGCTCGAGCGTGGCTTTGCCACCATCCCTCTTCCTGGTATCGATGTGCCATTCCACTCCCGGTACCTTTGGGCTGGTGTCCTGCCCTTCCGTGCATGTAAGCTCCTCCCTCACTGTCCGAAGGTTTTGTTGTTCATGACATTTTACCAGACCTCTCGAAGAAGATCAATGCCGCCGATCTCAACCCCGACATGCTCGTCGGCAAATACATTCCCAATCTTATCGCTCGACCTTTCGAAGTTTCCCAAGAGTACGCTCAGATCATCTACGACCAGACCACCTCCCCCCGCCTCGATAAGGTCCTGAAAAAATGGGACCAAGAGAAGTGGGGCAGCCCTGAAAACCGCCAGAAACTCGCCTACATCATCCTCGTTGAACTCCTCGCCTACCAGTTCGCTTCCCCCGTCCGCTGGATTGAAACCCAGGACCGTCTCTTCACTGAGTACAAGTTTGAACGCTTCATTGAAATCGGCCCCTCACCAACGCTCACCGGTATGGCCACTCGTACGCTCAAGGCCAAGTACGAGACCGCAGATGGCTCAGTCAGCCACACCCGTTCGATCTTCTGCCATTCCAAGAACCAGAAGGAGATCTACTACCAGTTCGAAGACGAACCTGAGGCCCCACCTGCTGAAGAGGCCGCGCCAGAACCTTCCCCTGTCGCTGCACCTGCTGCTGCCGCTGCGCCCGTCCCAGCTGCCGCCCCCGCCCCCGCTTCTGCCGGACCAGTCGCCAGCGTGGAAGATGAACCTATCAAGGCCATTGAGATCCTTACCGTTATCGTTGCCCAGAAACTCAAGAAGAAGGTCGACGAAGTTCCTCTAAGCAAGTCCATCAAGGACCTCGTCGGTGGCAAGTCTACTTTGCAGAACGAGATTCTTGGTGATCTCCAGCAAGAGTTCTCATCTGCCCCTGAGAAGGGTGAAGAACTCCCCCTCGAGGAGCTTGGCTCCGCTCTCGGTACTGGGTTCAGCGGCTCGCTCGGCAAGTACAGCACCGGCCTCATCTCCCGTCTCGTCGGCGGCAAGATGCCTGGCGGTTTCAATGCGTCGGCGATCAAGTCATACCTCAACAAGGCTTGGGGATTGGGTCCTTCTCGCTCCGACGGCGTCCTTCTCCTCGCCACCACCCTCGAGCCACCCAAGCGTCTTGCATCGGAAGCCGAAGCTAAGGCTTGGTTGGATAGCGTCGTCCCCGTCTATGCTCAGCGTGCAGGAATCTCCCTTTCTGCTCAGTCAAGCGGCGGTGCTGCTGGCGGCGGCGGAGGTGGGGCAGTCATCAACAGTGAAGAATTTATCAAGTTCCAAGCCGAGCAAGAGAAGTTTGCCTTGCAACAGATCGAGGTCTACATGCGCTACCTTGGTCGTGATTCCCGTGCTGGAGAACTCGCCTTCGATGCTGAGAAGGCAAACGCGACCGCCTTGCAGGCCAAACTTGACAGCATCACTCGCGAGCACGGCGACTTCTACATCGACGGTATCCAGCCTCGTTTCGACCCTCTCAAGGCCCGTCACTTTGATTCCTCCTGGAACTGGGCTCGTCAAGATGCTCTCATCATGTTCTATGACATCATCCATGGTCGTCTCCGCACCGTCGACCGAGAAATCACTGCTCGCTGCATCGCTCTCCTCAATCGTGCTGATGCAGATATGCTCAAGTACATGCAGTATTATATCGATCGTGTAGATCCTTCCAAAGGGCCCACCTACAAGCTCGCGAAGGAATTCGGTCAGCAGCTTATCGACAACGTCAAAGAGGTTCTTGGCAAGCCGCCGATGTACAAAGATGGTAAGGGACTTCTCCGAATTTTGTTGTTTTCTTTCTAACTGTTGCAATCTAGTTACCTTCCCTACCGCTCCTCACACCGAGGTCACGGCCAAGGGTGACATCGTTTACTCGGAAGTCGTTCGTGAGAATGTCCGTAAGCTCGAGGCTTATGTCGAGGAGATGGCCACTGCCGACAACGTCCCTGGCACCGTCAACATCAACAAGGTCCAAGACGATGTTCAGAAACTCTGGACTCTCGTCAAGGATCTCCCCGAAATCACCGACGACCAGAAGCATCGCATCAAGGACTTGTACGAAGGCGTCGTCCGATCCCTGAACACAGAATCCCACTCTCACTCTGCCCCTTCGCCCGCTCCTCGTAGCCGCCGATCCTCATCGCAATTCCTTCGCCCTCAAGTAACCGGCGTTCGACCAGTGACCACGCTTGACTCTGACAAGGTCCCACTTCTTCATCTCAAGCGTCGCGTCGGAAATGCTTGGGAATACAGCAACAACCTCACCGGCGTCTACCTGGACATCCTCCACGAGATCGCTACCTCGGGAACTACCTTCAAGGACAAGAACGCTCTCCTTACTGGCGTCGGAAAGGGGTCCATTGGTATTGAAATCGTCAAGGGTCTCCTCGCCGGGGGTGCCCATGTTGTCATTACCACCTCCAGTTACAGCCGCAAGACCGTCGAGTACTACCAGGCTATCTACCACTCCGTCGGCAGTCGCGGTTCTGCACTCACCGTTGTTCCCTTCAACCAAGCCTCTAAGCAAGACGTCGAAGCCCTCGTCGACTACATCTACTCAACTCTCGGCCTGGATCTTGACTACATTCTTCCTTTCGCTGGCATTCCCGAAAACGGTCGAGAAATCGATGGGCTCGACGATCGTTCGGAATTGGCCCATCGTATGATGTTGGTCAACCTCCTTCGAATTCTCGGTGCAGTCAAGAACAAGAAAGCAAGTCGCCAATTCGTCACCCGTCCAACTCAAGTCATCCTTCCCCTCTCCCCCAACCATGGTCTCTTCGGCAACGACGGACTCTACTCGGAATCCAAGATCTCTCTTGAAACCCTCTTCCAGCGATGGGCCTCGGAAAGCTGGGGCGAATACCTCTGCTTGGCCGGAGCGGTTATTGGGTAAGCTTTATACTTCAACCACGAGTGGTGGCTTACTGACCTTCTCCATTAGATGGACTCGTGGCACCGGTTTGATGGGCCCAACTAACATTGTTGCTCACGAGCTTGAGGGCTACGGCGTTCGAACCTTCTCTGCCAAAGAGATGGCCTTCAACATTCTCGGCCTCATGCACCCGCTCCTATTCAGCATCACCCAGGTCGAGCCTATCTGGGCCGACCTCAATGGTGGAATGGATCGCCTTCCCGACCTCGCCGAGATTACTGGACGCATTCGCAACAAACTCAACCAGAAAGCCGACCTTCGCCGTGCCATCGCCCGTGACAACTCCGCTGACTTCAAGATCATCCAAGGCGTCGAAGCCGAAAGGCTTCTGAAGTCCGTTGACGTTTTGCCCCGTGCCAACTTCCGCTTTGAATTCCCTGAGCTCGGAGGCGTCGACTCGTTCAAGGACGTCGCCCAACTGCGTGGGCTTATCGATTTGGAGAAGGTGGTCGTTATCACCGGCTATGGAGAAGTTAGCCCTTGGGGTAGCGCTCGAACTCGTTGGGAGATGGAAGCTCGCGGTGAATTGACCATCGAAGCCTGCATTGAAATGGCTTGGATCATGGGCTTCATCAAGCACTTCAATGGTCGACTTAAGGACGGATCCCTCTACGTCGGTTGGGTGGACACCAAGACCAACGAGCCAATTGACGACAAGGACGTGAAGGGGCGATACGAGGCCGAGATCATTGCCCATGCTGGTGTCCGTCTGATTGGTGAGTATCATATTCTTTCTCCACGTTGAACAAAAGCTGACGCCTTCCTCTTTAGAACCCGAGCTTTTCCGTGGGTACGACCCGAACAAGAAGGTTTTCAACCAAGAAATCGAACTCATCCACGACCTCGAGCCAATTGAAGTTTCCGAAACTGAGGCGCAGAAATTCAAGCTTCAGCACGGCGACAAGTGCGACATCTGGGCTGGGGAGGGTGGCCAATGGTTCGCCAAGTTCAAGAAGGGTGCCTGCGTCCTTGTCCCCAAGGCCTTCAAGTTCAGTCGCACTGTTGCGGGCCAGATTCCAACCGGTTGGCACGCTGGGCGCTATGGCATTCCCGACGACATTATTGCTCAAACCGACCGAGCAACTCTTTGGGCCCTCGTCTGCACCGCCGAAGCTCTCAACGCTTCCGGTATCACCGACCCATATGAGCTCTACAAGCACATGCATCCCTCCGAAGTCGGTACTGCAATTGGTTCTGGAATGGGAGGTGTCACCAGTATGGCGAAGATGTTCAAGGATAGGCGCGATGAGAAGGAAGTCCAGAACGACATCTTGCAGGAGACGTACGTGTCACACGGGAATTTCTCGACCTCTTTTGACTTACCTGCGCTTGTTCTAGTTTCATTAACACCACTGCTGGATGGATTAACTTGTTGCTCTTGTCCTCAAGCGGTCCCGTTAAGATTCCCGTCGGTGCTTGGTATGTTCACCCGCTCTCTTTCATTATTCATCTTTGCTGACCTCCCTTAGTGCCACGGCGTTGCAGTCGCTTGAGATTGCTTCTGACACTATCCTCTCCGGCAAGGCGAAGGTCATGCTTGCTGGAGGGTTCGACGATATCAGCGAGGAAGGCTCGTACGAGTTCGCCAACATGAAGGCCACCAGCAATGCTGAGACGGAGTTCGCCATGGGTCGTGAGCCTACCGAGATGTCCCGTCCAGCTACTACCTCTCGTGCAGGGGTATGTTATCCATGTCTTGACTTCTGATTTATTTGGTCACTGATTTTTTCTTCACTTTAGTTCATGGAATCTCAAGGTTGCGGCGTCCACGTCGTGATGAGCGCTAAGACCGCCCTCGAGCTGGGAGCTCCTATCCGTGGCATACTCGCCTTCACTTCAACATCAACGTAAGTTCCGTACTACCTACTACCCGTCGAGTGCATTATTGACAAGTCGAAACAGCGACAAGGCCGGTCGCTCAGTCCCTGCTCCAGGCAAAGGCGCTCTCACTGTTGCCAGGGAGGTTGCACCGAAGTTCCCTCCTGTCATCCTCGACCCCGCCTACCGGGCCCGTCAACTCGCTTTCCGTCGCAAGCAGATCTCTCAATGGCTCGAGTACGAGCAATCGCAGTTGCAGGAAGAAGTCGCCTATCGCAAGCAGAAGGGAGAAGAGGTCAACCAAGAGTACATCGACACTCGCCTCGCTGGACTCGAAGAAGACGCTGCCCGACAGGAGAAGGGAGCCCTCGCCATGTACGGTATGCTGGAGGGATATGATCCTGAGATTGCTCCTTTGCGTCGTGCACTTGCTGTCTGGGGTCTTACTGCGGATGACATCGGGATCCTCTCCATCCACGGCACCAGCACCAAGGCCAACGAAGAGAATGAGACTCGCATTTGGAACGACGTCTTCACCACCATCTCTCGCACCCCAGGCAACGCGGTTCCAGTTGTTGCTCAAAAGAGTTTGTTGGGCCACGCCAAGGGAGGAGCCGCTGCATGGCAGATGGGCGGCTTGTTGCAAAGTCTGCTTACTGGCATCGTTCCAGGGAACCGAAACAGCGAGTATGTATTGTCTGTCTTCTCAGGGAATGATTCGTTCCTGATCTTTCCACAGCAACATCGATTCCCAATTCCAGGACCGCCAATTCCTTATGTTCCCTTCCAAGCCTATCCACACTGATGGTATTCACGTTGGTGTCATGGTGAGTTTCACGGTACTCCTTTCCGTTTTTCGTCGCTCAACATTCGGGTTCAGTCTTCGTTCGGTTTCGGTCAAGTGGGCGGAACAGCTATGGTCGTTCATCCTCGCTACCTCCTTGGTGCATTGGAGCCTTCCTACTACGAGGCCTACAAGTCGCGCAACCGCGCCCGAGCTCTTCAATCCTACAAGGTCATGAGCGAGATGATGATCAACAACTCCCTCGTCAAAGTCAAGGATCATCCGCCCTACATCGGCGACATGGAGAGCAAGGTTCTTTTGAACTCCATGGCCCGTGCCGAGTTTGACACGAAGACCGGCGAGTTCTCCTTCAAGAGGGTCACCAACGAGGTCCCCAGGGATACTGCCAACGTGAAGACTTTGTCCAGCCTCGTGAGCAACAACGTCTGGAGCCAGTCACCTGCTGGGGTGGGCGTCGACCAAGGTGTGTGCCTTTATCCTTTCTTGCTTGGGCGTCCTTTTCTTACAACCTTCCAGAATTGATCTCGGCTGTGCCTTCTTCCAACCCTAACTTCGTTTCTCGCAACTTCACCGACGAAGAAATTGCCTATTGCCAAGCTCAACCTTCTCCACCGTCCTCGTTCGCCGCTCGCTGGGTTGGCAAGGAAGCTGTCTTCAAGTCCCTTGGAGTCAGGTCTCAGGGAGCCGCCGCCGCCATGAAGGATATCGAGATCGTCAACGATTCCACCGGCGCTCCTACGGTTCGCTTGCATGGGGAGGCTCGACGTCTGGCCGAAGCGAAGGGCATCAAGAAGATTTTGATCTCTCTCTCGCATTCTGACACTACTGCCGTCGCATTCGCACAAGCATCTTCTGCATAATTTGTCCTCGCTAGCATTACTTTTTATCATGTCCCAATCCGAATATTTTGTATAACATTGTTTAGAAAGTGGTTTAAATGTTACTACGTTTCCTGCTCAATTGTGTGTGCTGTCGAAGCGACAAGAGAATTTTCTAAACCGAACCATACAATGAATCTATGTATAGACCAGACGATATGCGAGAGAAAATCTAGGATGCACGTTCTCTGCTTGCAAGTATATCGTTTTCCGAGATATTACTTCGCAGACACAGTCCACGGAAAATGCCGTCAAGTTGGTTGAAAAGGGCCAGGGGAGAATCGAATTCCTAGGCAAGGGGAGTTAAACAGCCTCGTTCAATTCAACAAGATCTACAGAATGTGACATACCGCGATATTTCCGGAATCCAGGACGAGAACGCGGTCATAACCCAATATCGTTCTCAAGCGATCTATAAAACGCATTGGGTTATTTGACACCATTGATAGCGAAGCAGTCCTACGTACGGGCTATACAAATCAGAGTCTTTCCCTCGAATTGGGTTTGGATGGTTTGTTGGATCTTCTTGTCGGTTTCAAGGTCCACCGAGGCCCTGCGGAGATTCGATTAGAGCCAACGTTATAACACAATGAGAACCAGGCGTACGTGGCCTCGTCAAGTACAACAACCTTCGTGTCCTTGACCAGAGCGCGAGCTAAGCTTAAGAGCGATCGTTCGCCAACGCTCAGGTTCGAGCCTTCTGCCTCAAGCACAGTATCCAGAGTAATCCGGGTCGAGTGATGGTCGACCTTTTCTTCGCCCGGAGGTTCTCTTCCTACTAAAAACGATCTTCGGAGGGCATCCCATAGCCGAGCATCATCGTACAAGGCGAAGGGGTCGAGCGCCGTCCGAACTGTCCCGCTGAAAATCGTAGGCTGGGGCCACAGTTACGACACGTAAAGGGTATAGAGAATGGATCCTTACCTCTTGTGGGATGATGGATATCTTGCTGCGTAGTGTTTGTATGCCAAGCGTGGAGATATCAATCCTGGAACAGCGTGAAATCCTGCAGAAAAGCGGTAACGGGTGGAGGACTTACCCGTCTATGGTAATTGCACCAGAGTATTCCACGATCCTCATCAACGCCATGATAAGCGAGGACTTTCCCGCACCTGTCCTCCCCACAACACCAATTTTCTCCCCTCCTCGGATAGACATTGAAATTCCATGGAGTACAGTTGGTAGCCCTGGTCGGTAACGCATAAACACATCCTTGAACTCGATCGCTCCGCGTTCCGGCCAGTTTGAGGGGGGTGCAGTATCTGGCTTGCCGTGGGGAGCCTCTTGAGGGATAAGGTTGCTATCACTGTAGTGAGAAACTGCGCAGACATCATCAGCGATAAAAATGAATCGACGACGGACAGCCTACCCCGCTCGACGGCGTTCATATAGTTCTTTGGACGAAGGGTCAGACTACTCTGACTGCTCGAATGGACAAAACAAAGCCCACCTCAACTTCTGCCGTCTGTCTCATTAACATGCCCGACATCTGGGTCAAACTCGCTGGACTGCGTTGAGAAAATGCAAGCTCTGTGCGGGAGCATGACTAGGCTCACTTGTGAAGGTCAAGATCAAGCCAACCAGAGCTGGACTGATGTCGGAGGCGTCGATGACGGAAAAGAAGGCCACCTGTTCCCCTTGAGCCTGGCCATCTCGAGGTGCGGTTGCGATAAGGAGACTTACGAAGAAGACTAATGCAGCCCCACATACGTCCAATCGCACAGTTAGCCATCTTGGTCAAGTCAACAACTGTATTGGTTGCACTAGCACAAGTCTGAGCTCACCGTTGGTTCGTGACACTCAGAAATAGAGCTCGGTTTTCCAGGTCAATCAGGGATTCATTGTCGCGAATGAATCTCGGAAGTTGACCATAGCTCCTCAGCGTCGGAAGACCTGGCCGGTTATAGTCAGACCATGTTCAGTCACGTAAGAGTTGGAGTTACTTGCCCGTCAAGGACTCGGAAAGGTGCGAGTAGAGGAGGGAGCGTAACATGGAGTCTAAGTATCGCGTCAGACCGATATTCCCGAACATATGTAAAACAACATACCAAGCCTTTTGATTTCACGAGCACTTGCGCGATAGAACGATGAAAGGAGATTATATCCCAGAGCAACGAAGAGAGCGACGATGATGAAGTAGGGTACCACAATGGCAATAATGAGAACGGAGCCGACCACTCCAGCTATGGTCATGACCACTGATTTGTTCGTTCAGTTTCCAGGCAATCATTGGGAGTCAGGGGTAGACACGTACACATCCGCATAGACACAGGGAGTTGGTTGTCAATCACTGCGGCAAGGTCAAAACTTGAAGGCTGGGGCATTTGGGAATGTGAGCCGCACCGTCAATATCTTTGCCAAAAATCCCTATGACTCTCCCCAGTGGCTGCAGAACAATCAACCTTCTGACGAAAGGAACATAAATGCGAGCTTACTGTGCTATCGAAAAACGACATGGGTGCATGAAAGACGTTCATAATGGAATTGTTGTGCAAGTTTTGCGATACCAGCCACGAGATGATGTCGACTGACACGCCTCTACAGCCATGTCAACTGGGGAATTGCAGGTCGCCACGAAGGAGCAACTGACAGGAACAACGACAGTATCGCTTGTGACACACCGAGGACTGCATAAAGTGTTTGATAAAATGAGAAGGACCGGTCGAATGTACTGATTGAACGGCAGTGAGCAGAAGACCGGGCAAACCCAGCGAAACTCACTCGGCTTGCCACCAGACAAGGACATAAGAACTGATGATTTGACTTCCTTGCATGAGAATTCCGGCCAAAATGAGGAGCGGGACAGTAATATAACCTCGTCCGGCAACAAAGTACGCCCACCATACTGTAACACAGGAGGCATCAGCCCGATAGACCAAGGATGAAGATGAATGTAGGTCGGCCTCACCTTTCTTCGAGATGGTGCCAGTGCTCCTGACCTCTTTGACGATTAATTTACCTTCCAGAGTGCCTTTTCCAGGAGATCTCTTGTGTACTTCCGACGATTTGTTTTGTACTTCTTCCAGGACCTCTGCATGTGATCCTCTTCTGGCAAGCGAACCAAGATCATTCCCACCAAACTCTCTATCGAGCCTGGCGAAACCGCCATCCTGTTCCAAAAGTTGCTGGTACGTCCCTTGCTCTATGATGGCCCCATCGTCCAGTGTGTAAATATAGTCGCAAAATGAGAGGAAGTGCAATGCATGGGTTACGAGTATGACAGTCTTTCCTCGGTTGGAGAGCGCCGAGATAGCGGTATGGAATAGAGCCTTTCCGACATGCGCGTCAACTAAAACTGTTTCAGCAAGCGCCTTGTAGAGAAGACTCCCCCACACTGACCAGCAGACAACGGATCGTCCATGATTACGACGTCGGCATTGAAGTACAGAGCCCGGGCGATGTTGATCTGGATGTCATGAGTATGTGGAAAAAAGGGGTGCGCGACCTGCTCACTCTCTGTTTCTGTCCGCCGCTAAGATTAACGCCCTTCTCGCCAATCTGGGTCGGAATTTCAGATTACATTAGAAATCGGTGAATCGGACAATAAAGCAAACCTCCGTCAGGTCTCCGTCAGCCAAGAGTTGCAAATCTGGAAGCAGGCAAGCATCTTCAACAGCACGCCAGTAACGCTCTTCATCGAACCCTTGTCCGAATGTGATATTCTCCCTCTGAGAAGTATAGTCAGTATCGATTAAGAATTGTCAGGGAGAAGAGACTTGCCAAAGACGCGTTTTGGATCCATGCACTCTGTGGACAATATGCGACTGTCCCTCCCAAAGACAATTGTCCGGACACTTTTCGCATTTCACCAATGATCGCTTGCAATAAACTCGACTTTCCAGAGCCTACCCGTCCTACAATGGCGACCAGGCTTCCTCGGGGTACGTGCATCGTGATATCCTTCAATCGGAACGGGACCTCTGGGGTCGCACTTTGGCAAAGATCCGCATCTTCATCTTTTTCCTTGTAGTCGTCTTTCCTTTTCAAAAGAGTCTCTTCCCATTCAAATGTGGCATTGTCGATCACCAATGCCCACTCCTGGCTTGGATCGATGCGAATTGTTTCGCCCGACATCAATTCAGCATCGAAAATGTTTTGTAGCCTGTTGAAGGCGCTACGGGCGTCTGCAATGACCGATAGTCCACGAGGAAGGAACATCATGGGTTGTCGGAGTAACTGGAAGTTCCCGAGTGGTCAGACGTAGCCCATTGTGGAGACACAATTTATTGGTACCTGGAACAATGCCAGAGAAGAGAAGATGATCGCAACATCGAACTCCTCTTTGACGCGAGTGTAGGTGATGAATGCGAGAGTGGCGGCAAGGTAGGGTACGGAGTGAGCAAGCGCGAAACTGCGGGTTGGGAAGAGGTTAAGACCGACTACCCAGATGGCAATCGAAAAGCCTCACTTGGCCGATTCTGCATTTAGGATGGTCCTCACCCATCGGAGCTCCGCCTCGCGTATCTCGGCGATACGCTTCAAGAACGAGGATTCATAGGTGAAATACTTGACAATGCGCATGGAGCCTAGTAGACGCTGATTAGTCACGAGAAACGACGAAAGGACACATATCGCACCTAGTGCCTCGAGCAAGGTTTGTGCTCGGCGATCTGTATGCTTCATTGCACGTTGACGAAGCTTGAATTGGTATTGCATTACCCTCTGTTGAAATGGACCAATAACGAGGAAGAGGGCAAATCCAGCTAGAGCCGATGGGCCAAGCTGGGGGAGAATCAGAAAAGAGTCCTTTCGTAATGACTACGCACGTACTTGAACCAGGAGAATGATCAGGCAGACCATGACCTGGATCGGAGCTGTCCAAGCTGGATGCTGCGTTAGAATGGCCGTGCCGCGCTGGAATGTCGAATGAGCACGTACACGCATGCTGTCAACTGTGTTAGTATCAAAGGCGGGTCTGTGAATTTGGAGGCACTTACAAACCATTGGCAGCATGTGTCTATACGGCTGACCTGCGAAAGAACGGTCAACACATACACTCGATAGCATAGGATGAGGTTTGACTCACGTCGGTGGAAACATGGTTTACGATGTCTGAATTGGACAGCTTGGACCTCGCTTTGCCGGATAGCACCACGCTTCTCTTGTACATGGAGCTTATCAATGTGGCTCTCGCTAACGATCCTGTCACCATCGAGCGCCAAAAGAACTGATTCTGTGCAATGCTGAATGTCATAGTCAATAAGAAGAGGCCGATGGCCATTGCAATCCCTCGACCAACATTGGGTCTGGGAAGGCCGCGTTCTTCGGCCAGTTCGCGCTCCTTTGCGAAATTGATTATCTCGCGGACGAGAAGAGGGCACATCAGTTGGGCGACGTCGGCGAGGACTTTGTAGGTCCCCCCAATCCAGAAGAATCTACCGAGGGTGTCATTGAGCGCAAGAGGCACACTCGCCTTACTGTGACCCTGATTACGCCAATCCTCTTCCAAAGAAGCTCTTGTTTTTGAAGAGAAGGCAGACTTGAGATACCAAGATAGGCGTCGCGGGAAAGACGGCTGAAGGGCCCCGGAGGCAAGAGATTTGTTGACATAACTGGCGTGTTCGTCACGTTGCTTGCACGCCGCCTCAAAGCGAGCTGTTAATCTTGCCGCTGAGTGCTCGTCGTCGAGGCGCCAAAGATCCGTTGCTTGAAGAGTGCGCTGGTAACCTAGAGTCTGGAGAAAGTGTCACAACGACGAATAATCAGTAATGCTCAGCAGGTCTACCATGATAGGCGTGATCCATGAGAACCACAGTAAAGACAGGAAGTTGGCAGTAGCATATGGCGAGATCTATGGGCAAGGGGGGCGTCAAGGGTAGAAACACTAAAACGACATTGATACAAACCTCGGACTTGCCCAGGTCACTGGGCGGATCTGGAGGGGGCACACGCGGTATCCTAGGTCGCTGTCAGCTCGTATTCCAAAGGCAGGCCATGGGCGCCAGTTACTCACCAGAACTGCCAAAAATGTTCTCTGGTTCTGACATTCTGGTCACCAGTGTCGAGATCCAAGTATAAGGCCTGGGCTGACTCAGGCTGCTCTCCCTTTCCCTCCTTGAGAGCCAGTGTTCCTTGACTTGACGAGCCGGACGCGCTTGTACGGTCGCCTTCTGTCCCCATCGCTGCTGGACGAGACCTGTGAGGTAGACGATGGACTAGTAAACGGCAAGGGGATTTTAAAGGCTTAACACGGCGAGCAGCCGGTTTTTCAGACGAAGATAGAGAAATGAATACGCATTGTGGTGCATGATGACCTCTGGAAGGACGATGACGCCAGATTTCGGTTGTCTTTCCGACCAAAGGTTCGAGTTGACGTTGATCCTGAAGAGCCCACTTGCCGCCCATTGCCGTCAACCGGATCAGAGCATCAGGTGTACTTAATCTCCGAGGGTCCCGATCAGCTTCTTTGCTAGGCTACTATCTTACCAGAAAACCAGCACCTCGATTGTTCGTGCATGGCGAAGAAGACTGGTCTCGATTATGCTGCTCTTTCAAGTCTCGATCCAAAGGACCGCGCCTTGTTTGCAACATCAGCTCGTCTACTCTCATGCCTTGTTACAGAGTCCATGGTCGATGCATTCTTCTACTCCCATCCGACAGGTCCTGCAGCTGGCTTTGCGACCATCCAATTGACGGGAGATTCAGCCGATATATCGAATATCTTGGCCGTCTTTCCTCTCCACCATGAACCAGTTTTGGCCCCAGGAAAGGTGGATCGTTACGGTGCTCGCAGAATATCATTGCTTGATCCTCTCGACATGCTTCCATCCATCCTGACTGTGCAGACTTCCGCAGTACCAGACCGCGCTGAGGTACGATTGTTCCCTCTATCAGAATATACTCGACGTGAACATTGCCAAAGGTGTCACCACCGACTCCGGTTTTACGCGGCCTACCAAAGAAGAACTTCTTCCTTGCTCATGACCTCGACCCCATTCGTCTTTGGCACAGATTCGCTCTCAGCGTCAACCTGGATAAATCTCTCGTAGAAGACATTGAATTGGAATTCAGAAGTTCTGTGACATGGCAGGGTTAGTGAATGAGCAATTCAGTCACCGCCTTCTGACATTCTTATACTATGCACTGCTAGAACATGCTTTCAATTACCCGCCACCCTCGCCATCGTTCGATGCCCCTAGCGTGGCTTGGGAACAGTCCATCGTACAGGGCCACCCCACACATCCTGTCAGTTCCACCCTCTGCACTGCAGTATCATACTCACAGATCGCTCACCGGCCCACTTTCAGATGCACAAAACGAGGAGATTCCTACCACCCATTCCCTCCTTCCAGCCCGGACAATGCGATCTTCTCCATCCTATTCTGAGATTCATCTCTGTTCCAAGGGAAAACCTCAAGATCACCTACAATTTCGAGGAACTCATCGCTCCACTCGTCAAGGTAGCCGAGAAGAAAGCCAGTAAACCTATCATCTCACCTAAAGATCACGTTATAATTCCTGTTCACGAACTGCAAGTATATCACATTCGTGATAAGTTCCCCGAGGCTCGCATCTATCCGCCGGAATACTCGTTGCCACTCGAGGCCCAGCAGAGCTTACGGTAAGTCAAACGCCGACTCAAATAATCTATCTCTGATTCATCTTAGGTCAGTCGTCGTACCAAATGGCTATCGCAACCTCCATTTGAAGCTGGCTGTGGGAATGAAGCTGACGTCTGCTGTGCGGACAATATCCCCAGAGTCAGCTTACCTGGGCCCAAGGTTCTCTGCCCAAGTGGTTCCGGTGATACGGATGGACCGAAATATCGTCACCGTCGCGAAAGAACTAGCAAGTGTCGTTCATACTCATCCCGATGGTGACATCGCAAAGCATTGTGCTGCGTTGGTTCGGGAATACCACGAGGGTCTCTGCGAAGACCGCCAAGAGCGCATGATCGTATGCACCTCTCTGGTTGAATATGGCCATGGTTCCCGGGATGGGAATATCCCTCCTGTCATCCGACTATTTGGACTGGACACAGAAGAGAAACGCATTGAATGGCTTTCAAAGTAAGTGGTTTGTGAGCTCGTTCCGATTACAGTACTCACCAGCCAAATACTAGATTCTTGGATATATTCTTCCGAGCTTTCTTGCCTTCAGTACTCCACAACGGAGTGGCGTTCGAATGTCATCCGCAAAACTGTGTCGCGCGGTTTGACGCTCGAACCAAGGAATTGAAGGGATTTATCATTCGTGATTTTGGCGGCATCAGAGTCCATCCTCCTACTCTAAAGGCGACAACTGGTGTCGACATTGACTTTGTCGAAGGGCACTCCATCATTGCACCCGACTTGGACGACGTCTACACCCGAATGTACCACACTGTGTTCCATAACCACCTGCAGCAACTGATTCGAGTCCTCGACCTTCACTACAACGGCAGAGGCTGGGAACTGGTGCGGACGCACCTCAAAGCCAATATCCCCGCCGACCATCCTCTGTATACCGCATGGCTCTCTCCTGAAAGAGTGACATTACCCGGAAAGTGCTTCATGAGAATGCGTTTGTCCGGAATGTATCGACATGTAAGCCCAGAGGCGCTTTGGTTAATCTAGACGAACCTCACTAACTCCCCCTAGCATCTCCACGGCCCATTCCCGAATCTAATTCACTATCGAGGCGCCACTCCAGCACAGAACACTCGGCAAGTCACTGCAAGGCTTTGACGGATACGAGTACCTGGACGTCAATGAATCGTGATCTCGAGTTAAGGTTATAGTCGGACTTCGAATTAGGCACGTTTAGAAAGTTGGGACTGGGCCCAAACTGGGCCATTCATGTTTGTACCAGCGTCTTGTCAATGAACTACTCCCTGCTTGCTCTCTGTCCTGTTGTCCAACTTTTACGATTGTTGACCTTTGGCGCCTTCGTACACACTACAACTTTGTCATGGAAAGAACTTGGCCGAAGCGTCGATAGGTTCTGGAATCTGAAGAACCCACGTTGATGCTCTTCGCGCTGTGTAACGCGGTTACGCGGGTGAGTTCGGCCGCCCAGCGCGAGAACTCGTGGCATCTGACTTACTTTTTCCAGACAAATAGAGCCCCAGTCTTGTGAAATCTGCAAAATCGAAGGGGCAACGCTTACGCCGCCGCCGTCTTTTGCAGCCACGTTCTGCCTGAACATCTTGCCAACATGCCAACATGCCGTGTTTGATAAGTAGATCTTATCAGATAATCGGCTTCTGAGTGGTTTTCTCCACCGATCTGTAGTTCAGACTCACCGTTCAAGTTGGCTAGACACCTACCCGAACGCCCAAAGCTGCCAGAAAGTCGTACACTGGCGAAGTTCTTCCAGAATTGATCCCCCTGGGAGATCGAACTCGCTTCCTATTTTACCTGTTCGGAAACCAACTCGTGGAGCTCCTGATTTCTGCGCAGACTCTTCTGAAGCGCCATCTGTCAGCTCTTGGAATAGCAGGGCTTTCTCCTATTGAATCGGTCTCACAACATCACAAGGTACTTCGATGTCCTTGAAGCTTTTGAGGTTCGCTGACGGCTTACAGCAACTAAATCTACCCATTCATTGAACCAACACCACGGACAAGTAACGAGCGCACCATTACGCCGGTTTGGTATAACTTCAGAACAAATCGTATCGCTGGGAGAAACGCCATTATTGAGCAACCGTCCAATTTCCATCCGTACTACGATGTCATCTGGAACAGGGTTGCCTCCTCGCAGACACGCTGCTTTTGCAGTCATATCCAGGCTCCTCTCTTCCCTTGTAACGGAGCAACTTCTGGCTTCATTCTATATACCTACTCCGCGATGGAGATCAGCATCTGGACTCATGGTGGTTCTTTGTAGCCGCCAGTCCGGAGAAGCCCGGTCACTTCCTTCTGTCATATCTGCGAAGGACATTTTTGCAATCGTCCCCCTACACCATGCACCAGTCGCGCAAAGGCGCTACTCGTCAACGCAGAGGGAGTCTCCCATTGGATTGGTCGATCCATTGGACATGATCCCTAGAATTTATGAACTTCGTACAGGTGGTGCCTTCGAAAATCTGGTACGTACGACACATCTTCGAATGTGTTTTCTGATCTGAATGATATTAGGACCAGTTCTCCCGCGACGTGTTTTCTTGGCTCCAGGACTTTTTGCCTCAGCCTGGAACCAGCAACTCTCTCGGTGAAATCGTTGACCCACTATATCTATGGGACAAGTTTGCTGCCATCTTCAAACTCGACAAACCTATAAAAGAGTCGATCGCGAAGGAGTTGACAAGTTCCTTCCACTATCAATGTGAGGATTATATCGTTTTGCGATCAACGACCCTCAATTAATAAAGCTCAGATCTTGCATATATCAATCCTCCCAAATGTCCTTCCTTGAAGTCCCCGCCGATTCAATGGGAGCAAAGTCTTGTGGCAGGCCATCCTACCCATCCTGTGAGTTAGGGTGCATCTACGCAGAAACCGTAACCTTATATACGACGGTTGAAGATGCATCGTGCGCGGTTACTGCCCGGGAGTGATATCGGGTACGATTGGTATCGGCCATGTATCCGATTCGTGCAGGTCCCCAGGGCCAGCCTCGAGATCCGCGGTTCATTCATGGAAACCAGTAAAACACTGGTCTCAATCGCTGCAGGGACACATGCGCATGAGCTTGATCACGAACGATACGTTTTCATGCCAGCCCATGAACTCCAACTTTCGAACATCGTTCGGTTGTTCCCTGATGCGGTCGTTCTTCCTCCCCATGTTCATCTCAAGGCGCAGGCTCAAACAAGCATCAGGCACGTTGCTTTCTTATCACATCAAGAGATTTGCATTGACCCTGTCACACAGAACAGTCATTGTTCCTGAACTCCCGGGATATGCTCTCAAGCTCTCTATAGGAGTCAAGATCTCGTCCGCTCTGAGGACCATCTCACACTTTACGGCCGACTTCGGCCCGCGATTCTCAACGGAGGTCGTTCCAAAGCTGAGAATAGATCACACTATATTCGCTATCGAGACTGAACCCTCGAGTGGGATTTACCGATGCGAAGACCCGGAAATCAGAAAGCACTTCACAGCTGTCATCCGCGAGGAATATAAAGCCGCACCCTACGAGAATGTCATCCTCATCGCGGCACTGCTAGAAACAGACCATGCCAACCTACCGCCTGGCGTCCCTGCAGTGACACATGTTTTCGGACTGAACACGGAACGCAAGCGCATCCAGTTCCTCGATCGGTTCGTCTGCGTTACTTGCTGCATCATGAATTATTGTTTAATCCCTCCAACCTCAGGTACATTGAACTGTCATGCAAGGCACTGCTTCCAGCCCTGGTGTATAACGGGGTGGCATTCGAAGCTCACGCACAGAACCTCCTGCTTCGGGTAGATCGAAGAACAGGGAAGATTACAGGGTTCGTGCTGCGGGATCTGGGAGGACTCCGGATACACCCTCCAACACTGCGAAGATCTTTAGGCATCGACTTCGACTTCTTACCGAAACACGCCATTGCCACGGAATCCCTGCAAGAGGTCTATCCAAAGTTCTATCACACCTACGTCCACAATCATCTCCAGCGCTTAATTCGCCTTTTGGGACTACACCACAATGGCATCGGTTGGGAATTGCTACGCGAACACATGAACGCTGTTATACCCATCGACCATGAACTCAGAGATCTGTGGCTGTCGCCCAAAAGCCACACTGTTGAGTCGAAATGCCTGATGCGAATGCGTTTGCAAGATTCTTACCGCGAGGTAGGTCTAACCGACTTGGCGTAACACGTTTTCGTTCATCAATTCCAATCTTTACAGAACGTCTACCATCCTTTCCCAAACCTGATCCAGTTTCGACCAGAAAAGATTGACCGCCGCAGGGAATCGCATCTTTGAGAGCGCTGGACCGTATATACGACTAGTTAAATTTATGATACTGTACGGCTTCCTAGCCCGCTGTCCCTATAGATTTCATTCCGTCACCTTGTCATAGGAGCCAAGGTCGACGGTCGACACATCGGCGCTCATAACATATCAGCCATCACTTGGTTGAGCACAGCACAGTCCTGGGCGGTTACTGAATCACACAGCCCATTGGTGTAAACCACACACATATAACCTACCTCCATGGCCGGAGCTGCCCACCTTTCCCAAATTTCTCTGTCTGCTCTGCGACGAACTCGAACACTACCTCGAAGACGATTTGACCGCCAAGTCCTAGCGGATAATTGGGTCAAGGTGGTTTAGGCACCCCAACAAACACATCTGATCCTTAGTTGTTGCGGGTTCCTTTCTTTAACCTGGACCTTCGACATACAAAATGTCACAATCCTCCCAGGACGAGATCGGAACGCTCATCGTCGTCGTGTTGAAGGCGCGGAATCTCAACGACAAGCACAAGTTCCGCAAACAAGACGCGTACGCGAAGGTTTTACTCAATGGTGAGTCGTACTGAGATCCTCGTCGGACGGCATGATGACCAGACATCGACAGGAACGGAGAAACAGACCAAGGTCGAGATAAAAGGCGGTCAGCATCCCTTGTGGGACGAAGAGTTCAGATTCCCAATCTTCAAATCGACCGCCAAAAAGAATCGGACACTAGAAGTTTCCTGTTGGGCAAAGGAGCCTCGAACGGACGATATTCTCGGAACAGGGACGGTCGACATCAGTGAAACCTTGCAGAATGGCGAATTCGATGGTAGGTTGTTTCTCGAAGGGCGAATAACCTTGTAGAGACTGAACATGGTTTAGACTGGGTTCCTCTCTCAATCGACGGTGTTACTCGAGGCGATGTTTATCTTGAAATGACCTACTATGCGAATGGGCCACCTCCACCGTCGGTCATCCCAACAATTGCACCCCCCAAAGACCAGCCCGTGGCTTATTACAGTCCAGGGAAGAATGCCCTCTTGGTTGCTCAGGGGGCAAATCTCATGCGAAGGCCGTCCAAGCTCTCACCAGCAGATCGCCTCTCCAGGCCAGCGATAAGCATTCCAGAGACAATCCCTTCGTCACCGAACCAGCATCACAGGTTCAACACGTTACCACCGGTGCCGGACGACAGAATTCAGGCTAGTAACCCCGTGCATGCCGCCCAACCCGTCCCGTCGTTGCTGAGACCAGGGGCGGTACCGACGCGCCCGAGGCCTATCCGGGATCCATCCCCTGTGCGTCCGGGTCAAGAGTTCTCGAACGCAAGCCCAGGAACATCCCCTGGTCGAACGTCAAATCCTTATCTCACAGGAGCGGCGGGAAGTAACCGCCCAGGAGGAGTAGGACAGCATCATCGCACACCATCTAATCCCGCAGCATCAAACCCTTACCTGACTGGCGGGACGAACACACCGCCTGTAACCTACCCTCTCGACGGTTCTCCCGCGCCTGCCTCAATCCAAAACAATAATCAGCCGTATGCTACTAATTACCCGCCGCCCTCACACACTCCGGGAACCCAATATCCACCTCCCTCACATACTCCATTGCCCCAATACCCGCCGCAGACCCATACCCCGGCGCCTCCTCCCGGCGCGGTTCCTCTTCTCTGGTCGTCATCAGATTCTGGATCCCATCCAGTTGTTCCTCCACCAGCAGGAGGTTTTGCATTCCCCACTCCAGGTATACCCGGCGCATATCCAGCTACGCCTACCCCCCACCCTCCCTACCACAGTAATTCATATGATCATTCTGCACCTCGCCCCTACGGACACAATCGTCAGAGCTCCGATCCTCGGGACGACCCTTCACTGAGGAACAGATACCAGACACCGTTACCTTTGCCTCCAGGGGTGCGGCACCAGTCGCCAGACCCACAATCACCGCACCAACGGCCGCACTCTCAGTCTCCTCGTCGCGGGAGAGACGATCCCCTGCCACCTTTGCCGGCCCCGCCTCGAGCCCCTTCTCCTCCTCGGCAAGAATCACCGTCGTCACTTACAGCTGCAGACCGCCAGCGTCTCGAAGAGTTGAAATGGTTAGAAGCAGAAGCGAAGCGGAGGAAGGAGCAGGAAGAACGAGATCTCGCCTTGGCACTTCAATTGGACAAGGAATTAAATTTATAGTATCTCTGAATCTACAAGATGAGTAATGTAATGCTACAAAGTATGTACGATACCAAGGCCATGTTCAACTTTTGGTCCGTTTGGTGTGAATATTAGATCCCCGTTAGAGTAATTGGAACAGATGATCTCTTCCTAAGGGTCGTCGCAAGAGTAGCTGGTCCATGATGGTTCGGTGAGTGCCTGTTGCCGTCCCTTTGTGAGAAGAGCCGTGCGTGCATGGCGTTGTCCGGATGCAAGAAAACCGTCGTCGCTGCTGAACTTCCGAGTGACATGGTTTACGCAACCTCTGTCATCTCGGGGGGCGTCCTCAACTCGCCTTTCTGTCGCCCTTTTCCTAGCCGGAGGTCGTACCAGTAAGTGAGGATGTAGAATGTAAACAGGAACGCGATGAGCCACTCTAAGACGGCTGGGGACAAGGCGATTAGTAAAGCACGTCTTGTATAATAGGAATTAAACAGCTTACCCCCTGCATCATTAGCAACGAACAAAGTGACTGCAAAGGCAATGGCCAGAGCAATCAAAATTGTTACAAGAATGAACTTGGCCCAGTAAGCTGCTCGCAGAGACTTGATCAATGAATAATCCTTGCTGATCCAACGGTACTGTTTAAAAGAGAGATTCGTGTCAGCAAATTCGTGTGCCTCCTCATCGCAACGGTAATAAGTGAGTGGTTTGTTATTGAGATGACGCACTTCCACGATCGTGAAGATGGCGCTAAGGGCGACCCCAACCATGAAGACGAGGAGAAAAGCCCTGTGAGCACTTTCGTAGCGCTTCGTGTCGAATACTGCGAGAAGAATTAGGCCACATGCCCCCAGCAAAGCGCCAAGGCACGCGAGCGTGTTCAACACTTTCTCCCGCTTCCGCATATGTGGATTCAATCCGAACCCGGGGTTCTCAGTATCTGTAAATGATAAAGATATGCACCCGCAACTCACCTCGCAGAGTGCCTCAGGTATCGCTCAATTACCAGGCATAGAAAGAACCCAACACCTGTGACCGCACACCCCGCAATGAACAGAGGCTTGAGATAGCTCGCGCCGATATCAGATATATAGGCGATCCTTCCTTCTTGTGACACGTATCGCGGTTGGCCAGATGCAAGCCAAACAATTAACATTGCCCAAAGCATGCCTGTACATTTCGAAACGAAAAAATAATTGAATTGTGGAAAGAATACGGCGATTCGACCCGGGAACACTCACCGAACCATGTTATCGCACTGACGATAGGGACCCAGACATATGCCCAATGCCGCTTTTCCAGCGGTATAGAAACCATAGCGTCGACTCCTCGGATTCCGAAACGACTGCGCCTCGAAATACCCACCAACCGTCAAACCCTGGCCTGGTCCGACTTGTCTGTCTTCCTTCCGCCCAACGGACGGTTCTTGGACTTCAATCAAGGCGTGTACGTGGAGTTAGATGTCCACAAGTCTAGTATACGCGTTCGTAAAGTGAAGAGGAGGGGAGACAAGGGCCCCACACAACCTCAGACGACACCGCGCTCCCTGGAACACCAATCGCATGACATCAGCCTGGAGGTCAGAGTCCAGACATTACGGAGATCCGCGAGCCCGTGATTCTCTGTGAAACTCGAGGTTGAAGGCTTGTTGTTGAGCAGAGACACAAGTCCCGGAGAGTCTTGGTTAAAATTCGAAGCCTCTGCAAGAGAAGCTGTGTTGAAGGAAGAGAGAACAAAACCAACCAATTCGTCAAACCTGATTGGTTATTTGGACCCTTGACCTCCGCCATCCCCGGCTGCTCCGGAATGCCCCCGCCGTCGGCGAGAAAACAGGCGCCCTGACGCGCCACACCTTGTTCAGCGCCAATTCATGCAAGGCAATGATCGCCAATTGTTTTATCGCACTGTGAAACCTGTAGGGTTGTCATATGGCCCTCAATCAATATCCTCTATGCTACGATTTCTCCTTGTGCACGGTAGTGACTTGTGAGAGTACCTGTAGAGGGTGTCGATGGCTGTCCGGTCCAGCAAACCTCGTCGCAATGTTTGAATCAAGCTCATGATTGGGACTCCCGTACATGGTCTGCGAAAGGGCGAGGGACGCCAGTAGTCACCCAATACCCTCATATAGACGGTTTAAAATAATTGGAACTACATGGTGAATAATCGGAAACGAGGGTGCAAGAATCAATGAGACGCTTAGGTTGGGATTGGCTGGTCTTTTGTCGGAGTCCACTATATTCATTGCGAAGCCAGGTTTGCATCAAATAGTCGAATACATGGGCCCGGAATGCAGCTCCAACAGCTGTGGTGTGGCACATGAACGCTCCATACCAACGGGAAGGAAAGGGTACAGCCATCGCACCATTGGCCAAACACCACGGACCTGCCACTCGAGGTAGGTCCGATTCGCGACACGCCATTAACGACTCGGATCCTTGTCTCCACCCATCCAATCAAGACGAAAGGTACACTCCCGAAGACGCGAAGCCCTTGGACCAAGGGAGGTACTAGGTTCGACTCGATGGGACACAAGTGGGAATTTTGGATACCCAGAGTGAAGGTGCTATTTATTGCAAAAAAGGCTGTTCCCCTACCTTGGTCACGATGTTGAACAGAGACTTTCAACGAGTTGAAGGGTATCCATATTGTAACAAACAAGTAACAGCGACAACATCATGTTCACTGGGGGACAAGATCATTATAAAAAAGAACCAAAAATAGGGGCATTATGGCGAAAGAAAACAAACGAAGATAATGTGGCTGCGAGAGGTGGCAGCAGAAAGACGGTTCATGATTGGCCGCAACCACCGCCTGGCTGACATGTCGATACCAGGGAGCTGGGGAAAGGGGAGGGAGCTGCGTGAACGCCGCAAGCAGCGAGCTTCTTGAAAATCTATGGGTAAAAATCGGTAAATATGATTCATCGCATCAGAAATGTAAATGTATCGCCATACCTGGACATATACGTCTGATGACTGTCCCCCACTCACAGCCCACTTTTCATCAATAACAGTGATTGGCACACCAGTGACTCCCTTCGCCCGGGCGGCGTTGCAAAGGTCGTCGACCTCCTTCTCCAGTTCGTCGGATTTGAGGAATGCAATAGCCTGGACATACGGTCAAAACGACAAACGAGCACGCGATGGGTCGGCACTCACGTCACTCTTGCTCATAACTCCACCGTCCTCTGCCAGTTCCGCAAGGACGTTGATGTCCGAGATGTCCCTGCCCTCCTCCATCGTGGCCTTGAAGATAGCAGACACTAGGGGGGTCTGTAATTTCTGACCACCAAGTTTCCGGGCCTTGAGCGCAAGTCGGTGGGCGAGTGTCGATTGGCTCATGACGCCCCTTAGGGAGCTAGTGTGAGAGCGCCACCGTCAAGAGGTGAACAGGGTACAGGTCTTCGAGAGGGACGTACACAGGGATCCCCTTCTCTTCAGCCCAACGGTTGATGTTGTGTTCCATCGCAGTGAAACGCTCCTTTCCGATGAACTTTTCGAGGAATTCCTCCTTCTTGTACTTGTTCGGACATGAGGTCGGAAGGACGTTGTTGCTAATGAGCCTGAATGGCATATGTTCGATCTCGAATTGCAAGGGGAGATCTAGGGTATCTTTGCAGTAGGAGATAGCTTCGAGGAGTTCATGTTGACCTATACAGCAGCTAACACACACCTAGGAGAAGTTGTGGTCAGTTCCGAGCACGACGCCCAAGCAAGATAAGCATCGGGTTTGGAGACTCACAAAGTCGGTGATCACAGTCAACTTGACGACGCGAGGTGTCGACATGGACGAGTCGCACGGCGAGGAAGGCGGTTGTCGACGATGAGGACGAGCAGTATTTAAGGCGGACTATTAGGAGGGGAATTTGAATTGCAATGGACGGAGGATCATGAAGACGGGATGACTGAAGCGGCCTATTTGCTGACTGAGCCCTGTTATAATACCACAACACGGATCGGTGATCGCTCATTTTTACTCAGATTCAATTCAACATTCTTCCTTTTTCGGCCTTCGTTAGGATAAATTTCTGCCCTCCCTTCCCTACTCCATCCAGCAGCAGAAGCGTCAAATGGAGAAACACGAAACCCTATTTACTAAGTCAAAAAAATCACACTGTGCTCGTGGTCAAACAAAATGCAAACAAGATCTTGGCTGCATTTCCGCGGAGAACTACTAGCTAACGGAGGGTAGCCGTCTCACCATCAATGGTCGTAGGCACCAAGTCCATCTTCTGAACCCGTTTCCGTCACTCTTACCCCGGAGCCCGGTCAATTGCCACATTGTTCAAAACATATCCCCCACCTCCCCGACACCTCGACAAACCACCACGTGCGAGCCCTCCTAATCTTCCAAATCATGCGGGTCGTCGTATCCGAGCCCGGGTGGCCAGCGGTCGAGGTAGTCGCAATTCTCGACGACCATCTCCATCTCGTTCGATAGCCAGTCGAGCCGATGCTTGCTTCGCAATGCGCCCCGGCTTCGTCGATCTATCCGCACCTTCCCAACGGGCACCTTGCAATCTTTCCGTGCGACCAACAGCCAAACGAAGAAATGCACATTCGACCCCGATAGCTGACGAATGGTGAGGCTGGTAAGCTGCGGCCATGGCACTGGATCAATCGTTGTCTGGCCATCCGGAGGACACAATTGGTTACAAAAGCTTCCCAAGGGGCAGTCATCTATCCCCAGCGATTCTAGGGAGGGAAAATTGGTAATCAGCTTCATAACTTGGTGGTCTTCAAAACCGCAAGTCTCCAAGTTGAGATGCTTCACCGAAGGGTTGAGCTTGGTGCCAATAGCCTCCACGCGTTGCAGATGTAAGGTTTCGAGCTTTGGCATCACCATGGTGGGTACGACCATATCCATCGAGGTATAAGGTTCGCGGATTCGGAGAGAGCGAAGTTGTGGGAGGAGGATGTCTGACTGTTTCTCGAAGGGGTCACGGGGATAACGAATACAGAGTTTGTGCAGTGATAGATTGGTCAGGTTGGGCAAGGTCTGGACTAGACACTTGAATTGTTCCCGGGTCATGAACGTCCTTTCCCAGCCATCTAGATGTAGCGTCTCCATCGAGGTCCAGTTCGGGCGCATGGTACCCAGAGCAGCACCTCCCAAACGTAGGAATGTGAGCTTGGGGGTGCCATGAGGAAAGATAAGCGAGGGATCGAACTGGTATGGCATCCTCGGCGAATTCGGACCTCCGCAATGGGTTTGTTGAATGTTAATGGAGAAGTGTTCCAAGTTGGGCGCTTCCAGTCGCTCGAGCACGCTCGAGAAATCGATGACATTTGCGTAGCTGACCAGAAAGGAGACGCGACGCCAACGCTTCGAATGGGAGCCGATAAGCTCTAGAAAGGCTGGGTAGCCAATGTAGCTACCACCCAAATTGAACGCCATGTCCAGGTAGCAATCGCCCGAACGTGTGAGATGTGCGTTGAGGCAAGTCAACGTCGACTCTCCTGTGAAGCCATGGCGAAAGCTCATGACGATTTCGTTCCAAAGGAGTGGCGTATGGCAGATGATTTCTCGCCATGAAACGCAGACCTGTGAAGTCGAGACGAGAAATTTCAATGCCTTCTGCTGTGCCTTTTGTGAGTTGGAATATCGGTGGTCATTGTGCACCATCGTAAAGATGGTGGACATGACTTCGTGGGGAAGGCGGAGAGCAGGGTTCTTGTTATTTCGAAGACGGGCGTATCTTGCATTTTCAATGTCCAGTAGTTTATCCGTTTCTTCTATTTCTCGGAGAAGCCTGACTTTGGTGTCTTTCAACCTCTGGATATTGGCCTGGACGATGAGCTCCTCAGCAGGCTCATCGTCGACGCAGATCATCCTTTCTAATGCGTTCGCGGACTGTCGCAGTGAGAAAACGAGCTTACTGCTTGTAAGGAGAGCCCACACCTTTCTCGACCTCGAGCTCGGGCCTACTGGGCTCAATGTCAATGGCCAACATCGTTTGCATTTTCGAAGTCGAGCCACAAGTTCAACCAGCCTCGATCGGCATCTTGCTCAATTTTCTCACGCTTTTCCTTGCCGCTGTGCCGGAGGGAAAGGACGGCTGTCCTGTCCTTTCCCTGAAGCTTGCCATTCAACCCCCAGGCAACAGAAGTGCAAGTGCTTATCTGTACGTCGACGCTGAACTCACACAGGGAAGTCCGTGCTCTAGGACCATCGTCCCGATTAGGAAGGGCAGTTCAGAGCTTAAGCGCCCATGCCCTCCCCCCTCTTCCCCTGAACTTACGTATCGCACGAATTCCAAACGAGATCATTGGTTTCACCAGAACCAGTTCTCTCCTGCTATTGCTGTTACGCTCTTAACAATTTCCGCTATAAGGCCTGACCTACCTTCTCTTGGATATATAGTTAAGAGCGCTGGCAAGTCCTAGTCAGATCTCCATCATCTCAGAGCTGCAGTACCAGACCCGCAACCTACTCTGCCAGGGCCTGCAGTTACCTTCCGGCGGTAGCGACCTGCTGGTGCTGGGTTTTCCGCTCGTTACTTGATCAAATACAAGCACCTTCTACGGTGCACCTGCCCTCAACAAGACGCGGGCACGCATACAACAAGCACCCACTGGCAGCTCTCCCTGGGTGGGCATTGTTCATGGACAGTGGGCTTACGGAAGCCATAGGGCTACCCTAGCCATTGTAACTGCTAACTCGCCTACAGCTTGGTCATCGTCGGCGATCCCTCGGGATGAGCATAAGGTGCTCGCATGGGGCATGGCGGTATAATGGAACGGATAGGCGGCATCAAGGCTGGACCCAAGTAAGCAGACTTTTGCCCGCTGTATTGACAAGATGAAGTGTTGATGAAGCTTTCCACTTGTACATTGGCGCAACAGAATGCCAGTGTCAGACCGGCCACTGTCCTTGAGCACATGGGGGGATGCTGGAAAGGGAGCAATGTCCAATTGGAAGGGAGAAGAGTATGGTCTTTCCACTTGTCCAGGCATCCCGGATGTAGCTTTAAGTGGAACGGCAGCTTCTCCCACCAGCCGCGGGTAGGAGAATGCTTGCTAGCGCCTCGGGAAAACAAGGGCTTGTCGAACGGTAAGAGGTTGGGCCTTTGAAATGGATGTTTCTGATTCCACTGAGCGTCTAGTCTATATTGAGACATAATAGAGTTACTGGGAACGCTATCCCGGGTGTCCAATAAACTGGGCGAGCTTTTTCGCGAATTACTCGTCGTCATAACCCTGGACTGGTCTCCGTGCCCTGTTTGGGACTGCAGACATGAGTACAGCATGGCAAAAACAGAGAAGAAACACCTACGAGGATATCCAGTAGGAAGGGGGGGAGGCTCTACATAGCCAAAGTGCCTACGGATTGGAGGCACACCGATGGCAAGAACGGGTCCGATGGCGCCAATAACGCAGGAGTAGAAAATGACTGGGTTTTCGTGGGCTTGACGTTGCTGAAGAAGTGTTCAGTTTTGTTCAGCACCGGTCACGAGCTACTCACCAAGTACCGGTATGTCGAGCGGAAAGGAGAGAACAGGGAGGCCATTGTCGAACGCGAAGGTAGACCAAAGAACGTCGCACTCGTTGGCGGTTGTGGCCGTTGGTTTGCTTAGTCAGCCATTGATGGGACTGTTCCCAAGCCAGTGTACAGCACGAACCTTGCTCTCCGCCATCATCCACGACCGCCAGCTTGTTGTTCTCTGCGCCGAACGCTGTCCAGAATGTCTATGGAACAGAGTATTAGCTTGGAAGAGACCAACAAGATTCGTATTTCCCTTGGTCTCAAGCCTTTGACCGATGACAAAGCTCCTACCGAAGACAAGGAAAAGACGGCTGAGGAGAACTATGCGAAGCTAAGGGAAAAGGAGGCAAAGGAGCGCGAAGCAAAGTGCGTATATCTAACCTCCAATCAATGAAATACCTGACAGTTGTTTTCTGCTTCTTCTTCAGACAAATCCAGGATCGCATAGCCAAGTGAGTACACCACAACCTCTTCTTGGCAGTTACTTCCATTTCGTTGGGTTTTACAGACCCATCCTACCACGAAGAGACTAGGGCACTTGGCTCATACACATCTCTTATAGGGTACGAAATCGACGGGAACTTAATGCTTCGTTGAAAGGTGCAACTTTGGGTGATGCAGATGGAGACGTAGACGACACCTTGAAATGGCTCAAACGGAGTAAAAAGAAGGAAAAGGAGCTTGCAAAGAAGAGGCAGAAGGAGCTGGAGGAGATGGATAAGGCCATTCAGGCCGAATACTCGGAGCGTGAGTGGCGCAAATACCACATTCTGCGTATGGTGCATCTGACCCCATGGTGTAGGTGACCTCGCTGGCCTTAAGGTCAGCCATGACTTTGACGAACTGGGAGAGGGCGAAGATAGAATCCTCACGCTGAAGGATAGCCGTATTCTTGACAATGAAGGCAAGTTTATGCACATGAATTTATTGCTGATATACTGACAGGTTTGCAGAGGACGAGCTACAGAACATCGAGATGGCGGAGGAGGAGCGCCGGAAGAAGAACCAGGAGCTTAGAATCAAGAAGCGCGATTACACTGGTTATGATGACGATGAATTCGTCGAAGGGGCCCAGTTCAACATGAAGCGTTCAATTCTGGCAAAGTATGACGAAGAAATTGAGGGTCCGAAACAATCGGTACGTGTCTGTTCTCTTATGCGGCCATTCCTCGAATCTCATATTATATCAGGAATTTCGGTTAGGCTCTTCCACATTATCACGGAAAGCTAAGCAGGAAGAAGCCAAGCAACAAGCAGCTGCAGCTGTGAACAAGTCACTCTTGTCAATTGACTATGCCAGTAAGTGATACCTACTAACATTGCGGGACGGCAGCTGAGCCAACTGTACAGAGAATTTGGAGACGGCGGATTACCTGCAAGAAGGCGACGTTGGCTTTAAGAAACCTAAGGTAAATTACTCATGTTACTCGTTCCAATCGCTTTTCTGACCCCTCGGTTAAAGACTAAGAAGAAGCGTTCATCTCGTCGCGCGCCTCTCGACCCAGAAGACGGGGACGACAAAATGGACGTCGATGTAAAACCAGTGCCTATCGAACGGGACCTGAACGCCAACTTCGTCGACGATGACGACCTCCAAGCAGCTCTTGCACGATCACGCAAGGCCAAGCTGGCCAAAGCCAAGAGGCTATCCCCAGAAGAGCTGGCAAAAAAGAGTGAGTTTCTGGTGTATTTTTTCAGTGTTTGTCTATTCACATTTCTGCAGTCGCAGAGCAACGGGCGCGGGAATCAGCTGAGGTCAAGCATGAGGAAGAGGATGAGGGTGGACTCGTCTTTGACGAGACATCGGAATTTGTTCAAGCGGTGGGAGTAAACCCCATCGTGAAACCTAAACAAGAACCCAAGGAGCCCCAAATCCCAGATGCAACAGAAGCAAAACCCGCCCGACGTTCAGAGTCTCGCGATGTTTCGATGGCCCCCGGTGACGTTCCGATGCACGAACTCGAAGCAGGCGAGGTTCGTGTTAAGGATGAGGAGGACGAAGAGATGACCATGGCCATGCTTGACGACATCGAAACAGCCTTCAAAGACGAAGAGAAGGACGTGAAACAAGAGGAGGAAGATCTGGGTGTAGGTACCTCTTCCGAGCAAACGTTCAACTCCGGAATGGCCGCCACGCTCAACATCCTCCGACAACAAGGCATTCTCGCCGCACCAACAGAGGATCAACTCGCTCGCGAAAGGACACAGAAGCAGCGCGATCTTTGGCTTGCAGAGCAGCGGTTCAAGATCGCGAAAAAAGAGTTGGAGAAGTACAAGGGCAACAACCGTGACCAGGCTCAGCGTGAATACGACAACCGACTACGGGAGGTTCAAGAAAGGAGGCAGAACATGGAAGACTTCAACAATGGATACAAACCTGATGTCAATATTGCTTACTATGACGAGCATGGAAGGGAGCTCTCAGTGAAGGAGGCTTGGAAGGCTCTTTCGCACAAGTTCCACGGCAAAGGCCCGGGCAAGATGAAGACGGAGAAGAAGTTGAAGAAGATTGCTGAAGAGAAGAAGAAATTGGCAATGGCGAGTGGCGACACCCCCCTAAGTATGAACAAGGCTTTCCAGCAGCGTCAAGAAAAGTTAGGCCAAGCCCACTTTGTGTTATCTGTTGGAAACCGAGGGTGAGCTCTCCATATTCTTTATTTCTCGTTTGCATGACGCTGACGGACCTTTGCAGTGCTATCCCGCAAGCCGCCGAATTCCTGGAGACCCAGCCGCTCCAAAAGGGCAAGACCGAAAAAACGAAGAAGAAGAAAGAGAGCAAGGCCGGGCAACTGGTGGCCGAAGGAGGATTTATGACTCTTCCTGCACCCGCGATGCAAACTATCTCAAACGGTACTTCAGGGAGCGGCAGTGCCTCTGGTTCACCTGCACCGAAGCCCGGATTCTCTCGCATCTCTTCTGTTGCGGCTACGCCGATCAACTCTGAACCACAGAGTCAAGGCGGTACCCCTGTGCCACCAGACCGTGTCAAGGTCGCTTTCGGTCTTGGAGTCAAGCGGAAGGCTGGGGAGGAAGCAGCCGGCTCACCTCCACCTAAGCGACGATAAAGTTGCACTACAATAGCCACCGTTTCTTCTATGTTCCGATGATGCCTTTACACTGTATATTACATTGACGGGTCCTTAATGTTCTACAAGGGGTGGCAACAAGACAGATTTGCCGACCATAAAGTAGATCGTGAAAGAAAGTACTCATAGCGCGCTCAGGGTCGACAGGTGGAGATCTTTGGCAACCATACTGCGGTCTTTATCCAAGCCTGAACCGCTTTCGAAAGCCTTGATAAGGGAAGCTTGACCCTCGTCGATCCTTGGATGGGATCAGGAGAGGTGAGCCGAATGGATATTGCAGGGACCTACCATTTTACTTCTTTCGCTTGCTTGTCAAGCACCACCTTCACAGTAGACCATGAGAACCGGACTATTTTGGGGAATCCAAAGACAGGATCAACTGCGTTCTTCAGCCAGGCTTGTGTGTTGGGATCTTGGGATAGCAACGTTAAAATTGAATACGATGTAAGCGCTAGGAAACGGCAGAAAATCACGAACCTGAAGGATATCCCGACCCGAGCGCTTTACTCCACTTGGACTTAGCATTCCCCCCGTCTTCCTCGAACACCCACTCCTCAATACAGACGTCTCTCGTCACCTTAGCAGCTACACTAGCCGCTCCTACGATCTTGAATTTTGAGTCGGCTTTGTTGGCTACCGTGAAGTCAATGCCTGGGAATAAAGAGGAGAGGTATGCTTCATAGGTAGATGTGTTGCCTAGGGCGTCTACATAGACCTGTCGAGGAGTGGTCCGCTGATTTGACAATGAGAACGAGAATAGCGCGACTGACCTCAGTGACATTGATACCTTTGTCTATGACCTGGCGGATAAGACCAATCGTTGCGTCTTGAGATTGCTTGTTCAAGTTCGTAGGCGGCTTTTTGAGCATGCCGCTGGAGATTGCTTGTGGTCTGAAATAAGAGCAGGTCAGCCTCCTGACTGTAATAGATTTGAGAATATAACACCGTACGCTATCACCCGTACCGACCATCCCAGATTGCTAGGATCCGAGCAGAGCGTTGAGATCAAGGACGAGCGAGTGTCAGCGGTGAGCGTCTTTGAATCTGCGCACGCCTCTTCAGCTTCGTCAGAACACGCCAATTAGGAGTTCGAGCGCACCTGCAAAACCAAGTTCTTCCAACGTCTCTTTATATGCAACAGGGCAATACGCCACGCCATAAACGAGAGGGCCCAGTACCGGACCCCGTCCAGCTTCGTCAACACCTAGAATGTAGGGACCAGGCGCCGTTGGCAATGGGGAATGATACGTATATGACTCTGTCAATGGCGTAGATGGTCCTGGGACCGAAGGCACTGGGACGTGGGCTGTTTCCTCGGTTTCTGAGTCGGACATGGTTGCAGCAAGACGACAGTGAGGACGCGTCCCAAGTTTACGCGTTATTTGCTCCGCGTTGGACATCACCCAATTTAGCTCAAATAGTGCTCGAACGGCCTCAACAACATTGCAATAGGGAGAATAGACCTGCCACAAAAGGTTTTATTCACTGAATTTACGATACATATATTCGGTCTCTGTCAGGTATGCTAGGCCCTCCAGTGCCACATGCGGAGCGAATACTAACGTGGTTCACCAGCGTTCGACCAACCATGGAGCATTTCCTGCAAGCCTCGGTATCGGATGGAATATTGCATAACTATCGTGATCCTTGAGGCATGAGGACGAGGGAACCCGGGCGTAAACCCCCGTTCAACAAGGAAAACGCGTTCATGAAATGTGACGACTGGCAAAGGTCGAAAGCGTCCCCCAAAACCTATAGCCTTCCAAGTCGAATTACTGAATGTTGATTGAATGGCGAGAAAGTCTTGACCGTGATTGCGAAATGGCGAACAGGTCGGGTGCAGGCTCGAAGCATGAGGTGGGAGATTAAAGTTCCAGTCGACTCTCCGGGGGTAGCGCAGGATCCTGAAAGGTGTGATTGCACTTGACGCAAACATAGAACAGAATCATTCGGGTCTCCTTGCGCTTCGATTGATCCTGGTAAAAGACGGCGCTAGATGTAGAGATTAGATCCTGGGTTGTATGGTTAGTTCTCAGAGGAAGAAGCGTACTCATCGTGGCCGCATTTTGGACATGGGATATTGGAATGGGCCTTGAGTCAACTATGAGCATACGCTGGCAGAGGACTTCAGAAATTCGGACGCACCAATGTAGGGTCAGACCCTAAATCCGTGGTCACTCCGACTTGCTCTCTAGAAAGTATCAGGTCTCAGGTTTCGCAAAGCAGGCAACGTCCATACTCACTTGGTGACGGTGAGCAAATCGTCCTTATAGACGCACTTATTCTCAACTACCTCCTCGTACGAGCAAATGCGACATGCATAAGCCAGCTGTTGTCGCGCATTGTCGCCCTTGGGGTAGAGCAGGTTGTTGCATTCAGCACAGAAGTGAAGCGAAGCCTGTGATGATTTCGTTACTGATCCGTAGGAAGAGAGTAAAGTGCCTTGTTGCATACCATCTAGTCACCAAATCTGGATTTATTGCCCGTGGATTGGATATTGCAGCAGTATTCGTTCGGTAACGTCTTGTGGGCAGTCAAGGAAGGTCCTGGTTAGGCAGCAAAGGCCTTCTCTTGGCATCTATTGTGGGAAAATTAACGGCATCGCGGCGCCATTTTTCCCATCCTTTCACGGGCGCTTGTCCCGATTCACTTTGGCCCCGCCTTCGCAGCTTCCGCTCCACACGTAACATGGGTGCCTCTATTTCCTCAAGAGGGACCAATCGAGCAAGTACCTGACAAAGGCGCTCATTGGCGCACCGACTTTCCATTCAGAGCATAATCAGAATGCTAGCTGGACAGGGGGAAGGTCCAGGTACTCGGGCTTGTTTCAGGAATCTGTTTTGCCAGCCAGGATGTGGCGAAACGCCTTGAAGGCGCCGGTCACTATGTTGACAATCAATCTACTGTAAGTGAGGGGTATGCAGTTACCGGAATATACGATGATCTGATTTGTGGTTCACTTGCAGTAATGGGTCTACACCCAAGGCGAGTCATCTGTTCTTCTGCGTCCTATCTTGAGGACATCTTTCAGACTGGTTTAATAGAGCACTACGATCTGGTATTTGCTCCAAAACCCTTTTATCACCATGGGCTACACCATCTTCAATGATACTCTCCGTGTAATCACTTCTATCAAGTTGAGAGGACGAAGAGCCCTCCAAAGTCCTGGACGAACCACCGTCCTCCGACCTGCTTGATGTTCCCTCCTCCCTCATCAGAGCCGTTAGGTCATGCACCGCGTACGACTCCGTCACTCGCACCATTGGACTCGTTCACCTTCGAAAACCTCCAGTACTCCTTCTCCAAGCCCAATGCGGCCCAAACTTCAGCCCTGAAGTCGCAAAGGGTGGATCTCAGCCGTTTGAAACCCGTCCAGCACTGCAATATGCCATGGTTCCCATTACGTTTGAATACTTTGGGATGTCACAGAAATGGCTTCAATTCTTCGACCGGTTTTGGAGACGCCATTTCATTCCCCCGACGAAGGATCACCCAAGGGATCACCAGACAGAATTAAGGTTCGCCGTCGAGGCCCCGATGGCGCACGCACTGAGCGCCGGGATGGGAGAGATTCTCTTGTTCGCCATGGATTATTCCGTCGACCAAAAGTCTGACGGATTGTTCCTCTACCACTGGCAGCTGCACAATGATATTTGGCTGCAGGACTCGGGCAGAGGGAAGAGCGCCGTCGCCTGGGAGATGCACTTTATTTGGACGTGACTGTTATCGTCGCTGTGGATAAGTATACCCCATGGGAAGTTCTCGACGACCTTCACTCGGAACATTGTTCCAAAAACAATTTCGACAACCTTTGGTTATGTCGATCAAGCTACATGACGCCTCCTGAGCGACAGGCCAAAGTACGACTACTGTAATGCCTATCAGAAGGCAATGTGGCTAGTTAAGTAACCTATCCCACTTTCATCACGTTCGAGCGAGACTCGGCGCTCCCTGTAAGGAGGCCACTTACATCGACATACTAAAAGTCAGAACGCCGAACTTCCTCTCTCTCCATGCATAGAACCTCCTGATTGCCACTGGTTCAACAGATGCAATTGATCAAGAACTCGGTTCCCGCAACGCTGTGGATCGTTCATATTTGCCCACTCTGGAATGATATTGGAACCCAAGACGGTGTTTGTACTATTTATATATTAACTCGAATTTTGCGTTTTACTTCTGAGGGGAGTCTTCGTTCCGTCGCTGGCGGAACCTTGGTTCTGGACGCATCTTTTTTCGAAACGGGCATTAACAATGGAAGGATCTTTGGACGGGAGGGTGGGACCCCAAGCCCTGGATTTCAATCTCCGCTTGAACTTAGGATGAGGGCGTGTAGGATTGGGGGTGTTTCAGAGAAAAAAAGAGGAGTAAATTGTCGAGGGAGGTGGTTGTACAAGGAGTAAATATATGGTGTAAATAGGAAGAATGAAGAGTGAATGAGGGATTGTGAAGAGAAAAGGAAGAAGTGTGGGTGATCGGGGGCTGTGCACGGAAGCAGTGAGAGTTTGGAGTGTGGGTTGGTTGTCGCTGCTCACGACGACGAGAAATCGAACTCGACCGCGAGATTCAGCTTTTGGCCCATTTCCTTCTCTCCGCCCCTTATTTTTTCTTCACAAGAGTGCCCGCCTCTTTGTTTTCTTGTCTTCCTCCTCGTCGGCTTTGTTATCTTCACCGTGTCTGGACAGCGGCGCTAACATTCTTCAACCGACACCTTCCTTAACATCACCAGCGTTCCACAATGGCCTCGACACCTAGACACAACAAACAAGGCAGGAAGGGTGGCCAGGAGCCTGTTCGGTATGTCCTCAATATCGTCGTCTGCGATGCCAAAGCTCAGATTGCTCGTCGACCTAGCCGTGCTCCTGCCTGGACAGGTGCCAGAGCTTCACCCACTTTCTCACCCTCAAACACACCCAGACCCCAGAGCACACAGTCCCCAAGCTCTTCTGCCAACTTCCCCTCTCTTGGCCAGGCCAATGGTGGTATTCGTTCCGATCCGCCTCGTGACCGTGTTCTCCAGTCTTTGGCTGGCTTGACGGTACGACCGTGTCTGACTTTGCCGTGCTGCCAGAGTCTTGACGCTTTTATACACAGGGTATGACAGTAACGCTCTTAACAAAGACAGGCCAGCGATACGAAGGCACCGTTTCCTCCACATCCAACGAAGGCGATACCACCGGCGTCACTCTCAAGGATGTCAAGGAAATCTCAAATCCCGGTGCACCACTCAAGGATTCCTTGTTCATTGCATCCACCAACATCGATTCCTTTACTCCAGGTGCCGCTGATGTCAAGCCCCCCAACGGTGATTGTAGGTCTTATCCCAACAACTCTCGTCGACTTATGCTTATCGAGGGCGACTCCTAGCTTTCAGGACTGACACCGAAATCAGTGGCAAGAAGGCTCCAGCTCGTGAGCGTGAACTTAAAGCTTGGGCTGATGACGATACCCCTGGATTGCCTCCTGTTAACGACGACGATACCTTTGGCCCAAATGCTTCGGCTGGCAACTGGGATCAGTTTAGCGCCAATGAAAAGCTGTTTGGCGTCAAGGCGAGTTTCGACGAGAATGTTTACACCACCAAGCTCGATCGCAACGCCCCCGACTTCAAGGAGCGGGAACGCAAGGCTATGCGGATAGCCAACGAGATTATGGGAGTACGTAGCTGTCGACTCGGTTGCATTGGCCTCGGATTGACAAGGGTAACAGTCTGCCGCCAATAACCCTCACATCGCTGAAGAGCGCGGCCTCATCGATGACAGTGGTATCAACGAAGAAGACAAGTAAGTAGAAACTTACTTTCATTGGTATTGGTTGCTCAAGTAGCTTTAGGTACGGTGCTGTTGTTCGCGGTGCCAACGCATACATCCCGCCTGCGCGTCGTGCACAAGTGCAGCAAACCGCTGCCGCCCCGGGCCCTCCTGGCCCTGCCCCTGCCCAAGCCCCCGCGAAGGCGCCCGAGATTCCCAAGGTGTCAGTCAACGGGCCTGACGGGAATGCTGTTGCGCCTGCCAAAGCCGCTTCCCCCGCGCCCGGCAACGCCACCACAAACAATGCTAACAAGGTCTGCTTGCGTCGCCTTCAATTTTGACTTTGCTTTCCTTTTCTGACCTTAATACAGCCTCCCGCAGACCCTTTGCCCGCCTTCCGCGATTTCGTCACGAACGAGAAACAGCGTCTCAACCAGAAGAGACAGGCCCTTGTCAAGAACGAAATGGACAAGCGTATGGCTGAATTGGTCAAGTTTAGTCAAAGCTTCAAGGTGCGTGCTCGCGTTCTAGCGATCAATTCATTGTATTTACGTTATATCCGCCTCGCGTAGCTTAACAAACCCATTCCGGATGACCTTGTGCCTATTCTCGCCAAGGACGAAGAGAAGCAGAAGGCGATTCGCGAGAAGGCCAACCGGGATGCAGCTTCTGCACAGGCGAGGGCCATCGGAGCCTCAACTCCCACTACCGCTTCTCGAGGAGTTTTGGCGGGCAACAAAATTAATGCCAAACCCGCCGTCGTTCCTTCTGTTAAACCTCTTCCCGGTAACCTGAGCCAAACTACATCGTCGTCTGCTGTTCCCAAGGCCGCTGGCACCACTGCCTCCTCATCTTCGCCCGCTGTCAAGTCTTCTGAGGCCACTCCCACAACCACCAAGAAGATCAGCATGGTCATTCAGCCCATCCCTCCTTTCAAAGGCCCCAAGAAGGCTACGGCGGCCACTCCCTCGACAAACGGTGCGACCAACAAACCCACGACACCGGGACAAAATAGGCTCAGATCTAATTCCCCAGGCTCGACCCCTCTCTCTCCTGCTACTGCTGCCAACCGGCTAAACGTCAACGCGCCTTCGTTCAGAGTAAAGGTACGCTCGTCCATCATGACCGCCAACTCGAATTCATCGCGTTCCAGGGTTCCGTATCTCCCAGTCTCAGTTCTGCCTCTGCCTCTGCATCTCCCAAGCCTAAATCTGAATCTGTACGTTGACAGCACTACATTGCAACGGTCACTGACATTTTGGTTCCAAGGCCCCCGCTACGCCAAACCCATTCTTTGGTAACCGCCCCATCAAGAAAAACATTCCCGTTAACGTCAAGGACGACTTCAACCCCTTCAAGCACAACAAGGTCGCCGACGCGTCTCAAGTTGGTACGTACCTCCAGCCACAGCCGTTAACGTGCGCTAACCCGTGCTCAAGCTGCTGTGTGGCCATACAGTGGCAAGCGCTACATGGCAATGTATCCTCCTCAACATCCTCCTTCGCAGCATCCTCCCCACATGAATGCCCCGCCCGTCCCCTCGCCCATGCCCCCTCCCTCCTACGAGGAAGACTCTGCCGCTCAAGCTGCTGCGGCCGCCTCCGCACGTGGTTATGTCTACGCTTATCCTCCTTACGCCTATCCCGGCCAGGTTAGCACACTTCGTTTCGATACGTGATTGGCGCCCAGCTAAACCCTGCTCTTCTAGCCTATGATGCCCGGTATGCCCCCTCCAGGACCCCCTGGCGCATTCATGCCTGGTCCCTATATGCAACCCATGCCCTACCCGCCCGGTATGCCTCCCCCAAATGGTTCGCCTATATTCCACCAATGCCTTCTTTTCCAAACTAATCCTTCAGTAGCTATGTATTCGCCTGGAATGGCGCAGATGCCCCGTATGTGCCCCATCTAAAGAGTCCTCTCCCTGTCTCATTCATACTTTAGCCCATCAAGCTTATATGCCACCGCCCCCTGGCGCTTATCCTCCTCCTCCTCCGCCTAACGGTGCAGGCCCTCGCCCTTCGATGCCCCCCACGCCCATTCCCACCCATGCCCACCCCTACTACCACCAAAGCCCTCAGAGTAAGCGTGTGCTTTGCATTAAGTACTTGGTATCAATTAACCCATCTTTCAGTGCAACACGCCGTCCCGTATCCCATGATGATGCCACCCCCTCCTGCCGTGCCGGGCCCACATCCATATGACGGCCAAGCGCCTCCTCCACCTGTGCAAATGGGTGGACACGCATGATCTATGACTGGCTTTCACCTCTGACTTCTTACTGGCCCGCATTGGTGTAGCGATATTGTTGGAAGGGGTTTCTTTAGGTAGTTTTTGTAGCTTTTTATGTCTCACCACACCGTGCTTCGTCTCGACACACAACACACCACCGCTTTACGCTTTCTGTGCCAAACCTTTGGTGTCGAGTTTCGGCCCGCCCTACACCTCATGTCTTGTCGGTTCAGTTTCGCATCTACCCATTCTTTTGTTGTACTACCTTCGCTGTTGTACGATACCTCGCATGTTCGAATGTGATCTGGATTGACAGGCGAGTGCCGCAGCTGAGCAAATGAAGGAATAATAAAACGGTCGATATAAAGCACTATATCCTGAATACAGTAAGCAAGCCGGAATCATTGGTTAAGCGTCTATAGAGTCCTCATCGGTAACACGACATTTCCACCTTCTTCAGCAATCCTTTCAAAGTATTGCTCGTCCTATTGCAATTAGCCTGCAACCACGCCTCCATATCTACCCTGACACCCGCCAACTCCTTTGGAAGTGGCAGCTCCCCACCCGGTCTAATTAGAGTCGGGTTCAACAAAATGTCAAACAACCGATTCCAAAGGTCCGCCTGCCAATACCGTTTCAACGGTGTCCCAATCTTGTAGCGCGTCTCCCCATGTTGGCCCTGGACCTGCACGACTGCGCTGGAGGTGATATACTTCCCAAACAGCATGCAGTAAATAATTCCGGCCAAACCAAAGTAGTCCGTTTGGTACGTCCATGGCCTGCCCTCTCGGATCTCGAAACAATCTCGTTCGTCCGTCGGCCATTCTGCGATGAACTGTTGATCCGCTGGGAAGAGCCTGGTGTCGATAGTTCGACCGAAGTCGATCACCTTGAGACCCTTGTATTGCCAGCCCCCTTCTCCCGACGGCTGATACAATGAAGACCACGCTGCTGCTCCTCCAGGTACATCCTCCAGTCGCAACAAACAGTTGTCGATCTTGAGATCTCCGTGGATGAACCCGGCGCTGTGCATTCCTTCAACCAAACGTAGTAGTTCGATAGTGAAGAAGATAACGAGGAGTTCGTCGAGGCAGGCTCCTGCTTGAGAAATACCGGCTGAAGCGGCGTTGTTGACGATGTCAAGAAGCATGCCCTGGGTGCAGAGATCGAGGATGAGGAAGCTCTCATCTCCATAGGCATAAAGTCCGTGCGGAAGAACCAGAGATCTCCGTAGGTTCGCTGGAAGTGCCGAGTGGAGGCGGCGTAGTGCGTGGTATTCCCAAAGATTGCGAGGCTTGACCACCTTGATGGCCACCATGGATGCGTTCTCTTCGTCGTCGTCAAAGTCGTCAAAATCGTCATCGTCGTCGTCATCATCATCATCCCCTGTCCTCATTCCAAGATCCCGAGCCTTGTACACGGATCCAAAGCCTCCTTCACCCAGCTTTTCGGACAACATAAACCGATTGTTTTCCAGAGTAAGTGGGAAGAGGTCGGTCACAGTCGTACTATTCTTCCTGCCCCCTTTCTTGAAGAACTTTTGAAGCTGGTCCAGTTTCTGAGATGAATATTCACGGAGGTCGTAGAAATGGGAATCTGTTTGGACACGAGATAAGAGGGTGGACATGATGGGAGGATCGAATGGGTTGCAGGGATTTGGTGGCCGGAATTTCGAATTGAGAGTGAGAGTGTCGACGAGACTGAGTGCACCTGTCCGTTCTTCTAGTTGCAGTCCACCCTGGTCTTCACCATAGGCCTCTTCGTCCTCCCCTTCGTCGCGCCCTTGCATCAACTCTTCGCTCGTGTCATCCTGAAGTTCAGCTTCCAGTCGCCTGGCATCCCGAGCGGCAACCAACTCGTCTCGCAAGAATGGTGCATGTTTGCTCTTTGGTGAGCCCTCCCCATCTTGAGGTCGACCATATCGGTCACTTGGCGTTGTGCCTCCGCGTGTGCTCGTCGTAAATTCGCATGTCCGTTCCGCTATGGGCGTCATGACACTGAATTGCCCGAAGCGCCCACCGAGAGGAGCTTCATGATGGTACGAGGACCCTTCGTCGTATCCCTCTTGGATGTGTTCGGGCGCGAGAGGTGCCTGGTATTGCTCGATATGCTCCTCGTCATAGCTGTATTCCTCTTCCTGCGCATATACCTCCTCCTCCTCGTAAGCTTGTTGATGCTCCTCCTCATATGCTTCGTGTTCGGGTTCCGGCTCGGGCTCAGGCTTGAAGGCAGTGGATTGAGCAGGAGTCTTGTCAGCGAAGGGTGTGAAGGCTCGATTGGTGGAGGATCCAAAGGGGGTGAAAGCAGGTTCAGGTTTGGGATCGACAAAGGGGGTGAAAACGGCAGGGGTGGGGGTTTTGGGAGTGAAGGGGTTGGCTCTTCCTAGGGCATTCTCGTCGTTGGTGCCGGGTAGGCTGAAGACTTTGAACGGAGTCTTCGCGTTCTCATCCACGAATGGCGTGAACGCTGGGCTTTTGGAATCCGCTCCAATATCATGAGACTTGGCCCGCTCATGGGTGTGCATAGCCTTGGGTTTGGGGACGGGTTTGCCATGATCATCGGTGAAAACGTCGCGAAGAGGCGCCAATGGAACGTCTGTTTGTGGAGGGTTAAATACTTTGCTAAAGACGGGCTTGTCCGCAGATTCTTCAGAGAGTGTTGATAGCGGCTTGAAGGCGCTACGAGGCGCGTTCTCGTTCCGTGGTTGCGTGAGTGAAGGAGTCGTAGTATCCTTGAGACCAAAAGCGCTCCGAGGCGTGATGAATGGCGTCTTGTTCTGTTCGTCGACGAAGACATTGAGCTTGAGGGTGAACATCAGACAGGAAGGCTAAACTCTTGAATTGGATGCATACCTTCGAAGGAGCTGGCGTTGTCATCTTGCTCTGAGCATTCTCATCGACAAATGGCCGGAAGGCTAATTACCCCAGATTAGCTTGGAAGTACATCAAGGAACAGATGATAGCACTTACACAAACTGGGCGTCTTCGCATTCTCGTCAACGAAGGGTCGGAAGGCTAGTTCTCAGATCAGCTCAAGCTCGCATTGAACAGCAGTAGGTAAATGCTTACACAAACTCGGCGTCTTCGCGTTCTCATTCTCATTGGAGAAGGTCGGTTTGGGGATGACCATGGGAGTAGCAGGTTCGATTTTCTTCAATGGCGCATGCTTACTTCCTGGCGTAAACTTGTGGGTCTTCTCCGGGGAGTTGTACATGCCAAACACATCCGCCAATGCCTCTTTGGTATTGATCGTGACAGTCGGCTCAGCACCACCAAGCATACTCCTCCTCCGCATGCCCATAGTCCTGGTCGATTTCATATTATCGTCGTTGAAGTCGACGGGAGTGGTAGATGAAGATGATGCTGCCAGCGATGCGTAGTAGGGAAGTTCGGATGGTGGTGGAGGACCCCATTTCTTGCCCAAGAGACCCATAGATCGCGCTCGGGCTTCTTGTATACTGTATTCCACTCCATCGTCTGTCCACAGTAGCCCCATGTTAAACTTTAACTTCTCTGGTCGTTTTCCCGGAGGCGTTGGGGCGAGCATAAGAGCATATCGAGAGGCAGCAGTCGAGTTGAAGGAAACGAGATTTGCAGAGGTTGTTGAAGGTGCCGAAGCAATCGAGGCGAGAGATGCTGACCGGCTCCCAGAGGGTATCGACCTGTTACTTTGTGCAGCTGCCTGACTTGCCCTGGCCTGGAACTCTTTATATCTCGTCTTGAGACGTTCCAGGGGCCTAACCTGCTTCTCGATTCCCTGCAGATAGATCTTCTCTGCCTCACTCCGTCTACAAATGCCATCCAGAGAACCTAAGTCACAATTCACGCTTACAAAAGAAGACGGATATACGTACCTTCCTTCCCTCTCCAACAGATTTGCATAGTCCTCGTATAGAGCACTATACGTTGTTCCAATCTCCTTCTCCACCAAAAATGCATAAATCTTCGCTGCCTGGGACCTCTCCAGCTGCCTCGCATACAAAGCCCACATCTTCAAATACCTCAGATCGTTCTTGTACATCGGGTCGTCCTTGAATTGGTTCGTCGCATCTTTCAACAGCTCCAGCAAGCCGCTGCTTCTGTCCTTCTCCCCATAATGCTTCACGGTCCATTGCACAAATTGGTTGTAGGTTGCCAGTGGATCGTCGTCTTCGGTCAGTGCTTTAGCGAGCTTTTTACGATATTTCTCGCGATATCGTTCGCGGTCTGCTGCGCTTAGGGTTGAGGAGGACATGGCTGGCGCATCAAGCTTGAAGTTGGCGGGCGTTGGGTCCTTGAGGCTGAACGAGGTTCGGGGCAAGCATCGCTTTGGTTGTGTTTGACCATGGCTCGAACGAACGCGACGCGATACTCGGTCATGTGATCGAGAGCCAGATACAAATTCAAATTGAAAGAATCCTAAGCCATCAAGAACGAACCACTCCAGGACCCCCCAATACCTCGATAAAGGCCCGATACAGGTTCCCGGTCTCCCGTCCGGAGCAAAAATCTCGAATTTGGAGTTCCTGTCCGGGCGTTTATCAGGCCTCGCGCCTCAGAAACCGCAAAAAATGTCCGGGTGCGGCGCTCGTTTCGCAAATTGGCGTTTTTTTTTCCGCCGTTGAGGCCAAAAATGCCAATTTTGTCCGGGATTTCACTGGCCTTGCGGCCTCAAAATTCCCTTTTCTGTCCGGATTTGACCTCCAGCCTGTCCCCAAAACCTGAAAATCCTGTCCGGAATCCGCTCGGACCTTCGTCGAGATTTTGGGGGGTCCTACCACTCCAGATCTGGGTCATCTCAAAAACAGCGTGAATTGAAGTAAATTAGGATGAGGGTGTATTAACTATAGGTGCTAAAACATATGAAGGCTCATTCGCCTGATCTTTCTCTTGGTAATGCTGCAAGACATGATTCAAAGCCCCCTGCTCAATCGTCGTTTCCCATAACTGCAATTTGACTTTCTTCAGCTCTGCTTCCAATTGCGCCTTTCTCTCCTTCACTCTCCTTACTACCTCCTCCTTTTGCGCTGGTATATTCGACTTTGTCGCTTTTGAAGTTTCCGAACTCGTGGCGCTGCAGGTTGGCGCTGCTTTCGGCGGTGGTGGTGCTGATGGAGACAGGCTGGGGGAATGCGAGGAAGGAGGCGCCACAGGTTCCGTCTCTTGCAAAAGGGCTGAGGTGCTAGCTGTAGTCGTCTCCACCGCAGCGGTCGTCTCGCCAGCACCCTGCCCATTCACCATCAACCCGGCCAAAGGATCCCAATCTTCCAGAGAAACTTCCAGTTATAATCAGAAATGCATTCTTTAAAAAGCCAACGACCACGACCTACCAGCACTGGAGTCGTCACTGTGAGCTGAAACTTGAGTCGCCGTACCAACTAAATGCTCCGTCTTTTGAGCATGAACGTTGCCGAAAACATCCGCAATAGGATCCCAATGCATTGAAGTCCCGTCGCCTAGTGTTGATGACGTTGAAGGGGCGAGGGAAGGTGAAGCAGAAGGGACAATCGGATTCCCATTCAAGTTGCTACCGTCGCCAATGCTGGTGCCAACAAATTGGTCCAGAGAGAAATCCATCCCAAACAAATCAGGAGCGACAGGTATATCACTGAACCCCGGTGGGGCTCCAATGGGCTGAGTCAGAGTGGCGCCCGACGATGATGATTCCATAGGCGACACGTTGCTGAAAGCAGAGAACAGCATTCCATCCAACTCGCTGCCAAAGTTTCCTTGACCAGTCCCAAGATTGGGAGTCGGAGGTGAAGTCGAGGAAGGAGAGTAGAACGACTGTTGATCGGAGATCGTGTCCATCGTTGACGGTTGGTTTTGACTTGTATCCTGTTGGAATATCCGCATCCAGCTTTCCAGCGAATCATCGGCCGTATTCGCAGTGGACCCTGCATTTCCACCATCGGCGGCCAATTGGGTTGATGCAGGAGTCGGGTTGAAAGTCTGGGTCATGGCGAACAGGGAGGAGAGGAACTGATCCAAAGACTCTGCTTCTTGAGAGGAATGCTCGGGAACTGGGGTTGACGCTTTCGAAGAAGGGGCCGGCGAGGACGCTGCAGTAGATGGAGGGACAGGAGCCGCGGAAGGTGGGACCGAGGAAGGTACAGATGAAGAGGACGGAGTTCCTTGTCGAGACGTCGTCGCAGAACCGGAAGCGGACCCTTGAATGTTCAGGCCATATGTCGCAGTAATGGGCTTATAGTACTTGTTGATCCTTGGCTCGTCCTCGAATCGCGCAGCAGCCCCAACGTTTACTGTCAGGTGCTTGGGATCGTCGAAGCATTTGTAGTAACCATTCTTCCTGTACTCTTCGTCGCTAGTCTGGTTGGATTGCCCGGACTTCTTAGTTGGGATCCCTTTAGTCTTGAGGTATTTCTGTACGGCAGCTTTCCTCGTAGCAACTTTGATCAAATCGACCAACTGAACAATCAATTGCTTTCCCCTCTCCGACTTCCATCTCCGTTGGTACTCTTCCGGGCCTTCGCCTTGATGGAAAGGATAAGGGACGTCCCAATCGGCGGCACCAGCGGGTACATGACTGAGCTTCCGCTTCTTTGTCGGGTTTCCTGTTGTCGGAGGTGTCCCAACGACATACGAGCCCCCTTGCCTCAGCCTTTCCGACAAGTCCTGCAGCTGCGCACCCGACCACCTAGGACCTGAAGCAGACGTCGACGACATGTGTGCATCTGAACCCGTCCCAAGCTCCATCAACCCCTTCAGAATAAGCACGATATCCTTCTCCTTCACCAGCACCGCTAGAATCTCCTTTTTCGTCGGTATGGGGATTTCCGATGGATTGATAGTTTCCTTCAGCACAGGCGTAGTGATTTGTATTGGTTTGGCCCTGGGCTTGGGTCGAGACTTTGGTCGTTGTCTGGACGACTCCGCTTCATCTTCGATAACGATTGGATTAGTGGATGTCTGTCCCCGTAGCTTGAGTTGAGATGGGTTGACTCCGCCAACCAACCCCGCGACTCCGAGCAATGCGGACTGGCTTCGAAGGAAATTGGGAGGAAGAGGAGCAGAGGGATCCGGCAGGGGGATCTGAACTTCCGGGCGTGGAGTGGTCTCTTTCGAGACAGTCCTCGTTTTCCGCTTCCTGGGCCGACTGGCAGGTGCAGACGCCAACGGTTCCTTCTCCTTACTCTTCCTTCCCTGGGAGGCCGGTTTATCGGTGGGTTGCGCGGGCGTGGGTGTGGTCGATGTTGTTATCGATGTCGAAGCTGGCACCGGAGTGTAGGAAGCCAAGACAGGGGCTAATGGATTGACGAATAATTCAGAACTAGGTTGGGAACCAGGAAGTGCAATGGTCCCCACGTTTTTTGTCACGATGGATACGGAGGATCCACTTCCATGTTGCGTCGTCGAGATGCTTCTTCCGGGTAGTGCGAGGCCTGGCGACGGTGACCTACCTGGAGAAGGAGGCGGCGAGCCGAAGAGTGAATCTTCATCGTCGCTCATCGAAAAACTCTGAAAACTAGAATGGATGGGTGAATAGGGTGATTTGGGCATTGGAAAAGGTGATAGAAACCTGAAGACAGAGAGAAACCCTGATTTCAAGCTGTATGCATCCCAATGGTGTAACGGCGAGTTGTAAACAGAGTGGCTTGAGCTGAATCAGATTTGCTCAAATCTGACTCTCGGCACCGATCTTTGGCGAGTCCAAAAGCTATGTTCGTCGATGGTCAGCGCTCCTCATTGTGCACATAAGCGGTTCATAGGTACTCACAGCTGTGTCCAGTGCTGAAAATGACGCAGCCGACGCGTTTTGTTCGTGACCGTTGGAGGAAAAGAAAAGAGGGGACGCTTCCTGCCGCCTCGCTGATGGAATGAAAATGGTACAAACAAAAGTAAATAACGCGATCAGGGCGGCTATTTTTAACTCTTCCCTCGAGACAAAAAATCTCCGGTTTGAGGTTTCTGGATGAGGTTAGAGCACCGGATAAATAGCCTATACCTAACCGAATTCCCTTTGTATTCCGAGCATTCTGTTGTTCCTCATGGGAGCTGTGATTTCCATCATCCATAAGATGAGTCAGTATGGGAAAAGACATATATACAAGATATCTCGGATTGTAAAGAGATACAGACGAAATGGCCTTCGTGAACAACTACAAAGCACCCACCATTGAACCCATCGTCAGCATCCCAGAGGGCGAATACGATGTCAACTTTTGCGCTCCTCTTCCGCCATCAGGGTCACTCGAGTCCGACAAAGTCAGACTTGTCCCTTTCATCCCTTCCCTTCACGCCGCCGCATTCCACAAAGCCTACTCTCAGCACAGCGACGAAATCGAGAAATACCTACCAATCTCATGGAAATCCCTCCCCGAACTGCTTACCGGGTTCGAGTATATGATCCGTCGGGACCCATCCTCGATCGTATTCGCCATCATCGACAGGACGAAACCTAATGACGGAGGCAACGTCGAAGAGAGCATTGCAGGCATTATTGGATACTTGAACACCTCGACGAGAAATCTCAGTACGGAGATTGGTCCTGTCGTCGTTTTACCCTCTTGGCAGAGGACGTTCGTTTCCAGCCATGCAATCGGGTTGATGCTCAACTATGCCTTGAATCTGCCGAGCGAGGGAGGTTTGGGATATCGACGGGTAGCATGGACCGCTAATCCATTCAACAACGCAAGTGTTCGTGCGGCTGAACGGATGGGCTTCAAAATCGAAGGGATTCAAAGATGGACTTGGGTGTTACCCCTAGGCAGGGATGGCGGTAAACCACCGGTTGACGGGAAAAGAGGAGCTGGACAGGGGCGCGACAGCACCGTTCTGTCCGTGTGCTGGGACGACTGGGAGAACGGGACTAGGGAACAGGTAGCCAGGATGATGAATCGCCAATAGACCTCTATTAATACACATCTGCCCGCCACTTGACTGCTCCACATCTCTCTAACTCTAATACGTGGAGGTCTAAGTTATTATACTGATTAACGAATAGAAAGAGCTATATTGTTATTAGCGTAACGACAGCAAAACACAAACGAGAGTCTTTTTCAAAGAACGAGTGGCAGGCCAGGAACAAAACAAAGGTATTGGCGCATTAGCATTGGTATGGTAAATGTGAGATGCTACGATTCGTAGATGGGTGAGTATATTCGGTAAGTATATATCGAGAGCGTCCATCCCCTGATCCACCGCGCAGGATATAAATGGTCCTTCTTCACGTCATGAAAAACGAACAGGCATGAGGATAGTCATACTCAGAAGCCGAGCATCGAGAGCAAGCCGACGGCGAATCCAGCACCGCCAGCAGCCAAAGCACCGGCAACACCGGCAGTCAGACCAGTAGCAGCAGACCTGCCAGGGCTGCTCTTGCCGAGTTGAGCCTTGAAGGGGTTGGTCGAGTTGTCGTTGGTCTCGATGTAAGCATTAGCGTTAGGCATGTTGACGCAGGTGATGACGGGCTCAATGGTGAACTGAGGTTGATGAGCAAGACCGTCGGGCAAGATGTAACCAGTAGCAACATCAATAGCTTGCTGGAAGAGATCGTGCTGGAGGACAATGAATCCCTTGTCCAAAGTAGTGACACTTTGCAAGATGTTCTGCCAGTTGTGCAAGACCTTTTCAACAGTCGCAGTGCCGCCGTTGATATCGAAATCTAAATGTGCGATGCAAAGTTAAACCTAATTTTGGAACCAACACGACGTATCCTCACCTTCAGTGTTGAAGACAAGGTTGTCCGGAGTACGAGTCCACATAACGGGGGTAAGACCCATAGCATGGGAGATGGCACGGACACGGTTGCTGTCATTGATGGTTAACAACGAATACAGACTCGTTGAGATGGGAAAAAAACTCACTCGATATCACCGAAAGGAGGACGCATGTGGCTGGGAGTAACACCGAGGACATCCCTGATGACCTTCTTAGTCCAGCCGAGCTCAGCAATGATCTCCTCGTTGGTGAGGGTGGTCAAAGCCTTGTGACTCCAGGTGTGAACGGCGATCTGGTGGCCACCAGTGTACTGAGTTTGAAGAGTATGGGGGAAGGAAACGACACGGGATCCGACAACGAAGAAGGTTGCCTTGAGGTTAACTTCATCCAAGTATTGAAGGAGGTTGGGAGTGTAGAAACCAGGTCCGTCGTCGAAAGTAAGGCCCCAGTGATTCTTCTCCGTACACTCAGAGATATCATCAACAGTGGTGCATCCACCGCATGTCCACCAGCAGCGAGAGGCGTCGTTGGTGAACGGAAGGTTGGCGGGGTCTTGGCATCCGGCTGTGGTAGACATGAAATTGTTGAAAATCAGTTTCCGCATCAAGGATATTGTTTATGACGTGGACATACCACCCTTGGCAGTTGGCTCGTAGCCGGGAATTTCGATACCAGAGTTCTTGACTTCGTCAATCCATTGCTGAACCTCTGGGGAGTCGACGGGAGGGATGGCGTCGAGGTCAGGGTATTGTCGGGGGTCCCAGGCGGAAACTATAGAACGATACCCGGCGGTCAATGTCAACTCTAACACGCTCCTAAGTTAGGGAACATACTATCTGGAAGCTCGGGGGCACCCTGGACTGCGGTGGGGACTGCACCAGGAACAGCGGTAGATTCGAGGGGCATGGTGGCACGGGTGGCGACGCCTGCGGTGATAGACTCGAGAGGAACGGCAGTGGGGTTGGTAGCCCTGAGGGAGAATGACCAGGAATCTGTGGCGGGTTCAGAGCCTACAGGCCTGCTGGTGCCAGACGGTGCGCCGCTGCTGTCAGAACCCGAGGCTGTTTCGAACAAACCAAAATTTAATCATGAGAGAAGACGATAAAGTGGTGTGGAAATTACTGACGGGTGGGGAGGTCCTGACGAGCATGGAGCATGTGAGCATCACGACGAGCGTGCTCGCCATGGACGTCGGCGGCGAGGGCAGAGAGGGAAAGGAGGGCAACGACGCCGACGGACTTCATAATGAGCGTAGCACTTGACGGGGAAACTGTGAAGAAGAAGAAAGACGCGGGACAGTTGCTTTTCCCACTCGCTCCTCTTTTTCATTTTTGTGCAGCATGGAAACACGATCATCCATCAATGCCAAGTCTATGATGCCAAGATCATCCTGCCCAGTCCAAAAATAACAAAAATCATCGCAGACAACTCGAATAATCTCTCGGTTCTCAGCGTGGCGTCGTCAATCGACTCAGGGTTTTACCAACCAGGTGTCATCCCACACGTTGTTGACAGTACATGCTTCTGGACGCGTGCAGAGGACGGCGATCTCCCCAGGCCCAAAAGTCAAAGTTTAGCTTCAATTGTGGGCGAATTTCGAAGTCATGGGCCCGTAATGTCAAAGAAAGAACCCGTCCTCAAAACTTGCTATGCACACAGTACAAGTCTGGCGTTGCTTGCCCGCACCCAAGATTTTCGGTGGGCCTTTGGAGGTCTCGGCCACAACTGCTAGGCGCTTGGAAGACTGCCGAGCAGCCCGCTTGTCACCGGCTGCGGAAGAAACAAGAGACATTACACGAGGCTGGGCTTGACTTTCTGGTGTCACTGTGTACATCTTGGTGTTCATACTACGACTCGAAACTCCACGAACACATCCACTACTCTACATTCTGCGAGTCACGGCCCACTGCTTGGCACATGAACATCCTGCAAGGTGTCCTGCCGAGCGTATCGCATCCGTGATCACAGCTTCGAAGTCGCCTTGATGTCGCGGAGCTCGCCATTCTGCGGGGTAACCTTTAGCTGAAGGTGAAGGTGAAGCTTCATCAAATGGGCCTGTAAGAGCCTGTAAGGCCGGCCGAATCCCTGAGGATCTGAGGATGTGTTATGACACTCGACTTCGCCAAGACAAAGAGGCGCCCGTGAGCGCGCAGGGGTCAGACTTGACGCGGGCCTCTCAACATGGCTGTCAACTCCGATGCAATCTGCTTTAGGTGGTGGTGAACGATATAATATGTTGTAGTCAGACGGAGCGACGGGTCGACAAGTATCGGAAAGTATCACTGAGACATCGCAGAAGAAGGATGATAAGGAAAAAAATGGCTGCGAAATAGGGCAATACTACTAGATGAGAACTCAATCAACCAATGGCTAACCGCCCGACGGAATCAATCCACTGCACCAGCGGCTAAAGACAACAAAAGCAAGAACTCACGATTGCAAAGCAAGATACACACCAAATGATCATCAATTCATGGCAAATTCGTCCGTCATAGTCCGTGTCATTCTCCTCGCCATGGCAGGCGAACCACCAACACCCATTGGCATCCCACCGGCTCCCATGCCCATACCTCCCATGCCAGGGTGTCTTCCCAATCCCTGATCCTCCATACTCATACCTCCAATCGTTCCCATCCTCATTGGCACAGGGGTAGGATTACCGCCACCATAGAAAGGTTGTTGTTGGTGCTGGACCATAGGGTTGAATTGCCCAGACCCAGGACCACCGCCTCCCATTCCCCCAGGACCACCAGCGCCCATAGCCATCGCAGGCCCTCCAGCAGGGAACCCTCCTGGCCCCAAGGGAGGCCCGCCACCGGGTACACCCCGCATGTTCATCGCAGGAGAACCAGGATACCCATTCCCAAAGTTTCCGCCTGGCTGGCCCGGGTGTCGACCATGTTGTGGATGGTCCATTCCGTGACCGTGTCCACCCATCTGTGGAGGGTAGCCCTCTCTCATGGGTGTTTGATTACGTGGGTGGCCACCATGATACGGCCCATGCGCTGGGTGGGGTGGCGGCGGGGGATGTTGTTGAGGCGGCAGGACGGGTTGAGATTGTGGTTTTGTTTGAGGACCGCGTTCGGCTTCGAGGGCTTTTCGTACTGATTCAAAGAGAGGTGTGGCATCATAGTACAAGTCTGAGCCTTCTTCTACAAGGAACCTTGACGAGAACGGATTTCAGAAATGGCACCAGAATGAGCGGCTTTGACGCACTGTTGGGTTCCAATATCCCATTGAGGACCGCGCTCAGCGCGCGCTGTTATGAGCAACGAGTTCCATTCTGAGGCACTCTCCTAAGCGTCCGTTTCAAAGAATGAACTTCCGTGGCCCACGAACAAATTATAATACCCCACTCACAATTGCTTGTACCAAATCCGGAGCGGGCTGGTTGGTATCTATCCGGATTTTCTTCTCCTTAGCTTGTTTCTTTATTTCGGCTTCTAATTTCGGACCAAGCGACTGGGCGTCATGTCTGGGGACCGATATGCGAATGTTTTTGGGCGCTTTGACGATTGCCATGGTTGAAGTAGACTGACAAGGGAGAAGTACCGTGAGCACGCGGCACGTGGTTCAATTGAGAGTCAAGTTCACGCGCCGCGGCCGCTGGGCTGAGGTTCGCTATCTTCCTTTCTCCCCGTTCTCCTCAAGCGCATTGGAAGCGGCGACGAAGCCGTATCTGTGAGTGACTTCTACTTCTTCAAATAAAGGTCCAACTAATGCCACTCTAGTCCACAATGCAATCCTCATTGTCCCGTCCACGACTGACCCATACTCCCCTCCGGTCACCCGCCCCAACCCTCGAAGCAGCGAACCAATCCCAAATCGAGGACCTCGTCCAACGCAACAAAACCCTCGAACTTCTCAATAAACGCCTCACCGAGCAACTTGAGCTCGAAGTCTCGCGCCAAAAGTCCGACCTCAAAAGGATCCAGGAGGAACAGGAGAAGCGACAACTGGAATGGAGTCAACAGGCGCAGGATATGTTGAATATTTGCAGGATCACGGAGGAGGGAGTTTACTTGGAGTTGGAGGAGGAGAGGATGAGGGTTATACAGGAGATGAAGATTGCGAGGGAAGAGAAACTGGAGAGGGTGAAGAGGGATTATAAGATTAAACTTTTTCAGATGAGAGAGGAGGAGCTGGAGATGCAAGTTCTGGAGTTGGAGGAAGAGAGGGAGGAGAGGGAAGAGGTTTGGGCTGGAAGGAAGTCCGAGTACAAGGAAGCCTTGTCAGATACAGCGGCAAAGATCAAGGCTGCCGCAGAAGAGCTAAGGGAGGCCAATGAAGAAAAGGACGCGCTGCAGGTATGTACTCTGAACCTGTATCTGTTGGTTCCTTGCTTATACGCTCATTAGGAGAGACTTGACAAGCTAACAGAGGAGCACGCGACTCTGCAAGCTTCAGTCGCAACACTCAACACCAAACTCGACCGGTACAAACTCAAGTACGACGGCGCAGTCACCAAGAGTACAGACCTCGAACGTTCCAACGATGAGCTCAAGAGGACGAACTCGGAACTCCAACGCCAACTCGACGAATGGCAAAACCTCGAGAAAAAAGAAGGAAACGAGGCGGATGCTCAGCGGAAACAACGCGTTGCAGTTGAGACGGAGCTGAAGCGACTCAGGGATCAATATGATAAGGAGAGGAAGGATTTTGAGAAGCAGATTGCAAAGTTGACTAGCAAGGTCGATAAACGGGAAGAGGAAGTTGAAGAGCTAAGGGTATGTACCGGGTTCAATCATAGCATTCACGCTAACACATATGCTAGGAGTCAGTACGGGAGAAGGAGCGCGAGTCTGAGGCCGAATTGAAGAAGCTGAGGTCTAAGAACGAAAAACTGAAGGCTGAGCTCGAGATTGAACGTGCCCGTGTTGCACCTTCCATATCTCCGGTGAGTTGTAGAGAGCCTGTTCGTTCGCCTGATGAAACTGACCGTAGCTTCTCAGAACAAGGCCTCGACGCGTCGTAGAGAGGAAGAACCTGAAGAAGAATCGCCTGAAGAGGATGAACAGCCTCCGCCCAAGAAACGAGCTGCTGCATCCAAAGCGAAGTCACAATCCTCTGCTAAACCGAAACGACGACGACAGCCTTCTGTATCAGAATCGGAAGTCGAGGCCGCTGAAGAAGAGCCGGAGCCCGAGGCACCCAAACCAAAGAAAAAGAAGAAAAGGGCAGAAGAACCAGAGGAGGTGCTGGAGGTTCCTGAAGTCGGCCAACCGCGAAGGAAGAGGGTGGTCAAGGAGTCTGAAACAGAGGTGGAGGAGCCCCCGGCAGCTGGACCTTCTAGGTCACGAAGAAAGAAGCCAGTTGCAGAGCCTGACGATGAGGAGGTACAAGAAGTCCCGGCTCCCTCCAAGTCTAAAAAGAAAAAGGCTGCCAAGGAAGTGGAGGAAGAAATGGAGGAAGCAGAACAACCTGTGGAAGACGCGGAGGAGGCTGAAATTGACACTGGCAAGAAACCCAAGGCTCGAGCTCCAGCCTCAAAAAGCAAACCCCCTTCTAAAGCGGCAGGAAAGCGCAGAACTGCTGATGATGACGGGGGCGAACAATCCGAAGAACTCGAAGCCAAGGCGACGAAAAAGCGCAAGGCTCCGGCAAAGCCTCCTTCAAAGGCTACGAAACCACCTTCTCCTGTGCCGGAAGCACCGGAAGATGAGTCGAGGGAGGAAGAGGTGGTTCCCAAGAAGAAGCGCAAGATCAATCTCTTTGCCAATACGAAACCACAGGGTCCCTCGATTTTCAACTTTGGACTTCCACCCACGGTACGTCTCCTTACGATTCGATTCCATTGGTGTGTTCTGATTCGCAGTGCAGACTGATTCGAATGGATTGGACATCCCGTCGGTATTATCACCAATCAAGGATTCAGATCCTGTTCCTGCGCGACGATTGGGTCCTAGTATGCTTGGAAAGCTTTTCGGCGGCTCATAGGCGCTCTAGTAACGTTCCCATCTTCATTTCGATACCCATCTTGGCGATATCTTATCTCTTTCCTAATGGTAAAGTATCTGGAAACAAGTCTATTCAGAACGAGGTACATGAAAGAGCTCGTACAAGAAATCGAAGAATGTCGCCACATCATGAAACTCCTCTCGACGTGAACATGAGCGTGATCAGAGCGATTAAAGAGGCTTTTGGGTCTATCCACCATGACTATCATAACGATGCGCCCTCTTCAGGCATCTTCGAACCAGCAAAACGCCGACTCAGCCCAAGGAGCGCATGGTGGACTCGGAAAAGAAACATCAACGCGCGTTCTTGGCTTTTCAATTGCGACGGAAAGTTCCGCGTTTGATTTCCCACGGTCAGACCTTTGCCGTCGGTGATGGGGAACGAGCTGGCTGCCATCGCCGTCACCGTCGATGATCCACGAGGGTAACCAACGAAGCTCATATGCAATGAATGATTGTTCCGAGCTACCACATTCACACTCAACCGACTGCCTGAACTACGTGGAACTGTGATGCCTCTGAGCTTCAGGAACTGGGTGCTTCATCGTTTCGGGTCTGCCAGCAAGAAAGCCAATACTGCCCTTGCACGAATGAATTTACGACCTAATGAAGGCGACAATGCCACGAACCCGCTCATGGTGTGTGTCATTCCCGGCGACATGTCTTGTGTGAATGATTTTCAACTGGAATTAGATTCAGTTTTTCACTTGGGACACGCTCCATGAGAGTATGAGCTGGTGGCAACATCTCGAGCAAGAGATCCCGCGACTGGCTGAACAGGGATTCACGCAGATATGGTTGCCGCCTCCCAATAAGGCTGCTGAGCTGGTGTGTGATCTCTCTCTTCAATCACCGTGTTTCTGTGGACTTTTCTGATAATTCGTTATCTCTTTAATTATAGGAAGGGCGTGGTTATGACGCGTATGACCTGGTATGGCTTCAGCAACCTTTATTTGCTGTTACAACATCATCCCTTATGCGATTCTATGTTAGTGGGACCTGGGAGAGTTCATGCACAAGGGAACTACCAAAACACGTTGGGGCACACGCGACGAACTTCTCTCGGCTTGCAAATTAGCAAAGGAACACGGGATCGATATCCTGATTGATGCAGTTCTCAACGTACGTGAAGGACTTTCTTCTTATGTCTTTCCTTCCTTATTCATTTCTTTCGTGACTCCGTGTGCTGACCTCTTTGACTCCACAGCACAAATTGGGCGCTGATAGATACGAAACGTTTCATGCTGTCCCATGTCAGCCTGACAACAGGCTGAGAGATGCTGGGCCTGAGCAGGAGATTCAGGTAAGATCTCGGAGCGTTTCCAGGGACAGCCAGAGGCAACCCTAACCCCGATTATTTGCCTCGCAGGGATGGACAGGTTTTGACTATCCAAGTAGAGGAGACAAGGTATGAATCCCGTCAATCACCTTTGAAGTATTTGCGACATATCGACGCGTCGTTTCAGTACAGCAGTTTCCGGTGGACCAAGGAGCACTTTACAGGTAATGTGCTGTCGTCTTCTTGAGTGCGCGGGTAGCTTAATAACAGAATGCATGATAGGCGTGGACTGGGACCACAAGACTAGGACCAAAGGCATATACCGGATTACAGGTCCGGGCCATAAAGGCTGGTCGAAACACGTCGATACTGAACTTGGAAATTATGATTTCCTCCTTGGGATCGACGTCAGTTCATCTCCCTCTCCGTATAAAGTGGAGCATCGGCTGATAAGCTGGACAGATTGATCATCGACATCCGGACGTCCAAGAGGACCTTTTAAAGTGGGGAAGTTGGGTTTTAGAAGTAGGTTTTTTTCAAAAGCTTTGCATCCGCTGCATTCCCTTAATGACGCTGTGTTACAGACGACGGGTGCGGGAGGTTTTCGTTTGGATGCTATTAAGCATATAGATAGGAACTTCCTGCTGCACTGGGTATGATTAAATCAGTTTTTTCATTCACAAGCATAACACTGTTCACACTTCTTTCCCAGATTCAAACGGTGAAAGAACGCTCCGGAAACCCAAGGCTTTTCTTCGTCTGTGGGTACACTCGTCAACGGTTATAGAAGGACGTTTTTCACATATCGCTATCGACAGCGGAATATTGGTCCGGAAAGTAGGTGATCATGAGGGAATTCAATCACTGATGAAGCGTACTGAATTGTTTCAAAGTATCAACAACATTCTCCCTTATATCCGCCATTTCCAAGGCGAGGTGAACCTACAACGACTCGCTTTGTGGACACCAGTGTGCTAACTAGGTTCCAGACTGCCTTCTTCGATGTACCTCTTCACATGAACCTACATCACGCCAGCCTGGAAAGAGAGAAATACGACCTTCGACGCATCCTAAACGACACTGTGGTACAAACGATCCCCGGCGGTGCCGTCACCTTCGTTGACAATCATGAGTACGCTTGTCCACTTTATCAAAAACCTGACCTTTTATATCTAATCCCCTCGTCTTCTCCGTAGCACAGTGAGTCCAGAGTCGCATACTCTATCCCATAACCTTGGCAAGCCGATTTGCCTCCGTCTAGGTTATCGGACAGAGCCTACAGAGCTGGGTGAGTGCCTTGGAGATCCCACATGGTTAACTCCCCGCTCTTACCCAATCTGTCCATCCGCCTCCTCGCTCGTGCCCCTTTTCCACAGGTCCACGACAACTTCAAAGTACAGGCCTACGCGCTGATATTACTCCGAACATTAGGCTATCCGTGCGTCTTCGTCTCTTACTCGAACGCCACAGGAAAAAGCACTTGCACGAAAATGACTCACCTGTTCTTTGCCCTGTCACTCTTTTACAGATGTGTGTTTTATGGGGATTATTACCCTAACAGGGAATGCTACAACGAGGATGTGGCCAGGGGCATTCGGTTGCTGGTTGAAGCTCGGAGAAAATATGCCTACGGTCCTAGTGTGGATTATTTCGCCGACAGGAACTGTATCGGCTTTGTCCGTAAAGGAGATCGCGCCCACTTTGGCTGTGCCGTCGTACTCAGTAACAAGGAGTGAGTTAATCGTATACGTTTCTAGGGCGCACGGCCTTCCCTGTCATCCGAGGAATCTCACACGACTGAATGTATTCCCTTTCGTTCGACAGGTCTCCGACATTTGTCCATGAAATCCGAATGAATGTGGGGGCAGTAAGTGCTGCTTGTATCAGTGATGAAACCGCTCACTAACTATAAATGTTTCTATTGACCTGTTATTAGGTTGAAGCTGGTAAAGTCTATCGGAACATGATGCTAGACGACGGGAAGAGAGTCGAAATTGATGCTAATGGCTGGGGTACCTTCTCATGCTCAGGCAACTCTGTCTGCGTCTGGGTGCGATCCGACGGCTGATGCTTCAAAATCAATCAATCCTTGCTATTTGCTACAATGCCTAATGCATGGTATTACAGAAAAGAAATGTTTCCCTGCTTGAAAACTACACTACCGTGACATACATAATAATACTACAAGGGTCCAAAAGAAGGAGTGGTTACAGTGCGACGAAAGGCCTATCCTTTTCATTCCGTGTCATCGATCCTGTGCTATCTGACCGCCTTTTGGAGTCCAGCTCAAATATCTGAGCGGATTCTCCCGTGCTGGGCCTGTAGCTGTGTTTTCTTCGAAAGGGCATTGGTTGTTCGAAGTCGCGGCGAATCCTTGAGCGCTCTGAGGTTTTTGCAGCTGTACCGGCGGTCATTATGAGGTCGTAGGACTGCTCATCTCCGTCGAACATGGCGGCTGTTTCTTCGAGCGTTCGGCCTCTTGTTTCGACTATGAATGCGAGGACGAAAGCGAGTTCGATAATTAGCCAACCGCAGTACACGAGGTAGTACCACCAGCCGATAGCATTGAGGGCAATTGGGTTGATGAAGAGGTTGAAGGCGATTGTTGCCATGATGGTGATATTCTAGAAATCCCGCTCAGCAACGGAAACCGGCGAGAATGTTGGCATGCAACTCACCATGAAAGCGAACCCTTTTGCACGGATTCTAAAGGGAAGGATTTCCAAACTATAAGAAACGAGTAAAGGAGTGTAGGCGAGATCGTAGAAGAAGTAGTATAAGAATATCAGTGGTATTGTGGCTGGTTCATGCTGTCAGCGAAGAAGACCTGAGTACGAGTACTTGGACATACCTTTGGCGGCATTGACGAGGTCTTTCTCCGTAAAGAGTGCCACAGTGATTGTCCAAGCTCCAAAGGCTTCCACGGAAATGTCAGTACTACAGCCCGGGCGGCGACTTCGGAATTGACAAAAAAACTCACCGACTAGCATGCCAGCGTTGGAGATAATGAAAAGTGTACGTCGACCGCACCAATCGATGAGCATCGCGGCACCGAGGGCGATGAAGAAATTGAACACCTGGGAGCTAATGTGAGAAGGAAAAGAGGGAACAGAATGTTAAGAACGAACTTGGAGAGCTCCGTTAACAATTGCCTGACCATAGGAAGATTAGCTTCAAGTGGGAAGGATGGGGACAGGAATAGGAACTTGCCTGCGTTCTTGCATCCGAAACTCCGACACCGTCCAGGATTATCGCGATGTAATATGACACCAGACCGTTACCGCTAAAGTTATCCTTCAATATTTATTTCCGAAGATAACAGCAAGTGCAAACCAACCTCCATTGCGAGAACACGCCTATCCCGAGGATCAGTCGCATACGCCGCCTGTTTCCTGGGGTCTGGAAAAGTGACAGGTAGGACGTTGTCTTGTTGATCTTCTCTTCCAGGCGCAAGGCGTGACGAATCTGGGCCATTTCGAAGACGACAAGAGGGTCGCGTTCATCTCCCCCGTTGGCATGATATTTGGCGAGGATTTGGGCGGCTCTAGATTCTCGTCCTTTCGAGACCAACCAACGTGGACTTTCAGGAATAAACCTGCCGGAGTCAAAATGGTCAGCTGACGACAAGTGAGAACGATCAGGGCAAACTCACCACATCGCGAGGACTTGGACGACGGGGAACAGGGCTTGCATAATACTAGGGATCCGCCAGGACCATTGGCTTTCCTCCGCATGCTCGAATGCACCAAAGCACACCTGAATTAATCTTCCATCAGTATCCCTACATCTCAGAACCTGGACAGGAACGTACCCATGCGGACAGAATACTGCCAAAATACCAACAAGAATTATACAAGGCAGTGACTTTTCCGCGCTAACGACAATGAGAGATAAGTTTTCCGTTTTATGCCCGTAGATAGGAGATTTGACACAGACGTGTGTTGGATATGCCAGCTCGATCAATAGCAACGGGGCGGCGTTTGTGCAAAACGAGAGACCGAAACCAACTAAGGGAATTGGTCAGGTTTGGCCAACAAAGTGGGGATGATGAACTTGGACATACTGATCACTCGTGAGGCAATGAACATCCCGATGCTGGTCGACGTTGCCTGAATGGCCACCCCTGCAAGCATGATAATGCTACCTCCGAACAGTGCTGCACGACGACCGAACCAGTCGGAGATGAAAGGAGAGAGCGGAAGGCCCTGGTGCACGTAAGTGACTGCGCCCGGGAGTAAACGGTCGAAGTTCAACTTACGAATAAGTTGCCAAGGAACTGTGAAGACCCGACAATGCCTGCATTCGAAACGAGGATTCAGATCCCCGAGCGCGATACATTTCAAGTTCTACTGACCCAATAGCACACCCTTGGGATCGTTGAAGTACTCAGTCCATGCCGGTAAGATTTGCAGACCTGGGGACCATGAGTATGCGACGTGAGCCAGGAAAACCCAACTCACCGTTGACCAAAGATGAATCCAAGCCATTCACCACGGACGTCAAGAGGGGGATAATGAGCGCGATGTTCAAAAATAATAACCCTAGAATCACTGTTAACATCGGTAAGATAGAGGAAAAACGGGCTGTACTCACCTCTATTCCTCCACCAGTTACCATTATCAATGAGATCGGCAATGGATAGCTCAGGTAGGTCACGGCTGGCCATGGTGCGCCTTCATCAACTAGGGGGCGCGCGAGTTGGACGGACGGCGAGGAGAGGGGGACTGGAAGAAGCTCAGGAAACCACGTTGCAAGCCCCGCATTTAAAATACCGGGAGATTATAAGAGGGAAGAGAAGTGCTGCCCCGCTCCTAAAACGGTCACACCATCTCGATTCTCTGCAGGAACCGTTTAGAGTAACCGAGTTACAAATGGAGATCAGTGGCATGATTAAGTTATGGCACATAACAACATTACCCGTGGGTGCTCCTGAGCTGTTTCCAGTCTGATATGTACAGATATCGACGGTGCCATGTCGTTTGAGAGCAGACCTCTCCTCATCACCGCTGCCAGATCCCCGACAGGACGTGTTAATTACATCGAGAACTTTCTGAAAACCCTCCAGATACCTCGTCAGCTAGCTTTGTGTCGAACGGTAGCTGTGTGGGGGATACGAAGGAGAACAGTGTACAGGGCGTTGGAGCGCATCGGGCTTTCTTCGCAATATGGGGTTACGACCGAGAAAAGGCCACGGACACTTGAGCAAAACGTCCACAGTATTCCCCAAGGACCACATGGTAGAGATCCTGTGATGGTACCGCTCGAACAGCAACTTCCCAAGGCTTCCCACCAAACGTAGGGTCCGGGGGATTCCAGAGGCTCCTTCAGTCCGTAAGAAATACGGAATGTTTTTGGCCACATTATGTAGTGCCTGGCCGGCGGCCGACGTGCAAGCGCCCGTCAAAACTACCTTCTACTTGATACTGTCAGTCAGCCGAAGATGACTGGGAAGATATCATTCTGCAAGGAGAGACCAAAAGAGAGCGCTAGGATCCCATGGTCAAGCCCCCAAGAACCGTCCAGGAAGGATTTTTGTAGAGTGGCAGATAGCTGGTCCGATATAGATTTCTTCGACGAGGTTTGTGGCCGTTTGATGGAGAGGATATGAAAAACGACTTGAGCCGGATACAGAACCAGTCGTTCGCCAGTTGCCGGAGTAATATTTGATGGGACAAACAGACGCCAACGACTGACCCCACACTCAGCCTGCGCGGTTGAATATCGGTTCGAAAGGCGTCCACTACTGCTGTTACAGGCACACAAAAAGGTGAAAAGCCCTTCAACTCGTCTTGGATTTTTTGTCGGTGAGAAGATAATTCAACTTTCTACCCCAAATTCCGCTTTCCTCTGCAGGATCAACACGCCTTCCCGCGCTGTTCCCGCCCCCGGAATGGATCTTCCCATGCGCTATCTGACCCACCTGGCCAGACTACCCCGGCATCGTCTGGAGGCCCAATAATTGAAAAGCATTTCCTCTCTATGATGCGCCACTTCCTGCCGTAGGTCGAGCCGATAAGATATGTGAGATCGCTGACCTGGGCGACGCATGCGCATTCCTTGCTCATGTGATAGTTCCCGTTCATCCAGCCGTCGCTCGAGTTCTCATCAGCTCTCACCTCTTTCACCCTCCTGAAAACATTGGTTGGCTTCTTCTGGACCTCCTGTCAACCTCCCTCGGCTGACTACTTCCTGGGCGGCCCTTTCCTCTCGGGATCGAGATAATTTTGGTCGAAGGAGACTTTATCTCTTGACTTCTTACCTTGCATCAAGCGTCACCGTTACGTCGAAGTCTTTATCAGAAAAAAGACTAGGTGGAGTCCACCTCAACTCTCCATCACCCTCTTGCCTTTTCGTGAACTCGAATAACGGCACAGCGCTGGCTCTCTGCGATCACCCTGAGAGTCAAGACGCTCCATCGGCCATTCCCGCTCTTCCGAAAGTGTCACTACTGTCCTGAAGCCCTGTTTCATTGACTAATAAAGGGAACCTCAAACGCGAACCTTGTTTCTTGACTTGGAGAATGGACAGATATGCCTCCTGAAGATTCTCGAGACGCAGTGTGGATGACAGCTACCGACTGTCCTGGATCTGGGTGATAAGCAACACAGTCCTCTACTGGTACACTGAATAATCACTCTTTCATACATCCCACAGCCCCCCGCGAACCAGACCCATCCCGAGTCGCAACTGAGTCGCAGAAAGGAATACTAGGGAATACTTTACCCATCCACACTCACAAGACAAGTGACCGGTAATCCAATGAGTCGGCGTACCTTCTAGCCGTCGTCGGTTTCTTCTCTGGCGACGGTTCTTTCCGCTTTCTTCTCCCCATTTGTGGAGTCAGCTACCCCACTTCCCGACGCGCATAGCGGATGCAGATGGCCCAAGAAGCCCCGCCATGTAAGTCTAACTCGCCCAACAAGGGGTTGACATACCTAATGGGGAAGGATCTTTCCTCGATCCAGTTGGATCAGGCAGCAACGTTAGTCGGATTTCAGGAGTTTCCTCACGTCCATCGCATCCCTAGAGTTCCAGTCTGACAAACGAACGTAGTCTTTCGAAGGTGAGCTTCGAACTTCAAATGTTGTGAAGCCCTATGTACAGGCACCCTGCACACCGGCACACATACTGTGTCAGCCCCTCTCCCAATACTTACAGCTCTTCGTCTACCAGCTTCGCACGTTGATATGTGTTATCTCAAATTACACATGGATTGATGACAACAACACCACTATCTCTGATGGATAGCTGTTGGAAACGGGACTTAAAGGTCGGTGGTCAAAGTGGCTACGACACCTGACAGCAGCAATGAAATGTACGACGAGGCCATCGGCGCCCGGTAGCACGATGGGCGAGTCAGAGGCTCGCCGATCAGGACTTACTAATGGGAGGCGTAGTCGAATAAGAGGAGGACCTACTACTGCAGTACTCTGAGGCCTTCAGACGTGTCTGCACCTCGTCTACAGCTATCGAAACTGCTCTACAATTACAACGAGACGCCGTCACCGACTCTGATCGATCCCCAAGTCTGGCTCTCCCCCTTCATTACGACAGTGTTTGGACCCTCGACAGGCGTCATCTCTTTGCTCCATCGCACTGTGGTGTACCAGCAGACTCCTAAGGTCCCAAGTGTACTTGACTATCTCTCGAGATCAGTAGAAGCCTGTCGACTTAATACCTCAGCCCAAAAAGACTATGCAATCTCGGACTTAACGGATTGTGCGCGCGACGTACATTGGGCGCTTAACCGAAGAAAAGGGCTCGGATGTCCTGACCGATCCCGGGCCTTACTGACACCTTCTCGGCATCACCAATGATTCATCGCAGTACATATTCTCTCGCTGACACTCCCATAACGAGCTTTTTGAAACGATGAATTCCATGGGACACGTACTTAATCCCCCATGGACCACTGCTCTCTGATTCATACCATCACACGTGACGATACTGTTTCCGTAAAGCATTGATGATCACAAGCCCGTAAGTACTTACATACACTTGGAAGTCACCGCCACTTTAGGCGCTAGCCTGAACCGTGGAGACCATATGCGGTTACAACTAGACGCCCTACTACATAAGGATGGTGCACCGGAGCATGCTGCGGTGTTACTGCCCAGCTCAAAAGAACGGGTAGGAACGGCGATACCTTCTCGTAACCACCTCACGGAATCCATCAGTCAAGTGAGCATCCAAAAGCTGACACTGAGAACTCGCAGATGATGGAAAAGAACACCAAGTAAGACTGGGACGAGGTAAAAGTGGATACTAAATACTAAGTACAAAAGGAGGGTATTCCTGTGCTAACGAACACCAAAAGGGTCTCTGCTCGTAAAAGGGTAATGTGTACAACAAGTGTGACGACAAAAATACAGGTGTTAGGCGTCCAAGGAAGTTCGTGAGCCCTTCGCGAGAATGGCCAGGTTCGTAGCAAATTAGAACATGAAAGGGTAACGAGTAGAAGAGAGTGGGGTACGTAGGGAGAGAACTGGTAATAGCAATCTGCGAAAACGGAAGAAAGACTAGCAGTTCGAGTTCGGGTATCTGGATAATCGAAGTTCAAACTGCGAACGAGGATTTGTCCGGGAAGAAGAAGTGTTCGTTCAGCCTACATTGGAGGGGGATGCTCGCTTAAGCGAAGAGAGCGACAGCAGCTCCGGCAAGACCGACGAGGGCAGCAGGTGCGAAGTTGGCAGAAGCGGAGGAATCATCGTCATCATCAGCGGGGGCTGAGGACTGGGTCGCTGGAGCGGAAGAGGACCTCGAGATGGGAGTGGTGGTAGTCCTATCGGAGGTAACAGTGGGAGTGGGAGTGGTAGCACTGAGCGATAGAGAGTGAATTCCAAATCTCACAAAATGTCCACTAGGGTAACTTACGGGAGGCTGGTGGAAGGAGCACTGGAGGAAGGAGTCGATGTTCCAGAGGCTCCAGTGGAGGAGGGAACGACGGTGGAAGACTCCTCATCGGGCTCTTCACCAACGCAGCTGGTGTCGGCTGAGCGGGAAAAGGTCGTTAAAACTACTGTTGACTTGGAGACGGGCAGGTAAACCGAGACACTTACGACCAGGAGCGACGCTGAAGGGAGCGGTCTGAGCTCGGGCACCAGTCGAGTCGGTCACGGTGATGCCGATGGAGGTGTTGGGCTCGAGGTTGACGACCCATCGGAAGCTGTTGCCCTCTTGCTCACCAAAGTCGACGATAGGAGCGGCAGTAGGCTGGTTTCCTGGGTGGACGCTGCGGGCTATTCAGTAATGCAATAAGAGAAACCTTATTCGTGCAAACTCACGTCTACATGAATGAATGACATTACGACAAGGTCAATTCAGCGAAACAATGAGGTCATATTCAGTTTAATGCGTACCAAGAAGTAAGGGCCTGGATAACGCGAGGCGTTCAGTTACGATGCATTGGGCATTGAGAAGACGACTACACACCTTCACCACCGGTCCACTGGATCAACAGGGGACGGCAGACAACGGGGTTGGCACTGGGTAGCGAAATGTCAGGATCCGGGGCGTCAATATGTTATCTATGGGAACGCACGGGGTGTTGACGGTGAAGCTCTGAGCAGAGACAGCAGCGACGAAGGCAGCGGTTGCGGCGAGTTGCTTGAGAAGAGATTTCATCGTTGAGGATGTTGAGGGAAGGTGAAGAATGTGGGCTGAGAAGGTGGAAGAACACGGGCAACGTTGGTGTCAGGTTCTCATCAAATTTAAAGGATTTATGCGCCAAACAAACACACCGAAACTCACGCGCTTGGCTTTCCCTTGTCCTCACGCCCTTTCCCTTTCTCGCTCTCTCCCCTCCCGTTCTGACTCTTTTATTTTATTTTGAAACACAGCTGCTGCGCATACTAAAGTCAGCTCAAGGCCCCTCTGTTCTCATTTTTATCCACCAACTCGAACCAGTAGCCGCTGCTTGATTGGCTCTAGAAGCTTCTTTGCCCTCGCGAATCGCGAGGCTCGGCATTTGCACGGGGACACTTCTTGGATGTTCCCAGCACTTGGAGCGTGTTATCCGCGAGCCTTGCGATAAAAATGTCTATGACGGAATTGCTCCTTCTGTCCGTGCATAGCCTGCGATTGAACAAGTTCTGGAATGAATAATCCTTGCTTCACTGACTTGGAAAATACGAACTTTGCCCCGTCACATAGTTCATTGCATCGGTTCTGGAACATTCTCGGTATGCGATAGTCTCGGTATCCCGAGTGAGGCTGGATACCCAACTCTGCGTGGTATCGGTTGGTTGACGACTTGATGCAACCGCACTCGCGTCCTCAGCAGCATCTACAAGGACGAAACTGATGGACGATCGCCTAATGTCGTTACTATTAGCGCCCAGGATGCACCGTTGGAGCTCGAGGAATGGTCAGGGGCATCCTGGGGCATCTCGGGGTAACTACCTTGTCAACGTCATACATGCTGCGTAAAGCAAACAAACTGGGGTCTGGCCTTATGACGTCAACTCAGAGAGAGTCGGATGCGGCGGTCTCGGGATCCTCGCATGCGGTACTTGGATTTCCATCCTTGATCATCATACAGTGCGTCCTGTCCTACTAAAAGTACATACAAAAAATACATGGTAATGACGAAGTACAAAGCTTAGAAGTCTCCTACAGTGTCACAACCACCGGTGCAAAGCTGGTCACGAATGTTATCATAAAAAGAGGTCATACGAATTGCTCGTCAATCATTGCGAATTGCGTCGCGCGACGAGGCGAAGGGTCGAATCCAATCCATAGTGGTCGCTCACCCACGTGCCCTCCTCTGTTTTCACCCCCACACCCACCCTCTCAGGCGGATCCATCTTATACCCTCTCCTCGGCAGGTACAAAATTTTATCCAACCTCCCAGGTGGATACTGCGTCGGATTGTGTTCCTGGTACCCCCACGTAAAACCACCCTCATCCTCATTCCCCTTCCTCCACGCATCCTTCAACCCAGCCCCCATATGCAGCGTATGATCCTCCGGGCTAATTGCATTCATATCACCAGCAACAACCCCACCCCTCACCTCCGCCTGCTGCAAAAACATCCCCGCCAACTCCATCTGAGCGCTCCTGTACGCAAACCCATCACTCAACGACTCGAGATGCGTATTGACAACACAGATCGTCACAATCTCCGCGCTGGGTTCTGGTTCGCTGAGGAGGATGTAGACCGCAAGCGCCGTCCGACCCATGTACGTCTTGCCGTAGTGCAGGATCTCGCTCCGCACGACGGTGAGGACGCGCGACACGAGGGTGACGTTCCCGTATGCCGTGCCTTCTGGCCACTTGTCGGGCGACCCGGGTGCGATAATAAAGTGGCGTCGCACCCACTCGTCCTCGAGCAGCACACAAAACACGTCCCTATGGACTTCCTGCAGGAGAATGCAGCATGGATCGAAGGGTAGATCTCCCTCTTTGCACGACAAGACTTCTCGTTCGATATGGCGTAGGGCAGTTTTCAGCCTCGTTTTAGCGTCGGGCGTCGTAAAGTCCACGTTCCAGGTGATGATCCGGAGAGTGGTGGGGTATTTTTTCTCCTCGTCGTCCATAAGGGCTTGGACTTGCTCTTCGGTCGGCATTACGAGGTGCTTCCATCGCTGTCGGGAGGAGCGGTAGCGGTACGCTTTAATGGGATAAAGCGTGTTTGGGACGACGGGTTCCTGGTCAAGGGTGTCAATCGGAGGAATGAATGGTGAGGGTGTTTTCTCTCTCTTCTGTTCGATGATGACTGGGGCGGTTGGTCGGTTCCAGTGCGAGAGGTTAGCCCAGCTGGTGGGGAATCGAGGGTACATGTTGGGCATCGATGGTGGCGAAGAGATGCTAAGCTGTGAAGGCTCTGAAAAGAACCAGGAATGAGAGGACCTAAAGCCCGAGAACCGGGGTTTCGGTGTGACAAAGGGTTGGGTCTTATAGTCAGTGGGCCACGGGTTGGAGAGCACCCTTGGATTGGAAGATAGACCTGAGTCAGGTTAGAATGCCGTTGGAAAGGGTCGAATCTCCCCTAGGTTATCATCCATCGATTCTCAAGTGATTCGCTGCCTCGAGGTAGATCACGGGTGCCGGAATTTTCGAACACGAGGCAGAAGAGCTGCATAAGTATGGGAATAACGCAATCAACTCGAGGGCCCGTTGGTGTGGCTCATACCGGTTCTCACTTCTCAAACAAGACATTCTTTCTTGTGCGGAATTCGACGGACGTGGCGTGTGCGGCTTGGGAGACGGTGCTGTTCAACAAACAATGCCTGCAACAAGAAAGCTGTCCAAGGGATTAATGATCTCATTCCAGCCATAATTTATGCTACATGTGTGGCGTGGTGCGGTATGCTGTGTTTAGAGGTCGTACTTATCTCGAGCAGTCTTGGTCTGGAACACCCTCAAGATGTTATCCTTCATCTTGACCTCATCCTGCTTCTTAAGGTCGATCGCCTTGGACGCAATGACTTTGAGTCTAAAAGAGCGCAGAAGCGGCAGCAATGAGCGATGGTGTCGGAGATGAACATATCACAAACAACACGCTTACCGTTTACGCTCCTTCTCAACATATCCACTGGCACCACCAGTCACCTTCTCCATAATCTTGATATACTGAGCAGCGGTGGGCTTGTTGGTGAGCTTGGCAGCAATCTCCTTAGCCTCCTCCAAAAGTTGGAGACGAGCAGCCTTCTTAGCGGTAACAAACTTCTCTGCTACTTCGTCAAGTTCGGGAATTCGGCCAGCCTACGCGGGTTTCATTCAGTTCTAGGCGCTTGATCACCAACTAAACGCCACGCCAACCACTTACCACAAGGTTCAGCTTGCCGCCCACAAGTCGATTGGTACCAGCTCGGTTATTCAAGAAAGTGACGACATCCTTGTCGGTCTTGAGCTTCTCGTACTCGATGTTCTCGCCGGACTTGTTACCCTTGGGGAAGAACTTGATCGTTGGATAGACCATAATGTTGTACATGCTGGTGAATCTCCCGTTCCTTGGTTCGTCCAAGTTGACATTGGCGAGGACAACCTAGAAGATTAGGCAGTTTGAGCGGAAGGATCATGCGTGAAGGGAGATGAATGCGGACATTGTCAGACTGGAACCATTGAGCAGCTAGAGGTCCGGATCTTTAGTCTGCAGCCTCGTGTAGGTGGGAGGGGGGCACACATACCTCTATCCCAGTTGATTTTGGCGTCTTTGCAGTCACGACACCATGGAGCCTGAAGAGGGATGACATTGAGATTCGGAAGAGGAATGGAACGTTCTTAAAGCGCTCACATCGACGGTGAAGGAAACCAAAACGTGCTTGGTGGGGTCCTGGAGACAAGTGAGCGACCATTCTTTTCCGAAATGAGGATAGAACCATACATTGACAATCTCATCCCAGTTGTTCTCGTGAAGGACAGTATAAGCCGGTGGGGGTGGTTCGGGGATCTTGGACTTGACACCAGACTGCTTGGTAACACTAAGGAAGGGGATAAGGATTGCGGGCGTCAAGGAGGGAGTTGAACACTCACTATTCAGCAAGAGTTTCGAGCTCACGGCCACCCTTGTATTCCTCAACGTCCTTGCCGACCTCGTCAAACCATTTGAGGGCTGGGAAGATGGATCAGAGAACTGCCGAACATTCAAATCTCATGTGCACGCACTGGGGAAGCCCTTCACACCATACTTGGCGCCCAAGGACCTGCCAGCACCGTCGGCGTCGACCTTGGCAATGACAACTCTGTCTTTAGCATGTGCGAAGACGTCGGCGAGTTCCTCGTATGTAGGAGCAAGGTTCTAACTCCGGAATCAGCGCCTGTCCTGGTTGCAGTTAATGGATATGGACTAACCTTGCAGTGTCCACTGTCCAACGTGGTCTTTAGACTGGTCCAATCTCCATCAAGTTGTTACTCACCACCAGGGTGCAAAGCTACATTCAGGTCAGTCAATCAGCAGTAAACGGAAGCAATTTGGGCAGCTCACAATTCCACGAGAGCAGGCTTGCCCTTGCCAATGACTGAATCAAAGTTCTCTGGAGTGAGCTCTACCACGTTGGAGGCGGCCACGGCGGCCACGAGGGCGCTCACAAAGAGCGATACCGACAACCTCATGATTGTTTCAAGGGGAAGACAAGAATTCAGTGTTGTCGACCACGCGAGCGAAGGAGGAACCAAGTAAAGTAGTCTTTGCACCAACTGACGTGGAGACACGCTTGGTCAGCGGCTCAGATTCCCCGAGAACGCGTTCGAATGAGCAGCTCAGGTTTTTCCGCGATACGTGGCAATCTTCTTTTGATATTTGCTGTGAATTACGCGTGTTACAAGGAAAGAATTCGCTTCATATCTTTTTCCTGGCTCTAAAGCAAGTGTTGTTCAGGACATCATTCAGATTGAATGCGGGTGCGCTCGATCAATAATCAGGTTACCCGATATGGAAGTCACTTTTTATCACCGTCGGGCGTTACGAGCTTTCTTTGCTCTGTAAGCTCAGTTATTCAGCACTCGAGAGCTTCGTATAAAGCTTTTCGCCCAATCTCTCATCTCTTACAACAGAAAACGACCAGGAACCCTCGATGGCTTCAGGAAAGCAGCGTGCAGATGACATAGAGATCGACGAGCACGACGACTTTGAAGTCGACGAGGGAGAGCACTTTATCACCCAGGACGATATCCTCGCCGAGGTTCCCGACGATGGAGATGCTCCCATGGACGAAGACGATGACGAGGTCCCAGATCTCGGGGAAGGCTCCTCCGGCGTCATCGACGACAACTCTGTCCAGCACTTTACCGGCCACACTTCCTCCGTCTTCACCGTTTCCTGTCACCCAACCGAGCCCCTCGCTGCTTCCGGTGGAGAGGACGACCTGGGCTACATTTGGGATATCACCGATGGAGAAGTCATCGTCAAGCTTACCGGACATACGGACAGTGTGACATCGACCGCTTGGAGCTCTGATGGAGAGCTCATCTCGACCGGTGGGATGGACGGTAAAATTCGCATTTGGAGAAGAGTCGGGAAAGACAACTATAGAACATGGGAGTTTTTGACTGAGCTGCAGGGTCCAGATGAAGTCATGGTGCGTGACCCTCTGAGCACCGTCTACGGCCAGTGGTAAACTGTTTTTCCAGTTTTTGCGATGGCATCCCAAGGGCAACGTTCTCCTCGCGGGCTCAAACGACTCGACACTCTGGCTCTGGCAATGTGCGTTGATCCCAAATTCCGTTAATTGAACCAATGGGCTCAACGCATGAACAGTGCCCAAAGGAACTACCATGCAAGTCTTTTCCGGACACACTGGTGCCGTCAACTGTGGTGAATTCAGCCCCGACGGTAAGTTATCATGATATACACCCTTGCTAAACCCTTTCTAACGTCCTTTACCAGGCAAAAAGATCGTCTCCGCTTGTGCAGATGGCACTCTTATCCTATGGGACCCTCGATCTCCCACCCCCGTCTTCAAACTCGGCCCTGAAGATGCCCGCTTCGCTCTCGACGGAATCACCAGTATCGCCATCAATCCTTCATCAACCCTGGCAGTTGTCGGAGGTGCTGCAGGTGGCGTCCGTGTCGTGAGTTTGACCAAGGGCGATATCACTGGCACCCTCGGTGGGCACACGGAAGGCGAGAGTATCGAAGCCATCACCTTCGTTGACCTCACCGGAAGCGGATCCGGGCCTGGTATTGCCGTCACTGGCGCAACCGATGGCAAGGCATGCATATGGGATCTTTCTACCATGCGTCTCCGTGCAACTCTACAACATGAAGTAAGGATTCACTGTTCACGGCCCAAAAGCAATCTCTAAACCGCTTTATTACAGGATGCCATCACAGGCCTGCTAACCCACCCAGCTCCCAAGGCTCACATCGTTGTTTCTGCATCTGCCGACAAGACACTCAAAACGTGGGACGCTCGAACTGGTACCCTCATCAAGACACATAAAGCCCACCGAGCTGCCGTCCTCGGCTCCTCCCTCGGCCTGGGAGGAGCAGTCGTTATTAGCGCAGGCGACGAGGGCCTCTGCGCCGTCTTCACCACCGAGAACACAGACGAGGACGGAAACATGCAGCCTTAATGCAGTCCCAGGGTTGACACCTTTAAAAGGGAGGGAACCTCCTACGACTATACTGGCAATATCGGTGGCACCATGTACCATAGGACGAGGATTGAAGTCATAGCCGAATGTCCGTCTAGTTACTATATCAGATAACGTTTAGAATACATACACATCTACTCAGGATCCGCATAGTCTCTTCTTCGACTGGGGAAAGTCACCGAATTCCCAGCTGTAGCAATCCTGTGTCGCCATTAGAACCCTCCCAGAATCCAAACGAAGAGCAGAATGGCAACTCACCACACAGTCATCCTGAGGTTTCGCCTCCGGAACTTCACGTCCTTGCTCGACACTTGGCGGCCAAGGTTCCGACAGCAATTTCTCAATGATGGTCACGATGCCGTGTGTCCGGATGTCTACTGTCCATCCAGCCGATGTAACCGTATCGTAGACGATGGTCTTTCCAAGGTGGCATCCAGTTTCCATTGCGTAGCCGCCTAAGAAGCAGGACGATAGGACGCCATTGCAAGTCCCCATTGCTATCGGATCGGCAGTGTGGTAAACGTGTGTGATATGCTGAAGTTCAGGCTGTAGAAATAGGGCAGGTTAGTCAGAACGGCGCGGAATTGAGCTAGGAACGGTGGCATACTGGTTGAGGCAGGTGGAGTCTCTGGGAAGCTAGCTTCTCTCCTGGGGCTTCGAATGATACAACAGGCATTCCAAATGTTACACCAAGAAGACTGGCGAGTGCACCGCCGAGTGAGTGCCCGATAATCCAAATATTGGATTCGGGACTGAGGAAGCTGGGTCAGCAAACCGAAAGACCTGTCACGAAACGCGATCAGAACGTACTACATATAAGTCAAATTGTTGTACAGATTCTGCCAATCCGTATCATCAGCTACGCTGGTTTGCTGTGCAAAGAAGACAACAACTCACAGTCCCAATAGGGTAAAACAACGACTCTTCAATCAACGACGCCTCCAAGCAGTTCTGGTCGCACTTCCCGGAGCCCCTGTAACATCCGCATACTGTCGTCCACGTCCAATCGATCCTCGCACAACAACAGCTAAACAGCAAGTTATCGTTGAGCTTGTCCTTCTTGGACGTGGGGCCTCCGCCGCCGAAAAGGCCAGCAGAGGTGCCCTTGATTGAGACGACGACGGTCGAGTTGTCTTCGTTTGCGAAGACGTGGCCGCGGAATCCGTCTTGGTCTGGTTCCCAGCCGAAGGGGTAGGACTGTACGTAGGTAAGCTGAGTAATTAAGTAGAAAAAGCCAGACTTACAGTATTCCAGCCTTCATCTAGAGGGTACCAAGCCGGGTCCTTCGGATCCACGTACGCATCGTTCGCCATCTTGGCCAGCAATAGTAAGGTCTCCCGCTTCTCCACGTCCGGTCCTTCCACATCTTCCACCTCCCAGTTAAGCGGTTCCACTGCTCCAGAGTTTTCCGCTGAGCGCAAGCCGGTAATGCGGGATTGGGATTGCAGGCGTATACTCTCCCGAGCAGCTGAGAATGCTTCGAACGAGGACGGGCGATACCGCCGGACTGGCTTCGTCGATATCATATACGGAGTTCGCTTCGCCCTTCTTCGTCTCGTCGTCGCCGTTGTCCCACTCCTATCACCATCATTATCAAAACTCTGTCCTTCAACCACCTCCTCTTCCTCTTCCTCCGCCTCTAATTCCTCTCTCCGCACATCATGGAACAGCACTTTAGCCTCAGGCGAAACGGCATGAAGGTGTCGAAGCTCGAATTGCAGTTTGGGTTGTTGCTGTTGAGGCGTCGCAGTTATCACCACCGGTTCCGGTGCAGTTAAGTCGTGGTTCGTCAGGGTCGTCAGGGTCGTGCTAGGTGTATCATGTTCACGGGTTGAGAACCAGCCCAGAAGAGGGACGAGAAGTCTCGTCAAGGTTGCGGGTAGCATGAGGCATAACAAGACAAGCGACGACTTGCTTGCACAGCGAGCGTGAGTGTGGCCCTAATGCGATTAGGGTGAGAGGTTGAATGTAGTCAATATCAGAACAACCATCGCTCCAGCCAAACCTTAGCTCCGACGCGTGAGCTACTTGGGGCTCACACGCCCCCTAATCAGGCAACCACAAAACGTCATTCAGTAGATCCACCGTCTTCTTGAACAAGAAAATGTATTGACGAAAGGTAGACATGATTAAAGATATCAAATGACGGTAGGTATAGGGCTATTGTACATTGAAGTGCTGAAACATTGCTGCGAAACCATTGTCTAAAGGTGTAATACGAAACACGTCGTTGGTCGGAAATGGTGGAAGGGTGAACTTCTATGTGCTAGAATGCTTGATTGAGTAAAGAACGAAAAACATTAAATGCAATATTGTTGAAGAAGATGGAGTTAGAAATCTCCCTGTCAGCCCATTATTATCAACCCAAAACCCAAGGCGAATATTAATCGTTGGCTACACTTAAAGATCCAAGCTCTCCATAGCGAGGTTGAGGGGATCAGTCGTGGGTCCGGTGTTAGCGAGAGCCATCTGTCCACTCAAGCCTAGGTTGCTGGCAGTGCCGAAGAAGACTTCAGGGCTAGTGCAAGTAGCAACAGCGCGACGCATGTGAGTCGTGAGGAAGGACAAGCCAACTTGGTACGCAGCTAAACGGACACACGAACGTCAGCTCAGTCCCGCAAAGGAAGCATCGAAACACCCACCATTCATCCAACCAAATCCTTCCCGGGGGACCATCTTGAAATCGATTCCTTGGTTGCCGTATTCAGCATCGACGAGATGAGACAACTTGACAGCGTCAAATTTCTCCGGAACGACACCGTTGAAGTCGACGAAGGCCGTGGTCATCATGTACAAGAAGCGGTATGCCAAGCGCTGAGCTTCTTCGAGATAACCGTAACGCTCCAAACCTACCCAGGCCATGATCTGATGCGGTGGCCAGGCGTAGGGGTAATCCCACTGTCGATTAGGTCGGTCCAAGGAAATCTTGCCTCGAGACTCTTCGGTGCCGGAGACGAGCCCACCAAGAACCTCAAACTTCTTCAAAGAGCGGGTACTAAAGAGAAGATCAGCGGGACGTAAAGAATAGATAAAGGGAACAGGACGTACACAAGCTGCCAGCACTGCTCTTCGCTCGCACATCCAGCCCAGAGAGCCCAAAGAGAGGTAACACTCTCGTAGAGTATCTGATGCTCCTGGACAGTGTCGTAATCAAAGTAGAGGCTCTTGTTCTCGTTCCACAGGTACTGGTCGATTCTCTGTCTTCTGAACTCGGCCCTCTCGAACCACTCATCGCTCGACTGCGCGCGCTTGGTCGACTTCTCTCTACGTGGGTTAGCATAAGTCTCGGGGGTGGGAGGGAATGGCTGCAAGTCGAACTCCTCCTCCAACTCTAGCTGATCATCAAACACCTCCCGGATAGCTGTCCCAATATCCACTTCGTACTTGTACAACAAGCACTGGAGATCAATCGTCGCAAGGTTGGCGCAACGCTTCTCGAAGCGGTAGGTTGTATCGTGGCCGGATTCACGGACGGCGCGATCGTGGAGGAAGTATTCGTCGAGCTCGGGTTCTTTGAGGATCCCGTCATTGTACTTCTCGCTGAACTCGAGGACGGAAAGGCCGTGCTTGTTGGCGTATGGTTCGAGGATGTGAGTGAAGTGGGTGGCTTCGGTTTCGGGAGGGATACCGAGACCATCGGGGCGGAATCGAGAGAGACCCGTCTTGGGATCCATTCTAGGCTCAGCGACCCAAACGGTGTGGTACTCCTTGATGGCAGCTTGAATGGCTCGCTTCAACCAGGCCTTGTTGGCTTCGGCGTCGTTGCGATCAAGCTGGTTATAGATCTGGAGCGCCATGTCGGTCAAGAAGGGTGGCTGGCTACGGCAGAGGTAGTAGCTGCGAGACCCGTTGAGGATCTTATTGTAGTGCTTAATCTCAAAGATGAAGTGGTCAACCATGCCCTTAGCCATGGCGACTTGGCCATCAACCAAGAGGCCCAGAGAGATAAAGTACGAATCCCAGTTGTAAAGCTGAAATATCGTATCAGTGATAGGTTCATCAAATATATCAAACTAGCTGATCGTACCTCGTTGAAGCGAGCACCCGGAACGATGAACGGAATACCTTTCAGGGTCTTTCCTCCCTTCCCATCGTCGACTTCATTCATTGCCAATGCCAACAGGCCGGGCTTGGAGTTCAAGCTCTTGACAAACTCGGGGTCGTCAGGCTTGGGAGGGAGAACCTGAACGTCCAAGTTCATGTGGGGCTTCTCCTTTGCGACCTTGCGATAGTACTCGGCCATGGCAGGTTCCCCATGGGGAACATAAATCCTTGGTTGAACTCGGCCGGTCCGATTCTTGGGGTCAGCAGTAATGATCTCTAAGCCATCGCCGTCGATACGACGAGTCAGGGAATTCCAGAACGAGTTCTTGATCATGCGCGAGAGTCGGTCAACGGGGTTCTCTGTGAGACGGGACTCGTCGAGGATGATACGCTTCCTGCCGTGGTCACGGGCAAGAGCCAATTCTTGCAAGAGGTTGGACAACATGTATGTACCCTGGAGCTATGTTAGAGAATGTAAGAGAGGGAGAGGGATGACCAGGCATACTCTAATGTCGAAGGTCTTGAATCCATTGCTAGTTGCGGTGCCCAATGCCATCATCTTTGGGCCAGCGTCGGTGACGCTGATCTGAAAGTCACCGTCGGTGTCCTCTTGCTCGAGGACAACACGGATAGTTTCCTCGACGTCAATCAGGAATCTCCTGGAACCCGTGCTGGGCTTTTCGTCGTGGGAGAGACGGCGGGCTCTGGAGTGCCAATCGTCCTGGAATGCTGGCGCACGTTTGGGGTTGTAGCCATGCAAATGAGCCTACGAGAGACACAACGTCAGAGGGTAGCACCAGACAGGGGTAGAAGAAAACCTACGTGGCTGTAGGTCCTCGAACGAGTATAGGCCTCTGCGCCGCCATAATACGTAGCTGCGTCACTGTGGGGAACGCGTTGGACGTGCTCGTCGAGGAAGCTGACGGCGGTGGGGTGGTTTACGGCTGGGGCCATTGTCGGGGACGTGTAAAACGGTGAGAAAGGGTGATTGTGGTTGGGGGTCAAGAGGCAGGAACGATTGGTCGGTGTGGGGAAAGAGAGTTTTGAATCGCCCTGGACTGGGGTGATGTGGTGTTGTCAGAACTCGTCCCGAAGTGGCCGAACAAGAACCCACGTGTCGCGTGCTCGCGCTGTCTGTGCGACTTGGAAAGCCTTCAGATGACCTGTTGGTGCGGCGGCGGCGGTTTTGCGCAGTTGGTAGGATGGAGAAGAGGGATGGAATTGATAACGAATTATAAACCTTTTTGGTCTTTTATACCCTCTGATCGTCTGATCGTGATTCTGATTTGTGTAATCATCCACAGCCCACATAATTTGGAGTTTTCTTTCACTCAAGCTGGCCATGGCCCTGGAGCTGGTTATCGACGACAAGACACTCGGAACTCGGAAAGCTCTATGTAGTCTGTAGCGGCCTGCCAGATTAACTGAGACATCACACAACCAGTGAACCGTCGCATGCAAAAGGGTTCTTTTGTTCTCCCCGACCTCCCCTCCTCCCAATAATGTCTTGCTCCACGAGCCCAACAGCGACGGCCGCAACGTTTCGGTGCTGGCGCACTGACGACACGCTGGGCTATTTTTGTCCTGGTCAGGATCAAATTTGATGAAACCGCGGCATGGCTCGGCACAATGAGTTCGTGTCAGAAACCAATTCTCTACCTCTTTCATCCCTTTTCTTCTCGATGTTCGCCCTTGTCCGCTCTTGTGCCCGGGCCCAAAGGTTCTCTAGGGTACAACTGCCTCGATACTCACATTGGTCTCTCAGGAACTTTGCTACGGACAGGGCGACATCGACCTCCGTCTCGAAAAAGCTACCCACCGCGAACCCGCTGACGGACGGAAAACCAAAACCAAAAGAAGTGACGCCCCTCAGGCGGTCAGCTTCAGAGTCTCTGGCATTTAGGACGAACCCAACACCAACACGGAGCCCTATCCAACCTGTCTTCACATTTGCAACGTCCGAGCGCTACATTTTGTCGCGGCTCCGGAGTCATCCTGATCTTCCACCGCGGGCACAAGCTTTACACGAAGCGTGGTGGGTTCCGAAATGGGTCGGCAATAATGGCCAGGTTGGAGAAGTTTTCGTATTCTCCAATGGAAGTTTTGTATCTTGGGGCTTGGATGAAGTAGAGGTGAGGAGGTTCGCGAAGCAAATCATCGACAGGACAGCGGGCATGAGCGTGGCGCGTCTCAAAGAGGAAGAGACGGAAGAACTCGAATTCGTGGTCGACCCTAGCGAGTTGAGTGGTGCGTATTTTAACCACCGTGGTTATACTTATTATGTCTTCCAAGGTCTACGCGACTACAGGGTGACTTGATTATCCTCGGAAAGACTCCGCCATTGAGCGAACCGGAATTACTGCCCGTCAGCCTACCTCCGATGGCATTCCCTGAGGAATCTCTGTTGGCTCGGTACGCGTATTCGCAGGCCCTTTCACGGTCAACGGCGCTTGCTGCACTCGAGGAATCATTGGACAACTATCTGGACTCTATGGCGATGTTACCGCATACCTTGGCTGAGACTGGAAAGCCCGGGATGCCCAGGAAGCAACTCATCAAGAAACTCGGTGAACTCATGAAGTTCAGGCAGCTGCTGAATCTCAACAAGGAGAACTTTTCGGAAGTCCCGGATTTCTACTGGGCTGAGCCAGAGCTCGAAAGTGAGTTTATCTGTGATGTCGGGACTCCATTTTGCTTATAGCCTTTTACACCAGAATATTTCAAGTCTATGAGCAATGCACTGGAAGTTCGAGGCCGAACCGCTGCTTTGAATGACAAGATTACATACGCTGGAGAGGTATGCATCTACATCCTTGAAACCTGGGTGGACCCTCACATCATACACGCTACAGCTGCAATCTTCACTCCGACAGCTGTTGACAGAAGTGCGTTCCTCCTCCAGATCGACTACCAGCGGAGTTTGACCGATTACAGTCTTCAGGCCATTCTATGGAACTGATAATTATCCTACTTATCGCGGTCGAGGTTGTCATTGTAAGTCTCTATGTTCCCTCTCACTGGATTGATGGATTGAAGGTGAACTGTCCCAAGGCTCTCATTCGAGAAGGGCCGGACCTATGGCGCATGGTCCGAGGTGAGAAGGAAGAGGACAAGCTGTCTGTCAGCGCCTAATTATAATTGTCCTGCTAATTCACCCCATCTGCTATCGTTGGATTTACAGCTAGAACTTATACAACCCTATGTACATATATAGAGTATATATAATACACCCCCAGCTTCTAGAGCGCCCACGCCCCGAAATAGCTATAAGCTGTGAAACTGACAAATCGATAAATCACCCAACCACACGGGGTTGAAGTAAGATTTCGGACTCTATGCCATTTTGTTCCACCTCGAGGATCTGGTGCTGCGCCGCTTTGCTCTCCATCTGAATGCGCGATGCAGCGAATTCCTGGATACATCGATAATCCCCTGCCGCCCCATCTAGCATCCTACCACCAGAATACGCGACCACCACCACCACCACCTGCAGGGGTTCGACAGCCTTCAATTCCGAATGGCACTGGTCATTATCCAGGCGAAGTTAACTCTATCAGCTGGAGTAGCACAAGCGGGAGTACAAACCCGTTTGATCTGCCCGAACAAGACCAAGACCGTTCATGGCTACCCACCGAGACCCCACCGACGTTGCCGCCGGCGTACGACTACACGCCCAACAGCGTATCAGGATCGTCATCATGGGGTCTGTATCCACCTGTCGTCCAGGCTTCTGAGGGACATTTGAATCCACAGCAGTATGCGAGGCAGAGGGTGAGGTCGATGTCTGAGCGCGGTGAGTGGGGCGGGGGCGTATCGACCTTTGGCCCTGCGAGTATGGCGTTCCCCATGCCTGAAACGCCGTTGTCGCATTCCTTTTCGTCGATGAAACTTACCCCACCTGTCCCGCCTGTCCCACCGTTACCACCGCTACCCCAGCAGACAAGTTCTCAACCTCCTCCGAGTCCCCCACCACGACCACCTCCCCCGCCTTCGAGTTCTGCCTCATCGACATCGAATGTGCCGAGTCAAGACGTCTCCGGCTCTTCCAATACGCCGACAACCCTTGAGCGGGCGACGACGGCAACAGCGACGACCGTCTCGCATCGTATCAGCAGGACCAATATACACGTTAGCCGTTCCAATTCGGAGAGTCTGGCAGAATCCGCTCCTGCCTCCCCACCTCATCGACCCAACCCACATCCGCACTCGAAAAGCGATCGCGGCGTCTTCAGCAATACCAATCTCTTGAAATTGCAGGGGACCGTGGTTAACCCGTCTGTGCCGTTGTTCCAACCGTCCAATTCATATTCGAAGAATCCAGAGCAGTATCCTGATGCCTTGGCCTCGCCCGTCGATGTGCGTTTTTTGCTTCCGCCGGGTTAACTCTTTCACCTCTCTGATCTCCTTGGCTTGGTTGACTATATGTAGTCCACGTTCTCTGTTGACCAGGAAAGTGTCATTGCGTCGGAATTGATGGGTCTATCGTACGTTCCGCCTTCTTCTCTCCCCAATCTTCTCATTAACATATACCGCTCGATAGTCAAGACATGTCGGAAAACATCCGCCGGTTCCAGGCGAACGAACTCTCTGAATCTGACCAGGAATGGCACAAACTCGTCCCTAAAGAAGCGCTGGATGCACTCGACCCTGCAGAAGTAAAACGGCAAAGCATGATCTTCGAGTTCTTCAAAGCTGAGCGTGAATACGTATCGGATTTGGAACTGGTGACGGAGGTGTTTATGAAGGGGATGAAGGAGGCACAACCAGCTGTGATCCCAGAGCACCTGATAGGCGGGTTCTTGCACGAAGTATTTGGCAATGTGGCGGATTTGTTGAAGCATCATAAAGTGATGCTCGAGTCGTTATTCGAGAGGCAGAGGGAATATCACCCATTGGTTCATTCGATTTCGGATATCGTACTTGAAAGTGAGTGCCCCATGCTGTATTCAACCACCTACGCTAAACATGTTCTAGCTGCCCTCAAACCCGAATTCCGCGGAGCCTACGAAATCTACATCAAGCATTTCCCTGTCGCCGAATCCCTCCACCAGAAACAGCTCTCCTCAAACAAACGATATGCATCCTTCCTCGAATCCGTCTCCTCGGATCCCCGAGTTAAGAAACGTGACATGAAGATCTTTTTATCGCGCCCAGTGACGCGTTTACCAAGGTTGAATTTGTTGCTCGAGTCCATGCTGAAGCAGACGAATAAAGAGCATGATCATCCAGATTTGGATACCCTGCCGTTGGTTCTCGGGATCTTGGGAGATTGTATAAAGGCGACACAACCGGGCATTGAGACAGCGGAGAGGAGAGTCAAGTTTATGGATCTTTGTGAGCATCTGGTTCCTGGCAAAGGAGAGATCACGGTGGGTTTGCTTTGGTTCTTCAAGTCGAATTGTGTTGCTTAAACATACTGTATTTCAGGATATGGATTTATTCGACAAGGAGCGACATCTCGTCTACTCTGGACCTGTTTGGATGAAGGGCAAGTCAGACAATGGATTCTCTGACAAGTGGCAAGAGTTGCAGGCTGCGTTGTTGGATAACTACTGTGCGTTTTATTTTCACTCGGCAACGTAGCATCGTCGGGCTGACGTGAAACTCCAGTCATCATTTACCAAGAAGAGCGAATCTCACCTACTGTAACGAAGAAGATCCAAACACACCGAGTGCGTGTGATACCAGTCCTTCCCGGACGTTTGCTCACTCGTCTCTGCCCCAGCCTATCCCTCTATCCTTTGTTCGACTCGCATCCTTCAATTCAGATCCAGATATCCGAAAAGAAAAAGAAGGGGGAATCTTTCAAACGAAGGATGTCCCTATGTACCCTTTCACTTTCTACCACGCGTCTCTGGCGCATATGAAGGCCTTCAAGCTATATGTCAATTCAGATGCTGTGCGAAAGAAGTGGTATTCATCGTTTGTAGACGCATTGGGCGTCCACCAGGTCAAGCAGGAGAGCAATCCTGTGTGTAGCCCATTCCCTCCAAGTTATTTGAAGGAAGCTAATCGAGCTGTTGCTAGTGGTATACGCAAACGCAGTTGGTAGACGGTTTCTTCAGAATACCGCGTGAAGCGGTTATCACGCCACACTCGAAAGCGACGGGTAGAATTGTTTGTGCTGCACCATTCGGTACGTTCTTCGTTTGCTCGACCGAGTAATAATACTCTGACATCAAAACAGTAACCGCGCAAGGCCGCTTCCTCGCCGTTGCAACTCTGAACGGGGTTTACGTCGCGCGCTGGGGGACCGACGGTACACTTTTCCCCCTCCCTTTCCAACTCCAGCTAACTCACTCCTCGAACAGGCTGGTATAAAGCCCTCCAATTCCCGAGCATCAACTATGTCACCGTTCTCCAGGGAATTAACAATCTGGTCTTCAACAAATTCATAATCCACTACGACACGAACGTTGTATCCTACTCATTAGACTTGTTGGCCATGGTGGCCATCGGGCAGGGTAATCCGCGCATGCTTGAAGCTTCGAGAGAAACTGTGACTCCCGCTGATCACAGTGTCATGTTCATTCGGCAAGTCGTTATGATGGATCGGGTGTTGTGTGAGTGGAAATTTCAGGGTCCTTCAACTATTGACACTTACCCTCGCGCCGCACAGTGGTATATGCGTCCAAGAGAAGGCTTAGCAGTTCTTGTTATATACATGCTTTAGAGGCGATTGCGACAACGGTTCAGAGGGGCAGTACGAAACCGACTTCGTTCCGTCCCTTTGGTCAGGTTAGTGGCATTCAGCATGCGTTGAGAAATGGACGAGTCCTGACGGTCTGTGTTTATTAAAGACAGGGCTAATACCGAAGGAAGCATACGACGTGGTTGCGCTAACGAGAACCCTGGGTATCTGTACACGAGATGGAATCGTCACTGCGGGACCTAGCAAGTGAGTAACACTTACTACCAAAAGTCGTCGTCCCGGAATTGATACTCTCGGCTATAGCCTTGCAGGAGCATCGACCCTTCCGATACCCACAATCCTGGACTCCTCGCCCGCCAGTGTGCGGCTCAAGTCACAGATCGATGGAGCGAGGCCTTTAGGCTTCCTGCTTGTTAGCAGCGAAGAAATCATGGTCGTCTATGACGGTACGCGAATCTCTGTCTGAGTTTCTGTACGCCTCGACTAACCAAGTTGGTTTTAGACTTGGGATGCTACGTTGACACCCGCGGAAGACCCACTCGGAAGTGCGGGTACATCCGTTGGGAAACCAAAGTCACGTCCTACGCTGTCCGGAACGCATTCCTCCTCCTCATCTCTTCCCGCAATATCGAAATTCGCAACATTGCCAACGGTCGACTGTTGCAGGTGATAGAAGGCGGTGATATACGGCTGCTGTTTTCCGAGCCTTGTTTGAAGCCTCAGGATAACGTGTTGGTAGCGATGAGAGGGAGGTTTAATGACTCTCAAGGCTTGAGCGAGAAAGTGGTTGAGTTGGTGCTGGCGGAGGATCCTGCGACTGCTCAATCTCCGAATGGGAATGGGTCACATCCGAATGCCCACATGTGGGCGGATTGGGATATGTGAAAAGACCACTAGTTAATGTGTTTTCAGGATGATGATCGTTGCTGATAAATTATTTTGCTTTCCATACTTACCTTTCTTATGTACTCTGTTTACTACATTGTACTAGTTGCTCTTTTGCTTTCGTCTACTAGATTTTAATGCTATCCTGTGCTACCTTGCGGGAAAGCTTAGGGCTTGGTGATTTTCGTGATGGACAAGCCCCGAAGGTTGTGTCATGGCGTGCGTCATATCATCCAATGCGTGGTAGTAATACAATGGGTTAAGTGAGATCCAATTTGGAATGCAGTGATTAAGCCCAGTTGTCGATCAAGGAATCTCTCATCTCTCCGATGACTGCTGTTGATTCCTGTCCTTGGAGCTCTGGACGAGATGTTAGCTAACAGAAGGCAAAAAAGCGCGAGTCTGATACGCACTGAATGCAGCTTCAATGACACTGATCTCTGTTGCTGTTGTTTCGAGACCCGTAAACGCGCACCAGTCGTTTACGACCAGCCCGGCGCCAATGACATCCGAACCACGGTTCACTGTACCAGCCTATAAATGAACCATCAGAACACCGTCTATGTATACAGAAGGACAAAAAACACGTACCACCAAAGGCACCTGCAGCAAACTACTCAATTCATCCTGATCTTGTATACTCGTCTTGGGGTGCACAAGTCCACCCTGGTTCGTAATCGCACAATAGCTCCCCACGAGGACGTTATCCGCGATCGTCTGCCTAAACACTTCGACTTTGAGAACATCTGCAATGATTTCTTCTGTTTCTCTGTCGATGTCGGGGTGCACGAGAGCAACATAGTCGTTGCAGGCGATGACGTTTCCAAGGGCAGATAATCGTTCTTCTACTCGTTGGATGGATACAGAGTCGGGGAGGGCGTTACGGAGATGTTGGAGTTCTTGGTCTGTTGTTGTGGATGGGACGAGGAGGCCATGTCTGTTGCCTTTTTTTTCACCAGTTTAGTGGCCCCGTTTTGGAATGCAAAATTGCTGTTTGAGATGGACGTACCGGCAGTTAACCGTCCAACTATCCGAGTTCCACCAATACTCGTGTGCACGATTGGCACGACATCTCCCAGCTCGCTCTCGAAAGCTGAGTAAAAGTTGGTACTGCCGTTGATCGCAACGAGGCAGTAGCTGTTGGTCAATTTTGAAAAGACGCCAATGTCGCTGCTGTTTTCGAATTGAAGACCTGTTTTTGCGTGTCAATAGGCCTTATCCCATCCTACAATTTCTCCCTGCTTACGGGTAGCCATAGTGGAAGAGTGTAGGCTAGTGTTGGATGTAGTGTTGGGTGTAGAGAGGCGGTAAGAGAGAAAGAAGGTTGTTGAGAGAGGGCGGGAAGGGGGGAATCGATCTAATCGAAAATGAGATAACCGACTTCCTTTTTAAATCGCGATGACTAATCCGGGATCCAGTCACGTCGCGTCAGAGTCGGAACCGTGCTGTCGACGATTCCATGTTCGCCACGAACTTATCTCGTCGAGTCGTTTTTACCAACAGAGCCTTAGCGAGACGTAAAGGCTGTACGGGAATCAGATGGAGTCATGGCCTCGCGTCCGTGCCCGGTTTGACACCCGTGGAGAAGATTGTATTGGATAGTGTCAAGGCAAGTCAAGCCAGTTCCGTCCAGGGGGTTGTGGAAGACTGAAGACATGTCTAGGCGACTGGTCCCATATCCTTTGCGAAATACATGCAACTATGCCTCTCACATCCTACCCATGGGTACTACATGAACCCAAACAACGCTGTGTTCGGGACTAGTGGCGACTTTATTACAAGTCCTGAAATCAGCCAGGTCTTTGGTGAGGTATGTTGTCCCTGCTTGCAGTGGAAGAGAGATTCGAGCGGTAACAAACCTTTAGACTTGAATGAATTTAGCTTGTCGGAGTATGGCTCGTCTCTCAATGGGCGGACGCTGGGACACCACCTGCCATACGACTCGTCGAATTGGGGCCTGGTCGCGGAACGCTCATGGACGATATTTTGAGGGTATGTCAGTCCGCACCTCGTGCTTCCGTTTCATAATTAACTAGGGGACATATAGATCGTGAAGAAATTCCTCCCTGAAAAGGCCTTGACTGGCGTACACCTGGTTGAAACGAGTGAAGCACTTCGTTCTGTTCAAAAGGCAAAGCTCGGCGAGAAATGCGATCTGCATTTCCACAATGGAATTCACGAAATTCCAAGGAACCCTTCGGTGTACACCATGCTCGTAGCTCATGAATTCTTTGACGCCTTACCTGTACACGTCGTCCAAAAGACCGAGGCGGGGTGGAATGAGGTCATGATTGCCTCAAACGACTCCTTGTCCTCATCCGAATCTTCGCCCTCCCAACCGCAAACCCAGAAACAAGGCGTCCTTCGCCGCGTTCTCAACCCTCTCCCTTCCCCAGCCTCAACCCTCCTCGGCAACAGCTCCCTTCGATTCCGCAATCTACCCATAGGCTCCACCATCGAAGTCTCGCCCACGTCTTTCAGAATAGCGCACCAAATTGGGCGACTACTCTCTGCCCGTGGCCTGGAAGAGAAACCGCTCGATCTTGTCGAGGCCTCGCAGCAGGAAACTGGAGTTGGAGGGTGTGGGTTGGTCATTGATTATGGCGCTGACCACGCTTTCGGTGATTCTTTCCGGGTAAGTGTCATAATTTTCGTGCGGAAGGAGGCTTTTCTTGGACACTGACCATGGTTGCGATCCCTAGGCCTTCAAGGAACACAAGATCGTGGACGTATTCCACCGACCGGGAGAATGTGATATTACTGCCAACGTCGACTTTGCATACCTCAAGGAAGCCATGACCGGTTTGAGTGGGGTTATTTCATCTCGTTATTACGACCAAGTATACTGACGACGACACAGTTGAACCCCATGGTCCTATTACCCAGGCTGACTTCCTCGAGCGAATGGCACTCCAAACACGAGTCGAAGCTCTGGTGCGCAATGCCTCTTCGGAGGAAAGGAAGAAAGTGATTCTCGATGCTGCAAACCGCCTGGTCGACCGCAGTGGTATGGGTACCCAGTACAAGGTTTTGGGAATCACGAGCAGCCCTAAATCCTCTTCCACGGGGGTCTGGCCGTTTGACGTCCAAAACCAGGCACTTGAGAGCTGAACGTGCCTTCATATCGGTGTATAGCCCATTAGATTCATTCATTTAGGATTATAGAGAGCGGCTACTGTTATGAATTTCATTCTTTCAATGTGTGTCGGGTACGATGTGGGGAGCGAGATCGAGAATGGCGTCGCCTCTTGCGGTGAGATTCGTCTTCGGACCGTGAACGCTCCTTCCTCTCCTTCCCTCGACTCCTGTGACGCTCTGATTCTCTATGGTAGTGTCGCTCGCCACCCTCTTTCCCTTTCCGATCTGAGGAACGCTCTCGCGACCGTCGCCTCTTTCTTCTTCGCGATTCATCTTCCGAGACTCCGCCACCACCCCCATCCTCGCCTCCTTTGGACCTTCCTCTTTCTTTTTCCATTGAACTGCGGCGATGGCGATGACTCGCTCGCTCGCTCTCATAGTGATCCTCCCTCGTGTCCTCTTGCTCGTGACCAAGCTCCCCGTCCCTGCCGGCAGCAGCAGCCCGCTCCTTCTCCTTCGTCCTCTTCCACATCAACTTCTTGACGCATCGCGGGCATAATACCACTTTAACCAAGGCGCTCTTCTGTTCACCGTGTTCGACGTAGGCAAAGGGTAGTTCAAGTGTGGTGAGTGGGGGTGAATCCACGTTCGTGCGATGGAATTCACAACGTGAGTTTGCACATGTTGTTTCGCCTGTTCCGTCGAGGACTTCGTCTTCTGTGCGCCATCGCAGGGCGAACTGTTTGCATAGTACGTATATGCGCGGGAGTGGAGTAGTAATGTACGGGCAGGAGGATCAAATAATGAGTTGTTAGTAAATGAAAGAAGGGTTCACGGGAGAAGCATGACAACGTCGTACGTTTCCGGATTTGAAATGCTTGAGGTCGCAGATGGCGAATTCGCGGTAAAGACTATCGTAGTATTTGATAGCGAGTTGTTCATCCCAGTCTTTATGGGCAGAGGATGAGGAACCAGGTGCAGACTCCCCTGCTGGGGTGCCGTCTTCTTCGTCCTCGCGGAGGAACCTGATGCGTTGGCGGTGAATGCGACGTGGGTCGGTCGGTTATTGGTCGAGTTTGTTGAATCAGTGGAAGAGAAAGTAAATGTCAGCGCGGCCTGCTTGGAGTATCAATATCAAAGTTTTGGAAACGATGAGAATTGAAAAAAGCGAATGGGGAACAGGAATGGAGTTGTGTATGTGAAAAGCGAGGAGATAACTTGCCTGTGCCTGGCTTTTAGGATTTCAAACTCGGTAATCCCAGTGGGTTGCGTCGTGAGCTTGCTGCTGGACGCGTTTCTGTACGACATTTTGCTAGCGCGCTGCCGATGGTGGTGGTTGGAGGGAAAGCCTTGACCGCCGGCATCAGCATCAGTGACTTTGATTATTCCCTCCGAGAGCAACGTTAGTTTGGCTAGCCTCTTCCTAAATTCTGACGAGTCTGAGGAAGATCTGGAGAGTCTCCATTGAACTGGGTATTCCCATCCATCCAACAGTCAAATTCCCAGTCGATTCTGCGTTCCAGAAGAGTGCATTTCAGCGGCGTGCAGACTCTCGTCCACGACCGCGTGCATGTCGTTGGTTATAAATAGCCTGGTTAACCACGCGGGTTGAGCAGGAGACGGTAATCGCAGCCCGCATTGTATGTAACCGAAAACCAGCGCGACCGCGTTGAATGCATGATGACCATTTGAAAACGCTGTTAGCAACGACGACGACTCGATCCAAGTTCGCACGGGATTCATTCCTCTTTTCCTCCAAACATTAACCTTAGCGTCTTGCTTTGAACTCACCGGAAAGAGAGGCTTCTGGTGGCGGCGAAACCGGGGTAAATTGAGCTGCTGGGAATTCATTGATGTAAAGATTGGTCGCTAATGGAGATCCATCCTGTACAGATCCTCACCCGACCCATTTGCTTCTTTTTTCTCCGCAAGGTTTGCTCACAGGAATCCAGTATAAAGTGCATGGAAAGAGTTCAATTGAACACTCCCTTCCCCTGACGGTATGCTCGCCACAATCTCAACTGCCCCAGACGACTCTCGTAACGCGACCAACTTTGGTGACTCTCGCAGCCTAAAGTCTTTTCGCTTGAAGCGCGTCGCCTCCGCCAAGTTCCCGACTTTTGATTTTCTGTCGGCTGCTCGTCGAGCAGCCCCTCTCGAGGCGCACAAGATCCATATCATACCGACAACCAGGGATGGAATTATTGCAATGAGGTAGGCAGCGGCGACGTGTGTTCCGAAGGGGCGCCATCAATGGGGGCTGACCTTTGCCGTTTCCAGCGAGTCACCGAATCATATCACTGCTTCCCCGGCGATGTCTGGCACGGGAACAGAAAACAAGCAACGGTGCGTTCTTATTTTGGTTTCCTGTCCCCCCTTTCCCTTCTCTGTCCCTCACCATTTCCCAAATGAACAGTCCAGTGCCAGACTCGTCCCCAACCACCAACGACGGCCTCCAGCCAGCAACAGTACAGCGCTCAAAGTCGCGGCTGGTGCGACTACTCACAACTGCAACCAAGAGAAATCCCCGCGCTACCAGCCCATCTGCACCCAAGAGTCCCACTTTTCCATCAGCCCAGCCAAGAGCCATCAAGCGCCCACCAGCCGTTAATAGCGCTTTCGGGAGAGAGCAACGCGAGGCAGCCCTGCGAGAGCGAGGACTCCTTCCGCCACTGCCTCAGAAAGACCTCAGCCAGCTCGAGCGTGAGCAAGACAGGAAAATCCCCGTCGTCCGACCTGCTCCAGACGATGCCTCCATTCCTGCTGGCGATGGAATGTCGGCTGCCGATCTCATAAAGAAGGAATGGGAAGCGAAGAACAAAGACGCAGAAGCAGAACAACGACAGCGACTCAACACCTTCAGGTTTGGTGGGGCTTCGTCGACGGATCTTACCAACCTCGTCGTTTCGTCGGAAGGCGCGTCGTCGTCCAATACGTCAGATCAACAGGGCCCGAAAACCACCCCAGAAGGAAAACGTCGCGCTGGGCATCAAGCATCTTTGTCGCAACCTGTAATCGCCGGAGTCGAGCTAAGTAAAGATCATCGCCGGTCCTTGAGCTTACAGACAAAGGCTTTGCCCGCCCCTCCCTCCATCGAGAATCTCAAGAACCCTCTCACGCCAATTCTGGACCTCCCATACGGCCCCGAGGTTCAGTCATATGTCTCGAATGGCGCCGTTGCCTCATCAGAGAACGTTAATAATGACCTTCCTGATCCCTCACACATCCGCAAACCTTCTTCTGCATCGATAGCATCCAGCAGCAGCAGAGAAGGTCCACAACCTCCAAAGCCTCCGCCCAAGCCGTCTTCTGCCACTGCTCCACCCGCAGCAACGCCACCTCCTTGCAGACCACCTCCACCGGCCCCGACTTCTCCAGAGTGCCCCAGCATACCACAGCGGCCAGACTCTGGCGTCCTCCCGCGGGAAGATTCCACTTCATCCTCGACTTCCATTCTTACTCCTTCATTGGACAGTGCTTCTCAAACGATATCCAGTTCAGAGTCCTTTGGCGTTGGCGCTGGAAAGGGCAAGTCAGGAGGGCTGAAGTTGAAGCTTGAAAACGGAAACCCCATTCCTGTGATCATTGAAAGCTCCATCGAGAATAACCTCTCTGATGATGCCGGGGCTGATAAAGATGAAGGTTTGGTTGCCGAGCCTGCAAAGTCGACTGAGGAGGACAGGAAGGAAGGTTTGGACGGGAAAGCTCTCTCGAGCTCCGAGCACGGACATGGTGGTGGTGAGTCCTCTGAAGGGGGTCTTGACGTACCCCCACCTGTTCCTCCACGCGATCCGCCTAGTGTCCAACACCAGCAACGGAAGCGAGGCATGACGACAGACCAGTACCTCCCCAAGTCGACCGCGGATCAGGAGCAGTCTGGCGGAGCCGCACCTGCAAGGCGCAAGACGATCAATCCTTTCAAACGCAATCAGCAGCAGCAGCAGCATCAAGATACCCTCAACCCCAACGGGAACGCTCCAAAGCGTTCATTCACCACCATTAGTCGATCGGTTGTAGGATCCGTTTTGAGGCCCAGTCGGAACAACAACAATGCTGCAAAATCAGACGATGGAAATGGTGGAAATGCGCAGGAAGCACCCTCCTCGCCCCGGATACCCTCAAGCAGCTCACCACCGTCCAGTCCAAAGCGACAATACTGGCAAAGGTCACCTGCGATTACAGGCGGTGCTGGCGTGTTTGCGCAGCAGCAGCAACAGCCACCACAGTCACCGCAGGTGGTGCGACAGGCCGTCTCGCCAACATTGTACAGTACTGCAACAATTCTTGCGGAGGCCAGCAAGATACAGGATGAAGAGCAGCGGCAGATGGCGGAAATGATGTTTTTGAGTTGAGGGGTTTGGGCGTTTGTGGTTTTTTATGACGTGTATCTCTTTTTTGCTGGGCTCGTTCGGAGATTCCCTGTACTTTTCTCTCGTCCTTCGTTACCCTGTCGACTTTGCCTTTCGGCCATAGTATTGGCCTCCCTTCGTTCCTTATTCGCATTCTTGATTATACGTGATTTATTCTGGGTTTTTTGTTGTTTGTTTCGAGTTAATCTTCATTCACCTCTCGACACTCGTTCTTTATGTTTTTCTATCACTGTTACTTCTCGTCGCCTCATCCTTCAAGTCTCACTTCACATTTGTCTGTTTCACTTCGCATCTTTCCATCCATTGATCATCATTCTCGAACGAGTATCCCACTCGCATGTTATGCAAAGCAACCAATCGACCGGTCGAGTCAAACACTCGAATGACATTCCACTGTCCTTACTTTAGAAACTCAGATAACTAAATATCAATCCATTCACTGCATGACAACACTGTCGAGTTAAATTCGCTCCTTTGCCTTCATGTAACTATGCTGTGGCTTACCCAGCCGTAATGGAGAAGCAGTCTTACGCACAGTACTTAGCATTCATTCCTTTGTAAGGCCATCGAATTGGATCGTGGTGGCACCTTTTAACTCGTCTTCTTTAGAACAGGGCCCGCTGAACCCTTGATGATTACCACCTCAAGTCTGCTCAATAAGCTTGAACTCTGAATTGGAACTCCTCTCGCTACCACTGCAATCTAGAAGTGCATCACCTCATCCCTGATCTTAGATCTCAGAACCAACCATCCTCCCACTTGTAGCGGCGCATTCAAAGTCAGCCCCTATAATCGATCTTGAGCGTCGCGTCTCCCTTAGACTGGACTCCTGCGCGTGTCGCGCTGTCGCGATCGTCCCCCACTGCAATCACATGCACTTAGGGGTCCTTGCAGTTTTCAAATACCTTCCCCGCAGTTCCCCGCATCCCGTGTTCTCTCCACCCGTGCACGCGCGTCAATTATATGGCGGGCGGAAGCAGGGCGGATGCTTCTTTTGGAGTAATTAACGGGGAAACTCGAAAGGGGGCGCCATGTGCGACGCTACCGTCGCTACGTGTTCTATTTATAGATTTAATGCCAAGAATCAATATCGGTTACCTTAGGCGCTTAAGCAAGTGGAGGGTACTAGGATGATGATCATCGTCGAGGACGCAAACGAGATTAGTTGACACCTTAAGGCCTACTATAGCTGCTGGCGCAGCTTCGGCTCTTTGCTGATCGTAGGCTACTGGACGCAACTTAAAGGAGGGAGAACCGGCCGGGGCCGATGGTCAGACCTTGCATTCCGCCTTAGGAGGGAACTTTCAGCTTGACTTTCGGCATTTCTCACCACCCAGCACCTCGACGGTGACTGGCTGCTCGGCCGCTGAGCTGCGATTGGTTGGTCTAATTGGGCGAAGGTCTGATACATACATCACATCAGTCACAGTCCCACGTTCTTAATATCTACTCGAGCATCTACATAACTTGTTCATGGTCTAAGTTGGCTGTCAGGGTCCTGGTACACGTGTACCCTTCACCACCCCGTATTGGGCGTCGAATTAACCATCTATGCCGTGGACTGCCCACCCTTGTCCGACGCGATGCCAGCCACTTCTTGACAAGCGCCGCGGGGAATTAGAAATGAAACCATCATCAACAGCGTATCACGGTGGGTCCATCCACGACGTCAGAGTGCGGGGAAGAAAGGGACCGATCCTGGAACAGAACTGCTTAGGAAAGGAAAGACGGAGAGTATGGATTCGGTACGGATATCGGCACTGCGGCAGTCGGCCCAATAGACAATAGAGATTGGAGGGGTTTGATATTGAGAAGTGGAGGATTCGAATATTTCGGACTGTATTTGGGAGGTGGTTTCGTTGGTTTCGGAACACAGAGATGCGACCCTGCAGATTAGAATGGAGGGAAGCGTAGGTGGATGGGCTTGGCCAGTTGGGAGGATGATAACCAGGAGGCGGACCAGAGCAGCAGAGAACATTCTACAGGACCAACTTGATGGCCTATGGGAAATCCAGGGTCAGGGTGGCTTGCATCCTTATTTCTGGACGTGGGTGAGGAAAGTCCTGAAAAGACCCTGCAGGGAACCACGGAGAACGGGAAGGAATCAGGCATCGACTCGACGTCGCCACCGCGGCGTCTACATGGGAAGCGGGAGTAGAGCCAACATTCGGAAGGGCTGCACCGAGGAGAGCAAAAGACGGTGAGGCCGCGATGCGGACGAAATAGTGATATGGGTGAAGAGAAGGGTCCACACATCTCTTTCTCTCGTCCGTCGTGCTATCACCTAGGGTCAATAACACTTGAACGATTGAAAAACTCAGGAAGAAGGTAAGGTTTTGTGAGCAGGAGATTCCATCGGACGATGTTATCGCCTCGTGTATTGAAGTGGAAGTGGATGGGAAACTTCTCTCACCTAGTTCTAGTGAAGTAGAGTAAGAAAGACCAGTTGGATGAATTGGATGACAGTTGCGAGGTTATCATGTTTGATGTCATGGACTATTCCAGGAGCCCCTGATATCCAAGTAAATGAAGGGGGGCGAGCTTCTCTTTCAAGCCGTCACGATCATGTGTGTAGTGCAAATAGGCAGGAGTGAACCAACGAGACTTCTTGTTCGGTCGGTTAATAAAGTGTATGGTGGAAACTGCCGTATGTTATGACTGAAAGTGCTCTTCCTTAGGGGAAAGTGTAGGAACACCCTAAAGGGATAGTAACATTGCAGAAATGTCGAGGATTTCCGGATTGAATGTATACCGAGGTAGATTGATGGCGCTTCTACATGCTTTCAAGCTATCGAGTCTCTCTTCGATTCCATTGCAGAGTGGAACTGGGTCAGCTGTGCTGCTCTGGCTACGGTTCGGAGACTTGCGAAGAGTGGAGATTCTGATCGCAGCAAAGGAGATTGAATTCAGATGTGGAGGGGGTGACGGTATGTTTTGTGAAGTTCTTAAGAGGGTTATAAGTCAGTAGCCGTTGAGTCGGCACTGATTGCATGGTGTCTTCTCCACTCCAAACTGAAGTGAGCCAAATATAGCACAGAGATGCTGGGAATGGAGCGGCCGAAGGAGTGGAGAGGTTGCGATCAGGTGGGCGGAGGGTAACCGGATGGGGACAATAAATGAGTCGATCGCGATCGGACTCACTGCCCCTTGTCATCGAGACCCAGCTGACCCACGGGAGGCTTCACAGAAGACAGGGAGACCATCAGAGAGAAGTAAATCTCGAAGAGAAGAGCGTTGCATTTCAGCAGACGGAGGTCCCACTAGATGGCGACGAGAGAGATGGGGACGGGGACGGTGTTCGCTGAGGCTCATCTAGCTCTGAGTCGCCGAAGTTCTGGATAATTCTGGACTGGACGATTTGGATTGTACAGTAATTAAGCAAGTAGCAGTAGGTTGGTGGATATGGATAGGATCGTGTGAGCGGAGAAAGGAGCAGATAAGGAAGAAGGTTTGGGAGATCTGGTCCAGGCACGTGATAGAGACCGAATAATGTTATAATCCCGGGTGCGTTCCTTGTTGGTGACTCCCGTTACAGACCTCTCCAGCTCGCATGGCTAACACCAACGCCCCCAATGCCCCCTCCAACCCAATCCCCATAGTCAATCCAAGAGGGAGAAGTCGCTCAGTCTCCATATCCTCAGCGTCGTCGGGCTCGACGAGCTCAGCCTCTGACCTCCCGACTCCACCCTCAAGCTCGATGGGGTCCCAGCGCATCTCTATTCCCTCGCCATCCACATCCCCCATTCTGTCCTACTTCCTGGCTCAGAGCCCATCCAAGTCCACCCCGACTCCAGCGGGCACCTTCCCGTTCAGGCGCAGCTTTGGACCCAGCCCAGTCTTCGAAGGTATGCACGCTCCAAGGAGCTCCTCGTCGCATCTCACTAAACTGAATCCACAGAGGACGAAGCTGAAAACAAGGAGATTCCAGTCGCCGCTCATGCCAGGCGCGCTAGTGTGGCTGCCTCCAACCGATTCTCAGGTCAGGCCACGGCCCAGCCTGCTCACATTCCCGAGGCCTTACAGGATCGGGGTACGGGACTATTGAGACGACTTTCTCTTAGCAGCTCGGCGTTCACAAAGGTATGTCGCTTCTTTCCTCGTGCATAATGTTCCCTGTTGACCCATTGATTTATGTAGCCCCAAATCGACTCAGCTTCGAGAGGGCCACCAAGCCCGCCACCAAACTCGGCTGTGAACCCCACCCAGCCACACAGCCCTCCACTCATCCAGAAGCCACGTCGTTCTGCCACCATTAGCGACGGAGCTGGGAGGCCTCGTCGAGCTCCCTCTCCAATGGGAGAACGCATTCTCAAGGGTCACTTTGACGGTTTCAACTAAGCCCGTTACATTCGTTTCACCTTGCCCACCCAGGCACCACTGTCGTTTCTCGGTCATTGCATCATGAATCCTCTCACACATTTGTCTTGCAAGAGCACAATACCCGCTTCGGACAATTCTCTCTAATCCTGGCCTTTAATTGGACGAGGACGCTGTTCTATCGAACGACCAACTCTTACAATACGCCACCCCCTCCTCGCCACCTAACTTTCGGGCCCGAAAGCTTATTCGCCAAGCTTCCTTCAATCATTCCTCGAGCACTTCGGCCATGTCATTGAGGCCGTGGTCTTGTTTGTCAGTCACTTCAAAACTACGTTCTGGTGCATCATTCTCAAGCAGTCTTAAATTCTTGTGGACCATTCCGTGTACAGTATCCCGCCCGGCCTCTTCAAGTATTCATTGTGTACATATTGATTCTGGTTTTTCGTTGACTGCATGTATCATTTCTTTGTACTAATAGTAGTAATTTAACTATCGTCTTCTCTTTCACCGCGACGTTAGGCTACTTGGGCTTTGCGAGTGGCATAGGTCTCTTCGAGAAGACGATCTTCTTCCTGACGACCCCGAGGATCACCCAGGGAGCAACGTCGCCAGTCTGCGATTCTCCTACCTGGCTTTCTTCCTCGTCCACAGCCATCGCACCCGTGCTAGTAGAAGCATTGGCATGTGAACGATGCAAGATGGCGAGTGGCTTGTTGATCGTCGCGATTTTGCCTTCCAAGAGATGATGGCCAATTCTTAACGTAGGCTTGTTCTGCAATTCAAGAGGCACCTCAGTGTGTCAGTCCTGGAGTCATTCACTCTGTTGGTCTCAGAATGGAGGGCGGGGAAGATAATATGTTGAATCTAACCAATGTAAAGAAAGACTAACCGAGCCCTCATCAATGCTAAGTTTCCCTACAAGCTTGCCATTACGCTCTGATGGATGCTTTGCTTCTACGTCGAGCGAGCCTTGCAACTCGACCAGGACGATCTCATCGTTTGCGATCTTGGCGAGACCGTGCGGTAACTTTGGGTTGCAAATGCCGTCTGTGGAGAGGGTTATTGGGATGATCATGGCGTCGTTGTCGTGCTGTTATCGTAGTAGGCGGTGTACTAGCACTCAGCGTTCCACCATCCCACTGTAAGTGGTGTGGTCGTGGTGGGGAAAGAGGATGAGCTTGGTGGCTGTTACCCCCTGTTTACGCGTTGTTTGTAGTAAACATCGCATGCGCCGCGAGTCCGACCGTCTTCCGTTCTTGAGCAACGCCAGCAACACTGCCGAACAACAGGGAGCGCCTAACTCTAACTCAGGTCATGATATGAAACGAGGACACTACATGCGCTGCTAATACCATTTTTGAGTCCGCAGTGAATCGCCCGAATTTGGGATTCGTTGCAACCCCGAGGCAGCCAGGACTGGTAACCCACTGAGGCGAGATGTTGGCTCTTAACAGGGACTCGCTGGCATCCCTTCACGATGAAACGATAAATATCACGTTACGCGGTTGAAAACCGAGGACAATCGAGATTTTCTGTGAACGAGGATCATGATGGTGATCTGACCATGTCCTCCCAGTGCGTCAATTCGATGCTCATGCTAGATCGTTTGTTCGGATAAAGATGGACGAGTGTGTCCAAAATCGAGACGGGGAAAGGAAACTCAATTGGCCATGGCGGTTTCAAGGGTCGCATAGGTTGAATACGAGATGGATGGGTCTGAATCGTAGACCCGGTAGTACCAGTCAAAACATTAGTGTACTCGAGTTTCAAGGCAAGATAATTTACAAGGGGATTCAATACAAACGGGATAGCAGGCATGTGTCCACGCGGATTTCAAAGCAAGACATCAGTTACTAGAACCCGAGCCAGCGAAGTGTAACGCCAAAACCATTCAGTCTCTTGAGATAAAATTCCGAACGGAGGCAGAGAAAGATCGGGCTTTGGTATGCTTACACTTGATCTTTCGCTGCTTGGGCGCGTCGAGTTGGGTTGGAGGGAGCGGTATGGTAGATGCAAGGTTGCCAAAGCTATCCAAGGAAGCGTCAGGAAGGCTACACACGCTTGCAGAGGGATCATGACGTCGTCGAGGCAATGGAGGCAAAGGAACTTCAATACACTCCTTCGCATACTCGCCACCGATTCGTCTAGCATCCTTCCTCTGTCTGAGCCGCTCCAATTGCACCTGCCTGCTCTCCATCCACTTATCCTCCAGGGCAGTGTGCTGTTGCTGACGATGATAAGCGCCAAAATCTGAGACATACGAGGGGAACTCGGATGCAACGTTGAAGCCGACTACGGTGCGACTGCCTAAAGTCTCCTGGCTTCCGTTCATTCTTGTGAAAGTGGCGCTGTTCATAGATTTGAGCGTCTGGGTAACGAAGGTATCCCTCTTCCTCGCCTTTTCGTCCCTTTCATCCACTTTGGCTAGTAACGATTCATCGGGAGGCGGCGAAATGATGGTCCTGACGGGAACATAGTGGCCATTGCTAGGCCGGGAGACAGGCGATGCTGCTGAGTCCCTCTTTGACAGACGGGTGTCCTTGGCTTTCTTGATCGTCGCGGGAGTCGAGGTGCATGTCGATTGATCGTTGTCCACGGGTATGCCGACATTCGCTGCCGTCAGAACATGCACGATAGGAGTGTGGCTCTTGACCATTTGCATGCGATGTGCAAAGGAACACGTAAAGCTATTATCAATTCACAGTCAGGAAGTCGATATGGACACAAGATAGACGGGAGAACGTACCCTGGTCCAAGAATGAATTCGCCCCCTAGCTGCGTAACGTCCCCTCCGTTCTCCCAAACGGGCATCCCGACCTTCAGTGACCTTACCACCACTTTCGCCAGCCCCTTCATAACCCCCAACTTAGTCCCACTTTTTGCCCCCTTTTCCTTGGCCATAGAGGGTGCTAACTCCGCCCTTTCCAACAGCACGGGAGCTTCCCCCTTCTGAAGAATCCCGTTGTCGAAGGTCTGCAGTCGTGGCTCCGTCGTCTTCTTCGATGAAGAATCATACTTGATCATTCCCAAGGCCTCGTAGACTTTCCCATCCGGATCGCTGAACATTCTGAAGGGCAGTTCGAACATCTCCCTGTACTTCTCGATCAAGGATGGCTTGCCACATCCAATGAGAATCACTTGAACCTGCTTCGGGGGTTTGTCGTTTTCTCCCTCTTTGACCTTTGCATCGTCCTCGTTAAAGTCGCATAGAATGCCGCCTGTTTTGAACGCCGGCCTCCGCACCAATGAAGTCAAGGACTGAACGTAATCTTGACTTATGGGACAGAAGAAATGGCGGAGAAAGAGCACGATGGCTCGATGTTCTTCGAATAGGGTGCCGAACCGGATCGAAGCGCCATCAGGACGGAAGATGGGTAGGGAAGCGGCATAGGCCAGTTGAGAGAAGGTGGGTATAGACCACTCAGTCTGCGGGGACAATGGGGTGGTTGACAGGATCGGGCTTTGACAATGGATCTGTGGTCTAGTAGAGGCAGCGGAGAGCGGTGTTGCTTCCCCCGAGACTGCAGTTAAGGGAGGAGGGGAAAGGAGCTGCGGCTCTACCAACGGCGGATATCGCGCAGTGGACTGGGAAGTGGAAGAGCTAGGGGTACCAATGGAATCGGGAGGGTTTATGCAGGTTTGACACCCCTGAGTGGTTTCCGCAGTAGCAAAGGACTGGTCAGAAGGAGTGGGAAGCGAGACCTGAATATAGGTTGAGGTGGAAGAAGTGCTATGCGAGGTCGTCAACGGCGCGAGCTGCACAGACACCCCGCGTTTCGTGATCAATGGTTGAGGGGAAGCCGGTATTGTCAAAGGTGCCTTGGGCTCAGGGGTAGGGGGGAGGGGGACGCTCGCTGCGAAGCAAAGATCTACACTCGAAGGAGAAGTTGGAGACGAAGGGGAATCCATCTTTCGACGACGGATGTCTGTTCGATGGGGAGCTATATGGGTGTCGAGAGTCGCCTCGTTTCTTTTTCGACCATGATTGCAATCCTCGTCACATCGCGGGTATAACGCCTGGGCGTCGACATCAGAGGAGGCAGATTGTTGGAAGGTTGACGGTTGGACGGAAATAGCATTATTGTAGATTGGATTCGATGTGATAGGGAGGTGATGTCCCCTTGTCACTCCCGATCGCCATACAAGGGTGGAGATAATTGGGGGTGATATTGCGGGTTTGTTCTCGATGACGGTGGTGTTCACTTCTTGCTGACAGGGCGGACGGGGTGGGAATGAATGCGGACTCGGAGGAAAATCGGTGGATACGGTGTTCGTTGCAATGTTGACATCGGCGGTAAATGCTTTTGGAGGAGCTTCCGAAGCGCTTTTAGCGCGGACTATTTCCACTGGTGAAAACAATCGAGAAAATTTATGGGGAGACGACCGTCCTCGTTGCTGCTCGTGGGGGACGCTGTGCCAACGGTGGTGATTGGAGTCGTCCTTGGTCATTTCACGAACACCGATGCCGACCACTTTATGTGCATCGGGCTGCTTCACGCCTGATTGAGAGGTAAGTGGCGAGCCCCTCCCGCCATGGTACACCCGTCGAGCATCGGAAGCCAGGCAAGGGGCATGGGAGTGGGATGGTGAGAGGGAGTGTGTCTTTGTTGGGGGCGGAGGATTGGGCCCTATGGAGCAACCCGCATGCATACGGTTCAAATCCGATGGTGGTGATTGGGAGAGAGAGATATCCAGAGAGCCCCTACGGGGGAGGTGGCGGGACGGTAGAATGAACGAGCCCGACTGAGGACGAGACAGTAAGGCAAGGGCTGCAGCATCGTCAGCTGTGTGTGGTCGTTGTTGGCTTCCATCGGTAGCTGTCTTGTTTCGTAGAACCCACAGAGGAGCAAAGGGGTCCGCTGGATCTGGGGGCGGGTACCTCTGAGAGTAGTTCATCCGAGAATGCTTGAATAATCTGGAATATAGCAAGGTTGTTTGTAAATAAGCTCTACACAGAGAGACGGAGTGACATACCTTGTGCAGCAAGTCAAAATGAACCCCTGCGAAGGCTGATCCAGTGAGCGATTGGATTTTAGCAATCAGTGGGGAGGCTCATGGAGGTCGGAAAGAAAGCCATATATGCACCCGCTTCATTACACACGTGGAAGTGATGCCTTCGAGTTCTCTCCGTTACTCTACGGACATCGAGCTCATCCTAGCATCGAAAATGCCAATCCTAGCAACATCTTGGTATGATAGCCGTCCATGCCAGCAGTTGCTAACCGTCCTAATAAGTACAGCAACGGTACTGTGACTGCGATCGTCAAAGAGAGCTTTGGGTACGCCAGGACCCCACGAGAATCATCATATATGAGGGGAAATGGCCTAGTTTCGAAGCAGAGAAGGGAACAGGCGCGCGATACCGTATGAGTAAATCATTTGGTCGGCGTCAAAGTCGCGCTCATGCTGTCAGTTGTCAGTCGCGGCTTGTTCTCCGCTGTCCCACTTTCCCACAGTGTGATCAGCCGATTTGCCGAGGGACACGACGAGTACGGTGGAGGACATCATTGGAGTTTTCATGGGGCTGCATTCGTCATTTGCGTCACAAGTTTTTATATAAGTTTGAACGTATAAAGACCGGTACTGTACGTGTTGCTTCAATCGAGCGAGAATGTCAGGACCCTCTAATCCTACCACGGAATACCCCGAGCAACTTCACTCAGGTGCAATCGGAATAGGACCGCATTATCACACTAGTCCCGTAGGTGAAGAGACCACAGTTCCAAGGGATAAACTAATGATGCTGTCAGACACTAACAGACAAAGTACAGGGACTAAAGGAAGAAGTAAAGGGCAAGATCCAGCGTAATCCCGGCAAGGTTCAACATGGGAAAGATATCAGAACTGGGGAAGAGTTGAAAAGGCAGAGAGAAGCAGATGTCAGTCCGGTTCCATAATACTACTATTCTTGTGCCCTCTGATCGAGGAATTTAGGCTGCCTCTGACCCTTTCCACGAGACGCCATCCAGAGTCCCCAATTCCAACACGGGTCCTCACCGGATCGATACCCAGGGAATTGGTTCCTTACATAGCCATGACGAGAAGGCTCATAAAGAAATCGCGGCGACGGTCGCTCCGGAAGGCAGCGAGAAATCTGAGTATGAGAGGAAAGGGGAAGCCGTCGATCGAGTCAAATTCTAAGCTATCTGCCAATGACAGCTCCAATATGTGTGGCCCGTAACCTTCCCGTATAATTGTCAGATTTACATCCCGAATTGAAATTGATCCTTGTCGCGACTTAACCCGGCCTAAGATATCACTGTTGCCACTGAACAGGCGGCGTTCTCGAAAGAGAAGAAGTTATGGCTCAATCCAAAGACATACTTGCAACCTGGTTTGAAGTTCCCCGTCCCACATGGTAGATGGCTGTCCTTTACTGTCGGCAGCGCTTTCTGAAGTCCGACTCGGATTCAGAAGCCACTCGACATAATCCATTTCCACAGAACCCCCGCCATTCCCAGACGTAAGATACGGAAGATAGAGGTAGAATAAGTCAGGTAAAACACGGCCTGGTCACTGTTCCGTGCCCTTGACGCGGGGATAGGGCCCCTTGTGCGAAAGAGGATTGTGTTGTGTCACTACCCAGGTGTCTGCTAGACCCCATCAATCCCGCCCGACTAGCCCGCACCGTGCGGCGCGCGCATAGTTTTGGTCAAGGTCGAATTTGAGCCAACTGCACGTCCGGCTGCTCCCCTCGGCTCGCTATAGTTAAAGTAGGGAAATGAGCAACCATTCCCGCTGTTGATAACCGTTGGCGGGCCTGAGCAGTCGAAAATGTATCTAGCCGACAAACCAAAAGGATTTCCATTGACAAACCGGAAGCTGTCAGGGCTATCGGGCTCGTCGCTCTCAGAAACCCAGCTGGAACTCCGGTACGCACGCATCATGGGGCTGGTCTATGCCACGTAGTAGGTGTATCGTCTCCGCCGTCCTCTCCGCCTACTCGACTCGAGGTGTTCCAGCAGTCCCTTGGAAGCCTCCGTCCGATCTGTGGTTCCACAATCTAGCACACATGTACCTCAGAGACAGTGTAGGCTTGAATTTTTAAAAGATGTTTATAGATACTGTCTGAGTACAGGCATGGAAAGGCCTACGCCATTTAACCGCCGGTCGCTGTCGGGAATGTATGCGGCCCTCTTATGGGTCATCAATACATTGGCAGGTTTTGAAGTCCTTGCATGCGAGCGCCTGATCACTGATTTATTCAGATCCAAATGTCAGAGGCTTGCGTTAACATCGGCTATGGATACTCGGATTTCGGCATCCTCGACAACGTCATATCAGTGGCACCCTGGATCGGGAGACATTAAGCGGAAAGGTGGTTAGCCTGCTATGCGATGGGCCTCTGGTTTCATTCGTGATAATCAGGTCATGCTATGTAATTTCGAATGGGTGTGTGCCCTTTCTTTGAAATCCGTGAAACGCGCCTTCGTTCCTTATGAGCCTCACTGGCGAACTGCCAGACTGGCAAAGCATATCAGGTGGCAAACCGTCGGCTCATGCTTTCAGGACTTATAAAACGCATTCAACGTGGCTGCAATTAAGCAGTGTGTATAGGGGACTCATTTGTTGCCGAATGATCATTGATATCGCTGGTCCGGAATTAGTCGCGGATGGATACTTACTACTAACTCGACGCAGTGCAACCCAACACATCATCTCAGCCGACGACTCGGGATGACACACGAGGCAACCGGATTTTCGTTCAGAGAATTTCGGGTCATATGTAGGACTCAGCCGTCCTGGTGGTTATCGAGGTTTGTTGGCTTAGCTGTAAAGTGACCGTTCACGTGGGTTTCCGACCCATTGGCAGGCTTGTTTGCTAAGCCTGCTATGGCGATTTCATTTCCCGATTCATCAATGTCTTCGGCATCAGCATATGCTTAGTAACGTCCTCGATTGCAGGTATTCATGGCTAACGATGATGATAACGATGATGATGATCAAATAAAGTGCACGACTGGGGCCTGTTTTATCATCGAAAACAGTTCATCACGAAGACGGAGTTTGTCCAGGGGTATACGATCCGGATTGGTATGGACACCCAGACCTATCAATCTAGCCACGCGAGCTCAAGGCTGGCGCCCCTGTCGTAACACTCGCTTCCGAGTTTTCAGAGTTACTCATCAGAGATAGAGTCTGAAACGCGTCGCCTCGCTCGATAGCCTCTGTTTTTCGATGGGTATATTTTCGAAGGTGGAAACGGCCGTCGGTACCATCGTTGGAACTTAGCACGACCAAATGACGTCGACCATTCATTAACCAACGTTACTCCCGAGGCCTTTGAATAGGGAGACTCTCTAGACTTCAGAAACTCCGGCATGAGATCTTTCCTTGATTTGCGATGAAGTTGTTCCATCTGCCGTGCCTCGAGGTCAATTTTCGTGACTCTTCCCGATGCGTCAAGGGCGCCGGCGCGTGGACTCCAGACTATGCTGTACTTCTAGCCATTTGGAACAAATTTAGCGCCTGTCGGGACAGTATATAAGGTAGATGGAAGTCACCGTATTCTTCATCACCTCTCAGGTTCTCTAGTCCTTCAAAGCCCGTCTCTCTTCCTCACTATCCGGCCTTCCTGAATCATGCACGGAACGAACCCATACGCCCAGGCCGGCTGGTACAACCCTCAGAATCCCCATACCATTAACAACCATCCCTGGGGCTCCAGCGGCAATGGCAACCCAGGGCCCTCCATCTTTGGAGCTCTCCCATATGCCAACCAGGGCCAAGTTCCAACAGTACTAACGTTCCACTACGTCTGCCTCAACCCAGACGTTCTTAATTGCACGATCACTGGCCCTACTTCTATCCCCTACTTGGAAGTTGCTACTGTGATGCGAAATAACATCTCTACGACTGTTTTCAGGAAGTCAGATGGTCGCGTCTTGGCGTCTATCGAGTGGACGCGGGCACCAACTGTAGAGATTGCAGGCCAGACGCTCTCCAAGCGCCTCGTTTCCCAGTGGATGCGGTCATCTCCGGATAGAAGGTACGAAGATCTGGTATCATCGAAGTGGCAATTCAGAACTCATCAATTTATCTTTAGCCAGCGAGGGATGAACGTTAATGGCAGAGACTTCATTTGGGTCAGTATGCCGACGGGAACATGTGTAAGCAGTAAAGAATTCTCAGAGTCCCATCCCCAGGAATAACTGAAATTCTTACTCATTGTAGGTCTTCGCACATGGCGATACCAAGAATGCACTTGTCAAGTTGCACCGAGGCCCGCAAGTCATCACTTTGGAGTTAACTACTGAGGCATTCAATGCCGGCCTGCTGGAGGCATCCATCGTTGCCACGGTCCTCATCCACTCTGGTCGGAACTTCGATTAAAGCTCCCCGACCCCCAATGTTTCAGGTGACGGTATTTATACTCGAGATCCCTATTTATGCTATTTATCACATATTCCCTAGACTGCCTATGTAGCTTCTTAGACTTCATCATTACACCCTTCGACATGTATCGCTAGGCTTTTCTTTCCCTCCATTCTGTGTGTGTAGCATTATGAGTCGCGCGACTCCTCGCATTATATATATATATCTATTCGTTCATTTATAGTCAACAGGTCCGCTGGTGGACGAGTGATCCTTGCCAGTAGCAACAGCTGGATGTTAGATTGATGGTCATAGTCAACATGGAGTCTATATGGGCGATAGCAAGAAACTGGTGATCCTCGGACACAAGACGTTAGTCCAGCGAGCGTCTGCTAAGCAGCTTAGTGATCTCTCGATGCTCGTGAAGCCAGTCCGGAAACGATGGGAATGGGCTGTCTGCATCCTTCCTCGCCCGCATCTCGATCAGATAATTCGCAAAAACGATGAGTGTGCCATATCGATACCTGGGTTCATGGGTGAGTAGACGGAAATCTTTCAGAAGGAGCGAAAATCCTGACAGGTAGTTCACAGTGACATGATGAAGTTGGCGATACTTGGGCGAATCTTTTTCTGCCGCTTCAACCTTGAGTTTGTAGCTAAAATAAAATAACACATGAAGAGACATCCTTGTAGCAACGGGCGCCCAGTGTTACTTACTCGTAAATTGCCTTTCGCAGATTTTGCACGTCTTGCATTAAGTCGATGGCCCGATCAGTCAGGCATTTAGCAGCCTTGCCATGCGACAGAACTCCAACGAGCTTCAAAATGGTCTTGTATTCACCTGGTTAAACGAGGTTAGAGGTGAAAAAACAGAAAGCCAGAAAACCTACCAGCAAGGTACGATTCTTCCTCGGAAGGCCCATCCATGGGGTCATATATTTCTGGGGTCGATCCGTCTTCAACGACATGTTCGTTCTTCTCCTCCCAATTCATTGTGGAGGCAATCAAGCAGGCCGTAATCATGCCGGTCGTTGTCCGACCTCTCCCCATCTGACAGTTGAAAATGAAGTCGCCAGCCACCGGTAAACCGGATTGTATGCGATTGAGTAATTGAGAAAGTGCATCTGGTAGGGGGGCCTGTTCGTCCGTCTACAGGGATTCGTGAGTCCAGGGGGTCAGAAAAAGGTGACTCGGCACATACAATTGCAACACGACTATAATCAATCTGTAATGAAATTGTCAGTAGTTGTGGCCCAATTAATGCAAAACACTTACGCGATAGCCTTCGCTAATTATGACATTGAAGACATCTCTCGGGGTCATGATTTCTTCCTCCGACACGACCTCCCAAATCGGAATAATGGTGAAAACACCAGGACGCTCCTCTACTTCATCGTGTAAGAGGATGCGACCATTTCCTTTCTTTAACTCCCTTAGGACATCCTTCTTGAAGCTTTCCTCCATGCTCTCAACGACAGTGGTTGTTACACCGGTTGCCCTACGGTCGGTATGTTTAGCAACCGTGATCGTGACGCCGAAATGGAATGAAAAATGCATACTCCAAGTTCTCCAAGGGTTTGTTGACCAATCGTAAAACATGTGGCCTTCCCGCGACATAGATGACTGGTTCCTGGGAGGACATAAGCTTATCAAGTCGGTAGAAGGAGGGTCAGAAAAATGTAGCTACCTCTCGGAGCGAAGTCCAGTAAACCATGTTTTTACCATTGGGCCCAGCATCGACTCGTTCAAGGGCACGCCGCAATCTGATTATCGCGTTTCGTCAGCTCCTCCAGATTGTGCGTGATGCGTCTGACAACGTACCCCTCTGCAGTCGGCATTCCACTACCACAGACCTTCTTGCCTGAATCATCCACAACGAAGTCGACCCCGTGAGCGCCAGGCGTTCCGGAAGAAACGGCGCGAAGGGTCATAGGAACACGTCGGAAGTTTGGGGACCCCTCGATGCGTCTAGAAGGACAGTCAGCACCGTTCGACACTAAGCGGATAGGCGCGTATGCTTACTCAGGAAGCGTCATTTTCTGCAGATTGGAGAAGAAGTCGCTCTTCAAAATGGTCGATGCCGATAGAATGCTTCCGGAACGGTTCTTTACAACTTGCGTGACTTCATCGGGATCTGCAACGCCTTCCTTGAAATCGGCCCGCTCCAGCGGTTTGAGTGCATTCAATCCATCGTCAATCATATCCTTCTCAAAGGTCTTGATGACTAAATGTTTCGAGATTAGATGTGACTAACAGGTAAGCTAGGTGAAGCGGAAGACAGATGCTTACCTGGTCTGTTCTTCACAAAGGTCTCGATACTTTCGAATGACTGCATGGTATCGGGTTCAATCGATTGAAGGTAGGCCTGGAATACAATCAATTCAAAGTAACGCCTGAGATTTTGCAAGCCTAAAAGCGTCTGTTAGTATTCAATGCCTGGTGTAAAACCGCATGAAGTCGGACCTTTCGCGGCCCAGACACGCTTCTGCTTCTCATCATTCGCTTCTTCTGCACGAGTACGAGCTTCCTCGATGGAGTCCCTGAGGTTGTAAACCTCAGAGCACTGATCAATTGCGTCGTCTACAATGCTCTTCACAGTCGGGCCTCGGCGAATAACTCGGAGAAGGTCTGTGATTTCGTCAACTTCGTATTCCAAATGCAGTGAGTGTAAAGGAAGCTTACTGTTAATCACCACATAAGAATGGCGTGGTTGACCTTGCTTAAACTCGGGCCCAGTGACAGACAAAACGGACGCCGAGCGTTTGAAGCGAGGTGTCATAGGGGTGGCGGCAACGTTCACCTGGAGCCATTGCCTGATCAAGAGGAGAATGATCTAGCGTGAACACATTAGCGCATGGAGACAGCTTGCACGAGAACACTATCACATACCGACGCCAGTGTACTCCTTCCTCTGCCAAGCTGGCAATTGACGACAATTGGTGTAGTGAGCGATGTTCGCAATGTCACTTCAATCAAGTCGTGAAGGTCGGCATAGTCGGGGGTCTTCTCGGCGGTGATTGGCACTCGAATGTACTGAAGAGAGACATTGACACTTTCCCGCCGGGATGACATTACATCCTTCAGAACCATGACGTTCTCGGGTTGAACCTCCTCCCATACGGGGACAACTGCACCATCTGTGGTTTCGGTATGCAAGAGTAGACTGTAGTCCAAGTTAGAAGCGGTGATACATCCAGAATGCAAGAACATACCGTCCACCAAAGGCTTCGAGCTCTGCTAAAACGTCATCTCGCAGACGCTCTTCCAGCACTTCTAATCGCGAACCGGAAATCCCTCCGTAGTCTGGTAGTCGAATTGAACGCGAGGTCTTGTCACCGTCAAGTGCGAAGGAAGCATACCTTTCACATTACGAAGCGAGAATCTCTCCCTCCGCAAGCAATACGGGGCACCGTTGATGTAAACAATGGGTTCTTCTCGGAGGGTGAGCCAGACAATCTTGTCCGCCGATGGATGAGCCTGCCTAAGTCTCCAGAGGATCTCGTCGATCGCCGAAATGGTCGGCTGACCCAGAGCGTAGATGCTTGTCCCGTGAACTTGTCTAAAGTTAATGGCTCCTCGAACACCATGCTCGACTTGATGTGATTCTCTCAACCATTGATCGGATTTGAGAAGCATGCTGCAAATAATCATTGTCATTGGGCTTTATGGAGCGTCCTCGACGAAGACACGTACCTCTCTCGAAGGATGATCCCACTTCGGTGCTGTGAAGTATGCAATCAATAAAGGCGATTTAAGCATGCTCGAGGCCACTGACTTTGACAACATGGTCCGAATACTCATCTCCCAGAATCTGGCCTCCAGCAATCGCAACGTCGTTCTTCTTCCCTGGAAGCAGCGCACGGGTGTCTAAGCCCTTCCCAGAAAGCGTAGACAAGTCGTTGACGGGGGCGAATACATTCAACCTGGATCCTGATGTCTTCCTAAGAAATCCGACCTGACTATAACAGAAGTTAGGTATCAGAACAACCTCCAGCAAGGAGACTGCTTACGTCCAGATCTCTGACCGAGCCTTGGTACTATCATCAGCGAGGCTACTAAAGAACGCTGGTTCAAAGCTTACTTTGAGCCAAGAGGCAAAGGTAGAGCAGGAGCCTTCTTCCTGGGTTTCAATGAAATTGGCAAATGCGATGATGAAGAAGCTGGTCAAAGTTCAGATGAAATCGGTTAAACGAAGGAGTGATGATGGTACTGACTATTTCTCCAGCGCCTTTCCAGCCTTGTTCAGGAAGGTTTCACCCCGTTCGTCGTCCATGCTTGTCAGGGAGTACATCAACCGGTACTTCAAAATATCCTCTCGAAGATTGACCACTTGGTCGGCTTTAGGCAGAGTCAGCGTGCAGTTCGTATCGAAGAGCAAAGGCCCGTACTGATATCAATGATCTTGTCGACGAGTCTCTTAACATAGGGCCCATGGTCCAGGCAACTGATTAAACTTTGAATGACGCCGTAGTTGCCAATATACGCTTTGCGAAGATTTTCCAGAAGGGTCGGCTGGCTCATTAAAAGGGAGATAGCAGACTGGGAGCTGGTGTCCGGAAGGCAGTGTTGCAGTAGGTAGGTCAATTGGAGAAGCGACTTGCTGAGCTCTTGCTGGGCATTGGCTTGTTCGAGCGACGCAAGGATGCGCGATTCTAGTTGCTATTGGGCGATGAGGGATGATCCAAGCACAGTGTCTCTCACAGCTTACCGTGTGGTTTGGCTAGGAAGAGAATAAGTTAATGAACTGACGAGATTGCAGACTAGGACTGACCGTGGCTGCAGGACTACCATTTCGACTACCATTTCCAGGCAGCCCGTTATTCAAGGGAGGCTTTACAGTATATGGGTCTGGCATGCCCCGCATGATCAATTGCTTTCTTCGAACGAGCTGAGCGGCCACCATCGCAAACGTTGTTCGTACAGCGCCCATACCACAAGAGAAAACCAGAGAGGTCGTAGTCGGGTCAGTGGACTTGATGATGTCGTAGTATGCATCGAGATAGTTGTCCTAATTTTCCATGTTAGACTAAGGTTAGGATATATTTGAGCGAAACGTTACCTCTATTGCTCGGTCTGGAGTAATGGGGATACTAGAGAAAGTGAGTAATTGAGCATCGACTCGAATCCTTAAGGTGCTCGAATGTACCGATAGTACTGCGATACAGAATGTCGTTAGGAAAGGCTTCGTACGGGAGTTGCCTGGACGACTTACATCGACATTCCAACCCTCTGCCTTCATCATCCCCCATAGTTCTCGAGATGTCCTCACGTTGTTGTGATCTACGGCAGTCCAGGTTGGCAAGATTGCACCTTCTCCACTCTCCGCGGTCGCTAAACCACTCGCGTCAGTCAACGCCATGGATATACACCACAAGGCAACTCACCAACTTCATTGTGGGTCAAGATAACGTTGCCATATCTAGCTGCTTCCTGCAAGATGTCATTCTTTAATCGGTTCTCGATGGCCTCCAAGTTCTCTGCCCTGTCGGACAGGGACAGACTGCGCCTCGGCTCGGACGCGTCGCGTAGTACAAACGGGCGACCTGAGATATAGACAAGCGGCTCTTCCCTAGTGGAGAACCATACCACATGAGACGGGTTCGCAATATTTGGGCGGCATCGCAGCACTGATAGGATGGCTCTTAGGCCTTGTGTACGCGGTTGAGCCACGCCAAACACGTTCAGCCCGCCTTGGCGAGGACTTCGAAAGTTTGGTGCCCCGTGAACATTAAGATCAAGGTCAAGGGCACGTCCTAGTACAAAAGCATTAGCGAACAATTAAACCATGCAGTCGAATACGAATTTCTTACCTGATGGGTAATGATCGGTCTTCAAAATGAACCCTCTGGACAGCACGCTTCCCGTTCTGGTCTTCACCACGGAGGCTTCGGAACGCTGGAGAAATCCCATGAGATCCAAGGAGGTAGATACCGGTGTTTCCTTTCCATCTTTCGGAAAGGGGTCGCTTGGTTGTCGCTTGTGCATCCCAGCAGGAATTGGAATTGCGAGCGATTGGGGGGCCGACTGGCCTGGTGGTGCTGTGAGGGACCTGCCCTCCATCTTGAGAGCTTCAAGGGGCTTATTCGACATATCTGGTGCAAAAGGTCCTTAGCTATGGTCGTAGAGCGAAGGGAAGCTGTAAACACGTTGTATTGGGGAGGATCGCGAGGTGGACGGAGATGATGATCCTTGCGGTTACCCCAGTTCGGGGACAGCCTATCGAGTCCCAATCTGGAAGCAAATAAAGCCATACACACTTGCCATGCTGATACTTTGTCGACAGTCAACGACGACATTGATGATGAAACAGTTGCGCATTGTAGCTCTGAATCCGTTCTCCGAGGTTAATCGACCCTTCTGCGATCCAACGATGCCTGTTCGAGACAGTATAAAGGTATCACCGTGAAAAGGCTCCATGTTGAGCCAAAGCTTGGCTCGCGCTTTCTTCGTCACCACCAGGAGTATCCTCGCCGCAGGCGGTCATGGGTCTGATACTCAACGGTTCAGCTGCAGCTTCCCCAATCTGCATCGCTTACTATTGTTCAGGTCATGGTGAGACTCTTTCGTCGTCCTACTCTCCAGCGTCTAATTGACTTTGATGCATGTGTTCTTAGGCTACGGACATGCGACCCGGGTCTCCGCCTTTGCTCGCACAATCCTAAGTTTGAGCACCGAACGTCGTCCAATTGCAGTGCACATCGTATCTTCGGCTCCAGAGCACGTCTTCGCCGATAGTATTGGACAGGGAGCACGGTATCGTCATGCGGAGATCGACCCAGTCATAGTACAGCCGCTAGCGTAAGTAATGGGGAATCCCTTTGCCTTGGAAGTCACCCATCTAATCACAAAAATCAAAGGTATCAAGTCGACAGGCGGAAGAGTCTAGCCGTTCTCAAGTCATTCTTGGGCAAGAAACAGGCGCTCCTCGAGCGAGAAACTCGATGGTTGCATGAGGTTGGAGTCACGGTTGTCCTCAGCGATGCGGCATTTCTTGGGTGGTGAGTCCCCCAGTTCTACACCCAGATTAGCATGTCTGTGACCGGGTTTTCCAGCCTTGCGGCAAAGGTGGCCCAAATACCTTCGATACTTGTGACCAACTTCTCGTTCGACTCTGTCTACAGTTACCTCGCCACCTCCATTGTCGACAGTCCCGACACCAACCTGCACCCTGATGGATTCGAAAGCCTATTAGACGACGAGCCTATACCATTAGACCATTTGGAGCCCCTGGTAAAGGAGATGCACTCTGGCTACCGCTGTGCGGACCTCCTCGTGCTTTTACCCGGTTCGATCCCAATACCGTCGTTCTTCGGTTACCCCTCCCTTCCCGCCTCCACATGGGTCGATTGCGAAACCAAGCGGTTCTACCCCGACATAGTCAACGCCCTTGTACGGAAGATGGAAAACAGCGACATCACCCCTATCCCATTTCCCACATCTGGTTATACGATACCTCGCAAAGTCATCCCAGCTCCACTCCTTGTTCGTGATCCAAGCCCTGATTGGTGCACCTTCGAGGGACGATCTCGTATATTGACCCAAATCGGTATCCCCGCCGAAAGGCAAGGCTTCGATACGAAGGTCCTCGTCGTTTCCTTTGGCGGGCAACATTTCCACCAGCCCAGCAGGTCCGGGAGCAGAGCTGACAGTCGAAGTTCCAGTCGGGAAAAGCTCCCTGGCGTTGTGCACTCCAAGGAGCCTGGCCCCTCTTTTCCAGCCACAACGCAGCAATCACAACCCAGTCCGCCCTCACTGACGCCATCTAATCCTCCCCGACTTGCCACTGAATCCCATATCTGGGTTCCCGGTGCACCACCTGCCTACAAAGGAGTAGGGCTTTCGCCGGTGACCACCCCTGGATCACCGCCCACGCGTTTGGTGTCTGTCGAAACAGCCTATTTCGACTCGATGAACGCCGTCATTTCCGACTATGAGCCGCGACTTTTACCAGACGAATCATGGATAGCAGTTGTATGTGGTGTCTCGAAGGAGAAGTGGCTCATGCAAGGAGAGGACCTGCCAGACCGGTTCTATGTCGCGCCGAAGGATATTTATATGCCTGATTTGACGTCAATAGCAGATGTGCTACTTGGGAAGTTGGTTAGTTCATTCCATTTCATATCAGAGCAAGCGAAATGTGACATTCACGACAGGGATACGGCACTGTCTCTGAATGCGTAGACGCCTGCACACCTTGTGTTTATGGTGCGTCCATTCTTTTCCGCGCGCTGACATCGGCGTTGACACTTTCCCACTGTAGTATCCCGACCTCTTTTCGTCGAAGAACACGGTCTCCGATTGCTCCTGGAGAGGGAGGGCGTTGGTGTCGAATTGGCCCGATCATCATATGAGGCGGGTGATTGGGCGAGCGCTATCAGCGAAGCTTTTAGCAGAGGCAAGCCAATGAAGGAGAGGAAGCAAATCCGGGATTGCTGCGATAGGGCGAACCAAACACTACGGCTTGCCAAGGATGTGATAGACTGGGCGACTGATTGCAGTAGAAATGTAAGAGCAGCTGCGGAAAGTCACTCTTTGGGAGATAAGTGATATACTGTCGTGCTTTCACAAATCACCCTATGATATCGCATTCGTATCTTGACGCCACCGAACTGTGCCAAGATTCAGCAGTCGATTAGAAGATATGGACAGATAGAGTATAGCTGGATTAGTACCTATGGACAAGTAATGCATTGTGATATCGCACAGGACGCTGTATGTATGTTTTGGGAGGAGAATGACGATTTAGGAAATGCTCGGGGTGCTCGGTGCTTGTCGGCGGAGCGTGAGAGCGCTGATCCGCTGTTCGGAGCCGGCAAGCCGAAGTGTACTAAAGGCAGGGCCTTGTGACCGAGTTGTATTCCTTTCGACGCTGGATTCGTTTCTCTCAGCTTTGCTTGTCGACCACGATGAGCTCACCGTCACAACCAATAAACATCAAGAGCCCCAAGTTATCCAGCGATGGTCAAGGGCTCTCGTCGTCGTTTGCCCCGTCCATGGGCACCCCCAACCGCAATAATTTGCGTGCACCGTTCGTTGGAACACCACCTCTGCCCAACATCCCACCACGGAGCTCTAGTGGCACCCCAATGCAAAGGACTGGATCTCCAATGCTGAACAACAATGGCTTCTCAACAGCAGGCGGCCCGAGCGGAATATCCCAGTCATTTACGAGGCCAATGTCGATCTCTGGGAGCCCGAATCCAAACGCACCTAACATCGATTTCGAGAGTCTGACTGATGAAGACAAGGCCAGAGTCCTCAGAAAGCACCTAGTCTCCAAAGATGCTCGTTCCAAGTACGACGGAAAGCCAAAGTCAATTGCCGGTTCGGAACTCGACGTTCCCCAGCATGGTTCGGACAACGGCACGTCGCACCCCGACTCCAGGCGCTCGTCGGTCGGAGCTGACGATGGAAAGCGAATGAACCGGGAGGAAACAGACCCCTTCCCCATCCCTTACAATGCTCCTGGTGCGGACGTGACGTGAGTGTTATCCATTTGACTCAAGTTCTCTTCTGATTTGTGCTAGCCACGACATCTACAAATGGCATGCGGACCAACGCCGCCAGGCTGGACGCGCCCGCGCTGTATCATTCCATGCTCCAGAACCAACGCCTCATCCTGCTTTCGAACATATCCATGAACCCGGTGGCTTCAGAAGGAACTACTTGAAACTACGTGCCAATGAACAAGGGGCCGAGGAGCCACCGATGCTCGACAACTTTATCGACTTCTTAACCCTCTTTGGCCACTTTGTGGGTTCCACCTCTCTTCCTGCATAAGTGTCAACCCTCAACTTTGCGTCATTAGGCTGGAGAAGACCTCGAAGAAGACGAGGAAGAGAAGGATAGCGATGAGGAGGCCGCCGAGGCTGAAGCTGAACTCCAAGCTGCCGAGGCTGCTGGATTGGGAGAATCAACTCCCTTGTTGCGTGGTGCTTCTGCATCTAGGACGCGTTCGCGTTCTAGACGAAGGCGCGGTGCATCTGTGGGGCCGCAGGGTGGAACAGCAACTGTCACGCAAGCCGTTTTGATGGTCGGTTTTGTTTCTTCGCTGATCTCTGCGTGTTCCTGACTTCTTTCCAGTTGCTTAAATCATTCATAGGAACTGGTGTTCTATTTCTGGGCAAAGCGTGAGTGCTGGACTCAAGCGTTTAGTTATCTTCGACTCATGTTTCAACAGCTTCTTCAATGGAGGCATACTTTTCTCTTCAATCACTTTCGTCTTTATTGCGGGTATATCACTGTATTCGTTCTTGCTCTTGCTCGATGCCAAGAATGCTGTTCCGGGAAGCTTCGGAGGTATGTTTTTTCATCAAAAGGTTCAACTCTCCTTCCAGCGTCTAAACGACACTTTATAGACATCGGCGGTATCTTGTATGGTCCCCGCATGCGATACCTTATCCTCGGATCTATCGTAATCTCGCAAATGGGCTTCGTCGCCGCCTACACCATCTTCGTTGCAGAAAATCTGCAAGCCTTTGTCCTCGGAATCACCGACTGTCTGAAGCTTGTCCCTGTTCAATACTTCATCCTCGCCCAACTGCTCATCTTCGTCCCTCTCGCTTTGATTCGCGACATTGCCAAACTCAGTACGACAGCCCTCATTGCGGACGTATTCATCTTCGGTGGCTTGGCCTACATCTTTGGCAGTGAATTCAAGATTATCGCTGAACGTGGTATCGCGGACGTCAAGCTTTTCAATCCAAGGGATTTCCCTTTGTTCATCGGAACTGCTGTTTTCTCATTCGAAGGCATCGGTCTCGTCATCCCTATTTCCGATTCTATGCGCGAACCTCACAAATTCCCGATGGCCCTGACTGGTGTAATGGCCTTCCTCGTTGGTAAGTTGTGTCCAGCAACACAGCAACCGGATGTTATCTGATTGTTATTTCCAGTTCTGTTCGGAGGCTCCGGCGTTCTTGCATACCTGACCTTTGGTTCTGAAATCCAAACGGTCGTTTTGGTCAACCTAGACTTGCGCAGTAGAATGGTTCAGACGGTGTGTAATCATAAACTATGTTGCCCAGGACTGCATACACTGACTGCGGCTCTCGCTGCTGATTAACAGGTCCAATTCTTTTATGCTATTGCAATCCTTCTCTCGGTCCCCCTGCAACTATTCCCCGCTGTTCGAATCCTAGAGAACGGGATCTTCACCCGGAGTGGTAAAGCCGACCCTCAAGTCAAGTGGCACAAGAATTTGTTCCGGTTTGGAATGGTCGTCTTGTGCAGCTTGATCAGTTGGGCTGGTGCTGCCGACCTAGACAAGTTTGTGGCTTTCGTCGGAAGCTTCGCTTGGTGAGTTCTATGCCTATGAAACTGGCTATGATTGACGCTTATGCCATCGTAGTGTTCCATTGTGCTATGTGTACCCCGCGATGCTTCATTACAAGGCTGTTGCAAGAACTAGACGCCAGAAGTTGGCTGACATTGCTATGATCGTGTTTGGACTTATTGCGGCTGCCTATACCACAATCCAGACGCTCAAGGTGCGTTTGTCGTTTTTATGCTACGTTTCCGCCTTGTTGATCAGTTCCCTTCAGTTGATGATCGCGCCCAGTCCTCCAGCGGCTCCTGTTGGAACTTGCGAGCTGTAGTCCTCTATCTTAGAAGATTTACCCTCATGATGACGATGACGAGAAGCTACCTCTCGTACCTGTACACACCACGTAGTATTCTTGGAACATGATTTACGTTATTAACCGAAACGCGAGGGGGTCCACCGCTCACGATGATCGTGCCAATGGAGGGGGTGCGTCTATCCCATAATCGACACTCCATCCTTCTGTCTATATACACATATGAGGATTCTGCGGGCTTGAGCAAAAGGATTGGTGCCGTACATTTCGCGTGACGGGTAAACAGGCTTCGAGAGCTGCACAGGAAGTCTAAAAAACCGTATGGCGTGTCTTCGTTCACTCCAATCTCAAGTCTCCTTTTAAAGCTCACTCAAAACGAGAGGCACAGGCTGAGACGTCAGGAGCGCCATCAGCAAGCCGCAAGTTTCTCTTGCGTGCTTCATCAGCACGCAGGACTTGAGCACAGCGCGCCCTTTGCGACTACTTGTCGATAGTAACTTCGTCAAACTCACTCATGGGGTTATACATGTTTTGAGGTGACTTAAGTGGAATACGAGGATGCGTTCTTCTCGCAGAAGACATCACATTACTGACGCTAATTGTAATGGCCCATTCAAATCTACTTTCCACCAAAGAACCAATGTACTAGGCGATTCGGGGATTTTTGTTGGAAGATGTTCACTCAGATACTCGTTTGCTCGTTGGACTCGACACCGCTGCCCACCGGTTGATCCGACTTCCACATAAGGAAGGATTCCATCCTCAAAATAAGCATCACTATATCCGCCAGTGGGATTCCGTTGGCACTGACGAATAATTATCGGGAGCGTGAATTAATCCAGTCTACTGCCTAGGCCCCTTACACTTGAAACCCCTGACCCCGCTGATTGTAACACCGTCGTCCCACTGCCTGGAAATACATATTAAGGAAACGCGAAGCGTCCAATAGCTTACACAATAAATAGCAGAAACAAGCGGAATAGAATATCCTCAAATCGAAAGAAAGCGCACAAACCCATTGAGATAATGGTCTGAAACCCATGTCTAGCCTACCAACAGATCTAGCCGTCTCCCCCGAACCCATCGTATCTGCAATCCACCAGCTGAGGCGTCGTAACCCTCTCACTCGGCAAGAGGGTGGACCGCATCGATGAAACTTGCACTGGTCCACAGAAAGTCAGGTACATCGTCGGTCTACAACTTGTCGCGTGTGGATTCGGGTTACCCGCACAACCATTGTGGGCAAGCCGGTCCCGTAGACAGTCGGATACCTTGTGGTGTGTCGTACTAGGACTTTGGGTTGCATTCGTTGTTGAATCCAAACCCATGTCGTCTGCGAGAGCGTGGCCAGATTCGCCGAAGCGATAACCGTGGCCTGCGTTCATTAGGCTACGGTGCTGGGACTGAGTCGGAGTTCGTTCAGGCGTAAAAAGCTGCGGATTGGGGGAGTGGTCGTGATGTCGAGTAAAACAAGAAGAGCTTGATATAGATGTGCGGCGGGGAGGTGTTCTGGGCGGTTCAGGCAGAAGTGAACTTCGTGAAGGAGATGACGAAGGGGGCGAGCTTGTACTTCCAGAGATCTCAGAGACACATGCGGATAATTTGGTCTTCTGTTTTTTGCTTGGCGTCGACTTGCCTCCACTTTTGCGTTTGGGGGATGGCTGGGGGGTGGGTAGGTACGGACGCTCACTATCTAGAGGTCTCATCTCGAAATCCACGCATTCCCCTCCCTGTGTTGCTTCTGCAGCAGCGAAAGCCTCCTCCTTCCTCCTCTTTTTCTCCAGAGCCTGTTCCTTCATCATTGCATCTTTCCTGATCTCCTCTCGCATCATCTCAGCAAACGTCTGTGCGTCGCCTTGCACCCATGCATCGAAAACACCCTCCCATTCGCGAGTTGGGACGGGGAAGTCTAGGTTGAGGTAAATAGCTTTGATGGGAGCAGGTGGCGGCTCCTCCTCCGACGCAGGCGACTGTCGCGATGACCACGACGATGTTGCGTGGGCATTTTCCTCTCTTGCTGATGAAGGATTCCCAACCCCTCTAGATTTGACCGCCTTGGCGAACTCCCGAACCATCCGCTTCGTACCAGGTACCTTGAGGCTCGTACCGACAACCAGAAGAAGATCGGCCCCACTTTTACCCTTGCCCTTGGACGACCCAATCAAGTCCTTCTGCACAACATCTCCGACGCTTTCTCCATCGTGGTGTGCTTCGTTGTACAACACGACGCTGGGTCTAAGTCGTCCAATACCACGTAGTCTCTTGCCGGACATTGCACGGGCCTTTTCGAGATTAGTACACTCCGGACAGTCAGGGGGCTGACCAGCGCTGAGGGAAGGAAGGTGATCCTGCAAAGGGAACGAACGCCTGCAGGCTTGACAGTACATCTCCTGAAGGGTACCATGTAACGGTATACACCGTGGTGTTTCAGGTGCAGGGTTTGGAGGAAGCGAAGGGATGTCGTCAGAAGACCCGTCATCGACATGGCTGGAAGTCCCGGGTTCGATGTCCTTGGTGGGCTTCGCTTTCGTACGAGGTCGCCATTTCTTCGCATCGTATTGTGGAACGCCAAACGACAGGCCGCATTTCTGTTCAATAGCGTCGATGTTTTGGGTGTAGACTCGTAGAAGGCGCCCATGATCATTGAGTGCGCGCAGGAAGTGATGGAACGACGTTGGTTCAGCATTTTGAGACAAGTCAGCCAGCTGAGCCATCATCTGGCAGAAGAGCGACGTCCTCTGCTCAGTCTGAGGGTGTATTAGACATTTTAGGCACAGATGTAAGAGAAAAGCAACATACATTGAAAACTGACGCATCGAAAAGGTCTTTCCCCGAACTCAGCGCTTCTCGGGGATTATCTCGCTTCAAAGTCTTGAATAGACCATCCTGCGAACGAAAGTCTGGTATTCCAGCCTGTACAGAGATACCAGCGCCTGTAAACAGCAACCAGGGGTAAGTATGAATGGAATGCGGGGAGTTTGGAGCAGCACGCCATGCGGCGTCCACGCACCACAGATAACCACGATCCGCTTCGCTTTCATGATAGCCTGAATGACCTTGGGTAATTGTGCATTTCGATCTGCTTTGAGCAAGAACGACGGCGTCTGTGGTAGCGGTGTAGAATCTTCCAGAGGTAGAAAAATGGTCATAGTACAGCGATGGCGCTGCTGTCAGCGTTGTGTGTGAAGGAAGAGATGAAACCTCCCAGCGCAACTAAATGACCATTGACCACACAGAACATGTGGCGTCTCCCGCGCGAAATGTCAGCGGTGTGACTTCGAAGTCTTTGCTCGCTTGCTTCCTTGTCGAATTAGCTTTCATATCGTCATTTCCTTCGTTTTATTTTCCGGTTTCTACAACAAAAAAGACGACGTTGAAGCCCTGTAGGTACCACTTTGTCCACACAAAAAGGTACCAACAGCCTAATGAGCTGTCGTCTTGGCGAGCGATTGAGCGGAGATTGAAACTTCCACGTGCATTGATAGCGAATTCATCTCCTGGTCAGCTTGAAGTCTTAAAAGAGTCGACTATTCGCTAGATGAGGCCATCTGATCTATCTGAGAATTAATTTTACAATAATTGGTCGACCTCCTGCAGGCTGCAAGTCTCCAGCCCTCCTTCCAAGCTCTGAGAAAACTTCAACCGGGCGTTTACGTAAAGACATTAACATCGGGGGTTGCAGACAAATAACGGAACAAAACGAGCGGATCAATTACCCCACACCTCCGACACCCCTTCGCATGTGCGTTTGAAAATCACCCTTGCACGTACGGATAACCGGTAACGTCGTGATTTCCTGCAGCATCGTCTAAAGCCGTATAAATCCGATGGCAAAGCGTCAAAAAGTTGGATTCCCGTAACTCCGACTACCTCTAGATCCAAGGTTGGATCAGCGAGTCAACCTATGAAGTCATCTGAGTAACAGGCAAAACCTTTCGAGACACTTGACCTTTATCGTTCGAGCAAGAGCAATGATACGAGGCTATAGTCTCGATAGGAAGCCTTGCTTGTCCCTCTATCTACCTGTTACGACGTAAAGCCTAGACAAGAGCTGGGTTTAACCGTTTCCATTGAGATCGAATCACGAGGGGAAGTCAGATTCCACTTCGATCCTGAGATTCAGAATCCTATCAAGTTCCACTTTGAATTCAAACTGAACCCTCTTTGGGAGTTGATTCGACACTCGTTATGGCCCGAGTACCGGTATGGTTCTCGGAATATGTTCGAAACGGCCTGTCGAGACATACCTAGAGTGGCAGCTTCTTGATACCACTTACCCTGAACGAATTCAATCGACTACTAGGAGTGTAGCCCACAGGGCATGGGACGTGTCCTTGTCTCACGAGAATTGGGGTGTAAATAGCATAACACCCTGTCCCGTGGTTCGAGAGGTCTCCCATTAGGGCAACACTAAACAGGTCCAGACCTGATACTTGAGTCATACGCACCCCAATCCTCAATGGTCCTCAGAGCAACACGGAACATTCGTAAAACTGAGCAATTCGTAAGAGTCCATTATGTCGTAGCAAATTATAGTCGTTTCGAGGAAACAATACAGTACGGGCACTATTAATACATTGGTTTTGGAAGGCATGAAACGACGAACGTGCCAACGAGGATTAAAGGGAAAGAACCACCCGATCTACTAATGAACCACTTCATGATCATCGAAGCATAACATGTCTATAGCCATCCACTGTAACACCGACCCAACAACCCATCACTTCACCTTCCCTTCCATTCTCTCTTCGAACCCCTCTTCATATTCTCATCTTCCACGCACTGCCGACGCCTGCTTTTGAGAATTTGGCAGCAGCCGGACCGTCGGGTTGGGGATTCCTGTCGGCGAGCTTGCCAGGGGTAGTACCGGCTTTGTCCATCATACCGAGACCACCATGGCTGCCGCCCATCTTGCCCATCGCGCCAGGGGCGACGCCTTCCCGGATGGCAGAGCTGGCGCCAACGCCGGAGGGGTTTTGTGGGGCGGAGCGAGTAATAGGGTGAGCGAGGAGCTCGGCGGCTGTAGAGCTGATGTCGTTCATGCTGTATTGGGGCGCTTCCGTGGCGGTGAACTGCACATAGGGGGCAGATGTGGGATAGGCACCAGCAGGGACCTGGTAGTACTTCGAGCCGGTGTCGGGTTGTGAGACAACGTAGGTACGATATCCGTTCAATGAAGCGAACGAGCCGTGGTCTGTGTCGTAGTGCTTTTCGTAATGTGAGGTGTTGGGGATGTTCGCATTTGACGATGACGAAGGAGGCGACGTCAATGGCGAGTTGTCAAGGACGGTGAATGGAGAGTGGAAGGCGCGCACGGCGCCGACAGCAGACGCGCTGCGCGACGTCGAGAGACGTTGAGAGACACGGGCGACGGGACGAAGGACGGCTGACATGGCAGTGGTTGTGGTGGAAGAAAGGGTGGTTTGTTTGAGAACTGCAAGTGGGTTGAGGAGGATTAAATAGATCTTGACGCAAGTCACGGCTATGTGGGAATCCTGGGGCAATCAAACCACTCGGTGGATTCGGAATCTGGGGTTCCGCCTTCCTTCTTCGCGATTGGCCGGCGCCTAATCCAGCCGTTGCCATCCCGTTTCAGGCAACTGGTCTGGACTTTCGGTCTCGCTCCATGTTTTTCTGTGAAACCAATACCCAAAGACGGAGGTTACACCAAGAAACACAGAGGCGGATGAGTCGCCTTCTCAGACACGTTTGCGATCCCCAAAGACTTGCAGTGAGAAACGTTATGTTCCTCGTACGATTTCGCTTCCAGGGTCGAAGAGCGGCATCAAAACACCATTCCTAAATCAGACAGCTGTTACGACACAGCTTTGATTCCTTCATCCTCGGTTTGAGTTCTTTCCTGCATCCTTGAATATGGCCTGCTTTACTAGGAAATTCGGTGGTGGTCATATAGACATCGTAACACCCAGCGGGCCAGAGTAACTGGACAGAATAGGTGACCACCCGGAGCAAACGGCGATCGGTCATTTGGTCTTGAACAGGAGTTCAGCGACGTTTGATGGCGTCGATTTCCTTTTTCTGGGGATCCCCGCCCTCTGGAATGGCCCAACAGGCACCCACAAGGAGCATGAGGCCATCCCGCGACCGAGCCAAGTCGTCCAAAGTCCCTGGACCAGAGTAAAGAACGCTCGGGATTTCTAACACAGGTAATCCAATTACAAAACTTTCTACGACATACACTAGATCTTATACACGTTTACTCTATATACCCATTGAAAACAGAAGAATGATTCAATCCATGACACCTCGGCCGTTTATTGGACAATCTGAGGGTCTGCAAAGTATTGCCTTGCGGTGGTGGGCTGAATAACAGGCGAGGGGCCCTTGGGCTTGGGCCGATGGGTGTCCACAGCGTCAATGCCCAAAGCGTACCTGCACAAGGGAAAAAGTCAGCAATGACAACAATCTTCAATACGGAGAACACTCGGACCTCTCTTCGTCACATCCATAAGCTTTAGGCGTAAGCTTAATGACGGTATGCAAAGGGATCTTGATATAAGGCAGGTCTGCTTGGGGCAAGTTGTGGAAGTAGGCGTATCTGAGGGAAACTCCGGGTCAGTTAGGATTTCAAGAGGAATGGAAAAGAAGACTGACAGGCATCGGAGAATGGCCTAAAGGACTCATGAGCACTGGATTCCTTAGAAAGAGGACCAGAAATACACACCTGGTGCCCAACGATCAGGATATTCTCTTGTCGCTCCAGTTCCATGATAACAGGCTCAAGGCGAACGACCACATCCCGGTACGACTCCCCTCCTCGGTATCGATAATTGAACTTGTCATCGTCACGATTGGCGAAATCATCTGGGTATGCTTGCTATGAAAAACAGTCAAAGCCTGCTGGAGGCGATAATGTTCCGAGGATCCTTACTTCGATTTCCTGCGAAAGCAGCGAGATCAGATTCAATGACGCAGGGAGCGCTGGATAGATGCACTCACCTCATAGGTCATACCATCGCAGACGCCTGTCAAGGAGAAATGGTTATGAACAACGAGTAAACTCGGGAGTGACACAAACGATCACGCACCTGCGTCCAGTTCATCCAAAGACTTCCAGGTGAGTTTGGGGTATGGAAGGTCAGCAGCAGTTTGGATGGTCCGTCTTAGCGTGGAAGTCCAAACCTACGGGCACGAAATATTAACATGACAACGGCGAAATGAAGGCGCGTTCTAAAGCTCACCGTCAACGGAGCATCGCCAATGTTGTCGGTAATTAGTGCAGGGAGGGCTTTGGCATATTGCTCTCCTCTAGGCGATAAGAGCGAATCGCCACCAATCTTTCCCTCCACATTGAACTGACTCTCGCCGTGCTAGATAACACCAACCATCAGGACCGCATTCACCCCAAAGATAACGAACTCACCCTCGAAAGATAGATACTCCTCCTCTTCAAATGCAGGTTCGTCAAGAAGAACGCAATCCGACTCTGAAGATAGCCATTGATCCTCGAAACAGTAACCTGGCTCCCCACGTTCACAATCCTCAAATACGACAAATGCGGCTCGGTGATCGTTTCATACACCTTTTCGTACTCGCTTATCCGACGAAGGAAATCGCGTTTGGCTTCTTCGGGGGGCACGTCCTTGTAATCAGGATCGCCAGAGCTCACTTTGAGAGCAACGTTGGCGGCGATGACAGCAGGATCGTCGCAGTAGGATTCGAGGAAGATGAGGGACATGCCTTCCTCCTTCTTGACGCGCTCTTCTATGCTCGCTCTATCCCCGATTTTAGATTAGAGTCAGATAGGGGCCAAACGCCCTAACGAGCACTCACCGTCTGGCGCGCGTGCTGTTGGTCGCGTCTATGGGGTGATTGTGGGATCAGGATAAACGTGATTGGGGAGATGAGAGCTGGCGCACCGTGAATCCCAACGTTTCCGCCATCTTTCAACCATTGGATCAGCATCTCCAAGCTGTCGTGTGCCAGCTGCTCGCGCGATTCGTTCGCTTGCTTGTTCGCATGGCTGAACCAGGATGCATTATGCTCTTCCTTCACTCCTTCCCTGATGCACGATCCGTGAATATGCAGGTGTGGGATTGGGGCATTGGGGGAAGGATCGAATGGACCTACTTTTGAGCCCTTTGCCTCGCCCGCGTCCTTCGTAATTGACCGACGTTGAATACCTTGAGTATCGGTCAGAATGAAAAGACTGTGGTTGCGCTTGACGCATCCCTCACCTTCACGTCGTATTCCAACCACTGTTAAAAGCATGAGCATCACGTAGAAAGGCCATGGATAAGATCCGGACCTTGAGGTAGATCATGAGCTTGTTACTCAGATACGACTTTCCTCGAGCAGGCAGTCCAACCTGCACACGACCGACGAGTCAACAACGCGAGCCAAAATGCAACAAGGATCAAGGGGAACGCACCATCGCAACGACGATCTTGGACTCTGAATAATCGGGCTTTGCAACTGGACCTACGTCAACGAAATTGCACAGCGGGCGAGTCGCCCAACGGACACACACCTTTACTACCGATACCCTTCACCGCACCAGTTGGCGGACTCCCACTCTGCGAGCCTCGCCGACTAGCAAAGGATGACTTTTGGTCAAACTCCTTCAGACTTGGTTAAAGAAAGAGCGGAACATGGCGAGCATCCGGGAAGGAAAGTTCATGTCACCCCCGTCAGTCAAAAACATCCAGCGTCCATGGTACCATTACTCACAGCGTACCACCAGCGCCAAACGCAGCGGGTGGAATTCCCGGCGACGTAGGTGCCAGAGCAACATCGACCTCTCCAGCGTTCGCCATATCCTGCAAGACTCCAGAAACGCGTTGGAGGTCGTCGGTGACTTGGGGATCTCGAGGTTCCGATCTACCCTCTAAAGCTGACTCGGTAGATCCTGTAGGAGGTGGCACTGGAGCAGAGGCAGAGGAAGCTATCGATGGCTGATGGCTGCTCTCATCTTGTGCTGGTACTTTATCGGACATCGTTTCTCGTGACGGCGTTGTCGGCTTCTTGAGTTTGAAAATATTTCGGGGGAATGAACGACTTGAGTCAGTCGTGAATGTCGTGTCGTGTGGGTTTGAGTGAAGCAGATAGATGTTCTCAGTCTACAAGTAGTCTGTGAAGAACGGTATGCGTGGTGGCACTTGATATAAATTCAACCCCTTTGCATCGGATGCGTGATCCAATTTATCTTACGATTACTCGTTCTGGGCGCTCGATCTCCTCTCCCGTCTTTTCAAGTCCCGTGAAATGGATTCTTTGCCTGGGCCTTCTGAACCTGCTTCAACGATACGGCGCACACGAGTCGAGAGCCGATGAAACCTCTGTTAAATTATGTATTGGTTACTGTGAGCGAGAACAAATGAACTACATAGTAATACACGGGGCGACAGAAGGAGAAAAAGACTAAAAACCAAGCAAAGAGAGAGACAGGATATAGGGGTCGTGACAAAATGTCGCTGAAGACATTATGCAAAACAAGGGTGGTATACTCTAGAGACGAACAACTTGCAATCCAGATGCCGAGTTCTGTTCATAAAAAGAGTGATCGATGGTAGAGTTATTAGGGTTGGGACGGGCCCGAGAGATATGGGAGAGTGCGGAAAGGGAAATGAAAAAACACCGAATCCGAGGGAGCGTGAGCGTTAGCAGAGATGGAGAAACAGAAAAGGTCGAGCAGAAAGGTCATGATGGCAGGCGTTACATGAAGATAGGCAGACACTAGGAACATATTAGATAATTTGGGAAACTCTAATAACGAGCGTTGGTCGATGGTGCTTGAAGGCAGAGACGTGAAACGGAGACTTGAATCCACGATAGCTTGTGCGAAGATGACTGGAACATGTTGAACCGAAAAGAGGAAGGGAAGGTAGCGCGAGTTGGAGGACATGGCGATCATGCTCGGCAGCACAGAGCGGCCCAGAAGCCTCTACGCTTGCCTCCATGCCCGTCGTCGTCGTTTCCACGGCGCATTTGGTCGCGATCATACACGCCCATGGACTTGGTTCCGCCGTATCCGTCTCTTGGCGTCGCGATTCCGTCTCGAGAAGTGGAGCCGTATTTGTTGGGTTGACCTTGACCATACAAGAACGATTCAGAACCATTCGGCAGCCCGTTAGCATGTTGAGTTTGGGGATTAGGCGAATGTCTACCATATTGGGCCGTTGAAGACCTGTAACCGTTGGGACTTGGAGCGGTTGCGTAGGGGTGCGGTGTTGGGATGCTGCTGTTGAGATCACGCTGTTGACTTCCGCGTCGGCTGTTCGGTGGGATGGGTTGCGCGCTGCCAGGGTCGCGATGGCGTTCCCCCGCTTGTCGACTTCGGCTCTTCATGTGCGCCGGTGCGGGGCTGATGAGGAGGCCGTTTGGCGTCGTGCCATCTTGCTGAGGCTGCCTTGCCCGTCGTTCCCGCTCTCGTTCACGTCTGTGCTCACGCTCGCGGTCGCGTTGGGCGGAACTGGAGTGGGGCTGTGAAAAAGCGTATAAGTCAGCCAGCCAATCCATCAGACCGATGTCACTTACGTTTCCGGCTTCCCAGCCCTTGCCATTGTTAAGCAACATCCAATCGTACACGCCATCCTCAGGCTCGCCGAGGGTCTTGAGAACCTTGGTGAAGAGGTCCCGCAAAAAGTCGTAGTCAGGGGTCTCCTCAAAGCCAAGCTTCCGGACGTAGTTCATGTAGATCGTGAACTCCTCTGGGGATAACGGTCAGTGAGAAAACTGTCTATTCAAGACAGTGTACAGACCTGGGAATCCTTCACATAGCTCCGCAATAGGAGTTGTCTGCTTCTTCTCGCCAATCTTCTCATACTTTTGCTTGTTGGTGGCGGCTCGAAGACCTTGCCATGGGAGACCACCGCGAAGGAAGTACATAAAGACGTGTCCAAGGGATTCGAGGTCGTCTCGCCGCGACTGCTCACGGCCCAAATGCGTGTTGATAGACATATATCGGGCGGTACCCGAAAGCGACTTTCGTTCACGATAAGGGATGTGGACCTTGGTCTTCGGATCTCGGTAATGTTTGGCCATACCAAAGTCTACCAGAACCCGCTTAGCGTAGAACATGGGGAAGGGGTCCTAGGGCACTTACCAATGATGTGGATCACATTGGCTGTCTTGCTGCCGGGGACACCAATCAGAAAATTGTCTGGCTTGATATCTCGATAAATAAGTGATTTTTCGTGAACAGCTTGCACACGAGTGATCTAAGAAATGGGGTCAGGAGTGGTCAGGCGGGGGGCGGGAGGAATTTCGGCACCATTTGTTTCGCGGCCATGCAGACGGTCTTTATCGAAAATTTGCGCCCGCACATATCAAATAGGTCTTCGAGGTTAGGACCCAGCAAGTCGATGACCAGCACATTGTGCAGTCCTTCCTGACCGAAGTAGTGAACTTGGGGAACACCCACTAAAATAGCGAACATGCATGGTGTCAGTGGGTGCGAAGGCGGAGAGATTATGCGGGGGCGTACGTGTTCCATTCATGGTCCTGTATGACCTGAATTCATCGCGCAGTTGAGGAGCATCGGATTTTCTAGGTTCCTGTCGAGGTGTAAGACGAGTTTAAACGGGGGCGCTGGGGCGAGAGACGCACGAATTTGATAGCCACTGGGGTGTTTGACACAAGCTTGGTACCTGCACACGGAATACGACTCAGTTTCTACAGGTCTCGACGAGAGAGGAATGAAGGGAAAATAATGACTGGGGGCATCAAGAACGACGTGATTGATGTCGGAGAAGCAGTGGAGAGGATTCTGGACGACAAAGGGAGGAGACATACCTTCAAAGACGACGCCAAAAGAACCTTCGCCAATCTTCTTGCCTACTCTGTAGTGATTGCCAACAATACCATTGCCGCTGTTAGAATGGGTTGGGTGGGAGGAGGAGGAGGCTATGACATGAGGTGTGGACATTGTGAATTACGGGGAGGGTAGAGGATGAATTTTTGAGGGATAATAAGGGGAAGGGACGGCCTGGAGCACACAGCGCCAGCGGCCAGCAAGGAAACAGTGCAAAGGGGGGGAACACAAACCCTTGGCTTGAGAGAGAATCGGACGTTACAAAACAATCACCACGTGCCTTGCATCTTTTCCCAGGCTAGCCCTGATCCCGCCGCCGCATGCAACTCTTTGTCCTCCTGGGCGCTTCATCTCCTTCAGTCACCCTACCTCGATCCGTCTTAATTTCCGACGATCGTAAACCTTCCTTCTCCCTGTAAAGAGACGCTCGCACAGCATCGCCAGTTTCACTGTAGCTTCCTGGAAAGGACCAGACCTGCTGGGCAAACGGCTGGTCCGCTTCATCCATTCAAAATTACCTTCAAGGGTCTTGGGATCCAGGCAAATGTCTTTTGACATTCCAGCAGCCCTTTCGCGACATATACCCGTCATTGCAGGAGGCCAGGTCCCTGACGCAATGCGACTGCAGGCCCAAGAAGGGCTCGCCTCTACACCTCCCCGATCTCGGTCCACGCCCTTTTAAGCTCACAAGCGACTCTGCTATACTCCGCTTTGGCTGCCTTTCCTCGGACCTTCCTTCCTCCCTGCTCTACTCCACCTTTTCGATGGCCTGTCGTGCAGCATCTCTTTGGTTGGCGTTTTACCTGTTTCCTGGCTCTACTGGCCCTGGACCCGATCCCAGCCCGGTGCTTTCGAAAAGCACCCAGCAGCGATCGACGTTCCCTTCGGACTTGCCTGCGCTTCGTCTTCCTTCGGCAAATTGAGAACACACGCCTTCCCGACGACACCAATGGTATGCCTTCTTCACGTTCACCTTCCCTGCGCGACCTCTGTGTATCCCTCCTTGCAATACGGGCCCTTTGACTCTACTCACTGGAATAGCTGCCCAGTGTAATGGACACCACAACGTGGCATGGGGGAGTTCAAGTTATGGCGTACTCACCGATTAAGCCGGCTTGTGCAGCTCAATGGGCATGGTATGTGAGGCCATGTGGCCCGGGAAAGGTTGGGTCACAGATATATATGCTGACTTCAGGAGACCAAGGGGGACCGGCTGCCATGGCTCACCAAGGAGGCATCTCTCTCTCAAACCTTGGCAGTGCGATAAACCGCCGTTGGTCACCGAACTCGCGAGGCATCCCTTGAGCCGCGAAACCGCGTGGCGACAATTCAATAGACTCGCCGGACACGTTCCAAGATTAATCGGCACATCTCTAACAGGCAGGAACAGGACCCCGGAAAACCTGGGGCGAGCCTAGTGACGACATTCTGTCGAAAAATCCGGTTTCTTTTCTGCCAAAATTGTCCGGTTTGTCGCCAGGTTCGTGTCTGGACGCTCAAAATTTCCGGTTTTGGAACCTTGGTCTGACTTTTTCTTTCGATCCTCAGGCGCCCGTAAGCGCCCAGAAACGCGATTTTCCCCTTCAGCCACCTTAACAGAAGCAGATAATGGCGTGAACCGCACCTTCTCAGGGAAATTGAGTCTTTGACGTCGTCAGAAGGCACGGCAGGCCCCAATTCCCGAGCTCCTGGCCGGTTTCTGTCCCTAGGTGGAAGCCTTCGCCCACTGGAAATCCGGTTTCTTGACCCAGGTGAAGGCTTACTTTCGGCCAAAAATTCTGATTTTGGGTCGAAAAATCCGGTTTCTCCGCTAGGTTAGGCGGGTTTTTGGCACGATTTTTTCCGGTTTCTGACCTAACTCCCCCCTAGATTTTCCGGGGTCCTGCAGGAACCCTCGGATATGCGGCAGCGTTGTTCGCAGAAACCAGTTGTGGATGATCCATCGCAATCGCGACGCGTAGTACTTCAGAATGTACTTCTTCGTATTCTCGATATCATATCTATGATATGCTTTAATAAATTCATTGCAACACCACACATACCCGTTCTTTTTTTTTAAGTACTCCAAGTCACTCAAATGTACATTTTCATGGCAAGCCTCAAGAATGCGCGTCGTTAGGGGCGCGTAGTAAGCGCCAGCAACCGGTGACGATATAGCCGGTGGGACAGTTGCCGGGAACTCGGAGGTTAACCACATCCGCCCACCAAGAACCATGCAGCGCTCACACTGTATAAATTACAAGGTCGCACCTATATCCACTTCTTTCTCCTAGCCACAACAACCAACCCTCAGCGATATCTCACCTCATTCCACGACGAACAATGGCCCCTTCCTCGTACAAGCAAATCGTCCTCAACAGCCGTCCAGTGGGCGACATCGAACCAGACACCTTCCGCACCGAGGTGCGACCCGCTTCTGACCTTCGACCAGGTCCTGGACAGGCGCTCGTCCAATGCACATGGTTGTCGCTTGATCCTGCTATGCGAGGGTATATCAGGGATGTGAGGAGTTACTTGCCTCCTGTGCAGATTGGCGAGGTGCGCGGGTTATGCATACTTTCTGAGGGAGATGTGTTGACCTTGCTTTGGCTGAATGGTTATAGGTCATGCGTGCTGCAGGATTGGGAGTCGTCGTTGCCGTTGGACCTGGAAGCAAATTCCAGGTTGGAGATTATGTTAGTGGGCAATGGGGTGCGTCCCTTTTCTTTTTTACCTTATGGGACTGCGGGTATTCACTCTTCATTCCTTCCTCCCAGGTATGCGCGAGTTTGCTGTCGTGAAGGATAAGCATTTGGAGAAACTCGAGTGAGTTTGTTAGAAACTGTTTGCCCAAAGGCCTGGAGATTGACTCGGTGTTGCAGGCTGGGTCCCGGTATCGAAGCTCTGGACTACTTGGGCGTCCTCGGTGGCTCAGGTACGTGCCTTCTTCCAATTCTGCCCCTATCATATTCCCTAACATCCCTCCCACATTCCAGGTCTCACCGCCTACTTCGTACGTCCACCCCAGTTCTGAAAACCTGCATCTCCAGCCACTAACGCCCCTCCCAGGGTCTCAAAGAAATCGGTCAACTCAAGGCCGGCGACAAGCTCGTCGTCTCAGGCGCCGCTGGCTCCGTCGGTACTGTCGCTTGCCAGCTAGGCAAAGCAGCCGGCGCCAAAGTCTACGCTATCGCTGGTGGTCCTGCCAAATGCCGCTGGCTCGAGGAGGAGATTGGAGTCGAGAAGGCCTTTGACTACAAGAGCCCGAGCTTTTTCGCTGATGTGAAGAAACATGTGGGGTACTTGGATGTGTACTTCGATAACGTTGGAGGTACGTGTTACCAGTGCGTGGTTTGTTAAGATGTTGAAGGCTGATTGGTTTTGTTGCTTGGAACAGGCGATATTTTGGACTTTTTGCTTACTAGGTTGAACAAGGACGCGAGAATTGTGCTTTGCGGTGCTATCTCTGCGTACAGTGAGTTCTCCCGTTTGTTCTTCTATTCATAACATATTGCTGACTGCTTTGCGCTATTGATAGATTCGCCTAAACCCAAAGGATTGCAATCTTACCTGAACCTTATCTCCCAACGCGCAACTCTCCGAGGGTTTATTCTGTCAGTCTTTTTCTGCGTCCATTCTCCACTCGACAACTCCACCACTTTCCGATGGACGTACACGACTGACATTCAACCTCTCCTGTTTATAGATTCGACTACGAACATCGATATCCCGAGGCTCTCGCTGAACTCAGGAAAGGCCTTCAGTCAGGCGCTATCAAGCGAAAATTCCACATCGTGGAAGGAGGCATCGAGCAAGCACCCAAAGCCCTGCCTATGCTCTTCTCCGGTGGAAACACTGGTAAACTGTACGTGTCGATTCCTCCCATCCATCTAGAGTCTCCGCGTGGCACATCGAATTCTGACATCATTCTCCGTACTTCAGTGTCGTCAAGGTGTCAGACGAGCCAAAGGCGCAAGCCAAGCTTTAAAAACGCATGTATTCATGAAGAGAAGATTGATTTCCGGCCATTGTTCACCTCTATTTGAATTGGCGTTTCATTGTAGGGTGCTGTAGAATATATACACTGACAGGGCAATGAAAGAGGGTATTATGAATCTGAAGGGCTAGCCCTGACAAAACTACGGGGATGGTACATATCGCAACAAAGAAGCAAGTTAATTATAAAAGGTGATGGGGGAATTCGAATAATGTACCTCGGTGGACGGAAGACCAAATGCTACGGGGAAAAAGATATCTTAAATAAAACGAATGACGCTAGAAAACGAACAGCCCATTATCCCTGGAAAATCATAACCTGTGACTGGGGCTTGCACTGTCACCAGTGTTAGCAAAAGGTGAAGGTGAAGCTCCTTCCTGGGACCTGGGAACGTATTCAGGCGGTGGCTCGAGTTCATAGCCGTGGCCCGTTATGGCGCGCTCCCTCTCGATCCTCCCGACTTGTTCTCGCAGCATCGCAATCTGCGCTACCAGGTCCTCCGAACCCTGCGATACCCCACCATACGCGCTCCCTATTGCAGATCCCCCGCTGTATGCTGACTGATTCTCTAATTCTGCAATCTCCCTATCAATGCGCTCTCTCTCCCGACGCAACTGCTCGGCCCTGGCCGCCGCCATCCTCGCCGATGTCCCCGAATTAGCTCTAGCGTGTCCTTTGGTTTCTGATCCACTCGAGGAGGAAGGCGGGTAAACAAACTGCTGATGCTGGTGCTTTCTCGAAGCCAAGAGGTTATCCGACGACCCAGCTGCACTCCCTCCAGCCTCTGAACGCGCTTGCCCGCTGCTTGATGAACTCGCGTTGTACATCGCGCGGTCACGCATCGTCTGCTGCGCCCTCAGCCTGGCCTTCTCGGACGACGCGCTCACGAATACGCCCGAGTTGTCGGCGGACAGGGAGCTCGGTGTGAGCGGGATGGATTCGGTGAAGGGGGTGTGGGCGGCGTTCCCGCCGTCAGCGGTGGGGATGAAGAAGGGGGATATCACTCCGTCTTTGTCTTTGGGGGCCCCTGAGAAGATTTGTGGGTGCATGGGCGTGCTGTCAGGGTTGAAGGGCGCCAGTTCTGGTTGCTTGGGCTTGCGTTTGCGGAGCAGGAGCCACAGGAGGACAAAGAAAAGAACGACGATGGCGAAGCCGCCCACTGCGCCGCCGATAATGACACCTAGCTGGCTTCCACCGCCGTCCTCCTTGTCGCCATTGTTGGATGCGCCTGGAGACCTTGACGGACTGATTACTGTATGTGTGGAAGTGGTGGGTCCCCTGGAAACATCGTGAGTGGATATGACTTGGGGGAGAATCATGCATTGACGACTTACGTGCCGGCGGTGCTGGAGTAGTTCTCTGAGGGCGGCGTTCCCGGAGGGAAAATTTCAAACGTTGCAGAGTCTGCGAGTACTCGGTTGGAGCTGCGAGTAGAAAATGAGCATGGAAGAGGGAATGGGTAGTGAGTGCGGCAGGGCTCACGATGGGTCTACTATGCGGATAATATACCCGTTTCTATAGCAGAGGAAATTAGAACGACGAAGAACATTGGTGCCAACGGCGGAGGGGGAGCTCACCCAGGTGGGAGGTCTGGAAGGTGAAAGCCGATGTCCGGTTCTTCCTCGATATTAAGTTCGCCAATAATCAAGGTGTTGTTTCCCTGTCTCGGATCCCGGATGAGGACATTGACTACCTCTGGATCCTCCGACGTCCGACTTCCAGAGGTTTCGAAATACAGTGCAATCCCCGCTGTAGGTCGATCAGTGTCCAAGGCTTCGACATTCCGAATGCTGAGCGCAGAACATATCAAAGGAAGGGTTGAAATATATAAAAGCCTGGATATGAAAAAAGAGTCAGGATTTCATGTTCATATAATGGTGAGTCGACATGTCCAAAAGGCCGCCCGGGTCGACTTGCTGACCCCTTCCGCGGAGTAGAATGGCCAAGGCGCGGATGAGCGGACTCACCAGGCATAGACGACATCGACACGCCTCATCTCAGCGTTCGAAAAAAAAAAAAAAAAACGCTGTCAATGGAGGCCTACACCGGGGCGCCTCATAGGGTAGTTGTAGATGAAAAGAAGGAATACCCCTTTCATTCACCGCTGGCCTGCGGCTATGCCAGTACGTGATGGACTTAGGTGCCATCAAGTGTTTCGACTTTTTGGATTCATCTGATGTTTCTTCCGTCGCCTCAGCGGGCAACCCATCACCAAGGTGGATAGAAGATTGTCGGTTGCGATTAGATTTCACTGGGGGAACGTATGCACAAGCTGTGTGCCGCACAAGTTCCTCCCTTCGTCTTTCTGTACGCCTTCCATCACAGACCAGCTGCTTTGCGCGCAACAGTGACCCTGCTGGCAGAGGACATCGCAAGTTGGCGACCGGCGTCCCCGACTCCCCGCGTCCCCGATGATCTACGTTTCACTAGTTATGGGAAGTATTCGGAGAAAAAGGCCCTATCGTGCGGCCTCATGTGCGCCCAGAGGTCGCTAAGCGAAACGACGAAACACGGGCTCTGTCAAAGTTTCTCCCTCAAATCATGATCTGCACTGGCGATAGCGATGGCCCTGGAAGGTATCTTTCCAGTAGTACATATGAGCTCGACTCTCTTCTCACCGTTTTTCCCCTTCCCGCCTTCTCCTCACCTTCACCTCACCACCAACTGGCAGCGCCTCCGCCAACTATCTGACCAGCAGGCCTGAAAGGATAATCTCACTTTGCGGATATGTCGGCTGTGCTGACCTTTGATGATACGGACCCAGCGATTTCTTACCTCGGAGACTGGGAACCTGCGGGCGGTCCAGACGAATATGAATCTACCACGATCTGGACCAACACTCCTGGAGCAAGCGCCCAGATAACATTCATGGGTGAGTTCATATGCGCATCCGCGACCATGCGACTCTATACCCAATACTCACTACAGTCGCTTGTAGGAACTGGAATATCTGTCTTTGGGACAATTACTCGTCAAGATCTTTTCTCTGCGCCGATCTCCCGTTACCAGCTAGACAATGACTCGTCCATGGCCGCGCAGTACATTGGACAGCAGACAGTAGACGCGCAATACCGTGTCCGATTCTTCTCTGTCACCAGCCTAAAACCTGGGGTACATACGCTCACCATCACCAACGAATCGGACAAAGGCCAGCTGTTTCTCGACTACTTTGAGGTGCGGGGCCTTGACTCGTCTGGGACCGGAATTTTATCGTCAAGACCGTCGGACACGCCGCTTCCCTCTTCCTTTAGCGACAGTGGTAACGATATGTTGGGAGCGATCGTCGGAGGGACGTTAGGAGGGCTGGCGTTGGTGTGCTTGACTGTTGTAATTCTCTTTGCATTGAGATGGAGGAGGAAACGAAGGAAAGACATTGAGGAACCCGAGAGTCCGAAGGGCATTGACCAGATGAGATCTGTCAACGATGGGTCGGGTGCGTACTCGGTTCTACGGGCAAAATAGGCCTACGACTTGAAACTAACGTTCTTCCTCCAGCGGCATCATCTATCACGCCCTTTGTTATCCCTAGTCAGAGCACAAACTCCCTTCCAATCCCGACCTCCAACCTCTATTCCGCACCACACACAGCCACAGGCAGCTATCCTCAGCCAGCTCCGTCAATCGTTGGTAGCTCCACGAGTGACTCTGGGAGCGACCTTTGGTCAAGCGTGAAGGGACCCAGGATGAGCGTTGCCAATCCTGGTTTCATCCCGCCGGTGCCGTTTTCTGGCCTGTCTTCCTTACCCTCGCCACAACGTGGACAGGCTGACCCTCCGCCAACGTATCATACATAGCATGTCGGGAACGCATTTCACTGAAACGCGACATAGACGATTTCCGATTCCCTTCCCCCTCACAGTTCTCGTTCCTTTGGGTTTAAAATTATCGATAACACGGGCTTTCTATTTTGTACAGATACATTTTCTACTATTTCGTTCACTTCACTTGAACTGTATAAACAGCACTCGCTTCAGGTCCCTTGGTAATCCGATCGAACCCTGTCTCTCTCCACATTCTCAAGCGGGGTGGAGATTCCCAGTCTAGTTTTGTAGATTGTCTTGTGTGGTGTCTGAAACCTTTCAAACGGTTTATTACCATGACCCCCCTTCCATTCGCCGCGTCGCAAAGCAACTTTCGCTTCCTCCCTTCGCAATCCACCCTAGGTTCACAACTCGCATCATTTTCGCAACATGTCTGGTAGCCGAACTCGTACGTACCATTGTCTGTATTCTAAGGGAGCTTCTCCGCTGACCTTGGACCAAAGACACCAAAAACCCAGAGCGGGTCGCCTCTGGCCTTAAAGCGACAATCCACAACCCCAACGTCTCGGAAGGCGCCAAGCAGCGAGCCCGCGACCGCCTTTCCGAATTGAACATCGACCCAGAAGCACCCCGATCTGCTCAAAAGGCTGCAGACACGGAAGTTGCTTCCTCAGGTTAGAGCTTCCTTCTCCACTTTTCTCAACGTTCGTTCCTAACGCGTTGAATCGTCTAGTGTCCCCCCTCTCGTCCGAGTCACCCGCTCCGGTTTCAAGGGGTACCAAGAACCGATATACGTCTTTGGTAGAGGAGTATGTCGAAGAGGACGAGGAAGAGTTGGTAGGGACACCAGTGGCTGGCACTCACGTTGTCGAGGAGGAAGAGCTCGAGGATTCGTTCTCGAACGCTGGGAGTCGGGTTGGCTCTCAGGCCCCCAGAGAGATCACGCCTATTGAGGATACAGAGACAGGACATAGAGTTCTGGGAGGGTACAAGGCCACCATGCACAGTGAGCTTTCTCTTACTTGCGTTGCGGGTGGAGCGTCGAGAGCTGACCATTCCTTCAACTTGCAGACCCTCGAGTCTCTGAGAAGGCCAAGGACCATGCGAAGAGGATTTTGGAAGAGTATGATGCATTGTAAACATTCATCTAACTAGTGCCTTCCTGTGCACTACATGCTGCCTTAGTACACCTATTTCTCTCCTCCGGCGAATCCGCTGCTCCACAATAAGCGCCCGTAAGAAACTGGAAGTCGTCACGTGTGATGTATTTATTGATGGCGAGGCCTCGGCATGTGATAACGCGTGTCAATGGGGGGAGCGCTGTCGTTTGGGGATCGTGTCGCACGACGTGCTTGGAAGTTCTTTACTTGCGACCGTAACGGCATACCAAACTTAACGACAACCTCCTTGTTCTTCACCTACACCACCGAACTCCTTTCCTCGAATAAGGGATGGCTGGACATGGCCCACACGCATCGACACCCTGGACAACGAACGCGATCAAACAGCTCAAGCTGGTGATTCCAGGAGGGGTTATTACTTGGTACATTGGTGTTTGGGAGGAATTTTGGAGGACGGTGTCCGGGTATAATGGGTCGTTAGCAAGGTGAGCATCTTTGGACTGGTCTTTGGTCTACGGGGAAGAGGAGTGCTGACCGCTTTGACCTCAGAACTGGAGCGCTTACGGCTGGAGGCCTTGGTCTTGCTACCATTGCCCTGTTTATCTACATTTTGTTTATTCCTATAACCACTGGAGAGGAACCAGATGTAAGGGCCTGGAATTACTCCGTTCCTGGAGAATGTATTGACCGCATTGCAGTACCGTGCATGGCGCCAATCGCCCGTCCTTTCCTCCGTCATCCCAGTATGTCATTCCCTTGACCTCTCGATCGACGGCGAAACCGATGACAACCCTTCTCCAGACATTGACAACAACCATCGTGTTGGGCTGGCTAGTCGCACTGATAGTATTCGGCCAATGGTCAAGTCTTGGATATATAAAGGGGTTTATTGGAGGTGCGCACACCGATTCTCTTCGTGCGTCATAGTAGCCCTGATGCCAGACGTGTCACAGTCTCCGCTGCCTACGCTCTTACATTTGGACTTTTGGGACTTCTTCCTGCACCCAAAGCGAAACCAAAAACTCGACAAGCATAATCATCATCGCACGTAAATCTGTAGCATTTTGCATCTGTACCCAGCATTTATTTCATGAATTCCACGACATTTATTATTGCTCGCACACGTGATGGGGACTAGCTCAATCTGATCTGAGGGGGCAGTGAACTCGACTCTGCAACGACGGCGATGACTACACCCACAGCTCTTAGCTCGATATAAAGGACTTAGATGTACAGCGGCTACAGTGCTTTCAACTCGTTTTCCATGCCTGCCAATAACCCTTTCGTCAACGCCAACGACCCCACCCATGCCAGTTCCCGGTTCCCAGATATCTCGGGTGGTTCCACATCCTATCTCAACCCGAATCAGCAACCACCGCAGGGCCAATGGATGAACAACGGAAACATGTCCTATCAACAACCAGCATACACTGCCCAGTATCAGCAGCAACAACCACAGCAGCAACAGTATCCGCAGCAGTCCTATGGCGGAGGCGGCTACATGAGCCCTACTGGAATGCCTCAGGGACAGTACGGTGGTGGTAGTACAGGCCAATTCCAACCTTCGAGTTCATTCGGACAACAGCTTTCAGCTCATATGAGCGGGACCAACTATGGCTATCTCAACGGACAGCAGACGGGCGTTCCGCAGCAGCAGCAGCAGTTGGGTCCTGCGCAGGCACAGATCGCCAATAACCCGGGATATGTAGCCCAATTCGATCCTTATGGTCCGTTGAGCCAGTGGGATGGGACTAGTGGCCAGCAGCAACAACAACAGCAACAGATGCAGATGCAGCAACAGCAGCAACAACAATACCAGCAACAACAGTCATACCAGACTGGCTATAACGACGGGAGTTACCTCATCTCCCCTGTTGGACCTACCTCAGGTGTATCGCCAACAGGAGAACCGCATCCCAGAGAGTTCATTCGCCTACACAAGGCGCAGCTTGACAAGTGGGATGCTGTCGCGTGGAAGCAGCTCCTCAATACGTTCGAGGCGCTGAAGAAGGCATGGGAAGCTCGGAAGACAGCTTGTTCGAATCAACTCCAGTCGTTGAAAAGCCAACTCAACTTTGCGGGCTATTATCAACAACAAGTTCAGGCCGAGATTGCTAGGGTGGAGCAGGTTCGCGATCTGTGTGTTTCTGCTATATTCGCATTTACTGATGACGTTCTGTAGTTGACGAAGGAGGCGGATTCCATGGCTGGTATGTTACCACCGTTCCTTTCCGGTCCTCGCTATGTACTAACGCAATGCTTGTAGACTCCGTTGCTGCTTCGACTTTCCAGATGCAAGAAGTCTTCTCTGGTTATCGCCAATCAGGCGACTCGTCAAGCAAGATGCGCGTCCGGGAGGCAACCAACGCTGCCGTCAGGAGTCTTCCTGACTGGCCCCCATCCAACATTTGATCGACCCCATGTCAGTTTCACAACTAGATACCTTTTGGGACTGGGACTGGGATTGGAACGAGGGCTTTGAACCCCAATGGCTCTATATGTGTGTGCCCTAATTCACGGACTTTTTCGGGATCCCTTTCGTCGTGTGTGCATCATTTGGGTTGTACAATAATACACATACTTTCGCTGAACCGCTTGAAGAATAGGCACTCTACAGGCTGCCTCGATGCGAGGGCACGCATCTCGCGACATCTTCCAACTCCTTACTCCCAGTTGTACCATCAGAATCAGAGTGAACGCCTTTTTGCAGCAAAGCGGAGAAGTAGATACATACACATCGAGCTAAGCGAGCCGGCACCTACTGCAACGTGCAGATTTCTTCCTCCGCTTCCTGCACTTCAAGCAATCCGCTTGACTGATGACAGCCGCTTCTGTCTCCGAGGGGACCACAGTCTCGTCACTGGGGCCGTCCAATGGGTCATAGGTGATGACCAGTGGGGGGGTATCGGTGGACAAAGGTGGTCCAGAAGGATAGGGTAGATTCATGGCTGCGTCATTATCTTTAGAAGCTGGGATTGCCGTCTGGTATTGCTGATGCTCGGCTGGCTCGCAACTCTGCTGCGGGGTGCACGGTCCCATCGCTCCTCCTTCCTGCACCTCGAGGTCAAGTAGTTTCCTCTCAATTTCGTCCCGTGCTCTGAGCAAGGCATCCCGTTCCTCTTCCTGTTTCCTCTTCCTATCCTTCTCCAGGACCCGATATCGCTCTTCTTCGATCGCTGCTTTCCGTTCCGCCTCTTCGGCTAGCAAAACTAATCTGGCTTCCTCTTCTGCTTTCCACCTCTCCCTTTCGAGCCGCTCCTTCTTGGTTAAATAGCGCCTTTGGTGTACTCTGATCTCTTCCAGCTCGGCGTGGAAGCCTTCGCGGACATCAGTGTCGCCTGGAGAGCCTCCTGTTCTGAACCGTTCGACGATCATTCCAGACAATTTTAACGCGACTCGGAAGCCAATCTCCTCTACATCGTCCTCCCTAATTGGGGACATGCGTGCGACCAGCTCTTCGTAACCAGACAGCAACCATTCATGGATGTGGTACTGCCGAGCCAGATTTATACGGCGGATAGGACCTATGTCAAGGATGGTAAGGGCCTGAATCGCCACCTGGCGGAGGTCATTGAAGAACCAGAGTGTCGAGAGCTTTAGAACAGAGATCCACTCGTCTTGCACAAGGTCAGGCTTCTCCTCCAGTAGGGGCGACCTATCATGATAGAACAGGTTGGGTTGGATACAGGCGCCTTGGAAGGGTCAGCCGACTCACCTAGGGGCCAAAGCCTTCAAGAAGTTCTCGAAATCTGTGCAGTCGACATCGACGAGTTCAATAATGCGACCTCCGTCCATCTCCGAAGCATCCAGAGGCAAGTCATACAACTGAGCAAACACCTCCGAATGATCCAGGAAAAGGTGCATGGGGAGTTGAAAAAGGACGTCTTGGACCTTCGGAAAAGCGGATCATCAACCCCTCCACAACAGTTGAGAATGAAGCCAACGCACCCTGAGCTTTATGACAGGCATATAGTAAAGTTTATGGAGGCAATATTGAGAGTTGTCAGGCCACGTCTGGACCTCCAATGGGGCAAGATTTTTGGGTCGAGGAGCAATTGAGCTACCTGAGGACTGCGCCAAGTCGACCACTGACTCAGTGTCCGGGGACAATGGCCGTGAATGGGCTTGTGCTATCCAAGAGACTGGTCTGGCGGGCATAGATGCGATTTCGTAGTTATCAGACATCGAGGAGGACTGTTCGACAGGCCCATAAAGCTGAATCATGGTTTAGCAAGAGGGATGGGAAGGGGGAATCCACTGGCAGGGTATTCCACAGTCTGTGACCCTTATCCAGCGATGTTCATGTCCACCCACAATCACGGGTTTGCCTCGTGGTGAGACAGCGTTGACAGGTGTGTGCTCATAGAAGCCTGTATGTAGTACACGGCATCCAAATCTAGAAGAAGGCTTGCACCGAATGTTCTGGGTGTTCGGGCGCACAATTGAGAGTAAGGTAGGGCCAGTGAGCGATCCAGGTACGTCACGTGCGCGTGACACCTGCGTGACATCCGCCGAATATTAGTCGCGTTGAGAAGTGGTAACGCGACGTGGTATCGTTCGATCGGTATTCTACGATCCTGGGAACAGCCTCCGAAAGGAGCCTGTACGGCGGCGACGCTGATGCAGTCGGCTCGCCTAGGGTCTTCGAGTCCCCCTTGACGGCTTGCAATCACTAGGTAATTAGAGAATTAGTGGTATACCAGACCCCCCAATCGACATTGTACGCGATGCTCTTGCTGATGGTGACTTGAGCGGCGGTGTGCTGTGTCAGCACACAATCTTCCAATCTTCTTAGGGAAGTGGCGTCCCGCCGTCCCCTTTGGACTTACTTTTCTGCAGTTTCGGTTAGTGCTTTACTTCAATGCTACGAAGATTCAGGAATTCAGTGGAGTGCAACGGGAGCAACTCGCGCGTCGGCGGTGTGTTCCCCATCAATCCATCATCTTGTACCCCGAGACTCCAGCTCCCAATGCACTCCCATACATGTTGCTGAGGTCAATCGCAATATGTCTGAACAATGCTACTGAGCTACCAAACAGCGCGACAACGATATCCCACCAGCTATTAGTGTCCGGGATTTGCTAATGAGAATGTCGTCCCCAGGACCCTCCCCAAGCTTACCTTGGGTTTACCATCTAGAAATGCCCGGTACGGGGTCGCATATCCCCTCATATTCTCTCGGTGCACGGAGGCCACCCCGCCGCCTCACCTCGCCCAGCCCGAATTGATTGGTGATGCCCGACGTTTGCCAAGCTAGTGCCTCATCGTATAATACCGATCGAAATATGACTCGTAACGCGACTAGGTTGAAAGAGGGCCGCCACTTAGCGTGCGGCAGTACTCGGATTTGCTTGGCGTTCTAAATTACATTGACTCGGCTTGAATTTATGAAAGCTGGGTTTTTTCCCGCGCGAGCCCCTGGTTTGCTCGCTCTCTTCGTGCTACGTGGGAACTTCCTTGCCGTGTTGAGCGTGCTACGTGGCAACTTTTCCTTCCGGCCCCTCGTGCCGCTTCTCCTTGTTCGATGCTCTCTCTGTCCTTTTCTTTCCCCTTCGTTGTCTCCGGTCCCGTTTTTCTTGCCGCTCCCCTTCCTGGCTGCTCTGCGCTCAAGCTCGTTCTTGCCTTTCGCGCTGCTCTCTTTCCCCGATCCGTGAACCCGCTAGCATGCATCTTCTACTTCCGTCCGCTCTTATAAAGGTGCCATATCGTTCATTGTTCCGTCCTTTGCCTTTTCTCACGGCTGTAGCCGACTTGAGGCTTGCAGCGGGTACGATGCCTGCGTGCCTCCCAGACAACTGCTGGGAAGGGAGGGACGCCGGCGACTGGGAGGAGGGTACGCACCCAAGGACGGACGCAGCCGACGAGCAACGGCTGAGCGCTGTGCGGTGAAGCCACCAGCACGCCTCAACCGCGTCGGTGGGCTACGTTTTTGGTGGCAGAGTGGCGCTGCGCAGCCGAAGGCCTGGGGTGACACCCGTGGCCGACTTGAGGCTTGCAGCGGGTACGATGCCTGCGTACCTAATGTCGATTGACATGCTGTTACGATCCAACGCAATTTACTCTCAATAAGCTGCCATGGAGTCCATTGTATTCCCTGGCTTTCCGACTCGTCCCTATGTTATCATATGTCCGTATCCTACAACATAAGTATGTCAAGACCAGATTACATTGAATGTTACTCTCTGGCTTGTTAATGGCAGTAAGGCCGCTATGTGCGAGTGCGTAATAGGTCCCCAACAAGACAGAGGAAGACGAGCCAATCGAGGGTCAGGCGAAGAGAACAGCGCCAGAAAAGGAGAAAGGTGACGTCGCGCCGCAGAAAGCGTCCAAACGTGCAAGGGAAGACGCTGCAACGGGATTGATCAGATTGAGAAGACAAGGCTTCATATGGGACGGTCAAGACCACTCGTGTGCTTACAACTCAACGTTCACGTTGCTGTACAACCTTTGGTTTGATGATAAAGTGCAGTGGTTGGCCGCATTTCGAAGGATGAGTCCTGTAATGGCTTTGTTCGCAGACCAGCTTCATCGAGTGGCACCGCCAGGGTTTACGATGGAAATGGCGAGAGACGTTGTAAGGGCACGTTTGCGAGAGATAGCGCCCTCGTCGTTTCCGCAGGGAACCGCAGGCGTTGACCTCAATGACTTGATTCGGCACATGTGGATACCGGAGAATAGCGGGGTGCAAAGTACGAAAACGTGCACGGCTTGCCTGTCGGTTACGGCGTTACAGCGTGCAGTTCTGAATAGCGTCACGTTCGTCAATCGAGCGATTGGTATGAGAAGGGGGGTCGCAAGGGATCAGTGCGGGGTTGGGAACATAACAGAGAGCCTCTGCGAGCAAGGCGTGGACCTTGAGTGCAGGTGTTGTGGAGGGAAAACACGGCACACAGTGACAGCTGTGAGCAATTTAGACAGGTTACCACCCTGGATAATGGTAACAGTGGGAGATCGATTCGTGTGGCCTACACGAGAGATGGTCATCAGGGGGCAAGGAAGGGAAAGACGTTACCAGTTAAGAGGGTTGATCTACGGAGGAGATCGACACTTCGTGTCGCGTTATGTGGACAACGACGGATGGGTGTGGTACCACGATGGAATCGAGAATAGAGCCTGGTGCGTTCAAGAGAGGCAGGTGCACGCAGGAGACGACATGAAATGGCTGCAGAGAGCTAGGGATAGGGTACTTTTGGAATGCTTGTATTCGGAGAATCTTCAGGACATGTCAGGCAGGCCTGCCCTAAAGTAATGCTGGTGGAGCAAGTCAGGGATTCGAAAATAGAGAGAGTTATAGAGGTCACAGTGAAATCGAAGAGTATATTGAACAGCAAAGTTAGAAAACGAGGATGTGAAGGATGTGAGTTGAGTGGAAGGTGATGGTGGATACAATGAGATACGGAAAATGATCGGCAAGAAAAAGACTTCAAGCCGAGTACGCCGTGCTGCAGCAGCGGCCCGCTTGAGCAAGTCGATTGTGGTGTTCATTAACTGTCAGTCAACCAGGTCTGAGGATTGTCTGGCGTTGGATCTGCAGTGTACCACGCATAGATTAGCACTTTGTCGTCGCACCGCGTTAGCCAGTGGGCGGGTTGGTCCAAGGCGAGGACGCCTTGCAGTTGTGTCAGGGTCGGATACAGAGAGAGAGGAGAGAAGGACGTAGGAGGGCGGAGGGTAGCCTTGGTCTCACGTTATAAGAACGTGTACCCTTCGTCACGGCTCCAAAGGCTGGCTAGGCCGAAGGACCAGACGGAAACGCCTTCCGGCGGAGAGACGAGAGTAAGGGGCGACTGGAGCTAAGGCTCAACGGTCGAAGACGATGAAGAGAGGTTACTGAGGAATTTAGACTGAGAGATTTGAGGTGTATGAACCTAGTCGAGATTCCGGATGAGGTATCTACTACAAATCGAGATAGTACTTATAGTAAAATACCGGCGGAAGAATCTACGGAAGAATAGAGACGAAATGACGAAGTCCAAGAATAAAAGAATAAGTGGAAAACCAAAACAAGAGAGACGAGATCGTACACAAGAACACCTAGAGTACTCGAGAACAACTACAACGACCAATCGTAACCCGGCGGATAAAATCCAAGCAAGAACGTTTGTACGAAAGAGTCATCTGAGCGAACTAGAAATCAAGTGTCGAGGAATAGAAGCAAGAAAGAATAATGTCACGGCGGAATAAGAAATAGAAGAATGACAGAATAAGACGTACTTCGAATACACAATAACAAGAACCCGTTTGACAGCTCGCCAAGCGCGCGTCTAAAGTCCACAGGATTATCCGGCGGATCCGTGAGTTCCGACACAGCCGCGAGGCCGCGCGCGCGCGCCAGATCACGTGATTACGAAGTCACGAGAAGCTGGACGAATTCTGGCTCGAATTCTCGTGACCTTTCCCACGCTCTGAGGACGTCGCGCGTCAAAGTCAAGAGAGGAACCGGCGGGCTGAAATGAAGTGGGTGTAACAAATAAAATATATAAGAGAAAATGTGAATAATAATATCGAATGGTGTTGAGGGTAAAGGAAGGGTGTAGTTGTACGTATCGAGACCCGGCGGTTGCACGAGCCCTGACAGTACCCCCTTGTTACGGCTGAGCCCTCGAAGCCAAACGATGAGGTGAAAGAAAAGTTGCGACTTGAAAATTATGGAGAAATTGAAGCATAGAAAAAGGAGAAATGGTGAAAGAGGTCGAACAGAAAAAAAAAAGGAGGAGAGGCAGGCCGGGGAGACGAGGCTGAAGAGGAACAGTATCACCAATCGGGGCCAGGTTTATCGGGATAGCGACGATGGAAGTCCTGGACCAACTCCTGAGCATGGGCTAACTCGGTAGCAAGTAGCCAAGAACGCTCTTCATCCGTGTTCTCGTAGCCCAACCAGCGCACTTCATAGAGAAGTTTGCAGGTACGGCGGCGACGATCCACTTTCGAGTCGAGAATTTCAGCTATCTCGTACTCCAGTTCGCCATCCACTTCCACCGGCGGGGGAGGAGGATCATGACGAAGAGGAATTTTAGACTCGTGGTGTGGCTCGAGCATGGAGACATGGAAAACAGGATGGACGGAACGCATGGAATCAGGGAGTCGAAGGGTGAAAGAGTGGGTGCCAACCTGAGCGATAATCTCGTATGGACCGAGATACCGTTCAGACAACTTCTTGGTAGGACGAGTAATGCGGAAGAAGGCAGCTTTGACGAAGACGCGGTCGCCCACCTTGAAGTCCG